TTCTTTCTTCTTTCTTCTTTCTTCTTTCTTCTTTCTTCTTTCTTCTTTCTTCTTTCTTCTTTCTTCTTTCTTCTTTCTTCTTTCTTCTTTCTTCTCGAATCACCGTCATTACGGCCGGTTGATTTCCCGACTTTACCCATCTTTTTTTCAAACCCTTTCTCTTCTTGTGGATCTTATTCTACGGCATGAGGAATTCGCCTGGTCCACTCACCAGTAGTACTGGCGATCATTCTCATGCAACGCTTTATTGCCACTTTCAATTTCTCGGAGACCATGATACCCAAGTGTTGTTCTTATCTCGTTCTATTCACGCATTGATACATGATCTGCTGAACATGATATCAAGATGCCTTGCCCACATTGGCTATTATGATAGTTGTGCATGTCTTTGCATATTTCTGCTGGCCTATTTTTCTGTTTGTACTATTTGTTGTCAATAAATGGATTCTATGACTGTTGATGTGGTGTGTTTATCTTGGTTTAATTTGAGAAAAAACAAACCCACTCCAGGAAACAATCCTAGTTTTTTAATACAGTACCCCTTTCAGCGCATTCGAAAACCAACATAATGATATCTTGTGTGAAGTATTAAACTTTGTATATCTTAAATAATGCTTAAAATGGCCATGGCTGGTATTGTGCTAACGACCAACCCAGACTACTTTGACATTCTGATAATCAGCTACTATGTCATCCCCCAAGGGTCCAATCTTGATCACTTTGAGCGTATCATGAGTCTTGCTGGGGTCGACAACATCAACCACTGTTTCTGCGGTCAATATGCCATTGACCAATAACTCGAGTCCATCCAAGGCATCCCCCTGCGGCACCTTCAACCTGGGGTTAATAGGTGTTATCGAGCCAGGACGTACAAGAATTGGCAAGGTGTCAAAGTCGTGTTTCTCAGTATACCACCGACCAGACTCGTAAGACTTGCCGTGATCGAACCACGAGATCCATTTCCCTTGATTATCCTCAGGAGTATGTGGTACATAGAACGTTACCGTTCCTTCCTCCGAGAAAACTGGGGCAACGAGCAAGTTGCTACCGAACATGTACTGTGTGTCGAGTGTATATGTATTAAGATCTCCAGGGAATTCGAGGAACATGGGCCTCATGAGTGGTGTACCTTGTCGGTAGCCGACCAAGGCCTCCTGTAGAAGATATGGGGTAAGGAGAATCTTGCGTTTGACGCAGTCCCGAAGGACGTCGGAGCAGTCCTCGCCGTAGATCCAGGGAACACGGAAGGACGATGAACCGTGTAGACGGGAATGCGAGGAAAGCAGACCAAACTGGACCCAGCGCTTATATAGTGCTGGTGGCGGTGTGCCTTCGAAACCGCCAATGTCAGACGCCCAGAAGATGTAACCTGAGAGCATCAAGCTTAGACCTCCCCGGAGAGACTCAGCCATTGCTTCAAACGTGCTTTCACAGTCGCCTCCCCAGTGGACAGGATATTTTTGGCCTCCTGGAGCAGTGCTACGAGCAAACAGGAGACTCTGGGACTGTCCTAGTCTTGAAGTCATAGCCTCATAGACGATTTTATTGTACAGTAGTGCATAGTAGTTGTGCATGCGTACCGGATCGGACCCATCGTGGTATTTAATGTTTTTGAATGGGATTCGTTCCGCAAAGTCGGTTTTGAAAGAGTCAACACCCATGTCCATCAGACGCTGGAGCTGTTTGCAGTACCATGCACAGGCCTCGGGGTTGGTAAAGTCCACAATGGCCATGCCTGCCTGCCAGTGGTCCCATTGCCAGACTGAACCATCTGTACGCTGTGACGGCCTTAGCAACCATGTCTAAAATTTGAGGGTATAGCTCTACCTTGATGAAGTATCCGTTTTCCTTGCCCTCTTTGAATAAAGGAGACGCTTGTGCAACATATGGGTTTATCCATACACTGATTTGAAGATCCCGTTCCTTGAGTCGTCTGAGGTATCCCCCGGCATCTGGAAACATCTCGGCGTCAAAATCAAAATCACACCACTGATAAGACTTCATCCAGAAGCAGTCAAAGTGGAAAACGCCCAGGGGAATATCTCGGTCTCGAAAACCATCCAAGAAACCAGTGACGGTTTGCTCATCGTAATTCGTGGTGAAGCCTAGCGGAGTTTCAGTTTGAGGCAAACAACAAGTTGGTCGAATTTAAGAACGCACTGGTAGTGAGCCAAAGGTTATAACTCCAGGATGGAACCAAACTAGGCCGTCCAGTCAAGGCCGTATATCTGGTCAGAACCTCTTTGGGTGTTTGTCCATATACTATAAAGTACTCCAACTCCTCGCCGGGAACCGAGATATTGACTCTGGTAGTTCGCTCCGACTGCAACTCAAGGCTGACCTTCCCCGGATTATTGACAAAGACGCCATATCCTTTCGAGCTGATATAGAACGGAATGTTCTTATATGCCAATTCGGATGACGTACCACCGTCCTCGTTCCAGATGTCAACCGTCTGTCCGTTCTTCACAAAGGGACCAAACCTTTCCCCCAAGCCGTATAGTTTCTCCCCCACCCCAATATCCAGGGCTGCTAACATGTATCCCTGTCGCTCAAAGAAGAGCCCATCTTCCCAGCGGGATTTGTCTGTCGTCTGGTCTCCGACATACCCGATTGATCGCCACGAGTGACCGGTGAGCTTTCCTTCAGTGCCAGAAAAGACAAAATCCATCTCATTCGGAGCGGTCTGAATAGCCAAGTTCAGATATCCACTGCCACATTTCAATGTTTTCTCAGAGTGTTGAATCTTAGTGTGACTGGTGGAAGAGTTCAGTTTATAATGGGGACCCTTGCCAACTTGGCCCGCCCTGGATAGACAAAGATGCCAGTTAGCGCTGCAATAAATATATGAATAAGACGATTTCACTTACCAGTGAACCAATTTGACACCGATAATTCCTTCCAACGGAGACGTGACATGAGCAGAGATAGTCGCTGCAGTTTATTTGGCAAGTGTCAGTCTCGGTTGAGCTTACTCGAACCAACACGATCATAATATTCTCAACACACCTGAATTCAACGTATCTCCTCTGTGTCTCTGCAACTTATTTAGCAGTAGATTGACACTGTCATCGTCGACGCTCAGTCTCTCCACATTGCTCATCCAGTCGATTCGAATGCCCTCCTGCAGGAGATGTCAGCCCTTTTCAGTAACACAATGTATCAAACAGAAGCCTTTTCGCACCCTCAGCCTCCACATTCCCTCTGTGAACCTCATTTTTAGGACAGAAAACGAAAATCACACTTAGTAAATGCAGGCTCAGTTGACGCGAATTCAAACATCTGCCCTCGCAGAGGACCGAGAGGGGAAGTGGCAGCATATTTGAAACGCCACTCGTACTATCCTCATTCAAAACGGACCTGTTACCAAGAGGTAAGACCAAGGCTACTAGGGTAGCTGGGGTCTGTCTTTTCAAGCGTGTGGTGGTGACAGGTTGAGGAGGGGTGAGGGGAGCAGGAGGATGTCTTTCTCTACGCGCCAATTGACGCGTTTTGATGCTCTGAATATGTCCACCAATCATTTCAAAAAGGCTTCAAATTATTACAGTAAGAATGGCTTTTGTTGAATCATATATTTAGTTACATTGATATTAGTTCAATCTTGGCCGTATTGATGGCTTGACGATTGTATTGTTTCCCACCTCTAGGGTAGAACATCTGAGAATTCAAGAGAGAATATGAAGTTATGGGATTGAGATGACTCAAAAATGGACGACAGGGGAATTAATATATCATATCAAATAGTATACACAAGGAGTAGATACTATGCTCATATCAAACGTGTTCAAATCTCATTCCTCAAACTTTTCCGTAATATTCATCATCAAATCCACAACACCAAGCAAACGTAAACAGGTGAAGGGTGTCATCATTCATTAATCTAGACTCAGTTCAGACCAATAGGTCGCAGAGTGGCGCTTCTTGGGCTTCCCTTATAGCTGAGGCTGTCATTCCGTGGCCGAGTTCTTGAATCTATAGGCGACAATGGTCCATCGTGTGACAATCTCGATGGTAGAGTTGGCGGAGGCGATATGTGATGACTGACCACACTAGCGGGAAGCTCAAGGGTTGGAATCGATGAGTCCATGATTGTCGTGGGCGCCGGTCCCACTCTAGTTGAGACAGGACGGGCATGTGACTCGCTGTAAAATTGCGCAAGTCGGGCTGCATCATTGCAGAAGTCCTGCATCCCGCTGAGGATATGCTCGGGGGCACGATATAAATTCGCAGCATCAATGCTTGGCTGCCCTTGGGGACTGGCAGGGATACTATTATCATGTACTGGACGACTGAGAGGCGAAAGTCTAGGGGAAACGCGGTCCAATGGATCATAGGTCGTTGCACGCGCCCGATACTGCTCCGGCCGCTCCATACGTTCATATCTAGGCATGTCCCGGCTAGCAGCACCCCGGGTACTGACCAGACGATTGGCAAGGAGCAAGAAGTCACCCTCGTCAGTAATCTGGGCCAGAAGGCTACCTGATCGATGGATATACTGCGGGTATTTATAGTCGGGTATACCCCAAGAGTATGACACTTCAACATCTGGAGGAAAAGCAGATCTTGCTTCAAAATCCAGAACAAAGTCAAACTTTCGTAGAATGGCCTTTTGATAATAGAGATTATCTGGTGCGCCAGGCTGCGCAAATGATGCCGTGCTGAAAAGAGTGGGAATAGGCCCCTTGGGAGGCGGAACTTTCAGTGCGATTCTGTAGGGTTTCCGGAATGGCTGCGTCTGGTCAATGGCACAAGCCTCAGCGATTGGAACCTGCACGAGTTTGAGGCCAAACTTTTCAGCCGTCGAAGCCCACGACACGACGGTATCTTCAATTAATTTAGGTGTCGTATTCATCCAGCTTAGCTCAATATGAAAGCAGTTCTCGGGGTTGTGTAAGCGATCATAATGGAGATCAATGACTTCTGGTCTGTTTGATCGTTTGCGAGGATCCACGTCGTATCTCATAGTCTTGGATAACATGATGGCTACTTTGTTCTTCGCCTTTGATGGTGTGCTCGGGAGTTGGGAAGAATTATCGAGGCTGTCATTCCGGAAATGCGTGGTTGTGGGAGAATCTCTAGGCATTTCTCCTGCTGGCGTTGATGGAACGGACTTGTCCATCCGTTTTGGAGGGAACCAGCTACCTCGGGATTCGGGGCGAGAGACCCGATATTCGCTAGATATCTGGTAGAAGTAGTTTCCATCCCGGAAGTTATGCCTCCTCTCGACGTGTTGGAATAGGCCATGCCTCATCAACTCATTTCCAAAATCAACTGCTTCCTCGCGACTGTCAATATCGCGGAAGTTTTGCAGAAGCCAGGTCGTGAATTCAAACCCTATAAAGCAGTTATAGTGCAATCGCCAATGCCACCTTCGATCCATCATCCGCACACCCTTATCCCCTTGGATTATCTGTGCAAATGACGATAGGATTATACTAGACCGTTCAAGTAGCTCGGATTCCGGCAACAGCTGGGCAGGCGGGTTGTCCAGTCCAGGGTCCGTAAGCAAAATTCGGTCTAATTCTGCCGCGACAACCTCGGACTGATTCCGGGTTTGATACATGATATTGAGGGGGTTCTGGTCTCTCTTTTGATTGGAAGATTCGAATCTCTTCTCCTCTGGAGGGATGTATTTATGTCGCTGCCACATATGTGTCAACTGACTGATCCCCAGTAGATGGATTTCTTCTTCATTGTCTTCATTGAATGACGGCAAATGGCGCCGGGAGCTAACATGCAACTGCATTGGGATCAAGACATAGCGAACCCTCCAAAAATGCAACTGCTGAGCTGGGTTGAAGAGATAGTCTCGATGACCGGCAATGTAATTGTCCGCGTAGTTCCAGTTGTACTCCTCAGCTGTCGAGTCTAGCCCTATGTTCTTGATCACGTATTCAGGACTCAAGATTGTTCGCATAGCCGGTGAATAAAGAGAAGGGTTGGTGTTCTTCCCAGAGGACAAGGTTGAAGAAGATCGATGCATAAATCGCGTCACTTCAATTTCCCCGCCATCGACACAAATCAATCGATGTATTGCGTTGCCCTTGGAGAGGAAAATGGTGGCACCATCACGCTCAAGACTACGGGTATCGAATACATTCAGTGACTCAAGGGCATAGTGTCCCGAGGCCTCGGCCACATCTTTTCCAACAACAATCTGAAAGCCGTGGGAGAGACGGGAGGAAATCATCTCTCGCAAAAGTACACATCTTGTCTTTGGTGCCTCAATCCCCTCGGCATCCTCGTTTGGAAAAACACGATATGGTGTTTGTAGATATTCAGAACCGAGCTCATTGGCCGTTGGGAATTCCTCGGTTGTCAATGGCAGAATGGCAGGGGACTTCAAGCTCTTCCATTTTACCACAGCAACATGAGGAGGTCTTGGATATGCATGCTGCCAGCGCCCGAACCAACTAGTATCACGCAGCACCGCTTTGGGAGTATTACAGGGATTGATAGAGCGGACCCAGGGTGCTAAGGCTCTACTGGGCGAATTCTTCCCAGATGAATCGCGCATGCCTGGGGTAACTGTCACTTCAAACCTAGGCCCCGGTTTCTTGGGTTGGTTTGCATTGTGATCGTCCCCATTGTAAGGAATCTCTGTGGCAGTGGTTGAGAATGATTCGGGAATTTCTGGGTGTTCCGGTTCATCTGCATCTTCAGGCTTTTTCTTCGGTGGTACTTTGATGGATATGGGCCTTGTCGGGGTAATGGCGAGTTTCTGGGCTGACTTTTGGGGTGTGGGTGGCCTTGATGGCTGGTCGACAATGGTGGACGTTGATGTCGACTCCGAAGGACTCAAAGACTCCACGCTTTTGGTATCCGACAACGACCCTACGGAAGGCTTTTGGTTTGACATTGGCAATGCTTTGACATGTTCTACGTTGACCTCCGTACTCGCCTGAGCCCTAGGTGGGGTGGCGCTCAACCCTCGAAGGGCAAAGCTGATTGTACGTGATATCCGCGAGCTTCGTGTCGCTGATGGGGGTTTTAACGCAGGCTTTTTAGGCGAAACAGTTTTAGTCGAGACAGGGCTTTTGGGAGTCGAGAGAGATGTGTCAATCCTTCGAGGAGTCGCCCGAACAGAATGGTCACGTTCGCTTGGATTAGTCTCGTGCTCCCTTAATCGAGAGATAGACCTTGCAGAAAGACGGTCATGCGCACCGGAGCTTGCAACAGGAACATCAGTATCACTGATTCGCTTTGCTTTGGGGGATTTTCGTGACTGCCGGCGTTTGGGGAACGGCTGAAACACTGTGTCATCGTAATGATCCATCCAGGCAAGCACGGATTTTTGCGTCTTCTTAGAACCTGGCACCATCATATCCCTAGGATTAGTCATGTTCTGAAGAAACGCCTCTGGCCGTAAACTATCGCTCAACTGGGGTTTGTAGGGCGAGTTATGTCTAAAAGAAGATTTTGTGGGCGTGATGCTGGCTGGACTTAGGCCAAACCCAGGGTTGGGCACCCTAGAAATACCCTGGCCTTCTAAAAGGTAAGGAATGGAGATATTGGACTGCTCGCTCTCCATAACCCCCATCATCTGGATCTCGTACATGCGAACCCGTGGCACAAAGACTTTGGTTTGTTTGGTGACGGTGAAGGGGATTGGCGCATTGGGGTCATTCTTGAGGATTCTTCGAGCCTCTCGATATGTCTCAGGATTCCAATAGGAGATATCAAGCCAATGGGGGATGCCGTAATTCCATTCCTTCGACCGTGGTGGGAATTGATGCCCATGGTTCAATCGTGAAAAAGAATCATAGGTTGATCTGGGAGAGAGATGAGCTGTCCTACTGGCGAAGCTTGCAAATGAGTGGCGCATCTCAGGTGAACAACCACCACTGGGTATTTCGGCAAATGTGGAAGTTGAAGGTCTTCGCACGGGTTCTCGATATTTGAATAAAGGTACGGAGTGAAGAGGCATCGGACTAAGGCAAACCAAATCGATGGCTATACCTCGATTTGCGAGGGCGTCCGTGGTGGAAGCCAGTGATTCATATGACACTTCAAAAACACCACTACCTGGTGTTATGACGATGATCGAAGTTCCTGTATGGACCATGTCACGATCGATATGATCAAATGCTAAATGGGACGAGGCAAGGTGGATTGCTTCTAATATATTGCCACGGAGGGCGGTGCTAGGTCGCCCTGCGATGATTGCTGGGTGATGTTTGGGTGTCGTTTTGCAACCACTGATGGTGGGTGTCTCTGTATCATCCCTTTTAAGAATAGAAACATCGCGGAGGAAAGTCCTGAAATCCTTTTTTAACTCATCCAGAATCGTGGTCCAGTGACCACTTGCCATGTCGTTGACTACCACACGATAAAAATCCCTTGTTGGGGAATTATTCGGAGTAGGAATGCTTTTCAAATTCTCGGAAGTGAGTGTTGACAGGCCTGCACTTGCGGACGCATCATATTCAACCCGTGTGAATAGCACTATCGTAACCAAATGCCTGGCATCAGAATTGACCCAGCGTTTGAACAACTCAGGCAGAAACCCGTTGATTACCCTGCTGAAAAGAATATCCCCTGTACCTTCAGAGTCAAAGTCCCACATTTCCCTCGACATCTGGATAAAGAGAACATATTTCGCAGATTCACTGCGGAAAACTGGAATGGTATGTGGAGAGAAATATCCCGAGAGAACCTTTTTGCCCCGGATGAAGATGTTCTTCACTGTCGCCTTGATATGGCCCACGAACAAAATCTTCTGACCTTTGTAAACAATTCTATCCGCCAATTCAGACATGACCAGCCGCCACATATCTGACCGAACCAAAAACTGGTCACGAAACGAGATATCCACATGAGACGCAGAACATTGCGCACGCTCCACAATAGATATCAGGACCTGGGATCGGTTCTTGAAGCCAAAGATATTAGCAACGCTGCTGGTCACTGAGATCTCCAGTTTTGGGATACGAGATCTGATCTCCTGCGGAAGCGGTTTGACCACAAATAGACATCGACTCTGCAAAGGCGTTTTGAATTTAGACTTGGCATCCGAGTGAAGGGTCGAACTTGAGTCGACATGACTATCCCGCATAGACCTGGGCCCATGATCAGATTTATTAGAAGCCTCCCCAGAAGACGAAACCGGCAAGATCTCAATCACATCACCGGCTTGCACACCGGTATCACTAAACGCAGCCTGATTGAACAGGATCTCCTCTCGGGAGAAGGTCTCATCATGGACCCAGAGCGAACATTGACGTCGATCCAACCCATTCAAAGATAGTCGAATGGTAGGTTCGTCCAGCGTTGACTGTATGTTCTCATTGTCGTGAGAAGCAGTACTGCGAGATGCTTCCAGCGAGCCAAGAGTCTCCAGACTGGCCGCGCTCACCTCCCTCAGGTGCGAGCGCTTCATAGGGCCACGCAGAGACATTTTCTACCCCGATATCTTGCATCGCAATGATGATTGCGACTGTCCCTGCTGGACAATGGATTGACGTGGGACGGGGAGACGAAGAATAGCAAGTTGATGACAATCCGGAGGTTCTTGTCGCGGAGAAACCAGCAACGAATCGATTTCCCCGGGTCCACCCATGTGACGTCGAGTCTGTAACAGGCAGGCGGTATGAACACCAACACATGATCACACGTGATTCATGTCTTAGGCATTAAATCCCGGGATTTGATCTGCAATTACGGGATTTGAAGGTCTCAAAGTCCCAAATAGTGGGGGATAATATGGCTAAAAACGGTAGAATTGACGGATCACACACAATCATGGCAACGTCTAGCCCCTTGAAAAGAAAGAGGCTTTTTGATCTACAGCATCTGGACCATGGATACCGCTCAAGTATACACTAGCTATGGTTCATCGATTGACAGATCCAACAATCGTGAAGAGGGAAAAGAGGAAAAGAGAAGAAGCAAAAAATAGAGGATGGATGGCTTCATGTACTATGTATTTTGTACCTAATCTACAAACTCGTCGTATTAAGTATTCACTTACCTGTAACAGCTGTACCGGTTAGTGTGTTCATTAGAAAAATGATCCGTGGAGTGAGTGGAGTCTGTCCGATTCTTTGGTCTGATGGTTCGCCGCATCGAAAAGAATTTAACCCCTTCAAAATACCCTAGAGAGTCAGTAATGCCGTGTATGTTAGTGGGAAGGTAGTTCGATGATCCCATGTAGAGTAAAATGTAAATAGGGTATTATCGCCGTTGGTATACCCACAATAATGCTGCCCAAGATGTGCATGTTCACGGCATTTGAGCCGGAGACGACAGCCAGCAATTCATAATTCGTTGAAAAGTGGATGCAGTCCACAAGAAAGCGTCATCATGAACCCCTAGGTAGATAGTAGTACTGTCATGGTTGATAGTATGGATGGTGCATACCAGCCACGTGGATTATTAGGTATGTTGGCGACTCGAGTGGCAGTAGTGGTACGTACTTTTTCATACCTTCGGCGAAAAGACGGACTTGTCACCTAGTGACAGCAGAAAACAAGGTTATTTTGTCAGCAAAGATAAATGAGAGCGTTAATACGGAGTAACTTGATCCAATAAAAATGGCGCTGAAGCCGGTCTGTAAAAAGGAATCTAACAATCCAGGGATTTTCCATAAACATTAGATGGCACGAAGGAAGCCCCGGCCATTAACAAGTTCATATCAGCGTGATCCATAGAGCACATCATGTCTTCTTATCTCGGTATCTCGTCAATCTATACAATAATATTTCTTTTCAAAAGGACTCCTTCATGGAACGTTCTGGAAAGGCAGTCATGTAGACAAAACGTCATCCAGAGATGCCCGAAATTACCCCGGCTGGGTCGACCAAGCATGACGAGTAGGCATATCCCATGATTATCAGATGTATCACAGATGGCAAAAGGGACATCGGGGTGTTGACTGCCCATGGCCCAAGTACAGGGCGCGTGGTAGTAGTTAGTTTTTCCCGAGATAATTACAGGTTTCATCCTGTCAGTCGGGAGCTATGTTCTCGACAAAAAGAGGCCCAGGAAATATTCTGAGACCCATACACTCATTCCTCTTGCTTGATACGAACTTCAGGATCATGGTGTGAGAAAAGATCCTTGCAGATGAGCCAAGCTCTTTCCGAGGACGGATCTGCTGCAGCCATCTTTTGCAGCCAGGCTAAGGCCTTGCTGGTCTGTCGTAAAGCCTTCGCATAGTCGACGGTGCCTGGTTTAGCTCTAGTGAATAAATCAATCAAGAGAACAGTTGTACACTGCACGATGTAATGCAAAATGCATGACCAGGGTGATAGACGGTAGAGCCAGGTAGTATCAGGTTCCTCTGGTAAGAGGTCGAGCATCTGCCTGGCAGAATCAACACAGGTGCCTGCCATCGCAACAGAGAAGTTCTCAGATAATCCACTCTCACAGGGTTGCCAAGTAAGGCACCGAAGGCAAGGTTGAGAAAGAATGATCTTGGTACTGTAGAAACAGAATGCTAGCCACAACCTTTGCCTCTCAGAAGAACCAGTTTCGTGGTCTCCGGTGAATTGAAAAGATTCAGGAAGGCCAGAAAGCCAAGCTTCAGTCTTGCTGTTCAAAACCGAGACGGCCTGTTCAATTTCGCTCCAAGAGTTCCACGCAGCTCCCGGCGCATACAATGTGTCAACGGATTCTCGCATAATCATCGTCAGGTCGGCAAAGTATAGAAAGCAGAGTGAATTGTTCGGGAAGAGAAACTCCATTGCACTGGAAACAATTTGCTCGCATTGTTTCCGGGGGGTTGGCACTTGGAACCCTGAAGCCTCCAGTGTTATGGTATGTTCTTCTGTAGACTGTTCCGATCCCTTTGGAAGCAAGTTATCCATGAAAATAGTCCGGGCTTCGTGGTCAGTGATGAGTTGTGTAACCGTTTCGTAACCGAAGTCTTCCTCTTCAAAAGGCACTGGAAGGGGCGTGGTGAAAAACCCTTCACTGCTGCTTGGGGGACGCCCAGTCATCACAGAGAGCAAACTATCCAAAGTTTGAAGAGACCACCAGACTCGGTAGCGGGCTTCTTTCGAGGTGCGCACGGGGTGGTTTGCTTCGCTTCGTAGGTTCAATCCCATGGTTACAGCCGAACGGATAGAGATATTGCAAATTCTCCATGACCTAACAAAAAACCAGCACTAGGTCAGAATCATTTCTCGATGTGGTAATTCTTAGGGAGAGGAGTAACGAACCGGTTAATTTGTCCCACAGCTAGAAAAAAAAAGGATGTCAGTCCCTCTATCTGCACTTGTTGCAAATTTGAATGATCTAGCAATATGGTATTGCTCATGCTAAGCTTCCATGCCCTCGAAAAGTAGACCATGTGGTCTTCATACCCAGGGTCCATGCTCTGCTGCGCAAGTTGAGAATATTTCGCGGCAATGGCGAACACTAGGTTCAGTATCGCCATCCATCTCTTCCCTGGCCACAAGCGTGGATTGTCATTGTATGACTTGAACTGTTGCAGGAAGAGCATCTTGCCAATTATTGGGAAATATGGGTGCACAGACTCAAAGTAGCTGCCCACGAGACTATCAGCAACCGCTTGAGAAGGCCGTTGCGATGCATCAGACCCCTCTAAGAGGATTTTCTTGTCATCCAGGAAGAAATTGACGGATGCAACTGAAAGACGATCCTCTCTGTGTGGATTTGAACTCGGATTCCCTGGCATACCTTGGTTCTGCTCAAGCTCTCGTTTCAACCTGTAAAGCCATGCGATCTCGGAGTGCTCTCCTACGAACCCCATAGCCTGGGCCTTCTCGTCACGATTGAAGTCTTCGTCGGTGTAGTCTGCTGCCCCCAACGAGGAAGCCGGGATAACGTTCAGAGGGCCCGAAGAATGGGGGCTGTCAGACATCATAAGGGGTGGTGGGGTTGTCGAGTTTCGAAGACTATGGAGGAACTTGTCTCTGTTCTGGAATTGATTCTGGAGGGGGTTTTTGTTAGGATAAAAACAACCCAGAGACAGAAGATAATATCTCACTTCATTTAGTGTCTTCTCGACATGCTGCGCAGCCTGATGGTCCAACGTTGGGAATATTTCACGCATCAAACGCTCAAAGACCGCCACCTGAACTTTTAGATCTGTTATTTCCCTATTACCCACCGTTAGAAACACAACCAGTAGTCCTTGAAACGTCACACAACACACTTGGCCGTTTTCTCCCGCTTTCGATCGCCATACGAGCAACGGGCGCCCGTATCCAGGCATCTTTGACACGATGGACGGTGTCCACTACATTTGGCTTTCTGCTCGCGACAGTTCTCGCATGCCCGACTGACTCTTCCGCTACTGGTCCATTGGCTCGAGTTGGCTGATCTGGGTATAGGCACTTTGGAAGACCAAGGCCGGTCGCCAGCAGGGACACGGGAGGTACTAGGAGAATCTTCAGAGAAACCAGGGGCTGTTTCGACAGTAGTGTTGACCTGGGGCCCAAAAGAAGGTTGGGAGTAGCGGCGCACAGTCCAGTCTGTAAGTGAAGAGTCATCACCTTGAAAACCCGATGAGGACGATGAATAGGGCGTGTAGGGGAAAGGAGGAGGACGGTTGCGGTCACCCATTTTCAATGAGGTATTACCGACCGACCTCCTTTGCCCGTCCTTCGAAGGTGTGCACGAGGGCTTAGGCGTTGAGACACGCTAGCCTGGAGCAAGGTAGGTTGGTTGATACCTCAGATGGTCATGAAACAGGATTAAAATACAGGATAAAAACGACGGCAATGTAAGAAAACCCCAATACGCTTTTGATGAATGGTGGCAGCAAAGGTGGCATGCCATTCCTCCGAAGATTAGCGCGCTATTGGTGAGATACTATCCAAGGGCAGCCCGATGGGTGATGGGTAGCGCGCTTCGTGGTAGGCTGGAGGTGAGTACCGGGTGCCCCTTTGCCACAAGCGTGTGGTAATAATCGGCTCGCTTCCGATGTCGACCATCAAGGAACACCTTTTTGAAAAATAAAAAATCGGAGGGACAAAAACAAACCCCAGCGTTTCAGCATCTCTTCATCTGATTATCATCTTTTCCCATCGAATGTTGAACATCTTTGTGCTTGGCAGCCTCTTTGTTGGTTGCCTGCTTAGCTAACCGCCTGCAACTCACGGGTATCTGCGAGGAATGCCGAGAACTGGCCGTGTCAACTTTATCCCATCACTGTCGACAAAGCAATGAAAACCATCACGAGAAGAGCAAAACACCCAGGGAATTTGAATATTCACCATGGAATCTTCCTGGATTTTTTGCCAAAGTGATCCAGAAACTGCCAGCGTGAAAATGATGGGCTACCGTAACCCGTTGACGATTGAATTTCAAGCCGGAAGCTACTCAGCTTCCCAAACCGATTCTCATGGTAGCACACTATGAGCTTATCCACCAAACGAAGCCGACAAATCCGTGAGAGTGACGCCCGTGTCAAATCATCAGTGTCGTGTGTGGACACCTTTCGAGGGTTATTCCGTCGCTTCAATGCCTTCCGAAAATCGAATGTGGTCTTTTCTCATACGGAGCATCTAGTTGATATCGCCTGGTACGTCGAAGGCCAAATGAACTCGCCATAATACCCCGAGGGGTGTGTTGATGCGGTTATCGGCAAAGCAGCAGCTGACGTTGAAGGGCATATATCAGATCGTGAACATCCCGATCAAGCAGTCGACTAAACAGCCTCATCGTATCTGCAAACTTTCTTTTCCCTTTTTTACTCGTTTCGAGACTTTTGCCTGGTGATACAGACGACCTGCTGTCGCCACCCGGAAGCATCCAACGTTCAAGTTGCAAAGTCCCCACAACACATTAGTGCAGAGAAACCGGAGTTGGCAGTTTTAGACTGAGCACAACGAGGGTAAAATAAGGGCAACAGGTGGTCTAATACCTTCGCAAATGATACCTTCAGTCGGTAGTGCCGGCTCTATGGTGCCAACAAGGAGGAACAGATTGCGCGAGGTACAAGCTCCTTGGATGGGATTCCGAGCACTTCTTTTTTTCTCGGTCGTTGCCATTGTGGCAGTGCATAACTTGCATCGTCACGGTCAGCATGTGCCACCTTCATATACAGGAATACATATGTTCAATGTAGTCTGCTCGGCAGCGTGTCAAGGATTGACATCTCGTCTCTTTGAAAAAATATGAGGAGAGAAGAAAGAGGCAAAATGAGAATGCTGCCGTGTGGATACACCAGTCCACTGTGTTGGTTTTCAGCGACCATGGCATAAGGAGAGAGTAAGATAGTCTGTCTGCACACTTCATGGGCATTTCACATCCAAGGGAAATCCTGGAAAAGGCAGATAATTGCGAGTCTAGGCCGAACCTGCAACTCGAGCCAGAGTAAACAAAGGTGACACTATTACTAACTACCATGAAAGCTATGGCAATTCAATTGGCAGTTGCACGGGCTTTGGCCGCTTCATAGAATTATCCCTCCGTATGCCATTCCAAACAGCCACCAAGTATGCGCTTTTTGTTGTTCTGAAAAAAGAAAGCAATACATGCTGTCTTTCGCCGCAATTTTTGGGGATATCAATGAAAGGTAGGTGAGAAATGCAATTATCTCGACTGACGAAATGGCATTAGCTCGGAAGACTTGTTGATCAGCACCTCTGCGTCATTCTGCGCTGGCCTGTTTGGGGGGCGACGGAATTCGCCACTTCGTAGCGTGGATGAGGTAGGCGGTTGCTGCTAATCAACACCAGCGCAGTTAGCGACAGACTAGGATATTATCATATTGACTATTATATACAGAAAGTACTTGCCTTTGGTTCATGATGGAAATGTTCTTACTCTTGCTTTTTTTCTTTTTTCCCCGACTGGTCTCCAGTGCAATTATGCCGTGTTAGAGGATCTGCAACACGCGCCATTTCGTCATTGAACTCAGAATGGCCATCGCCGATGCATGAAGGTATGAAGACATGGCATGAAGAAATATACCAGCCCATTTCAAGGCCACAATGCCCTGTACTCGAGGGTTGATAAATCCAAACGGACAGACAGAATGTGGTCGGGGGAGGGAGGTAGAAGTGCGCTTGGCGGTAGCGGCGCTGCGGGAAACAGTGACCCCGACAGGAATCGCCACCTCTCTTTAGGCCATCTAGGCACGTTTATTTACTAGCAGATTGGATCAGAAAAGGTAGAAGATCGCTTCTGCTATGCCTGGTCTGCTCTGGAGGTAAACAGACAATGGACGACCGCAATGAAGCGATCATCTAGCGAATGTTTAAATTGGTCCAAATTCTTTCCGGGATATTACTTCCGGGAGGTCTGACCAATGAAACCACGCAGAACACGTGGATTCTTTCTTACAGGGAATTGATATGATCGGTGGCGTATTCCCTTCTTTTATCAGATTGCAAGGGCACACTGAATGGTATATATCATTATCCAGGCTGGAAGGGAAGTGGCAGACGCGAGATAACCATTCAGAACCATTTATGTTCATTACTTATGCCGTCTGCCTGTACCTGAGCAGTGTCTTCCAATCAGCCATACAGTAATAGTTTTAGAAACTTTCCAGCACCAGGAATTAATTTCTGCTTTCAATTCTAGATTCTCTCTATGCTATCATTTATTCTAACTTGTAAATCTGCACTGAAGATCAAGCATCAGGCTCGGCGGATCAATCCGAACGCCGAGGCTTGGCACAGTGACAAGAGTCATCCGTCCTACTCCACGCCCTCTGCTCATGAATGATCCGCAGAATGGTACGACCGTGTCGTTTCAGGAACTACATTCTTTGGGATAGTACGAGACGCCTGTGTCATGACCAATGAACCCTCGAAGACGCAGCAGAAATAGCGAGGAGGCCAACGAGTCCACCAAGCGCCAGCGGAGGAAGTTTGTCGCGTGCGTATATCCACGTCTTTTCCCAAAATCAGTTCTGGATCATTCTAGCTAATCTCTATCAGCTGCCAACGGTGCCATGCGCATAAAATCAAGTGTTCTGGGGATCAACCATGTGCCAAATGCGTGGCGGTTGGCTGTGCAGATGAGTGCCAATATGCCCCTCGAGATCGGCAGGTCAAAGTGAACGAGAGGTAAGTTTAAGCTATTTCTGGGGGAAAATTCCCTAAAGCAGCGCAGTGCATTTCGCTAATCGCTATACATAGCTATTTGGATCTTCTTCTATCGGAAAACCGACGATTAAGAGAACAATCGGGATCCTCGGTCAACGAGGCCGAAGCTACAAATGACACCGAAACCGGTCCGCCCCGAACAGCAGCAGAGATACCCGATGAGAGCAGCACGGGAGTAAGCAACCCTCTAATTGGAGATCGGGCGTGGTTTCATCCCTACGCTCCTTCTGCACCTCCCATCTTCATCGGCGAGGCAGCCTGTACGGCCTTTGCTACCCGTTTTCGCCGTTTTTTAACGGGCAGCAATGCGACTGCCCACATCCCGCGGACGCAGTATGTGAAGGATTGGAATATTGCTGCTGCCAATGCGGACAATGTGCAGTGGCCAAGCCTGCAGCAGGCCCGACTGCTGGTGAAGATTGCGGTGTATCAGATTGGGTCCGTGTACCACTTGCTTCTGCGGAAATCGACTTTTGAGAAGCTCGAGGAGATCTATCAGACGGGGGATTTTGACAACACGATCAACAAGTGCAAGTTCTTTGCATTGTTTGCCTTTGGAGAAGCATACTCGATGAGAGCCGAGCCGGCCTCGGGATCCCGGGTCCCAGGGACTTCGTATTTTGCGCGCGCCATGGGTCTACTCTTGCAGGTACTACCGGAGAGGATGATCATCACTCATTTGGAGACATTGTTGTTGTTGGTAAGTTTCTCTATCAGATAATATGGGCTAAGCTAAGAAGTAGTCATTATTTTCTTATTACCTCAACCGACGCCATTCGGCCTACGTGCTGATCGGGAGTGCGATGCGCCTAGGCCTATGCACCGGGATGAACCATAATATTCCAGAATCGCAACTCATCGACCCGGTAGAACGGCAACATCGCCTACGGGTATGGTGGACAATCTATATTTTCGACCGCATGTGGGGTTCGAAGATGGGTGTGCCATCGCAGATTCTCGATGAGGATATACACCTGGACATGCCATCCAGTATCGATCCGCCACAGCTGCACGACGAACAGTTTTCAGACCCAGAATACCTCACAGCCAATGTTAAATTGGCTCGGATTGTGGGAGAAACAATCGCAAAGCTATACAGCCGGCGGAAGTACAGTGAAACGTTCCTGCAGCGGGTGCAAAAGCTTCTCAAGGCACTGAAGAACTGGGTGGAAACGTTGCCGGAGCATATTCGATTGAACCAGGATGACCTGGAGGCTAATAAGAAGCACATCACCTCGCTGCATCTTTCATTTAACCAGGTGTGCTCTGAAGAAAAGAAATATGGACTTGGGGCTGACTGAATAGTGCGTCATTCTCACCACCCGACCGACGTTGCTACACCTTCTCATCAAACTGAGCGATAATGGCGGTGCAACCAGCAACCGGGGCGACGGCTCTGAGGTCGTATCTCAGCCCGTACTGACCCTGGGCGAAGCCTGCATCCACGCAGCACGCCATTCGTATACCATCATCCTGAGCAAATGGATCAAGGGCTCACTACCAGTCTTCGGCTACTTCCACGCGCATTACCTTTTTTCATCAGCCCTAGTGCTAGCCATGTCCAGCTTCGTCCCAATCGGCAACCCAGGCGACCTAGGATCATTCACAACAGCCCTCGAAGTCCTCCGATCGATGAGCGAAAACGGCAATCTCGCAGCGAGCGAATTCTTCCACAACCTAGAACAAGTCAAAATCTGTCTCGACCGCTACCGCGAAGAGCGACAACAACGCAGAGGCGATCGAGGAACCGGCGAGAAAAGAAACGGAGCAGCAGCTATCGGACCGGGCGGTATCACCGCCTACACACCAACACCGTCAATGGGCTCCATCATGGGCCCAGGCGAGGCGGGAATCGGAGTGGGTCAGAACTACGGCACGGCTGCTAACATCGGCATGCCGGTGGCGGACGCGGCGGGCGGGTTCACGACGGCAATGGCGTTTCTGGAGCCGACGATGCAGGACTTTTTGGCGCAGTCTGATTTTGACCTGGGGATGTTGAATCCGGTGGATACGTTTATGAATGATACGGAGAGTTTGTATACATATCACGGGTTATAGTCTTAACAAAATGTATTCTATGTCATCTAAATCTATGTCATTATAAATCATCTAGGTCATATGCATCGTAATTATCGCTTCGAATCCAAATCGAACTTTTCCTCCACCCATCGCTGCATATCCAAGCCCCATCGCGTGATCGTCATGACGAGTAATCCACCGATGATAATCAGAATCACGCCTGTACCTGTTAGAAAGTATACCAACAAAGCAAATCCAGAATAAACAACTTACAAATAGTAAATGCCAACCCCACCCCAATGGCATCAATCATAGGCACGACGGCCGCTGAACTCCCCGCCGAGCACATATACTGCACAATGTACTTCCCGGCGATGACTTCGCCTCGTTTATGCGGGAGGGCCTCTACTCTCATTAGCATAACCACAAATATAAAAGAATAAATGAATGGGTGAAAAGAACATACCACCCGCATAAGTATTCAACCCATTAAACGAGCCCATCAACCCCATCCCCGCAAAAAATGCACTAATAATCGGCACCACCATGCCGCCCTTTTCCTCCTGCAGCGTCCACCCGTAAATGAGGGTTGCGATGGGGAGGACGCCGAAGAGGGTGATGATGCCGCTATTCAGACGGTCTTGAGGCAAACGGACGCCATCGCGTTTGCGGATGTAGCGGCGCACGGTGCGGTCGGAGAGTTTGCCGCCGAGGACGCTGCCGACGAGGAAGCCGGAGCCCGGGGCGAGGTAGAAGAGGCCGCTGACGAGGCCGGAGGTGAGGTGGAAGCGGGGGTTGAAGATGGAGCGGGCGGAGGTGAGGAGAGAGTATTGGAAGAAGGCGAGGAGGCCGCAGGTGAGGTCCTACATCATTAGTACGCAGTATGGTGTGTATATAAGGTGAAGCACTCACAGCAAGGAAAATGTTGGGATAAACCCAAAGCTTGATAATCCTGATCGGATTGAACATGCTCAGGATGGATAGGGGAGTGCGTTTGACCTCGACTTTTTGTTTCTCTTTCTGTTCAATGTCTGGGACGAAAATAAGAGAGAGGGCTAATCCGAAGCCTGCCATTGCTACTTGGAGCCAGTAGATGATGCGCCATTGGGAGAAGGTGACGATGAGACCACCGATGCAGGGTCCTATACATGTTAGTATACATATCTACTGTATAAGTCAAGAGAACAAACCAATTGCAGGCCCAGTCACACTTCCAACCATGAAGCATCCCACTGCCGTCCCACGAACTGCCTGGCTACAGTTAGCATCTTATCTGGCATATAAAAAGAAGATCATACAGGCTCAAAAATATCCGCCAAAATCGTCTGACCAGACACCATAAACGAGGTCCCCGTCAACCCGGCCAAAATGCGCATCGCCGTAAACATGGAAAAGTTGATTGATGCTGCCGTGCCAGCCGAACAAGCAGTGAGGATGGAGATGGCAATGTTGTATGCATTCTTGCGCCCGATCAGATTACCCACCGGACCCCAGATGAGCGAGGAAAAGCCCATGGCCAGGAGGACGCCGGCGTTGGTGACGTTGATGATTTCGGAGGTGGTGTTGAATTCGTCTGCGATTTCGGGGGTGGCTGGCAGCAGAGAAGTGCTGGAGAAGGTGACGGTGAGAGTCATCCAGCTGACGACGAAGAGGATGATGCATTTGCGCCAGACTGGGATGGAGTAGTTTTCATTGTGAGGTTGTTGTTGTTTTTCATGGTCTGCCATGATGATGGATGGTATGGGGAGGCTATACTGTATGTACAAGCATTCAATGGGAGAAGAGGGTCAATTATCGTGAATATCATGTTATTATTATTATCAATTATTCCGTATTCATCAAATGCAGATAAACAGAGAAGAAAGCAGTATAAATACTGACGCTGTCTGGATTCTTTTCCGGCGTTCGGTCGAAATCGCCGAGCAGAATGGCAGATATTTTCACGGTGGAGCATTCGGTGTCAACGGCCGAGATGCCTATCAAGGATAAATGATGCATCACCTTGGATTATTGCTGCATCCCTGACTCATTGCACTCTCTGCTGCATTATCTATCTATATATAAGGTAGCAGGTATCAGGTATCAGCCCTTGCAGTAGATGATGTATATCCTACAATCCTACAAATAGACTTCATCCCTATCAATCAGAGTCATGCAATTGGAGTAGCGGTGACTATCAATTGAGTCAAGATCTTGAAACAGGTCACATACTAATTGTCTGCCACGTTAATATCGCAGATTCTAGATGTTCTCGATGTCCATGGAAGATATAGATCCCAGTCGTTAACGGGAACTATGGAGGATGTCACTGCTATCTGATAGATATCATAGTGGATGAAAAGACTGATTGCCAAGCAGTCTAGACTGATATATTTAACTGTCAAGCAACAGTTCTTGGCGAGATAATGACCTGTCAGTGATACCATGTTCCATCACACGGAGACATCTATAAGGAGATATGAAGGCCAAGGTACCTATTGTCCTATTGTCCTATTGTAAGTCCATAGAATTCTTAACAACCCAATTATCATTATGTATCACTGTCACTGAAAACCAAGTCTCGAGTCCAACTTGTATCTGAATGCATCTACCGTACTACTCATACTACTCGACTCTGACATATGAGTGATATGACAGTGAACCACAGTTCGTCCAGCCCTACCACTTGGCGTCTATCATTCCTTGAAGCAGACAATAGATATCTCCAGCACTACTGGTTGATGCTATACCAAGACTTTTTCTCCCTCTTTCCATCACCTTCAAAGCAACTCGATTTGCCGCTCAGGCCGTGTGAGTGGGGGTCCTCATCCAGGGGTCTGGCCAATGCTGTCCAATGGTTTGCCTGAATTGACTTTTCAGCCAGGTACAGGCACAGAAATAATTCGACAATAATACAATATAAACTGAGAGATATCTTGATGATTATTCTAATTATTCTAATTATCCCAATTATCTTAATTATTAGATAAGGCATGCATCCATGATGTAAGAAGTAAGAAGGACTGAGCCTCTGAGGTGAGAAAGGAGATTACGGTACCTTACATTACATACGGACCCTGCCCCACTCTCAGGGACCAATTAACCTTCTGGACCCTGGCGCTAGTCTCACCCCCCAGACACTCACCACCAAATTTTGCGTCCTTTTGCTTTCCTTCTGGGAGATTCCCTCGTTGATCTTCATACACACAATACATCCCATACACTCCTTTCATACAGAATGCAACTCCTGAAGCACTGCCCCAACACTGAAACAAGAATGGATCGCCTCTGCGAAATCAAATGGCCCGCAAATAGCCCTGTCGCTGCCCCATCTTAATAGTATCCGATGATGCGGCCTTGTTTGTCCAGCAACTCCTGATTAAACGCCCTCGTGGCCAATGAGATCATGGAGGGCTAAAAATACCACCGGCCTCCTGTCTCTCTTTTCTTTCGCCTCCCTCTTCTCTCCCCTTTCTTCTCTTTTTTCCTCTCTTCCTCTTTCATATTTTCTGCTTCATCTTCTTCCTCTTTTTCTTCCCTTTTCATTCCTGTCTTTCATCCTTTCATCGACGGCTCTTTGATAGTCTGCCGTCTGTCACTCGTTGTTTCACACTCTCTTTTCCCGTGTTTGACCTCGTGTTGCTGCAGATCAAGTTGATCAAGTTGATCAACCACTGTTACTCGCAGATCACAACATCATACCTCTGGTCACTGCACCTCTATCTCTGCCGTCTCTTCACTCTCTTTGCCTTCTGATTCGCAATGAAGCTCTCTCTCACCTTGGCTGGGGCCTCCATGCTCCTTGGCCGCGCCTTGGCTGATCTGCCCGCGATCGAGACCAAGGTAAGGATATTCCCGTCCGACCCAGCACGGCTTGACATTTAACGACCGTTACCACCGCAGGGTTCCAAATTCTTCTACTCCAACAACGGCACTGAATTGTAAGTGATCTTCTAGACCCCGTTCGATCGGGACCTAGCTAACTTAAAATGCAGCTTCATCCGTGGTGTCGCCTATCAGCGTATGTTGATTCGATTTTTGGGTCCGATCCGGCCAGAACTGACAGGAATTTACAGAGAACTACAACACCAACGGCTCCAGCTCCGGCAATGACTACACCGACCCTCTTGCTGATGTCTCGGCTTGCAAGCGTGACATCGAGTACCTGAAGGAGCTCCGCACCAATGTCATCCGAACCTACGCCGTGGACCCCACCAAGAACCACGACGAGTGTATGAAGGCGCTGGACGATGCTGGCATCTACCTCATCACTGACCTGTCTTCTCCGTCCGAGTCCATTGTCCGGAACGACCCTACCTGGAACACCGACTTGTACCGCCGCTACACCAGTGTCATTGATGCCTTCGCCAACTACACCAACGTCATTGGTTTCTTTGCTGGAAACGAGGTCGCCAACCAGAAGAACAACACCAACTCCATTGCCTACGTCAAGGCCGCCGTTCGTGACACCAAGAAGTACATCAAGAGCCAGAACTACCGTAACTCTCTCGCCGTCGGTTACGCCACCGACGATGATGCCACCATCCGTGACGACTTGGCCAGCTACCTTGCTTGCGGTGACGATGACTCCATGATCGACATGTTCGGTTACAACATCTACGAATGGTGCGGTGACTCTTCCTTCAAGAAGTCTGGATACAGCGCCCGTACCGAGGAGTTCAAGAACTACCCCGTCCCCGCTTTCTTCTCCGAGTACGGCTGCAACACGCCCAGCCCCCGTGTCTTCTCCGACGTTCCCGTGCTCTTCGGTGACCAGATGGATAGCGTCTGGAGCGGTGGTATCGTCTACATGTACTTCCAGGAGGAGAACGACTACGGTCTGGTCTCTGTTGACGGCGACAAGGTCAGCACCCTGAAGGACTTCAGCAACCTCTCGTCCCAGATGCAGAAGGCCACCCCCACCGGTGTCAACAGCGCCAGCTACACCGCTACCCCCTCCTCTCCCGCTTGCCCCTCGGTTGGTGCCGACTGGGGATCCAGCAAGGAGCTGCCCCCTAGCCCCAACGAGGAGCTCTGCGAGTGTATGGTCAAGTCTCTGTCCTGCGCCGTGAAGAGCGACGTCTCTGCCAAGGAGATTGGCAAGCTGTTCGGCACCATCTACGAGTTGGGCCAGAAGTCCGGCCCGAAGAGCTTCCCCGGCATTGAGAGCAACACGACCAGTGGTGAATACGGTGCTTACAGCATGTGCAACTCTTCTCAGCGTCTCTCCTTCGCCATGAACGCCTACTACCAGAAGCAGGGCAAGGCCGACACTGCCTGTGACTTTGACGGCAATGCCGAGACCAAGTCTGCCTCTTCTTCCTCTGGCGATTGCTCCAGCTTGCTCAAGGAGGCTGGTGGCACTGCCGGTACCGGCACCGTCACCTCTTCCCCCACCGGCACTAGCGGCAGCAGCCAGTCCACTGGAAGCGCCTCTGGCTCTGAGGGTGCTGCCGGTGCCCCCGTCTCCCCTGCCGCCGTCAAGGTTGGCACCTGGCAATTCGGTGCTTACTTTGTCAGCGCCTTGGTTGCCGGTGCTGGTATGATCATGCTGTAAGCGTGAGATTGGTTGAAGCGTTGGATGGTTGATCCATTTATTCTGTGTTGATCATTGGTGGAGGAAGTACATAATTTTGTTCGTTCGAGCTTTATTTGTTTGTAGTTGATTGATATAGTGGGACAGCAATCTAGTTCTACCTTTGTATAATTAAATCCTGTTGTAAGACTTAGTTACATTCCGACGTCGCCCTTACATGTTGTGCCACGTCCGCTGAGCCAGGATGCCTTGAACTCTATCGAAGCGGTCAGTAATCTATTTGTAGATCGTGTACTCGTAAGATCAGGCAGATATCCCTTTGAAAGGTGGGATGGCAGTGGCTGACAGGAGCAGACTGCTCAGCACTGGCGATGCCACTGCCCACCAGCCACATATTTGCGATCTCCTCGATAATCGACATGATGCTGCTATCCCAGTCCACAGTGGGTTTCTGCACGGTGTAGGTTCATTAGTGCGAAACGATAACTACTTTGTTCTTGGCACAGAAAGGGGGCACAACAGCATCACCAGCATAACTACATGATGGATCAGAATTACGGACAATTCTTTTCATATCTATATCAAATCCACGCAGCAGCCTTCAAATACCAGTATAAATATAGCTGCTGCCCTTGACCAGCGCAAAGGTGACGCGAATGGGCAAGTGAAAGCCACCAGGATCGACGACGCTCTCTCCACCCCTAGTGTGTGGCTGTGTACGAAGATTCACGGCCATCCCAGACAGTCTGTTGGGTCACGGAAATGAAAGGGAAAAATTCAGGGAAAAAAAGAAATGAAAAAAAAAAAATCGAATCACAGTCACATCGTTTTTCTCTCTTTCCTTTTCCCAACTCTGACGCTCGGTTTGTTGTGTTGTGTCTGTTGCTTTGCTTTCCCCTTGTTTCAAGTGACTCCTTGATTAACTAGGGTGTTCGGTCTTTACCTACTCTTGCGCGCTCTTTTTTTTTTTTCTTTTATCTTTCTTTTTGATTTTCTCTCGCGAAGCTTATCCCGTACAAGCTGTCTTGTCTTTTCTTGTCGTTTTCTTGGATTGCTTGGGTGTGGCTAAACCTGGGGCTGAGCTGTTTCTCTCAATCCACCTGCCCAGCCACGTTGCTCTGGTCTTCATCAGCTATTATTACCAAGCTATCGGTTGAAACACCACGTCAGTAGGCCTTTGATTCGCCTGTCTGCCTAATTTGGGGCTCGTACCTGCGTGTTGGGTTCGATATAAAAGCACCCCTGTTCGGAACGTGGTTGACACTTTCGTCAGTCAGTTAGTATTGATATCAACATTGGCATTTATCGATATACATCATGCGTGAGTCCCATCCATGCAATATGAAATGTATAATGCAACTAACAGATATAGACATCTACCGCCGCCAAGCCAGAAACCTGGCGTGGTACGACGAGGACGGCACCGAGTCGAACCACAACCCATTCAAGAAGTTCAAAGCCCGACCTCGCCGCTCCAACTCGATCCAGCTCGAGTCGGGCCTTTCCCACCGCAACACGGAGAGCGCGCTGCGGCTCTCTGCCGAGCGGACTCGGCGCAGGGACATGACGCATGGCCTGGGCGGTCCTGGACACTCGGACACCTTCCCCCCGGAGGCGTCGTATGGGATGGACCATATCGGGCCCGTGGGACGGACGGCCAGTGGGGGTGTTGTTGGTGGGGAGGGGGAGAAGGACGAGGAGCCGTCGATGCGAAGCACGGACCCGATCAATGAGGGCGAAGGGGATGGGAAGCCGCGGAAGCGAAAGGTGTTTTTCGGGAAGGGAGATGGCGATGAGGATGTCGAGGGGGGAGACAGGTCGTTGACGCCGGTGGAATCGGGCAAGTCGGCTGCGAGTGGGGATAAGCAGAAGTTTACCGTTGCTGGACAGCTCAAGGCGACGGTGTTTAATTCTTGGATTAATATCTTGCTGTTTGCCGCGCCGGCTGGAAGTGAGTGGTGCTTTCTGATGTGGATGAGTTGATGCTGACTGCGTCTAGTCGCGTTGAATTATGTCGATGTGAACCCGTTGGCGGTGTTTATCGTCAACTTTATTGCTATTATGTATGGACTGGATGGAATGGGGTTGGGATTTTGCTAACATCTAACAGACCTCTTGCGGCCATGTTGAGTTATGCGACTGAAGAAGTTGCCTTGCGGTAGGCATATCAGATCATTCGCAGTATGGACTTGACTGACGTGAATAGAACCGGAGAGACGATTGGTGGACTGTTGAACGCAACCTTTGGAAACGCCGTTGAACTGATCGTGGCCATTATCGCTCTGGTTGACGGACAGGTGGTGATTGTGCAGACGTCTCTGATTGGGAGTATGCTGTCCAACCTGCTGCTTGTCATGGGCATGTGTTTCTTCTTTGGAGGTGTCAACCGGTTGGAGCAGCATTTCAACCCTGTCGTCGCTCAGACAGCGGCGAGTTTGCTTTCGCTGGCGGTGGGCAGTTTGATTATTCCTACTGCGTTCCACAACTGGTCGGATGGTGAGTTTCAAGGTCTGAAGTGTTTCTGTGCAATGCTAATTAATACGCAGGGGGGCAAAATGGGGTTGCAGCTTTGTCGCGAGGTAAGCACAAGCACAGTTTGTCTGGTTAGATTTTTACTCACCTCCACAGGCACCAGTATCATCATGCTGGTTATCTACGGATGCTATCTCTTCTTCCAGTTGAAGTCCCACACGGAAATCTACAACACGCCCAGTCCCAAGGTCGAGAAGAGACGTGTTAAGATCGCCGAAGGCGACGCCAGCCGTGGAATTGCGCAGATTGGCAAAATGTCAGCCAGCATGGCGGGTCAGAACGCCCAGGAATTGAAGCTGCAGGACCCAGATGACGAGGTCGAAGAGCCGCAGCTTAGCATCTTTGTTGCTTTCTTGACTTTGGCTATTGCGACTGCTTTGGTTGCTCTCTGCGCTGAATACATGGTAGCTCACCCTGTTATATTATCTTAATGGCGAGGCTAACAAGACCAGGTCAACTCGATCGAAGCTATTGTCGAACAGAACCCCATTTCCGAAACCTTTGTCGGACTGATCCTTCTCCCGATTGTGGGTAATGCGGCTGAGCACGCGACGGCCGTGACCGTGGCATGCAAGGACAAGATGGACCTAGCGATTGGAGTCGCGGTGGGATCGAGTATGCAGATTGCACTGCTGGTTCTTCCCTTGATTGTAGTCATTGGATGGTGCATGGGCAACGACAACATGGTGAGTGTGTCTTATACCGACTTAGAGCAACATACTGACGTTGACAGACACTCGACTTTGATGGCTTCCAGGTGATTCTGCTGTTTGTGGCTGTTCTTCTGGTCAACTATCTCATTGCGGATGGCAAGTCGCATTGGCTGGAAGGCGTGCAGTTGATGATGATGTATTTGATTATTGCCGTTGCTGCTTGGTATGTTCTCTGATAGAATCCAGGTGATGTCGGCTAACGAGACTAGGTTCTACGAATAACCGATACGCTAATTACTCACTCATACGGCACTATTGTGCATTATAATCTACGTGATACCAGATTTATCGTTAATTGTATAGTTGTATAGATTTGATAATAAACTACTTTACTACCTTACTCCTTGCATAGTCAGCGGTTTAGTATCCGGCTATATCGTCGGCACCGGGTAAATGTCCGCCCTTGGCATACAATGAATAGATGAGGACAAAGACGGAATACTCCGTCTGGAATTGCCATGAGGTAACACATGTCAGACAGATTCGGTAATCCGAGCCGCCGGGATCCAACCTCCGACGGATAAACATTCAGGAATCGGGAAACGACAGATTACACAGCAACCACAACAACAGAGCACAACAACGATAATAAAATAACAGGTAGGACAGAGGACAGACAGTCGGGGAGATTTACTCCATAAGTATGCTGAGGATTCCGACCATCAGCTGACAATGTTTAGCCCGTCGATTGGGTACCCGAGACAAGGGAAGATAAACCTTGCCTAAGACCAGCTAACTGCCTCGAGCTACGATTGACAGTCGACCAGATCTTGATGCAATTACAGAGTAATAAAAAATAAAAATCTTCGGGGGCAGGTGACCCAGCCGTTGGAGTCGTGGGGAATACTAAGAGAAATCGGGCATTCTCGGCATTCTCTCCAGAGAGCGCGAGTGTGCTTATTCTACTCCATCCAGTATTGTACCCGACAAGGTGAACGCTGAATGCGGGGGTGCGCCTCGGTTTGGGGGCCAATCATCGCGGAGCCGAACGGCAGCCCGGTAAATTATTACCTAATCGGCTGATGGGGGGAGGGCTTCGCTTTTCTGCCGAGCTTTTGGGACGAATATATCTATCCAGTCATCCAGTCTCTATCTGCCCAGTAAATAATAGAGCCGATGTCGATCGGGATCAGATCCCCTGTCGGTTAAGCAGACCAGTCAGGCTGAAGGGGCTGCTGCTCTCTCCGCAGTGGTAGGGGATCTCATTCCCCCGCGGGGAGACCCGATGCAGGGGAAAAAAGAAAAACAACTGCGTGACTGTCCAGTTGATACCCGAGGTTTGATGTCATCAATCAGCTGCCAGTCCACCCAGTCCAGACTCCAGACAGGTGCTGAGCGATCGGCACGGGATAGACTCAGCGGGGTTACTTATTGTGTATGTACGGAGTAGGTAAGTAAGGTCGGAGGTTAGACCCTGTGAATACGAACAAACTCGGCTATTGGGCCCGTCTGTCTGGGGTAGCAATGGACAGTCATAAAAGATGATTAATATCGAATCAGAAAATTTAAATTCGCTTTTCTGGGGTTTCTTTTTCTCATTCCAGTAATTTCCACTACGGAACATGGCCGGACGGCAATATACCGGGGCTCTGTGGACGGGAAATTGGGTGGCTAAGTGTAGTGCCAGGGATAAAGAATCTACGATGATGAACTGAATATATTGAATAGAATGAACTGGACAGAATACATGATGAATTGAATATATAAATATGAATGAATAGAATAAGGACTGGATATGAAATTGAATACAGTAGAAGAAAACCGAATGAAACCCGATCGGCCCAAGCGTCGGTCCATCCCCGCGAAATCGTCCCGAGTCGGTGATACAAGCAGAACAAATATACAGAATAAAAGATATTTCACAGTTAACAGTCAACAGTGAGAGCTAACAGTTAATATAGTAATTGTAGAGTAGTAATACTAATATAGTGTAGTCAGTGTAGTAATAGTAGTAGACCGCGTCCTTGCATATGTAACCATCGGGCCTCCGCAAATTCCCCCTGCTGCTTCCCCCGGTTTTCTTGGAGAACCACCAGATGCTCTCCATCTTCATCTCGTTTCTTTTCTTCTTCCCTCTTCTCCATCTCGATCTTCACCTCCACTCCCCGTCCCTACCCGACCTGTCGCCTTTTGCCTTTTCCTTCTTTCTTCCTCTCTTTCTCCTCGCCGTCGTCGCTTTCCGGTCCGGTGCCCCGACTGCTGCTGCTCTTCCCCCACACTCCGCTTATTCCGCAGGTGGATTCGCTCTGCTTCCCGACTGCCTCCACCACACTGACTTTCTCTTTTCCACTTCTTCTTCTCTTCCTCTTCTCTTTCTTCCTTCTTCTTTCTTCCTTTTATTTTCCTTTCTTTCTTTTCCTTTCTTCGTTTCTTTTGTCTCATCGCTATACAGGTTAGTGACCCGCTTCCCGGCAATATGCCATACTGACGCGAACCTAGAGCCGTGGGTGTGTGCCTTCGCCCCTCGACTCCAGTCTATTCCGCCAATTATTTGCATTATATTCACCATAGTCACCACCATCACCTGTATTGAGAGTGCGATAGTTACCCCCGCAGACTTGTTCTGCAATCCCGATTTCCTTTCCCTTTTGTCGCCTGAGGGACGGCCGTCTCTCATTCGACCCGTCTTGTCCTACACACCATGCGATCCAGTATTGCCTGCGCCCGATGCCGTCGAAGCAAAATCAAATGCGTCAATGCCGGCATCGACACCACCTGCCGCGCCTGCGAATCCTCCGGTCGAGATTGCGTCTACCCTACCCCGGCTATAGGTGTTGGGGGCGGTGCTGCTAAACGAGATATTGCCGCTCTGGTGGACGGGGAAGATCGTAACGGCGATTGGGATAGTCCCAAGCGACAGCGCTCCCGCAAAGCCCCCGGTGTTTCCTCCGCCGCTAAAGATGCTTCTAAAGCCGCCAATGATGTCCTTGATTCCTCCATTCTCACCGTCAAGGTCTGGGAGACCGTTTTCGATCTCTTCCAGTCCCACTTTGCTACCTTACTCCCGTTCCTCCATCCCGCGACCTTTCTCAGCCACATCCGACAGCTGTCATCCACCACACAGGAAAACCACCAAGATCAGTCCCAAAGTCCTCCCATCCAGAAAACAGATCCCAACCCGTTGATCCCGCTTGGCGTTTTGGCTCTTACCGCCCGATTCCACCCACAGTTGGTCGCCTTTCACTCTCCAGCTTCCCAAGGACACCCGTCGAATCCCCTGGTCGCATCCGAAGTCTATGCGACGGCGCTGCGCAGCCGGCTGGCCGGCGTCGACGGCACCAGTCTCGCCATGCCGGACCTCACGCGCATCCAGGCCCTTCTCATGCTAGCCCTGCACGAATGGGGCATGTGTCGCGGCAAGAGTGCTTGGTTGTATGTGGGTATGGCCATTCGTCTCGCACAGGTCATGGGTTTGCAGTTTGAGCTCGAGAACGATCTTCTCGCGCGCGACCCGCGATCGCCCGTATTCAAGACGGAGATGGAGCACTTCGGAGTTGCCCGACGAGCCGAACCTAAAGAGCAAACATCCGACGATGTCATCGCCCAGGAAACCAAGCGCCGGACCTTTTGGGCCTGTTTTACCCTCGACCGTTGTCTCAGCAGTGGCAAGTATCGTCCTCGCATGATTCGAGTCAAGGAGCTCGGTATCCAGCTGCCTAGCGACAATGCTTTTGCTTTTGGAGAAAGGGTGCGTACCTCGCGTCTGAACGAGCCGGTCGTTCGCCGTCCGCAGAGCTTTGGTGCCCAGGGCGTGCAGATTCCCAGTATCCGTCAGAGTCTTGGAGGGTTTGAAGATAAGCTGCCGAACAACCCACCAGATGGCAAGCCATGGTCGCCCATTTCTCGACGAAAAGATTCCACCGAGGACGAAATCGATCGGTGGGAAATCGGTGCCGAAGAGTCAGTGTTGAGTCGTGTCATTCGGGTCATCCGCATCTGGGGGAGTATTGCCAAGTGGTCTTGTGCTGGAGGAAGAAGGTATGTCTGCTGTCCACCTAAATGAAAGTATGCTAACTTGATAGAACTGAGCAACTCCCCCCATGGCATCCTGACTCGCGTTTTGCCAAGCTGCGCATGAAGCTTGGAGAGTTCCAAGATGGTTTGTCTCGGAATTTGCAGTATTCCCTACGCAACACCGACACTCATATCATGTATAAGAACACCCTGGCATCGTACACCGTGATGCATGTGGTCTACTTTTTATCTGTGATTGTGCTGCACCGGGCCTATATCCCTTTCCTTCCGGTGCGATGCACTGAGCCAGTGGGACCGTTGGATGAACCGTTGTTCTCGTCCGAAAAATCGGGTACTCCTGACGGTTTCTGGAGAGAGAGTGCTCGCGAGCTGTTCAAGGCTGCTCGTCAGATGATCGATCTTGTTGTGACGTGCCAGGAGCGCGGAGTACTCGTCGAGAATCCATTGATGGGATTTGCCGTCTACAACGCAGCCTTTATCGGCGTCTACGCAGCACACTTTCAGCACATGGACCAGGATGGTCTTCTGTGTGTCAAGATGGGCTCCCCCGGGGATGGCCAGCAGGGTCAGGTGCAGGCTCGCAAGGCCCTCGACATTCTCCGGGAGATGCGACCCCGTCTGAAGATGGCTCGGGGGTGGTTCCGCACGCTGAACCGGCTGCATAGCTACTTTTCCAAGGTTCGAAGGGACTTTCGCCGACACTCGCGTCTTATGTCGGACCCGCTGGACCCGCATGCCAACGGCATCCAGCCCGTTCGCGAGGGCGGCAATGGGGGTGGTCTTGAGGAGTTTAAGATGCTGGAAAAGCTGTTCCTCGACTTTGGCAGTATCGAGGATCGACTACCGGAGCACGGCGAAGAGGACGGAGTGGCCGCGGTCAGCGACCGGGTGACCAACCTCAGTGATGCCGGTAGTAACGCAGTTCGAAGCGAGACGGGAGATATGGCAGAGCCGCTGGACGGTGCTGGAGGGCGACGAGAATCATGGGTGCCCATCAACAGCCCTGGGATGCCGCTGCCCGTGCCGGAGGGTGAACGTCGGCCTAGTCTACCGCTGCCTCCTAGTCGAGTTTTGCAGTCGCAGTCTCCGTACTCGCTGCCCTCGCTGCAGCATCACCCCGATGGGCTGTTCAATGCGTCACCTCCTAGCCTGCCAGCGCTGGGGCCACCGTTCGGGGCGCCTTCAGCGACGCCTACATCTGCGGGACCTGGTTCGTCCCAATATGTGGCGGCGCCACCGTCGAATCGCCTGCAGCCGTTGAACTCGTGGCTCACGCCGCGACAGCAGCCGCCTCCGTATTCGCAGTCACTCCCTCCGATCAACGCGACCGCACACAGTCTGCCGTTATTACCACCACCCGGGACCGTCACCCAGCAGGCGGCGTCCCCACCAGTCACGTTGGACGGGGTGGATAGCCTCCCGCAGAACGGGATGTGGTCGACCAGCCTGGGCGGAGACGACGTATTGGCATTTCTAGAAGGATGCGAATGCGATCAATGGTCGGGGATGGTGCCATCGGAGGTGGGTATCCCAGCGGGCTGGTTGAGCGCGGTGTGGGGGGAGTTTTCGCGGTGATCCGGCAGAGCTCTGCCAGTGATGAAGTTTCCTTATTCTGTATTATTATTGTATGTCTCATGCTGTATGAATACGCCTGTTTGGGCAGGACTTTGACGATCAACACGAGACACAAAAACGAGGGTTTGTTCTGGGAGAGGACATGGGCCGGATATGAAATGGGCAGGTAATCAAAACCGCGGGGCCTGGATGATTATTGGAGGCGTTGTGGGATTTTCCGATTGATTTCCGAGCGAGGCGGGATGTTTGATAGCGTGGCGTTTGGGAATATTATCTTGATTATTTTATCATCACTTCCTGTAAACGTATAAACGTAGATAACGTAGAGTAAGATAAGAGTATGATAAAAAAAGAATCGGTAAAAAAAAAAATGCAAAAAAGAATGACCAGACTGGGGTTCGATCCCAGGACCTTATCGGATTCAGTTTGAACTGTTAACGATACGTGATAACCAACTACACCATCCGGCCAATTGTGATATAGGGTTCCAGATAGTGCTACATAGACCAGCTTCCCTTCTTTCAAAGTTCTCCTATCAAGTCTACCATAATAATATTGCTATTATTGACTATGTACATCACTCAATTGAAGTATCAATATCTTATGTTTGCCTGGATACTAAGATATGATCGATCAACTGTCAAATCGATGACTACAATATCAACGGGATTGCGCAATCCGGGGTACATCTATCTACAACAGATATATAGATATAGATATATAAATAATATATTCACTCAAATCGACCGTTCAACAGCCGAACAGCACATAATGTACAGAGTACCGCTATCCTATCCATAGCAATCTAACACTGCTTCTGCAAGTCCTTGGCAGCTACACACACCCATTAGCATCAGTCCAATCCATAGGGTTATAATATGGGGAAAACATACCAGTCACGTCGGCGTCAGAGCACTTCTGCTGAACGCAGTCGAGAGCCTGCTTCTTGAAGTTTTCGTTGGAGCAGGCGCAGGACTTGTCGCTGCAGCCGGTGGCGCTGCCGGCGGTGGTGAGGCAGCCGGTCTATTCAGTTAGAATCTCTTTTTCAAAATGTGTTTGGATGCTAAGATGTAGGACATACCACACAAGACGACTGAGCAGCGGTCATGCCGAGGATGGCGGCGATGGGGAGGAGCATGGTGGAGAGCTTCATTTTGATGAGGAAAAGTAAGTCACAGACTTAGATAGAGAGTAGAGTAGAGTAGAGAGATAATTGAGAGATAGAGATGAATTGCTTGCTGATGATTCGAAAAAAAGACAGCAAAAGAAGAGGTATAAATAATAATACCCCAGAACTGATCAACACACCGAAATTTGAGACGTCCGATCAACGCCCGATCCACGCGTCCGATCAGGAACGAATCCAGAAGATCGACTGCATATCGTCTCAATTATTTGGCAATAATGGAACAATTATTTGTTCTGGACGCGTTGCATGATGTCATCTACTCTGTACGGTAGTTACGTTCAGGTACGTCGAGGTGGTTTGGTCTGGACTTTTGAGGAGGATTGTCGGTCTCATTTTTGGTTGAAACGCATTTCTATCTTTATCTCTGTACAGTAACTACTCTCGGATACAGAGGATTGATGCATTTGCAGATCAGATTCAGGTAGATTAATTCTCCCTCAATTGCCTGTTCCACACTCGGTGGCAACGGATCGACGGAATCACTTCAGATGATAGATCTGGTACAGCTTCGCTTCTAAAATCACAATAATCATCCACTCCACTCAACCTAAGGATTCAGAATAACGGTCCGCGTAGTCAAAAACTCCTCCACTCCCCATCTCGCCCCAAACCGACCAAACCCACTCTCCCCCATCCCGCCATGCGGGAGCGTCGCCTCATCATGCACCGTCATCCCATTCACATGGACCGCGCCGGCAGGGATCTGTTCGGCGAGCCCGAGCGCCCTGAAATGCGACTTTGTAAAGATGGCCGCGGAAAGACCGTACCCGGAGGCCTGGGTGTGCGCGATAGCGGCTTCGGCGGTGGGGACGCGCAAGATGCCGAAGATGGGGCCGAAGGCTTCGATGGTGTAGAAGGCCATGCTTGGGGTGACGTTTTCGATGACGGTTGCTGGGTAGGAGAGATCTGTTGTACATGGGGAGGGGGATTGGTGGATGATGGCGCCTTTGGAGCGGGCGTCTGCGATGAGATTGTCCAGACGTGTTTTGGTGGCAGGAGCAATGACTTGATAGCCGGATTGAGTCTGGAGATGGGTGAGGATGGCGTTGATGAGAGGCTGAGCGATGGGTTCGACGGCCAGGACGAGATCGGTCGACATGCAGATTTGGCCATTCTGAGTAACCAGTTAGCATATCATCACAATCATCCATAAAGAATAAGACATACATTCAAATAACCCCCCAGCACAATCTTCCCCGCTGCATCCTCGACATCCGCATCCTCCAGCACAACCGCAAGATTCTTCCCCCCAAGCTCCAACAACACCGGCTTCAGCGCCAACGCAGCCTTAGACCCGATGATCCGTCCCACACCCGTCGAGCCGGTAAAGTTGCACTTCTTCACGGCCGAATGGTTGATGATGGTTTCGTAGATGGCGGGTGCGTCTGCCGGCGTGGAGAGGAGAAAGTTGACGACGCCTGGAGGGAAACCTGCGTCGCGGAAGAGATTGGCGAGGAGGAAGTGCGTTTTGGGTGAGAGTTCGGAGCCCTACATTATCAGTATACTTATTAACTTCATTATATATAAAGGGGTGTACCTTGAAAACAACCGTATTCCCCCCCGCAACAGCCGCAACAACAGCCCTCAACCCTAGAATCACCGGCGCATTCCACGGCGCAATCCCCAGCACCACGCCCATTGCCTCTTTGAAGACCATCGCATACGAATTCCCCTCCGAGTACGGGATACACCCCGTCATGCTATCCGAAAGCACCGCCGCCGTTTCCTCGAGCAGCGCGATCCCGCCGTCCAGATTCACCTTGGTGGCGAACAGCGGCGGCATGTGCACTTCCTCCTCGAGGAGGGCGCGGAATCCATCGTATCGTTCGCGCAGCAGAGAGGCGGTTTTGTTGAGGAGAGCGCGACGGTAGGATGGAGGGGATTTGGACCAGGAGGGGAATGCAGCGGCGCTGGATTGGACGGCTTCGAGGGAGAGGGAGACGTTGGCATCCCCGGGGATGTCTTTGTTGTTGATGATGAGCATTTTGATACTGATGGACTTGATGTCTGAGTAGATAGATAGATAGATGTATATCTATATATCTATACAAGGTATTATCCGACATACTGCCGATGTGGAGATGAATGCTGTTAACTCCTAAGTCCGTTCAATGCAGCCTTCCGATTGGCTGTTTTGGCTGTATATATCCGTATTTCCATCGGCTCCGCATTTCGGCTTCTTCCACGGAGTTAATCTTTTGGTTTGGGGTAATCCACTGTGGAGTGATTGGTAAGGATTATACTATCATGGAATGTAGACCGTAGACAGATGTAGTAGATGTACAGTATATGCATATACTTCTATTTCTATATAGATATCTACGTGGTGGTCACAAAGCACTCCGATTCAACCTCCTCCCCAACTCCCCCCTCGCCTCCTCACACATCCCATCCACATCCACATTCGCAATCATCCCATTCCGCGTGTTGATCTCCTCTTCAATCTTCGCAAAGTCCCTCCCCACCCCCTCAGCCCGCCACTCGTAGCAATCGCCTATCCGCCGACTACTCTGCACCAACCACTGCGATCGTTCGCGGCGGCTCTCATCATACACAGCCAGCGCTGCCTCGAGATCCTTATGACTCTGTACTCTGTCATCCGCAAGAAGCGTAGCCAGCACGGCGGTATCCTCGATGCAGAAACCCGCGCCGGCGCCGTGGTGGGGGGATGTGGCGTGTGCTGCGTCGCCGGAGATGCACACGCGGCCTTTGGTGAAGGTTGGGACGGGGTGGTCGCCTAGGTCGAAGATTGCCCACTATCCTCGTAAGTATCATCATATATAAGATATAGATAGATGGAAGTACAATGTTCAGTTCAGGCTGCGTCAACTTGAGCAAGTTGGTGACGTTCGGCCCAAAGCCTTCAAAATCCTTCAATGCCTCTTCTCGCTTCCCGGAGCGAGTCAGACGGGGATAATCAGCCCATTCGTCGGTCGTCGTGTGGAAGGCGACGATGTTGAGGATTTTGCCTTGGTTGACGGGGAATGTCAACATATGGCCACCGGGGCCCATCTACAATCGTTAGCATGTGTATATAATATAGAGATACAGGTAGGAGACGCACATGCATACACGAATTCGAAGCCAACTCCTCCCCAACCGCCTTAACCGCCTCCTCCATCGGCACCAGCCCTCGATACGCATACTTGTGCGTATATGACGGACTCGCCGACGGATGATCCTTACCCACGATAGTCGATCTCACAAACGACTTGATGCCATCACACCCAATCACCACGTCCGTTTCATCCTTCGACCCGTCCGCGAAACCGAGGACGATCTTCCCATCGTCTCGCTCATTGATACTCTCCAACCGTTTATCGAATTTCGATATCCCCTGTGGCACAAGCTTGATTAGTTCATTTAGAAAGTGCGCGCGGTGCACGCCGTTCTGACCCAGCGAGTTGGAAATGGTAAATGCGATGCCTTGGTCGTTGCCGCTCTGGGCGACCGCATCGTTCGTATATCCGTCTAGATAATCAAACCAGACGTTTTGCTTTGACGGCCATAGATTCCGCGTGCACACTTTCGCGAATGCGTCGTAGATGCCGCCGTGGCTGGTTTTCATGGCTTGCACTGCGTTCGGGCTGAAGGAGACGCCGGCGCCCACTTCGCCAAACGCTGCTGCTTGTTCGTAGATGGTGACGGGGATTTGGCGGTGGTGCAGCGCAATGGCCAGCGTGACGCCGGCGATGCCTCCGCCGATGATGGCGACGTGGAAGGGTTTGGACATGGTGCTTCAATTGATGATATGTGATGTGTAATTGATGAGACATGCGTGGCAGAAGAGGGGTTTATATGTTTCATGTCCGATAAGCTGCATCTCACTGACAGTCGGATCGGCACGGGCATGGCGTCACCAATTCTTCGGATAGGGAATGGCGTTCCCCGTGGGGCATCGGAAGGCACAATATCAGACTGGATATCAAACTGCTTGGATGCTGGCAGCCAGAATTATGTATCCACCGGCTGATCCGATGATCGACAGCTCCCAACGGTTCCCCGCATAATGTCTTCGGATGCGTTTGCACTGCAGTGCATCGCACTCTATGCTGACCACATCTTGACTCGGATTATCCGGACTATCTGGACAATGGAACTATCTACAAGTTATCGAATGCATTCGAAACATGTTACACTAGCTTCGATGTCCTACAAGTTATCAATACGGTGTACCTAAAATGGTCTATCCCAAATGGGCAGTTTCATTGTCTACTAAAATATACACGAATAAAAAAAATATAACAAAAAGCCCCCAAGAACCCAACCACCCCAAAAAAAAAAAAAAAAAAAAAAAAAAGACATCATATATTCTATACAGGGGACGAATTAGTATCAAACATCCGCAACAGGAACGAACATCAATCATGCCTTTATCTTTGGGATGTCCCCCGACGCCTCCCCTATTTCTGTGCTCAGCGTGAATCCCCTCTGCCCCTTGGGCAAATTGATTGGCTTCGGGCGCTGGGCTTATGGCCCTTTCGCTTTTTGTTCGGGGCTTTGCCCCCAGCCACAGCATCTCCGCCCGATGGCGGGCCCCAAAGAAGGGTATCTAAAGCCCCAGAGGGCAACGTCAGGTTTGGTGCAATGAGCACCCCTTTCTATGCATCCTTGTTAGTTATTCTCGTATGTCATACCATAGCAATGCTATAGACATGAAATCCAGCCATGACTCACAAGAAAGCTCAACGTGATGTGCACGGAGATGTCTATTATCTCCATAGGAGATACGAATCAAAGAGAGATTCGATCATTGTCGATGAGACAATGCATGACTGGATGCAAATTGAGTATAGTAGTAGAAGAAGAGTTGAAGAGAGGAAGAGAAGAGGAGAAGGGGGATTTATTAGGGGATGGAATGGAGAAGTGACGGTGGCTTCCTTCACCACAGCCAGTGACGTTTTCTGTATACCACTGCTCTTTCCATTCACAGTCACTAGTCATCTCCCTTCTTCTCTCCCTTCTGTCTCTTTCTCTTCGTCCTTCATCCATTCTACAGCACACTGCCTGGAAAGCAACGCGAAGTTATACTACGAATCCACTATTATCATTCAAATTTGAGTCCTTTCACAATTTTATCTTACTTTTTTTGACACCCATGCTGGCAATATGTCTGCAAAGTGGTCCATGCAAATGGAAAACGGCACGCCATATACAAGGGCGCATCTGGGGATGGAAAGACCTGGGAGGATACCTTTAACGGGGAAGTCCTTCGTCTGTCGAAATTTACTCGACACCTCGCTGTGTACAAGTCAAGCAGCCATTGTAAGTACCATACCTCCAACATGGACAGATAGCCAACAGAGGAACCCTGCCTAGACTGAAATACGATAACCAACCACCATCACCATCAATATCAGCCACAATCGGCATTCCTTCGCACCATCTCGACTCGCATCAACGGCCATCTCATGTGCAGGCCATTCCCAACCAGGATTCGCCTAATAATCCTGAGCCTGCCGAGTACGTTAAATGTGCTGACTCCTATCTCCCCTTCCACCACACGGTTCAACTTGATAGGCTGAATCCAAAGAAACGGGAGTTTCCAAGCCTTCGGGCCTAGTCCAAGCAAATGCTGGACTCTGAGGACATGAAATGTCTACCAATAGGGTCAAAGACGTCTATCTTCATGCACAATCGTTGCTAAGCACAATCGTTGTTTACCAATCATCTGCACAATTGTTACTTTTGATATTTAGACGCCTAATTAGGTAGCAAATCAACTGTCTAATGGCCCCAATATGACGATCACCGTAGCCTGCCGTATCGTAGCCTAGCCATCCATTCATCTTCAAAAGCCTCTCGGTCCCCCCTCTTCGCCCTCCTCCTTTCTTCTTCTCTTCTTCTCTCTTCATGGCTCTCTAGCAAGGGGGACCGTTGTGCGAACCCTCACTAGCCAAACAAAACACACACACAGGTACCCGGGTACCGTTGCATATGAAGATTGTCTGATGCGACAGTGGTGAATTTCTGGAACCATTCAAGGATTATCTGAATAGATGTCCTTATCTCTTCGAGCTTTTTAAGCTAGATGATGTCCTATCCTCCTAGGGAGGAGGACGGCGAAGATTGACTTGGACTTCGGCCCAGTCGAGGATTGGGGACACTCTTTTGTACTTGTCCGTTCTATTGTCTTTCTTTTTGCATTCAGGTCTATTGTTACTGGTTTCTATAAGTCTACAGTGTCTATGTTGTCGATGCATCTTGTTTTGTACGCTGTCGACGGAGGGCTTTCCTGTGTCTTTGCATAGCCTGTAATTACTCTTGATCAACTGTAATTAATATCAAGTGAAAGCTCATTTTAACCGCTTCAATATCTATTGTCGTAGAAACGTAGAATAAGTCGCTGATCAGAAGACAGCTATCACTATATATTACTGCTCCTCCTCTCCTCCTCTCTTTCGAAGTGGCAAACCAACAGCCGAGTGACATAATAACTACACCATGACCGCCTACGGTAGGCAGCCTAAAGCAAAGTTCCCCATCTCTATAACCCACCCCATCTCCATTTTCTTTTCTTTTCTTTTCTTTTCTTTTCTTCCTCTTCTCTCCCCATTGTCAACTGCAAGGGGGAACGTTGTGGAACCCTCACCGACCAAACCAAAACACACACACAGGTACCCGGGTACCGCTGCATATGAAGATTGACATTCTGATGCGGCAGTGGTGAATTTCTGGAATCTTATCGAGATTACCTGTATAGGTATCCCTGTCTTTGTAGCATGGGAGATGTGGAAGGCTGTCTTGGGTTTTTGTGGTGCATTTGGGGCCGGTGGAGGAAGCGTCTTGTGCTTGTCTGTATTGGTTATCCCCTTTACTTTTGGGGAGAGCATGAGCATAAGTAGCTAGCTAGATACTATATTCCCTCTGCAGCAGAATCGTTTGTATCAGTTAGGCTCTCTATTATTGCATCGTGGATGTCGCTGGGGATGAGGTCGTCGTCTGTCTTATACTCCGTGGGTGCTGACTCGGTGCAGATGTGAGTGGAGTTCTTATACTATGTACTATGTATGAATGGCATTATAAACAGCAGCTTCTAAGCTATATGCTTACACCGTATAGGTAGAACAGCAGTTAAAACGCCCCCTACATCCTCTACATCACACCCTCAATGGATATGCGACATACAACGAAGGCTACAGTCAAGCAGTGAAAATGTGACAAAAACTACACCATTCCTCCATATGACAGCCTAAGCCACTGGGTATATAACCACCATCTTCCCATCTCATCTCTCTTCTTCTCGTCCCCTTCTCCTCTTCTCCATGGTAAACTGCAAGGGGGAACGTTGTGGAACCTTCACTGACCCAAACAAAACACACACACGGGCACTGTCGCTGCACATGAAGATAGTCTGTGTCAGATTATTGGATGCAGCTGTGGTGGATTTCTGGATCCTATAGACTCTTCAAATTCTTCCTGATGTTGGAAGATGATCGTGGTGGAGTATGGATGGAGTATACGAGTAGTATCAAAGTCAAGTAAGAATGCCCCACAGGCAATGGATAAAACAAGGCTGATCCCAGATCTGCACCGTTAGATAGTATTGTACGAGTAGTCTGGTCTGTAGATTAAATTATTCTAATACATACACGGATTGACATATCCTAGCTCTGCGCAGAGTAGAGTGTATAGCCAGAAAATGGAAAACATTGGCAACAAAGACAGACGGAGCTGATGTTACCTCCACGCTGCACCGGTGGACATGTATACTTTAGCTTGATTTTGGCAGATGTGAGTGGAGTTCTTATACTATGTACTATGTATTAATGTTGACGGTTAATAACCTGGATGCGATATTCGTTGATGGTGTCTATATGTGGAATCTTCAGTATGGTTCATTCTTATGGGATGACAGAATTCGTGTTGAATAATTCAAATCAATCCAGATTATCCGATTGACTCGTATTGTCAGTGTATACTGCATATCATGTCTATATCGAGTAGGAGTTGAGACAGTCAGTGGGGGCGACTTCTATTGTATGCTGTTGATAGAAATAGTGTGTAGTGTATAGTATGTAGCTGGATAATAACCACTAGTACATCCACTTTCATCCATCTGTTAATAATATAGCTATTCAAATATACATAAGCACAGAGAATAGTAAAGTACTCAAAATATCTCACTTGGAGCTATGCCTGGCTGTGTGAGAGACGTAGAGGTCCGGCAGCTAATACGGAGTGCATCCGATGGTGGAGCCACCCCCAGCCAATCAGCCAAGTTCCACGTTTTTACACCGAAAGGGCCACCAATCAGATGCAACCTATTTATGCGGCAGATTTTTCAAGTTTGCCAGTTCGCAGTCCATCCGCCCAGCACTGTTCAAGTCACAAGCAATTTCCAGCGGGTAAACGGCATCCATTTCGGGCACCAACCCTCCACATTTCTCCTCTACTATCATCTGATTCACACTCCAGTATACTAGGTCCTACACAGTCTACACTTGGATACTACGGAGTAGAGCAGGGGGTCAACCCCTGTCTGGAAGACTCGATGGCCTTCGCGTGCATCTCCGGCGTTGTCCGTCCGCATGCTACTGCGAGTTCTTTTCTGGCTGCCCCACCGGGACGGCCTGGAGTGGCGGGGAGCTAAGCTGGTTGCCACAGCTGGAGCTTCCTGGAGCTGGAGCTTCGACCGTAACGAGATGAGTTATCTTATGGGGTTACAAGTAAGACAAGAGTAGATTTTATTAAACGTCTAGAATAGAGTAATATCATGTTCATACTCATGTCTCAATACAGGAATACAGAGAATACCTGGAGAGCTGTCAGCTGAAGCTGTCGCAACTCGCAAGAGGGCCCACTTGTTCCCGATGCACTGGTCAGGAGTACTGTGCTCTAGCTACAGCATGAGTCCAGTAGTTATCAATATTTGTACAGACTACAGTCTGAGTACTGGTTTAATAGAGATCAGATGAGTTCAAATGAACTCAGTCCCATCAGAAAACAGATCTTGTTATATCGATGATGCACGAGAACAATCTGGTGGGAAATGCATGCAGGTGAGGCTGCAGGAAAACCCCTCCTTTTCTTACCGTATTGTATTGTCACCGGTCGAGTCTGCGATTTGAATAAGAGGAATCATTGGGATGTATTAACCAATAGTAAATATAATAACTATTACTATGCCTTGAGAGTTAAGATAGCTAGGTAGAGTAGAAAAAGACCGTACAGTATGTATTATATAGAGCGGATGGGGCATGATCGATAACCGCCATCAGCTCGGTCGCATGCACAAGGGATGCTACTTTTACGTAGCAGTGCGACGGAGAAGCAAGCTGTAAGATCTCTCCAGCTTGAAAAGAATAATTTCTTTTCCATTCAAAAGACTCAGCACGGCCCTTCGGCGTCTCTCGAGCTTATCCTAGTGTCTGCCTTTTCCCATCACTAAAATTCGTCCCAGGCTTGCTCCCACTTCGGCTGCCCCAAAATCCGCCCGTCCCCCCTCCTTGCCTCTCCTCGCTTTTTCCTTCTCCTATTAATTATCCGACTCAATTACGCTCTGATAGGCATCCTTTTTCTGTTCGTCTGTTCTGCTTTCTTAGCTCCATCTTCCATCTTCTTTCTACTCCCCCTTCTATCCACCACGCCTCGTCTCATCTTGTTCTCCCCGGAGCATGTCTTGCGACGTTAGGTCCAGCCTGCATTGATTTCCTTCGCACTCTCGACTCAGCTTGCTGTCTCTCCTCCCTATTTCTCTTCTCCTCATTTTATCTCTACGGACTACTCCGTATCTTTCTACCTCTCCCCTCTTCAGCTTTCAGCTTTCAGCTCCCCAGCTCAGCTCAACCCCGCCCAGAAAAGGGATTCATGCAGACCATGCCGCCCCGAGCGTCCCTCACTAGCTCCTTTTCTGTCACCGATGCCAACAATGAGGTGGTCTGTCCCTTGAAGAATAACGATGGTTCCAATTGTCGGAAACGATGCCTGGGCGTGAGTTCTTCCCCTCTGTTCCCCTCGTCCGGCTCTCAACGTCCTGGGATCTCGTGCCCCACCTGTCGCGATCGTCCCTAGCAGAAATGCAAGGGATAGATCAAGAACAAAGCGACTCGAAGTCTGGAAAACAAGGAATCAACTGCAGAGAAATGCAGAGAATCAAGATTATTTTTCATTCATAGCTGACATTATCTCGCTGTAGGAGAAACGCTTTCGCTCCATGCAGGAGCACATTCGACGGGCCCATCCGAACCACTACATCCCGAAGCTCCCGGCTACCGAGGAGAGCTTCCTCTTGATGGTCTCTACTCCCCCCGATCAGCGGAACCATCTCTCCCCTCCCGACCCTGGTCACTCTCGTCGTCACAATGGTCCGTGCTACTACATACCCTCTAAAATTTTTTTTTTATACTGATAGCCGCAGATGTCGCGGATAGGGAGATTTACGTGGCGGACGCCAGTTCGCCGGCAACCCCGCGGGGTATCGACGAAGCTCATCCCGCAGCTGCGACCGCTGCAGTAGCACTGGCTCAATTGCATCATCACCGTCTAGCTTCCGACTGGGATACGGATATGGTATGCGCCATCTGCAGAAGAGGAAGATGAAAAAAAAAAAAAGAAAATCTGACTGTCGCAGGAAACTCATTCGGATAACGATATTGGACGCGACCGTATGCGAACTTCGATTGAGCTACCCTCCTTGCGAGACCATTTCAAGCAGGAATCAATGAACCCCTTTTCCGCCCGTCCACGAGAGCTTCTTCCGTCCATTCTCAACCATTCCCCGCCCGGTCGCTCTTCCACTCTGCCTCCGATTCAACGGAGAGACAAGCTTCCTCGGTCCCGCAAGAACTCGATTACACAAGGCTCTCGCAAGCCCAAGCACGATCGAGTCAAGTCCAAGGAATACAAGCGACGACTCAGTCTGGGCGAGCGCAAGGCTCTCTCTGCGGAACCACAAACGGCGGCCTGGGCGCAAGGCAAGCGCTGGGAGGATTTGATTGAAGCGGCTACATCAGCTACAGAAGTTGACGATGATCCGTCCGAGGTGGGTTTAACATGTCCTCAGCTGTTTTCAATGCTAACTTATCCAGCCCGGCCGATCGCCCACTATTGCCCCGCTCATTTCCAATATCACTTCCGCTCCATCGGTTAGTAGCAAACACCGGTCTTCGCTTCCGCCTGCTTTCCAATCGGGTCCTGGATTGCCGCCTCCGACTTCTCATCATCGGCCACTTCCGCCTCTCTCTTATGCGGCATCGCCCCTTCACAAGTCTTTAACACCGCCGCCATATGACTCTCACCGCAGTCGCGACAGTGACCTGGAGCCATTCCCTTCAATTGAATCTTCGCTTGACTCGGTCTCCTCAGCTTCGGGGAAGAATTTCCCACTGTCGAGTAGCCTGGCCCCATCTGCGCATTTGGATTCCAGCCCGGTGCTGAATCTGTATCCGCCGTCTGTCGCGCAGCGCCAACACCATCGCTTTTCGAACCCAACGCCGGCTTCTTTCCGGAGCAGAGAAATTCAGATATATTGCGCCAGTTGCAAGCGACCTTGGGCGCTGAATGAATGTTACGCTTGCACCGAGTGTATTTGCGGCGTTTGCAGAGAGTGCGTGGGAATGTTCATCGGCAGTCCACCCTCCTCATTCCGTAATGTGACTTCGAGCCCTGGCAGTGCGGTGCCAGGCAACGGGCTCGGGTTGCCGCATGGTCCGACGAGCTACCCAGGACCCCGAGGATGTCCGCGATGTCGGAGTATGGGAAGCAAATGGAAATCATTTCAACTTGATTTCAGGTGATCTCGGGAGATATAGCCCGACATGGCCAACTCAACAGTGGCCACAACGGCTCACCTCCAGGCATACTGCCTGAGTTTACGGATGTTACGAATAACGGTTTGAGGGTTACGTTTAAAATTACGCTGCAAGTATACGACATGTACGCCTGGGAATCTACGGAAAAGGAAGGCGCTGTCAGGTAACCATTGTTTTGACTGGTTTGTTCTGCTTGTTCTTTACATGTCTGCTTCCAAGCCATGGACATGATCCGGATGGCTTTGACCGGGAGATAAAAAAAGCTGGACTTTTTTCTTCTTTCTTTCCTTCATTACGCGGGGCGGCCTTATATATGTTTTATAACACCTGATATATGATATATGGTGGCATTTTCTTTCTCATTTTGGTTGATGCATGGGTTGATTTTCTGCATTGGGTTCCAACTGCACCGTGTGATATTTGAAGGGTCAAGATGTGGCATATCTATCAATGATACCTTGGCATCAATATACAAGAACATCTTCATGAATTTCTGGGATATTTGATTGATGCAAATTTTAATTGATTGATCTAATTGATGACTAATGAAATGATGATTGCAGGGTATCTTGAAGATGGTACAGATTTCCAAGCTAATATGAAATAGATGGAGTGACGAGTTTATTCGGCCCAGACGATGCTGCTGAGACCTTGGGCTGATCCAACCTTGCCGGGGGTTCCGACAGCCACATCGGCGACCTTGCCTCCCAGCTTACCAGTCTTGACGTCTCTCTTGACGATGGCGACATTAGAGGAAGCTTGGTTTCCAACAGCGATCAGATCACCGGCCTTGTTGATGGCCATGGTGCGGGGAACAGTGCCGTATGAAGAGGTGCTGTCCTTGAAAGCGACGGTGCCGTTGGCAGCACGAGTCAGGGTGGAGATGGAGTCATTGGGAGCGAATCCGTGGTCGGTACGGATGGAGACATAGAGGTTATCACCGACGAGACGGAGCTCGGACAGCGTAGCACCCTTGGGCAGCTCTCCCTTGGGGTAGGGCACCATGGTCTGAAGTTTCTTGAAGCCAAGGCAGCCGCTCTGGTGGTTGTGGGTAACGTCAAACACGTGCAGAGAGCTGTCCAACTCGTCGACCGTGTACAGCAAAGTCTTGCCTTCGCAGTTGCGGTTGTTGAGTTGATTCCTCAGAGGCGAGGGCTTTTCGGTCCAGAAGACGCCACGACGGGGACCCGAGCCAGCGGGGAACTTGAGGCTAGGGCAAGTGTTGAGCTTGCCAGATTTCTTGTCGATGGAGTGAACGCGAAGGGAGTCGGCGCCCAGATCGGGAGACAGAAGGAAGTCGCCGGTAGGGTCGAGGAAGACCTGGTGAGGGTGCGATGCAGTTTGCTGGGCCTCGGGGCCAGGGGAAGTCAGGTTGTAGTGGACGGTCTGGAGGATCTTGGAGTTGTCTTCCAATGGAAGAGCAAAGGTAGAGATACCAGCGGCGCCACTATAACTGTTAGACTGAGAGGGATAGGACGGGAGGGGGGGTACTAACTAGTTCGCAATGGCGATGTACTGGTCGCCGTTGGTGCCATTGTAGATGACACTGTCGACACCAGCGCCCACGGCCTTTGCTTTGGCCGTTTGAGTCAACTTTCCATCCTCGGCAGCAGTGAAAGCAGACAGCGAGGACTGGGTCTTGACATCGCCCGACTCGTCGGAGCAGTAGAGGATGCGATCGTCGGCGTCATAGGTGACCCAGCTAGGCATTTCTCCGCAGGCCTTTAGCGAGGACGCGACAGTGAGGGAGTAATTGCCATTATAGCGATCGAGGGATAGAGAGTAGACGTTGCCGTCGTAGTGGGTGGCGTAGAGTTTGGCAGCGGAGGCCAGGGAGAGGAAGAGAGGAAGCAGACGGAAAGACATTGTATGGAGTTGTGAATTGATGAATTGATGGATTGATGAGAATGAATTTGCAGAGGAGACGAAGCGTATAAATACACGATGGGAGGCTGAGCAGCGTTGATCGGCAGGGCAATGGAGGCATGGATCAACATTCCGTCAGGAACATGAAACGCTGAGTAGAGGTTAGCATCATTCAATATTAAATAAGATCTGACTCTGAGGTGATATTCTCTATCTATTATTATCTATCTTAATCTATCTTAATCTAATCTAAGGACCCTGAAAAAAACAACACCACTGCCTCCGCCGCAGCCTTGGAGTCATCCTCATCTTCGTCTTCCTTTACCCCACACCCTCTCTCAACATCACCAACATGCGCCTCAGTCACCTCCTGAGGCCATCCATATCTCTGTCCAAACGCCCTCACCAAACCCCGATTCGCAGTGACGTCGAATTCAAAATGGCCCTGGAATGTGAGAACCCGGTGCCGGAGATATAATCCCTGAATGGGGCATTTTGCAGTTCCCCCGAGATTCATCCATGGCGCAGCAATCGACCCATCCTCAGCCCCATCATCACCAGCATTGGCATCAGCCTTATCCATTCCTGTTCCTGAAATAGGAACAACCCTATCACCATGTATATACTGAATCCGAAACAACCCCCCCGGAAGTTTGCCGGCATCTAGCATGGGAAAATCCTCCACAAAGGCCTTGTTTAGCGCGAACGGCACAATCCCCACTTCATACCCGGCCGGACAGAACTCGACCTTGTGAGTTTGTTTTAGGAGCGACTGCGCGATGATCTGGTGTCCGAAGCATGATCCGAAGAGTTTCACGTGTGGGTAGTTTTCGTGGACGTGGAGGATGAACGCTGAGAGGGCGTGGATCCAGGGTTTGTCTTCGTAGGAGGACGATGCGGAGCCGGTGATGAGGATTGCTGTTATGGGGTTTGGATTTGCATTCTCTTTACAGAGTTGTTTTGGGTCCCAGAGAAGGTTGTACGGGGGCAGGCAGCCGCCGACGACATCGTAGGAGGACGTTGTGATGGTGATGGATGGGTCGAGTCGCGATGCGGCGGATTGGAGGAGAGAGCGGAAACGAGAACTGTAGAGGCCGTGTTTGGCGTAGAAGGAGGGGATGGGGAGGTCGGCGTCGAGGAGGGCGATGTGCATTTTCTTTTTTCTTCTTTATATGGTCTATACTGTATTCTATTTGTGTTGTGTATAGAAGAAAAGAAGGATAAAAAGAAGAAGAAAAAGTGGGATGAGGGGATTGGGTTTCCTATTTGGGAATGCGGGGATATCCGAATTGGGTATGAGGATCCTTGTTCGTTATACTATAAGATGTAGATATAGATAGATGTAGATATAGAGTAGATCCGTCTATGTATATAGATTCATTGGTTATACTTATAGATGACTAGGTATAGTAGAGTATGTTGATTAGTTGTTATTGGTGTTTGTATACAGTAGGGTTATAGTGGGTACTGCTATAGGTACCTGCATACTAATACAATAGATAAGTACTTTATATAATCTAATAAGACTATTGGATAATATATCTAAATACTTCTTATAATATCAGATGCCATGTTGAATAGAAATAACGATATAGAAGATTAGTAAGAATCATAATAGACGTCACTGTGATAGGGCTATGAGTACTCCATACTACCTAGCAGTCTATAACTACTCCATAACATGGATCAACAAAAGCAATATATCGATATTAATATCACATTCATCATCTATTCATTTCTGTATTCTACTTTCTCCTACCGACAGCCGAATTGATCTTCCTTGTACCCGTGATGATACAATCACCCCCTCGATTGCGCCATCCCTGCTCCGACCAACGACATTCCCTCATTTCCTCGTTTCATGAAGCCAACGTCCCCTTCCACGCGTGAATCATCTCCACTGCCCTCCATTTCGCTTCATCTTCTCGGCCTGCTCGTCCTATGGGAGTGATGGCCGATTTCTCCTCCTGGCACGCCATGCGTCTCCACCGTTTGGCAATCGCCTCGACCACTTCTGATCTCAACATAAATACCCCTCTTCTGCCCCTCGATCTACGACCAAAGTACCTCATCTAATCTTCTCATCTCATCTAATACCATCAACAATGGCCCCTGCTCTAACTGACTCGGCCCCGACGGCCCCTCACCACCTTGGCCCCATCTCTCGCGATATCTTCCCCGACGGCCTCAAAACCACCGGCCAACATCCCCCTCTCTACGACCACATCCATCCGTTTGACGAGTTTCCGCGTCAAATCTCCGGTCCTACGGTCTGGAAGCCTGAGGATTATCGCGAGAACCCGGAGAAATGGACGCACGTTTTCTCTGCCGACGAGGTCGAGGAACTCAGCGTTGCGGCGGATAACTTTCTCGCGGCCAAGATTCCTCTTACTGGTATCTCCAAGGTAGCTCCCTCTTCACCCTCTTATATGCTGGATAAATGCTAACAAAAGTAGAGCAACTTCCCCCTCCCAAACCTAAGCAAAGACCTCCTCAAACTCCGCGCCGATCTCATCGACGGCAAGGGCTTCATCCTCTTCAAGGGCTTCCCCGTCGAGAAATGGGGCAACCACAAGTCGGCCGTCGCCTACATGGGTCTCGGCACGTATCTGGGCTACTTTGTCAGTCAGAACAGTCGCGGCCATGTGCTTGGCCATGTTAAGGATCTGGGCGAGGACTCGACTCAGATTGACAAGGTGCGCATTTATAGGACGAATGCTCGGTAGGCCCCCCTCACTCTATCTAACTATAGTATAATGGACGATGGGCTAATAGAGTAGTCAATTCTTCCACGCCGACGACTCCGATATCGTCGGATTACTCTGCATCGCAAAGGCACTGGAAGGAGGAGAATCAGACATTGCCTCCTCGCACAACGTCTACAACACCCTCGCTGCCGAACGCCCTGATGTCCTGAAAACCCTCACCGAACCCATCTGGTACTTTGACCGAAAGGGTGAGATCAGTAAGGGCCAGGAAGAGTATATCCGGACCAGTGTCGTGTATCTGGAACGGGGCGAGAATGCGCGTGTTTATACCAAGTAAGTCCCCCCTACTGATCCTACATCAGGATTATTCATAAGTGACCATGCTGATATGTGATTAGATGGGACCCCTACTACGTCCGCTCCCTCACCCGCTTCTCCGACGCAGGAATCATCCCCCCTCTTTCCCCCGCCCAGCTCGACGCCCTCCAAGTCCTCGAAGACACCTGCAACCGACACGCCCTGCACATGGTCCTCGACGTCGGCGATATCCAGTTCCTCGCCAACTCGCACGTCTTGCACGCGCGTACCTCGTACACAGACCATGCCCCGCCTACCCCGCGTAGACATCTGATGCGCTTGTGGCTGGCGACGCCCGAGGAAGAAGGGGGTTGGAAGTTGCCGTTTTGGGATAGTAATGAGAAGAAGCGGGGGGGTATTCAGGTCGATGATCAGGCGCCTGTTGCGCCGTTGGATGCGGAGTAACACACTTCCTTGGTTGATTAATGTATATATAGTATAGTACGAAAGTAACGTCTATTAAATTAACTGTTATGTATTCATATTCATGCTCGGTAGTCGTGCAGTCATCAGCATCAGCATCGGCATTATCAGCTAACAAGCTTATAACTCCCCCCACTCACAATCTCCAACTTGCCCTTCCCTACCATCCCCGCCAGAAACTCGCGCAACTCCTCATTGCTAAACGGGAACCCCCCCGGCACTGCAATCTTCAGCATCATTACAATCTGCTGCAGCGGCATCGAGCCCTGGTTCGTCAACATGCCCACGATAAACTGCCAGTAGAGATTCATCTTTTCCATCGCGGCCGCTTCGGCCGATTCCTTGGCCGCCGCGGCGGCTGCTGCATCGGCTGCTGCCGCTGCATCGGCCGCGTCGGCTGTTGCGTCTCCGGGATCCTCCGTGCCTGCGTGTCCTGGGCCGCTGGCTGGGTCGCCTTCTTCGTCGTTGGGGAGGACTTCCAGCACGCGGAATGTGTCCCGCTGCACTTCGGTAAGGATGCGTTTGCTTACCCAGAACAAACATGCGCTGCGGACGAGTGCGCTCGACATGCTCAGCTCGTCGGATACCTGTCCGATGGTTTTGGTTGCGGAGTCTGCATCGTCGGAGTCGGTCTGGAAGGCGTAGATTACACTGGCCTGCCAGGTCGTCACTTCGTCGACAAACACGCGGTCTTCGAGATCCAGCTCGACCGTGACCTGTCCTAGCCCGTTGAGCCAGGTGAGTTTGCGCGATTGTTTCAATGACTCGAATCCGGCAGAGTAGCGCTCCTGTAATTCTGAAATCTCCTCTGGAACCTTGAACTCTTGTCCTTGGACCTCGGGCCAGAAGAAATGCGACAGGATCTTGGCATGCAGTTCCGGAATCTCTTCTTCCACTGCTTGTGTGTCTGGTGTAGCTGGCTCTGCAGGGCGAGTCAGTCCCTGGTCATTCCTCACCACAGTATCGACTCGTCGGGAATCGAAAATGTCGCGCAACATGACCTCGCAGGCTTGCAATGCCGAGTCGCCAAAGCGGATCTTAAGCAGCTCTAGAACAGACATCTCCTGCTCAAAGTCTGCACGCTTCTGAAGCAATCGATCCGCCAGCATGTTCTGCATCTCCTTCACAAACGTCTCCTTAGACTCAAACAGACTGATCAAACTGCCAATAACATCGGAACTCTTCGATTTTCTGTAATCAGGCGCTGCATCAACCGGATCCGGCACCCAGTTCATGTCATCCCAATCCAGCTCTCCTGTGTCATTTCGCAGCGACGTCTGGTGTGCCTTGGACAGTTCTGCCGCCAATTCCACCAGTGTCTCCCCAGATGAAGCTTGTTCCTCTGAATCACCGGTATCTGCAAGAAGACCACCGACAATCACCTTGACTGTGTCATCGCGGTCACGTAAATACCTTCGAATAGGTCGAGCAATTCGATCCAGGAGAACCCCTTTAGGATCTAAAAGGTTAAACGCTCGGATGATTGAAATGTACAGCTGCAAGATCTCAACGGTCGAAGCACCTGGGTGTAGCAAACGATGATTGAGTACCGCAATGAACGAGTGCGTAACATAGTGCCGTGCTGCGGGATGTGTAGTAAAATGTCGTAAATCTTCAATGGCACCACTGCTTGCAGGCCACTCGATTATCACTTCAAAAAGTTCACCGGTTCGAAGAGCTCCTAGCCGAGAAATGCCAATTTCCTGCCATTTCTCCACATCACTCAAATTCACATCAAGCCGGTCTGATTTTGTCCCCGACTCGGGAATGTTGATAATCGCTAGCACCTGCACAACCAGTCGCGCAAATACATTTTCGATCCACTGCCGAAGATGCTGCGACACCAGAGTAGGCCCCTCCCACTGGCCTGTATACGCCGCCCGAATAAACTCTGTCATCAGCGTGTTCATCACACTGGCTAAAACCTTTTGAGCCTTGTCTCCGCCCAGACCAACAAGTTGCAAGCCATCAAACAGCAACAGCAGCCGGTCACGGGCTGATTTGACCCGCATATCCTCACACTCCACCATCATCTGCATTCGAGCTTCGTCATCCGCTTCATCCCTCCAATCACGATATGATACCGAGTATTGTCGGTCCACTTCCATTTCATCCACGCTATTTCCCTCTTCGTCTTCAGGCAAGGTGTCAATCCCAAGAACAATGATCGCGTCTTTGGCGAATTCTCGAGTAAGTAACTTGGATATATGAGTCCAGGGTAAAGCATATGCAACCATCATATGGAAGCTTCGCTGTAGCTTGATAAACGTCCGTTCTTGTGCCGCCATATCTAGCAGCGGTAGTATAAACTCCACGAGAGGAGCGAAATATATCTTCCGAGCCAATTGCAAGCAATGAATGATTTTCTGTAACAATCCATCCTTCTCCGGGTAATTCAATAGCTGTAGATGGGTTAGAAGTCGAACCTAAGCAATCCATCTAGATCATACCTTGTGTAGCCCATCCCGGAAGTTGGAAAGAAAATGAAGCCGGATCTCATTCCCATACCAGTCAATTATACTGCGTTGTCCCGCACCCAATCTCAATCCTCGTTGCGAAAGAGGAGCCAGTAGATATGCCAATGCATCAATGACGCCCTTGGACGGCGCACCCTGCCTACTCCATTGTTTCAGAAATTCGGCTTCATCCAGACTCTCAAACCATGTCCGTCCTTCTAATCCTTGTTTCGGCAGCGACAAAAACCCAGTGGCCGCCTGCCATGCGCGATCCCAAGTTTGTTGATCCGGCCATGACTCGTCTCTATCGTCGGACTGCGAGGTTGAAGGACGTGTTCGAGGGCGACTCTGCGATTGCCCAAACGATGAGAAAGCTGGGGATGCAGGCAATTGATCGGTTGGTGTGAGTCCGGGAATCGATTTCCCTGAGAAGTCGTCAAACGACGCGGGGGTGAAGACGGAGCCGAAGACGCGTTTGCGGCCGGAGGAGATGGGGGCAGTCGGAAGCATGGTGATTGTTTAGCGGAGATGCATTGCTCCAGCATTCAGGAGGGGATCGAGGTGTTTTCTTTCACTCCACGGCCATGTTTTGATGCTGTGTTTGTTATCGGTTGTTTTCGACTGTCTGGAATCTTATCGCAATCGCCAAGACATGGTCACGTGAGTCACTCGTCAGCTTTGTTAAAATTTTATATTAATTTTATTAATTTTCTTGGTTAAAAGTAAGAGGAACTATTTTATATAAGGTCCACCATTGTGTCACGTAAGTAAAAATGGTGGTTGTCATATGATGTTGGCAGATCTTGTTGTGCTACCCATACTCTATCCAAGATATATCGATGTCACCTTCATCTACTAAAGTACTACTTAGTAGCATTACTACTACAAGGGTCTAACTTGATCTTTCAAAATGGCATATATATCCTCTCCTGCGCCCTGCTTGAGACACAGATTTTACGGACCCATCCAAGACAGCCGGTATCGGCATCGCCTGCCCAGAAAGCAACCCAGGAATCTCGGACCTCCAATTCAAGGTCTCAAAAACGCCAAAGCATTGGCATAATTTCCACCTGCGGCCCCGATGGATCTGATAAAGTTATCTGATCCGCTTTGGCGAGACATGGCAGAGGCCAAGAGCCGCCGGTCTTCTTTACATCCTCTCCCAAGACACGATGGCTGGGTTTGATTTGTCGAGTCCGGATCAGATGCTATTCTCGTGATTACCGCCGTTTTCTGGGCCAATTTGCAACTGGTAGCGAGAAAAGTGATCGGAAGGAATGTCTGTTGAGCAGATTTTTTTCGTTGGGAAGGATAAAATCCGTGCCTGCCCTCGACTGCGAATTTATTAATCTGTTTCAATTCGAGTGCAGTCCTATTGACCACCGTTGTTCACCATGAAGTCAATACTCCCCAATATCAGAGCTGATATGCTGGTGGCCGAGGATGAACGGCCTGTGGATGCTACCAAGCAAGCTGAAGCAGGAGAGAAAGAACCACCTACAGCCCAGACCGTCGAGACCGACGATGAGAGCATCTCCTCCCAGGATCAGACTGGTATTCGAATGATTGAGGCGACGACAAAAGTATGGAGTACGTCGAATCTGGTGATGGCCTATGTAATGTGAGTTGGTATCTAGTCTTGTGTTGTTCATTCTGACTTGATAGGATTTGGATCATCGCGTTTGTCGACACAATGCAGCAAGGTGAGCAGGTACTGTAGTGACAGCTATACCCAGGCTAATGGTTCTGATTCTAGGAATGTCGGGCTCATTGACTCCATATGTCACGAGCAGCTTCAACGAACACTCATTGACGGCAGCAACATCCATCATGTCAGGAATCATTGGCGGCCTCTTCAAGTTGCCTCTGGCTAAGATACTGGATATCTGGGGACGACCTCAGGGCTTTGCTTTAATGATGGTCGTGCTGACGATAGGCCTGGTTATGATGGCTGGATGTAACAACGTGAAAACGTATGCTGCGGCACAGGTTTTCTATTGGGTTGGGTATGGTTCTCATCTTGGAAAATTGTGCAATGCTAATAGAGTGACAGGTATAACGGCATGACCTACACTATATCAATCTTCATCGCTGATACTTCCTCTCTCAAAAATCGAGGACTCATGCTGGCGTATGTCGGTTCACCTTACATCGCGACAGTCTGGATCGGAGGACCACTAGCAACTGCCTTCTTGAACGGCCCAGGATTCCGCTGGGGTTTCGGTGCTTTTGCTATCATCACTCCAGTCATCACGTCGCCGTTGCTTGCCTTGTTTACCTGGAACTACCTAAAGGCCAAAAAGGCTGGTCTGTTGCCGCCCAAAGTTGACGAAAACCGCAGCGTTCTCCAGTCGCTTAAGCACTATGCTATCGAGTTCGACGTCATCGGTATCATTCTTCTCAGCGGAGGACTGGCCTTGTTCTTGTTGCCGTTCAGTCTATACTCCTATCAAGCAGACGGATGGCGGTCCTCCATGATCATCTGCATGATCATCTTCGGTGGCCTCCTTATCATCACCTTCGCCGTCTACGAACGCTTCTGGTCTCCTAGATGCTTCATCCCATTCCACCTCCTCACTGACAGAACCGTGTTGGGGGCCTGCATATTAGCGGCTACGTTATTTGTCAGCTTCTACATCTGGGACACGTACTTCTCCTCCTTCCTGCAGGTCGTCAACGACCTCTCCATCACACAAGCAAGCTACATCGGCAACATCTACAGCATAGGGTCCTGCTTCTGGTCTCTTGTTGTCGGTGTGCTGATCCGGTGGAGTGGCCGGTTCAAGTGGCTCGCACTGTACTTCGGTGTACCGCTCACCATCCTCGGTGTCGGGCTCATGGTGCATTTTCGGCAACCCGACGTCAACATCGGATACATCATCATGTGCCAGATCTTCATCGCCTTTGCGGGCGGGACCCTCGTCATTTGCGAACAGATGGCGGCCATGGCGGCTGTCTCGCATCAGTACATCGCCGTCGTGATGGCCGTCGAGTCCATGTTCAGTAGTATCGGCGGCGCGGTGGGCTCGACCATCGCAGCAGCCATCTGGACGGGCGTCTTTCCCAAAAGACTGACCGAGTATCTGCCCGAAGAAGAGCAGGGCAATCTCACCCAAATCTACGGAAGTCTGCCCGTGCAAAGGTCATATCCGGTGGGCAGTCCCGCGCGAATCGCTATCAATCGTGCGTACGGCGAGAGCCAAAAAGTGATGTTGATCGCTGCGACGGTAATTCTGGTGATTGCGATTGGTGCGACGGTTGTTTGGAGGGATATCAAGGTGAAAGACTTTAAGCAGGTCAAGGGTCGGGTTGTTTAGATGGGTAAAAGTTTGCTGTATGATGATGTATTTATACATGGTGGTCGACCCTATCTGTAAAGATGAATGACATGCGTCCTGTCTCATGGTCGGACGTTTGAATAATGTCCAATGTCTAGGTGGGGTGGAGATAAAGACACTGATGTCATCTGTACAAGTGGTGTGCATTAGTGTAGATACCCCTCCATGGATACCTGACTAGATACCTTATAGCATATGAAGATGATCAAAGTACATACTCGTATGCAGATAGGTAATCAATTTCTCTTGCCAACACCCTATCTACCAAGCATCATGCGTGCTTCTATGGTATCACTAACCGCTAAGCTAAATGGCAGGCAAATATAGACAGAATGAGTCCGGACTAATGACCTCCGTGTTGAATCAAAGAACAAGAACGTCCTACTGGGCTGTAAAAACATCACGACAATAAACCGGAAAGCAGCTTCATGCAGTATTACTCTCGTCCACCTTCTCCCACTCACTATCGGTACTCACATAGCCCGAAGAGCTCTCACCGCTAACGCTGAGTCTCTTCCGGGCTTCGCCCTGCTCTGGCGGCTGCAGGGTAGCACCAGCAGCAGCAGCGGTGGCCGACGACTTCGAAGCAGAGGCCGTGCTGGTATGCTTCTTCCCCTTTGTCGAGTAGGTTTCCGTCTCGGTATCACTCTCCGTGTCGATCGCACCGGGTGTCCTCATCCTCTCAGACCGTGCAGACTCCTTCTCCGACGCAGCTTGATCGGCTTCCTGGACAGCTTTCAATTCCCCGGCGAACCAGTTGATTGACCACCATAACGCGCCCGAGAGGAAGGACAGAACGATAAAATGGATGCTGTGGGTGGCTAGGAGAAGGGTGAGGAGAAGAGCCTGCAAGGCGGCGAAGGTGACGTTTGTCGCGACTAGGAGAGTAGGTGTGGGACCTGGGGTAAACACCGAGGTCCAGAGGTTTTCCATGAACGAGGCCATGATTGTTAGTATGTATGTATGTATTGTATTCTTTTCTTCGTGGTCGGCTTGTTGCGGAGGAAGAGGTAGGGATAGGGGTGGTTTGGGTCGGGCCGGTGTGTGTCGGTAATATGATTTGCTCTGTTTGTTTATGATTTCGATCTGGAGTAACGGCCGAGGAGTTAACCCAAGATGGGGATATCGTATACGAACAAGCGAAAATGACGTTGATGGAACGGTCGGAAATTGAAATCCGTGCGTCGGCGACTGGGAGAAGAGGAAGCTTTTCGGTGCCACGGGGAGGAGGAACAGACACGACGTGACGCAAGAGAGTTCAGGGCCGAGAACACAGAAGAAAGATTAGTTTTCTGCTGTTTCTTTCGGGACCGGGAAAGATAAAAGCAGAAAACAGGGTCTTGCTAAACGAAGCAAGATGAGAGGTCGAGATCGGGAGTTGGCCGATGAAGAGGGAGCAGAGGAGGAGACGAGGTTGGTGATTGCGGTGGGGAAGCGGAGTGGATGGACCGATGATGGAGGTTTAAAGGAGCAGCTGTCGTTGGTTGCTGCTAGTTTTACCCCGTGGGGATGAAAGGAGTTGATCCAGAGGATGAAGATGGAATTGTTTGATGATTCTGATTGTTTGTCCAGAGTCGAGATAAATGATGATGCTGTTGGAGAGAAATGAAGGAGGTTTTACAACGGCACGTCATCTGGTGATGGAGGGGCATCACGCACTTCCACGCCCAACGAATCTTCTTTTCTAGAGCAATAAAACGAATGAATCATCTGTCTTTGGGCACAAATGAATCGACGACTGAGGATCGTGATCTCTCGCCGGCTGGTCACGGCTATGGATTATCTACGCTGAGGATGATTCTTTGGAATTCCACCACTCCGTATCTCTGTCGCTGATTGATGCTGGAAGAGAAATAGAAACCGGTCAACTTCCGATAGGCTAGGCAGACTCTTTATGATGCATTCTTTTCTGTTTCATGATTCGGGTAGACCAGGAAGAAGACAATGGGCATATACATAATCAGATAGCGCAGAGAATGCTCACCGGGCCGACTGCCTATGTAAGATAATACGACGTGTGGTGGTCCGATTGTTCGGTCATCAGACAGGATAGCAGCATCGAGGAAGAGGGGTTGAGTCTGAGCACGTGTCTTCGGGTTCCCAACGGGAGAATCTGGGAGAATCTGGGGAAGCCGACTGCGACACCTCCATCTCCATCCAGTGGAATTGTCCCCGTCATCCAATCCAATTCCCCGACTTTTTCGATCTAATCGTCTCCTCTTTATATCTCCTTTCTGACTGGTTGGGATTATCTTCATCCCCCATCCATGGTCCCCCCGTTGGGCCTTTGGCTTTACGTCTCCTCTCTCCAGCCCTCGACCTGGATAGCCGTCTCCGTCTCACACGGCCGCCACCCTCTTCCCGCTGCGTTGAAAATGCCTCTCGTGCAGATCCCACTCCATTTTGGAGCCGGTTTAGGGTTGTTTCCTATCGCTGCTTGGCTCGTTCATCTATTCCCCCGCTCATGATGCTGGAGACGCTATCCTTGCTTGGTGCCCCTCCTGGCGAATCATCGATGCCGGTCGGTCTTTGTTCAGGGTTTCATTCAAGTCTACCCCCGGAATACGTCTTTAGGCCCGTGTAAATTGGGTGATAGGGAGCGATGATACCACGATTAATACTATATAATAAGACTTTGTCCGCCCTCCGATTCTTGTATGACCAGAGATCCCACCTGTGAAGTTGAGATTTTCTCATCCCCAACCTCTTGTCTTCTCTTTCTTTATTTTTTTTTTTTCTATTTCTTCTCTCATCTGGCTATCACATCATGGATGACAAAATTTTTGACGACAAGGAGATCAAGGAAGGCTTCACCGACCATGAAGAGACTATCTCGGCGGAGAGGGAACCATACGGACCTCCAGGTCTGAAAGGCCTGGTGGCCAACCCGTTTGTGTTCCTCTGCGCTGCCTGTTCCACTCTAGGAGGTCTTGTCTTTGGTTATGATCAAGGTGTCGTGTCGGTGATCTTGGTCATGGACCAGTTTCAAGAGCAGTTCCCCGAGATTGCTCCCGGCTACTCAGGTGCTGGTTTTTGGAAAGGTCTCATGACGGCAATGATTGAGCTTGGAGCATTGATTGGTGCGCTCAACCAGGGATGGATTGCAGACAAGTACTCGCGTCGGTATTCAATCGTGGTCGCTGTCGTTATCTTCACCATTGGCTCCATTCTTCAGACCGCTGCCGTGGACTATGCGATGTTGACGGTGGCTCGATTTATTGGAGGTCTGGGAATTGGCATGCTTTCCATGGTTGCTCCTCTTTACATTGCAGAAATCAGTATGTACCTTGGTTTTTAGAGAAAGATTCAATTGCTGACAATAATCAGGTCCTCCGGAGTGTCGTGGTACTCTGCTAGTCTTGGAAGAGTTTTGCATTGTGACTGGAATCGTCATTGCGTTCTGGATTACTTACGGTACCCGATTCATGCCTGGAGAATGGTCATGGCGACTTCCCTTTCTCCTGCAGATGATTCCTGGTTTTATTCTCTGCGCAGGAGTGATTGTGCTTCCATTCTCCCCTAGATGGCTGGCCTCTAAGGGAAGGAATGAGGAGGCTCTTCAAACTTTGTCCAAGTTGCGCAAGCTGCCACCAACCGACGACCGAATCCGCCAGGAATTCATCGATATCCAGGCCGAGGTTCGATTCCACCAGGAGATGAACGTCGAAAAGCACCCGGACTTGCAGGGCGGTGGAGTCAGGAAGTCTGCTCTTCTGGAGCTGGCTTCGTGGGCAGATTGCTTCAAGAAGGGCTGCTGGAAGAGAACTCACGTCGGTGTCGGCATTATGTTCTTTCAACAGGTTGGTAGAATGTCGCCATGACAAGGCTTGAGCTAACATGGTTTAGTTTATCGGTATCAATGCACTGATCTACTACTCGCCAACACTTTTTGAAACCATGGGTCTGGACACAGACATGCAGCTCCTCATGTCTGGTATTCTCAACATCACCCAGCTGGTCGGTGTGGCCACCACTGTCTGGTCGATGGACCACTTTGGAAGACGGTTTCTGCTCTTGTCTGGTTCGACTCTCATGGCAATTGCGCACATTGTCATTGCCGTTCTGGTTGGATTGTACTCGTATGACTGGCCGTCTCACACCGGACAGGGTTGGGCCAGTGTTGCTCTCCTCTTGTTTTATATGCTTGGTAAGTTATCGTCAATGACCAAAGGATAAGACCCTAGAGCTAATACTGTCACAAGCCTTTGGAGCATCATGGGGACCAGTGCCGTGGGCCATGCCATCAGAGATTTTCCCGTCGTCGCTTCGTGCGAAGGGTGTTGCGCTGTCTACCTGCAGTAACTGGCTGAACAACTTCATTATTGTAAGTATATGATATGAAGTGGTGAAGTGATTACATACTAACGCTAGTAGGGTCTCATCACCCCTCCGTTGGTTCAAGACACTGGATACGGAGCATATGTATTCTTTGCCATCTTCTGTCTCCTGTCCGGGGTGTGGACATTCTTCTTTGTGCCAGAAACGATGGGCAAGAGTCTGGAGGACATGGATGGAATCTTCAAGGACAACTCCAGCGAAGCCGAAAAAGAACGAAGACACGCGATTGAGGTAGAACTACTGCGGGCGGAGCGTCAGAGTGGCAATGCCTGAAAGTAACGGCGTAGGGGGATATCCGATCCGGGGGATCCAACGGGTATGACCGTGAAAGGATTGGCCCGATAATTATTGGGATGCTGATGGTTGGTGCCTGGAGGGATCAACGGGGGCTGACCCCAGTGGCAGTGGTAAGGCCGTGGCTGGAGTTGTGGCTTGATTGTATACATAGCGTTCTATTATTATAATGAGAAATGACTGTATATTATGTCTATAGATGAGTAGATGTATATTCTATGATAAGTTCATAATATGTAAGAGAAGAACGTTGATATCATGCATGAATATGTAGATGGTCAAATGCAAGCGAACGTCGGAGTTAACAACTCCGGAAATGTCAATAGTCGAGTACTTTTGACATCTGTCAAAACCGCAACGAGTGCGAAAAAGTATTTGGAATCTTAGTCTGACAGACACTCCACTTGCACTAGGACGTATTCCGTGTTTTAAGTCCGATGACAGACGGGAAGGCCAGGATCAATAAAAGTAGCCGGAATCCGCGAACACATCTTGTCGAACCATGTGGGGGAGTCCGAGGGCGATCATTCATAATCAATTCATTAATGAGTACATAAAGCGAGTACGAAATAATAAATTGCTAAGAATACGGAATCCGCCTGGCGATCGAAGTCGGAGTAGGAGTTAGAATCGCTGATGTGTATGTCGTTGGCATGGGCAGTGTTGACAAACCAACAGCTACTGGGTGATTGTGAATGGCTGAGCAACCTGATACAGTAGTCAGTCTAACAACCGAGGGGCTTAGAGAATAAACTGACACGATGATTTGAGGAAGTTTAAATCCTGTATTTGTATTAGTATTTGTCAACCCAGATTGTTTACCTATTCGCACCTAGGCTGGGACTAGCATCTAGGGAGGGTCTGGTGTGTGAGTCCGGACCCCTGATTTCCAGTTCCCCCCCCCCATGAAGCTATTCCCAGTGCAGCAGTGGCCGTGTTCATCTCGCAATAATATCGCACTTGTTTCCCCCCCACAAGACAGTGTCCATTTGAGCCCCATTTCTCACTCTCGAGTCTCACCACGAGTCCCGATCGAATCATCTTATTTTTCTTGTCGTTTTTTTCTTCCTCTTTATGATTGTTAAACGACACGGTCTCCGAAGTAATACACCCTCACCGTTGACGTATTGGGCCCAACTTTGAAATCAGCTTGGCTTATTAAAGCTTCGGCCTCTCCGTTGGGGGCCAAAACACCAACACTCACGACAGACAACTAATAACACCAACAAATAGGAAAGAAGAGAGAAGAAGAGACGATGAATACCCAGTTTCGAGATTGACTGTCTAGGAGGAATAATGACATTTCCTTCTGGTTCAGTCTTTTCCTACTACATCGTAGTTACTAACGTATCCACCGACTAACAGCGGCCCCCAAATGCCTCTTCCGTTGGACACTAAGATTGGGGCTGAAAAAGGGACGGACAATCCGAACCCACAATAATTGGGCTGTTGGCAGTTCCCCCTCTCGCACTGCTATCTCTTTTCTGTTTCTGAGCTTGGTGTTGTTCGTCGTAGTGGTAGTGTTAGTTAGCGGGCCAGGACTAGGCTGACTGCCGCCTAAGGCTCATTCTAGCACTGCCTTTATTTGATTTCAATTTGCAATTATGATCCAATTTCATAATATTATCCAACCAAGTATTTGGAAACAAAATCGTACATAATAAAAAATATTAGTGAGCGTTTCATCCGAATCGAAGCCCCTGGTGCATCAAGATCGCTCGCATCGCTAGCCAGTAACTGTCCGGCTCCATCTGTTGGCTTTGGCATTTCTATTCTTATTTATTTCCTCATTTTTCTTCTTGAATCCTTCTCTTCTCTCTCTTCTAGAACGTTATACGTCCTACCAGTGGCAGTGAACAAGGCAGCTCAAGCCATACTTCGTCTCAACCCATTCAGCCCTGTTCCTGTCATTCCCTTGTTCATCCTTTTTCTTCTATATTTATTTTATCCTGGCTGCTTGTTGATCCTCAGCCTTTTTAAATACCCTCACTTCTGCAGCTTCATCCCTCCAATCCATCCATCCATTCCTTCATTCGTGATTAGAGTCTGTCTCTCTCGCCTTTCGGTCATTATCAAATATCGTATGTTCTTTACAGTTCAATTCAATATCTCTCTTTAAATATTTCCATCTCTCTATCCACTCTCCATCATGTCCTCCAGAGAATCTCACAGCTCACACGGTCACTCTTATCGTCACAGAACGTTGACGGGTTCTTCTTCGCGAAGTTGGGATCCCTCTCTCCAGTCTTCAAGTGACGGCTTTCAACCGTCGCTGCTGCAGACTCAGCCTCAAGATCAACGTAATCTTCCTTCGGGGTTTGCCCCACGAGGTCAATTGACTCAGAATCGGTATGTATTACTCCAAGAGTTAATCAGATGAAGCTGACAGGATAGTCTTTCTGGCTACGAAATCCCTGGCTCCGACGCATATCTAACCGCCCAAATGGCTCACAACCCCCAGCGTATGTTCACCTATCTTATGTCCGAGCTTCAACTAACACGTAGTAGACTACTCCTGGCAGAGCCAGCCTCCAGTCCTGCGATCCCCGATCAGCATGGACCAGTCTTTGCCTCATCCTCATTCTCTCTCTCCTGGTGGCTTTCCCATGGGATATGGTCAGCAAGGCGGTGCTCAGAGCTATTTTCCCCCGACTGGCCCCTCGGCCCAGTATCTTTCGCCTATTCAGCCGGGTGTCTCTCATCAGCCTCATGGTAGAAGGTAGGCATTCTACTTGTGTTTCTTTTTTAGTCCCTTCTAACAATCCCAGTTCTTCTGTTTCTTATTCTCTGCCCAGTCATTCGCCTGGTGGTAGCCCTCCGGCATTACCAGACCAATCCTTTGTTTCACCGTGAGTTTTCTCAATCTGACCCTAAAGTCATATCTAACATGTTCAGTCCTCCCTCCTATCTCCTAAACCAGTCAAATTACTACCTCCCTGAAACCTCACTACCGTAAGTCACCCACCCTGAATCTCCCAAATACATACTGACCATAGCAGATCCCACACCTCCTCAATCCCCGTCAGCCCTCACCCCCCCGCCCCCCTCCCCTCAGAAACCCTCTACTCCTCGCCCGAATCCGCCCAAGCATCCTCAGATCCCGAACACCAAGTCCGCGTGATCAGTTTCCGCCCCCGCCCCCAATGCTGGGACCACGGCTGCAACGGCCGCGAATTTTCCACCTTTAGCAACCTCCTCCGCCATCAGCGCGAGAAATCAGGCGTCGTCGCCAAGGCAGAGTGTCCCATGTGCGGTGCTGCCTTTACACGCACCACGGCGCGCAATATCCACGTTGCTCAGGGCAAATGCAAAGGCGCGGGAGGGTCGGGGAGAGAGTCGTCGAATGAGCAGTATTATTCGTGATGACTTCTCCTCTTTCTTTCTCTGAGCATTGAGCATGGTACATAGCATTCATTCTCTTCTTCTTCTGTTTGATTAAAGATTACATGAAAGAGGATATACCATATGCAAATGGTATCCTCAATTTCCTTTGTTTGGGTGGAGCGAATGGGAAATGAAAAGGAATGGCCGCGGTGGGCGTGGCCTGGCCTATTGTATATTTGGCACAGTACATATCGGTACATACATCTGTCCCCAAAGAAGGACTGGACTGGGATTGGAGTTTATGGGATTGAATTGGTTTATGCTTATACGTTTAGACGGTCAAAATAATGAATTTAGACTGATATATACTATCTACATCTCCCTACCCATACATCTATCTCTAAAACATAAGTAGTAGTCTAAGTAGTGCGAGCACTAAAAACCAACTCCAAATCATCAACCAAAACACAGAATGCATCGACCGTCCCATTCATCAGTTTCGAGTCATCCTCGCTCGGTGCGAAATTACGTCGTAGTTTAGAATTAGTGCCGCCGATACGAGGCTGGGATTGTTACTCCCCAAAACACTGATGATATCGCACTTAAAGAGAGGTATATGTACAACCCAGCTGAGATAACAAATGGTGAGGAAAAGATGCGCTGTAGAAACAATGGTCCCTGCATATGATGCTTGCCATGGCTGAAGTAGATCCAATGGGATAATGAGCCCCCAAGAGCCGCTCCAATACTAGAGATAGGGGAGTATCCATTTCTTAACCTTTTGAAGTTAAATTGATGCAATAGCTGGGCTAATATAAAGAATGTCACGTGAACAACGAACAGGGAAGCAAAAGTATATACCAGATCGGGTTAGCGCCAATAATGCAACTGCCTGAGGCTGAGCAAAGACATTTTAGGCACGTGTTGACATCACCGATCACATGACCATCGACGTACTTTCAATCGATCCATGCTGAATCCTTCCAGAATTCAGGAACGCGTGACTCATCTTCAGGATGTTGTCTTTCTGCTGATCTTGACTTCTCTCTTTTATTCTTTTCATCCTGATCAGAAGAGTCTGTTTTTTTCACGGCCAATTCGTGCCTTCCATTTCGTCTACCCGTTTGTATTCCCCGCAAGATGACTTTATTACTCTACGGCATAGGTGAAGTCTTATATTGTTTATTACCTTATCGCATGTTACGGCGTCAGTTATTGCTCTAAGTGCTTTCGTGCGATCATAAAACTTTCAATCTATTAAAGATACATAACATGGCATCGGTCTTTACTTATGACCCAGACCCTCCAAGGGTGTCGTCGCCATGGTCCACGTCCGGATCGTCCACTCCCCAGGCCTCAACTGGGAGAGGACTAGCTACTAGGACTCGTTCAAATACCAATCTGGACCGCGGCGATCCCGACTCCCTGGCTGATTATGGGATTACCAAGCTGGAACCAGAGCCTCAGGAAGGTCCCACCGAGTACAAGTTGCATCTGCTCTTACGTCCTCGTCGATTTTACACGTCCATGTCCACTGGTCATGTTGTCGGTGGCTCGTATCATTCCAGAGTGAGTTTGTCGACTTCGAACCCGACGGCTTCGAGCTATGAAGGGACGACTTCGAAACCGCCTCAGACGAAGTCGATAGAGAGTCGTCAGCAGCGATTACAACAGTTGACGACTCAGCTGCTTTGGCGGCTACAGCAGTCGTCGCCATTTCATTCGTCTGCCACTGGTAATCTGGTGTTGCCTGTTCTCCCGGAAACTACGCAGCCTGGAGTTCCTCCAAAGCCGGCTCGCCTACTTCCTGGTCTTGAAGAGAGCCAAGGTGCTCTTTATGAGATTGGGGTGGCGGATGATGGGACGTTTGTAGGGCTTACGCAGGATGAGATTGAGGAGAGTCTGGCTACTTTGCAGATCATGGCGGCTAGTTTGGGCTGTAAGGTGGAGGTTCTCCGCAGGGTGGTTGTTGGGAGGTGTGAATGGGAGGATGATTCGGAGGCTATCAAGGTGCATGCGGAGGGTCTTTGGGTTGCGGAGGCTCTTGTTAGTCCGGATTTGGACTTTTATAATGTGTCTGCCTCGGCTGAAGAGATATGTTGCGATGCAGAGAAACAAGTTGAGGAGGATGATCGCTCAAGGACTGAGCAGATTCGTGTCTCCATCACTGGTCCTAGTACGGCTGGAAAGTCATCACTGCTGGGTACATTGACATCATCTGTGCTTGATAATGGACGAGGAACGAGCAGGCTCAGTCTTCTCAAGCACCGCCATGAGATATCGTCCGGGATCACCAGTTCCGTTGCGCAAGAGCTGATCGGGTATGCCGATACACCATCTGAAGCAGTCGATGTTATCAACTATGCCTCTGGCAATGTTGCAGCCTGGGATGATATCCATGCTGCCTCGAATGGTGGGCGTCTAGCCTTTGTCTCTGACCTTCCCGGATCTGTTCGCTACTTGAAATCTACGCTAAGAGGCCTGGTCAGCTGGGCTCCCCATTATGTGATGCTTTGCATTCCAGCAAATTGCGAGGATGGGTCTACACTCGAATCCGGTAGTCCTGCAGAGGCTACGGATATCAGTTTGGCACTGTCGCATTTGGATCTTTGCATCAAGCTGGAGGTCCCCATTGTGGTCTTAATAACCAAGATGGACCTTGCCTCTCGCGCAGGTTTGAGAAACAATCTCACCAAAGTTCTGTCAGCGCTGAAACTCGCCGGCAAAAAACCTGCAATGCTGCCTGTTGGCAAGAGCGTTGATCTGCAGCAAATAGATGAAACGGACACCCGGGAAGTAAAGAAAATAATCGATGGGACTGATGGGGATCTATCTTCGACGGTTCCTATAGTCCTCACAAGTGCAGTCGATGGCTCGGGCATTGGCAAGTTACATGCCTTTCTTCGGCACCTTCCCGTCCCTGAGAGGCCTCCAATGAGGAGCATTAGCTTGCCCAACACTACGCCTTCCCAGCACCTTCCTGCCAATATCTTCGATATTGATGAGGTATTTGCTATTCCTCCGTCCAAAGTCTATTCGATGTCTTCCCAACAAACTCCCGAGGAAAACCAGGGCGTTGTGCTATGCGGTCTAGTCCGGTATGGGGCCATCTCGGTAGGAGATGAACTGGTCATTGGTCCTCTTTTGGCCAATACGCAGACAGATCACGCCAATACCAATACCCAGTTGCGGAGCCGGTCCGAACAGCATTCGGATACGCCGATGCATGACCGGGCACTCCGAAGCAGATCATCGTCTGGAGAGTTCTCCACCTCCTTTACCCAGGGATTCCTTTCCGGCAAGGCATCTTTCCCTGCCCAGGCACAGTGGCAACGAGTTCGTGTCGTCAGCGTCAGATTTCTCAGGCTGTCGGTCCGCAAGCTTACTCAGGACCAAGTGGGTACCATTGGTATTGAGCCGGTTCCTTCGCCTCAAGATGATCAGCCCCCACGGCTAGGCAGACTTCGAAAGGGCACGGTCCTGGCAAGCTTCTATCCGTCTCCTTCAATTCCCAAAACTTTGCTCTTTCACACAGGATTTGTCGCCACCTTTCCATCTAGCGAGTTTTCCTCGTCGGCGTCGCCGCCTTTGCTCCTGGGTGGAAATGCCATCGTTTACATTGCCAATATTCGCACTACTGTAAAGGCGACCTGTGTGACCCTGGCAGAAAACGAGGTCATATCGTCTCCACCATCGCCTACGGAACCGGAATTCTTCAGCTTTGATGGCGACAGCCCGGACAAAGAAAAGGATAAGAACCTCGATCAATCTGGTGCTGAAGTCAACAAGGTGATAAGTTCTTCTGATAACCCCGAGCAAGGAGATATCAAAATAGCTTTCTCCTTTGTCACGTCAGTAGAATGGGTTGAAGTTGGATCTCGAGTTCTTCTCATGCCTGGAATGTCCCTGAGTTCACCAGCTATTTCTGGCTCTGTATCACCTTCGGGTCTTGAGGGGTTTGTGGGCAGAGTCTGTGATGTTCTACATGAGGATTCTGGATTGAAATGACTTTCCATTTGTTTCTGTTAATTAGTCTGATTTAGCCATAATTCTATTTGCATTTATTCCATCATTCAATCTATCTATTTAGACATCCCACTATCTCCAAATGGCACGTGCGTCCGGGGAAAGCTACCGTCCCAAAGCGGCTAGCGTGGCAACGGCGCCTTGCGTCCTCTCGTCCCCCCAAGGCATCATCATCTCCTGCTCCTCTTCTCCCCCACATCTGGCGGCTTTGTCTGTAGCTTCATGTCGAGCGTTCGTGACGCTCTTTTCTTGCGGGCAGACCTTCCAAATCTCGTCTCGAACCTCCAGGGTGAGACCTGATACGGAATATGTCTCTGCTGATCAGCATATGTCTGTAATTGGCAGCTCCTCATCCATCTATTACCGCCTGCATATTGCATGATCCCAACAGAGTTAACTACATTCCTTGATTCAACTCTCATTTACCGTCTTACAAGACTGTTAGTTTTACCGCTGGTATCCGTTGCTAAAACATCAACGGTCGGGTGATTCTTGCAGCTTCCTCATACCCAACAACATCATCAACATCAACAAACAAACAAGGGAATACAAACCGTGGGCGTCCTATTAGTGTATTGTTTCTTCCACAACTCATATCGATACTATGGCCGAGTCCAGTACGTGTGCGCAGTACAGAGTTAGCTCTGATCTAGCTCCGTTGTCAGATGACGAGTCCATTTCCTCCAGTGCTAGTACGACTTCAGCGGGGTCTGAGGAACAGACGGTGGGCATGGAGGGGTCGACACAAGTTACGATGACGGAGTCGAAGGATTATAGTCTCCGGCAGGCTGTTTCTTTGACGGATAATGATCATGATCATGATAACGAGAAGAAAGTCGTTCACAATGATTTTGCGATTCCCTCGACCTTATCTACGGGTAGGGACTCGAAGCCTCTGCATTTACTTGATTTGCCTATGGATATTCTGAAAGATATTATTAAAGAGGTACGAGCGATATTGGATGACCAGCGTGATGTTTTGGGTTTTGTCTTGCTTGATTCTAATGCGTACTTCTTGTAATACACAGGTGACACACACTAATGATTTGACGTCGCTGGCTCTGACGTGTTCCGCTCTTCATTCTTTGGCCATTCCTCATATGTATTCTCGATTTGACATCGTATGGCCCGATACACTATCATCCTCCGACCATCCCGTCGGGGTGGATGCTCTCTCCTACGGCCTCGCAACCTTGGTGCTGGGTGAAGATATCTTCCACCAACTGCCTCCTTCTTACCGACCGGTCAGCCCATGCCCACATTGTGGATGTAATGATCATCAACATCACTTTGCTTCGAGTTCGTCTGAGACGAATGGCGTACCTCGTATACGGCGGGGAAATTATTATGCCCAATATACACGCAAGTTTTCGGTGGGAAATGGCCCGTTGATCTGGGTCCAGGAGTACTCCGTGACGAAGGAGACAGGGAAGATGCTCGGGACATTGGTTGCACTAGCTATCGCTAGGATGATCAACCTGGAGACCTTCGTCTGGGACATGCCGACTGGAGTATTGAGGGATGTGTGGATTGCGCTTTCTTCGCTTGCAAACCGACCGGGGCATGAATGCCGTCTGGAACGTGTCTGGGTCCGATGGCATGATAATTCCGAAAATGCCCATCGCTGTTTGTCTGGTATCCCAGCAGCAGCGGTCTCTACGTTGGCGCTTTCGGGCGCTGGATCCTTAGCTTCCTCTATGGCTGTGCCGCCCTTGGCTCAGAAGTACGGGCACGTCGAATATCCTTCTCTGTCTATATTACCTCCTCTCAAGAGTTTGACTGTCCTAGACATTGATGAACCGTCGTATCTCGAGGAGATGGCTGTGCTCATTGATCGTTCCCGAGATCGGTTAAAGGAGTTACGCATTGGTATATCTTCAAAAGTGTACCAGGCAGACTGGCTGAAACCACTAGGTGACGGGCCATCTGAACAAGATTCCTCTGTCAACATTTCAACCGGGTGGCCTAGAGTTGGTGGCGTGCTTGGAATGTTGACGAACAAGCCTGATACCCCCTCGTGCCCGAGTTCAACAACTGGAGACTCGCCGTCAAGATCTCAAGACCCAATTAATGATGCTACCGATAGTCAAATTCTGCAACAGATAAATGATCTGGTTCTGTCGGCAGGAGATTCGGTACAAAACTCGTCAACTACAGGTGAAGAACCCGATGTTGTGAATACTCCTGATTCAGCAAGTACAGCTCCACATCCATCGATCGACCTTTCCGATAACAAACATTCATCACAAAGTCCAAGCAGGCCCTTGGAAAAACCATATTCTCATGTGTCGGATTCTAGTACTGAAAATCAACAGCAGAAGCTGAAACTGGAGATCCTAGAACTGGAGCGTGTTGCTCTTTCGATCCCAGCTGTTTTGCAGGTTTTTGATTGGACCCGAATTACTACGCTTACTATTCTTCGCTGTGAAGGACATGAGAAGCTATGGAGAGCTCTTCGCCGCCAATACACCCCCTCTAGTTTGAGCCGGTCTTCTAGGTATAAGGGCAGTAACTCTCCGCCCGAGTTTCCTTTGAAGATCAAGCATCTGCATACTGATACGGTTTCTCCTTATCTTCTGTTGTTTATCAAGGATGCAATTGCGCCAAATACACTGGAAAGTTTGTTTTTGCACGAGGCTCCCATGTACGATTCTATCGTTCACATTGATGCGATTTACCGGAATGTGCTTCGCAAGCATAGGATGAGTTTGAGAAAGGTTCTCATTGACAGCACCGAGCGTTCCTCGAACGGGACTGAGATGAGCACCAATCGTTGGCGCAAGTGGATGCTCAATCGGGAGATGATCTCTTTTATTACCAGTGGACGCATGCCTCGGCTCCGTGAGCTTTCCATGGCCATGCACTCAACGGACTGGGTAGGTTTTTTTCTCTCTATTCTTTATTTCTACCTTTTTGCTGATCATAAATAGCACCTCTTCCTACAAAGACTACCATATATACCTCATCTTCGCGCTCTACACATACCCAAAATGGGTCACATGTATCGGGATCCAAAAGAACTTGCCCTTCAGGTGCTGGATATTGTCACCATACGACCTGAGGTCGGAATTGGCTACGTAGGAATCACGTCGAAATGCTTCGAAATACTTGAGGGTAAACGCGGTGATAAAGACGAGTACTTTGTTGACGCGGATGACACGCATAGTGATGCATTTGCTCCACCTGGTAACGGCTGGGCAGGGTCCGATATTGATGACGATGATTCCAATGACGACGGTGAGGACAACAGTCTGGATTCAGTCTCGGAATTATCTGACGACCAAGCATCCTCGGATGAAGACGAGACCGGGTCTGACAGTAGCAGATCGCAGGCTATCTTTCGACTACGGGAGATTCTATTCTATGATGACAAGATATCCATCTTTAAAGCGCGGCATGGGACTTTGTGAAGCTGTCCATGACATTACGCATTTTTATTGATTCGTTCTTTTTTTCTTCCTAACTGGCGTTGGCGGTTTGCTTTTGTTCTCCTCGAGATACCATTTAGCGAACGGTTGAATAGAGATGATTAGCATAACAATCTATCCGTACCTTGAGCTTGATTCTTGCTTATATGAGACTAATTTCTAAAAACAATATGGCATACGCCTTGTAATGTTAGGAGTAAGTACCTTTGGCGCTAAAACAGCGGGATTATATCCACGTCACGTGGGTCGGAGGTCTCCAGTTCCTCCTCAGCCTCTGATGAGCCGCCATCACCACTGAGAAACCAGCTCGCAAGAAAGAGGCCTTGGAGGAATCATCTATTACAATCTTAGCCGGTCGACACCCGCTGAATCCGCATACGTATTTAATTTTTCCTCGACACGACCGCACGTGCGTATCGGCGCGTCCCATCCAAAATGAAGCTCGTCCGGTGAGTTGGTTACTGGCTGTTGGAGCTTCCCTTCATCTACTCCCAAGGCTACTGGTTTTTGCTGTGTATATACTGACGGCGGTATTGCATTGCAGGTTTTTGATGAAATGCGCCAATGAGACGGTGACTATCGAGTTGAAGAATGGTTAGTCCCCCTCATTCCACCGCTTCGTTCGAGCTACCACCACCCGCCAAATACATCCAAATCCCACGGACCGCAAAAAAAAGCAACTCCCAAGACCCTAACATGTATTTAATCCAGGCACAATCCTTCACGGCACCATCACCTCCGTGTCGCCGCAGATGAACACCTCCCTGCGCACCGTCAAGATGACCCCCAAAGGCCGCGACCCCATCTCCCTAGACACGATTAACATCCGTGGCTCCACGATCCGGTACTACATCCTCCCCGACAGCTTGCCGCTGGATACTCTGCTCGTGGACGACCAGCCCAAACCCAAGAACAAGGCACGCAAGGAAGCGGACCGCGGCGGCCGGGGCGGCCGTGGTGGTGGTCCTGGTGGACGAGGTGGACGGGGTCGTGGCCGTGGCCGCGGCCGGGGCAGAGGATTCTAAGGAAAGAAAATTTGAAAATATCTTTTTTGAAAAAAAGCAAAATGGGTTTTTTGTTTTAATTCTTACTAGAAATTACTCCGTTGTGAAATGGGAGGGAGGAGAGAGGGAGTTTTTTATTTGTGTGTGATATCATATGCCAATTTTCGTTCGGTTTGTCATTCTCAGTCAGGGCTGTTATTTTCTTTTTTCCTGTGTTGTTGTTTTTCTGCATCTTCTGTGTGATGGGCAAAAAAAAGGCAATAATTCTATCAAATCTCCCTTTCTCCTGTGACTGGACTGTGACTGGGGTTTTTCGATGTCGACTTGAGAGGCTTGTCAGGATGAGTCGACGTGGTGATGGCGATTGACAAGAGAACGAAAACGAGGATATCTCCTGAGACATGATATGCACTATGAATGCGGAGGTTGCGGCTATACCCAAGTTCTGGCTGTTGGAAATCCACGATGGAAGCATGCGAACACAGCAGATGGCCGATGTCAGGCTGTGATATCCTGAAGAAAGACAGAAAGGCTAAAAGAACGGTTGTCGATATCAAATCTGGTGGTGTTCAGATATAGGACATCATCAACGATACTTCCGTTCGTCAATTGAGATATAATCCATTGGAAATGAAATCATTTTCTCTCTGATATTGGCGACGTCTATATTATTTATGTACATGTATTTTGCTTTCGTTTATAAATCCCGATCTTAAATATCCCTCCATATCCGGATAATCACCAACTTCTCCCATCCAGCCTGCTTCCCACTATTCCCAACCGTCTCGGCCATCCATCCACCTCCCCATCCACGAATCCTCTCCTTGACCTGTTCTGGCCGGTTCTGCGCACAGAGAAGCACATACGCCACACCACGAACAGGATGCAAGATCTCCGGAATAGCCTCTAACAGCCGATCCGTCGTCTCCATCCCATCCACCCCACCGGCATACGTCAACGACAGAAAATACGAGTCACTCTCGAACTTGGCAGACCTCGACATGGCCGCCGACGGAGCAGCCTCTTGCTCCTCAGATGAGGGTAAACGCGGTAACTCTTCCGAGGGAACATATGGGGGGTTAAACATGAGGACATCGACACTGCCAGGCCGAAGCGGGGTGCATAAATCCGCCATCAGAGAGGCAGTATACACCGTTTTCTCGGGCGATGTCGCCGATGAAGAGTCATTTTCATCATACTGTCGTTCTTGAATTGCCTTTTTGGCCGTCTCCCGAGTCGCTAGACAGGCATTACGGTTCACGTCTGTCCCCAGGGCGAGAATATCCCGTCTGCCAAAGATCTCTTGCGAGTTGGCTGCGACAAAGCCCAGGACGACGCCGGAGCCGGTTCCGACTTCGACGACGAGGGGCGAGGTAGAGTCTTGAGATGAGGTGCTAAATCGGTTTGAGAGCCAGGTTGATTCGGATGCTGAAGAGAGTGTGTCGAGGAAGAGGTAGGAGTCTTCAGAGGGTTCGTAGATGGTGTCAAATGAGACGTGGGATGTAGACGGTGTAGGGAGCATTTTGATTTCTTCTTATTCTTCTTTTTATATTGGCAATTCAAGTTGATAGAGCAGTTATCGTCAATCGTGGTGGGGTATGGCAGCCTTCCGTGGGGGTTTATTTCCCTGTCTTTCTTTTCAATAGTAAAAGAATGCTTTGCTTTGATTCTCTTTCTGGAGTTCCCTCTCTTCAATCCAACCAAATCCAATACAATCTGAACTCCGATATAAAAATATGAATATCTTCAATATCGGTTGCCTCGAATCAATCCCGAAGCTGTGATTCGACGTTTTCTCGCCGCCTTCCGGGATGCGTCTTTAACCGCGGCAGTAACCATCACCAACCCAACGCTCCCACCCCGACAATTTTCCAACCTACACCTCTTGCATCTCATTCTCAGCATCGCGAACAAAATCAAATCACAATGCGTGTCTTTCAGCGATTACTGATGGCAACCCCATCCTCCATGGGCTCGAAATCCAGCCTCACCGAAGCTCTCGCCCTCCTTCCGCCTCTCCCGCTGTACCGCCGCATTCTCCGCGTTCACCGTCGCAAACTGGAGCCCGAAATGCGGGTGTTGGGGGATTCATACGTGAAGAGCGAGTTTAGGGCACACAAGGATGTCGAGAATCCGTTGCATATTGTATGTTTGGTTTTGGGTTGAGGGTTTAATGGATGGGTGTTGACGATGTTTTAGATTGGTTTCTTGACCGAGTGGCAGCTCTATGCGCAGAAATTGGAAGGTGACCAATGGGCTGGGGATAAGTTGGATAAGGCCAAGGTGGATAAGATGAGTGGTATGTTTTTTTTACATGAGGTATATTGCTGAGATGAGTCGGTTGCTAATGGTTGAGTGTTTGAATGCAGATCAGCAACTTGGACAGCTTTATGAGTTGATGCAGGCGATCAAGAACAAAGATGGTGGAGAGAATGAGTGATCTGTGTCCGAATTTAGGACAGACTACCATACGTCAGAAAGGTCGACTTTGAACATTCGACGGCAATGGATTCAATTGCTGCAGATCGACCTAATCAGCGGGAATTGGGACTGCCAAATGTCGCTGGATGTCAGAAATGACATACATTCTGGCTCGATTGGCGCCAAGATGACAGACTCGATCGACTTGACCGACATGCTCATCAGTGTATATATACTACTCGGATTGGTTTTGTTTGTTCCAATGGCATTGCGTACTGGTGATGCCATTGGCACTGCATGTCTTCTAGCGTGGCGTTTGATGTATAATAAAATCAATTGGATTGATATAGGTGGACTGCAAGTCACTATTACTGGGTCGGATTTCCTCCGATATGGGATCGATTCTTTCCTTGCCATGCAGTCTATGTACTCTATAGCTGTATTATTATTATTCATTTTCACAGGAATAGACCAATTCCAAGCATATCATCACGAAAAACGTCAATATCCACTGTTACGCCCTTCTATCGACATGGGCTGACTAATCGCTGCATATATAGATCCCCATACAAGGATTGATCCATTCTAATTTTCAACCGCCAATTGTTCCTTGCAGAGTACAGAAGAGTACCTGCAGCAAACAAACTCATACATAACAAAATCAAAGCAAAAAGAAGTTAAAAAGCAATTAAATTAAATCGAAATGCCCGCCCTCCTCGAAGACCCCAGCACCAAAAACCCCCCTCCATCTTCAGCCCTGCAATCTGCCCCCCTCCTGCAACCCCGCCATGCCACCCTCAAAGACGGTAACCCCGTCACTCTCTACCCCATCGCTCACGGATCCCAGAGTATCCCCCAGGACCTGGTGAAGCTGCTGCATGGCGAATTCAGCGCCGAGATCGAGTCTGGGTCCACGTATCCCATGGAGGAGCCGATGAGTCTGGACAAGTTTGCTGATTACTGGTTTGGGACGTTTGCGGTTGTGGCGCTGTTGGGGGAGGAAGAGGAGATTCGGGAAGGGAGGAAGTGGGAGGAGGATTGTTTGGGGACGTTTTATATCAAGCCGAATTATCCTGGTATGTTTTCCTTTTGGTTTTGTTTTGTTTATTTCGGGGATTGTGGTGTTGATGATATTAGGTCGCTGCTCGCATATTTGCAATGCGGGCTTCTTCACTACTCCTGCTGCTAGGAATCGGGGTGTTGGAATTGTGATGGGAGAGACTTATCTGGATTTTGCTCCTAAATTGGTATGTTTACCTTTCCTATGGCTATGGGAGGCAGCTAACATGCCCAGGGATACAAATCGTCCGTGTTCAACCTGGTTTTTGAAAACAACGTCGCCTCGATCAAGATCTGGGAGAAGCTTGGCTTCAAAACCATCGGACGAGTGCCTGAGTGTGGGCGTTTGGCTAACAGCGACAAATTGGTCGATGCCCTTATCATTGGGAGGAAGTTTGATTCATGATCGTACATATATGATAAACCAGAATAACTCCTGTAAATGAATGGATATAATTGTCTACAGCCCAGAAAATACATGATGACAATGATACAAATGACAAGAATACATTGAACGCTCAAAATGCGAGTGGGGAATCACACGAAATGGTTAGTCCCTCGAAGAATCTGAATAGATGACACGCCACAAGCACCGGGCTATCTGCAAATGCATCGGAGGGAGGGAAAAGAAAGTGGGAGAGAAGAAAAATCCATGAGGTCAGGTATTCCGCGCCGTAAACAATAATGCAAGTGGTGTGGACATGGTCTGCTGTTCCCGTCGTTCAGCAAAGATAAAACATCGCATATTTATTAAAAAAAAGATAGAGAAAGCTCCAGGGAGAAATGGAAAAAGATTCGCCTTCAACAAGCATGTATACCAAAAAAATTAGCCTGCTTATCGCCATTTTGGCCGGTTATCTACCGGACGGCTTCCCGCAGCGCTGTCCCGGCCGGATCGGCCCTTGGGCAAAGGAAGCAAGCTGATGCGCCGGTTCGCCGAATGGCCAAGCGAAGTGCCCGGCCGTTCAGTCTTCTGAGGACTCATCATTCCGGTATCTTGATTGTGCGACACGCTTCGACTAAAGCTTGTGCCAGCAAAGCTTGATCGGTTGCGAGGCGCATTTGACATGCCTGTCGGAACTGGCGGTTTCCGGAGCTTACTGTACGGAGGCGGATCAAGAATCGAACGGGTCGGCGTCGGCGATGCCATCCGTGCAGGTGCGGGGCTACGGGATGCAAGTCTGCTGGATACTCGACTAGCAGACCTTGCCGCTGGTGGAGCGGGAGAGACGGATTGGTCCCGACGGAAAGGGTTGGGCAACGGGAGAGTCGATGACGGCCGCGATATGTGACCTGGCGCAGACGACTTGCGGTGCTGAGATAGGTTTGACATTGAAGGCCTGGAGAGATGGCCGACTTGCAAGTCGTTGGTGTTCGTGCTACCGTTCCATCGTGGGCGATTAGGGATTGGAGATTGCGGAACGCGTGACATCCTCCGGGAAGCTGGCGTAGGTGTCACTGCACGGTTTTTGGTTGGGGACGGCGTCCCACTCAAAGGTTTGGGGATTGAGGATTTCCTGTTCGTCAGGGTCGCCGCGGCCTGAGGCAAGCCTGAGTATCTTCGCACCTTGGACATAGCTGCCCGGGCGGTTGAGCTGCCTACGGAGCTAGCCCGGCGGCTGGAGGTTCCCATAGGTGTCGCTGATCCTTTGAGGCCGTTGGCAGGTGTCATGACTACCGACGAAGCAGGAGAACTCCCCGGCGTATCGGGGACACTGGTTGTGGCCGGACTGTCCATGGTGACAATGCTTGAGATGGAGTCGCGCAAGTGCTGACCCCTGACAAAACTCATATCGTCCAGCGATGAGTCCATCACTCTGATGCTTGCTTTCAGCGCATCGGTTCTCGACATCATGTCAGATAGTAACCTAAGCGTCTCGCCGTTGACCGTCAGCCGATCATCTACACCCTTTTGGATGATAGTAACCACACGCTCAATGGCAGGCACGTAATGCAGCTTCTTAGCTTCGTAGCTCTCGATACGCTTGGTTAACCCGGCAGGGTTGTTCAGATGAGCACCGGTCTCTAACCCTTCCTGGAGTTTAGAGATGCTTCGTTCCACGGATTCAAACATCTTCTGTGCCTGACCACCTGCATTGCGGAACACAAGGATCCATCGGTCCTCACTGAGTTCTTTGCGCAAGGATTCTGCGTCGGTCTCGAGAGCCTTGTAGCTTTTCTCCAACCCACTTCGCCGTTCCTCCAATTCTTGACAAGCGCTCGGAAAGATCGATTCGGCCCGCGCCTGAAACATGGACATCCTCATCGGCAAGAAATCCAAAGACGCTCTGAGAGGTTGCATACGGGCAAACAAAGCCATAAGATTGGAGTGGCTGGAGTCATCCTGGGGGGTTTGAATTATAGGCGTGTCCAGTGTCGGTGTTGCAAAAATGGGGCCCACGCTGAATCGTTTATTCGAAGCCATATGTCCGTTCGATGGGGTTTCTTCCACGATCGTCTCCAGCTCGTTGATATCAAGTCCATTGCTTGACTCTTGCTCCGCCGACATGGACCAGTGCCGCTTTTCTTCCATTTCGAAAATCAGTCGACCAAGGCTGTCAGCTTCCAACCCGACGTCTCCTAACACGGTACCCCACAGCTCTTCCCACTCCATCGCAAGTTCTACTTGCCCCTTGACGCCCTTAAGGCTGCCTTTGATATGTACCCAGTTGCGCAAAATGCTCTCCATTTGGATGACGATAGTGTTCAGACTGTCCGTGCTGACATTTCCAATATCATCCCGTAGCTGCACATCCTCGATAGCTTTCACGTAGACATTAACCAGGCTCTCAAATCTTGCGATGGCATTATCTACACCGTCCAAACCTTCTCGTCCGCCAGCTGCTGCCCACTCCACATCATCCTCGGCATCCAATCCACCTAATACATCGGTTGCTTTTCGAATCCATATTTGAATCTGTTCGGCTGCGCTTGTAAGAGCCTTGACAGCTGCCGGAGCATTCGATATCCCAGAGATACTGGCTTCCAGTGATGAAGGTTGAGGAAGGGAGATGGATGTGAGTTGAGAGAGTTGATTGCTGAAAGAGGCTCGCGAGAATGAATATATTGATTCCGTGCGTTGGAGACCCCTTGGATTGAAGTAAGACTGTGACGATGTCGCACTGGACGGGGGAGGTGGAGAGTCCTTAGGAGGTGGGGGCGGGGGATGCTCTTCGTCGTCTTCAGTGGTGCTTTGGACATATTTTTCGAAATCACTTGGATTTTCTGTGTTTAAAACCTGTTCTGGCTCAGGGGCCAATGGTGTCGGAGCAAGCGAAACGGCCGACATGGCCGCTGTAGCACCTTCGACCTCTTGTACTTCAGATGCAGGGGTTTCGTGCGGAGAAGCCACCTCACCCGTATCCACAGGTGTAACTTCAATGTGATCCCCGCCCAAATCTGCAAGTGATTCGACCCTGTCTACAACTGTCGGTGAGGCCTGTGCTGACTGTTGTTCTGGTTCTGGCTCTGGTTCTTCTTGTTGTTGCTGTTGTTGTGGCTGTGACTCTAGCTCTGGCTCTGGCGCTGGTTCTGGTTCTGACTCTGGTTCTTGCTGTTGAATATGTTCAACCGGTATTTCCCTGTCCCAGTCTGATTCCAGCACTTCCAGGTGATCGGAAGCGCCTTGCTGCCCCTTTTCTTTATTTAAACCCTGTAAAACATTCCAACTGCGACCTTTCCTCTCGATTTTAATGGACCGCTCCTGGTGAAGGTTGTCGAGCTCCTTGAGCTGCTCCTCCGGAATCCGACCAACAGCCCCTGGGACACGGGAAGGGGTTGTGACTTTGGCGTTACTACCGTCTAGTAGCTTCACGCGAGCCGCTAGCCCAGGAGATAAGCGACGAAGGATAGACGGACGGACGAGGTTTTTATCTAGTCCAGCGTCGGAACTATCATCAGCTTCGTCTTCGTTATGGCTGCTCCCGAAACTCCGTATACTCCGTAGGGACGATTTTGATTTGATGCGTCGTGGTAGATGGTCGTCTGGAGAGGAAATCGAGACCGTGGGCGTAGGAGGCGACGATACCAGCGGCGTGGACGCGTTGGTGTTAATGGTCGTTGGAGGAGTATCAGAGGGGTCGGTGGTGTTGGCGGTCGCAGTGGAGGAAGTCGACCCAGTGAATATGGCACGCATGGGTACGATGCACGAGGCGACCGCCCTGGCCGATTGCAATGAAGGGCTAAAGTCCTAGACAGAAGATGGCGGGCTGAGGAATGCCTCGTTGATGGGCAGTGACAAGGCCAGCGCACTCTCTTTCGTTCGCTCTCCCCTTGTCGGACCAATCGAAAAGGGATACCGGGTTATTCTTTCTTGACTGTCGAATAATAAATTCTCAAACACTGAGTTCTCCTGACTGAATAGAAGAAGAGAAAAGAGGAAGAAATGATCGGCTACATGATAGTCAGTTAGCGAAGGAGAGAGTCTCTTGGGCAGCGTTGGTGGTGGAGAGGGAGAGGATCGCGTCGTTCCGGCGGCGTGGCCTTGACTTTCCGACTAACGGTTGATCGGCCGTCATCATTTCAGGGTTTCAGGGGACATTGGTATTGAATGCCTTGCTCTCGTGGGATAAATACTACGGGTTTTAGAAATTGATTATTACTTGGCTTTATCTAGATACAAAATTGGAATTATTCGCAGTATAGCCAAAACATACAAGGAAAAAATGGCCAGCATTCCAGGGTTCCCTTCATTGTAGGACCATGGGAACCCAACTTGAGACTAAAACAACGGTTGGATTTCAACCCAAATTCTGATCAAGAACATCCAAAAAGAAAATCGATGATAAAATATGGAAGCAAGAGGCGCTGCACAGCAGGCTAGTTGCCGATTATTGCAGATGGGCAACATACAGTGCAGCAAACGAGCAGCAAGACTGAGGACAAGTAAGGGGTATCTATGTGGACAGACAGCAAACAAAACGAACGCAACACCAGAGCCAAAATCACAAATAATAATAAGAATACGTGGTTCCAATCATCTCCTCCCATCTCTTCAAACTCAGCACGGATGGCTATCTCGCCTTCATGCGGAGTAGGCCACCAACCCGTCGCTTGAAGGGTATTCGGCTGTCATTGTCGCTGTCATTGTTGGCTTGGGTTCCTCTTGCCAGTCTCGCATCAGTTCTTCCCGGACGGTCTGACACCAGGCGAGCAGGGCAGTGTCGAACTTCTTCCAAGCCTCGTCGCTGTTGCCCTGCACCACGCCCATTACATCCATTTCCAGCTTGGTTTCCCACCGGATTTCTGCAGCCTTGATCCAATACCGCAGGTTCTCTGCACATCGGTATGGCTTGGCCACATCTTCATGGAAGGCCTTGATCTCACAGAAAGGCCGCTTGGATTTTCTCACGGCCTGGTTGTGGATTTGCACAAGCTCTCGGCCGTCTCTAAGCCGTTCCAACAATGGTGTGGGAAGTGAAGCATCCTCGGTAGATGTCCAGGTCGGGAGTGGCGTATCCGTGTTCAACAAGCTGCGCAGAAAGCATTCCTCTCGTTCCCGTTCTCTACCTGTCCAGTCGCCCTTGGTCCAAACCCAACTTTCCCGTTCCTTTGCTTCCTCCTCTTCCAGGACGACTTCTTTGGCCACCATTGCACGCACGTCGGACATCCAACCCATAATGGCTGTTCGCTCTTCCTCGCGCAGGCCACAAACGAAATTCCTACCCGCCCATCGTTTCAGGACTTCCAAAACGTTGAAAAGTTCCTGTCGAATTTCACGTTCGTGCTTGATCGACGCCAACCTCTCTGGGCTTTCATGGGCGGTATAGTATATTTTGGCTGCCCGTATCGCCAGCGTGACGACATCCAAGATCCGTAAGCCCTGAATTTCGGGCCAACTCTGCGGCGTTGGGGGCGCGAATGCTCGACGCACTGGATCATCTTCCGCGTCAGGGACGTCATCCGGCGACAGACTAATCCGGGGCGGTTTCATGTCTGGAGGGGCCTCCGTCAAGGAGCCGATCTGCTCTATATCCCTCTCAGCCTTGTCAACGGCGCTTAGCAGATCCTTTCGCAGCGCCTTAAGGTCTGGTGGGGGCGGAATATAGTGCGTTTTGATACTGTAAGTGCTGACGGTCGGCGGAAGCATGACCTCATCATTGTCATCAAAACCATCCTCGGTCGGATCCAAATATTCTTCTTCTCCATCTGTCGTTGGGCTCTGAGTCAGGTCGTCGATGAACCGAGCGTTTGGTGTCAGCAGCAGCCGGGGAACCTCGTCTTGGTTCGTTTTCTTCTTCTTGTACTCGCGTGCGTGCCCGCCTTTGCCGTCTAGCAGACCAGTTCTGGCGAAATAGTACTGCAAATGGGCAATGCTTCCCAAGCTCATAACACTATCGCGATGTCTAGCCGACTCGGCGAACTCGGCGCCTTGTGGGCGGATATAGCCTCGCCGCTTGGTCGAGATGGACACGGATGACCTGGCATCAGCGGATGTCGCGGACGAGGCCGACAGCGAGGAGACGGTGGAAAAGGTACGGTCCGGAGAAGGGCACGAGGAGACGGCCGGTGTTGGTGAGATAGAAGGGGAAGGCGAAGAGGCCCGAACTGGAGGGGGGTAGACGGTCTCTGACTCGATAGACTCATCCATTGCTCCGTGCTGTTTCGTATAGTGAGGGGAAATATTATGCTCAGACGACCCAAATAGAGTCAACACTCGGGGGGAGGATACAATTCAGTTCCCTATGAGATATATCCCACAAGCAGACGGATGTGAGAAAGGACAGGTTGTCGTCTGGTCGACCGTATTAGTAGCAGTGCTAATGATAATAATTTAATAAAAATAGGGATCACTCCTCGGTAGACTGGTGATGGTGATCGATCGACAAACGAGAATAATCTCGAAAGGGGCTTTTTTCACACTAAAAGGGGAAGCGGGTCAATTGGCTCGGTGCCTGGCAAAACACGTCAATAAAAGTCATACACGTATTTATAGAATCCTCGATGACAGGAACCTCCGGGTCGTGCTGCTTGTCCCATGTTTATGTTCTCTTTTCGACCCTTGGAGAGCCCCCAAATCCCACATCACCACTACGGCCTCTCCCCTATACAAATCCTGCCTTGTATGTACTTTGCGACGCGTTGGGGCTTTTCCTGTCTGGGCCTAGCGTGCCCCGTGTGCCTCACTGCCCCGCATTTCACCGGTTTCCTTTCCGTGTCCGCAATTCCAACTCCAACGTTGAACGCGGATCGTCATTATCGTCATGTTCCTTGTTGTTGATTCATGATTCAGTCTTTCAGGATCAGATTAGGGCATTTTTTCTGAGCAGAGACCAAATTTGGGGTTCTGTATGACACTAACGATGGCTGATTCCATGGTACTTGCGGCCACAAAAAGTGAGAAGAAAGGCACATGATTACGTTGGATAAGGGTAAACAGCCGATAGATTCTATCAACTCTAGGAGAGGAGACACATTAAGGTACAGGACGGAAATTCGCAGAAACAAATGACCCAGCCAGTTTTTCAAAAGCCTTGATGAACAAATAACGCTTAAACAAATCCGATCCAGCCGGATATCACGACGACAATGAGAAGGAATTAAAGAACTTCATGTCTCTCCCACCCGGTACTTCTCAGATTCTCGATTCCCTTGCTCACGCAGGCCTTAGCGGGATCCTTAATTTTGGCCGTGTACGGATTCGGATCCACGGTCTGGTTGAGGTTGCCCAAGGTGTGGTTTACTTCTCTGTGCTTCGCTTCGTCTGCTCGGATATAAAGTAGCAGGTCCTTCATGGTCTGCTGGTTTTCGGGCATCTTCCAGTACCGGACAGCCATATCGGGGGCTTCTACCTTCTCCCACTCTGGAAGCTTTCCAGCCTCAATTTCCTCAATTGCCCGCGTATAGGTGATGACTGCTTCTTCTTCGAGGTAGCCGACAAATCGGTGACAGATGCGTGGAGAGATGAGGTAGGAGAGGAAAAAGCCGTTGAAGAAGACACCCTGCGCTCCGAGAACCATGAGGCGCATGAACAATCCGGGCTCCGCGAGTTTGAGGAAGGTGAGCAAGTGCATACGTTCGTTGTATGCTTCTTCCAAAAGGGTTTCGATCCTGTACAAACATACGGTTAGTTGGGTTGGAGTATCAAAATGGCCACCATGGGATCATACCATCCGTTATCCCTCTTCATCCGTCTCAGACTTCTTAAATGCCTCAACATTCCTCCTACCATGCCCGGAACACCAGCAACGCTCTCAAGGAAAACAAAGCGTGTGAGCCACTTCTTCTCCGTCATGCGGAATTTGGCTTCATTCTCTCTTCCCTTGGGAGGATGGCGGTATCCCGTCACCAGGTCCATGCCCCATCGTAGGACACGGACTGTACCGAGCGCCACCCAATCAGCCCAGTCTTTTGCGTCTCGATGGGCGACTGTGACCTGCTTTATCTGTTCATCGTTGTAACTAGTTCAGTCAGCAAGATGAATTGGTACAGATGTCATGATGCGACATAGTACTTACACAGGATGAGTCCATGCTGATTTTATGTCGCTATGCAAGGCAGGAACTGAAGAGTCCTTCTTTGTTTGAGGTGTGGAAGAGATGAATCGCTTGTTGGCCACTTGTTGGCGATGTCTGGTGGCTAGCGACGGGGTGCCCCTCAGCCCAGCCACGGCAGCAGCATTTGCATAGCTTCGGACTGTGAGGTGAAGGTATGATTTTGGAAGTGATGCCACCCTAATGGGTGTTGTGACTGTCAGGGAATTCATTGGATTGGTTGATGCGTATGGATGATTGTGATCAGATCCGGTAAGTAGATAACTTGGAAGGATGATTGTGTTGCTTGATGAGCATGAGATCCCAAGAACTACTGTCTATTGTTTTGAACTTATATGCTTCTATAATCTGGAACCAAAAAGTGACTCAAACCCCCTCGTCCCGGGATTCAACGAAGAAGAAACTATCATCAGGGGCAAAAAAAGAAAACCCGATTGACTGGATCCAGACAAAGGTGTGCTCAACAAATCGAACCCGGTTGTTGAAAACTATGTTGTCATTTAGGCCTTCATCCGGGCCGGTTACGAAGGGGCAGATCCTGATCTGAATGACTATCAGAATCCAGGCCCGCTTGATCACTGGCCGGGTTCCTTGAGGCCCAATGGGTCTGCAACAGGGGTACGAACGGCGATATCTCGAACATACCTGGAAGTTACATCGAAACCACCAACACCAACGACTATAGACCTCGATGACAACCCTACAAAATTCATCTAAGAAAAAACCATTGAATACTCTATTTAATTACAACCCCAGTCTAACTGGAAGCAAATTAAAAATCCTTCCCATTATATTCATGGCAGAACATGCCCTCCGGTCGCTGACGACGTAATTTTCAATCGGTAATCAGAATACGGTATCATTTCCAAAGCTGTGCCACATGTGACCCCGGATGGAGCCGGGATTGCAGTGACGAATGAGTCAGCCAGTAAAACCCGAAGAAAAGTAATCGGGATCGGACAAGGCTCGGTCTCTCCCGGTGAAGCTGCAAATCTTCTGTCATTTGGCTGGCCTCAAAGCAGACACCGGGATGATTATGAATTATTTTTGTTTGCTTGATCTATGAATGGTGGATAAGCTTTGACGTGGATGTTTCATGCTTCGTGTATCGCGGCTCAGATAGTCACATGCGGGGGCTGTGACTACAGACAACTTGATATGATACAGTCTACTCTGTACTTCCTAGACCGGACGGACTGTTGAGAATTGTAATTATCAATAGAACCTTGTTGCATTCGACTAAGCTGCACAGGGTCATTCTCAGCGCCCTCCTATCTCTAAACTCAAGGGAAGGCCTGAAAGTGACCGGCCCCAAGAGGCCAACAGTACAGCCCGCAGTGCAAAGCCCTATGATTGCTATTAATAGGGATCTTCGTGATACTATACCAAGGCTGAGCAAGATGCTTACTCGCCGGAGTCACGAATAACACATACAGTCTACCTACTGACCCTGGATTTCGGTCCTGTCTATCGCCGGCCTTTTCATACGGGAGCAGGTCTGCTCCTTCTGGGATGAGTTTTTCTTCCTAAGTTCAATTACAGACAGCCTGCTGACCATCGTTTCATTCCAGGGTTAAACGTTTTAGTGAGCTCAGTATTCATTTACCAATCTTCATCTACCTTCCTGGAATCACCCCAACAGCCATCTATTACCCTCGGGCATTTGCCCTTGCTTCCCTTGAAGCCCTTCGAGACAAATCCGCAGACAAGAATGCTATCTCGTGGACGCGATGGCAGCTTTGCACGACTTGCCAGTCAAGCTAAGCCCTTATCTGGCATGGCAGATACAGCCTCCCGCATCTCGATAAACGCCATCGACATTCCCAGCAGCAGATCGATTTCACGCTTAAGTGCATGATAATGTGAAGCATCTTTGTGGAGAACTGTGGTCATGGGAGGAGGCAAATCGTGCAGGCGAATGCGGGTACGAGGCCACCTCGCTCCATTATCTCCTGTCTAAACTCCACTGCTCCAGTTCCCCGGTGCCTATGTGGCTCGCCTGCACCCGTTGTCACTGCATCGTCTATTGCAAGTCCTAACTGAACACACCTTGTGGCAGCTCCTAAGCGGCCGCTTGTTCGTTATAGGCAGTATACATACAATACTAACAAGCAAGGGTGCGTGAGTCACAGGGCTTCCACCCTTTCACCGGTAAAGGTAGGATAACTTGATTCCTTACGGCTACCCACCATGTCAGTCCAGCTCTAAAGTTTCGACTTCGCGTGCTGTCAAGGACCCAACTATTTTACCTCCCAGTGAAGCTCCTTGGCTAGCTAGTTTCCCAGTTATCCTCACGATAAAACTAGTGCTTGGATGAAGCTAAGCTTTAGAGGCAATCTTATGGCCCAAAAGGCGTAATATAGAGACCGGTATCCAGGCAATCTTGAGCAGCTCTCTAGCCACTTTCATGATGACAGCAAAGCCCCGAATTACATCTTGAGCCCGAGGGCCGAGGGAAGATAAACCTACGGAAAGAGTTACACGAAAACAAAGAGACGAGCAAACGTGCTACCGCAGCTCGCCAGACAGGGAGGTTGTTGAACTGATTTCGAGGATGGGAGGAAGCCACTAGCCCTTCAGGACTTAATTGCCTAAAAGGGTCATCGAGTGCAACATTAGTCTAGACCAGGCATCCTCACAATTTCATGCAGATGGATCTGTTCCCACTTCAGTATTAACTCATTCCATCCCAGGGGCCTTAACCTTGCCTAAGATGGCCCAGTTTATCATGTTCCCCAAGATGGTGGATTGGAGACGTCAGCCGGGACTTAAGTTGCTCCAGCACATTCTCTTAGATTTAGACTTGATGCTTGTATCAGTCCTAATCGCCAGATTCCACATTACCTTCCATGGCTGCTTTATGGGGCTATCTTAAGAGTATATGACGGTTATGTATGGATATGAAAGTAAATACAGAAAAGTGGTAATGGCCATCTTGACAACTGTATATCGGTCGTCTGATCTTTAAAACGAGCCAGAGTGTTAAGTTTACAAATACGTCAAAGATCCTCATGGGTCTTGATCTGTAATTTTATAGTGGTGGTCAAACTGGTTGCGATCACATGCCACTCATGCTGCATCTTTTCTCAATTGCCCATCCTTTCTTTTTATGAAAACATAAATCAATGAAGTAGACATTATCCCACAGGCAATACTAGCTAATTGGCCAACTCGTCATCCATATACTCAGGACACATGAAGAATACCGGATAAGCAAGCACATGAACATCAAGACACGCTTGGGACAACGAAGACCCGGCCGGAGAAAACCGGCAATCATCAACACCGGCAAGTTAAACGAGATTAAGCATGAAACGCAGATCAAGGCTCCGAGTGGAAGGCTGAATCCGAGGTCCGTTTAACCCCGAAATGATCTTCGCCATCCTGGGGTGTTAGATCTTTCTTCTCCAACTTGACGACATGTGCAAGACGAGGGCCTCTGTCGATGTCCTTTAGCAGCTTCTGTACGGATTCCGAATCGCCCTGGGCTTCTCCTTCTACCTGTGTCTGGGATTTAGTCTGTGTGATACTGCATAGAGGGTCTTAAAGCATGGTGATGATGATGATGCAGAGGCTATGTGTGACGAACCCTTCCACAGGTGGTATTTTTCACCCAGCCCTTTAGACCATGCTCAGTAGCACGCTTCTGTGTAAAATCACTGCGCTCAGTCAGTCGATTTCGTATGACACATGAGAGCGGGATGCAGAGTCGTACCGAAATCCAACACCTGTGAGACATTGAAATCGAGTCAATGATCACTTTCTTTGACGGTAATTACACAATATTCGGTGATGCATATGCTCCCATCACGATATTGCTACAAGTGAAACCAATGAAATTATTGGAGCTCTTGCCTTGGACAGTGCCGTGGACTTTGAATGCAATCTAGCCCAAGATATCAGCACGGATGACGTATGGTGGGGTAGAGGGAATAGTGTCAACTTGGGGTCTATGGTGGAGATACATACGCGAATTGCGGACATCATGAATGTGGAAGATATTCCCTAGAAGGACCAACCTTTGTGATATTGTTTAATTCATTGATGATGTTGATGACGATTCACTGTTTGATTCAAGGCAAGTTGATATCACCAGTTGAGTGTGGATTAGTAACTGTTGCCTGAGGTGTATATCTGATATTTATGGTTAGACTCATTGATTGACATACCGAGATAGGTTAGAGCGTCAGTCCAAATACAGCAATTATTACCCAAAAGGGCTTGACTGAGCCAGGATCTAACCAAATTCGATAATAGTTTAGCCAATCAGCGTTACTATTTTTGATTATGAAACTTAGTCATCCGAGATCTAATTCGAGGCGATTGTTTATGCAACCAAACAGCTGCACAGATAGCTATACAGCTACAGAGATAAATACGACTATGATAAATATGAGTTACAGTAATTAAGATCATATACGGAGTATAAGCACCATAACCGCACGGCTGCTGGACTGGTTACGATGAGCTCCTTGTACTACCCGATCTCCGCCCCTGAACCACTTGAAATGCTCCGTAATGCTCTCCGCAATCCATCAAGAATAATCTCACTGCTCCCCTCCACGCTTCTTTGAGGGGCTTGAGGGCACGCAATGCTGGTGCTAAAATGACGTCCATAATATCCTGGTTGCGACGGCTATACTCTCTCGACACTCTCGATACGCGATTCACCTCCTCTGCCAACACTCCTCTCAAGACAGCAGCTGACACGCGACCAGCCTCTGCCAAAGATGCCCGTGCAAATGCCATTGCCAGCGGTGCTTCGCCGTCGAAATGGCGAACGCCTGAGTTCTTCATCTATTATGTGGTCTTTATCGTTTTGGTGCCTTTGATGTTCAAAACTGTCATTGATGTTTCTCAAAGTAAGGCCAGGTGGATTCAGCTCCGGGTGCGGTGCTGAATGTTGATGCTGACTGAAACAACAGAGAGCCATCCGACCTATTCGACTTACGAAGAGCTTCTTTCACCTGGCTGGATTCCTGGCCGTCAAGTGGTAAGTTTCCCTGCACGTCTCCTACGGGATTTCACTAATGGACCCTTTCTGGGACAGGACAACTCCGATGCGCAGTACGCCAGCTTCCGCGATAACATACCCTACCTCTTCCTGCTCTTAATCGCCCACCCCCTACTCCGCCGTGTATATGATACCTATGTGCGCCCTTCCAGCACGACAGCAGCTCCTCTCGCAGGGGACGCTCGGCTTTGCCAACGTATACAATTCGATTTCTACTTTGCCCTGGTGTTCATCACGGCGCTCCATGGCGTATCTGCATTCAAGGTCCTCGCTATCTTGTATGCGAACTACAAGATTGCAAAATCAATTCCCAGATCTTACATCCCCGCGGTTACCTGGATATTCAACATCTGTACCCTGTTCGCCAACGAGCTATTTTCTGGATACCCGCTTGCGCGCATCGCTGCGTTTTTGGTGTCAGAGGTCCCGGGACAGAAAGAAGCCGCTCTGGTGACATGGGCTAAGGCTATTGATGGAATTGGAGGCATAATGCCCCGATGGGAAATTCTGTTCAATATCACGGTTCTGCGATTGATAAGTTACAATATGGACTACTATTGGAGCTTGGATTACCCAGCCGCGAGCCCCATTGAAGTAAGTCCTTCTTAGTTCTAACTCTGCAACTCATGACTGACAGCCATAAGAAGAAGCAACTCGATCCGGCGTCATTGTCAGACCGTGATCGCGTCAGAATCCCAGCGGAGCCTTCGGCATTCAATGCGCGAAATTACGTCGCTTATGTGCTCTACTCTCCACTATATTTAACAGGTCCCATATTGACTTTCAACGACTACATCGCCCAACAAAAATATGCGCCACCCTCTCTCACTCGCTCTAGAACTATTCTATACGGAATTCGTTTATTCCTCACTGTCCTCTGCATGGAGCTTGTCCTGCATTACATCTACGTCGTGGCCATCTCCAAAGCATCTCCGAACTGGTCCGCATACACCCCGGGCCAGCTCAGCATGATGGCCTACTTCAACCTGCACGTCATCTGGTTGAAACTGCTGATTCCTTGGCGCTTCTTCCGTTTCTGGGCTCTTCTCGATGGCATTGACCCACCCGAGAACATGATCCGCTGTGTCTCGGACAATTTCTCTGCCTTCGGCTTTTGGAGAGGTTGGCACCGCTCTTATAACCGCTGGATTGTCCGCTACATCTACGTGCCTCTCGGCGGAGCCGGAAGTCGCGCGAGTAGCGGTAAAGGCTCATCCGGCTTAGCATCCAAAGGCCGACAGATCTTCAACTTCCTCACCGTCTTCACATTCGTCGCTCTCTGGCACGATATCAACCTCCGTCTTCTTATGTGGGGCTGGCTCATTACCCTCTTCGTTCTGCCCGAAGTCATCGCCACTCTACTATTCCCTGCAAACAAGTGGCGGTCTCACCCAACGACCTACCGTGTTCTCTGCGGAGTCGGTGCAGTTGGCAACGTCTTCATGATGATGATAGCCAATCTGGTCGGATTTGCGGTGGGCGTGGACGGATTGAAGGGCCTTTTGGCTGGGATTCTTGGGTCTTATTCCGGCTTTGCGTTCCTGGTGTCGACTTGCTTTGCGCTCTTTGTCGGAGTGCAGGTCATGTTTGAGATTCGGGAAGGGGAGTTAAGAGCTGGTATTAACTTGAAGTGTTAACCTTTTTTTGTATACTTCACGGATAGCATATACTATGATAATTAGATCTCAGCTAGCATTATTGACTATGGACTGAAGCCGTCTTTTAGAGTGCCATGCTTGGCTAATTATTGCATTAATTGTGTACTCTATTCCTGGATTGTGTATTGATTTTTAAACATGATGAAAGCATAGACTTATAAACTTCATGCTTTCCTCGCAGTTCGGCAGCAGTTCTGTTTGCTTAATTCATGCTATCATGTAGCAAGAAGTTATCCCCGTTCAACGTATAAAAGACTCCTATGCACAGCATACCAGCCATAATGATGAAGCTTTGAATGCAGTGGGTATTCGACTGATTAGCCGTGATATTTCCCAAGAAACAAACCCCAGTGCAAGTAGCCTGGCGAGCGTCTTGTCCAGTATTTGGATTTTTGTTATCATCCCAGCTGCTTCTTGGGTCATGAGAATACCCCTTTCAATGTTGGGCTGTTATTCTGTCGAGTGAGAAGCGGGATGCTTCATATCAGCTCGTTTGAAGCTGATCGAGGGCCTGTTTTTTTGGCTGAAGTGCCAATTTATTCTGTAATTTCGGACTGATGTCGGGTTCATCGTATTTGCGGCATCCTGGAGATAACCCGTCAATGTAGAAGCCCGTGAAAAGACTCTCGATATCGATTATTGTGTGTATTGTTTCCCCGAACTGACTTTAAAAGAAAGCTCCACATCGTGAGTCCTCATGGACCTTATAACACTCAAGTCCACACGTTCTCACATGGCAGTTCTTGCATCGAATCTTTCCCCAGTACCCGCACATATTGCAGAAATGTCGGACTGATTTAACGGAGACAGGCGGGCCAGCGCGGGAGGCATTATAGGTCAGTGGCGGTTCAGACACGAGCGCCTGCATAATGCGATCAGACGGCGCGGAGGGGATATAGGAGCGGAGAAGAGGGTCATCGTCATGTTCCGATTTAATCAGCTGGTTCTTAGGCGTCGATTCTGTATCCGACGGTGCAACGCTAGGGGTCTCTGCCGGAGTCGAAGTTCTCGATAGCTGTGTCGTCGCTGGTGTTTGCTTTCTTTGTCGGGAAGATTCTGGTTTTGGGGTAGCGGGTGTCGTGCTCCGTCTGGATGGTTTTGTCACTTTGTTGACAGCTGCAGGACGCGCTGTGGTGGTCTGTTGGCCAGCTTGCGCCAGCGCAGCTTCTTCGTCATCGAGATAGTTTCGGAACGTCTTTTGCGACTGAAGGATGCGGCGCACGTTTGGTGTTACTTTTCCTCGCGTTCCTAAAAGTCCCAAGTAATCATGTCAGCAAACTACTCACTCCACGGGAAACAATATTGCACTCCGCGTGGATAGCCTCGCATACCTCTGCCCGCCGCGTCCTTCTGTTTCGCGGGGATTGGAATATGAGTATCTTTGTGGTTTTCTCGATCAAGCTCCGCTAGGTGTCGAACAATCGCATTATTCTGTCTCGAAGACACATCTGCACGGCCTGCAGGCTCTCGAATTCCTCGTTTCCTGCCGATGGCAGGCGTGATAGCTGCTTTGGCGGGATCGAAGCCCCTGTCGGCGACGTAGGTCCACCCGGGAGTGAGGTGGGTGGAGGAGTTGGGAAGAAGCTCGACGTGATACATGGTGTTTATGAACAGATAAAAATCATATTAATCGTAAGCTGCCTTATTGACGAGATATTCTGGTGATGGTGGAGAGATGGACTCTGCTTCTCCAGAAATCCCGTGTTTTTTGGGGCGTTTGTCGTGTTTGCATTGCTGGGATGATGACGCCACAGGCCGTCCATACTTTAAAGGGCGAAGGCAAATAATCTAGACATGATAATCTGCTTAATGATAGCTCTGAGAACTTTTAGAATGATAGATTAGATAGAATATCGTGTTAATAGCGCAGAAAATCTCGCAGATAGCAATCGACTCAGCAACGGCCAATGAGAATGCGCCCAATTGTTATTATTTTCGGGTCAAAACAAAGACAAGAACAAGCACCAGACATAGAGGCTTAAGTAGAAAGAAAGGAAAAGAAAAGAAAAGAAACAGGATATAAGATTACATAGAATCGCTTTCCTTGTTAGCTGTAGCTTATTTTTTCTTCTGTAGTTGGTCCATCTTGGTTTCCAGCTCCACGATGTACGTTTGGAGCCTATGCGTCGCTGATTGAAGGGCCTAGATGAGTAGCAGAGCACGTCCAAGTGGACGCGAGAAGTTGGTCAGTTTGGTAATCGGAGATATAAACGTGCAGGATAGAATAAACATGTGACGAAAGCAGAGGAAACAAGGAACGAGCCCAAAAGAGTGCCCTCGTGCCCCGCCAAGGGAAGTCTGCGAGGACACTGGACATAACTCAAGATGTTCGAAAAGGAAGCAATATCAGAGACGTACATTGATATCTTCATTCAGCATCTCGTTGGATACTCGGTATTCCCCGAGAATGTAATAATAGACAACTGCACCGGCAGCAACCGCCCCAGAGAGGAAGCCAAACATTCTGGTGCAACATGTCAGTCAATCCATATTGCACATGAATGGAATGGATGCTAATCATCCGACTTACCCTCCTCGAAACGCTCCAACTGGTTTTCTGGCAGGCAATGTGGAAGCCGCCGCATCCTTAAGAGACTTGGAGGTCGAGAAGCTGCGGACTGGAGCGAATCCCGGCTTTGCCGCTGAGCGTAGCAGGGGAAGAATTGTTCTTTGGGCAATCATTGTTATAGTGTGTATTTTGAAGTTGAAGATAATCCTTAGTAAGGTGGATCGGAGCAATAATGATGGTTATTGGGAAAAGAGTGGAACGAACGTGGTGAAGTTGGGATAGTACTTTGGCAGGGGTGACGTTGACATTTCCTCGGCGTTGACTCTCGGTTGAGATCGGCTAGATCAGTCGATGCTTGCATCTCTGCACCACAGCTGCATGGTATGATCTGCAACTGTCACAATGGACGTTTAATTAAATAAATAACAGTGGACTAATAAACATATTTGCATTTCATCGTTCTAAGTCAATCCCTAAAGGTATCCCAGACCATAATACCAAACGCCTCATCAAGTCTACCCTGCAGTATACACATTCTACCCATCCGGCATGTAATCTAGAACGGTTTATGCCAATGTGAGGTGTATTATATATCCCGAATCTAAAATGAATGCAAAGATATACAATGCAATGAAACCTCCTAGTTCGCCATGGTGCTCTCGTTGAACAAATCCGCTAGCAAATCATCCCGACATAGGTCTAAAGCCGGACTACCCATGCTATAGGTACTCTCATACGCATATATGCTGAGTCGATCGAAGAATGGTCGAAGCACACGCTCGATAATCTCATCCTTGGCTGTCTCCCGAATCCAGTCCGATATCAGCCAAGGCTGCTTCATTCCTTGCGCAGACTCGATCGCCTCTCCAGGCGTTGACGGTGATGCTGGAGCACGTATTTCCAAGCTATGCGAAACCTCATCGGCCAAAGCCATAGACTCCCAACGCTCTGGTGGGTAGACCGCATCGATGGTGTCAGTCACAAATAACCATTCAAGCAGCTGGAAGTCATCAGGCGCAAGGATAAGTAGGGTATCCAGAAGCTTGCACGCTTGTAACAGCGAGTAAGGGTTGTAAACCTCTTGGTTCTGTCCATTTGATACTGCAGAGATAGCTTCTTGGAGTTCCGTGTTGATCAAGGGCCAAAATGGGGCTAGTGTAGTTGTCGACGTCTTGAGCGCAAGGGCGCGGAGAACCATAAAGATCTCGGCCCTCGTAGCAGATGACGGGGATGATGAGCTGGTAGCCGCGAGGAGATCTTCGAGTTTCTGAAGAAGTCCTGTGAGCTCTACAATAAAGTAATCCTGGTTCGCGGACAAGATGAGCAGCGCAATTCTCCGAAGGTTCAGCTGGGCTTTCCGGTCAGCTTCTAAGCGAGCAGCCGATGCCCCTACACCGAACATGATCCCGGCGGTGCTGGGCGGGGGCAGACGAGACATCAACTCAGACAGCCGATCTTTATCAGCAAGAACCCACTGTCGCAAAAGGTTCATCCAGCTGTCTTTCACAAGGTCAATTTGGAAACCAAAGAACCTTGGATCATTGAAGGCATCTGCTATGTCCTTCTTCCATAGTTTCGCCGCAGATGGAACCTTGGCTATGTGCTGAAGAAGGACCATAACGCTGCGGTTAATGTTGTTGGGGAAAAGTCGTGAGCGAAGCATTGGCCCGATGACATTGGTGGAAATGCCCGTTACAGCTGTATTGATGCGGTCCGAGTCACCCAAAGTAGTGATGAAGGCAGGCATCGACGTAGCAAGGATGCTAAGCATATCATCGGGCCCAATATGCGCCATTGAAGAGCTATCATAGTCCAATGAGGTCCTGCTCATGAACCCTGAGTCTTGGGACATCCCTAAAGGCTTGCTCGTAAAGATTGCCGTCAGAAGACGAAGCAGCACATCCTGTAAAATGTTAGTACAGCCAATAATGACGGAAATCTTTTCAACATACCCCAAGCTCTTTTCTCATCCGCCGATCTTCCCCGAAATTTGTGTTTTCCATCTTTGCACCAAGAATGGCGGCAAATTCGACCAAGCGGGGGAGGATCTGTCTATGTGGGAAAGGGTTACTGAGCACATCACGCAAAAACGTAGTGCAATCTGCCCAAATTTCATCCAGCACATCATCGTCAAGTGACCTGGCATAGGTCACCAGGAATCCTGCTAGCTCGGACTCTCCAATGTTGGAAGTCATGGCAGATTTCCGGTTGGGATCCAGCGCAGCGGGATTGGTCCGGGTATAGATGGCATTGAAGACGGCTGGGATGGTAATCTTCGGTCGAGACCCATCCAAGGTATGGAGCAAGCCAAAGATGAGGGACGAGTTGTCAGAATCGGACTTAGTCCACATTTCTACCAATGTCTCAAGGCATTCGAGGGCTTCCGCAGTAAACAGATGCTCCAGAATCCGTCGGGATCTGTTTCGCATCCGTAGCGATGTATATTGGAATGATGCAAGAGACTCGGAATCCTGAGGCGTGCCACTTCGTTCACCCGCACCCCAAGACCATATGGAAAAGCAGAGTCGCACAGCGTCTTGAAAACACAATAAAACAGTAAGTCTGTTGTTCGCAGCGGCTGAACGGCCCTGGTTTCCATCCGAGGTGAATACTCCAGAGACCATGTTTCCGAAGAAGCCCTGGGATTGATCTGGGCTCTTAACAGCCGGAACGTTTGCTTCCTCTATAAGGAGACGCTCATGGGCAGTTGCAATGCAGGTTTCAAGGCCAGTGAGGAGAGCGATAGTGACATGCTCGGACCGGTCCTCAGGCCAATTTTGGGTCTGTTTGAAAGCGAGCTGAAGATTGGCGTAAGAAGTTCGAATCTCTTTGCAGAAACATTCTACAAGTGTCAGAAGAATTTGAAAAATAGAGCCTGTGTATAATGGAAGCAGTTCGCAAAGCACGAAGATCCATTTTTCCACAATTTCCCTCGAGTTTGACGAGCTGACACCCTTGAGCAGACACTCAAGAAGCTGCTGAGGAGGCTGAGGCAGGGTAGGAGTCGCGGGTCCTTTATCTCCCTTGTCACTCGTGAATGATAGTATGGAGGGGCTTGTGAGCCGGTCACGAGACCCTGTTCTCATATGTTTTGGCCTAGGAGGAGGGGGCGGCAGGTATGCTTGAGCGAACCGGACCTTCAATGTTGCAAGAAGAACGTCTATCATAGCCCCTTGGACAACGATGCTACCGCCTTCATCAAGCAATAGAGAAAGTCGATCGACAAGGAGGGTGTCGATTCCTGATTCGGCAAGCTCTTCGGCTCCAGGGCCAAGGAGCAGTTGTTGCATGACCAAGAGCGCAGTTTGCTGCAATTTCACTTCCTCGGGGCTCACCTGTGAGGCTGCTGTCGCGTGATCACTGATAACCCTCAAGGCAGCCTCAAAAATTGCTGTGTGAAGACTCCTGGGTTGAACATGCCCTGTAAATTCGATGAGTGATAGAGTAGCAAATGTTGGTGTAAGTTGAACTCACCTTCCGCTGTAGATCCAGCTTGGTGCTTATCAACTTGGGATATTGTATGGTTAAGAAGGATGATCCATCCGTTATGAGAAAGTGTGGATATAATATTTGAAAGTGTTCGAAGCAGGTAATTGCATTCCTTGTAGTCGTCAGGGGATACAGCAAGCGTTTCAGCATCGCCTTCAACGTGATCTGCCCGCAAAAAGAGATCATCGAGCTTCGAAATCACTATACGGAAGACTCTTCACGATATGTAAGTTTGCGTTGAGGGAAAAAATTAATCAAGCAACTCACTTGTGTAAGGATGGTAGTTCTTGGAGCCATCGCTGAACTCCTTGAGAAGCTTCATCAGGACCTTGAGAAAGTAAATCTAGAACTATGAAGAGAGGTCGCTCAAGCATCGAAGCATTGTATGAAACCTGAAATTTTCCTAAATCCTTGACCTGCCTTGGAGGAAGCTCATACGTGCCATGGTGGCTATGATTCCACAAAACAAAGTATTTTTCAGCTTGCTCTTCTGACGAATGATGTGAAGACTTGGTTGGTGATGCATTGATCATTAAGGACGTTATCGATGCCTCCACGAGATGGTTCAGCCAAGATACTGAGTGCAAGTGCCAGAGGCAACGAACTGCCTCGACGTGGAATTTGGGGCTCGACGGTGATAGGAATTGCCAGAGTTGTTTAACAAGTGTAGGGACCAAATCAGAGATGTCTTCGTAGCTTAAATAGAAACCAGGAGCGTGAATAAAGTATAGGCTCGTTACCGCAGAGGTGATTGAGGAAATATCTGAGAAGAAAGCAGTGGTCGGTTCAACTTGGTCCACACGCATTCGACTGCAGATTGCCGAATAAAATCGCCGGTCACTAAGAGCCTGAGATCTGGGAAGCTTCTTCAGTAAGGTTATGAGGACATTCATTTTCTCCTGAATTGGACAGGTATCATCACGACCCTCAACAGTTGATATGGCTAGTTCATGGGCTTCTCGAACGATGAGTTCTCCGATATGTGTAGGAACAAAAGGTAGCGGCGGAAGGTCAAGGCTGCTCCTGCTCTGCTCGTAGAATTCGTGTATCCTTTTCAAGATCTGAGCGCCATCGATATCAACCGACGAATCATCTGCAGGTGTCTTCTCAGAGCTCAAGCTTCTCGTAAAAGCTCTTTCTGTGAGCAATCCGATCAAGGAGTTCATCACCCTCATGAGCCCATTTGAGACAAGTCGCCGTTGGTCCCGAGTCAGTTTAGAGGTCTCTTGAATTGAAGAGAGCTCGCCCATCTTAACAAGAAGTGAAAGCACCAGCAAAGGAACGTGTACAAGAATCATATCTTCCTCTCGCACGTTGAAGTTTTCGAGTATGAAATCTGCAAGCTTCAGGTCGTCCAGCGCGTTGTCATAATGAGTATCAATATCTTGGGATTTCCAGTCTATCAAATCGAGAATTTCGGAAAATATAACCCCACTTTCGACGCCATCGAAAAAGGCACTGGCACTGCGGAAAACCTCATCAAATTGATTCTTGGGGGCTATGCTCTCGAATGCTTGAACATTTCGCATTATAGGAAGGAAAACTGCCGGGACGATGAAACCACCAACCTCCCACCGATCCATTAATGAAAGTGAGATTCGGAAGGGTTTTGCCCTTTCAGATGGTGCGCTCGAGCCTTGTCCAATCATCTCGAGAAGGCCCTTGACCAATAGATCCAATCCAAAGCGGCTGAAGTACTGGGACTGTGATAACTCCTGTTTATCAGCAGTAGGTGGACGAGAATCATCTGGAGAGGACTTGCGGCCTTCGAAAGAAGACCGCTCGTTGGCAGGCTCTGGGCCTAGAAGCCAAGCCCATAATCTCCTGTTTAAACTCATATCTCGGCGGGCAACGACTCCTATGGCTGAGATTATTAGTTTTTGGAGGTCATCTTTTGTAATACGCGACTGCAAGATTGGTGAATTGAGAGGCAGATGCGTCACAAGCAGATCTAGAAAATTGCGTTGAACAAGAACTTGCTCATCGGACAAGCCAGATGCAAAACATCGGATAAGCAAGCCAGGCTCCGGTAGTATAATTGAATCGGCTGCGACGAGCATCTCAGAAGGTAGCTCATTGGAGGCGTTTGCATCAGTCCCACTCGGCCTACGGTCTGCGGCGCCTAACTTTGGCAAATGACGGTTCAAGTAGGCCAAAACGCCTGCCCGTCTGCTCGGACTGGTAATCGAGGCAAGGAACAGGCATTGCCAGAAGTATTGGCAACTTGGGCCTGTTTCTGCCTTGGCCCCATGTGTCCCCATCTGATTCGCAATATCGCGGAATTTATTCATGAGGCATAATGTTCGTTCGAAATCGTCGCCTGTCTCTTCTTCGAGCCCTGGTAGCAGAGCCAGAATGATCGCCTTCAACGCAGGACGAAGAGCCCATGGTTCCAGACCACAGATGTATGTTTCGACCAAAGACAAAAATAACGGGCGGACAGTGAGGGAGGCGAATGTCAAGGTAGGCGCAATACCTGGTAGGTATAAAGGCAAGTCGTGCGATAGTCCATCAGACTGTTGGAAAACGGATCCATTAGCAAAGGTTCAATATGACTATATTTTATATCCAACAAACCTTGATAAGTCCAAAGATGTATGTATAGACCTCGAGGGCTTTCTGGTGGACACCAGACGGTAGCGTAGGGTTCAAGCATTGGGCGAGTCGCTTGGATACGAGCACTTTGTGAGGAACAATGGGTAACTCAGGGGGGTGAGATTGAAGAGCCTAATATCATCATTAGAAACCATTCTATCCACCTCAAGTCATCAAGTCCCACCTTCAGAAGGCGGCTGAGGAACGAGATATAATCCGCCCACTCCTGTAGTGCTGTGTCGAAGAGCGACAGGGCTCGTTCGACACTGGACGCATATCGACGGTAGTTCTTATCCTTTTTGAGGGGTTCTGTATTCCGAGAAACATGTTAGACTCCATAATATTGTTTCGACAGGTGATTCAGCAATCGATCGCAGACCTTCCTTTCCTCGTAGTCGGGAGCGCGTAAGAGAGCTGTCGGAGCTTGCGGGGGAGTTTGACCTCGGAAACGAGCTCGGATCAAGGCTCATGGTGCGAATGTCGGATGTTCAGTGGAGTAGAAGACTGTAGATCGCACCTCATCATATCTTGCACATAGAGATCGACCGTGCCTGGGGGATGTTGTGGTGGTTTCCAACAACTGAAGACACGAAGCCGAAAGGGCCAGGCGGAGGTGTTTTTGGTGTCCGCCTTGGGAGGAGCTCCGACCGACGTCAAGTCAACCCACCTTACGCGGCCAGCTCCACGTTGGGACGAACGATGTATCTTCCGTGGCTGCAGAAATAACTAGCAGGCCGTCTAGTGGGAATATCCCGGGTTACTTGGATGCGATACATATTGCATGGCCAAAGAGATCAACAGCACGGCTACTCGGAAGTAGCGCCGATGCGCATTCCTGGAAACTATGGACTCAACTACACAAGCTCAGCCACAAGATTTACACAATGAGGAAGAGGAACAGACCCATGAGGCTCTGGAGGCCTCATTGCCTGCAGAGCCTGTCTCGAGTGATAGAGATCGCAGCGTGAGCCCTGAGGGGCCGCCGCCGCCGTTACCTCCGCGGCCAAATACACTGGGGTTGTTAGATGAAAGCCCATCTTCTCGAACGATACGGCAAACGCCACAGGCAAACCTACAAGCAAAAGCTACGACAGCTGTATCCTTGACGGACATTGGTTTTCAGCAATTCCAGGATGGAGCAAAGGAAAACTACCCTGTTCGATCTGGAGGATTGAAGGCTAAAGCCAGTCTCAGCCAACTGGCCAGCTCCAAAGCAAGTGAAACCGGTGATTCCGCGAGCATCAGGAGCTCGGTCCCCAACGCAGAACCGGGCGAGACTGAAAATATCTTTGGGGATTTTATTGCAACGGATCCGGGGGTCATTCAAGAGGATAGCACTGGTCTTCTTCAGTTTCCAGAGTTCCACGCCGACAATGTGGATGATGATTTCACAGGCGAGTTTGAATCAGTCGGGGAAGTTGATGAAGATGGAAAGAATGAAGGTTTGTGATCATTGTACAGTGACCTGGCTATTATTTTCTAACCGATAATAGAACTGCTCCTCGAGAGATGGAAGGCGAAACGAAAGCACTACCTCATCATATCTGCTGCCGGAAAGCCTATATGGACGAGACATGGGGATGGTGGTTTGATATCAACTCATGTTGGTGTCATTCAGACTATACTTTCATTCTACGAAGATGCAAATGATCACCTGAGCAGTTTCTCTGCTGGAGATACCAAGTTTGTGATCATCACCCGAGGACCACTATACTTGGTAGCTATCAGTCAACTACTAGAGAGTGATGATCAGCTTAAGCTTCAACTTGAAGCCTTGTATATGCAGATTCTATCTACCTTGACTCTCCCGTCCCTCAGCCACCTGTTCTCCATTCGGCCATCTACTGATCTGAAACGACCTCTGCAGGGGTCTGAAACCCTTCTGTCAACGTTGGCGGATAGCTTTACCAAAGGATCGCCTTCCACACTTCTATCAGCATTGGAATGCCTAAAGATCCGCAAAGCTCACCGTCAAACAATCAACAATGCACTGCTGAAAACCAAAGACAAGGCTCTGCTCTACGGACTGGTTGTAGCAGGTGGACGACTAGTCAGCGTTGTGCGACCAAAGAAGCATTCTCTACACCCCGGTGATCTACAGCTGATCTTCAATATGATCTTTGAAGCTGACGGTGTCAAGGCCGGTGGTGGTGAAAGTTGGATTCCAGTGTGTCTGCCCGGGTTCAACAGCAGCGGGTATCTGTATATGTACGTCAGCTTCCTTGACATTCGAGAAGATGTCGACGATGCCGCGGAGAATGCGACAAAGGAAGAGTCAGTTGCTATCATTTTGATAAGTGCGAACAAGGAAAGCTTTTTTGAATTACAAGAAATGCGCAACGCTTTTGTCGAGGTTTGTCACTCCTGCTCCACAGTCAGACAAAAGCTAATACGCAGTTTCTTATAGCAAATGGAAAAGAACGATAGTATAAATGTTATCAGAGCTGCAATAAACAAAGGCAGATCCACAACCACCGATATCGTCCCCGGGACGGTTCTGCACCATTTCCTATACAAATCACGAGCCAATGTGCAGTTTACCATGTCCTCTTTGGACCCCGAGTTCTCCTCAATATCTCGACGTCGAAGGTTTGCTCCACCGCAACCATCTACATAATATCGATGTCTAACTTTCTTCTACAGACTAATGTCAACCTACAATAACCTCCATGCAAGTATTCACGCCAAACACACCCATGTCAAAATCCACCACTGCGTCTCTCAGTCCGCAAGCTCCTTTGCGTGGGTGACGCCTTTATTTGAGCTATATTGCGTCGCTGGTCCGAACGCAAACCGAAATGCCCTTGCGCAGAGCGCGACTAAAATTGTCGAGTGGGTGAACCGAGAGGAGGAAAGGCTGTTCATCATTGATGGTGCAGTAAGTACCTGTCCCCTCTAAAAGGTGTTTGATTAGTATGTAAACTGACTGGTTGCGTAGGTTTTCTGAGAGTTATCTCTGCAATTTCTTCAACTAGCTATATGATTTTATATTCTTGATCTTAGCGCTTGCAGTTCTTGATTGGATATGAGTTGTGATTAATGAAGATGATATTGACGATTTCCAATCTATCCCTAGATCTCTGCATATGTAAAGTATGGCTCATCAATAATTCTCCTGGTTCATCAACTAGCAGAACAGCCTTGCTCAACTAATCTATCGAGTCATCCCGGAGAGAAAACAGCTGGCGCATAAGCTCGTCCGACCGACTGCGGAGACCATCATGATACATCGTATTGGTGATGTACTGTTTAATACCCTTGATCTTTGCAGCTGTGTTGGTCGAGTGCTCAAAGTGGACATACATATCATCGACGTATGTTGCCGCGTAGACGGGGACTTGGTTCTTCGCTAGCTGTGCTTCGTTGTACAAGGCCGGCCAGTCTTCAGTTGTGGCGAGGATTTCTGCTGCTTCTTGGATTTTTTTGAGTTCGGTGTATGATTCGAACATGTCTTTGTAGATCTGTGTGTTGCAGGTTAGGTTTTGTTTTTGAAGTTTTAGTTGGGGTGTGCTAGACTTACCATCTCGCCCGTGAAGTAGATCTCTGGCTTGTTGTTGTCGATCTGGAACAGCGGGTTAGCTGATCGAAGCCTGTCAGCGGACCAAGTCGAGGCTTGTCTGGTTTTCATTAGCGAGTCCTCTACATATTGTGTCTTTAGTGTGAATCCTCACCCTTGACAATAAATAGCTTCATGAAGGATAGCATAGATGACATTGTTGTCGTAGCCACCATAGCCATCTATAGTGGTGAGAGTCGGGCGAGTGAGGGAGCCGAAGGTTCTCAGGTCATTCCAGGCGCGCAGGATAAGGTCTGTTCCTGGTTAGTCAATGTCAGAGGACCGTGGAAAGGCGTCGGTATTACCGTGAATGCTATCGAGACCACCTGTAACATGTCAGATTTCAGATTTTTAGTATAAATTAATGGCCATATTTGCTTACCGTGCATGCCAAACATGATACCAAGTTGCTGGATCCGTGCGGGTGTAAGTGTTCCCGATGACACCTTGACGTCGTTCTCTTCCAGATGTTTGATGATCTCCTTAACACGTTCTGCGTCCTCGGGGAATTTGGCGTAGTATGCCTCATTCCTCTGCTGAACCTTTTCTTCTCAAAGTCAGAGTCCATCCACATTGACCAAATCCAGTACATACCGTAAGTGCGAGCATAAACCGGATCCGGACCGTTGACAAGCGGAGGAAGGCCGCCACAGATAAAAGCCTCAGTCAACGCTTCTGGGCTTTTGTGTTGAGAGCACATTAGAATAACTATTGACTCCAGCAAATTGGTCGAGACTTACAACATGGAAAGATAAGTCACGGCGCAGAATCCACCAAAGGATTGACCGATGACACTCCATTTCCGTTTATCCTCGGGAGAGTCTGCGGTTAAACAGCGACGAATAGCTTCACAGTCACGAACGATGTTGTCCGCGCGGAAGTTCTTCAGATATTCAGCTTGCTTGATTGCGTTGCCCTGTCGGGCAAGAGTACCAGCGGTGATCGTCGAGCTCAGACCAGTACCACGCTGATCGAGAAAGAGGACCTATACATTGCAGATAATTTGTCAGTTTTGTAGTACGATGCTATTAATTATACCCGATCGAAGCAGAATTCTTCCTTTACTAGACAAAAAAGATACAACATACCTGATACCCCTTGTCGAGCACCGAACCCACCCAGCCATAATCTTGCGGGGCACGACATCCCATCCCCGGACCACCCTGAAGATAGACCAGCCAGGGCAGCTGTTTATCGTTTTTAACAGGCTCCGCTTGGCTCGCCAGACGGTAGACACTGCGGGCGAAGAGCCTCAGGGTGCCGTCATTAGGCTTGCTGTAGTCCACGGGGACATCGAAGAACAGCTCCCCCACGCGCAGCCTGCCTGGGGGGATGTCAGCCCATCGATTTATAACTTGTTTGGGGTATATCTTATTAGATAATTATTGTGTATGCGTACCTGGGACATTGTGGAAATGCCTCTCGATCAGTTTCGCGGCCATTGCCATTTCTCAGACGCAGCGATGTGGCTCTGGGGACGTTGAAGATGATCAACTGTTGTTGGCGGAGTTGGAGGGTCGTTTGTTTGGTCCCACTTGCTGCAGCTGCAGCAGTCCATCATGTTTTGTAGATGAATAAATTAGAGATTGTATCTGGATAAATAAATATTCATTTCTATGATATATAGTAGTTAGTAGTTATGGCAGTATTTATTTTATTTGTAACCCTCATAATGCCCGTGGAGAATGTCCGTATTCGCTCTGCTGAGTACTAGGTAGGTATGTATATATAACCAACATTCATCGTCACAATTCATTCAACTCAATCCAATTAAACTCAAATCCAATAAATCACTATATTAATTGATATATAATACTAGCCATAGAAAAATTATAAATGACTCATTATCTCTATCCCTGTAGCATAAACAGTGACTAATGTGCACTAGTCATCCTTCAGCCTAGAGTGTACGTAAGTAAACGCTGTCTATCCCCCGTGCTTTCCACCATTTCCACCTCATACCATCTTTAAAAAATAATTTATCAGCAATCTGAAGCAATGCATCTCAACAACCCCCAAAACACAATTGACCAACAAACAGACCTCCAGCATGAACTGTGGCAAACTGCCATGAGCCCTTGGGAGCCCGGCGTCCTCCCAAGCGCCGAGAATCTCGCTCGTGCTAGAGCATCTCTCCCAAATGCCCTCCCAGCTGAAGGAAATGGATTCGAATCCACCAAAGCACACATCCTGAATGACATTGTGCCTGCATTCAATGGCGGCAGTATCAGCCCCAATTATTACGGTTTCATCACTGGCGGGGTAACCCCCGCCGCGCTCTTTGCGGATAATGTCGTCTCCGCATATGACCAGAACGTCCAGGTCCATCTCCAGGGTCACTCGATCGTCACGGATGTCGAGTCTAGTGCGTTGGGTCTTCTTGTTGATTTGCTGCGACTGGACAGAAACAGCTGGCATAACGGGCTGTTCACGACTGGCGGCACGGCGAGTAATATTCTCGGTTTGGCCTGTGGGAGGGAACACGTTTTGCGAACTGCTGCCAGCAAGAAAGGAGTTTCGATCAAGAGTGTTGGTGAATATGGATTGTTTGAAGTGATCCAAGCGGCAGGTCTTTCTGGAATTCAGGTGCTGTCAACACTTCCTCATTCATCTTTGGGCAAAGCAGCTGGTATTCTGGGAATCGGCCGGGCGAATGTGAAGAACGTCTGCCTGGAGAACAATCCTCTTCGATTTGACCTAAAGGAATTGGAAAAAGAACTGGCACGATCGGACAAAGCGAGCATCGTGGCCGTGTCCTGCGGAGAAGTCAACACTGGCCAGTTTGCGACTACCGGTGACGAGGAGCTTCGAACATTGCGCAAGCTATGCGATGAATATGGCGCCTGGCTGCACGTGGACGGTGCATTTGGGATATTTTGTCGTGCTCTTGATGATAGTGAGGAGTTTGCTTCGATCAAGAAGGGATGCGAGGGGATCGAGCTTGCTGATTCCATCGCGGGCGACGGACACAAATTGCTCAATGTGCCGTATGACTGCGGTTTCTTCCTCTGCCGTCACTCTGAAGAGGCGAACGATGTATTCCAAAATGCAAACGCCGCCTATCTGACTGCAGGCAATACTGGAGGGTCTTCAATTCCCTCCCCGTTGAACATTGGCGTTGAGAATTCCAGACGATTCAGAGCCCTACCAGCCTACGCATCACTAATGGCATACGGCCAGACGGGATATCAAGAAATGCTCCAAAGACAGATCCGACTAGCCAGGATGGTTTCCGGATGGCTATTCAACCACCCGGAATACAACCTACTCCCGGAATCAAGCAGCAAGGACGAAGCCCTGAGCAACACATTCATGGTTGTTCTGTTCAGCGCCAAAAGCGAGCAGTTGAATCAGCAGCTTGCGGCAAAGATCAACGAGACTTCGAAGATGTTTGTGTCTGGGACGAGCTGGCAGGGGAGAACGGCTTGTCGGATTGCCATTTCCAACTGGAGGGTTGAGGAGGAGAGGGATTTTGCACTTATTTCGGGTGTTTTGGATGGTGTTGCTCAGGCGTAATCATGGACCATATGAAGATCATGTTTATGTTGAAATCACCCAGGTGTGATTATGAAGTCTTATAGGTAGTGTTTAAACCAGAATATAGTAATATAATCAACCAGGGGCACATAATCTTAGCATCATCACATACTAAAGCTTGCGCCCTCACATAGGAGCCATCTCAACAACACCAAAGCCAGTCAATATCACACCAGTCATAGTCCGAACAGCCCTAACAAACCCCTCATAACCCGTGCCCATTTTCCCATCTCCCACCATTTCCTGATCATCCCGAACACTCTCCACAGTAAGAAAGTCACCGTCGCGTAGCTCAACCTTCCATCTCAACGGATAACCCTCCCCAAAAGCAGGCAACTTCCACGCTTCCTGCATATCAGGTATCACAGATAGAGACGTACATAGATACCTAGTACTAGACATAAATATCAACATGTTCGCTATAGATTTGGATATAGAATTTAGCTCACCCAATAAGATGCATGTATTGGCATGACTTAAGGTAGCGGAGCTTCGGTTCCAAAAGGGAAAAAGCGCCATTTGTTCAACTAAATGACCCAGTATAGATAATTGATTCAATGCTGGCTCTCAGCGGAAAGGAATGTAGTATTAACAAGTGGCATATAAGAGTCCCCATGTCTTTTGCAGATCACTGACCATCTCAGGCGGAGAGCTGTACTGCTGAGTAACTGGAGATTGACCCTTCTTCAAAGAGGCAGACGGAGTTTCCAGTGCTCAGTGGATATTTGACCATATAAGGAACATACGGAACGATAACCATAAGTATGGTTATTAATGAATCTGTGAATGCGCAATTCCTACTGCAAATTGATACTACACCTATAAGCTGACTTACATGGGTTAAATATATCAGGAATTCATCTTGTTTAACATTTTGGATATATGTAAATGGTATTTGATATCAGAAATTCTAGCTTTTTCTTTACCTCCGGCGTCCAGCACCACCACCAGCGTTATCGCCCCGGTCAGCAATACTGACGACTTCTCCAATTCCAGCAGCCTCTTGCTCGTCTTCGAGAGCCATGACTTCTTCTCTGCTATCCCACCATTTCTCCTCTGCCATATTGAACGCATCTTTGCGTAATTCTTTAATGTTCTTTTCGAGTGTCAGACCCTTTGTTTTCAGCGTTTCCATGAGGACATTCTGCCATTCCTCAGAGGTACGGCTGAAGAACTCGCGCAAGCTCTCGAATGGACGCGGGATGGGTTTGCTGTCGTTTGCAGATGGTTCTGTTTCTTGTTCTTCCACCTCGAGTTGTTCCATCTCACGGGTTACAGATGGCACTGTCACATCGGTAGGAGCGGGAGAACCGGTATCCAGAGACATTGCATCCTCGTCTTCTTCTTCATCGTCCTCATATTCATCCTCATCCATTTCGTCGTCACTCTCTGCCTCGTTGAGGAGGTTCCAGTTCTCGGGCTCGTTGTAGAAGACCTCCTTCACGCCATCCAGTTTGACCAGATCAATCGAGTACATGTCATTAAATGTAAATTCCCGATCACCCTTTTCAAAGGTACCACCGAAGATGAAGAGAGTATCATCCTGCACGGCAAGATGTGCATTGAAGCGTCTGTGGGGCATCTCGAAACGCACGATAGCCGGCTTCTGTGGCTCTTCTGGCTCTTCTTCGACCTTGGGCGCAGCCGGCTGTAATTCCTCGTCGTCTTCAGCTCGGAAGCCGCCCTTCGCTTCGAGGGCTTTCAAATTCTGCAAGAGCTCCTCCTCATCGGCTTTACTCCGGTCCTTGGACTTCACCTGGTTGGCGAGTTGCTTCTTTCCGGGTGCTCGTGGGCGTCGCAAACCCATCGGGAAGAAACGATTCCTGTCGAGGTTCCATGTGTATAGTGAGTCGAAGAATTCGCTGTCGATGCCCTCCTCGCTGAGTTCGACATCATGCACACCGCCGAACATGATACCTCTTCCTTTGTGGTAAGCCATGGTAGCTCCTGCGCGAGGTGGGTTCGGCGCGTTGGCGGGCTTCTTTCTTCGCTCCCAGCGGAGAGTAGGCGGGGCAGTCATTGGAGCGTCCGGCGCGGGAGGGGTGATTCGGAGGAACCAGGTGTCTTGGTGAACCATAGGCTTCATGGTCATACGCTGGGGACCGCCTTTTTGTTTTCCTGCGCCAACGGATGCCTTGACGCGTGAGTATCCACCGTACAGAACTGCGCCGGTTTCGTGGGGCAGGAAAGTGAAGGATGAGCGGGGATCAGGCTTCATTGATGCTGTTGACAGGGTTGGGTTGAACCAGGTGTATCTGGAGCAGTCGTATACCCACAAATCCTGCAGATACTTGGTCTGCTGTGCGGTATCTTGGAATCCACCGAAGAGGATGATGTAGTTCTGTATTGAGATTAGCACGATATTCTGGAGGATCTAATAGACAGTGAGAGCAGACCTTGTAGTAAGTCATTCTATGACCACTTCTGGCTGGGGGACCCTTGCCCTTGGTCTCTATGCGAGTCCATTCCCTAGTTGAGGGGTCGAGATGCCAAAAGTCGTTGTAATGATAGAATGTGCCTTGCTTTGGCGATGAGAATTCACCTGTATAGCATCAATATTCTGCAATACATATCATCTGAGCAGCACAACTCACCTCCGAATAGATATACACCTCCAGTATTCCCTCCACGACACCAAGCATGTCCACTTCTCGGCAGGGGACTATTCGGACTAGTAACCTCCTTCCACTCATCCCGATCAATCAAATAAACAAAAAGATTGTTGAAGAAAGTCGCCAAGTTCCCATCAAAGTATTCACCCCCATAAATCAAAAGCTCATTCCGGTTCGACGGAGAAGCAAGCACCGTAGCAGAAGATCGCGGCGATGGAGGCCCCGACACAACCTCAGTGACTTTGAGGAATTTAGCCTGATCCTCTGCATACTGCGCCAGGATGGCGTCCAGATCAGCTTCCTCTGCATCGCTGTCTGCATCTCGTCCCTTGGTCTTGGTCTTCTTCTCTGACTTGGCGGTTTTCTTGGATTGCTTCGCTGCTACCCGCTCTTTGTGCTCTGCGGTCTTCTTCTTGTCCTTTTTGCCCATTTTGACTATGGTTTAATTCACTGTCTGTAGATATGGACTGTCAATTTTGATTCTTATTCAAGAATTCATGTATATGAGCCTGTTCAATTCTCCTCAAATAGCGGCGTTATGGAGTCTTTTTACAGTACATCGCGGGGTTAAAAAAAAAAAAAAAAAGCCACCCCACATTTAAATTACATCTGTAATCTTGGTACATAGACTTGTCTACAGGCAGCCAGATCTTCTGCAGCACGAGGATTGATTAAGATATAACAAAAATAAAGCATATAGGAGAGCTATTTGATGCTAACTTCTATAATTCTATTAATATTAGCGACATTTCCTCTTTGTTGCTGCTCGTTTGTGCTATACATGGATGTATTGAAACGCTCTGTATTACCAACTCTTCGGAAGTTTATAAAGCATCATATCAACGATGAACCCCAATATTATACTGATTTTCGAATATAGCATAAACCAGAATCATGAACTTAATACCTAGATTTATAATTTTACAATTGAATAAACATCTCAATTCGATCGTTAGGCGACGATTGATCCTTTCAATTTTCAATGTAAAGAATGAGTTTCACCGCCCACGTGATGACGCGTTGCTACGCGCCGTCGTCTTTTTGTCGGGTTTTATTATTGTGATGCGACGCACTTGCGATGCTTCGATGAGCGAACGATTCCAGAATTCGATACATCTCATGTTTTGCTCCAGACTATTGACCAAACCATGAGAAGAGGAATACGCCCCTATGACCCGGAATAATTTGGCCTCCCACCTCAAATGGCTATTAAACCAAGGGCCTTCACTCTACCCCTCCCTAACGCCATCTGCACGAGACATTGAGTACGACGACGCTATTGCCCGGAACGCTCCCGCTGACGACCCAGCGCCGCCAGCGAATTTTGGAAATATACACTCGGCTTCCTTTTCCATCAAGGACTCTCAAATACCCGCTGGGACTGTTGTCGAGGATTTTCAAGAAAATGGTGCGAAGATAGAGGATGATGATGCTGAGATGGCACGGTTGCTATTTGATCCGGAGTCCTCGAGCAAGCCTCGAATGCTGAGTTGCTCGAAGGATGGTTTGTCCAGTTCGCATAAAAGCAAACCTGCTCGCAAGCAGGAAGAATCACCGACGCAGCATCGAGGAGCCAAGCACCGGAATGAAGTTAAAGGTATGGTGAAATATCCCGCCTGGCGGTGTATAAAGGAATTAGGAGGCTGACAATCGCTAAAATGGTGTAGACTTTCAATACGACTTACCTTCTTCATCTCGCAAGATAAATCGATCAACAGCGACTCCTCGGCCGAAGCGTGAATTTGACTTGACATCACCGCTACTTGATATTGATTCCATTGACTTGACCGGAGACGTCGACCAAACCACTGTTTCATCAGGGACGTTAGAGGAGTTTGGAGAATCACATAAGCTATGGACAGAAGATGCTGCATTTCGCAAAGAGCCGGATGAGAAGCGAGGCAAGAAGAGGAAAAGCGACGAGTACAAATCCGACTTGTTTTCGCCAAAGAGACATGCTCCCAAAGTTCGTTCGCCGTTACGACCAAGCAAATTTGAAGATCATGAAGACCTTGATTTCACCAAATCAAGAAGTACTCCGCGTCTTTCGCCAGCACCTAGGAACCATGCTCCATCTCCGGCGCCTCACCGAAATCGCCAGGATCGAGTCATTGCGGATTCGGATGATGACGATGGAGATTCGTTTGACGAGTGGATTCCCGATTATGACGATCTAGGAGCAGGGACCGATGCGGAGCTGTACCCAGAACTTCCCATGGAGGATAATGATGTTTTTAATGAGCCTCCCAAGGAAACAGAACGGGTGCCTTCTTCTTCGTTTGATCCGAGAAACGTCTCCACCCAAGACACGCAATCTCAAATCTACAGGCCAGTCGACAATAATCCCAAAGGCATCCAACAAGCCAAACCATTCAATCTATCTCCTATTGCAGAGCCGTCTAGCTCTCAAGACAAAAGAGATCCGAATGTCGTCAAGTTTTTGGCTCTATCTGTCAACTCGCTGGATGAAAGAACATCTGAACTCAAGAATACCTGCCAAAAGAATGCGGAAATCGTCTATCAACGAGCAATGGCCGGAGAACCAGCCCTGGACCTAATTGCTGAAAACAAAATCCTTAGAGACCGGATAGATGCAATCGAAACTTTAAAGAAGCAAAAGGGGGCGCATGAAACCTGCTCGTCTAAAAAGGATCGTCTGAAGAAATCGATTATGCAAGTTACATTAGAAGGTGGCGACCCATCTAAAATGCCTGAGCTTGCACAAAGTCGGGCAATAGTGAAAGAACTGGACCAAATCGAGACGAAGATATGTGACCTTCTTCAGCGTGTCGACCTATTCACATCAGTACCAGCCTCTTCAAAGCGAAACCAGTCCAGAAATGACTCCCCAAGTTTGAGCTTTTCGCCTCAAGCCCCTTCACCAGAGCCTACTCGATCTGCAAGAACCGATTTGTATCCTAAGAATTCGATCTCGGCTGGAAGTCCATTGTTTGTGTCCCCTGCAGCGTCTGTGTCTAAAAGCAGCAAACCACGAACAGAATTTCCACCTGCCGCAGCAAGCTCATCATTTCATAGAACTTCAAAACAAAGTAGTAGCCGTGGAGCATTCGACTATCACGAACCAATGGGTAGCGACGAGGACGACTCTTTTACCCGCAATATGGGCTCTCCGAGTATCCCTGCGGCGGATATGGATGAATTTGATTTCGATGCCGATGACGCGGAAATGCTGGAAGTTGCAGGAAATCTCGATGAAGATTATCCTCTTCCTGATGATAATCATCAAAACCGCAAGGTTTTTGCTGAAACATCTGGAAATACTGCTCGGAATCCGTCGTCTCAAAAACCGGTAAACTACACCGCCCTCTGGAATGACAGCCCTTGGTCAAGAGATGTGAAAAATGTTCTGAGAGATCGTTTCAACCTTCGAGGATTCCGAATGAATCAGCTCGAAGCTATTGATGGGACCTTGAGCGGAAAAGATGTCTTCGTTCTAATGCCGACAGGCGGAGGAAAGTCACTGTGCTACCAATTACCCTCCGTTGTGACAAGTGGTAAAACCCAGGGAGTTACGATAGTGATATCGCCATTGTTGAGTTTGATGCAGGATCAAGTATCGCACCTGAAAAAACTGAAAATCAAGGCCTTTTTGTTAAATGGCGAGACAAAGAAGGAAGAACGACAATGGATAATAAGTACACTTTCGGGCTCATGGCCGGAGAAGGACATCGAGCTTCTATACATCACGCCGGAAATGATCAACAAAAATCTCAGCCTTACTCGAACTCTCGAAAAGCTCCATGGCAAACGCAAGCTTGCACGCATTGTTATTGACGAAGCACATTGTGTCAGTCAATGGGGACACGACTTTCGACCTGATTACAAGGAACTTGGAGAAGTTAGAGCCCGACTACCAGGGGTTCCTATGATGGCTTTGACTGCCACTGCCACAGAGAACGTCAAGGTAGACGTCATCCATAACTTACAAATGGAAGGCTGCGAAGTACTCACTCAAAGTTTTAATCGACCCAATTTGACATATGAAGTGAGACCAAAGTTAAAGGGAGCTGAACTTCTATCCAGCATAGCGCAGATTATTACGACATCCTATCGAAACCAATCTGGAATTGTTTATTGTCTTTCACGAAAAACATGTGAGAAGGTTGCAGCCGACCTCCAAAAGGACCATGGTATCAAAGCCGCCCACTACCACGCAGGCATGAAGTCGGAAGACAGAGCAGAAATTCAACAACGCTGGCAATCTGGGCGTTATCATGTTATAGTCGCAACGATTGCTTTCGGGATGGGAATCGATAAGCCGGATGTCCGCTATGTTATCCATCATAGTATTCCGAAAAGTTTGGAAGGGTATTATCAGGAAACTGGCCGTGCCGGGCGAGATGGCAAGCGTTCTGGCTGCTACCTCTATTACAGCTACAAGGATACAACGACACTAAACAGCATGATTGATAAAGGCGAAGGCAGTGCGGAACAGAAAAATCGACAGCGTCAAATGTTACGCAATGTTGTCCAATACTGCGAAAACAAAAGCGACTGCCGGAGAGTACAGATTCTCGCTTATTTCAACGAATACTTTCGCCAAGAGGACTGCAACAATGCTTGTGATAATTGCAAATCGGACTCTGTCTTCGAGGAGCATGACTTCTCTCAGCATGCCGCATCGGCCATCAAAATTGTCCGGCACTTTGAAAGGGAATTGAATGACAATGTGACATTGTCTTATTGTGTGAACATGTTCCGTGGATCCGTGAAACGATTTAGATCTCCTGAACATAAGCATGTCCCGGGCTACGGAGCCGGTTCGGATTTGGACATGGGTGAGGCGGAACGAGTTTTCCATCGGCTATTGAGCGAGGGTGCTTTGCTCGAGGATAATGTACTGAATCGCAGCAAATTCGCTGTCCAATACATCAAAATCGGCCGGCGCGCTGCTGAATTTGAAAATGGCCGCCGTAAACTAACGCTTCAAGTTCGTGTTTCGCCTACCAAGAGGAGAAAAACAGCACGATCCAGCTATGCGAGTCGGTCTGGGGCTGGGAAGGATGATTATCCGCAGTCTACGAATGTCTCGTCACCTGTACAATCAGCACACCAACGCCGTCAGGCTCGGTCACGACATCATAATGCCTTTGACAGTGACAGTGAAAGCGATGGGTTTGAGGCGATCCGGATAGCTGGCAAACCTCAGCGAGAGAGGACCCGCACTGTAGGCCCACCAATCACTATTGACTCAAAGCTCGACAAGCTTGACCATCTTCATAAAATCATCGCGGAAGACTTTTTTATTGTTGCAAAGCGCCATTGCCAGGCTGTGAGTTCTAATCATACGTTTCCAGTTATCAACAAGGTTGCTTACTTGGATGCAGTTGGTTATTAATAAAGGTCTCCGTGATCAGCCATTCCCGGACGGCGTGTTGTGTGAAATGGTCCTAAGGGTACCTTTCCCTAAAAGTAAGATAACAACGTCATCTTTTAGTAGCTAGTAGCATGAAGGTTGCTAACCCACGAGACAGGTTTGTCGGAGCTTCTTGCAATTCCCGGAATTGATCCCGTGAAGGCAAGACTGTACGGTTCTGAATTGCTGAAATTCTTGAAAAGCTCTCAGCTACGTTACGAAGAACTGACAAAAGACGCCGATAATGAGAATGGGGTGGTTCCTGACCCGAACCATACCAATGTTATCACTCTCGATAGTGATGATGAGTTCGGCGGTGCAGATGTTTTTGGGGGTGAAGAATTTGCATTAGGTCTAGAAGACAGTGTCAGTGTCGTCAGTCAATACTTTGACCCTAGTAGACCGAGTACGGCAAACGGATCGCTGGATGAGTTTCGGTATGCGCCTTCCGAGTCTGGTGGCGGCTCCAAAACACGAAAGCGCCAAGGTAGCAAAAAGCCTCGCCGAAAAAATGCCCCAGATTCAGGTTTCAAATCAAAAGGCTCAAGAGCCAAGCCGAGATACGGAGATCGTGGCGAGGGCAGCTCTTCAGGGCCGCGGAGAGGCTCAAAAGCCAAACAATCGCAATCGACCTCCCGAATCGGAATGATGCCTATTTGAAAGGCTTGTTGGTTTTCTCATGATATTGAGGGTATAAAATAATGTTCGACATGTCTTATCCATGTTCTGTTATGAAGAGTTGTTTTATTGCATTGTCAGGCGTTCTGTTAGACCCGAAGTCATGCTTTCTCCTTCGGTTAATGCATGGGCTTGGGAAATGGATGTTCTGGTGGGATTTAAGGATTACTGTTTTTTTAGCGGGCTATATATCATGGTACAGACTTGCGCCTCAATTATCTGTTGATTTTTTGTTGAGTTGAGCTTCATATCAATGGTCACATTGTTTCTTGGTGCATAAATATAACGAATTAATCATCTAAAGAACGCCCAAAATCAATTAATCTTAATCGTCTTGCATCACGAGGATGGAATTTGGCAACCTTTGCCCTGACCAAAAATCTCGATGCCGCCGAGTCTCGCGGAAGGTCTATATAAGAGGAGCCTGCTTCTAAGAGACTGTCCAAGAGAGTGTGCATCTGAGCCGCCGCTGCCTCTCTTTTGTTGCTCGGATTTGTGGTCTGGTTTTCATCCCTTGCTGTTTTCCGGCGGATAAGCTCGTCTATCCGCTGTTGATTGCTGCCATTATTCTCGGAGCTAACGGATTTCACTTTCTTTGGTTTCCCATGATTCGTATAGCCTGCCTCTAATGTGGCATCGGAGACATGTAACACGTCGCCGACAGTCGGTCCACCGCGATCTTCTGCAGCTAACATCGAGGCAAGGTGTTCATCGATGAACTTATGCAAAGAGGCTTTCAGGTCCTCCGTGGCTTTTTCGAGTTCCTCGTTCTTTTCCTGCTGCTGCCCGACCAACTCTCGAGCAAGCTTCTCAGGGCTTTTTTCTTCCTTCTGTGAGCTTTCATTTCGTAATCTTTCAATTCGCTCTCTCAGTCCGCTCGTTATCAGTTGAGCGTCATGCAAATTTGCTTCCTCGGCTTTTACGCGTTGGCGATTTATTGAAAGCCTCTCCCCCGTCATTGAGACAGAGATCTTGCTTTCCTTGACCAAGCGAGAAGTTTCCTCAAGGGCAAGCAGAGAAGGTAGAGGCGACCCTGGTTTTGGAAGTTGGTTTCCTGACTTGAGAAGAGAGTCATATGCCTTTTTGGCTCTTCGTACTTGGGACACTCGAAACAAAGGATCCGTGCCTGCCTTTGAGAGGTCGATTGAATTGTTCATTCGGAGCTAATTCCATGTTAGATATATTTGATCATTTTCTCATCTTAATTCTGCTGTCTTATCGTGCTTCTGCTTCTTCTGTCTCATCTTGGCATACCTTTTGTAAGTCATCCTCTTGGCGCTTCACTCGATCTTGAAGTTCCTTCAGAGTATCATCTAGTTTCCGGTTATAGGTCTGAAAGGCATTTGAACTGAGTGGCTGCTGTTGATATTCATCCTCTGCTTTTTGGCGCTTCTCCGCGAAGCGCTGGATCCTGTCCACTGGTGTTTGAGATTGGTCCATGGCTACCAACCGAGATATCAACAAAGCAATAACTATATAGCTAGATGAGTCCTGACAATCGTAAATCCAGCTGCAGTGTATCGTATGGCACGGTTTCTGTTTACCTTGTGTCCGTCCAGATGTTCGCCCGATAGCAGAACACGTGATATAGATGACGCCTTGCCAAACACGGCCTAGCGTGGTCCCGTGCCTCCCTCTTCTCGCAACATCATCTCTTCTCGCGACCCTCAGACGCCTCAGCTCTATTTATCTCCACCCCCTTTTTCGCGTCCCTTTTGCGTATCTTCGTCGTTGTCGCAGCTTCTGATAACCCTCACCTTCACCGCCTGCTGCCTCTTTTTTCATTTTTCTGCGACTGTTTTGACACCTGGTTGGGACGAGTCTGTTGCGGATCATTGGAGACATCTTGCACTTTGGGAGAAATCGCGTGTTCTGGAGAAGAAAAAATAAGGATTAGATCAAGTTCTGGCAATCATTTCAAGGCTTCACTTTACTCCCATCATCTGCCTTCATCTTCCCCATCGCCCAGATCTTCACGCTCTCCACCCGTCAGCCTCAAACACGTCCGATCCCTGAATCATTATCCTCATCCAGCACCAACACTTCTTCCTCCGCTCTATCGTTTCCCGGCTCGATCAGATTTTCCTTTCTCATCTTACCTTTGCACTGCTGCCCACTGGAGGAGCTCCTCTGCTTCACATTTCTGGCCCGTGACCACCCAGCATCTTCACTTTCCACTCGTCGGCTATCCTTTCCAGCCTCACTTTCTTCATTCTGCACGATCACCAGTCTTCCTATTCCATCATTCCAAGCACCAATTCCCTCTCCAATCGATCGCCAGCACCAGCAAGTCTTTTCTTGGGAACTGGTGTACATAGTCGATCAAATAAAGCAGACAGAAAAAAGAAAGAAAAGATTATTCTGACACTCCGACTTCCTGCGTAAGTGAAGCAAGTCTACACAGTTGACAAAAATGTCTGCCTCTCCATCTGCTTTGCAATCGACCAAGCGTCCTTTGGAGGACCCTTCTTCGCCATCGGGACCCAATGATCAGCCGGAGGCCAAGCGTCCTGCCTTGGACAAAGTAGTTAAGAGCGACGAGGAGGCCGAAGTCCCCAGTGCCGACGGCCAAGATGATACTGTTGTCCCAGATGCTCCCAATGGTAAGGGAGCTCACGCTGAGACCCAGCCAATCCAGTCGACCGCTTCCCACACAGAAAGACCTGGCTCTCAATCCGAAAACCGTGCTCCCCAGGACGAGTCGAGTTGGATTCATATTCGGGCTGTAATTTCTAGTCAGGAAGCTGCTACAGTTATTGGAAAGGGTGGTGAGAATGTGTCCCAGATTCGTCGTATGTCTGGTGCCAAGTGCACCGTCAGCGACTACTCCCGGGGCGCTGTGGAACGTATCTTGACCGTCAGCGGCCCACAGGACGCCGTTGCTAAGGTGAGTTTGCAAATTGTGCTCGATATCAATATCAGACTGTTAATCCAGGTATAGGCATTTGGTCTTATCATTCGAACCCTGAACAACGAACCCCTTGAAGCCCCTTCCACTGCCCAATCTAAGACCTATCCTTTGCGCTTGCTCATCCCCCATATTCTCATTGGTTCTATTATTGGCAAGGGTGGTGTTCGCATTCGTGAGATCCAGGAAGCCTCTGGAGCTCGTCTTAATGCCTCGGATGCTTGCCTTCCCTTGTCCACTGAACGATCCCTTGTAATTCTCGGTGTTGCCGATGCCGTGCACATCGCCACCTACTACGTTGCTGTGACTCTTGTTGAGCAGCTTACTGAACGCTTCGGAGGGCCCGCAGCCTCTGCTTACGCTACTCGTAGCGGTGGTCCCGCTGGTGCTGTTCCCGGTGGCATGCAGGTCGTGCCGTACGTGCCCCAGCCAGCTGGAGGCCAATATGGCCACCCTGATACCTTCAAGAGACATCACCCCCACCCTAACCGTGCTGGCGCGGGTGCTTATGGCGTCCCTTACCTTCACGGCCAGCCCACCCCTGCCCCAGTTGCGCAGCCAGCTATGCCCTACGGTGCTGCCGCCCCTGCCCCGTACGCCGGAGCTGGCCCTCACCAACCTGCTCCCTACGGTGCTCCTCAGCCTACTCCGGCACGCGGTGGTGCCCCAACTCCCGCGGCCCCTGTTGGCGGAGTTCTCCCTGGGCAGCCACTAACCCAGCAGATTTACATCCCTAACGACATGGTCGGTGCCATAATCGGAAAGGGCGGTGCTAAGATCAACGAGATCCGACACCTGAGTGGCAGTGTGATCAAGATCAACGAGCCACAAGAAAGCAGCAACGAGCGTCTGGTGACCATCACCGGAACTCAAGAATGTAACCAGATGGCTCTGTATATGCTTTACTCGAGACTCGGTTAGTAACTCACGCCTTTGAAAATCATTAATCAATACTAACCGCATGCTATATAGAAAGTGAAAAGCATCGTATCTAGGCCATTGCGCTTGCTCATTTTGTTATTAGAGCGAATCGGGTGTGCGGTTTTTGGTCAAAACAAAAGTCATCTATTACGGTGGTTTTAATGATTGCGTTTCGGGTATATCTGCTTCTTGTTGTACTTTACTGAAGGCGCTTTTTCCCCCTTTTTTAATTTTCGTTGTACTTTCTCGATAAATAACATAGTAATCATCCGGGTTTCTATCAAGTTTCGTCATCTGGTTTCACCATTGCATCGTTTTATTAAGAAGCTAAAGCTTTCGGAAGGTAACATGCTTCATCCCTAATCCCTGGGCCAGAGCGAGCGCCCTCTGCCTGATGGGCTTGATCGACTCGGCGAACTCCTTGGTCTCCCTCGCTGCTCGATGCGCCTCCACACTCTCCCATCCAACAGCCAACACATGCACCGTCGCATGGCCCGAAGGACTCCCCTTATGCTCCAGCGTCCCGGGCCGATTCATATATCCCGTCGCCCACGACTTAGGCCTAGAACTCGGAGGCAATCTCTCCATGAGCGCAGTGCGGAAGTTAATCAAGTCCGCGTTCAGCTTTAGCAAGTCATCCGGCGTCATCGAGCTCGGGAAGGACAAGGCACAGATCTCAGTCACGGGGTTCGTGGATAAGGCGTCTGTTTCCGAGTTGGGGGGTGTGAGGGTCACGTAGAGGGTGAGGACTTCGGTGCCGTTCTGGATGAAGCCGGGGAAGAGCTTGTTAGCATGGCTGGCCCCTCGGGCGTCGGACCAATCTTGGTGTATATAAATATTAGCTGGATCTTTCGGTACGATGGAAACGGGAGATGTTGCTAACCAACTACCCAAGCGATGGTGTTTTCATCTTCTACTGTTCTCCCCCATGAAGAGCTCTGGTATCCGCTCTGGTGTTTGACTGTCTGCATTAATCGCAGGAATTCCGCTCCCTCCTCGCTGTCTGGGTCTTCAGGCTTCACGGAGGGCTTGACTTTGAAGAAGATGAACTCGCTGACTGTTTGAGTCATACTGTCTGTGTTGATCGATGGTGTGGGGGGAGATTGTATATATGGAGCTTTGTTGATGGAAGATTCGAAGCTTGGAGAACGACTCGGGTGATAAGTCCTAGTTTTTATCCTGTTGAGTTGGAACTGAAGCTGTCGTCTGAGTTGTGTTTTGAGTGCAACTGCTAGATCATTGGCGAATTTGAAGTTGTGCTCTGATGTCACTCGGTATGATGTCAGCGGCCTCTTTTTGCGATGGCTTCAAGTTTTCGACATCACAACAATCAAGTCTCATCATTAATCAATTATTAGATATTTGAGTCCAACTGCCAAACAGGAATTCTTATATACAGAGAGACAGACAACCCTTGCTACCCTTGAAAGATAAATAATCATTCGCATCTTTTTTTCTCTCGTATTCAAACCACGCCGTGACCCGCTGTTTCTAAAACTAGCAAGACAAAACAAAATACACCAAAAATGTTCTACAAATCATCCGCGCCCCTAACCTTCGACTTCTTTTCTCCAATGGCCTTCTTCAGGTTCCCGACGAGGTGTTGCCTGCGTTGTGTCTTGGCCTTCCATCGTTGACTATCTTCCTTGGTCACCAGGTCACCAACACCCTCGACACTTCGAAGTCTGCTGACCCTGGCCGACCCGCTGATGCTAGATCGGAAATTGATGCCACGAGAGGCAGATTCAGGCGTGTGATAAGCACTGACAGGTACATCGACAGACCCTCGAGAGCCAGGAGTCGTTGGGAACTTTGCAAGGCTCTTCTTAGGAGTCGCAAAAGGCGAGCCTTCCCGACTAGCGGGAGACGCCGTAGTGTCAATCCCTAACTTCTTCAGCTGTACTTCAAGAACGTCGATATCACTACTCTTGCTTTCGGCCATGTTCATCATAGTAGCGATAGTAGACGCAACTGCCTCCACAGTAGGTCGTTTCATAGGTGGTCGCGGACCATTGGTGCTGCTATCAGGACGAGGAACATCCGCAATCTTGGCTCGCAGAAGAGATACTCCTTGTTCCAGATCGGCTAATCTAGCCTGAATGTCTGTGGAAGCTGATCGAAGATCCTGCTGAAGGTTGGCTTGCTCAGCAGAAAGCGGCGCTGAAAGGATGGCAGCGGCATCAGTGTGCGCATCAAGAGTCTTTTGAATGCTAGCGCACTGACTCCGCAGGGTCAAGATGTCTTTGCCTAAGAGCTCTCTACACTGATCCAACTTCTCTTCCACGCCTTGCACCCGCTGTTGCTGGAGAGATCCGGCAAGCACAACCACGGCATCGTCAAGTTTCTCAATTTCGCGAAGAAGCAGTTTCTCGTCAAGAACACCAGCTGGGTGATCCCCTTGTAGAGTTTCTACCCATTTTCCGGAGTTGGAGTCGTCCGAAGACTGCTGGTACAGAAGGAAAGAAGACAAGGATCGTGCGTTTATTCCAAGGGTATCAACCATGGAATTGATATCGCGGTAAAGCCTTTCGATCTGGCCGGGAATTCCTGGCTTGCTTGTTTGGCCCGTGTAGTCCTGATGGGGCAAGAATGGATCGAGTGTGGGAACGGGCTCGAGAGGTCGAGCGAGATCAGCCCGAAGCCTCTCATCCTCGTCATCGTCAGAGAGAGACAGTGCTTCCTCCTCTTCTCGCTGTGCCTGGGCATGCAATCGAGCTTGTTCTTCACGATTAATTTCGGCTGGGCGAGGCTTTAGCTGGCTTTCACGCAGCGCTGTTTCCGTGAGAGCGGCCTTTCGAGCAGCAAGAGTATTTCCAGGGCCCTGCGGGGCACTAGCTGATCTAAAATTGTCTGGTCGAAGCCGGCCTTTTTGGGCGCCATCCCGCACTGGACTAGGCGATCTCGGAGGTTCGTGATTGAATCGGCCCCCTGGAGGGAAAATAGGTTTGCCGATTTCACCAAACAATTGCCGCGGTTGTTCGTTCTGAGCTGGCTTCGGAATTTTTCCAAATAATCCCCCAACTGCACTCGTCCCAAACGGTTTTCCAAAGGAACTTTCCGGTGAAGCTTCAGCCTCTTCCTCTGTGTGGCTAATGTCGTGTGTGATATCCTCCCCACTATCAGTGAACCCAGACTCTTCTGCATCATCACCGTCTCCTTCCTCAGCTGGTTCCTCGTCATCCGCGTGTTCGTCTTCCTCTTCATCTCCATCTTGCTCAGATTCTACATCTGAACCATCATCGGGGACTGGACCAGGCGTCTCTGCAGGCTTGGTTGTGGATATCTCAGTGGGGTCGGGGGGCAAAGGTGCTTCTTCGGCTTTGACCGCTGGTTCCTTTGTCTCTTTGGGCTTTGTCACAAAGTCTGGAGGAAGAGGAGGCTCTCCAACATCTTTAGAAACGGGCTTCGGTTTTGTCACAAAGTCTGGAGGAAGAGGCGCATCGTCAACCGAGCTCTTTGATACATTGGATGATGCAGATGTATCACCTGGACCATAGGAGGCCTTGGTGGTCGGGTCAGGAGGTAGAGGTGCCTCTTCCGGCTGAATTTTAGGGGTGTTTTCTACATCTGTCGGTTGCTCCTTCTTTGGGGTTGAGCTCGGGACACTTGTTTTCTCCGACGGAGGGGATAGAGGACTGGTCACCTGCTTTCTAGCACCAGCATTCCCAAACAATGAGAAGGGTTTGCTAATTGGTGCCGTTGGTGCAGCTTCTGCGGGTTTCGCCAAGGATCCAAAGGGAGAAGGCGTTGGTCCGGACGGTGCAGCTTCTGCGGGTTTCGCCAAGGCTCCAAAGAGAGAAGGCGTTGGTCCAGATGGTGCAGCAGGCTTAGAAGGCTGGCCAAACAACGACGGTACTGGTGCTGGAGTTGGGGCAGACTCCTTGGCTGGAGGTTGTGCCGGTTGTGGAGCGACAGGCTCATCATCCATATCATCCATAGACTCCGTGGGAGGACTAGGCTTTGAGGGAGTAGAAACCATATCATCCAAAGACTCGCCCATAGAGAACAGCCCGGAAGGCTTCTCGGGCTTCGGGCCATCGTTCGCTGCGCTGCCATCGCCTTTGAAGGCAGAGCCTAATACGAAACCATTGGACCCTAAACCGAAAGCGGGCTTTTGTTGATCGGTCTTTGGAGAGGCGAAGGCCGTGTTTTGATCGGTCTGGCCGCCAAATATGGATGCCCCAGAAGGCTTTCCAAAGGGGTTTGCTGTCGCCGGTTTGCCAAAGGGTGACTCACCAGCTGGCTTTGCACTTGCAAAGCTAGCAAACCCGCTCCCGCCTCCTCCTGCGAACGAGCCAAACCCACCCCCTGAGGTCGCTCCCGGTGTGCTAAAAGGAAGAGATCCGAGAGGCTTTGCGGGGGTTGACGGTTGCCCAAAAGACGATGTGCCCATTGAGCCGAAGCCTGACTTTCCAAATTGCGGTCCAGCTTGTCCTGGTGCACTGGGCGCACCAAAGCCAGACCCTATTTGGGATGGTGATCCGAAAGAAGGGGCACCGAATGATGGTGTGCCGAAAGATGGTTTCTGGCTGCCACCAAAAGTTGAAGGGCTACCAAATGCTGGGGCTGCTGTGGAGGGCTTTCCAAACGGCGACGGCCCACTTGATGCCGCGGAGGCTCCAAAACCTGACTGTGCAAATGCGGGTTGTGCTGGCGCTTGCAGCGCTGGAGCTGGGGCTGGGGCTTGGGGTTGTTGTGGTTGCTGATTCAAAGATGCCAGTCCCTGATATGGCAACTTCTGACGGATGGACTCTGAATATATGAACCACCATGATGAGAGGATGCCATCATGGTTGAGAAGCAATAAGTTTGGCAGAGGAGTTGAACTCTCAGCAATGTCTTCGCCCTGGATTGGCGCCACCACAATTTCAGTGCTGGAAAGATCAAGGCCTAAACCGATGACCGAGGTTTCATCACCAGAGTCTGTCAAAGGTGGAGAGGCCTTTTTGGTATCGTCGTTGACTTCAGTCATTGTGAACAACCCTACGGTGCCCTTAGCAGCATCATCACTTGCGAGAGGTTGATCGGAGCGTGTAATAAGCCCCACATCAGTAGATGCTGTAGAAGACACGATCAAAACATCCTTGAGGTGTGGTTTGTAGTCCCTCAAGCGGGCCATAAATTGGTAGGCGGGGGTACGTCTCAGACCCCAAGGTGCACATAATTCTGGCAGTTTCTGAATAAGGAATGGCGCTTGCTTCCTTCGAGAAATAATGTAATATGATGATGGAGGGTTTTGCCCCATATCATCCTCCTCGGCATTCGGCGTATACACCATCAGGAAGACGTCGTTTTCGAGCCATGAGATAGACGATACTAGACAAAGTCAGCCACTCTTTTGCCATGTTTATTTGCCACTCTGCATAGGCTTACCATGACAGTTATCTTCCAAATCGGGGGGTCTCGGTATTGCGTCTTTTTGAACGCCTTCAGGTGTCATCTGGTACCCAGTGCCATCCGCAAGTCCAGCCACGAGTTGCTTGCCCTTATTACTCCAGCTCACGCAGCTAACTCCGCTTTTTAGGACGTTTCCGTTTGGCCCTGAAATCAGGTTTCCTCCCTTCAGATCCGCAATTAGAAGCTCGCCACCAGTAGTGACGAGGGCGACAAAGGACGAATGGGCTTCGGTGGAAGGCGCAGGGTTCGGCACAATAGCGCGGAAGGACGCGCCGTTTGTTGGGACGGACAAGGCCGGTTGCGCATTTCCCTGTAACAAAGTCGCCGTGTCGTAGACTGAAAGCTGTGCACCATTTTCGGTAGCCAGCACCAAAGCGCTGTCGCCTGAACAAAAGACTACATGTGTGGGTCGTGCAGAAAGGGAAATCGTTGCTTGCGGCTCGAATGGTTTCGTTTTAACCTTGTCCTCCCCGGAAGGTGCAGAAATCACCTTCCTAACAGCCTCGGAGCTGGAGATGGAAAGTGAATCTGGACCAGCACCAACAACTATTCCTTTGCTAGGCGCGACAGCCAAAAGAGCGCATGTTGGGGCTGGGAGAGCATCGGCAGGCCAAGGGGTACGAAGGAGGCGAACATTGCTATCACTAGAGACGCCTTTGAATCCGACATCCTGACACATCAGTTAGTACAAACGAGCAGATCAAGATAGCAAAAGCAAGAATCCAAACGCGACATACATCGGTAAAGACATCAGGGAGCTCAGGCCCCAATTCTGCCGGGGCATTTCCCCCAGCGGGGTTGGATGCCCCAAAGCTAAAAGCCATTCTGGGTTTATCGAGACTTGACGCAGCTGAGTGAGGACGGTCGCCTAAAGATTGTCGGGCTTTTCGGGCATTGATAGCTGGTGGGCTCTGAGGCGAGGATGAAAAAGAGCGGCGCTGGAGTGCGGTGCGACTCCAGTTAAGAAGCTGCCAAGTAGGCGCAAAAATCCTGACTGCTGTCCCTCAACAGAAGGAAAGAGCTTCAGGAAAAAGATAGAACAATATTAATTGAGGCGAAAGAGTTCAAAAAGACCTGTTGATCGGGGCGACCACAGGGCCGTATGTTTGAGGAAACAACAACGGGAAATCATGACTTCAGAAGATCTCAGCCGGAACAAAAACAGCGGCGGTGGTGGATGCCTTGGTGCCTGGCCAATCAGGCCGCCGTGTCAGGCTGCGGGAGCTTCGTCACTCCAGCTCGACCTCTCTCCGCCATCCAACACCCAGCTTCCTCCTCATCGATTCTCCCCATTCCTGGCATCTTTTTGCTCTGCGTGTGGTCCGGTTTTATCTAATCTGTCAATCCTCACGTTTACGAGCTTCATTTCGTCTCCCATATTTGGCCGTGCACCCTTTGCGCTGTCACCATGCCCGGCTTCGACTTCTCCAACCACAACCGTAACCTGGCTCTGCACGCCAGGGGTGTGCCTCTTCCTAAAGCTACAAGCACAGGTACAACCATTGTTGGTTGTTGCTACGATGGAGGTGTTGTGGTAAGTTTCCTCGAGTTAGACCACAGGGCTCATAGCGTCTGTTGTGACGAGGTGGACTTATTCAAGCTGACTCTTTGCCTGTGATTACAGATTGCAGCAGATACCAGAGCCACTAGCGGTCCTATAGTAGCAGACAAGGTATGAACGAAAAACCCATATCTCAACGGAATCATCCTGTTTTGCGTCCGTGTACAAGAAATGCCATCTTGGCTGACCCCGCGTGATATGCATAGAACTGCGAGAAACTACACTACATCGCGCCCAAGATCTGGTGTGCCGGAGCCGGTACCGCCGCAGACACCGAATTCACCACCGCTCTGATCAGCTCCAATGTCGAACTGCACTCCCTCTCGACGGGCCGAGACCCACGAGTCATCACTTGCATGACCATGTTGAAGCAGCACCTTTTCCGATACCAGGGACACATTGGCGCGTACTTGGTGGTTGCGGGTGTTGACCCAACCGGTGTTGGTCTTTTCACCGTCCACGCTCACGGTTCAACGGATAAGCTGCCCTACGTGACAATGGGATCTGGTTCTCTGGCTGCCATGTCCGTGTTCGAGTCGACATGGAAGCCTAACTTGACTCGCGAAGAAGCCATCGAGCTCTCTGCCGAGGCCATCAAGGCTGGTATCTTCAACGATCTGGGATCCGGTAGCAACGTCGACGTGTGTGTCATCGCAAAGGACCAGCCCACCCAGCTGCTGCGCAACTACATCAAGCCCAACGAGCGTGGCGAGAAGGCCAGGAATTACCGCTTCCCCAAGGGCACCACAGCCTACTTGAACGAGAAGATCATCACAAAGGAGGATCTGAGAAAGTACGTCACTGTGGAAGAGCTGTCTGGGGACAAGAATCTGGCGGCTGGAGATGGTATGGAAGTGGACTCTTGAATTTAACGTAACTGAGATATGATCAAACCGTTTTTGTGTTACACGTGAATAATATTATTTGATGGACCTATCTCACAATCTATGGTCAAAGAAATGCGGTGTTTCTATATTATTTTTGGACTCTCCGGTCTAAAGGTGGTATATTCGCCACCTGCTTCGTAGTATATCAAGCTAACGTGGAGAGCATAGTAAATCGAAGTACCTTTTTTGATGGATTCCTTGCCACTCTCTAATCAATGGCAAAATAGTATACACTGGTATCAATATCTATATACACAACATACAACACGGAGAAGCAAAGTACTCTCAAATCTCAAGTCTAATCAGACATCACATCACGCTCACATCCAACATGTACAAAAAATCGTACAAAAAAACCCAGATAACACTCGGCCAAGCCCGCAGCCATCAAAAACCGCATCACCAAACCTGCTTTTCACCAACCCGCGGCGACTCCAAAAGAGCATCTCTAGCTTCAGGCGTTTCAAACTCCTTCACGACCTCAATGATAAAATCATACTGCGTACGGGCGACGCGCATTCCCGCTCTTCGAAACCTAACAACGCCAGCATGGTACATGGCGCGGACCATGGATGGTTTAACGGGGGCGTGATGCTGAGTCAGGAAGTTGTAGAGCCAGTAGACAAGGCTGTAGGAGCGACGGGGGCTGAGGTTCTTTGCGTCGGAGAAGGCGATGGCGAGCAGGTGGATCATCTCGAGGGCAACGAGGGGGTCTGGGGTGTCGGCTGTTCTGGGTGTGTTTTGGGAAAGGACGAGGGCGTTTGCGTTGGCGGTGTCGTTCTCGGATGGATCGGGCAGCCATGCCTTTGACAGTGCTACTTTGAGGGGAGTGTGAGCGCGGAAAAGACGGATCAAGGCCCAGGCACTCCTTGTGTCTCCGTTTCTCGCGTAATAGACACTCTGCTCAATAAATGACGAGTCCGTGACGTCGATCTGCTTGACCATGGTTTCGAAAGATGAGAACAGAAGAGACATTGTGGAGTTGTAGGCGTGAGGGTCTAAGAAGAGGGTTGAGAAATCAGCGCCCGTTTCTAGCGCTCGGAGTGTTGCGCGGGTCCTCTTTCTTAAGCTGTGTCTGGTCTTCAGATCGACAGCCAGTATCATCAGTCCATTGTACGGAATCTCAAGGTCACGTATTCCTTTCAGTAGACTCGGTAGTAAGTCTTCTTCAGGCTTTGCGAGGCACTTATGAATACAGATTCCGGCATCGAGAGAATCACCGAGAGTGATTCCGGCCGTGAGATCCTCATAAAGCTCAAAAAGTTTCAATATTGGGAGGTCAGTCGCCCTTTCATCGTCCCTCCAGAGCGGACCTTCAGGAAGGGCAATACTAAGGGTTCGTAAAGCCCAAAGACGAAGGATTATTTGGTGGTGTCTTGGAGACTTAGATGGCGTCTTCGACGTAAACCACATATACCCAAGTTCCATGTCACGAGGTGGTGGCACATTATACCAAGCTTTCGATGTGGCAAGGGCAGAAACCTCTTGTTCTTGAAACTTGGACAAACAATCGCGCCACGCTTCAAGCAATAGCCTCCTCTGTCCTCCATCTCTTAAAGAGGCCAAAGTTTCAGTCGTGCGGTAAATATACCGCGATGCAGCGTCCGGGTTGAAATGGTTCAGGAGCTGGCGTGCATAGTCCCCCTTCACACGGAATCCCTTGTTGACTGAGAAGTCCAGCCATCGTGCAATAAATTTCCGGACCCAAGAGCAGCGATCTTCACTAGGGTCTTGAGTTTCCAGGATAATATCCTTTGCCAGGAGAACAGCTTTGTGAAAATTTGCTTCTTCCAGCACTCCGAGCCATGCATCAACCGTATCTTTATTCAAATCCTTGGGTCCGAGAACATCACAGCGTCCTATAGCATTCCACATCTCCCGGAAGTAGCCAGTAAGGAAAATGCGATCTCGGTCCCAGGTCACTTTTTCACCACCTTGGATCTGCGGTACTGTCTTCACGATAGTGCAAAGCTCATCAGGCGGTATGAGCCCCAGCTCCAAAGCTCGCGTGACAGCAGTAAGGATAACACGCTGTTTCTCCGCACTAGCCTCATGGCGCGTAAGATGCCTTACTGCCAGAGAGTAATTCCCAGCACCTTGGGTATTCATAAACGGATCATCCAAGAAGACAACCAACTCGTTCAATGCACCTTTGGTCTGGACGGAATGCGCAAGCAGATGATCGAAAATCAGTCGACTATAGGCCGGCTCCTGTCGAAGATCTATATCCAATAATCGAACAACGTCCTTGATGGCCGTAACCCTCCAGTGCTTTTGCAGGTAGTCCGTCAGGAATTTATCCCGCGCATTGTTGTAATCCTTGGGTCCAGATAGATCCTCCGCATTGTCGCTTGTCATATTTTCCTCGAATCCCCCAGACAAGCTTTGGAAATCTGTCAAGGTAGAACCGTTATCCCGCGCATCGTGTTCGGCAATGCTCAAATCCTCAAAGCCCAGATTATCGAAATCGCCCGAATTGGAATTATCGTAAACCGGCGCAGGTACATCCGGAGGACCCAATGGCTGAAAACCCGACCCTAGTAATTGTTAACAACATCCCAATAGAAACACTTTTGTTTTCCTTTCTAACCTTGCACCTCACCCGGAGCCCTCCTCCTTCCATCCGTCCACTTCATATGCTCCCTCCCATTCCTCCCAAACAAACACGGCATATCATCCAACGGCCCGGTCCCCGCAAAGCTCGCCAGCGCTGTATTCCTCCTCTTCGCAAGCCGTCTCCTCGCCTCCATAGGCCCCGGCACCCGACTCTCATACCGGCGCTGCTGCTGACCATTCACGACGAACCGCCGAAACGTCGACGCCAGGAAATCTTCGCCGATCCAGACATGGTGGTCGATGAACGAGGTTGACGACGAGGACTGTATCGCGTGTCGGTAAGCATGTCTGCTTAGAGACATGACCTAGATTCCCGGGGGCATTGGAGTTGCGGCAATTGGCTTTGGTGGACTTGTCCTGGGACTTGGCCTGTTAGATGTGGTTAATTATCTAGCAGGTTTGGTTTCCGCGGAGCCTCAGGATGGAGCTCGGGGTGGTCTTGGCGGGTTAGTCAGCGGCAACCGCCAAGACTTGATGTCGACAACAGTGACATTCAACATTGTAGCTGGGATGTAGAAATTCACAGTCAGTGAGTGTTTTCCACGTCTTGTGGGGTTTCAAGGAGATTGTCCTCTTTGTTTTACTGAATCCTGGTTGATGGGGTAGTAAGTTGTAGAAGAAGGTATGTTCGTGTCCCGTACATCAAGACTCAAGACTCAAGACTCAGCCTTTGTGCCAATTGATCATTGTAGTACTATGTATCCTCGTTCAGATCAGGTATATATATATATATGTAAATCGAATAAAACAAAGCCTTGCACGCCTCCCATGCACGAAGTTTGTCCAGCCAGTGGTATCTTATGCTGATGCTAGCAAAAACATAAAAAATAAAACATAAAAAAAACAAAGCGGGATGAGAACCGGGAATCATCTATAAGCGAACAAGATGGGAAGAGAATAGATGATATATTTCATGGGGCTTGTTCTCCAGGCATTGGCTTCCTCCCTGTTACCACATAATAGTCGTTATAGCAATGGACGTCCCGGTTCTGAATACTCTTCCGCACATCGACGAGGAAAACTTCAATTTCGGGCTTTGACCATCCTAGAGCGATGAGCGGCTTATATGACCACCCAGACAAGGCCTCAAGCCAGTTACTCTCGCTCCAGGAACCGATCTTTTTCAGATGCGGATCGGTAGGCCACGTATTGGTCGGGATTTTGGAGACGCGTGTTTCAATATCGACAAAGCCGAGATCCCGCATCCACCGAGCCATACGGTGGGCGACTCGAAACTGTCTCGACGGGTCTGTGACCTGGCCCGATCGTTGTTGGAGATCGAACCAGTCGTGGAAAGCGAATTCACTGAAGCCGCCGTCGAGATTCTCGGGGGGCATGGTGCCGTCGTCACACTTTGGTTTCGGGTCTAACTCGTGGCATTCCAGATAACAACCCGGTTTCAGGTGTCTCATGGCTTTTCGCAAGAGATCCTTGTACGAGGGCATCGACCCAGTCAAGTGAGAGATGTGGACGTAGTCAAAATGGTCGGGGCTCCACAACCAGTCGTCCTCTGTGGCATCGTCCACCAGAAAATGGACATTCTCAGGGACTTCATTAGGTTGAACGGGGGAGAGATCTGTTCCTGTGATCTCGGCGCTGGGGAAGAGGGGAGCTGCAAAGAGAAAATGGTAAGAGTTGTGGTCGGGAGCAAAAAAGACGGAGATTTCAAGTGAGTCAGAAAGAGAAAAGGATGCGTACCCATCTCTATCGGCCAGATGCCAGAACCCGTCCCGATGTCTAGAATCCGCTTGGGATTTCGAAGAGGAGCAAAGAACAGCCGGTCGTTGTTGACCATCTTGAACATGTGGTGCTGCATGTCCAAACGATCAAGTTCCTGCTCGTCGTTTGGATAGATGTATGCTAAACACGTCAGTCAGTTCTAGTTGGTAGACTGCTTCTCGTCAGGGTGAACCTACCGCCCTCATGGTATCTGTGGTATCGTCTCCCATTCTCTATGGGATAGTCTGTCACGCTGGCAGTCAATGACTGCGTGTCACTATCACCACTTGTTAGCACAGAACCAACTCCATAGGACTTGCCACGGGGGAATAGAGAGCAGCCAGAAGAAGCAGACAAGAAAGGACGGTGAAAAAGAACTTACTAGGGCTGGCCGGATTCCTGAGCCATGATCAGTTAGCATAAACTTCGTAGAAAAAGATTCAACCAACGTAAACGAAGGACAAAATAAAGAGGTGTAGTAGAAGTAGGAAACAGTAGTAGCAGTCAGGGACCACAGTAGAGCCAAGGAAATGTGGAAAAATCGCTTACATCGGGCCCTGCACCCATCTTGGACTTAGGAGGCATTGGGATTTTTCGGGGCAGCGTTTGGTGTGTGGGGGGGGTTAGAGAGCAGAGTCCAGGTAAACCGTCAGTTTAGCCAACTCGATGGAAACCCGAATTTAGCAGAGAATATAGATGGTGAAGAGGATAATATAAAATGATGATGATGATTTAATAATAATAACCATTTAATATACCCCCAAAACAACCAGGATTTGATCGATACTGTACCCGGACCAAGGCACTGGAGAATTACTGTCACTCTTTGTACTTGATAGTCATATAAGAACCATAGGGGAGGGGGAGGGGGGAAAGAGATTTAGGAGGAAGCAAGAAGATCTCGGATGTCTTTCTTTTTTTTCTTTTCTTGGATTTCCTGCTTTCTTTCCTTTTCGTTTTATTTATTTATTTTTATTTTATTTTATTATTATTATTTTATTTTTTAACCTTGTCTTTGCCTGAGCCCGACAGGCTGGATTAAGTTTTGTTTTGGCAGGACGGGAGGACGATCCGGTCAACCATAATCAAAGGGTGTAAGTAAAACAGAATGAAAAAATAAGTAATAAGAAAGAGTAATAATTAAAAAGAAACGAGGCAGAAAAGAAAAAAAGAGGATATAGTAGCCGCAAAGGTGTTGTGCGTGTGTTCAAGGGCGGTTCGGGCGGCGGATGACCAACTAAGTCAACCATGGAAATAAATTACATGCTACTTGCTACGTACCACTCGCTACAGCCAGCCCCTCTTTTGTAAGGCATCTGTTTAGTTTAGTCTGCTCTAGTTGTATTTTCCTAACTTTGGTTGTTTCTCGGAAAGTTTTTTTTTCTCTGTTCTCTGCAGGAGGTACTCTGTAGTTGTCTGCCATTACCAACAGGGAGTGACCTGGTAGAACTGCATGGATATGCTCACGGGTGTTTGTCCAAGACCAGGTCTCCCAAGCACAGGGATGAGGGTTGGAGAAGTTGCACGGAGGACAACAGGACATAGTGTCGGTCAATCTACTCCGGACCTAGTTAGTTGAAACAATCAATGGAGTCTTTTCGGCTGGGCACCGGCAGCTAGGGACTAAAAGCACGGGCGTCCCAGGGCGTCGGGAAGATATGACGGGGGAGAAAGACAGCTGGGATGGTTGGTACTACAGAGTAAGTGGTGACTAGATATTAATAGGACTTACAGGGGTAGCCAAGAGACTTGTCATAATCCCCTCCATATCATACAACCGTACACTAGGTATCTTATACAGTCCGAGGCTACTCCTATCTGTAAATGCCTACATTGACAAAGTGTAAATACACTGTGGATGGATGGTTTCCAGGTGGTGGAAATGGAACGATCGTCCGCAGGCCGGGATCCAATAACTGTTGGTGCCAGACTGCTGGAAATTCCCATCCATGGATCGCTCCCCTATTATCCGACTGGGCTGACTGCACGCAAGAATACAGTAGTAATAGTACCTCGGTATTAGGTACACACTTACAGAGTACTAGGTACATAGGTAAGACACTAGGATAATATCTCCATATCTGTCTCTTTACTATTGGAGTATCATAGGGAAATAATGGAATAAATAATATTTCATTCCGTACAGACAGTATTTGTAAATTGAGTTACCGTCCGGAGACTCCGTAATGGCTCCATCCAGTCTGTCGGATCTTTGCCCCACCGGCTTCTTCATCCAATTCCAGACCGTCTCCGATCCGAAAGACGGCTCCTTTTATTATTTTTATTTTCGTTCACTATTCAAATTACTGTTATTCAGGAGAACTATCTTTGGTACCGAAAGTCAATCCTTTTTTCTCACCCAAGGTTAACCTGTAGGTGGTTCTGGTTCGCGTCGACACGAACCTCTCTATAGGGAAAGGAAGGGAGGGGCAGGGGAGCACATGATGTTGAGAACGCACATAAATCATCATGGGGGAATCACATTGTCACACATTCACGGTCAGATCCACTGTCCTGGGTCAGACGCCAGTGGAATCTTTCATTCAGGGTGTTTTGAGCCCTTGACTTGCCTCGGATCGTCATCCTGCAGATGTGGCAAAGAGGGGATGTCACATCATACAATATCCAGCACTTGAGATACCTACATCGCTCTTACTTTATTATTACCATCACATTTGTATTATTATATTGATATATATTAATCCAAGGATACTCCAAAGATACTCCGTGTAGTATGGACAAGATAGATGAACTGTAAGTGTAAATCATGGAATTTTCTCCCGAGGTTTCCAGCTTCTTTTCATAGCTTCGCAACTTTGTTTTCACTAGACAGACAAGCTAAATCCTGCCATCCACCAGAGTGGTGCCTGGCGTAGCAAACTGATAGGACAAGCACCTCTACCCAATCCAGTCCTGCTCGTGTTGTCTCCACTGTCGGTATTGCTAGTAACTTGCAATCTCCTCTCTTCTGCCCTTCTGCTGTTATTTACAGTCGGATTGACACAGGGATTCTACTGTAACTACAGTATGTACAATGTAACCATTCAACGGCCCCTACGGAGTACTCTCGGCTTGACCTTCTCAAATACTCAACACTCGAATATCTGCCTTCCAGTCCACTGCTGTCCACAGAACATCCCGTTTGGGGCCGATTTGTTGTTCAGCGTCGCGGCCAACAGATGCATTGGAAAGAATTGGGGCGGGGGTTTGGGAGACAGCCATCATACGACTAGCAGCGCTTTTCCACCGGGATTCGCAATCCCCGTTTCTTTTTCTCGCTAGGATAGGTAGAGAGGCTGCTGTGGTTACTGGTTACATATTGGGCATTCGACAGCAGCCTGCAGCCACTTCATCATCTTCTTCGTCGTTTCTGCAAGAGATCTTCCGACCGTCACTTCAGACTGACTGGCTGGATGAACAGAATATGAACAGAATGTTGACAGCCATCTGCCCTTGCAGAATCAGACTGACAACAGAGTACGAGTACAAACCATGATAGAAGGATAGACAGTGAAAGTTACACTGACACTGACGATCTCTGCTTTAATTGAAGGACTGCCACCTCCTGCTTTGTCCCACCAGCGCCGACGGTTTCATCCTCTCCGAGACCGGTTCTTTTTTATCATCGTCTTGTCAACTAAAGCATGCAGGTGTTATGTATGTTATATGTATCTATTCCTCTAGTCAGTCTGGTCTGAGCATCCGACTTGTCATCCTTAGGCATTCAGACCCTGCAACTAGTGACGGTGATGTGGATGTGGATGTGGATAGTGTAGTTGGTGGGGAGAGGAGAGAGGAGGGGCAATGGAGAATGGAGATGGCTGGCGACGTGTTGCAAAGATGACATTGGCCGGTTTTCAAGTCGCTGATACGGTTTGTTTTGCAAATGGTGGTAAGGTACCTACTAGCCTTCCAGGTTACGTATTAGTATCGACGGGATATTCTTGTTACGGTGCGTATGAATCCTCTATTCCTTTGATTCCTTCGATCGTTTCGGTCGGTGATATCATCTACTCACTAACTCTGCATGGGATACCTATCTATGGTTGAGTACTCATCGATTTCATCCATCTCTATTAAACACACAAATATCAAAATAATAGGAGACGAGGCAGACAGAGGATAGGGTCCAACTCGGGGGAAAGAAAAGATCATCGTGAAGATTGCCGGAGAAGACATTGTAGGAATGATTTTTCTTTGTCCGTGTGTTTTCTGGTGCTCCTCGTGTCTGTGCTGTCTGTCCTTGTTTCATAATAAAATGCTGCTGTCAGGGTTCCGAGTATCATCGTGATTCCTTCGATTACATATTGGATATCGAAAGATGACTGAAGAGAAGATTGTTCTTGATAATATGTGCATGATAGAAGATTTTCTTGCCAAGTCTGTCTAGTAGTGTGTGGTGTTGATGCCTAGATGCTAAGATTCTGTACAGTGGGCGTAAACAAGATACTCCCATCCAACTGAGTCAATCGTTTAGAAACTACCGTTCGAATACAAAGGGGATATCGTCATTCGAATATCACTATAAAAAGAATCGAATATTGCCAACTCGTGGTGAACACAAGATGGCTTTTGCTACAGTAGGTGCTCGCTCCTCCATGATTCCCATCCTGGTTTAGTGGAAACATCCACATCACCTAATAACACTACCCCCCAAGGGAGTCTCGAGTCTAACTTAGTCTTCCATCACCTCGTCTCCTATCTTCGTATCTTTTCTGCCTGCAATTGCATCGTCCATCCCTCTTGAACCTCTACCTTATCATCATCGCTTTCCTCCCAATTATCATCTCCGACGTCCCCTTTGATTCCCACGATGCCGATGAAGGATGAGTTTTACAAGGGAAGGAACCGGCTAGCTTCGTGAGGTTAAGGTCCATCGCGACTCCATATCTGCCTTCTCTCAGAAACGGGAGAATCTAAAGATAGACCATGGCTGTTCGGGAATACGCACAGAGATTTCGGGTCGCTTTGAACCCGAGGGATCATCCCTGAGGCTTTCCCTCGGAACGTCGATATTCCCCTGAGGTGAAAAACGCAAGGCACTGCTTCTATCTGATCTTCAGTGGTTTCCTCAAGTCCTCGGTCCTCGACATACTGTGTTTTTACGCACCTTTCACGGACGCTGAAAAGTGTCGACCGCTACAGTCGCATGATGAATGATAGGGTGAACTGGCAGATCAGCTAGACATTGGCTTTCTCAAACGGCCTACAATTGTCTTAGAATATCGGGATCTACTCTCACTTGGAAGAATGGTTGGGACGGGTCAAGACTGCGGATACTCCATACTAGTGATGGGTCTATCATGGAAGGATTGGGGATTCCTGGAAATGGTAAGATATTCCATCACCCTCCCGTTGAATAGAATATCATAATAACTCTTTTCTACATTTAGGTTTCTTCATTCCAAACAACCATTGTGACCAAGGTTCCTTCCATCCCAATGTGCTTATCATCCGCATCCGTATGACCGAACAGGCCCGAATACTTCTTACCAAAAAGAACAAAGCCTTATCATGCCCATACTTCGAACCCTGGCTCTATATATCTAAAAGGAGCGTTTCTGGCATCAAATACCCGTTCACCACGAAAAAGTTGATGTGAAGATATTGAGGGGCCATGCAGATGCATTGCTGCGTCCTGCGCTGACGCGACCACTCAGGACAATGCGTAAGAGAACCACATTATGAGAACATCCCCATTGTCCAATCTCTCCCCTCGATAAATTATTGAGGAGACAGCAATTTCTCAAAACCGATAGATTAGATCCGGTGTGAGCTTCTTTTAGACTATGGGTGAACAGAACCATGGATAGCCTCCGGCAGTATCGAGTGCTATTGTGCTATCCTGGACGTGTGGCCTCGTAGAATTTTGGTCAGCCCCAGTTCACCAGAACCAGACCAGAAGAAGTTAATTGACTCGTATCAGTCTTGGTGATTGACCTTTCGATTCCAGAGTAGGTAAGGTAACTAACTAATGTATGTACTGTAAGTAATCACGCTTTTAAAAAATACCCTGTACCAAACTGCAAAATCCATTATCAAACTTTCCCTCTTTTCTCCCGCAATTCCACCCCACTACTGCGTACTTACGGACGGAAGGCCGGGTTGTGGACGGAATCAAAATGCATACAAAAAAGCAAAAAAAACACCACCTAAGCTAACTAGGAAAAAGAGAAACGAAACATGCCCATGGTTACATTGCAGATCGAAGACAATCAAACAAACTTCCTTCCATACTACCTACGTCCTACTAGTAGTGCCTAGGTTACTATATGTTTGTAATACAGTACAAGATAGTACGAATTATCAACCCAACTGGGGCAACCCACGAACCAGTTCCACTAGGTTAGAGTAAAATAAATAAAATGGGGGGGGGGGTTGGAGAATAAAAGAAATACTATGGAGATGGGAGCCATTCTGGTGGGATTCTTCGCCAAGAGTCCTTATAGCACATACCACCAAGTTGACCAACTAACCACGTATGACTTTTTTTTTCCTGCTCTTTTTACTGACACTAGTATGGATGGCTACACGGAAACTTAGTTACTGTACTCACTAGTGACTATCGTATGCACCAACGGAGTACACCGTAGTATGTATCAGGTATCTTCATCGTGGACCCGGGGCAGCGGTAACGTCGGTGCAGGATCCATGGAACGGGACGAGTGCTATCCTGGACGTGATGATGTTGGACAGCACAGAGTCAGTCGAGTCAGGCCTCGGGATAGTTGTTACTTGATGGCTTGCAGATTATCACATCCTGGCTGCAGAATTAATATATGAATACTCCGCACGGAGTAGACACGTAGAGAAAAAAAGAACAAAAAGATGACTGGGCTCGCTTAATCTGAATGTCGATTCTGCTTGCTCACTTGGCTTTTTTTTTTTTTTTTGTCTCTCTTTTTTTGCCCTTCTCCATTTTCTCCATTTTCTTTGTTATGGGGCAAAACAGTACACCATTAATTAATTACGAGGATATTGCCGGACTAGCTGGTTTCAGTAACGAGTGTCGATTCCTTGCTTCTTTTCTTTTCCTTTGTCTTCTCGGTTCTCTACTGTAGTGGTCGGCATCGAGAAAACATCATGGTAAATGGTATACTTGCACTGCTTGTCGTCAGTAGGACCAAGGACAATAATAGACGCATTCTGCAGTATTTGGAAGCAAGGAACACCCCGTAAACTGGATCCCATGTAGATCATCTATCGCATCCATGGTTCTGGGACGGTGGTAAACTTTCATTGACGGCTAAAAACATCCGTCCACAAGAAATTATCAATCTCACACATGAGGCGGCCAACTCGTCCAACTTGTCGGGTTCTTCGGGTTGGTGGCCCGAGCGACGTTTGTTGAAGGTTATAATGGTGATATCAAAGTCGAAAGGGGGTGATGTTCAAGGATAGGTAGTATGGGTGAGAGTAATTGGTACTTTCGTGTCACAGCGGTATCTCGGTGTGAAGACAGAAAGGCTATTGGGTTATGAGAACTCCGTATGGTGGAATACTCTGCCTCAAGGCAGCCGTAGTTCTGGTGTCTCAACAAGCCAGCGAACAAGTCAAGTTTGCTTCCCTGCGTCTGTCCATACCAATATGTCAGCCTGAGCATGTAAACCACATAGAACTGTCAAGTATCTCGAGATACTCAGCAGTATCAGTCTTGTAACGGCAAGGGTTGAGACAGTTTGCCCGTTGATTGTTGTCTAAACCCCTCGCAGTTGTTGCTTGATCCCGGCATTTGACAACCCTGCCCTACCAGTTTACCCATCTCCGAGTAATCGCGCCCTTAAAGTCCAAACCCATTGCAGCACTGGAAGCCTGTGTGACCATGCTGACTGCTCAATCGGTTCATCGGTTATACTTCCCAACGTAGATTCATTTGACCAGTTCGAAGCCTAGGGAGGAGACGCGAGGTGTTGAAACGATGCCTTGTAGATACCATTGTCGTCAGCATGCCTCAAGTAATCATTTCTCATCAAAAGTCATCATAGTCTGAATACTTACCTATGTCTGCTGCCTTTCTCATCGTAATCATCGATGCCACGACCACTGGCTGGCTCAAAGCAGTTTTCAAGTGCATGCAGTGGAGCAAAATGGCTTCGTTGGAGCCTCTGGGGGATTGATGCTCGATCGTTTCACGTGATGGCCATGGATGTCGTTCCATCTCTCCATCACCCTACGCGTAAGAAAGGCTTTTTTGGCCAGTACAATGCCTATTATCTTTGTTTTCCATCGCCCCAGGTCCGTGGAAACCCCATTGAGGAAACCCATGTTGCAGTGTCCGGCTTGCCGACCACCACACATCAAGCTCTTCACCGACCCAGCACCCTCGTATCCAGATCTAACAGGCTGGAGGCTGCTGGAGGCTCTGCTGTATCAGACAGGTTAGAGGAGTAAGCCTCTTCATTATATCCTGTTCAGTTTTGTCTCCTGATAATCTAGCTGAAAAGTCATTACTGGCAGGAGTCACTCAATCTAACCTAACTCCACGAGTGAGTCTTTCAATCCCCTACAAACCATGCCACCCCAACCGCCCCTCGAGTAACAACTTGGGCCTTCTCTCGGTATGTCTCCAACCTCGACCATGTACCCTAACCTGGCATCATCCTGATACTCATATACCCCTCCGTCGCGCGGACAGACCCCTGAACCTTCTCATAAAGACAGTCGGCCTTAAACCCAGCCCTACACCGAGTCATTCCAGAAACCAACCCTAAGAAGCATCCGATACTCCAGCCGATCGAGAGAGATTGTCCAAGCGAGTAGCCACATCCTGAATGGGCGCACGCGAGGAAAATACATCACATCACGGTCGTCGATATCCAGGTTACGCTGGTATACTAGATGTTCCGGCTCTTGCCTTGGGGTGGCAGCTCAGAACCCAGGAATGCCCCTGGAACGCATTTATGAGCCGTCTCATCGTGCCCATCCAGCCTATCATATACACAGTGAATATGCAAACGTTGAATCAACCCTTATCCATCGAGGGTCAGTTATTAGGGCAGGCATCCCATGCTCCGTTCGGTATCAGGCAAAGCAGAAGCCCTATAAGCGACTGTCACAGGATTTGATGCACAGTTCCGAGATATAAAGCCTATTGATAACTGTGATGAGGTCTAAGGGCCTGGAGACCTTCTGATACCAAGAAACTGGACTGTGATGAGCCAGCCTCGCTTCTCACGGCGTGGTACACTACCCAATCACAATCTGAGCAGCTCTTGCCCGTGAACTGAGCGATTGCTCGACCTATTATGTTGGTTGGACTCGTTCTCGGCTTGAAGAGTTACGGACACAATGATTTATCTTAGGGCTGTGGTCCAGCTAGAGTCATAAAGGCTAGGGCCTGTTATCCCAAAGCTAGGAAAGACTTATGTGAGTGGCCTAGTATCTAACAGCTAAACTATATTGTTTATAGTTATATGAACACCGAGCCATAAGACACTCCATGCTGAAGCCAATATCGTCCCATTGTCTTACGTTACACCGTGTCGGTTGAGATACACTCTAAATACACAAACTGCCATTCATAACTGGAATTATTAACAACATGCCACATCCAAAGATGATATTTCTGAAAACTATCTCTCTGGATAATAAACTTCGAGAAGAACAAGAAAAATCTGTACTGAAACCTACACACCGGGTACTGTATACAATATTCCGCCGATCAACGCGGCCAGTGCAGAAGATTTGGAATCGCTTCTTCCAATATTACTTGTCGTGGAACAGCCTCCTCCACACCGCTAATCTAAGCCTGATACTATCCAGATGATCTTAGCAATAGCAGAGCCATGCTAGCCAATCGGAAAATGGTGCTCGTGTTCCCAACAAATTTTCAACTTGCATTAGGTTGGTTTCTGCAGAGTGCAGGGAAATGCAGGCTTATAATTGCCGAGTTTTCCTTCTAGTTTATTCCGTGGAGTTCACGGCTTACGATGATAAACAATATTTGCAAACAGTGACACATTTTATCTGAATGAATATTCCATTGATCAGTCTAGTGGGCTCTGTTTATAGATCTACTCGATAGATAATTAAGCCGCCGACAGGATTCTCTCCACAGAGGCAATATTACCCTCCATCGGCTGCACCTTGTCGGTTCTTTACAGAATCAGTATATATTCACTCCAATCGCAACAATTAACTCACCTCGTCATCATGCGAATATCGGTCTGGATTCTCGCAATACCAGCCTGGTGAACCAAGGTGTGGGCGTATCCAATCACCTGGGAAACCTGATCCCATGGTCCTTCTATAGCGTTCTGTTAGTTACATGTCTCTTTTCAGTTAATGATGTAGAATAGCGGCATTGCATACCAATGGTAGTTCCAGTAGCGGTCATCTGGTACTTGAGACCGGACCAGGTGAGCAGACGCTGGATTTCAGCAATCTGCTGGGAGAAGGAGGCAGTCTGAGACCCAATCTGGTATACATATATTAGTTGTGGCTTTATGTAGAAGAATGCATGCATGAGTGAAGGTTTATACCGGGACAAGAGAGAAATCCGCGGTGACACGGGACGGAGTTGCAAGGGCGGGATAATTGGTGGCCATTTTGAATATGATTAGAAATAGATTATTGGATTGTAAGTTTTTTTTAAGGTAGATAGTTATAAAAATTGGGAATTTGAGGTTTTGCTCTGCTTTATATTGTGTTGACCAGGCTTTCAGTCATGGTGACGTCTTTACAAATATAGCAACAATTACGTCTCGAACAATGATAATTCTGGTTATTATGGGATTCTTACGATTGGTCTGACATACTTTATATACACATTGAATTAGATAATCATTATGATGGAATTAATGTACTTGCAATCATCATCAGCTCTGGTAAATCGTCTCATCAATCGTCCTTCCCCGTCGTTGGTGAGGCTCACTGCCTCGGACATAGATATCTTGGTAGAGAACGTCGAAGCTGGGCTCCGGTTCAGGCATCTTTTCTGCCGCTTCCACTTCCTTGTTGACCATTTGCCGGACTTCTTTATCAATTGATTTGGCCTCTTCTTCGGTAAAGACACCCCATTCGATCATCCTGGCTTTCAGGTTGGATATCGGGTCGTTTGAGCGCTGCGATTGCACTTCGTCTCGGGTTCGATATGAGATTCCGGGGTCTGATACGGAGTGTCCTGCGTATCGATATGTGTGATACTCGTAGACGAGTGGGCCGTTGCCTGCCGTGACGTATTCTTTGCCGTGCTTGACGGCGGCCATGACAGCGAGGACGTCCATTCCATTGACTCGTAGTCCGGGGATGTATTGGCCGCGCTTGTAGTAGTCTGTCATGGCGGATGCTCTTTCGGCGGAGGTTCCCATGCCGTATTGGTTGTCTGTTCTGTCAGCAATCGTAGGATCATAATAAGATTGGAAAGACTCACTCTCGCAGCCAAATATCACGGGTAATTCCCACAGCTTTGCCAGGTTAAAAGACTCATGAACCTGTCCTTGATTCGCCGCTCCATCGCCATAGAGGTTCAGCGTGACATTGTTTCTATCGGCATACTGCTGCGCAAAAGCGATCCCAGTGCCCAGTGGAACACTCGCTCCCACAATTCCATTTCCCCCGAAGAAGCTCTCACAGAACATATGCATCGAGCCTCCTTTTCCATACGAGATTCCATCCTGTCGTCCTAGCAGCTCGCCAATTATAGACCTGATAGTACCTCCACGCATCAATGTGAAGCCATGTGAGCGATAGGCCGTGATGAGTTTATCGGTTTTGGTAATTGCGTGTTCGATACCGACTGCGACTGCTTCCTGGCCTGTTGATAGATGGCAGAACCCGCGGATTTTCTGTTGTTTGTAGAGATTATCTGCGGCCATTTCCATGCGTCTGTGATGTTAGCAATGAGCGTATACTTGTAGGATTAAGAGCTGGGAAACTCACCTTACTGTGGTCATGTCTTGAAACAATTTCTTGAGTTGGTTCTTGGTCGTCTCCAAATAGTACGGGGGAGGATCGAAGTGATAAGTTTCGAAGCTCTTTTCTGAGATGGGGACTTGGAATGGTTTATCGTTTTCCTTGCAGTAATTAATAGAAAATCTAGACATGATGGTCAATTGAATGCTTACATTTGGGATATTCTTCACATCGACCACATCAGCTAGATAGCGACGGCCAATGCAAGGAAGTCCTTGTCGCACCCAAGGAAGAGATCCCTTGGATTTCAGGGATCTGGACAGCATGGCTGGGTATGATATCGATATCAGCTAAAAGAATAGAGGAATTGATCTAAAGGCAATGGCAAGATTAAGAGCAGTTCATGTGTAGGATTGTATTGATATCGCTCTGGTTTAATGGAGGATAAATGAATGCTATGATAGAATCGACGACTGCCGGTTGCATCTCCGCATATCCATATCCGTGACTTTGGAGTGATGTAATTCTGATCACATTCGACCGTTGCAGCAACAAACATGTTTTGAGACATATAGAATAAAAGGCACATTAAACAAAGCTACATTCTAAATAATCTAATTTTATCTTGATAATTTACTTTTTTTATACTCTATACGAGTCGATTTCATTTCGCAATGAACATTGGGAATATATACTTCGGTATGGAGGATCACGTCTAGATTGTGCAACATCAACAAACGCATGGCTATAAATATGACTTTTCCCATATTCCTTATACAAAATGAAGATCAGTCACTATATATTTATTTTAAATCCTCAAAGATCTTCAACATGATGAAGTCGAAGCAATATTGCCTATTTAGGACATTCCTTGGCACATCGGACCGGAACATCTCCATCCGAGAATGACGCATACTGCCTTCCCAGGCATCTTTGGATCGTTTCCAGAACTCCCAAACATTTTTGTTTTGGACCAAAACATCCGAATTATGATGTGGAATATGTTGAATTGACTCATCGATATGATTCTGGTCTAGAAATAATCCAATTTTGGATATTAATAATGTCCAAGTCTGGTTTTGATTAAGCAGGGATATCAAGGCATCCAGCAGCCATCGACTTATGCCAAAAAAGAATAACCCTTCATGATACTCGCCAGAAAGGCTCGGCATGGTGCGCCGCACAGTGACTGCCCGCTCGACAAAGGGTGGGGCGTCGCGTGGTCGTCAGTCCAGACGGAAGGACGATGATGATATCCCAGAAGTTTACCGGGAGATGCTGGCAGAAGAAGAAGAACGAGAGTCTCATGTATCAGAAAATGACCGACCTCTGAAAAGACGGAAAGTTACAGAGCAACCTGCTCCGGTAGATCCTCAGCCTAAGAGTCAAGAGATTCCCTTGGAAAAGAGTGAGGATGTCGACAGGCCAGTACAGACAGCTTATGACTCGACTGCCTCTGATGATGACGACTCGGATATGGAGTGGGAAGAGGTGGATATCTCCCAAGCTCCGTCTACTTTGAATCAAACAACTTCCACATCTCAAGGGAACGATGAACCGATCCAGATCACCTTTGATCAACAGAAAGAGAAAGACAAAAGAAAGATCATCAGGCGAAAGCCAGTCTCCGCAGCGGAGAGAAAGTTGCGATTAGATATCCATAAAGTCCATCTTCTATGCCTTCTCCGTCATGTTCAGCTTCGGAACCTCTGGTGCAACGATGAAGATGTGCAGGTGCGCATCAATTTACTTAAAACTATTGTCCTTTCCAATTCTAATTCCGTATACAGGGGTTTCTTAAGAAAATGCTTTCAAGACAAGTTATATCTCTGTTGAACCCGGCAGAAAGCAAGCCGCAATATAGTAGGTCGACAACATTTGTCGACGGACTTAATCAAGCCAGTGATGCCTTTATGAGAAGGTTCAGGGTAACGAAATCGGGACTGAAGCAGGCACACTGGGCAGATGGCCCGGATTCTTTGAAACAGAAGATGGTATTGTAGACTTCATACCACGCTCATGAATCTTTTCTGATGTCCCTAGGAGTCCATCATGTTCGATCCCGAGGTTTTCTTGTCCAAGGAGGATTTTAAAAAACAGGCCAAGACTTTGCAAGGCTCTCGTGACTTTGGAGCTCAGTTATTCTGTGCTTTGCTACGGTCTGCAGCCGTGGAGGCAAGGTTGGTTTGTTCATTGCAGCCACTGCCCTTTTCCGGAGCAGTGAAGAAGGATTCGACTTCTAAAAGACCCGAGTCGAAATATATTATCGTATCATCGGATGATCATGAAACTTCAACCGATGAACGATCAAAATCAAACACTCCAGCTCCTCAAAGGGGCCGGAGGCTTGGTCGACCACAATTCGCACCGTCTCTTCCACAGACCTCAGTACGCTCGGGTAAGTAAACTCATGAAATCATGGAGGAGCTGGTACTAATGTTTCAAGGTCCACTCCCGAGCCCGCGAGAATCGTTGTATCCGGTGTTTTGGGTCGAAGCTTTCAATGAGGCAGTCCAGAAATGGATTCCCATTGATCCTCTGGTGACGAAATCACTTGCGAAGCCCTCCAAATTTGAACCACCCGCTAGTGACCAGTACAATAATATGTGCTATGTGGTTGCATTTGAGGAAGACGCTTCAGGGAGAGACGTCACCCGTCGCTATGCAAAGGCTTTCAATGCAAAGACACGTAAACTTCGGGTCGAGTCCACCAAAAATGGAGAGAAATGGTGGGCGAAAGCTCTAGCATTCTACGAAAAGCCATTTCCGGAAGACCGGGATGAGATCGAAATTAGTGAACTAACTGCCAAAACCGCAGCTGAGCCCATGCCGCGGAATGTACAGGATTTCAAAAACCATCCTATATATGCCCTGGAGAGACATCTTCGTCGAAACGAGGTTATCTTCCCGAAGCGGGTAATCGGACAGGTTGGTCTTAGCAAGACAGGGCCAAAGAGCCAGGCGTTGGAACCCGTCTATCGTCGTACCGATATCCATGTTCTTCGAGGTGCAGATGGATGGTATCGCTTAGGACGGGATATCAAAATGGGCGAACAGCCCCTCAAACGGGTTCGGGCTAACAGAAACAAAATTGGTGATGTGAATTACGATGAGAATGGCATCATCGAGGATGTGGAAACGGCTCTCTACGCAGATTTTCAAACAGAGCTTTACAAACCGCCACCCGTCGTCAAGGGGAAAATACCGAAAAATGTCTACGGTAACCTTGATATATACGTGGCGAGCATGGTTCCCCCGGGCGGAATTCACATAAAGCGCTCTGATGCCGCACATGCTGCCAAAATCCTCGGTATCGACTATGCGGATGCCGTAACAGGATTCGAGTTCAAAGGACGCCATGGAACAGCTGTGGTTAAGGGCATTGTTATAGCGAGCGAGTACCAGGAAGCTCTTGAAGAGGTCCTGAACTGTCTTGAAGAAGACCGAGTACGGACCGAGCTCGAAGGGAAATCGGCAGAAGCTCTTGGGCTGTGGAAACACTTTTTGCTTCGACTTAGGATTGCGGAACGAGTCAAAAACTATGCGGTCGAAGGTGACGAAGATATTGATGACGTGAATGACGAAGACTATGAGGAAGCAGAAGAAGCGGAATCCATGGGTGGTGGCTTCTTCCCTGAACCTGGCCAGGAAACGAGGAGTCCACCCTTGAATCTCAATACTCGAATGTCTGGACAAGCCGTTTCTAATGTCCATGAAGCCGAAAACAATCTTACTGGCGCAGATGAAGACGAGTTTCTCGGTGGAGGATTTTTGCCTGAAGAGCCTTTGGACAGCATGGAAGAGCCTGAGCCTTTACCGTTAAATCAAACAAACAGTATTGAGATCGCAGGCAGGACGCAGACGGCAAATGCACCTCGTTTTTCACTCGTCGTTGTTTCGAATGATCAAACCCGTCCTAGAGACAATATGGACTCTAAACCAGATGGCAATTCTTTTACTGATGCCATGCAGGGAAACGCACCGGCAGAATCTAAAGATACCACAGAGGAGGTGCACAAAGACCATGGAGGGTCATCAGCAGCCCCTGCAATGGTGGAATCCAGGGGTTCAAAACCGGATAACGTTGAAGAAGTATCACAAGGTGCATCGCAGACACAGTTAAAGGCCGAGTCCCCGGAATCCATGGAAAAGGAATCAGGAAGTAATGACGAAGGATCGTTGCTATCACAGGATCCTGATGATGAGGATGCAATTCCTGAATGGTTGATGTGATTTTTGCATGTCTATGATTGGGAAGACTGTATAGTTAGAATGGTATGAATGATACCCTTTTCAGATAGTTTTAGGTTATATCAGGAGTATATATAAGATCATCTCAAGACAATACCCTATATAGACCATGTAGATGTAATGCTCTATATAACGCGCACGGACCAAACCCGACGCGTCGACGCGGGTTGCCTGATAAGGAATCAAATTCGTTATCGGAACGTGACGCCACCTTCCATCGTTGACACCACAGCAACGTGCTATTCTCATGTCTCTTTGCGAATCTTTCCATCACATATATTGCTTCAAGCTGCGATGAGACGAGGGGACAGAACCAGCACCGCCACTAAGACCAGTCAGGATCAATTTCGAACACCAGACAGGGCAGCTATCCGTGGTCCTTCAGCAGCGAAATCCAACGGTTCAAAACGAAGTTTATTATCATCGCGAAAGAAGAACATAAGCCCGGTATCCTCGGAATCAGTATCAAAATCGTTATCATCAAGGAGGACCTCGACGCTTCCCTTTAGTAGTTCTCGGGACCAACCTACGCTCACGCAGATAGACTTTGTGACGACCCAACGACCGGACGATGACGATGACGACGAGGACCAACTCGATTACATAGAGGGGGATGAACCGCGGGATGATACCCGAAATAATAACAAGACCCAAGAGGTGATTGAGATCGAGGATGACTCGGACGAAGACGCCAATTATCAACCATTAATGCGGCGGGTCCGCAGCGTCAAGTCCGATTCAAATGCGAAAAGCAGCGTGCCGAAGCTGAAAACGAGCACTTCTCAGAAGAGTGAAAAGGGCGATGTGAAGAATGGTCGGAGGAGGAGGAGCAGTGGTCCGAGCAAGATCAACAAGACCAAGGATAAGAAACAGGATAAAACTCTCACGCAGATGAAGTTTGTGATGCCATGTTTGAAGATCGACTCCGATGATGATGATATGAATCTGGAATATACGAATTATACGCCGAAGAAAGAGGAGGACTGGAAAGATGATCTGGATGACTCGATATCGAGTTTAAATCACACCCACAAGGCTTCCAGCGGGTCGAAGAGGAGGAAACTGGATGAGAAGCTCGATGAGGAATTGGGTTTAAAGGGGATAGCGACGGCCAAAAAGCTTCAATTTGCAGAACCAGATCGAGGCCCAGTCACACCGCGGAAGCCAAGGAAACAGGAAATCCCTTCATCTCAGTCACCGGAAAGTCCTGGGTTTGCAGTGATCTCGTCATCACAGTTTCGCGGCGCAACTGGCTCTCCGCTAAAGAAGCGCGTGTCTCCAAACCTCCCGAGTCGTTCTGTGAAAGAAGAAACACCCGAACAGAATTTGGCGAAGCAGGATCAAGAGCTTTCTGATACTGTGACCCCACGTTCTTCGATTATGAATTCGCACTCGCATGCGCCTCATACATCCCCTAATTCTCGAACGGAATTGCCTACGTCTGGAAATGGAGGCAATGTGAATAATATACCCCCTAGTACGGAAAGGACCGTGGTTTATGAGACGGACGCCGAATCAGATTACGATGGCTTGTCCAGCGCCCCAGCTTCACCTAACAAGCAAAGGCTGGCCCACGATAATAACACCGCTGAAGACAACCAAGAGACTCTTGACGACGATTCCCCAGATCTTCCTCCACCTAGGATTCCTGAGCCAGAGCCTGAATCTGGTCATCTACACTCAGATGTTAACCTGTCATCCGATGCGTCAATCTGCTATCAACGATTCCAGCCAGCCACCCAGTTTCCGCTCGAGCCAATACCGATGCTAAACACTCAGAAGATGACCGAACTCTTCCCGCAGGAATCCAGTGCCCTGCAAACAGACACTTCTCTACCAGAGTCTCCCCCATCAGCAAAACGTCATCCAATGCCTGCTCCAACTTTGCAGACACAGACACAGACACAAACTCAGACGCAAACCCAAACTCAATCGCAATCACAAGATTTAGGTAAAACATCGACAGAGATAGTGCCAGAGTCTTCGCCCGTAACACGGCAGGCAAATGGCACTCATATAAACGACTCTATCTCACCTGAACTCCACACTCATGACTCCGTGGTGCAGGTTGAATCTTCCCAACCAGCGGACAGACTCAACAAGCGCTATACAGGCCGAAGCTCAGGCCCGCGGGGCATCTTGACTGAAAGCCAGCTACTAACATCCAGCGTGATGGAGAGTATACCCATGCCAGCCTTCTGGATGGGCAGTCAGGACAGTGTTGGAGAGCCTTACAATGAGCTCGATGCATGATATAGATAGACCATTTCAATAGCTTCATGATGATAACGACCAGCATATAATCCATGTGATTTTCTCTCTTATCACTGTTCAGGGGTAATGCTAGTACGACGTAAACCAGTTGGCGACCGAGCGTCGGCGGGGCATTTGGGCCGCCGTAGCCCCGGAAACGGAAACATTAGGGGAGATCTTTCGACTGACAAGTGACAACCTCGCAACACAATCGTCGAGGGGCGGTGCTTGCTTTTCTTATTTGAACCTGCAGTCTTGTTTATTCGTCTTCTACTGGCGACAATATCTAAAATCATGGATCTCGCGTACGATCACATCCAGGGGGAGATCTACACCACCAACGACTCCTCGAAGAAGGAAGGCGACCAAGACGACAATAACACCTCCGAGAACCAACGACCGAACGTCGACCTTAACACCGAGCTGCAAGAGACATTCCGCGCCTTCTCTGCTAGTCCATGGGGTGTCCGCATTGGTGGACTGTGGGATAATGTTCGCAAACAAGGAGAGACTTATTATGAAGGTGCCCGACAGGAATATGCGGCCGCAAGCGAGGAGGCTGTCAAAGGATTCTCGGACCTGAGGGAGACTATCGTCGGGCGCACACGGGGTCTGTCTATTAGTACAGGTCTTGCGGGTGGGAGCACGGAGAATGAGAAGGACGAGAAGGATGAGCCGTCTACGCCTACAGCTCCCAAGGCAGAGGGTTCTCGGGATGTGGCGGGTGAAGGCAGTTCGAATGAGGGCTTCCTCTCCCGCTTCAAGGCCGAAGCCGCTAAGCGACTTAGGGAGATTGAAAAGGCGGAGGAAGCTGCAGATGAAGCTATCTTGCGATTTGGCATGAACATTGGTCAGAAATTGAAGGAGGCTGTGAGCATTGTTCCTCCAGACACGGAGTCGTCGGACAAGCTCTTGTTTGAGAGCAAAGATGCCGAGGGCAAGAGGGTCATCCACGCCACGCGCTTTGAAGCTCAGCTGCATGTCATCCACTCGAACCTGGAGAGCTTCAACAAGGACCCTGTCAGTGACCAGTGGCCTGCGTTCAAGGAAAAGTTCAACGTCGACAGCAAGACTAGTGAAATCGCCGCCGACCTTGAAAAGTACCCTGAACTTCGGTCTGCGATGGAGAAGCTTGTGCCAGAGACTGTTGAGTACACCGATTTCTGGCGCCGCTACTACTTCCTCCGTCTCGTCATTGAGACGGAAGAACAGAAGCGCAAGGAGCTCCTTAAGGGTGCGTTCAACTCTTCCCGTTTATTGTATACAGATCTAACTGTCGAATCTATAGGTGCCAACGCGGAAGAAGAGGAAGAAGTCGCCTGGGATGACGACTCTGACGAGGAATCCACTTCCCCCTCCACCCCTCAAGTCAAGTCCAACAAAGCAGACACCACCAAGAATGCTGCCGCCGATAACACTACCCCGAAGCCCAATGAGCCACGTCGCTCTAATGACCAGCAATCCCAGGCCGACAGTGAGTCTAGCTACGACCTTGTCAGCGGCACTACCAGCCGGGCACCCGGTAGTCCCAAGGAAAAGAGCCCTGTCCCCGCCGCAAAGGCCGAGGAAAGCGATGAGGAGGATTGGGAGTAGAGTTTTTCCCTCCTACAGCGATGAGCTAGCTAAATCCCCTCCCGGGTGTAAGATTCTGTCTATATTCTGAATCCTGGTTGTTCAGTACTGATCACTGGCTGGTCCATGACCGAGAGCTGAGGATATTTAACTAGCAACCGTGCTTACAGGTGTTATAGGTGCTTGTTTTTTTTTTTTGGCGTTGTTGGGGTTTTCGCTTAGCTTACTATGTATTTGTTTTTCAGCGATAGTTTTGATATCAATTAATATGGTCTCATTTTGTGAATTCTATGGATTGTATTTAGACCTATTTACATGGGATCATCTCTATTTGCTTGCCAAAATTGATTCGTCAGATCATCTTTACTACATATACATCATCTTTCAGGTTCGCATATCCTATGGCGCACCAATAATTTCCTTATTCAGGTTTCGTCTCAGCACCAGAATCGGCTTCGTCATCGCCACCTGGCTTTGCAGTATTTCTATCGTCCGGTAATGTTGCAGGTCTTTTAGAAAGCGGGGATCCCCTCCTTGACCCTTCATCGGTAAAAGTCGATACGCCCCGGAACATGTTCCGACGCCTGATATCGGACTGGACAGAAGGAGAACGACGAGATGGTAGCGGTGTTTCAGGCGTGTTTTCGCGCGAACGAATTTGATATCCGCGAGATCTGTCGCTAGGCGAATATTGATAGTCATCGACATCGCGAGGATACCCAACAGGCGTTCCTCTGTACTGGTAATCCTCGCCTCGTCGCTTGACTGGACTTTCGTCATATGGATCCCAGCCGACTTTGCGTCTAGCATCTGCACGGAGGCGCTGGCGGTGCTGCTCATCGCCGCCAGCACCGGTGGTTGAGGATTCTTCCAAGAAGAAATTCAAGAGTTCGTCACTAATGGAGAGATGGGATTGTTGTTGGAATTGTTGCAAAGACATCAGGCGAAGAAGGGTCTCGAGGAGGGATAGGGAGGTTTGTATATTGTTGAATATGGGGTTTGAAACGGTGGTCGGGGTAAGATGTTGCGATGAGGATGAAGGTCGGGAGATGTCTCGGGAGGGAGAAGATCTTTCATTGTGCTCAAGAGACAATTTTTCCAACATCTGCGGATCAAGATCATCAGAAGGTGATGGGGGAGCTTCTGCCTCTGACTCCGCATCTGACGATTCGTCTTCGTTATAAACCTCAAATGCTATCCACTCCGGGTCGAGACCTTGAGGTAGTCGCCATTCCTCCGGAATCGATGAGCTATCAAAGCTGATGTTATTCGTCGTAGCACCTTCTCCATTCAACTGTGCATCAAGCTGCGCTTGGATTTCGTCCACTTCCTCTTCTTGATCCGATTCTTCATAATCGAAATCTGCTTCGTCTCGTTCAACCATGCGACGAGGAGGTATGGCGTTGATATCTCTTTTCAGAAGCAACACCGGGTTGTTAGTCTCGCCGTCAGTGTTGATATTGAGAATCCTCCCTGTGTCGGCGTAAAAAATCTTTGAGATTTGATGGATAGGTAGGATTTCCCGAATCCCAGCACTTTTAACACCCTCATAGCTATGAGGTTGGGGTTCGCCATCCTCGAACGTATGAACTCTCCCGTCATCCAGATCTTCAATTATAAGCATTTGGTATGCGAACTCGTCTACTCTTGCTCCTGCATGTAGTTGTCCTTTCTGGCCTTCCAAATTGAACGCTAGATTCATAGGCACTCGGCGAAGCTTCAAGCGAGCTTTATGCATGACTTCCTTCCATGTTGCTTCGCGAGTACCTTCCTCGTCATGTGGGCGAAGGTGGCTGGCAAAAAGCATATACATGGACAATGTAAGCGTGGGACCTATTTGAACTGCCTGCGATGGAGACATAGAATATTGTGTATCTCCAGCAGTCATGAAAGTACTGGCCTGCAATAACCTAGATGGCGAAACCGTTGAAGGTAGGTTAGTTGACAGTTTCGCGCCGGATGTAGTGATGGCCAGGTTCATGAGGGGTACGGCATCCTCGATTCGAACCAGGAGTCTTTTTATGTCCCTTATGATGCGCTTTAACTCAGCGTCATTTTGAGATCGGTCCTTGGATGACTTCGCACCCTTTCGAATCAGTTCCTCAGAGGCAGCGGCCTTTGCCAATCGTTGACCCAAGGCTTGGATATCCAGTCGGAGACTTTGTGTAAGGGAGACAGCAGATTCCAGAGATGTGTTGCCTCGTGCAGCACTGTACAGGAAGAGGTAATAATTAATACTCTCCGACTTTTAAGTATAGTAAGAGTTTAGTAACTCACATCAACTCAATCATATCAATGGCAGGCGAAATGACCTAGATCCCGAGCCAGAATGTTACTATGCGGGGTTCTCAAACTCCGATGCAATGGAGAAGGAGACAAACCTGAATTTTGCTTTCCAGACGCTGTTGCAATGAAAGCAACTCATCGCGCTCTTCGCTCCTATCAACATTCTACCGTACGAAAAGGAATTAATTTCCCGATGCCCCGCGAGGCTATCATATCAGGGAAACATACTTTGAGCAGGCGGGATGACTGACGGAACGCATAACCGGCCGTGATAGAAATTCCATAGCTAAGAGCCAGAGATGTGAGCTTTTCTTTCTTGTCAAGAATCTGTTATCATGAAAACCCTCGTACCGAATGGCATAATTCGTCGCCTGCTGGGTGAGCTATCAATGGGGTCAACGTCAAGGTTCTAGGCAGAGAAAGAAACGAGAACTTACTCTGGTCAGGAATGCATCCATTTTGGTATTGGAAGAAGGCTCTTCTGCCTTCTTTCGTAATTATTTGAAGCTGGTCCAAACGACCGCCAGAAGTTGTCTGTATCAAAGGATGTTTTGTCCCGCGAAATGGCATCACCGTATTTGGACATCAGGGTCTATACCCTAACGGGAAATGATCTCATGATTACTCATCAAATTATAACCAATATCACGTGGTTCCCCTCCATAACATCAGGCGATTCGATGGACAAATTGCTCTTAATTTCTTCTAACATTCTACCTTTGAACTGAAAAGAAACAAAAAAAATACAAAACGAAGCGTCTATCGACCAGCAACAAAGCTATCCCATACCCCTGCCAATTGGTCGAGATTAACCTCCCTGGCAAGGTCCCAGATTCTGGACCTTCTCCCATAATCCTCAGGCTTGCCTCCATTCACGGTTGCAACCCCTCCTGGTGTTCGAATGCCATATACCTGTGCTGCGCTTGCCTTATTGGTTCCATGGCTTTGGAATGGCTCATTCTCGTTCACAAATGCAATCATGTCTGCCGCAAACGCCCTGGCCGAAGCTGCTTGCTCGTCCGATAGCTTCTCGTTGTAGTTCTGGAATAGGAAAGCGACGTCGAGAATATGGGTCGCCTCGCCTTTTCCACTGCCATCCCACGGGTTGGGCTCGTTGAAATGATACAGGTAAGCACTGTTAGCCGGCCATGCTTGCGCAAGGGTTACTGCTGGGGCATAGAATGCGATGTCCGTTGCGAAATGCAGTATATTTTTCATGGCCTCGTCATCTCGGACATTCGGCGTGATATTGTAGCCGTCAATCAATTTCTGGGTAACGGATGGATGGTCGGGCAAAGTGGTTTCAGCAGATTTGCGAAAACTTTCGGCAATCCCTGCCTTCCGTGGCAATAACATGTACGCCAGGATGCTTCCCTATAACCGGACATGATTAGTATTCGCTATACGTGAAGGAGAAAATGGTATGCAGGGCTATATGGTACATCATATTGGCAGTCACCAATCATGGCTCTCTTACACCAACTGTATCCTGGGAGGTTGCTTGCAGCACCGTTCCTCCAATCGGCAAAGGTCAAATTGGAGTGAACTACATCTCCATCTAGGGCAGGTATTAACGGAAATGTTGGAGGAACCTTGGTGAGAATATCAGTTGCTGGTAAATTGAGCAATGCCTCAATCCGATCTTTCACGCTCAAGTCCGACAAGCCCAAAGCCTTGAGTACGCCTGCATATATCCACTCTGTCACTGGAGGTGGAAGCGGTTTCATCAAGAGTGACGTGCCTCCCATGCTTACGAGTTGTTTAAAGAGAGGCTCCTCGGACAAGAGATGTAAAGTTGCAGAGACTGCGGGAGTAAGTCGGTGGACCAGCACATGATCGATCGTTACGTACCTCCACCAGCACTTTCTCCCACCACCGTTATTCTGCCTGGGTCACCACCAAATCCAATAATGAATTTCTTCACCCATCTCAGTGCAGCCTGTTGGTCTCGAATCCCGCGGTTAGCCTTGAAGCCTGCGCTTTGGAGTTCAGAAGAAGCCAGGAACCCAAATGCGCCTAATCGATAACTATGATACATTAACCTGGGAACCATATTTAACACTGTGGTATATATCGCTGCTTACTTCACATTTACCCCGATAATTGGTGTTCCTAGATCAGTAGACAGTTTGACCATCCGTGCTAGGTTATATTGTGGCCAGGCATTGGAGCCGATGACGAAGCCACCTCCATGCAGAAAAACGAAGACGGGCAGTTTACCAAGACTCTTCTTCTCTGGCACTGTGAGGTTAAGGTTCAGACACTCGGTTTCTGAATATGAATACGTTGGCTGAGGTAGGGGTTGCTGGATGAACCCATGCTCCATATCACATCCCGCTGGTGGTGAGATGCAAGATGGCCTTTGGAGGTGGTCAGGATGATATGCCATAGAGGAATAGGAAGAGGATATCTCGACTTACCCAAGCTTTGTTGCATCTATTGATTTACCATCGACTTTCTCGATGAGCTGCGGCTGCGCAAATCTATGCTCGAGAGTGGCATAAGGCACACCGAGGAATTGGATCACTCCGTCTCCCTGCAGGCCGGTTATGGAACCGAGTGCCGGATGTTCAATCTGCTGCGTCATCTGGATTCAAGCTCTGCTGTCAATAGATCCTGCTATGACTACTAGAAAATACTTGTGGATGACTGGCAGGTTAAATGCAGCTTCAGAAGATAATAATCCAGAACTCCACCTACCAACACCCCACACAAGCCGAGTGGCAGCGTGTGGGGTGAGGATTTCCATCCTCCCGCAATGTTGCTCTCTAGGTTTGCCTGCATTGTGGAATAATGAAAAATACCAACTACGTTATATCCCCTGAGGCAATATAATGATCAAGTCCATATGTTGAACAACTAAACATCTGGATGTGGAGTGCTTTCCTATCCACGAAATACTGCAGGGTGGGATTTGAAGAAGTAACAACACATTTTGGGGATCTTATCGGCAGGCAGGTATCACTTCGCTATGCGGGAACCATCATATAAAGCACATAACCAGGGCGATTGAGTTGGTGACCCAAAAAGCTAATCATAAACAGGACGGGGCATTCGGTCTGGCCTTAAACGGAGCTTCATGTTCAGGTCATGCTGATAAGCGAACCAGTACGTCGTAATCCGCCAAGGATTTTCCTCGTCTATGAGCTCGAAGTCAAAATGGTAGACGAACTGGGCGATGAACTTTTGCAATTCGACCTGGATAGACAAACCAATTAGTCAAGCAGGTTGATTCAAAATTTTGAGAACCCCAGACTTACCAGAGCTATATTCTTCCCAATGCACATCCTAGGTCCATTTCCACCAAAGGTCATATTGTTGCTATCGAGATATTTGGCTCGCGCAGTATCTTCAATCCAACGCTCAGGACGGAAGAGATCTGCATCTTCCCCCCAAATATCTGTGTCTCGGTTTTGGGCAATGGGACTGATCCCGACAGGAGTCCCGGCTGGGATTCTGTGGCCGCGAACCTCGAAGTTCTCCGGTGCGTAACGAAGGAGCTGGTATACGATTGACGGCAGCAGTCGTGTGGACTCTTTGACGATTGCCTGCAAATAAGGGAGTTGCTGGCACTGGAGGTATTTTATCGGTTCCACCAAGCCGTTTTGTGCGTAAAATTGATCAACTTCATTTTGCACCCGAGCATATGCTTTCTTGTCAAGACAAAGACGGTACAGGCATGTTCTCATACCGATAGAGGTAGTATCGGCACCGGCACCACTAGGGTCCGTCAGTCAACTGGATTTCGTTTGAGAATTATATATATTGAAGCACAACTTACATAATGTTTAATGCTTCCATCAGTACCTCGCCGAAGCTTGCCGGGTTCCCTTTGGCATCCTTCATTCGGCAAAAGTGAGCTAGCATATCTTCACGCCTCTGATCTGTCATGTTGTCCATGCGATCTCTGACTTTCTGGGAGGTCCATTCTCGGAATGAATCCATAGGCGGCGCTGCTCCTAAGAGCTTTGCTATGGTCGCGGTCAATCTGCTGTTTATTGCCCATCCTTGAGTGGGAATATGACCAAAATTGGAAATCAGAAAGAATCCATTGAAGATTGTCTTGCGGAGGCCGTTCACGTCACTCTCGGTTTTCAGATGACCCAATTGTTGACCATAAGCCAGTTCCCCAACCACATCAAACGCGAATGCATTCGTCCAGTTCGACATGTCGACCGCATGGCCCTTCTTGGCATGCTTCGCGAGCTGTGATAACATGAGATCAAGGCAGCCTTGAATGTGGACTTCATACTTCATCATCGAGGTCATCGAGTACGCTCCTGCAAGCCTTTTCCGAAGAAATCCGTGGACTTTCTTATCACGCTCAGCGAATAGCTGTGGAGCGGTATCGGGCACCTCCCAGACCTTGTACCAGTCGGTTTTGGGCGCGTTCTGACCATGGCCGTAGAGTCTCTTCATGGCCTGCTCGTCGACGATTGCCACTTCATTTGGCGCGATCCGAACAACTCTCCCGTACTTCTTATGAAGCATGATAATGTCGTCGTGCCATGTTCCCCGGAAGTAATGGTAGGTGCGCCAGAAACCGCTGACTTTTGCGAGGAAGGGGCCTGGTACGTGAGCCAAAGGATGAAGAAGTACACGGTAAAATACCAGCAATGAAAATACCGTTGCAAAGGTAAAGATAATGGCTTGAGCATTCAAGGCGTGCTGTGTTGTGAGAGTCTTCGATTGCAGATAGTCGGCAATCTTGGACAATAGCCTACGCGCCACGGTGAAGTGGTCACCCATGGTAAGACGATGGCTATCTTGGCGAATAAAATGGTTTCTCCAGATGCAAAGCGCTCGCATTTAAATACTGCCGATACAGACAGATATTCGTCTTTTGGAGAACATCAAATACAGGATTGGAATCCTTTGATACGGCCCCTTAAATCCCAATACGCTCCCACAATCTCTATCCCCGCGTTCAAGTCCTTGTCTATGTGGGGTGGATTAAAATTTGGATACTCCATCTTAAGGAGCCAAAAAGGACCATATGGAATTGTATGTGGGGTGAATATATGGAATCGACACTGGGAGTCATAGTGTGTGGACTTCGCGGCCTGATATCGCAAAACCATCAGCACACTTGTTTTATTCAAGCCCACCATAGTACAAGCTGTGGGACGACCATATCGCCGGTGTTCTACTGATTTGGAAAGGAAGAAGGATCACTTAACCGCCTTGTCAGCCCAGAGAACGGATAGAGAGAACAGATACTCTGCCAATTGGTATCAGAGTTCCCCAGATACACCCTCGATATTCCTTCCTTGCTCGAAATCCACATCCAACATAAATGAATGGAAGTAATCGATTCCATTATGCACCACCCAACGAGAACTGGGATCGATCTATGTCATTTGACTTTCCATGGCTACTGACGGTGTGTCCAACATGAATATTGCATCTTTGAATTCTCTTCTTGGTCAGAAGGTTCCAGGGAATTTCCTCTTTCAATGTCGTGTGGGATCCCCCCTTGAAGACTAAATTCACAATGGCGGACAACAAATCGGTAATTGAAAGCCTCCAGATAGGTTTTCTGTCGCTGTGATATGAGCGAATATATTTTCTGCTGTATACCGTCGCTAGTTGTCAATGCCAATGCCCTCAGGTTGACATCATCGATGACTGGATGTCTCACCTGTCACCGACATTTGACCCGAACCATGGAGGTATATCGGTGAGATTGATCATCTGTTTCAAACTTAAACGTAGAGATCAGCTATAGATTCAATTGAATCTGTTATCTAATACATCGGGCACTCATGCCCTTGATACGCATTGCCAGGTGTATATCGTTCAGACCATTGACTGGGGGTCCTTGCATAAGTTGTCGTACGAAAGTTTGTTCGGAGGACTTTAGATTTGGAATTGGGTTATTCCTCCAAGTTCGATCTGCAGTGCCAACATTAAACAGAGGCAATTGGCATGTGCCTCTGGAATAGTTACGCGTAATCCGGGGATCTCCACTATACCGAATTCCCCTTGCATATATACATGCAATTGCTTCATGGCAGCCATCTCTCTTGGTTTGCACCAAGGTCTCATCCTCAATCAATTGTCGCATCTCGAATATTTAAACGTCCAGAATTCCGGGTGTTCAATTTATTCTCAACCAGCTCAATCAGTCTTCTCTCATCAAGCAATCCCCAAAGCCAACCACCAACAACCAAACCGAACCAATCTCAAAACAAAACAAAATCCAAACTCCCCAAAAAATGTTCTCCAAAACCATCTTTTCTGGCCTCGCTATGGCTCTCGCCCTTTCCACCGTGACGGCCCTCCCCGTCGACAACGCCCTCACCACCCGGGACATCCCCCAGTGTGTCAACAACGCCAACCAGTGCCGCTCCCAGCCTGGAGCCAACCTTTCCACCTGCTACTCCCAGGCTGCTGCTTGCTGTGACCAGCTCGACAATGCCTGCCGTACTGCGCCTTACGCCAACCAGGCGCAGTGCTCTTCTGAGAAGGCTCAGTGCTACGAGCAAAGCGGTCTGCGCAGCCCTTATGGCCGTCGCTGGGGCCCTTGGGAGCAGCAGCAGCAGCAGCAAGAGCAACAGCAGCGTGAGCAGCAGGAAAGAGAACAGCGACAGAGGGAGCAAGAACAACGCGAGCGTGAGCAGCGTGAGCAAGAACAGCGTGGTCAGGGACAGCCATGGCAGCAGGAGCAATGGCAGCGTGAGCAGCAGGAGAGAGAACAGCAGCAGCGCGAACAGCAGCAGAGGGAGCAAGAGCAGCAGCAGCGTGAGCAGCAGCAGCGCCAACAGGAACAGCAACAGAGACAACAGGAAGAGCAGCAGCGCCAGCAGGAACAGCAGCAGCGTGAGCAAGAGCAGCGCGAGCAGCAGCAGAGAGAACAGGAGCAGCGTGAGCAGGGACAGTGGGGATGGAACCAGTAAATGACTCTGCCTCGATAGCATGGTAAGTTTTACGGGTGTCTTTTATTCCCAACACAGTGAACTGATTGCAACTCAAACAGAGTCCCGATACTGGTGAAATTTGGAACCGAGCATATATGCTCATTGATGACTCGACTGATAATTCGACCAATAATTTGATTGATGGTGTGACGCCGCTTTGATGATTTATATACGATACACTCCTTTGTACAGCCCATGATCCCTTGTTGATAAGGATCGTGAACGACTGTTTATGATGGCAACGGAACATATTCTCTCCTTTAATTTATCTGCAGATGAAACCCTAGTTATATTCAATTCCAGCTGGTTATAACCCAAATACTCTTATTATTGCTTCTTGAGTTTGTAGAGATGACAGTGGTATCAATGACACCTCATATTGAAAACTTGTCTATTCCTTCTATATTTCTGAAAGAGACCATCTTTACCATAAGGTATCTACATGCTTCACCTCTTGGCATGGTAGTGTTGGGTGAAATCGTAACAGAGGGCGTTGGCTCCCTCAGCAAACGCCTTCAAGATACTAGGGTCTGTCTCGGCCTTTTTGCACATCTGCAAGAATCCATCGTCCCGTAAGGCAGTCGTCGGATCTTTTTGAAACATTCGCCGGAGATTATCACACGATACAGGGTTGACCACGTGTTCGTATATTGCTCGTCGTACCTTGTCGTACTTGTCTAATATGCTGTCGTTTGCTACACCATCGTAGATGCCAGCGAGACAGTCAAACAAACCACCCACGTCAACGAGGCCACCCATAAGGCCGAATCCACCAAATGGGTTACACACTGTGTTATCCATTAGTATCTATGCCAACGGCCTGAGGCCGTTTTCTACCGTTTAGCACTTACAGTGTGCTGCATCAGCGGCTAGGAGAACTCGACCAACACGCATCTTCTTAGACAACCGCTGGTGAACTTTGTACGGACTGAAGTTGACTATCTGGTAGGAATCGGGCTCTGGATGACCAGGGAGCATTTCTCGGAACTTGCTGGCTTGACGCTTTTTCAACTCCTCCAGGGTTAACCCGGGGAGCTCGCCATAGGTAATCCGATACAGCCCATCGTTTGAGATGCGCGCTGCCATATACCAATTTGTGGAATCAATGATGAAGTTCGAGTCTCGATCATATCCGAATTCCTCAAAGGGGTAGTAAGTCTGAATGAACATATACGGGTCAGCAAGAACAAGTATTCATCGAACAAACTCAACCACTCACGTTGGTTGCCACCAGCTGTTCCTCCCAGGTGAAGCCGGGAAATTCTCTATCGCCAAATAGAGAGCGACGAATCTGACTATTCGCCCCATCGCACCCGATAATGTACGTCGCTTCGAGAGTCTTGATTCCCTCCGGTGTTTCGACAGTGACCCACGCCACGGTGTCACTCTGGTCGACGCCAATAACTTTGTGATCGTAGTGTATGGATACGGACGGATACTGAGGCAGATGTTTCAGCATCACCTCGTTCACTTGGTTCAATGGCAGACATATCATGGCATTCGGTTCGTCTGGATCCGCCCCGGGAAGGCCTGCGATAATCTCGCCATTGAGCTTTCGCCAACATACGCCATTAGGTGTGAAGCCTCCCTGGGCACGCAGATCTTGGATGAGACCAGCTCTCCCAAGTTCAGCGACTGCCGGGGCAGAATAATGGGTGGCTCGTGGGCGATCATCTAGCTTTGCTGCTGCTTCGAGCAGCTGGACTGAAATGCCTCGACGGCCAAGGAGAAGAGCAAGTAAAAGACCACTGGGACCACCGCCGACGATGATGGCAAAGGGGGATATGTGGGAACCCATGTTGGTGTTCAATTGTCGATATCACCATGTCGCGCAGCCTATATATAAGGCTCAACACCCCGCATTATGCCTTCGCCATGTGGAGGAGCCATGTGGGGTAGAGACAACAATTGTCAGTCGAAATGGAGGTCAACATATGCATTTAGATGCATATGCTTATTTTTATTCTTATCCTTATTAAATCAAGCTAAATTAAATTATCCTCACGATCGCATTATGGAGTCATGGTGAATGACAAATCTGGGGTGCTCCACTTTCCAACTCCCTTCTCCAATTCTCCGAATCTTCCTCTTCCTCTCCATCACGCCATGGTCGACTTCGATCATGCCCATCCGTTCTTCCAGACTGAGAGATAAAGAAATCCAAGATCTCCAGTGTATTCAGTGCAGTCGAACTTTTTCCAAACCAGAACATCTCCGCCGCCATCAACGCTCTCGTCGGTTTCTCTCTCCGAGTTTCTCTCGCTTTCACTAACCATCGACTCTCGTCTAGACACCGGAGAGCGACCGTTTAAATGCAAAGTCTGCGGGCGAACATATGCTAGAAGGTACTAGCCGGTCAATTGGGGAATGGTAGTTATGAGGATTTTTGGAGGCTGACGGCGGCATCAGCGACGTGTTGACGCGACATACGCGAAACCATCATCCACAAGCAACTCGGCGCTCTATTTCCGAATCTTCGCCTTCGCCTCTAGACTATGGGGATGAGAGCTCTCAATCTATCGATAAGCCAGTTCATGGGCAGTCCCCCATCGAAGCACAACGCAATGATGGGGTATTCCCCGAACACGAGTGTCAACCGGGGTCATCGTCGCAGCCCACGATGACCAATTCAACCGAAGCAACGCAATCAAATCACCATCTTCCGGTGGAGGAATGGGGAGCCGTTTCCCTTCCTCCAAATACGCATCATTTGCCTTCTGGGGAAGGCCAGTTTCCCCTTCTTTTCCTTGATCCCCAGATCACGATGCAGCCATTGAGCCACGATAATTCTGGCCCTACCAGTGGTGCAGTAGAGGATTTGGAGTCGTCAACAAGAGACAGTGATGGCCACCAAAGGAATCTCATCCATAATCCTCTCCAACCGAGCCATCTTGAACTGCTTGCTGGCTCCCCCGCGTTTGACTTGGGTGATATTTCAGGCTTCTTCAAGATGCCCAGCTCGCAGCCAAGCTCCGCAGCCTCACATGCTCAAGCATCTATCATTCCAGCTGAGAGATTTGAACAGATCGAGCGTCTGTGGCCCGGTCGTCGGCGAAGCAACCTCCACCAGTCATCCCCCTTCTCCTGGGTAGAAGTGGCCAACCACCCCATGCCAAACCTGTTCATGCAGCACACTCCAACTGATCCTTTCGGATCTCCCGAAGACCAAGAAGCATTGGATTCAACTTGGAATTTCACCGAAGCTTGTCGGACACGTCTAATGCAGGATTGCAGTCGCTACTTTAATCCTGGCACATCCACCTTTTCCATAAGCCCGGAGGACCCTGGCCCATCATCTGCCCATGCGAGCAGCGTAGAAGGGAGTCACTCGAGTCCTTTTCTTTGGAATGGACAATTCCCCAGTGCCGATGTTCTAGATCTGAGTCTCGACCAGTACTTCTACCATTTTCACGTGCTTTTTCCCATCGTGCATCCCCCTACCTTCGACGCCTCCATGACGCCAAGCGAGCTGCTGTTTCCCATGTGCCTGATCGGCCTGGAACTGCTTGATAATAAGGCGACCCGAGGCTTCGTCGAAAGCTGTCTTCCGGTAAGTACAATTTCTGCGTATTCATTACCCTCTTCTAATGACATGCGTTCGTCAATAGGGGGCCATGTATCACTGTCGCGCGGTAATCACTTCAAGTCATCTTCGCCGCTGCCCAAGTGCCCAGCTCCTGATTATGCTGGGGAGTGCAACTCACCTGCTATTTATTGCCACTGTCATTCCGGTTAGTGTTGACCCTAGCATGATACGTCTTCAAGCTTCTGACCGTACAACAATATCGATAGGAAATGGCATATCAGGAACAAGTCTATTCGCTGCATCAAGAAACCCTATCGGTGAGTTAGGTAGTTCACCTACAAAGTTCAGTCTCGCCTGTAGGATTAACACTCTAGGCAGTTAGCGCAACAGCGTGGATTATTCACTGCTCCCGATCTCGAGACAAGCTTTTGGAATGCTCACGGAAATGATGATATTGTCTGGTATAGCTGGGCACGAGTCGAATCGGCCAAGCGGTACGTTATTTCTAGCTGGATGGTCCGTTCCTTAGCCATTCTAACGCCTCTTGTTCAGACTTCTTTTATCACTCATATTCGCAGAGGCCTATTCGGGGCAGGTCCTCAAGGCACCGCCTACTCTGAAACTACAAAACATGCGAGTTCCTGTTCTTTGTAGTGACAGGCTCTTTGCTTTAAGCAACGCCAAATCATGGAAGGCAGCTACTGGTCCTCATCCCAACCAATGGTGTCCACATGCTTGGACGCTGGCTTTGGATCCTGCGATGCTGCCAGATGTGGCCAGTGATTTCGGTATTCAGGGCTTGCTCGCCTCCGTCTGGCTCTATATCTTGGAATCCAACTACAGTCCTCTGACCAGCACCAACCCACCAGTCCTGAACTTGCACAAATTCTACCCATCCAACGATGCACTCACCTCTGATACCCGTATAAAGGACATCATCTCTATCTTCCTTGCCCAAATCTATGATAAATACAGAGATCAATTCAGAACTGGCAACACTAACTCCCTATTTCTATGGCACTTTTTATGCCTCAACTCGTTGGTGGATATAAATACCTGTGAGCTGGCCGCCGGCCGGAACGGGCCTGACCATGTCCAGAAAGCCCTAGACTCCCTGGAGGAGTGGGCCCAAACCCCGCAGGCCCGGCGGGCATGTTTACATAGTGCCCAGTTCATCGCCATTGTGGCCCGCCACAAGGCATCCGACGGGGTCATGCTGCATACAGAGATAGCCATGTTTGCGGCCGCTTTGGTACTCGGCTTTTATCTTCTTAACGCTCCTTCGTTGACATCTGAAGATCATTCAACACCCCTCAATCTCCTCGATGAGATCGACTGGACCCTTGTTGGTGCCGAGATGAATGCTGGCAGTTCGTCTTCAGCGGATTGCCCCGTGGTCCAGTTCATCCGTACCGGAGGTCCAGTTGCATTTGCAACTGCCGTGTATCGAAATCGCCATGGAGCTGCGCGGCGCGCATTCATGAATTTCGCCGCCCTTCTCGAAAAGATTGGTAGATGGAATTACCGGGACCATTGCCGGATTCTTCGAATTATAAGTAACACCCTGTTCGAACCAGGGGGGTGCGGTCTCTGATACTTTTCCGATGCTATTTCGCCTAGTTACGGGCATAGTGGTTTAATGTGGGTGGCATTTGCGGTTGCATACCAGCTCCTTCTATATCTACATGTCGAGGATTGTGGCAGGCATGCGGGAGAATTAATTAATGAATTACTATTTAGCACACCCTACTCGAGAGCCAAACCTTCTTTTATCACTTCTGGTATATATCAGAAGGGAAACAGCAAAAATAATCAAACATTATCGCGTGACACCGGCGGCTGGAAACACCTTTCCACAATATATGGTATAGAAAGATACAAGAAAGTCAATTGTACCAAAATTGTGGCAAACGCAGTTACCGCCCTTTTTTATTCTATCCACTATGGCCCTCAATCTATCGCAACCCCTGAAACGTCCACCTTGACGTTTCGCAATGTGTATCCATCCCTCTTGGCCGCCCCCCATTGTGTGCGGATGAGCTGGGCGATCTCTGGTGTGCGTGGGATGAATTGGGCTCTGAACCGCTTGGGGAGCGTATTCATGCCTGGTAGATATGCCTCATCCGAGAAATCGACCTGTTCGGCCTTCTGCCCTGGCGGCGGCCGGATATTAAAGGCCCAGAGAATCATGGCCACAGTGATGTACAGGCTGTTCTCTGCCAAATGCATTCCGGTACAGATACGTCTTCCGGCACCGAAGGACCAATGGTCGCGTTCATGGGGGTCTGCCGATGCGGCGTAGACGCCCGATTTATGTTGATAACTCAAGTAGCGCTCTGGTTTGAACTTCTCGGGCTCTGGGAAGTACTGTGGGTTGTTGTGGATGGCATATTGCTGGATTGCGACGACACTTTCTTTGGGGATGCAATATCCCTTGTAATGAACGTCAGCCGTTGTATAGTGCGGTGTGCCCATGTTAGTGACAGGGCGCACGCGGAGAATCTCCTTAGCAATAGCACGAATGTACGGAAGCTGGTCAGCGTCTGCGAAGGTGGGTAAACGCGACTGTCCTACAACACGGTCAAGTTCTTCGTGGGCCCGACTCTGGACGTCAGGATGCGCGGACAGATATAGCACGCCGCTGTTCAAGGCAGAGGATGTCGTCTCAGAGCCTGCCTCGATCATCGCTGTGGTAAACAAGGCTGGTCAGTGTCAATTGTTCGAAAATACGATATCTAACCTTGCACAATGTCATCGCCCGGAAAGGAAGAGAAGAACTTACTACCAGCGAGGAACGCGCCTTGAAGCTCTGTGATGCCCATTTTCTCATACTCGGACTCGATAAACTGCTTAACGAAGCATTCGGGCGCCTGTCCGGTCTCCATTTGTGTCCTGAGACTCGTCCAGAATTTCATCCAAATCTTCTCCTGCTGACGCTGTAAGGGCATCATGGATTTTCTCCACCAGTGCAGTGACTCTGGCAAAATGTTCGCCAGGGGTGGGATTGTATCGGCCAGGTATTTGCCGGGGACAGCAACGTTGGAAAAATCCTCCATCAGCTTGTATATTTCGCGCACCTCTTCACATTCCTATCCAAACGATTGATCAGAATGCGACTATCTCTTGTTGCAGGGGAATGCTTACCCACTGCGGCACTCGTTGGCCGTAGGTGGAGGTCATGATAAGGGAGACGGTATAACGTCGAATGTGCATATAGAACTCGGCATTGGTCAGGTTGTCGGTGAGAATGTCATGGAGCAGCTGCTTGGCTTCAAATTCCTGGGATGGCTGGAAGGTATCAGAGACCTTAGGAGTCAAGAGCTTATGACTTATGGCACGCAATCTACGCCATTCCGGACTATAGGGCATCAGGAGAAAGCGCATCCCTCCAGAGAGTGCATCACTCGCTACCGGCATGGGCGTGCGCGAAGAGGTGACAGCCGAGTTCTTATCCATGATTTCCTTGACAGCTTCGGGAGAGTTCAACATGTACCAGTCGTTATACGCAAGGCGCACGCGATAAACCTCGCCAAACTCTCGTGCCCATTGTACCATTTGCTTCTGAGGTGTTGCGCTAAGCTGGAATGTATTACCTAGGAGCGGTATCCCCTTGGGTCCAGGCACTGGGCACTCGCCTCTGAGTGACTTTCTTCGTGAAGACAATATTTGTCCCATCCAGAACAGAGCCAGGACAGCGACGGCGAGTGCCGCAACAAAGGTCAACCCCATTATGGCAGAATTCCAGGCGATAGCAACAGCTGGTTCTTTGTTTGAAAATTGACAATTTTTAATCCCAGCTTTTATAGTGGTCGGATATGCCACTACTTATGCGGATGAACGCCATGTGGGGTGTGATTCCCCCACATGGAAAACAATACTATCGTAAGCTCATGATCAATAACTGCACATTACCTGTGAAGCTTCTTCTGGGTCACAGTTTTCAATAGCTGGTGGGTTGTATAAACTGGTCGACGAGACGATCAAGTCATGAAGAATGCATTTCCTTGAATTTCATGATACTGGCCAACGACCCAAATAGAAGAGCAAATCATAAAACTAAAAATACACACACCTTCACGCTAACAAAACGGTTCTAATTTGAAATGGAGCTCTTCATTTCTCACGCTTGGAGCCCTTCGAATCTTCAGATTGATAGGGTTGAGGACTGGTCGACCTGGCCAATTGAATATAGAGAGCCATTTAGACTGGCTGGGATGTGTATATAAATCCCACAATAGGAATATGTGCAATCAAAGCTCATGAATAAATCTCTGAGCTCCATATGGAGTAATATGTCAACAGAACCAGAAGATATCACCACCTCGTCGATGCATACAAACAAAACAGTCCCCTTGGCGCGATAGGCGCAATTAGGCGCCCAAGGCGGGGTGACGCTGAGTCATCGGGTGCAAAATCGATATGCGAAAAAGGCCCCTCACCTTGGCGCGTTTCTCTTCCATCCTCGCTCGATCGTTCCCGGTCATCCTCTTCTTCTTTATTTGTTTTGTTTGGGCCGTCCTTTTCATTTCCAAGCGTTATTTACAATGGCTGGCCAAACACCCGACTCCTGGGAGGATGAGCTCTCTAGACAGACTGAGGGCGTCAGCCTGAACCAAAACGCACAATCGCGGCCACAGGCTCAGGCTCCTTCCTTCCAGCCTGGGGCTGCCACTTTCCAGCCCGGCGCTGCTTCTTTCACGCCCGGAGCCGCTGCTTTCGTGCCTGGGCAGTCGTTCCAGCAATACGGCGGTTACCCGTCCTACGGCCAGTACGGCCAGCAGGCCTACGGTGGTGGCTATCCCGCTTACGACCAGCAGCAGGCATATGGCCAATATGCTGCGTACGGTCAACAGCCCGGTAACTTCAACCAGTATGGTGGGTATAACCAGCAGCAACAGTTTACCCAGCAACCTCGTCAGGCCGCCCCAGCAGCTGCCCAACAGCCCAAGGCTCCCGCCCAGCCCGCCCAATCCGCTCCCAAGCCGGCCGCGAACACTGCCGCTCCCCCCAAGGCTAAGGTTCTGTCCATCGGCGGCGCCAGTGCTTCGACTGCCGCTCCCAAGACCAAGGTCCTCTCGATTGGAACCCCCTCGCCCGCGAGCACACCCGCAGCCGCCTCCCGATCCGATACACCTGGTGACAGCAAGGGCACTGCTGCCGTTGAGGCAGGCGCTAAGGTGACCGCCAGCAAGGCTATTGACAAGACGGAGAAGAAGGCCGAACAGAAGAGCGGCAAGTCCTCGCCTACCCCCTCTGGCCGATCGAGCCCCGGAAGATCCAGCCCGTCTCGAGGCGAAGTCGCTAAAGCGGCCCGGCACGCCGATGCTGTTGCAAATGAGCAACGAGCCGATGTTGACGACGCAACACTGAAGGAAATTTACGGTGAGAGAAAGGAGCATGTCAACATTGTTTTCATCGGACACGTCGACGCCGGAAAGTCCACTCTGGGAGGTTCTATCCTGTACTGTACTGGCATGGTGGATGAGCGAACCCTGGAGAAATACAGGAGAGACGCCAAGGACGCCGGTCGAGAGACATGGTATCTGTCTTGGGCTCTGGATTTGACAAACGAGGAGCGCTCCAAGGGAAAGACTGTCGAAGTTGGACGTGCTCACTTCAAGGTCGACGTTCCGTCGCCCGATGGTCCTATCGAGAGACACTTCTCCATTCTGGATGCTCCCGGTCACAAGTCCTATGTTCACCACATGATCGGTGGTGCCTCCCAGGCCGATGTCGGTGTCCTGGTCATCTCTGCCCGTAAGGGTGAGTATGAGACCGGTTTCGAGAAGGGTGGTCAGACTCGCGAGCACGCCCTGCTTGCAAGAAATACCGGTGTCAAAAACCTGATCATCGCTGTCAACAAGATGGACGACATCACTGTCGAATGGTCTAAGGAGCGTTTCGATGAATGTACCGTCAAGGTCTCGAAGTTCCTGGAGGCTCTCGGCTACAAGAAGAGTGACCTCTTCTTCATGCCCATCTCCGCTCAGAGGACCTTGGGTATCAAGGATCGTGTCTCAACGGAGCTTGCACCATGGTACGGCGGCCCGTCGCTCATCGAATACCTCACCGACATGAAGATGCCCGAGCGTAAGATCAATGCCCCATTCATGATGCCAGTCAGCGCGAAATACCGTGACTTGGGTACTATGGTTGAGGGTCGTGTTGAATCCGGAGTTATCAAGAAGAACGGAAGCTGTCTCTTGATGCCTAACCGTACCGAAGTTCAGATCGCCGCTCTTTATGGCGAAACAGAAGATGAGATCTCGACCGCCACTTGTGGTGACCAAGTTCGCATGCGTCTCCGAGGTGTGGAAGAAGAAGATATCTCTCCTGGATTCGTTCTCTGCTCTCCCAAGCGTCCTGTGAACTGCGTGGCTGCTTTCGAGGCCAAGATCAGGATTCTCGAGCTTAAGAGCATCCTTACTGCTGGCTACAACTGCGTTATGCACGTTCACTCTGCCGTCGAAGAAGTTACAATTGCCCAGCTCCTGCACAAGTGTGAGCCTGGTACCGGCCGGAAGAGCAAGCGCCCACCTCCATTCGCCAGCAAGGGCCAGACGATCATTGCTCGTCTCGAGGTGACTGGCACTGCTGGTGCCGTCTGTGTCGAGAGATTCGAAGACTACAACCAAATGGGACGATTCACCCTGCGAGACCAGGTAAGAAATCTTGATTGTTCTAATTCCTTTCCCAATATGCTAACACTTTATGAAGGGACAAACTGTCGCCATCGGCATGATCACCAAGCTCATTACGAACGAGACCGAATAAATTACTTAAATATGCTTTACTTCCCCATATTCTCGGTTGCAGGATCTTAAGAAACTAGTCATGAGGTCGACGCATTTACTATGGCAAGGGAGGCAAGGGCGGGCAGAGGCCAAACAATGATACTCCAAGAATGGCCTACCCTGGTTGATGATGATGACTTTTTTACCTTTTTTTTCGTATAGATTCTTTGTCCGCTTTTCTTTTTCTTTTTTACGGGAATAAAAAGTGATTGGAACGAATCTCACGCAGCTTGCTTACTGAAACTTAATGAATTCTTTTTTTCATGTATGGATCATGAGGTCGTAAAGTAGATATCAACTCATGCAAAATCTATCCTAAGATCAATCCGATGTGCATAATATGCAACACAAGTAAACCCGGGGAGATCACCGCTTCTTGCCAACCACCTTGGTAAATCCATCTTCATCAATCTCTGGCTGGGCCTTCTCTTTAGGCGCTCTCACAAGAGCAGGCGCATCGCCCATATCGACATCATCGCCCTCGTCATCCTCCTCATCATCCGTTTCCTGATCCTCATCCCTAGCCTCAACCTTCTTGAACGTCGCAGCCGCACTACTAGCCTTCTGCTGACTCTTCTGCTGCCATGTCTCGTACATCTCCTGGATAGGCCCAAACTCCCCCCTCGCAGTCTGCTCTCTCATTTCCATAATCTGCGCCGCGACAGGCGCCGCACTCTCATCGTCCACAACGACATCAAATTCATCATTCATAACCTGGATCAAGACATCCTCGAGATCCTCCGCGTCGGTTTCGGGTCGCTCGTTAATCATGTCGGAAATGGCGCCGCACAGCCAGTCGCGCTTGTCGGCGGATGTAGGACCGCCCCAGTTGGACTGGACGGCTAGGTTGAGGGAGGGCCAGTTGTGGATGGCGAGGGTGATGCCGAGATCGAGTTGCGACGAGGCGGTGGTTTGTTGGGCTGTTGTTTCGGCCATTGTGTATGTATTTGGAGCTGATGTAGCTCGTCTTTTCTCTATAAATTTGGTTTTTTGGTCTTGTCGAGACTGTAATATCAGACTCGGAATGCGCTTCGTGCGTTGTTGGTTGGTGGGGTGCAGATAGGCTCTGATTTTATGCAGGTGGTAAAGATTTTATCGATGGCCCCTTGTGCCAATTTTTCTGGTGATTCTCGAGACTGAAAAATCGGGGTCTAGAAAGGGTGATATAGCAGTTAAAAGACCAAGGCTGTAGACAGTTAGATGTGTTTAATTCGTGAATTTTCTGAATTTTTTTTGAAGTGATCGACGGCGGGCGATTAGATATGATAAAGTGCCGCGGGTCAGGTGATTGATTCTGTTCCTGGTTTTATATATCCACGAACCCTCAAGGTACTTCTTTGGCTTACAAGGTACTAATTAGAACTGGGCTGATTGGTTTTGATTTAGGAAAGATTCTGTTTGTTTTCATATCGGGGCAAAATGTATTTTATATGGAGCCAAAAAAAAATCGCAAAAAGAAAAAAGAAATGAATCTTCGAGTTCCGACACGGGGAATCGAACCCCGGGCTGTCGTGTGAGAGACGACGATGTTAACCACTACACCACATCGGATGGTTGTTGGAAGGCTTTCATTTCGGTGCTAGATAAACGAGAGCTAGTGAGAAAGTACTATCAAACTCAGCGTTTCACCATATTCAGGTCGCAACTACATAAGCAAAAGTGGTTTTGCTGCGTTTTAGCTTAATTTCTTTTCCATATTCAACAGTTTTGAGTGCGATAGATTTAGTTTAGTAGTTAGTAAATATTGCTGTTTTAAGGGCCTGGAAGCCTGAATATATATCTCTGAAAGCAGGCTATGAAAATAGCGATTACAGATAAAAATAACCGTTGACACCCAAATGATCGGGTTATATTACCATACACGTAAGAGAAAGAGAGAGAGAGAAAGAGATAAAATCCACAAAGGTATAAAATATTATTCATCTTGCGCTGATGACGATCTATAAGTATGCAAATGCCCCCGAGAAAGTCTAACAGTATGGAGTAGATGATTAAAGACTAAACAAGAAAGTAATAATAAAAACAAGAGACATGCTTGCGTAATGGTATATCAAGCCTTGGAAAAGGCGACAAAATAAACACTTCTATACATCGAATGGAAAGAAAAGCCATATCCCAAACGCCGCATGACCACCATAAGGACATCCGCTCCCATACTACAAAAATCATAGAACATAGCTCAAAAGTTCTTGTGCCCTGATGGCAGTGGCAATGTGCCAAGGCAATGTGTTTCGCTGCACATTCCGCGTTCCTCTGGCCCGGGCAAGAGTGGACAGACCGCGGTACATCCCGAGTATCTCTCTGAGAAGCGATTCGTGTGATGATGATGGTCGCTGGGTATATATCAAATTCACGTTCATTGGAAGAACGCCGTCGCCATCGGTGGGACCCTTTCGGCGAAGGAGATACCCACTGGCCAGTGCGGGGCGGTATTCCGTCAAGTGCGGGGAACTATTGAGACGGTGGGACAACACAACTCCCCACGATTCATCGTATACGTCAGTGAGTAGTGACTCGGTTTCCGCTTCGAAAGGATAATCTATCGGCGTAGGGGCGTTCGCAGGTGCTCCGCTGCCGGTAGGTGTTGCTGCGGATTGATCCGGCGATGCAACGCTTGGATTGGGTGTAGCAACAGGTGTCGAGGACACTTGCTGATTGAAGACGCTCATCGGCATTGGCATGAGTGGGGGCTCAAGGTAGAGGTCAGGTGTGGTGTTGACGTTCAGCATCGTCAATTCCAATGGGACTGGCCTTGTTTTGTTGTATTGTTCGGCCAGATTCATCCATGCTGCAAGTAGTTAGCAAAACCACAGTGTTTGAGAGAGAGGGCAGATACTTACTGTCAACTTCTTCTTGATCAATAGGTTCGGTATTTACAATGACGACCCTCCACCTGGCTTGGATTTTGTCCAAGATACTCTTTGTGGCGCTCCAAATTTCACCGCGCATCTCGAGAACATTCCTAGAAGCATTGGAATTCCGAAAGCGTAGACAATAAGACATAGTCCGCTGGAGTGACCCGGTGTTATCGGACCAGGCCACGGTAATCCAACGCTGATCCAAGCTCCTGGAGCAGGCCACATGGAGACACCTTGCTTCCTGCAATGGTGATAGTCTTTCGGAAGCAAGTTTGAAATTTATTGATCTTGGCAATGGTTCTGCGAGAAGTACAGGAGGTGCACAGTTTACCAAACTGGCCCCCGAGCCATCCGGCGGACATCGACTGTATACCTCCAAAGCCAAGCTCAAGTATTCTGACTGAGAGGGCACCACAATGGATTCAGATGACATGACAAAGCCCAGAGGAATAACCTGTAACACTATTTCATCAAGCTGCTGTGCCTGGGTTTTATCGGCATCAGCGACATATCTCTGGAATAGTTGCCAGAAAGCGGAGCAAATATCGGCCAATGCTGCAGCATGAGTAAAGGGATTGATTATATAGATGACAAGGTTATCTTTGCTGGGTGGACTTCTCAAAAAAGCGGTTCCTGGTAAATGTTAGTGCGCGGGCAGGGGAAAAAATTACAATGCTTTGATGACATACCAAGTTCTTCGCACAGAATACGGAGAGACTGCATCACGGAAGGATAACCAGATATCCCAGATGATTTGGTGTTCCAGGAGGCCAATCCGCGTTCGAAGAGCTTTGACCTATCTCCGCGAATATGCTTGCCAAGATTGCAGCTCGAGTAAAGTAAACCAAGGCGCTCCAAGAATGCGTCTGCTGCATCTGCTGCAGGATGAGGATGAATGCAATATGCCGAGATATTCTTGTTCCCATGAGCAGGTTCTAGACCAAATGTTTCCCAAAATGCAATGGCTGGTGGCAAAGCTTCCAAATAGTCCTTATCGCGGCGGATGCGCAAGTGCGGCGCCGATAGCCTTGATATAGAACCCTTTGTCGTTTCTTTGCGTTGAGGGGTCTGACGAGAAATAGTGCCGTCGGAAGCTGGGGGCGAAGGGCTCATGTCTTGCAACGATACATAACCCTTCAAGTCCAACCTTTCTATTTCACCTATGAAATCTGTGTCTTCAAGGAAAGTTCGGAGTGAAAAGGCCTCAGTTTCGAGATCAGATAGACCAACTTGTCCATCAAGTTTATGGTTGAGAGAGGACTGCGTGACTTGGTCCACTAATAGCTGTGCAATTTGGATGTATTCATCTTTGCGAACAAGGACGGGCATGATCTGAGCTTGTGATGCGGAAAAATAGCCTGTCAATGACCAGTCGGAAAATGTAGAAAGAAAGTTGCCCAGAAAGGTAGAATCTTCGAGCTTTGATGTATTAATGTCTTGACCCGCGTCAATTGGAGGTCTTGCTGGGGATAGGGCATGTGATGTCTCTGAATTCGAACCAGCACGCTTCCTCTTGAGGGTTGCAGAAGCGGCCGGGATAGGAGATAAACCACCTTCAGAGATAATCTCATCGCTATCATCACTTGAATCACTATTTGAATCAGAATCTGAGTGTAAACTTTGCTTTAAACCACTCGACGGGGTCTCATGAGAATTCGTTCCAGAAGAACTTTCGGCCATGGCCTTGGCTTTTACGCTGCGCTGAGGAAGCCCGATGGTTGGGATGTCGCTGGTAGAATTTGTCGAGTTCGCTGCACCACTCTTCTCTGTACCCGAGAACCAGAATTTGCCTTCTGCTCCATACTTCTGGTTCCAGTTGCCTATATTCTGCTGGAAATTGACGGGGTTGTAATGGCTGTGTTTCCGGGCTTCCTTGACTGAAGGGTCATTTTCATTGGATCCCGAGAAAAGGATCTTTTTTACCTCCACAGGACTTAGAGGTGGGCTCATCGTCTGGCTGTTTTCATTCTGAGGCGAAGGTCCATGGTCATTTGAATCTGAAGCAATTTGTTTGTCGTCAAGATTAGTCGCCAGGTCCTTAGGACTGGCCGGGATTTCATCGACTGGTTCCGCTGGGATTTCTTCCATAGGAATCTCGGGCAACTCATTATCGGCATCGGCAGTAGACTGCGCTCTGGGTTCCTCCAAATCAACGGCTATGCTGGGCGCCTCTTGAATATCGCCAGCAAGTGTGTCGCCTCCCATATCAAACCCAGGATCGTCAAAAAAGCTGAAGTCTGCGTCGGTTATTCCTTTGGACCCAAAGTCTTTATCATTCATTTCCCCAAAGAGGTCATCGTCATCGTTGGTGTCATAGAGTCCGGAACCAACTACAAGTCCTGCTGCTGGACCAAAATCCATCGTCAGATCAGAACCAGGGCGATGTTTAGAAGAGACTTGATCATGGATATTTTGCTTGACCTGGTTTTGTACTTGGGATAAGCCTGAATCCGGGTCTTCAGCAAATACATCCGTTGGGTTTATACTGTTGGGTCCTACCGCAACAGCCCCATCTGGTGGCGTTGGGTAAACAAGGCTCGCGGTCTGAAGATCAGGGTAATGCGCAATTCGAGAAAGACTTTCTATGCCATCAGGAGGATCAATCCTAAAAGGCGACATTTCTTGGCCTTTTGGTGGTTCTTCATGACCGATCTGAGGTTTAAAGCTCGCTTCATCTCCTGGTATGGCCATTACGTACCATTTCTCTGCAAATTCCAAGGGATCGTCGGCGAAAGGACAAAAATCTTGAGTCTCATTTGTGTGTCGTGCTGTTGGTGACCTTGTCCTCTTAAAGCAATATCTAGCTGGCCAAAGGATACGCTTCAATGGGAGGACAGAAGGATTTTGCTCATTCTGTCGAAGAATTTCTCCTGATAATCTAGCATAGAATGGCTCCCAAACCTCAACTTCAACCCATGGCTCGTCTTCAATGGAGTTAACTTGTAGTCCAGAGTTCCCGAGCCATTCTAACACATTCAATTTCCATTGCTTGCGCTTTGTTGCAGATGTACCCAAAGAGCCCTCGCTACTAGTGCCCCACATGCCAGAAGGAAAGGGCGAAGAGTTTTGTAAATTGGTATTGGAGTTGACAAGCCTGGCAATAGTTCCGTTAGGTGATAGCCAAAGATCCATCCCGGACTGAGCATCGGCAATCTCTGCAGGCTGGTTTCTAGGGCTATAGAGTCGAGCAATGCCAGCTTGGGCTATGGTTTGTAAGGAGACGGTCAATTTTCCGACGGAAGTCAATTGAATTTGAACCGTAGTTAAGGAGGAAATGGAAGCTGGGCTGTCATTAATGATCTTTGGGCTTTCATAGCCATCGATTTCAATGGCAGTAAAAAGAGTGCGTGAGCCAAGTGGGATCGCATTGTGACGTCGAATCAGCTGGAGACTTATTGCGCCGGTGACTGCAGATATGAAGGATGCATGGATAGCCGCGAAGTTTGCATAGCCATCTGTGCGTCTGGACGAATTTGGCGCATTTTGAGCTCTCTGTGGCCCAGCTGCACCCCCATTAGGGGGCTGGGGTTCCGCTGAAAGAGTTCTTACCAGATCCTGAGATGTGGTGTTCCCGGATGCCGAAACTAAGAATAGAATGATTAATAAGAGCAAGATATGTAGTGGGCCCGGAGAAGTCAGAAGACTACAAACCTTTCAATGTAGTTGAGCCGATGAGTAGTCTGCTTGAGTCGTCTTTGCTTTCGTTAAGACATAAAGGGCTTAGGCCCTCAAAATTGGGGGTAGCGGAAAAAACCCATAGACCAAGGCGTCTAGGGTAGCATGATGCAAGGCAATCTAAGTTTCTCAAGCGAAGTTCAATATCCTTGAGACGACTTAGATGTTTGAGAATCGTAAAGCCATTGGCTGGAGTCTCAGCGGAATAATTTGTGATACCCGGTTCTTCCGTATATATTCTCCAGTAGATGTTGGAGAAACCATCCTGAGCAGTTTGAGTTAAATACCTTACTAGAGATAAGAACATATTCACTTACAATGACACGAATGTTTGTGATGTTTCCTCCGGGAAAATCCATGATTCAACTACTGCCCCGAAGGAGAGCGCTGGCTGCTCTTGCGAATAGCTAAAAAAGCTTCAAAATCCAAGCGCGAATTCATCTCTAGAGTGACCTAGAAACATGGATATATTCGAAACAGCAATCCATGACAGATTCAACAAAGGGCATAGCACAAGTCGGGAAATAGATCAACTTGGAGATGCCATCGATCCACGCGGTGGGACGTGGCTGGCACAGAAATGGCGAGATTGAGAAAAAGATATGGATCAAGCACGATGATGCCAGATCAAAACATGTGCCTGAACAAGAAAAACAACAATCCCATTGATGGATGATGGAAACATCTCATCTCGAGTGTCAGGAACGCTGTTTAATCCCAGGCCTCCGACACCATCGAGGCCGACGGAGGTTCGCTCGGGCCGCTTGGGCCAATCAGGTGCCCCCTGCACGTTATCGGTCACGTGCACCCGCTATCAGTGTCTCCAAAACTTTTTTTTCTTTTCGGGTTCTTTATCGCCCACCGAGTATACGCCGTGGAGGTCGTCGTCAACCTTAGATCGGCCAACAAAGGACAGAACCAACATGAAGCTGTCAAATCAGTCTGAGGTGCCTGTCTACACCATCTCCGGCTCGAACACTGCTCGGCCGCTCCCTGAATGGCTTGCCAGACGGCGAAAGCGCAGTTTGAAAAATGACCCGGAGTATGCGAATCGAGTTGAATTGCTTCAGGACTTTGAATTCGAAGAGGCTAGTCAATGTGTTAGAGTCAGTGAGGATGGAGAATGGGTTATGAGCACAGGTTTGAGCTCCAACGCCTTTGACTATGTCCGCCTGCATTGCGACTGACAGACGATCAATAACCACACAGGAACCTACAAGCCCCAGATTCATACCCATTATCTTCCCCAACTATCTCTATCATGGGCTCGCCATACGGTTGCCCTCAACACCACCTTCTTGCTTCTTTCTTCCGACTACTCGAAATCTCTTCACCTGCAATCTGACCGTTCTCTCGAATTCCACACCCCTTCAGGATGCCATTATACAACAAGACTCCCCCGATATGGTCGCGACCTTGTTTACCACAGACAGTCAACTGAGGCCTTAGTGCCATCAGTCGGAGTGAACCAGGATGGTATGGGAGAGGTCTTTCGGTTGAATATGGAGCTTGGTCGATACATGCGAAGTTTTGAAATTGATGTTGGCGGCGACGATTTTACCTCTGCGGGTGGAGGAACTTTACAGGGTGGAATTAACACAGGTGCTGTGAATACGGGAGCAGTCGCGGAGGAAAGTCACAACCTTCTCGCTTTCGGAACTACAGCAGGCACAGTGGAACTTTGGGACCCTAGAGCTAAAGGCAGGGCAGGAGTGCTATCACCGCCAACACAAACTGTGCCGTTTGATGGAAGGTCTGAGATTACGGCCTTGGAGTTCCAACGCTCGGGTTTGACGCTGGGTACTGGTTCTTCAAACGGTCTTATCCACCTTTACGATCTTCGGTCCCCCGTTCCGCTTCTCAAGAAGGACCAAGGATATGGCTTCCCTATCCACACTTTGAAATTCCTCCAGCCGTCTACTGCCACACGTGAACAGACTATGGACCCCAAGATTCTCTCATCTGATAAGAAGATTATCAAGATCTGGGACCCGCGCGATGGTACTCCTTGGACTTCTGTTGAACCTGCTGTGGATATCAATTCGGTTGATTGGTGTAGGGATAGTGGAATGATTTTGACAGCGAATGAAGGGCGACAACAGCACGCTTTCTTCGTACCCCAACTTGGTCCGGCTCCTAAGTGGTGTTCGTTCCTGGATAACCTCGTCGAAGAGATGGCAGAAGACCCCAACGACCCTAACTCATTCGCCACTGGCCAAACGGGCTCTGTTTATGACAACTACAAGTTCTTGACAGTTCCCCAGCTGCGGACTTTGAACTTGGAGCACTTGATTGGCAGAACAAACCTCCTTCGACCTTACATGCATGGTTACTTTGTGGCCCAGCGGTTGTATGAGGAAGCTAGGTTGATTACCAACCCATATGTTTGGGAGGAAGAACGTGCGAAGAGAGTGAAGGAGAAGATTGACAAGGAGCGCGAGAGCCGTATCAGAGGCAAGAAGAAGGCCGCCGTCAAGGTCAACAAGAGGTTGGCGGAGAGGCTTCTTAATGCCGAGGAGAAGAATGAGCGCCGGAGGGCACAGCGTGTGCTGCAGCAAGGAGGTGATGCAGAGATGGTCGATGCACCCGCCACTGCGCCCGCTTCCGAGGAACCCAAGGGTCTACTGGGTGATAGCCGTTTCACGAAGTTGTTTGAGGATGCGGATTTCGCTGTTGATGAAACTTCTCGAGAATTCCAGATGCTCAACCCTAGCACTCTTCCCCAACCTGCTGAAAGGAAGGAAAGAGGCTTGACAGCAGCTGAGCAAGAAGAGGTTGATGATGTCCCTGGCTCTAGTTCCGATGACTCTGAATCTGAGAGCGAACACGAAAAACCGGCGAAGAACGAATCCTCCGGCCGAATTTCCACATCGTCGTACAAGCGTACAAACCGAGCCCAGCAGCCACGGATGCAAGTGTCTTCTTCCACGAACACCACCTCTGCCCGTGACCGTTCCTTCGGATCGCGGGCACAGAACATGCGAACGAAGCAGAAGCCAGCTCGCCGTGGAGGAGTTGTTGGTGAACAGGCAGTCACCTTCACACCTCACGTCAAGTCGAAGAAGCCCAAGTTCGACCAAGCCCCAGCGCGCTCCGACTCCAACAGCTTCCGAGCCAAGGAGCGACGAAGTGCTTCTGGAAACACTTTCCGAAAAATGTGATCCATGGTTGTTATATACCCTATCTCGGATGATCGTGTATAAAACTTCAATCACGAGAAGATTTCGATCCTGCACTGTCGTGAAGCGGTTGCTGAATCTACCTGCACTCAATCTCGCGGCGAACTAAAAACCTCAATACGGACTGACTGAGCCTGGGTTTGGAGTCTACGAGACGCCATCGAACCTACCACTCGGCATTCGACCCATACACCAGGGGCACACTTGGCACGGACTTTATCAAAACCGACGGTTCGTTAAAAACGGAGTAACTCCCAGGAATGATTGAGATTCAACATAGCGATCTGCGTTCAACTGCAAGCGATGGGACTTTTGACACTCGTGAGAGTAAGCTGGCGTCAAGGTGGCAATTTTTGCCAGGAAAAAAGAAAAAGCCTTTGTCTTCATGTATAGAATAGTAATGTTGGAATGATACCATTTATGGATGAGAATTGGAATTTTTGAACTTATCTTCCCTTCAATGCTGAGATTTTCGCCTATTTCACCACTTACCGTCCGCTAATCGGGGAATATTCTAACCCATGCTGATATTCAGTCTGAATATACCAGGTTTGGTCTTGATTATCTTATCTGATCATCGAATCGTTCGATTAAAAGTTATAGATGTTACTATTGAAGATACCAAGCTGATAGGAGTTACTTTCCAGAATCGATGGCGGCAGGGACTGAATCCATAGCAAAGAGACCATCGACCATGTCAGGTACAGGGACAAGGGCATGAAACTCGAATTGAGCGATATGAGTGGTCATGATCACGCAATCTTACACTATCAGATGATTTCAAAGCACTTCCCCGCATATATATGAAGTTGAAACTTGACAGGGCGTAGAGGAAAAAGGCGTCATTTTGGTGTATTCAACATCATCCACTGTCCCACCATTTGTCAAACAAAAGACAAATGTCTTGACAGCCAATTATGAACTGAACCTGCAAGCGAAAAGTACTGATAAGAAAGCAGTATAAAGGGCACGCTGTGTACTTCTTCTTCCTGGCCATTCCAGTCATTCTTTTCTCCAATATCATCGAGGGAAGGAAGCAAAAATCAACCACAATGCCTACTGAATTCATCAGCGTGACATTCCCCAATGCCTCCACGGAGCTCAATCCCATCCCCAATGCATCAATCGACCCAGAGTTCCTCACTCGCTACGCGCGCAACCTCGACGACTACGCCTTCAACTATACCCTAGTCCCCTACGACTCATCCTCCTACGACCCCTTCACGATAGGAGCAACCATCGCCTCTGTCACAAAGAACCTCAAAATCATCATCGCTCTCCGCCCAAACACACTATACCCCACCGTAGCAGCCAAAGCCCTCGCCACCCTCGACCAGCTCAGCTCCGGCCGCGCTGTCGTCCACTTCATCGCCGGCGGCAGCGACACCGAACAAGCTCGCGAAGGCGACTTCCTCAACAAAGAACAGCGCTACGCCCGCCTGGAGGAGTATATCCGCATTCTCCGCCGCGCGTGGGAATCCCCGGACCCCTTCGACTGGGACGGCGAGTACTACCAATTCAAGCAATTCCAGAACAAAGTGCGCCCCGTAAACGGCAAATCCATCCCAGTCTCTGTGGGCGGGTCCTCAGACGACGCATACCGCATCGGCGGCTCCCTCGCAGACATCTTCGGACTCTGGGGCGAGCCGCTGAAAGAAACAAAGGCCCAAATCGACCGTATCTACGAAGAGGCTGCGAAAGCAGGACGGCCCGAGTCCGACCGTCCCCGGATCTGGGTTACCTTCCGGCCTATCATCGCGGAGACGGAGGAACTGGCCTGGGCGAAAGCGCACCGCACCCTCGATCTCCTGCAGACACATCGCGCAAATGGGCTCGGTAAGGTCCCCGCAAATGCGCCGGCTGTGCAGAACGTGGGATCGCAGCGGTTGTTGGAGATCGCGGCGCGTGGGGAAGTGCAGGACAGGGCGCTGTGGTATCCGACTGTGACTGCGACGAATGCGAGGGGAGCGTCGACTGCTTTGGTGGGGTCGCCAAAGACGATTGTGGATTCGATCTTGGATTATGTGGATTTGGGCGCTGAGCTTATTTCCATCCGGGGGTATGATAACCTCAATGATGCGATTGATTATGGGCGGCTTGTTATCCCGGCTGTGCGTCAGGCGTTGCAGGAAAGAGGGTCTGCTTAGACTGCGCTTGTGCGTTGGACGATAGAGAACTTGATACACGTGTATAAATAGAGTGCATCATCTACTCTGTAGTCTGCAATACAAGGGAAATCTTGCATCATATTCAACATTGAATAGTCTTGATATGTAGTAACTCCAAACCTTCGACACACCCACCGGACAATTAAACAGATCATGACACCAATCGACTCGCTTGACGTACATGTAACAATGCCAAAGAAGAAAAAGGAATAAAAAGAGAAAAGAAACAAAATGTCAATGGTTACAGAGACACCGACCAAAACGAACACCAAACAAAAAGACGATACCAACATAGTAAGAATCAAGCATAATTTCATATCAATCAAAAAACGTAAAAAGAATTGGAAATCCTGTCCAATAGTAAAAAAAAAAAAAAAAAGGGCAAATTTTGGAAAACACAAAAAAACTTCGCAGTGCCATTCTCTATGCTCCATACCCCGGATTGCATTTCTGTGTCGCTCGGTATCCAGTCTATAAAAGCAGCCTCCCGTTTAGATGGCACCATGAAGACGAAGAAAAAGAAAAGAAATCAAAATGGACAATAAACATGAACAGAAGAAAATTAGAGATCCGTAGTAATAAGCAGCGTATAGAGTAGTAACGCTAGAAATGGAAAGAAAAGTTCATCTTCCTGGATGAGCTCAGTATCGGGGGAATGTAATCTGATCGAGGCTGGAATTTATTACAGCCCCGCAGCATGCATTGAATAATCAATGACGTTTGCTATAAGGTGACGGTTATAGAGAGGGGAGAAGAGAAATGTAGTTTAGTAAAACTCATGTTTCATTGGAAACAATAAGTCTTACTCAGAAACCAGCATTAAGAAACGAGATGGTGTAACCGACTGGGAGATCTAGGGCCAGGCATGGAAACTTTGAAGTCGTCGAACACTGCCACGTCTTGAGCCCCCGGAGTTGCCACCCGGATCGCCATGGCTCCCGTGTCTGCCTTCTTCAGAACTTCGTCGTGGTACGCCAAAATCACTCATGGCAAAGAGCAAAGGTTCTTCATCCTCAATCGGGTTCGTCGAAGGCGGATAAGAACGACCAGAGTTTGATCGTTGACCAGAACCTCGTCGGGCCTCCACTGTCGAGTGACCACTGTTGCTGCCGCTTCCATTGCCGTCACGGTCATGATCGACAAAATGAGAGGTAATGTTGGCACCACGGGCACTGCTCGAGGCAGAACTGAGAGAATGCCCTCCGGAGAACCCACGACCACGGTAGCTGAAACGTGGACTATATGGATGGTTATTGGACGAGAGAGAAGTTGCATGAGCTCCAGAGGTTGTTGCACCTCTGGCCGAGGTTGACGGTCCAGCTGGCTCGTCGTTTGACGAAGGGCATGCCCCCCTCTGAGGTTGATCAGCACGGGAGTTATTGGCTTCAATCTCTTGTTGCCTGTGTCGTGCGCCAAGACTGATATTGGATCTATCTTCAGCCCCAAGGCTCACGCTACGCATGCCGAATGGGAAAATTTCATCATCATCTGTGGTAGGAGCAGGAGCAGGAGTTGACCGTTGACGTTGAACGGCAGAGCTGGAACGACGGAAAGGTTGAGCGAAAAGGCGCGGCGATATTGGGATATCAATGGCATTGATTGGCGCAGCTGTCTCATCACTCGTGCTTTCTTCAGGGAGGCTGGTTTCTGCCTCGGAGTAGTGGGCAATGCTGTTGGAACTGAGGCGAGATGGTATAGCGGGGGTGTGGGGGGTGTGGGGTGATATTGGTTTTCCAGGGGAAGAAGCGGTGGAGATGGATGTACCGGCGACCATGGGTGGAACCCCTGAAAGCTGCTTGCTCGAGGAGTTGGATGAACGCTGCAAAACCAAAGAAGACGACATCGAGTCGGAGAGAGCTGCATTGGAATCTCGCATGCGTTGGAAGCGTGACAGTGCAGCGCTAGTAGCGGTCGTTCTGCGTGCAGTGCTATCGAGAGCTGTGGAGTTTGTGGGGTTCATTAGGTCCTTTCTCAAATCCAACATCTTCAAAAATTCCGAGATATTCTCATCATCTGCATGAATGGAATCGGCACTTGTTCCAGTGGGTTCTGCAAGTAAACCAGATCCGGGCTGGGCGCTAGAAGACGCCGCACTGACCCTTCCACTGGAGTTGTCGTCCTCGATTCTGTTGATTCCCCCAGAAGAAGGCCGATTCCGACGGTGACTAAAAGAACTGCTGTATCTTGAGAAAGGGGCGGATCTAGGGGATGCTGAATTGGAAGACGCTATCACATTATCAGGGGTTGCCGGTATAGGTTTTCGTGCAGAAGCTGCCATTGAGGGAGGGGGCATGATTTTAGAGTCAGAGGGCACCCGGGCTCCTGGACGAGGCGATGCGGGCGGGGGATCAACGAGCGAGGGAGATGCAGAAAGAGGTGGAGCTTTGAACGGCTGGAAAGACATGGATGAGCGCCTCCCATGGCCAGAGCCACCCTCGCCGGCAAGAGCAGCAGCTCGCCCTGCAGGGCTCATCTTATTAGCCATGACCTTTCGAGGAGCCGAGTCAGTTGGGGATGGAGATGTGGCGCCTGGTTCTCTTGCAGCCCGGAGAGCTGAGATAGGGCTTGCACCGGTTGGAGGACCGACATGGTGGAAAGTGGACAAACTTCCGTAGGCACGACTAGGATCCGGATTCGCAACGGTTCGTTTTGTAAGGGGTACTGATCCAACTTCGTGGTTCGGGACCTCATGCAAATCCGCAGACGGGATTGATGGCCGAAAGATCTCGTCGTCGGCCCCCATAAATCGGGAACTTAGCAATGCTTCGGAATCGTCGACCCGGAAATCGCAGCTGGTTCGGTAGGTGACCTGCACGGAGAATGGCCCAGCAGGGGACTCTGTAACGCCAAAGTTGTATGTATCCACCACTTTGCCACTTCCTTCGTATAAGGGCAGTGTCAAGTGATCGGGTTTCGAACTATCGGCCGCACGTCCTTCCACAATGCGATACTTGATTCGTAGAGCCGGGTTTGACCGCCGTTTGCCGTTGCGTTTCGCGAACTTCCATGCAGGGAGGAATTTGGAATACGTGAACAGCGATCGGAAAAGAACGATACTCTTCTTATATACGGTCGGTAGGATAGAGCCTAGATCAGTTGGAGGTTTATTTGATGGATCTCCCAATTCAATGGACCATCTCTCGAGAATGATATCATTCGACCTAGACTGAGAAGGCTTATTTGAATAAGCCTCTCGAGAAGCAGCCAGAGATTCCAAAACATCCCATCGTTTCCCATTTTCATCGAGAGCCACGAGGCTTTGGTTATTTGTGAGTCCTTTTGCATCCAGGTAGGTTTCGATGGTCAAGGGCGGCGGTCGGCTTTCGGTGGCATCACAAGTTCTCCAAGTCCGGAGTTGATCTCGAAGGGCTTCAGTGTCTTCTAGCTCAACATTAAACTACAGAGCCATGTATTAGCCAAGCCTTCACAGTCCAAAAGATAAAAAGAAGAATAACCATACCCAGCGATTCACTTTAGGAGTATCAGAGCCCTTATTGTAGGAGGGGGGAAGCTCAACACGAGAATGAAGAATAATCAAAGCAGCCTTGGTATGATAATTCTGCAAAATATCAGCAACACACCCTTTCCCCAAGACCGAGCTAACATACAGATATGATCTGATTTAGTTTGGCCATAGCCTCCTTCCCAGGCGGTGTATTCTTCTGCGCCTGGTCGGCCGACTCAGACCCCGTTTCGATCCCCAATCCTCTGCTATTATTTTCCCTAGTTGGTGAATTTGGAGTCACGGCGCGTTCTCTCTGGTCTTCTGGGCGAGTCGAGTTCGATCGGTTTGGGAACGTGGGCGCCGCGGGCGCCGGCGACCGGGGATGCTGATGCATGATAAGGCGCCTGACGAGTCTTCTGCGAGATTCGCGACCGAAGTCAAAGGGTGATGATCCAGTATAGCCCCGATGGACAAGCAACAGTACCCAAAATCGATATAATTTCTTTTTTCTCAAGGTCGTAATGGGGGAGCGACGGAACCGCTGCGGAGGGCCATGCTAACGAACACACAAAAAACCGAGAGGAAAAAAGGCGACAACGAAGAATCCGGTCGATCGAAAAGGAAACGAAATGTAGATAAGAAAAAGAAAGGCGCTAAGCAACAGGCAGTGATCGAACAAAAACGGCAGACACCGATGGCATCGTTTGATGTGCTCAGGCAACAGGAAGTTGTTGGAGTAGTAGCATGCGGTCTAGACAACCTTGGGAGCTTCTCCGCATTGACGACTTACTAGATATGCCAGTCGTCTGGGGTACACAACGTCCTCACGCCGTGAGTAGAGGAGGGGAATTTAAGAATCCATCGTAAGAAATGAAAAAAAGGGGGGAGAGGAAAGTAAGTTTACGAGGAGAATGGTCAAGAGAAGGCGGCTGTGGCGATGATGTTTGTCGGGGGGGATGATGGAGAGTAGGAGGAAACGTGATTTGAGTCAAGTGTCTGTGACGCACACCCGGTGACTCGAGAGAGCGAGTCAAGTGGGAAGACGAACGAAAGCGTCGGTCAGGGCCACCACGGGAAGCAAGAGGCCTGAAGAGCCCAAGGGCGACAATAAATAGTGCAGTAAGGGATTGAGGCGAACAACGAGCGAACTCATGCACTTCTTCGCAACAAGAGTTGGGATATGCTGGACCGGACGAAGCGATAAATGAAGGCGGTAAAGGCGCCGTATTATTGGATCAAGGGATCGTCACAGACGGTACCAGACGGTATCAAACCGGGGCGATAAGCAGGTCAGCTGTTGCTCTCCGCAGCCACTTTGCAGTGGAACCGCCAACCGCTGACAGCTGGCACGGGATCGACAGCAAGCGGTATTTACGGTATGGCGCGGTACGGTACCGATCGGCGGCGTAACAAACCCGATGATCTCCCAAGCCGCTTGCATTTAAGGTCGGGACAGCTGCAGCGTCAAGATGACCAGGATACTCAGGCTTCGCTCGCTGGGTGACCGGGGAGATCCAGCTGAATTATCCGAATGGCCCGTGTCAACATGGAAAATGCAAGTGTCTGTGGCCTGGGACTGGCTGCCTCGCTGTCTGACCTTACTGCTGCTGCTGCTGCTACCAGGGGAACAATCACCACAAAGAAAACTAAACCACTCGGTTGGCACCATCTGAGACATCCATCGTTTCTATCTCGTCTATTTATATGAGTCGTTCCCTGTCTGAGCAGGGATCAACTCTGCCAGAGCATCACCGACAACTTGCACCGACTTGGACGCCGTTGTTTGGCGCCAGCTGTTATGCAGGTTATCGACTGCCGCGTCGTACTTTTGCTGTCACGATCATCCTGGTTCTCTATCATTTATAATCTATCGATTGAATCTGATAGTATCTGACTTGATTTTGATATCATTGATATTATTTGATCTCACATGGCAATATCGCCTACCAGTTCATAACTCATATCAACTATCTAAGATCGTTATCATTTATCAACTAAATGATAGGCATCACAAACGGAATACGACCCACTAACAGGGCCACTGACAATGGAACACAAAGGTACCAGGCAGCTAACGATATATACTAAAGAGCCAAACATGCAGACATCTATTCTTTATACCCTTATTTCCATTCAATCAGAGCCATGATATCAAAAAGTTACCAGGAATAATGCATCGTCAATACCAATTTGATCTCGTTTGCTGTCTCAGCAATCGTAGATACTATGCAGGCAGACGAGCATCAAAGAAGCAATCTGTATGTTTCCAATGAAAGAATTATCATCATGTCCATCCTACAAAAAACAGTATTTGTTGTTTGTTGAAAGAGAAAGATGTCTATATAAACCCAGTAGACTGCCAAAACAGACTCCCTTTGAAGCTTGCAGATATAGTTTCACTGTTATCTTGCTCGATTTCCTTCCAGTGTTTATAAAACACCTCCCATCAGGGGTTGATACCCAGAATAACCACCATGTCCCCCAAACCCCCCCGAAAAAATAGGCGACCCCATCCTCCTCGACAAAATAGACCAACTCCTAGCATGCAATCTAGGCGAACACATTGACCTCCCCCAACTCGTCGTCGTAGGCGACCAGTTCAGCGGCAAGAGTTCCGTGCTTGAAGGTCTCACGAAACTCCCTTTCCCATGAGACAGCGGCCTGTGCACGAGGTTTGCGACGCAGATTATCTTTCGTCGATTGCCCGATGGAAGTGGGAGGAATATTATAGCGTCGCTGATTCCCTCGCCACTTGCAGGTGAGGAACATGTGGCGCTGTTGAAGGCATGGAGGGCTGCGAATATGGAGACGCTCGATGCGGGTTCTTTTGCATGTCGGAGGTGGGTTGGCTGGCACCATTCTGTTTGACGTAGACTGACAATATAGGTGCATGATGTGATGAATCTATCCGATGCGGAGAGTAAAGGCTCGAGTTCGAAAGCCACCTTTTCAAGAGATGTGTTTCGCTTGGAGATCTCTGGCCCTGACGAAGATCATCTCAGTGTGATTGACGTCCCGGGTATCTTCAAACACACTACACCAGGATTAACCACCAAAGAGGATATCGCATTCGTCAGAGACATGGTATTGTCTTATATGAAGAACCCCCGTTCAGTGATGCTCACCGTCATCCCGGCCAACGTGGACATCGCAACCCAAGAAATCCTGGAAATGGCACGCGAGTGCGACCCAGACAACAACCGGGCACTTGGAGTTCTCACCAAACCAGACTTGGTCGACAAGGGAGCCGAAAAGCGGATTCGGGAGTTGATCGAGGGCAAACACTCGGGTCTGAAGCTGGGATGGAGTATCGTGCGTAACCCTGGCCAGCAGCAGTTGGAGGAAAAGGCGACGGATCGAGATGTGGCCGAGAAGAGCTTCTTTCGCGATACCGTTCCTTGGAATAGCCTGGAAAAGGACAAGGTTGGGATCGAGGCTTTGAGGATTCGGCTGCAGGAGATTCAGACTGGCCATATTCGCAACGAGTTTCCAAAGGTATGTTCCTCTTGATATACCAAGAATATAGCTGAGTATATGCAGGTGAAAGCAGAAGTCAGCAAGAAACTGAAAGCCGAAAAGAACGCCCTTCGAGCGCTTGGTGCAGAGCGAGACACTCCAGAAAAGCAGACCAATTACCTGTTGGATATCATCACCGAGTTCCAGGAAATCACGGCTCAGGTACTGGCAACAAACTACAGCAATGACCTCTTTGATGACAACGAACAGCTTCGACTGGCCACTGTGTTGAGAAACAGAAACAACGTCTTCAAGGAAGATCTGACTCAATTCGGTCACGAATACAGGTTTGCAACCGCTGATACCGAAAGCCCGCCATCCGTAGGACTCCCAGACAAAACATCATCTGGTACGAAACCCGAGAATGACGAGAAGAAAATCGAGGCGATAAAGGTGCGCAAAACGAAGGATTGGCTAGAGCTCGAAGGCATCCTCCACGATCCTGAGCTCATTCCCTCGCCCTCCGACGAAGGAATTATTGCCTGGATTAACAAGCTCTACCGCACCTCTCGTGGATTCGAAATTGGGACCTTTAACTCCTCCCTCCTGGCGACAATCATGAAGAAACAATCCACCAAATGGAAAAGACTTGCGCTCGTCTACATCAGCGACGTAATTACTATGATCCACATATTCATCACCGAAGTGATTGAAAAAGTGTGTCCGGATGATCGCGTGCGCAGTAATATCCTCTCTGCGCTGATGGATGACTTGATCAAGAAATACAAAAATGCCGTCGAACAAGTCGAGTTTCTCCTGAATGTGGAAAAGTCCGGAACTCTTATGGCACTCAATGATGAACTCGAGAAGAATTCTTTTAAAAGGTACGTTCTGTTCCCCTACCTACTATGACCGGAAGATTCTAAGCATTTGTAGCCGCCAGAAACGCGCCAACAACACCACGGTCCAGTACATCCACAACATCCTCAAGTCTTACTACGAGGTTGCCTCGAAGCGATTCATTGACAATGTCTGCATGCAAGCGACAGACTACCATTTGGTTACTGGACCGTCTACTCCGCTGAAGCTTTTTGTGCCTTCTTTCGTGACTGGGCTTAGCAATGAGCAGCTTGAATTTCTGGCTGGAGAGGATTCGATGCTTTATCGGAAACGCGCGCAGTTGAAGCGGGAGATTGAAGAGCTTGAGAAGGGGAGGAAGATCCTGCTGTAGGTCTGTATCTGTATTGACTGGATGATTGATTCAGCCTTTTGGAGTGATACGAGATTGATATGAATTGGCTAGATGTAGTGCAGGTAGCTAGAATGGGCCATATTAATTTATGACAGATAGATATACTAAGTTGTAGGACTCCCTCTCTATTATCAAATCTTCAACCCCCTCCAACTTTAATATATATCCAAATGAACGAGTGAAATGTACCATCTACACTGCTGTCTATGTGGCAATTTCTTCACAGGGGCATATGACCTAGAAGAAACAGGATCGGTATCCACGAGGATATTTTCCAAATGCGACGGATGGAGCAACAGTTTTGACGAAAAGGGGTATGTATCTGGTACCCCGGATGAGTTGAATGAAATGTATTTTGTGTCTCCGTGGATATGCATCGAACGCCTCTCCGTGCTTCTTCCTCTTTCGACACTCGCAGCATCATCGTCCCACCTGAAATCATCCTTCTCATCATGGACTTGCTGCTTGAGTTTCGAGATATCCAAGCTTTATTGTGGGTGTTTCCACAATGGAGATGCTGGATCCCTCAGGGATATTGGCGGATGCGATTTGCTCAAGAGCTGTTCTTGGAGGAGGAACTTCCAGCTGCTGATGTGCTGGACTGGCGATATTTGTATTTCCATGCTGATGCACTGCTATGCAAGTCGCATGGATGGCGGAATCGACGACGGGTTGTGAATAATTTCGAGCTGACGAGAGAGATGTTTCTAAGATATGTAGCTAGATTAAGATGAGATATCTTAGAGAATATTATCTGTAGTAAAAGCCTATATGTTTTCTATATAATTCTTCATCTATAATAACCAGCAGATTAGCACTCGGATGGCTCAGTGGTTCAACACCACAAGATGGCAGCTTCTGTCATCAGATGACACGTCAGGTATTTTTTTTTGCTGCTGGTGGTTCGAAACAGCCCTTTTTCTATTCTTTTTCATTTCTGTAGTTAAAGAGGCTTTATGAGGTCAGAATTATGATATGATGATGTCGTTGGAGTGTATCCTGTAGGTAGGTAGCACCACGTTTATATTGACATAAGATATTAGATTAGATTAGATTGATTCATTGAATAGGATTCAAGTATATAATTACAGTAAAAAAAAAGTACAATCAAATCTATTAGAATATAAACAGTAGTCTCCATATATATAGATGGTGTTTACTACTAGGCTGCAGAGGTGACGCGTCTCAACACGCTCTCATCTTCCCCAACCACCCATCTGACATCTTAACCCAAATTCAGGCGAATCTAGAAACTGTTCAGAGTGAGATATTATTATATTTCAGTATTGTTTAATATCAATCTTATCTCTAATACAATCTCTGCTCGTATTACCCTATTAAGTTAGGGATCTGCTATATCTCCTTGTTATCCCGACACTATCTCAACCACATCATCTTCAAGCTTAACTAACGTCAATATCCAAAATTATCACTTCCGAGTGATGCTATCGTCGCTTCTACGCTCTTTGCCGCGGTGGAGATGGAAGCAACTCAATTTCTCTAACCCAAACTTCGTCCGGATACCTGAATACCACAAAATCGAAGAAGAAACTCTCCCAGATCATATTGCTGCCCGTTATTATCCTACTCGAATAGGGGAGGTCATCAAGGAGCGATATCAAGTCGTGGGTAAATTGGGGTTTGGATCTACTTCAACTGCGTGGCTTGCACGGGATATAGAGTAAGGTCAATCACCCAACTTGATGTATTGTGCTGACGCGCTATAATAGTGGCCATCGTTATGTTATGCTTAAAATCTTTATCAAGGCTTCATGTATGGGTCAGCAGGTGGATGATGAGCTGAAGATGTACAGGCGTATGGAGCAATCTGCTAAGGGCCACCCTGGCCGTGACGCTGTCAGGACATTACTTGACACATTTAATATTGAGGGACCTAAAGATAAACACCAGTGTCTTGTCCATACCCCCCTATTTGAGAGTGTATTGACTTTCCTACGCCGAAATCCGGTTGAGAAGCTACCCTCTGCAGTCATCGCATTCGTCCTTTATCGCCTCTTTCTAGCATTGGATTATCTACATACAGAGTGCCAGATTATTCACACTGGTTTGTATCCCACTTACCCTCCCTAGCTTTTCTAACTTATGTTATTCCCTATTAGACATAAAAGCTGATAATATCATGCTCGGCATCAGTGACGACTCCGTTTTCAGCGACTTTGAAGAAAAAGAGCTCCAGCGTCCTGTTCCGAGAAAAGAGGTCGATCCAGATGGGAGAACAAACTACATGTCTCAGGATCTCAGAGTACCCAAGTCTGTAGGCGCCCCAGTCCTCTGCGATTTTGGCTCAGCAGTGGTGGGCGACCAATATCGCACCGAAGACGTCCAACCCAACATCTACCGAGCACCGCAGGTCATATTACAGGCTCCATGGACATATAGCATCGATATATGGAATGTGGGGTGCATGATATGGGATTTATATGAAGGCGGGTCCTTGTTTACGGGCTATGACCCTGAATTTGAACAGTACCGCAGTCGAGCCCATCTTGCTGAAATGATCAATCTTCTTGGTCCTCCGCCAGCTAATCTTCTTTCTCAAGGGGAGTTGCGATATAAGTTCTTTACAGATGAAGGCAAGTTTAACTTGTTATCTCAGTATCAACCCCCACTAACTCCCACGGCATCTAGGTGATTTCCGCGCCGAGAATCTGTTAAAGAGCCAGATTCCGCTTGAAGAGAGAGATGCTTTTTTACGATTGATGCGCAAAATGCTGCAGTGGGAGCCTGGCAAGCGTAGCTCTGCGAAGGAACTGGCAGAGGATGAATGGATACACATGCATATGTGATATACAGCATAAGAAGCAGTATAGCATTCCTATTAAGCTGTGTCTTACTACTTGGCACGACTGTATATATGATAGTTATCTTCATTACTGCTACTCTTTTTCTCCTGCTCTACTCTGTACGCTAATATCTAGAGGGTTTAGTCATATTAATCCTTCATCCACTAGCCCATTCATTATGCCCATTATTATTATTAGGCTATACAACTATTTCCAATTGGCGACCAAAACTCCATACGATTGAAGGCGATCTCAGCTGGAAATCAATATCATTGTAGATCATCATCTAGCTCGTATGAACCATGAAGATGTGAAGGTCAAAGTACTACTCCACATCTTCTGTCTGGATACCTTTATAAATCACACTCCCCCCTCTCAACTTGCAAACTATTTTCCATCATCACTCTTATCTCATCTTATCCATCCTCAAGATGCAACTATTCCATCTCTTCTTCGCAGCTCTTACGCTGCCTTTGATTACAGCCTACCCAAGTAGAAGCAATCATCTCGACCGACGAGTCATCGTCCCAACGCCCGACAAGAAAATCACCAGCTACGATTCGTATATGCAGGTTCTCATGGGGATTAAATGGAACATGGTAAGGCATTTTACTCCGTCTCTCTCGGACCTATCTATATTTCCAGGAAGTAATCTGATTTGCGCTCATAGTGCTATCGCATCGATAGTCTGATCCCCATACAGGACTGCCAGACTTTTGAGATCGTCAATAGAAGATCAGCTGGGACGGATATGACGGAAATGTTGGCGGCCAATTCGAAAACGAGAGTGATGAGACCAACGGATGATAAGGGAAATAATCAAAAGGATGAAGATAGGAACTTTGCTTTGCGTTTTGACACGCAGAATATCTACCTTGATAACATAACCCCCTTCAAATACGACGAGGGGAACAGACTGCTTTCTCTATACTCGGCCAAGGATCGTCCGGGAGGTCTTTCTGTCGCACAGAATTTCATTTTATCTGCTGATCATTGTGAGGAGGCCAATCAAGAGGCTTTACATCAATTCATGGAGCAGTCTGCTATCAATTTGGGCGTCGACATGTCAAGCTACATCAAAACTGACACAAAGTGTGAATAATATAAAGCGAGAGCGGCTTTATCAAGGCGTCTGACCGGTGGACACTGAGAAGTTGAAGATCAAGACAGAACCTATGTACATTAGAATCAGTTTCTGGGCAGTTTATATACTGTTTAATGGTGTCAAGCGAGAAAACATCATCTTTTCAATAGAACGTAGTTGGTCATTATTTTACTTGTGATTATACCTAGGTATTGGGGTTTTTTTATTGACGTTGGTTGTTAAAGGACGATTCGTATTGGAGAGGATTAGCTGACCCGAGGTTAATAACCTCAGTTAGCATCCCTAGAACACCCTGTATGATATAATAATATAATGATCATCTGAATAACCTCAATGAATATCTGCCTCTCATTCCAGGACATGGAGGGGTGTGACGCCCCCGATTGGCCCTCGCGAAACACGCTCGCATCCATGGATCACAGCCAGATTCCCTCCACCAACCATCCATCCGACTGTCGCTTCCTGCTGCTCTTCTTTTATCTTCGTCGTCGTCCGTCATTCCCTTCTCTCCTCCTCGAATTCCATTCCTCGTCTCCTTTTCGCTGTCCCGTCCATCTCTCCAGCCATCCCTTCGTGTCGTTTTCCCCGCCCCCGCCGTTCGAGCTTCGGAGATAATCGCACAGAGCTGTCATCGCCACCACACACACGTCCTGCTTCCAACTCTCCGTCGATTCACCTCACCTACGCCGTTGAGCCTACGCATATAAAACCCCTGATAGTCGCAGAAACTCGAATTACGCGTCGCCGCACTTTTCAATCCCCTCAACCCCTTGGGTTTCCAGAATTCTCTTGTCGCCCACAGAGCTAGCTCTTGTCAGTGCGCCCGCCAACCACCTGTGGTTACAGCGACGCTCTGGTTCCGGGTCGATAAGAGGTTCTGCACCGGTACAATTTGGAGCACATGAGTAGCAAGCTTTGGGAATTTTTCCTGCGCGATGACGTTGAGAGCTTCCGGCGGGTCCTGGTCAACGCCAGTTATACATCTGGCGGCCAGCGAGGTCCCGGAGGATCGGGGGGAAGTCCCAGTTTGAAAAAGCTGAATGGGACTTCCCCTGGTTCACCTCTCCCGGATCGTGGTGGTACTCCGCGGTCCGCTGCCACGCTGTCTCGGGTGGAATTGAACACTCGGGACCAGGATGGGAGGACACTCCTTCATCTTGCGGCTTCGTCTTCTAAGCCTACCGCCGTTGATTTCGCTATCGCTTTGCTCGAGACCCCGTTTCTGGATATATATGCACAGGATTGGGAGAGTGGGTGGACGGCTCTGCATCGTGCGTTGTATGCGGGGAATGCCACGATTGCCCAGGCGTTGATGACTCGAGACGCGCGCGATGCTACGGATTTCAGTATATTGGGGACTACAAATCACCCGAGTGGAGGTTTGATCAAGATTAAGGACCGTGAGGGATATAGTCCATTTGATGTCTACATGGCTACCATTATGTCCCGGGACATCAAGCGGATTTCTTCAACGACTGGCCTGGATCCTACTGCCGAGAATGAGGATAGCGATGCTGCGTCCAGCGCGCCATCCTACGGAGAAGATGGCGAAGAAATGTATATGAGCAGAGGCGCCTTGAAACCACGTATCAATCTGTGCGGTGATGAGGTCTTCACGTTTGGCAGCAACAAAAACCTGAACCTTGGTCTTGGGGACCAGGATGATCGCCAATTCCCGGAACGGGTCACTCTCAAACGTCCAGAACATCTTCTGAAGCGATTCTTCCGTGAATTTCAAGAGCAACAGATGGAAGAAAGCGGGCTTGACCATGACGAGCTCAATCATTCGGCCGATCTGCCAGTGCTCATCAAAAACAAGCCGATCAAGTTCCAAAACGTCGTCATGTCAAAGCTTCACACGGCCATCCTCACCGATGACCCGGAGTCCAACCTCTTCTTGTGTGGCTTTGGCCCAGGCGGTCGTTTAGGTACTGATGATGAATCTACACGCTTTGCCTTTACCTGTATCGAAACTGGAGGGCTTGCTAACAAAAAGGTCATCTCCGTTGCTCTTGGCCAAGATCATACTCTGGCCATTACCGAGCAGGGGGAGATCTTCAGTTGGGGCAGTAATAAATTTGGTCAACTAGGCTACGGTCTCCCAAGATCAAGTAGCCGTGATGATGTTCCGATTCAGACAACTCCACGGCAGATCTTCAACCCGTTCAAGAAAGAAGCCATCCTTGGAGCAGCGGCTTCTACTATCCACTCCGTAGTGTTTAGCAGTTCTGGCCTCTATACCTTTGGCAAGAACGAAGGCCAGCTCGGTCTAGTCGACTCGGATGCTCGCTCGCTCGAGGTGCAAACCACTCCTCGGCGTGTTGGGGCCTCGCTTTTCAGCAGCCCCATACAAATGGTGTCCGCTATCGATCAGGCTACCGCCATCCTTCTCCAAAACCATGAAGTTTGGATATTTTCCCAATACGGTTATTCGAAGCTTTCATTCCCATTGGATGTCAGTTCAAGATTCATCAAAGACAGCTTCATGGCAACGAGATATGATACTGCGGTCAATCGCATTACGAAGATCACATCGGGTGGTAACACTATCTGTGCCTTGTCCAGCTTTGGGGAAGTCTTCACGGTTCAATCCAACAAGACAGAAACCCCCTCGACCTTGACGTCTACGACGAATCCAGCCAAAACACGTAATTCGCTGTCTGCGCCGGTTCGAGCCTGGTCCGTTAAAAAAGCTCACATGGCAGTCAGAGATGTCGATGTCGGACAAGACGGGTCAATCATCATCTGTACAGCTTCAGGTTCCGCATGGACCAAAGAAAAGCGTGGAAAGACCAAGCAAGGGGCAGCCAAAGATTACAAGTTCGCCCGTATACCTGGTCTTTCGCGAGTCGTGGGCGTGCGCAGTAACGCCTTTGGTGCTTATGCCGTTGCTCAACGTGACTGCAATGTGACCAGGGAGCAGGTCAACATTGACCCAAGTGAACTATGGGACGATCTCCTCCCGCTATCACCATTTGATTCGTTAAGAAATGCCGTTGACATGGCAAACGCGGGAAAAGATGCCATTAATCTTGGACCCGTGGTCAATATCAAACTAGCCGTGATGACGGCTTCAGACATCGAGTCTCATTTCAAGTCTTCGCGCGCCGATATGCCTAATGGGACCATCTGGATCACGACCACCGCTTCTGACGCACGGATTCCTGTCCACGAATTCATCCTAACTGGACGCAGTCCGGTCTTGAGAAATGCACTTCAGGATTTCTGGCGAGCATACTACTTCTCCATGCCAGATATCTTCTCTATTGAGTATGATCACGATGGCGAGATCCAGATAAAATTTGAAGGCGTTGATTTCCTGACTATTCTGAATATTGCGTTCTTCCTATACACGGACAGCATTCTCGATGTTTGGCACCAAACTAGGGCTTCACCTAAAAATGCTTCGAGGTACCGTCAGGTGCGCACCGATGTGATGCGGGTCGCTACACATCTGGGTCTGCTGGCCTTGGAACGAGGTGCTCGGCTCATGGTTGAGCCTGCCAGAAATCTGAAGACTGATCTGAGTCGTGCCATCAGTGATCCTTCTTTCTTTGAGAGCGGGGATGTCATTGTCCAGCTGAACGGCGGTACTCAAAAAGTGCACAGCCAAGTTGTCTGTCAAAGGTGTCCATTCTTCGATGCGCTGTTCAATGGCCGTTCAGGTGGCAGATGGTTAGCGTTGCGTCGTACAAACCCAACCGACATTGTTCATGTTGATCTCAAGCATATTGATCGACATATCTTCGATTTTGTTCTTCGGTACTTGTACGCCGACACGGAGGAGCAACTTTTCGATGAAGTTCGGTTGAAAGATCTAGATGATTTCATTGATCTCGTGCTTGACGTTGCCTTTGTGGCGAACGAGTTGATGATTGACAGGCTGGCTCAGATATGTCAGAAGATGCTCGGGAGGTTTGGTAAGTGACTGAATTTCGCTTTTTGTTGTGACCGATTTGCTAACATTACTCAGTAAATACGCGCAATGTGTGCCATCTTCTCAACTCTATCTCGCCGTGCTCTGTGAAAGAGTTTAAGGATGCTGCGCTGGAGTATATCTGTCTCAACTTGGAGGATCTGGTCGCGAATAGGTAATGCAGTTTCCGTCATCAACAGTGATTGATGTCTGACATTTTGCAGGTATTTGGAAGACCTTGATGAAGACTTGCTTTCTGAGCTTGATGGTATTTGCCATGAAAATCAAATGGCCTGCTTCCCTGTCTCTCGAGGACGTAACTCGGACGATTACATCTTCGACAAGTATCCAGAGCTTGTCTCTGTAATAGAGAGTGATAGGCGAAGGAGAATCGATTCGATGAGACTTCGATCTCGTTTGAACAAGGTCGAGGCTCAAGAAGGAAAACTTCGGCCGACGCCTTCTGAAAAGGCACCAGTGTCACCATCAGTACGCAAGGCAAAGTCAGCCGCAACGAAAGAAATGCCGAGTATGGCTGGTAGCCCGGTACTGAAGCCAAGACAGTCAACGAGCGACTTGATGTTCCAGATGGACGAAGAAACCTTGCCATCTCCAGGAGACTCAATGAAAGGAAAGGCTGCTGTTAGAGGAATGAAGTCGATGGAAATGAACGCAGACTTTCCGGCTCTTGGGTCCAGTATAACCGAAGGCGAATCATTTGGTGGGCGAAGCTATCTAGATGAACAAATGGCATCTCCTCAAGATACCATTCTAGCCGAGTCGCCGTCGGAATCGCGGGCTACGGCGCTGCACAAAAAGAGAGGCTCGCCTTATCTTCCAGGCGATGTCCCATGGAGCTCGCAAACGATGTCAACCTCCAAGAAAGATCTGAAAGATATCATGGCCGAGGCTTCAGAAAATCAGACGTCGAATCTATCCCTCGAGATGTCTGGACGCCGAGAAAGCAGCAACAATGCCACTCCGAAGCTGTCACAAAAAGAACGAAAGAAGATACAGCAGCAGCAAATGCAAGAAATGCTCGCTGCGAAGCAAAAGGCCAAGGAGGCACCCCAGAATCCATGGAAGACGCCTACTCCAAACAAAACACCGGTTAAACCCGAACTTATAGAAAGCCAATTCCCCGAACCGTCAAGATCAGCTCAGAAGCCTTCCATGACACTCCGTCAGACAGTCGCTGGTACACCACCACCCAAAACCAGACCAGCACCAGCACCAGCAGCTCCTGTTCAGACACAGACCCAGGCCCAGGGCCAGAATCGCAGTGCCTCAGCCAACATGCCACTTCCTTTCCGCCCTTCAACCTCAGGCCCTTCAGCAGGAGTCTCTTCAACATCTCCTAATTCCTTACCGCCTGCACCACCCGCAATCCAATCCGTGCGCCATATCCCGCGCCCCGAGCCCTACCAAACTAGCTTCCACTCCGACTCACCCAGCTCACTCTCCCTGGCTACCATCCTCCTGCAACAACAGACAGAAAAAGACGAAATCCGCGAAGCCGCAACAGCCAAACATAACCTCGAAGACATCCAAGCAGAGCAAGAATTCCAAGTATGGTGGGAGAAAGAAAGTCGCCGTATCCAAGGCCTCCCTGAGCTGGACACACCCGCTCCATCCTCTTCACCCCGCCAAGAAGGAAGAGAAGGAAGAGGTTCTCGCGGTGGCGGACGCGGTAAAGGACCACCAACACCAGGAGGTCCGCGCAAGAAACGTGGCAAAGACGCAGGAAATGGGAATAGTGGCAATAAGAACGCCTCGGGTGCTTCGTCGTTAACGCAGCAGCTGTCTCAGCAGAACCATACCAACAATAACAATAAGAATAACAACACACAAAAGAACTCGAATCCCAGCAACAATAACAACAACAACCGCCGAGATAACCACCCTCGAGCACATGGCGGAAACCATCACCCGGACGCTACGAATAACCATACCCGACGCGGTGGTGGCCGAGGTGGCAGCAGCAACACCCGTGGAAGAGGGAAAGGAGCGCCACAAGAAACACGAACCTGAACCATGAACCATGAATTGTTTATTATATACCAATGTCTTTTTTTTCATTTTTTATTCAACACTATGACACCCTACTCATTGTAATCTGGTTGGGCCTTTTTTCTTCTATCTCCTACTTGTCGGTATAGATGGCGGTTATACAGAGTATGTCCGCCAGGATAGATTTCAACTGTTCCATGGTGTATTTATATCGTCCGGGTTTGATATATAATTAAATAGAGCTTTCAGAAGCCTATACTTCATACTTAGTGACATAAGTAGTTGGCAAAAGTAGATGACCTTGAAATATGCATTGTTCGTGTTCGTATGTAGACACCTGGACGGTAGTCTGGTGCACCAAGAGACGCAGTGTCATTTAATTACATTATTAGAAGAGGTATCCATGCTGATGAAAACAAAACAGATCAGGACAAGAGTAAAGTAATAAACAGAAATATGGAAAAGCCAATCCCGCTGATCATGAATCGCACTCCCGCCCATCCCATCGTAGCCTAACTATACAAAGATGCGACCCTAACGCCATTGATTGCTGAAAAGAGAGGGAAATAAGACAAAAAGAAATAAGGAAGGGAAATAAAGAAAAAGACGCGCGAGTAATTGAAACAATGACAAATAAGGAAGATGAAATAGAATAAAAAAGACATTGTTGTACCTTTAGCCGGAAGAGGCGACTTCTCGAGCTTCCCACATGCGACGGATCATCATTTCGGATTCATTAGTGTAATAATTGTCTTCCAAGTCTTCCTCAGCGCTGGGATTGCCGTGGGCGGTTTCATCAGAGCTCGACAGAATTCGTTGCGATGGGTGTTGAGATTTTGGACGAATAGCCAAGTCGGTTGAATCGCCATCTTCTGGATCTGGAAGGTACGTATGTGACGCCGAAGTTTTCATCTCAGTTCCCTTTCTATTCGAAAGCTGTCTGGGGACCGGGCTCGTTTCATGCTGACCGCGACCTTGCTCTCCGTCTGGCAAAAGATTCAACGCGGGGGCTGATTTGACGGGGTTGCCAAGTGCTGATGCATTTTGCCTACGACCAGAAACGAGACCTTTGGACTCCATGATGGAGTTGAGACGGTTAAAGCTTTCCCCAGTTGGAGACTGGAACTGTCGAACGACTGTAAGCTCCAAAGCTATTTTCTCATATGTCTTTCGAACATGCTTGGCATCACTGTCGTTTGCTGCACCTCCAGCTCTACCGCTGCCATTTACGAGTGCTCTTCCAGAATCATATGGCGCGGAACCAGTCCGTGCATGGGTCGCAGACATGAACGCTGGGTCCATGGTCGACTGGGATGTCGTTGATACGCCATGGGTGTCGGGAGGAGATGTGTTAAGGGCCGCGGTTCGCTGCAGCCACAGCTTCTGCTGAGTGCGAGAAGGCGGTTCCGTACCTGGCAGACGTGACGGAGGGGAAGCCCGCGGCTTTTTGGAACTTGCGCCGCGCGGAGACGGTGGTGTTTGTGGATGATAATGTGGCAGAAATGAGGATGGTGTATTGGGGTCAGAGTCAGTGCGAGAAGATGCGTGTATGCCAGTCTTGTTGTTATTGATGATGAACCTCGAGACACCCCCTTCAATAGACGAGGACGTCGCATTCTGGGTTCCTGGGGTATTCGACAAATTGGGATTCGATGCGGTGCGCCGCGATCCGTCATAAGCGGCTGCCATGTTGTTGAGCGAGGCATTTCGCGATAAAGTGGCAGGCTTCGCCATGGCGGAGATAGAGGACATCGCAGGAGGCGCTTTGGCAGCGTGCGATGGACTGAGCAGGCGGGATGCGATATCACTATTCTCAAGCGTCCGATCGGATTCCTCTCCACGACTCTCTTCAGCGTCCGGACTTTGCCGCTGATGATGTTCGTCGTTGTCGTTGTCGTTGTCGTCGTTGTCGTCGTTTTCGTCTTCGTCGTCCTCGGATGAGTGTCCCTCACGAGAGAACCTCTTGCTACTGGGTTCCGGAAGACTCGTCGCGCGAGGTATTTGGGGATATGGGCGTTTGACAAAAGTGAGAGGATCAACTAGCACAGCGTTATTCTCTACGCTGTCCTTGGACTGTGCTACCGAGCTGCGTCTCGTGCTTTCTGGAGATTGTGTTGTGTCTTCCCAGTCGCCGTCGTCGTTATCCGAGTCGCCTAGTTCAAACCCCACTGTCTTCTTCTTTCCCGAACTGGTATGCGGACGATCGGTTATCAGGGACTTTTTCCCCAAAGCGCCAGATGAATTTCGTCGGAGGGCAGGACTCGAGTTGTTCTTTTTCATCGATGGGGTGGATTTGGTGTCGTTCAAAGCTCCATCCCAGTGTACGTGAGCTTGACCACGCGGGCTCGTAGCCGGTGTCGTCGCAGCGGGTGTCGCAGGGGCAGACTTCTTACGGTGATGATAGCGAGCACCCCCCTCAGCACCAAAATGTTGTGTCGAGTTGAATCTCTGCAGTTTGGCCAGGTTCTTTCCAAAAGATGGGTTGCGGCCGTGGTTGCGATGGCCCCCACCAACAAGATGCGGGCGATGGGGTCTGTGGATAGTGACCTTTTGGTTGTGAGAGTGAGAAAGCTCGCCTATCGGAGCGACAGGTGTCGTGCGCGTAACGACCGCGTGGGAGGAAATAGCACGGCGACCCAGACCCGGGCGTTTAACGGGGGAAGAAGTATTAGAGGTCGGCATGGCGGCAACAGCAGCAACTCGCAGATAGCAATCAAAGGGCGTCAGCGGACACAAAAAGCTCCCAAACGGGCGACAGGCAGCGGCCGGAGAGGGAAGAGGGAATGATCAACAAGGTGGACGGGGCATGGAACGCCGGGGTTGGCTCTCAGGGGAGCAGGCAGTAAGACAAGGTGTCACAGCAGCCCAAGGAAGCACGGGAGCCGTTAGCGGTTGGCAGCAGAGACAGCAAGGACAGCAGTGAGCGATGGAGGACTAAGTGTTGTTGCTGCTGCCGCTGGCCGACAGACAGAAAACGCGGGGGCGAGGCAATAATTGATTATTGGTGGACGAAAAAAGCGTCGTACCGATCACGTCGCCTAGCACGTGAAAGAAGAGGGGAAAGAGAAAAAGACACGGAAGAAAGACAAGATCAGAACCCGAAGGAATCTCGGATATAGGACAGGATGGTAATTGAAGGGAGAGAGGAGAGGAGAGTAAGAGAGATGCAGATGAAGATAAAGAGAGAGGGAAAAGAGGCGGCCAGAAGCAGCGAAGAAGACGTCGTCGTCGTCAGTTTGTCGGAAGAAGAACCGACGGTATTACGCGTTACCGTACACCGATACCGTCACGTATTTCTGCTTCTCCACGTGGAGATCGCCGATATCCAAAACGATAGTCGATTCTTATATTTAGAAAAGAATGGATCAATTGGAGAGGAACGTCATCATAGTTCGTCCTACAGGCGTTTCCATTGTCTTGCATATCTTTCATCACATGTTACATCATACACTGTCAGAATGCCCGACTCTCAGAGAGATCAAAGGAACAAGAACTAATCAAAATCATAAAAGGAAGGTAAATACAGGTTCATGGCCTGAAGAACAACCAAGTCATCTGGTATCATAGTGCGCAAACGAAGAAAGGAATGAAAGAAGACAAAAATAGCAAAACGCCATTTTCAAACACAAGTAGCGCTTCCAGTCTACAGCTCGATAAGACTCTCTTCAACAACCGGCCGGGAGGGTGGTGGTTGCTGATACTGCATAGCTGGGGTAGGCGTGTTAGCAGAGGCATCGGGGGCGGGATATGTTGCATAAGACATGGGTGGCGCAGGGTATGCCGATGGCACTGGGCCTGGTGGAGGTTGTTGCGGGTAATAAAAGGACTGGGCAGACGGCCCAGTTGACTGAGGCTGAAGAGCAGGCTGAGCGCTGGCTGGCACCTGGGGACCCTCAGGGAATTGCTGGTACCCGGGGGACTGCCCATGGTCAATGGGGGATACTTGGTCCGGTGCGCTCGGTGCCGACGGAGGCTGAGGCCCTGAGGGCTGGTATAGAGAGTCCCGGCTCGCGATGGGCGATGGCTGATAAGGTGTTTCTGGCTCCGGTTGTCGGGGAGAGTGAATAGTCTTGTAGTCCTGTCCTGGCTGTGTTGGGCCAGTGTAATACTGCGCTGGCGTACTTTGAACAGGATAGGTTGAAGGATTGCTTGGGTATGCCGGAGTCGTGTTTTGTGGCTGAGGAGAGGAAACAGAAGGAGGCACGTTGGAATTCCAGGGAGGGTAATGAGGGACAGGCTGAGATTGTTGCGAGTACATGCCAGGACCCATAGGACCACCAGCCACCCCACTTCCACTTCTTTCGTGGGGTTCCCTTTGGGTATAAGGCCCGGGTTGCTGGGCGGGCTCGGCGATTGAGCCCCCAAAATAAAAGTTCTCAGCCCCGGTTTTCACATCGGGTGGCTGAGAAGGCATAGAAGGGTACATGCTCGGATATTGTGGTCCACCAGGAACGGGCCCATACCCGAGCGAATGTTGCGAGTATGCACTTGAGAGGCGTTCCTCTAGCATGCGGTCGTAATACCGAACCACAGTGGACAGCTTGGCATGAAGGTCAAGCAAGGTATCTAAAAGTTTTTCGTCAGCAATAGCTTCAACCAACAGGACAAAGGGCAAATATACCGTGCTTGCTCATTGTTTCTCCATAGCTTCGTGCCAGTTTGGGCCGAAGAGCCCCCATGCTCTCATACAGCTCCTGAATCTGGGGCTCTCGCAAGATGGTTCCTGGTGGCTGGTGTTGTAGTCGGTCAACTAAGCTGGTGAAAAGGTGAATGTTCTCGGCTTCGACGGGGCTTAATTCGTAAGGGTTTTTGGGCAGAGGTGTAGTAACGGTTGGGGTGTTGAGAGAGGGTGACTCTGTAGTTGTCGTCTTCTTCAAGGCAGCCGCATGATTTTGCTTGTGCTGTTCCATATCACGAAGTGACGCTTCTATGGCCGCTTTCAAGTCCGCATCCTCCTCTTCTTCGACGTTTGACTGGTCGGTCCCGACCCTGACTGGTTCCTGAGCCATCTTGGGTTGTGGCACATACCCGGCGGAGCCCTTGTTTTGGGCTTCCTCCAGACTCATTTCTAAAGCGCGGCGCAAATCATCATCGAAGCCTCCTTCGGCTCTTGCTGTGCGCGGCTCCATAACACTGGACTTGGTGATAGAGTTGTTTTTGAACGCAGATCGATCAGAAAGACCAGCAGCTGGAAATGGCTTGGCAGTCAATTTGGCATAGCACCCGTCATCAACTCGGACGGGTTGCAGTATACCAAGATGGGGCAACGGAAGAGTCTTGCTGGAGCATTGGGCATCGAAGACATTGCCGCAGTTCCGGCAATGGTGCTTGCGGTTCATGAAACTGAACGGTGTTCGACATCGCATACACACGTCGGAATCAATCCATTCTGGAGGCTATGGGCAGAAAATGTGTCAGCTATTTCATATCTCACACAGGATGCGAGCGCGCCATGAGAGAGAAAACCTACTGCACTGCTTTCCAGCATACTGCCACTGATTTCGGATTTTGGCGGAAATCGGAAACCCTCACTCTGCAAGTTCCGGTAGGTTTCGCCCACATATGAAAGGTCCATGCGCCCTTGGGCAGCCATCGCCCAGTCTTGTATCAGCTCCAACATCTTCTCCGTCACATTGGTGTTAAGCGGGGCGCCTTCTGCCTTGAGAAGGGATACGAGGTTATCCATGAATTCGCGCGACGCAATTTCCGCAAGGAAGTGAGTACCGCCATTCTTCACGCATGTGTCCGTCAACTAATAAGATGTTGTCAGTACGCAGAATAACAACAGGCACGGATTCCCCGGCGAAGAGCTAACCTTCAATGTCGCCAGTTGCACGTTAGGGTTCCGGTTTTCTAAACGTCTTTTCAGCGATCTCATAGCCTCCTTAGGCTGAACACCTTTTGAGCGAATGAGGTCCGAAATTTCCAAGTTAAGTGAAATGTCTTCCCTGATGTATGGGTGAGCATTAACTCATAGCAAGGCTGATGGAACGTTCCGGTTGCCTGTCGAGAAGTGCAGGGAAACAACATACAGGGAAGATGATGTAGCCCGCTCAACTTGCTCGTCGAGCGGGGATGTCGAGGAGAACCAGCCCGCCATAGTGACGGCGATGAAAAATTGAACGAAGCGCAATTGTTGATTGTATGACGGCGGAGAGGAGCTGCGATGACGTTGGGTACCAACAGCGAGGGATGGAAATCACAGCAATAAAACTGTGAGAGATAGTAGATTCAGAGAAGCCTGTTCGAATAGAAGATTTCAATCAGAAGCGACTGCAAAGAACAGGAGGGTCATGGAAGAGGCAAAAGAAAGGCAGCAGCCGATGGAGGAGTTGACGATGCACGACAGACAAGCTCCAGGCAGATCAACCGATAGGGACCAGCGGGCGATGTGGCACTGCCATTGGCTGTAGCGCTGACTCAGCCAGTCACCGTGTGGCGTCATAGCCCAGGGCGGTGAGAGTTTTAATACACGGTTAGTAATGTAATTACACATACCCCAGAAACAATGAATTGCGTCTGCCTTTTGGCTGCTGCTGCGATGAAAAAGCAGCAACTGTCCTCGATCCTACTTTGGGCAATCTACATTCTTTGTCTTCTTTCGCGGCTAGCTCCATTTCTGATATATGACCGCCCAACTCGCTCTTTTCCCTCCTGGCTTCGCTGCGTAAAAAACCGCTTTGGTTTCGTCCCCGCCAGACTCGCTGATCAGCGTACCCGCCTCCGGCGAACGACGACCGACTTCGAAGAAGCAATCAAGCACGCGTGGCCTCTGAAGTTTCCTGGATAATGTGTTGAATCTTCCCTCATTGCTGGCACAATGACTCCGGATGCAGCAACCTTACCTTCTCCGCCAGACTTTGCGCCGTGGATGAACGGCAGTCGCCCTTACACCCTCGGTGGCATGCATTCGGGCGGACAAACGAACACACCAGGGTCGTTTCAGAATGGGAGCAATGGCACTCCGACTGGGTCCCAACCACCTCGTTTCCCAAATATTAAAGACCTTCAAGATGAAGCGGCGGCTCTGGATGTGAATGAGAAGACTCCTGTATGTTATAGGGACGGACGGTGCCGGTGCGGGGAATTCCCTGGCAGCATGCTAACCTGGCCTTTAGTTAGTCATTTTGGTGAAGAGAGCCCAAGAAGCGATCCAGAAAGCCAGAGACTATACGGACAACGACGAGCCGGATAAAGCCTACGTGCAGTACCTTCGTGCTTCCGAAATTACCATCAACATTATCCCCCATCATGCCGACTATCGAGTCACGGTCAATCAGCGCCCAGGATGGTACAAGAGCTTTGCGGATCTTATGATGGTATAGTACCTTTGGATATTGATTATGCAGGCTGTATTCAGTACTGCGTACTTGACATCATGATCTGACTGACTCACGGACAATAGGCAGTACGGACAAAGCAAGGGACTATGGATGAATTCAAGCAGCAGATCCTGGAAGATAACCTGATCAGCAAGGTGCCGCCTATGGCTGTATCCACTTCCAATTCCCCGGCGTCGCAGATAATACCCGCTGGGATGTTTCGAAGTCCCAGCCCAAGGGGTCGCCAAAATGAACAGGATGATAGTTCATTAAGAATGCCGAGTCCATCGCAATTCCAACGAATTTCCGATCTACAGAAAAAAGCAAACAGCAGACACTCAAGCCCCGCAGACGATATATTGGCTCAGAGATTTGCGAGACTCAAGGCATCATCATCTGGGAGCGAAAGGTATAGTCCAGTGAGCAACGGACAAAACGGGTTTGATTCAAGTCCTTCGCCGCCGCCAGGGTATTTCGATGGTCGCCCGCCTCGACCATCGTCATATGCCGCTCAGACACCGCTATACAATCCCTCTACTAACGTGCCTCCACGGCGCCCCCTTGGGCCTCGTACCATGGGATCTTCTCATGGCATGCCAGCTCTGCCTCCCAAAGTTCCCCTCAATACATCACTACCTCGCGCTCCAGACCCAGCCTATAGTCCAGTATGGACCGTTCCGTCTCAACCTCCTTCAAACCCTCCGAGAACGTCAACTGAGAGCTCTCGTCCACCAGCAAACCCTAGATATTCACAACTCGCAAACTCTCATGGTAGCCCGAATCGTGGTAGCTATGATGAGAGTCCGTATAGATCGCAAACACCCAACGGTACTCATCAATTGAGAGAAACGGTCAGGAACAACACTTCAGATATACCACTTCGGCCAGCCATTAGTGCTCAAGATTTACTCGACTACATTCGGCGGTATAACATCTTGTTGATCGACGTACGCCCGCGAGATCAATATGACGGCGGGCATATATTTGCCAAGTCAATTATTTGTATTGAGCCGGTAGCTTTGAAATCGAACGTCTCCGCGGAAGAACTTGAGGAGCGTTTGGTGGTATCGCCTGAACGCGAACAGTCACTTTTCGAGAGAAGGAATGAATTCGACATGGTGGTTTATTACGATCAAAGCACTGATTCTGTCAGCTACCTTGCAGGGTCACCGGTTGGGACATCAGCACCTCATCTTAGGGCTCTCTACGATACTCTCTATGAGTTCAACGCTTATAAACCGCTGAAGGATGGACGGCCTCCGGCTCTTCTGATGGGGGGTCTTGACGCATGGATCGACCTTCTTGGACAGCAGTCACTCGCTACATCATCCACTTCTACCGCAATAGGATCGATCGAAGTAAGGAAACCTGTCAGGAAACCAGGGCGACCCCTGGGGAGGGTGCCGACGATGGCGAGTGCCAACTCCAGTTTGGAAGTACGGAAGAGAAGACTTCGCGAATACAAGCCTCTCAACCCAGAGGAGCTCACAGCATGGATGGAAAAGTCGAAGAACGAGGAGATTGACACTAGCACTTATGCCGAAGAGGAGACAGTTAGCGAAGAGCCGGAAGACCAGCTTGGTGAAGAACCTCCTCCTACGCCGTTTGTGCATAGTTATGAGGATTTCCTGCGTCGATTCCCCGAGCCCCAGGCTATCCAGCAATCAATGACGGTGCCACTTGCCCGGCCACCACCGCCGCCAGTACAGCCGGCTGCGCCAAATTATGCGGCGCCTATCCCTGTCGCTCCATCACGGCCTCCGCCTGCAGTTCCACGGCCGAGTTACAGTGGTGTTTCCGAGGGTCGACGGATCCAACCTCATATGGAGCGACAGAATTCTGCGAGCAAGACTGCACTCTACACGTCGAATTCGATATTGAGTCGCCTCAAGCTGCCTCGAACCGGGCTGACCAACTTTGGCGTGACTTGCTACATGAACTCGACGATTCAATGTCTGAATGCTACCATTATGTTGAGCAAATTCTTCATCGACAACCGATTCCGTTACTACGTTCAGAAGAACTGGAAAGGCTCCCAGGGGGTGATGCCTGGACTTTATGCGAATCTGGTCCGGTCTTTATGGAAGAACGATGTAGAGGTGATCATGCCCACATCCTTCCGGAATTTCTGCGGGCGGTTGAATCAGGAATGGGCGATTGATCGACAGCAGGATGCGAAGGAATTTTTTGATTTTGTAGTCGATTGTCTGCACGAGGACTTGAATATCAACTGGCAGAGGAATCCGCTGCGACCGTTGACGTTTGAAGAGGAGATGCAGCGGGAGAGGATGCCTGTTCCCAAAGTGTCCAAGATTGAATGGGATCGATACTGCCACCGCGAGGAGTCGTTTATTTCGTCCCTTTTTGCGGGTCAACATGCGAGCCGGCTTCGCTGCACGACCTGCAAGCGGACATCGACGACGTACGAAGCATTCTACAGCATCAGTGTGGAGATCCCACCGTCAGGAACCGGGGATATTTACCAGTGCCTTCGGAGCTACTGCCAGGAAGAGATGCTGAGCGGGGATGAGGTGTGGAAATGCCCGTACTGCAAATGCGAACGGGTGGCGACGAAGCAAATCATCATCACCCGGGCGCCACAGATCCTAGTGGTACATTTCAAACGGTTCTCGGCTTCAAAGACGCAAAGCGCCCGGAAAATCCACACGCCCATCGAATTCCCGCTCCACGGGCTCCGGATGGACGACTTTGTCATCTCGTACCCGAATCCCGGGCAGAGCAGCGACTCGGGAGGACCACCGACGGACCCGACCGCGGCAACGGTGCCACCCTTTACGTACGATGCATATGGGGTCCTGCGACATCTGGGGTCATCGATGGGAAGCGGGCATTACATCTCGCTGGTGCGGGACGCGCAGCGGCAGTGCTGGCGGAGATTCGACGACGAGCGAGCGACCGACTTTAACCCACGAGATCTACGACATAAGGATCGGTTGCAGAACGAACAGGCATACATTGTATTTTACGAACGAGTGCCGGCGAAATGAAGGGGGAAATCTCGGTAGATAGATAGCGTTGGGATTTTTATAGCGAGCGAGCAAGCATTTCTGGAAAAGGCAGGATGGCACGAAATGACGACTGAATGCCATGTCACGAATATATCCATTCCTTGGTTTTGGTCTTGTTTTATAGTTATGAGTTAGCGAGCATTAGAATAAGTGTATATAGAACTGTCCGCTTCACTACGATGTACCAGAGAACTACAGTAGACTTGCAAATCACTATGAAAATAAAGACAGTAGACAGAGTAATCTGACAGAAAGCAGCAGCCAATAATACCCAGCACAAACACAATCCAAAACCCACCGCCACCTCCAACAGCCTAAGATAATTAGAGGATCTCATCTCCAACCGACACAATCTGACAGTGCGGAATGGAAAGCGGGGGAACAGCAACAACAGTCGGACTGGGAATCCCGAGGGCGCTAACCGACATGGCCACTTTTCTCCCCCCGAGGTTTCGGTTAATCCAGCAGGACGGCAAGTCCAAGGCAGTTGGATGGCGGAATGGGACGATGATGGCATTCCATGCCTCCATCTGAGATGAGGAGATAGAGAGAAAGTGAGGAGAGATGGGAAATGAGGAGAAAAGACGACCGGATGGAATTACCAGGATGAGAGATGCAGCTGTTGGAGAAGAGCAGCTCAACAGGCCAGATGGACCGCCTGAATAGGAAAAAAGATCCGCTGTTTCTATTGAATACATTTAATTGATACTATTATCTTTACTGAGTATGATAACTATTATAATCATTATAATATCTTCAACAGCTTCACCATCGTGATCGATCATATGCACCGAGGATCGGCTGGGGAAAGCAGCGAAATAAGCGGCCTCTCATTCGCGGGAAGGCCAGCATTCCATATCAGGCCACCTGTGATCAACGAAGACATTCGGGAGATTCCAGGAGATCAACGAAGAAACAGTATTGCAAACTCATTCTCGTAGCCAGAATCAGAATCCATATCTGGTAACCCAGAGGTTAAATAAACCCAGCCCGGTTGGGATTCACGGCACCAGTAGTTTTTGACCAGCAAGCCAAAAAAGAAAAAAAAAAAAAGGAAAAAGGAAAAAGACCCTCCACTTCTTTTTCTGATCCGTCCCTGGGCGAGACCTTTTCTTCTTCTCTTCTTCTTCTGCTCCTCTTTCTCTTCTTTTTTTCTTTCTCCTCACTGTCTTTCTTCTCTACTTCCGCTCTAGTCCTGCATCTTCATTGCCTTTCTATCTGTTTCTCCTCGTAAGTGCTCCTCTGTTCATTCCGTTTATCTCACCGGCTCCCCCAACAAAACACCCCGAAAAACAATCCCCGTCATTGGTGTCAGCCGGCGTCAGCGTCAGCTTATTATTCAGCTCTTGTTGAGTCGACCGTTGCCTGTGTCGGATCCTACAATCCTGCAGATCATTATTGTTTCTGTCTTCTTCTGTTTCTCTCTTGCTTCGGCCGTCTGTTCTGTTCTTCTTTTCAACGACTCCTATAGAACTAACCATTCAATCTCCTTATCAGTCACCACAAACACAACCTTCACCATGTCTGAGGCCAAGGAATTCACTCTCAAGGAGATCGAAACTCACAACACCAAGAAGGACCTGTTCATGATCGTCCATGACAAGGTCTACGACTGTGGTTCTTTCGTCGATGAGCACCCGTACGTCTATACCCCCTGAACCTCCACCTCCTAATGGACACAACACCACAACTACACCTACACTCTATACTCTTCGAGAATAATTGGAACTGGACTGATGAAATTGCAGTGGTGGTGAGGAAGTCCTTCTCGATGTTGGCGGCCAGGACGCCACAGAGGCCTTCGAGGATGTCGGTCACAGTGATGAGGCGCGCGAGATCCTCGACGGTTTGTTCGTCGGCAACGTGAAGCGCATGGTATGTTCTTTCTTCAATCCATTTAGTTTCCAATGGCAGGTTACTGACAACTTCAAGCCCGGTGACCCAGAACCCAAAGCCCACGCCCAGCCTGCCGCCGGTTCCTCCTCTTCCTCCTCCGACTCGGGCTTCAGCAGCGTCGCTCTCTACGCCATCCTCCTCATCGGTGGTGCTGCCGCCTACGGTGCCTACCAGTACCTCCAGGCCGCCAACGCTGCGGAGAACACGCAGTAGAATATTTGTTTACCCAGCTATTTTGCGTTATCTTGTTCCCTTATTTATAATGATTGGTATCCTTTTTCTTACGGGGTTGTCGGATGATATCCAATGCAGATATTCCTTTTCTTCTTCTTTTTTTTTTCTTGTGGTTCTTTCATATATCGCTTCTTATTTCCTGCTCCCCCTCTTTGGGCCGAGGGTGATCTGAGAGAAGAGACTAAAAACTTGTGCGCTGTTGTTGATGTGGTCCATGATCTTCTTGTGTCTATGGGATATTAGTAGAGGAAGCCAAACTGGCTTCAATCTTTGTCAGATAGACTGCGAGTTTTCTTTTGGCTTGTCGGGACTTGGTACCTGTAGATGTCGCATTAGAAAAATGTCGCGCTACAGCAGAAGACACCGACAGTTGAATACTAGCAAAGAATAATCAAATATTATCAAAGATCCTCAAAAAATAAATTCTTATACTCTGTATAAGCATCAAGCAATCTGCCAAAGTGTATACAAGGGAATATAAATAATAAGAAGAAAAAATTAAATCCAAAGAATAAGACAGTCCACGAAGGGTACAAGAACCAATTTTTTTTTTTGAGATGAGATGAGAAATGGCGCTGGCTTCCAATTCCAAATGCACCAAAAAAAGAAATCATGCGATATCAAAGTCTTTACCTTGAGCCACCGTTCAATCCAGCACGGACGGCTTCCAGGATCATGTCCTTGGCTTCTTCCAGACTCTCCTTGCTTCCCTTTACCTCAATGGCTTCGCCCCTAGCTTGGTCCTTGGGCACGTTGATTCGGCAGCCGGTCTTCTTGCGGATGGTGTTAATCTGGCTACCACCCTGTCCGACAACGAAGCGGTACGTCTTGGGGTCGGGCAGGATCAGATACCCAGTGGCGGTTTGCTGCGATGCTGTCGCCAGGGCCTTCTCCAGGGCAGCCTTGGCCTTGCTCACATTCTCAGTGGTTCCCGACAGAACCCAGGGGATGGTAGCAGGCTGCGATGGGTCAGCAGCCTCGGGGCTGTTGTCGATAACCTTCCATGTGTGAGCCTCAACGGCGTCGCTGGGCTCGTCAGTGATGAGGGGCATGGCCCCATCAGCTGCTCCTCGGGCATCCTCCAAGGCAGGCTTGGAAGGCACCTGTTGGCCAGCGTGGTCAACAGTCACCTGGTAGTCATTGCGGAGACGACGGAAGAAAGATCCGTTCTCCGAAACGGCATGGTGCAGGTTCCGAGGAACTTGCACTGTCTCGCCCTGCTGGTCCTTCAACATGGAGAGAATGTGTTCCTTGGCCCCTTCCACAGCATTGCTGGGTCCCTTGAGCTTGATATCAGAGCGACCGGAGCCTTGCTTGGGGATATCCAAAGTGATGTTGAACTGCGACTCAATGCCGCGTCTGGTCTCACCGCCACGCCCGATCAGCAGTCGATGTTGCACAGTGGGAACATCCACGCTGACTGTGACCTGGTCCTCTCGCTCCTTGACAAACTCCTGAATGGCTGCGATGATGTTCTCGACGACCTTGCCGTTTCCTTCGAGCTTGATGGTCGACTCGCTGCTCTCGGGGCGCGGGAACTTGACCATCCGGGCGGCGCTGCCGTCGGAAGGACCGCCAGCCTCAGCAACGAGCTTACGGATGTTGGCACCTACACACACACATTATTAGTATGATCCGTACACATGAAAATGGGAACGCAAACTTACCGCCACCGCCGATCAAAGCCTTGTGGTACTTCTTCTCGACGTCAATTTCCTTAGTGACAGTGGCATCAAACTCGGTAGAGCGCTCCTGCAAGATCTTCTTGGCTTCTTGGACCTGTTGCTTGGTACCCTTGATCTTGATCTCCACGCGGCCCGAAGCATCCGGCGCATCGTTCACGCCTGGAACATCAATCTGGGCACCAGTGTCTGCTCGGAGCTTATCCATCTCACGGCCGCGCTGGCCAATCAAGGATGGGATCTGGCTCTGGGCGACAGACACTGAAGCCGAGTTCGAGTGCTCGACGACCCACTGCAGCAAGCTAAGGAGTTCATCTCTTGTCGCATCAGCACCCTTGCTAGGACCCTTAACGACTACCTCGTCGGAGGCCTGCTGAGCCCGCTGAGGCCGGGAGCTACCAGCGTCACTGGAAGCTTCGAGGTCGTCAGATGTCGAAACTGCAGCCCTGGGGAATTGAACGCGGACAGCATAGCGGTCCTGCAGTCTGTTGACCTGAGAGCCCTTCTGGCCGATCAATTCACGGTGGTATTGCGCGGGAATCTTCAGAACGTGAGTGGTTTCATCTTCGAACTTCTTGCCCATGCTGATAATTCTGGTCTTCGCAGCATCGGCCTTGGCCTTGGGTCCCTTGACTTCGACCTTGCCATTTTCGACCTTGATGTCGACATCAAATTCATCCCGGAGCTTGTTGATATTCTCACCTCGCTTGCCGATGAGGAAGTTGGCATACTTTTGGGGGAAATCAAAAGAGATTGTGTAACCTCTTTCAAGGTCATCCTTCTCCTGCTCCACAACGAAAGCCTGCAATTTCGAGGCAAGCTCGCCAACAAGGCCAGAGGGGCCACGCAACGCCACTTCGCATACAGCGCTTCCAGTGCGGCCACGAGCATCACCAACAATGGCGCGAACGGGGATGGCGTCTTCACCCTTTGCCTGCTGTTCACGAGCGATGAACTTGCGTGCCTTGTCCTGGTACTTTCCGGGGACGTTGACAGTCTGTGCGACAACATCGTTCTGGTCTCCCAGTGTGTTCATCAAGTAGTCCTGTGCCTCTTGAAGGGCCTTCTCGAATGCAGCAAGCTCAGCCGCAGAGGGTCGCTGGCGGGGGACTTCAAATTGGGCGGCGCTAGCCGATGGGCCCTCGTAGACAAGAGCGACATCCGCGCTGTCAATTTCTTCGGGGATGAGAAGATGGACGCCATAGTCACTTTGCAACTTGGAAATGCTTCGGGATCGGAGGTAGGGGTGGAAGTAGGGATCGATAGAGACGTAGCGAATTCTTGCAGGGGGGTGAGCCTGGACAAGGTTCATGATGTCGGACCTTGCGCGAATCGTGTTCTTTCCGTCTCTGGAGTAGACTTCCCAGGTCACTGGACCATCAACAGTCGGTGGGAGAGCGATACGAGCGTCGTACATAGACTCCAGCTCCTTAATGATCTGTCGCTGTCTCAAGTACCGGGTAAGAGCGCGAGCATGTGCATGGGGCCCAGCAGGAGCACTGGGGTGTTGACGGGAGAGATCAATGCTTGCCATCTGCATGCTGGTGGCAAGATCCATTGCACGGTTGATACCGGCTTCAATGGAGTCCAGAGGTCCAGTTATGGTGAGGAACTCACTCTCGTCGGACTGAGGGGGGAGCACAATTGAGCAACCGGTGTCAGCAAGGAATTGGTGCAGGGCATCAGCCTCATCCCCAAGGATGAACTGATGTTGGCCGCGGTTGATTGCCAATTGACGAAGAGTCAGTTGACGCTGGAGGTCCCTTGCAAGATTCTCAATCTCTGCACGGGCTTCCTGTGCCGCAATTCGCTCTCCGGAGATGTGAATGTTCTTCTCTGGCACAGGAACAAATTGAACTTGGCCAGGAAGAGCCTCCTGAGGGGGCGGCTGGCTCAGCCAAGTATCATAGCGAGGCACGTGGATCTGGGCCTTGGTGCGCTCTTCAATTTCCCTCAGGTTTGCGTCATGGGCTCCAGCAATGAATGGGAAGAACTCAGGGGGGATGGTCTTGAGACGGAAGCTCATGTTGGCAGAACGTTCCTTGACGATGGCTTCTATTTCCCGACGGGCCATCTCAGCAGCAACTGCATCACCCTCAATCAACACATCAATGGTATCACTGTCATCCTCGTCCTCTCCGGCAGCCGAGTCATCAGCACGGGGAACCTGAACTCGTGCACCTGTGCGCTGCTGGATGTCCTGGACCACTGTTCCTTGACGACCGATGATGTGAGCTCGAGCTGAGGTGGGGATGGGAACGCGAACGGATTGCTACAGATTGAAAAATAAGTCAGTGGCAACTCAACTGACGGGGCTCAAACGAGGAAGAACATACCTTGGAGCCAACCTGTTGCGCAACTTCCTTGAGGGCTTGTCTGACGGCATCCGCCGAACCCTTGCCCTCAAAGATGATAGAACCTCCAGGGCCACCCCGCATATCGACATTGGCCTTTGACCGCCGAGAGATATCCCGCAAGATATCTCTGAGCGGCTTCTTCAACTGACCCCGCGGAAGCATTTGCGATGGCGCGAGTCGCAATTGCTCCAAGTGCTTTCCGGGGAGACTCATGATTCGAGGGACATCAGCAGAGGCTGTACATTTGGTCAGTCCAATAACAAAAAAGCGGAAGTTTGGTGGCAGGCAGACGTACCAGCTTGAGCGGCACTGGGAGCACCGTTAGCAACAGCGGCGGCAGCCGAAGGCCTGGCACCCCAGGTAGCAGCAGCAGGAGCCATAGGCTTAGGACCACTGCCTAGAGCAGGGAACAATTCCTCGGACCGCACATCAAAAGCGGGAGCCTTTTTGGGAGCCGCCTTTGGTGTAGGAGCGGGGGCGGGAGTTTCAGCGGGTGTAGGAGCTGCTGGTGCTGGCTGCTCCTTCGCCAAAGAGGGAGGTGGGTGCTGGATATCATCCTCATCCGGAACATCCTCCACTGTTGCCTTGTGTTCCTCGTCGCGTGCGTGCTGCTCCTCCAGCATGGCTGCGAGGGACTTGGATCCGCCGTTGACGTTCGATTCGGCAGCCATTATGAGCGGAAAAGGTCAGGGCTGGCGATTTTTGAGATGTAGACCTATGTCTAAAATTGTTGAACAGGACAGCTAAACAGACTGTTTGGCGTTGTACATTAGCATAAGAATAGTCGGGGAGCGATTGAATTGCAAAAACATACCAATAAGCTGCCGTGTGCAAGAAACACAAAGAGATCGCTAGATCTGAATTGAGACGATAAAAATATCGCTACAAAATCGAATTGTCTTGCGAGGACAATTCTGGGAGAAGGGGAGTGGGAAAGAGACAATTGGCTATCTGCTGAGTGAGGAGCAAAAAGGCCGCCGTATGACAAGAACGGGAAAAAGGATAATGACAATTAAAAAGAAGCGTAAGAGCAATGAAGAAGAGGAGAAAGGAGGGAGAGAGAGGGAGAGGGAGGTAAGAGATGGGAGCGACCTGACAAGAAGAGAGGAGGTGAGGTCGAGAATAACAATCAATGGCGATGGACGATGAGGAAGAAGATGAGGCCAGCTCGAGACTAAGTCGGCGGCCGGAGGATTCATTCCCTTTTCGGGTGTCGCAAAACAGCCGACTTGGCTTTTTCGCCGACGATGTGATATAATATAGAATAAAAATAAATAGTATAGTTGTAGAACACGCATTATTTGATGGATTGATTGAATTGTAATTGTTTATACAGCATTTGTATGTATAGAGTAGTCTACAAGGGTCGTCGCCAAGCAGTAATCAACATCACAATCCATAAACGGGAATTTAATTATTGCAGAATATCTAACAGTCAATGCATTCAATTATACCGATAGGGTATTTTAGTATCCAGATTCAAGAATGTTGAGTGACGAAATAATAACCACCACATCGCAAGCTGGATAGAGCTTGACGCCAGGTGTCGATCCAACCGGTGAGATAGAGTTGTCAACAACACATCATCAGTGATCTTCCACTTTCCTGCCCCTTAATACAGATTTGATTTTTTTTTTTTTTTTTTCTTTCTAGAATTTCTAGAACATTGTTTTCCTTGACAACTAGTTGATGCATCGCTGACCAGGTGTCATTCTTGACGGCCGTTGTATCTCCACAGTTTATTTATATTGTGTAGATCCTCTGGGGTACTATTGAACAATTCATCTTGATAGCAGATATCAAATTCAGGCATAATAGAAGACATAATAGACAGGTTTTTATTCATATCAAATTCATGGTGGAAGAATGGAGACTGCAAGATATCTCATCGACCAGGTTGAGCTTCATCGCCAATTGGCTGGAAAATCCCATTCCACCATTAATATCTCCAGGTCATATCGTCAATCCAACAAATACAGCATAGCATCAAACATCAAACCACCACTTCTCGGTCATCTTCCGGTTGATAGACAGTGGGCGACGCTAACAAGGGCCGATGCGACAAAAGCTTAACCCAGGAATCTCCCACTTTGTCTTTCCATCCAAATATTATTGATTCGACCATGCCACTGCTGTCCATTATCAGAACGTTCCATTCAGATGATTTGAAGCACTTAACACAGTCTATCTCGATAAGAACCCTTGTCCACAATTTATCGAGTGGCAATCGCCGAGATAAGTCGCGATAGAGAGATAGAGATGTTCGGATGCCCCCGCCCTAGGGCCATGATTCCCTGTTTGGGGCTCGTGCCCCGAAGGGGTTTTATCTTGCATCGTCTACTTAGATGCAGTATTCCCCTCTGCATTCTTTGTTCTCTGTAATTCCGAGACTCTCGACGCCATGGACGCTCACGAGTACGATGCTGAGAAGAAACCTCAAGCCGAGTCAACCACCGCTCCTGTCGAAGAGGAAGAGCCCACCAAACCACACGGTTTCTTCGCTCGAGTTCGCTATTATGAAAAACTGCTGGACCGCAAGTTGGGGATCGAATCCAACAGTCTCGACAGAGTGCATCCTGAAGGCCGTCATCCGCCCAATTCACTCGCCATGGCCTTTATGTGGGCTTCGGCCACGATGAACATCAGTTGTTTCAGTACGGGCTTTTTGGGAAAGGAGTTTGGGCTGTCGCTGGGGCAGACCATTGCCATCACCATCTGTGCAACCCTGCTGGGTGCCTCTGTGACGGTTCGCATTCTTTTCTATTTATTTGTTTCAGACGAGCCATTCAATTGAATGAAGACTTACTTGTCTCTAGGGTTGGTGTGCTACAATGGGCCCAGGTACCGGTCTCCGTCAGGTCGCCATCTCTCGATATTCGCTAGGCTTCTACCCTTCGTCTATCATCGCCGCATTGAACGTGGTCGAACAGTTGGGATGGGCTTCAGTCAGCTGCATCACTGGCGGTCTTGCCCTCAGCGCAGTCTCGGATGGTCGTCTATCTATCGCAGTGGGAGTGGTCATTGTTGCTTGCGTCAGTTTTGTCTTTAGCTTCATTGGACTGAAAGGAGTCATGATGTACGAGCAGTATGCCTGGATGCTTTTCTTCGTCATCTTTGTGATCATATACGGCGAATCAGCACACCGCGCCAACCTTGCAGCTCCTGCTACAGTGTCAGGACTGACAAAGTCAGGAAATGTCCTGAATCTGATCAGCGTTGTCTACGGCTCTAGTGCGTCGTGGAGCTCGATTGTTTCCGACTTTTACGTGCACTACCCCGTAAACACCCCCAAGATCAAAATCTACCTCTACACAACACTTGGTATCACAATCCCGACTTGTATTGGAATGCTGCTCGGTGCTTGTATCAGCTCTGCTTTGGATACCAACCCTGAATGGGCAGCCGCCTACGATGATGGGATTGGTGAGATTCTGAAAATCATCATCTATCCAAGGGGATTCTCCAAATTCCTCTTGGTTCTCTTGGTATTGTCTGGCAGTAAGCACCACTCTTACTCACACATAGACACACCATTGACTAACAATATCTCAGTTGGCGTCAACTGCATCGCCATCTACTCCGGTGCTCTCTCCGCCCAACTCTTCGCCAAACCATTCGCCAAAGTCCCCCGAGTAATCTGGTCTACCCTCGTCTTCATCTGTATTCTCCTCATAGGCATCGCCGGCCGAGACTACCTCCTCGACGTCCTAGAGAACTTCCTATCACTACTCGGCTACTGGAACACCTCATTCTTCGTCATCGTATTCACAGAGCACTACCTCTTCCGCGGAGGCAATCTAGCAAACTACGACCTCGACGCCTGGAACACCCCATCCAAGATGCCGGTTGGGTACGCGGGATTAACTGCTTTCCTGTGTGGCGCTGCGGGATGGATCGTTGGAATGGTCGAAACATACTACATCGGTGCTGTTGCTGCTATGATTGGCGCTGATGGAGGAGATGTTGCCAATCAGTTGGCTTTTGTTTTTACCAGTGGTTCGTTTATTCCGCTGAGGAAGTTGGAACTGAAATATGTTGGACGTTAGACGAGTTGTGTAGTCATTGATGACACCTTTATGCTTTCAACCAGCTTTGTTTATGTCTGGATCCGTAAGAATGTTCAATCAGCCACGAAAGTAAGTAGTCCTGCTTCTCATTCATTATTGCAACATTCCAAAATATACTTCCGACTGGACGGAATATCGAAATCTATATTGAACAAATTATACAATCCCCAATACCCCCAAGAAAATCAAAGAAAAATAAAACCTAATACAAAAAGCATTTGAAAGCAGAACCATAGCCCTAAAGTGCACAAGATCGATATCAAAGCAACCTACCTGCTCACCCCAAGCCTGTATCACGTGATGTCCACCAAAGTACACATCCAGCAGGGGTGGGCTGATCGAATGTATGTGTTGGATCTTTTAGGATATTTCCGTTTTGGGAAGTATCTAGAGCTTCAATTTATGAGTTTCACAGCTGTTGATACTAGAGAGTATCGCAGTACAAATGCGCTGTCCGCGTGTGATATGAACAAGGCGTACACATCCAGGAGGGGATAGGCTGATCGAGTGTACGAAGTGGATATATTGGGATATTACTATTTTGGAAAGTACTCATAGCTTTATAGGATCATGGCTGCGATTTTGGGTAGTCAGCAAGAGAACACCGTAGCTACAATCAGGTAATATGAACAAAGAGTACACTTCCAGGAGGGAGGTCGTGATGCAGTGTACGCAGTGAATATATCAAGATATTTCTCTTTTTGGAAATGAGCTCGACTTCACAATCTCATCAGCCACACAGTAAATATCCAAGCCCTTGACCTCTAAGATAAGACCACCTGCGAACAGTACACATTCCTCGAAGAGAGCTTGATCGAGTGTATGGGTGGAATTTTTGAATATATTTCCATTTTGGGAAACGCATACAGCTTCATGGCGCTCTAAACAGCCCCAGGGATGAGGAGTATTGGTTTTGGGGACGACTGCACAGACCAGATGAACGATACACAATTCCAGGTGAGGCCTTGATCGAGTGTATGGTGCGGAAATCTCGAGATATTTCCCCTTTTGGAAAGAAATATAGATTCACGTACTTAGGGTGAATGGGTCTGGATTATTTTTCAAGATAGGTCTTTTCGGTTGTGTGCGTGTGGCCACCAGGGAACAGTACACACTTCAGAGGGGGTGCCTGATCGAGTGTAGAGGAGGACTTCTCTGAGATACCACCATTTTCTCGAAGTGGATATAGCTTCATGGACTGACCAACGCCGAGGCCTAAAAAAGGGCAGCAGGTGTGACCGCACGGCCAGAGGAACAATACACAATCCAGGAGACCAAGATCGAGTGTATGGGATGGAATTTTAGAGATATTACCTGTTTAGGAAGTGAATACAGCTTCACGGAATCATCCAGGGATTTGACGATATACATCCAGAACAGTTGCGGCAGAAATTACACATCCACAACCCAGGAGGGCCTTTTGATCGAGTGTATAGAGGGAAATCTTGCGATATTTCCTATTTTGGACATGGATACAACTTCAGGTCATGGAGTGTACAGTAGGATCACCAAAGATACCAGACATAGGGAATGCTGATAGATGATGCCTGATTTCTAGATTGGCGGAAACCTACACACAATCCAGGAGGTGAACATGATCGAGTGTATGGACTGAATTTTTCAAGATGTTACCATTTTGGGGAGTGTGTATAGCTTCATCTGAATATTCAATTTGCTGGAGGAGAATGAATCCTGAGGTGGTGCCCTGTGCAGTGGTGCAGTCCTATGCCTGATGGCCTGATTTACAGAACCCAGCAGAGGGAAGTGATCGAGTGTAGAGGTCGGATTTCCATGATATTACCCTTTTGGGATGCATCACCAGCTTCAGGACAGGCCGTCGCAGTTTCAGTTCCAATGGTGATAAAACCACTTGACCAGGCCAATAACTTTCCCTCCAGAATTCCAGAGGCCCTGGAATGATTGTGTATGTTTTCTAATCACGTGATTTTGGTTGTGTGCTGACTCAGCATGTATCCAGAATTATCGACAGCTTTCTGCTCGCTCGTATTGAGCTGGGATCATTGGAAATTTCCCAAATGAGAAATATCTTTGACTTCACGGAGAGAATGCTGCTAACAATCATATCACCACCACCCTGCAACGCAAGTGAAATCTAGACAAGACTACGGACTACGACCATATTAATATCAAGGATAATAATTATTATTGAACGGGCTTCATTGTCCGCGCTCTTCCGCGGACACTAGGAACTAGGGACTAGGGACTAGGGATTCAAATCCGAAGTGCGTAGTCCATCAGTCACATATGATATAAGCCCAGCAGATAAGACGCGTGGGAGGCATCCGAATGGTTCGGTCAGAGAGCACAGCAGCGAGAGAACACAGGTGTGACTGGGCCAGCGGCATCAAATTCGTGGCGTGCAGGGTGCAGGGGAAAGGGAAAAAGAAGAATCCAACCCGATGATTGGAATAGCGTACCTGCAGAACGATTGCAAGCTGGACCAAGGAACAGTGCGACAGATTTGAGGGTATGAGTTACAAAGAACAGGTCTGAGCACGGTGGGATTCACTAGTTTTGTAGTTTATTCTGGCTGAAGCTGAGGATGCTCCGTAGATAACTTGGTTTATGCTCCGAGTGTGGGCAAGAAAGTTTAGCAAAAGCCTCAAATGTTGGGTTGGAGCCAGCACTACCCCGCTTTCTGAGCTCCAGTCCAGCTTGCTGTATGTCAGTTGCTGCTGGTGATGTTATATTATTGGGAAATAATTGTTCTGATCCAGCAGCATTTCTGTCGAGATATTCTCAATCCGGCCAGTAAGAAAAAAGAGCTGCCACAAACCTCGCCAATCCCTGGCCGTTGCTCATTCCATCACACTCTGTCCCGTCCGGCTCCATCCATGTGTCTAGATTTTTCCCGCGTTGAACACTAACACTGACTGGCATCCGCGACTGAGACAGACTGTCTGTCAGTCAGAGAACAACCACCATCTCGTCCTCCTGGCTTGATTGGCAATGTAGCGAACAAAAGGGCCAAAAAAAAATAATAGAAATAATGAAAAGCGTACATAATACTGCCAAGGGATAGCCACCCAATTTTTATTTTTTATTTTCTTTCATTTTCAGACAAAGCAACCGTGTTCCAGTTTTCTTTGCTCCTGAATCACCATCCAAAGTGGCTGGCACCCGAGAAATTAATTGCGTTTCTCCCTTATTATTCCTTGATTATTGCAGCTCCTTCTGGCCACTCGCCGTTGGGACTGATTGATTGTTTCTGACACTCGCTTGTCTTTCTCCTCGACTGGCCTTTCTCTTTCTTCCTCGAATAATTATTATCCTCTCCTTCTTCCTTTCTTCCATCCATTCATCCATCATATTATCGCTTCCTGCTCTTTGTCGCCGATCGGTGTGCTGGACTGTCGGTTCCCTGCAGTGTCTTGCGTCTGACTCCGTACTTTCTTTCTTCTCGTCCACTCTCCCTCGTCAGTCTGCCCCGTCACCGCTTTATCTTGGATTCTTCCTCCGATACCTTGATCTCTCCCACACCAACCCCCCCCCCCCAGTCAAAATCAATCCATCCATTCTACTGGCTCTCCACGTGCTGACTCCTCGTCCTTTGTACAGCAGTGCTAGCGACTGCTTTCTTCGCAACTTCCCCTGCGTCGTTGTTGTTGTTCGGCTTTGACGTTTCCTCCACCCTTTCATCCCTCAAAGTGACCTGTCGCAAGGCCCATTCATCTTACATACAGTACTACTAGTTACAAGTATTCTTACAACTATTTGGTTTTGGTTCCACAACGATTGCTCAAAGGGACGGAAGGGACACTCAAAGCACCGCCTCACCCGGTGGCTTTCCCACCACACCCCCCCCAGCCATTGAATCTCGTTGTCACGCCCTAACCCCCCCCCGTCGGCCGAACAGTGCCCCTAAACCGCACGTCATGAACCAAGACAGTTTCTCTTCTTTAAAATTCCGACGAACATCTAGCAGACTTTCCAAGGACTCTCCTAGCTTCAGCTCGCGCATTTTGAAGAGTCACCAGAGCAACACGTCATTGAAACGACACCCCTCCGCGCCCGTCTACCCACGTTCTTCAGCCAGTGGGAGTCGAGAGCATTCACGGACGAGATCTAACGCTTACGGTTCCTCTTCATCCTCGCTCGACCAGAGCAGCGCAGGTCCATCTCCAGTTGCTGGCAACGAATCCAACTACTTTCCCAGCGGTTACAATCCCGCCAAACCCCGGCCACCCCACCCCGGACGCTTCTCCCTCAACGAACAAAGCTCAGATGAAGTAGTCGGCGCCCCGTTTGAATCACGGGGCATGCTCAGTGCATTGGAAGAGACCACCGCAGAGTCTGACAGGCAATCCGACAGACAATCTCAACGGCTATCTTTCAGACAATCTTTTAAACCTCCCCCAACTTTACGCGCCCCCCACACCAGTCCCGATACTCGAGGGCTCAGACAATCTGCCAGCTTTACAGCGCTACAGAACCGAATGGATAACCTATTTCCTAGCCGGACCGAAAATGACAGGACGCCGAATACGAACCGGTATTCCGACGAGGGGAACGGCTCGAACCCAAAGCCCTCCTCGGGCTCGAGACGGAATAAGAAGAGCAGCTTTTCCTCCTTTGTCAACAGCATGCTTCCCTCTCCCCGAGGCATCAAGATATCCGCCCCTGAGAATCCGGTCCATGTAACTCATGTCGGTTACGATAACCAGACAGGCCAATTCACCGGCCTGCCCAAGGAATGGCAACGGCTACTGCAGGAAAATGGTATTTCGAAGAAGGAGCAGGAGGAGCACCCCCAGACCATGGTCGATATCATGAGATTCTACGAAAAGAATGCTCAAGGCGATGATGAAGTTTGGCACAAGTTTGACCATGCGTATGCTCACCATCAAACTGCCACAAGTCCGATCGTCCAACCGGTCGCTGCGACATCGTCATCCCAAGGCCAGCGAAGTGGTTCGCCCCCTGGAAGTCCCCGATTCCCGCAAAACCATGAAGGCAGTTTCGAAAACCCACGGGCGCCCCCTCCTATTCCTCGCGGGGCTCCGACAGGTCCCCAGGTTCCCCAGGCCATGTCTCCACCGCTGGGCGGCCTCATACCTAACCGAGCACCTCCCAAGCCCCCGACTCCAGCGAACATGACCCCGGCCAGGCCTCCCCCTCAGCCCCCTGTTTCAAACCAGTATACTGGTGTCCCAGCACGCCCTGCCCAGGAAGACTATGCCCCTCAATATGGAACGCCCCCTATCCCGGAAACCCAGCAATTCCCCTCCGAATCACAGCGGAGCAGATCGAACTCGAAGGCAAGTGTCTCAGGACCATGGTCCCCGCCGGTTTCTTCGCCGACCCAATACCAGCAACAGCAGGAGCAGGCAATGGTTGCCGCCCAACAAGCAATTGCAAGCAAGCAACTAGACCGGACTCGCAGTCAGCGTCAGCAGCCACAGCTGCAGCTGCAACCGCTGCAGCATCAGTCCCCTCGACCAGAACAAAAGCATCCCGCCCCTCCGCAACATGCTTCTCCCACTGCGGATCCCTCGGGATACCAGTCTCAAGACCCCCGCACTGCACCTGCTGCTCGACCTCGGCAACGGCCTCGCCAGAGCAATGCGATGGATATCAGATCGAGATTGCTTGCTATTTGCACACCTGGTGACCCAACCAAATTGTACTACAACCTTTGCAAAATCGGTCAAGGTGCATCGGGTGGTGTATTCACCGCATACCAGAATGGCACGAACAGCTGTGTTGCTATTAAGCAAATGAACTTGGACCTTCAGCCTAAAAAGGATCTCATCATCAATGAGATCCTTGTGATGAAGGACAGCAAGCACAAGAACATTGTCAATTTTCTGGATAGTTACCTTCATGGACTCGATCTTTGGGTCGTTATGGAATACATGGAGGGCGGCAGTCTCACTGATGTAGTCACATTTAACATCATGAGTGAAGGACAGATTGCAGCTGTTTGCAGAGAGGTAAGTTTCTGGATAAAAACAAACAAACTGGGCTTGGTGCTAACGGACATACATAGACTTTGAATGGATTGCAGCACCTTCACTCCAAAGGTGTCATCCACCGCGACATTAAATCTGATAACATCCTTCTCTCGATGGAGGGCAATATCAAATTGAGTAAGTCGCTTTCTATTCTTTATGTGTTGCATTTGCTAATATCTTGCAGCCGATTTTGGTTTCTGTGCACAGATCAACGATTCGCAGAACAAGCGGAACACCATGGTCGGAACGCCATACTGGATGGCCCCGGAGGTCGTCACCAGGAAGGAGTATGGCCGCAAGGTTGATATCTGGAGTTTGGGCATTATGGCAATCGAGATGATTGAGGGTGAACCCCCTTATCTCACAGAGTCTCCTCTGCGGGCACTCTACTTGATCGCTACGAATGGAACCCCTACTATCAAGGACGAGCATAACCTCTCCCCGGTATTCAGGGACTTCCTCCACCTTGCACTGAAAGTAGATCCTGAAAAGAGAGCCTCAGCCCATGACCTATTGAAGGTACGTTTTGATAACCTCATCCATTGACTCTCCGTTGTTTTACTAACTCTTCTTATTAGCATCCATTCATGACCCTCTGCGCACCGCTCTCCCACCTGTCGCCTCTTGTCAAGGCTGCTCGGGTTAGCAGAGCACAAGAAAAGGCTCAGAAGGGAGGTGCTTAGATTCTACACTCAGCTTTCTTTCTATATTCGTCGATGTCTTCTGTCTTCTCACTCAGATACCCATTATCCCTGATGTTTTCATTCACCGGGCCGAGGCACCTTTTATTCCCTCATACGCCTCTTTTACAGCTCAAGGTCATAGATGGTATTGACTTTGACGGCTTTTTATCCACACTTTTTTTCGATTTCTACCATCTTTTGGCCTGTGGACCTCTGGGTCGTTTTATATGATGCCCAATATATCCTTCTTTGTTTAACTCTTCTTCCCCATATTCCGTTCCCTTGATCCTATATCATATTACCTTAGACATTATGGGAGATGACTGTACATGTTATGAAGGGGATCCCCATGTTTGTTGCCATGTTTGTTTTTGATTTGTTCGTATGATCTGTTTACTGTCATGAGGCCAGAGATCAAGCCTAGGAAGGCATTATTCGAATAATGAACGAACCACCATGCCAAAAGCGTTTTGTATCTTTCTCGCAGCTATTATCTTGCACCTTTCAGGTTTATCCAAGCTGTTATACCCAGCCGACTTGACGCTATAATTCGTTCATCATTTATAAACAAAGACACCTATTTACTGACAACTCTCCCTTTGAGGAGATGGGATTGTATCTGAAGATCGTGGTTGAAAAATTTTTTTTTTCTCGATTTTGGCATGTCTGTCTAGATGAATCGGCAATAGGGCGTTTCTTTATTTCTCCCAGTGATATATTTGCCTCTGGTCATAAATACCAACAATAGAACTGCGGGTCATTGTTCCATCGAATTCATAATCTATTATACTACTGGTGACTATTTAATTGTTCTTTTTACCATACCAGGTAGGCTCTTCGTTATCCATCGAGGCTGTAGAGGCAGCAAATACAGCAGCCTATCGAAGTGGATTAGATCTGAATGGCCCCATCAAGGCAGAAACTAAACCGACAATTTTTTTTTTTTTTTAAAAAAAAATCTATATTAAGCATCTTACCCCAAACCTCTCTTCTTGCAAGAATCAAATAAAACCAAACTAAATCCCACGGCTGATTGATCGGCTGAGCACATCGTCATAGGTGCCTTGTGTTGCCCCCCTCGCTTACTGTCCTCCAGCACCGCCCAGTCAGCGTCAAGAGCGGCTGCTCTCCGCCTCCGCGAACCGTCATCTGCTTTGCATCAGGTTGCAGCCCATTTTTGCTTGAACGCCCATCATCTTCTCATCTCCCAGGAGGACTTCTTTTCCCATTTTTGCTTTTTGCTATCTCGAACTGCCGATTCCTTATTCCTGAGCTTACTCCGTTTGTTCGACGATCTCTGAACACCAGCGCACCCAATTCAAAACAGCGTATCAACTTTCGATACCCGGACATTCGTCACCGAGCGCATCCCCGCATTGGGTGTTTGTTTCATTAACCCAAGAACGAGCTGAATCGGTTTTGCGAAATAACGACCTGGAATTTTCACTGCGAGCTTTCTACCGAGTTTGTCTGCGTCAAGGATAAAAACCGGAAGGTGTGATTTGGTTTAGTTTTACGGTGATTCAGGGGATCTTGGACGGTTCCGGTACAACAGCTATTATATCAAGTCGGAGATTGTGTTAGGAAATACATATCGGCGATGTTTCGCGCACAGCAGAACGCTTTTGACGATGCAGTCGGTACGTTCTGATTATCGCCTTGTTCATATTCTCAATATCTGTCTTGCGGTGAACGGTTTCCATAATGAGGAAGCTTGTTGGGGGCCGGCCGCGAGGCGGGATGATTTGAGGTGGACCGTTTCTATTTACAGATTTGCTGACTTGTTTGTCTCTTTCTCTTATAGCCAAGGCGACAGATGAGAACTTGACCTCCGAGAACTGGGAGTACATTCTTGTATGGAAATAGAATATTCGGTCTGAATTATGGGAGTGGAGGAGCTGACGTTCTCTGTGGTTGATAGGATGTTTGTGATAAGGTATCGGCTGAAGAGTCGGGGTAGGTTCCCCGCGCTTCTGGAGCTGGGATTTTGTCAAATTGATGCTGATATGGGTCTTGATATAGTGCGAAGGATGCGGTTGCTGCTTTGATTAAGAGACTGGCGCACCGGAATGCCAATGTCCAGTTGTATACTTTGGAGGTTTGTTTCTTTCCACTCAGAGATTGTCGCCGTTCATTTTTCATACTAATCTTATAATTTTCTAGCTCGCCAACTCTCTGGCGCAGAACTGTGGCCCCAAGATCCATCGGGAGTTGGCATCAAGAAGTTTCACAGATGCTCTCCTTCGACTAGCCGGTGATCGGGTAAGCAAGCCCGGTGTTGCATGTGATATGGGATACTGACAATGTGCATTAGAACACCCACCAACAAGTAAAGGCAAAGATCCTAGAGAGCATGCAGGAATGGACGCAGATGTTCTCTAGCAACCCGGACTTTGGTATTATGGAGCAAGCATACATGAAATTAAAGACACAAAGTAAGCCATTTCTTGATGTGTTTTCTGCGGATATAGACTTATGCTCTCGCAGATCCCAACCTTCAGCCACCGTCGAAACCTGGCAAAAGCGAAATTACCGAAAGTGATCGCCAGAAGGAGGAAGAGGAATTACAGATGGCCTTGGCCCTTTCCATACGTGATAAAGCTACAATCTCCGAACAACCAAAGGCCGAATCTAGCACAGCAAACGTCGCTGCTACCCCCGCTAGCCAGCCAGCACAACCCGCACCATCTGGACCGGTTCCTTCGGGAACATCCGCTGCCACTGTTTCCCGCGTGAGGGCACTGTTCGACTTTCAGCCTTCGGAGCCTGGAGAACTGCAGTTCCGCAAAGGTGATATTATCGCAGTGCTCGAATCCGTGTACAAGGATTGGTGGAAGGGCTCACTGAGAGGTCAAACTGGAATTTTCCCCCTCAACTATGTGGAAAAACTTCCTGACCCTACTGCCGACGAGCTGCAACGAGAGGCCCAGATGGAAGGAGAGGTGTTTGGCCAGATCAAGAACGTCGAGAAGCTGTTGACACTCCTGAGCACTCGTAGCTCAGAGCCCAGCGTTCAAGATAATGAGGAAATCACCAACTTGTACCACTCGACTCTGGCCATTAGGCCCAAGCTGATCGAGCTGATCGGGAAATATTCACAGAAGAAGGGTATGCTGCCCAATCATTCTGTTCTTGAATCGTGACTTACACTTTCTAGATGAGTTCACCCAACTCAATGAGAAATTCATCAAGGCCCGAAGAGATTACGAAACCCTTTTGGAGGCTTCCATGTCGCACCCTGCGCAGCCTACATATGGCAGACCTGGTCAGCCCCAATTTGGATACCCTCCTCCTCTTGGGTATCCTGGTGCTCAGCCTGATCAGCGGTACTTTAGTCCGCGCCCTCAAGGTTCGTATGAGCAGACCCTTTCAAAAGAGGCAATTCTGACAAGATGCAATAGAGAGCCAGCCCCTTCAGCCTAGTGTCGCCCCATACGCGCAAAACCCGTACCCCCCAACCTCCCAATCCCCCGACCCGCGCAACCGCACACCTTCCGCCGGGCCACCTTTCCAACAGCAGCAGGCGGCAGAATCTTACCAGCCTGTGCATCATCGTCCTCAGTCAACATATGACCACCCGCAAGAACTAGGAACATCTGTTTATGACTCCCCTGTCGAACGCCCTGCCGCAAGTCAACGGCTTCCGTACCCGGCAGCACAAGTTCCACCAGCCGTTCACCAGCAGTTCCAGCAGCAACAACAACAACAGGATTACTCCCCCTCTGTTTACTCACCGGAAGATGCAGCGGGACAGTCGCAGCCTCCCTATCCTTCAACCCCAGCCACTCATCAAGCACCGCCATTGCATTCACCTCCCCCAGTTCCCGGTGCAGGATCAGCCCCCACACCATATGCATCTTTGACACCTGGTGTCCCTAGTAGCGAATACCAGGCTTACCAGCCTCCCAGCTCCAACCCAGCTTCGTTTTACCGATAGTTTCTCAATCTTCAGTTTTCAGTTAATGAATGTTTATCTAAATAAGGATAACTTCTAAGTTACCGCCTAATTCTCCCTCATTTGATTCTGAGAGCTTGGCAGATAACAAATGGAAACATGGATATCTCGCGTGGTTGACATGTGATGAACCTGGGAGGATGTATTCTTTTTGCTGTTCTCTTAGCCCCGTTGTTGAACTTTTGGCAGCGAGTTCCGTTTTATATCACTTATTTCTGTCCTGTATCTAGCTGGAAAACAAGGATCAATTTGAACTCCCACATGCCTATAATTACATCGCATACTTATCTATTGTATTTCGATTTCCTCAAGCGACATACACGGATTTGTGATTATCTACATGCGTTAGTAATCCATCATTGCTCTGGTTGATCGTCGGTAGAATGACTCGAACCAAAGAAAGCAGACAGGCATAAACCTGCTTACTTCTAAAGGGGAGTGCTTCTGCCACGCCCCTATCGATCCAGATACACCCTTCCTATTTAGGCTTAGTACATGGTTATATAGGAAGGATAATTACATGATTATTAATTAAATAGTTCATAAAATGCTTGATTGATTGGATTCATACACATTGAACGCTGAATCGGACGCTTGATTGAACATCTGCATAAATACTTGATTAGATGGCAAGAAATAAATGGGAAGGGCGGTGACTTTAGGATAGGTACCCTTTTACTATACCCTGATCTCTGTTCTCAGGTATATACTAAGCCTACTTAGAAGGGGCGTATCTGGATCGATAGGGGCGTGGCAGGAGTACTCCCCTTATTCTAAAAGAGGATGGTATGACTTGTATCACAGTGTGACAGTCCGCAGAAACCCAGTCAGATCCATCAAGAAGCATCAGTTAATACTTCTCTATTATGTCTGAACTACTCCTACGCGCTTGCTGCTGCTTCTTATCCCCATTGAACTACAAGGCAGAACCAGTCTTGCCTGAAACCATTGGCAGACCGGTTTCAAAAGTCCAATAGCAGTCATCTCCGTATCCCTGCGCGAATCTCTCCACATCGACGACAGCATCCCACGCCGCCAACGTCCTCCTATAACTTTCCTCTTCTTCATCGCACTCATGCCGCAGAACAGACCTCAGCACATCTAACAGTTCCCTCCGCCACTCAGGCTGGTGCCCCCCACACAGCCGTGCCGCGACGTACTCATAGTACGCGGGCATGATGTTGGCCATCTCCCAGTCCAGGAAACCTGTCACCGCGAGCGTGCTGGGGTCCACGAGGATGTTCCGGTCAGACAGGTCCCCATGCGAGAGGACAGGACGGTCCCAACCATCTGTGCCGGTGGTGCCACGCTGTACTTGCTCGAGGGCGGCTACACGTTCCGCGTCCGGGGCCGTGTCAGAGGCGTGTAGCGCGCGGATGCGCGAGTCGTCCCACTCTGAGCGAGAGGAGCAACATGCGTGCGTCTCCGTGCGAAATTCAGAGAAGAGGAGGTACGGCTGCCGCGGGGGCCGGCCGTAGTAAGAGAAGTTGTGCGTACGCATACGCACGATGAGACGGCAGAGCTCCTCCTTGATGGTCTGGCGCTGCGGAGGGGTGAGTGAGGGCCAGAGCTCAACTAGCGGTGTGCCCGGCAGGTGAGTGAGTATGAGGCCCTGTTGGGGGCGGTTGGGCGTCGAGGTTATTGTGACGACGCGAATGACGCGTGGAACACAGGGACCCAGAATGGAATAAGCGAGCGCGGTCATTTCACCTTCGCCATCCTCAGCACCCAGCTTGAGGAGGGTAGAGGGAGAATGGATGAGAAACCGGCGTCCAAGGTTTGGAACAGTCGGCCCTGAGAACGGAGGGAGGCTGGAGAGAGCAGCCCAGCTCTCCCGGGGAAGCTGCTCTGGCTCCTGAGAGCTCTCATCGTGTAGTGTCATGATGAGCGGCGATGCGTAGAGAGCAGTCCAGAGTATCAGGCGATCTTGAGGTTTTACTTGATCAAGTAACCTGGCGCTAAAGTGAGGAGGATGATCGATTGAAGATATCTATGCGACCCCTGTCTCGGTCGACAGTTAATCCCGGCCGGTTGATAGATGTCTGGACGCTACTCCTAGGGTTCTTTCATGACTTTTTACCAAGTTATAAGTATATCCAGAATCTATATCTCTTCATTTAATAATCTTTAACTTACCTAACCATGCTTTCCCGTCTGATAAACGCATTCACCCGTCCACCGCTCCTGCGCTCCTTGTCATTGGCAAGTTTGGTACCACAATCCACGCTCTTCATCTCGTTCCCGAGAACGGCACTATTGAACGCTTCGGCCGCGCATCCCCATCTTCCACCTTCCGCCGCGGCGGAGCCACAGAGCAGGCGCGCGAGCAGATTGGCACAGTCACGCTTCATGTTGGAGATGGCGAGACTGCCGAAAGCTTCCTTGACGACGTTGAGATACGAATCCATTAGCTACGGAATGATTCTCTGGGCTTAAGCCCAGCGCAGCTACAGATGTGCAGTGCTGATGTGACTCGGCTAGTGCACGATGTCCTTCAGCCTGCGGCACTTGATGCAATCCATGAAAGAGAAGGGCGAGATCGCTCTATGAACGCAACACAGACATACCCTGTTTTTATTGTTTACATTAAACGCTCAAGAGCAGGGGGACTCCTGACTGCTGAGCTGACGAGCTTTCCTTCATAAGTTGTTTCATATGGCTTGACTGGCATTCAAGGACAGTAGAAAGAGTGACAGATTGCTGATAATTGTGGACGTTGATGTAGGTATAGTATGACGTCCTGGCGGAGCCATGTGACCCTATCTATTCGGTACCTTGATATGGGGTATGAGGACAGACTAAATAAGTATACCTTAATATATATGTATTAGAATTATGTATTAGAATAAAAACCCCAGAGAGCCTTTCTAGCTTATTTAAGTAGTGTTAATTTGCCAGTTATTCACTACCTCCACCAATTGAGATGGGCGCGTATGACAAGTCTTTGCAAGTTACATAGCACACAGTATATCGAAATGTTAACAACAGAGAATAAATTAAGAAATAGACATAGTGCCCGAGTGGTTAAGGGGATAGACTTGAATTAATCTCTGTGAGAATTTGATATCTATTAGCTTCGGCTTCGCATGTTCGAATCATGTCTATGTCGTTTCGTCTTCTTCTTCTATTTTTTATATAACTAATATATGGTTATGAGTGACTATTGAATTATAGTTCATTTCTATCCAAGTTGTTTTGAATACCTGGTGGCCATTGTCCTCAATCAATATACGCGCCACCCACAAGTATTTCATCTCAGGAAATATATTTAGGCAGTTGTTATTGACACGACATGATTCACTATTCACACCACATCCTCCTTACCGCCTTCCTATACTATCTCGCTGCCATGATATCTTCCTCAAGCACCATTTCAATTAGGGTATCTAGGTGGCTCGGGGTTGGGGTATTAGGTAGAATTAGAGTACTTCGTAGGTTATGGAGGTTTTTTTTTTCTTTCATATGAGGGTGAGGGTTAGAGGTAAATAGAGTATATTCACTAACGTCATGCTGCCATAGTTGAACTAGTTTAACCTAAAGGGGGTTAGTATGTGGTGTAAATAACAAACCATGTCGTGTCAATAACAACCACCAAAATCTATTAATGTTGGTTGAAGGTGTAAGAATTGCCTTGGTCATTTAATTGTCTCTTTATCATAGACACCTTCCAGTATGTCTACAATCGAGTTCACCTTGTGGGGGGATAGGTCGCTATTTGATGATGTTGGATAACTACATCACCACTATTGACATGGAATGTGAGATGAGCACCTGGGTCATCATGTTGTGCCTTTCTGGCCTAGGTTTGAGGATGCTTTGATCCGGCTGGTTTATGTTCTGCCTTGAAAATAGCGCCGGTAACAGACTTTTCAAGATATAGATAGATCTTGTAAATTTTGTGGAAGATAAATGGTGAACTGATTTTCGTTCATAAGCTCAGTTGCTGTCTTTAGTTCACTTGATATGACGTCGATTTCAAAGACACCGTTTGGGCCATTCAGGGAGATGTCAGTAGACTCGTCGATTTCATTAGAATTGAATTCCCGGGAAACTTGACCAAGGCCATTTCAACTTGTAAAGATCAACCTCGAAGTCATCTATCTCATGCTGCTGTGTCAACAGTTCTGGGTCAGGCTTCAGATCGAGGGCTTTGGCAGTGGGTGCTATTTGAACTGTGTCTTTCACTGTAAACCGTTTTTGGTTCAGTTCAGTCAACAGGCTGTTTTCTTGCAGGTCGAACAAGTCAGCCCTGAGATAGTTGTACATAGTTGTACTAGTCGACGATCCTCGAAACGTGGTCGGGGCCTCCACCTTCTCACGTGATGACGTGTCGGCACCTCATCTACTGCCGTTCTTGAAGACGGTGAAGACAACCTCACCATTCGCATTCTTGCCGCATTCTGTTAGTTTATGCCGGACCACAGATAGATATAGTCACTACCAACAGTTGGATCGGATCCCCCATTTCTCAAACCTCGTACTCGGCCGCTGAAAGCTGGTCCCTCTCACAGCTTCCCCGCAATCGCGTCCTCGCCGAACGATGCCCGATTTCACTTTGTTATCGTATGGTCAACGCCGTCTCACTCGTTAGAAATACGCACGATTCTGTATACATAACAGTTCTAAAACCCTGGGAACCCGTGGGCCCTGCCCAGGTGGGCTACCGAGGCCATGGAGGCCGATTGGGATGAGTTGTTGCGCATCCCGGTGCCTGCGCCCAACTCACACTCCCTGCCAACAATCGGGACGACCGTTGCATTCGATGATGTGATGGAACTGCTATGGGTAGGAAACGAATTTGTGAGTTCGGAGATCGATCCACCGCTGCAAAAATATAGGGGAAAAACAAAATTCGGAATGCTAATTGGCGATTGGTATGATTTGTGTTTAGGGCCGGATTACGTCTTTCTACGGACCCGAATTGCAACGGTATACCTCTGTCCGGGCACATCCTGCTTCTGAGGGGGCTGTACGACAGATTATATTTCATGAACGAGGGGTGATCTCGTTGTCTTCGAAGAGCGTGCATATGATAACTCGACGGGGTTTGACGCAATGGCACATCGCGCATGAGGAAATGACGGATCTCCGCTGCATGAGTTTCACCGCACAACTTAATCGGATTATTGTTGCGGGATGCCAGAGGGCGATGTTCACGATTGATATTGACAAGGGGACAATAGTCGATAAGCTGCCGACGGAGTTCAACTATACTTTAATGAAGAAGAGCCGGTACCTGTGTGGTGCGACGGACACTGGGTCGGTTAATGCGCTGAGCTTGTTGGATTTCCGCGTCGTCAAAAGTTTCAAGGCACACGGAACGGCGATTAATGATATGGATGCCCAGAATGATCTTTTGGTTACCTGTGGATTCTCGGCCAGGCACTTGGGATCTCCAATTGTGGACCCGTTGGCCAATGTGTACGATCTGAAGACACTCTCGCCGTTACCTCCTATACCTTTCCATGCTGGTGCCGCATATGTGCGCATGCACCCTAAGCTGCATACGACTAGTTTTGTGGCGTCCCAGACCGGGCAACTTCAAGTGGTGGACCTGATGAACCCGAATGCGATCAATCTTCGCCAGGCCAATGTTTCTTTCATGCTTGGGATTGACATCTCGCCATCGGGAGAAGCCTTGGCAATTAACGATGCTGAGTGCTCTATCCATCTCTGGGGATCACCTGCAAAAGTCCATTTCAACGAAATGAGCAAAGAGACCGAGTTTGCAGATGTCACACCGCGAGCCCCTCCCCTGGATTGGTCCCTCGACACACCGTTGAATATGATCGGTATGCCGTATTACCATGATCGCCTTTTATCCGCATGGCCAAGTCACCTCGTCTTTGAGATTGGCAGTCCACCAGCCCCCATTGACCCAGCCCTTATTCCTTATCTTCGTGTCGCTGAGATGGGACACTATGCACCGAATCCGAAGAAAACTAAACGATACCAAATTGAAAATACCCGGGCACTATCCACAGCAGAACCGGCTCTTATCGCACCCAAGTTTTTGAGTGAGAAGGCGCGGGATCAGAGCAAGGCAATATCTGACGGCTCTGTTGGTGATACGGCTGACGCACTTGCTGGGACAAAGCTCAATGGAGAAGCTGAAGATGACCCTCTTCTCAAATACAGCAATGTCGAAATCAAGTATAGCAGATTTGGTGTGGATGATTTCGACTTTAGGTATGATTGCATTACGCCCTAACCTTTTGCTGAACGGATTTGCTCATATTATGAAACAGATTCTATAACCAGACAGCATTCTCTGGCCTAGAGACGCATATTGCAAACTCCTTCACCAACTCTCTTCTTCAACTACTCAAATTTATCCCATTCGTGCGAAACTTGGCACTCCAGCATGCTGCAGGTCCTTGTATCTTCGAGAATTGCCTTCTCTGTGAACTGGGTTATCTTTTCGATATGCTCGACAAGGCCAATGGCCAAAATTGCCAGGCTACAAACTTGTTGAAAACTTTCAGCAGCTTCCGTGAAGCTTCAAATCTGGGCCTTTTTGAAGAGAATCTGACTACTAAATCACTGTCTAGCGCCATTCAAGCCGTCAACAGGTTTTTCATGGGCCAGATTGCCCACGATTTCCGCGTGATCTTGCCAGGCTCGGACGATCTCGAACAGCGATTAGCAACCATTGCTTCTGAGTCTATTCGGTGCATATTCTGCCAGAATGAGATTGTCAGACCTGGGAATTCGCTTGTCAATGAACTAATCTACCCCGCCATTGACATAAAACAAGCCCGAAGAAACCCAGCTTTCCGATTCTCGAGTATTCTGAGAGCAAGTATTGAGCGAGAGACCCAAAACAGAGGCTGGTGTAATTACTGCCGCCGCTACCAGCAAGTGGCAATCAGGAAGACGATACACCGTATGCCTCTCGTCTTGATGCTTAATGCGGCGCTGAGCAACCCACTTTGCCGAAGACTTTGGACGATACCTGGCTGGCTTCCTGAACAAGTTGGAGTTCTTGTCGATGGTGCTCAAGTTCTGTGTTTTGAAGGAGAGGAGCTTAATCTACGGATTCAAAGTAACACGCCAGGCCTCATTGTTTATGAATTGGTTGGTCTGGTTTCGGAAATCGACATCCCTGAGCACCAGAAGCCGCATCTGGTGTCGTTTATCAATGTCTCTATCTCTGCTCGTGAGCCGGAAGCTAGAAATAGATGGCATCTTTTCAATGACTTCTTAGTCACAGAGGTGGACAAAGATGAAGCACTGAGATTTAGTCAGCCGTGGAAGATACCATGCGTGTTGGCGTATCAAGCGAAGGAAGGCCGCCATGGCGTTGACGACTCATGGAAGGATCTCCTTGATACCACGCTCTTGTTCCGCGAGTGGTCTCTAAAGTAAGTGATGGCGCGAGACTTGGTAATGGTACGTTACTAATTATGTGTTTACAGTGGTGCTCGTCCCATCGATTCATGTCATACCCTCACCGAAAAGGAAAAGCCAACCTGTGATACCCCCGTTGCTCTCGACACGGAATTTGTTGACCTCGAAAAGGCTGAGATCGATGTGAAAGCCGATGGCTCGCAGGAGATTGTTAGGCCCAATAAGAGTGGTCTTGCTCGAGTCTCTGTTCTTCGAGGCTCCGGAGAGGAAGAAGGGAAACCTTTCATCGATGATTACATTACCATTAAAGAGCCAATTGTGGACTATGTCACGCAATACTCTGGTATCAAGCCTGGTGACTTGGACGCGAGAACCAGTCCGCATAATCTAGTCCCACTCAAAGTTGCGTACAAGAAGCTTTGGCTTCTTCTCAATTTGGGGTGCATTTTCGTCGGACATGGCCTGGCCTCTGACTTTCGCAAGATTAACATCCAGGTTCCCAAGAGCCAAACCGTGGATACTCAGTATCTCTTTTTCTATCCCGGCAAGAGTCGGCGTTTGAGTCTTCGATATCTTGCCTGGGCTGTATTCAAGGAATACATCCAGGAAGAACCAGTCGACAACACACAAGGTCACGACTCCATTGAAGATGCGCGTATGGCCCTGCGTCTTTGGAAAAAGTTCCAGGAGTACGAAGACGCTGGTATTGTTGGTCAAATGCTGGAAGAGATTTTCCGTGAAGGATCCAAACTAGGATTCAGACCTCCTGCTCGGAACGGTACTGCAACGGTTCTTTCTCGGCCTGGAACCGCAGTGACGATGCAGAACTCCCCAAGCGGTCGTAATACCCCCAGCGCCCCTGAGCCAAGCGGAAATGGCCCTGCCAGTGCACCTACGACGCCTAGACAGGGCTTCAGACGCTCGATTGCGCTGACTCCAAGCAATGGCAGTTTCGCCGGGCCGGGAACGGGGGATTTCTTCAGTGGTAGTCCGCTCAGGTAGTTTATAAGTGATTTTTTTCGTTATGTGCATTGGGAATGATTGAACTTTTGATGACTTTCATGATAGTACGTACATGGCATGGTATGCGATGGAAGTCGCTTTTGATGATATATTGTACCTACCAGTCCTTCTTGAGCTGTCTGTAGCAGATTTGGGTTCGCTGCAGTTTACTCGAGTTATCTTGATAGAAATATGACTTCTCTACCTTCAATATCGTATGGCCTATCTAACGTGGCGGTATATAATGCTTGATAATAGTGACATGGATTCCCAGACGACAGCCGGAAGTGGAGAATGACGTGGTGAGCCCAAGTCGACCTCCACTCTCACAACAACCCAGATTCACCCCTCTTCCGCCCGCGCCTCTCTCCCCGCTGCCAGTGAAGGATTCTCCTGCTTCAACTTCCATTTACTCGAAGAGGAGGCCTACTGATATTTACTCGATTTTCTTTATTAATCTTTATAGGATTCTACCTAACTTAGCTGTGAACCCTGTGAACCTCTCCTCCGAACCCCACCGCTTACGATTCAGCGGCAATTGCAGCGACCATGTCGAGACATCGCATGAAAACTGTGAGCTACGACGACGATGACTACGAAGACGACGATGGTTACTTCTCTCCCGACCCGGAAGAGAAGGAACTCACCGAGCAATTTACCGCAGAGGTGCTTGGCCAGCTGCGTGCGGGGGAGCCTTCCGTGACAGCGACGCGAGAAGAGGTCCAGGAATCGTTGTGGCATTACTATAACGATGTGGAAAAAACCGTGAATTACCTGCGAAGTGAGTCGGATCTCTGATGTATATTTATTGGGGGAGGTGCTAATTGGGATTTTTTGCTTGGATTAGGCAAGAGGGAGAAAGAAATAAAAAAGCAGCAGAGTGCTGCGGCGGCGGCGAAGCCGAAAGGGAATACTGGTAAGCATAGTATATTTGATTTTTTTTTCTTTTGAAATGAAATGTCACGGATTATTCTTTGGTGGCTGGGCTCAGGTCACAAGCGCAACGAGGTGTGTATATTACGATAATGTCCTACCCTCCGTGATTGCTGCTTTATTCAAAACTGACTCCGCTCTGGAAGCTCGGAAATGTTCTAACAGGGTTTCTTCAGTGCCGGCGTATCCCATTCCTCCATCGGCGATGCCATCGCAGACTGCGCATTTCTCGGCGGCTGAGTTCTTTCGTGATTCTCCGTGGCTTAACGTGCCTGAACACCGGAAGGCCGATATCCTTGTTGAACCTCTTTATCCTCGACTTGGTCTGTTGGGTGGAGCCCCTGAAGCTGGAGGGAAGATGTCTAAATTGGCTGCTTTGGCCGCTGCGCGGAAGAAGAAAGAGGAAGAGAAAGCTTCAGCTGCAGTGCCAGCCACACCCGCCGGGAAGGTCGATCAGGTTGACCAGCCGCCGACTGAGCAAAAGGGGAGCACATTGTCGCTACGTGAAAGGCTGGCTAGCAATGGGAAAGCACAGAAGCCCGGGGAGGCTGCACCGTCTCCTCGTGGTCATGGTAAAAGTACTCGACTTGGGGCGCCGCTCCAGAAGAAGCCATCGCCCGAACCAAGCAAGCCCTTGGCCAAGGCCGAACCGGAAAAAGAAGTTGCCAAAAAGGAAAAGGAACCTGAAGAGCCAAAAGCCAACATCCGTGCACCGCCATCTACATTTGCTAGTATCATTGTCGGCGATGCCACACGACCGATGACTGAGCCTAGCCACCTGCGATCTAATACCGTGGAGTTAATGCAAATCTATGGACAAGACCTTACTGAACCTTTTGACTTTGCAGGCCCGAGTCCAGACGATGTTGTCATCAATGCGCAAAGCTCAGCTAAAGGTTTGGCTATTCGGAGAAAGATGTAAAACTTCCGCCTAATGAACTGCAGGCTTCAAGTCGAAACAGCCTGCTTCAAAATCAGCAGGTACTAAAAAGAACCAGGCTGATCTGGCTGGTGGCATGAATAATCTGAGCGTTGAGGAGAAGGTGAATGTCAAGAGCAAGAACCTTGATGTTCTGTCTGAATACGAGAAGTCGACACGGAAAAATGCCGCAAATTTCGTGGTTATTGGTTAGTCTTGTTCGTTTCATGACGAGGAGTGTCGTGCTGATAAAACCAAGGCCATGTTGATGCAGGAAAGAGTACACTCATGGGGCGCTTACTGGCAGACTTGAAGGCCATTGATCAGCGCACGCTGGATAAGTATCGTCGGGAAGCGGAGAAGATTGGAAAGGGATCATTTGCTCTTGCTTGGGTGTTGGATCAGGGCTCTGAGGAGAGGGCTCGCGGTGTCACTATTGATATTGCGACCAACAAGTTTGAGACGGAAAAGACTGCTTTCACCATCGTCGACGCTCCTGGACATAGGGATTTTGTGCCTAATATGATTGCAGGAGCTAGTCAGGCGGATTTTGCGGTTCTAGTTATCGACTCAGGCGTTGGAAACTTTGAGTCTGGTTTGAAGGGCCAGACTAAGGAGCACGCTTTGTTGGTGCGAAGCATGGGTGTTCAAAAGATTATTGTGGCCGTGAATAAGATGGACTCGGTGCAGTGGGATAAAGAAAGATTCGATGAGATCGAACAGCAAGTTTCATCTTTTTTGATAGCTGCTGGATTCCAAGAGAAGAACATCTCATTCATCCCCTGCTCGGGCATCCGTGGAGACAACATCACCAGACGAAGTGAAGATCCTAATGTTTCATGGTACACGGGTCGTACCCTGATTGAGGAGCTGGAGACATCCGAACGTTACACCTACGCGCTTAACAAGCCGTTGCGGATGACGATAGCGGACGTTTTCCGGGGAAGTGTGCAGAACCCTCTGTCAATTTCTGGTCGGATAGATGCCGGCAGTCTGCAGGTTGGAGATCAAATACTCACGATGCCTAGTGGAGAGAAGGCGACTATTCGAAGCCTGGAAGTGGACGGGGAACCGAGCGATTGGGCCGTGGCAGGGCAAAACGTGGTCCTCAATCTTGCCAACATCGATCCCATTCACCTTCGATCAGGCGACGTGATCTGCCGTGCCTCAGCTCCCATCCAGAATGTCACCTCATTCACCACCAAGGTGCTTGCGTTTGACCACCTGATGCCTGGAATGGTCGACATTCACCGAGGTCGTCTCCATGTTCCTGGACGGATAAACAAGCTAGTAGCCACGCTGGACAAGGGATCTGGTGCAACCATTAAGAAGAAGCCCAAGATTGTCGGACCTGGGGTAGTGGCACGAATTGTGGTCGAGATGGATCACGCCGTGCCTCTCGAGGCGCCTACGAGGATCGTTCTCCGCGCTGGTGGTGACACTGTCGCAGCCGGGTTACTGGAATAGAAGATCTTCCATACGATTCCATGTTACAGTTTAGAAATATAGAAATATTACTACATCTTACTTCCAAACTCAGCCTTGTACAATGCGGAGATACAATCCACAGATCAACAATCATAATCAGCACTGAAATGCTATTTTCGTAGAAATGGCCCGTGCATGAGCATAGCCTTGAAGCCTTAAGCCAGCCGATCCTAACACCTAAACAACTTCTGCTCCATAGTAGTATGACTCGGAACCCTCCATAGCCACGGTGTGAAGATGATACGTGGACAGAACTGCACGGAAGATGCCTGATCAGGCAAGAACGTACCTGACGGTCCATGCCGAACAGAGGAAGGATCGGTCCTCACAAGCCACAAAGGGCAGTGCCCCCTGGTCGGCTTGTCCTGTTCTAGCAAGTTCGATGGGGCCCTCTGCGCCTCCATTGGTGTGTTTGGCCCCACCTGCTATACCCATTTGGACGAACGCCTCGGAGGGATTGGCGGCAAAATGCAGGCGGTGAATGCGATGGCTGAATCAGCGCCTGCCCTCCCCAGCGGCCGCCAGCCAATCAGCGCGCGAGAAGTAACCTTATATGCAGCACCCGCGAAAAGGCCAGCATGGCCGCTGCGCTTTCTTCGCCGCCTCGCGAGCGATACAAGAAGCTGGCCGCGACTTTCTCGGACATTCTTCTTCCTCTTCTCTTCCAACCCTCTCTTTTCTCGCCCAGCTTTTATTCGCCTTTCCCCCCTTTCTCTTTCTTCCATTGTCTTTGTCTTCCTTTTCTTTTGGAAGCCAATTTGGGAGTAGGGGTTTTTTTCCTTCCAAGACTACTCGTGTTTGTTTTCTTTGAGTGTCTGGTGAAAGGTCGATTTTTACATACATAATTCACATAATGGCGCGACTGGCGAGTCGCAGCGGCGAGTCCAAGCCATTCGCTGCTTGGTCCACCGTCCTCTACCTTCTTCTTGTCTTCATTGCGCCTTTGGCGTTTTTCGGAACCGCAAACGCTTCTTCTGACTCTGTCCAGGAGGACTATGGAACTGTCGTCGGTATTGACTTGGGTACTACCTACTCTTGTGTCGGTGTGATGCAGAATGGAAAGGTCGAGATTCTCGTCAACGACCAAGGAAACCGTATTACCCCTTCATACGTGGCCTTTACCGATGAGGAGCGCCTGGTCGGTGACGCTGCTAAGAACCAATACGCCTCTAACCCTACCCGTACCATCTTTGACATCAAGTGAGTGGTTACCTGTATTGCAATTGACATGAGTATGTACTAACAGAATCGTTTCTTAGGCGATTGATCGGTCGCAAGTTCGATGACAAGGATGTTCAGCGGGACGCCAAGCTGTTCCCCTTCAAGCTCGTCCAGAAGGATGGCAAGCCCGTCGTCAAGGTCGATGTTAACAAGACCCCCAAGACCATGACCCCCGAGGAGGTTTCCGCCATGGTCCTGGGCAAGATGAAGGAGATCGCCGAGGGTTACCTCAACAAGAAGGTTACCCACGCCGTTGTTACCGTCCCCGCCTACTTCAACGACGCCCAGAGACAGGCCACCAAGGATGCCGGTACTATTGCCGGTCTCACCGTTCTCCGTGTTGTCAACGAGCCCACCGCCGCCGCTATCGCCTACGGTCTGGACAAGACCGGTGACGAGCGCCAGGTCATTGTTTACGATCTTGGTGGTGGTACTTTCGATGTCTCCCTTCTGTCGATCGACAACGGTGTCTTTGAGGTCCTGGCTACTGCTGGTGACACTCACCTTGGTGGTGAGGACTTTGACCACCGTATCATGGACTACTTCGTCAAGCAGTACAACAAGAAGAACGATGTCGACATCCGCAAGGACCTCAAGTCGATGGGTAAGCTCAAGCGTGAGGTTGAGAAGGCCAAGCGTACTCTGTCTTCCCAGATGTCCACCCGCATTGAAATCGAAGCCTTCCACAACGGCAACGACTTCTCCGAGACTCTCACTCGCGCCAAGTTCGAGGAGCTCAACATGGATCTCTTCAAGAGAACCCTCAAGCCCGTTGAGCAGGTGCTCAAGGATGCTAAGGTCAAGAAGGCTGACATTGACGACATTGTCCTTGTCGGTGGTTCTACTCGTATTCCCAAGGTCCAGGCCCTCCTCGAGGAGTTCTTCAACGGAAAGAAGGCCAGCAAGGGTATCAACCCCGACGAGGCTGTCGCTTTCGGTGCTGCTGTTCAGGGTGGTGTCCTTACCGGTGAAGAGAACACTGGTGACATTGTTCTCATGGATGTCAACCCTCTTACCCTCGGTATCGAGACCACTGGTGGTGTGATGACCAAGCTCATCCCCCGTAACACTGTCATCCCTACTCGCAAGTCTCAGACTTTCTCGACCGCCGCTGACAACCAGCCTACCGTCTTGATCCAAGTTTGTAAGTTCTCAAAAGAAACCATCCATATCAATCATGGAAATTCCAGCTGCTAACTATTTTCCAGTCGAGGGAGAGCGTACTATGACCAAGGACAACAACCTTCTCGGCAAGTTCGAGCTTACCGGCATTCCCCCCGCCCCCCGTGGCGTTCCCCAGATTGAGGTTTCTTTCGACCTGGACGCCAACGGTATCCTCAAGGTCGGCGCCAGTGACAAGGGTACTGGCAAGGCTGAGTCCATCACCATCACCAACGACAAGGGTCGTCTCACACCCGAGGAGATTGAGCGCATGGTTGCCGAGGCTGAGCAGTTCGCCGAGGAGGACAAGGCCATGAAGTCTAAGATCGAGTCTCGCAACGCCCTCGAGAACTACGCCTTCAGCTTGAAGAACCAGGTCAACGACGAGAACGGTCTCGGTGGCCAGATTGACGAGGATGACAAGCAGACCATTATCGATGCTGTCAAGGAGGTTACCGACTGGCTCGAGGACAACGCCGCCACTGCTACCACAGAGGACTTCGAGGAGCAGAAGGAGCAGCTGTCCAACGTCGCCTACCCCATCACTAGCAAGCTCTACGGCTCTGCACCCGGTGGTGACGAGGATGACGAGCCCGTCGGCCATGACGAATTGTAAAATTACTTAGAGGGATTTATGGAGTTTTTGTTTATTTTACCAACCATTCAGGCGTGATTTGTCCCACTATTCTCCATTACTAGTTGTATACATGGTTACTTTTTCCGGCCATTGTATGGGAGAACCAGGAAATAATAGCATGATACCTTGAACATGACTTGTCTTGCATGTAATCACTTTTACCAATGTAGCCAATATACAGAATGGTTTCAATGAACCACTAAACAGTATGCGGTGTCCGTAGATAGATGGTACAGTCGATAATATACAAAACTAGTTGGAACCCTGCTGGATAAAGTCCTGCACGACATCGACCACCACTTGGTGATCATGTTCCTGCTTGAGACCGCTCACGACGATGACACCCACCACACCATCGACACCCTTTACTCGAATCGGGAACGCGCCACCGTGGATAGCATAGTCGTCAGCATTAGCACCACCACTCGAACTGCGCAGCGCAAATTTCCTAACAAAAGCCGTCTCAACCTCCGCCGGCGCAGCACCGGTACTAACGAGCGTCTTATTCCGCATCAACCAACTCGACACACCCCACCGCAACACGACATTCCGCTTCCGCCGCACCCAGACATCATTATCCGGGACGGTGCCAGGCTCAGTGGCGCATTGAAAGACGACGTGGGGCTCTGCGCCACCCGTGAGCGCGATGGAGATGATGGCAGGTTTGCGCTGCTCGGAGGGGAGTGAGAGGATGCGGGATCGAAGGGCGAGACCGAGAGACCAGGCGGTTGTAGATGTGAAGGAGGGGAAGATGACGGAGGGGGAGGATTCTTGGGCGGCGAGGGCGCTGGGCTGGTTGTTGTTAGTTGAGAAACACATAAACATGAGTAGAAGGGGGGGTGGTTACATCGCTGCTTGTAGGACCGAGAGGGTTGTCCATTGTGATGGTATATTTGATAATGATTGAGTGAATTGGATTGAATTGAAATAGAACCTGGAGTTGATGATGGATTGCGGGGGCGGGACGAATTTATAATGACGTCCGGGAGACGCAGAGCCGGTGAGGGCGAGACGAAGAAGGTCGAAGCGACAGACGATGGAAAAGACATCTGGAACTGCTCCATCTTCATTTCCGGGTGGAGATCATTATTATTAGTATAGTATTACTATAACAATAATAATAGTTATAAGGAATTTAGTATTTATTCTATTGTTGGTGTTGTGCATGCAATGCATGGTTCCCCACTGTCCAGCCATTTAACCTGAAGTCTTTTATATTAGAAAATATAGCATGGATTCCATCAGCACTTTTTATACTTATTGTACTGTTCATCAAGATTATAGAGTAAATTTACAACACTACATAGTACCTTTTCTACTGTTTTTATGTATTCATTTGTGAATTAGACTAGAGTGATGCTTGACTCCACTATGAATCTTCAGCTGAATCTTCAGCTGAACGAGCTGAACGAGCTGAACCCCCACCCCGTGAATCGTGGCCTTATTCGTTATAGAGCAGAATTTGAGCTGATGTAATGCTGCCAATCGTTTATTTATTTATCCTGCCTTCTGCTCCTTTCTTTTCTCTTTTCCTCCCACTGACCCCAAATATCTGTAACGTCCAAAATGTCTGACATCGAAGTATGTACACCGCTTCCAAGCACTTGAAGTCTCTAACAAATATACTGCAGAGCTTCGACGGCGATGCTTTGACTTCGCAATGTGTCGCTTCTGATCTGAGAAAAAGTGGCCATGTGGTGATCAAGGGCCGCCCATGCAAAATTGTCGACATATCGACCTCGCGGACCGGTAAGCATGGACACACCAAGTCCCATGTAGTTGGGATCGATATCTTCACGGGCAAGAAATACGAGGATATCGTTGCTTCTAGCCAGTCTGTTGATGTCCCAATTGTCCACAGAAATGAATACTCACTGGTTTGTTTCATCCTCTGACGGTCATACAGCGACTATGTATACTGATCAGATTACCAGGACGGAGCCGAAGATGGCTATCTTGTATTGAAGGATGCGGATGGCAATAGCAAGACTGATGTCCCTATGCCTGAACATGAATTAGGCAATGCTGTCTCGGACTATCTGGAGAGTGGCGATGCTTGTAGTATGTTATTTGAACCTCTTGTCCAGTGGGAAATGCTAACTGGTGATTTCCAGCAATTACTGTCGTCGGCGCTATGAATGAGCAGGCATGTGTCGGTATCAAGGATGCATAAACATGACTATTAGAATATTAAATAATTATATAAAAATAGAGTAACTTGAAATAGTAACAAGCTATAAAGTTGGGCAGAAGTACTCCGTATGTAGTGATCAGACACCGCCATCTTTCTCTCTTCTTCTTCCCCTCATCTCCATCTTTCTCTTTCCCCACTCGAAGCGGGGATTGACCTGCTATCCACCATCATACCTGACACCATTGCCCATCAGTTATCATCTTTCTTCCACCAGCTTCACATTATCCTAATAACATTGATTCATGCGCCCGCAACAACTCACCAAACGCGCTTGTGACGAGTGCATCTCCAGAAAGGTCAAATGCAGCGGTGCCTGGCCTTGCGATAGGTGTCAGAAGACAACCAGAAAGGGGAAATGCACATATCTCAAGCCGGCGCGGAGGAGGGGACCGAAGGTTCGTCGGTATCCTCTGGTTAGTGAGGATACACTGGAGGGTCAAGATCAGACAGTCCCTGCGAGAGCTAGTCCGACAACAATTGAGGACGTCCAGGAAGGCGTTGGCACGGAAAGGGAATACGATGCGACATCCAAAACATGGAGCCAAACTATAATTCCCCGGTCAATTCTGGCGTCTGCCGTCCGTCTGTACCAGGAGTACTCTTACAGTGTCTGGCCGGTGATCAAAGCAGAGGCTCTCCTGCAGAAACTCGAGAATGGCCACTACGAGGACAACACATACTGTCTTGCAACGGCACTTTCTGCGGCGACCATGGCACAGTTGCATCTGGCTCCATTGACAGAGGAACAATGGACGGTGGACAGCTCCGTGATGGCTGCAGAGTGTATTCGAATTCGGGAGCAGAGCAACTACCGAGAAAGCCTCGACGCGAGGTGCATCCTTGCATCCTTTTTTCTGCACGTATACCATGCAAAGATCAACCAGCGGAACTCAGCGATGATTTTTATACAAGAGGCTATCTCTGGCGCGAGGCTTTTGAGGCTGGATGTTGATGACCCGATGGAACAGGCATGGGCGTCGGATGTTTTTGAGAATCGCGAGATTCTGTTTCCTCTACTCTGGGTTTCTGAGAGGTAAGGATACGCAATTTATCATAGTTTCCCTGTCTTGTACAGGCATGATTAAGCGTGCTGACATGGACAAGGGGCTATTCCATGCATCTTGGCCTTGCACCGTCCTATACGATCCCTGTTCGACTGCCGGAAGTAGGGGTGATGCTTGAAAATGTCCATGTACAAGGGCTGCTGGAGTTGGTTCGTCTTTTCGTTGCATTTGACAGAATTTCAGTTCGACACGGAACCTGTTTGGATGCAGGTGTTTCACCAGTAGACCTGGCCGAGACCGAGGCGACACTCTCAGCACTCTATCTGGGTCAGGGGAATAGTGCATCTACTCGAATGGCAGATTATTACATTACGAGGGAATGGATGCGGACAATTGTCTGGCAAAAGGCTTTGTCTTTGCGTCTGCTATCATCGACGGCCTACACTGAGCTAATGACCTTTGACTTCCCAGCTCTTGTCAGTCGTGATCTTCTGCAATCACTACGAGGATTTTCAGAGTCGGATCTGCTACCTTTGGGCCGGGACCAGGTGAGTTCACGACCCTGGAATAGAATGCAGTGTTAATGGAAATAATAGTTGCTCAAGTGCTTCGAAGTCGCAAACTCCCTGGCAGATACTGTTTTATTTACCTCTGCGGCACTACGTCCCAACTTCCAGCTGGGGCCTTCGGACTTTTTGCATGCTTTATATCAGAAAATACTGCCTTTCCTGGAGCAAGACCCTATGTTGAAATCGATTCTCCGCGCAAAGACTGCAGAAGCTCTAGTAAAGGCCCCGGCGCGGCTACTGGGTATTGGATTTAGTGAAGAGGACGGAGAAAATGAAGTAATAACTGAACAGAATAGCTTGGTTTGTTTTATCGAAGAGGAGCTGCTGCAGGATATCCCATATCCAACAGAATCATATCAAGACAATCTAGACTCGCCAACATCGACTGGCTAGGACTGTCAGCAGCTACTCTGAAATCTGAAGCACAATCCGTCCGGCAACATCGCCCTTTTCCATTTCCTCATACGCCTGGGAGAGTTCTCTGAATGGCCGGACCTTGATCTCTGGTTTGACCACACCACGGCGAACCAGATCCACCGCTTCCATGCATTCCTTCAACGAGCCGACCAGGTTACCAGTGATACGAAGTCCCTTGATGACAATCGTACAGATTGGCGTCTCGAGGAATGGACGTCCGGGAGGAATTCCCACGCAGCTGAGGGTGCCACCGACCCGCAGCATCTCACACGCATGTGCAAAGGCTTTGGCACTTCCAGCAGTCACGACTACTGCTTGGGCACCGAGGCCAGTGATTTCGTGCACTCGCTGGACGGGATCAGTTTTGGTAAAGTCGATGAACTCTTGGGCGCCTAGTCCGAGGACAAAGTCTCGTTTATCGCCGGCGTCGACACCGATTACCAGTGCTCCTTGAGCTTTGGCATATTGGACTGTTATATTTAGCTTTTTTCTTACAGGCCCAGTTTATAGGGCCAGTTTAACCTACCTGCCAAGTGACCTAGACCACCTCCGGCACCGACTACGACGAGCCAATTTCCGGCTCTGGTGTTGGTATTCAGAACTGCCTTTTGATTGTCAGTAGGATAAAACGACAATGCGACAAGGCCTTACCTTGTATGCTGTCACTCCTGCACAAAGCACCGGTCCCATCACTTTGGGATCGACATCATCGGGAAGAATGGTCAGGTAATCAGCATCCAAAGCGATATACTCCTGGAAACTGCCATCTTCATGATGCAGATGATTGGTACTCTTGAGACAATACTGCTCCGTCCCAGCCAGACAGAATTCACATCGCCGACAGACACGGCTCGAGAACCGAATACCGACAAGACCTCCAACTTTAAGATCGGACCCGCATCCTGGACCCAAGGATACAATCCGACCAATACCTTCATGTCCGCCAACATGTGGGAGCTTAATATTCGTAATAGGAGTTCCGTCCGCACCAGCAGCTGTACCGTTCTTTGTATGAAGGTCTACTTCGTGAGACGGGTTCACTATAGATGGTAACTGGGGTACCTACCACTCTGGCAGACCCCTGTGTAGAGGACCTTTGCTAGGACCTCATTCTGGCCGGGGGTGGGAACGGGGTACCCTTCGCGAAACTCAACATTGCCACCAAGGCTGGAAACGAGAGCCACGGTTTGGGTTTTGGGGATTTGGACGACAGTCATATTGCTTGAGAAGTTGATTTTTAATTTTGATTTTGAGTCTTGGGATTCAGGCGGGTATATATAGACCAGTTGAAGGGAATTTCATGATGGTGATCTGCATGCTTTGTGATAATTCTCCATCGTGTATATGATGAGAGCATGCTTGGAGTATTAGACTTGATCTCGTTGGTTCATGACCAGTGCAGTGCATTTCTCCGAGGTGAGACAGCATTTAGGAATAAAGTGTAATGAATCGAAGAAAGGCCATTGTTATCCCGACTGCAGGTTCCCCGCATCCACCAGATGATCGTCTTTTCTCGAGAGCTATTCTCCGAGCCATTTCTCCGTCTTTCTGTCACCATTAGCTGATGTAATTATTCTAATGTTATCTAGAGTAAGAATGATCTATTACAACCACGCCCAGATTGAATTAAATCCTATTTATCAAAAGGATGCATTCTCCCCCGCCCATAATGTGGCGGAAGGCTTTAAAGTTTACACAGGTGCGGATAAAACATATCCAACAATGATCGGCTGATGTGTCTTACAAGTGCTCTATTGTTGTATAGTTCTGAAGGTCAGATGAGATATCTGCTTTCGATCAGGCCTAGACACTGGCCTATATAAATGTGATGTCATTTTAAGTTTAACTCTCAACTCCCAAAGGAGAAAAAAGGCATGAAACAAACTATTATTAACATTAAGCATAAAAGTTTATCATTATAGACTCGGAGATCTAGACCCGTTGACCAGACGGACTGTCTTTTGCTCTAGGCCGTGACACTTACTTGGAGCATATTCCAGGAGACGATCAGAATAGGTATTTAAATGCTAGGCCCTCCCGAACGAATGGTAGAATTCATCCACTACAACTACCTACTACCCAAGTCTATATCCCAAGTCTATACTATATACTTTCCTCTCAACATGAAGGCCGTCTCCCTCTTCGCCGTCCTCATGCCCATCTTCCCAATGGCGCTTGGAGCCCCGTCATGCGATCTGACCGGCGTCAATGGGTGCCACAACCCCTACAATAACTGCATCCAGAAATGTTATTGCGAGTATAATAATTGCTGGGCAACAACGCCCGGTAACACGTGTTACGAAAAGCTCAATCAATGTGTCCAGCCTTGCTGGGAACGCTACAATGATTGCTGGCAGAAGCTGATTGACAGGCATTGACGGCTGCAACGTTTACGCCGGTGGTTTGGATTTGAATGGAAGGTCTATCTTTGAAGGTTGACTGCTTGGATTATCTGTGTTATGTCTTTTAGTCAATTGTTTAATAACATATTCGTCCATCTCTGTTCTGCCTATTCGTAAAATACAGACATACTAAGGCTCCAGATTGTCTAGGTCGTCTTGTTGCATGGATATACCGCTATCTAGACCACAAAGGATACAGTGGAGGAATCGGCGTGGTATCGGGTCCTCCAACCAAAAAAACGGTGGAACAAGTTCACATTCAACCCCATCCAGCGATATTGGACTCGGGGTCGTCGGTCTTCTCTGGAGCTCAGCCCAGGGGTCTTCATGGTCGGCAGGCAGGGGTAGGGTCGTCTCGGCAGCCCAGTCCCTTAACGGATCGCAAGGCAGGTACCCGTCGTATGACTTCGGATTGTTGTCGTTTTCCTCCTGCAAAGCTTTGGCCTGCTTGTTGACGGGTCCCTTCGGGTTCAGCTTGTGCTTGGGTGCTTTGCGCTTTTGACCTCTTCTGTTGGCCATCTGGAGGGTGGTTCGAAGCATTAGTGGTTGGAGCTTTGTTTATCTGGGGCATCAGGAGAGTCAACTGTACCGTGTAAGGAGGTTTTTTATGATTTAGAAAGGTACTGAATGGCTCGAACGTGCTTGGATCGTTTTTCAACTGGGTATTGGAGAGTGGAAAACAAGGGGAGATTTTTTCGAAAAGCAGGAAAAGGTAAAGGGGAGGAGGATGGGCAAAGGCTTTGTGGGATTATCGAAAAATAGTCACTCGTAAAATACAGACATACGAAGCCATACCGCGTAGAGGGCTTTAGGTTGGCTGTGCAGCGTACGATAGAAACACAGCAAATCAGCGAATAGCAGCCCTGCACAGAAAGTCATCAAGATAGCCCAGGTAGACGATAGAAAATATCAGCCTGGTAGAGATCCGCATCCTCATTTACAAGCTAATCATGACCTCAAACGAACTGATAGATATTGAGCCACGATATGAAACCTCCAACACGCAGGTCAAGGAAACGGCTTATTTTATTTTGAAATCATAACATGATGCATAGTCAAAAATATACACAACAGACCAGATCATAACGCCTCTCCGAATTACTAGCATTGACAAGGGAGTGTTGAATATCTTCCTATGCAACCAAGCAATACACCAGGAGGCGACGTCGTTGTTCTTCCGTGGCAATGTGTTTCATTTCTTCATTCAAGATGGCAAAACAGACTGGCAGATATTATACAGTTGGCTTGTGACGATTGGACCATCAAACCAAGCCTTTCTGGCCAATATCAGGATTGACTTTATCGGCTCTGAGCGTCTGGGGCATGGGAGATCTGGGCCGAAGAGTCTTCGTGTACAACCTTCGTGGAACGTCCTATCTCACCTCTCCGGGGACGATACTTATAAGTGGACTGAGATGATTAGCCCGACAGTTGAAAAGATCTTCAAGCTGCTGAGCCCTCGTTTGAACAAATTGACCATTACCTTTGAGTTGTCACATGCGGCTTTGCCCCCAACTTCAAAAAGAAAAATACAGAAACGGAGGATCCAGACTCCTACCCATCTGGATATGAAAATGACAATGGATTCGATGTCATTAGCATCCCAAACATGGTGGAGAAATGTCGTGCTCTCCATGGAAAAGATATGATCGATGTGCAATGGGAGGGCACTGAGTGTTTATCAATGCTCTCTGAACGCAGGTTACAGCTTTGAAGAAGTGGATGGGAGATATCGCAGAAAAGCCTGACATGGACTTATACCCAGAGTCATATGGCCCGATTGTACGCCTGACATTGAAGAAAGATCTATACTACCCAGTTGAATAGTGTATACGGATGTTGATGGCACTTTTTTATACAGCTTTATTAAGGATAGGATAGGAATGACGCTGCTGCAAAGAGTGGAAGGATTCCTTTTCGTAACCGGGTGTGTATTCTGTTATCCAAGTAGATATAATATTCTATCATATTCTAGAATAGTAGTTAATTATTATTGATATCATTTTTTATTCAAGTAGTGTCATGCAATCAACTTTGGCTTCATAGAACGCAACTGATTGATGGAAATTCTCTGCCCAGAAAACGCCCAGCAATGGCTTTTCGAGCCGACTCCTCATTTCACCAACTCCGGCGGGATGAACTTGTTTATTTATAAACAAGTCAAGAAGATGAAGACTTAATCAGACCAGCCGACAAAATGCGTCTCCTCCACCTGCTCCCCCTCACCACCCTCTCCCTCGCCCTCCCAACAATCACCGACAAAACAATCTTCACCCCTCCATCCAACTACACCATCCCTCGCACTTTATACGCACGCAACCTCCAACTCCCCAACGGCGACCTCCTCATCACATGGGAGAACTATTCCCCCGAACCACCAGCCGTCTACTTCCCCATCCACCGCTCCACAGACCACGGCGCGACATGGACTGAAATCTCCCAAGTCCACGACACAGCCAATGGGTTGGGACTGCGCTACCAGCCGTTCCTGTACTATCTCACCGAGAAGATCGGGGATTTTTCAGCCGGGACGGTGTTGTTGGCGGGGAGTAGTATCCCGACTGACTTGTCTTCGACGCAGATTGATCTGTATGCGTCTGGAGATGAGGGCGTGAGTTGGGAGTTTGTGAGCCATATTGCGGCCGGGGGGAGGGCGGAACCGACGAATGGGTTGACGCCGGTTTGGGAGCCGTTTTTGATGGAGTAGTATGTTTTTTCCTGTCTTGGATTGGATGGGTGCTAATGTGATCCTCTGGTAGTGAGGGCAAGTTGATTTGCTATTATTCAGATCAGAGGGATAATGAAACTCACGGACAGACGATGGTGCATCGGACTTCGACGGATTTGAAGAATTGGGGGCCTGTTGTTGATGATATGTCTGTTTCCTTTCTCATTTATCTTTAATTTATTGACTACTGACAATCGCAGTGTCTACCCCACATATACAGATCGACCTGGCATGCCCACCGTGGCCAAGGTATGCTACGCCCAAGCCAAAACATGTATATATCCAAGCTAACAAGGCTAGCTCCCGGATAACACCTACATCATGACCTACGAATACGGCTCCTACTTCAACACATCCACCTACTCCTTTCCGCTGTACTATCGCATCTCTGCAGACCCCGAAGACTTTAACTCCGCGCCACACCAGCGTCTCATCGTTTCGAGTGGTGTAACGCCTACTTCATCACCGTATGTGACATGGTCACCATATGGAGGCGTGAACGGGACAATCATCGTGGGCAGCGGAACGCAGAGCTCAGTATTTGTGAACCATGCCTTAGGACAGGGCGAGTGGACGGAGATTGCAACACCAGAAGGGACGAGCTACACGCGGGCACTGAGAGTGTTGCAGGAAGACGATGGGAGGATGTTATTGCTGAATGGGGCTGGGGTGTTGCAGGGGACGAATAACCGCGTGACTGTTAGTTTGATGGATTTGGCGAGTGTTTTATAGGTGATTCCATTGATATGCACTGTGTATCCCATGCATCCACCAGAACTGCCTTCTTGTACGGTGTAGATATGTGTTTCAATGTCATTTGTAAGGCAGTGAGTAAAGTTCCGGTGTAGCTCAAAGGAGGATTCAGCAAATAGTCAGCAGCAGATCTTCAATACAGTGGAAGCCAGGGATGAGCCGCATGAACAGTACTGGCTATCTGGATTTGAACAAAGCAACAACAATGAAGTGGTAGTGCTATAATAATACCACTGTGGAAAATGTCTGCCTGCGTCTTGCTGGTCGATGGCCGACAATGCTGGCCGGGCCCTACTATCCTCCTGTCCTTGATGTCTATCCAATATGTATGTTCTGACCACGTCGAACAGGTCGGATTGCCGGTATCCTCCCTCACGGCGATTTCTTTGGTCGGGGGTCTTTACAGTCTATGGGCTGGCCCCTGCAATCGCACTTTCTGGGTAAGTATCTGAAAGATGGCGAGCTTACCTGCTGGAGTATGGCATTTATCAAAAGCGTCTTTATTCGAATCACCAGTTGGGATCGAGCAGTGCAAGGAGCCGTATGCAGAGTAAGTCTGTTGGATGACAGGGCCTGCATTCAACTGGCAATTCTTCGGGGCTTCCCAGCAGGTTGCATTCTTGCATTATATTGCCAAATGCCAGCGCCCGCATCAAGACCAATCTCTGACCCGTGGGGTTTACCAATGAATCACCGAACTTTCCTTTTGCTGTACGTGCGTTTTCTGCCGGTGATGCAGGCTGGGGTTGGACGACCAAATGGTGTGTCGCACAGAGAGAGGGAGAAAGAAACCAAAAAAAAAAAAAAAGATCATGGGTTTTCAGCTCCCCACGTCCTCGTCGACATGACCTCCGCTTTTGGAGGGGTTTTGTGGTGATTCCAAGCTGCATTCTTGATGCATGAAGATGGGGCGTGCGACGGGCCGGCTCGGACGGCTAAACCCCGTCCGGTGTCATTTGGTGCCGATCTATACCAGACGGGGCTGGCTTGCAGATTTGTAATACAATACGGAGATGTTTTCCCTGCATTACTAAGCTAACTACTACCACCACCTTACTATAGCTTCTTCATAACAAGATATTACCTACCGTCTATTCAATTAGAGCTTAGCTACTTATGTAAATATATAGCTATCATTATCGATAAGGCCTTTTCTGCATCCTATACTATCACATAGGTAGAACTTGTTCCTCGTAACCAAATTTCACGTCCCATCAATCTCATCCACGCAATACCCGCAGATCTTCAGCCCAACACTCAAATCATTCTTCTCCGGGCTGAAACTTGGTGGAAGCGATTCCCAGGGCGATCCATCGGCGTCTCGGATCAATTCCTGCAACTGGTCCTTGGTGTTGATGTAGAAGACGTGGATCTTTGCCAGGTCAGCCGATATTCCTAGATGACAAGGTTAACCATACTTCTTCATTCCGAGGACGCACTCTGGCAGAGCCGGAGAAGCTCGTAATGGGTGTTCCGTTCTTCGCGTCCGTGGCCACCGGAGTGGGCGTGAGGGTCGCCTTGTCGCCAACCACGATGACTTCACGGATGGCTCCAGACTCTTCTTGGAAATAAATGAGATGTTCTTCCCTCTGAGTCATAGTGAGTGAAAAGTCCGCGTCGGTGGCTATTTTTGTCATGATGTTTGTATGAGTGTGCAGAAAAGATGAAGATGCAAAAGGAGATGCTGATGATTTGGTCCAAGTCAGTCCATATGGCATTGGGTTTTTATAGCCGAACAGACCTGGACGACAGTACCATTCCACAAACACCAACATGGCGTAGCGGAAGAGAGACCGAGACTCGCAATGCCCATACAGAAAATATGGATCCATGGTGAGAACGAAAAGGAAGAGGGAGATCTGGTCTCATCACTGCAACAGTCTGACGCATCTGACCATCCATGGAGGTCTAGATGTGAGGTGTTTTTCCATTTCAGCAGATGACTGCTGAATGCGTCATATAAAAGACGACTTGAAGCGCTGGACTGGCGAGCTGAGAGGTCTCTTAATGCGTGGATGCTTCATGTTCGACCAGGGATCTTCCTTGCTGTATACAGCTGTCAGCCTGAGCATTGCCCGTTACGGTTGCACTCGACATGACAGGATGATACCTTACCGGAGTTTGCTGAGTTCAAGTTATACATTATCCATCGGAAGCATGTTGGATATAGTGGAAATAAATTTTACAAATCCATGGTACATATAGCATAGATTTTATGGTTTTCGCTGCTAATGTTCAATAATACGAAGTTTCCGAGATTTCCATAGGATAGAATCATATCTATGGGGTATTTCCACAAGAATAGAGTATATCTACAATGAGTAGAACTAGCATGAAATTACCATAGAATAGGAGAGGTATAGCTATCACAATTATTTAAAATTCCTACATACTCTGCCATAGGTTTCGAATCCAAAATAAAAAAAATATACTGAAATCCATGGCAATTCTATGGTGGATCTACCGTAAGGTACCTAGGTAGCTAGATTGTATGTGAAGACGTGGTTGTAAGAAACAGCAAGGCAGCTTTGCAGTTGTTTTTCACACCTTTCCCCTTGTAGAGACCCTCTTGTGGGCTCTGATTGACCCGGAGATGCAAGTCCCCTCGTCGTGCATCTCAAAGCAACGCAAACTCACAATTCTTTCCTGCTCGACCCTCGCTTCTGCAAGCCCCTCCATCCCCGTCTTCTTGTGGCTGGCTGATTCACCCCTACAAATGATCTTCAGCAGGAGAGTCCAGAGCCGTGTTCAGCTCGAAGACGTCAAGACGTGAAGACGTGATTCTGTACACTTCTTCACCTTGCTATGCAATCAGACTAAAAGGGACATTGTGACTTGGAATGATACCCATGATATCCATGTAAACGTCAGAATGCATACATGTGCATCGAAGTTGCCGTTTGCAATGAGGCCACCGAGTTGGAGACCGTCATCAAGCCGAGTGGTAAGTGTCTTTGCAGGCATGTTGAAGATATAAAAAGGCGGAGCCCATCGTCTCTCCTGGTGGACAGAACAAACAAAGTTACTGCCATTTCTTCTAATTCTTTCCTCTCATCAATATCTTGAGCTTTCCAATATGCCTCAAACCCTCGTCGAGTCCAACCTGTCTCTGGTCTATGTCAGTGATGGGTTGCACATCTTCTTCCAGGAAGACAAGGACAACTCTGGAAACTATGCCATCTACGAAAGTCACCTCCAGGATGGCAAATGGATTCGGTATCCAACCCCCATTGCCACCGACGCCGGTCGAGGAACCCCCATCGCCGCGTTCTCTGCCTTTTCCCGAACAGGCACGGGTTTGACAGTGAGATCCCCTCCCTATCGCTATCAAGATGGAACCCACTGACTATTGAAGATCCATGTCGTCTACCTTAGCAAGGACTATGACTTGAGGGAGGTGTACAGAGATGTGAAAGCAAGCTCGAACTGGACCGCTGGTAACCTCCAGACTTCGGGGGGATCCGATATCCCGCCAACGAGTGAGCGTGCTTTTGCTCCTCTGAGTCTGGCAGAGTTTTATCCTGTCGGTAAAGACGGTCAACCCCTGATTTCGCCTTCAAACCAGTGGATTATTTATCCAGTGTGAGTATTTCTGAGAAGAAGAAGATGATGATGATGATGATGACGATGATGCTGACAAAATACAGTGAGGAAGTTGGGCAAATCTGGACCCTCCACCGCAATGATCCCGGACCACACCAGTGGGAGCAAGGCAAAATCCCAGAAGGATGGGGCAAATCTCTTCCTGGCGCCAAGCTCTCAGCCTACCTTCAGCAAGCCGACATTCGATTCCTTGTCCAGGAACATAACGGGGATATCATCGAGTTCTCACGAGGCCCCCGGGATGATGATTGGGCGCGTATGTGTTTCTTTTAATTCTTAATTCCCTCTGTCGTTTTCCAAGGGTCTGGCTAACAGAAATAGACTCGACTTGGCTCGAGAATCCCAACGAAAGCAAGGTTCAAATTCTCACTCCAATTGCAACAGCAACCCAATGGGACACCGACCAGCATGTTTTCCTAGTCGGCAAGGAAACAATCCAAGAATACGTTGCAAAGCCGGGCCAAAGTGGCAACGATGCAAAGGTGTCCGACCTGGTCACCTTCTACGAAGGAACCAATATTGCCGCCTTCCAGAAGCCCGAATACATTGGTGATCCCGGATATATTGTGCTTGCCTACCGTTCCTTGGATGGTGCAATTGCCACCCATGTTTGGACTAAGAAGGAAGGCTGGAAGGCTGGCCCGGCTGTCACCGACAACTGAGTCACTGGTGTGGACTATTGTGATTATCAAAGGATCTCTGTGTATCACTGTCTGCCTCTCAAAGCGTTCTGAATACAGGCCAAGATTATCCAGTAGACGAGGTGGTATTTCAGTCCAGGATAGTGATGAATCGAAGTGCTCTTATATGATATAATGGATCGTAAAACATGTATTAAAAGAATAGATAAACCCCTGGATAGTAGGTACAAAGGGTGAACGGTTAGTCAAGTGTGTTTGTTTGATGAAATACTTTATAACCAGGTTCTTCAATAATAGTATTACATAGAATGATCTGTCCTTGCATCTACTAGAATCACCTGTAAGACCGAGAGTTTCTTACACACTGCCTCCTTCCGGGTCATGAGCCACGACCTCAATCTCCACACGCATATCATCCTCCCCAAGACGAGTAACACCAACACAAGTCCAAATCGGCTGGTGATCCGGCATGTACTTTTTAAAATTCCTCACCATAGCTGCCAACGCCTCGTTGTTGATTGGAACATGGTAGGAATTCACCCGGTAGACCTGCGACCAGCCTTTGCCTCCTGCGTCTTTCAGGCAGCGCTCAACATTGGAAAAGGCCAGGTCGATCTGGTTGTTGATTTCTTTTTCAAATTTCCCGGTTATAGGATCCCAGCCGCCTGAAATTTTAATTAGCTTGACATGTTTTTAGGTAGATTTGGGTGACTTACCCTGTCCTGCACATTCAATTCGGTCTCCAACGCGGACGGCCTGGCTGTAGCGGAAGGCCTGCTGTTGGCGGACTCCATGACCTTCGTATGCGTAGTATTGAAGGTGAGACATGTCGAATTGATATTAATAGATAGAATATAAAATATCGCTTAATGAAATAAAGAGTAGAAAGAAATTAGAATTCGTGGTTGATTTGACCTCTTAAGTAGCTGTCGCTGTCGCCACAAAGCGGAATTCATATTCCTATCAATGCCATTTATCTACCATCTATTTTACCCCACAGTACCAAACGTCAGTATTTATAATGCATATTTAAGTACATATGTATGCCCAGGTATTTTGGAATTGCCCAATTACTTACTTCGTTTGAGGAAAAAGAAACTCCAACAATGCCAACAGAACCAGTTCACAGCTTGGTAGCATCAGCATCCCGATCCAAATATACCACACAAGCCTGCCAGGAATGTCGACGACGAAGAGCCAAGGTAAAGCCTAACTCATAAAATAATTCTACTTGATTAGAATTGACTGAATGCTATAAAGTGTGATGGCAAGAAGCCATCGTGTGCACGATGTCTCAGCCGCGGAACTAAATGCCAGTTTACGCCAAGAGACGACAGCCGGGGCACGGCGCCAAAATCGCTGGTGATGCTGTTGCAGAATAGGATTGAGTTGTTGGAGAAGGTTTTAAGGCTGCATTCTATTGATGTTAATGCTTCGATTGCTCAGATCAGGGCTGGGGAGACTTCACCGGTGGGTGGTGGACCGACGGCCTCTTTGGCTTCTCAACAAGAGCAGCAGCAGCAGCCTACAGAACTTGATGGGGCTCTGTGCTTGGAGGGTACGCCTGACATAGATGGAGATGGGGAAATGCGTTATTTTGGCTCGAGCAGTGGGCGTGTCGAGCTCCTGCAATTGAACGGTACGTTGTGAAAAATCCTGAATTAGATACGACAAAAAATGGGTCTTCTGACTGCAGTGAATACAGGTGACAAACCGGCTACACCATCAAGCCCCTCCACTCGCATCCGCTTGAACCAGCTCTACCAAGAGCTCGACTCAGCACAGGCAACCCCAGCAGAACTGGAACAACACCTCGTCACCCTCTACTACGAATGGGAACAACCCTGGGCCCAGCTGGTTGACGAGAGTCTCTTCCGACACAGCCAGCGCACCAACGGGCGGTATTTCAGTCCACTCTTGCTCAACTGCATCCTTGCCATGGGATCTCGCTACTCCGATCGACCAGAAGTTCGTTCCTCCCCAGACGACCCTAATACAGCGGGCCAAACGTTCCTCGAGACTGCAGAGGTGCTCCTTCATTTCGATCTCAGGTCACCCAGTATCACAACCATCCAGTCGCTGGGCATAATGGCGATGATTTACGTGGTGAGTACAGCATTTAGGCTCATTTTGGCTATCCGTCTGTAAGCTAACTAGCATTGTTGAAAGGCAACAGGTTCTGACACTAAAGGCTGGCTCCGCCATGGTATGGCGATCCGCCTGGCATTAGATATGGGGTTTAATCTGGATTCTTCGATCCTGGATCAATCTTGTCAGTTACCAGACGTGGAGATCAAGCTTCGAAGACAGATATACTGGGCTCTATACTGCACTGATAAGCTCTGGGCGAGCTACACTGGCCGAATATGCACAATGCTGGTAGGTCTTCTTTCCTTTGTTGATGTGTAGGGCTAATCTGGCTTAGGAATCCCAGGCGTCGGTGGAACTCCCTCTATCATCTCCTGTAGATGTCGATGGAGCATTCGAGTCCGAGTCTGGGATGCTTTCGATGCTCCACCACGCCCTATCAACGCATTGTCAGATACTAGAGAAAATACTCACGAAACTGTCAGTTTTCAAAGCATCTTTTCGCTACCCAGGCCAGATCTTACTGACCAGCTTCATGCAGCTACGCACCAAAGAAATTGCCTCCTGGAGCCCAGAAACAAACCTTCCTCGACTCGTATCTCCTCGAGCTCAAAAGCTGGAAATATAATTTACCTGCCAACCTACAGATCAAACACCCAGGCAAAAGTAAAGTTCTAGCCCATATTTTCATCCTACATATGGTTTATCAAACATCTATCATTATTCTCGCCAAACCTTTTCTACCAAAAAGGTCCCCTAGACTGTCAACTGAGAGCCAGAGTCTCACAGAAGCGCCAACGGAAATAAAGGCATCGGCGCTGTGCATGGAGGCCGCAAAAGAAATATGCATTCTTGCTGAGCAGTATCGCAAAGCGTTTGGCAGTTTTCGGAGAAGCCCCATCACAGCCACGCACTGCACGCTGTTGGCAGTGCTACTGCTATCAGGCTCCTGTGGTTCCGAACATGGAAACAGCTCCAACGCTCGAATGAAGCTTATCGAATCTTGCTTGATTACTCTGAACGAACTCTCGGACTCGTGGACGCCCGCTCGACAATACTGGCGTGGTGTTTTGTGTCTTGTTGAGAATCGTCCACAAATGTCTGACCCAGTTGTTGGTACACATGTCTTGGAGGGACCAGCAGATACGAATGAAGCCCAGTTAGACCTATGGCATTCTATCATGGAGGCGGATTATCCTTTTGACGACCTAATGATCGATCTGCCGCATAATCTCGAGTTCCTTTTGTGAAACATAGACCGTCTTTTGAGAATGATCTTTGCTGTGGATAAAACTATCTACATACATACTACAAGCTTTCCCACAGTTTGGCAATCCACCATTCGCTGCATCTGCTCGGGGACATCTTCCAGTGCTATCCTGGTGATGCGTGGCTTGATTTGGCCAGTTCGTATGTATTCCACCACCTCCAGCGCCTCGCGATGGCTGCCCATGAGATTCCCTGTCAGGTGCAAACCTCGTTCGACGACAGATGAAAGCGGAAGTGAAATCATATTGAGTCCTTTGGGTACTCTGCGTATGGAAAGGAGAGAATTTAGTCTTAGATCTTTGACCTTTCACGAGGGAGGCATCTTACCCAGCACAGACAATGGATCCACCATCGCAGACGTACTCATCCAATCTCTGGAAGGAGGAAAACGAGCTGCTTGTCACCACAACTGCCTCCGCTGCACGAACAGCCCCGTGGTCACCGCGTAGTTGGGAGCAGGCCCTAAGCAGCATTGAGTGAAACCTGTTCCAAGCCGCGCCTTCATGGGTCTCGGGCGCCCCGAGAAAAATGTCACAGTACTCTTGATGATCCTGGGTTATGAGCCCGCTCACTTTTTCCTCGAGGTCAACACCGATTACGCTGGATCGCAGAACCTGCTTCGCTATCATCCCTGTCAGATGCCCAATGGCACCAGCACCACCAACGACGATCACTACATCCCCGGGGCTTAATCTGGCAGCCCTCAGAGACTTCAGCGCAGTCGATCCAGAACACAATGCAGTGGCGTACAGAGCAGGCTCAACACTGCCACACAGAATCCCGTACGGCAAAGGAACGAGACAGGAGATAGGAACCGTTGCATACTCCCGGAACGTACCGGGGATTTGCTTTGGTGTGTTGAGCTGGAAGGGACAGGATGTAGGCAGGTCACGCAGACAGTATGTGCAAAACCCACAGCTCGAGCCCAGATAGCGAATGCCGTAAAGACGACCGAGGAGGGATGGATCGTGCGCCTTGACGACGTGGCCAATGCCTTCGTGTCCGGCGATGTGATTGTATCTCGGATAGCCTGGATTGGGGCCTACAGAGAAAGATGCATCCTAGGAAAAGGAGGAGCAGTTAGTCCAGAACTAAGTTATATGATAGAGTCTACTCACACTCCGACAGATTCCCGTATACAAAATGCGAATGACGACCTCACCTGGAGTCGGTTCTTGTACAGGAATGGTCTGAATGGTCATATTGAGATCGTTCCCCATCTCAGGAGTGACGATGGCTCTCTGTGTTGAGGGTATTTCGGACATTTTCGATGATTGGTTGGTATCTATCAGGAAGAGATATTCGGTATCTATATGATGCTCTGATCGACATGGAGGTACTGTCGATAGGAACGCATATTCCTGCTAACTGGTAGATAGGAACGTGGATTCCTATCTATACTCCTATCCCGATAACGGTGAGAATCGAATATCCCAACCCTTATCTCCATGCGTCTATCCGATACTATAAAGACATCCTATATTCTCTATGAGTCAATACTAATCACGATTCAAGTGTCAATATGGTATCACTCCGGCAATGCTTCATCTATGGCATGATATTTGCCTCTGGTAAGTCCTCATTCTAGACTAATAAACAGAAACTAACCTTAACTTCTTAGGAACCCTAATCGGATACGACTCTGGTTATCTTAATGGTGTTCTTGGATCTGTCGACTTCCAGCGTCGCTATGGATATTATAGCGAAAGTGCCGGCTGGTCTCTAGCACCCAGCACTCGGTCTATCTTTACGTCTCTCCTTGTTGTCGGAACCCTGCTGGGTTCGGTCTCTGCCTCTTTTGCTGGTGAAATTGGTATTGTCTTTCTTTCAGTATACATAATTCTTGGACTGGGCTCATTGTGATTAGTTGGCCGCAAGGGTAGTTTGATATTTGCTGCTGGGATATATGCTGTGGGCGTGTCTCTCCAGGTCGCTGGTCCACCATTTGGAGTGTTCGTTCTGGGTCGTATTTTTCTTGGAATGGGACTTGGGCTTATTTCCGTTGTTGTATGTGAAGAAGATATCCCTTGTGTGAGTATTTACTGATATCGCCAGTCTCCTATGTACCTGGTAGAGAGCTCCAAGTCAACCACGAGAGGACCATTCATCGCTGTCTACACACAACTATTAACGAGTGGCAATGTTCTCGCGTGTGGCATCAGCCTTGCGACGAGGAATCTTGAGGGTGCTAATAGCTGGCGTATGTATTCTTCTATCTCTTCGCCGTCTGGCTCTGACTGTCCCAGGCATCACTGTCGGTTTTCAACTTTTCCTCGCCCTCATCATCTTCGTCGGCGCAGTCATCGCACCTGAATCTCCGGTTCTCCTTATCAAAGCAAACCAACACAACAGGGCTCGACAGTCCCTTGCCGCCCTTCGCCATCTCGATATCGACTCAGACGAAATAACAGAATCCATCAATGAAATAACCCACTGGATCCAAGAACAGTCATCCACCGGCAAAGTCCACCTGGCAGAGTGTTTCCAAGGCCCCAATCTCCGCCGCCAACTACTAGGCCTCTGCATGGGCTTTTTCACAATCTCTACCGGCGTCACATTCTGGTTCGGCTACGGGACGACCTTCTTCGAGGCAGCCGGCGTGAAGGATTCGTATCTGATTTCTTTGATCCTGGCGCTTGTGAACGCTGTTTTCACTGCACCTTCCCCGTATTTCGTTGAACGGTTCGGTCGTCGCGTCTGTTTGCTCGCTGGGGGTGCGGTTATGGCGGTTGCCATGTTGGTTCCGGCTGTCGTGCACTCTGTGGCTGCGGATAGTCGGGCTGATCATAATGCTCTGGTGGCTGGGGCTGTGATTTTCATTGCGGCTTATGCTCCTTCGTGGGGGACTATTGGTATCTTCCTTTTTACTCATATAAAAAAGAGAACATCTCTAACAAATCCATCCCAGGCTGGGTCATCATGACAGAACCATACTCTCAACGCCTCCGTCTTCACCAGTCAACTATCACCATGGTCGTTTACTGGATCTCCACCTGGGCTATTGGCTTCGTGACTCCTTACATAGTCGATGCAACGGCAGGAAGTCTCGGCATCAATGTATGCTATATCTGGCTTGCTATGATAGCTCTATCGCTTGGATGGGCGTTTCTTTTTGTGCCTGAGCTTGCTGGGCTTTCTGTTGCTGAGGTAAGTCGCTCCTGCATAATCGTGAGCCAGGGTTGATTTTCTAATTTTTATATCAGACCGACATGCTTTTTGAAGCTGGTGTTCCAGCCTGGCGATCGGTTACGTGGAAGGCATCACTTTGTATTGATGGAGAGGATGCAGATGAAGGCTGTATGGATGTTGTGAATTATAAGAAAGATAGAGAATAAGTACCCGGCTTATGATGCACCAATCGAATGACAGACTCATCTATATATACAGATATGCACAGCTGATAGTAATAATCATGGTGAAATTGAACTGCTCGTAGATTCTATAAAGCAACAGAAGTGTATCTATCTTGCCAGAAACGCCAAAAACACAGAGAAACAGAAAAAGTATGTAGCCAAAAACAAGGAAATCCATTTCGTGCCACGGTCTTCAGCTGCAACTGTGCGGGAATCTGGATCTCCATGCTCACTGATTGAAGTTGGGGGTGAGCAACCTGAATCCTTGTCCCCTTCAATCTCAGTTGGGGAATGTGAATCTCCATCCTCATCGCTTGTGGATGAGGAATCTGAATAATCCCGCTCTTCGCCCAGAGCTGGGAAACTCGATTGAAAATTTTCCAGTTCCCCAAAAGCATAATCAAGAGTTTCCCTTTGAGAATCAGTTGACATGCGTATCGTGTATGTTTGTTGTGGAGTGTTTAGGACAAAACAATCATCTGAACGGTAACAACTCAGGTTCTCGTCCAGACTTCTCTCAAACCAGATTTGCAATAATGTTGTCCAGATGTTTCGATCGAGACTCGGCAATAACACATAGAAATCCTGACGACCTCTAAGGACTTTCTCTGCGTCACGTTCTGTACGCCCAACGGATTTGCTGTCCAACAGAGAAATGACTTGCTCTATTATTGCGGTCGGTAGACTGTGTTGGTTGCATAACGCTTTAGCTGAAGAATTATATATCGGGAATTCCTCCTTCAACAGCGGAATGAATAATTCCAGTATATCTTCTGGCAATTTTCGGTGTCGGCCTAGAGCGTTGATTGCCTCTTCCTGCACAAGGTTTCCCCCAACCGCCAAAGATGCCAGTGGCTTCAAAGCACAGTCAGGAAACTTTGTTTGATTCCCAATGATTCCAATTGCCCGAAACTGCAATGCATCTTCATTTGGAAGGGATAAAATGTTGAACAGTGCTTGGAGAGTCGGATTATCGAGGTTTGTCTGATTTTGCAAATAAGAAACAGCGCCATGTTTTTGTGATTGAGTTCCACTTTCTAGCTTGGAGAGCAGTGATTTTTCAATCTCATGTGGCAGTGAGGACTGTCTTTCTAGACAGCTACCTGCTTGACCTCCTAGCACATCGTCATCTAACATGGAGAACAGCTTTTCAGTAACAAATTCAGACGGGCCATGTTTACTCCAAGCTGACAATGCTACTCGTCTCACCCAATCGTTACTATCTTCCTCAATCATTTTATACAGATTCTCCAAGGCTTCTGGTGGTAGAGTTCGCTGTTTTCCCAGGGACTCAACAGCGTGTTCTCTTACTTCTTCATCTTCGTCCGTGAGAAGATCACCCAACGGCTTCAACACCTCCGGGCAATCATATATATATCCCAAAGCTTGAACCACTTTCCTTCTGACCTTCGAATCCCGATCGTCATGAAGATTTAGGATTTTATGAAAAACTGTCCTATCGACAAGTTGGTGTTCGGATAGCCCTCTAACAGCACATGCCCTAACATAAGGATTTTCATGTTCTAACAAGGGCATCATCTCGGCAACTATGTGTGCTGGCAGTGAGCGCTGATTGCACAGGATATCGGCCCCCAAATCCGGGATAGAATCCTCAGTGTCGTCAAATCCGGATATCAAAGAGCGGAGAATATCATCTGGCAATTCGGTTTCATTATGAAGACAAAAACGAATGACCTGTCTAGTTTCAGAGGTGTCTCTTGAGTTGAGGAACCCCACAACTGCCTCAGGCGAGACACTCCAATGCCGACCGAGAACATCCCCGATCAATCTTGGTACGTCCTCATCTGGTTCAGAGACCAACGCTGCCACTTGTTGGAAGAGGTTGAATGATATTTGTGTACGTCGAGAAATTGCATTCAGAGAGCACTTCTTCTGCAGAATAGTTCCTTTCTCTAGAACATCTTTCAAGATCGCCTCTGGGAACTCCATTTCATGAGCCAGTTGAAGACTAGAGTATGGTGATTTGCATTCAGTTAAGAATAAACGTAACAACCTCTCCTCTAAATCCTGTTTCATCTCTCCCAGGATACCATTGCTTTCTGATACCGATATTTCGCTGAAGCAATGCATAAGGATTCTCAGATGTGCAGGCCCAAGTAAATCTTTTGGATCGCTGTCCAGAGCCTGCATGAAATGAACTAAACTTCGTCTGTCCTGGTGGCAGAGCAACCCTGAGACGAATCGCCACATAATATCATAGCGCCCATTATATCTCTCCTGTAGTAAGAACTTTCCTGGTTCGAGAGAGCTGAGCTGGGCCGATTCCAGGGAAATGGACTGCAGTGGCTCTTGGTTTATCCAGCATCTTACAAAATAGCAAGCTGCAAAATACTCTTGGAATGTCAAATGGATGAAATAGTAGGTTCGATCCTCATCTTCTGACGCGGTACGCAGGAAGGAAAGCTCCTTAATCGTGTTATCGGTCTCGACAACCTTGCCTGGAAGTGTTTTGTACAATATCCTTCGGTCATTCAGGCGGAACTCGACTAGGTTGTTCACCAGACCATTGAACGCAAACTTTTCCAGCAGGTCCATTTCATCACGCATATGGTTTTCGATTGGTGCCCGATCCCAAAAGTCTTTTGCTTTATTGTCATCACATTTACCCAGTCGGACCATGTCCTTTCTCCATAGCTTCACTTCCATCGCCCGGTACAATGCAGTCATGGTGTTCACGTCTTCAGACAGGGGGTTCTCTTCCCAGGTGTAGCAGAGGGCATCAAGTTGAATTGGAATTTGAAGCAGCCCTGCGATCAGCCAGTGGCTTTTCAGGAATCCATGAATATCACTGGCAAGGTTCGGCTGCTCGGCATAGACATGGTTCACATACTCCTTTACTTGATCGGGGCGAAATCCCACTGTTTCAAGCTCGAGATCGAAGGTATTTAGGCTGTACGGATCAAGCGCATATGGTCGAGACGTGACAATCACATTGTCCCGGTTGAGAAGGGCCCTGAGCATGTTATTGCTGACCACCTCTCCTGCAATTTCATCGAAACCATCGAGCAGAAAAAGCGTCCTTGTCTTGGGCTGAACAATAGTTTGCCGCAAAGATGTGCTCAGAACGTCTTTGTCTTCATTCCTCGAGAGAAGCTCCTCAATCAGAAATTGCTCAGGGTTATCCTTTCCCTTTAGCTTCCGTAAAGGGATCCAAAGGACCCGGTCAACATTCCACGACGATAGCTTGCCGTGAATGAAATCGTGTACAATCTTTTTGCACAGAGTTGTTTTGCCGACTCCAGCTCGGCCCCGAATCAGAATTCGTTTCGGGATGCCTTTCCCATTCCGCAGCTCTCGCTCCTTATACAGATCCTGCAATTGAATGTCGCGACCTTCACTTGGAGCGTCGATCTGCAAACGCTCTCTCAGGCCCAAAACCTCAGGACTCCGCTCACGGTCTGCCGATTTTTCTATGAGACTGAGATTAATGTAACAATTCTCCATCTCCAACCTTTCATTTGACAGCCGGAGGATTTTAAGTAGGTCACCCTTCTCGTAATATTGAACGATTCCGGCATCCATGTACAGTCTGTGGGCTTCATTGCACTTTCCCCACGCGGCTTCAAGCAGTTTTCCAGTGCGATCGGTGGATTTGCCATGTTGGAATGGCCGCTGAAGCCCAGAGTTCTTGCTCTTCTCCTTCACCAGAAATCGCAAATATTTGTCCCGACGGCGATCTAAGGCTTGTACTTTCCATTGAGGGCATTTGAAGGTGTCGGAAATCAGATTGATCCAATCCTGGACGTGTTTATCCTTGGATCTGATGTCTTTTAGCGACTGCTGATGGAAGGTCCATTTAACGAACGCGATAATATGACTTTTTGCATTGTCATCTCCATCCATCCAGCGTTGTTCAAGTTGGTCATATAGCCCGCACCAGAATCGATAATCATCACAACATGGCAATTCCGGTATTACATCCTTAAGAAGCTCAAAGGATAAGGATAACTCGTGGCCTGCGATGAGCGGACCAGTAAAGCGAAGAACAGAGTACCAAGGACTTTGTTTTGGGAGCTGCTCAATGTCTTGAAGAAAGGCATTTTTCACGTCCATCGTGGTTTTTCCTATCGTCTCGAGCGATTCGAGCAATTTACCAAGATACCCTACTATCTCCAGTATATCCGGTACTGCACTCAGCGCTTTCCCCGGATCCATACTCGCAACGCTGCTGGCGATTTTCGCAGTCGCTGAAATGGCTGTGCCACTCGTCCGCAAGAACACGTCCATTGGGCCTTCGTTATTGGGGATACCATGAAGGGCTTCGTATGCATAAGTAGCTGCCTGGGCTATGCGTGCATCGTCATGTTTTCTCAACCCGCGGAGCGTATCGGAAAGTGGCTGATGGATTTTCTCTCGATCAATTCCTTCCAGGTGGATATCCATCGCTACATCCAGTACAGTGCTCAGGATGTATAAAAAGTAGTATTGATTCTGCAAATATGCATTGTCTATTGCATGGGCCAGCCCTTCACGCAACTCCCCAAGCGCCGAAGTCAGAAAGCGCTCTGAAGACCGATCGCGGTGCTGGCGAAGACAATGATCAAAAGCCGGCAGGAGATCTCGATCAAGGGCTTTTCCATGTTTTGAATGGTCACTAGCGACGTTGCTAAAGACTTTGATTAAATCTTCATATTGTGTGCTGTCGGTGATTTCTGATAGTCGTGACGCCTCGATGTAATAAGTCGGGTTTGGGTGATCGCGGAATTCCTCGACCATGCCTTTAACCAACGCATTCAAGGCTTCTTTTTCGCTGTCATGAGTTTCTGTATTTTTCACCTGCTCAATGAGATCGTTGACATTTTTAGGCCGTGACACGGAAAGCAAAAGCGGTGGTGCCATGATGTATAGCACCAACGCTGAAAGTCAATTCGAATAAACAGCGGGAAAAAGCGCGGGCAGAAGGGAAATATATGCCTGCTGCCACCACTAATGCAGGGTGAACTGGCTTTCCTCCAGTGGAGTTTTATTTCTGACGTGCTTCAAACTGCTTGGCTGAGAAAGATCCACTGGTTCTCTGTTGACGCCGTGCGCGTCAGAATGGGCATATTTCTTTTGTTGGCCGTGTGATAAGGCTTGGAACCTGCAGCGAGACTAACAAGGCTGCAATGGCTGGCTGTGCGGCGCGTAGTGGATGGCTGATTGACCTGGATCCCTCATGTTTTATTGGACATGGTATGGATCTCAATTGTTGTCGTTTCAAATTAGGATAGCGTTTCTCGAGTTCTCGTAAAATGCAGTTTTTTATGTAGGGATTCGAGTATTGTGTGGTAACATGGTCAGTGTCCGATCGACAAGAATTACTTCGAGGCTACAGGTGGATTTAATATCAGCATTATATACGTCAAATCATTAACCGATATCTATATTATATACAACCATATACAGCAATATAAACTCCATCACGCATCTATATTCTCCCTCGTATAAACCCTGGGAATTTCATCCAACTTGTGCTTCTGCTGGATCCTGCCAGCAGCAGCAGCCTCGATATCATCCATGCGCCGTGGATGCCGCCCACCACTACTCCCCATCTGATCACTAAGGAGTAATTCCTCCGTGCGCGTCTTTCGCCACCAGTATGTTCGCATACGGTCGAGGGCGGTTTTGAAGTCGTCTAGTATAACCGTGTCGCAGAGACATTTGAAGATGAACGATAACTGCCCATACTATCAGTATACGATTCGGACAGAGAGGAGAAGTGGTATATCTCACCTTCCAGAACGGTTCAATACCCGTTGGTAGAGCGGTACCGAAAACATTAAGAACGCTACACGTATCGACCACGATAAACGCAATTGAGAGACACATGGAAGCAAGCATGATTCCGAACCGCGGACTCACGGTGACAAGCTCAATAACGCCAAAGTTATACTGTCGTTTGATGGTATAGACAAGCGAGCAGGTCGTAAACACCCACCACGGATCACTATCGCATCTCATTAGCCCCCATCATTCAATAAAATATAAGAGTAAAAAACTAGACATACCGAAAAATAGGCTCCAACGGCCTCGTCGTCAAAAACATATCATTAATCCCATTATAGTAAGCGAAATTCGCATAAATCTCCAACACCCAATACGGCTGCACTAGAATGACGGTCCCGATATAAAACATCGACACCTTGCGCGATAGGAACGGGCGGTTCTTCATCCACGCAATCACATTATGCAGAGACCAGGAGATGTTCAGACCGATTGCCGTGACGGAGAGGTACCAGCCGTAAGCGGGGGATTTGGGGAAGATGAAGGTTCCGTGGGGCATGGCGAGGATGAGCTGTTGTCTTTGATTAGTGGATGGTTAATTGAGAAGGATGAGGGACGGGAAGAGGGTACCTCTGCGAAAATAACTTTGTGCAGGAGAATGTGTTTCTTCATGTTGGCAAAGGTGACGGCGGCCATCACGAGGAGGGAACCGACCATGAGGCCTTGGCCCCAGGCTTCGAGGATGAGGCCATCTGGCTCTGTGGGGCGGCCGACGTCGTGTGAAGACATGGCATGGCAGTTAATTGATGGTGGGAGATGGATCGAGATGGAAGTGGGCGAATAGATGAGATAAAAGAAGAAGAGGGAAGACAAAGACGAAGAAATGAGAGAAAGAGAAAGTCAGTGGGAAAAGGCCAAGATCAGACGAGCAAATTAACGACGGCAAGAAAGTAAAATTAGACAGAAGAACTAACACAGCAATTAAGGCCAGACAGGCACACGACAGCCAGAAAAAGAGGATCCGGGGAACACCAGACGCCTTCAAGAAGAGTGGAAAAAGCCTCCAACGGACGAGAGGAAGGCATCCATCCCAAGGAACGTTAATTAATCCATCCAAGCCATGGAATTCGTTCATCCACGAGTCGGGCCATGCGATCGCCCAGACCCGCGTCTCATCGAGTATGGATCGCCACCTGTTCCCCCGCAACTCCGCCGTTCCTGGGGATTTTAGGCCAACTTGGAGATGACGGTGGCGCTGGATGGAGTCAAAGCACAAAAAGGCGCACTCTGGATGCAACTCAGGGTTGGGGGCTGTTCGTGTCTTTGTTACAGGTACTTTCTTTGATTCAACTTTAATTTATTTTGGAAAACGGTTCGTTTGCTGATCGAAACCTGGTACGTGCTGGTTGCCTCGATTGAGCACTTCACAATATTTTCTCGCATCCGATGCTTCTAATGCCAGCAACACTGGGCAATTCAAGTACGCATGTGGATTGATAGACCGATGTAAATCAGATCTTGCATTGCATTTGTCATACAACAGATGAACACCGATTTTCATGACCCGCTTGTCGAGTCACTCTATCTTCGCAGAAGATAATCGCATAACCAAAATATGGTTCTGGGCTTCAGCATCTGTCTTCCGGTGGCCTTTTTTTGAGACAACACATAAGGTTCGCCGATTCACCACAGTTTGTCGTCGAATCCGTCATCCGAGTCGGGGTTGTCGCTCCACTCGGCATCCGATTCGGCAACTGGCCAATAGTGATATCTTGTGAGTCCAGTCTCTCCAAGTCTCTTTTCCCACGAGCCAAGTTGGTATGTATACTTCATAGACCATATAATATTCCAGAATCTGTTCAGTGGCTCCAATCTAGTCTCTGAGTAGGGCCCCAGCTCTGGGCTGGCAGTGTAGTGAGATGTCGTGTGTATCTCTAGAAAATTGCTTCGATTTGGCGAGCTAGTTGTTCATCTTTCGATCTCTTTGATCCGACGCTCTTACTCTGTCCAAGTCCATAACTGGATCAATTAATGCACTATGAATCGATGGAAACATGCGCCCAGAGGGTAGATCATTCACTTTCCTTGTTGTCTTCAAAGCAGGATCAATTCCGCCGTCTTCATTATTCTATTTTGGGGATAATGTCAAGACTGCTGTCAGGATCCAGTACTTTGCAGCAAACAATCCATTTGGCTCCGGAGTGCTTCGTATATATTATTGCATGATCGTCCTTCGGACCCGGATTAGCTTCCTTTGTCTGCCAGAAAGTCAGATTATGAACATATCCAATGAAAGTACTTTTGCTCTTGGCCGCTGGCCTGCTTTCTTACTCTCTTTGTTTCTGCTCTTGAAGGACCAGTATTGCCCTGTATCTGTGTAATCTCGCAGCTCAGATCGTGAAAGTTGCGACTCTGTCTATCCAAAGTGTGTATCCTGCCCAGCTAGCTTCATCTGGCAACGATGATTTCTATCCAAAGATGGCAATGTCAGCTTATGATTCCTTATAATTCCTCAGAAAATGAAGAAAAATACTTTTATCGCATTTGAGCAGAAAAATCTCTTTTCCATTCCGCCAAACTCTTTCGTTTGTCAGCCATTTTTCTTGCCTGATTGTTAACGCTCAGCGGGGTAGGTAGCATGATGGAATGGCTTGGTGTATAAAATTGAAGGCAGAGGGGAATCAAAGTCAATAGTTGAGAATCAGAAAGAGGGGGAAGAAATGAGGTATTTCAGTGTTAAATAGAACTAAAATTGGACTTCACTGTTGAGCTTCCTTTCCTAAAATATCATCTTGTGTGGGCAGTGCTTTTCATAATATCCATGAAACTGTTATATTGTTAGTTTTGATCCTGGTGATGGTATGCGAGGTTGAAGGAGAGAGATAGGCAGATAATAAGTTCCAGGTTGCTGCCTGTGCCTATCTTGTCTAGCCCTAGTATCCTGCTCTATTCACCTAAGAACTTCATTCCTCCTTCATATCATCTCTACACACCAGCGAAATGTTCTCACTATCTTCCATCCTATGGGTAATTCCCCTTCTCATTCTAACAATCACAGCATGCTATCAATTCAAAAACATCGACCACCTCTTCGAAGCCTTGGAAGATCGTTTCATATCAAACCGACCCCCATGGGCAGCAGCCATCCGAAAAGTCGCCAAGTTCATGACACCCTTCAACAAATGGAGGAAGCAAATGCGGTGGTTCGACAAATTGTACGCAGCACAGCAAAAGGAACACTCAGTCTTCCTACGCGAAATCTACCTCCGTGAACGCGGCGACCTATTACGAAAACGACGAGATAACCCAGACGGTGGCGGCCTGACTCCCGCAGAAAAGCGAATACTGGGAATGCTTGAGGAGGAATATACGGCGAACGAAGATCGGCATGAAGAGGCTTATGTGGCACTATTTCAGACCTACACTACGAGGCCCTCGGGTGCTTGGATACGGGAATATCATAATCTGACGGAGAGACAGCGGTGGAATAGGAAGGTTGATGAATGTAGGGCTAAGGGTGGGTGTTGTGCTCGTTCGTGTCAGTGTTGCAGTAAAGTGCGACGAGGCCTGGACGGGCAAGTGGGAAATTCATCTCATCCTAATAGAGTATTTCATTGTACGCCCGAGTGTGGGTGTTGCATTCGCTGGTATGGTTTCTATGAGCCTGATGAGAAGAAACTGAGGGATGATATGTGGAGGGAGGACTTGTCTTTTGTATAGAGGGTTCTGTATCTTGGAGTTCACTGCTAATAGTTGAATCAAAATTGTTGGAATACTCGGTCGACCAAAAAGATGAACGCCCTGATGAATCTTGAAGGAATTACTATTTCAACAAAAAGTATACTTCATTTCTTTCTATAGACATAGTATATTCAGACCCGACCATCACAACCATATTATGATCATTACAAGCCCATAGTGTGCCATGGTCTTTGCTAGTGACCTTTCCGCCGATGGAAGCCAGGAAATGATTTTTCTAGCCCTAGTTTACTGCCCGTGGTAGAGGACTGGGATATATCGGTATGAACAGACTTTGATAAGTCAAAGAGCGCATCTTCCAGTTTCCGTTCGGCGATCCCTGCAAATCCAGGTCCTCCCTGGGCTGGACAGTTCACCCCGTGGCCTTCTTGCCACTACCACAGAATCAAGCACAAAATCACCGCAACATTGCACAACAAACAGTCGAACAAGCTTTACGCGTAGGCAGGGTAGGGTCAACCTGTATGTCTGGTCTAGAAAACACCCAGGTTAGTTTTTCCTGACAATTATATATCATATAAGGGTTTTTCTGTCTGTATCTATATCCATATACGTACTCTGGCTAATTTCGCAGCCATGCAGCCACCGCTTCAATCGGCCATACGGCCAAGGACAGTAGATGGGTTGAGGCCAGGCGGATAGAGGTGCGAGTCGTTCTCTCGTGCTATCCATGGATATCTTAGTAACTTTGAACACAACACTTTTATCATCTAGTCACATACATCCAGAATCCTATCTCTTTGCCAAACGGTGACATCATGAAGATGCCTAGTAGGATATCGATGGCCCAAAAGTTGGCCATGACCCGGTTAGGGTGATGGTAACAGGGAGCTAACTCTTGGGAGAACCGATGGCGGTGGTAGGGGTCGCAAGAAGCGACATGATGGAAGTGATGGCGATAGTATCCATGTCGAATATCGTCAATTCAGGTACTTTTTCGTAACACCATATTCGGTGTGATTTAAGACTTTATGTATCAATGGAAAGCGCCATGAATCCGATCAAAGACCAGTCTTTCGTGGAAAGGTCTTGACATGGCTAGGTGGTATTGAGAGGGTTCAAAGAGGCAGAGACAGAACATTCTGTATTCTGGGAAGGAAGAACAACTCAGGCATTCGAAGAAAGGGTGATGGGAGAAGAGAAGAGGAAAGAAAGGATTATTCTTCCTTCTGGGGTTTTATAGAAAAGGGTGAGATGTGAATGAGAAGTAATATAGTCAGCATTCATTGTCACAACTTGTAGTGTCGAGGTGAATAAATTGAAATTATATCATCATGTGAATACCTTTAGATCTTACTATGGGACAGGGTTGTATATTCGGAATGGTCCATGTCAAATTTGTATTTCGACTGAATCTGCATGTCCAATTTCATATCATATAATTAGCATTATGTAGTCAATCACTTCACTTCTTTGCCCTGTTGACTATCCACCTTCTCTACCGGTTCGACTCCCTTTTCCTCTTCGACTGTCCTTTCATCACCACCGAATACATGTTGCATCTCTTCCAATGAGTGGTTCGAGGTCTATTATCGTTAGCCAATTGACTCTGAGTCAGCACGAGATATATACTCACCTCCTTCAGGAACAACCACGAATACCCGATAATCGCATAGTTGAAGATCGCAAACATCAGGAACATTCTCCATCCGATGTTATTGATGGCATGCGGCGTCACTTGCGACATCATGAAGTTGAATAGCCATTGCGATGCTATGTATCTTGTCAGCCAAAAGAATCCCCATCGTCATCTCAAAGAGGACGAACCTGCACCAACTGCCACTCCGATAGTTCGAGTCCGGCTCGAGAACATCTCTCCAACATAAAGCCATGGGAGCGGTCCCCAGGACATGTTGAAGGAAAATGCTTCAGCGTAGGTCATGATGATCATCGCGATTCCAGCGCTAGTCGGTCCCGTACTTCCCGAATCGCTCGACTTGGTCGGATGTGTGGCCAGCACACATGCGATGATGAGCATGAATGAGCCCATCGCTCCAGCTCCTACCATGAAGGGCACTCGGCGGCCAATCCGGTCCAACACGAAGAGCTGGAATATGCAAACACCAACAACCTTGACCAACCCGAAGAACCCAGTTACCAACTTGGCCGAGCCACCCGCTCCGACTGCGCTGAAGATCTGTGTGGCATAGTACGCCAGCGACGTATTACCCGTCAACTGCGCACACAGCTGGATCGAGATGGCGATGAAGATTCGGTACCGATTGGCTGGTAGCAAAAGCTCCTTGACTGTAAAGCTATCCCGGACCCGGGCTTCCTCTTCAATACCAGCGATAATCTCATCAAATTCCTTGCGCACCTCCTCGGTCTCGTCGCCTCCGCGGACCCATTTCAGGGATTCCCATGCCTTGTCCATTTTACCCTTGGACGCCAGCCAACGCGCGCTCTCCTTGACGGTGCACATTCCAATCAGGAGCAATGTCGATGGGAGTAATTGCAAACCCAGTGCGATCTGCCACTGCTTTGTAGCTTCCGGTTGATCCTTGGAAACTGCATATGTCACCCAGTATGCGACCATAACTCCCAGCGCGAAAAACAGCTGGAAACAAGCACCGAGTCGACCACGAAACTCCTTGGGAGACATCTCAGCCGCATACATGGGAATAATGACCGTTGCCGCACCGATCCCAAGACCTGCGACAACCCGACCCGCATAGAAAGTCCCGATGGTGTGTGAATTTATGACTTGCAGGATAGTACCGATTGAGAACACAATAGAGCTAAGGATGAGACCTAATCGTCGACCGAGTCGCGCAGCGATGGGCATGGTGAAGAAGCAACCGAAGAAAGCACCGGCCTGTAGGATCGAAACAGCATTAGAGTTGATGTTTGTCTGTTGCGCTTTGGTGTATCGAAAATCATTTCGGAAAGATGCCAGCGTGAGAACACCACCTGCTTAGGTTAATATAGATCTATGAATATCTGCATGTCCACGTACTAATAACACCAGTATCAAAAGCAAAGGCAAAAGAGCCCATGCAACTGGCAGAGACCAGGTAGACGGCCCGCACGAGGCCAAGTCGTCGGCCCATGTTAAGAGATCTGACAAGGCTTGGATCAAACAAGACCGTAGCACAAAGTAAGATGACTGGAGGATACCGAGCAAACGATAGATTAAATAGCCGGAATCAACGCCTTTTAAATACATCTGGAGAAAATCATCAGGATAATCCCTGCCGTTGCGTGATTGACGGTCCGCGTGTCATCCTACATCAAGACGGGGTCCAAAATCCTCATCCAGCCTTAGATCAACCAGAAACGGACGAAAAAGAAATGAGAAACAAATGGCCCGACCGGCGATAAGCCTCGATCTCAGACCACGTTTATTGCTGAAGCTATGGTCCAGCAGCTGCAAGAAAAAAGGTCATCTGAAGTTTCGTTTCACCGCAGCCAACAACAGGGCAGGATTGACACGGCGATAACAACAAAAACCCGCATCTGGAAATCATCTGAACTAACCAACTGGAGGAATATACCGACAGCCGGATGTCTGATCGTGGGTGCGTTCATGTGGTTGGCCATGGATGGGCAAGTGATCGGGGGGATGGCGTGCTCAGGACGGATCTGGCGCAGGTTGGGGCGGGACGAGCGACGGGTTGTGTTTGCGTTTAGCATTTATTTTATCCGGGATCAAGACGATCCATGAAGTTATTTGGGAAGATATAAGACATTAAGAGAGTCAAGAGAGGACAATAGCGTGGCAGCCATGCGGTGAGAAGGCAAGGGGGAAGACAAGATGGAGAGTTGGAGAAGTTGGTTGGTTGCAACCCCGCAGAACAAACACGCTGACATCCCCGGATTACCCAAAGGAGCAAGATTGGCAGGATGGAGAGAAGATTCATATTTAAAGCAGACAATCTCGATGGACTGAGATGAAATTTCGGTCAGACAGTGTTTATATCCATCACAACTCTATAAGGTGCAGCTCTCTTAGTCTATATCCCCTTACGATCTGATGCCATGCATAGGCGATCTCAAGTCAACTGAAACTAGGATTAACGTCATGATAGGAAATGACTACTGTTTCTATAATTAACTATTATTTTTTACTTCTAATATGCAGTTCAGCAAACTCACAAAATCAGTCTCTATATCCTGATATATACCTAAAAAATCAAAAACTGACTTTTCCCTCTCTCATTCTCCCTCGCATACTGTATCCACTTCCCAATCCCATGATATTCAGCTCGCGCCCAGAAAGCTCTCAGGAAATGCATGGCACTATAATTGCACCAGACTCCAGTCGCAGAAACTAGACTTTGAAAAAGTCGTTCAATCATGCCTTGTCTTGCGCTGTCTGCCCAGCTTTCGGTTCCTGCAATAAAGAGTGGTAGGAAGATGTTGTGTGATATAATATGTATTGTATCAGCTGTGAAGACTTCGATCTCATCGAATAGCTGGGAGACTAAAGTTTGGATTAGTACTGCCGTCTCCGGGAGAGGAGCCAACGCCTGGTAGCTGTATATGAGAGTCGTGTAGTAATATGCCTGTATGAGAGCGTTCACCCGATTCTGCATATGTTCCCCGTGAGATGCTAGCCAGGTTGTATCAGCCGAGGCCTGGTTACAGGCCTGTCTTGCCTTGATTTGCCAAATATTCATGTTCATTTGGGGAAGGTGTTGATGGTTCATGGCAAGTTCGTGTCGTCGTCTCTCCTCGGCAGTAATCTCATAGATAAGACCCGTGAAAGTTCGAAAGTGATTGCCAAATATTGATTGCGGTAGTAGTAGAGTCGAAGAACCCTCCCCGGTGGTAAAGGTGCCAATGCTGCGAAAGACTTCTAGATCGGCGACCTCCTTGATCAAGAAGGCTGCAACTGCGCCTGGCCGATCTCCTCTCCATTTCTGTCTCTCGATGAGAATGCGACAGGCATGCAGATGAAGGCTCCAATCGGTGGAATCGGGAACCACTATTTCTCTGTAGCATAGAACGAGCGTTGTCGCTAGAATTTGGACGAGGAACGAAGAATCATTGGCCTGTTGCCTTGTATATCCCTCCAATTCAGCGCTAATTGCCTTGGTAAGGTCTCGGATACATGTATCCCGCAAATGGTGACCTATAGTCTCGATTGCCGCCGTATCGGGTACGTCGCCAGTAGATGTGAAGAGTAAGTGGGCAGCAGCAGCACTGAGAATGGCCATAGAAAGAGACGGACAACGCTGTGCAAGAGGAACAACAATCTTTCGCCACGGATGGTCTGGACTGTCGATCCAGGTCAATCTGGGAGCAACGTTGACATTGAAGTGGGCAAAGAGTTTGTGTGATAAAATTAAACGTGAATGACTGTCGACAAGACCGCAGTCTCTCGTTGGAGAAGGAATTGGTGCAGAGAGTCGAGAGTTCGTATCGACAGACAATGTAATACTTTCTGCGCTGGCATGTTGAACAGGAATATTCCTTCCAGCCAAAGGGCCTCTACTGGCGACGCCCTGACCCCATTTAAGCCGGACAGAATTGAACCCTGGACATTGTATCCCGCGAATAGTGCATTTCCTACATTGTGGCAGAGTTCGATCACATTTTATGCGTCTTCTATCGCACGAAGAGCAACCTGGAAGGTCAGCATCGGCTGCATCACGGATACTTTGAAACATGTGGCAAACTCACTTTTGAGTGCCGTTTTACGGTCTGACGGCAATGAATCAATTCGAACGTTTAGCATACCTAAGGATGGTGGATTTATAACCAGAATATCAGGCCAAATAAATCACAGAACACTGCATACTAGAAAGGATGGATGTGCTTTACATGCTGAAGGTGTAGACGATATTGACAGCAGATGTGGTGGGAGGAGAACAAAGAAAATCCCCACTCGTAGAACGGGAAAGTAAAGCCTGATATATCAGGCAGCAACACCAACCATCTAGCAGGATGAAAGTACGCTGTATTTGAACTAAAGTTTGAAGTATCGTGAATAACTACTATTCCACCTCTTATTTGCATGATCTACTACTGTCTCAGAAATTCCCTTATGGCTCCCGCCCATTTCTCGCCATTCTTATATTTGAACATGTCCGGTACGCTTCCTTCCTCTAATCCATCAATCGCCAAAGCAAGATCCTCTCCACTCCCTTCTTTCTTTATATCCTCAATCCGATCAAGGTATGTGTGAAAAGCAAAGACTATCGCACCGGAAGTGGGAAGACGATGAAGGGTTTGCCGCTCGCACCGCAGGAACGTCTAGAGATATAAGCATATTGAAGTCCCACTTCTACATAGCACATACCTTATCCAAGTCCAAGTCTTGGACATCTAGACGATCCAGCTTCCCCTCCATTGCTGGGCTGCTTTTATCAAAGTTGGAAAAGAGCTCTTCATCGACAGTGACACTCCAGTTTACCCGTTTCACACATTTTCCGGCCTCAAGCCGTGAGAAGAATCGGTCCATACTCTTCTGCAGCTTTTCCTTGTATCCTGGGACTGGACCATGGATCCCTGCTAGACTCTTGCCCATTTTATCCCGAGGCTTGAATCCAGACGGAAAGCAAGCTGAATATGCTTCCAGGTGATAATAAGTCTCATCTGGGTTGCTTTGATGATGGGGCAAAAGTATGAAGAAGTCTTCATCGATATTCTCTGCAATTATTTGTAGCATAGTATGCAGGGATTTTGGTTTTTCTTTGCCTGTTGACATGATCTTGTGCGTTATGAGGTTCTCGACACTGGTGGAGCCATGCTGATCATAGCAGGTCTTGAATATCGTGGGATATCGTGAGGGGAGGTATATTTCGAATAGATAGCCGTACAGTTCCCGTACCGCCAGTTGAATACGTGCATTCTCGGGGTTGGTGACTCCGACAATCTCATCTGGGTATTTTTGAAGCAGGGAGCGTCGAAGGGCGATGCGCTCTGTGTAGGTTCTATCGAATATCAAAAGGTCACTTGGATCTAAGGACTCCAGGCCTGTGGATTCGGGACAGCAGGGTTAGCATCCGAACTATAAGGACGTTGATACTATAGGAGACTCACCCATTGTCAAATGATATTTTGGTTTAAATGGCCGAAACGCAGGTGTCTCTGATGAAGCTAGATGAAAGTCTTTCAGAGGTTCGGTTCGAGGATATCGTTTCGGGTCCAAGTCGATGGTTTCAGGGCTTGCGCTGGTCTTGTAATGATGAAATGTCAGTATCCCATCAGTGTTGTAGATTTCTAGACTTGCCCTTTTGTATTTCCAGAGAGACCAAATGACCAGCACAAGAATCAGTAAAGCAGACTGCCCTGCCACTGACAGGTGCAATCCTCGTGCATAATCCCAGACAGTTGAAGTCCACTCCATATCATCATCCATCTCAGTATCACTTTCAGTACAGATGATATCTTTCTGAAAATGAATTCTTTTCCAGAGCTCTAAGCTGTGGTGGAAGTCAGTATGATATTGATTGCAGATTTGACATAGCAGTAACCAAAATATATTCAATTGACAAAGAAATTCCCCAGAATTCTCCTCAGCAGACCGGACGAGAATATGCAGTACCTCTTGTGAAGCTCACTTCTGATTGGCTCATGCCGCAAGCTGACTCAGTTTCTCAAGGGACATACCACAAAGGGTTTAGAGTGAAGCCTTTATTTCGATTCCAGTCCCACATACAGTTCCACCCTCGACGTCAGGAAGATCAGCTAATCCCAAGATGCAGACAGAACTGCATGGTGCTTTCGGAGTCAAAGAGTTGAGTATCCTAAATTGATGTTATAAACTGTTCGTTATGCTCTATTCATACATGGAGGCATACCAAGCTTTTTTGTATGCCTCAGGCACCAACTGCTGCCCTGTATCTCTCCTCCTACACCACCATCTCGTGAACAACCTTCATCATTCCTTGCTGCTGCCTATGAAAATGCGGAGCCTAATATCAGAAGAGCTATGTTCTTTCTCATTTATAACTATCCATCATCCTACCTCAAACGGAATCTACCATACCGAATAATCTTGTCTTTATCACTATCACCTTACTTCAAAAGAACCCCGACCAAACAAAAGCAAAATGAGCGATACACACCTTTCAAAACACCATCCAACAGTCCGTGCCTATCTCTCAAGGCATATGGCTGTCAGAGGCTTGTATGCACATCTTCAAACTGTCAACAAGACATACCTCACAGATGAGGAGAACCATGTCTTGGGGATAGAATACTCCACTCTAGACTTTGGTTCTGGGACTACATCGAACTTGACCAGTTCGTATTTTCGTCCTACACCGCGAAAGGAGTACAGAATAGCGGAAACAGGGGTTGAACTCGATGAGTTCACTTGGTACCCTGGGAGCTGGCTGGAGAAGCTTTCTGGTGCTAGAGGACGGCGTGATTCTTTGGTGGCCACCTACATGGAATACGCAAGTGCTCTCTGGGAAAAGTTTCAACCCCTAGCTGAAAATATCCGGTAAGTTCTTTCCACTCCATTTCGGTTGCACAAGAATACCGGGTTTTATTTTATCTGACTGTCTGATTCCTTGGGCTTGAATATAGATCTGCAGGGGCGAATGGAGGCGAGAAAGTGATTTATCGTGACGGTCGCAGGGCTTCCATCGAGGCCGCTTCAGAATATCTGCAGCAGCGAAGCTCGCACCGTACCCTCGTGGTGGCGAGTGAGAATGACGGTGAGGATGACCGTATCACCGTGTCTGAGCTCGAAATGTTGGTTAGCTAGATGGTGGGGGGTATGAAAGTGCAGACGGCTGCGCTGCATTGGCAGACCCTACCTAACGACAGCCTCCATATGATCTTTCCGGTTCGTTAGCCCTGTCGTTCACCGCTGGATATAAATTCCAATCCATACTGATAGAAATATCTTTCACAGGTTCAGATTGTATCCTTTTTAATGCCCACTCATGCCCGGATTATCCAGGGCTACTTCGACAACGGCATGCTCAAAGTACAATTCACCAAACTCCAAAACTTCAGCGTGCCAAACTACACCGAAGTCATGAACATGTTTCTCAAATGGGGTAATCCCATCCCCCAAGGTGACACAATGCTGAGAGACAAATTCCCCATCGGGACCAACACCCCGCCGACCGATACCAAAACAGAAAGCCACAAAGCCGCCACCACCCCTGGGCCGGCATTGCCAAAGCCCCGACATCAAGCTCAGCCAGTTTTTGGTGTCGTTAGGTCTGGAAACGTTCCTCGCCAGTCGTCTCCTACACGTCTTCAACGCACGACTGCACGCGCCTCGAGCCAGAATCGCCCAGGAAATAATGAGAACGCTAGACCACAACAGCAGGGATCAAATTACATGGATTGGTTTGATTAACCTTTGGTACCCTGCTTACTCCTTGCAGGTTACATCACGATCTAATCTGCCATTGGGGTAAACAAGAGTCGGCAGTATCTTGATCCCACTGCCTTCAATTTGGTCATCATCAAATCAGCATATGGAAATTATCTACTTCCGGCATCTTGATGTATTAAAATGTGGAGAATAGAATGCATGTACATCGATAATAGTCATATCAAATGACTTGGAGCCTTGGAGGCCATCGTAATGCAATCTTGCTTTTTTCTTATCATTTTTCTTCTTTTTCTTTCTGTCCTCATGTACGGTCGACACGGTAATAGTGTGGTTTCTACAACTAAAACCCTGGAAATGGTATGATATAATCCTCGGAGACATAACAAACAATCCATTCATTCTACGTCATATCATTCCTATATTTCAACAAATATCTCAACCACATTCTGGCCCTAAGTCCTCGTAATTGGGACCTGACTGTGAGCATTATCCTTAACCCACCTCTCTACGATATCAACCAGACAGTAGCCCGCTTTGTTCACAGTCCCCGACCATTTGGCCGTAAACGTCTGATTCGGTTTAAGGACCAAATTCTCAAATGACTTTTCCTCTTTCTTTTCCGGACCGAAAATGTCAAGTGTGTACTTGTGGTACTCGGACGTGGTCCCTAGATCGGTCTTGCTGAGACTTCCGCCCACTGTAGCCGCATTGAGGTAAACGTGACCGGGGGCGTCTTTCTTGGGATCGGTGCTCTTGACCAGTTCGATTGTTTGCTCTTTGAATAGACAGACTTCATCTGTGCCACTGGTGATGGTCACTGATGAATTATGAAGGGTCACTTCGCTGCTTGTCTTGTTGGTCACGTTGATATTGAGTGCACTTTGTTTCCCAGAGCCAATGCTTTGTGGCTGGACGTCGTACGTGAGCCGGTTCTTTGGGGCATCAACCCAATTCTTCACTAGAGACTTTACCTCGTTCTTAATGTATACTTTGACTGGATCGGGGGGTGTATGTTGTGCTTGAGTGTTCAGGAAGAAGCCCAATATCATGACAATGATCCCCAGAACTGCCAGAACCGCCCCAATTATAGGAAGAGCGACTGCTAGTGTTCCGGTGACAGCGAACAGGCCAACGGCACTGCCCACTTCGATGATGTCGATCACGACAGTGAGGAACTGGATAATGAGCGTGGCAGTCTCCAGAATCTTCCCGACAGTAGTCAAATCGTCCCAGTTGCGGATCAAACTGTTGTTAATCAGCTATAAGCATGGTTTTGATACTGGGTAGCGGGTGTGCCCACCTGAAGGTCATGCAAACTGTCACCCCAATGCCAATGGCCGCATTCAAAATGCGGAGAAAGTTGCCCTGGATGCTGAACTTCTTAGCCACCTTCGCACCATCGCCAGGAAGTCCTTCCGGGATGCTCTCGCGGCTCTCGTTCCATCTGAGCACTTTCTTCATCTTTGAGGTCGGTGCCTTTTCTGCCATGCCTTCGGAAACAATTTTCCGCAATCCCTTCTTGCCATAAACCTTCTCGCCCATTTCATCCAGCCCCTTAGCCTGGGATCCAAGGTTCTTTCCAGTCTGTTGATCTAGCTCGGTTGAATCCAAAAAGTCCTGTGGTTTAGTAGGTTCTCCGGTCTTCTTGTACCGATCCCACGCACCCTTTGCCTTGCCAGCTGCATCGCAGAGAACCCTGATTGTTTCCATCATGATTGTCGCCCGCTGATCGTCGCGCAGCTTATCCCAGTTCTGATACAAGTTCAAAACGCTATATCCGATCTGGAAAAGATAGAAGGCTCCCTATGATGTAACGTTAAGCTCATTTCCATCTGCTTTTTTTCTTTATCCCGTTCAGGGCACAGACAACTTACCATGGCTAGAACTCCAATCCCCTTCATGAGCCGCGCATTCACGATCCCTGTAACCTTACTTGCTACCTTTTCGAATGCTTGCCCCATCCATGTGAACATTCTGGTCCCGTTGAACGCCTTCTTGACAACCTGGGCAATGGATGAAAGCCATTTGGAGATTTCCGCATTGAACACAGCCATCTTTGTCATGATATTGTTCGCTCGCTGCGTCATATCGCTCACCACCTGTATGTTATTCGCTTTCTCGAAATCCTCCAAATCCTTGAGGAGTCCAGCACGGATAGCCGGTGTGATGTCCTTATCTCCCCTGAAAACTGCCAAAATCAAGTTGCGCATCGCGTCTTCGATGAACTGCTTGTTTGGCGCTTCATCGGGGCCAATCCAAGGGTATGTGAGATGCTTGTGCCTCACTACGGGAATGACTTTCTCAAACCATTCCTCTGCAAAGTTGACCTCTGGGTCTAGTACATTGAGTAACATGCAAATCTTATTAATTTGAATGTATCCCTAAAGAGCCAAAAAGTTAACCATTTTGTCTGCAGACTTTGGAAAGGGAGACTCATACTCCATTGTCTGCGCATTTCATCGCATAAAGAGAAACATTCCATTCATCGATCATATCATCGTACAGCTTCTTGGCCCACATTTTGGCGTCCGTCACAGTGCCCATGTAAGGGGCCAAATCTCTTTCATGGATTTGCTTAACGGCCTCGATGGCAGTGAGGTTATTGAGATCACTGTATTCCTGCCGTTTGGACATGCATTTGTCGCCCTGTCAAGATTATTTAGGAGAGTCCTATCGAACAGAAAATGATTGAACTTACTTGGCCTTGGAACCAGTACCAGATCTTCTCCTTCTCTGGTTCCTCGAGTTCCTTTTCGTAGTCTTTCACCGTCGAGGTCATCTGGCCAATGAATGCAGGAGCGTACTCCTTCTGCAAGAAATCTTGGATCTTTTGTGGTAAACCATCAGCAAGATCTGTGGGTAGCTTGGGCTTCGTCACTTTCAATATATCTCTCTGCTTATCCGTCATATGGTAGTATAGTGTGTTTAACAGGATACTTTGCGATGCGTTATGTACCTATGTAGATCGCTGTTAGAGAACTTGGCCTTCTGAAATTCAACAATTGGCCTGCCAGGGGATAAAGGATCGATTAACGTACATTTTGATCCTTATAGTCAATCTTTTTCAGGCCGTCCACCGTGCGATCAGTATAGGCATCGAGATCCTTAGTGATAGGAGCAGGTTGACCGATTACCCGCTCATTCTGAGATACACCAGGGCTAGGGTAGGCTTTGGCGAAGCTTTTCGAGATTGTACTGCGCATTTCCGCTGTACTAGGTGCTCCGAGCTCATTCGAGATTCCCATACGACCCTTTAGAAAATGGCTATTAAGTGATTCCGAACTAGTTAGCAACCAAAAATAAGATTATTAATAGGGTTCCTCCATACCGATCTCCATTGAGTCCACGCATCAGAGGATTATACTCGAAAACGGCCCCGGTCGCCTCGCGTTCATCCATATCAAAGTCGATTTGCATCGACTGAAACAGAAGCGGCAATTTGGAGTCAATCCCTAGAGTGGATTTGAAATCCAGGTTGAAATTACTCGATATATCCGCTCCTGCACTGGAAATAAAAGGCATTATAGACGCGTTATCCACTTCAATATTGGCCTGAAAGCCATCCTTGGTGGAAGTAATCGTGGTTGAGTAGAAGGTGCTAAGATTAGAACCAAACTTCTGGTTGATATCATTCTGTAGCTTATCAAGCACGGGAACTGACAACGTCAATTCGGTCCCCTTTTGCTCACTGTAATAAATCGCAATCTCGACTTTGTCTCCATCAATAAGATCAGGGCTGGTTGGCTTGGGAGCATCCTTGGGCCATTTGCTTTTGTCGTACTTTAGCTTTGCATAGAACTGGGGCTCGATGATTAAGGAGTTGCCCGACGCATATGGATGAGATTCACCGTCTTTTGTCTTGTTCGCAGCAGCTGATGGTGGAACTGCGTGGAATGGGACTAGAGAATTGGGGGAAATGTCGACCGCATCCATGGAGGACGACAGTTGAATAGCACCGCATCCGCCAGTACCATCTGGATAGATTCGCAATGATCCATGTTCAAACCCCCATTTTCCGCCTTCTGGGAGTTTTCGAGACCACCGGAAAGTCCTGCGGCCCTGGTCAAAGACAGCAGAGTGTTGAGGGTGCTCATCCAAAACCAAAATGCCGTCCACAATCCGGACAGCTGGTAAACTATGGCTTCCTATTTGTTTGCTGCTCCTCAATTCGAGTCGGAGGTCCAGGCATTCAATGGAAATACCAGAGCTTCTCGCCCAGGCACTTGTGTATATGGCTTTGTTTCGTTCATCGGGAGAGACAAATTGTGAATTTGTGAATGTGTCGTTCCCGTTGGCAGGAAGTCTCTTACTCCCATAAAGCTCCCCAGTAACCCGTTCGTGGATTGTCCTGATATCATACTGCCTGAATACATTCGCCAACTCTGGGATTGATGATAGGAATATCATCAACTGGCTCGCGGGGATCTGTTTCAATGATTCGGCAGCGGTGGCGAGGTCAATCTATAGTAAAAGCTCTTGTTACCTTCACTTCACTTTTACTCGACTCGCATGGGGAAAGGAACTTGCTTACCTCAACATTATTGGTGTTCACTAAGTACCCATTTGCATGGTACGATGGAAGGTTAGATCCCAGCACATTGTAAACAGGTTGTGAGTCCGAGGGTGCAATTTCGATGGATTTGATCTCCTGATACTCATACGCAGTGATGCCATTTGGTGGTCCCTTCTTCCGTCTGTAGAGAACATGGCCAACCTTCAACTTGCCAATCTTTGCGAGTGGGTTGAGACGTCTGGCGACATCTGGATTGACAGCTCGAAGACCGGTTGAAGTATGGAAGACTTGAGCATCGGAAGCAAAGGGTTTCTCGCCGTCTAACTCGGATTAGCAGAGTGAACGAGTACTGTTGCTGTTGAACTCACTAAATCCCACGAGAGACAGTCCTACGGTAGATGCACTGATGTCGACGTTCGATTGGTCCTTCGACTCCCGGTGAGTCAGGATGGGAGCCTCAGGACTCAACTGCTCGACTGCCACTGAGCCTCCAGTTGCCAGGGAGATCTGGGTCCCAGCAACAACACCCATCCCGTTGGCTTCAGGATGGGCGAACGAAGGAAGCTTGGTGAAGATGCGTTCGCTTGCATCAACACGGTCAAACTCAAAGCCCCAACCTGCCCAGTATCAGTACGTTCTTCACTCCACCACCTTGCAAAGAGTAGCTTGACTCACCATCTCTGATCCACTGGATCAATCCTTGGTCATGCTGAGCCAGGCCCGAGCTCGTCGCATTCTGCCATTCCGATGCGATATTCAGTTGCCAAGACTTCTGCATCTGGACGCAATACGACTTCCAAGCGTTGATGGTATCTTTGTGATGCTTCTGTCGCTCAATACTATCTTTGACATGTTGGACATATATGTCATTCGTCTCAGATGGTGATGAAGACTCGATAATGTGCTTGTGCAAGCCATCGATGACATCCCATGCTGGCTGGGGCTCCAACCGGCCTGTGGTGGTGGGGGGGCAGAATACACCCGAGCTGACCTTACCACAGAACTCGACGATCTTGTCCATCTCCTTTTCGTCCGTCTTACCTCCGTTTTCCCACATATATCTCTCCCATTCCTTGACGATACTGAAACTTGGACTCTCTTTGTACTTGTCATCGTACGCAGGGAGGGGCTCTGCGCCCCAAATGTCGGGTTCACTGGTTCTTTTCTCCAGATAATCGCAGATGAAGAGCACACAGACACTGAAGAAATGGTTGCTGACGTCTTTGTCGTGCACTATCTGCTCTCTGATGAAGAACGGGTCCTTGGCCTTCTTATGAACGTATTTTGCAAAGCCCTGGAGGGCTCCCAGATCATGCAGAGATCGATGGATGGAAGAGTGTTCATTGAAGTTGATATGCTCCGCGAGGCAAAAGGAGAACAGATTGGTGGCGAGTTGGAGATCAGTTCTCTCTGCATTAGTCTGAATAACAATCAGTGACCTTCTGACGGCACAGTAGATGGTCAATACTCACAGGATTGATGAATTTCTTCAATCCAAGGGTATCCTGCTTGTCGTCTACATTGGAAACGGCCTTAGCCATTGAGGCATCGGTCAGTCTCCCGATGAGAGTGAAAATGTTTAATCCATCCAGCGTCTCTTCATCGGCATGGACGTCATCTGGTGGGTATCTGTCCCGTCGGCCGAGGTATTTCGATAGGTGTTTTGCCCTGCGGCTTGCTCTTGCCTTGTTGTACAGGCGATCGCAGTAGGAATCGATGGAAATGCTGCCAAGGACTCGTAAATCCTTGACCAGCGCCTTCCAGTGGGAGCTATAATCAGGCATTTTTTTTGTTGTTTTCTTTTTTCTTAGTTTTTCGTTGTTTTTCTTCAGTATGGTTTCTTGGATCACTGATAATTTAATTGGAACAGTATGAGGAACCTGGTAATGAGATGTGATGTTTGGAGAAATGTGAGAGTTTATAAGCGATACAGAAGCTCGCCTCCATGACCATATCGACGTCAAAGAGACCAAAGTTGAACTGGCTCGAACGATCTGCCAGAATACGACATCATAGATTTACTTCTCTGAGCTCGTATTTTATTGTAAAATAACTGTTTTCTAATTCTCAAATTATCCATGGTCACATTTTGCAGATAGATTACTCCATCCCACACTACCAAAAGACATCCAGATTGGGGATTCTCATCAATATTTGCCAACCGTACCCATATAGCTCTGGATCGTATCATTGAAATTTCAATCCCCTCATACGCCTGACAAAAGTACCTTGCATTCCATCCCGCTCCTGCAGATCCTCCAAGTTCGGTCTCCCCAAACATTAGCATGCATCATCACTATCATCAGAATTGGCTCAACTACGCCAGTCTGATATTCATGACATTGTTGCAGTGAAATACGGTTTCCATTAGATCATGACTGGGATCTAGAGCTAGTAATAGTTCACCCAGACCACCTTAGTTGCTTTCTGATGCGTGTTCCACAGACTGACAATAGTCTACAACCCTTACCATCACACTACGTATCAAGGGAGAACTGGTGGCTAGCTGGAGAATATGCGGGGTTGGATGTGGTGTGAATGATTCGTTGTATGAAGACCTGAAGACAGGGATACAGTACCCATACATGACACCTACATTTGTGAGCAATTCGGTTGTTGCGATCGACCCATCATGCTGTCAGGTCAGGGAGAATGCATCCGAGACAGTGAGGGTTATATTGAGCTAAGTTGCCGCCCGGGTTGGGTTCGAATCATCGCACCTGAATATACACACATTGAGTGTCGCAGTCATGAAGACGGTTCAGTCTGTACTATTGGCACTTGGCTTGCTGTCGTCGAATTGCCAAACTGCGTCGGCTGATCAACAGGTAAGTCTCTCCCAATGTGATTCCTGTTGACATTGTGCCTTTACCAAGGCCAATGCCTTGCATTAACTCATCTCGACTACAGCGTCTCGCTCAATCCCACAAAAACCCATTGGGAACCACCGACTGCCGGGTTACAAACGATCCAGTCGGGGGAGACGATGTCCCAGCCTGCGAGGGATATCCATCCTCCCCCACCGCAAAGGTTGTCCGCATCTCCGGCTGGGCCGATTGGTACCCTCCCGGCACGAAGGACCAGTACGTGGTGCAGTATATCGGGCTGCAATGGTCAAGTGGACAGATCAAATGGTGCGGACCAAAGGTTAAGCCCCAGGCGTACCTCAACCTCGCCCCAAATGAGACCATCACCGGCTTTGTAGTCTCGGGTGGGACGATGGTGGATTCGATCAAGGTGACCACGTCCAAGGGCCAGAACTTTTCCGTTGGTGGAGATGGTGGCGAGGCCCATGATATGGACTTGGGTAATGGGTACATGGTGGGCTGGGATGGGTTCTGTCTTCCTGAACTTCTTGTTGGATTTGCTCCTACGTTTTTCTGTGATGAAGTTGGTGAAAGTGCTTGATTGCTATGGATAGACAGTGGATGGTTACAATGTGTTGATCTTCATTCTTCTCAGCCTTGGAATGTCTACAGTATCCATAGTCAAGCCAAAGTACCACATCATTCCACCTAGACTATTTCATCATCCCAATTGGGTTTGGCTAGCTAAATCCAGTCCTCATGACCTCATAAGGAAGTCTCTGCTTACGAGTACATCCGATAGCATTTGATTGACTTGGAATCTCCAGTGATATCCGTGATGATCCTTTTACCGGGGGGATTGAAAAATCCCCCGTAGTCGTAACAGTTGTCCTTACTGAGTGCTTGTTAGGAAATTGCTCCTTATCTGATGGGGGGGTTGGGCTTTCTCACTAGTAATAGTCACAAGACGCATTCGTCACTTTGATCGCCCCAAACCGGTCACTGTAATCGGAATATTGTCAGTGTGTGCATAGCGAAGAATAGACAGTGGATGACTACCTCTGGCCCAGGTGTGGGATGGCTGTGCATTCTGCGTTGACTGGAATAGAGAAGTTTTCGCCTTTGTAGCCCGATCTTTCGTAGATCGTTACCTGGGGATGAATGCTGATTAGCAGTGGAGGGCTTATATATGTTGTGCTTCGACTTACTGCTGGATCAGAAGCTGCGGCAGAGGCGACGAGTAACAGTTGGACTAGAGTGCGAAGATACATCTTTGTGGTGAGGATTGCATTAAACAGACGTAAAGACTCTACCTTACCTGGTGTGTGGAGCAGATTTATATATTCTAGTTCCCATCTAATGCCCGTGTTACATGTCAGCTGAGTGCCAGCAAGCCTAGGTACGTTAAATCTGTGTCTTGTAATATTACACATTGTACATTTAAAATAACATGGATTTATACACAAATATGCCTGCATTATCTCATTGCAGGTATATAGGTTTCTTAGACTTCTGTCATTGCTGTGGATACGTGACGCAATAGATAAACAGGTATCTGTTTTCAGTACTGATTGCCACTATCACAGTATAGAATAGAGTAAAATTGCTATATCTACTGCAGGGAATGCAATCTCTGACTAGATGCGTCTATAGAGAGTCTGGTTCAGAATAACCATGTAACATACATTTATGGTTAATCATTCCTCTAATTTTGGGGTTATTGTAGACGTTAATTATTTAATGAATCATGCTACTATTATATACTCAAATGGAAGAAGAAATCCGTTATGAATTCAGGATTGACCATGGTAGTCAGATATCATTGTGTCACCTCTATGTTATCCATGGTACAACCGCCAACTGACAGCTGACAGGCTTGGCATGGAAAAGTATATCCGGGCATCTAACTACAAGTTCCATTACACAGATGAGTAATGAATTCAAGTTATTACATACCGGCCCAAAAGTTTGGCCCCATTGCCATTTTCCCTGCAAATAAAAAGGCGGCTTAAAAAATAGAGCTTTGACTTTAACCCCAGATTTCTTTATTATTATAAGAATAATAAAAAGAAATATCATATTTTAAGTCTTTATAAATGATTTTTTTTTATTAGTTTTATAAGTTCTAGTCTCTATATCCTCAAGCTTGTTGGGATAATTAGATTTTAATATGGGTAATTATTTTCAAATTTTGAGATGGGGCCAGACTTTTGGGGAGGTAGTGTATTTTAAAAGAGAATGGTTAGAAATGACAGTGTACAAAGCCTAGACATAAAGGTGGTAGTTTTGTACAGATATGGAGCGCTCTCAGAAGATTGTGTTGATAGGGCAGGTTGTTAATAACATCATTGAAAGGCGTATGCAGGGTGTGTAGATATAGGTGGTATCACTCGTAGTAATGTTTCAACCAGGGTTTATCATACCTTCTAGACACAGACAGACTCAAGGTTTCCTGGACTTCATAAATCCTTCTATGACTACCAGTCTGTCATAGCCCAACTCCCCCCCGCCACTCATGCGTCATGGCCATTTAAGGAATTTCAAATCATTAAGACGGTCATGACGTGGAATTAGATGCAGGCGATGATTATTATCGTTTATAGTCATCAGTAGTAGAGGGCTAGGTAGTCAATTGGCTAATCCGCCTGCAACCGTTGATTGGCAACAGGCGATGCTACTTCTTTGGTGGGAGATTATGGCTATAGATGCCGGAGAAACCTCAGACATGAGCGGTTAAAACAAATCTTTTCAAGAAATCATTTAAATTCCTTTTATTTTAAAGAACTCTGTCTAAACATCTATCTTTTCAACATCCCAACATGGACGGATACGAAAGTGATTCTCCATTAGCCACCGCCGGTGCAGATGAAACGGGCGATGGGAATTATACCTGTTCCTGCTCATCCAGACAGCCAAAGAAAGGTTGGATTCAAAAGGTCCTTCCAAAAAGCCTTGCGAGCATGGTAGTGCAGCCCTGTCCATCTCATTGGCGATCAAGGTGGAACAAGTTTTTGGCACCACAAAGTCGGTAGTGGTGCGGTAGTGAAGGAATCGCAATCTGAAAGGATAGCGGTGCTTTCAGGGCGGTTAAGATATTATTTACCGATTCGACCATGAAGATCGCCGGTAAGACGGCCGGAGACTCCAAGACGCCGAGGTTTGCGCCAGGCGAAAGATGCACGGATTTGTCCTTGTGGGCAAATGGCATTGGAACACGCTGCGGACGAATCCGCATTTACACCAGTGAGGGCCAGAGCTTTGATTGGGGAATGCATGGAGGCAAGGATGAATATCCCATCGACGTTGGCAGTGGCATCTTGGTCGGATTCTGCGGAGAAGGGGGGTCTGATATCGACCGTCTCGGGGCTCTCTTTATCAAGCCCATCAGGAGAATCGTCTCCTCGGTTGACTACGGCCAACTGCCCCCGGGTAGACAAGGGATCCAATCCATTGAACTCGACAGCTACCAGCATGTGAATAAATCGAGCAGTGACCTGAATTGGTCCTGGCGAAAGTCCGTTTCTAAAACAAGTTCGCAGACCCTGGTCGCAGTCGGCCAGCTTCACATTCGGCATGTCCATCTCCGTGGAAGCTGGGATTCCCGAAGTCGTCAGTGTGGGCGCGGAGACTCACTGGGAGTTGAGCATCGAGGCGAGCCATGAAATATCAGAAAGTCAGACAAAAGAATTGGGATGGGATGTGTCGCGGACTCTGGAGCCTGGAAGGTCGGTCAGATTGACTGCGGTTACGGAAGAAGGGAAGAGCAATCTGCCCTATACTTCCACAGTGACCGTCTATCTTAAAGACGGATACTCGCACACACAACGGAGCATGGCGTCTATAAGGGCGTCTCGTACTCTCAGGTCGATATTCACTCCTCGGACAAGAAACGCATTTCCAGCTAATAACACACTACGCTTCGAGGAGAAAGTTCTTTTATATGGCTATATGAACTTATTATGTATTCAAAAACGCAGTGAAACTGAAATGCTTATCAATTCACGCCACTAATGGTTGCCTGAAAACAACATATATACTATGGATGTTGTCGTTCAGGGGTTTGCGATGTTGTAATATAACCCATCACATCTTGGTATACAATTCTTCAACAAATCCATTGGATACTCTAAAACCTAGAGTTGAATAACTCTTATATGATTCTCTACATAGTAAGGCTGCTCGGATAAAACATTGTGGCGATTGGCTCTCGGTTTCAACTGTGGGCTCTGGTGATGATGATCGTCATTGAATCGTCGATCAACTCGACATCTCCCACAAAGATGTCAGAGTCTTCCGACTAGATTGTACAAGCAGCAATATTGATGCCTGTTCAATGTTCATTTCATGTCTCTTATTCCGTTCTTCTCGTCATCCAAGTCCCTGATTTAATCCCGAGCCGAAAAGTCAAACGATTGTCCCCCCTCAGGTTGCGCGTCCCTGGTTTGGCACCACCATCCACGGATGATCACAGCGTCATCCAGCCTATGACGGTTGACAATGGACGATGATCTCGAAGAAGTGGAATCATATTTTCTCCAGAGTGCCCACTCCTTCGCTTGTCCTAATAAAGCTTGATCGTCATCCTGGGTTCTGATGTTCCCTGGGTCTGAATAAAAGCATCTTTCTGCCCTTTGATTTTGAGATTCTTACTTTTATTTTTTCTCTCCTGATGCTGATGCTCATTCTTTAAATAAATTCATTCGTTTTCTTCTCAGCGTTGGGTGTTTCTTGTTACCATGGCTCGTCGCCTCCTGACCACGTGCTCCGCCCTGTTCCTCTCCCTCCAAGCGGTCGCCGACGATTTCCCCTTCAAAGGATACGCCACCCAACCCTTTAATCCTCCAGACATTGCGATTCAAAAAAGCGGCGTCACCGACCCCGGCTACATATTCATCGGACCTCGGGGTAATGTGTGGCCTGGCACGGCTGCGCTGATTTACGATGACGACGGCAATCTGGTCTGGCAGGGCCCCCAGCAGATCACCGCCAACTTCAAGGTCCAGAAGTTATTCAACCAGGATGTTATTACCTACTGGGCTGGTGATATGATGGACCTGGGATATGGTTACGGTGCCGTTCATATCCTCGACAACACCTACCGCGAGATCTACACCGTCAAGCTCCAGGACGACTCCCTCCTCACCCCCGATAACCTTCCCCGAGACTCCTACATCGACCTGCACGAGAGCCACGTTACGGACCGCAACACTCTTCTCATCACCGCCTATAATATTACACAGCATGATTTGACATCCGTCGGGGGAGGCGCTGATTCGTTCATGCTCGACAGTCTTTTCTACGAGATCGATATCGCGACAAACGAGATTATTCACTCCTGGAGTGCTTTCGCCCATCCCGAGGAGTTTCCTATAACAAGCTCGCGACAGGGTTATGGTGAGGAGGTGGGTGCTCAAACGCGCCCTTGGGATGCGTTTCACATTAATTCGGTGGAACTCATGCCGGAAGGCTATATGATTTCTCTTCGTCATTTCTGGTCTGGCTTCTATATCCACAACAATGGGTCCGTCCTGTGGCAGATTAGTGTAAGATTTCCCTCGATGTATGAAGAAATGCCGAAGAAACTGACGATACCAGGGTGAAAACGGTCATGGTGACTTTACTCTCGACGATGGAGCCTTTTGGTCGTGGCAGCACGATATTCGCATCTACAACCAAACCGAAGAGGGGCTGGTTTTGAGCTTGTTTAACAATGCCAACACCCCCACCGAGACGAGTGTTCCTACCTCTGGACTCAGTCTCTATGTTGACCTGGTCACTCGTCAGGTCTCGACTCTTCGTGATGTACAGAATCCGTATGATGAAATTCGCAGCATGACACAAGGCAGCTATCAACTCATCGATCCCGTCACCTCCCATGTCTTTCTGGGATACGGAAGTATGGCCAGAGTCAAAGAATTCGATGGTGACAACAAGGAGGTCTTGACCGCCCAGTTCGGTGATGACAACACAAGTTGCTCCTACCGTGCCTACAAGTGCAAGTGGAAGGCAACGCCATATTGGAAGCCCTCCGTTTTGGCGAGAAAAATATCTACCACCACCCAGATATTTGTGAGCTGGAACGGAGCCACCGAGTATGACTACGTGGCCGTGTATTCTGTCCCATCCGAGGACTACACGGAGAAGACTCTGATGGGCACGCACGAGCGTACTGGATTTGAAACTAGGCTGGAGCTGGAAAGTGATGCTCCGTTTGTCGTGGTGGTTTGTCTCAAGGGTGACATTCCTCTGTCTACTTCTGATCCTGTCCCCGTTCAACCTGATCAGACTGGGACTGATCCGTATAGCCAAAGCAGCTAGGGTAGAACTGTCGGACACTTGGGCGTAATCAACCCAGAACATGGATTACCTTGAGTTTTCTGGTGCTTGTTTGTTTTTTTCCTGTACATACAATTTACTTCATCTTTGTATATAATTATCCCTACCAAACAGCTCCCTTGGTGATACCTGCATGATAACGTCAATTTACCATCAACAATCCACCAGCACAGAGTCGTAATCCGCATGTTGTACCTGATTACCGTTGCATTGCAGCCAAAATTACTACTATCCCCACCATCCCTGCATCAGTTCATAAAGATCAACAGGCACCGGAGTAACCAACCACCTGCAGGCGCACAAGGGGGCGTCGGGAAATAAAGATGTACACAATCTGATACACAATGTCTTGCAGTCACTTGATGCTTTCGCCTTCCACGACAACCCTTGAAGGGGACAAACAGTTTAAATGTCTCGGTTGACCGGACCAATTGGGGAGTGCTACTGCAGTTACACCCGATCTATGATTGTTATGGTTGTTTCTATCTTTGTCTGCTGCTTTTGCTGGGGGAAGGTTGTACCCGTTAAACTTGGGTCCCTTGCTGTATGTACCTCAGAAGACAGACCTTGACCCTGCATGATATCAAAGTAAGACATTGTATACTTCGTACCGTTGGCCTTTTAGTTCTGTTGATGATATCGAGAATGGGATATAAAGGCGTCGGTTTCTCCTGCTTCAATCACCATCAATCGCTCCACCCTCTAAACAATCAGAATCCAATTGATCTATCTATCTATCTATCTCTATATCTTTCCACCCCATCAAAATGCGCTTCAGCATCCTCGCCTCCCTGGCAACCCTCCTCCCCCTAGCCACCGCCAAAAACCACTTCAACTCCACCAAGATGAACATGCACAACATAAACCCCATGAACCAAACCACCGGCAACTCCATCATCTCCAACAACTGCGAAACCCCTATCTACCTCTGGTCCGTCGGCAGTACCGTCGGCCCCCAAATCGCCATCAAGCCGGGCCACAACTACTCAGAGCCGTTCCACCATGACCAGAAGTCGGGCGGTGTCGCGCTGAAGGTCACCACCGTTATGGATGGGCTTTACACGAGTGCCCCGCAGACTGTGTTTGCGTATAACCTTGTCGAGAAGAGCGTTTGGTATGATCTTTCGGATGTGTTTGGGGATCCGTTTGAGGGGGAGATGGTTAGTTTGATGCCGTCGATGCCGGAGATTGTCTGGAAGGAGGGGATCCCGCCATCTGGGAGTGAGGTTAGGACGCAGTCTTCGAAGGAGGATTTGGTGTTGAGTCTTTGTTAGATGGGAATTGGAATGATCTTGATGTTCCGTGATGATCTTGATTCTCAGGGGGGTTTAATTTGTGCAGTCAGTTGTGGATGGAGGAATTTATGGATGATCTTATGGATGGATGTTTCTCTTCTTGTCACACTTTTCATTTCCTGAATTCATGTACTGCTATTAGTTGATACATTTTGAATATTGAAGTTGTTGTTTATCGCTACAAGTATATTCGTGCCTCAGGCACGCACATGGATACCCGCCAACCTCGGCTTCTTTTTTCCTCCACATCGTCACGATTGTCGTCATCGACTCCAACGCCCATTGCTTTTCTCCATCCTTGGATCAATATTCCATGGTGCTTATGATTATTCTGGCCGATGATCATCAATTGGAACACTATCGAGCACCATCAAACAATATTCCCAGCAGAATGGGAGAATTGACCAGACCATGGTAGACAGTCGCAGTTCGACGATCATCGATTTCCCCGGATATCATCCCCAAATCTCCAAGTCGGGGATGAATTGCGCCAGACCTGTCGCCCATTATTCGTCGTCTTGACCGAATCTTGGGCTCTTTTGCCTTGCAGATGACGAAGATCATCAGCTTCAAGCTTCCTGGTCTTCTATCCGATCTGACCTCGGCCACAACCCCGACCGACTTTCACTCCCTTTCCAACCCCGCACTTTTGTCCCACGCGCCCCCAATTCCAGACCTTTTTAGAGCACATTCCTCGTTTTCTTCCTTCTCGTGTTCTTTTTATTCTAGCTTCTCTGCTCCTTTTCTCCTTCTCTCTCTCTCCTGATAACGAGCTAACGATCAATCCAATCCATCGTTGCACCTCACATCATGGTATCTCCAGCTGTTCGTGTGGCTCCTTCGGCCGCCAACAGAGCTTCCAATCTGCTACGCACCATCCAGTACACTCATCCTCCTTCCTGTCCCTGCCACTCAAATCCCAACCACCATCATCACCACCGCACTCCTACCCTGGCAAACCATGTTCGCCGTCATATGGCCACCCCGATCGACCCTTCGCGTGAGAAGGAGTATGCCTTTGAAATGGCGGCCTCCAGCATCCGTTTCGGCCCCGGCGCAACCAAGGAGGTCGGTATGGATTTCAAGAATATGAAGGTGAACAGGGTGTGCATCGTTACCGATCAGAATGTTGCGAAATTGGATGCTATGAAGCAGGCTGTTGAAGGGTTGAGTCGTGAGGGTATCGAGTTTACTGTTTTTGATAAGACGAGGGTTGAGCCTAAGGATAGCTCGTGAGTTATTCGTCATCTTCTTGATGGCTTTTCTTTTAGCTAACTATAGCAGTGTCAAGGAGGCTATTGCTTTCGCTAAGCCGTATAACCCCGACGCTTTTCTTGCTGTGGGTATGTAGCTACCTCTGCATGTTGACCTCATGTCCAACTCACTCACTGTTGAATCCAGGTGGCGGTTCCGTGATTGACACCGCGAAGCTCATGAACCTCTACACCGTCTACCCCGAAGCGGATTTCCTCGACTTCGTCAACGCCCCCCTAGGCAAGGGTCTTCCAGTCGCCAAACAACTGAAGCCACTCGTAGCCGTGCCCACCACCGCAGGCACCGGCTCCGAGACAACCGGAACCGCCATCTTCGACCTGGTGTCCAAAAAGGCCAAAACAGGCATCGCTCACCGCAACCTAAAGCCAACCCTGGGCATCTGCGATCCCATCAACACCCGCACCATGCCGTCCGCCGTCCATGCCGCCTCGGGCCTGGACGTCCTCTGCCACGCATTGGAATCATACACCGCAATCCCCTACAACGAGCGCACCCCCCGTCCCACAAACCCCATCAACCGTCCCGCCTACCAAGGCGCAAACCCCATCTCAGACATCTTCTCCCTGCAAGCTCTCCGCAGCACAGTCCAGTATCTGCCCCGTGCCGTGAAAGACCCCGATGACTTCGAAGCGCAATCCCAGATGCTCCTCGCCGCTACCCTAGCCGGTGTCGGTTTCGGTAACGCCGGTGTCCACCTCTGCCACGGAATGAGTTACCCCATCTCCAGCCAGAACCCGGGCTACAAACATGGCGGCTACGCTGTCCCCCATCCCATCATTCCCCACGGTGTCTCGGTGGCCGTCACTGCCCCTGCCGTCTTCCGCTTCACGGCTGCATCGAACCCCGATCGCCATCTTGCTGCTGCCGAGGCATTCGGTGTTGATATCTCGAACGTGAAGCGCGAGAATGCCGGTGACGTGCTCGGTGAGGCTATTGCTGACTTCCTCGTTAAGCTCGGTGACCAGCCACGCGGTCTGAAAGACCTCGGCTTCAAGGCCTCCGACGTCGAGGCCTTGGTCGAGGGTACCATCCCACAAAAGCGAGTGTTGATGCTCGCACCTAACCTGAACGAGGAACTCGAGGCTGAGAAGACAGAACTCCGTGGTCTGCTTGAACGGTCTCTATCATATTAGGTTGTGTGATATCAATTCCTATATCAGTTTTGCATTTTGGAACTTGTATATACCTTTTTGAACTATTTCTTTTGGGACAGATAGCATTGGCACGGTTGGAGTCAATTCATTCAGAAAAAAAACTTCATGGTTTTAAAAACATTCTTGGGTCATCAAATTGCGCGACATATTGTCGTAATGTAGCTTCAATAAACAGTGAAAGGGGTATGTATGCACATCACTCAAAAACCTCCTCGATTGTTTCCGGGGGACTATCCTCGCTCGCAACACTTCCCGCCCCGTGAACAATTTCCGTCCCCAGCATCCCCATAGAAGATGCCACTCGATCTAACCAAATAACTGCCCGGGGATCATCCTCATCTGAAGTCTTTGACGGACCACGCCCAAGCTCCGACACCACACGGAACGGCAGCGAGAAGGTCCTTGGTTTGTTATCAAAGTGAGAGACCCCGGATGAAGCCGCCGAAGGGCTGATCTCCTCAACCCGTGGACCATCCATAATCGCCTCCAATCGATCCATCAGATGTCTTAGCGCAGCGATGGTACTTTCCGCCCCTCGCAATAAAAGCGACGGGCTGGTCTCTGGGAAAATAGTCGGAACCGGTCCGATAAAGCTTCCTGGTCTGTACACGATCCCTTGCTTTCGCTGACTATGGGCACCAATACAGACCCTCAATTCGGCAGTTAATCGAATCAGTTTCTGGCTTGTATCTCGCATACGCTGGACCAGATCTGCTATGCGGACAGGTGATGCTGACTCGTCTATCTCTCGCGCTTCGCTGAGGTATCGTGGGCACTTTGTCATCTCCATAAAGGCCAGTTCGGAGATATCTACAAAGGCCGACCATTCCCCGGGTTTCTGGGAGTCCTCGCATCGGATCATAGCGGCGAACTTCTGCCATTCTTCGCGATCAAGAAAACAGGGCGTTCCCTCGTATACGGCTGTGGCGATCAGAAATCCCCGAAACGCGATGTAGCACGAGCGTCCGAATCCGGATTCATGCGCTTTGACGCCGCGGCTTAACATCAACCGCTTAACGCCATTCGCGTGGTGTACCCAAGAGTCCTTGCTCGTCTGTGCGTACATCTCATACACGCTCAGCATCATTACCGTGCTAAGCATATTGTCTGAGGAGGCTTCGGGGGTGTTCAATGCTCGCACAACCTCCCGAAGTGCAATGCCATACATCTGCCGACTGACCTTGACCAACGCCGGATCCTGGGTCAGATGCGCCAGGTAGACGGAACTCAAGCAGCAGACTGTGGAATCCTGGTACGCATGCGTTCCAAAAGTCTGCATGATATACGAAGGAAAATCCGGATGATCATCTGCGCGAAATCTGTTATGAAAATAAAGCGTGGGAAACGCCGCGCTGATGAAATCGCCAAACAGCTGTGGCTGCTGTCCAACGAACGATTTCCGCACAAGCGATGGATTCAAACTCTCGTCCAGCGAGACACCGCCAACTTTCGCAGCATGTCGTTTCATCATGGCGATGGCACTCTTTCGGACAGCTGCTGCTGCGCTGTCTGTTGGCTCTTTCTTCTTCTTTTGGCTCTCAGGGGCATCATTCTCAGATGCGCCTGGGGGGCTTTTTGATGCTACTGGAGTTGTGGACTTATGCCGACGCTCCAATGCCGGACGTTCGTCCTGGAAAATGAAAGTTCGTCGATACCCTGGACAGGGGCGGCCATATCTCCGACACTGTGTGCAACTGGGGACTGCCTTGTCACACTATATGGTATGAGCTTGATATATTCCATTTCAAGATCATAAGTACTGACCTTGATGCGTCGTTCACGACAGAGCGAACATCCGGTGCTGTGAGGAACGCCAACCATTGTGCCTCAGGTTGGGGATGAACTCTTCATGACACCACCGATCAGGGGATCGGTATACCTGACTCGCGTTACACAAATGCTAACCCGTGTACGGAGTAGCTCAACGAAATCTGAACAACGAAAAACGGGTGCTTTTGCTTGATTGAGGAGAAAGGGGGTAAGGGAATGTAAGAATTGAAATAAAGGAGTGTGAATTGTGAAGCTGATTGAGGACCATCGAACAAGTCAACGGGGAAAGATAAGTGATTATCTATCCCATCTCTTCCATCTCAAACAGATTGAGAACAAACAGCCCCGATCAGAGGCCTCGCATGAGACGGATTTGGACCGAAAAGATGATGCTGATCGATTAGTTCCTCCACCAATGTGACCGATAAATCAGAAGCAAAACTCCCTAAAAATGTTCCAGTCGTCGGTCTGATGATGCAGGGACCACCGCCAGAACAGTTCGATAAGAATAGTCGCGGCCACTATTTGGCCCCCACGATATTTATTGATTTAGGCGACTAGGCTTGTTGTCGCCTACTTTTTCACCGAGCACAAGCTCTGAGGCTCTTCATCAGCCTTAAGCCGAGCACCGGGGCCATTTTGGCTTGGGAACTAGTGAACTCTTGGATGCAAGCCGAATGGAACGGCAGGTTAGTCACAGGAATAATAAGGGATGATGCAACTGCAAGACACCCAAAGATGTCACTGCGGCTGAGATTTCCCCAAGCCTAATTCTAATAATAATTTTAGAATGGGAATTAGCTTGATCGGAGCCAAAGATAATCGCAACCCTCAACGCTGAAACCCAAAGGTTCCCTGCACGCTAATCAGCGATGCTATTTTAATCACTCAAACAAATCATCGTATCTGCAAGGGCGAATTTCAATGACCCTTGACAGATGGATATTGAGGATGAGTTACTGTCAACTGCATCCCATAGTCCGTTCTCGTTGGCAAGAAGCACGAGAAAAGGTGCAGACGATGCGCTTGGTCCTGGTGATATTAGCTCAAGATCGTGTTGTCAAGCGTTGATCCTAAGAACACGGGATATCGATAACGCCAAAAACAAAAACCCACAGAAATCGAAACTGAAAGGCTTTGCTCGTGTTGCACAGTTTCAGCCGTCTTCGAGTGGAGTCACCAAGCCTGAAAACGAGGTTTAGTCCCTTCGCCGAGAGGATCATCGCCAAATAGCAGCCAGTCTTACACCTTCCTTTCATATACCAAGACGTACCAAGACGTACCAAAAAGGCACCAATGGGTCTAAGGCCTTTTGTGGCCTAGTTCTATTTATTTCCGTCCACCACCTTGAAGAATTCTAATCATCCCGATGATCTTCATTTCTGGGGAACACGATACTACTTACTATGTTCTTTTTTTACCCATCAACCGAGTCATGAGTAGAGCTACCGTAGAAGGCTGCCAACTTGTGATACTGTCTTTAGCCTCGTTTCGTCGGGGTTACTTTCGTTTCAGCCGTCCACATGCTTTGATTGCGGACCCCAATATCGACCAGGAAGACAAGAATAAACACTGCAGATCATCATCTCAAGCGCAGAATTTCAACCACTGTCTGCTCCCCACAGGTTGATTTTATTGGAGCAAGGACTGCCGCCTGGTATTCTTTCCGCCCTTCAATTGATGGTGCCGAGAAATGACGTCGCATAAAGGTGTACATGAGCCAAGAACAGGAAACATCCCAAATGCTTCATGCATCTAGTTTTTATGATTACCTAATATCCAGAGTGGCTGGCTGATGGATTCAGAGCAGGCGAGTAATCAATTGAGCGGCAATATCGGGAGAGGAAATCACCTTGACAAACAAAGGAGGAGCAAAAAGCAAAAAGAACGGAACGTTTATTGGCCCGAATGCCATAAGATCTCCTGGTGACCTTGAATCCTTTGGTAGAGGATCATCGAACCTTGGAGGACACGAATCGCCAAACAAATTTACTCTACCCCGCATCCCCAGAATCCTGGGCGCTCTCGTGCAGCCATGAAGCGGACAAAGTGTATCCTGAGCAGCAATATGTGCACCTTCGATTGGCCCGTTTCATACAGGACTGATTAGACACAGTGAAATGCATATCATGTTTCCTTTAAGACCACGGCGTGCATTGTTGATCAAGTCAAAGCCCCTCTATCTGGGTTGATTATATTGGACTTATGCTGGCCCATCGGGATATCTGTCGCAGACACATATGGCAATGATGATCCTAGTACATCAATTGGCGAGAGCAGCATGCTCAACCATGCAAGAAGTTCTCCTCGCTGTGCCTCACATGAGCAGATAATGACTGATCAGGGTACTTAAGGGCTGGTTTCCCGTCTTTATCTCTTATTCTCACTTGGCTTTCTTGAGTACCAATATTCCTGCCAATCAATTAGATTTTTCACTTGGAGCAACTTTATTGCTTTCCAATGCCTTCTGCTAGGAACCTTACTTCCAGGGTACTTGTGCCAGAGAAGCTGTCTCCCGATGGACTGGCACTTTTGGGGGGCTCTTTAGAAGTGGATGAGCGTAAAGGACTGAGCGCTGATGAGCTCCTGGAGATTATCCCTGAATACGATGGACTGGTGGTACGGTCAGAGACAAAGGTCACAGCTGAATTGCTGCATGCTGCCAAGAGGTTGAAGGTGGTTGCCAGAGCCGGAGTTGGTGTGGATAATGTTGGTGAGTGGTTAAACATTGGCCCCAGTATCATATTGAAATACTAATCAACTTTTAGATGTGGGAGAAGCTACCAAGCTTGGGATCGTTGTCGTCAACTCCCCATCGGGCAACATCGGGGCCGCTGCAGAGCATACCATAGCCCTAATGATGGCCATGGCGAGAAAGATTCCCGAAGGCTGTAGCAGTCTTAAAGAGGGTAAATGGGAGCGAAGCAAGTTCGTTGGCGTCGAAGTAAAGGGCAAGACCTTGTCAATTATTGGACTAGGAAAAGGCATGTTGTTTGATCTCAGATGTCTCTAAGTTCTTTCAGCTGACCGTCATACAGTCGGATTGACGGTTGCAAGACTCGCCAAAGGTTTGGGAATGCATGTCAACGCCCTGGATCCATATGCTCCCCCTGCGCTCGCGGCATCCGCTTCCGTCACGCTTGTATCGTCTCTTTCGGAGCTGCTAGCTAGTGCTGATTTTCTTACCATTCATACGCCCCTGATTGCATCGACCAAGGGTATGATTTCAACATCAGAACTCTCCCAGATGAAGCCTGGTGCACGTATTTTGAATGTGGCCCGCGGAGGGACGATCGATGAAGCAGCGCTCTTTGAAGCTCTGGAATCAGGACATCTAGCCGGTGCTGCCATCGATGTGTTCACATCTGAACCTCCAGCTCCGGACTCTACGGCCGCGAAGCTGATTTCTCACCCCCGAACGGTAGCGACGCCGCATCTGGGGGCATCAACGGTAGAGGCTCAGGAGAATGTCTCTATCGATGTCTGTGAACAGGTCCTCCAGATTCTAGACGGTTCATTGCCTCGGAGCGCGGTAAACGCACCACTCATCTTGCCAGAAGAATACAGCAAGTTGCAGCCATTTGTACGGCTGGTTGAAAGAATGGGAAGCCTGTATACGCAACACTACGCTTCTTCGGCTGGAGGCTCGATGACCCGGAACACATTCGATCTTGTCTACCATGGTGAAGTAGCAAATATCAGCAACACCCGGCCTCTTTTCGCCGCATTGATCAAAGGCTTGATGGCTCCGATCAGCAGCTCCGATGGTGTCAACATCAACATTGTGAATGCAGATTTGGTAGCGCGGGAACGCGGCATCATTGTGAACGAGCAACACTCACGGGATCCAGCAGATCATTCGTACTCATCACTGGTGACACTTGTGGCTCGTCCACCCTCGCGAGCGTCCTCGCGTGCTCCAGGTGAAAGTGCGCCGTCTTCAACTCGCCTTGAGACACAGGGCCAACGAATCATCTCTGGAACATGTTCTGGAGACCAGCCCTTGATTAACCGACTAGGGCGCTTCGAGACTTCCTTTGTACCGGAAGGTACATTGATGATCTGCGAGAACTACGATTCTCCAGGCAAGATTGGAGTAGTGGGTAGTATCCTCGGACGGGAAGGAGTGAATATCAACTTCATGACAGTGGCTCCAGTGTCCAAGAAGTTCAGTGGTGATGGGGCAGGGCTTGCTGATGGGCCTGGACAGAAGAAAGGGGATATTGAGAAGGAGGCATTGATGATTCTTGGAATTGACAAAGTAGTGGAAAGAGGAGTGGCCGATGCACTGGTCAAGGAAGGAGGCGTGTTGAGTGCGACTGCAGTTTGTTTGATATAGACTGATGCTATGCGGCGTATGGGTTATGGTATTCAACTACCGGGATTATCTAGATATCTTGTTTAGATCGTTACTTAGATGTCATCAACATCATCAATATAATTGTTACAGATTAAATAATAATCTAATGGACAATTGTACTCTGACTCTGATTGCCGGAATATTAATCTCGATCATGCGCCCTGCATGTCACGAGGTCACATTCCTTGCAGCTCCTGTCTTCAACTCCTCAATCTCCTCCACTTCCAGCTAGACAACATCATCACCTTCACCATCATCAACAATGCACCTCATCGACAAATTCACCTCTCTCCTCTCCCTCCGCTCCCTTACCACCACCTCAACCCCCCAATCCCCCCTCTCCTCTCCCCATGCCACCAACCCCGTCATAAACGGCTGGTACGCAGACCCAGAAGCCCGCATCTTCGACTCCACCTACTGGCTCTACCCAACCTACTCCGCAGCCTACGAAGACCAAACCTTCTTCGACGCCTTTTCCTCTCCCGACCTCCTCTCCTGGACCAAACACCCCGTCATCCTGAACATAACCAACATCCCGTGGTCCACTAATCGCGCAGCCTGGGCCCCTTCCGTCGCATTCAAAGATGGCGAGTACTACATGTATTTCTCCGCCGGTGACGGGGCGGGGATCGGGGTTGCGAGATCCACCACGCGCCGTCCCGAGGGCCCGTTCGAGGATGTACTCGGAAAGCCCCTCGTGCCTGAGACGGTGTACGGTGCGGAACCGATTGACGCGCAGATCTTCCTCGACGATGATGGACGCAATTGGTTGTATTTTGGGGGCTGGAGTCATGCGGTTGTGGTTGAGTTGGGGGCGGATATGGTTTCGCTCAAGGGGGAGTATTTGGAGATTACGCCCGAGGGGTATGTTGAGGGGCCGTGGATGTTGAAGAGGGGTGGGGTTTATTATTTTATGTATTCGGTTGGGGGGTGAGTATTCCATGCTTTATTCGTTTGATGTTTTATTGATGTGCTGACGATGTAGATGGGGCGATGATTCGTATGGCGTCAGTTATGTGACTGGATCTTCGCCGACAGGGCCGTTTAGCAATTCGTCGACGAAGATTCTATCTGGGAATAGTGAAGTCGGTACCAGTACTGGGCATAATAGTGCGTTCACGCCCGATGGACAGGATTACTATATCGTCTATCATCGACGATTTCCCAACGACACGGCGAGAGATCATCGCGTGACTTGTATAGACCGGATGCAGTTTGACGAGCAAGGCAATATCTTGCCTGTGGAAATCACTACTACAGGAGTCGAGGGGAGACCTCTATCATCATGATTGTCAATATATTTTATAATTTCTTTCTGTGCAGTGGTATATAACAATATAACCCATTTTGTACACTCTCAAACGCCAAACGATCGTATGATATAATAATGCCGAAAAGATAATGAAAAGCAAAGGGTATCTCAAAACATGGAACTCCGCTTCTTAGCCAGCTTCGCTTCATCATTCGAATTCTTTCTAAATCCAAAGAAACTGCTCTTCTTCTGATGCAGCTGGGCCGGCTTAGTCGCCGCCGGTTTGGTGGCTGCTACCGGTTTCGCCCCCGATGACACGGGTATTGTTTCAGGTTGTGGTGCAAAACGCACCGCCGATTTCCATCGTGCATCATGTCCTGGCGACGCCATATACGGACTGGGGCCCATATGCGGCACCGATGGGGAATGGTAGTGGTAGTATCGCTGGTCGTGAGCGGCACTGTTACGCATAGGCCTACTACTAGCCTGCTGCTGCTGGGGTCGAGGTGGTGGCGTTGGTCTGGGTTGCTGCTGAGCCGAGCGCACTTGCTGCTCTTCGCGGCCGTAGATTTGTTGTAGCCGTTTAGTTTCCTTGTCGATTTCGGCTTGTTTCTCGGCTTTTTTCTTGCGGCGCGCATTCTCCTCGGCTTCGAGGAGCTTTTTAGTTTGTTTTTCTTCGGCTTTGCTAGGGGGTGCTTGTTTGGTTGTTGGCGGGCCCTGGGGTCGTTGTTGGCCCTGAAGTCCTTGCGGACGTTGTTGCCCCTGCGGTCGAGGTCCTTGTCCCTGTCCTTGTCCTGTTGGACGGGCATTTGCATTGAGTCCCCCAGATAGAGCTGGCTCGGACCTGTGCTTCCCCTTCTCGTTACTGCTGAACAAAGCAGCAGGAGGCGTGTTCGTGAGAGCGACAGGTGCTTGGATAGGAGCAGGAGTAGGCACAGGCGCAGGCGCAGATGCTGCAACAGGCTTCCTAGCCGTCGCATGCGAAATGCGAAAAGCATCCTTCATGGGTGTAAAAAACACATCCCGGATAGCCACAACACCCAACAAAAGCACCACCTCCAGACCCTTGAAGTCCTCCATTTCCACCCGGTATAGGTTAGGCTCGTACATGGTGAGTTCGCGGAGTCCCTTGAACATCGACACGATGATATCGGGCTCTTTGTTTTTCGTCTTGGCCTCGGGGATTGTGCTCGTTTTTCCGGACATGAAACATGTCATGTCCTTGGACAGCTTGCCATCCTTGCGCCAGTTGAATTTGAGCTTGGGCGTGACGTCCGCGACGGAGGGGTCGGTCTGTGTGCGATCCAGACTTGACGAGGAGGGTTGTCGGAATGTGCGCTGGGGCATCTCAAACTCCCATGTCGCGGCCGAGTTCCAAGTCTTGGGCTTGTGGCGGACGACGATTTTCTGGTCGGGGTTGTAGAGGTGGATGGTGAACTCTGTGGGGAGGATGGGTTCAGGGGGAGGAGCGACGCCATTATTCTGGCGGATAGCGTCAGCCGAGAGACTGGGTTGTGTCCATTCGGGTTCGATCAGGACTTCTCCGTAGAGAATGTCAGGGACGTAGGGGTCGTAGAGGGCAACGGCGTAGCGGTTCTTGGAGGAGGGGGAAGCCGGGTCGGGATAGCGGAGGGAGTAGGCAGGGTCGGGGTCGTTGCCATGTTGGCAGAGATAGATGGAGAGGAGGTGTTTATCCTTGGTGTTTTTGAGATAGAAAGCTGATGGATGTTAGCCTGGATAAAACTGATAAAACCTGCAGAATCTGGAACGGTAGAGGGAATGACGTACTGGGCAGGCTTTCGTCGAGCATCGTGGGTAAACAAAGGTCTAGAATCCCCCGTATCCAATGATGCAGGCAGATAAAGATGAGTTAAACACAAAAAAGTTAATGAGAGGCCATTCAGCGAGACGTCAACGCATGGAATTATAAGGAAGTCGGCGAGAAGCTCAGCAGAAGAACAGATGGAGTCGCTGCCACTGCGCCACGGGGTGATCGGCGGCTATAAATAGCGTCGTCTGCATCGTCGTCATCTTCTGATTGTTTTTTCTTTTATCTACGATGAAGATGAGGTATCTATTCGATATTCAATAGTTATCCTTAATTATTGAATGCTAAGATAGATAGTATGCATTATGGCTATCCCTCAATTCAACAATACCATCCCAATATCCCTCAACAAGATCAATATCAACAGCATCAAAGCTGACGACGCACCAGGCATCCAGATTATCAAATCCACAATGCAATCTACATGGCGTCGTCAGTGTCGGACAAAACGCAGAGATCAACCTCGCTGCCTGGGATTGATTACTGCAGATTCGATATAAGGTAGGCTGTGAAATAACTTAGGCTTCAATATTCCCTTTTCGGTCAGTCTGGAATTGAATCCTTCAATCTCACTGCATTGCACTACATTGCCCTGCATCCAGGCTTAATCAATAACAAATCTGTAACCAGCAGTTAGTTTGGTTTTTTATTTGATTGATCAAGAAGGTTACATACTTTGTTTTTGGGAAAATGAAGCCAACACAGGCGAAATAATCTATAGTCGTCAGCAGAGATGCGGTGTAGACGTACCTGGTGGATATTGCGATGATCATCTAAACTGCTTATTGCCGGATCCAAAGAATGAACTAAGTATTTCATTCATTCTGGATGTTTTTCTTGTATCGAAAAGGATATTCTCTATGTCTGTCAGCCAAAGAAAGGGCGGATATACCTGATACCTTCAGAATTTCAGTATAGCAGAAGCAGTAATATCCTGACAAATATCAGCACGTCCTTCAATAAAGAGAAAAGAATTGGACTCATTGATTCATCAGCGCAAATTTCACTGAACTGGACAAGTCACGATAGCATCAACTCCTGGATAGAATCATCATTTCCTCTTCAAGAGAAAGAAGAATGGAACTCATTAGCCTTATTGAGCAATAACAATAACCATAAGAGGGGTCAACATCATGACCTAAATCATCGTTAGTACAGTTCCTCATTCAGGGAGGAAAAGAGATAATAAACTCATGAGATGTTCAGTATAAGGTATATTCAATAAGATAAAGCATCATCTGTATCCATATTAGCCGTGAGGATGGAGGAAGACTTACCTCGTCGTCCTCTTGGATAGCATCGACAATATTAAACCTGGAGAATTCATCAGCTTTTGTATATCTTTTGGATGGACTCACCGGTGTTTGTAGATTCAACAGAAGATCAGGATAGATGATGGAGATGATGATGATGATGAAGATAGAAGATTTGATCGTAGATTTGGGTCTTCTTATAGACAACTCGAACAATGAATGCATCTTCCTTTGTTGGATATTTCGATACAGCATGCGCAGTTCGGCTTCAAGTATGAATAATGGCCATTGTCTGGCGTCCTTGAATGCTTCGAGAATATCCAAAACACCAGCATAAAAGAATCTGATACATGATTCGATTTCTTTCTTCACTTCGATTGATTGAGACTCGAAACTCCTCTTTGTTTACCCATTCAGCACGAATATAGCCTCGTTCGATTCTTTCTTTTCTTTTATTCTTCAAGTCTACCAAACAAAGAAATGCACAACCCGCCATCTATTATCTATCTACAATAAATTCCAAAACAATCAATCAATCACCCCTCATTATCGTCGCTTTCATGCACTGGTTCCCGGTTCGTCGGCGGTCGCTGCCGCTGCCTCCTCTGCCTTCGCTGCCTCTCTCTCCTCGATACTAAGGTGCAGGCCTTGATCATTCCATCCCTGCGTCCCGTTTCTGTAAAGCGACTTCTGTCGCTGTCGGTCTGCCATCGGTCCGTCCTTGCCACGGCGATGGCGCGACTCTTCCGTCTCGACCAGACTCGCATTGTCCCCGTCTAGTTCGAATCCTTCTAGGTCTTCGGTGTGTGCCTCGTCGGAGAATGTGTACGTGCGGTATTCGGTGTTGGTCCATCCAGTTCCTTGTTATACAATTAGCACGGTAATTCTTTCATCCTGGTCCCAGTAAACAAAGGAAGGAAGAACCCATACCCTGGTATAAACTGCTGTCCTCCCAGTCATCGGTGAAGTAATGCAAAAAGCCTCCGTGCGTAACAACGACAATCTCTTTCTCGGGTCTCGCCTTCAGCCACTGTCGAGCTGCCCGGGCACGTTGCTTAATCGCGTGGTTGGTAGGTGCATAGCGTCCAGTCTATCCAACATCCTCATTGTCAGTTCACCTGCAACAAAACCTCCCACCCTCAAAAGTCATAACCAACCTTAACATTCCACCCATCCTGCACAAGCCCCAAATCAACCGGTAACCCCTTCTCCTCCATCTCCTTCCTCAACACATCCGGATCACTCCCCGTATCACATGCGACGTTACTAGACTCCTGCACATCCGGGAGCGCAATCAATTTCACCGCGCTGTTTTTCTGAAATACAGGCTCAAACGACTGCAGAGCGGTATAGATAGTGCGGCGCAGTGGCGAAGCAACAACCAGCTCTATCGAGTCGTGGTTGGGGAAGTTTTTGCGGAGGATGCGGCATTGCTCGTGGCCCAGGTCCGTCAGGAGGGGGTCGGGGATAACGTGGTTTGCGACGGAGAGGTTGTGAACGCCCTGTGCTGTGGATTAGGATAATTCTCTAGCATCAGTTGCGTCGCGTTAATAGCTTACCTGGGCATGGCGGACGCAGTGGATGACGGGAGGCATTTTTTGTCTCTAATGGGTTCAAAAAAAGGGTCAGACCTTGAAACGTGGGGTAGCGGGGTACAGATCGGGTCTCACTGAGGACAAACGTACAGAATTCTCTAATTCTCGGATTCCAGAAAGAAAACAAATACCTGAGTAGGTGAAAGAAATTATTTTCAGGCTATCCAATGATGTAAATGAAGGGTTTCGATCGTAATGAAGAAGGAGAGTTTGCGACCCTGAGTCAATCCCGCGATGAACCGTGGTGTCTGGGTGGCGATCACGGAGTACCTAAGCTGCTTGCACCTACCCCCTCGGAGATTCAAGATGATGCACAAGAGCTGAGAAATAATTATAACATCTAGGTCCGCGTGATATTAAAGATTTTTAAATGAAGACAATCTCATCCCACCCCCACACAAGCGAAGACGCTACAGTCCGGGGAAAAGTACTCCGAGAGCATCCCTGGCAGGTTTGACGAGTATCGATTACGAATAGCTTCACGAGAGAATTTGCTTATTCTGAGTGAATGTGTGTATGTATATATACTAACAATGCACATCTAGGGTATTCTATAGTACGCCCGCAATTACGCTGCCAACACAGGATGCAAAATCCATAGTCATCGACCGAACTTGATCCAACCAATTATCGCTTTTATTAAGAATAAATCCCGAAACCAATGCAATGCAGTCTCATGCAACGCCAAATCCCCGGGCGTTCTCTAGCGCCTTGTTCAGCTTCTCTTCCAAAACATCCCTCGACGAATACTCCGACAGGAGGAGCCGGCCAAAACAGGTCAAACTGGTCGGAAGGCGCTAGAACGGTCAGCAATGATGTCAACAGAAATTGACAGAGAACTTACAGCATCACCCACGCCGTTCTTTTGGATAACAAACATGATGCTCGAAATCCCATTGACTGGAATACGATCACTGGCCGTGACAAACTCCAACAGCTGCGCCTTCTTTTCGGCTGAGTAACCCTGGACTATATTCCAAAAGTCACAAATTACAGGGTGGTTGGGTCCAAAGCCACCCTCATATCTTGCATGGCGCTCTAACTCTTTCATGTCAATCTCCTGGATTCCTTCCACCACGGTCTTCAGAGCCTCCGGTGTAAATATCGACAGGGCCGATCGATCAAGGCATGTGTAGAATCCCCGCGCAAATGCCTCGAATTGAGCGCGAATTGACTTGTCCGTCAGCCAAAAGATGTAGTCTTTGACAAACTGGTGTCGATTGGCGTTGGTCACAAGGCAAGCTTCGTCTGATGGTGGAGTGGGTGACTGGAGAGGGATCGAAAAATCTACGGATTTCGCCAGGTCTCCGTGGGACGAGGATGCGCGGGAAGCGAGATCGGCTGCCGTCGCCGCCAGCGATGATGGAGGACTCATATCCAGATGGTCCTTATAGTGCGGCACCTCTGACCACGCCGTCGAAAGCGCTGGCCGGCCTCCGGACTGCATGGCCCTAGACGGCAAAGGCCACACGGCGTCTCTGTCAACTCGTTGCATGTCAACCGTCTCGACACTCCCAAAGGCCTCGAAGCTAAATTCATATGTCCGCATGAAGATATCGCCCACATCGCCATCTTGCCATGTCAACAGGTCTCCAAGACCTCTGGTAAGCTCGGGCCAGCCATCCTGGATCTGATCTAGCTGCTTCACCTTGAGCCCCAGCAATTTGCGATAAAATGCAATTGGGAAAGTCACCGGAAGAGTCAAACCATTGTAGACCGCAAGAGACATCAGGAGTCCGAGAAGCTCGAACTTGTACAGCGGCTCCCACGAACCTGGCTGAAACCACGAGTTGCGTGTCCGGGCATCCATTGTGAACATGCCGTAGGCTGGGTCCAACGCTTCTGCCATGAGCACTCGGAAAAATTCTTGCTGAACACCACCATGATCAAGACCCTCCTCGCCTTCGTCCATTCCCATTTGCACCTTCAATGGACGCATCAGCTCTCGCTTCTCACGTCGCCATAGCTGATTGAGGGAGTCGGTGACAACATTGTCACGACGCACGACGAGCACAAGGTATGTCGACATGGATGTCTTCATTCGTGCCAACAAACTTACATCGTCATGAACGGGGATGGTTCCAAATGCAGTCTGCGTCACGTGTCTTGTAGTAGTCATCGCGGATTCGTAGTATCGGGACATGACTGAATAATTGAGAGCGCGGAAGTAAATGACCAGTGATGAAGGAGGGAAAAGGAACGAATATGACAGCAGGTGCATGGTTTTGTTATTCGACAAACTTTCCAGCCACTCCACGGGCATCTCCAAAGGGTCCAACCTCTCCGCAAGAAACGGTGTGTGGAAATCTTCCGGAACAAGACCCAGTCGGTTACGTTCCTTGTACAATGAGGAGAGTATCTGCACCGCGCCTCCAACAGCACTGCTTCTGGAAATTTCGGGGTTACCGTCCCACTCCCTGAGCAAGAGAGTGCGAATCCACTCGGCGATTAGAGCTGGAGCACCTGGCGATTGCGGAGTAGAGGCATCCACTTCAGCTGCCGATGAACCATGATACTTGCTGAGATTGTTCACAAGCAGATCCAGGACACTGGTCTTATTCTGCTTGATAGACTCGTGTGTATAAGGTTGACGAGTTTTTGAAATCTCATGAAACACCACCCGAGCGGTAAGAGCGCGCACCAAGCGGTTCATCAACCGGAGAGCCAATTCATGCTCCAACTTGTCGGTGACCTCAACAATCAATCGAGCACTTGATGTAGGGAGTTTTTGGATTTCGGCATTTGAAGTCACAGCCCCAATACCGCGCATTTGGATTATTCCTCGCCAGGTTTGCGCATCTATTTGCGGAATAGCGCTGATTAATGCGAGTAAGGTGACTGTTGCAATATCGGCGGCATTGGAATCGGTAACATGTTCATTCCCTGAGTCGGATGCTCGACGAGTAACTATGGGAGCAGATACAGACACTCCCATGGTTGAATTGGTTGATGAGCGGCGCGACTGTCTGCCTGAGGTCGACAATTCCTTAGGGGGAACGAATAACTTCTCCAATGAGCTCCACAAGCTGTGCAAAGCAATATCCCATGGGCAGATAGTGAAAAGCCTGCGTAGAGATGATTGCAATTGTTGAAAATCCAAGGAAGTATTCGTCGCTTTTTGCTTCGTTTCAACCGGGTCTTGCGTTTCTTTTCGAAAGGAGTGCAGAACCTGCTTCGCACTACCTAGGGTATAGAACACAGTTTGGGCAACAAATGCAAATACTTGGCGCTGACGGGGTGTCGCAAAGTGCCACTCTGAATCTTCAAAGTTACCAGCAGACTCCATAGAGGCCAGCTCGTCTCGCCATGTTTGTGCTTCTTCTTCAGACTGAACCATCATCTGCCCTAACCCTTCAACTATTTCACTAGTGAGATGCGTGACTGTCTGGACGGTAGAGGTGGTATTGCGTTTATGGCGTTGACTTTTACGTCTAGGCTTGGATTCGCTGGGAGACTGCGCCTCTGAGGGAATCCGATCATGAGAAGCTACAATTGGCTCTTCCTGATTCTCAAAACACAAGGCATCATTCAGGACTTTCGTGCCATCCCAAGAAACGCGTCTAGGCTTTTTGTGCTCCTCTTGGAGGGAGATGCTATTTGTATCCCCAATCCTCCCACGGTGCTTTTGCGGACGATGTTTCAACGCCGGTGGGGAAGGCATGCTGACGAACTCGTTGGTACTTGTATGCGTGTTGACTGAGAGTTTCCGTGCTGGCTTGCGCTCCGGGCGACCTTTTTCTTCAAGGCTTGATCTGGAACTTGGACGCCACTGATCAACCTCAGTGAGCGACAGTCGTTTAACCTGTTGATTTGGGAATTTCACCTCCACCGCCGTAGGCTGGCCGCCCGAGAATCGTGTAGACGGGGTATTAGGACCACTTCCAGTAGATCCGCTATGCGAGGTTGTACGCCCCATATTTGGTCGTTTTTCTGCACCCGTGTGCCCTTGGCTGTAACGGCCCCCCGGTTTTGGTGACTGACCGGGAGTTCGAATGGACGAGAGATCAGGGCCGGGTTGAAATTTCTCTGGGGATCGTCGTAAAGGAAGCCATTCCACCATTCGTAAAGACAACGTATCGAACAGGTTCTGAGTAAAAGACTTCGGATCTTTCATCTGGTGCGTTGCGGCATTATTATCATCATCCTGTGCATCGTCGTGTTGGGTGTGCGTATCCGAGCGAGGTGATCGAGCAGCCGTAGGGTCATCTGTCAGGTTTGAAGAGACTGTATCTTTTCCTATATGAGTTTGGCCTGTCGAGGTACTATCCCGACCCCCATTATGATCTAACCGCGACGATTCGCCATGTTCCGCGATTGTATCTTGTCCGGGAAGAACGCGGCTTCTTCGTTTCGATCGACGTGAATTATCTTGTGCCAAAAATTCCGATGGGACTCTAGGCGCGTTCCGACAAAGACCATCCTCCGCATTGTCCAAGCTCGCGAGGTAACAAGCCAGTGTTCGGGCACTCAACTCGGTGTAACGGCGAAAAGGACCTTCAGTCACCCTCCTCCGGTAGCTGGCGCAAGTTGGGGTATGGCAGCCGGGATCCTGACATCCATAGAGAACCTGGTTTTTGTACCTTCATATCGTAGAACAAACGGTTAGCTCTTGTTTCGCCCTACCGCGATGTATCAATTCTCAGTTGATACTCACCTGCGGACTAGTAGATTGAATTGTCTCCGTCGTTCATCTCTACACCACGGCAGAACCTGGGAAGGATCCGACACTTCGACGGTATTTTGTACAATAACTTCGGGGGCATTTGGAGGGAGTTTCGATCGTTGGAACTGTGGCCTGTCGATGCCACCAGAGGACCGAGAAACATCGGGAGAGCCCACTGAAGCTCCGCGGAGCCTGGTCATCTTATTGTTCGCAAGCTGGGCGCATACCTAATCCGCTGAATAACAGCAAACCTAAATATCTCGCCTGTTTGCTGTAACACTGGAGCGGAGCAAATGTCGAAATAGGCAAGCGTTGTGGTGATGACAGCGCTGTCCTTTGGCCTGGAGGCTGATATCATCCGGGGCCATCGCCGGTCCGCCACTGTGACTAGCGGCGGCAGCCTCAGGTGCCAAGGCTCGGGTGCTGACTCAGTGCGGAACATTAATAATCCCGATAGTGCAACGCTAGCCCTAATGCGGAAGTAGTACAATAAGGTCACGTGGATTAACGTCATTGCCACCGCCCAAACAGGAAAAGACGAGGATTTTGTGTGGTTCGAAGAAAGTCGGAGATGCTGGATTATTAAGAATGACACAGCGAGGATCAGGCGACGATAACTAGGCAGTCTCGGCTTCATCTTCATCTTCTTTTCATCTTTCTACGCAGGTGTCCCCGGACAGTTCTCTCATCTGCCTCTTATCACCTTTTGTTATCGCTCAATCGCATCCGACCGAATCTTTCGATACCCCGCTTGAGTATTTATCACACAACAGATCTTTTTTCCCGCCGTCGATCACGGCAATCCTCCTCCTCTCCACCACGTTTTTTCTTTATCGGACCGCAAGATAGAGACTTTCACAAAAATGTCTTCAGCCGCACCCGCTCCCTATACCTGCAACACTTGCCTTGTGGCTTTCCGCAGCAGCGATGCGCAGCGGGATCATATGCGCAGAGACTGGCAGTATGTTTCCCTTTACTTTTCTTCAGCCAACACATGAGATAACTAAGACCATTTTATCTAGTTTGTATAATGTAAAGCGTCGCATTGTCTCTCTGCCCCCCGTTCCCCAGGAATTGTTCAACGAAAAGGTTCTCGTCGCCAAAGCTTCAACCACCGCTGCCGCCGCCAAGGCATCCTTTGAAAAGACATGCGTCGCTTGCCAGAAGACTTTCTTCAGCGAAAACTCGTTCCAGAACCATGTTAAGAGTTCCAAGCACAAGTCTCGCCAAGCCAAGGCCAACAAGGAGCCTGCCGACGACACAGCTTCCGTCATGAGCTCGACCTTCTCCCTCGGAGAACCCATCAACAAGCCCCGCGACGGCGAGGCCGATGTTTCCAAGGTCGCCGACAACCTCAAGAAAACCACCATCCAAGAAGAAGGAGAAAATGATGAGGAGATGGAAGAAACTGCCGGTGTTGAAGAGTACTCTGCATCGCGCTGTCTTTTCTGCAACCACGAGGCCTCGGATATCCAAGAGAATGCCGACCACATGCTCAAGACCCATGGCATGTTCATCCCAGAGAAGGATTACCTCGTCAACATCGATGGCCTCGTCCACTATCTCTACCGCAAGATCAACGAGAACAGCGAATGTCTTTACTGCCATGCTATTAAAAACAGCCCCGCTGCCATCCGGACCCACATGCGCGACAAGGGTCACTGCATGATTGCCTTTGAAACTGAAGAGGAGCAAATCGAGATCGGTCAATACTACGACTTCCGAAGCACATACGAGGATGACGAGGACGAATCCATGAGCGACTCTCCAGAGGCCGGTGGAGTGAAGGTCTCAGACGGCGATGAGGAAGGCGACGGCTGGGAAACCGAAACTTCGGCCTCCTCCGTCGACGAGGATGAAATGGACTCGCACAAGAAGGCCCCCGTCATCTACCAAACCGATTACGAACTTCACCTGCCCTCCGGCCGCAGCGTCGGCCACCGTTCGCTCGCCCGCTACTTCCGCCAGAACCTGCACAACTACCCCACAGCCGAAGAACGCCAGGCCCGACAATTGGCTATTGAAAACGGAGAGATCGAAGAGGAACAAAAACCCAGAGGCCGTAACCAGAACCGTGCCCTCATCAGCCGTGCCAATGGCGGAACAGGCATGATTGGTGCCTCGGACGCTCAGAAACAGGCCGTGACCACAACAGAACGCAAGGAGAGAGCTAGGGCTACACGACAGGAGCTTCGATACACCGCTCGCATCAACAGAGCTGCCAACCACCAGAAGCACTACAGAGTAAGTCCCCACATTTTCATTCATCCCCAGTATCAAATATATCTAACCCTCTCGATAGGACCCTCTCCTCCAGTGATCTACTCATCAACTCTCATCCCGATACCAGACGAACTCGTCCACAAAACAAAAAAAATTATTCAATCTTTTCACTTTGGGAAATGGTCTACGGTTCTGTTTTTTATGGTCATGACGACGATGAATTATATAGAGGGGTTTTCTACTCTTTGCCATGGTTGCCCAAAGGGGCTGGCTTTTTTCAGTTTAGTCTAGTTAGTTTATGGAGTTGGTTACATTGGTCTCTATGTATTGATGAGGGAGGTTCACAATACCAAATATTACAAAAGTTATCATGTTTATATCTTTTAGTTTGAAGTGTGATGGAGAAAGTCTAGTAGATAATAGTCTTGGTATAGCATAGTAAAACAGATAAAATTGACTAAAGTCAGTAGAAATATATGGCTCTTCACACACAGATAGACATGAAGAATAGAAGAAGAATAAGTTATACGACTTGAGGTGACATAGACAAGGCACGCCCGGTTCTTTTGATCTCATGACAATCCGAATCAACATAGGCCGGTAATTCATACACACATTGGTTCGACTTTTAGAAGATATTTTGTTTATTGCGCACGAAATATATGTTTTGAAACAAGCGTCACCTTGAACGGCAAAGGGACAGATAGTTCACAATGACCGGAGGTCATTATGATAAGAGAGGCTGCTCTTCTGCCTTACGATCCTCGGACGCCTTGCTGGAGGCGTTATGGCGCTTTCGTCGGCGACGGCGTTTCTTGGTTGCATTCGAGCCTTGTTTCGCGTTTTCTGGCCTGTCATCATCGTCGTCCTGTCCGTCTTGATGAGCGCGAGATTTCTGCTTGAGGGAAGCCCGTGCTTCGGCATCTGATGAGCTGGTGCTGGTCGTGTGGAGGACAACTTTACGGATCCCATTGACATCAATCACTTGCTCCGTGATGCTGCCACTACGAGCCGGGCCACGATGCAGATAGGCGCTGACTTTACGATCCCCAGACTGAGAATCCGAGGAACGCCGACTAGCATCTTCACTTCCCTGTCCGTTTTCGATGATATGCTCTTCACGTACTTCGTGGACGGGTTCTGGAATCGATACCTGCGGGCCGTCTTTGGCCAGGGCAGGCTCATCTTTGGGTCGATCAGTTGGGACATCCATGGTGCCGTAGCCCACCTTTACTGCGTAGGCTCCATCTTTAGCATCGACCCCGGCGGACTGCAGAAGCCCAGCTCCAATGCCCCCTGATAGGTCCAATACCGGGGTTTGGCGAGACTGGGATTCCGACCTACTCACTCCAGAATCGATATCGGTCTGTGCGGATCGGCTGGGAGAGCTGTTGGCTCGCTTGATTTTCACGTTTTGGTATCGAGTCTGCCGCGGACGACTTGCCAGGTTGGATGGTCCTAGGTGCTTCAGATGTTCGCGGATTTCATCTGTGGCACCTCGCTGGGTCCATGTTTCTGCTGAATCCGATAACCTGTTGGTACTAGGCTTGCGCAGCTGGAAACGGGGAGGCGGCGCTTCGACTGAGCTCCGGCGACGTTCAGTCGTAGTCTTGGATGCTCTAGATGTTTGAGGTTCAATATCCGTATTAATCAACTGGCCTTCGGAAACAGGTATCCTAGGAGGCTCCTCCACAATTTTCCCCTTGGGGACCCGGGACTTGGGGGCGGGTGCCATTCGTCGAATGGCCTTGTGGACATCGATGAACACATCTGATTCATCGATAATTTCTCTAGAAAAAGAGTTAATAAGAAAACCAAGCCAAATCCACTGATTTCAAACTTACTCGCCAATCAGCTCCTCGATAACATCTTCCAGTGTGACAACACCCAAAACTCCACGATCCTCGCTGGGATACTCAGATACGAGAACCATGTGAGACTTGCCCTCCTGGAAGAAGTTGACAATGTCCAAGCAACTTGTCTCCGGGCGGGTCTCGGGCAGGGTAGCCAAGGCAAAGTCACGCACCCGCTTGCCGTCCTCCGGGTCGTAAGTGATTAGCATCTTGACGAGGAGCATACCGACAAAGTTCATAGGGTTATCTGGAGCATGGATTGGAATACGAGAGTATCCCTGCGAAAGAATCATATCCATGGTGTGCTCGTCGAGAACGGTATCGGCCGACATGGTGAAGACATCTTCCATCGGAGTCATGATGCTACCGACTGCCTTTTCCTTCAAATCCAAGACGGCACTAATGATGGTGACTTCATCGGAGTTGAGCTGTTCTCCAGCCTCGCCCAAGGTTTTGTGCAATGTGACCAACGTCTTCAGTCCAGCCTTTTTGTAAATTGTACCATGGTCTTCGCCCAGGAGTCGATCAAGGAGTTTGGCGACAGGCCAGGCGACGGGAGACATGATATACATCAGGGCCAGGACACACGGGGCCATCCATGCACCGATGGGAAGACCGTAGCGGACACATATCGACTGAGGAACGATTTCACCGAAGATGACTAGAAAAAACACAACGATGAGCATGGAGACAGCGAGAAGACAGAGACTATGGTTTTACCGATCAAAGCAGTACTCCCCAGAACTGCAGGCCAACCACCTCCAAGGGTTCGATCCAGGACGATAGGCAGAGATTCGTTGGTGATGACATTGCTGAGAAGGAGGGTGACGAGAACCCAATGCTTTCCTTTCTTGAGGAGATTGAGCACGCTAGCGGCATTTTTTCTTTCGTGGGCTTCGCCGGAGGTTTGAATGACTTGCAGATAGACCTCATCCTGCACAGCATCAAGAAATTTGATTAGACCCGATTGGTTCCAAATAACACCGTGACACCAAACAAACACATGGAGGACATACCTGGCCCATCAAGGCAATTGTCAGACCGGCAAACGCACCACCGCTCAGGACGAGGGCGGCAGAGATACCCAAATTCAGCCATAGCTGAGGGTCATCGACGGTCCCCTCTTCGGAGCGGGTAGCATAGTTGTTGTTGTTATTATTGTAGGATGAGGAACCCTTGAAGGTCGGGGCGGCTGAGATGAGGGGCAAGAGAGAGAGGACAAGGAGTTTGGCGAACCCAAGAAGAACAGGCCGGGTGGCCAGATAACGGTTCGAATAAGGCGTAGCCATCACAGGCGGGCAAGCGGAGAGGAAACAGATATGGAATTACTGGGCGGACATCTTTATAGGCGAACTTGCGGAGATGATCTAGTGCCGGCGCAAGATGACGGGGCAAATGACGTCTCCCTATTATATGGAGTGATCCGGGTAAAGATAAGGCGACCAGGGCGGATCAGGGGAGAGAGGAAAAAAGAAGGGAAAACCACGGATGTAAAAGGATAGACAGCCCGCACAGAAGATGAGAAAGAGTGGATTGAAGCTGGAGCTGGGCTAAAGCGAAGCTGAAGCGAAGCTGATGCTCAGGGAGAAAAAAGAGAAAGAGGGAGAAACGCGAGGATCGGCCGTGTTTGCGGCGATTGGGTTTGGGCCAATCAGAGGAAGCTGAGTCATCACACTGCTGCTGAAGACATTCAGGAATGCTGGTGATCTAGATATGTTAGATGCAGACAGATGTCTTATAAAGAGAGTCATAATATCCAACAATAGTTGCAGTTGATGGAAATGGACTTGTTGGCTGTTTGGATATATCTTCAACCGAACAGCATGTGGAGTTGATATTGAGTGCACGGATGTCTTCAGCCCTAATACAATCGACATGCAGAACTAGCTCTGCAGTATCAGATTCATCGGACTGAATACTACTAGCCAAAATACTTGAAGCTATTAAAGTATGGTAAGATCGGAAATATCCGAGGTGATTTGGACGTCCTACTCTGGCTAAAGAGGAATAGCTCTAGGTACTCTGGTTGTACGCTGTTTATATATCTGTCACTGGTTCATCTCTTGCTCCACCAACCTAATTAAGTTCTACAAAGTGCAACTAGTACCCGATTATACTATTCTTATAAAGCTTGTATTTTTAATGAACCTGTTAGTATTTTCTAGGGTTAAAAGAGAACCAATTCAGCTTACCGTAGTAGTGGGATGTCAGAGCAGACCAAACAAAATCGTCTTTGATGTCGTCCTCTTCCCCAGCAACAACAGTGGATATTTTGATATTGGATATCTTCCCATATAAGCATCAAGAGCCAGACAATCTCACCAGAAAAAAAATTCCCTCTTCCCCCTCCTTCTTCTCCCCTCTCTTCTTTCTCTTCCTTTCCTCTTCCTCTTCTTTTCTGGAATCCCTCTCGTAGAGACAAACGTAATGTTATCTTTCCTACCTCATTCACTGAGCTCAGAGACCCACCTGATAGTAACAGTAACCCTCCCTTCTTCCCTTTGTAGCGTTACTTGAGGCGATTCACCCGGAAATTCCCTCATCTCTGCCGTCTGGATGATATCAAAAAGACCCTGTGACTCGACCTGGTGGAGATGTCCGTTTCGCTTCCTCGCACAAGGCCTGACTGTCTGAATTCTCTCTCGTCTCATTGACCTTTACTGGATATTCGCTCGTAGATGCCCCACTTTCTTCCCAGGGTTGCCTTTCTGGGAATTCTGTGACTCCATTCCCTCTGTTGTCCCCCTCGCCCTCTCTCTTTTTTCTTCTTCCTCTTCCTCTTCCTCTTTCTTCTCTTCTCCTCTTCACACCAGTCAGGTACTCATTATCATCTTCTTTCAAGATCCCGCTGCAGCTTCAAGCTGTTTTTTCATCTTTCTTTATCTCTCCTCTTTTCTCTCGTCAGCTTCAAAATGACGACTTTGTTTGAGCAGCAGCTCTTGTTTGGGCGTATGTACCCAGAGGACTTAGAGCCAGAGGCCTCCAATATCCTTGCCGACTTCTTCATCGCCGATCTCAAGGCAGGGCCCGCCGTCTTCTTCGCGGCGTTGGTCCTCCTCGGCGCCGTGGCGGGATATTGGGGTGACCTCGCCCCATGGCTCTCGGTCACTGGGTCGTCGCTCGCCCTCTCTCTTCAAGCCGTGTTGACCGGTGTTGCCTCGCTGCTTCGGCAGCTGTTAGCCGTTCGTTCGTGGCAGGGTCTCCAAACCATGCTTCTTGACGTCAAGGGACGACTTACTAGGCCGATTCTCCATAGTCGATTGGTTTGCTTCGTTGCCTTCGTGTTTGATTGGGTCTTTCCTTTCAACAGCCCGATGACAACGGTGGCTATTGTCAGTGGTGCTTTCATCTGTGGGACATCCATGTACTTCGGTTTCCTGCTCCCTGTCTCTTGGTACCTGTACGGTGCATCCGCGGGTCTGAGAACAGCGAGTGTGGAGATGTCCCCGGCCTGCTGGCACGCTCTCCGCCGCTTCGATTTGGGATACCGTCAAGACCGCAGCCAATGGTTGGAAACCGCCTACTGCTTCGGCGAAGAGACGGCTTTGCAAGTGCGCGCGATTGCCTATGACGACTGGCAGCACTTTTTCGATGGTGAAGTTCACCACTGTCTCGTCCTCGCTTTCGTCGCCTCCACGATTCTTCTCGCTCTGCTAGGGGCGTGGTCGTGGGACCACTTCCAGCAAACCGTCGCCAAAACGACCGACAACAACACCAACAGCAACACCCTGATCCCCGCCCAGGAGCCCGAGGTTGCTCTCTGGAAGATTCTTGAGCCCTACCAGGCCGAGATCGACCAGATCAAAGCACACCTGGCCACGACAATCAACGAGCTCGAGCGAATCCGGCAACACCGTGACGAGGGCTGGGCTTGGGTTGAAAGACTCAAATCCGATTATGCCCAACTCTCGCAGATTCGGTCCGATGATACTGAAACCATCTTCGCTCTCCGGAGGGAGGTGATTCAGATCGGAGGGCAGCTCCGAGTGGCCAGCGAGTGTGAGCGATCCCTTTCTGTCAAGACAGCCAAGCTAGAACGTCAGCTAGCCGAAAGGGACCTGGTGGAGGGAGCTTCGCAGGGCGCAACCGAGGCGCTCAGCTCCCGTATCCAGCTTCTCAATGACGAGCTCGTCGCTCTCCGAGACCTTCTTGCTTCGGCAGAGTCTCGGAAGCAGCTTGTCGAAGCGGACCGCCAGAATCTCGCGCTCCGAAACTCCAAGCTTGCCGACCAAAACAAGGAGGTAATCGGCAAGTACGCGGAACTCAAGGCGTCGCACGACCGACTGGTCGTTCTCGCGACGCAGAACGAAGAAACCAACGCCAGGTACGAAGTATTGAAAGCCTCGTACGACCAATCTCTCGAACGTTTGCGCCAAACCGACAATGAGCGACACCAGCTCGCTCTCCGCAATCGAGAGATCTCCTCCGAGTGTGATGCGCTCCGAATCTCGCATGAGCAGCAAATCACCGCCAAAGCTGCGCAATACGCGGCGCTGCGAGCCTCGCACGACCGAGTGCGCGAACAGGCCCTCGTCCGCGAGCAGGCGGACATCACACGGGAGTACGAGAGCCTACAGGCTTCGACCGGCCAACTCCCTCATCTTCACGTCGCTTTATCGACACTCCAGCAGGAGCGGGATGAGGCCATTGCACAGGTTATGAGCCTTCAACAGCAATTGGACGCCACCACATCGGCGACGGATGAGGCCTTGGGGGAAGCCCAGCAGTCTGTTGCACAGGCTCGGGTGACTGAAGGGGCCCTCCGTCAAACGGTGGACGGAACCCAGCGTGCCTTTGACGAGGAACGCGCTGCCGCGACCGAAGCTAGGACGCAAGTCTCAAGCCTCCGTGAGGAGGTGGAGGATCTGCAGAGCAAAATCGGCATGGCCATGCGGGATGCGCAGCGGAGCCACGAGGAAGCGATGGCTTACAAGAATGCCATTGGCATTCTTGAACATCGTCTGTCCAAGTGGGAGCTGAGGGACAGCGCTCAAGAGATTCCCAAGCGGCAAACCGGCAACTTGGGGTCTATCTCAACCGCCCTTCAACAGAAGGAGGTGCTTGTCGCCCAACAGCAGGGGGAGATTAACGCCCTCAAGCTACAGCTCGCCCAGCCGGGCGCCGCCCAACCATCCGACAACGCCGCGATAAAAGCGAATTTTGAGAAGCTTCGGACTGCCCTTGACAAGGAACGGAGAGCCCGAACGGAGGATCAACTGCGGTGGGACAAACGGTGCCGTGAGCTGGAGGCTGACAACCAAAAGCTCCGGATTTCCATGTCCAACGCCGTCAGTCCCCGTCGACCGGTGCCCCGAAGTCCGCTTGCTCGTCCTTGATTTCCTACGGGACTTGTTCTCCCACTGGTCCCGGCCTGGGGGATTTACCTCTACGGCAACGGGTTCGTGGTTCTTGAGCAGTGTTTCTGAATCGAGGCCAAAGTTTGCATTACCGTGACGGGGTTTCGTTTTTTGCAGTGCTCGCAGGTGGGTGCGGCTTGGGGTCCCCTTTTTGGGACATGTGATACTGCAATTGGTGGTGGGAGTTTGGTCTCCGGGATTGGTTTTTTCGGGGGATTTGGGGTGTCGTGTTTCCGAATCACATCGTAGGTGGTGGGTTGTGGCTTTGGGTCCCGTATGGGAATCTGCATTTGTGTTTTCGGTGCACCCGGTTTGGAGAGAGACCCCCCGTCTGGCACGCATCGTGGTGGGTTGTGGCTTGGGTCCCTTTGGGAACCTGCGCTGCTGGACGGGGGTTGTGGCAGTTCGTGTGGTTGATCCGCTTGGTAAGAGCATCCATCCAACTGGTCTGTCGATTGCATGCTAACAACTGTGGGGGTTCAGGTTACCGCGGCATCGAGATCTCGACACATCAGGACAAGTTCGCGTGTTGGTCCGTTTGGTAAGACATCCATCCAACTGTCTGCCTTTTCGATTGCATGCTAACAGCTTTCCTCGTCCAGACAACCGCGATGTCGAGACAAGCTCATGGAACCCGCTGTTCCGATCGAATCGGGAAGGTATCTACACGGGAATCTGGTTGTTTTGACTGCGTGATAACAGATTGCAGGGCCATGGCGACACCCTGCAGTAGGCGTGTGCCGGTGGGTGGGCTTGGGGTCCCTTATGGGACAGCACACGTCTGCTTCGGGGTCATGGTACCCTCGCTGTCGATGACCTCTGACGGATTGCTTCACAGCGGAAGACCACTGGCGAGTGAGAAACAACCGGTCGATGACAGTGCATATGCTAATGATATCGTGGTGCAACAGTTAAATCTCATCTGAAAACCATCGTTCGGAAACCGTCGCCGCCCTCCGTCATCGCAAAGCACGAATTCTATCTACAATCTGGTAAGACTGGGGATCTGGGCCTGTCTCGTTGGAGTCGGATTGGCTGACAAGAAGTCATAGTCGAAATCTTTGCAAGCTCGTGTTCTTGCTTTTCTTTTCTTCTTTCTTCTTTCTTCTTACTCGGTTGGAGTTGGTTTGGGCGTTTTGTCCTGTTTTGTTTTCTTTCTTTTTTTTTTTCTCCTCGTATATCGAGTCGAGTTTTTTTTATTTGTGTACAAAGTACTGCGCCCTTGCTTTTCTTTTCTTTTCCTCTTTCCTCCTCTTCATCGGGACCATCGCGTCGTTTTTTCTTTCTTGCATGCAAAAGTCTTGCTTCGTTACGGCTGCGTTATTTGAATCGCAATGGGATATCTTGCGCAAACCAGGCATTACCTTTATCTGTAGACCGTATGAGATCTTGTAGATACGATCAACGACTGAGAAGACTGAAGCTCAAAGTCTACAGCACCGAGTACGATCGAAGGAGATGAAGCCTTGGTTAACATCTGGATCCTGAGAAGAGCATGGTGAATAGTAATTGATGTCCTAGATAAAATAGGTTATAATCAAGCATATCATATTAGTCATGGCATCAGCATCTCAGCGACGACGATGCGTTGGACAGTGTCACAGTTGCGATGAAGTTGAAGTTGACTTTGAGTAACCGAGGTCGGATTGGCCAATCACATGTATTCCTACGGCCGTGATAATCCCAGATATGAAGGCGCATTCTTTACAATTGGGACCGCAATTGAGATTCATCGCTTTATGGAGAATTTATTGGAGTATTTGAGCCTTTTGAGTGTTTCGAATAGTTTCAGGGTCTTTGGCTGCTGTCATGTCGCTATGGATACACGCATAGATCCCAGATAGGACCGTGTGAAGTCGAACAATCACTAGATAAGTATACGAAGTAGACATAAAGGCATAAATAATCGAATTCTAAAGAAAAAAACAGCATAAATGAGCAGAGACAAGGCCAATATAAAGAAATTAAACAGGCCGACCGTAAATGAAATACGAATGGCATTCTATATGAGCCTTTGGCGCTGCTCTTTTTAGCCTGTTTCAGCTGTCCAGAAGAACTCCTCCTTCAGCCCTCTTTTTCATTCTCTCCATGTTTCATCTCCCATTCACCATTCATTCATTCAGTCATTATCCATTCCTTTCCTTGCTATTGTTGTCCTTGTTGACATTGTCGCATTCCTTCTTTTGTCACCCTCTGCTCTCCTTTTCCCCCATTCCATTCCTTTTCTTTTCCTTTCTTATCCTCGTGTCTCAACTCTCCGAGCCCCCGCAATCTCCATCTATTCCCGCCTGCGCAAAATACTTACGCGCGCTCGCAAGCCACCAACCCCTATCTTGGCACGATTCGAGGTAATCGTGGGCAAGTTCTTGCATATCGACTGCATAAAAAACTGCGACATCGTCGCAATCAAATGGGTCGCTGGTTCTGATCCTCGTTGGGTGATTTGGCGCCGTATCCTTCACTCTGCCCCCTTATCTGTATCCCACTCGCCCACGGCTTAAAATACCCCAAACGGTTATGCGCCAGTGATCCTCGTCAGTCGCCGATCAAACAAAAATTTTTATCTATTTGCCGCTGTCGCTCTTTACAGAAGAAAAGGCCCGAGGTTGGGTTTATTATATTTCGAGTCTCTGGCCAATTCGTTGCTATCTTTGGATTTGTTCGCTTACTTTGCGATCGCGTCTTCGCCCGGCTGGTCCGACGGAGTCGAACGAAACGAACTTTATACCTGCTCTCCTTGATATCGTCATTCTTTTGTCGCTCTGGGAGCTTTGATACCTGGCAGGCCCAGGTCGACTAGCAATATGCTGTGCTGTGGAGATCGTGAAAAGGGAAGCTTCTCTGAGGAGAAATGGGACCATGTGGTAGGTTTGGCATTGAGCGACCGAGTACCTTCCAGGGGGCGAATGCTAACCCTTGGCTTTTAGAATATCGGTGATTTCAAGTCCGAATCGTGTCTGGCTGTTTTCTCGTACATATGGCTGTGGATATTCCTTATCGTGTCGCTGGCTGTGTATGGAGTGGATACATTTACTGCCGTCAATCTCCTGGCGTTCTCTCGATGGGCTGGTCAAATTGAGCCTGCCATTCCTTTCAATGTGTCGAGATGGATTTTCGCCATCTGTATCATCATCTCTTTCGTTTTGCTGGTTTTTCGATGGGCACGTGCCATCCGTGCCATCCGCTCCAGAAGCATTGCACAAAGTTACTTGGACTCTCTTGCCATGCGTGTTCAGAGTATTCGCATGGGGAAGAAGGGTCGTGGATGGAGAAGGTTCCTGGTTTTCGCTGAGTTGACCAAGAGTAAGAAAGGAGCCGAGTACGTTGCTCTGTTTGCGTACTTTTCTTTTGAGTGTAAGTTCCCTTTGTCTTGATTGTATATAACTCACTGACTTCTATAGCCTGGATGAACACCGTTTTTGCCGATGGACCACGCCAAGTCGTCAATGCCATTACGCTTTATTCGGTCATGCAAATGAACTTGCTACCTGGGGGAGAGAACGCGTCGAGCGAAGGCGGCTCTGGGGCCTCGCAATTCTTCAATAATATCAAGATCATGGCAGAAGATAACGACCGGCAGGCTGTAGTCCTGTTCGGTATGCTGTTCACACTTGTCATTTGGGTATTGTCAGTGCTGAAGCTGATGCTCGCTGTTGTCCTTTACCTCATCTTCTTGTTCCACCATATCCCTGCGGAGGACGGCACTTTGAAGACCTACTGCCGGCGAAAGATTAACAAGCGAGTTATGCGTGTTGTGGGTGTAAAGGTCAACAAGGCGCTTGCCAAGGGAGTTGCTCTGAAGAATATGGCACCCACACAACCGAACTTGGGCGCGAATGCTAAACCAACCTTGCCATCCTTCGGAGGCACTGATGCGGACAAGGGTCCCATCGTCACTACGATCTCTCGTAGCACTACGCAAACAACACTGCCGCCGTATACTTCGCGCCCGGGGACAGCAGCTCCTGACCAGAACCCTACCCTGCCGGAAATCTCATGGTCTATGGAGAAACCACCACTGAGCCGAACTACGACACAGACATCGGCGTATTCGGAATCAGCTTCAATGAGTGGAAGTGCCGCTACGGCATACAGTCCTCTTGACCGTGGATCTTCACCCGCACCACCGGTGCCCCCTTTGCCTAGCAATATTCCCACGTCTGCGACGCGTACGAATACACCCATGTCAAGACCAGGCACTACCCAGCCACGGTTTACTCCTGCTCCCCCGTCATCCATCAACGGGTCGGCCCGGGCGACTCCAGCAGCAGGATATCGATACCAAAACGAAGCTCAAAATCCATATGGTGCTTACCCGCCTCAGAACTCTCGATCTGGTACTCCCTACCGTACCTACACGCCGGCGAATGACCCTCATGCACGATCAATGACTCCTGGAGTAGCTGTTTCCGATACGCCATCTCCTGCTCGAACCTTCTCTCCGGCTAGCCATAGTGCAACGCCTCCCCCGCTGCCACCGCTAAACACCTACCAGCCTGGATATAGCGAGAGATCTTTTACTCCGGGACCTCAAAGCGCAATATCTCGATCAACGCCAGCGATCGACCCTTACCAAGCCGGTTACAGTGATCGATCTTTCACTCCAGCACCCCAGAGTGCATCTTCCCGATCTACCCCAGCGATCAATCCTGGCTACAGCGAGAGATCATTTACTCCAGGGCCCCACAGTGCAATATCTCGATCAACGCCGCCAGTCGACCCTTACCAAGCTGGCTACAGCGAGAGGTCTTTTACTCCAGCCACTCAAAGTGCGACGCCTAGACCACCACCAAGCGTGAGCCCAGATGCGTACACTGCAAGGTCGTATACTCCATACAACCCCAGCGCAACTCCTCAGCCCCAGCAGACCGGCTATGCCGCGTTTAACCCGACATTGAATTCGAATCCAGTCGAATCTCGCAGCCAGACCCCCAGCTCGCCTGGATATGCCGCCTTCAACCCATCAAATATTACACCTTCGAATGACCACGGAGGACCAGCACCCGTGCGAGCGTACTCACCCCAACCGCCATCGCAGCCTTATGGTCGCTTCTAGATGCCTTCGATCTACCCTTTTCTTTTCCTTTCCTTTTATTTCGGATTTTGAGACATATGAAGCAGCGAAGATTTATGTTATGACCCATGACGGAAGAGCTGGTTTTATCTTCTGCTATTGATGATTCATTTGATACACCCTGTTGATACCATTTATGACAAGCTGACCAATATGTGGGAAGCTGTAAATACCCCTTTTTTATGTGTTGGAAAACTCTTTTTCTCTCGGACATACCATGGATTCGTGCTGCTTTTCACTTGTCTATTTCCTTCGGCCAAGCAGGTTCTTTTCAGCGATAGACAACTCATTAAAAACAAAATTCTATCCTTTAATAAAACTCATTTCAACGTAGTCTACTCCGCAGTAATAATAAAGATGATATCGATGAAACATCCCGAGGCGGTGACTCCAACTGACCCCAGTCGGGCCGAACAACATCATATCATCATTTCCAGCCCATCCATCCATCTTACTCCACCTCGTGGACCAGCAACAAAGACATACCCCAGAATGGGCCTGATTCCACCCTGATATCAACAACCACACGACCATTCCATCGAGTGATCTCCATGTACTCCCTACGTACCCTACGATGCCGGTGTCTCCTTTCCCCTCGTCTCCCACTCCGGCTGGGCCGAATCGACCACGCGGACGCTCTTCGATCGTCGATACGCATACACAACTAGACGATACTAGTCCGTATGGGTTAAACGGTTATAATGCAGATACTAGTATGATGGACACGGAGAATTATCGCAACGGTGTGAGTGTCTCACCGCGAACGGACACGGCCACTGCGATCGGATCACCACCCCGACCGGACCGAAACCCGGCCATCGTGGATGCCAACAACAACCACCACCGCGAAGCGGAGGCTGGGAAGCCCACAGAACGGCAGCGGGGCAGATCCGCTTTGGTGGAGACGGAAAATAATAGGAGACGGAGTAATGGGAACACGCGAGCAGGCGCGGATAAGAAGGATAAGGCAGACAGAAACGGTCTGGGTCTGGCCTTGGATGATACGTCCGAGGCCGAAAATCCAGCACAAGATCCTCAACGGGGAATGGAGAACGGGGGAGATAAAAATCTACGAGATGATGGGTCCGATGGATTTCCCAGCCGACGCGTTTTGTCCAACGGAGCACGAAAAGGCGGTCAGTTGTCGCTATCGTCAGACCAGGGCTTAGGGGTTGTTCTAGAGCACACGCAGGACGGCCGCCATAATAGTAATAATAATGCTCACCGGACGTCGGTCGTGGATGCTGTGGAAGATTCCGATATTGCTGCTGCGTTGACTGGGCTGTCTGGTGATACGTCGCCACCGAGGAATCCCAACCACGATAAGGAGCGGGAGAGAGTGTTGAAGCTATCTCCGGCGAAGATGCAAGAGCTGACATCGTCGCCTCATTCGATCCCGTACCGTGCTGCGCCTTCAGAGTCGGATCACAGTCGCAGAGTTGTATCAGATAATATGTACACGGCGTCTTCTCGCTCCGGATCATCGGACGGGGCCGTGCAGCCGTTGGGCGAGATGAAAATCCCCCCGGAGGTTGTTGCGAAGCTCCGCGCCAGCAGAGATGCCCAGACAGATAGTGCCCCTGAGTTTACGACCCCGGTGTCGTCGAAGCAGACATCATCGTCGATTCGAAGTCGGCCTCATGCGTCACGAACCGTCTCCACCCCCGGCTCGTCACGGCGCCAGATGCCCTCTCTCAACAGCGAACGTTTGGCCCAGACATGGGCCTCGCGGTCCAGACAGGATCGCCCGTCTGTAGGCAATCCGGAGCCCGAGCAAAAGAAAAATCTTAACCCGTCGCCGCATATTACTGAACCGGCTCTGCCGTCGCCTATGCCGTCGTCGATTCCTCTGCCTCCCCTGTCGGTGCCTACGTATCTGCAACTAGAGCTGGCGTCTGGGCATCCATCTCCGCTGTACATACACCGCTCCGCCACGACTGATTTCCCCTATGAGTCGTCTCGGGTGAAGCTCGAGCGGCTGATGAACTTTCTGAGGCTTCCTCCGGCGTTAGAGCAGGTTCTTTGGTTTGGTACTTTTGCGTGTCTAGATGCGTGGCTGTATTCTTTTACGATACTGCCTCTTCGGTTTATCAAGGCGCTGTATATCTTGCTGGAATCATGGGTGGTCAACCTTGGCTTTGAGTTCCAGTTCATCTCGCGGTTTATCATCAAAGGCGTCGGACGGGTATGGCGGAGAAGGACGAAGGTATCTGCGGATGTCAATGCTAGTACAGATTCTGAGACATGGTCTCGAGCAGCAACGTCTGGGAAACCAGAGGCTGTGGAGCGAGAAGTCAGAAACAAAGCTGCGACGGAATCAAGACGACGACATCGGTCTGATACATACATGAACAGGCATCAGCATCGTCGACAAAAGTCTATTCCTTCTGCACTGCTTCCGGATGATAAGGCGGATATTCTTAAAGGGCTGCTTATGATTGCAACATGTTGCGTGCTGATGCGATTTGATGCGAGTCGGATGTACCACTGGATCCGAGGACAAGCGGCCATCAAGCTGTACGTGATTTACAACGTACTAGAGGTCAGTGACCGGTTGTTCGCGGCGATTGGACAGGATGTGCTTGAGTGTTTGTTCTCACGAGAGGCTTTGGAGCGTAGACCGGATGGACGCAGCAAGGTCTTCCGGCCATTTTGGCTCTTTCTGCTGGCTTTGGCCTATACAGTGATTCATGCCACGGCGCTCTTCTACCAAGTGATGACGCTGAACGTGGCAGTCAACTCGTACTCCAACGCATTGATCACTTTGCTGCTTTCTAACCAATTCGTGGAGATCAAGTCCACTGTTTTCAAGAAATTCGAAAAAGAAAACCTCTTCCAACTGACCTGTGCGGATGTGGTGGAACGATTCCAGCTCTGGCTCATGCTCACAATCATTGCCTCTCGCAACATTGTCGAGACGGGTGCTTTTAACTTTTTTGGCACTCTGGGGCTGGGGTCAACACTTGGTGGATTTTCGTCGACCAGTACTAACAGCACGCCTTTGTCGACTCCTCCGCGGACATCTTCGTCGATTCTTCCGCAGTCGTTTACCATTTTCCCATCATCACTTATCTCGTCTTTTAGCAAGGTGAATGGTTTTCTGCCGACTCTTGCTCAAGTGCTGGGCCCGTTCCTGGTTGTGCTGGGATCGGAGATGCTCGTGGACTGGCTGAAGCACGCGTATATCAACAAGTTCAACAATACCCGGCCAGCCATGTACGGGCGGTTCCTCGATGTTCTGGCCAAAGATTATTATACCAATGCCTTTGGGGATCAGAATCTGACCCGCCGACTGGGTCTTCCTGTGATTCCTTTGTCGTGTCTATTCTTCCGAGTGTCGGTGCAGACATATCAGATGTTCCTTGCGGCGTTGCTCCCGCAGCATCCGTCGTCGACAGCAGTCGAGGCAACTTCTTTATCGTCGATTCATAGCCATTATGTCCCATCGCCGATGCCATCGGCGCCACCTCTGACTCTTCGAACCATCATTCCGTCGTCGGCAGCTCATGTCAGTGCATTTTTCCGCAGCGTCCTCGCCAACGCCATGCCGACCCCAGCTCAGTCCGTGTACATTTTCACCGTGGTGCTCATCCTGACGGTGTTTATTGTGCTGCTGATCATGAAGCTTCTTCTGGGCATGGGGCTTCTGGCGTATTCCCGCTCACGCTACAAGTCGATGAAAGGCGTCGAGCTGGACAATCCATCTAGTAACGGTGCAGCTGAGCCTATCACTCGGGGACGAGAGTATGTGGTCGAGGGGAGCCGTCGAGTAGGAGGCTGGGGAGTCGTCGAGGTGAACGACGACAAGCGACGATGGATCTACGCCGATGATCCAGATGGACTACGGCGACTGAAGACGAGAGAGGAAAAGGACAAGAACTCCAAAGACGAACCGTTGAATATGGACCACGTCCAACGGTATGAAATGGTGGCCAAGCGAATTTGGTGATAGACTCGATGTATTGTATTATAATGTCACATCCTCAATGTACAATCTTACAATAGAATACCTGGACTCAATTCACTCCAGCAACGGCCTCCTCCCAACAACCACCTGCAAATTCACCACCGGCACCGCATCCCCCCATCCCATCTCCAACTCCCTCAACAACCCCTCCGTCACCTCTTTCCCTTCATCCTCCCCAATAAGCCCCGCCTTTGCCATCGACACCGGCAACGCACACCTCGCAGCCCTCACAAGCCACTCCCTTGCTTTATCTCTCAGCTTCTCCTTCCTAGAAACAGTCGAACACACATCCCGCCGTACACCCTCAAGCCCAGCCTCCACCGCTTCACGCTCAATCACCGCCGGCGCAACAGGACTCATACCGAGCGCATTGACGGCGCGCGTAATCAGCCGCCGCATTTCCGTCACGCAGGGTGGCTCGGTCTCAGCCGGTGCTGTGCTGTAGGATGTTGCGTCGATGTCTTCCCATTGCATGTAGCCGCCGGGTTCTGTCAATTAGCCTACACCATATACATATAAGTAATGGAAAGTGAGACGTACTCAACAAACCCCAAATATTGCGGATAGCAGCCTCGTAATCCTCAACTTTCAGACCCATGACTAGTAATCGAACATGCACGAGATCATAGCGCCCTTTGTGTTCCTCGGGAAATGGGTCGAGGATGTTATGTACACTGAGGTTGATGGGCGAGACTGTGTTGGAGGTGTTGTATTTGATGAATTGGGTGGGTGAGATGTCGAAGCCGTGATAGTAGTATTCTTCTTCATTCTCATCTGTGTCTGTATCTGTGTCTTCTGAGGTGTTTCTGGTTGAACATGAAGATGGAGAATGGCACATTGGTTCTAATTTTGTTTTTGCGTTTGTTTTCTGGAGATGAGTTGCTATATCTCGAAGCCAGACTCTACACCTTTTCATCAGTATCTATCCCATAAAAGGGAAAGATGGAGGTAAATACCCCGTCCCAGTCGCTACATCAGCAACACATTTGATTTCATTCTCCGGGATAGATGCATGGATGGGACTGGTTCCTATTAGTTCGATGAGGAATGCGTTTTGGACGTTTAGACTATCGTTCATCAGTACACCTTCGTCAGATGAAGTGTTTATTTATCATGACATACCGAGCCGATTCCTTCGAGTCTCGTCCGAGAGGATACGTTTCATTCTCATTAGCCATTATGATAATTAGACAATATAAATTAAACCGATAATATATATTAAATATCTAAATCAAGTCTGAAGAATATTACATTAATTTATTTATTTATATAAAAGTATAGAAAAGAGCTAAAGAAAAGGGGCTGTCATCTGCCCATTCTCTCGGGATTAGCAGTTCCTATTTTGGCTGGTCATATGGAGTCGCTACTCGCTAACTTTTCTTCAGGAATCAGGATTAGGGGTATACGAATCGAATAGGCGTAGGTCATGGAATTGGGTGTTGTTGTGCCTCATGATGGGTGTCGATGGTATGTGTTGTGTATCTGGCTATCTTAGCCTATCATGCTATTCTAGCAGAACTTTTGAGAAACCCCAGTTCATCGTAAAGACAATGGTATGGTCAATAAGCTGTCAAATCCCTGTCGCCCGTTGAAGATCATCTCGACTCCACTTTGACTGTCGATCCGAATAAACGGATAGCCGACAGCCTGATTTACCCCTATGCTGGGATGCTGGATGCGTATGCATACTATGCAATGCACTACATTCACATGCTCATTACGCCCGTGTTCATAAGAATACCATGCAATATGTATTATGAATTATAAACTGCCTCGGTAACTCCGTATACATATAAAAATACTATGTAATACAATCTAGTTGCCCCTTTCCGGCAACCGTCCAAACACATACCGGAATATCTCCCGGCTCTTGTATAAATTCTCCACGCGGAGTCGCTCATTGTCCAAATGCGCATTGTCACTGGCTTGTCCGCAGGGCAGGTTCGCCGCGGGTGCCGAGAACTCTTTCTCCAGGAAGCGGATCGTGGGAATCGAACCGCCCTCGCGGATGTAGATTGGTCGCACGCCGGAACGTGTCGAGACGGGTTTCGTCGTTTCGGGCTGCGAGGTGGGTGTTGAGACGGTGTCGGGTGGTGTCACAATGACCGTTGCGTCATCAGGGGTAGAGGCGATCGCGGTAGAGGTGTTGGCGAGGGTTGATGAAGTTGGCACTGTGGTGCTCAGTGCGGAATTTTTACGTGCTGCCGTCTTTCCGGCAGAAGAGGTGGTCGAGGATGTGATGATACGGTCGATGTGCGAAGCAAGGCTGTCAGAAGAGTCCTTGCGGAGGAGTTTCGACCCGGGCGCGGGAGACGGTTTACGTGAGGTCCGCTCGGGCAGGATTCGCTGAATAGGAGGGTAGTGGTGCTTCTGGCTCTGGTGGTCAGGAGTCCAAGCAGCCGTGATGGCGTCTGAAAGGGTCTCGAAGATCTCATTGTCCGGGTCTCCCAACCAGGCGTCGGATTTGCCCGTAATCTCCACCGTAAGGTCATTCTGGGATTCCAACAGATCAAACTGTTCTTGTGCAAATGCCGTCAGATTTGCTGCCACCTCATCCGCCTTCTGGTTTGGCACGATACGAATCGACAGACTGGCCTTGGCTTTGCGTGAGATAGTCGTTGCTGTCTTGGCGCTTCCCGGCACCTCCATCGAATGAATGGTCAACGATGGTTCTCTCCAGCGATGCATCAAGGAGTTGATCAGAGCATCGCTGTTGGGAATTTCGGGGTGGTGCGGTAGTAGCACCTCTGCGATGGCTGCATATCGCACCTTCTCTGCTTCCGTCAGAGACAAAACCGGGTCGTGGAAGTTGGGAAGGTTGATGCGACCCTTGGGCCCGACCAGAGTGCCCACGAGGATCGAGAGATCTTTCAATGGTTCATCCAGTAGGGAACTACCGTCAATACCACTGTGAAGATCCGGATGTTCGCTTGTGACAATCAGGTTTGCATGCACGACTCCACGCTGGCCATAAATCAAGCACGGGTTGAAGTCGTCCAGCCAGTAACTGTTGGCAAGGAGAATCCAATCAACCGGTCCGATTTGGGCCTTATGTTGTCGGACGGTTTCTTGGAACCCCTGAGAGCCAGACTCTTCCTCACCCTCGATGAGGAAAACCACATCGCATCGAAGGGTCTTCTGTCGGGCGAGATCCGCAGCTGCATAAAGAGCCGCCAGGATAGGCCCTTTGTTATCAGAAACTCCACGACCGTACAAGAAGCCATTGATTGAGGCCAGCTGGTAAGCATCCGTCTTCCATTTTTGCTTATTGGCCTCAGCACCAACAACATCGTAATGACCGTAGAAAAGAAGCGTCTTGTCGACCTTTTCCGGGGACGTTGCGTGGAATCTGGCATACACAATAGGATTGGTGTCTTCTCCCGTGGTCAAGAGTTTCGTCTTAGCTCCCAAGTAGTTACAGTGTCGTCGAAGGAAAGCTGCACCCTGGTTGCACTCTCCGCTGAATTTCGGACTCGACGAAACCGTTTTGAATGCGACAAACTTGGCCAGGCTGTTGACCATTTCATCTACTTGGGTCAGTCATTGCCGATGAGAAGATTGCAGGCGTCTTACCATTGCTAATCGGAGGCACTTCGTCTTGATTGAGAGAAAACTCGGTCAAGTCCCAAATGCCGACCGTGTTATCATTTCCTCCAGTAGCATAGATGCGACGGTCTTTGAATCGGCCAGCGGCCGATGCCAGCATGGTCCCTTCATGGGCAACCCAGCTGCCCACTTCTTCGAACCTCGAGTTGAATTTCTGCAATGCATGAGTAGATAGTTCGTAATAGTGCAGAAAAAACGCACCTTGACAATTCCGTTCGAGTCACCACACACAGCCACTCCTCGGATAATATCCACCGCCCACAAATCACCCGTGTGGCGAGTGATGCGTTTGACCAGCTGGTGAGAATCCAAGTTCCATATGTTCAAGGCACCGCCAGCAAGACCACAGTAGAGGAACGATCCGTCGACGGCGATCGAGAGAACAGGATCTCCGTTCTGCAGCTTTGCCATTTGAGCAGGCACCGTGTTGCCATCTTGCCCCAAACGCCACAGCTTGACAACACCATCACCAGCACCAGTTAGAAGTACCTCTTCGTTGGGTGCAGACTCGACCAAGCCGCGGACCAACAGCATCGAATACACGTAGCCATGGTGAGAGAACAGCCTATGGTGATCGCGCTTGAAGGTTAACACCTGGCCGCCCTGCGTCACGGAATGAGCAACATCCGAGCTCGAGTCCGGACAGGAAGCGCGGGTACCATCTGGACCTTTCGAGTCGAAGAACCTATGAGTACGTCGAGATAAGTGGGCAGCCGAGGTCCGTGTTGAAGCTGCGTCTGTTTTTGAAATATCGCACCACTAGATCCAGTCAGATGCAGTTGTCAAAAATCAGGAGGCAGGAACCGACCTGAATGCTGGTGTTCTGGCCACCACAGTAGACGGTCTTCAGACTGGACGAGTAGGCAACAGCAAAGATATCGCCTACATCGTGATGCGAATGGATAGAATAGAGTCGGTCAAAGGTTCTGGTGGACCAGACCTGGAGACGGTCAGTCAACTGGTCATTGCGTTGGGGAGGCTGGGAATTACATTGACGACGGAGTCGCCACCACTGGAGAAGAGGAGGTCACCATCATCGGAGAGATAGAGACCTAGGACACTTTCTTTGTGTGCATGGACGGAGAGCAAGAGATCATATGTCTCGAGGGACCAGGCCTGATGCAGAGTTAATTGTGAGGCAAGAGAAAATCAAGAAGACAAACGTACGACAATATCTCCACCTTGGAGACCAGCAAAGACACACTCGTCATCCAGGACCAAGGCAAGGACGGAGCGACTGGCCTGGACACGATGGCCGATGCCACAGTCGGCGGCGGGGTTTGAGTGGGAATTGGCAGCATCATCGTCCTGACGCGACAGAACGACGTCTGATTCCCATGCCTTGGTCTGATCGTCGAGGTCGGAGTTGCTGTCGGACTCCACGACGACTGCTGCGTTGTCCATCGCTGGCACGGGCGATGGAGACGGAGAGTGTTTCAGGTGTGAGGCTTCTGGGATAGGAAGAGGATGGATGAGTCAACGATGCTGAGCGTGCTTTGACCCTTTGACAGTATTTTAAATGAACCAATTCATCAAATTAAATCGATAGGTCAATCTGGGGAATCCACTTGGATGAAAAGACTCCACAGTTGATGATTCTTTGCTTCGGGTGGGAATTGAATTGTTCTGGAGAGAATCGGAAGAAGCAGAAAAGAAGATGTGGCGGTGCGAGAAGAAGAGAGAAGAGCGGCAGAAGAAAAAGAAATTATCTGCTACTCACCACGACAATAGGTTCTATAATTATTAGGATTATTATTCTGCATTTCACGGCAGAGAGTTTGATTCTGGTGTTTCTTTTGATTCCAACAGCATCGAGGCCTGACGGTTCAGTAAGGCTACACCAAGTGGAGGAGAGACGAACCTGGGTTCCCACCACAGTCGAGCCAAAGGAATACTGGCTCTTTGGGTCATTTTATATGAGGATACGGAGTAAATCAGGATGGATGATGAGGTTCAATAGTCGATTAATAAAGGTTATGCCATCAGACGCAGAAATGGTGAGATTAAAGACCTAAAAGGGATCGACAGGAATGTTGATAGAGATACAAACAGAGAAACAGAAAAGAATATAATATTACCTGAAGATAATCAAGAGAATTCAGAATGATTAATCCAATGAATTAATCAATTCGCCTGATACTGTTTACTGATAGGACATCGATGTCCTTAAAGGTAGGTTGGGTTGTACAATATGATACCTAACACGTACAAGCATTCCAGACATACGAGTATCAATCCATATTCTATCTATTCATCTACGGAGTAATAGTGAACCATAGTATTCTATCAAAAACATAATAACAATCATATAAATATAATATAATAATAACAACAACAATAATAGCATCGAGAATAACACAGGATGTTCAGCCACAGTGGCGGTGCGCAGCCATTCTCTCAGCCAATCACAACTCATAGCATCACCGTTCTTCTCTCCTCCAGTCCTTCTCTTCTCTCTTTGTCAGTCTCTCTCTCTCCTGTCTATCCATCAAATCATCTATCATCATCCTCATCCTCATTCTATTCTTATCGATCGGGTATTTCGGTATCCCCTCATGTATCTCCCCATGTACCCAACTCAGGGGCTTAACACGGCGCCTCGCAGCGCCAATGATCCATTTCCCCTCCGCCCTGCAATCACACCGCGACAACAAATGCACGTCTCCACGGATCTGCCCTCGTCATTCCAACCCAAACGTGGTATTATGCCAGATCCGCCATCCTAAGGATTTGATTTTGGCAAAAATAATCAGCAGAATGAATCAAAGAAAATGCCTTGTCCGCATCATCGACACCCAAGTGGCCCAACCAGTGCAAATACCCCCGCGGGATCCCATCCTGTTCGCTGCTCTGTCCAGCTTCACCTTCTTCCCAGCCCCTCCTAATTAGTTTATCGCGCATGTCACCGTCATTTAATATTATATTTTTTGATTATTATTCTTCCTTCGCCTTAAAACTCGTTCGTCGCCTTGGCTGTTGGTCATTTGTCGCTGCCCTTCTTAAGACCCCCGCGTCTCAGCTCCAACTGTCGCTCTTCTTCACCAGGCATCATTGTTCTCTTCTTGCCACCAACTTTCTTATATATTGCAACTGCTCGCAGTTTCTTTTTCACCCTTGACAGTCTTATTCAGCTACAAGGCTGGAATCCCTGAAAAAACTTTGCGATCACAAGGTCCACTCTCCACTTGGCCCTGATCTATACTTAACCAGTGCTACACCGCTTCATCGCGGAGTCACCGCTGATCCCAGCTTTCATACTTGCTTTATCAATGGTTTTCGACCAGTGACTGTCGTCTGAACGACTGGATTTTTCGATTGCAAATTCTTCCGAGCAACCTACTAGTTGCATTTGCATTCTATCACTATGGCTCCCTTAGGCCAGACCGTTGCCGTCTTTGACAAGTCGGGCAAAGTAGTAAGCACGGTATGTCGCTTTTTCTCCCATATACCTTCAAGATAACTTCTGACTCATACTATACAGAGCAAGCAATTGTTTGGTGTTTTCAGTCAGGCCAAAAATGCCTACCGCGACCGCAAAGCCCAGATTCAATCCGAACGGAATCTCCGAATCGCGGAGAAACAAGCATTGAAGGCAATGCAGAATTACACCATCGACGATGCCCCCTATGAGCCCCAATACGAAATTCAATATGAGCCATCCGTGGCCCCCTCGCAGAGAAGTCGCCGCAGCCGTTCGCGATACTCCTCGGGCCGCAGCCACTATCAACACCGCGACATCGAATATGAGCAGGATCTCTATTCCGAAGCATCGCGTTCAGAGTACCAACCCGCCGACATGGTCCGCCGTCACACCCAACCCGAAATATCCATGCGAGAGCCCCCAAGGCGGCCGGGCGTCAGCCGATCCATGTCGGATGCCAACATTGATATGGATCTCGCGTACGGTGATTTCAATCCCGATATGGTAGCCACCCGGGATGTGCCCCCTCCCATGCCGCCCCCGCCGCAGCAGCAGCAGCTCCAGCAGTTCGAAGACCCAGAGCTGAATGGCTTGGTCGACAAGGCTCAGATGTTGCTTGAGGAAGCCCAATGTGTACAGGCCAGTGCGACGGCCACCATCGCCCATCTGCAGAAGAACCCCGAGGCCATGGCTGCGGTTGCGCTGACCCTGGCGGAAATCAGTAACCTCGCCGCTAAGATGGCCCCCGCTGCTCTGTCTGCATTCAAGACCATGGCACCGACCATCTTCGGCCTGCTGGCCAGCCCGCAGTTCCTGATTGCCGCTGGTGTCGGCATCGGTGTCACGATTGTCATGTTTGGCGGCTTCAAGATCATCAAGCAGATCACCGGCAATGATAATAGTGATAAGAATATCGCTCCGACAGCCGCCCCGCAAATCGAGGAGCCCCCAACCATGGAGGAAATGTTGGAAATCAATACGGAACATCTCAGCTCCGTGGAAATGTGGCGACGTGGTGTGGCCGACGCCGAAGCTTCAAGTGTTGCAACCTCGGTCGATGGCGAATACATCACCGAAAGAGCGGCTGCCATGTCTGGCATTGACGTGACCACGGCCCGGATGACGCGCGACCCTCGATTCAAATTCGACGATGATGAATCGTTGGCGCCTTCCCAGCGATCCCACCGCTCGCGGAGATCTCATCGCTCTCGCGCTCCTACCATGGAGCCAACCCCGGATTCCTACGCGAGATCTAAAGCCCCTTCCATGGCTCCATCCAGATCTCACTCCAAAGCCTACTCCAGGGCACCCTCGAGAGCTCCGACGATGAAGGAGCCTTCGCGGGCTCCCTCCAAAGCCCCATCCCAAGCCCCATCTAGAGCTCCGTCTAAAGCTCCATCCCGGGCCCCGTCTACTAGGGCTCCGTCTATGGCCCCGTCCAAGGCTGAATCCCGGAGCTCCGAGAAGGACAAAAAGGCCGAGAAGCCCAGACGTTCCAGCCGTCTCCGCTTGATGTTTACTGCTTGATCACGACAGAACTATAACTCTACTAACTAGATTTTCTCTTTCCTTCTTCTTTTTTCATTTACCTTCATGTATATACTATGTACAGTCTTGATGTCTGTAGAAGGCTTGATTTTCTTTTCCATATGTGTTTATCATCATGTCGACAGATTGCATAATATTGAGTTCGTCTTGTTTTCGAATTCCACTTTTCGGCACTGTCAGGGAGTTTTTTCTGTTCTTTGTTTCCTTTTGCTATCATTGGGCCTGGATAAGTTTTGTTCATGCATTCTTCATGGCGTTTTATAATGATTACATTACAGCTGTTCCTCAAGTGAATACAGAACAGAACCCTTGAGGTTTTGATATGTTTATGATTTATCTGGTGGCTTGATCTAAAAGTTCTTTCTTTTTTATATTTTATCTCTGATCTTCTTGGTGTTTCTTATCTAGAAGATTGATTGGGTCGTTTGGCATTCATTGCATTTATGTGTGAAGATATTAGATACGATTCGAATATACCGTGACCACTTCATTGTTGCATGATATCTTTCTTGATGCATACCCTAGTATCCGAGGTCTTGCCACCTTCTGGTGAGAGAATGAATAGCTAGCACTCACCTCTTGACCATCTTGGTTATTCAAGTTTGATAGACCGACCACCTTAAGCTTTCAAAGAAATACTGAACAGCTACACTATTGCCCACCATGTCTCATCTCATCTACAAACACCTATAGCAATGTCGTCATATCGCTTAGATAGTTCTCACCACCCTCATCCGGCCGTACCGATACACCCCCATCCATCCCTATCTCCGTGCTTACTGTACCTACCTACCTTCCAGAAAACCAGATACCCAACCGGTGAGACATACCAGACCAGATTCCATGAGCCGAATTCCGGCCGATCTACCTACACCTACACAGCTGAGGAGTCCGAGGTGGAGAAGATCAGTCAGTAGTGGGTAGCCGTAAATGTAAATGGCGGCTGACATGAGCGACATGTTCATCTGACTCTTGCTCACGGCTGCCGGCTAGGGTTTAATAAAGCATTGCCGGGTCTAGATGAAATCGACAAGGGGGATTTGTTGTGGATATCTCATGGCACAGCTATGGGTGTATATGAAACGGTACACCGAATCGAGCCGGGAAATTAGCATCTACCCGTTCCTCCTCTCCAGGCCGTTCGTTCCGTCCGAATAATCGAGTAGGATGGATTATTAGCGACCAGGATAAGATCTTCATATTACTCCGTAGGTGAAGATAACTTTCACTTCGTGGGCTTCATATCGATGGAATAAAAGCTTGAATGAATCTCCCCCACGAAGGGAGGAATGATCCTCCCCTGCGAATCTGTCTGTTTCAGTCTCACTCTGTCTATCTTTCAAGTCGTATGAATCAATATATTCTTGTTTCATATTTCTCCAAGTAGCCAGTAGTAAAGAGCTCGGTATGAGACATAAGATAGACCAGCCGTTTCATTTCACTGTCTGTATGTTTCATGGCCTGCGAACGGATATCGAGTAAAGAATCGCTGTCGCAAGGAGCGGTATGCCTATGACTCTTTGCTACTGTAATCAAACGTGATGTATCATGATTAATTAGAGGCTGTATGTGTAGCCATGTAGGTCATTTTGCAGTTGACCGTTGACTGTTGAGACCGGTAAAGAGCAGATTAAGAATAAGCCGAAAAGTGGACTGATAGGCGTTTCTGGGTGGAGAAAGTAGGACGTGGGGATCGGCCAAGTACACTCGGGTAATCCACGCAAGAAAAAGACATGCATGCTTCCAAATTGAACGGGAAAGAAAAGCCCCAGAAAGTGAAAGTGAGTGAGGGGGCAGTTTTGACTTGATCGTCGCTGAAAGTCAAATCCGAGTATCAAACTCAAAGAGCAGGAACGCTGTCATCGCGTCTGGCGACGATGTGGGAGACAACGGCGGAGGAAAAAGGGAAAATGAGAGGGAAAGACTTTCGCCGTCCAGTCATTGGGTCAGCCATCACCAATGAGACTATGTTTGTCGATACATAGGGATAAGGGATGAAATCATGATCATGAATTAGGTATGAAAGGTGATGACCATTTAGGGGTTACACTGTATGTGACGATCAGAATCGATCGCAGGCAGACCGCAGAACAGCCATCGGCAATGAAGAACCCAACCTTTGCCGTAAAACAGTTGTCTCCCATCCTCGATGCACCGCAATTGAATTCCAAAACAACTCATCCAAATTTTATGAATCATGGACCCCAAGACCTCGCATTCCAACAGCGTGGGTCGAGGTCAGCAGGGCCGATTAGAATTAGATGAAACTGGAAAACCTGGAGGGCTCCGGTTTTCTCTCCGGAGAGAAAGCCAAACTCGGCAGATGAAGGCATTGCACAAAAGCCGGCAGCTCTCAATTTGAGGCATAGCTAAAAAGAAAAAAATGGATTTTTGCCCCAAAGACTCAACCCCCTTGGCCAATTTGGCCTTTTGCCGAGCGGCGATTTTGGTTTGGTTCTGGTTCCGTGCCAACTCCGGGCTTTCTTAGTTCTTGCTCCGGATTTACCACTGTGGGCAATGGTGTAGGATGATGCTTGATCCCCGTCCAGTAAGATGATGCAGGTTTGCATTGCCCTCGTTCAGGCTCTCTTTTTCGAGCAGTAGTTTGCTCTATTGCCCCGCAGAAGCCGGCACAGTTCACTGGCTGAAGCTTTCATAGTCCTTGTGACAAGTTCATAGAAGCCATGCTCTCCGTAGTCTACTTACTAGACGTGGAGTCTTTCCAGGACGGTGGAGAATGGGATGTGGGATCGATCCTTTTGCCGTGATTTCCGCTGGATGGGTTTGGTGTCGTTATAATATGGTCGTCTCGTCCAATTTCATCTCATCTCATCTCATCTTTCAATCCATATCAGGTCGCGTCCTTGGATCGAGTGGCAACCCTGAAGAAATCTGTGCCGCTGGGTCGACATAAAATACTAGTACCATTGTCTATCATCTTGGCTTTCTATATTCGGAGAGGTCTTGAATTCGCCATATAAAATCCATTTATCCATCACTCCAGTATAGTCAATTGACAGTGCTTCATCATGGATGTATCACAGGCAAAAACGCCTCTGGAGGTGATTGTTGTTGGGTAAGTTGCGAATCTTTTTCTTTTATCAAAATAAGGCTTCGATCTGACTTGTTCTTAGTGCCGGTATGATTCAGAACTATCTGAGTAGAATCGTCTTCTGACTGGTATAGGTATCGGTGGAATGGCCGCAGCTCTGACATTGGGCTCGCGAGGACATCATGTCACGATTCTTGAATCAGCGCCCAAGGTACGCTCTATAGACTCGTTCGTATGAGTCGGATCTGTTAATAACAGACTATAGCTTTTGGAAGTCGGTGCCGGTATCCAGGTGTCTCCGAATATGCTGAGAATCTTCGACAGTAAGTACCTCCATCTCTTCTCTGGACCACGTTTATTAACGAAGTACAGAATGGGGAATCTCGGACTTAATCCACGCCAAAGACGTACCTCTAGAACACATCCACGTCAGAAGATGGCAAGACGGAAGCCTCCTCGGCACCGTCCCTGTAAACAAAACATACGGCCAACAAGTCGTCATCCACCGCGCAGATCTGCACAATGCCCTAATCGACCGAGCGCTTGAACTCCCCAACGTCGAACTGCGCGTGAACTCAACCGTCACAGACGTCCAATTCACTCCGGCAGCAGTGACCCTCGCCAACGGCAGCATCGTCCACGCAGACATCGTCATCGCCGCCGACGGCATCAAATCCGTTCTCCGGGGCCACCTCCTCGAAGATACATCCACCAAGGCCATCCCAACGGGCGACGCAGCATACCGCATCATGCTGCCCCGGAGCAAGCTCGAGAATGATCCCGATCTGAAAGACCTCATCACGGAACCCCAGGCGACCCGCTGGATCGGGCCCTCGCGTCACATCATCGCTTACCCGGTGCGTAATCACGAACTGTACAATGTCGTCCTGCTCCATCCCGATAGTCACGGCGTCGAGGAATCATGGACAACAAAGGGCTCCAAGAAGGCTATGATCGACAACTATAAGGGCTGGGATAAGCGCGTGACCAAGCTCATCGATATGGTCGCCGAAGACGAAGTCCTCGAGTGGAAACTATGTCTGCATCCTCCCCTCAAAACCTGGATCAGAGGCTCCGTTGCTTTGCTCGGTGATGCCTGCCATCCAATGCTGTCAGTACCCGTGTCCATCACAAAACACAATCAAAATGTCTGTCCCAAACTAACCAACCCAACCAGCCCCTACGTCGCCCAAGGCGCCGCCCAAGCCGTCGAAGACGCAGCCGCCCTCGGGGTCCTCCTCTCAACCATAACCTCACGCACCGAAATCCCCCTCGCCCTGCAAGCGTACGAAAAATCACGCAAAAAGCGCGCGGAAACAGTGCAGCAGTCCGGCTCAGAGAACAGGATCACCCTGCACCTACCCGACGGGCCGGGGCAGATCGCCCGCGACGCGCAGTTCCGCGCTTCGATGACTGGGGGTGCGAATCCGGATAAGTGGTCGGATCGGGAGACGCAGAGGTTCTTGTGGGGGTGGGATGCTGAGGAGAAGGCTTTGGAGGTGTGGAATGGTGAGTTTGCTGCTGTTGCTGTTTTGGTGTTGGTGGTGTTGAAGCTAATGATGAACATGAACAGAGGTTTCTGGAAAGGGGTTCAAGGTCAATGCCAGGTTGTAGGAGTTGTGGTTTGCTCTGTTGGTTTATCGTGGGAGATGAGGGTGGTCAAGCAACTATTTGGGGAAAGAAAAGTACCCCTCGTGGTCATTTGAAGCAGTTTTCTTGGTTCAGCGATGTCTATAATTATCTCCACGCATTATTGTAAATAGTTTCAAGTGCATCTGCACATGTACAAATTATGATTTGGAAGAGTTCGGATTTGTGTAAAAAGGCATCTTTCTCATTGCCAGGTGATATCATGTTCCCACTACTTTTTCTATTCCGTTACACATTAAATGCTCAAAAATTACAACACATAGACCAAAATGAACCCGAAATAGTTATATCGGTGTTTATTGACCACGGATGGCCTTTAATCCCAACTCTTTCAATGCAGTTCGTTTTTTACATCTTCTCACCAGCCTCCTGCTTCATCTGGCCGTACTTCTTGAGACGGATGGCAGAGACAGTGATGAAACCGGTGGTCTCGGCGGGAGAGAAGTCACCGATCTCGTCCATGCTGGACTCGGTCATGTCGTACAGCTTCTCAGTCTCGGAGGAACGGCCGAGGACGGAGACGGCGCCCTTGTAGGCACGGCAGCGAACCTGTCCGTTGACGGACTTCTGGGAAGCGGCGATGGAGGACTCGAGGAACTCACGCTCGGGGGAGAAGTAGAGGCCGTTGTAGAGGATCTTGGAGTAGTTGACAGTGAGGAATTGGTCACGGAGGGCACGGACCTCACGGTCCATAACGAGACCTTCCAAGTCACTATTGCAGGTTAGTAACGCTCATCTAGTCTGATAGAATGGCGAAAATACTTACACGTGAGCAGCGCGCAAGCAGGTGAGACCGGGGGTCTCGTAGCAGCCACGAGACTTGATACCGATGAATCGGTTCTCGACCTTTGGAAATGTTAGTTCTGGTCATAACAAATTATCCCAACATTATCTTACAATGTCGATACGGCCAACACCGTTGCGGCGAGCGATGGCGTTGGCAGTCAAGAAGAGCTCGACGGCCTCAGTGACAACCTTCTCCTTGCCACCCTCGGTGTAGACGAGCTTAACGGGAACACCCTTCTCGAAGAAAACGGTGAAGTCCTCGGGCTGGTCAGGAGCGGTCAAGGGGTCCTGGGTCAACTTCCACATGTCGGCGGGAGGAGTGGTGTCGGGGTCCTCCAGGATACCGGCCTCGTACGAGCAGTGAGCCAGGTTCTCGTCCATACTCCAGGGCTTGGACTTGGTGGAGGTAACGGGGATACCCTTCTCGGCGGCGTAGTCGAGCAAGTCCTGGCGACCGGCGAAGCGCTCGTAGAAGACAGGGTCGCGCCACGGGGCAATGACCTTGATGTTGGGCTGCAGGGCGTAGAAGGCAAGCTCGAAGCGGACCTGGTCGTTACCCTTACCGGTGCAACCGTGGGAAACGGCAAAACATCCCTCTCTCTATTCATCCAAACCGATCAATATCGACTCTTCAGTATCAATAATCGGCGATCTGACTAACCTTGGCGACATCAATCTGAGCACGGGCAATGACGGGGCGGGCCAAAGAGGTTCCTTGATTCAATCAGTCTCCTGAATCACAGCAAAATATTGATCGCAACATACCGAGAAGGTAGACGTTCTCGTAGATGGCGTTGACAGCGATAGCGGGGAAGCAGAGCTCCTCGACGAACTCCTCTGTAACCAATGTTAGATTTCCAGCCGACTTGAATTGACGATAAGCTCAATTGTACATACTGCGGAGGTCAATGATCTCGCACTTGAGGGCACCGATCTTCAATGCCTTGGCGCGGGCAGCCTCGAAGTCCTCTGGTGGCAATTGTGTCAATGGATGATTCTATGTCGCATTTCTCCGGGGTGTCGAGTAATTACCTTCCTGACCAACATCGGCCACTGTTTATTGTTAGCTCTGAATGCATTGTAAGTGATTGACGAAGATGAACTTACTGAAGCAGACGACCTCGTAGCCATCCTCAAGCAGGTACTTGACTAGTTTATAGATTAACGACAGAACAAAAGCAAGGATCAATTGGTAAGATCATACGGATAGCGCTGGTGTCGAGGCCACCACTGTAAGCCAAACAAACCTATATCGCAATGGTTAGCCGTTGACATGAAGCAAGGCGATGCGGGAAATGCAGCGACTGGCGGTCTGGGGCACGATTGTTGGGGTGAAAGAGGGGCAGAGAGCAAAGCAAGTTACCTTTCCCTTGGTCATTTTGGATAAACAACGAAATTGAGTATGTGATTTGGAAAGATGAATACAAAGACAGAAGAAGAAGAATCAACAATCACCGACTCGAGGAGCGTGGTGGGAACGGTATTAATTGGATTGAGGATGAGTCAAGAGAAAAAGCTGAAAAGTTTGGCTGGGGGAGTGCGTCGGAGCGGGGAGTCACGCTTCGGTCGCTTCTGTGCGATAAGATAGGCGGGTCTGCGCCGATCATCTCCGGAGTTCGGACGTCGTGAGCGTTTTTTTGATATTACAAGATGATATTATTATGGGATAGATATAGAAGAGGGTCTTCAATTAAAGCTGTACTGATTTCGGTGGTGTGTATATATGGGTGGTGCTGGATTTGTGTTGCTAGGCTGCTTTGGGGTGTCGGTATAAACTCATATTTGAATATTGGGATTGCTGATCTGATTATGGTATGTTCATGTGTATTGACTGAGATATAAGACAGTAGTACTCAACTCAGATGTATGCTATTCCAAGTGGATTGGTTATATCGGATTTTCAAGGCACTTACTCCATCTAGTTAAGTGTTAGCCTTGCTTTTTACTGCATCTGAATAAGGCTACTGGCTAATAAGGAACAGTATGTCTAAAGATAAAAGATATTTAGGTTGATGATTGTAGTATTATTTATGACATCACTCGTAGCATTTGCCTGACTTGTAAATAATGACATGGATATAATGCAATGCAAATCGCTAACCAGTACGGTTAAATGCCCGATATTGTACAGTCCTCGATCATATTCCAGATATAAATCAAGTGTTGAGTCGTTCCAAGTTTGACCTTGGTATGCCGTAGCCACTTGGTGGCGATGACTGTTGATTCCATATTTTCCCATCCGTCGTGACAGATATTATAGATGGATCTTCGGTCATGATAATTCCCTTCGCTTGAGTCGCATATCGACTAAAGGGGGCGCAGATGGAATGTTCGCTCATCATGGCCGGCATGAGATGCATTTCTGCTTCCCACTGGGGTGGTGATGATGCAAGCTGTCCGAAGACAGTACGGGCATTGCATCATCTTGGTAGGTCACGACGTTTGTTGAAAGTCAACCCATACGGCGAGCCTTGTACCCAGGCGAGGCTGGTATTCTCCAGCCTACCGATGAAAAAATGTTGAAATCCATCCTCGTCTATCGTTTAATCAACCGGCTTCGGCCAGCCAGGAATGTCTGCAAACCATCGCGATCGGTAGATTTCATCCCCCTCGTTGATGTTCATGTTCACCCCGTTAACCACGATGTTGGTATGGTTGCCTCGCCACTCCCGGTACAGAGCCTGAACATAGATAAAGCTTCCATCCCCGGCCAGACTGAAACTCTTCAGGTCAGATCGGGGCAGTTCCTCAAACTCTCCAGCGCGGTTGTAACCATAGCGATCGATGGTGGTAGTCTCGAACCCTCTCATGTATTTATCAATCACGGCCTCTCCTTCCACAGTCCACTGACGAGTTTCCAGGTCGAAAGCGTGTAAATCGCGATCATCGGAAATGAGAAACGTTCGCTCATTAGGAACAGGGACGAGATCGTGCGGTCCAACCCACCAGCTGTATCCCTTTCCCCATTCGGTCTCCTGGTCGAATGCATGTGGCATTTTGAAGATTTGGGACTCGTCCTCGAGAAGCAGGCCTGTGGGATTGTCAAAGTTATAGCCCTGTAGGGTTCCATAGGCGGGTGTGTTGTCTGAACCATCGGCGGCATAGTCGGTTCCTACTGCCCAAAGCATCCGTTCCGTCTCGTCCCAAATCATGCCGTGGATGGCACGAAGGCCGGTAACGTTCTGCAGGATTGGTGGATCATCGACCAACGGGTTCTCCGGGTTGGCATCATAGACGAGAATACCATCCCAGGATCGTTGACCGGTGGTGCCCACGGCGATTCTATTTCCAGGTAGCAGCTCCAAGGTATGCGCGTTCCACAAGAAGTCATTGTCTCTGCACACTGCCCAGGTGATGATCTTGTCCGTCTCCGGGTTGTCAGGGGTATAGTTGACGATCATGGCGATGTTGCTGTATACGGCAGCAACACTGGTTCCGTTTCTGATCCATTTGAGTTCCGTGGCGTCGTTGGCCCTGTTCCAGAGACAGTGTTTAAGCTCTGGAGGAAGATACTGCTTGACATTGCTTCGTTCCCAGGTCCATTTCACCGCACCAGTTCTGTCGTGGACCTTTAGCAAGGGAGGGACTCCATAATGGCCGGTGATGATATTATCCCAGGTACCGTCGGGAGCGATGGGTTGTTGATTATGTCCCGGTCTGAGTCTCTCCTGAGGTTGAATCGGATGAAGGGATAAGTTCGTAAGCGGGTTTATCAGATAAAAAAGACAAGCCAAAATGTTGCTGAACATGATGAGGGTGGTTGACTTGTCGTCCTCTCTCTCCGTACAGCAACAAAGGGGATGAAAGGGGACTACCAAGAAGTCACCAAGGGGATGGGAGGCATTTTATGGGGGTGTGGTCCCATTCGCCCAAGTCAGTACGTACAGAACCCCATGCCCTCCACCGGCTAATTACTGATAAGTGCTAATAATATGGAGCCATCCCCTGTGATTGGCCCTCGATTCCTGTTTTCCACCTCGCTCTTGGCCTGGTCACTTGATTCTTTGCCCTTTCTGCTACGCAGTGGAGCCATGGCGTCGTCATGCCAAGTAGCCAATCTGCAGCGAATGCGGACTGCACAATCCGCGTTGGGCCAATAGAAACCCCCACCGCAGATGTAGGGCTGGGGACTGCATGAAATGGCCGTCGAATCACGTCTGACCAGCCACGATAACTTTTTCTTTCCCCTTCCCGAAACCCCGAGAGTTTTGAGAACCTGAGCCAATCACTACTGGGTTTAAGCGACGTTGATCCGATACTACACTACCATACAGTCTACATATCCATATCCATATCCATATTCAGGTATCCAGGATGGAACTGTGGTATTGTTATTATCCTCACTCCTTACATGATCCAAATTCAAATGTCACTGCCTGGAGTGTTGGTTGCAGCGCCAAGCCCTCGGTGCTAGTAACCGCCACTGTCCGCCTCTCTCGGTTCGTGCGGAATCGGGCGTCAATAGGCTAGCTTGGCGCTCCAGGGATGTCTTCTCGTCGCGCTTCAGTATAATCAGCATTAATTATCTCGTTATTCTGACAGCATATACAGTCGATCTCAATATGCCAAATGCTGTACATATGCAAATGACATGTTCTTCTAACATTCCCGCGTCATTCCTGGCCCCAACTCTGATATATATAGTCTGCGCACGATAGTCTGTCAGTGTCTCAGTTCGTGCTCGACTACGTATGCTCGATCGTGGCTTTGCTTCCGACTGTGGAACAGTGCATTCCATTCGGATTTCACTTCCTATTCCATCTTTAACCAGCCCTGAGGCTGACAGGCATTCTATCCTCGTCTTCTGAATGGCCTGCCAAGACGACGCCACCACTTTCGCTTTTCGGAGAATTCTTGTGTGCTCATTAAGATTCGATCGACGAACAGATTTAGATTGATAGATGAGATATTGAGGAAAGTAAAGCGGCGATCGATATTGATTTATATTGATAAATAACGCTTTTGAACCCGACTTTCAAGTTCCCTTTTGGTGTTCTCGACTACAGCACAAGGTACCTACAGTACTCGTATTTAGACTCAAAGATCCTCATACAGACACGGAACATCATCAATGCACTGCCTTCGATCTTCACCTAATGACACATCTAAACAAAAACTCTCCCTATCTCCAAGCGAAGTCTGTTCAACTACCGAGTGCCTCAACCTAAATAATAGTCGATATACAGGGATATCGAAGTCAAGGCATCCACTGTAAGCACTAAGGCCAACACTTGGCAATGGCATACCGAAAATACTCCACCGAAACCATCGTCAAAGAGACCGCATCCTGAAAAAGATATGCGTATTCGTATTTGGCTGTGCAAACCTAGTACTCCAGTTTCATGCGTATAAACTCGCTCCAACTACCCGTCTTTGAATTCCTGAAGACCATGGCCAGGAAGTTATAATTATAACGGCCCGGGGGCCTGAGTGCGTGGGGTAGTCCGTATAAAGAGTATCCGTATTCGCTGACGAAGCTTTTTGGAACTGGTAGCTGAGGGTATCAGTCAAGGATGTCTTTCGCTTGAATAGCTCTGATCCGCAATGTAGGATAGCATATTGGATTCAACAGACACCTAGGATCTTATTCCGGCGTCAAGAAGAACCGGTTTAGTTCGATATATCGCCAAGCGTTCTTTCAATGACTACTCAATCATCAATAATAGGTAGGAGGTGGTAAAATGAATCAGCGTACCTCATTACTTAGCTCTGCTCTAAAACGAAAAGCGTTGTATCGTGATATAAAATAACATAAGAGTGGCAGAAGATCAAAAGTCCAGTGATCTCCCTTTCTGTCCAAGACTGGTCAGGTGCTCCAACCCACGACCTTGCTTCCCCTCCTCCCAACACAACCTCGAGACTCTGCCTATCTATCCCAAAACTTCCCTGTCTGATATGATGTAACTTGATAAGCGTTGGGTTAACTCTCTCTTTCAGACAGGGTGATTCAAGGATAGCACTTCACGATCCGTCCCCTTCGAGGTCTTGCAGCCAGCGCAAGACCACCTTCAACATGGCCCCATCCCAGTTCCCAGCTTCATGGTCAAACACAGCTTGCACATGAATCTCTCCACCACAGATAACCAGCTCAACCTTTGAGTTCGTTTGTTGTTTCGACCCAATTACCTGTCCGAATTGCTTTATATCATCCACATATACCTCATCGGTACCGGCGACAATGAGCACTCTTTTGGCGTGAACATTTGCCCAGAAGTCCCCTACACCAGCAAGCGGCGTTGCCCATACATCCTCCTTTACAGGTTCCCATCTGGAGGTGAACAGCTCCATGGCATGTGAACTGATAATGTCTTTGTGGGCATTCAAGGTATAGCTGAGGGCCGTGCAGTCATTAGCGCAGCGGGGGCTGATGCAAAGAGCCCCCCGGAGCTGCTTCTGCTCTCCTTCGAATACCGGCTGTATGCGTGGATGGGGTTGACGCAAATGTGCCAGGACTGCCAGTGTCAGATTCCCACCAGCAGAATCTCCGGCGACAGTGATCTCGGACGCATCGTGCTGTTCCAGCAAGTATCGCAATGTGGCAGCTGCCTGGGCCAGCTGTCCAGGATATTTCAACTCCGGGGCCAGAGTGTATTCGAGAATGACGAGATTTGACTTGCCAGCCGCGGCGCGAGCGAATTTAAAATGACCTGGCGTCAGCGGAAAGATGTAACCCCCGCCATGGAAGTACAACAAGACATTCCCGGGTGTTCTGGCCCCGCAGCCGATAAAGTGCAAGGTTGCAGGATTAAACTCGCCTGCGTCGACCGAGATGGTCTCATGCGATAGTCCCTCCTTCTCGCAGAGACTCGAGATAGTACTGCCTGTCGGCTGCATCAGCGAGCGTAATTGTCTCAACGGGAGTGTCGAGGACACCCGAGAGAAGTGTTTTAGAAAGACTATGCGACGGGATATCGAAGAAGAATCCTGAGCACCCCAAAGATCTTGAACAATTCCGAATCCTATTCGCGGTATGGATAAGACTAGACTCGCAATGAACGCTGACTTTTCCGCTGCGCTGAGATTTGGATGAAGATGGCTTCCAACGACCGAAATTGCTGATGAGCCTGCTCCCGACATTTGTATATACAATGAGATCGACTCGAGTCGTGATTTTAATGTCCTCCACACACAAAGTCTTTGCCAATTCTTACAGCGCCTTCGCCCGAGATCGTCCGGAGTAGTTATCCGTTTGAACTGACAGTCTTTCGATACCGAGAACTCTCGATAAACAGATCCAATATACGCTTCAAGCGATTCTGTGTCACCAAAATGATCCTGAACAGAATCGCATCAATATACCGGGTTGCATTGATGCTGTCAGACAGTCCGACCTCCTTTTCCTTGATGTCAACATCCACATCACGTGAGTACCAGCTGGCTTTGTCTCCCGTCGGGCGTCGATCGTCTGTTATTTTTATTTTTATCTTTTTAGCTTTTGTTTTGTTTTTATTTTTCTCAAGCCTCAGGCAGACAAACGGAACATTATTGTCATACCCACGGAGTGCATATCGTGCATATCGTGCATATACCGGACAGAGAACAGGGATTCGAATCAATGAATCATTACGATCAAAGACTCACCACAACAAGAATTTTGCTCAGATCGCTCAAATCGTTTATGGGGACTTCCTTGCAGACAAAAGGAGTCGGGTTTTCTTAATTTAAACCCATTGCCCGTCATTCGCTATCACTATTTGTGATTTCCATTGTGGATCCGTTGCTCAATCTTGCGTCTATGAAGACCCAGTGCACCATCAATTCTTTATACAAATTTGCAGCCGCTGCCTCCTGTGGGCTAAAAGCATAGCTTTCGTATCATTCATAATAAATAACAAAGACAACAGATGAACCAACACCATATCCATCTTTTATGGCTGTCTGACTATGCTCTGATGAAGCTTTGGTTCTGTCTATCTGGTTCTTCACTTGTGTTCTAATGTTTTTATAGTGCCCACGGGTCATTGGAAGAACTCATCTTGGTCTCCTGTTCGTTCCAGTTGCAGTTTTGCGCTGACTGCTACGGTCCATACACTCATCATGGAAATCAGCGTCCATCTTCGAGCCATTTATATTGGCATTGCAATTCTGGTTTTTCTCAACCCGGAATATAGATTTTTTGGATCATATATCGCGACGGTCATCATCTATTCCAACATTGCTACCTGGCTCAAAATTCTCTATAACTTTACTTTGTACCCCAGGTTCTTCACGCCCCTGAAAAACCTCCCTACGCCTCTTGTGAGTCCACCATGCTGTGCCAGTGCTGCTGCGCGTTCCTAATGATAAACTCTACAGAAACGAACATGGCTTAAAGGCAACACGGATTCAATCCTTCTCGAGGCGCCATTCGCCAACATGCGCGAATGGATTAAGTCAGTGCCGAACGAAGGGCTGATCCGGTATTATATGGTGGGCAACCTTGAACGAGTTCTCTTGACTTCCCCTAAAGCTCTGGGAGAGGTCCTGGTACACAAAGCATATGATTTTGAAAAGCCCTCGCTGGTACGCATCCAGCTTCAGCGTGCGGCCGGGCTTGGTCTGCTCCTTTCTGAGGGGAATGACCACAAGGTTGGATTATTCTTGCGATAGTCTTCTATGTCAAGTTTCTAACTCTTGTTCAAACAGCACCAACGCAAAGAACTCCTACCAGCATTCTCCTATCGTCATATCAAAGACCTCTACCCGATCTTCTGGTCCAAGAGTACGGAGATGGTAAAAGTCATCGAGGAGGTACTGGGTGCAAGACAGCACCCAGAAGACAACGTCATCCAAGTCAGTGACTTTGCAAGCAGAGTCACCCTGGATATTGTTGCCGTTGCGGGAATGGACCACGACTTTGACTCCCTCCGCAACCCTGCGAATGAACTCAATAAGCAGTTTCGGCGAATCTTCGCCCAACCCTCCACCGCAATGAAGATCATCGCACTCCTGGGAATCTTCGTATTCGATCTCCGGGTCGTGCAGATGCTGCCCTTCAAGCGGAACAGGGAGTGCGAGGAAGGCTCCAGGGTCATCCGAGACGTAGCGCGCCAGATGGTCCGCGAGAAGAAAGAAAGAATGGAAAACAAAACCACCACACCCAAAGACGGGGTAGATATCATCTCTGTCGCCTTGAAGAGCGGCTCCTTCAGTGAAGAAAATCTAGTCGACCAAATGATGACTTTCCTAACCGCCGGCCACGAAACCACAGCCACAGCCCTGCAATGGGCTGTATACGCCCTCTGCAAGCATCCCGACGTACAAACTCGACTCCGCGAAGAAATCCGCTCCAACCTTCCTCCCATCTCAACAGAAAACCCCGACATCATCACCGCCACCCAAATCGACTCCCTCCCCTACCTCAACGCAGTTTGCAACGAAGTCCTCCGCTTCCATCCCTCCGTCCCCATCACCGTCCGCATCGCCAGTCGCGACACGAGAATCATCGACAAACCAATCCCCAAGGACAGCTTCATCGTCATCGTCCCCGGCATCATCAACCGCGACAAAGAACTCTGGGGCCCAGACGCAGACACATTCAACCCAGAGCGGTGGCTCGGCCAGGGACGCGCCAACAGTGGCGGCGCCAGTAACAACTACGCTTTCCTGACATTCCTCCACGGCCCGCGAAGCTGCATCGGGCAGGGCTTTGCAAAGGGCGAACTGGCCTGTCTGATTGCTGCTACCGTGGGACGATTCCATATGGAGTTGAAGGATCCCGATGCTGAGGCACAGCTCGCAATAGGCGCTACTGTCGCTCCCAAGGATGGTGTTCTTGCTAGGTTTACCGTTTTGGATGGCTGGTAGGCTTACCAAGGTAGTTCTGCTCTGTATCTTTTGTTCTTGTATTTTTTGTCCATGGCGGACTGTCTTTTCGGGTTGGATGTTATTCGTGTATTTAGTACATGATGTATCATGTGCTTTTATCTTTCTTTTCGGTTGGTTTTTGTGTATATGATAAATGAGTTCTAAAATAGTCTAATAATCAAACCCTTATTGCTCATGCGCCACGGTAGTCATCTATCATGTGAATATTAAACCACCGGAATCACTAGCTTTCCTTTATCTAGCACAATACGGCAACTTCTTTCAACAACCATCCGATGTGGTGTAGTGGTTAACATCGTCGTCTCTCACACGACAGCCCGGGGTTCGATTCCCCGTGTCGGAACTTGAAGATTCATTTTTTTTTTCTTTTTTGCACCAATTCAATTGGCGAATAATTGATTGACTGCTTGCTTGTCTTTCTTGATTCTTCTTATATGTTTTATAGATGGCATTCATCGACCGAGCGCTTGTAGTGTTGATAATGGACATGATATAAAACGTCTACTGGTGCTCCTCCCTAAAGACCATCACCCGTTCTACATCTCTACCATTCGCATCCTCTTCGATCCAAGTGCGCCACATACCCCCAGAATTAAAATCAAACACGACCTTGCCTCGTTTCAGTCTCCTCATGCTTCTCTTCTCGCCCATTAGAGTCGCTCCCACGTCCGTATCAGTATCAGCTTCGGCTTCAATTCCAATGATACCACCTGCTCCCTCGGCTGTCTTGCCCCATCGTTTCCCTGCAGAACGCTGTAGCTCGCCATTAGGCCCTGCGACGGCCGTGACGGCCTCTGCTAGGGTATTAGGGAAGCTATTTGGCGCAGAAAATCGAAGCATGGCGGAGGCTGTGCGGGCAGCAACAACGCGAAGGAACGAGTCGCCATTGCCGGTTCCGGAGACGGCGATGGCTCGTCGGGTCGATGTGTGGCGGCTATGCGGTTGAGATGGTGCATTAGATGTCGGCAATGCTGTATATGCGGTCGGTGCATCTCTCAAGAAAGGAGGCATGCAGTCCGCCAGAAGAGATCGGATGGTGTGCGTCATGTCCCAGATACTCGTGCCTGCCCCAGGGCCCGACATTGACTGTAACGGAAGTCGTGCCTCCTTATCGACATCCCACGCTTCTGCCCAGAACCCAGCTCCCAACGTCGGTGTATCTCCAATCCTCCCGGGTAACTTGTTCGTCAACCCTCCTGTACTAGTCGCGACGGCGAGGTTCCCCCATTGATCTAAGCAAACACAACCAACGGTCCCCTGGCTCAGGAAAATCGGCTCCTTCTCACCTTTCAACCCCCGCAGATGTTCATCCCAGCGTTCCTTCGTCCAGAACCATTCGTCAGGCTTAAACTCAAGACCCCATTCCCGTGCTAGCTCCTCCACAACCGGGGCCGCGAGCTGGGAGTGCATATTTCCTCCATCACCATTCGGTTCGCCATCGGCGTTATACCCAGTCCGTAGTAGCGATTCTCGAGCAAGACGGATGGGATGTCGTACATTCTTGAGACCGATTACTCCAGCACCTCGTTTCACCGCTCCTTCTAGGTCGTCGCCCTTTTGCACGCTTGTCACCATGACCGAGGCTTCCATCTCAATTGTCCCAGCGGAGGTGAAGACACTTCCACGGCCGCAATTGAAGAGCTCATCATCCTCCATCAATGAGACTGCGTGGACCGCTGCATCGAGTGCGCTACCGCCATTGTTCAATAGGTTGTTGGTGGATCGGAGGTACGAGAGGAGGGATGTGTGGTATTTGGCGTAGAGATCGGGTGGGAGAGTAGAACGGTGGAAACTTCCGGCACCGCCATGGAGGATTAACGCAGGTTTGAATGTTGCTGGGGTTGAACTCATCGTGATTGATCGTGGTGGTTAAGAGGTCGTCGTTGCGAAGTGAGGAGAAGGTATGAGGAGCCGACCGCCTGCCAGGATTAGACGTAGAAAACAACCTATCATAGGACGAGGAATATGCAGCTGGTGGTAAACTCACTGTTGGGATAATCAAGGGATAATCAGAAAACTGCGAGATAGATAATGCGTGAGTATAAGACGGCGTTGCGCCATTGCTTGTGACAGTATCCTTATCAGTAACCTTCCCTATTCAGGAAGGTGACTCAGTCGCCCCAAGATAACCCCGAAGCCAGCCAAAAGTACCCCTGCAACCAAAAATGAAGATTTTAAATCTGAGTGTCGCATTATACCTGTGTATCTGCATGTTAATGTACAAGAATGTATATCCCCCAGACAAATCCCAAGGATCAGTACCGAGAAGCTTCTTTTTTGGCCTTCGGGCAAAACAAAAAAACACAAGGACGCAAAGGGCTGTGCAATCCGTAAGAAAAACCGCCATCAAAATACAGTGCTCAGAAGACATTTAAGAGCAGGAATAGAAGCAGAAGTCAAAAAGGAAACCTCTATGCCATGCCTCCTAAAAAGATATGACCCGGACCCAACACCTGAGAAGAGAGACATAAGATAATATATGGTAGGGATGAAAAGTTGCGAGATAGCGAAGAAATGATAGCCTCGGCGTGGTATGCTGTAGGGAAATTAAGCAACAGCCTTTTCGCCAGACGGAGGTGGAGGAGGGAGCTAAATTCATCATCACAAGTCAGCAAACAACCATCATCGAATACCGTGGCCAAAAGAGCTGCAATCCAGATATGCCACAATTCAAGGAACGGTCCAAATCTTACCTCTAGTTTTGTGTTATCCGCCATCATTCTCTGGAAACCAATACCGACACCCTCAATGACACCCAAGAAAACAGCGCACATGATGGCAGAGTTTCTAGCAGCCTTCACACCACCGCGGACAGCCAAAGAACCACCAGTGAAGAAACCAGCGATAACTAAAAGTAGAAAAAACCAGGTCAGCACGAGATGACTCTCGAAAAAACAATATCCCAACATCGCATCCCGGCTGGATGGCAATCATTGAAAAAACGTACTGGCATTGTAAGGATCCTCCTTCTTTCTGATTCCCTTAATCGCACAGTCGAATGTCGAGAAAAGACCACCCCATACACCGAAGTTACCACCGAGAACGGGCGCTCGCGCTTTGATGGCTGTGATCGCTCCTATCCTTCGCTCGCCGTAGGGGCTGTTTCTGAAACCTTTCACACCGTGCCATACTGCACCACCGATTGCCTAGAAAGCAGAGAAGAGTGTCAGTCGGTCCATCGTTTGGGGCAATAGTCACTTGATTTCAATGAGGTGGAGGAATAACGTACACCCATACAGAAAGCACCACCGAAGTCGCTCAAGGCAACCCAGGGACAAGGGTCTCTAGAGTGATCCATGATAAAAGAAATTAAGCGTAATCAAAAGAAAAACAAAGATAAAGATATTTTCGTGAAGCTGCGTAGCCGTGAAAAGCGAATCAACCACGCGGTTCAAGCTGGCCAGAAACCGATGAAGCGTTCGTTTCGCTCGAGGGAAAAAAGCGGTTCCTGAATTGCCGGGACGGAGTTCGGATTATCGTGGTCGGAGGTCGAGTAGAACCAGATAGTACGCCTCAACGATGGGTATGGATAACAATGATCTTTTTTTTTTTCAAATTGTCGCTCAACAAGTGAGGATCTTGCGCTTCGAGACCAGGCGATATTTAAGGTCGTCCGGCAATCGAGAACTTTGCGGAGGCGCTACAACCTTTTTTTAATTTTTCGCCCGGGAAACGTGACCTTCTTGCGCCTGCGGTCACGTGATGCTACGCCACCCGTGAGTCCGATCGCCTTTCATCCAGACAACATCCTTGCAACGTACATTTCGTCCAGTTTGAGTTTTCTTTCTTACTTCTTTTCTTTTTATATCTCGGAGAGATACGGAAGTAAATTCCTTTCGACTGCATGACGAAAAGAAAATTTCTGTTAGTTGCAGATGATTTCTATGCTTTGTCTTTGGCAGTCCATTGTAAATATAAAGTCCAAATTGGCAAGGGGGTATCAGAGTCAAATCATTATTTATATACAAGGAATAAAAAGAAAACTCTGTACCTCGGCAGACGCCTTCATTTCACTGAGGCATATTCCAAATGAAATTCAAAGCTCCGCCTTCATATGCTGGAAACTGTCCCCCGCTGCTGACACCGAATGGTGCCATCGATGGGTCAAAAGGTAGAGAGAGCCAGTCGTCGGCGGCCATATCGTTTAATGACGAAATGAAGCTCATGTCCGACATATCTTGTGCAACAGGATCCTCGACTGACGTCGAGTTGCTTCTGTTGTTATCTGCCCAAGGTGGTGGACCGGTAGAAGATCGCCTTGTTGCTGCACGACCGTTTTTCATTGTTTTCGAGGATGCTAACAAGTTTCGTCGTAGACGTGATACATGCATGGCTAGTAGTTCAGCGTAACGTGTGCTTAGATGGATATCATCAAGCGCATTGGTTTTGAGCGCATGTATACAATTTTCCAGGATATCTAGGGACTCGCGAAGCTTTGCTTGACGGGTTCCCAAGCTAAGTGCCTTCATCAAGAATATAGACGAACTGGTGATGCGCAGGAATATCCGAACGGGGGAGAATCGCAGCGCTCCAAGTTCGGCGAGATGAGTGACTTTTTGCAGGATTTGGCAGCACCCGTCGATGACCTCTTGGATGTATTCGTAATCGATGGGATCGATGTTCATGGGACGAACCTCTTCCACTACTTGGCTTGGATCGGTACCTGCAAGAACACGTTCCACCACGGCTTGCATTCCGACTGAGTGCGTGTAGACCCGGACAAAGTGATACTCGATAAACAGGACATTGAAAAAAGGCTGATCGAGCACTGTTAAACGAGTTAGCAATTCTGATTCTATGCGGGTTGAGGAAAATGATAGAATAGTCAAACACTCACACTGCCGTTTCAAATACTTTTCCTTCCATTGAGTAAGTAATGGACGGAAATGATCTAGCAACCCAATGTAACGGCCGCTGTGCAGCTGCTGCCTTGCAAAGGAAATGGATGGGAAGAACATATCGGTAACAGATTTGGCCAACTTTGTCAGGTCTATCCAGGAATCCATGAATGTCAACCATGCATCTCCCGATTGATTTAGCTCCCTGGTTGTCTGTCCACCGAGGATAACATGGTTCAGACTCTGTGGCATGAGGGACACGCATCCTATTCGCCACGCGAGCTGGTTAATATATACATACAGAAGTCGCTGTGCACGCTGTCTGCGGTGTTTTATCTGCTCGATTGATATGAATTCCTCGTACCCAGAAGTACAGCTAAGCTCCTTATTCTCAGTCTCGAAGATACCGAGCTCATGCGCAAGAGACAAGGCGGATCCAAGTAGCATCCAAGACATTTGATCGGAACGTCTTGCAGGCTCAATCATATCTTCCAGCATTCTGTTAGCTGAAGAGTCTGAGTCCGAGTCCTCCTGTGGCTCTGGAGCCGCCGAGATAAGATCTGAATCCCAGCCATCGCTTTCCGGAGGGAAATGAAGAGAACGAGGATGCCATTCCGAAATCAACAACAGCGCCTCGATAGTCCCAATAGATCTAATTCTGGATTTAGATGATCTTTCCTGTCCAAATGTAAGACGTGTTATGAGCTGTTGGCAATGTTGCCAAAGTCGATGGTGGATAAAGAAATTCCTCGATTCACCACCGGCTCCAGGCAGCACATGATAGCGGGAAGAAATCATCAGAATCGTACAACAGAGGACAGGATCACGAGTTAGCAGCCAGTGGTGGTTTCTATGATCGGCATAGAAGTTTGTCAGAATTGGAGATAAGTAAGACATATTCTTGAAGAAACTGATAATTCCAAGTCAACCAATGAATATATGACACCAAACGAAAGGAATGGACAAACGAACAGGTCAACAAAAGTCACAGCTTCCCTCGATGTAAACCACCCCATCTTGACAAACCGACAAGCCTCCCAGACATTGAGGGTCTCCTTGGATGCCTTGGAGATTTCCGCCGGACGTACTGGCTTGACCACTGTTTCAAAGGCAAGTCTTGGGCTAGCATGGCCCATCGAGCTATCATGGTTAGCGATGCGTCCTGCACGAGATGACGCATTTCCCGATGGTTCATTCTCATTTAATTCGTCTTCCTGGTCATGGGCAGCAGCAGCAGCTTCGAAAAGAATATTGAGGGCATCGTTCCCACTAGACACTACGGTGCGCATCATCGAGCTCGCCAGGGCAGACGTAGATTGATGCCGATTCTGGCGACTCTCGCTAACGTACGACTGAGGTGGACTTTGGATGCCATCTCCACCTGTATTATCATTGTTTATGGGGCTGGAGGGCTCCATCACACCGCGCGAATCACCCCTAGTATGGCCAGACAGTCTCCGTTGCGTCCGAGGCGATGAATCTTCAGCATCTTCCAACGGCCCTAATCCATTAGTTAGTTGAAAGGAGGAAATCATACGATACGGACCGCTAAGGCAGATGGGATGACTTACGTTTCCTCCTCTCCCACGCTCTCTTCTCACTAAAAACACACGTCCTCTGCTCTCGGCGGCATTTCGCACACGGCGGCCCCAGAGGGTGTCCATCCGGACCTGTCCCCAGGTCACATTTGGCCTTGCGCTGCCGACAGGAAATACACGCCTTGTAGGTCCGCTGGTATGTCCGGTCTCTGGTATCTCGACCGGCGGATGACCTCCTAATCTCCATTGCCACTCGAATTGACCAATCACAGCATGTCCAATTATTCCCACTGCAGATAGGTAAGGTACCCGGAAGGAACTCAATGCTACCAAACACTCGTTCGTAACCGCAAAAATGCAACAAAGGCGTGGGATTCAGGTTGTTGCGTGATTGAGAATATCCGAGCGAAGGAGGTGGGAAACAGCCGTCGCTTTCCGGCGCGGGGCTGGGCCGGTGTGAAACATCCGCGATTGGCCGTTCTTAATGATGTAGTGGGATAAGGATAAATGTAAGACTTATTATTATGTCTCATAGGGAGAGAGAGGGAAAAAAAAAGAAAAGAAAAGGAAAAATTGGAAGCTAATAAATGTTTAAAAAATGCAGTAACACCCTTCAGAGTGTCCTCAAGTCTATTCTATCGCCTTAGCCACTCGAGCACCAGGTCTGATTCTTATTTTGAGAGAAAAAAACAGTATGAAGGTTCCTATGAGGTCAATGAAACATCATCAGCATTCTATATTCGTTCTAGAAGATCGATACAGAGAAGACAAGGCACATCTCATCTTTAATGATTATTTTATTCCAAAACAGCATAAACCCGAGAAAAGTAGAATTAAAGGTTATGTTCATTCAGCGGAGATGTTGGTAGTGATTAATCATATGACAGAATACTCGAACTGATGACGTTCAAAATGCCTTCCATACAGCATACAGCATAAGCATAATATTGACATGATTTGATTAATCAGTTTAATACAATAGGCTATAGCCTAGAATATAAAAAACAATACCTATTTCCTCTGGGTAAAAAAGACCTCGGAAAGGAGCGGAAAGCCCAGCAATAAACTCGGATATCACAGCGGCGGAAGAGTTCCGCTCTACATTATATACTACAACATCTATGGCAATAACAATAGAACAATCGAGATCAATGTCATATAATATACTAATGCATACTATGATTGAGTTTCTGCAGTTTGTGCATCTGACGTTGCGGTATTTGTACTCCGTTTCTCCGCATTTCGAGTCTTGATATACTACTCCTCGTAGTCCAGGTCATTCTGATGTAGTTGTATCTACACTTGACTATATTCTATCCATAAAGAAAAAAAGCGAGGAAAATCCAAAATGTCCACCCCCAAAGTCACTCTATACACCTACTTCCGATCCTCCTGCTCAGCCAGACTTCGCATCGCCCTCGCTCTCAAATCCATACCCTACACCCCCATCCCCATCAACCTCCTCAAAGACGAACAACTCTCCCCCTCCCACCGCGCCATAAACCCCTCCGCCACCGTCCCAGCTCTCATCGTCCAACACGACTACCACAACAACCCATCCCAGCCCCCCGTGGTGATAACCCAGTCCCTCGCAGCCCTCGAATACCTCGACGAGATCTCCCCCGCCTCAGCCCCATCTCTCCTCCCCCCAGTTTCAGACCCAGAAGGCCGGGCTCTCGTACGCACCCTCGCATCCATCATAGCATGTGACGTCCAGCCCGTCACGAACCTGCGTATCCTGAAACGTGTCGCGCCTCTCGGCATCGACCGCGCAGAGTGGTCGAGGGATTTAATCGAGGATGGGTTCCGCGCTTACGAGGCGATTGTTGCCCGGTCTGCGGGGACGTTTAGTGTCGGGGACTCGATTACCCTCGCTGATGTGTGTTTGGTTCCTGCTGCTTGGGGCGCGGAGAGAGTCGGGGTGGATATGAAGGCCTTTCCGACGATTTTGCGGATTTGGGAGAGGTTGGAGATGGAGGAGTGTGTGAAGGCGGGACATTGGAGGACGCAGGTTGACACTCCTGAGGAGTTTCGAGCCTAGATTCTATATAAATGAGTAACTATACTTTTCATTGCTGGTTGTTTATATTGAGGATTATTTTGTGTTTTATATTGATGGTTTTGATTTCTTCTATCTCAGCTAGTTCATAGCAGGTCATGGCATGTCATTTCACTTTTCTGCAGCAGCAAATTACGAAACAAATACAAATACTATTTAATATCTCAAGCAGACTGTAAAAAGCTTTAGGCCAACTTAGGTGCTGGGAGGATGGTTCCCACGCAGTCTCCAAAGCCAACATAGCTTCCCTCTGTACCAGCCACTCCACGCAGTGTGACAGTGTCTCCATCCTCCAAGAACAACCGCTGGGTACCGTCAGCGAGTGTGATGGGGTTCTTTCCATTGGTCTGCTCGAGAATACTGCCCTGGGTCTGCGGCTCGGTGCCAGAGAGGGTACCACTGCCGAGCAAGTCACCCGGGTTCATGTTGCAGCCTGTGATGGTGTGGTGGGCCAGCATCTGAGGGAACGAGAACAGCAGGTTCTTGGCGTTACTGCGGGAAATCAGGGTTGGCTTGCCACCGGCGTTGGTGATCTCGACTTCGAGGGGAATGTCAAATGCGTTGGTGGCCTGCTTCTCACGCAGATATGGCAGCAGAGACTCGCGGTTACCGGGCTCCAGACCGGCAGCGCGGAAGGGCTCAAGGGCATCATACAGGACGACCCATGGGGTGATGGTTGTAGCAAAGTTCTTTGCGTTGAATGGTCCCAGAGGAACATACTCCCAAGCCTGGATGTCACGAGCCGACCAGTCGTTCATGAGAACCAATCCGAAGATGTGCTCCTCGGCATTATCAATGGGGACAGGGCTACCGAGCTCGTTGCTCTTGCAGACAAAAGCAGCCAGCTCCAGCTCGATATCCAGCTTCTTGCAGGGAGAGAAAGTAGGCGCCTTGGGGGTCGCAGTAGGGTTAGCCAGGATCTGGCCGTTTGGTCGACGGATGGGAGTTCCCGAGGCCACAACGGACGATGCGCGGCCGTGGTATCCCACAGGTAGATGCTTGTAGTTGGGCTGTAAAGCATTCTCAGGGCCACGGAACAGCACACCAACATTGTAGGCGTGGTTGAGACCGGCGTAGAAATCAGTGTAGTCGCCGATTTGCATGGGGACGTGGTTGGTCACCTCCGACAGAGGCAAGAGGGCCTCCTGCTGGAGTGCTGCATTATCCTTGAGGATCTGAGGGAATTGTGTGTCGGCACGGAAGACATTCTGGATATATTCACGGACTTGACGGTGGAACGGTCGGCCCAGAGCTGCGAATGCATTCAAGGTGGGCTGGCTGAACACGCTGAGATGAGGCAGGATGGCGGGCAGTTGAGCGAAACCTCCTGAATTGGCAAATGCGTTGAGGTTCAATACATGATCTCCAATTGCAATCGCAGGGACACGCGAGACGATCTTCGTCGAGCTGATGATTCCAAAGGGAATGTTCGCCAGCGAAAAGGGCGAGTTCTTGGGGATTTGAAGCCACGAAGTCATGGTTGCGTGTGAATGAGAATAAGGATGAGGGGAGAAGAGATGAGGAATCAAAAAAATGAAGAAGAAGAAACGGTTGACAGAGGAAGAGAACGATGTTAAAAGCCCAGTCCCTCCATCCTTCCCCTCTTCATCCCATCATCGATTCCCCTCGTCGTGATTCCGTCGTGACGATCCGCCCTGCCCCGCGGAACAAAGCCGCGCCCGCTTACCGCCGGTTGTTTGGCCCAACACCGCCAATTCCGCGCTTCCCCCGCAGTGACAACTCGCGCTGGAGACTGCGGATGCGGATTCCCGCGATGCAGAGGGCGAGCTAGCTTAAAGAGCTGAGCTGGACTTGACATCATCTGGTGAGTTGTGAAATATATCCTGCCCCTCCATCGTTATTCCACGACAAACATCCGTAGACAAGATGCCAGTCACCAAATTTTCTCACCCAGATCCTTACAAGTACCAGAATGGTTTTGATTCATATCATGAGTATGTGTGGGGACAAAATAGGAAGAGCTACGTTGACTGACTTATCAATAGATCAGAAGCCATCGAAGGTGCTCTCCCCATCGGACACAACTCCCCTCAGAAAGTTCCTTATGGACTCTATGCCGAAAAGCTCTCCGGAACTGCCTTCACAGCTCCCCGACGTGAAAACAGACAGACCTGGGTGTACCGTATCATCCCCGCAGCAGCCCATGAGAACTTCAACGCCGAGGATGCGGATTCTTATCACACCCATATGACCACCGAAACTCAGAAGCTACACCATATCCCCAACCAGCTGCGGTGGAATCCATTCGATCTGGACGAGAAGGTCGACTGGGTTCATGGTATGCATCTAGTGGCGGGGTCCGGCGACCCCACATTGAAGCATGGGTTGGGAATCCTACTTTACGCTGCTGGAAAGGACATGGGCAAGGAGGCCTTTTACTCAGCGGATGGCGACTTTTTGATTGTCCCTCAACATGGCGTGTTGGACATTCAGACGGAGCTCGGAAGGCTTGTGGTTCGTCCTAATGAGATTTGTGTCATTCCCCGTGGTGTTAGGTGAGGTTTCTCGCTCTTTGAACTAGGGACTGGATTTTAACATGAATGTTTTAGATATCGTGTCACTCTCCCCGCAGGTCCGGTGAGAGGATACATTTGTGAGCTCTACCAAGGCCACTACCAACTTCCCGAACTGGGCCCTATCGGATCCAACTGTCTCGCCAACGCTCGAGACTTCCAAGCCCCTGTAGCTTCTTTCGATGACGAGGAAGAGGAATACCGACTGTACAGCAAGTTCAACAACACGCTTTTCTCTGCCCGACAGGATCACTCCCCATTCGATATCGTCGCCTGGCATGGCAACTACTACCCGTACAAGTATGATCTGGGTCGCTTCAACACTATTGGTTCTATCTCTTTTGATCACCCCGATCCTTCCATTTTCACTGTCCTTACTGGACCGTCTGATCATGAAGGCACGGCCATTGCCGACTTTGTCATTTTCCCGCCCCGCTGGCTAGTACAAGAAAACACTTTCCGTCCACCGTGGTACCACCGTAACACCATGTCTGAGTTCATGGGATTGATCGCTGGTAACTACGATGCCAAGACCGGGGGTGGCTTCCAACCAGCCGGTGCTAGCTTGCATAATGTGATGAGCGCCCACGGCCCAGATGCATCTGCCTTTGAGGGTGCCAGCAATGCCGAACTGAAGCCCCAGAAGGTTGGAGATGGAAGCATGGCTTTTATGTTTGAGAGGTCAGTTTTCATTTTTCAATCTTATCCTGTAAAGCTACTTACTAACCTACGCAGTTCACTCATGGTTGGTGTGTCCGAATGGGGTCTCAAAACCTGCCAGAAGGTTCAGGAAGAGTACAACGAGCATAGCTGGCGTCCTTTGAAGAGACATTTTAAAAACCCTAACAAGCAGGCTTGAGTGAGATTTGAGAGATGTGTGATGACCGAATGTTGTATAGGTAAATTGTAACCATTGAAAGATTGAGCATTAGATACCTGGTAGCTGAGATGATCTATGAAGTATTTTCTCTACATCAACCTAAGCTTTCACTGAAATGAGTTACTATCCATGGATATTTACAAAAGAGGAGTGGATGCGTTCTTCATAATTGAAAAACCACTTCTCTTCGCAGCATTTAAAGCTTTAAGCGCCATGTCCGGAATCTTCGGGCATGGCTCCATACACACAAAAAGGCTCAACTTGTCTAAACGGGGTAGCTTTGTGGCCCGATTATCTGAAAGACCCTCAATTAGATGAGTGATGCACTTGATATGATCACCACTAAATGAGGTGAGATACAAGCTGAACCTTTCAATGGACGCTGGCAAAATATCAACCAGTTTAGGCCAGGCTGGATCGCCAACCAAGTCATCATCGAAATCCAAAAATCTCATCGACGGATCATATTGGGGGCCGCACAGCATTTCGACGTCCATATCGAGCACAGTCAGTTTCTGAAACCGAGTCATATCCACCAGTGTTGGTCCCAAACCACCGTAATTACTGACTACTGTCACTGACAACTCCTTGAGTTTCTCTGCGCAGGTATCCAGCACCGTATCCAAAAATGCACCAATGTTCCAGACATGGCCGCAGCCATGCCACTTGGTTTCATGGGAGTAGTCGAATATCTCCAAGTTTGGGATTCGCGAGAGGAGCTGGGATAGCTCCTCCGGACCGGCGACAGAGGACGTTATACTCAGTTTCCGCAAGTTGGTGCTGTAGTTTTCTACCAACGGGTCAAAGGCGATTCCAGTGTACCCGTCATCCTTGAAGACGCAGCTGCTCAGGGAGACTTCGGAGACGGAATTGATTGCCAGCAATGGGACGAATGGTGTCAATGGGGACTTTTCTTCGTACCCGATGTCCCGGGATGGCTGCACCACGGAGAGCTTGGATAACGGCGCATCGGGAAATTCCTCAGAGTGATTCGCCCGGTGCGTAATCAGCTTGAGGACCTGCCACCGACGTTCATCGTTGGCCTCACTACTAGAACGCCATAGTCTATCCCAGCGTGGGTGTAAAGCCACTTTGCGCACTTGTGGTAGCAAGGTCAGGAGAAAGATATCCGCATCGACTGCGCAATGTTGGATTTGTCCAATCCAGTCCTCGGGATCGCCCCCAACGGCTTCGATAAAGGGCGACGTCCGCACCAAGTCCTTGAGAGTCTCAGGTACCTCGACTTGCAGGGAGTCTAATATCTCTTCATCTTCCTCATCCGATTCCGCTTCAGCTCCACCACCTCTCAAGTCAATGGATTGGATATATTGCGCCACAGAGTGATCCAGAGCGATCTGTTCCAATAAATCCCGCGTGGTCCTGATCCGGATACCTGTTTCTTGGGTGATTTCATCCCAATCTTCTTCACCCAAGTCGGTTTCATCTGCCACTTCTTCGTCTTTTCTTTCAATTTTTCGCGAAAATGCAAAGTTTCGAAACTGTTTCCGTCGGGTGGCATACTTTGCTTGGAATGGGGTGCTGGCAGCAAACAGAGTTTTGCAAGACAGAGCTGTAGCTTCAAAATCCGCCGGGATCGTTTCTTGTACGATCTGCCTCAGGAGTTCCAATGGAAGAGTAAGCAATGAAGCCATCATGTGTTTTCTCAGGCCTCTATCTTAAAGAGTCCTATTCGTTTCGTTATATGGTTAAAATCTGTGCGAAAAAGCGAAAAGATGAGTGCGAAGGAATGGACACGTAGTGGGAAGGGTCGAGCTTATTGACGATCATCCGTTCTTATTGGCCCATATATTTCGTACAGCAACATATCCAGGGGTGCGATATCATCTCGTCAGATCATGCATTATACATAAGTTACAGCTAAGTATGCTCAAAGAAGGTTATAATCAAATATAAACAACATCACCCCTCCATCTCCTTCTTCATCGCCTCCTTCACAATAGCACCACACATCTTCGCATACGGATTCGTCTGAACAGCCAACTGCTGCGCAACCTTATTCCCATATCTCCCTCCAAAGAAAAAGTCCCGACTCGCCATTTCCTCCAGCTCATCCGGTCCTAATCCACGCAACCGCTCTGGGCCCCCAACCATCTCCTCACCCTTTTGTAGTAGATCCTTCTTCACCCTCGTCGCTTTCAGAAGCAGATACCCGCGATGCGTGTGCGCATCCGCCAGGATTCGTGCCTGGGCCGGCGAGACGGGGTCAGCCGGTGACGAAGGCGTGGATAGGGAGATTGCCTGTCCTAGATCGGAGAATAATCGAGACACGGAGTCGTTGTTTATAGGGTCGAGTAGAGCATCATCTTCACCGGAGTTATTGTTTGAGTTGGTGCTCGAGCTCTTTTCAATCAACATGCGGATGGTCTGGGCCCGGTTAACATAGGCAGATGGGTAAGATGGATTTTCGGCTATGAGGGCGCCCAGATCTTGGATTGCAGATTTGATCGTTTCGATGGAGACATTGTCGGATTGGAGGCGTTGGATGATGGTTAACTCGCGGGCTTTGAGGACTTCGTGGTCTGCGGGTGTGATATTTAAGGGTTGAGGAAATGGCGAGAGGGAGGGATCGATGGTGATGCCGGAGGGAGAGGATTCAGCGTCAAAGAGAGCTTGGAGGACGGCTGAATCGTTGGAGGAGAGGGAGGGACGAGAGGGTTGAATGGTGGTTGTCATGATGGAGTTGTGTAGATGATTAGACGAGGTGGATGGAAGATGCGGTATACTGACCAGCACTTAACAAGGGCAGCAGACAGGAATATATTGCAGACTCAAGAGTAAGACAAGAGAGAAAATAAGAAAAGAAATAATATGAAATCATCTGTCCAATTCCCCGCCAGTCTGAAGTGTTATTATCCGTGGAGGCAAACGGCTGTTTTCAAAATACCCGCCAACAGCCGCGCTTTTCCATGAAACACCCGCCCCGATCCGCCACCATCCTCTCTGCATCTCGTCCTTTCAGAAGCCAAAGAACTATCATGAGCCGCTGAATGGATATTGGATCTCCATTATGACGAATAGACGTCCTGCATATGGAGCACAAAGCCTGGATTTGTGCCCACATCCGTTTCCCAGACCATGGTTTATAAAAGAACAACTTATCCCTCTCCTAGATTATTATCTTCCACCACAAGCATCACTCTCACCATCATATCCATCATCTAACTAAGTTAAAACCACGAATTCAAACCACAGCAATGGCCCCCTCGGCTATCTCCTCCACTCCTCCCCCCAACGAGGCCCCGTCCTCCCTCGCCAGCTACAAAGGCTACCACCATGTCCACTGGTACGTGGGCAACGCCAAACAAGCCGCCTCATACTATATCACCCGCATGGGCTTCAAGCGTGTCGCCTACCGCGGTCTAGAGACAGGAAACCGAGTCATCTGCTCACACGTCGTCCGCAATGGAGACGTCACCTTTGTCCTCACCTCACCTCTGCGCTCTTTAGACAAGACCAGCAGCTTCACCCCCGAAGCCGAAGAACAGGCGCAACTTGAAGAAGTTCACAACCATCTCGAGAAGCACGGCGATGGCGTCAAGGATGTTGCGTTTGAGGTCGACTCCGTCGATGCAGTTTACTACGCTGCCTTGAAGAACGGTGGCAAGGTCGTCTCTAAGCCTAAACTGTTGGAGGATTCGCACGGCCATGTCAAGGTGGCCACGATCAAAACATATGGAGAGACTACTCACACCTTGGTGGAGACGGGCTCTTACAACGGCTCTTTCCTGCCCGGCTTCCGTCTGGAGACTGGGCCTGAAGACCCTATCTCTAAGCTGCTGCCGGGAGTCAACTTGAAACGGGTTGACCACTGTGTCGGAAACCAGGACTGGGATGAGATGGACAAGATCTGTGAATAGTATGTCATATTCTGTTCCATACCCCTTTAAAAGCGCATAACTAACCCATTCCACAGCTACGAGAAAGCCCTAGGCTTCCACCGTTTCTGGTCCGTTGACGACTCCCAAGTCTGCACGTGAGTCTCAACACCACACCAACACCATTATCTGCCAAACTAACATGCGAAAAAGCGAATTCTCCGCTCTCAAGAGCATCGTCATGGCCTCCCCCAACGAACTCGTAAAAATGCCCATCAACGAACCCGCGCACGGCAAAAAGAAATCCCAAATCGAAGAATACGTCGACTACTACAACGGCGCCGGCGTGCAACACATCGCCCTCCTAACCGACGATATCATCCGCGACATCACAAACCTCAAAGCCCGTGGTGTCGAGTTCATCAAAGTCCCCGATACGTACTACGAGGATGTCAAGGTGCGGCTTAAGAAGGCCGGACTGACTCTTCATGAGGACTTTGATACGATTCGCAGTTTGGATATTTTGATTGATTTTGATGAGGGTGGGTATCTTTTGCAGTTGTTTACCAAGGTATGTTTTCTTTTTTTTTTTTCTTTTTATCTGTCTGACCATATGCTAACGGGTGTAGCATCTGATGGACCGACCGACTGTGTTCATTGAAATCATCCAAAGACACAACTTTGAAGGTTTCGGTGCTGGCAACTTCAAGTCGCTTTTCGAAGCTCTCGAACGGGAACAAGAACTGCGTGGAAATCTCGTTTAGTTCAGATGGCTTGAATTGTAATGATGTCCATGTAGCTTTTGTATTCTCTTTTGTTGTTTATAGCATTCATTGCATATGTATGTGTTAGTTCTTGGATACCATTTTTGCTTGATGATTCTTTTTTTGTATTCACTCTATTTACTGTCAATATAAGCGGATCATTCAGCTAGGACCAAGTACTTTATGGGCCATATTAAGGGTATCAAGAGCTCCAGCGTAGCATAAGAGGCCATAGTAAGATGAAGGGAAGTGTATTTCATGATCGCGCATAGGGTATAATCCCTCATTATTGCCTGTCAAATAGCAGGCATAATGATATGTTTTTATTTCATCAAGTTATTTCTTTTTTATACAATCGTCAACCCTACTTTCGTTTCGATGAACTTGCACCGCCTGGTGTCGTTCCTCCACGACGCTTAAACTTGCGTGGATCTAACTTGTCAGCATAAAAACAAGGCAGATCTGAAAAGAGAATTTCTTACCTTTACGACTCATCAACACCCTATTTCTCGTACCTTTTCCTCCTTCCCAGAATCCACTGCCTGCTTTGCCAATCAGCACTGCACGGCATATTCCACAGTTTTCGGGTCGGTATATTTGTTCCCGCGAACAGAAACCACTGGAATAGTTAGAAACATTTTTTCAGAGATAACATTTAGTTGTTGTAAGTATCTTACCAAAGCATGCGGTTTGCATGTTCATTGGGATGGTCAGTCTCGGCGTCATGGCACCTATGAATATGGTCAGCTTTGCATGACATTATCCGGAATAGAACTGCTTCTGGAGATATTCTGAGCAAGGAATTAGGTATACATACTTATCGCACGGAAAGACCTTTGCACAGCAGCTGAATCGGAACCACCGATAACTTTTGGCATAGTGTGTGCAGCGGCCACGACGAGGCAATTCTTGACCAGCGACAATACCAAGAACCTCCTTGGGCTGTTGAACTAGGTTAGATCTTTCCTTTTATAGTATCTTGACAGTAACATACCCTTTTCCGGTTCGGAAGTTTATCACGAGACGAAACTAAATGATAGAATGATTAGCATATATTCATAGCTAAATTCCCCATCAATCATTGACTCACATGCAGCACTTCCAACTATCAAAAACTTCACCTCGGGGATTTTAAGTACTAAAGGAAGGTCAGTGGAAAGCTTTATGTTGAGGTCGATTCGGTGCATACCCATTTTACGGTGACAGTGGCGACATATAGCCATTGCGCTCTCACCACGAACTGCAACCACACCTGGTGCAGGGAAAGGCGTCGAGCACTCTGCACAGGTTGGCGTGAAGTTGCTGCACATACTGTCAGTTTTGGTTTATGATTGTCTGAGTAGGATCATTTGCACCCACCTAGGCAGAAGATCAACCACTGTGCAGCCATCCAAATCCAAATAACCCGCACGATTGCTGCTCATATGCACCAGCTGCCGTCGGAATCCTGATGCCACATTAGCTTCTCTTCGTATTTATTTGATGTGGCGCAAAAAAGATAACTTACCAAGACTCATAACATTGGCGCACTTCCTGCAAGACTCAACCTTCGGGGAGAATGCACCATTTTTGTCTGAAACATGTGGAACGTTCTTCACGTCTGTATGCTCTTTACACCGTTCGCATTTGACTGTGATATGAAGGCTGGAAATTTCCAGAAGCTCGATTCCATAATGCTCCAATGACGGAAATGACAGCGCAACCCCACGCCCAACAGTCGTAGGCTCGGGGAGATTTGGAACTGGAGCTCCCCCATCCTCTTCATCTTCTTCCGTGTATTCCTCGGAATCCGAGAGGTCTGGGTCTTCGCTGTCATCGCCATGCTCAGTTACATCCCATTCTGGAGGTCGCGGAACAACACGAATATGAGGCCGATCATCGTGATCAGCTACTAAACTATCCTCCGTAGCCTGTGGCTCCTCAAGTGCCTCGGGCAAACTAGGTTCAGGCAAGGGATCAGAAACCAGGGCAGCTTCTTTCAATGGTGTTTTGGCAAGTTTGTGCATATTGCTCGTCAGATAGTTGATCTGAGACATCAGATTCAGGCTGCCATTGTCTCCAATCCATTGCTCGAAACCGGTTTTAACGGATCGGGCTTCTGAGCCATCAACACCTTGCAGCTCAATAGAGCTCGGCTCCAGGGGGTATAACTGAGGGACCAGAAGCTTCACCGTCTTGACAGGTCGAAGTGGCACAGGAAGTTGATTTACCTTGGTTGGCTGAATGGGAATGACAAAAGAGACCTCATCTTTGGATTTTTGAAATAGAGGAAGTCTTCCAAGACGAGCCTCAATTTGCTTTGTCTCAGTCGCCCTTCGTTTCTCAGCCTGGGCTTTCTCCTCCGCAGTGAAAACCCGGGGAGCAGGCTGGGCCACCAATGGTCGTGTGGGGGCTGGTTTGACAGGTTGAATTGGACGAGGCTCGGCTGGCAATCTTTGGCTTTGCACTGGCTCATTCACCGCAGGTTCTTTTACCCCAATGTTGGGTACGAACTTGAGCGTCGGTCCTCTCTCAGTAGTTGTGAGTAAACGTTCCAGATGTCGGTCAAGACTGTTCATCCAACCCAACAGAGTTCCTCGACTCTGACTCCTGAACGTGGTATCGACGATATCATCGAACCCTCTCGACACATTTGCTTTCCAGTTGTCCCCGATTTCAGGATTGGTCAATGTAATAGTGGGCCTTCCACGTGCTGGATATGATTGTGGGACGTGCATAATACATTGCAGCTTGTCCAGCTCAAAGGGAAAATCAGGATCAGATGGTGCCATTCCAAATGCGAGCGACGTTCCAGACTCATCACTCTCCTCTGTTGGTCGAAAGCGCCGCCTCAATTGATTGATTTGGAACTCCCTTGGATCTAGACTCTCAGCCTTGGAGATAGGCCTCTGAGGTAATGCGAAGCTTGAGCTGACCGAAGGGCCAGGCATTGGTTGAGAATCATTCATTGATAGATTTCTAACACCTGTAGCTACACCTTGCGCAGAGTCCTGCGCTGGAGGGATGCCATTGGCTGGAGAACTACCCTGGGGTTGGGCCTTGGAGGGCTTTGCTTGCGCACGTTTCCGCTCATGATCAAGGGGATCATGGAGATAGGGACAGGCCTCGCCAGCACGACATCCTCAACAGATGTCAGCATGGGACATGAAATGAAAAGGTAAGGCAGAAAGAAAAAAATCACGCGGGTATAATCAGCAAGGTCAAATGTGAAGCTTCACCGATGTCCAACAGACTGGGTTACGGGCAGCCCGAGATGCAATGAAAAAAGTCCCGCATGAATACACAAGCCATGTAACAAGCCAAACGGCGTAATTGAAATACCAACTCAGAATCAACCATTCGGATCGAGTAAATACCAAATTACATGCAGAAACAAAAAGGCAGATTAACGATAACAAGCATAAGAACCTGACATCACCTACCTTTCTGGGATGTGAAGAAGCGGCATTTGACCACTTTTCGCGCGGATGATTGAGCAGCAGGATCCGGACGGTTAGGCGCTGCAGTGTCTTGAGGCTGAGCGCTTGCCAACTCATCAACGCCAACCGATGGAGGTGGACCTATGTCAAAATAAGGATATAAATGGTGAGCGTGTGACCTGAAAGGTTGCGGGCCGTGGTGTCAGGTCCAGGGGGGTAAATGGAGGGGGTAATCAGGGCGCCCTGCGCTGATGGCATCTGGAGAAGATGGAGATGGGCACACCACCAGAAACCCAGGGCATGCGCCATGCCGGACGTGAGAGATATGCACCGATCGACATGGCCCTAGGCCTGGGGCCTAGAATACGAAGCTGGAGGGTGGTCTCCTTCCCCCCACACAGAACGAGTGCCAAAGATAGTGGGATGACGAAGATGGAGGTATCTCACCTTGCGATAAAATTTCCGGACGGCCACTGCCGTCCCACCCATTGTCTGTGCTAAGAGCCATTTCCTAGAATAGAGAAGTCAGTAAGATTGCTAACTTTAAAAACAGAGAGATCACACGAGACTGGCGGTTAATTACCGGATAGACTGGCGGGAAAATCGCTAAGCAATAAACCTGAATAATGATGACCGATGATGACTTGTCAGTGTTTAGATGCCGGGGGGAATCGAGCACGGGCAGGATCCCAGTGATCGCAATTGCCAACACAGAGATCTGGTGACCTGGGGCCTGAGATCGACAGCGGCGGACGAACAGCGCAGGAGACCAGGCCTCACCCCAACTGCCTGCAGCTGCAGTGTGCAAGGAAGCTGGGCTGGTTTTAGCAAGGCTCTAAGACGGCCCGTAATGAAGGAGTTATTGTCAAAAGCAGCAATGAGGCCTAATTGGCTGATGCCAATCGAATTGACGATGATAGCAGGAGAGGTTATGACGTTGACGCGATGCGGGCGGTAAGGCACGTGACAAGGCAGCGATATCCAGGCACCTGGGATCAAGGTCACGCTCTTCATCTCGTTGAGGAAAGCGATTGAATGAGAGATATATTCTATTTGCTGCTTCCACTGCGTTTTCAGTTGGGAGATTGTCTGGCCGAAATCATGATGGCTCATGTTGACTCATCGCGAGCCATCAGCAGTCATCCTGCACCATCCTCGCCACTATGCGGTGCGATATGGCGATATGGCAATATGGCGATATGGACTACAACGATACAGCTTCACCTGGTCTAAGCATACAAGCATTCCAAGAAACCTTCATTTAGGCCGGAATCCCCTGCTTGATGAGGTACTACTTGAAGCATTCACCGTCTGTAGATGGGGTTAAGACATACAGATGACTCAGTGTGGGTAAGGCGATGACTTATTCGAACGTCCCCTCAGGCCCTCATTCCCCGCCATGATTCAGGGCAATTCGACATTCAGCATATCTGTGAGATGACCCATATCGAAAGACATGTCATCGTCCTGAACGGCTGGAACTCATCGCCGATATCCACCGTCTCTATTTAGAGCATCAGCCACAGGAATGATGCTACCATTACATGCCAATTGGTAATAATGTACAGGATGCACATCATCCTTGCGTGCAGCTCGCGCAATTCAAACTTGGAAGAGACAAGCTGAGATTCTACTTGTACAAATCTGAAAGAACACCTACTGATAAGCCTCAATACAGATGATGAGATGATGAATCCCACTTCCCCGCCACACGGCCACCGTTCCCCGCACAGGGCTTTCGTTGAACAGGACGCACGACGATTGGACCGATGGATCAAAGGAATCGGGATGCAACCTCGATCCACCGCGACGAAAATATTCAGGAGAAAAATTCCTTCACTCTCTGTTTCCCCTCCGGAGCACAGTGTACCTAGGCGATATGCAAGATGCACGCCTGGACATTACTAGTGCCGACTCATCAAGTCACCAGAACTTTTGTTCTTTTCTGGAAGACGCGGTCGAGCTGAGTGGCATCTAATCATGTATTACCATACCACCGGGTCACCGCCATCTCGTTTTCTGATCCTGTGATCGCGCCTCCTCCTGATTGTCACTTTGCAATTCCAAAATGGTCAAGGGGAAGAAACGGAATTTCCCCGTCGCAACTCCGTCTACTCCGTGCGGTACGGGAAAATCATTCCAATCCATCGCACAGAGGGATAAACATAAACTATCGATTGACACATTTCGCCTCTTTCAGGTCATTCGACTGACAGGGGCGGATGGGATTAAGCGAATCATCACCACTCGACACTGTGTTCTTTGAACCTTCGATGATTTCTAGGCGCATCCTGCAGAACTCAATAAATGCCCGTAGACAAGCCCACGACAATCACGACTAACGAGTAACGAGATTTACGCGTTGGGCATAAACTTGACATTTCAACGGCCGCCATTAAATTCAAACCCGCGCTATTCGATGGTGAAGAATGAAGCACTATTACGTACTCAGGAGGGCACACACGTAGAAAGAAAAAGCAACAGTAGCAGACTCAGCAGAGTCTATCCAAGTCCAGACCGGATTTTTGACTGTTTTCGACTGTTTACGGTAATCGACGATGCAACTTGACCAATCAATCCAGTATCATGCAGGAATATATCCAAAAACAGCCAGTCAAAACCGGCAACAAAAAGCAATTGTTAACAAATAAATTGGGTATCGAGCTCTAAGATCTGCTTTCCAGCAAATCACAATTATCCACATTTGGGCACGATGGGCTGGCTCCATCGCACTCCATTTCAGTCAACTCCATCCTGTACCCCGTGTAATCTAATACAACACCAGGGGCTGAAATCCCGCGTAATACGCCCCAAAACAGCGGGTACTGTTCGTACCGTTACCCATACCGCAAACAGCCCGGTACAAGCCCCGTACCGTACATACAAGCCCATTATCCCACGCTAGGCCTAACCTAGCCAAGCGCACGAGCCCTCTCCCGCATTTTTCAGATCATCTAGAAGGTTTCTCGAAGCGTGGTTTCGACATGGGAGAACGTGGTTTGGCGGTATATGACCATGGGTTATGGTTGGAGAGAGTAACCAAGGCTTCTTATTACCTTTTGGTTATTCTCTGTGCTTTCCAGAAGAACTGTCTTTTTGGATTTGCTCGGTGATACTTTGGAGTAACTAATTCTTGAGCCTCGTGGCCCGGCTCGTGTTTATGGAACTGGCTGATATCACGTGGTACCGTGACTGTGGAGAGAACATGGACAGCTGAGAAATGTTTTCTGATTGGACTAGCTCAGATTCATTTTCGCAGTTCAGCTCAGTTCACTTCAGGTTCAACGTCACAGATTCATCAAACTTGGCGATCTAAAAGCACTAATAGCGACCCATACAACGCTCGATTACAAGACAAGTTACGACCCAAGTGACAAGTCCCAGACTCCAAGTAGGCTAAAATCCCAACGTCGAACGTCCCAAATTGTAAAAGGCCCGTGAGCTAACATGAAACGCCCAATAAAAGCCTCGGCATCCCATAACCTCAAACTCGGCATCATCCCGAATACACAAAATCGGGATGGACCGATGGAGTTAAACAGCTCTCCGGTCCGAGGGTCTAACATACTACAATAGTACTAGTGTAGCGAACTACTTAAGAAGAAATCAAGTTTGTTTAACTGTCTGAACGTCAGTATGGGGTTTGGTGGTTTATTTAGTGGAATGTCTTGCAGTAGTCGGAGTATCTGCGGTGATATTAATACGTGATGTATGTACGTGTATTGGCAGTTAAAGGTTAGTCTCGGGTATGGGAGTAGACTTCGGTGTGCAGTCCTCCGTAGGATTTAATGTTGCATGCGTCATTGGTCTAGACTTTGTGTGTCTGAAATGTACATATGTACTACTTTAATGTTGTATGTGCATTGGGGTATGAGTATGAATATGCTGATGTATTTCTATATACAATGCTGGATGCTGAATATAAGTCTAAGATATAGACTTTTAAATATCATAAGTAATTATAGATCTAACGTGAAGATGAAAATAAATATGAAGAGCCTCGTGGTATGTGCGTCAATCCCGAACGGACGGAGGACTCCATTCCGAACGTGCATCGGCATGCCGAAAGGTCAACCCTCATCCGAAAGCCTAGATGGAGCATGGAGACATTGACCAGAAGGAGGCCAAAAGGCCCAGCCCCAAGACATTTCAAAATCGGACACTGTGCGGGAAGAAAATCTCCACACCACGATCGATTCATCAAATAAGAACCATGAAATCTGTGTAGCTGTCAAAAAGCTGTACTCTGTAATAACCCTAGTACAAGGCATTGTACTGATTTAAATACGTGACCGGTGAGCACCAACCAAACCCAGACAAAGTTAGCAAAGTACAGAACCCCTCTTCTTCTTCAACCCGCGGGCAAATCACACACCTGCCCATCTGACCCACAGCAGAGCGACAGCAGCTGAAAAGTCTGGATCGATGGGTCCTTAATACAGACAAATACAGACAGTCAGACAGTGTGCTCAGTGCTGAGATGAGCAAGTCACGTTTTCTCCAGCTTCACTGGTAACTAGACCCATCGCGGAAAGGGCCCGATACTAGCCCTTCCTGCGTTAGGTTAAGACGGTGGATTCGAAATCGGGAAAGACCGGACGTCAAAGTTTCCTTTTCGCGACTGGTCGGTGCTGAAAAGGAAAATCGGGTGGATTAGGATTGACTGTGTGGGGGTTTTTTTTTTCTTTCTTTTTTTTGCTTTCTTTCACAGTTTCATTCATTGAATTCGGATTCAAATTTGAGGCTAGTCTGATTTGGGTGGCCCATTTTTTTGGCCGGGGGAATAAATTGTTTAATGTGGGTTACTCATTGGTTAGAAACGTTCGAAGCCGCGTTACGTCATTGGACAGACGACATGTGATTTGAACTCTTTATTTCTGATTTCAGGGATAATCAAGCAAATCATATCAAGATCATAATTCATAATTCATAATAATAAGAAACTATCGGATAATCAAAGCATATTTAGCTAAATATCACTCGCTAATAAATCACTCGTTCTGGCTGTCTTACTCCTCAGTAGCCTGCATGACATTCCATGTACCCGACAGATGGAGTACAGCAAGCTACCTACTACAGGAACTGATCAGTCAGTCATTTAGTCAGTCCCCCTCATGACCTGCAGATTTCTACTTGCCAGTTGTACATGCATCGAGTCTCACATGACTGTCTGTTTATCTAGTATGTGGAATGACATCGTCTAGCCTGGATTTATGAGTAGGCATAATGGCACGATAATAATAATGATAGCATCATAAGTAACCCAACCATATAACCCTCCTGGAAACAATTTCCAGCATCCATCACCTTACTATCGGACTGTTCTAGACTCGATTCCAGCATCTGAAAAACCTACCACGTTTGTTTTTCATCTGTCTTACTTTAGGTGTAACTTCAGTCCGATCATTCCGCGGGATAACGTTTCCTAACTACACTTTTACTCTTACGTTCTAAATATTGTTGTTCTTGTAGTCATTTCGTAAAGCTTAATATCGTTTATGTTTATTGCTATCTTGTCGCTGTCATAAGTACCACATGTGAAGCGATCAATGCGGGTTCTAGATCTCAACAGGAACATGGCGTGCATGCATCGCAAAGCTGGGATTTTATCCCCGCCTGAGTTAGCTGTCCCCCTCTTCTCCCCATGTCTCCCCTCTTTCCAGGATGAATCCCTGGATCTTGTCTTCATTGCAATAACATGACTACAGGGTGGAATGACGTGTCAGCGCCACTGCCTATCTGCTACTTCTTCTTAGCTAAGTGTGCTACAGGGTACAATGATAAGAAATCTGAAATCAAGTTCTTTTAGGCGTAGATATAGGATACATGACATGTGCGCTGAAGTCGACACAAAAAAGAAATAACAAACACAACTAGTGGTATCTGGTATCAGAGCAAAAAACAACAAAAAACAAACATGGCAAGTATACGTTTTCTGCTGCAGTGCAAGGCAAGCAGTTGAAACAACGACGATGACATCCCGCAAGTCCCATTTTAGTTTCCGTTTATGTACCTCCCAAAACGAGAACAGAAAAAACACCAAAAAGAAACCCACCACCAGTCACCGCCGGATATAGAAGGAAATCAGCTGTACAAGAAGATTAATTTCGTAAATAAGAGGTGTCCTCTAAGTGGCTCGTATAATAAGAAAAATAAAACAGACAGCCACACAATGCCATGATCGAAGGGGAATAAACAAAGAGACCCGAAAGAAGATTAGGTCACAAATAAACAACCAGATCAATCCCAGAAGGCGCCAAGATGCAATGCAGTGTCGTGATCGTGCGTGTCACAAAGGATATGTCGATGGTCTTTACATGGAGGATAAACGAGGCGATGTTCGGATATCGTGGTCTGAAACACATAACTCATCTCGAGAGGATATGCAAGTCAACCAGATGCAGTAAAACAATAAAAGAAAAAAACAGATGATTGTAAACAGGGTTCAGTGGCCCCACTACCACCCCTTCACGTGGTACTCCCAAGGTCCAAAGTCGGTGTAGTTGGTAAACGAACTGTTCTTTGCGTCCGTTGCGGAACTGCCACTCTGACCGGATGGGTTGGGGTACTCTTTCAGGTTGGCCATGTCGTGGGCAGTGTGGCGTCGTTTCAGGAAAGCGTTGGCCGTCGCACTCTTCTGCTGACGCTCCCATAGGAGGTGTCGGCGAAGAGACTCTGTCAGCTCTGTCGCAAGCATGTTTCGACGTGTTGTGCGGGGGGAATGCGCGACAGACTGCGGGGGCGCCCTAACGATGATCGGCTTGGATCGAGGCACGTCGGGGCCACGCATAGTGAGATTATCCTCGTCGTGGTCGGGCGGCGACGCAGCAACGGCCGGACCATTGGGTGACGTCAGGCGCGAACGTTGGAGGGCCGGAGTGGATCGGGAGTTGTTTCCCTGCATTCTTGCAGGTTGGTGCATCATCATAGTGAGCATGGAGCGGCGAGAGACAAGGTTCGGTCGGGAGTCCACGCGCTGGAACATAGCATTTTCTTCCACGCTGGATCGGCCACTTTCTGTGACGGAATCCTCCCAATCAGAGTCCTCATCGTCGTCGATGGCGCTCTCCGAAACCTCGTCCTCGGTCTCGATCGCGTCCTCGTCGTTGTCCCGATCATCCTTGATAATTCCAACATCATCCCGGAACGAAGCCACCTTCTTGTTGGGGCTGGGGTTGCTGGTATTCGGCTTCAATTCGTCCGACAGAGAGCTGCGGTGGCGACCCTGGATAGCCATACGGTCTTCGAAGGAACTCTCGTCGTCGTCTCCAGAAGAACCACCCAAAGTAAACATACCGCCCTTCTTCTTCAGGGGCGATGGCCTAAGTCGTGCAGGGGAGTGGGCTGGACCAGGTTCCACCGCGAGTCTAGGCTGCGACCGATATGAAGAAGAAACCATGGCCGGGGAAAAACCACGGACAATACTAGGAGACTTGACCAATCCCGGTCGGCTGGGTAGGATTCCAGACGATGAAACACTAGTGTCGGAGGCGGCAGTCTGAGCAGCATCGCTGTCGTTGCCCTCAGGTGCCGTAGTAGAGCAAGATTCGGTAGACTGGTGCATTTGCTGGTCTTCAAAAGCAGAAAACGACGGAGTTGGCTTCGTCGTAGACACGGAAGGAGGAGTAGGAGTAGGAGTGGAAGGGCGGGGAGTAATGTCGACGACCGGAGGCGAAACTGTAGTCATGGGAGCAGGCAAGGGTTCAAGGTTCTTCTTCTCCTTGATGTTGAGCACCATTCGCTCCAAGCCCAGAGAAGTGATGTGCTTCTCCTTTCCTCTGCTGAGATTGACAAGAGAATCTTCACGGACCACGGCGGGTCTATAGTCAGCTCTGGGGCGCTTGATGTGGTGTTCGATCCTCTCTGCCTGGTCGGATGCAGCAGATTCGACACTAGCAGAGAGTTCGGGCAGATCACCACCTTCGGAACGCAGCAATGGAATGGCCGAAGCCTCGCTGGTAGTTTCGGGCTCGACGCAAAATGTCTCGCGGGTCCAAAGTCGCCAGCTCAAGTTCTCAAGTCGGCGTCCTTCCTCCATGTAGTCGGCACATTTGGAGAAAACTGATAAAAACCGTCAGCCAGTGGCCCCGACAGGGGAAGCAAACTTACCCATCCACATGCCGTGGAGACTCTGTGCATTGGCCGTGTCGACCTTGTGGATTTTCTCCGTGTCCACAGTAAGGACGGGCGTTGTCAAAGGTGAAGGCATGATGTCGACGCCACAACGAATTTCCCAAACTTTTCCTTATAAAAAATAATCGTGTATATGATGGTGTTTCGGGGTCGCCGTCTCCCCCGAGCGTGGTCGTACGGCGCGAAAGTGATGATTTAAAAGTTCTCTCTAATCCTTCAGGTATATTACCGAGATTTCGACGGGAGGCTCTGCAGGATGGAATCTGCAGATGACGGGGATTGAATTGAGAAGAGTAGCGGCGCCCAAGCTGCAATCAGATGCTCGTGCAACAGATGCAGCAAAAAACCAGGTATCCTTCCGAGGTATATCGTAGAGGTCGATCCGGAGAGTGGCACAATGGGATCGAGGTAAGACGAGCAGTGGAGAGAGAACAAGTCGAATTGTTCTGCTGGAGTGATAGTATGGTGGTAATGATCGACCTTCCCAATCCAAGCAACAGAAGCTTTTCCTTCTTCCTTTCGATGCGGAGAGCGACCGGAAGCGAAGATCGGCGGGGGGAAGATGGAGGAGAGTGGAAATTGGCGAGATGGAGAGACGAAGAGAAGACGGAATCGTAAAAAAGAGAGGTGAAAGATGGGGAAAGCGGTTAGAGGAGAGATAGAGAAGAGAGGAGAGAGGAAGAGGAAAAAATTGAATAATATGGGGGAGGAGAAAGGCCGGGTGGAGGAGAGGAAGAAGAAAGAGGAAAAGGAAAATACTTAGTGAATGACGGGCCAGTGGAGAGGGGGGTGGTAATTGTTTTTTATTTGGTATTTGTGGTATTATGGGGAGTGGGTACGATAGAATACAAGGGGAGAAGGAAGAAAATCGAGGGTGGCCAACGAGGGTACCGAGGAACAGGTAGCGGTAAGATGAGAAATAAAATAAAAATTAAATAATTATTAAATATTATTTTATTTTGGTGTTACTTCCGAAGTACCCCCGTGGGTCCGTAAGGTATTTCATACAGCGTCATGACACGGGTAATATTACCGGTCTGTTTCCGTACTTACGAACAAATAAAATAAAATAAAATAAAATATAAGAAAAATAAGAAATAAAGAATAAAATATTAGAATATCTAATAGATAATATGAATAGAATAAATAAAAATATAGCATAGAATAAAAATGCAAGTAGAATAAAACGTACTGCAGAATAAAAAAGATAATAATAGAGGTCTAGACAAGATTATCGACCCTGTGACCTGCTTGTTTTTTCTTCCCTTTTGGCCCTTTCCTTTTCCCGCGCGCTGACTAAGACCCTCCCCGGTCACCTGAAGGGCTGAAAATCCAGTGGAATCTCCCCGACCTCAAAATGCGGCGTGGCTGATTGGCTCTCGATGCACCAGCCGAAATCAATCATCCTCACATCAACAACGCTTTTCTATAGTTCCGGAATGATCTGTCGTTTCCTTCTTCTTCATGCCTCGATTCGGAACCTTTTCCCCATACGCCTCAAACTATCGGCTGACTCTTAACACTTACAGAGGTACGTAGTCCGTACTTACTACGGAGTAGGTCGCCACGCTCCAAACACTAGGAGTTCCAGCCTACTCGCCCCTTGATGATAGTTCTCATACAGATCAATTCAAACACGTTTTCTGAGTTCATCTGAACCATCCACTTCCAGTTCCCCCGGAACTTTGATGGAAGTACGGAGTCCGGAGTATAGTACCACACCTCCTGTACCCCATGACCTCCCCCCCTTTGTCTGTTCCCGTACTCTGTAAACGAAACGGATGGGACTTGTTCACGGTGAGATAATAATGATACATACATACATGCTACCGACATAGCTATGATCGACCTTTTTCATCCATCGGTACGGAGTACGGAGGTATGTACCCATTGATTTACCAGTCGCATTCCGGGGAACCACTCTCGACCTTCCGATCTCGTTGATCGACTTGCTTCCCTATATGTAGTTATCCCTCCCTAGCCTTCTTGATACATAGTGCATTACTCTATTCTGCTTTGGAGAAGTCCAAAAAACCAGCTTTTGCTCATTCCTTTCCTGCTTCTCCTGTCTGTCTGTCTCTCGTCCTCCGCTGTACTCCGTTTCTTTGTACACGGTGGGTTGTACTTCCTATGGAGTACTGTGGGATTATCGCATCATGTGGACGTGCAGTTTTTTCTTTCCTTTCCTTTTCTTTTCTTTTCTTTTTCATCCCCTTGATTAGTTAGTTGGTCGTCTATACCGCCCCTTTTCTTTTCTTTTTTTGCGTTTCGTTTCGTTTCGTTAATCCTCCGAATCATCCATCCCTGGCGGGTTTCCCGTATTGCATCTAGTCTGGCTGTTTCTTCGGCATTAGCGATAAGAAAAAATAAGTAAAAACTAAAAGTCAGAAAAAAAGAAAGAAGGAAATGAAAGTGTCACAACGGCCATCACGAGGTGGCCAGCTGTCACCGACAATCAGTTCGGGATGTTTGATTCATGGCGGTTAGCTGGCTTGTCATGGGAATACCTAGGTCGGATGTGGGTTTAAGGCTTATTGTAGTATCATATAGAGTAGTTTAATCACTGATCTAATCGCTTACAGGGTATGGATCATGGATGGTGATGGTTGATGGGATTATTCCATGTCGAGGCTCAAAGTGACACAGGCATATCTAGATGAATCAGATGATATCCACGTCAATAGATATCATTATTATACACTATTAAGTATTCAGATTATATATACAGAGTACAGTTAAGCAGTCAGTTGATACTATACCTGCACAACACACTGTCAAGGAAGCTTATTAGCATGAATGATATTGGCTTACTCTACTATTATTTCATGCATACCAGTCACCCAGATTAGGCAGATAACCCATCCCCTCCCGTCCAGTTGGAACATGGAACTGTCGACTTCAGACTGTTCAGCTGCTTTCCTGCATCGTCCCACGGTGGCAATGAGGCAATGAAAAGACGAGGGGGGCTGCAAGTGAAATACCCCATCACATACAGCCCATCACAATCCCTAGCTCGATAGCCTAGTCTTAGATGCATAATATTGGGTTATATTATTACGGCTCAGCTTGACTGGTGACAATCTGGGATAGATTACTCCGGAGATCTACCATCGCATGATCGAGATAACCACTATACCGGGGTATAGCCAGCTGTCAGTCTATAATTGGTTTCTGTTATCTGGGGATGAGTACTTTTGTACTATGTAATAGTAGAGAAGAGAAGAAGCACATGGCCGAACTTCGTTTACAGATAGACAGTCCATCCCACGCTGTCTATTACTATTACTATGGCAGAGTGATCGCCGAATAGTTGCCGTTCGTCCTCGGCAGTCAACACGGCAGTCATGGACAGATGGAAGAACATAACATGGAACGCCACTAGACTGGACAGTAAATAGCATTTGAATAGTACAATACACATGGCATGCAGTTCCATGGGCGTCTCCTGTTCTCCAAAATACTATTGATTCCAATTCCATCACTTTCTGTCTATCCAAGTGGGGGTGACAGGCGGGGAGTGGCAAACCCCAAGTCACGAGAAGCGTCACGTCACATGATGTGGGGTCTCCTTTTCAGGAACACCACCGCCACTTGACACTATTGGCGTCACCAGATATGACGAAAGAGAGTATCCTCTACTAGATGCTACTTAGTGCATGTATATGTTACTGTACTTCTGTATACTGTATACTGTATACTGTATACTGTAGGTGTATTCCGTAGTTGGGTCGCTCCTTGCGCCATCGAGAAAGCCAAAAGTCAGGTGTCAAGTCGGACAGAGTACATACAAACAAGCATTGGATTGAGTCAGGGACTAACTCTGTTTATTGAATATTCGTTCTACTATGATTTACCACAGCATATTCAGCATCATAATGAATATACTCCATACTATCGATAATGAGCATCTCTATGATCAAGTAGAAGTACCTGAGCAGTCACATTCCCCGGCCCGCATCCCCGACCCATTCATTCATCACCATTCATCCATCCCTTAAATCATGCTCGTACCTTGAGTAACTTGACCTGCCCGTTGAATTGTCAATCTGTCCTCTTCCCTTTAAAGTGATAACTATGCAACTCCTGCAGGGTGGTATGGGACGCAAGGGTGCAACGGATCGACGGGTGCAGGATCCGGACATATATATATATCTGCAGTCCAGTCAACTGACTTAATCGAGACTGCGACTGAATATGTAGGATGGAATGGTCTGGGTTGTGTTTCGTGAAGATATCTAGAAGGGTTGGGTCTGGGTGGAATGTGTGGTTTTATATATGGCCAGATAAGTATAGATGACACGTATCCAGGTATCTGGGACTGGAACAGTCAAGTATGCAGAATTATTATTTCGTTGATGGTATTATTATCCCTTGGGCCCTTTATTAGATGCTATCAATAGTATGGACCTAGCATTGAAGCAGATTATTAGCTAGTAATTTGATGCTATATAAATATACAGTATAGAAGTACTTTCAATGTACCCCACGCAACCTGAAACCAAAATGATGCAAGATCAGGTACCAAATAAGCCTTCCCATGACTATAAAGTGTACTTTGTATAAATAAAGTACATGTGTTGGTTGTGTACTTTGATCATATGAACCTGTTGAGATGGTCAGCCAATCGGTTATATTGTATATTATTTATATAATTTCTATATAATCATATAAGATGATAATTATATACAATATTAATATAGATTATTGTTTATAATGATAGAACCTAATCCGGGGTAGATCTGGGGAAACTACTGCGCCTGTATGGAGTCATTATGTACGATACTTTCCCGAGTACTTTTATATCACTAAACCAAACAGTACTCGTAATACTGCATACAGTGACATACAGACAACATACAGAAACACTCCATCTTGTTGTCTTGTCAACTGCTGTCTTCACCGTCATGTGGAATCCTCCAAAGTAGCGGTATACAACTACCACTACAACACCATGCATAAATGGATACACCAACACAGAAACAGCATCATCATCAACATCATCAATTAATTATAATCAAGTCATGAGAAGAACGCCTTTCACTGCTGACTGGGACGGTGATTGTTTATCCGCCGAACAGAACACGGCCACGTCAATTGTCAAATGGTCAGTTTGTCCACCATGTGATATAGCTATACACACGGGAGTTATAATGGATGCATAACCGATTGTCTGGACTCGGTCAGAGGAGAAAAATGAGATCGACTCGTTCTAGACTTGATTGTGGTTATTTGCTTTTGGATGAGTAAATGATGCGGTGCTGGGATTGTCTGTGTGTCTGTGTTTTTTCTTTTCTTTTTCGGTGATTGATTGACAGGGTCATCTGGACAGTTGATTTTTTCCCATCACTTATTTAATTAGGAAGAATTATTCATTGCATACTGTACAACTTCATTTTTAGCCAATTTGATGATCAGTACGTAACGCAAGCCACATGCTTACCCATTTATCTACTGATGGCTATGGATGCCTCATTCCGAGAATACGGTAGGATAGATGCATCAGTCCACATGTCAAACATGACCTATCCACCATCATCAGAGATAGATGGATGTAACACGTTCGCGGAACCAGGATTCCACTTCCACGCGCGCTTTAATTCCTCGATGGTCAGGATTAATCCTAGACTGGGCTGCATTATCCACTGTGTGATAATAGTGGGCACCGAGTGATAGTGAGGGTGGAAAAAGAAAAAAGGAAAAAGGATCCGTACTTTTTTTTTTGTCCATGTGAAGTGTGAACTGGTGTGACAAAATAAAAATATACTGGGGGCTGGATTGGGATTGGATTTGAGTGATGAGATGAGATGAGATTGATGATCCCCTGATTTGGTTGAATCATGTGGGATACCCCTGACTTGCGCTCTCGAGATACAAACCGCGGTTTACTTACTATGTACTACGGAGTATCTGTAGGTATACTATTATGTGTATCCGTATTTGTATCAGTTGTTTTATTCATGCCTTACTTGGGTATCAGAATGGCAGTGTCAGTTGACCGTAATAATGTCCGATATCCCCCATGGCGGATGACAAGGGGCCAAACCGAGGCAGACTGTGACGGGGAGTTGTATAGCGTGGTATCACGATCCGCCAGTTTCATATGTAACATACACTGCCTCGGGGCGGAGTGGGAATGTGTTAGAGGTTGAAACAGCCTATCTATACATAGATATTTGATGTTCTAGTATTTTCATGGAAGGTTGGGTTGCATATGTCGGGGTTGCATTGCATTGTTTATTCTTGAAGTAACAGTACTGCTACGAGGTGAGTAGACATCAATTCATTCAACGATTTTTATCTATGCCCCATGTTCTACATAGGTCATACTCATTACCGACAACACACTGTATGTAAATGTCCCGACTCCAGCGCCTTATAGCTGGTCATCGGTTTAAATTGTATACAAGAAACCTAGAAATCCTGCTCGTCATCGCCAGAGATGATGACGTTGTTGATCTAATCAGTTAGCTATGGCCATACTACATTCAAAGATTCAAATAGACATACCTTAAGAACCATGCGGCACAGCTGGGTCGCAAGCAAGAGCTGCTGGCGCTTTCCAATCAGAGGATCAATAGCAAAGTGCTCTTTCATATCTATATCTAGTCAGTATATTATCATTCGTATCTTATCGAATCATCATACCGTTGTTGCCTGTCAACATGCAGTCAACCCCAAGTCTCGAGTTGTTCTCCTTGACTTGACGCGACTTGATCGAGGCCAGAGTCTCGATCGGGCTCAATCCAGAGTTCTCGGCCAGAGCCAAAGGAACGGCGTCCAGCGCGTCGGCGAAAGCACGCATGGCATATTGTTCGATTCCAGGGCTCTGTAAACTAGTTAGTCAAAGCAATCGAATCAAGTATCAAGTAACGTACCTTGGCAGCCGCATCTTCCACGGCAATAGAGCATGCAATCTCAGCAGCACCTCCTCCGTACACAACTCGGTTGTCGCGCACCAAGTTGCGGACGACACACAGAGCATCGTGTAGTGATCGCTTAGCCTCATCAATAATCTGCAACAAATCAGTATCCCGTAACCAATCATATAAATCATATCAAGAACTGCTGACCATCTTGTTGCTTCCTCGTACAAACACAGTCACCGCACGGCTGTTGGCACACTCCTCGATGACAAGCATCTTCTCTCGTGTGGTACCAAAGGTCATCTCTCGGACGCGACCTGCGGTTCCTAGCTTCTCTGCGCTCAAGTCCTCAAAGCGAGGAACAATTCGGCCGTTCGTAGCAATGGCGATCAGTTCAATTTCAGGTCCACCAACCCATCTCACGGCAGGGAGCTTGTTCTGGAGCAGGAGGTGGTTGGCTTCGTCATCGAAACCCCACTGGCAGATGACCAGGTTGGCACCAGAGTCCTTCAGGTGCTGGATCATCTCAGTGAACTTTTCCCTCTCATAGTCTTGCAGCTTCTTGAATTCTTCCACCGTTGTAATGTCCAACTTGTGCTTGGTCTTGGGCTTTGGGGGCTCGAACGGGCAGGTCAAAATTGCCATCTTGGCATCTGTGACCTCATCGGGCATCTGGGGGTGAGAGAAGTCCTTGTCCACAATGACACCCTTGACAAGCAAGGAATCTTCAAGAGCTCCTCCAACCTTTCCGTCAACCTTGATCAGCTCAAAGTCAACATCCTTGCGCTCGAGGTCGGCGACAGAGAGAACGGCATCGATGGCGATCTTGGCGAACTGGTCGTGGGATTTCGACACACTATCAAATGTCAATATAAAGAATGCACAATCATGGGCACTCAGTCATACATCTTACTACCCAAACTGGTCTTGGCAACCTTCAGCAGGTTCTCGGTGTGGTCTTTGGTAAAGGGGATCTCGTCACTGATCTTGTCGAGCTGCTCAACAGCAATTTCGCACGCCTGATCGTAACCGTCTGCAATTCGGATGGGGTGGATGCCCTTGTCGATCAAATCGGCGGCTTGCTCCAACATGGCCGCGGCCAGGACGACAACGCCAGTTGTTCCATCACCAATTTCCTCATCCTGAGATCTCGAAAGCTCAACCAACAGCTTGGCAACGTTGTTTGTAACTTCCATCTTTTCATCCCAAAGTCAGTGCCAATTCAATCAACGACGTCGAAGGAAATTCGAGAACGGACCTGACCAAGGATAGTTGCACCGTCGTTTGTAACTGTGATATCGCCATCGGGGGAAATCAAGATCTTATCGAGACCGCGGGGACCCTACATATCATTAGACCCTTGCCTACAGCCCGTTTCTCCTGATCATACCAAAGAACTCTTCACAATGCTGGCCACGGTCTTGGCGGCAACAATGTGTGATTTCACGGCTTCGGTGCCGTGCTGTCTCTTCTTCTTTCCTTGGCTATACGTAGAAAAACCTGTCAGCCTCAAACCCTCCCGCACAACAATGTTCTAAAAGACGGTGAAGCGATCGTATTTTCGAACGTACTCTCGGACGACAATGAATGGGCGGCCCTGCTCATCCTTCAATACGGAAGCTGTTATGATGGTCAGTTGTTGATTCGCCGAATCGAAATTCGTAGGACCGGAAATATCAACCTTGGGACATATCAAGCTCTGTAAGAAAAAAGTTGGAGACCGTCAGTGGGTGAGTCCGAGAATGAGGGGTATCAGGGACGTACGCATCGCCATTTTGACGGTGGTCTGCCACACGGCAGGAGTTCCAATCTAAAAACCTGAAAGATCCAACGGGGAAAATGAAAGCCGGAGACAATAAAATCCTCCCGGCAGTATTAAATTAAAGCGACGTGGGGAGTTCAGCGATCTGGACACAGCCGGTGTTCTTTCACAACGGGACCTTTTTTAGAAATTCTGGAGATGTCCCAGCCGGGCTAGTGAGCTGCTTTCCAAAGGCGGTCTAGCGTATCGCTCACCACGCGCTTTGCGCGACTCGGCATTTCGCAAGCACCCCAAAAGGCATCATTGCAATTGATTGATTACAGCGGATTGATGCTGCTCCGCATTCTCGCGCCTTTTTAATTCTTATCAACTGTTTCAAGAAAGCTTTTGAGGCAAGACCTCAAATAGAATCGCCAAGTTGTTTTCAAGGCTGCTTAGTTTCGCCGCTCCTTTTAGGACAATGCCTCGTGAGTACTGAATTGTTTGCGCTGCAACTGCTACCTCCAAGCTGACTTTTTCTTCTTTAGCCCCGGTGCAAGATCAGTCCGACGATGAGTCAACTGGTGGCTCCATCCCTTATGACAACAACGATACCAAGGACGAGAAGCCAGAGAAGGATGAGAGCGATGACGAGGAGGAGAACGACGACAACGACGAGAACGGCGAAATGTCGGTTTTAAACCAAGACACCTGAGCCAGCCATCAGGACTGACCTGAGCAGGTACACCGTTGAAAAGATCGTGGGCCATGAGTATATCAAGGTACGCTGCTACGATTCATTCAGTCCCAGGCGCCTGGGTGACGCAGGAAAAGCGCTTCGCTAACTATACGATAGACCAAACTTTTTCTCCAGGTGAAATGGACAGGATACGACAACCCAGAAGATCAAACACTGGAGCCGGAAGAGAACATGATGTACGCAACCCCGCTCTTTGCTGGATGCCAAAAATCCCACTTACCGATCGTGCGTGAACAGGGAGGACGCAAAGGAAGCTGTTCTTGAATACTACGAAGCTCAAGGAGGCCGACCACAGAGGACTATTAAGAAACGAAAGTCAATGGCGGAGACCAAACCTGCACCTGACAAGACGGCAGATCCCAAGAAACGCAGAAGGTCAAAAGCAGCCACCGAGGCCGAACCTGAAGCCGAAGCCGAGACCGCAACCCCAACCGCAGATGAGAAGGAGGTCCCGGATTGGGTTCCCAAAACCAAAAACTGGGAGAATGATGTGAAAAATGTGGACACAATCATACGCGACTCAGAATCGGGGAATTTGCTTGCATTTCTGCAGTGGAAGAATGGGAAAAAGGCCAAGGTGTCGATCGAAACTTGCTACGAGAGATGCCCACAGAAGGTAGGTTCCTCTGCCCTATCATTGCCGCTTGTAAAGCTAACATCACGAAAAGATGCTCGCATTTTATGAGCAACACCTGTAAGTTATCTTATGATCGAACCCCTATACCCATCGCCATTACTGACCATTCGTTAGTGTGTTCAAGGAGGGTTGAAATGTTTGTCTCGGAGTTTGCGAGAGCCATGTTCGGTGACTCGAATATGCTGGGATTTGACCATATCTGATCGATTGGACACAGTACTTGCTGGCCAGGAATGGAGAATACTAACTGCTATGAATGGTGGTTGACCGGAGTCGATAGGCCCTGGACTGCAATATTTCTCTTGTAAGATAATCCTCCCTGGCTTTATCAAGGCAATGAAGATCTCACGAGTGACATCATAATCTTCAGACCTTTTTTTCCCTGTCATTTTTTGCTTAATTTGAATTTCCGGGCCTTTTTAATTTGCTTCCTGTTTTGATACTTCCTACGGGGAACTTTTGTATTTTACAACCTTTCTATGACCGAAATCATATCATGATATCATTAATTATCAATGTCATGTTCCACGCCTGCATCTCTAGCCATGGTAAGATATTCCCATCTGGCGTTGAAGAACTCCGAGCCATGCTTTTTCAGTACACGTTCAATGCCCCGGCTGTCTTGTCCTTCTATACATTTATCATCTTCAGCTGTCCACACCCCTGGGATATCATCTGGAATGTCTTTCCCTGCAACCAGTTGTTTAAGGACCTTGTCAGCCAAGTCGGGATCCATGCTGGTGCATCGCAATGCTACAAAAATCTGCGCATCATTCTCCGCTTTTCCAGTTCGCAGCCGATCGTCAATCCATGCGTCAATATCTTGCTCAGGGCCTTCATCATTATCATCTTCTTCCGGCTCTGGGGTTAGAGGAAAGAAGGGAAGTTCTAGGAAAACGCTATCCATTGTGTACTCTGGATCCTTGTTCTTTGGTTTCGTGGTTGGTTCAGGTTTCTCCGTTTGGGTTGTTTCTGTTTCTGTTTCTTTCGTAATACCTTTCGTAAATGTCGATGGCTGTTTCTGTAATACAGGCTCTTCTGATTGGGGTTGATGAGTAGTGGGGATGGTTACTTGTGGTGTCATTGTTCTCCGTTTGGGGGATGAATGAGAAGTAGAAGTTTCATCGTCTAGACTTCGTTTTCTCTTTCTTTCTTCTGGCCTGTCGGCATCCATGGTAGACTTTGGGATATTTTTGGCGGTCTTTGATGGAGAATGCGGGTGGGATGAAGGCCTGGCAGTGGTATTCTCATGAGAAACAGCAGTTGTCTGGTCTGTAGTTTGCGGAACACCGCCTCCTGGACGAGGCTGTCCACGAAGTCTCTTCCGATACCGATCACGATATGATTGATATGTGTGTCTCGGATGCTGCGTTGTACAACGGCTGTCAGTGTCTGACCCCCAGCCCTAGGGCCTGGTGTAGAATTACCTTTTCAGCAAGTGCTTGGTATGCGGCGTTGCCTCCTACACCAACGCCATCTGCAGCTTCATACTGTTGCATCCAATCCCAAAGAATCTGATCGTCTTCAAGTGTGTACACCACTCTCGTACCTGAGCTTGGAATATAGGTTGCTCCTACCGGGCGCTGTGCTGAAGGTCCAGCCCGATAGTTTTCTAGGTCCTGTAGGCTTCCCTTACGGATAGACTCTTCCACAAATTGATATGAAAACCTGATGTGCATTATGAGCCTCCTTCCAAATAAAGGGAATGAAGCGAAGGCAGGGCTATGATCTCACGTGTTTGGGGGGAGGTTCTTTCTGGCATGGTCGACTAGTTTGATATCCGCGTGTTTTTCTTGAAGTCTTATAATACCCCCATTTTGCTGTATTATGTTAGGATTTCACAACAAAGAAGGTATTGGATTTGAGAATAATACCTGTATGAGTTCTTTGAATCTTGACCTCTGAGGGACGTTCTGAGATAGCCAGAAATGCTTCCCTTGGAAGAGAGCGTGAGATTCGCCGTTTGAGCCAACACTGTCAGCCCCCGAAGTCATTCCTGGCATATTCACTCTAGAGCCATAGGCCCAGAGACACGTCTCTAATAAGTCCAAGCAAAGCGCTGCGACCCTCAATAGGAGTTTCCTGAGGTTCTTTGTTCACAACGCGTGATCACGTGTTCTCGTGTTGAGATGATCCTACTTGAAGAGTGTTTTCCTCACTGATAATGTCAATATTTAATGCGCGTATTCTGTGGCCTGATAGTGTATCTTCATTAAAATTTCACCACCAGCTCATTGGATCATAGCTTTCTGCAGAAAGCATTAGAATCGTCAATCGTATCGCTGAAGTTTCGGAATGAAGCTCCCAAGGGTTACCCCGGCGGCAAATATCACGTGGACACGATGGGGACGCTGACTGAATAGCGACTTGACCATGGGGGATATTAGTGTAACACACATACTTGCGAGCAGCATAGATGGATACTGGTTCTGGAAAAGAGTAGCAAAAGAATACTCATGATGCTTGCTCTATAGGATTGAACTGAATCTTGTTAACACCCTGGCCCAGCTGCCGTTCAGTACGACAGCGGGTGCTATTAGCTGACGACGACGCGTGAGGCTAAATCCATTTCAAGATCATTCAACACAACATGGGAAGCTTGCGGACATTGGCTTTTGTAATTCTGGGATTTTCAGGATTCATATTTATTGCCCTTTTTGGAAGAATTCCTGCTTTCCGGTAGGATGCCAATCTCAGTTTTGGGGTCTTTGACTGATTGTTATATTTAGGAAAACACCTATTGGGTTTCTCCATAGGACTATTTGGATATACATCCCCAATGGAATAGCTTATGTTGATAATCGCCTACTTGGTGGGCGGTTTTTGCAGTGCTGGAATCGATTCGGTAGCTACATACTGCATGAGAACCACCCACTTGTTCTAGTTAGTCTAATGCACGACCAACAAACTGCTCGTTCTGTGTTGCTAACACGCTTTATAGATATTCTTCGTGTTACTTCTGATAGCAGGGGAGTTTATGTTTATTCCGAGTGCGTGGCCTAGGATCTCTACAGGGCATCGACTTTGCGTTCCAGTGGTTGCGATTCTCCCATACGTCCTCTTGTATGCGAGTGTTGTTTCCAGATCTGATATCACACCGGAAAATCACTCAGAAGAGATTGAACGCTATCCATACGACCGGGTTATCTTCCACCCAGGGCATTATTGCCGGACATGCCGCTTTCTCAAACCAGCACGGAGCAAGCATTGCAACGTTTGCAAAGCATGTGTTGCTCGACAGGACCATCATTGCATATGGTTAACTAATTGCGTTGGAAGAAACAACTATCATTATTTCTTGTCAATGTTGCTGTCGATGTCAGTCCTGTTGATCTACGCAACGTTACTGGGCTACTCTCTGTTATCTCAAACACTGGAGAATCTAGTACCTTCCAGTTCCAGTCTACGGTCGACGAAGCAAAGCTGGTCGGTATTCATTAATATCTGGTCCGTGGTTATTGCTTCTGATGTCCGAATTGGGGCTGTGGCTCTATTAGCATGCTTGACATCTCCCCTAGCTGTGGCGTTCCTCGTGTATCATAGCTACCTCATCTGGGCTGGCATGACAACGAACGAGAGCGCCAAATGGTCCGAGTGGAAGGAAGATGTTGCTGATGGCCTTGTCTTCAAATCTTCTCGAAGCAAGATCTGTACAGAGCCACCTACACCTGATCACAAGCATCAAGGGTCTTGGCCGATAAGCAGCGATCAGATTCTTGTATTCACGGATGGTCAGCCACCGACAGAGGGATATCTGTTGTCGTCTGATTCCAGTGAAATCATTCGCAATGGTGAACCAGGTACACCTGTTGATCCGAGATGGGTTCGCGTGCGCAATATGGGCGAAGTGGACAATATCTACGATCTTGGATTTTGGGATAATCTGCGTGATTCTTTCAGGTTACCAATTAGACGGAGACCACTTCATCCTTAGACCAAACTCATTATTATTGAATCTTCGATGTACATTTCTTCAAAATCCATTCCGAAGTACATGTAAGTTCTAGGCCCTAAGTCGTCCAGCCGCATTACCCAAAATGGTAATCAGCGGGATGCCCCTCGGAACCGGAAAAAACGTCTCTGCGGCAATCTTTCTTTCTCCACCAAACGGGATTATTTTGAGACAACGACTTGCGCTCAACTTGTGAGATTTCTTGACGGCTGCTTTTCTCGCAATATTTGCTGCGAGTACAGTCAACATGGCAGACCGTACAGGAACAGAAGCAAAGCCAAAATGCACCCCCGCGGAGCTAATGTTGAAGGTCATTTTGACCGGGACTTTGAGCCACTATGAGACTCGTGGGATGATTGACGATAAACGACTGGAGCATATGCTATCTGCGGGGAAGCAGATTTTGTACAAGACGCATCAGGAAAGCGACGTCAGGTATCTATCTGTGCCTTGGATTTTTCGACATCCTTAAGTCCCGAATTCCTGTGCTAACCCCGCCTTCCCACCACAGACACAATCTAGGATTGTCACCAGACATTTGGCAAGGCTTCACAGACGTACTTACCAAAGCGATCCCAGTCCTTGAGTCGCAGTCCTTTGCTTGGAAGAGCCCTCCTTCTGCTAATTACGACCATTCCTCCTCAAACTTAATCGCATACAACTACTTTTCGCTGGTCAAGGATATCGAACGCCTGAATGACTTATGTATCATCGCCCGCAACTTGCTTGCGACGACGAAGAAGGCGCAGAATATGGCGGCGGAAAAGGGTTTCGACCAGAGAATCTTAGCGCTGGTTGACACTTGTGTGAGGGTTACCGCGCGGGGATTTGATGGAGAGACGAATGCCCGGAACGAAGAGCGCTGGCAGAAAGTGGTCAACCTCTACAAACGTCTTTTGATTACGTGCCTTCAGTTCCTGCATAACTTCATCATGCACAACGAACAGCGGAAGATGGTGCTTTGGCTCGATCTATTCGGTTACCATTCCACTGGCGATTCCAACATCATACAACCCAAAGAGCCACTCGATCAGACCAACACTCAACCCGAGGGAGTGGCACCAATTGTGAAGACAGGAGAGAGAATCGTCAACCCTCCGATTAGGGCTCTCTACGATCAGACGGCCGAGGACCTGCTACTGGAGACTATTTCCAATTTCCCAAGGGAGCCCGCAACCATCAAGGAAGAAGCGGCTATGTTACTTCTGGCAAATATCAAGGACCACATGGAGAAGCTTCTGGGACGCGATCTGACCGCTATTCAGGAAATGGGCAAAGATCCAGAGCAAGTGAAAGAGATTCGAGCCGCCCTTACTGCTATTCTTGGTGCTAAGGTGGATGGATGGTCGGACCTTCAAGACAGAGCCAAAGATCTCCCGCCCGCGCTCCCAGAGGATGAGCCACCACGAAAGAAGGCCATTCTTACCATCGACCGAAGCCCAACCGCTGGGTTCCCACGTATCTGCTGGGCCGATCTTCCCGATCTCAACGAGTACGGCGCTCTTGCAGCAGGCGACGCCGCTGTAACAGAAGAAGACACCAGTATGCCCCGATCTGCCCAATCCGCTGCTGAGACCCTCCAAGAAGCCAAAGACGAACTTATGGCACGACTGCAAGAATCGTCACAAATTGCCGGCGATGAAAACCAAGATTATGATGCCGGTGATGCTGGAACGGTTGGTGATGATGATTCACGCAGCCTGGAGGCTGTTGCCGATGGAAGCATGGAGGAAGAAGAGGAAGAAGATGACGAGGATGATGATGACTACCGAGGTCGTCCAGGTGATCAACAACGTGGTCTTTTGACTGATATTCCTCTTGTGCTGGGTCCTGCTGAGATCGAGGCTCTTCCTATGATCATTCAGGCTGGTATTGTCGACAGCTTTGGATTAAAGGGCGGAGAGAGGACTGGTTCAAGAAACATGCAGGCCCTTAGATGCCATATCCTGCTCACTCAGGAGACTGGCCGAAATCTGCTCCGGGAGCTTTTGATCTTCATTGCCGCCTGGGACCTCCCTGATGATGAGCTTTATTTCAAGATGATGGTCCAGATCATGGATGCAGTCCTGAGAAATGGCTTGATGTCTCATGCGTACTCGGACTTTGGTCAACCAAAGGACATCATCTCTCCGGCCCAGGCAGTCGTTGTCAAGATTCTCACTCACATCTTCAGAGCCAAATACTCTCCTGCATCCGTGACTGGATCGACGCCCGCCAATACGCCAAAGAACCCTGCACCTCTCTCGCGGGTTGACATCCTTACTGTCCGCTACATCTTCACCATCTTCCGCGGAAACATTATCCCCGAAACTTGCGCCCTGATCTACCTTCAAGGTCAGATCCGGGCTGGACGTGCACTGCCAGAAGATTTCCCCCTTAATCTGTGGGATATGGAACGAGTTTACGAAGGTGTTTACCAGTTCCTCGAGTTCTTTGCCGTGCTCACCGAAAACAATGACTGGAAGAACCTGTTGGTCAAGTGGGAGATTGTCTACGATCTGGTCACTTTGATCAAGGAACTTGACGCCAGTATTCCCAAGGGCCAGCTGAGCTCGTTGTCCCTTGGTGCCTCTCGCGGTAGCCCTCCAAAGGACATCCAGCAGGGTGGTGCTTCTGGGCCCGTAGCAGTTGAACGACCTTATGATCCTAGTGATCCAGACCCCGCTGATGTCGGTATCGGTAGTGCCGGTTCAGGTGCTGAGTCGCCACCCATTACCGAGGATCCTTCTGAGTTTGAATGGAGGAATCTCAAGAAGCTTGTCGTTCTCGTCCTGTCGTCCCTTGTTTGGAAGTGTCCCGAGGTCCAGCATCAAATTCGCAGATATGGTGGTGTTGAGGCTATTCTGTCTTGCACAAACTTTGATGCCCACAACCCGTATATCAAGGAGCATGCGGTTATGTGCCTGAAGTTCCTTCTGGAGGGAAACCGAGAGAACCAGAAGTTGGTGGAGGACTTGGAAGCCCGAGAGGTCGTCAAGGATGACAGTGGAGTGCTGGAACGGAGTGGCTTTGAAGCTGTGATTGACAAGGCTGGCAAGTTGGCGATCCGGCCCAAGGAGGGTCACGAACAAAGAAGATAGATGTGATTGGCATCTTTCCTGAATGCAGGTTTTAAACAGCCCATCGATTTGTACAGAGTATCATACTAAACATCCAAAAAAGGAAAACAAGTTTTTGTTTAGAATAAAAAGTTAAAGATATCATGCAAAATGAATTCATGCCCATTCATTCTCATTCATATTTTCATTAAGACTAAACTACACCATAATTTAACCATACATACCATCCCACTCCTCCTCATCGTCCTCAACCGGCTTCTTCTTTCTGGCTTCTGCCTTTTCTCGTTCTTGTTTGGCAAAGTCCGTCCGGTCAAGGGGACAGTTGCCCCTCAGACGAAGCCAGGGACGAACACACTCGAGATCAAACAGATGAGTAGGGTGACAAGGCAACTGAACGACGAGCGGGTACTCATCCTCCAAAAAAGGGTTATTGCAAATCGGACAGCTTTGGTCGGGCTTCAACGAGGAACGAGGGACACGGTCGAGGACTGTCGCATATTCGTTAGCCATTATCCCACACACAGCGCAGACCGTAGAAACAATAACATTGTTATAAAGATAAAGGGGGAAAGAAAATAGAAAAAAAACATACCATCACAAAACTCCTCACTAACACCCTCCACCTCTCTAGGCGGCATATCCGCATCCCTCAACAAAGTCTGAATCATCTGCGTCAACAAATCCTCGCTGTCGCCCGCGCCCTCGACTCCACCAGTGCCGACATCAACACCTCCACCATCCCGGCGCATCATATCCAATGCCTCTGCGAGCGAGTAAAAAGCCGCGCTGACGTCGCCGGGCACGGGGACGGCGTGAGGGCGCGTTCGGCCTTCATCGGGGCTGATTTCGGAGAGGGTTGAGAAGAAGGTGGAGAGGTCTGGACGTCGGCGGCGGGGGGCGGTTTGGGCTGTTGAGGGATCGGTGGTGTTGTGTTCGACTTGGAGGTGGTTAGTATGGGGGGTATTATGGAATGGAGGGTGGGTTTGGATTTGGATTTAGGCTTACCTTCGTAGGTCGACATTTTGGTTGTGTTGGGTGGTGATTGAGGTTGTTGACGGTGACAGTGGTGATGCGCGGGGTAAACGGTGGCTGTGGTGAGCTCTTTTCGTTGTCTCTTCCTGCTGTGTTTTTATTTGTTTTTCTGTATTTAGATAAGGTTATTGGTGAATATCGGGTATCAAAAGAGAGTATGAATTGAGAGCAGGAGAAAGATTGTTTGGCGACAGAAATAGTGGTTATCTGATGCGGAGAGGCAGCAATTGATACGCGTTGCTCGGCTGCGGGTCCTACAGAATGCCATGGAATATCATCTCAAGACGGGAAAGAATAGATTCTTGTCGCATATTTTATTTCATGTCTCATATCTCATGTTATTCATTCTGAATTATATAGTTTTGGCGATAATATAAACAGCTAAAACTAGTAGTTGAAATCCTCATAAACAACTCTCTTCCCTGTTAACCAATTTAGAACAGCGGTCTTCAAGGAACTGCCAGCACAAAGATACCACACATCAGCCAAGGACAAATCGAGATCTCTCGCCTCCATTCTGCGACGCTCGAAGTTTGCACCGGAGGAAGTAAGAGCCTCGACGGTTTCAGCCTCCTTTCCGTGCGGATCAGACCCTGTGATGAACAGCGTCGTGGAGCTAGGAAGATGAGGGAACCGCTTGAATGTATCAAATACCAAGCCCACATCCCGAATGGACAGATTCCATATGAGCCGCAGACGTGAAATGTCAATGTCCGGAAGCTGTGCGATCAACGGGGTGATACCAATGCCACCCGCTACAAAGGGCAAGATATCTTGTCCGTTCTGGTCTTCTATCTGAAAGCTGCCCCCAAAACCTTTCAGCGGGACTTCTATGCCTGCTCGTTCGCTGACTCTGAATAGATAGCTGGTCACGTTGCCGTGCTTTTTAACGGTAATCTCAAACTCAGCAGCGGAAAGGCCTCTGCCAGGATAGGATGAGACTGTGAATGTTCGGACAAAATCGTCATTGAGACTGAGAGGGTCATCGTCTTGCATATGACTGTATCCCATATACATCTCGTCAAAGAAAGAAAATGTTGCATACTGCCCTGGTGTCCATGCCCCAATATTCGCTGGATCTGATATTCGAAAGCGGAACCGGTCAATTGTTGGGGTTAGTTCTTCCTTTTTGATGAGCGTTGCTGTGACAGACGACTCGGCAACGGCTGGGGATGCCTTCTCGGTGGTCAAATATCGGACACTCGGGTTGTATGGAGATGGCTGTCCTGCTATTCCCCGAAATGAAAGAGACTTTTCGACATATCGAGCCGCAGTGAGGGTCATTTTGACGGCCACATTCGACCGTGGAAGTATGGCTGCCGCATCCTTACCAACCAAAACTTCAGCTCGCCCGGTTGCATATAGTGCATTTCCCGTCTCAAAATCGGGAATGACGAACCCTGCAAGGGGAGTTGTCTGCAAATTGCCCAGGGTCTGATATAATCGATTGCCAGAGTATTCGGGGTAGACAACGACTGCGCCGCTGGGCTCGTTGGACGCAACTCGAATAAACCCCGGGGGTCCGCCACGAATGTTTGTGTCCATATCTACCGTTCCATAAGACGAGATAAAAAGGCAGTCTGCATGGCTAAGTAGATCAATAGCGCCTGGAGATAACTGAGGTGAGCTGGAGATCAATTTGGGATCTGGAACAGCTGGAACGATGTGTTTTTTGTTCAAGTACTTTGGGCAATTCCCTGTTCCAGTGAGCCTTGGATGGGTCCATATCACATTTCTGCCAATATCTGCTTACCCAAACTGGCATCGATTTTGATGGTGAGCTGAGCCGAATCTGCTCCTCCATCTGTGTCTAGATCTTGCCCAGCGGGACTCCGCGATCCTGCAATCTTCTTGCCCCAGAGTTTCACCCGTTTCCGCGTTTCAAAGTCAATGGCCAGTCCAGAAACCATCTTCTCGATATCTTCAGTTGTTTCATCCTGCACTGAAACAGGCAGTAATGACCCTGCTACCGGATCATATTTGATATCTACCGGTGTTCTGATTCCGATCGTGGACTCTGTTGTCGGCCCCGCGAAGCCCTCTTTTCCACCCCAGATAGTTGACCAAGGACGACCTTCTTTATCAACAGTCCCTAGAGCCAGTAATGGCGACCTTCCCAGTAGAAACTTTGCCCCGGGGCTGAAGTAGGGGACTGTTGGGTTATCTTGGGGTGGCACACGTAGCAACTTTTGGATTTTCTGCTCTCCCTCATGCCAGGGAACGCCTGCTACAATTGAAGGCATTTTAAAGTGCACAAATTCCCGTAGGCGAAGACAGAACTATATGATGAAGAGGGTTGTGTGAAGATGATTTTGAGAAGTCGAGGCTGTGGCGTTGTGCGAAGCCAGCCAATGGTGATGCCGGCCAAGTCAGATGGAAAGTCAGAAAAACACGCTGACTATCGGCTTGAGTCCATAATTTATCTGCCTGGAATATGCGGGGTAAGCATTTCTAAGATATTAGACCATCCGAAGAAATATAGAGCAATGTCATTATCCATTTGTCATCATCGAAGAATAGTTATTCATCCCATTCTCGTGGGCTGCAGGTGTCAAAATTTCATACGGAGAATTGGTGGAGCTGTCCAACACGAAGACGACAAGAGGCGGTTTTATAATTATCGACGGCCGCGTGGTCAGCAGTAATACTGAATCTGAAGATCCAAGACATCGCCTCAGACAAGACGGCACGATGAGGATTGGGATGCAAGAAGAAGGATGAATGTCCATGGGTTACCGGGGCATTGTTGCGGTATTATTAGCAACACGCGGTGGAGCCGAACTGGCGATCGGCGCCATTGCGACAGCACGCCGCATCATCGTCAACACTAACCAGCCGTCTTTTCTTTTCTTCTTCTTCTGCCTGCGTTTTTCTCTTCTTCAGGTCTTTAGATAGATCAGGGGTTCTGTTTGTTGTTTCGTTTTTATTTAACTTTATTTTCTTGTAACGATTTATGATAGCACGACATCCCTTGTTTTGGACGTGAACGACTCTCTCCGCATTTACTACTGCATACTGCATACAACAACATCAGCATCACAGGAATACAGCAGGAAACCTCCGGCCTGTTATCAAGATGCGATCCAAATCCATCAACGTCAAGCCGTCGCTCTATCCAGCGCTGCCCTTTCACATCATCCGCGCAGTATCCTTCATCGCTACTCTCATCGTCGGCATCATCCTCGCCGTCTTCATCTATCACCTCCATACTGCCAGCCACAAACTCCCTTGGACGTTCCTAGTCGTAAGTCAATCTCTCACATACCACGTATATCACATCAAACTAACCCTCCATCCAGCTCGTCATCACCGCCGGCCTGTCTCTCCTCAACCTCGTCTTCACCACAATTATCCACTGCTGCTATGGCCTCTCCCCACGCCTCTCCCTCACCTTCAACGGCATCTGCCTCTTCCTCTGGCTTCTCTCCCTCGGTCTCCTCTCATGGAGCATGTACCAAACCATCCTAACAACCTGCACCGCAACATACTGGGCCACCTCCACCGGCATCACCGTCTGCAAAATCTACAAAGTCCTCTTCTCCTTCACAGCCATCGCCGTCGCATCCCACATCGCAGCCTGCGTCCTCGACATCGTCGTGCGCAACCGCCAAACCCGTCTCGGCGAATACGACCCCATGGCCAGTAACCCCATGCTCGGCGAAGTCAAACTGCAGGACCGTAGCGCTCCTCTCCCTGCTGGCCCTCCCCCGGAGTACCTGGGCCCGCACCTCTCGGAGCGCTACCACAATGGTAGCCCGGAGCATTTGGGTCCCCACCCTTCAGAGCGATTCCATGACGATGATGAGTTCCATGATATCCCTGAGCCGGCGCACGCGCACGCTGCTGGGCCCCCGGGAACGGCGTACGGTGGCCATGACACTTTCGATGATTACCATGCTGGCGGTGAGGCGCAAGGTTATTATCAGCCTTCGCCGGTGCATAGTCGCCAGGGTACGCCCCGGGTGAGGTTTGATGCGGTTAGTGATTATGGGTACAATCATCCTCCGGAGCAGACTAGCTATGACCCAGCTGCGTATCGGTGAAGGAGGTTTGGTTAGTCGTGGATACTAGTATGGGTGGTGGTTCAAGGGTATCATTTAATATCTAGTATATATATCTTTGGTCATTGACGTGATACGATCTTTGCATGGGCAATGTGCTATATTCTCGATTTGAATATGGGCATGGCGTTGGGAAGGGATTTCTTATTATTTAGCGAAATCAATTTCATAAAAAATAACTGACATCAACTGAAATCGTTTATCATCAGATCTCTCCACATTATCTAGCATGTAGTTTGGGGAACTCATATCTTTTCCAACGTCGTTTATCAAAAGCCAGAAGCAAGCGGGTAAAGATGGGGTAGTTAAAGGGACGATAAGATAAAACTATGTGAAATCGTTTGATATGTATAATCCTCATATCAGGATAAGCAAAACGACCAGGGAAATAGAACTCTACATAATTACCTCGTTGGCCACATCCTAGTAGATATGTTAGCAGAATACTCGACCAAGTAGGAAGAATGAAACATACCCTCTTGAGCTCCTTGAACGGCAAGCAAACACAGTTCTGTACTCGCACTTCATCCCCGACAACACACTCCTTACCCAAGATGGTGATGCTCTGCACCTTGATGCCATGCTTGACGATGCTAGTCGAGTGGCTGCCCATCGGGATCGGGGTACCCTCGACACGGGCCCAGGCGCCAACACGGCTGCTCCATCCAATAATAGCGTGCAACACGCACGCATCGTGCTTGATCTCGGCATCCTCGAGCACGATAGAGTCCTTAACACGAGCGCCAGCGCCCACAACCACACGGGGACCGATGGAGACGTTGGGGCCCAGCTTCGCGGTCGGGTCAACAGTTGCAGTAGGGTGGATGTAGACGGGGGGCACAATGGTGGCGGAGGGAGCAATGAGTTCGTCACTTTGCGCCTGGAACGCCTTCTGCAGGTACAAGGCATTGGCAGGGACGGCCGATCCAGCGGTCTTGATCTGTCGCCAAAAGTCCTTAGTCTCGTGGACGAAGAAGCGGTTGCTGTCGGCCAGGTCGGACAGGATGTCCTGCTCGAGACGGAGCACCTCATTCTTCTCCCCGTCTTCATCATCGGCCGCGATAAAAGTTGTGTCGAGGTTCTCGGACGAAGGGTAAGAAACAAGACGGGGCCGGGTGGTGCGTCGCTTGATAGCACTGCGGATGGAGGGGAAGATGCACTCGGTCGCGAAGAGGTAAACACCGCAATTGATGAGGTTGGAAATGTGAGACTCGGGCTTCTCAACGTAGTGCAGCACACGCCGGGTGTGCGAATCGGAAACAATGCAGCCAAAGTTGGTGGCTGCGTCGTTGTTTACCCGTGTTCCCAGAATGACGGCCTCCGCATCCTTCTCCTCGAACAGCTTCAGCATCTCGCCCAGCGGGAAAGAGCAGCAGACATCAGCGTTCAGGACGAAGATGCGCTCCGGCTTGCCCTTGAGGATGGCATCGCGGAAGTGGTACAGACCTCCTGCTGTACCCAAAGATGTGTACTCACGCAAGTACTGGATTCTGAACTGGGGGAATTCCTTGACGGAGTCTTTGATGAAATCCCGGAAAACGCTCTCGTCATAATAACCGACCAGGATGACTTCTCGGAGATCGGGGACCTTCGCAAGAGCTTTGAGGCAGTGGTGGATGATGGGGTGGCCGGCGACTTCGAACAGAGGCTAATAAATCATGTCGCTGGTGAGCTGGTCTGAACACAATGATCGCGGTGAGGGGAAAGTGACAGACGTGAAACTCAGGGAGGGGCATAAAAACGAACCTTGGGCACATCCAGAGACAATGGCCTAAAACGAGTTCCTCTCGAAGGGCCACCGACCTAAAATCAGAAATCTGGTGAGTAAAAAAAATTGGCGACAGGGTATTTCTCGTCAGGCACTCGTACCAAGATGATGGCCTTGGTGGAGGCCATGTTGGTGTGTTCCCGCACTGGAACTTGAAGCATGAAGGCGGATTTCTGGATGAAACGGGGGAAAGGGGGTTATTAAATTAAAGGGTCCGGACAATTGAGAAGATGGAAGAGAAAAGTGAAGCTGTCCGTTTGCAGAGCATAACAACAAGAACCAGAAACCCGATGGAGCGACAATAATCAATGATGGCCACGCAGTCCGTTCCAGGCCCACTAAAGTCCACCAAAAGGGGCCGAACGCTTGAATCTTGGCGGTGGGGGATTGACCGCTTCCGTCTTGATCTTCATCTTCATTCATGTCTGTGTAGATATTTTGTATTTTATATTTGGTAGTGGGTAAAGAGATGGAGTCATGGAGAGTGAAGTAGTTATTAGGATAATGTTGCTAAGTCAAGACTTTGTATAAGCCGACTGCAATGGCTGGCAGAACAAGGGTTTGCTGTAAATATATCCCAGCTGCATCCAACCCACTTTGTTTTTCAACCTTCTTTTTTCCTTGCTTTTTTGTTTTTATATCTTTATACTACTAGGCTCTCTATCTAAATACTAATTGTGACTTGACTAGTTTTCATTTAGTTTAATTTTAACTGACTTTATTGACAGCGATGTTGTATAAACTTTGACGAACTTTGTATACAGAGTACCCACCTAGACTCTAAGGCCTCATTTTACCATCAGAAGCAACCTCACCCAACTTGTCATATCCAACTCATTATTTGCGGTTGAAGTCCTCTATAGCTACCGGCAATATCAAACAAAGTAGCAGTTACGGCCCTGTTATCTTCTTACTCCTGCTTTATTTCCGACTGATTGCTTTGCCTACAATACCAAAGGCACCGTTCATTCACCAGCTCTGCCAACCCCTTGACATCTCTCTCCTCTCTGACTTCACCTTTATCATTCACTGCTGCCAAAATGAAAGAATTTTTTAGACTAAGAAATACACTCTGTGTTAGTCCAAATGACAAACATAACACACAACCTCTTCTTCTCTCTCCCACCCTCTTCCTATCCTCTTCTTCCTTTACCACCACCCCTCTCGCTCTTAAATACCCTACCATCTCTTCTTTCGGACCTCCAAATTTTGTTTATTCTGGTTATGGTACCACTGGAATCTCAGCCATTGTCGAACCCCCCTTTCGAGGTAGCAGAGGAAAGCCTCGCCTCCACTCGTGAGTGATATTTACACCTCCTACTTTGCCTGCTTGACTAGTCTTTACTGATATCAAAACACTGGTCCTTCTAGAAACGATGAACGACACCGACATGATCATGTCGGGCTTACCGGCAAACGAGACGGACTCCATCAAGATAATCGCCCAGGACATGAAGAATCTTGTGAAGCGTATTCAGGACCTTCGTCACCTTGGCATCGAAGACAGCAAGATTGCTCTTCCCAAAATCTGTGTTGTCGGAGACCAGTCGACTGGCAAAAGCTCTCTCATCGAGGGCATGTCCGAAATCAAAGTCCCTCGGAGTGCTGGAACATGTACGCGTTGCCCAATGGAAATCAACCTGACAGAAAGTCAGGATCAGGAATGGAAATGCCACATATATCTCTCGAGAAAATTTATGTTCGATGGCTCTCGAAAGGTCACCAAAATCCCAAAGAAGTCTCAGCCTTTAGGCCCGTGGATCCCCCAAGAACAGGAAGACGAGCTTTTTATCACATTAAACAACAAAGATGATGTGCAAGAAGCTCTTAAATGGGCGCAGATAGCTATTCTCAACCCAGGGAGAGCATCGACTGACTACATCCCGAGCCAGGACATCCCGGGCCAGTCTGTCTCGGAAGAGTGTCAGGTCAAGTTTTCGCCCAATGTTGTTCGCCTGGATATCTCGTCGCCAAACTTTCCAAACCTATCTTTTTATGACCTCCCCGGAGTCATAAGTCAAGCAGAGCGTGACGATGAACGCTACCTCGTCTCCCTGGTGGAGAACCTTGTCAAAGAGTACATTTCGCACGACAACTGCATTGTTTTACTCACGCTCCCAATGACGGACGATGCTACAAACTCGAGCGCTGCACGTATCATCGGAGAAAACAAGAATAGTGCCAAGAGGAGAACCTTAGGTGTCCTAACGAAGCCAGATAGGATCCAGACTGGCGAATCTTTTTCTCAGTGGACGGGTATTCTGGAAGGTGAAAAGTTCAAGCTTGGTCATGGATACTATGTCGTGAGGAACAACCCAGACCCAACTATTGAACACGCACAGGCAAGGGAGGAAGAGGCCGAATTCTTCGCATCCAGTCCTTGGTCAACTGAGCTTTGTTGCTACCAAGATAAATTTGGAACTCGTCGCTTGCAGACAGCCCTCTCAAATTTGCTTCTTGAACAGATCCAGGGATGCCTTCCGCGTATTGTTGAACAAATTGAGGAAAAGGCCCAGCGGATCGATGCTGAACTCCAGACGCTCCCTGGACCCCCTTCAGAAAATGTGCAATTTGTGCTATGCAAGAAGATCAACAGGCTTGAAGAGCAGATACGAGCAAGCATTGATGGCGGCTCATCCCAATACCCCCTTCAGAAGATCTGGGGCCATATTGCATCGGACTTCAAACGGGCCTTGGTGAAAACTCGACCAACCGTGCAGCTTCTTTCAAGGTCTGATACTTTTGTGTTTCGGGCCGACCGAGATGAGGATTCGGACTGTGAAATGACTTCTGCTCAGCCAACAGCCCCTGCCCGTGGACAGACACCTGCTACTGCTGCAAGACAGTCACCCTCAGTGCAGCAACCGCCCGAAACAAAACCGTCAGGATATTCGACAACTCACTTTGAGCGGTTCAACGCCCCAGCGAAAATGTTTACGTGGGACGAGATCAAAGAAATCAATGAGGACTCATATCGCGCAGGGCTTCCAGACTTGACGGATCCAAAGGCCATTGAGATAATGAACCAGCACAGCGTCAAACACTGGGACGAACCAATGGTTACCTTTCTCAACGCCACTCACAAATTGGTGAGGGATATGCTCTTGAGACAGCTCGAAGAAGTCTTTACCGAATACTATCAGACCAGTCTCTACCGGGAATTGAAGCGAATCATCGATGTTAACCTACAATCGATCCGGAAGGATCACTTTGGACATGCTCAAGAAAATTACAACATTGAGTACAATAAGCCCTTCACGATGGCTACATCTGCCCTAGAAGAAGCCACGAAAGTGAATCACGACAAAATAAGTGCTAGTCGTCTTGGTGCAAGGGCCCGGCGCTATCTGCAACTGCAGGCCAAGTATTCCGACGGAGATGCTCGGTTTGAAATTGAAAGAAAGAAGCTCACATCCACTGAGCTTGGAGCGGATAAGTTTGCCCAAGAAGTCAAAATGATGGCGGTAGGTTTCCCTGACTCTATCATGAGACACGAGCCAAGCTAATGTTGTAGACCACTCGTGGCTATTATGATGTTGCTAGTTCAAGATTTGTCGATTCCATATGCCAGGGTGTCCATACGAAATTGTTCTCCAAGTGTCGTGAAGAGCTCGGAAATGTCATTGAGAAGGAACTGGGTATTTTCGAAAATAACGGTAGTGGTATGATTCCATCTGTTGTTGAGCTTGACATCTGCTAACATATATCCCACCCCAGCCGTGGACCGATGTCTTGAACTGATGGCCGAGGACCCAGAACGTCAGAAACGACGACAGTTTCTCCTTCGAGAGAAAGAGAAGATCTCCAAGGCACAGCAGTGGCTAGCTACTGTCAAGAAAGAAGATGACTCAGGATATTCGAATATTGATACTATGATCAAGGCGGAATGATATGGATGCACGAGTCCACGATCAGTCGTTGGTATTGTTTTTCTGTCTGTTTTGTCAGCCCGCTCATGTTCGACTGCTACTTTTGGTAATCGCCATGGCCCCGGTGATTAATGTTGGACAAACAGGACTGCACTGCGTCAGTTGATCGCAAGCAAGATACAATTCCTCATCTGCGAGTGATACTTGGAACCATGAAGTCGAGGTGGGATGTTGACCGCAAACAGCAAGGCGGGGTAAGCCCCACCCAGCTGCCCTATGCCCTAAGCCCCAACTCGAGGAAAAGCATCACCATTTGCAAAGGCTGTATGCTATTAGACAGCGAATGAGAAGAGAAATATGAAGCAATCAATGCAGAATCTATGAAATATCAAGAGTCACAGACAACGTAGCACTGTATGCCACAATGTGGCTGTCGTAGATCCTGAATCCGTAGACCAATGACAGCGGCCCATTCTGACTCAGGCCCAAAAAACCTGAGCAGCAACCATCCCCCACCAAAACCCTCGCCGGCCTTCTTCTTTCCCCTCCCCTGCCAGCGGCTGTTTTTTTCCTTCGTCTTTCTTGTTGCGCGTCTTCAGGGCAACATTCTCATCATGACGGACAACAATGTTAAGGAGGCTGAGGCCTCCATGGCCAACCTTTTGCTCGATGAGGTCACCGGCGAGAAGGTCTCCAAGACCGAATTGAAGAAGCGCCAGAAGCTGCGCGAGAAGGAGGCCAAGAAGAAGGAGAAGGAAGCTGCTGCTCCTCCCAAGGCGGAGAAGAAGACCTCCGCTGAGGATGATGAGGCTAACCTCACTCCCAACGTGAGTGGGCTCTTTTTGTGTGTTTTTGTGCGGGCTATCAGATGCTAACCTGGGTTTTCTTTTCAGCAATACTTCGAGATCCGAAGCAAGAGAGTCAACAAGCTCCGTGAGACCAAGCAGCCCGACCCTTATCCCCACAAGTTCCAGGTCACCGATGACCTGCGCGAATTCCTCAAGACCTACGAGCCTCTTGAGAAGGGCGAGCAGAAGCCCGATGTTACCGTTCGCATTGCTGGTAGAATCTACACCAAGCGTTCGTCCGGTGCCAAGTTGAACTTCTACGACATTCGCGCCGAGGGCGTCAAGGTGCAAGTTGTGTGCCAGGCCCAGAATGCCAGCGGCAGCGTTCCTTTCGAAGCTCAGCACGAGAACCTCCGTAGAGGAGATATCGTCGGTATCGTCGGTTTCCCTGGTCGCAGCAACCCCAAGAACAGACCCGACGGTGAGCTGTCCATCTTCGCCTCCGAGGTTGTTCTCCTCGCCCCCTGCTTGCACGCTATTCCCTCTGAGCACTACGGTCTGCAAGACAAGGAGCAGCGTTTCCGCCAGCGTTACCTCGATCTGATCATGAACGACCGATCGCGCAATGTGTTTGTTACCCGTGCCAAGATCGTCAGCTACATCCGTAACTTCTTCGACACCCGTGACTTTACTGAGGTTGAGACCCCCATGATGAACGCCATTGCCGGTGGCGCGACTGCCAAGCCCTTCGTCACTCACCACAACGAGCTCGACATGAACCTGTTCATGCGTATCGCCCCTGAGCTGTACCTTAAGATGCTGATTGTCGGTGGTCTTGAGCGTGTGTACGAGCTTGGTCGCCAGTTCCGTAATGAAGGCATTGACCTTACCCACAACCCCGAGTTCACCACTTGCGAGTTCTACTGGGCTTACGCCGATGTTTTCGATGTTATGAACCTGACCGAGGAGCTGGTTTCTGGTCTGGTTAAGCACGTTACCGGTGGCTACGAGACCACCTTCCACACCCAGTCTGGCGAGACCTACAACGTCAACTGGAAGGCTCCCTGGAGGCGCGTGGAGATGATCCCCGCCCTTGAGGAGGCTACCGGCGAGAAGTTCCCCTCGGGAGACCAGTTGCACACCGCTGAGGCCGGTGAGTTCCTTAAGGGTATTCTGAAGAAGACCGGCGTTGAGTGCTCGCCGCCCCTGACCAACGCCCGTATGCTCGACAAGCTTGTTGGCGAGTTCATTGAGGAGACCTGCGTCAACCCCACTTTCATCACTGGCCACCCCCAGATGATGTCGCCTTTGGCCAAGTACCACCGTCAGCACGTCGGTCTGTGCGAGCGTTTCGAGGCATTCGTTTGCAAGAAGGAGATTGTCAACGCCTACACCGAGTTGAACGATCCCTTCGACCAGCGTCTCCGCTTTGAGGAGCAGGCCAGACAGAAGGACCAGGGTGACGATGAGGCCCAGATCGTTGACGAGAACTTCTGTACCAGCTTGGAGTACGGTCTGCCTCCTACCGGAGGTTGGGGTATGGGTATTGACCGTTTGGTCATGTTCTTGACCGACAACTACAGTATCAAGGAGGTCCTTGCCTTCCCCTTCATGAAGGAGGACAAGACCGCCCAGGACACCAAGCCTGCCGCCGAGGTTGTTGGCATTGAGCCCAAGCCTGAGGAGGGAATTGGTAAGTTTGCTTAATGTGCATTTGTCTCTGATATGGCTAACAAATGGACAGCTCACAAATAGATGAAATGAAATTTGATGTGGGATGTTGATTTCTTTTTTTGATGACTTTTACTGCATGTTTTACCTGGATGATGCATTAAGAATGAAAATATTAAGTCCATGGACTATGATTGCATATCAAACTGATTTCCACTAATTAGACTTGATCCGTAGAGCAAACAGTAAAAGATGGTATATCAATAATCTATAAACCAAAGATTCTGCAGTCATCCGATTTATTGAATAATCATGCAACTTGCCTAAGCGCAGTAGCAAACGAACATCCAAGGAAAACTGCATATGATCACCCATCCCAGTCAATGCAAGAACCCATCTTGATTTGTCAAATGTGAATATCCAACATCACTTCAATCCAATCTATCTCAATTGCCAGAGTGAATCCATCCAAATGGCAATATAAATACGACATCTTCACCTTCGCTCTTTGAACCTTCTCCGTTTATCTCCTTACCTTTATATATGTTTATTTTTATATATTACACCTTGTCTTATGAGTTATTGAGAGCTCAATCGTACAGCCTTCGGGCTGGTTTCTGAGTGGTTGCTCAAAATCTTTTCGTCAGTTATTTATATACATACACTTAGATCCAACATCGATTCTTCCTTAAGTACGAATTTCTATATAACCAAGGTAATCGCAAGAACCGTCCTCTTTCCTGCAGTTCTAAACGGGCTTTTCTTCCACATAGGTTGCACGTAACCCACATCGAACTACCCTCGACAGTTTCATCGTGGATGCCGATTCCGGTTCCCATGCCTTCGTTCCCAGATTGCTTGTGACAGTTCTGATAGCGATGAAGGCCCCAGACTGATCATCCGGATGGACCAGTTCCATGATAATCTCGTCCGTGTACAGACTCTCCGTTGTTGCCTTTTCTTCTCATCAATCCCGAGGACAAAGGAAAAGGGAAGACAACGCTAGACATAAACAACGGTATATATTGTCTTTTTATATAATTTACAAGTTGACATACAGGAGGCTTCGAAGACGAAAGGAAACTGGGGCCGCACGAGTTCTACTAAGTGGCGCAGTGGTTGGAAGACATCCGTAATCGCGAGTTGAAAGCTCGTCAGAAGCCTCGGTCTACACCAAGGAGAATACGAGAGTGCCCTCGCATTGCTCGGCCACAGAGCAATGTTTTTTGTGAATCTGAAAAGCCCTTTCGATGTCGAGGCATTGTCGTCGAACTACTTCAATTTCATCGCATATATACAACAAAAACCACAAACCATGACGCGTCAACCATCCGAGCCTATTCTGTCATCTTGACAAGGGCGCCGATGCGCTGGAGTCTTGCCACACATATCCCTACATCTTGGCCGAACAGTACACCACGGGGGTTCTCGAACATCGTGAATGGCTTCACAAGGAATGCGAATCCCCTTTGGCCGGCTTGCTGTGGTAAAATCTCTGCACTACCACACCCAGAATGGTTATATCCACGTTGGGGATATCAGGGAGATGGTCGCATTCTAATTCTGCGTTCGCCTTTGGTAAGGCTCATCGTGGTGCTGGCTGCTATCCTATCTAACGCTGTGCTAACTGATCTTCTATCAATAGACGAATAAAAAATGACGACACCTTCCTGGACTCATACCTAGTTGATTATATAGCGCAATGGCTGAGGCCTTTTCTCCTCACGCAATGCAAGCGTGAGGCAACTTCTTACAATTATTACACAAAATATGACTCCTCCTTTGAGGGCGCCTTCGACATCTGAATCTAGGTATGCTCATGCTATCCATGGTTGATTTTGGTTTACTAACTGCAGACAGATCATCAATTCACGCTCAGCATTGATCATTCAAGTTCGATCCAAAGACTATTCGAGAATAAACGAACGTCGAAAATTCTGGAACCGTGGAACTCGCGTCCAAACTATCGTACTCTACATATGAGAGCACCAGGTCATGACACCATGGTAAGTAATTTCAAACCAATGGAAAAACCACAAGCTGACTATGAACTAGAAGCAGCTCGTTTGGCTCTCGTCACCAGCCTCAAGACTTGCTTTCGGTCACCATACGGCAGCATCGAAACAGACAGGCTTCTTCAGAGCACTCCTTCCTGAACTTCTATGTCGTTCATCACAAGCTTGCAGAGTTGACCTCGACTTATCCACACATTATAGCCGACATAAACGATGATAGAGCGCTTTACAACGATTCCAGCTGTGTGTAGGAATTCGGGGGCCGTGACTGTCTGGAAAAGCATGGAGAAAGTGGATCAAGCGAGGAAAATCTTCATTCTGGTTATTATCATGTCGAAGCGGTACCTCTAAGATAGAAAATAGGAGCAATAGCCATATTTCAATAACATAGAAGCTATAGGCAATAATAATACTATATTACTGCTCACTGGATGGATAGAAAATGTAGATATAGTCTAGAAAGCCCACAAGCATTTCGGGAATATCAAAAAAGTTTTGGGAAAGGGCCTGCTTCAACGACTCCTTCACAGTCGTAATAATCATCCTCGTCGTCGTCGTCATCGAAAACTTCTGCAGCACCGCGAAGACCAGTAATTCTCTGAAGGTGCCACTGTAGCATCAGAAGCTCCAGCGAAGGTAAAGGAAACTCGTTCTTGTCGGGGGTGTGCATTGTGAATTAGTGACCAGAGGCAAGGAAAGCTCGTTTCTCGTAGTCCGCAACCGCTATTCCACCGGGAGCTTCGGTTAGGACACTCGACAACGTAGGTCGTGTGCAGACAGTAATGGTTTCTGTTGGGATTCGAGCTGGAATATAATAGAACTCCAAATCCAGAAATTGTTCGTTTCCCTCTCCATCTCTGTAACCGATCGGTTTGATGACGATACTTGCGTCGCCCCAGAGGCCATGTACATACGACGTGAAGGTTATCAAGTTTCCCAAGAACTCCGTTCGGCAGTCGTCTGAGGTGACAAGTTCTCGCCATTGTTCAATTTGAGCCGCTGGCCAGAACAATTTCAGATGAGTCCAGAAATGCTTTTCGGCGGAGGTTCCTTGTATTTTCCCCATTGCAAGAGGATATTAATGGCATACTTCGAGTAAATCCGAACACTCTGTGAGAACATATTTGTTCTTGTCTCTTTCTAGACACTGGCATCTATCTGTTAGCAAATAGCATTATGACCAGCTATATAAGCACGAACTGACCAAGGGAATAAGCTTTTGGTCTCTCTCGAAGGGCTTCATGTCGGGATAAGTATTCTCGTTCCTCTGGTCTGGCCGGGCGAGCCCTGTAGCAGCAGATCTTACGAGCGGAGAACCCCTTTTTCGTGACTGGAATAGAGGGAAGCTTACATGATTTCAAAACCTCGTCGAATACTGGCTTTCTACCAGGCCCGAAAACGTTTATGCTGATAGATTGGAAGCCTTCACCAGCAGCATCTTCTACCCTCTTTCGGAGGGCTGTGATGTCAGAAAACCACAAAAAGAGCCAAGCTGTCAGATTGAATTCCTCTAGACCGATTCGACGCCCGAACTCAGCAATAAGCTCTGCCCTGTCAGGATCTTTGAGTTCACGGTCTGCCTCTTGGGTAGACATGATGCAAACAGCACGAAGGCTGTCGCCTGAGGGAAAGGAGATGACGGGGCAGGTAGCACTCTGAAGAGCTAAGCAGAACACCCGCCTAGTACACGAGTCAATAGGAAGAGGAAAGAGGCAAAATGGGATAAAGTAGGCTAGAAAGGGCACGTTGGAAGCAAAAAAGTGGGACAGAGTGGAAAAGAGAGAGAGAGAGAGAGAGGACTCCAGGAGGGGTGGCAAAACAGAGCTAGTTTTCAAGATTAAGCGAGGTGAAGAACCATGTGAATGCTACTTTGGACCTGTGAAATGGGAGAATTAGATGAAAACCCCAACATGTGCCAGAAGGTATTCAGGGGAGATTGACTGACTTTTAGTATATGACATATTATACGGATACCCATAGCTGGATGCCCTGACGGATCGGCCCGATCAGATCTACGCAGTAATACTCCTAATACTGCGGTTGAGATACTAAGGATGACGTCTCATGATAAACTGACTCTTCAGGAGCAGCGTGGAACTACTAAGATATAGCCCTTATATAAGCAATGGAAATATCATAGTGCATATATTATAGAAAAGGTCGATATAGACTGTACAATTTGATTTCTTTGGGCTCTCGAATCGAAGAGGCTGGTACATGGTTAGATAGAAATCTCCAACAACCAATATCAGAATCAGACATCTTCTTACAAACACGTTCTCTTATTGCAGGACAATCCTTTCTTAGGCGATAAAGAAATACAATACCGTTGTATCTTAGTGTCTTTGATCCAGACAGCAACAAGTGGGATTGTTGATATAATGAAGTCTTTATATGCGAGACAACGTCTTGTATCAACATCAACACCAACACCAGCAACAATAAGATCAATACCACATTACATATTCCATATCTAGATATAAAAGATAGTCAGGCATCGCCGTCAAGAAACGAAGGAGATATAACCCTCTATCCTTTGCATCCTCCAAGGTCACAGCACGACATAGCACCTCCCATCCACAACCACCCCATCCCAACCAAATAATTTCTCTGATCGATCAACAGGAAAAAAAGACCAGCATCAGCTTCATTCACTGCTCTTTCATCTCGCTTAAGCCAGTCGCCCTCACACAATCTTATTTCCAAAAACAGTCTATCGACCTCTTTTTTTCTTTCTTTCTCTCCTTTCTTCTCTCTATCATTTTCTTCCCTTTGCGAGATTCTTTATCTGTTTCTTCACATCTTTGCCTGGATAAAAGGTTTCTTGCTTTATCTTTCTTCCTGGACAATCATCAAGAGACTCTCAGTCTTTTGGAGTTTGATCCCAGGTGCAGGAGATATTCTTGCCAGTGAAAGTTGGATCTGGTTTTCCTTTGCATATCGACATTAACCGGTCTATCCTGGCACGCATATCGACTTGAGCGTTCTCACAATGTCTGGACAAGAAGACAGAGACACCTTCAGACAGCTTAGGCACTTGCCTCCCCCTCAGCCACAGTATCAGCGGCCCTATCCGATGCTTGCAAATGTGGCCAATCCGTCGCAGGTTTATCCAGATGCTCAGGTTAGTTGACTTTGTCTTCTTGCTCCCCTTCTGCTTCCCTTGCCAAAATTTGGGACGACTGACATGCATTGTTTCCATCATCAAGACTTATGGCATTCCCCCTCAGGATCCTCTCCCACTGCATGTCTCTCCACGGGCCCCTGAGGTTGTTGGTATCCAAGAATACACAGGAACGGGCCCAGCTTCTTGGACAATTAGTAGAGTTACTCCTCAGCACGGTTATCAGTGCCCTTATCACAGCGCAGCGAGTGCTCAAGCTCATTACTACCAAGTCGAAGGCCAGGTCCGGTACATCCAAGCCCCAGTTCCTGTGCATAGAGGACCAAGCCCTCAAGTGAATGTCGTCAGAAATAACACTCCCGTATCGATAACCCCTCTTCCATCGCCTTTGGAGCCTCAGCAGACCTATTACGATCTGAACTTGCCTCATACGCTGTCCGCTCAGCACGGGTTCCCGGTAGAGCCCCAGTCGCAGGCTATCTCACTCCCAGCGCCATCTGGATACTCAAGGGAGAGTACTGCCAATACTACCTCACAGGCTTCGTCACAGGCTCCCTCGCAAGCTCCTTCGCAGGCTCCCACTCCTGTTCCAGCTACCCAGCCGGAAAAAAAGGAGAGCAAGCCCAAGCCGAAGCCCCGTCCGCTCAAGTTGAAAATCAAGACGGCTCCATCTCCCACCCTAGAAGCCGAAGACATGACGACCTCCAATGCCGCCTCCATGGCCCAGGAAGATATACCCATTCCGGCCGAGTCTGCAATTCTGTGTGAATTTGAGATGATCACCGCACACACTGCCAAGTGCGACGTCTGTAATCAGCGCAATGGATCTGGCATGTCCCGCTGTCTGACTTGTGGCTGGCAGTCTTGTCACGCCTGCACCATTGCCCGCGGATGTCTTCGAACCCATCATGCAGCAAAGCGTGTTCACACTGGCCCCATCGATCGTAACACCCTGTTAGCGGATGAGAATATCAAGGGCAAGAAAAGAACCCGCGTTCAGCAGAAGAAGACCGAAGTTGCTGCTCAGCCCAGACCTGAAAGGGCCGTCAAGAAACCTCGCGGCAAGAAGACTGTACAGGAGGAGCCAGAGAGTACAGCACCTACATCCCAAGCCGACGCTGTCGACGACATACGCACTACCAACGTCGAAGATCTTAGCCCTGTTATGATCGGAGCTCGAAACCTGTACGCATTTAGCTTGGAAGCCACTGCTCTCGCCGAACTGAAGGAAGAAAGCGAAAAGAAGAGAAAGAAGTTGAATAGCAAGCGACAGCAAGATCCGGACGTTGGAGACGATGACACCACTGAGGTTATTTCCGATAATAGCCCCCAGGAAAGATATCTGCAGGACCTCCGTGGACGGTCTTTGAAGCAGGCTGACGTATCCATGGAGAAGTACATGAAGGAGAAGGCGGCCGCTTCCAACAATATCGAGTCAGAAAACAACACGAGCCCTGAGACCGATACGCCTCTTGCGACACGAGCCAGGCCCAAGACCAAAGCCCAGGTTTACGAGCGTAAAAGAGCCGGCAAACGAGCCACTCGTTAGGCTTTCAGCAATCTGCCTGATTGATATCAATGACCGAAACGAATCTATGGTCGAAACCAGCGGCAACGATCACGAACAATCGAATGAATAATAATCTGAGCAAAATCGGATAATCTATTGAAACGAAGGAAATGATTTCGCTTTCCAATTTCTCCAGCTGGGTTGGAGTACTTCCTTTTTTTTGGGGGGGGGGGGGGGGGGGCTTGCATCGGAGTTGAGCTTTCATGGACGAAAGGGGACCTCTGGCATTGCTGGTGTCTCTTTTTCCAGTCCAGATACCTTACTTTGATTTTTCTTTTCTTTTTGTTGGTGTTTTTTATCCAGTCTTCTTGTTTCCTGTTTGTGTACATAATCTGAAACTGGCGCAGAAAGTGACAGCCCGTCGACAATCGAAGGGCTTGCGGTGGTGGTTCTCGGATTTTTGATCTGGCAATACCACATGCTTAATGTCTTTTCTCGCATCGAAGTATTTGTTGCTTATTCCTTGTCGTTTTTCTTTCTCTCGTGCGTCCATTGAGTTGTTCAGGCCGAGAATTTGATGTTCTCTGGTAGAGCGGTCCGGCGTCATATTCGTCTGTGGTTTTCGTTATATCGGTCTAGAACCCCTTCGGTGGAACCGGGCTGATCTCGGGGATAATGGATGAGACGCTGTGGTGTGTGATGGTGAATTGAAACGATTGATAATCCGATTTCATCATCTGTAGGCTCACATTCCAAGGTTCGTAGTGTAGTTGAGTCAAGTATGTAGGCGGTATTGGTCTTCGCTGCCATTGCTCCGGGTAAATATGAGAAGGAAAGATAAGGAGATTTGATAAAAATTTGATAAAAATAGTTATTCTATTTTACATTCCAACAGAAAAGACATTGATAAATATACATATAGGCTTCGACTTTTCGGAAACAACCCGTAGAATGGAGATGGGATTAGGGAAATTTAAACAACCATATGATGCAAAAGTCACAGGTAATATATCAGGTAGATAGACAGAGAAGCCTCACAGCTTCTTGGATGCGTTGACAGCACTCGAGACCGGCTGGGAGCGAGCCTTAGCTGCCATCTGCAAAAGCTTTGCCGTTCTAGACGGGTGCCAGATACGGCTTCCCAGAACAAGCACCCAGGTCAACAGGAACAGACTTCCTGCTTGATGAGCAGAGGCGAGAGGAATAGGGACAAGGTAGTAAAGTGTTGTGATGCCCAGGCCGACCTGCATGAAAGCAAAGGAAACGACACCATGCAGGCCCTTTTTAACGTTGGGGGGAAGAAGCTTCTTCATCGCCGGCGACCGAGAGTAAGCCCACAAAGCCATGATACTTGTGAAAGTAGTCATGGCCATGATACGGTGGTCGAGCTGAACCAGGGATGGGTTCTCAAGCATGTTTCTCCACCAGAGATCGGATCGATCCTCGTGGCGTGAGTATCGCTCATCGAACAATTCGGATTTGGGAGGAGCAAAGCCATTACCCATGTAGGGAAACTCGTTGTAGATGAGACCAGCATCCAGACCAGCAACTAGGGCACCGGAGATAACAGTTGTGAAGACCAGAAGACCCAAACCAGCAACCGAGCGGCGGAAAAGCTTGAGCTTCGGGTTACGCAGCGAGTCCAAGAGCTTGATACCAGCATCCGAGTCGGCCAAAAGCCTATGTGACCGCAAGATAGCAAGACCGTTCCAGAGCATAGCGACATAGCAGACGAATGCAGCCCCAAGGTGTGCCGTCAAACGATACTGGCTCACACGAGGGTGGCTGCCCGGCGCAAAGAGATCATCCTTCAATCCCGATTTAACCATCCACCAACCAAGGAAGCCCTGGAAGCCAATCAAGCCTGCAATTCCAGCCAAGCGCCATGTCATGGGCTTGCTGACCTGCTTTCTGGCGACAAAGTAGATAGCCGGGAACACGAACGACAGACCAACAAAACGACCCCAAAGACGGTGGATCCATTCCATATAGAAAATCGATTTAAATTCGGAGAGGGTCATATGCGGGTTCAACAATTGGAATTCGGGGGATGCGCGGTACTTTTCAAACTCGACTTCCCAGTCGGCTTGGTTCATGGGAGGGAGGGATCCGGTGACGGGACGCCATTCTGTGATACTCAGTCTTATTATTTGGTCAGCGCCTTTTCTTTCAAACTTCATTCCTAGCTACCAACTCACCCTGATTCAGTCAATCTAGTAAGTCCACCAAAAATCACGATACCGAAGACGCTAACGGCGCTTCCTAACAACCAGTATGCGACCTTCTTATCGCTAACCTTGGGGAAGCTAGATTTCGCCTTGACAGTTCCATCTTCAGCAGCCTTTGCCACTGTCGATGAAAAGGCAGATCTTTGAAAGGCAGGAGTAAAAAACTGTTTTGATCTCGCGTTCAATTGTGCTGAATTCGTCCTGCTGGTATCCCGAGCGAAGGGGAGAGAAGCGAATTGTCGGCGGAACAATGATTTCGTCGCATAATCCTGGCCCCGTAAGCATTGGCGACAGGTGAAGAACTCCTTGGGAAATCGGGGCGCAAGACTCCGGAACATCGGCACGGAGCCTCCAAGAGACGCCATGATGCTGGTTGTCCTGCAGTTCTCGAAGCTGTCCAGAAGAAGTTCGAAGCCGTGAAGGACTTCTTAAGGATGTCGGCGGACTTTCGGAAGGCCTAAGGCCGAAGGGCGAGAACCAATCAGCGGGGCAGGATTTGTGGCATGATATTCTTCAGGAATGAGGCGATCTGGCAGTTGATTTTATATCAATTGCTGAATGGTGTATTGAATGTGTTTGATATAGATGCGTTGAGCTCTGAATATCTTCTCTATTGTTAAGCACATCAGTACTCCGTAGGATTAGTACGTTCAAGTGACGAACCACAATGAAGCCACAAATACTGATACGGCATATATCTTGGTCTTAAGAAAGAAGATACTCTGTAAATATAAATCTATATATCTTCAATTTAATAATTATGATAATTATCCTACTAAGAATACTATCCAGATCAACAATGCCCGGTATATATTGCCTGAGGCATCGAGGTGACAGCAGATTACCTCTTACGGTTTAGCGCCGCCCTTCACTTATCATCTCAAAGTCGCCGCAAATAGCTCGGAATCCATTCATTTACCACGCGCAAAGGCCCTCATTTTCACCTCACGATAGTTGAAAATGTCTTACGCCGTGGAAACAAAAAAGCGCAAATTCCATCGAGTCCTAGAATCACTCACCAAGCCTACAACCGCAGATTCTGCGCCGAAACCGACCACCGGAACCCCCGCGACTCCGCGAGAGCCTATCCCCGTGAGCCAGTCAATCAAAAAGGTCAGACTGAGTGGAGATGAATCAAACCTCACATCGGTGCGCAACTCGATTCTGAAAGTTGCCAAACCTGGTACCCGAGTCGCTTCGTCGTCGTCGACAGCTCGTCCTAGTTTTGTCCCGTGGGATCGCGAACGATTTCTGGAGCGTTTGGAGACCTTTCGTCGAGTGGATCGATGGTCACCCAAGCCTTCTGCTATTAGTGAAGTCGAATGGGCGAAGCGTGGCTGGATTTGCACGGATGTGACAAGAGTGACATGTGTGGGAGGCTGTGGCGGATCGGTCGTCGTCAAATTGCCGGACGAACTGGATGAATTGGATGGGTATGATATTGAGAAAGTGCAGGAAAGAAAGGAAGTCCGTATGTTTTAGGTGAACCCCGTTTGAATGTGAGCCCGGGTGTTAATCGACTTGCAGGTGCCAAACTCGTGGAAGAGTATGCTCGACTCTTAATCGAAGGGCATGGTGAAAGCTGTCCGTGGAAGAACAAAGGTTGCGATGGTATGTTCATGATAAAATATGGTTATCCCCAGTCTGTTACTGACCCCATATAGCTACGATTCATCGTTTAGCCTTGTCCAACCCCGACATGGCCATTAGTGGTCTACAAAAGCGCTACTCGAACCTTGAGAAGATGGGGGATAAACTACCTCGAAAAGAAGCTATTCAGGCACCCGAGTCAATTGACATCGAAGAAATTATCAAGATACTTCCAGCAGCGGGCTTCCAACAGTCCGAGGAGAATACTGAGACGACTGAATCCGACACTCACCAGCAACCCACTGAAAGCGAGGGACCTGAAAAGCCTACAGAGACAACCGAGGCTGATACTGCCCAAACAAATGGTGAAAAGCAAGAAAGTACGACCCAAACCTCCCCAGCTGCAGTCGAGATCAACAGAGCAGCTTTTGCATTGGCGCTCTTTGGTTGGGACGCAATAATGGATGGAACGGCGGGTCTGGCTGGTTGTGGCGCATGCTTTAGACGACTAGGTCTCTGGATGTACAAATCCAAGGAAGATGGAGGTAGCGCAGTCTACGATGCGCTTGAAGTGGCCACCGAACATATGGAATACTGCCCATGGATCAACGGACAAGCCCAGAGCGGCACTGGCAAATCAACAGAGAAGCGCGAAGACTTGCGTAGTGGCTCGGATGTTCTATCCCAGGCACTTAAAGTAAAGCATCGCCGACGCATCAGGTCGACAGCATCTATGGACACTCTCCGGGCCGACTCGGAAGCCCCCTCTGTCGATGGACCGATAGTCGACGAGGATAATGACGAAGCCAAAAAAGCCACGAACCGGGAGTGGTGGTCCAAACTTCGGCGGATGAGACAGGTACTGAACGTGAAGAGCCCGAACAAAAGAAAGTCGGTTGCCTCGTAATGATCTCTCGCATCTATACCTGTTATTGTTCTTCATGCATTGCAAGCGCGGCGTCGAGGCTTTGATCTACATTTCGATATTGTATTCAGTATACCCTTTGTCATTACCATTTCTGCCATACTTCCCAGCCAAATAAACTACTCTAAATAGCATCCAAACACTTCCGTTTGCCTGATAGAACACAGTAGACACGAAGAGAGCCGGATGCGGTAAGGGGGCTGGAGGAAACACGGCTGGCGCTAGGCTGAACCGGGGAAATCGCAGCAGTCAAAGAAGAGAGGAATACTCGTCATCGCATGCAGACATACTTTTCTCTGTCCCTTTTTCTCTTAAAAAAGGGCTATGGACCTCCACATCAACAATATCAGCATCTTGATACCCCGTCATGGCCGCTGACGATGAAACCCCCAAGCACGAGCGGCGTGCGTCTGGCGGAGGAAGCATGGTCTATGATCCCGCACGGGACCGCTGGGAGGATCGCTCGGGGGATCGCGACAACGATGAAGCTTGGCCTCAGCAGCAGCAGCTGCTGCTTCACCGCGTTCCCGACCTCACTGCTCCCTCACCTGCGGGTGATAATTATTCCCAGGTGCATCGCGCTTCTGTAGGTTCTCCTTCTGGCTTGATGTTGTTTTTTCCCTTTGATTCCTTCGTTCTTTGGCGCATTTTCGATGGTCTCGAATCATGCTGCCGTGGGTCTTACATCTCCACGGCAATTGACTGATTTCGTTAATTTTCACTGCAAAAATTTCTGACTCTCACTTGGCATTCAATTGTGACTTATGCTAATTCCATTCCACCGTTGTTAGTATGTCGATGCGGGTAATTTGACAGCTCCAATTCAACAGGAACAACCTCTGCGACAGCATTCGCCGACCGTCACATCTCCCTCGCCTTTTCTTCCAACCAAGCTTTCAACAGAACCCTCTATATCTGACGAAAAAACGACTCATACTGTCGACAAGAGCAAGAAAACCTCAAAAACAAAAACCATGAGCAGCCCAATCAGCCAAGAAGCCTACAGGCCCGAAGCGGATGATGCCATTGCATCTCCAGGACCGGCTGGCGACTCTCCCAACGATAAAAAGAGAAAATTGACAGAGGAAGAACCATCCGACAAACCAAAACCTTCGGGTCCGGTTTCCAAGCGCAAGCGCCAAGAAGAAAGACACCAGAAGCTGCGGAAACGCGGCAGAGCACCACCTTCGGCATACTCTCGACGTGATGCAGATGAGCATGCCGCAGCTAATCGAGATGCAGCCGCGAGACGGTCTCCCTCGATTCCACGAGCCCCGAGTCCCGAACCGCCACGCCAACGCAAGAGACCCGGCGGCGGGTCCCGAATGGGACTTGTCAATAGTGAGACACTGCGACGGAGACAGGAAGAAAGAGAGCGTGCGCAGGAGCAGGAGGCCATGCGACACTCCCAGAATCGCGGGCTGACCGACGTGGTCCGTCAACACTACAACGCTGTGCCACAACGAGGACGGGAATGGCGAAAGACTGAGAGTAAGATCAAGGGTCTACGGAGCTTTAACAACTGGGTCAAGAGTACTGTGATCCAGAAGTTCTCCCCAGACGAGGAATTCGTCGCACGGCATGTTGGCACCAAGGACTGGGCGGACGGTATCGGGCCCCCACCCGTGGAGGAGCGACGGCTCTTGGTAATTGACCTGGGCTGCGGCAAGGGCGGAGACTTGGGGAAATGGCAGCTAGCTCCCCAGCCGGTGGATCTTTATGTTGGTCTCGACCCAGCCGATATTTCCATCGCCCAGGCTCAGGACCGTTACAATGGCATGCGGTCTGGCCGTGGCTCGCGCGGACGGCGCAATCCCATTTTCCATGCTGAGTTCAGCCCAAAGGACTGCTTTGGGGACTGGTTGGGAGATATCCCTATTGTGCAGCAAGTGGGAATCGACCCCAATGCCGGGCCAGGTGGCTCTGCTATGGCCTCACGATGGGGTGGAGGTGGCTTCGACGTGGTCGTCTCGATGTTCGCAATCCACTACGCTTTTGAAAGCGAGGAAAAGACTCGACAGATGCTCCGCAACGTGGCTGGATGCTTGAAAAAGGGTGGCCGGTTTCTTGGAGTCTGCCCGAACTCGGACGTGATCAGTGGGAAGGTGGCAGAATACAACCAAAAGCGCAAAGAGCGCGAGACCACCAAGAAGCAGGAAACGGAAGCTCCCGAAGACGGCGAGGTCGAAGAGGAGAACAAGGCAGAGTGGGGGAACAGCATCTACCGGGTGAAATTCCCCGGAACAACTCCGGAAGACGGAGTTTTCCGACCTCCTTTCGGATGGAGGTATAGCTATTTCATGGAGGAGGCTGTTGGAGAGATTCCGGAATATGTGGTTCCCTGGGAAGCTTTCCGAGCGTGAGTTCTATCGTATACCTAAGTATCCTATACAGTACTGATTTTGATAGATTGACCGAGGACTACAACCTCGAACTACAATACCGCAAGCCATTCTTGGAGGTCTGGCGAGATGAGAAGGACGACCCAGAGCTGGGGCCTTTGAGCGAGCGCATGGGAGTACGCGATCGCAACAGCGGTGATCTACTCATGACTGAAGAAGAGCAGGAGGCAGCCAGTAAGTCGAGAATCCCTGGCTATATGTCGGAGTCTAACATGACTAGGTTTCTACCATGCTTTTTGTTTCTACAAAGTCTAGCCGGTTTAGGGTGGCATCACGTACGCATCTCAATATTTTGCTTGAGCATGTAGTCAATATGTATCAATGGGTGCAAAATTCAATGATAGACTGTAAACCATGAAATGCCTTCTTGTACTACAGAGTAGTAGCCTTATGCCTGAATAATAAGGCACAAATAGATACATGTAACCCAAAACGGACTAGCCCTTCGCGCGTCGCGTGGGAACCGATTATCGCATCTTCTTATCAAAAAACATCCTCTCCTCCACCAGAAATCAATTCAACCCAGTCCGTACAGAAAAGCAAAACAGAGAGAGTCGGCGAAGAAAAATGCTCTCAACACCCTCCTCCTCCCACCGCCATCGCCCACCCCCAAGCGAACGACGAGACCGACACCGCCAACACACCGACCAACCCCCAATCCAACCAGCCTACGAACCACCCATCGCACCCCTAAACACAACCGGCCAACAAGCCCTCGCGGCCCTCTTACAGACCAACTCCCTCCGTCACCTAAAGACACACCTCCAGCACGCGGGGGAGAAACTAACCGACTCAGCCGGCGAAGTCAACGAACGACTCACCGAAGCACGGGGACGATACGAGAAAGAAAAACGAAAGAAGCGGGCCCGCGAAAACGACCACGAGAACCACGGAGAGGGAGATAGTCGCAGTCCCACCGTTGCACCGGATAATGCGAACGAGGAACTGGCGCGGTTAACGCGGACCGAGGGAAAGGTTAAGGATGTTACGGCTTTGCTGGAGGAGAAGATGAGGGGGATTGTCGATGCTGAGGTTAAGGTTGATGGGTTGACGGGGGTGCTTGTGGAATTGGGGCGGGAGGCTGAGCAGGCGAGTGTTAGTGGGAATCGGCCTTCGCAGAGGAGACGGCGGGGGATGAGGAGGGTTAATGAAGATGGGGAAGAGGATGATGATGAAGAAGAAGAAGATGAGGATTACGAAGCTACACCGGAGCGCGAGGCGAGAGCTAGGGAAATCGCACCGAGTCGGAGGCTGGATGAGAAATTGAAGGATGATTTTGCTAATTGGGAGAATCTGTCACTTACGCAACGGTATACACCCACTCACCCACAAACATACTTATACATACACAAGACTAACGAAAGTAGATACTCCACCCACAACTCCTACATAGGCTTCTACCGCATCGTCCACGACGCCAAACATCCAGGCGAAGACATCCCTCCCCTCCCTCACGCCTCAACCTGGTTCAACCACATGGAAGACCCAACCTCCACCTCATCCACCACCACCACCTCTAACCGCCCCAACCGCCGCACAAGACGCGACCCCTCCCCCGCCGACTCGGACGAAATCGCCATCGAACGCGAACGCATCTCGCTAAAATGCCCCCTCACCCTCCTCAACTACCGCGACCCCGTAACGAGCACGAAATGTCCGCACAGTTTCGAGCGCGAGGCCATCTTCGGCATGATCGCCCAAAGCCCCAGCACCATCCCTGACCCGGCGGGAGGCAGGAATCGGCGGGTGAAGACGGTCAAGTGTCCGGTTTGTTCGGTGGTGTTGACGGCGGAGGATTTGCGGGGTGATCCTGTTTTGTTGAGACGGGTGCGCAGGGCGGAGGCTGCTGAGCGGCAGGAGGAGGAGGAGGATGACGATGAGGATGGGAGTCAGGATCGGCCTAGGCGGACCAAGGGTAGTCGGAAGAGTGGGATTACTGTCGCTAGTGATGATGAGGAGGAGGAGGAGGAGGATGCCGATGATATGGATGTTGATGGAGATTCGGGTACTGAGCGTGCTCAATCTTCCCAGCAGCAAATCCGCATCAAGCAGGAAAGGGCCATTTCTCGTGGTCTGAGTACGGCTCCAGATATGATGGATGATGATGAAGACTAGTCTGGTTCACATTTTAACAGTACATTAAATAGTTAATGTGATATCCCTGTATTTTATTACGATCTTGGGTGTTGGAAAAAAAAATCATGGTTTCATTCTGATTAACCTATACCCTAACATCAAGCTACAACCATCTCTGTGGTTGTCAAGTCTGCTCGTCATGGGTATATGAAATATGACTATACAATAAACCAAGGAAATAAAACAGGCACACTGCTGAATGAACGCTGTCAGGATCCCAAAGGAAGCGGGAACAAAACATCAAAATACAAAGGTATAACTCCAAGTCGACTACCCATGTTTAGGTCACATCGACATCAAAAGGAGACAACATGGGTATTCGCCTGTAGGCAGAATAAAACTCGCGGCTGAAACGGCCCTGGCAATGTTTTTGCTTTTTTCGGCAGATCTTCTGATCTGCCATTCCACCAGACTGGTACTTGCCAAATTTCAACAAGAAAAAAAGACAGGCTCTCATGCGATCTATGATGCAGACACGACATGGTATTCCTGGACGCCGCATTTCCCAGATGATAAGGTAAAACTGTCGGTGTACGGCAAACGCAGCCAAATCAGCACGACATTACTGACAATCCGAAGCACAGATAAATTTGCTCGACGATCATCCCGCCATTATAAATATAGACGGGTTGTTGATATCAACTGTTTATTTGGTGAGGATGTTGAGGTAGTCGGCCACGATAAGCGTCACCATTCTAAGTGGATCAGTGGGGTTAGCGATAAGCACCAGCGATAGGAGTGGGGGCAACTAACGCATGAGGAGCGATCCGCACATAGTAAGTGCCGAATCCGCGGTAAAATCTCAACCATCCTTCCTCGCGCGCGACCTTGCGAGCGCAGTCAAACAATCCCTTGTACGGAAGCTGGCCGGTCTTGGGGTCTTTCTGTTGCTTCTGCAAACGCGTCTTGACAAAGTCAAAAGGCAGAGACAGGAAACTAGCAAAGAAACCGGCAATGGCAGAGGCAGCAAAGGTCTGGTTCTGGGTCGACAAGCTCGTCCGGGCCTTGAGCTGAGCCTTGGATTCGGCAAAGAAAGCCAACTGCCCGACGTTGAGGGCCATGGCACGCACAACAGTGGGGAAAGCACCAGCCCACAGGGCACCGATTCCCTCTGTCTTGGAAATACGTCCCAACGCATCAATAACGGAAGTGTAGTTGGCGCGTGCCTCGGGCTTCTTGAGACCATCGGCCTGCATACGGATGAGAGCCAAATCGGCCGGGTTACCGATCACAGCAGCGATACCACCGGCGGCGAGACCCGCCCCGGCACGTTCAGCAAAAGTGACACCTCTACCCGAAGCTTCGGCATTCTTGTTAAGTGTCTTGCTAAAGGTCTCAAAGAAACCCAAACGAGAAGTAGTGTAGACCGCCTGGCGCAAAAGACCAGCTGACAGACCAGTGTAGAGATCGAGAACCTTTCCGGAGGCAATGATATTGCGAGCGACGCCAATGGCGGAGGGCTTGGGGCCGGTACGGACACCCTCACCAGCCAATTGCAGGCGCACCTTGATCATGTCGATGGGCTGGATGACCGCGGTGGCGGTCATACCTGCGAGACCGCCATTGACAAAAGGAAGAGCAGCACGGGTGTAGGGATTGTGTAAGAAGTCGGCGGGGGCCTGGACGGGAGTTTGGACGGGGGCTTCCTTGACGGTGTTGGAGGCCATGATTAAGAAGCAGGATTCACACCAGATCTGGGCTGTCAGTATATTGTGGCGACATAGAAATGTGAGAGTAACCATCTACTAACCGTGGTAGTGAACTAAACTATGCCGAGATGTTAGCTGCAAAGCTATCTGCAACGTAGACGAGACTTACCAAGACAAACGTATATAGACACGACAAAGAGGAGCAACGAAGAGATATAACCGACGACAGAACTGAAGCGGAGAAGAAGAAGAGGGGAAGATGAAGTGTCAGTCCGTTTAACCCAATGGAGAGAGTGCCCTGGAGAAAGGCAATCCTGGTTCACAAGACGGGAAGTCAGATGATGTCTGCGGGGGAGGAAGCAGAAGCAGAAGCAGAAGATACAAGCTGAGATATTCAAACACGAAACGAACCAGATGGAGAAATGGAGGATTACACCAGTAGTTATAATCCTATCGGTTCAAGGGAGAAAAACCCGAACAAGCAACCGACAGAATAACCATGGCAGAAATGACAGCAGAAAAGAAATGACGACCGAGGGAAGGAAAGAAACGCGGACAGAGACGGACAGGAAGCAGGAGAGCAGGAGAGCGACAGGGAAATGATTTTTACCTCCAGTTTTCGTATGCTTGATTTTTATGACTGTTGCGATTAGTCCAGCTGTAGCTGTATACGAGGATCAGAGCTTAGCTTGACGATGAGCTCATGCGGGGTCAGCCTATCCATTTTCCATCTCTGATGTAATATAATATATTATCCATCATTTATCATCTATTCTATATACATATACAGCATTATATACTCGTCTATTCTATTCTCATAATTACCATCACAATCATCAAGAGTGATGCAAATGAACGTCATGGACAGCGGGGATATGTAACAATACCATACCAGCTCCACCGTATCTTACTGGACTAATCCTCTTTCGGCCTGCGAGAATCGACCGGGAACACCCCGGATATAATTTCTACGACATACAATATCATTATCATTATCAGTATAATAATTATGATAAACAATCATATTCTATCATAGTAGAATAGCAAAGTCAACGTCAGCTAGAAGAAGAGATACATGCTCCATCCGACCGATATCAAATGCAGTACATAGTACAGGTCAACAAGGATAAGGTCGGTTATTCCCCACACAACCTGGATAATGTTCTATCCGTCTTTTCGGCTCTCCCTCCGAAGCCAATCATGCACCTACATTACTATTCCTCGCCATATATTCACACCACGTTTAAAGGTACATAGTAATTGATCAGGACGATCTCCGTATACATCATCATCATCATCAATCAATAATCATCCAGTAAGTATGTCGCCGGACTATCCATCTCCTATAACAGTATACACCACCATACCCGGACAAAGAATCACCGGATACCCAACTACACCTACAATACAATACACACCGTCGGCTAAGGCCCGAATAGACCGGCGGAACAACTCACGGCAAAGCAACGTCAATGCGGAAGCAGACATCGGGACACTATGATACACCCCCTATCAAACTCCCCAGGCAAGCATCCGAGGACTCGGCGGGCGGGAGGTGGAGGCGGAACTTCACTGGGCTTCCCGTTCATGGACCGCGGGAAGTGAAAAATGCGGAATTCGGCGTTTTAACTAACTGACAACTAGCAATGCCAGTTATGCGTACGTGTCAGTCGTAGTAAGCGTAGTAAGCACAGCCTATATGGTTTAGATGCCCTGTTAGTTCTGATATCCTGGCCAATGATATCCATCATCATACTCGTTAGAGATAGGCAAGATAAACAATACCCGCTATTCGGACCTATATCGACTGTCATCATGTTCGAGCGACTACAAATTACCAAATTGCCGATTATCGCTGACGGCGGACTACTCTCCTCCTGCTATCGACATCATTCTCGCGGATTCTTTTCCGTAGAATCGATCAGGCTCATCAATCTGCCTGTTTTCATCGTGTAATAGTTCAACACTTGTCTCAACAATGCGTTGTCAATCTGATCCTGATATAACTAGATAGCTCTTTCTTTCTCCATCTTGACTACATTCTTTTTGACTTTCTTTTACATGGACTCATTATATAAATACTTTTGTTCATTCTGATAAAAAATAACGGATGAGGTATAAGGTATGAGTATCATATATCCCTTTTAGCTTGCCCCTGTGCAAGCACATGGTTAGGGTACAAAACCACTTCACTCAAAGCAGAAAACACGCCATGCAAATATATAAACAAGAATGGAAAAAAGGAAAAGGAAAACAAAAGGTATCAATCATGCAACATCTCTATGCGACAACGGGACCGGCCGCAATCACCTCGGGGGTGGCCTCGTCAGAGTACTTCTTGAAGTTCTCGTTGAACAAGGTGGCCAGCTTGTTGACTTCACTGGTGAAGGGGGTGGAGGCGGTCCAGCTGCTCTTGGGGTTCAGGAGCTCAGAGGGAACACCGGGGCAGCTCTTGGGCACGGGCAGGTTGAAGACATCGTAGGTCTCGTACTCAACGTTGGCCAGGGTACCGTTGTGGATGGCGTCCAAGATGGCACGAGTGTACTTCAGAGGGCAACGCTTGCCACCAGTGGTAGCGCCAGCGCCAACCCATCCGGTGTTGAGCAACCAGGCGTTGGCCTTGTGTTGCTGGATCTTGTCAGCCAGCATGCGAGCGTAGCGCATGGGGTGCAAAGCCAAGAAGGGCTGAGCGAAGCAAGACGAGAAGGTGGCCTGGGGCTCGGTCACACCGTCCTCAGTACCGGCCATCTTGGAGGTGTAACCAGAGATGAAGTGGAACATGGTCTGCTCGGTGGTGAGCTTGGAGATAGGAGGAAGGACACCACGAGCGTCGCAAGTGAGCAGAATGATGTTCTGGGGGTGCTTTTCGCTGATGCAGGGGATCTTGGCGTTCTCGATGTACTCAATGGGGTAGGCGCAACGGGTGTTCTCGGTGAGAGTGGAGTCGTCGTAGTCGACGTTACGGGAAATGGGGTCGAAGACAACGTTCTCCAAGACGGATCCGTAGCGGATGGCGTTGAAAATATCGGGCTCCTTCTCGGCGGAGAGACCAATGCACTTGGCGTAGCAGCCACCCTCAATGTTGAAGACACCAGTGTCGGTCCAGCAGTGCTCGTCGTCACCGATCAGGGCACGCTTGGGGTCGGCCGACAGAGTGGTCTTACCGGTTCCGGACAGACCGAAGAAGACGGTAACATCGCCGTTCTCACCCTCGTTGGCGGAGGAGTGGAGAGTCAAGACATTGTGCTTGACGGGCATTTCGTAGAACAGAACAGTGAAGACACCCTTCTTCATCTCACCGGCGTACTCAGTACCCAGGATAACCATCTCCTTCTCGGCAAAGTTGATAGCGACGGAAGTGGCCGAGGTCATACCCTCAGTGAAGCGGTTGGCAGGGAACGAACCAGCGTTGTAGATGACATAGTCGGGGTGGAAGTGGTTGAGCTCCTCTTGCGAGGGGCGGATAAGCATGTTGCGCATGAACAAGGCATGGTAGGCACGGGCACAGACGACACGGACGCTGATACGGTATCTCTCATCCCATCCGGCGAAACCATCAATAACGTAGATACGGTTACGGGTGTTGAGGTAGTCGACAGCACGCTCACGGTTGATTCTCCAGACCTAGATGAGGGTTAGCTAATCAGCCTTATGTCGTGGTAACGTCATGACACGTGATGATAGATAAACGGGGGGGAGGCGGGGGCGAAGTCTCGCAGTCACAGAGAGAGCAAGGGAGAGAATGCAAATGTAGATGACCAAAATGTCTCAATACACCGCATGACCAAGGGAGGACAAGCTGATCAGGTTGCACAGCTGTGCTGCCGGAAAAGCTTGACATCTTGTATGCATATGCAAGGATAAAAGTGGGCCCATCTGCAAGGGCGAAGGAAAAGCAAAATTGCGGGATATAGTAGAAAAAACCGCGCAAAGAAAAAGCAAACAAGATATGAAGAACGTACATCAGGAGTCATGGGCTTGTTGACAGGTCCCCACCAGACATCGTTCTCAGAGGATTCCTCCTTGACGACACGCTTGTCGGAGGGAGAGCGACCAGTTTTGGCACCAGAGTATGCGGTCAAGGCGCCGCTGGATGTGATGGCAGTACCAGTCTCGTAGACGAGAGCATCTTCGTAGAGGGCAGCAACAGAGGGGTTGGCAATGATGGCGACTCGGTCGTAGTCGATGTGGGCGTGCTCGTGAAGCTCCTCCTCGAGCTCAGTGTGGCTCTTACCCGGCCTGAGGAAGGTCAGCAAGGGCTCAAGATAGGCAAAGAGAAAAGACAAGACGTACTGGACACCACCAGGGTGCAGGGCAGTGCGATTAACAGATGTAGCAACCATATTGTGTTGTTTCAACGAAGTCGAGTGATAATTATTGTTTCTTTGTTTAGCGACTTGCTGTTGGAAGAAATCTGAATGCAAAGGACCAGAATCCGAGGGGGAAGCTGGGGGTATATGAATGTTCTTAGCATAGGCCATGATTGCAACGAAAGTGAGTAAGAATGAGGATCTCGTCTTCAGAATCCCATGTGCTTCTCCACAGTTCCACGGAAGATGTCGGGGGCAAAGCACGGGAGCTGGAGGCGGCGGTGGTAACCGTGGGCGAAGATGGAATGGACGAGGCAGTTGGAGATGGAAGAATGGAGGCCCGGAAAGTCCCGAGAATCCCCAGACAGCACGAAGAGGAAACGGAGGAACCGATCGGAATCCCGACCGATGATGACCTGCAGGCGGTATGATTGGCCGAGAGGCAGCAAGGAACGCGAATTGGTGAATATCGATGAGTGATTTTTTAGCATGAAGCTAGAAGATGAACGAGTTAGAATACGGGGCTGTTTTACTATTAGTGACTAGAAATAGTTTGCACGGGTGCGATGATATGCCTTCAGTATGACGTTGAATGATCTCACTACAAGTCCATGATGCTAGAATAAACCTTCTTCTACTTTCCTCTCAATAATTGAACCATTAACTCTAAGGTATAGCTATTGTATTGAATGTATGAATGACGAAATGACTCTCAGCCGAGGGACAGATCACGGACACTCGGGCCCAATCAGTATCGGCAAAGTGGGCAGAACATATTGCCGCTTTGCCCTTCTGGTTTTCGCCTGTGGAGGAAAACATCATCATCTGCAAGTGGAAGAACAGTGAAAAAGTTTCTGAATGGCCGAATGCACCTTTGGTCCGCTGACGGTTGCCACTGACGGTCGAACGATAACCCCAGGATTTGTTAGGCTGGTCTAGCGGCTGATCGAAAGACAGGATGACTGGGAATTACGTAGGCGTCGGGGAAATGGATTCATCAATTGCATTTTCAGTTTGAGAATTGAACGGTGCACTTGCGACTAGCGGGCTCTAGGTCTAGAATGGAGGTATTCATGTTCATTTGGGCGGCTAACAGCGGGGGCATTTCAGGGGGACTGGAAAATGATCCATCACAGCATTTTCGTCTATACATAGTCGATCTATTTATTCTTAAATGCCTCAATCCGAGAATGTGATTGTAAAGCAGGCTGCAGTATGTAGTCAACATTGCAATACACAGATTACAGACGGTGGGCTGAAATCACGCATATCAGGCAGAAATCAAGCGGATGCCATCCGAAAAATCGATCGGGTTCTGTGCAACCAGCAAATTCATCATTCGCATGAGGCATTTTCAATAATGTGCATCGCAATCCCGGTGCAAATATGCGACCGGAAACAAGGCCAACGATGATGAGGATTGTCGCTATCACAGATCGAATCCAGCAGGTTTGCTCTTCCTAAAACACCCGGATTTGGGGGAAATCATCGTGTGCTCCACACTTAGCCTGCCCTGCCCGAACAAGAAACATTTTCGAAACACACAGCCTGGGCCTGGATTGACGATGTTTTTTTTGTGTCCCCTACATTCCCCGATTTGGTGGACCTAGCAGGGTCAGCTTCTGGATTCTTTCCGATGGGTGGATTCTATTACCTATCATCGGGAAGATAGGAACAGCCTGGATACTGGTGATAGAAGTTGATATATCGACTGTAGCCTTCTTAGAGACTCATATTCGTGTCGACCACCTGGATATTCCGATGAAGTTGATAGAATCGCAGCCGGGGTGTCGCGTGGTCTGGGGTTACTTGGCTGCGGGGTACATCAGCAGTAGTATGAAGTACTCGAGATAGATGAAATCTCCGATCGTGACTCTGGGCATTCTTGGCCATCTTGACACCTGACGTCGTATAGGTCATGTGTCTGTCTATGAGTATACGAACTGTAGGTATGATCAGTAACTGACAACAAAATATCAAAATATCAAATATCAAATGATCAAATGAGGTCGTCTAGACCATCTATATTTAAATTATTTATACTATCCAGCCATGTGTTGTTACCCCGGATTTTCCAACCCCAGAGTTGCTTAAATTCCCAGCCTTTGCTACTTTCGGTCACCGGACAGAACTTCATCTGAATGCATCCGATTCGCGATGGCGGGTGGATCTGTCTGTCTGTCTTTTCGATAGGTCGTTCTATTATAGGCATTCTACCAGGTGTTTTATCTAATGGCATTACTGTATCAGAAATCAATGGTTCGTCGTGTTGGTGTTGGTGTTCCTGATCTTGCTGATGGGGATGTCTTGGCTATGTCCCAATTAGGAAATATGCATTCTCTGTCTTAGTAGTGAGTTATAGTGGCTGTTTACTTGTCTAATCTTTCTGTGTCTCCTTGCCATCTTTATTCTATTACACTGGTCAGGATAGCTTCGCAGTTCAGACCTCTCGTACATGCATACTAGCATTGAAGATTTCGAGTAGGACTAGTGAAGCCAGACCAGAGGACAGCACTAAACTTACTCTCCAGAAAGCATAAATATTAGTATATCAAATGGTTGATCCATGGAAGAACAGTTGATGGTTTCCTGGATGGAAGACTCACCTATACTGCACTGGTATAGTATACTATACAGCATCAATATTTATCAAGTGTTTATTTGGAACCTTCAGCTATCAAGAGCCGTCAAACAACTGTTGATTAGATGGGCATTATAGTGGAAAGGTTCTTGTTGTGTCCATATTGTTTGTTAGTAGCCTATCTTCCGTGCATCGATATATATCCCGAGCTGGCGGAGCTTCATTTGTATTTCACGACACCACAGTAGTACTATCATATGAACTTTTCGAGTGTCGCGAATAACATAAATATATCCAATATATTCAGATAGATATAAAAACTGTTCTCGGTATCCAATAAACGGCCATGTCATAGACACAAGTGTCATGGTTTATGGGTGGAGCAGTTATATTTAATCCACTGCTTAAAGCTTTCGGCTAAATTCAATATGAAATGCCTAGCATTTACACACTCTTAACGATAAATAATTCAGCATTTTTTAAAGCACTGAAGCGTGGAAAGTTGCCGGGTACCTGATGCTATCCCCGGTTCGTTTACAACACCAGTCGTCCAACAGATCAATACAATAAATATTCATATTCCTCTATCACACACACCCAGTCTTATCAGACTATCACTTATTCAATAACCACCTAGATTTTAGCCCATCTAATTCACCTACACGTCACTATCACTGCCAGCAGTCACTTGCCAGTCAGACTGACCGAGAAGCGGGGCTGCCCACCACCGGCGGGGTTAAAAACAAATCATCTCTTTCTGATTATCATCGTCTTCATCTTTCTTCATCCATCGCTTTCATCAAACTCTCTTGCCTACTTTATCCAAGTAACCAGGTACGTATTAAACATCTTCATATACACAAACCATCTAACGTGCTCTACTCAGTCTACTTCAACAACAAAATGTCTCCTCACAAGAGCTGCCCCGCCTGCAACGCTGAGATCCCCGGCGAGACCAAGACTTGTGGTTCTTGCGGAAAGGTATTTCTTTCTTCTCTTATTTGATTGTGTGACGTGAGGCTAATTATGAGATAGTCCTGCCCCGTTTAAGTCGATTCGATCGATGGGATAGTTACGTTTACGATGTCGACGATGAAGATGAGATGAGACGAGATAGATGCATGACGACGGTGCTACGATGGAGTTGGGTTTAGATGGGATGGGATGGGATGGTGGTTGGGGAGTTGAACAATACTAGGAGAATATGACTTTATTTTATTTATCTATTTGCTCATATCGTAGACGGACATTATCCAAAAAGTAGTTGAGTTGTCTTTTGTTGATTACCCCTCCAAGTGATAAATCACGGATATCCTATCAGTCCCACCGGCCCACTCTGCCAACCAAAAAAAAACTTTTAAAAAAGAAAAAAGAAATTGCCCCCATCCAGGATCGAACTGGAGACCTCGGGATGTCAAATCTGTTTAACAGAAATGTCATAGGATTTTATGAGACCCACGTGATAACCAACTACACCATAGAGGCAACTTGTTGAGGACTTGCCAGAATTAGTGTAATATCAACCAACTGTCAATCAATCAGACCATCTCTCGTGTGTCCACGGCTGCTTCCTTTGTAGGTGGTTGTTCTATACTGCAGCTGCTTCTGCTTCGACTTCTGCTTTCGCTGCCGTGGAGTATATTTGTTCTATCTTCATCAGTTGAATTTGATTCCTCGTCTTCATCGGACGCTCGTGGAAATTGGTTATTCACGATTACCGAGTGTCGCTGAGGTCCAATGGTGCTGTTGCTGGGCAAGGGCTCGTTTTCGGATAGGAGGATGATCTCTACTGGATGATCACAGATCCGAGGGACCTTGAAGATTCGATAGAGGATGTTGAGAATCGGAACAGACAGGCCATGCACGACAATCGAGAAAAAGACCAACCAGTACACCACTATATCATGTTAGTGAGTGCGCTGCACCCTGTCGTCGAACCATACCTGGTGTCATGGAAGCAGTCAAGTTGTTAATCTCTCGATCACTCTTCCCCGGGCCTGGAAAGAGTCGCCTTGCGTACTCTACGTATGAAATCGCTCCAACACCTAGACAGGATTAACACTGCACATTATATATAAACCAGACGATAACCTACCAATCGGTCCAAAATACCCCATAAACAACGCTTCTCTCCAAGTGTCGCAAACCTTGGGCATAAACCGATACCCCAGCATAATAGCAGGAATACGACGAAAAGCCAGGATCAGAAACCCAAGCGCAAACAGTCGCGTTATTGTTATTTCGGTAGTGTCGGGCATGTGGAACTGATCCCATGGCATGACGGCACCAAGATATATAAATGTCCCAAAGTTCATCAGCGTTTCAATCGTAGAGTTGAACGAGTCATGTCGTGCTTGTGTTTCGGCGTGATATAGCCCGTCCCAGTTCAAGGTGCTGCCTGCGACGAAGCAGGCAAGTGTCTCGTCAGAACCAACGCAGCCACAGGTACCGACGATAAACAGCTAGAGGATGTCAGCTAATATATCAAGTGCATGTCTCGTGTCCTTACCCCCAGGGCTACTGGAACAAGTCGAAAGCACTCGTTATCAATCCATCGCCTGAAACCATTAGAAAGACATTCTCATCTAGAAGAGCAAACCCACCGTCTCGATGCCAGATTAAAAAGCTTCCGGGAAATAAACCCCACAAAAGCACCATATCCAGTGCCCATGATAATCATATAGAAAACACCCTCAACAGCCCAGTGCTTCAATGCCCGACTTGCACCTCCACCAAATCTTCCGACATCAGATGCACCGAGAAAATCAGGAACCCCCCTTGCGAGATCAAACTCCTCCATACTGACAGTGTTGGCTGGCGTGTCGGCATACCGCAAGAGTGAGACGGCGAGCAACAGAAAAGGAAACCCAAAGCCATCGTTACCTCCTGCCTCGGCTGACATGAATTCACGAAGAGGTCGACGGACGTAGTTATCTGAAAATGGACCTTTTGCGATCGCTTGCGATAGAATTGGATCCGTGCAGGTGATACAGGAGGCGATGATGAGCGACGCAAGCTATTCCAACGAAATCATTAGCAGCTAAGGTCTATCAGTGAGAATGATAGACCAACATAGGATATCCTCGGCACAATCAGCATGATACACGCCGACGTCGAAAGCCACGATATAGTCATCAGCGGAAGCAGACAGATCGTCATCTCAACGACTCGCTGTCTCAAGTATCTCTTCGGCAGTTCATATCCCACCTTGACCAACTGAATACCAATCACCAAACGCGTCAAGCCCTATCCAAGTCAGCTTCAAGTCTCAGCCATATCCATGCTGTCCCATACATAAGCGATTTCGCTTTTCTTGTTATCATCCTCGCCTCCCCATTGATCCACACTGAGGAACTTGGTTCCAACCGGCCCAAGTGCAACCCCTATAACAAACGCAGGCACTTGATAGACGTCAGAATCATTCAAGTCCAGAGGAAGAGTGTCATCGTACAGGCCTCCCCGATGTACCATTTCTGTTTTATCTTCAGCGAGATAAACCCAAAGAGAAGAATATATAGACCTTGAAGAGACGTCAGCATTGAATAGTTTCAAATGCCAGTGAGAGGGGAAAACACACCCAAAACTGAAATGACAACATTCAAACTACTGACATCGAGAAGTGGGTGAAGCATCCTGCCCCACGATCCAAGGGGAATGAATCCAGAAATAGTAGTCTTAGTGACACCCGCAAATAAAAAAGATCACCCAGCAAGCCCCATGAGACTGGTCGACAAACGAACTAGCCGTTGGATACCCTCATTGAGCGAGTCGAAATTCAAAATAGTAAAGTCCCAGCCTTACAGGGTTGACAGATAATTCTCAGAAAAGATGGAAACAGACTCATGTCGAACCTCTTCTTTTTTTTTTGCTCACTCAAAGATGCAGTCGAAAAAAAAATCACAACATGGGGCGAAGAATGTCCAGAAAGAAAGCCATTGACGGGACATCGCATCAATATCAAAGCCGTTATCTATCTATTTTTCATCCCTTTACCCACCCTTGTCTCATTTCTCAATAGTACCAGAGGCGAATTGAGACACATACCCAAGGTGGGCCGCCACAGGGCACAGATGCCCTTACAGGACACATTGTGACAGGAAAAGCTTGGTGGCACACACAGTTTGCCCCTGATCGACGCGTCTGGCCTTTGATGCAGGCTGCGAGGATCACGGTATCAGATGGATGGGATTAAAGAAGGAGCCTCGCCTGGTCTGGAGAAAAGAACAGAACTGGAGGCGTTATGCCCATTGCCGATGGTATTTGTGAATTCCAGTTGACGTGTCTAACAGTAAGCTGCAGACCCCTCGATGTATCAAGAAAGGGATGAGCTGATGAGGCTTCTTATCTCCTGCCCCTCATTACAGACAAAAGCAAGCAATGGTGGCTGGAATGATCCGTCTTATTGGATTATGGTCTGTTTCCAACAACCACGCTCAGCAATTCCGATTCAATTGAATTTATGATACCCAGTATTAATCGATGGAGGGGCAACTCCCAGGATGATACTGGCCACAAAGAGAAAGGCTTCATACCCAGCCGTGGCGAAAATCAGGGGTGATGTTTTGATCCCCAGGATCATCACTATGTTTATCGGGAGATTGCAGATCATACTGGGCACCTAAATGCCTGAATTTCAAGGCCATCTGCAGACATGTGAAACATCCCCATGCTTGATATTCACATGTTATGATGAAATCCGGTTAGTGGATGGTTGGACTGGATGATTGTGTAACAGTAGATTATAAGTAGTACAAGGCACCCTTTTGGCCGGTTCTGTCAGTGGAATGAGTCATTTGGAAATACAAGCCCAGACTAAGAAGCTCAAAGATCAGATCAAGTAAGTGTGTAGTACAGTACAACAACAAAGAAAGGGATATATTCCTAAAGTACGGAGTACATGTGTTCATAAAAAAGAAAAGCAGTAAACTGCGCGCTCAACTGTCGAATTGAGGACTGGTGGATATTCATCTCTCGGCCATTCTTTGCTCATCCCATACGATATCTCACTTCCTAGCACCAAACCGGTATATAATATAAACCCGCAAGACCCGATTATCAGACGAGACACATCAGCATAAATAGATATTGCCCGTCCGTTGTCGTAAATTTGCGTGAAACCCCAATCGAAAAGAAAACCCCCGTTTCATCCGCTTATGCGGTCTTTCGCCACTGGGACCAGAGACCAATCAAACTGCTGACTGTACCGCCAATACCGACAATTCCGTCGTCGAGGTTGGCGTATCCGAGTGCAGAGACGGGCGCGGTCAAGTCGCACAGGTCCGAAATGAGCTGGATACGGGCTGCAGAACGTTCCCTGTGAAACAGTTAGCATGGCAATTCCAAAACATATGCACGTTGATGGAGAACGAACTTTTCAATCTTCTTAGCCTCAACAACTCCCTCACCCTCCTTGCGGTCGATGGTCTTCTCCTTCTCTTGCAGTCTCCACAGCGAGTAGATACCAGCGACTGCACTGCAGGCCAAACCGGCCATCCAAGCACGGTAGGCGGACTCCTGCAAACGCTTGGCCGAGGCAAGCTTTTTGACACCAATGGTGTCAACAACTCCGATGGTGTCGAGGGTGAGATAGCCGGCGTAACCGAGCTGGCGACCGACGGCAAGGTATCGGAGCACTGGGTCGATGGGGCTCTTGTTTTCCAAGGCAACCGAGGCGGCCTTAAGGTGTTCAATGAACTTTCCAATTCGGAGAATCTTTCGTGTTGTTCCGAACTGCTTCTTGACTGCGTTGAAGGGCTCGATGGCGGCTTGAGGGCGGTTGGTGCGGTAAAGGTACCAGGCGTAGAAGCGCGAGAAGTATTGGAGTGTACGCAGAATCTTGTCACGACCCACTGGAGATTTATTAGAAACCGTTGATATAATTTGTAGTATAGCAGAAGAGCCCAGAGATGTGATATTTCTCTACACAGACAGACGAGACAGTTCAGCAGGAACGCCAAAGTTTGCCGTTCCCCTGTTTCCTCTTCGCCGATAGTGGAAAGTGGTCACATACCCGTTGTCGCAGCAAAGCGCAAGTAGTGCGCCAGGGCAGGGTGGTAGAGAATCGCGTCTGCAACCATTTTGTGTTTTATTATTATGACTTGGCGAGATGAGTCGTATTAAGAAGTCGCTCCGGAGGTCGGATTCCGCGCGAAACGATGAGGGGAAACGGGAAACGTCACCACGAGACCAAGGTGAAGCAAGAGGCAGGCCAGCTGAATAGGATGAAAGGAGACGAGGATATAGCAAAAGAGAGGATGATAGAGCGACTCCACGGACGACGATAGGAAAAAGGAAGCGGGAGATAAAGACGGAAATGGGGAGAAATTAGTAGTATGGGGGGAAAGGATGCGAGTCGGTAACTGAACAGGCCGGCGATCGAAAGCACCGACACGGCCACCTGCCGTCAACCTCGGTTGAATCCGTGGGCAGACGGGATGAACGTTCAGCACTCCATCCATCCCCGGTTTTTTCCCCGTGAAAATCGCTCCATATGATTGCACTCCATTTGTTCTCCAATAATAATCGCCGAGATGCTGATGATAATGACGGTGTTGATTACGATGAACATGGTGCTTGACTCTTACTCTCTCGCATCATGTGACTGCGGGAATTATCGTGCTGTTTCTCAGATCAACCGAGCTTTAATGCTCCTTCAAATTGGCTGAAGAACTCATATGTCATCACATCAACGGATATATTCAGATCTACCATTTTAGGAATGCAATATTTCTGACAGTCTGGAGTTTTATCACCGCGACGCATTCAGACACTCTGTTTGCTGGATCATGGAAGTTTACAAGCACCACACCCGCAATCCTTGCTACATGCCAATAACCGACAGCGACTATCCAGCGCTCTTCGACTGTGGCTCATCGGATCAACTGGATGGCAACATTGAAGCCTGACTTACGTGTCAACAACAAACGGATGATTCAACTAAGTCGCTCTTGGGTTGTCTTTATACCTTGGCACCGATAACAATGACGGACAAGACTAATTCTCAGTTAAATTATATTTCTGGATCCGGGGCTTGATTGCGTTTGGAAGGTTGCAAATAGGGTTTCTGGTATTCCCGAGAGAAGCGGTTTCCGATCGTCCGACATCTTTTGATGGCAAGCAAAAAGTTGATGGAATTCCAAGAGGTATCTAAAGTACATCAACAGGTAGGGCTATCATCAAATGTATGAACAGTCAATACGCCCGCGTCAGATCATGGGGGGATCAGCACGATGCGCGCACGTCCTCTAACAACCATTTTGTCTCGCATCCGGGCATTTCAAGGAATTCAGGTCGCGTGGGGTCTCAGTTCGATGGTGGAACCGACACAATCAGGGCAAGGTGATGGCTTTCAAAGTCGCTGTCGTAGTCTGGGGCTTACCACGTGTGTCGCAAAAGGGCATTTGGTCACATAATCTCCGGCAGTCGCATAGGAAATGGCTGAGGGGTTGGCGCTAAGGGCAGCATATGGGAAAATATCGGTACCAGGAAACATCGACTATATCTGCTCCCTGTTGCCCATGGTTCCGGTATCGTATCCATTGGCTTCGAGGTATTCACGGAATTTTTCGTCTTCGTGCGTAATTGTGTCCTATACAACAATCGGCAACCGCTTTCCAAAAGGGAAATAAAGATTGGCAACATACCTGTCCAATTTGCGGTAGGAGGAAGTAGGCCAGTGCAGCGCTGAAAATGCACAGGGAGCTCGACACGAAGAAGGGATCCTGGCCATAGCGGATTTTGTTTGGGGCATTCTTTTGAATGATTGGAAACACATAGGTGCCCACGAATGCGCCTATTTTGCCGGCAGCGGCAGCAATGCCGTAATACTGACCTCGGATCGCAGTGGCGCTGCTCTTTGCCGCGCAGAGTCCAATGTTATCGCCTGGTCCCATCTCACCAAGGGCTGAGAAGATACTATTTTCACAAGTCAGCTAAAGTAGTCCACGCTTGGGTAGAGGGTGCTCACCCATAGACCACCACAAATGCCGCAACGTTCTTGGATGTCGCAAGCCATTCATAACAACCCGCCATAATGAATCCAATAATACCTTGGAGCCCGACACCAATGGCCACGGTGTTCCGAGGACCGATCCAGTCACTTACAAAAGCTCCAGCGAAAGAACCGGGGATATAGAAGAGATAAACCACCGTACTCCAGCCAAAGCTCTTCCACATCGCGGTGTCGTTTCCTAGAATGATTGACACCCATTCGGAGGAGTATATGCCGAAGGAATAAGAAGAGAAATCGTAAATAAACCAAATTAACGAAACAACGGTCTGCACTCTGTTAGTCGAGAATGTTTCCCGTCAGGTATGGGGTGCTAACCAGGCGCTTCCAATAGAACCTGCTCCAGTTAGCCTATCAGATACAATGTTTTGGAGAATCCCAAGCTTACTTGATAATTAACCAAAAAGGAAACTTGCGCATACGCTCACGCTTGAATTCTTCTGGTTCGCCCAATTTCAGTCGCAGATAGAACAAACTGAGCGGTGGGATGACACCCAAACCCAAGGCTACACGCCAGGCAGCGCGCAGATGATCCTCAGTGAAGATCAAGACCAAGATTGTTGGTATGAAGGCCGAGAAGACATACGCAAGGTCGATTTGAAAATTAGTAAACAGGATGAACCAGCGATTCCGATGGCCTTCCTTGAGTTCTCCGGTGTTCTCTGCTGCCGCGACAGACCCTGCTGGGTACTCGCCTCCGATTCCAACTCCCAGAAAAAACCGATAGGCTGTCAACGCTGCGAACAAGCCGTATTGACTGCCATGGTATCCATAAGCACCCGCGCACAAGGCACCAAAGATGATTAGGATGACAGTGGAGATCATCAGAGACCATTTTCGAGACCAATGATCACTCAAATATCCAAATGCAAGCTGACCGACAACGGTTCCGGCGAATGTAATAGATGAGACGTTTTGGCGGGCAGGGGAATTCGAGTAGGTGTCGGGGTAGATCTTTTGTAGCATTGTGTTGACAGAACCGATCACCTAGATTAAATTTAGTTCAGATCGCACCTTGAGAGAGGAAGAGTAAGACATACGCCATTAAGATAACCGTCGGAGAAAAGACCAGCACCACAAGCAATGGTAGGCCAACTGCGCTCCCAGCGAGTCTTGAATGTGTCCTCCACTGGAGGCTCATCTAGAGGCACTTCCTTGGAAGGCACAGGATTCTTTTCTGACGGTTGCCCGGTATAATTGATTGAATCAGATTCGGAAGCCATTGCGATAATGATGTATCCGGAAAATTTCAAGTTAACATGAAGTTTTCTTGCTGGCGAGGAAGTGTAAACCGCAACAAATGAGGGGAAAGAGCCAGAGAAAGAAACGATAGGCAATTATGAGCACGAGACCCTGTCAGATTTGTACGATAAGGCTCGCGATGCTATCTCGTTCCTTTCAAAGGAGTAAATTGAGCGTAAATTGAGCGATAGAAGAAAAAGGAGAGGAAGAAAAAAGAGAAACCAAAAAACAGCGACGAGAGAATACGATGGAAGACTTCCATGAACGTCTATCACTCTTGGAGGGGGCATGTTGTAGTAGTTAGTCGGGTGGAGTCATCTTGGTAGCATCGGCTTTCTCCGTCGCCAACAGCTAAGCTTTCTGTGTCTTCATTGGGGTTCTTGTCATGCGATCAAGGACTGTTCCCTGTATCAAGATGCATTTAGAGCCATGCGTGCTACCACGTGCTGAGCCAGGCTACCTTGATTGATTCTTGAGATAGACAGCCTTATTAGACCCATAATTCCTGTATCAAGATGAGTGTCTCCATGAGAATGATAGTGGATCTTGGCCCATGCTAAGGTACTACTGTGTAACATCCTCGCACGTGCACTTGACATGTACATTCCCGATGACAGTAAAGCAGAAAATATTCAATATAATGAGAAAGAAAGAGAGAATCAGGTAGACACCTAATTTGTCTTCAAAATATTGATCAACATCCCTATCTCTTTCATTCAGAATCAAGACACCAAATGCTTCATCGGGTATACGATTCCGGCCCCCATACGCTAATTCAACTTGGGTTTGTTAGGGCCACCGGTGTTTCTCTTCCAACCGGTTTGTCGGTGATTATTTCTTGCCTGTTTAGACACGCGCGTTTTCTGAACCATAATAAAAAAGAAAAAAGAGACATGATATCAGCAAACCATTATTTATTGTCTCCCACATGCATTTCAACAGCTATAGGGCTAGTAGCTGCCCTACGTACAGCTACATGATCAGGATTCCCAGCGTTCATGTTGACTATGTAGAATGCAAGGGAATTCACAACACAGTACTCGTAACAGAGTAAATACGGGTGGATTTGCCCTGGTTATGGCCAATATGATCCTATCAGACAGCCCTGATAGCCCAGAATTGTGCTATTCAACCCTGTTCAGATAGGCCATTGAGAGGTCGATAAAGCACACCCTCGAAGCCATTCTTATCAGCAATTTATGCTGTTGTTCAGAATGACGGCCCGGGGGTATATTAGATATCTAGGTAGCAACTTATTAATCTAGATAATCAAGGCAGTTTAGAGCAAGACTTCTTTTATATGCGACATAGAGTGACAGCAATGGCAGGGAAACGGAGATTGAGTATGCGTGAAGCAATCGTTGCTAGACATAAGTGGCATTTCATTTTCAAAGCATCAGAATAATATTGAATTCCTCGTTTCAGAAATAGAAGATAAACTGACAAAATATAGAATCCTCTATTCATGCGTTGGTGACATTGTAAATCAGTAAATCAAGTGTTGATGACTGTGCCGGACTGGAAAAACGTTCCGCCAGCTGAGCTCGGGTCAGCTACTACGTGATGTATCTGCCTCATCCGTTGTCCCCCATCCTAATCAACAACATCCGAACACCATCTCACCTACCTACCAGCCTTTGCTGTCTCTTTTTCCCGTTTCTCCTAATCACCCATATACCTGCTCGACTCCCCCCATCTGCCAGCCGTCAGAATGGGGTCTGATCCGCAGTACATCAAGTACCCCGACCTCGCCCTCGCCCAACATGTCTTCAACCTCTCCAACCCATCTTGCTCCCAGACGGTGCGACAAACTTCGTTGAAAAGGCTCCAAGATGCTATCTCGGAGCATAAGATGGCCCCATTCTACAGACACCTCGCACACCCTGTCGAAGGTATCCTGAACAACTCCGGAGAAGGTGTTACCCAGCACCCGCACCCATCGGGCCCCAGCAACTCGACAAAGTCTCTCATCGCTTCTAATATGCTGGCCTCTCGCAAATCACCACAGAAGATCGATTTCCCCTGGGACGAGGCTCTATATCAGTCTTTGGTTGAGGACAACAAGAAGGACCTGGAGACCTTCCAGAAGGAGGAGGATGAGGCGCAAGAGGCAGCTGGAGAAACCGAGGTCTTGGCCGCACGGGGGAAGCGTGCTGAATTTTGGGCACGAGTAGGAGACAAGGTGAGAAATAGATGGTTTCCGACGTTGGTTTAGAGAAACACTGCTTACCAGGAATGCGTTTGATAGGACAAAGCTATCGAATCCCACGAAGAGCTTCTCGAGAAGACGACATTCCTTGGAACGAAGATCGACCTGTCGCTGGCTATGATTCGCATCGGACTGTTCTTTGGTGACGCTATCTATGTCAAGAAGAGCATTGAACGCGCAGACGCTCTCATCGAAAGCGGTGGTGATTGGGACCGAAGGAATCGCCTTAAGGCTTACAAGGGATTACACTTGCTCACGATCCGTTCCTACAACCTCGCCGCTCCTCTTCTCCTTGATAGCTTGTCCACATTCACGAGTTATGAACTTTGCAGCTACTCTGCTTTGGTTATTTACTCGGTTCTTGCTGGTTCGCTGTCATTGAAGCGGGTGGATTTTAAGGCCAAGGTTGTCGATGCACCGGAGATCAAAGCTATCCTGGGCTCTACCGAAGACAGACTGGCCGCATTGACTGGCGAAGTGTCTTCTGGTCCTAGCGCCCGGGATGAGGAGATGAAGGATGCCTCCACGACAAGAACAACCCCCGCACCTGCCACTACAGCAGTCAACCTGTCTAACTTCACCACCGGCTCTGGTGTTCAGGCCGAGACCGAGGCGGCCGTTGACTTTTCTCCCCTTGCCAACCTTGTCGACAGTCTCTACAATGGTAACTACCGGTCGTTCTTCGTGGGATTGGCAGCGGTCGAGGACCAATTCTTGACCCAGGATCGGTACCTGTACGAGCACCGTGCTTGGTTTGTCCGAGAGATGAGGTTGCGTGCCTACCAGCAGTTGCTCCAGAGCTACCGAGTGGTGGGATTGAACAGCATGGCAAATGACTTTGGCGTTACTGTCGACTTCTTGGATCGGTAGGTCTCCTTTGTAGCCGGCACAGCGATCGGTCAAATTGAATGACGAAAACATGCTAACTGACAACTGTAGGGACCTTGCCAAGTTCATCGCCAGCAACCGCATCTCATGCACCATTGATCGAGTCAACGGTATCATCGAGACGAACCGGCCAGACGACAAGAACAAGCAGTATGCGGATGTTGTGAAACATGGAGATGCACTTATCACGAAACTCCAGAAGTACGGCCAGGCTGTGCGACTCCGCGGTAGTGAACGGGGTTAGAGAGATGAGGTTTTAATTTTCTTTTGATGCCATGTATCTCCATGATTCTGCATGAGGAGCTGAACGATTGAGGAATTTTTTGGTCTTTTACTTTTTTACTCCCATTAGAGCAAAAGCATGCGAGGCTGCTGTATCATACAACTAATGACAAAAGACAACGTAACCTCGAACCTTCCATGCTGAAAAAATCTGGTCCTACTGGACTTGTGGGGATAGTCTGGGGATATTGTATGTAATCATTAGCCAAAAGAAACTCTTCGGTGCTCGGAAACATGGGGAAGGCTCTTTTGAGGCATTTATGGGCGTGCCGATGCTTTAAAACGTCGGGTCTGGACGGAGTAAACACGTGGGAAAGTCCATGGCATTAGGTAACTGAGCGTTTCTTTTTTTGGTTATCTGTTGAATTGTTGAATTAGCAGGCAGTAAAAAAGCAATTATAATCAGCTGTGAATATTAATTTACGCAATTCCTTGATGAACTGCTGGAGATATCTTAAATTCAAAGATACCAGCAGCACTAGACCCAGCTGACTCAGCAGAGCGGCTGACTCATCCTGTCGATCCCTACACCGCCTGTGTTTCTTTTTTTCCCGAAGATCGCGCAGTGGAGAAAGTAGGGGAGAGTCAGACCAAAAAAAAACCACGCATTGATTGATCAGTGCTGCAGGTTTCTCTCCAGAATATCCTCAGAAGCAGCACATCATGACCTGGCAGCTTAAGGTTGCAGCCAATATGCGGGCCTCGCCGCTGCGCTGCTCAATGCTCTCCCGGCCGAGTGTTTGGCCGCGGAGTCGGGTTTTTGGTGCGGCGCATCCCGCGGGGGGCTACAAAGCGTCAGGTACGTTAAGTCAATCGACACCCCCGGTCGAGTCCGAGGGGCATTTGGATCAACCCCTCAGATCGGCCAGTTTTGGGATTGGATTAGCCTGTCCAATGATAGCGGGAAACGCGCGAATCATGGGCTCCATCTTTCTGTCTGGTGGACTGTGTTGTCATATGCTTCCCCTCATCTCGTGACATTCCCGGCGGGCGTGGCCTTGGTCCCTGATATATTATGACTGTTCCTTTGGCCACCTTTTTCGACGCATTGTTCTCAGAAAGATTTACTATATCAAGAATTAATTAATCAATACTAACGTTACCGGATTTGACGGCAGGACCCATCACCATGACCCGGACGGACTTTTCGATTGCACAGCGTGGTGTTCACACCAAGCGTGATCGTTGCTTGGATATCGACAACATCAACCCTCACGTCAAGGCAGCCAAGTATGCCGTCCGTGGTGAGTTGGCTGTTAAGGCTGAGGAGTTCCGTGTGAGAGTCGCCCAGGGAGACAAGTCGTTGCCTTTTGACAGTGTCATCTTCGCCAACATCGGTAACCCGCAACAACTCGACCAGAAGCCCATTACCTTCTTCCGCCAGGTCCTCAGTCTTCTCGAGAACCCGCTGTTGTTGGAGAACCCGGAAGCCCTGAAGAGCTCTTTCGGTTACAACCAGGATGTTATTGAGCGGGCCCAGACTCTCCTGGCCGATGTGCAGAGCGTGGGTGCCTACAGTCACAGCCAGGGTGCACCTATCATCAGAGACAGTGTGGCCAAGTTCATCGAGGAGCGTGATGGTTTCCCCGCAAACCCTCAGGACCTGTTCCTCAGCGGTGGTGCTTCGTCTGGTGTCAACACCCTCCTTAATGTGATTTGCAACGGCCCCAGCGCCGGTGTCCTCGTCCCAATCCCTCAATACCCTCTGTACACCGCCACCCTGTCCCTCCTTAACGCCCAATGTGTCCCATACCTCTTGGAAGAGGAGAAGGCTTGGGGTACTGACGTTAACGCCATCCGCAACTCCTTGGAGCAGGCCAAGGCCGCTGGCACCGACGTTCGTGCCATCGTTGTTATCAACCCTGGTAACCCTACTGGTGCCTCTTTGGGTGCGGACGACATCAAGAGTGTCCTTGATGTTGCCGCCGAGGAGAAGCTCGTGGTTATCGCTGATGAGGTTTACCAGACCAACGTCTTCGTTGGTGAATTCACCTCGTTCAAGAAGCGCCTCCGCCAGCTGCAGCAGGAGTTCCCTGGAAAATACGACAACGTGGAGCTGGCCTCTCTCCACAGTGTTTCCAAGGGTATGGTTGGAGAGTGTGGTCACCGTGGTGGCTACTTTGAGCTGGTCGGATTCGACCCCTTGGTCGCTGCTCAGATCTACAAGTTTGTCAGCATCATGCTTTGCCCACCAGTCATTGGACAGTGCTTGCTTGAAATGATGGTGAACCCTCCCAAGAAGGGTGAGCCCAGCTACGAGCTGTACCAGAAGGAGTACAACGGCATCCGGGATGGACTTCACAAGCGCGCCCTTGCTCTGTACGAGGCCTTCCAGCGGATGGAGGGTGTTGAGTGCCAAGAGCCTCAGGTATGTGATATCTGATTGTATTATTTTTCTTTACTAACAGTAATTTCAGGGATCCATGTACCTCTTCCCCACCATCACCCTGCCCCCCAAGGCCGTCGAGGCCGCCCAAGCCGAGAACCGCGCCGCAGACGAATTCTACTGCATGCGCCTCCTGGAAGCCACCGGAGTCTGCGTTGTTCCCGGCTCTGGCTTTGGCCAGAAGCCCAACACTCTGCACTTCCGCACTACTTTCCTTGCCCCCGGCACCGATTGGGTTGAGCGTATCGTGAAGTTCCACAGCGAGTTCATGGCTAAATACAACTAAAAAGAAAGAAAGAAAAAAGAACAAGAAAAAGAAAAACGTTTGGGCAAGAAACGGGTATATTAGAATCTTATTTCTCTTTGGTTCGGGCTTGATTTTGCTGGACGAATCTATATTTGCATTTTCTATACAGTGGTTTTTGAACGAGTACTGAGCGAGTGCCGTTACCTTATAGACTAGGTAGAGCAACAACTGCTTAATTCATGATATTGAGTACAATAGAAAATATTTCTTAGTAGCATCTAGATGTCTAAGCGCGATAGCGTATCACCCAAGCTATATGCACCACTGAATGGTTCATTCTGTGATACTCCGCACCATCGCCAGGATTCTAGGGACAATGAGAAATGACAAAGATGATAACACACCAACTAACAATGACAAAGTCTAAGGAATGGAATGTGATAAGAGAAAAATCAAATATGCAAACGGGATACCGGTCACCCTATCTGGCGACCGACCAGGTGCGAACAGTGAAAAGTCCTCATGCATAGTCCCTCCGTTCGCGCTCATCATTGAAGAAATGCCTCAACTCAAGGCAGCTAGCAGCTTTTTCTGGTCCATGTACCTCTCAAACAGCAGAGACCGACACCATGCCTGGACCCCTTCCCAGAAACGTCAAACTGGAAGATCCGATATACTCCGAGATCTGATCAGAAAGGCGCAGACTTAACGTGGAAGGGAGAAAAGAACCGTCTTATGCGTATTAACGGGAGTTCAAAGTGCAGCGTCATAGAAAGGTGACAAAGAGGGTTCAGCGTGTCTTGGAGTGGAAGAACCTTAAACTTCGCAGCTTGTAGAAGTGAAACACCATCCTTATGGGGCTTGTCTGATGCCATAGACAGGGGGCTGGTCCAGTGACCAAGCTGATTTAGAAGCCGGGACGCTGATACTGAGGGCTGACGGAAAGGGTTCATTCTTGGAGACATCTGAGATATCGGTTAGATGGTGCTCGATGAAGCAAAGTGTAATTGACGATTCTTGACTTACTCTTCAGCCGTAGTGAGTAGCTTTGATGAAGCAATGCAAGTAAAGAGGTCGTGTGGTCAAGGACCTAATGTTTGTTGGCGAGTTGAACCATGATTGGTGGAGTGCAGCTTGAATCGAATGTGGTGATAATCTCGTCCGTTTTTGTAGCGCTTCTCCAAGGAAAAAGCAGATGCGTAGATATCTAAACAGGAATAAGCAAATGAAGACGAGCGTTATTCTACCAGAAAAATAGTACCTGAGAACATCATGAGTGTCAACAAGCTGGACTTGTTGCTCTGGACGACATCACGATCAAAGCGACGGAGAAAGTCAGATCCAGGCATAATCTTGCAAGATAATCCCAGTCCCATAAAATGTGCAGACCAGACAGCAATAATCGTGGGGAATGATACTTATGCCCAATGGCAATTGCTCTTGTCCCCGACGTCGCTGGTTGTATTTCATCCAGTGCTCCCGTTGGCACTGAAAGGCATCCTTCTTCATTTTGCCAATGGAAAGCTCGATACATCGTCAAAGAAAGAGACTCGCGCCGTGGATTGGGAGGATGCTCGTTTGTTTTGGAGCCTGGCTCTTTGCTGAAGGCCTAGACAGGTAATAGGAAAGTAATAGAGGAGAAGCATAATAGGTCTGCTATCCACTCTCGGGAGGAAGGTCATAGGTGGTATACAAGCCGAAACTGATCAACATCGTTAGCATCATATAATCACATAAACAACCATGAAACAACCAAAATAAAACAAAGAAGAAATAAAAAAAGGCAAAAAAGCTCACCCAGCCAAGAAAGCCAGGCTACGAAAACCCCCCCTGAAATCCTTTGGAATCAAGGGACGTTTTTCTCCGAAACACCGACTACACCACGATCTAATATCTTTTTGATATCCAATCGAGGCGAAGCCGGGATTCGAACCCAGAGCACAGCCTGTAGTGCAGAGAGCAATACTGCCGCTGGATCACAGGGGCTCTGGTTGTTGAAGGGAAAGAAGAGAAGTGAATGATATGCGTGGTTGGGTTACCGGATTGGGAAAGAGGGTTGGCTGGGCTTACCACCTCAGTTGGCAGTATTGGATTGTCAGGGCAAGACAAGACGACTGTTCAGCCTTGGTTGAAGTGGCGAATGAGTTCGAGATAGAACCATGCAGGATGTGAATGAATTCTGGCCGATGAAGATACTGCAGCCATTTAGCTTGCCCTGGGTGTGGATTAGATGTCGCGGTATTACCAACATCACTGCGTGACACTGCATGATAAATCAGCTTTTTCAAACTGGACAGGATGGATGGGATGGATGGGACTCACAGCATCGATTGGACAAGTTGGTATACCGGAGAGGTATAAGAAAAGTTCTGTTGTGGGGGATTGAACGCCATGTTACAAGCAGGGAGCTCTATGTAAGGATTCAACATCGTTAAGAAACAGGGACAGTATATATATATATATAATAGAAATAATATAAAATAGGATATAGAATATAGATAGCAGAGGAATATTCTGGGTATAACCCTGGTATATAACCTTTCGTATAAAGCCAGATCAACCATGATAACCAAAAGACATCCACCACAAAGGAACCAAAACCCCATCATGACCCATGGATAGACACATAAAGCATCCATCATGCAACCACCCATTCCCATATCCATATTCCCACGCACCCAACCAAAGCCCACCCAACCCCAAACCAAAACAAGGATACGCACAACTCAAACCAAACCAGTTTAACAACAGCGGAATGCACCCCAGATACCAAACAGAGCCAAGTCGCAACAAGCCTTGCGGGAGTGAAAAGCTTGTCTGGTCCATCCCTTGGAGGAAATAAATGCCTCATCTCCTGGATATTTTAGCCAGATCGGATGCCTGCATTGGTTTGGTTTGTTGGTTTGGATGTAAGAAACATTCCAGGATGGGGTTGTATTATGCTATTGGTGATGGTTTATTTGGGATGGAGTGGTATTCTTTATTATGGATTCTTTGTTGCACACCGCTAGATTGGGGACTGCTGATTTGTTCTGATGGCTCCATCATACCACACACCGCTAGTTCTTTGGAAATATGTATTACACAAAATAGTCTATTAGATTGATTCACACGGGGTAACTGTAACTTGAGACAACAAAATACAAGTGTAGTCTATATGTATGCACAGTGATCGGTCCTGCACCGCCAGGGGGGAGGCAACACGCTAGTATGCAGGAGACAGCACGATCAGACAGAAAAAAAAAAAAAAAAATAAAGAAAAAGTCTATTCTACTCCCACTTCCAACGCTTTCCCACTTCTGTCACCGGCTTGACCTCTTTCGGCATGTAGACACGTAGCATATTGCCTCCATTGTTCGATCTTCAAAGCCCAATGATGGGAAAACACATCATCCTTCTCCACTCGACGGAGATTGAATGGTCAGTTCGATCGGTATCCAAAAATAGAGTATCAATGGAGAATGAACAAGGATAACGAGTAAAGATAACGAGAAACGATAACAAGGCATTTTATGAATTGATGCTATAGTATGTGGGAATAGATTGCAATGGCTAATTGAACAGGGTAAAAAGCATTTATCATCATCGCTCATCAAGGTCATGAAGACGTAGGTGTCGTCACTCAGACGGTGTGAGGTGGTGGTAAAAGGTGCCGCGAAAAGACTGCAACCCACTGCTTACCGATCACTGTGCCCACGACGGAAAGATATTCTCATCCATGTTGGCCCCCGAATCAAAAAGAGCCGCGGGCCAGATGGGATCCGACGGGGATGTCGTCATCGGTAGGCTGCTGGGTGGGTTGGGTGTCTTAAACTCCGGTGGCTGCGATATCCCATAGGAATCTTGAGCCGGCAAGGATTTGGGAGGCTCTATGTTGCCCTGCAGTTGGTGTTCCAAGGCCGCCGTCGACTCGTTGGCCGATTTGAGGAAATCGTCAATGTTCATCGACTCCAGATTGTTCGACGCCAACAGCTGGGCTTGGGGCAGGCTAATAAACGAAGAGGCCGAGCTGATGCGGAAGTTGTCCATATCTGATCCTTCGCTCACGCTGTGCAGATCATGCAGATCGCTGCCACTGTGTCCTAGACCGGGAAGAGGTCCGAAATCATCAACCTCCGAGATATCGCCCGACGAGGATGGAGCAGGCAGACTAGGCCCCATCGAGTTGTAGTCAAAGCTGGCGTAGGAGGGAGTCTGGGTGCTGGTTGTAGGAGGCACATCCGAAGAATACAGAGGGAAACTTGACCAATCAACCGGTGGAGCACTGAACGCACCAGATCCCAGAGGTGTGTCGTTGTCAGGGGACGCAAAGTAAGAGTCTTGGTATGTATCTTGGAAACCCATGCAGGTAGCCGGCGAGGTCGTCGTAGCAGGAAAAGACGAATAGGAAGAAACATCGAGAGGCGGAACATTGGTGACGATCTGATTTAGAGGAGTCTTCCCCAGAGCAGTCGTTACAGGCACATGTTCAGGGGTCTGGTCGTTCGAGTTGTCCAACGGTTGAGATGGAGGGAAAAAGGGCGGGAGTTCGAGCGGAGTTACAGAGTTCGTGTTATCCTCCGCATTTGTGACAGGGACACTCTCAGGGGAGCCATTCTCGGATTTCGTAAGACGCTGCGGCCCATTGTCATGTTGCTCTGGACGTGGTGGAGGTGGAGGGGGAAGCAGCTCCAGGAAAGATGGTTGCGCCAAGGGTAGATGATCCACTGATCGGCGGGTCACATCGGACGTCGAATGGATGGTATGCGATCGAGGAATGGTGTAAGGCATACCACACTTGTGAGCCATGTCATTATGCTTGTGGGCAGGCTTGTGGTGGCCGTCTCGGAAGACGGTGAGCGTACTCTCCGACTTGGTGGATGTCAACTGAGGTTTCTTGGGGGGCTCAGCCAGCACCGCAGGCTGGGACGGAGGGAGACCAGTCTCCGGGACGGAATCTAGATGGTGTTCCTTTTTCAGCGCACAGATACAGCGCTGTCCATGAGCGCAGGCGCAACGCTGGCGGGAATCCTCTGTAATCCAGATCAGAACAATGAATCAGTGTGCCATCGCCGTCATCATCATGATGCTCACGCTTGTGATCCCACTTGTCAACGAGGTGGTGGGGGTCCGAGTCATTTTTATGACAGTGCTTCTTCTTGTCACCACACTCGCACTTTACGTGGGTTGTCCGTGACTTGCGTAGGCCGCGACAGTGAGTGCATTGAGAGACTGGTCGGCCTTTTTTGTTGATATGGGTCAAAGGGCGGTCTATTCCAGTTAGTATGCACGCCGAGAGCTGTCAGATGATCGACATACCACTGTGGTGACAGCTGCTGACGCGGTGACCCCGGACGCAAGCTTCACAAGCCCACTTCTCGCCATCGATAAGCATCTTCGCGGGTTACTGAAGAGAGAACATGCGACGATTCGCGACGAGTAACAATTTCAATCAAATGGGTATAGAGTATTGGGTATCGACAGAGACTGGAGTCTCTATAATTTGGTGTTTCGAACAACAAAAGAAATAATAAACCGAACAGGAAGCCCTGTCGGGGAAGAGTGAAGAGCCGTCAAGGCGGGTTTCACTGTAAAGGTGTGCGATCCGTCCTATCAAGACCGGATCGACGAGAGAACGAAGAAACTCCAACAGAAAGCAAGGGTATCTCCAACGAAATGTCCCAATGCGCACAAAACGCAAGTCACGAAACGCCGTTCTACCAGTATATAGGGCCCGAGTCGCACCGGTTTGAGATTATCTCAGATGGGTGTGTAAAAACAAATTGAATAGTTTTGTAGTTTCGCAGGCGCAAGCCACCCAGGGAGCCAGGATATGAGGCTAGGAATTCCAAGAGATCGAAGAGAGAGAAAGGAATCCAATTGAAGAGTAAGAGCAGTTGAAAGCAGCGAGGATCGGGGGCCAAAGCCTACGCACCGTTTGGCGCCGGCCGTGAGACAGGACACCAAATACCGGCTGTGGCGGCCAAGAGAAGGGGAAAAGGCGACCGATGTCGAGGCAGGAGTTGCATCAACACCCTGTGAGACGGAGAAAAGAAGAGCAAGAAAAAGAAGAAGAAGAAGAAAAAAAAAGAAGAGGAAAAAGACGGGGGAGGGGAAAGGCGGGAAGAAGTAATATTAGACCGATGGGCTTTTGGGGGGGGCAATTTGGGGGGGAACAATTCAGGCGCCGCAAGGGAGCTGCGTGGGTGGTGGCTGTGGCGCCCCGGAGGCCGAGGACGATCGGACAGGCCTAGTCGGGTTAGCGCGGTCTAGTGAAGTTAGTGCCTTACTAACCGTAGTGGGAGCGGACTAGTCTGGATCAAGGATAGTGCCGTCTCCATCGACAGGACAAGAAGACCCCAACGACGGCTGGTCCCGAGCAAGACTCTGTGATGTTCCTGTTGTTACCCCCACCAGGAAGAAGCAAGAATGGAATGCGTCGTGTGTGGTCCACAGTCCTGATATTCCTGTGTATTTGTTGAATTTATGATTGAATATCCGGCATTATCTCCAGCCTGGGATGTTTGATATTCTGACATGTCAGCATGTCACTGTCGCCTAGTGAATGATGTCGCTGAATGATGATCCTAGCCAAGGTGGTATTCTGGCTTGATCCTGACTGACTCGCAGCAAGGCAACTGGTATCCTTTTTGATCCCATTAAATTCTCCGTTCGTTCTTGTGTGCGTTGTACAGAAAACTCTAAGCTGTTTGACCCTATACGTACTCCTATGATGTCCCTAGCTATCGCATGGAGGACAGTTGACGCAGCAAGATCCACGAATACCAGCTGAGAACACCCGGAGTACCCCGTATTTCACATCCCATCCAACCCTTTATTAATGCAAGGACCCCCAGATTCTCGATTCAAGAATCATGGACGATGTCAAGCTTACCTGGACATACTTCCCCAGGCGTTGGCTCGACTGCATATGTACTTAGGTCTTAGGGCTTGCAGTGGATGGAGTCAGGTCTAACTAACGGTTGGCCCGCCGAAAACCCTGCGCTCGTGGATGGATCCTGTTACGAAATTCGGGGCCAAGATCCGGGCACACTGCCGTTAAACTTTTTTGATTTTTCAAGGCTCCATCTCGTCAGCCTAGTCCGTCTTCTTCCTCTTAACTTCTTCCAAAAAAAGTTGAAAATATTCCCAGCCAGAAAAATCCTCCGTCTAACAGGGAATCAAACCCAGCAAAGACAGATCTTGCCACGTCCCCCTGCCGCTGCCAGTCCCCAACTTTCCAGAAAAGCGATTCCCACGTTCCATGCAGGCACTAAGTAATCAGAACCAGACCGGCTGGCGCACTTGATTGGCAGCATCAGGTCGAGCATGCGGTTGGACAGGCACTCGCATTGGGCCATGGACGACTGCGCCATGGACCAGTCTTGGCCCCAGGATTTAGGCCAGGCAGCTGGTTGGAGTTCCTTTCCAATTTCATGCAGCAATCGAGGAGGAGTATCCTGTTACATGGTTGGCATCTGGGTTTGTATGCAGGACCGGTCTGGGTTGGCAGCGCCTAATGCGGTACGTATGGGGACTGTTAGGTAAAGATACTCCACCTATGAGACCACAATAATAATAATACCTAATATGATGCCATTTCATCATACTTCCAGTAAGACAGAACATAATAAATACATACCCATAATTCCATATAGAAACAATAATGAAGCGACAGGATCAAGTTTGTGGCCACGCAACATGACATCACGGCTTCTGCTTTGGTGCGTCTGCAGTGCGACCGGCGCTGTTTGGCGGGCGGTCAGGTGGCGGGGCTCCTGATCTGCACGTGTCCACCAATCAGGGCTGCCGCTAGCCACAAAACCGGGTCTTTTCGGTGGTGAACGGACTCTCCAGAGGAACACGATCCAGTCCCTCGTGTTGGAGTCAAAGGGCAGAACTACGTTTAGTATGGCTTTGTCGTCCTACAATATTCCATCTAATACCCATCATTATTATTTATGGATGTGGATGGATATGGAGGCAAGCTATTAGGTGGATCAGACTCACGGACACCAATAATTCCCCAGAAAGTCCCACTCGACCATGTTAGCCTTTATCGACCTCTCCCGGCCCGGTCTGATGAAGCCAGCCAGAATGGGCATAATCGAATTGACGCCTTCAACCAGCCATGGTCTGATGGAATTGACACAAAGTCTCAATTATGAGAACTCCCAAGTCGCAAGCTGCTTATCTATCCCAGTGAGATGATTCAACACGAGACACGACCATGGGTGGGACTGTCGTCTGTTTCAGGCTTTCAGCCCGCTGCTATATACGCGCCGGTCTGGCTGCAACCCGGACCGTGCACTTGTGGAGGAGACTAGGTAGGACTACGTGGTTGCTGTCGTTGTTTTTTGCCGTGTTGGATAACTTTGATTTGAAGAATCAGGATCTTTGACAATGTTTATTGACGAGGTAGTCAATCCATTCTATGCTGGTTCTAAGCAGTACGTTTTGGCTTTTTTGGCTACCTGCAAAACCAGAATCTGATGGAGTCATCTCCAGTCCTTCAATGCAGCAGAAGACTGTCCAGCTCATCTATGCACCAGGCCATCCACTACAAACTCAATCCCCTATTGCTTCAAGAGCTCCTATTTACGGCTGGACACGTCGGGGTGCTTGATGCAGCAGCTCAAGTACTAGGGAGAGCTAATATGGGGAGTCATGCAGTAGATGCATGAACTGTCCGTCCAGTCACGGTTAAAGACCCGAATATGGTCACCGGTATGATGCTATTTGCTGGCACCATTCGGACGTCCCGAGGGTATGTCATGGACTCATGGCAATCTGTTGCTTTGACTCTATGCTCTGGTCAATGGTGAGGTTGTTCTCAGCGCAGCAAAGTCAGCATCTGACGTCGTTCACCGAAAGATCCAGAAATACTGTGCAGAAAATAGAACATTCAAGCTCTATAAATGTCTGGGTCACTAATTCTATCCAGTATTCTGATGCATCCAAGATAATGTGATTGTTCTGAGCAGACCGTGGTGGTCAAAACACCATCTGGGATTATCACAGAGCCGCATCGCATCCCACGATAGAAGCAGGAAACGTTCGAGAATCGAACAAAATAGGTTTGAAATCTTATAGATCAATTCATAGATGCAATCATATATTCTCAAGATAATTCCAAGGCCATTTCAGTAGAACAGCCCAGACTTGGTCGACGATGACCTCGTTTACTCCTCCATCCTCAATGGCATCGTGTATCAGATGGCCACGGACAGGATCGAGCCTCGCGATGTAAGATTCCCCTCGCATCCCTCCTTTCGGCCTGGACGACCCCCCAATCTGTCGCATCCATATCTCTTGGCCTCTTCTTGGATTAGATGAGGTTTTGGTTGAGTCTGGCCCGGTGGGAAATAGTATTAATCCGTCGCTGGACGCAGAAACGAAAAGCCGGATCTCCGCGTCGGGCGCGAATCATCCCAAGTATGAAACTATATCCTGTCCCCCAAGACCGTCTCGCCGTCTGTGTTTTGAAGTTCATCGTCTTTTTTTTGCATCTCGGTCGCGCGATCATGTTCGCTGTGTCCTGCTCTCAGCGCCGAGGGCTTTCGGCGCTAGCCCCTTCACAATACCCCCCGCCCAGGCAAATTTAGCCTGTAAAACCTTGCCCTGCTGTCCTCGCGTCAGTTCTCTCCTCCAACTCCTCCCATCCTCCACCCATCCGGAGCCTCGCTCCACGCCCACCACCCAACTCGCCCTCGTGTCTCGCCTTTTTTCGCCAAAATGAATTCCCGCGAGCATTCTGATATGCCTCCGGCGCCTTCCTATCCATCCCCCAACGCCGCGCAGATGGGTCAGGGTGCCATGCAATACTACACGAACCGCCAGTTGACTGCCGACGAGCTCTTGTCCGCTGAGCTTTCCCGCGAAACCTCCGGCCCCGGCCTCGCTGATGGATCGAGTAACGGCGTTCACCATAGCCAATCGATGGTTTTGGGCTCGTCAAACCCTGGTGGTCCTGACATGGGTCGTCCGTCATCGCCCGACCAGCACCAACAGCAACAACATATGCTTCAGTTTACCCCCAGTCAACAAGTGGGTGTCGATCCGAATCACGACTTGAGTTATGGTGATCAGAGTGCAAGGAGGAAGAGGTCGAAGATTTCCCGGGCTTGTGATGAGTGCAGACGCAAAAAGGTACGGCGGTTTTGTTTTTTATTATCGCTTTTTCTATGGCTCGTCGCGCTAGACGCGACGTTGGATGACTCGATTACTTATTCTACGTCCAACAGGTCCGTTGCGATGCGAGCTCGGAAACTGGAGTCGAGACCTGTTCGAACTGTCGCAGACTCGGGGTGGTTTGTCAATTCAGTCGCGTCCCGATGAAACGCGGTCCCAGTAAAGGGTAAGAACGATGTTGCTTCAGGAGGCAAAAAGCATCCCCCAACTGACCATGCATAACAGTTACATCAAAGAACTCGCAGAGCGTCTGCACACTCTGGAGAGTCAGATGCAGCCTGCTATGGTCCATCCCGATATGCCTTACCAGACCATGAACGAAGTCTCACCACCCAGAGGCTACCAAGAGTTTTCTCCCCCAATCGACACGGGCCCGATTAACCGCAAGAGAACGTACTCTGTCTTTGAGGGACTCCCCAGTTCTTCTTTTGCTCAGCCTTCTTTCAACCCTCGTGGCTCTCAGAATGCTTTTGGTTCGTGGTTTCCATACCTACACATGAGGTTCTTTCACTAACGATAGACTAGATGCAGGAGAGACCCCGACAGACCCCTGTAACCCGTCCGTTATTAGTGGCTCTGCGCCAAAGCCTGGCAATCTATTTTGGCCCCCTGGTACTGAAAGCGAGCTTCCGGCTGGTATTGAGATCTCAGATGTCACCAAACAAGAAATGGAAGAGGACATGACACCACTGGATGTAGATGAGGGTGCTTTCAATGCGTAGGTTCTCGTCTGCTGGCTTTGACCTTGCTTTGTTTGTCTAACAATGTGCAGGTATCGATCGAAAATCCACCCTGTCTTCCCCATTCTGCCACACACCAGGGAACGTCTGATGGAAATACTCCACCGATGCAGTCGCGAATTGCAGGAAGTCTTTCTTTTTGGTCTTTACACTGTGACGCGCACTAATCTGGAGCGCATGTCGGGCACATTTGAAAAAGTGACATCTTTCGACAACGCCCAGGACATTCTGCTGTTCTACACTCGCCAGCCAGCTCTAGTCCGCGAGACTTCTACCAACTTGATATGGCTTCAGACTATGATGCTTATGATCTTGGACTGCGATTCACGAGGTCCTGACAACTTTGTCCTCAAGGATGGCGTTCCCAAGCACACGCTCATTCAGTCCGCTACCAAGTTAGGCTCTGATATGGCCAAGAGCATGGGTCAGCTCAAGACCAAGCGAGTCTCCGACCCTGATGTGGATTCGGAGGCGAATATCACACGTCGTAACTGGGTGTCCTTGATCATTCTCACCCGCTGGTATGCCATCAGTGTGGCTGATCCGAGTGTTCTCGGAACCAACGAGATTGGTGGTCGGGAAGATGAAAGGGTTGTCGGTCCCGTTACAACAGGAGTTGGCTGTATGTTAAATTGCCCTTAATGATTTGGTGACAACATTACTAACGTTCGTATCGCAGCATACTCTACATTCCTTCCTGAGATGGTTACCATGGCCGCACTCGAGCACAATGTCTGCCAAAGCAACACTGGCTTTGGTCGCATGGTTGGCGCCAACCTGATGTCTTCTCTTGAGCGTTTGACGGAGATAGATGACATCCGCACATTCAACGACAACCCAGAAGATGCCGCATCTCACGGGTTCCTTGAGAGTCTACAAAACCAGCTTTACTGGACCATCCGACTGTTGATCAAACGACACATTTTTGTCTACAGTCCGTATGAGATCATCTACTGCGCTGAAGAGGTTATCAACGAAATGCACAAGGCTGCCATGCAATCACGTATCGCAACACCGTTCGATCTCCACAGCTTAGCTTTGGCTTCTATGACTTTACTCGAGGCAACCGTTCTCCCAGAGCACTCGAACGAATGCTGGGACTCATTGAAGAAGGTAGAGGAGATCCTCGACCGTCGCTTCAAGTACACCTCTGAAGGCGCTGAGTTTGACGGCATCTTCGCCACCTCGGGCTGGGACTCTAAGATTCGCATCTTCCTGGAATGGAGACGAGTCAAAGCCCAAGAGAGCCAACTCCATGACCCCAGTCTCATGAAAAGCACCTCTAGCGCTGCTCCCCCAGTCATGGGTCCCAACGAGCAGCGCTCTCTTCAGCATTTGGCTGACCTGGCTGTCGGTGCTGAGGGCTCCGTTGCCGCTGTTGCATCCTCGCCTCCTCCCCTCGCCTCTACTGAGAACATGGGTCCAACATCACCGAACCTTGTGCCGTCGCAACCTCAGGGCCGCGTCGTGGTTGATTTCACTATGCTCACCAAAGAAGGCTATCTCAATGTCTTTTCTGGCTTGATTTACCGCCGATCTCGCTGAGTTACGGTACCAACGGCATTCAAAAAGAAAACTTGAAAACTTTTTGCGGTGATGTATCTCAATTTGGGTATCTTTTATCTTTTCTTTCCATTCATATGTCTGTATTTTTTTTTTTTTTCCTTTTTTCCTTTTTGCCTTCTCCGTCTAATTTTCTCATTCCCCCCCTTTGCACTATCTATATGGGGAAAAGCTCGGTTTTTTTTTTTTTTTTTTTTTTCTCTTAGTTTATTTTTTGCCTTTTGTGACGCTTGATGCTGTGACTAGCGGGATTATAATGGTGAATGTATGTGTGTACTTGTAGCGACTAGTCAGATTGGACCAACTTCAGAAAATACATATTATTATTGGGACTGAATTATCATTTGTAGTATCATGAAATCCTCAATCTTGCTTGCAATGTCGACTATTACAGAACAGCATCAGCAAATAACAGATACCAAAGTAAAAATATCAGAAAGCAAAGATAAAGTGAGAAGATGAAAAGAAAGAGCAACTTAACAAAACAACATAACGTAAATCACATCCCCAACGCAACCCGCTTCCATACACCCTCTATATCCTGACAAAGTTGCAGAAAGCCATCATCTTCAATATGTTTACAGATCCAATCCTCCAGTCTCGCTGTACGCTCAGATGTTGATGCAGACAGGTACGTTGAAAAATCCGCTGTGGTGAGTATATCGTGGCGCCCTTGAGTAGTACTGATCGCGGATGGTGTTTCGGTGGGATAGTTAACTTGATAGTCTCCATGTGTATTTATTCGGTGGACTGAGAATGAGGGATCTGATGATATATGCTGTTGAGTTGGGATCGATGGGGATGGGGTGTATATATTCGTTTGTGGGGTGTTCTGAGCAGGATTCAGGTCTTGGATGGAGGTATAGCAGCGTTTGAGGTTGGATTTATTTGGGTCCTGGATAAATGTGTTCTTGGGACTTGGCTTGGATGCTTGAGTTGATGTTGATGGTGGTAATAGGGTTGGATTGGCTTGTTGATCGGTACCTTCTTGTTTCATGATGATCAGCTTAGCGGCTCTTGTATTTCCATTTCCTCTTTTCAGGAGAGGCATCATACCGGTACTAGGAGGTCTTGCGGAGATATCTCCTGACGTTGAAGTAGGTGTGGGCTGTTTGGATGTGCGTGTACGAGGTTTCTTCGCGGCTGGTTTCGCGGCTGGTTTCGAGAATGGCAGGTCCCGTTTCGGAGGAAGAAGCTGATTGAGGGTTTGAGGATCGTGACAGACTGTAGCTACGCCTGTGGAGGGTCTGGACGCTACGTCCTGGCTGCTTTGATTTAAGGTGTTTGGTTCTGAGTGGAATGTATCTGGGACGGTTTTCGTGTTTAGGCCGTTGCTGGTGGTTGTGGTATAGTCCGCTGCGGTGTGGGTGGTACCCGAGGACGAGGATGGCAGTGGAGGACCTGTTCGTGATATTCAATTAGGAAGAGGTTTATGATGGATAGGATGGGACGATACCTGTAATAGTCGATGTCATTCCAGATGCACAGGTTGTCGACGAATGCGATGGGAAGATGACATTATTTGAAGAAGAAATCCCAAGCGCGCCTGAGCCGCTAGGGAGCGCGTCCTTTCCACCAGAAGTAGAGGATCCAAGCCCTGGATTCCATTGTGAGGATGCCAACTTTCGAGCTGGTTGTAGTGAGCCGATATTCGATTCTGAGAATGGACATTTAATGTCACTCAGAATGGCCAGCGCCGTGTAGTAATCTCTATCGGAGGAGAATTTTATTTGGAAACGACGGACCTGTCCTCAGTCTCAGAAAGAAGACTTCTAATGTTTCAGTAATTGTGTTGGGTACGCACGCTTGTTCCTCCACTTGGATATTTCACAGCCAAACAGGGCGACTTTACGATAACTGCAAAGATGGGTTTCGGGTGACCGTGACCAATTTGTCTTGACTGGGCTTGAGCGACAGCCTCTCTTGCAAAGTAAGCAATGTCTATCTCTTCCTATTATCGTGAAAAAGCAAATCATTAGCATTAGGTCCAGAGAATGATCCAGGGCTTGCAGGTTATACCAATATATCACAATCGCGTGACACCCGCAACAAGATCCGCGCGGTGGAAAGAGTAGCTCCTGGACGTTTTTCAAACACACTGATGATATCTCCGTTTCCGATTATGTGGCTCCAGCTCAATGGACCGCTGTGCGAGATGGAAGTGGCTGCGTGAGAGAACTTTGCGAGCGGCAGACGTGCGAGTTGGGAAGACTCTTGCGGCTGCTGGGAGAATTGATACATGGCGGTGTATATAATAGACGAGATAGATTGAAGATGATATTTTATAAGTTGGTCTGGATGGTATACAGGTGAGAGTTGTAGTTGAGATGGGTGGGTGTTGATGGAGGAGGGCTAGGAAGCACCTGACAGTGGGTGATGACCCAATTTGGCTATATGTTCCAACCACTTGTTGACAGATAGTATTTGGGCTCGCGCTTTTCTTGTGGAAAATCCACGAGGAAATTCAGTCACAGAGCTACATAGGTTTATGGATGAAGAAAAACGTTTATTTGTTTAGGCTGATGTAAACTTGAAAGCTTCCAAGTTTTCTATTGTGACCAATGCGTAAATAATAAAAGGACGGCACCATAATTCTAAATCTATAAATAAGAAAGAGTTCACTCTAACAAAGAGAGAAGAAGATATCCGATAATCGAATGTCCTGAAGGAACCCCCCTAGTTGCTCGAGGGAGAAGCAGAGGCAGAGGCAGAGCTGCTGGTCTGGGGAAGACCTCCATCAATGGCCCTGGGGCTACCCTCATCTGTGCCCTCGATTTCGATTCCTCCAGAGCCGGTGTACACATTGGTGTAGTAAGGGTAGTGAAGAGCAGAAGTGTTGACACCAACGGTGATCCAGGCAAAGATTCCATCCTCGATCTTATCTCCAAGGAAGGCGTAGCTCAGCATCGGGTCCGCATCGCTATTTCCAGATTCCACATTGACAACACGGTCATCGGCGTTGAGGGTGATGGGGATGTTGTTGGTGTTGTAAGGGTAGGTCGATTCCACCTTGCTGATGAGATCCTGGTCCCAGAAGATTTGTCCAATGTGCGCAATCGATCCACCAGCAATGGTGTTGTTCGGAAGACGCTGGGCATTGATATGGGCGACATTGTGGTAGTGGGTGGTGCGGCTGTCGTAGTGGCCAGGGAAGATGGTCTCGAAAGTCACAACGCCATCTTCATTGGTAGGCTGGATACCGCGCAAGAAAGTGCGGTTGTGGTTGGCGAGGTCCTTAGCGTTACCATTGCCATCGGCCACCAGACCGGAGTAGACACCGGTAGCGTTGCATCCCCAGATCTCAGCGTAAAGATCATGGATGGGCTCACAGGTTTCGACGTCGACGTACTGCTGTTCCACGACAACTGGCACTCCAGACTCGCTCTCTCTGATATTACTCCTGATATGCTCTCCTGGAATCCAGTATGGACCAGTTTCGCCCTCCGGGGCAATCAGACAAACGTTGCTCTTTCCAAACAGGATCTCGTCTGATGTCGAAGGCTCGATATTGCCAGTCACATGGTGGGATTTGTTCAAGATGGCGTCTGTGTCCCGGACCGTGAGCTGCCGACGGTGCAATTCGACCATAGCCTTACGGCGAGCTTCAGCGCGGGTGTGCAGACCACTTCGTTCGAATTGGGTGGCACACTTCCTCAAGCCATGGTTGACATCTCTCTTGAAGGATTGGACCTCTGAAGTGGGCTCTTCGTGGTGACCAGGGTGAGCGGCAGCGAGGACAGCACCACCGACGACGGTTAGGTTCAGCAAGTTTTTCAACTGCATATTGAAATATTGGCAAGGAAAGGAAGGCAAAAAACAAATATGAAAAATCAGGCTTGAAGAATGAAGTCAAGACTGTAAGACTCGCAATGTGTTTGAGCTATTGATGACCGAAAGAACTGAGGATATCTTAGGCTTTATATATCCCACGGCTTCCTCTTTTCTTCCCTATATCGACAATAGCATCCACCTGAAGACGATGGAACTGCGCAAACATTCTGGATAATATTTTACTCGCCTTGGCAATGGAAGTCATCATGCACTGCCTACATCCACAGTATGAACGGCATTATTGGCGGCTTCCGGTCAATGCATGGCGATCCAATGAGACATCTCCAGCATGGCGATCAATGGAATCCACAAAAGACTAGTCACCAATAGGTAGTCAGTTAAAGTCATCTTCAACACAAACTATAACTCGAAAAAGTTCTGCCCTGCGCATGAACAAGATCATAGGAGACCTTGGTAGCTTGGGGGTCATCCGTGCCCAACAGCGAAAATTGAATGATGCTCCAGCTCTGTAGGAACAATCTTCATGTCCCTGACTATTGGATGCTTTTTCATTGGCTCCGCGATTGATGAGTACCCGGAGAGTGTACTGTTATGGATCAGATATACCAATGCGAATGATTATCGAAAGCAGCCGTGGGGAGCCAAGAAAGCGCCTTGTTTCTTTTCCCACGATACCTCAATGTAACTCTGCTCCTCCCACAGTCCCCACGGCAGATTGTGGGAAAACTCCGGGCTGGAACAGCATTCTGGTCGACCTTGGCATGGATTCAAGGACAAATTCACAATGCCAAGAAGGGAATGGATTCGCCAAGAAGCAGATTTGATGATATCGGGAGCTTGAATTGCTGGCGGAATGAAGAGGAGTGAAACAAGTGTAATATTCAATGTCGATCCCGAACCACTCGGGACACTCGAACTTGATACGTATGGTTAAGCAGAACACAATGATGGCAAAGTTTGGGACCTCTAGGACAAGAGGACGGGATCAGCACCGGTGGGTCGGACATACAGGACTCGGCTCGGGATCGGCCCTGGAATATTCATGGAAGTCCATTCGGGATCAACTATGCCATCGCTGTGCTCCATATATAGACTCGGCCCACGTATACTGTTGGTGCCGATGATCTTCCGCCGCATTACGATGCCCCTGAATATAATGAATGCATGGGTAAGTCTTCAAAGGTATTTTCGCGGGAGAAGAAGTGAATGTTGGTTGTTGGGAAGTAAAGACATGAGAACCCGAGGGAGCTGTAGGCAAGCCATGCTGGTAATCCGCAAAACTAGCAGGTATCACTCCCAATGCATCAATATTCAGTGAGCGAGTGCCACTAGTAAGCGCTGGATGCGTACCCTTTATTAAGGATCAGGGTCTTGCGAATCGAGAGGAGCATGTGCTCTGTATTAGTCCATGGCTCCATACTCCATAGCAGTCGAGATAATACGAAACTCCGCCTTGGCAAACAGCAGTTTTCAGTCTTTATACGCCAGAAAGAATACCAATGACGTGACAACAGTGGAGCCTTTCCTTTTCAAAGATATTCTGTAAAATAAGACAGCGTTGGAGTTGGAGACGTTGAGGGCAGGCGGGATAAGATTTTATCCCCGATAAGACTCCACGATCAACTCCATCGGTCATCTAGAGCCCGTGACAAGTATTGATTTGTTGGCTATATCACTATAATGGATTGTAAGCTGATAGTAGCTAGACGGAAGCCAGCAGCTTTTATCGAAAAGGTCCCAATTGCAGCATTTCAGCAGAAAACTGGACGCTGGTAGTTACGTATACCGTCGCTCCCAAGAGCATTGAACCCTCATATTCGGAGATAGTGTTCGGGCGTAAAGCACGGAGAGTGGAGGGCCGATGTAACGGGGCATTATCCTCCGTGAACTCCTGGCCTTGGTCAATGTTTGGGCGATGATGACGCAGAGGATGCTGTTTCCAAGGTTTTCTTCATTGCTCTTTCTAAAACAGGCTGTCTACCTGGGAGGCAGCTTCCCTACAGCCCTAAATAGGTAGTTGGGCAGGCCAAACCTTCGACTGAGGTGTATTTTGGTGAATAGAAATCCTCTTCGACTTGTAGGATGGGGTTTCAAAGAGATCCCTCGCCTGAAGGGGATAAAAAAGAGCATACCACTGGGGAATTGCGCCGAAACGTATCCATTTCTGCATCTGCTGAGGTAAAAACTTTGCAGGCTATAGCCACCTACTTTCAAGTTAAGCTGGTACTGACTTAGCAGGGGACGTGCCCCTGAGACGTCCGTTTATGGCGCTTCCATCAACAAGAGAGCAATTAAATCCGGCCAATATGACAACGACCTCCAAGGACAAGTCTGGACGGATTTAGAAGATCCTTATCCTAACTGTAAAGAGTTGATTCGTCTATATGGAGGGCGCGTGGACAACTTCTTGAAAAGCTCCTAGGCAGCATGAGCATCGAATTTGATAAAGAACAAGCCTTTCTTTACATAATTGTTTTCAATCGCAGTCCATTCAGTCCACTGCCTGTCATGATCTCAATGATGCTGTTCAAATCCCCACAAAGAATTTCGTTAACACTGCCACTGATTTGGTTCCACACGTAGAACTTGTCCCCGGCCTGGAACATCACTTCCCCAAATTTTGTCTTCTCATAGTACATTATTGGTATTGCTCTTGGGAGATCGCAAGCTTGGGCCATCTGCGGACCAGTGCTGTTGTCTGCAGCCTATTCATATTCATAGTCCAGTATTTCCGGGTCATTAGCCCACCCTGGAGACAATTTAAGCTATGCATTTATCTACCAGTAAGATAGATTGGGGCGAGGCGGAGAGCCTTTACCAAGGGCTGCATGATTTGTATGTTTCAGCAGAGTCGATGTATTGCAGGAGAATGCCAAGTCAGACAAAGACGCTCAAGAGGGGCACTGTAGGCCACTTTTCGAAGTTTTGAGTGAGTTGGGTAGTTGTGAGTCAGTGGAAAGACTGTTGAGACGGGATGTTCATTATGTCAGGTACTATCGAGTCACCAAAAGGAGGGTGTTGGTAGGAGTAAGTAGGAGAGTGCTGAAATGAGGGGTGGGTCGACAAAAGTTCTGCATGCTTTTTTCTCTGATAGGCCTATCCTCGCAAGATTTTTTTAGGTACTTGTATATATAGATTTATAGAGTAATTCTAGCTGGGTGCTTTGAATTAAAATTGTTGGATTTCATGCACGGCTTGCCGTCGGGCAAGCAAAGTTCCCAACGGACGAACAGTTGCTATTGTTAGGCCCGGATGCTGACTTTTACGATTGGTACCGGCATTCTTGTGGAAAATATAGAAAACACAGTAACTTGTATGTTCGTCTTCGCGTGGAAATTATGATACCAGGATTAGCGAAGCTTTTGAGATCCAAGACAATAGTTGGGTGAAGCTGACGAAAACGCGTCATAGATCTGTTTCTTCAGAGTTTCAGATACTGTCCCTTGAAATCCACATTGAGAAAAGTTTCATTGAAGTTCCTTTTGAATGGATCATTAGTGATTCGCCAGGATTAGAAGAAACAGACAGGATCTCTCGAAGCCATGTATCACTTATCCAGGAAAACATTGCTTCTCTTTGCCTATTTTTTGCCCAATTCACAGCAGAATGGAGTGACAGTGGTGAGAGATGTAGCTGATTCATCAACAGTATCATATTTAAGAATTGGAAATCAATCTGGATAGACTTCTCTGTATGTTGTTGAAGATGGAAGTTCCCAGGTGCCCTATCATGCCTGAGACCAGATCACATGACCTCTACAAACATAGCAAACACTGGGCCGGTCCGCGAGAAAATCCGGACACGCGCCTGAGGCCAGCCTTCCGACTAGAGCGAGAAGCTGCGCGGAACTTTTGGCTGGGATGCCCAGCACGCATCGCAAGACCAGCTCGCCATCACCACGGAGCCCTTTTCTCCTCCCAGGGCCGCAACCAAGGCATTGACGCTCAGCTGTTACGCGTACTTGTCGCAGTACACCCTCTGGACCCGCGCAATACACATCGCGCAATTTTTACGAACCGTCGTCACGAGGAGGTCTGTGTTTTGCATCCCGCAGTCGCATCCTTTGCTATACAAGATCGAATCGCGACCCCAGATTTCCAAACCCGTCGCGGGGCAACTCGCTGGCCAGCTCTGCATACGCTTCATCGACCTCGAACTTATTTGGAGTGGCTTTTGCTCGCGCCGGAATACCCGATAGAATAAAAGAATTATTAAAAAGAGGAGCAACCAAAGGGTTTTTTTTACCTGTCACAGATCGCCAGGAGGAATTTCTCTCGATTCCGATTACGAACCCAGAACGCATTTTTTTTTTCTTGACGGAACTGAGGGCAACATTGAGAGAAAGACGATAGCATTTGCGTTAGGAATATCTGGTTACGGTCGATTGTCGACAACCGACTCAGTTCAAACTGACTGTCGTACTTCACGGGTGAAAGACTTGCACGAAGATAAGAATTCGCATCCAGCGTGTCGCTTCCAACAGTTTTTCATTTGCGGATATCACTGGGCCCAGTGCCAAAATGTCTACTCCCCGCACGTCCTTGCGAGGCAAGTATATGCCACCCATGAGGTCTACGCTTTATAGTGATACTGACTTGCTCCATAGAGGGCTTGCGACAGGCTCCTAAAGTCAACCAGCCCTTTATTCCAGATACTGCCCCTGTTCGACGCTCGTTTACCCACGGAAATGTATCTCCTCAATTGACACCTGTGTCGCCGGCAAACGCTCAATTCGGCGTTGATAACTGGGATTCAAGGGACCAGAGAGCCCCAATGTCCACACGCGAGGTAGCGACTCCGGGGAACCGACCAGGCCTGTTTATTGGCCTCCCTGACAGTAGAGGGAAAACTGCTAAACAACCCGACTTTTATGACCCTTACTTTCCCCTAAGGTTTCTTGAAGTGCCAAAGTGTAAGCCCATCACACTTTTTGTCTGATATGCGCGACTAATAAGGAGCGTTGTAGCCGATCATATCTATAAGCGAGCCCATTACGGATTGCAATCTGGAATTTCGGACGAGGTCGACTTTGCTTTATACCACCTGGTACAAATATCAAATCAACGATGGGATAAGTTCAAGTTCGAGGGTTTCCCGCTACTTGCTGAAACACTCATGGAAAAAGCAATGGAGATTACGCTTCTGTGTACCGGTGTGAAATGGGAACTGCAGTACGATTTTCGGCAACCAATTGACCGTGTCAATGTGTTGAACTCATTACATGGCACTCGCGATCTCTTAGAGAAGATCAGAAAGATCCCGGTTACTTTGCCACAAGACACTCTTGAGACATACGAGTTCAACCACCGGCTACGCAATGTCAAAGAAGCAACTCTTGTCCTCAGGAATATGGTTTTATTGAAGGAAAATGCATTCTACGTTGCGCGTTACGCCAAGGGTTTGCTGAGGGACTTCCTAGTCATTTTGATCAACATTCCAAACCAGCCTCGTTTGAATGAGATCAAGAATGATGCATTGGACATTGCAGAAGAAGTGACCAAATTCATGAAGACCGACCCAGAAGATCCTCTCTGGATTACTTTGATGGACTGCCTCGAATCTTCAGATCGTGCTCATGTCGTACGTGGTCTTTGGGCAATGACACATTTCTCCACCGAGATTGATGAGCCGGATGCAAACCAAGCGATTGAGCGCACGCCGAAACAGACTTTGCAGCAATTGTATTACCACACTTTGCTTGACCTAGACAAGGACATTTTGAGTGGTGCGCTCGACTTTTGGTATCAATACACACTCTCGCCGGGAAATATCGAGACTGTGATTGACACCTTTAACCTCCCCATTGTTTTCGTCCCACGAATGATTGCATTGTTAGCATATGAAGGGAGGCCCTCCAAGAAGGAAACAGTGCTGCAGGAGGAAAAAGTGGCACCGCCTCCATCTGAAATCCCTCGTGTACCCGCTGAGCTTCTCAAAGATTTGATGGATCTTTCGGAACCTGAGCGCAGCTCTCGCTGGTTGCGCTGTTGTTTCGTCGAGGACTCTGATTGTGAGATCACACAGATTGCGCTGTGGCAAGCTTACCAGAGCCGATTCGCAGACCCCAGGGTTCCTGGCGGTGGTGTTCTCCCTGCGGCAGAGTTCATCAAGAATGTCAGCACAACATTTACCAATGCACAGGCTCAGGTCATCAACGGACCTGGTGCAGCAACTAAATTCATCATCAAGGGAATTCGGCCGCTTGAATCTGCATATACCTTCCAGGGATTCCCCTATATCTACTGCAAGTGGGCAGACAACTCCAAACCATCCAAGACGTGCTCACGCGCCTTTGGTACTCCCTCAGACCTCCGCTCCCACGTTTTCTCGGAACACATGAACCTTGCGCCTACTGACACGCCGGGCCACTACAACCTGGAAAACGCGGAAACCCCCGTTCACACCTGTCTCTGGGACAACTGCACCAAGTTTCGATCATCTGGCCCGAGTGCCAATACCGCGATGGTTGCAGGACACGTTTCCTCGCATTTGCCCGAGGAGCGTGCCGCAGATGCAGAACCACCGAGCTCCAAACGCGCGGTACTACAGGAACGCATTGTTCGAAAATGGTTTTACATGGATACCCCGGTGAATGACAGAGGGGAACCCGTGGGAGTGGCCTACAAAGCGGCTTTAGTCCTGCGTAATCTTGCCCGGAACCTCCCTAACCGGATTGCACCAAAGTACGACGGACTTCCTTGGAAGAAGGCCGTATTCCTCAGTCACCGTCCGAAAATCATTGAGTCATGGGACCGGAATAGGTCGCTGCGCAAAGAACTCACCGAGTTAATTATGACTATAGAGAGGGAAGACGATTATTAGGATTTCGTTATTATAAAAACCCCCCTTTATTACTATTACCGAGTGACGAACACCTTCCGGCAGCGTTTCCTTCCTGTTCTTTTCTCTCTTCCCTACATCCTTCCCCCTTTTCCCTCTCGAATTTATATGTTGTACGAATAATACCCTGACTTCTGATATCTCTACCATATCCAACTCGTGTGTGGTTGTTTTCTTTCCTATAAAAGCTCTCGAAAAGATCTAATATTTCGAGGCTGTTGCGCATGGTGTGGGCGACTTCTGGCGAATATTCACAAAATGGTTTGAAGCGTATGAGAAAAAAGAAAAGAGAAATGCGAGGATGGTTGAAATAAATGGCGTCTGGGTCATGAGGTAGAAATGGATATTGGCTTTTTTTTTTACTATCTTACCTTACCTTATTTTATTTTTATTTTATCTTTTAATTTTTCTTCCTTTTTTTAATTCTTGACTTTCTATTTCGGTGGTTTTTTGGACACTTGTATCTGTCTCCGGTGGATGATGTCTATCTATCCTCCCAGATTACGGCGATGTCGTCTGTTTTCCCCCCCTCTTTCTTGATCTTTTGTCGACTGATGATGTATTATAGTGTAATCGAGAGGGAAACCAGGCTCCTGGTTACTATGTAGTAGTGGAGTGGGAGTATCTCGATTTCTATTATTTAAGGGAATCTAATATTAACATTTTGGATGAATGAAGAGTTTCATTTCCCATTAAAAGAAAGGCTTTTTTCTTCCCTTTAGTTTACATATTCAAGGTGGGTTGCCATATCCAAGCTGATAACGGGGCCTCAAGAGATAATCTGCATTCTCGTACAGGTCCTCGATGAAGCTCTCGTAATTCAACCAGGATGTCTCGGTGGCGTTGCCGATGCCCGTGTCGCTAAAGTCCATTGCATCCCATACATTAGGCCACGGGCCAAGCCCATTGGTAACCTCTGGCATAGTCATAACGGGGGTTGTTCCTTGGGGGTAAGGGATTTGGGCGGGTTGGGTATTAAGGTTCGGTGTGAAAGGTAATGAGGTTTGGAAACTTGGTTGGGGGAATGTAGTGGGTTGGTTGGTAGACGTTATATCTGAAAGGGAGACGGGGATTTGTGGTGCGTTGAAGGTTGGTGAGCCGAGTAATTGTCTTCGTCTTGCTTGTGCTTGGGTCATGAATTTCTCGATGGGCTTCCAGAGCATGCCTTGTTGCGAATCCGCGACTAGATGGCTAAGTCGGTCATATGCCTGCTGGATCGGGGGCCAGTATTTTTCCATCAGTAACGGATCTTGACAGACGGAGATTTCGGCAATGGCGACGGCAAGACCATGCCATGGAACGAAGATATGATTGACCCAGTCCCAGGGACGGGAGCGTGGATCGTTGCGTAGTGCTCTTGACTTCTCCAGGACATTTACGGCTAGTTGGAGGAGGCCGTCTCCCCGGACTTTTGGTGGAATAAATTTTGCATTTCGCTGCATTGGTCGGACGGAGGTGAGTTGTAGAGAGGCATTGATACATTCTGCAACTTGTCTTGTGAACCAATGGAATGGTACGCCGTCTGCTTGGTATTTCTCAAGCAAGCTTGACGCTGTCTGTTGAAAATCAACGACAACCTGTTGTCGCAACTCCATAGATTGCACAGCAGGCTGCCCGAAAGTGGAAAAGTTGAGCAGTCGCGAGGCAGATTGGGCCTTTGAGGTCATCAACGTGAATGTCATATCGGTGAAACCTTCGGATTCTTGAACCGGGCCTTCCATCTCAAACCAGATATCACTATCGTTGACATTCGCAGGAGGGTGGGATTCTAGCATGCTTGCCTGTATCATTGGCTCGGATGCACGGTCCATTGAGGCTTCTGTATCGAGGAAACCGATTGCATGCCATAATCGTCTACGCATTTCTCGCTCAAATGGTTTTACTGGAAACGCAGGATCGGGGAGGTGAAGTAACAAAGCTTGGGCGATCCGAACAGCCATGCTAAGCATGGTCCATACTCGTCGACTTTGATCTTGGGGTCGAGAAGCAATCTGTGGTTCTTCATGTTAGAGACGACCTTTTTCATAAAGATGGAAACTGATGTTGAATCATAATACCAAGGTGAGAACATAGGCCTGTAGAACAGTCAAGTCATTGGTCGTCATAAAATCTGCCTGTACTAATGCCGATTCTGCAGCTTTCTGAAACCTTGGAACCACTAATTCTTTGCTCGCTCCAAATAACAGTAGACACTTCTCCTCCTCAATAACGCATACTGACGTATAGTAAAGAGCGTAGGAAAGAGCTGTAGGTGCAGGATCTCCCCGTTCATAACTGAGATAGGGTTTTCCGTCCAGTAGAAAAGCGCTCAGGGAGGGACGATGTATGATTTTGAATACTGGATCTACTTTCTCCAGGTAGATATGAACTAGCTGATGCCTTGTTCGCAAATCGAGGGGAAGATTGGGGTCACTTCCATGGCCGCTTGACCCAAACACAAGTGATTGCCAAGGAGCTTCAGTAGGTATTTGGGGTTGATTTTCTGTATCACGGTTGACAGTCTGGCGCAGATCTTGCGTCTGTCGGCCATCAGGGATTATTCTTGTATTTATCGGTAGTTTGAATAAAGCTTACCTGTTGCAGAAGATCCGCCCAGAAGGTGCTACCCAAATACGCATCTATTTTGGGGGACTTGACACTTTCAGTAGAGCCAGGGGAGTTGCTTTCAGAAGACAAGCTTGTATGCGAATTTTCCTGGTTCCCAATGTTATTAGGAGCTGTTGGTGCCTTTTCAGGGGCGTTGGTACGAGCTAGATTCTGCAGCATCTGCTCGATTTTGGACACTCGATCTTCAAGGTCTGCGTCCAGATCCGATGAGCGCTCTGCAGTGCCTGTCGCCGGTCTCCCAGATCGACCTCGGGGCAGGCGCGCTCGCTCAACTGGGACGCAGATAGCCCCGAAACGCTGGCAGTTGGTGCATGGACTGAGCTTGTCACATTTTACTTTGCGTTGGCGGCACATTTCGCAACTCAGTCGCACGCTGGGTGTGGGGGCTTTGGACCCTTGCCCAAGATTGACTTGTTTGCGACGATCCGCCATTATTATAGCTGGATCAGACTGTACTGGCTTGGGAAATGGTGATGAAAAGAAATATATTCAAATATCCCTAGTTGATTAGCTTAAGCAGTGGGATGACGCAATGGGATAAGCCTACTGGGATAACTTGATGTTGATTCAATAAGGCTGGCCTTCAGGTATTCGAAGCCCCAGGCTCATTCCGACCTGAAGCATCCTAGCCGATCATGAATACATGGAACCTTCTTTTTGGTGGATGATGTCCAATCTGGCGAGTGAGTATCCTGTTTGATTTTCCAACGGACAGCCTTGTTTGTGATTGTCAAAGAAAGCAGCCCAGTCTGAACTCTGAGGATCGCCAGTGGGATCAAATCGCTTGGCCTGCTGACTCATCCGGTCTGTATAGGCAGCCAGAACGGCCTCATTTTGTAATCAATATCATGGTACTATTATTCATATTATTAGTATTTAAAGCATGATATTGAGCATAAATTCGAATAAGGTTTCCAATGATCTAATTCTATGCTGTCTGTTTAGCCTTTGGATAGCATAATAGTTAGTGTCTATAATGCACCCGACTCTTTGCGGAGCGGGATGCCTTGCATATCTCATGTATCATATAGGGGAATCTTGAATGATGCATTTTATTGGCTAAGAATTCTATGATTTCAAGCTTGAGTTTTTTCTACTTACTAGCTAAGTTTAGTGGTAGAGACTTACACCTTCAATATGTACATAATTTCCTATATTGCTTCTATGCAGCTTACATCTTTACCCCAAACTGGGCAGATGGGACGAGAAGTTGCCTCACTTTCATGATCATCATCTCGTTTAGCCATTTGATACCATAGGATATCTGAGGAAAAGTCTGGAAAATTCACAATTCGAACTGGATAGAGAGCAACAACAAGAGGTCATTATAAGACTTGGTATGACTCAAATACACCCAGCTGTGTCCAATGTTCCCTAAAAGCACAACCAAAAGAAACAACTCAAACATGTCGACAGAAGCCCTGTCAAAAGCAAAGCTAGCTCATCTACGGATACGATGAAAGCACCTTGTTCAAAATCTTATCCGAAGGAGAATGAAACCGAACGAAAATCACTACATCACAATCCACCAAATCTCTCGACACCACAACGGCCCTTTTCCCCTGAAGGTTCTGTTCTAAACTTCCCAAACAAGCCGCCTCATGCCAGAATACCAATTTATCCTGGCCTGCCACGAGCATACCTTGACTAACGGCTGTATCGAAGTTTCCCATTCGCAGAAACCAGCCTTCTGCGCTTTCAATCTCATATGTATATGTTCCGGATTCCGATGATTCTACCGGGTATCTCTCAATGATTCCGATGCGGTTTGTGGGTGGTTGCTGGGGGAGCATCCGTCTCCAACTTGCTTCGGCTGGAAGGTATGTGGCTTCCTTGTGAAGGTCCACGAAGGGTAGGTTGAGTTTTTGATATACATACGCCCTTTGTCCCGTACGTAGTTGTTTGCGGAAGAAGTAAGGCCAGAGGTTTTCTGCGATGAGGGAGTTTCGAATGCGTTTGGGAGCCTTCTTGAAATTTGCGCTTGGTTGGTTTGAAGAAAAGGGCTGCTTGGAGGTTGTGGGATTCTGTGATGAGATTATGCCAGTGATGGCAGACTCGCTGGGCAGAGGTCAGCAATGTGCACATGTCAGTGTGGAGGAGAATGTTTTCCAGGATCTCAGGGATCAGGAACGCTTTGTGGAGGGTTCCTTGTGCCATTTCGCCTCTCCAGATCTTTGGGTTGAAAGAGAGAATTGTCTGGCCCAAGCGCAGAAAATTATCTTGTTGGGTATGGGGGGTTTTGTATTACTTTGCTGGACTTCCATGGAAGCCTTCTCTTTATCAGCTGCAGGCTTCTTTGCGCAATTGATTTAGGCAGACGACCTGGATATGGCATTACGATAGCCACCATCACCGTCCTGGTAGCTAGTATGCAAAATACGCTCATCTTCGATCCATGTATACTGGGTAAGGCCATTGAAAAGCTCTTTATGAATAGAAAATGCATCCATTGTGTACATGACTGACTGTTTTGATTCATGAAACCGCCCATTTTACAGCCCTAAATTCCATAAGTCATGAAATATAAACGAAAATAAAAGATATGGGGAAAAAAAAAAAAAAAAAAAAAAAAAAAAAAAAAAAACCAAAAATTCATCAATCATCGCACATGGTAACTGGGCTTCCGATGCTTGTTCACCACTGGTGGAGGCTCATCCCAAACATGGATGGGGAACCCCTCCGAGGAAAACAGAACCCAGATAACCCCCGGTAGTAGCCACTAAAAATGGAGGGGAAAAAAAAAAAAAAAAAAAAAAAAGGGGTGTAATCAAAGAAATAAGAATAGAATGAAAGAAATCACATTGGAAAAACCTGGCGCTCATGTCTAGAACCAACACCAAGAATTATGTGCAGTGCAACTTGAAAATGGCAAAAGAATGAGAAGGAGGGAAAAATTTACTCCCAAACATTGGAAAACAAGTCATCGGATCCGCCAAACCCGCCTGCCGGTTTAGATGGACCGCTATTAGTTGTCGAGATGGGTGCTGCGCTGGCCCAGCCTCCGAAATCTTCATCCGTGGCAACAGCAGGTGCTGGCTTCGAAGAGATACCAGGGGATGTCGGGGCACCCCAGCCAGCACCGACATCGCTAGCTGTCAAGGTGTCGGGGACCTTCATCATAGACGAAGCTAATGAGGCCGTTGAAGTAGGTGCAGCGGGTGCAGGAGATGCAGCAGGAGCCGGGTCAGGCGTGCTCCATGCATTGCCGCCTCCTCCCCAGGGGTCCAGGCTTGCCGAGAACATGCTGCTTGTAGCGGCTGGTGCTGCTGGCACCGCAGGCTTAGGTGCTGGCGGAGGGTTAAGGTTGAATGCCGACCTCAAATCCTGCGGAGAAGTGGAAGTTGCTGCGGGCGCCGGCGAGGCAGCTTTAGGTGCCGGGGCCGGAGTAGAAAAGTCACCAAACAGGTCATTAGACAAGGATGACGCCGGCGGCGGGTTAGGCTTGCTTGGTGGAGGAGATGTAAAGCCCGAGAATCCCATATCTGCCCCGGAGGAGATTGATGTGGTTCGCGATTGGGGCTTGGGAGGAGGCATTGTTGGCGATGTGAGGCTGTCAAACAAACTGCCACCGCCGGCAGAGGCGGCAGGGGATGAAACCTTAGGGGCCGCGGGAGGTGACTTTGTGCTGGCGAAGCTCGTCAGGTTCGCAAACGGGGACGGCTTTTCAACTGGCTTCGGGGGCGGCGGGGAAGTCGTCGATGGGAAACTCAACCCGCTGAATGCATCGGTCAAACCACCCATATTCGACGAGGATGCTGACTGCGGCGCCGGAGAGGCCAATTCTCCAAATGAGGGCTGGCGCTCATGCTTCACGGGAGCCGGTGGAGGCTTTGCGTAGAGAGACAAGATAGACTGCTTCAGATCCGGTCGAGACAATCTTGATGAACCACCAGGTGTGGATGCAACGCTGGCTGGGCGACTGGTGTTCGGAGACTGGGTCTCGCCAAAGAAATCAAGTCCGAGCAACGAATCTGTCGGCTTGTGCTGCTTCGGAGCAGGTTGTGATTGAGGCTGGGGCGGCCTGGGAACAGCAGCACGAGGGGCGGGATCCGTCGTACTAGGACGGACTGGCGGGGAAATAATCTCATCGTCGTCGAAGAGGTTAATCGGTTGTTGCCGTGGAGCTGGCGCGGGCTGGCTGGGGGGTGCCCGCTGCGACGCAGAACGCTCGAGCTTCGCTTTCTCCTGCACAACCGCCAAGGGCTGGTCGAGTCAGTTTCTTGTCATATCCCCTCAATGAACCGGATCGCCTACCACATCGTCATCGCCGTCGTCAAGGGTCGAAGGGTCGGGCATGGACCCATCCATGATCCAACGCTTAGATTCGTACTTGGTTCGAATGAAGTTTTCGATCTTCCTGTTCACAAACTCCATTAGCCATATTGAACATCGAATGCCATTCAACAATCCCACTTACGCTTCGGAAGGGACATGGCCGGGCGCAAGCTTGGCTTCCCAATACCTGCGACAATCAGTATACCATCCAACCGGAATATTCCACCAATGGAAAAACACACTTGTTGGCCCTTCCATTGCCCCATTTTATCACACTCTGAAGTTGTTCGTCGGTCCACGAGTCGAGGTCCACTGATTTGACTCTACTGATATGCGTGCCCATACCCCTGTGAATGCCCGAGCAACGGATACAAATAAAGATGCCTAGGTTCCATGATGCCCATCGCGGATCTAGTAGCAAGCAATTATCAGCTCATAATGTCATAGAGATAAAAAAAAAAAAAAATCAACCCGCACAAAGCCAGCCGAAAGTTGGGGGGGATGGGAACACGGAGCATATCAGGCAGCGGAGGAAGAAACACTAACGTTTGTTGCGCTTGCAATCAGCACAGGTCTTGTTTTGGTCGAGTTTCAGCAGGGTCTTGATAGTCTGCTGGTTTTGAGCAGCCTGGCTCGGAGGGACCCGTCGAGACATGGCAGCACGAATGTCAACTCGAGTGCCAGAGGGGGAATTCGGGAGAGAAAGTAGTCAGATAGATGGAGGGATTATGGTGGAGGGACGTGACAATCTCCAGGTGGCGGATGCGGTGTCTTGGCGGCCTGAGGCATGCTGGATGCCCGATGCGGAGGGCGAGTCGTGCCGGAAGTGCATTTTGTTGATTGAATTGTAGACGAGACAAGATTTATTATGATCTGATATTGGGGGGTAATCCGGTGGTTGATCGTTATTATCGAGTTTCATTGAAATTACTACCGTCGTGATTGATTTTAAGGCGATTATACTCCTATGCATGCTATCTCCACAGACCCTGAGACCCTGACCAAAACATCGCCATACTCCGATTGTCCGATTATCAGCTTCATCAACCATCATTCATCATACTCTACAAATTCTAAATACCCTCTACTCAAACCTAAGCCTTCGCCTTCGCTGCACCAGCAGCACCCTCATCCTCCGTAAACTTCAAACTCACGCTATTCACACAATGCCTCTCATCCGTCGGCGTCGGATACCCCTCTCCCTTAAACACATGTCCCAAATGACCCCCACAGTTACTACACGTAATCTCCGTCCGCTCCATCCCAAACGAGCTATCCGTATGTCTCGTCACAGCACCAGGCACGGAGTCGAAATACGCAGGCCAGCCGCAGCCAGACTTGAATTTGTGGGATGCTTTGTAGAGGGGCGCGTTGCAGCCGGCGCAGGTGTAAACGCCCTGCGAGGGGTAGTGGGCGTCGTATTCGCCGGTGCCGGCTCGTTCAGTGCCTTTCTGGCGGAGGATGCGGAATTGATCTAGTTTTGGTTAGTCATGTAGAGCTTCGTAGAAAGAAGGTGAGGAGACAAACCAGGACTCAAAACAGCCCTCCATTCATCCTCACTCCGCTGGTCGGGATACGACATGTTGTTTGCGTTTTCGGCGTTGGCGCTGGAACTGAAGAATGAGCCCATAAATGGGATAGCTGGGGCAGCTTTGAGAAGGGTTGCGCCAGAGATTGGGAGAGGTATTCTGTTAAAATAACGAGAATATCTGGAAGAGGTTTTGATGGCGGTTGAAGTTCGGGATCGGAGGGGTGTCGAGAAGATTCGAAGAGCTGTGGTTAGGCGCTGGAAACGCATCTGGCTGGAGTTGGAGAAAACTAGACTAGCTGAACAATAGAAATTAATGCTAAATGATAGGATCAGAGAGGAAGATATCAGGCTAAATGAAATGGCGAATTGACAAATTAGTTTGAGACTTCGTCGCAAAACCATCGCGGGATTGCGGATTTGCCTCTGCTTTTACGTCATCATGCGGGGAGATTTAGTTATTCAAGTCGATGATTTTATAGAGCCAGAATATCGACAATATATTCAAGGAATAATAAGGACAATAGTAAATTCATAATATCCACAGTTCACAACACCTCTCCAAAACACCAGAATATCAAAATAAATGAAATAGCTCGCATACTAGATCACTGCAAGGGTATCTCAAAACAGATCAAGCCATAAATAAATGACGCAAAAAAAGAGCTCACTGACGCCGGGCAATGCCAACAACCGTCAAAACTCCCATACCAACTTCTACTCTCCATCCCTCACGAGCCAGCATCTTGCCCACAGCTGGCCCCAATCGCGAGGTACCATCGTGACTATGTCGCCCAACTCCTGTCACGATTCTGTATCCGTCTCGGGCTAGATTTCCACCCCCGCGTATGTATTTAGCATCGCCCATAGATTCCCACCATTCTGCGACTCGGTCGCTGGCAATGCGGACTCCATCTTGGACCGAGACTCCGTGAAGGTCCAACATGGTCGAGGTAGATTGCGAGTCTACCAGGGCATCCGCAGCCATCGAAGCCTCCCGTTTGGCTCGTTCGAGATGGTCTCTTCCAACTGCAGAATAATAGGCAGCCGCACCGCCCATTAGGCGATCCGACTTACCTCGTCGGTATGCCATAGACGCCTTGGAGAATGCATCCGCCCCTGCTGAGAAGTTGGCGCCGGCGGAGCTCGAAGCTATTTCGTAGTCTCTGATAACGCGTGATTGCTTCCCTCGCTTCTTAGGTGTTTCATTTCCTGTTTCGAGTGCGAGAGGTGTGGCCTTGATCTGAATAACCTCGGACAACGGTACAGGGGCTGGACGAGCAACCATCTCGGTAGCGAGCTCGTTGGCGGCTGAGATCGAATTCCTGGTTATATTCAAAAGACCGGCGAGTACAGTGGGGGTGATCGTAGAGAATTCCTGTGATAATTCCGCCACTTGAGTAACCATAACCGGATCATCATTGATATGTTCCTCCTCCGTCGCGTTTGCTGTAGCGAGAGATCGAATAGTTGCAGACAGCGAGGCTCCATTGGCGTGGTAGGTAGAGGTAACGGTCTCTTTCTTCAAGACAGGAGAAGTGCGCGAATAGATAAAGTCGACATCCTTCTGGCCAATATCCCATTTGTTGACGACGTGATTCGCATCCGATTCCACAGGATACGACAGCTCCTGGGCTTTGTTCTTGTTTTTCTTATTGTTCTTCTTCTTCCCCTTCTTCCGCCCGACCTCGCCCTCCCCAAAGCCATCGATGCCCTTGGGGACAAAGAGCTTCGCTCCATCCTCGTCGGTCGGCTGCTCATCGAAAAACGCGACGTTCAGCAACACATCCATTGCACGGTCGATATCCCCCTCGGACTTTTTCAGGCTGTGCTTGATTGTAAAGCGATCGACCGACGGAAACATCTCCGCCAAGTACCCGATTTTATCATCCTCACCTGCTCCCGCCAGCGTAACAGCTCCGTCAGCCCCGATGGTGTACCTTATTTCCTCCGATCGATATGAGAGCCCTCTATCCTTGTCGCTCACAGAGACAGACTCCAACTCCGACGCAAGGCTAGTGATGTCCGTCTCCCGCGACCGCACAGTTTCATGTTGCGAAGTACTGCGCTCCGACAAAATCCCATCCCCAACATCCTGTCCATTCCCGTTGCCTAATCCGCTCGTTCCTGAGGGGTCGAAGGGGAGATCTTCCTGCTCCCATGCTGAGATTTTGAGAGTGTCTAGAGTTTCGCGAAGCTGTTGCACCTGGCTCGAGTCCGAGAGATCGAAGTCGCACACAATCGCGGTAAAAAGTGCTGGATCAAGAGGTGGACAATACTCTTTTTCCAATTCCTAAATAAATAAAAAACACAAATAAATATCAGTCATCTAAAACGCCTTAAATAGTCACAAAGCCATAGAGTCCAAACTAACCCCCAAAAGGTCACCACTATCACCCCCGGCCATCTTCTAAATCGGATGCCTTAACTTAGATCGGAAAAGTATTCGAGCGCGGCGCATTCCTCGGCAAGGTTATCTAGAGATAAAAAAGAAAAATAGCATAAGCAGGCCTCTGTAAGCCAGTAAGCCTGCCCGTGTGTTGCTGCTTGGTTTTCGGGAATTTTAGAGAACTTGGAGAATATCCGTGGGTTCCAGGTTTCTTTAGGCGGCGGGGGAGAGACAAAGAGATGCCACTAAAGCAGGGAGACCAATCAGATATGACATAATGAAGTTCTACACATCCAACATGTTCCATGTTTATTTTGATGTAGAGACAAAGTTATATTCCTAAAGGGCTATTTGTACATTTCTATATTCCCTTTTATTCGCTTCTAGCCAAGATCGTTGACTCACTCGCAGATTCATTGAGTCATCGATATTTTCCATGTTCTAGGCTGAAGTGGAACAACCATCTTTGGGCGTTTGGTGAGACCTACATGGTTTACAGCCATTAAATGTTTGGACTTGGTATGAATACATCCACTCATTCATATTTAGTATATACTATAAACGAGAGACGGGTACAAAATTATACAACTGCAAACATAGTAGACGATATCCGCTCTCCAACTCTTTTCAAACCCTTTTTGTTCTTCCTTCAGTATATTGTTATGGGTATTTCAAAATTCACAGGTTGCTGATGCTGCCAGCAGAGGGGAAGCCAGAAGGAGTGGGGGTAGGGCCTTGGCCACCCTGGCTACCGCCGAATCCGGGGAAAGACCCCGAAGGGGCAGCACCTGAGGGGGCAGCACCAGATGGGCCAGCGCCGAAAGGAGAGCCAGAGCTAGAGCCAGAGCCGAAGCCAGAGCCACCCTGTCCGAAGCCACCGAAGCCAGAGGGAGCAGCACCCGATGGGGCAGAGCCGAAAGGAGAGCCAGAGCTAGAGCCAGAGCCAGAACCGAAGCCAGAGCCACCCTGTCCAAAACCAGGGAGGGTAGAAGGCACCGAGGAAGGAGCTGCACCAGAGCCCTTTGAGCCACTGCCAGAGTCTCCGCCGTGCTTGTGTCCGAATCCGAAGATGCCTTCGAGCCAGTCACCGAATCCACGCTTCTGCTGAGCGTCAGAGAAGCCCGAGGGAGCTCCAGTAGGGGCAGGGCCAGCGGGGAAACCGCCGGAGGGAGCGGGGCCAGAAGGAGCGGGACCAGAGGGGAAAGCTCCAGAGGGAGCAGCGCCGAAAGGAGGCTCCCAGCCGTGTCCGTGGTGGCTGCCGAAGCCACCGAAGGGGCCACCGGGGAAGCCAGAGGGGAATCCAGAGGGAACGCCAGAGGGAACGCCGGAGGGGACAGTGCCAGATGGAGCAGCGCCGAAAGGAGGCTCCCAGCCGTGTCCATGGTCACCGTGCTTGCCGCCGAAGCCACCCTCTCCGTGGTGACGGTGGTGGCCTTCACCACCAAAGCCCGGGGGAGCGCCGGTGGGCTTAGGGCCAGAGGGGAAACCGGCAGAGGGGTTGCCAGAGGGGCTCGGTGGGAAGCCGAAACCAGGAAGTCCGGATGGGGCACCAGGGAACCCAGACTCCTCAGATGGGAAGCCGACAGGAAGCCCAGAGGGGGTGCCAGATGGGACAGTTCCTGAGCCAGCAGGAGAGCCCTGGGGTCCCTCGGCGTTATGGACGGGGGCGGCGAGGGCAGCGCCGCAGAAGCTGAGGATGAGAGCAGCGGTTTGGGGCTTCATTTTGAAGATTGCGTGGGTATGATCGTGTGGTTAAAAGATAGAAATAGGATAATGAAAGTATGAGAGACAGCCAGGTCCCTGTGATGAGAAAGAGTGAGAATGGAAGAAGTGAATGTGAATAGAATGGATGTACTCTAGTCGCCTGGACAAGGTTGAAGAACGAAAGACAACGGTGGGAACAACTGGGTTTATATATGGATAGGAAGAGCCGTCTGACAATGGAAATGAATGCCCCGGAACATTGGCCAACAGCTCGATGAGACGTCACCCCTACTGCCGATGGGCTGCGCCTCAATTGTTCGAGGGTAACAAGCACATCGAGAGTCGAGGATTTAGTCCGTCGTCTCTCCTTTCGCTCTCCGTTTCAGCCCTAGCGGGCTCAGGAGGGAGGACTCGTCATTCACGGGAAGTATCGTGAGTAATGCTAGTCTAATTCCACAATTCCAGACGCAGTCCGTGGTAATCCGCCAACATTAGAGTGTGGCGCAAGTTTGATTGCACCATCTTGTGATGCATGCTGTATAGAGTAAATGATAAACATTCATCGCCTTGCGTGGCTCTATATTGGGGTCTGACAAATGAAACCCCCATCCAATGTCATTATTCCGTTGGTATTTGCGTCAATTCAATCTCCTTGAAAGCCATAATTTCTCGACAGACTCACCTCAGCAGCGGCCGAGGAGAGGTGTGATCGAATGTGGAGAGGGCATGAGACGGACGATCAGTTTCTGATTAAATGGGCATCGCAGGAATCGACTGAAAAAGGTTATGATAATCGGTGGATTGAAACAGCAGGTCATCAAACTAAATCTTTCGTCTCTCGGCTCCAAGAAGGAGGTGGACTGGCTAACTTCATTCTCAACCCCTGACCTTTGTTAGATTTCGATCCAGCACAACTTTAAGCCGATAGCTGTCAGACTACTGCTTACCTTGTGTCCATGGATCCAATGTGGATAAAGGAAGAATCCCTTAGCTCCATAACAATGTCGATCACTGGAGACTCGCTTGTTTGGGGGTGGTTTCAAGTAGAGACGTTGGCGGGATGATCGACAGGACGTCTTGCTGCGTTCTCGGAGGAATTGCCTCGGTTCTTCCGACGCTCCGGTGACTGTCACCAACGAAAAAGACACCATCTGGAGCAAATCGTCTTACCTTACAGTGATATTGACAATTATTCTTCAATTTTGGCGGATATGGTGTGATGGTGCGATGGCTGTCCAGTTCGCATTTGACAAGTAGTTTTTATTATCTCAGCAGCCACGCGTCCAAACTAGAATCTGACATGGAGTGTTGGAGACAGAGTAATACCAGCCCGTCTTATTGCTATGAGTGAGACTTCACTTTCTCCCATAATAACAACGGCGCCCAATGCTCTTAAGTGGAATCCTTGTCTTTCTCGGCTTTTATTCTAACATCTCTGACAGTTCTTCATAAGGATTATGGACCCATTGCACTCCATAGCCAATTCAAGCCTTGACTAAGTCCTAGACTGTGGGCTCAGCAGTCCACTTGACTCAGATCTCTACGATGGATATCGACTTGTTGATTCTTTAGATCTACATAGTCCGACGTAATAAATCCATCACCTGAGCTGAAGCGGGAAGATGTTGATCTCTGAATAATATACTGATTGCTGATTCAGTTCGGCAGTCTGTCTCTTGCCACCACTCAGACAAGTGCCATTCATCACAGTCCTAGAAGTCGGAAAATTCTCTATAGCGCATGTTCCTAGTCCCGGGTTACGGTCATCTGCGCTTGCTCTGTCGGATTCGCCATGTTCATCGCCGCTGTCATGCTAGGCTAGAGGCGAGTGAACATCTAGCAGCCAACTACAGCAACGCGATGAGTGCTGCTTCCTAGTCCCAAGCATGAGAAATACCGTAGGCTAAAGCCATTCGGTGGGGAGAGGTTTCGAGTATAGATGGTGGAGAATACGCGCATTCCAGCCTTGCAGCTTTAGCTCGGGGAATGCTGGGGAGTTGAGTTCTGTACGACTCTGTCGACAGCCTTGTCTCTCAATAAGCATTTTATAATAAGCATAAAACTGACAGAATCAAGGTTGAGCATAGGCAGCTCCAAAAGATGACACTATACCTGTCTGCGATTAATTAATGCACCATCGGGATAATACTATATCTCAAACACCGGAGAAAATTAAGAAAAAGACAAACGAAGAAAAAAGCCATCTTATCAATCAAGCGAGCTCGCTTAGACCTGTCACTTGGAGCTTTTTATGATTTAGCTATTTCCTCGGTGGAGTTGTTTCAGAAGTATTGAACGACCAAGTTTGCGGCTTTTCCATAGACGAGATCGAATAGAAGTCGAGAATATATCTGACACCATTAAAGCTTGAATGATGGATCATATTGAGCATTGCTGATGGTTATATAGATCTAATTGACATAATTCTATGCTTAGAAAAGTGAAGTTATCCAAATCAGCTTACATATTTTTTCTTCCACCACGACTCTCACTTTTGAGGCAACTTGATAGAGCAATGATGTAAAACCAAATGAAAGAGACAATATAAACACTTAACTTAATATATACTCTATATGATCTTTTATACAGTGTAGTAGTAGTTCAATGGTGGTTATTCATAGTATAGAAAGGGCTTCTCATATCTCAATAAAGATCGATTGGATTGCCATGCTACTTATACAGGTTATCTTCACGAGGCAAATATAGTATGTCTTCTGAATCTTCATACTCTTCCCCTTTACTGATATATATCTTTCGCATAGGAATAGTTGAATGGATACCAAAAAGAAATCATGGACGCTGAAGAAACAAAGAACGTCTTCATCAACCATACTGTTGCTATGGTAGAAAAGAAGGGAGTCCTCCCACAACAGCCAGCAAGACAAAAATATGATTCACTCCCCCCTCTGCCTCAATCTCTTCCCAACCTGACTCCCTCAACGTCTGAGAGCCAAAACAGAATCCCACGAAATCATGGCAGAGAAGTCCTCCTTTAACGAGGAGGCTCTTCGCCATCTCCGACTCATCAATGTCGACGAGGATGAAGGAACGAGAAAGCACCTCCAGGAAGAACTGACGACCGCCCCTCTGTTCTCTGCGTTGGTGCGAGAGGTCATCGAGAACGAATACCAAGGAGATCACATCGTCAACGGAAAAGGTAGAAAACTCGTCTATCCCCAGTATGGTCTCCTGGGCCTCCGCATGGGGAGTACTACCTCGCCTGACACGCCTGCGGTTGACGAGGATGATCTCGTTTACGCGAATGTTTCTGCACCCTGGTCTGCGTTTATCTGTGGCAGCCAGGGTAGTGGGATGAGTCACACGCTATCATGTATGTTGGAGAATTCGTTGATTGAGTCCTCTCCTGCTGGGAAGCTGTCTTCGCCATTGGCGGGGATGGTGCTTCACTATGACAAGTTCACGGCCTTTTCGAGCACTCAGCTCTGCGAGGCTGCGTATCTCTGTTCGTCGAATATCCCTGTTCGTGTTTTGGTGAGCCCGTCGAACTACCATGCCATGAAGAACGCCTATGAGAATCTCCCCGGCTTGGGTAAATCGAATTTGCTACGTGTGGTACCTATGTATCTTCCTCAGAAACATCTAAACATCAGCATGATGAAGACCTTGATGGGGATCAACGCTGGGGACGATCAGCCTTTATATGTTGAGGTACAATCCTGTAGGAACAGTTTCATATCGCGTTGAAGCGAATAGGTATGTAGGTCGTGATAAAGATCCTGCGCGAAATGGCTCGAACATCCCAAGGACAGTCTCACCTGGACTACAACGCCTTCAAACGACGACTCGAGAAGGAAGACTTTCTCACACGCCAGAACGCTCCACTCAATATGCGCTTGGAAGTTCTCGAATCTTTCTTCGAACCGGGAACTGTGGTGGGCAGTGGTGGGAAACAGAAAAATCCGGCAAAGGCTTTGTCTGATGATCTGTGGGATTTCCCCAAAGGGTCGCTGACCATTGTTGATCTGAGCTGTCCTTTCATCGGCCCCGACGATACTTGTACTCTTTTTAATATTTGCGTATCCTTATTCTTGAAGGGCCGTGCCGATGCTGGACAAATAATTGCGTTGGATGAAGCGCATAACGTAGAATCACCCTATTTCACCTGCTGTGGTGCAGTCTAACATTCTAATTCCTTAGTTTCTCAACAAAACCTCGTCTGATGCCGGTGAACTGACCGAGACACTTTTGTCTATCGTTCGCCAACAGCGTCACTTGGGAGCACGCGTGATGATCGCCACCCAAGAGCCGACAATATAACCTGCCCTGCTTGACCTCTGCAACGTCACGATCGTGCATCGCTTTACCTCTCCAGCTTGGTACATATCTATTGAACAGCACATTGCCGGCGCAGCAACCGCCCGTGCCAACAAGGAAGGAGAGACATCTTTAGATCTGTTCGGGAAGATTGTACGTCTGGGTACTGGTGAAGCGTTGGTGTTCTGCCCAACAGCCATGCTCGATGTTACCTCGGGTTTGGACCACATAGAGGAATCTTCTGAGAGCAACCGGGGCAGCTCCGTCGCCTCTACCGAGCATCAAACTGTCACCAAGCTTGGCTCTGAGCATATCCGGCTCAGAGTCCGTAAGAGAATCACTGCAGACGGTGGGCGCAGTCAGCTTGCGGAGTAGCAAAATGTTTGAATCTTTCAGGGGACGTCATTTGATCGTCTCGTTTCTGGTCGGTGATCTTGGACTGATATTCTGGGTAAATCCGAGCCGGTATCTTGTTTAACTTCGGCTTGGATGAGTAATTTTTGATGTCTCTTTCTGGGTCTTTGGAATGAAGGAGAAGCATCTCAAATGCGAATTTTGACTATCATGTCTTCTACATTGAATAAATAAGACGTAAAAGAAAAGTTGAACCGGTCGACCTACGGTATGGTATGGGCACTTGTTGAATTAAGAATTGATCTGCGCATATGACAGGGGTGATCATGCCTTACTTTAATTGAAAATCCTTTTGCAGACGCATCACCTTGAATATCAAAATTGTGATAAGAATTGTTTGCGCCACTCTATATCGTTCCCAAATTCCCCATAAGAAGTCCAGCTTGATCGGAAGCCCGTACATACACATAATCATGGCCTGTCGCCTTGGTGGTCGCTTTGAATGCAACCATGCAAGCTCTGGACAGGGTAGAACAAAATTATGCTGACAAAGGTCGTCTATTATTCCAGTCCAAGCCTCAGCCTCCACCATTGCTCGTTTGTTACAGATTCCCTGAGAAAAGCATCATCAACATTCTCGAAACGGGCGACAAATATCTCCCGCTGCTGTAGTGATAGGCGAATTTGCTGAACACAGGTTAAATGTCCAATGAGGAACTAAACATCCTCACTATCTTTGTTTCTCTGGTTCGCATCTCGCATCCCATAGCAGTGGATTATGAAAGCCACCAGCTCCAGGGCGGAGATGTAGGGCATTCTAGTCGTCGTCTTTGTTTCTGCCACGGTCATTGCGTCTGCGGGGAGCTACGGCGCCTGTCCTGTTCGTTAGTCACAGATACAAGGTTGTATTGCTGGATGGCAGCGCCGCCGATGATGAGTATTCGGATGTTTTGGAACTTTTCGATGCCTTGCAGTCGCTCAATAATCTTTTTGGCTGCGGCCTTTAGTTCCACAGGGTTAGCCATGATGATGATGAGGATGAGAGAGCCGAGAATTGTAACGACACCTTGGGCGTATATATACCTTTCCATCTCTCCTGTCGGCGCATCATCCTTATTGTCATAAATACGTTGGTCGTATCAGACTGGATGGTCAGTCTCGAAATGAAAGAACTTGTTATGCAAGGGAGCTTCAAACCACAGCTCAATTTCTAAATCAAGAACAACTACACAAAGAACGAAGAACGACATGTATACCTGAGACAAACCACGAAACAAGCAGAAAGAAAAGAAAGAAAAGGAAAGGAAAAAAAACCCCTACACATCGCACTCAAAGTAACGGGCATTCTCGTTATAGTCCGGCGCTGGAGGAAGTTCACTCACCATTCGCCACCATCTCCCGATGAAGCACCCTCAACGGCTCCCAGATATTCCTATTCCCATTCTGAACCCGCCGATTATAACTCTCCCAGAAGGGGCGAAACCGCGGTCGCAGCGTCTTGGGCACTTCTGCTCCTGCATGAGACCTGTCTAGTGTATCCATCAACCGGGTCAATAGAAATCTCCAACCCAGATCCAGCCCATTCGGCTTGTCTAAGTCCCGGAGAAGCAGCAGAATGACCGCCTCAGTCAGGATATCTGGGTTCATGATCTTGATGGGGTACAGCTCTGTCCAGGGGCCCGAGGGCCCACGATAGATCCGCGATGGGAGTCGACGGTCAGTGGATAGCATGAAGTGCGGATCATCCGCGGGGGCCAGGCCCTGCGGAAACTCAGGCAGCCACCAGAGGGTGGTGGATTTCTTGAATAGCGATAACAAGCCGAAGAAGTCGTCCATGCCGTCCGTGTGGAAGTGGACGTCTGGGACGGCGTAGTGTGGCTAGTTGACGTCTTTGCATACGGGATTTTCGCACAGACGATACCCGGCTTGGGCGAGAGTTTCAGTTGCTGCTTGAAGGTGTTCGTCTGGAATAACCAATTCAATCTCCTATCGCTGTGTCAGTTTGTCTCGAGAAAGGGAGGGGGCAAGAGACTTACTTTCGTAGGGAGGTTCTCCCCCGCGAACGCAACAGCTAAATACCCCCAGAGCACGTAGGGGATTTTGGCTTCGTCCAGAACCTCAGCCGTCTCAGCCGCCAACGGTGAGATGCGCGGATGTCCTCGGAAGAAAACATCCAGGTCTACTACCATGATTCAAGATTAGTTGTTGAGATTAGTTGTTGATAGGATAGCAAAATATTCAGTCACATCGGATGAGAATGTCAACAAGATATATATACTTGTACTCGACCATCCTTGGAATCCTGGTATTTCCATGATCGAGTCCTCGAACTGAAAAGTGGCGCGGTTGAAAGAGCGACTGTCTTTGTTGGAAAGTCGACAGCAGAGGGAAGTCAAAGAAAATGGGTCCATCCTCAGTCAACAAGGGAGTACAAGTTATCGAAGGATCCATAAAGTATAATCAGTCGAAAAGCTAAAATTAACTCACTGATCATGAGTTTCCGCAACAGTTGAATAAAGAACCACCTAAGTCTGTTCATAATCATAGAGCTGCTTCTGCGGCGTAACAAGGAGAGCGACATCGTGGGTTTAGACCACCGAGAAGAATCTCTTTGAACTGCCGAGAAAAAGCTGGGTTTGAAACTTCTAGAGGACACTGCCAAAGTATCTGTCCGTAGCCAGGCTATACCAAGGGTCCTGATATTCCTTTGTAACGGAAACCAAGATGACAGACATGCACCTTGCAATATATTTGGGATTTCTGAAGACCACGTCACTTCTGCTTGGGAGCAATACGGATGTCGATTTTCAAAATAAAGATAGCCAGACTGTTTCGCAGTTTCTTCTTCGACAAATTCACATATCGCTAGGTGGTTCGGGTGCCTCAACACGGAGAATTGCGAGTAAGATCTAGGGCGATGTACATACTTGATCATGGTTGAATACATCCCATCTAACCAGAAACGCCATGATCGTTAAATCCTCCATCGACATTGAACAGCTCGGTATTGGGCGGATTGTTCTTCTTGTATTCCAAGTCCTCGGCCTCGATCTCGTCTAGATCCTGCTTCCATGGCTGGGTTTCCGAACTCAGGCTGGCAAGCTCGGGAAAACCTCAGTCAGTTGGTGTCAAGAAGGCAGCTACTTCCATAGCGGATACAGTGATTGAGAGCGCCATTACTCAAATTTGAAGCATGGAATGTCTTCAGAAGTATGCACGGTTCGGTGAATCATTGGGATACTGGGCTCTTAAGACATGAGATGAGATCTTCGGGTACCCTGGTTAGAAGATGGTTAGTCCAACTCCGCCTCTTATGAGGAACACTGAGAGGGGTAGTTGGCATTGTATATTGGCTGTTGCATTGTGAAGGTGATACTTGACCCCTGTGGATATATAATGGTTATTTCGTACCCCTCTAATGGACCTTTTGGTAATTATGATCTTTATTAAGTGGAATATAACTGCTATCCTAATTAGAATCACATTAAACGGCAATTGCTAAAGTACGTACATTGTAGGGATAAGCATGTATAATACGCCCAATGGGGGGTAGTACCTGGTTTGGTGAAGACTGAGACATCAGGGTCTTTCTTTAGCTTCTTAAGGCAGAGTAGATCCGGTAAAAGCCGGGCACAGGAACGAATGGATACATAGATGGAGCCACCCAGGCTTAATTTAGCCCACCTGGATCCTGTCCACCAATAAGATGGGTTTGAATATCGGAGCTCTGCCAAATTTGTATGTTCTGAAATAAGAAACCATGTTGTTGGGCTATATTTGCTCGGGCGTACGATAGTGAGACATTGCCTTCATGTTATCAATTGTTGAACTGGCTGTGCGATAGCCATCGTAAAACTAGTTGGCACTTGTATATTGTGGAGATAAGCTGATTGCCAATATTCGATAAGCTTTGCATCATTGTTCAAGTCCTACAATTAGGGACCATCGCGTACACAAAGTACACTTATAGTAACACGAAGATGCTTGACTAGAAATCTTCAAATTGTCTGTTTTGTGCAAATGCTAAGACGATGGGACCGTGGGCAAAAATCCAGGGAAATCATGTGCCAAGGACGCTTGACAGCCCAACTGCAGCGGGTCGGTAGGATTGTCTCACTTTCGGGGTCTGTGGAAGATTTTTCGCGTTAGTTGATAGGAAAGAAATCATCCCAAGTAGTGAGTGATGAATTGTACCGTCATGTTAAGACATTATGACCTGTCGGGTGAAATGCCGCCAGGGTCCATGGTTATCGTCAGGGAAGAATCCCAGAATCAATCCCTTCGGAGAGATCCCCATCTCCACCTTCAGGTCCCGAGGGTGAATCAAAAAGCTAGACAGTTTCCACAGCTTCGATGGATCTCCGACCCGATCCAATGCCTTCAAATTCGAGGACGGTTCAAGCCGATCACGACTTTTGCCTCTTCGGCGGATGGCCGCAGGACGAGAGGGATTGAAATTCTCCGCAAGGGTTTTATGGCGATGACGGCATCAAGGGCATATCCTTCATCACGTCTTGACTCGAGAACGCGATAATTGCAATAATTTTGTTTTCGAAAGTGATCGTATCCCATCCTTGTAGGGGAAAAGGGAGTAGTAACCCTGTCAGTTGTGGTTGAAACCCGCCATCACAGGCCGGGGGAGTTTCGTTCCTGCAACGAGCGTCAATGATACTGTAGACCCTATCGGATAATGACTGTCGCCAATCAAGGGATCTAATTCAGCCATCAGTATCGTATCGTGTGCCGGTGGCGTTATGTTTTGGGGTGATGGATGGATCACGGACAGACAGGCTCGAAAGAGGGACCAGAGAGGGGCCCCTCGCTTGACACTCCTGTGGTGCTCCCTGGGACTGAAGATTAAAAACCGTTCCCAAAATAGTATCAGAAGGAGGAAAATAGGTAAGACATGAGGAAATGGAACACCTAGTTAGTGTTGTGAGGTGGTTATAAGAGTCTTCCCAGTTCGTCTGTTTCTTTCTCCAGAACAACCAGACACTCGTTTTGCGTCAGTCATTCACTCGAACCACTCAGTCCACTTTCACTTTGATTTCTTGTGATACCCATCCAGTTTATACACACAACCGTCATCATGCGCTTCACTCTCGCTTCCATTGTTGCCTTTGTCGCATCTGCTGCTGGTATGCTTGCTCGTGTCGAAGGAAAAAGTAGACATCCTGACTTGATTTATAGCCGTCTCTGTCACTTCTCCCACCAAGAATGAAGATGTTGACCTCAGCAATGGTGTCACCATCAAATGGAGCTCTGTCAGGTGGGTTATCTACCCTCCCTCATCTGAGGATCGTCAAGCCTAACCGGTCGATCATGCTTTAGCTCCGATCCCTCTTCCTTCTCCATTTACCTGGTCAACATGAACAGCTACCCCAATGTCGACAAGCTGATTGCCGACGACGTCAAGACCTCTGATGGCTCTTATACTATCGACAGCCTGTCTGGCATCGACAACGGGTATGTCCAATACGATATTGCGTGATATCAATCACCAAACTGACATCTCCACCAGCTCCGGTTTCCAGATCAACCTCATCTCCAAGGACCCCAAGAACTCCGGCATCCTGGCTCAGTCGCAGCAGTTCAATGTCGAGTCTTCCAGCTCCTCGAGCTCCACTACCACCGCTGCCTCTAGCACTAGCACTGGTAAGACGACCACTACTGCTGCTAGCACCACTTCCTCTGCCACTTCTGCTTCTTCTGCTACCTCTTCTGCCACCTCTTCTTCTATCACCATCTCTTCTTCTGCCGCTTCTTCTTCCACTGCCACTGTCACTCCTCCCGGCTCCTCTACTCTTGGTGAGTAAATGGTGCCATTTGTTCCTGTACACATTGATCGCTAACATCGTTCCTCATTTACAGCCACCTCCGCCTCCGCCAGCGCCTCCTCCTCTATCAACGCATCCTCTTCCGGCTCGGCCTCTGCCTCTGCCACCCCTACTACTGTTGACAACGGTGCTGGCGCTCTCGCTGTCCCCGCCGCTGCTGGCTCCCTCCTCATGGGCCTCTTCGCCCTGGTTCTGTAAATGACCAAACCGGATACCCACGACAACCAACAACCTCACTTCAATTCTTTTAGTCGCCTTGTTCGATGCACGTCGGTTCTCAAGAGCTGCATGATCCAATATGGTGTCTACTTTGGCTGACACATTCAATGCTTTGACTGCATTTTCTGGATGGCCTTATTTGTGTCTTATTTGATAGAAACCAATTGTATTTATTGACTTAATGATGTCCCTTTTACGGAGTTAGAGAACGAATATATATATGCAATGTTTATGCAACTTTCATTCATTCGTTTAATTATTGTGTAGCATGCAGCTGCGAAGTAACGCATCAATCTAGAGTGCATCCGGATATAAGATTTGGGATTCATCTGTCTCGGTTCCATAGCTCCCATGGGGACATATTTTTTATAACAATCCTTGTAGTTACATAGCCTTTCCTGGCGCCAAAAATCTCCCACAAGTTGTGCATAACATAAATATTTGCATTGTAGATGCTGACAGCGAGCGTCTTTCATATCGGGGTATATCTAATACAAAGTATATATTTACAAGACAGGGCGAGGCCAATGTTATTGAAGATCCTCACAACGATCCTCTGGCCGAATCAGCGAGATGTGACCCGGTGCGAGATCCGAATGCACTGGCACTGACGGCCGGGGATGAGGAGTGAGCATTGTGACTCTCGTTGACGCCTTCTCGGGGACGGTCCCAAGTGCGAATATGACCTGTGGATTGGTTTCAGGTTAGTCTCGTATGGTTACCGGTGCAAATTAAGCCTGAAAATCCTACCTTCAAGAGAGGATGTCATAATGCTGTTTTCCTGGAACCCTAACCAGCAGATCGGGTCCTCGCCGACAATTTTAGACTATCATATACGGTTAGACATCGCAATATGCTGAGACATATAGCAAACATACCATAATAGGTGGCAACAGGGCAGTTCGTGCCCTGGGCTCGACCGGGTGACGGACCGTTTGGTCAACACTGTCATAAGTGTCTGCGGTTTGTTGAGAATCGGATCGTATCCGATGACCGCCGCTGTCACCTTGGTGCCGGTTGACGTTTTGCGTACTGGGCACAATCATGCTCGTCCGCTGACGAGCACTGGCTTGGTGCTATTTGAAAATAAGCTGATGCAATCGAATCATACATATTCTGTAAACATACCGCCCTCGGTCGATGGAGCATGCCGACGCTGAAATCCCATAAGAGAAGCCGGCAATCATCGCCAACACTTCCAAACCGATATGTCCTCTCATCGCAGCGCCACGGGTCAAATGCTACTGCAGAAACCCATGAGTTGTGACCCTGGCACCGTGCAACGATCTTACGCTCCGGCAGTGACCATATTGTCACTAGGTCATCTTGACCACCAGTGACAATGTATTTGCCATCGGGCGACCAGCAGACACAGATCAATCCACCATAGTAACTACGGAAGACGTCCAATACCCTGTACAAAATTAGCTCGCGGTTCAAATAACAGTTCATCTGAAACATACTCTTCCTTCAAATAGTCCATTACTCGCAAGGACCCGTCTTCCAAAACTATAGCCAGATGTCTCTGATCCGGCGAGAATGCGAAATGGTAAATCTTCTGATTCGCTACTCTCCAGAAGGCGACTGGATTCGTCTTCTGATTTCTTGAGTTGACAGATTTCAACACCTGCAGCGGCTTTCGTCCAGACGGCTTCCTGGCCTCTTCGCTGACCTCTGGCGTAAACGGAGCATCCTCCTTTTCCTTGTCGTAGACCACCAGTTGGCCATTTGCATGAGCGGCCATGAACAGGTTTTCCGATCCAGGAATCCATTTGATATGGGTCACGGGGGAGTTGTTCACCGCGCCATTTTTATTGATCCGAGCGTATTTCTGTGACATAGGCTCATACCAGATGATGTCGCCGGCTGAAGATCCCATGACCACATCAATATGTGACGACGTTTTGGTCAGTTCGTTAACATCATGTGTTAACATATGGGCCTTGGTGAAAAGAATCTTCGCGAGAGGTTCCTCCTTCTGCTTAGAACTGAGGTCCAGCCATTGAAATGCACGGTTGATGTTGGCGAGCGCAAAAAAACCGTCCGGATTTCTGTCGTTGAGTCTTTTGGCGGAAGACTCATGGGTGATGACCCGCGAAACAAACGAAGAGCTGCTCTTGATGATGTTGTTCTTCGGTTTGCGCCTTTTCAGTCCATCCTTAACAGCCGGGGATACAAGTGCAGGGTTTCCCTCTCCAAACCCAGGTGCCGTCACATTCTCTTTCAGAGCGAAGGAGGGAGTTTTGTTCCGGCCGAGACTGATCAAGGAGATTTTGACGCCGGATGTTGGAGGTGTCGGAACGGTCGCAAGAGGATTGGGATTGATGATTGGGGCCTCGGATGGGTGAGGTGGAGGGGTCGCGAGATGTAGGTCGTCATTCAGGCGGTATGTTCCTATCAATTTGAAATAAAAAAATTAGTACTCACGGCCTTGTATACTGTCATGGTTTCACTCCGAAACTCACCTTCTCCGGCCTGCAATGAACAACCACCTTCTGGATGACTGATTATATTGTTGGTCTCAACGACCGGTACTGCCATGCCATTTGCCGCTCCAGCTGCATAGGCAACTGGAATGGTATAGCGGGGAGGAGGGGGAGGTAGTACACTAGGCAAGTCAGTAACGAGAAGCATTTTCTTGCGGGAAAACGGGTTTCCCAGGCGCAAACAACAGCAGACAACCGCCATTTTCCTCTGTGCTTTATTTAATATCAAGTCCCGACCCAGTTCATGTGTTCAATGGTGGGTAAGATAAGACAAGAGAAGCCCGTTGACCAAACAAAGAAATCGACAATAACCGGGGGGTAATCCTTACAACATGGCTGCGGTTGCGACAGCACCAATAACGAGCTGATAAAGCTATGTATTGTCTATCCCAGCTCCAAATCAGGCCACGATACTGCGCTAAGAATAGACGGCTCTCGACACGACCTTATTGTCACGCAATCGTTGTGGTAGGAGTTCCCAAGAGCGGCACCGTCGGCGGTGCGGCCCAGGATGATACGTCGCGCCGAATTTGACAGGTAGTTAAATTGAAGCAGGAGCGATCATGTGTTGAGCACAGATCAAAGATAATGCAGGAGGGAATATATGCGTCGCGCGAGTGTCGACTCGATCGGTCACCCGGCGGAGGTTGCGGTTCTGAGCCGTCACGTCAGACGTTGGCTCGTGCTGTAGAGATAACGGAGATGGAAAGAACCCAGAGAAACTGTAGCAAGGTTAATCTCGACAGTATAAAAGAAAAATCCGAGATGTCAGAGGAAGGAGAGAAGTCGAGTCTAGAAGGCGAGGAACAGGAATAATGTCCGGGGTAAGTCACAGGAAGCGGAGAGAGCGCCAGGAAGAGGCCCAAGAGCACCTCTCCGTCTCGCGTGCGCCGGAGCGGTTCCTGGCGGGGCAGATTGCGTAGTGGAAAAGAGATTGTGCGGAGAAACAAATAGATCAACAGTGGTTCAATATGGGTTGTATAATTGCATTCTCGTTTATGAGTTGACGTTGTTGGAGGTTGATGTCATCTAGGCAGCACACGATGGCTATGTAGTGAGGGACAGTCTGGTCACGATGAAGTATTTCTACAGAAGGCACGATAGAATTTATTCACAGAGAAAGAAAATACTTTACAGAATAATAAGATATAGGAATTAAAAAATACTAAATATATATTGAGATGACCTATCAGTTGTGAACAAGTAAAGATGAAAGGCTTCAATTAGCCAGACTATGTGACCAAGCGCATTCCCAATACTAGTCCGTTACTTCATCTGACAGGTGGGATGAACAGTAGATACAAATTGTCTAAGTGGCTTGCTACATGAAATCTCTTCATAATTAGTTAAAGGCCTTAGGAGGCATTGATTCAATATGACGCTGCTATATAGATGCTGATAAAACGCATACCGTCGAAACATCCTTGCTCGAATGAAAAGCCCAGTGGGTATATAAATCATAACTCTTGTACCTAGAATGACAAATCAACCTCTCTAGGTCCCACCGCCACTCACTCTTCGCCAGATCATCACTGCAGCAGCGCTGGCACAGACCACCGCCCCCAGCGCAATCCCCCACGCCATCCACTTGCCCTCAACGTCTTCTTCGCTTCGGGGAAAGGCAGTACTAGGCTCCATGGCTGCTTCTGCGATATGAACAAACACCTCCTGGATGGAACTCCATGTAGCACTAACATGGAGTGGAGGACTGGGCATGTTCAACATGGCCGTGTATTCATGTGGCTGATATTCGGCCCGTTGGGTGGTTCGATCCAAGTCGGCCTTAAGAGCGATAAACACACTAGGAACCTCCTCCAGATGTGGATATTTAGACCGCAGTGCTGGGATGTAGGCAAAAGAATCCGGGTCGGACGAATCGTATGTGTATGCAATCACGTCGCATTGATCCAGTAGCTTTGCCTGGTTCTCGAGAATCGCGGGCTCAAGCTCACCGAGCTCATCCAGTATCAAATAGCATTGCTTACCACCCGGTAATTCGACCGTGTTCACTGCAGTTCGGGGCTGGATCGTAGGACGGTATGGAGTGCTGAACCCACGGGAAAGGAATGCGTCGAGAAGCGCCGACTTACCGGATCCTGCAGGGCCTAGAACATGGCCAAGGACAACATTACGACCAACCCTTCCAGGGCGCCGGCGCCGTTTTCGTGGTCGGGTGACTTTCAAGGCAGCCGTCGTGTTTAGGTTGCTTCGGTCAGGCGATTCAAATCCTAGGTAGGCCAGATACTCTAAGGTTGTTTTAGGCGATGTAAAGGTCGTCATGCTCCATTGCGCCAACCAGCCTTGAAGAGTGACATGGCCGGCCTCGTTGCGGACCGTGGAAGATGGAAAAGAGCTGTCCACCCACGAGGCAGGCAAACCAGGCGTTGGAGCGAACAGCGATGCTAACTCGGCATCATTAAGGCCTCCATCGTTGTCTTTATCCGATAGGAGGAACAGGTTTACAAAGAACCGATAACCTTCCGGCGACAGCTCAGCAGATGCGAAAGGGGGAACGTCGAACTTAGGGTGTAGAAAGCTTTCTTGCAGCGAGAGATTGTCGGTATACTGGAATGCTCGCAAGATAATCCAAACGGTTTCATGGCGTCCCTTCTCAGCATACATTTTGTTTAGATGGATGAATCCCAGACAATCGATTCCGGATACTGTAACTGAGTCCGGATACGTCTTCTGAATAGTTTCTTTGATGTGGACAAGATCTGCCTTGCTGAGAGACTTCTCAAAGCATCTCATTTGGAAATCTTCAATCTCCTTGTCAGAGAGATACCCATCCCGGTCCTTATCGCTGAGGTAAAAGATGCGCTGCAATGCTGCAATGGCTGCCGGCTTTAGGGACGACTCCTTGGTGTCGAACAGCGGTGCAATCGGATGAGTGACTGCCTTTTGGCAGAGGAAAAAGGCCTCGTTGACATTGCGATGTTCCCGAGCACTGGTGCGGATGCATGAGTCGATTTCCTTAAACTCTGACATCAATGGCAGCATTTCCTCCTCGATGACCTGTGCCTCACTATGGTCCGCCGCGAGGTCCGACTTGTTGGCACACAACACGACCGGAACGTTTACTCCCAAAGACCGGAAATATGGCAGCCAAAACAGGGCGACTCGTTCATAGCTATAATGATCGGAGTATACCAGCAATATCACGTTTGACTTTCGAATCTCCCTCGCCAAGTTGCCCCGTTCCTGAGGCAAGGCGGAGGTGTCGACCACCGTTGTTGTTGTAACATTCTCAGGGGTTCCGATTGTAGGTGGGATGGTTATTTGAGGAAGGATAGGCTGGATCTTGTTCGTAACAAATACGCCCTTGACGAGGGAGGTGATGAGGCTGGATTTGCCCGTCCCCTCATCTCCGCAGACGCAGATTCGCACTGGACATGCATGTCAGTATTACCATCCCATCATTGACGAAATGAACCCATCGAACCCGTAGCCATTATTCAATAAGGAGGCGGTCTGAGACGCCCGCTTCAAATCATTGCCAAATCATGCCTTGTAACTCTTGATTGCAGGACTCAATTTGCAGAATTCCCGATCATGTCATGAGATTTGATTGAACATTTGGAGCTTCTCGGAGAGATTCCCCGGAACTTCGGCGGTGGCTGTGCCGTGTCTGCCTCAGGCTTCCCTTGCATGAACTGAATTGAGGTTCTTGATAATTGATCTGTAAATGTGAAAACAATCGAAAATAGTCAGAATTTAAATACACCTGTTAGACAGAGCAAATAATACAATTACACCGTGCTATCACGCCTAGCTAAGGGCTCCGGATTCCGGAGTACAACCATCGACTCAGCCACTATGATGATATAGCCTGCCGACAGCCTTGCCCACCTCTCAGTTTTATGCCTACGTTTGGTCCATCCTAGATTCGTCGATCTCTATCTAGAGGCACAGATATAAACAACGAACTGTCTCCATCATTCGTCCCCTGTAGTCTCTTCTCTGTGGCCTCTTGAGTCAGCCGTTATCCATCGCGAACGAACGCCCCGTGTCACCCGTCATTACTAGGCCCACATCCGGTCGCCCCCATCTACGACTGGAACTCCTCTCTCCCCTCGCGAGAATATTTCTCTGCTTTCAAAACACCCTCTGTCGCACCACTTTCTCTTCCCTCTCCTGTTCCCTTCAAAAGCTCCCCCCCGACGAGCTAAGCCAAGATGCCTCTCGGGATAAACAACCCGTTGCCTTCGTCTTTGCACAGTCCGTGTTATCCCGCTCCCATCCAACTTCCCCGCAATTCCTTGCTTATGTAGAGGATGAGTGAGATTTCTCAACTAACCATTTTTTGGGTTGAACAGGCGAATGCAAAAAGGCCGGCAAAATCCTTACTTCCTTCATCGATCCCCGACAAGCCTTTGGACCTGATAAGGTCATTCCTCCTGAGATTCTGGCTGGCGCAAAGGTAACAAAATATCCCTCGCTTTCTTTTATCATGTTTCATACAAGTTCAATTTCAACTAACCTTGGCTTCACAGGGTCTCGCCATTCTCACAGTCTTGAAAGCTGGTTTCTTGGGCTCTGCTCGGTTTGGATCTGGTGTTGTTGTCGCCCGTTTGGCTGATGGCTCTTGGTCTGCTCCGTCGGCCATTGCGACCGCAGGTGCTGGGTTCGGAGGACAGATTGGTTTCGAATTGACCGACTTTGTGTTCATTCTGAACGATGCCGCTGCTGTGCGAACCTTCTCACAGGTCGGATCCGTCACCCTGGGTGGAAATGTGTCAATTGCCGCGGGACCGGTCGGTAGGAACGCAGAAGCAGCAGGCGCAGCAAGCACGAAGGGTGTAGCCGCAGTATTTTCATACTCGAAGACCAAGGGTCTTTTTGCTGGTGTCAGTTTGGAAGGTAGTATGTTGGTGGAGCGCAAGGATGCTAACGAGAAGCTCTACAACGGCCGTATCTCCGCACGTCAACTTCTCAGTGGAACTATCCGACCACCACCAGCCACTGATCCTCTTTTACGCGTTTTGACTTCCCGGGCCTTTTACGGAAACTCTCGGATGCAGGGAGACGCAATGTACAATGATATCCCTGTTTATGATGACAGGCACGATGATGTGGTCTGGGAAGGCCGACGGGGAGATGCGTACGGTGAGGGTGTTCGACGAGAACGCAGCGGCATGAGCAGCAATGGTAGCCTGGATGACTACGAGTACCGTGATCGACCGCGTCGTGCGAACACATGGGCCGACGACGTTTATGATAGAGCCCCGGCCGGGGGACTGGGCCGTTCTTCCACCACCCGGTCTAGTCGCCCTGATCCCTATGACACGTACGGCAGCCGTAGTCGGAGCAACACAGCGCCGTTCGAGGAAGACTACGTCTATTCAGACCGGAAGCCCAGCCGGCCCACGGCACCGAAACCGGTTTTTGGACAGCGGACCGGACAGGCTGCGTCCCTGCGACAGGACCAAGCAGTCGCATTGTATACATTTGACGCAGACCAGGACGGAGACCTGGGATTCAAGAAGGGAGAAATCATCACGATTCTTAAACGGACAGAAAAGGCAGAAGACTGGTGGACCGGGCGCATTGGGGGCCGGGTGGGCATCTTCCCCAGGTAAGAGAATTGTCCCTATCGAACATAAGGCGATGAGCTCTTGACTAACGTGTGGAATGCAGTAACTATGTCGATGCCTCTTAAGCGAATGCCTCCTTGTTGCTGGCTTATGTGCAATGATACCAATGACACAAGAATTGTCTTTTTCCTTTCTGCTCTCCGGACAAGCCCGTGGCGAATACATCAGACTTTTTCGGATTCCCCTGATCCTCCATTTGACTGAACTTTTGATTTCGGTTTTACAATATGAGCACTGGAGTTTGTTTTTCTTTTCAAGTTGGGTTGACCGTCATAACTGGGATGCTTTCGAAAATAGCTGTCTACATGTTTTTAAGGTCTGCTTGTTTTATCTGATTTGCCTATTTGCTGTTTCGTGACGTACTTTTTGTTTGGATTTGAGAGAACCCTATAGTTTGTGAATTATCAGATCAGGTTATTTATCTTTATTTCATCAATAGCATATCTCCTGGACTCAAACCTGATTTCTTGATTCTGGGTGAATTAAGCCAACCCCCTGTCAAGGGATAGAATGAAGATTGCATCCAGCCTGTTTGGAGGAATTCTGGCCACAGCCTGTCTTGTTGCATCCATTCTAGAGCCTCTTTTCTCCCTATATTCTAGAGTTGACCAAGTTTTATGTGTTTCCAATTTATGATTGGCCTGGTAAAGGGAGATTCAGTCTATCGCGCACGAGACCATACACAAGCCATGGTAGGCATTCCCGGTGGCTTTTTCTTGCCGCTGGTTTTCTAGCGGGATGACGGTGTAGAGATATCGTGAACAATAGGAGAGTATATAAATTCAGTATTGATGGTGATAATTTGAGATGATTGAAGCAGTTGTAAGGGGGACGAATGATCTTGAATCGGAATAATGGCAGGTGACACAAACCGGAATGCCAGAAGAAGGCTGCACGTGTCAATTCGACAGCCCCATCACGCGGCATTTGAGCCTGACAGGAAGATACTAGATATGACTCCAAATGCATCTGGTCCAAGGTTAAATGATCAATCAAGCTTACCGTGTAGCCATTGTTGAGAAGATGGAGGAAGGAATAGTGAAGAACCAGCCACGCGACACGAGACGCAGGGATCAAGCAATGGAACAAAGTCCCATCAGACTATCAGACTAATTCCAATAGCCTCGATGACTGGGGATAGATCGAAGATCCTCGATAATTATTCTTCTATATCCACCATCTAAGATTATATCTTGCTGTAAGATTGACTGATCGTCAATAGGAGCGGCCCAGGCTTGTTCGTTGTGGAGCTTTTTAGGCGGAGCAGTAGTGCTGGTCTGGGATTATTCTGACTTCAAGATCGCATAAAGTGGTTTCGAAAAAAAGAAAATAAAACAAAAGAAGAAAAGAAATGGAAGAAAATGGAAGGATGCGAGAAAGCGAGACATTCGCAAACCTACCGGTGGTTGAGCTGGGCTTCTTGTTCTAACCGGTGATGCCAGCCCTCTCTCTCTGCCTGTCCTCCAATTAATGCTTCTCAACCCCCCCAAATTCGTCAACCCAAAATCCTTCCACCCTCTTCCCTCTCTTCTCTCAACCACACCGAACAACCCATACATCATCCTCACCCTGCGTCTTCCTCCCTCCGTCTGCTACGATTTCTCAATAACCACCGGATGCCTGGCCGCCATCCTCCCTCCTCCCGTCTCTCTTCCGTGAATGTGTCCCCCCGTCGATTTCTCTTCCCCGCTTCGATGACCCTTCTTCTTCGCTGTCTTCCGGCCCAGGTGGTACATTGACCTCTTCTCCCCGAGTGTCTTGTCGCCTTCTTCGTCCTCAGCCAATTTCCGGGATATCTGCTTTTCAGGTTCCTGTTCTAATTGCTCCCATGCAGGTGCGTCGGTTTTCTAAATTTCCATCCCTTCCTGTGCCGTGCGGGCTGGGAAGTCGTCGGTCTGCTTTTGCTTGGGAGGCGGCGGTTTTCCAATTCCCCCAACCTCAAGCCCATGGATGCATCCATGCACAACCGAAAGCATTCAGCGTCGACTTTTCAGATCCGCGCAGTTCCGGTGCCTGGTACCTGTGCATCAGAATATTCTTTTTTCTGACTAGACTTATTTTTTTAGGCTTCAACGAGCCCTTCTGAGGCTAGCGGAGGATACGCGACGCGGAGAGGCCATGTGCCTCAGCTGTCGATCAGTGACCCCAGTCATCATGTCACCGAAGCCATTGGACATATGTACGAAGATGACTATGATCGGAGAGAATCCAAACGCCTCAGCTATATTTCCTCCCCCCTGAGTGAAGCCATCACTACCATCCACCCCAGCCTCGCCGGCGCCGAAGCCCCAACCTCTCCGCAGTCCTTACAAGTGCAAAACCATCTGAATGAAATCAACCAACATCGCCAGGGCAATGGACAATCACGGCCTCCCCTCGTCACTAAACAATCATTTGACCGCGATAGCAATCCATCCTCTCCAGGCTCAACCGACACGGCCAATACCTCCTTCCCCTTGAACGATATCGACTACGAATCTGATCCTGCTGCCGTGGCTCAGGAACTGAACAATCTGGCTGCCATTCGTCGAATGTCCATGGATGTCGCTGCAGCGGGTGATCCTGATCTTCCGAGTTTACCATCGATAGCACCCTCCCCATCAGACGACGAGAATGATGCTTCCCGCCTTTTCTGGGTACCCGCTCGCTTACACCCCGAGTTGGCTCCCAAAGAGTTTAAATCTTTTCTTGATAGCAAGGCAGACCATATCAAGCGGAAGTCGGGCGATTTTTCCTTGTCGCCGAACGGCAGTAACTCGGGCGGACTCCAGCGTAAGCGATCGATGTTGTCCAGGCAAATCGACAATTCCCATGGCTATACGGATGGTGCGGAGCGGCTAGAGCGAAAACGATCAAAGTCTAAACGGGATTCTCTGAGTCCGAACCTACAAGATTTGGAAACGATAGTAGACAATTCGAAAACGCCAAATAAGGATACAGCTTCGCTTTTGAAGGGAGTCCAGAGCCTCGGGCTAAATACCGACGAAGATAGACCCATCCTTCCCCCCGCACCACTTGGGAACAGTCTCAGGCGTTCCACCCGGACTCAGTACAGGAAGGCGGGCAGCGTGAAAAAGGGGGACAAATACCCAAGAAGGGTCAAATCCCCAGAAACGAACGAACCAATCCCGTCCATTGTCACTTCAGCTCCTGATTCTCCGATCTTGGGCCTCACACGCGTATCCACTGATCCCACCCCTAGTGCAACCAAACGAGGACAAGCAACAACAGCTACTCACGGCACAACAGATTCCTCCAGCGCTACGGGAGGCTCGATTGACTCGACAATCGATCAGCCGAAGCAAGAGGGCGACAGGCCAACTGAGCCTCACACGGCTGACTCTGCCAACAGAGCGAGTGCACCTCCGCAAGCGCGACAGTGGCACTCTCGTATTAGTTCGAACGGACGATCGACTGCCAATATTCCTAACGATCAAAAGGTTCCAGAAATCGTCGAACCATCTTCAGAAACAAATCGAGCACCCAGCAGTTCAGCTTCGCAACAAAACAACTTGCCAGACCGTGAACACTCGTATGATTCCTCGACGCACTCACCATCCAAGGGGTCCCCGCTTAACGAACAAAATGTAAGCAAGCGCTCGCACCACACCCGTCACAAGGACAGCACCTTCAACGAGTTCGCGAATACTGTGCAACCCCTCCCGGGCAATACCACCCGAACCGACAGCCTCTCATTCATCCCAACTTTGCCAGAAGATCGAAAATCGGAAAGCAAGAAGTCGAAGGACAAGAAAGATTCGGATGGTACCCGCAAGTCTAGCTGGCATTGGCTGCTAGGCAGCGAGGAAAAAGAAAAAGAAAAGGAGAAGAAAAAGGAGAAGGATGGAGATTCGAAAAAGATAAAAGCGAGATTGGTGGATAAGGTTCATGAAACGACCAGCTCCCTACCGTCGTCCAGCGACAATAACCAGCGAGGCCGCGAGAGCTTTGCTCACGATCGGCTCGATCCTAAACTAGAGGAAGAACGACGAAAAGATAACGCCAGGAGAACATCTGGAGAATCGAAGAAAGAGAAAGAGTCTGGTCTGTTTTCATCGATCTTTGGCGGGGGAAGGAAGAAGCACAGCAGCGGAGAAAGCCACCACAAAAAGAGCTTATCCCGAACTTTGTCTCCCGACCCCCCAGTACGCATACTCCGACCCGACGTTGACTACCCTTGGACCCGATTTTCAATACTCGAGGAGCGAGCCATTTACAGAATGGCCCATATAAAACTCGCAAATCCCCGACGGGCGCTGTGTTCCCAGGTCCTACTCAGCAACTTCATGTATTCGTACCTGGCGAAGGTCCAGCAAATGCATCCACACATGATGCTTGCATCTTCGGCAGCACAACGGCAGCAGCAGAAAGCAAGGGAACGGGAGCAGGAGGAGTACATGCAACAATACCAAAGATACCAAGAAGTAAGTCGATCTCACGGTTTCCTTTCTGGAATTTAAGGCAGCAACTAACAGAAGCCATAGGCACAGGAACAACAATACGGCGATGGCTCGTACGATGATTCTCACATGTATGAATATAACGATGATCCGCATGACCCTTACCGGACACACTCGGGGGGCAACAAGCACGGCTATGAGAATGGGAACTCATACGGCCCTGGCCATTATCAATATGGGCATTCGGCATTCGGCGATGATGCTCAGCAAGATGACGATGACGACGACGACATGTGGTAGCTTCCTCGAGAATGAAACCATACACATTATGGTACAAGGTGACAGGAAACAGGAGTGTTTATTGACTTTTGCTTCTGTTAGTTTTTCTGCAGCGCACGAAATACCCCTGCTTTCATCAGCGCTGGCGGCGATTCCTAGAATCTGTACACTGATCCCCCTTTTTCATTTCTCGGCCCCCTTACATTTTCTCTGTTTCTTGTTTCTGGTGGGCTTGTGGAACCCAATTTTATGCTCTGAGGGAATGAAAAATCAGCAGTGTGGTAATATCCATCAGACATTCTGTACTTGTCACATGTTATTCTCCTTTATATTTTACTATAACACTCTTCCAGGTGTCTCACGATATCAGGGTCATGGTTTATATAACGATATCGGTGGCCTTGTTTTGTGGTTTGCTATTTTTGTTTGCACACTTGGTTTGATTTCTTTGCATAGCGCTTGGGGTTTTGATCGTTCACCTTGGTTTTTCATTTCACTTTTGCAATTATTAACTCTTTGTCACACATTCTGTCTGCATTCTGACTGTGCAGTGGACTCACAGCCTATCTATTTCCTTCTGTTATTTTGACCTTGCTCAAATGCACTTTGTTGCCTCGTTTCGAGGCAGGGTACATGGCAGCATGAGGACTGATATCATTCTACCTGTGTTTTAAATGCATGATTAAATATATAGACTCTATCAAGAATTCATTTCGAGCATATCTCTTTTAGCAGCATCTTATTCTATATAATCTACAAATGAAATGAAAATGAACGCCGGGTACCAGTTTTGGATAGTATCACGTGATCCCCCTTCCCCGGGTTTCCTGTCAGCGTCGTCATTGACGTTGCCCCCGAGCAGCATTTAATTCCTAGCAGCCTATACCCACGTTACATCTTCTTTTTGAATTCCCACGCCAGATAATCGTTTGATCAGAATACTGTATATACCATTTTCGCCAACCAAGTGCGCAAAGTCTACAAGGAAACCTATCGGTCGGCCAAAATGGGTGACGCCTACGAACGCGAACGGTATGATATTCTCCTTTCCTGACTTACCTCGATGGTATTTGGGCCTATGATTGCGACTAGGCATCCGAGTACACGATAAAATTCATGATAGTGACATAGCTGACAACGAAAATCCAGACAGAACAATGCCCTCCTTAACTCCCTCTCCGGGAAAGTGTCCGCTCTGAAGTCTGTAACTATCGACATTTACGACAACGCCCGCGACCAAAATACCCTCAATAACTCGGTTTGTTTCCCCGTTCTAGTTCTCTCTCGTTTGATCGCTGGTTTTGGTGTGGACATCGTCTAACTGATTGCGCTGGGTTAGAACGAAGTCTTTTCCTCCTTCTCGACAAATCTCAAAGGAAGCGCCAGTCGCTTAACCCGTATGGCACGGCAAGGAGATACTATCGCCGTGCTCAAAGTCGCGGGAATCTGTGCAGGTGTTGGCGTGGGGACATACATCATCACGGGGTGGATCTTTTAAACCGTTGAATGAAGCATGAAATGGGACGTCTTGTCTAGTTTCCTTATACATAACAGTTCAAGTCTTGCTGGTTCGGGGCTTGTTCTGTCGTCGCCAAGCGGGCTCATTTCGGGGGCTGGCTGAGATGGACGTTGCATGCCAGTCTGGACATCGCCCAGCCTTGTCGCGACGCTGTGTACCTTTCGCCATTGTGATTACTTTCGGTTATTATATGTATTATGTTGAGATCGAGCGGACACATTAGCAATGGGCAGATGGATGTATGTTTCCCTCCCCACGCTAGGACAATTTGCACATGACGTACGATTTGGGAGGTTGGTTATACAGGACATCATGGATTGGGAGACTGGTTTTCTTTTCTTGATTTCTATTACTATTGCTTGTTTATTATCCTTAATTCCCCGAGCATTTGGGGCTGGTCGTCTACATAAATTTATGCCTACTGACCCTTGTTGAAAAGCTGAGGGGAAGATATATGCTATCATCGCTGGCCCCTATCAAGGTGTTGGTACTTGAGAATGTCCGAGTGGATAATTACTGGTTGGCAACTGCTTGGATAATTGCATCGACATACTGTTCTTTTTCTCGACACTGTTAATGCTCACGAATATATATTCTGACAATGAATTCTTACTCTTTAGTACGGCTTGGATTCATTCCAGGGCGATCACATGATACCAGCCGACCCAAACCGGCTTTATCCTTCGACCAACCTCGAAATCTTCACTCAACATAAATTGCCCATTTTTATCAAGTTGACAGCTTCTGGGGAAATTTATGAAACCTCCTTTATCAAATACTACCGATGTGGCTGTCCAAAGCACCGTTTTCGGAATATAGACTCCCACATGCGGCAAGTCATGACAGACACCTCAGGGATTGCTAACTAGATGCGGCATGACGTGAAGAAATCAAAGAAAAAGATGAATACCTCAGGAATTCCAGTATTGGACACCGGGCCATCCCCATTTTTCAACCGTCAATGCCGACGCGCGTTGCGTGAAATCAATCTGCGAGTCAAGCGCATTGATCTGACCCCCTGCGATCCTGGGCCTCTGTGCCTGGATGTAGCCAACAATGATCATGATCAGATCTAGGAAGCTCCATACATTTTCTCTGGGCTTAACTGTCGTCCTTGGCTTTTGGTTCTTGTCTCGAGTACATGAGTTTAGTGCGGTGCAGTGGAACGAGAGATATCTTACGGATGTCCATGATGCGATATACCCAATGTCTGATTCTGATAACGCAGATGAGAACCATGATGGTGCTGCGGTGAAATACTATGGGGGTGATTCTTCTATTGGCGATTCAGGGAAAGGCTCGGTTCATGGTGCTGGGGTGGATGCTGATCAGAAGGAATCTCAAGCGCAGCCGTCTCCGATACCTGATGCACCTGTGTTAGTGGACTATGGAGCTGAGAAGGATGCCGATAGGGAGATTGTTCCGACCTCGTCATCACTGTCGCCATCGCAATCGCAATCGCCCTCAGCAAAACTTGAAATGACGAACGAGATGGTTGGGAAATACGTGCGCTCGATTATGGATTATCATGACAACACAACGCTCTCGCGACTCGCATGCCCGGCTCATATTGGAAGACGGTACGACCATCTTCGGGAGGACCCCAGCTACGGTGCCAGTTCGAGAATCAAATACTTCTTTGCCTTGGATCTGTACCAATCAGCGGCCATCCTTCCCCGATTGATGGGAAGTATAGTCGAAGTAATTCGATTCCTGGGGCCAGAACGCTGCGCCGTGTCAGTGATTGAGGGCCGCTCCGAGGATGGAACATATGAGATTCTAGCCGCCTTGAAGAAAGAGGTCGAATCGTTAGGCTCACGGTTTTACCTCGACAGGAGTTCCATCAATCCCAAGAGCGACGGCGTGAATCGAATAGCAGCATTGGCAGAACTGCGAAATATGGCACTAGCACCTTTGACCCCAGCCCATCGGGATTCCGGTCTATACTTACCAGACGCGATCATCATCTTCGTGAATGACATTTCGCTCTGTGCGGAGGATATCCTGGAACTAGTACATCAGCATGTCACACAGTCGGCGCATATGACCTGTGCCTTCGACTGGCTCTACGCCGGCACCCTATTCTACGATGTATGGGTATCCCGCACCCTCGTTGGCAACCTCTTCTTTGAAATCCCTCAAGACGGATCGTGGGACTACCGGGATACGCTTTTCTTCGACGACCCAGACAGTAAGCGGCGATACGACGCCTTCCAACCGGTGCAGGTGTATGCGTGTTGGGGCGGGATGATCACCATCGACGCCGGTCCGTTCGCCACAGGATCCTTGAAGTTCCGGGCCTCAGACGAAGACGAGTGCTACATGGGGGAACCAACATTGCTCGCCAAAGACTTATGGCGACAAGGTTTAGGCAAGATTATGGCCGTGCCCGCGGTGAACGTTGCGTATTCAGACGAGGAGGCCACCGGCACGAAAACTAATCGTGGATATGTTGGTGATCGCGTTGATCTCATGTCTATTGATCAGGAAGAGCGGTATAAATGGCAAGATGAACCACCGGGCTTGGTGAAGTGTCTGCCAAGTTTCAATCGGCCGTCATGGGTTAAACCTGTCTGATTGATTCTTCTGGGATGTTTTAGTCTTTTTTTATTATTTTTTTTTTTTTAGTTGTTTTGATATACAAATACTTGAAGTAGCAAGGAGTCATTAGGGCAAATCCAATCCAAAGATCTTCGTCAGTAAACAACTCTTCAGCCCAAAACGAGGCAAAAAAGGGAACAGCGACAGGGATATAAATAATCGCAACTCGGACCTAGCCGTTGCCTTCGCCAGGAGTAACGTAGTTCCCATACTATGTAGATACTAACTACCATATCCTCGGTCACCATTGCTATTTCGAGTAGTTCTTCATACTCCAGACCGCATGCATGCAATGCAAGACCTGGGATGGGGATGCAATATGCATCAAAACGCGGAGACCTCCGTATACAGTATGTAGCACTGCAAGTCTGCATGTATAGTATACACAGACCTCCAATTTCCCCGGCTGAAGATACAGCCAAGCGTAACTAGGCTTTCACTCATGTATGTGATATGTAAGTTATCTGTTGATCACTGGCAAATGCCTCACCTCTCTGACTGCAGATACCAAACAACAAATGTAGCTACCTAAAGTGTACATGAACGGACTGTGGCTGTGGATGGCGGCACCAATCAGGGATATACGAAGCGCTAAGATAGATATACCGGAAATATGCCGGTAGAATAAAAGACCCTCTCTGTCACAATGCGGGTAAACGGTTCCGGGTGGCGATTTTACGGATAATTTACCATATTTTATTGTCATTTTATTATTTAGGCATATATGACAGGATACTAAGCTGGAAGAGCAATTGTCCATGTGTTATGCGATCGGGCTGTGATTGGTATGGGCGGTTGGCGGCGGTTGTTTTGCCAGCGGAGGACTGAAGGCCGCAAAAATCATTATCCCTCTTAGAGACGCCGGTGTGAGTGCGGGATTACTTGCTGTTCAGCCGTTAAGAGGTCTGGGTGGGTCGACCGAGTACAGTTGACTGTAGATGGAGTGAGTACATGCTTTGCTCAATACAAGCATTCAGGAGGTGCTAGAGTCCGTAGTCGGCGGTTACATGGAACAAAGCATGTTGGAATTGATAGAGTTTTGTGGTAATTAGTATCAAAAAAAAAAAAAAAAAAAAAAAAAAAACCTCCAACTCCAACTCCAACGCGACAATCCGCGAAAGCCCTAATCGCAGTGGAGTCGATTTTGTATGTGCGACAGCATGTCCGTGCTGTGTCCCTGCATGGCAATTGGACAATCATTGGTACGACGCCAGCCCACATGGCGCGATTGTTTTTTTTTTTTTTTCTTTTTTCCTTGATCTTGATAGAAAAAGATAGGAGAGAGGCTAAACGCGGGAAGAATTTTCTCTTTCATCCTATTATCGGGCATGTATCACGCTATCTGGATTCCCGTATCAGGTATCAAGATCAGGATCAAGATGCGGAACCGGGTACGAGTTTCCACGAGCAAATCCTAAGATGGTTTTGTTTTGGTTTTCTTCAAAAGTACTCGGTATATCCGGGTTAGATTAGGTTGGATGATACCTGCCACGGAGGTCGGGCTGTCTCACGACTGCCGAAGGGCGAGGTTTAAATTGGCCAGGATTATTTTGGCAGAAGGGATTCATTGGTGAAACAAGGTTGCATGGATGCAATGACTTGCGTCTTGTGTGTAGTAAGCTTTTCTGTGATATGTAGTGGTGGTGGTCTAGACAGTGTCAATGAGTTCATTGTTCTTCTGACAGACTGACAGTCAGTCATCTCCGCAATCATATAGACGTCAGTTGAATCGAGTCCACATGGTCATGGATTATTATGGGTTATGGGTGTCGAGACTCGAGGACAGTCATATGTTATATCACAGTATGGGTAATGGCATGGATATCGAGGCCACGCACGAACCGTATCGGAGGCCCACATTAAAGACTTTGCTGGCTCGGATGATGCGATGTTAGCACTGCACATCACCGAGCCCTGTTTCTGGAATCCTTGACTCACTCACCGACTCCAATCGTCAAAGAGGAAGGTCGGAAAATTTTGCATGATCTGCGAGGTCAGGGTTCCAAGCCAAGTCAGCTCCAGATGGGAGGGGACCTTGGAATTGAATCTGAGAAAAGCCCTGAAATAGTAGCACTCCGAGTGGACCGCCCAGAGAATGGATTGGATTTAATTCTGCTGACTGCTGCCTCTGACTGTCCCTCCTTTGTTTGTTGCTCCAATTCAAGGTGATATCATGGTTTGCGTCAAGACGGTTGTTATCTCCCGTTGTTCTAGACGGTCCGTCTGAAAATTGGGCCGTATTCCGCGCAGCCGTCATGGTTACATGAGGCTATGAGGCTTTGGCACAGTGGCCATTTTTTTGCCAACAAACCTGTATACTATTTCCGACTCTCGGACAAAGCAACCGTCTTAGTAGTCAGTGTGTGTAAACTGGTGTAAACTGGGTGACAGGAGTCGGATCGCGTTCGGGATGCGGTGCCGGTGCGGTTTTGCCCGATTCACATGTTGCGACCCCGAAAGCGCCCGGCTTTGTTGGTCGCTACGGCTTCACCGTCGGGTTCTCCAGAAGGTCAAGATGGCTAAGATAACTTGGCTAGAAAGGAGTCAGCCTGCCCTGTAGGTAACTTAGTTGTCAGAGTGACAGAAAAAAAAGACACGGTCTGGGCTGGTCTGTGTGTGTGACTGAGGTGAGTCGGTCTGGTGTTTCGGGGATTATGGTCAAATCAGTGTGCCCAACTGTTGCTAGCCGCAGTTTGCGTTGGAATATCACAGCTGTTGCCCTGGGATAATTCCAAAACACCTCCCAGCCTTGCAGAGAAGTGGAGTGCCAGTCGGACAGTGTTCCTGGTAGATTGACAGGATGGTTACTGGATAGGGTGTACGCACTTTGGCTGCTATCCCATGAGCGTTGCATGTTTCATAGTTATACCAGGTGCTCAAGCCTCAGAAAGCTCACGGACTCGTCACCTCGTGTGATTGTCGCTGTGTGATGATGAACATGAACCTCAATAGATATGTAAATCCGATCATCATAGGATCGCCATCTGACAGGGAATTCGTAATCGAGTGGACCTGTCCATCTGAGCTGAAGACTGGTACAGGGAGTCTCCGACCTCATCGACCTGGGGTATGCAACCATAACAAGTAGAATACTGAACAGTCAGAAATGTATTATCTGACGGACTCCGTACCTGACGATTATCCGTTGATCATGGAGAATTGTCGGATTAGCTTCACCCTGTCTTAGATGATGAGCAGTTTCGAATGGACGCGTGTTGAATGAGGGTGGTATTGCAGACGAGCATCATGCCATCCCATGCTATCCCATCCCCTCTGATTATCAAGAATATCAACTGATCCCCCTGCATATCCTATGATCTTCTCCAGATGGGATGGCAATATCAAACAAAGTGGAGAGCGGACACCCTTGTTGTACAACACACCCTGCATCGTGCAACCAGAAAAGGCCTCAATATAGGGCATCTTCAGTCAGGTAGGCTGTGGATAGCTTCATCAGGACAGTCTAGAGGCATCCATTATGAGCTCGATAGAGAAATCGGAGAATATCATGCGGAATGCTGATCCCGAGGTAGAATGATCGCAGCACTCGTGATGCACAACCAAACAACAAACAACCAATTTGTACTATCATTATCGTTATTATAATTATTATTATTGTTTGCATTACGACTCTATATTCAATATCAAGTAATAATACCGCCTCATACCGCGTATTGATCCGCTTCGCTGGGGATTTTTCGGTATGTTTCTGACGTAACGTATCCCGGCTTACCGTTTTGGCACGGCTTTGATCTGCTTCGTCTTTCATTCTTTAACCTCGTCTGTCGCTCTTCTTTCTTCCTTTCTTTCTTTCTTCCTTCCTCTTTCTTTATCATTCTCCCAATCTTTCTTTTAATATCTCATCATCCATGAGACCAAAACTCCACCAACGCCACTTCCATCCCATTCGTCCCTCCTATCGTTATCATCCTCATCGCATCTGCTTCACCGGCTGACTCAACGCCTGATCCATATCGCATCATCTCCGGCCCTAGGGCCCATTATTATTTCTATTCCAGACCCGCCTTGCCACTCCTATCCCAAAAAATCTCCATTACTCCATTACGCGCCAGAGCCCAAAGGAAAAAATAATAATAATAATTTAAAAAAAAAAAAAATCCTGCCGGAAACGGCTGCTATCCCCCCACTAGGAAATTCAGTGGGACCCGTTGTCGACCCAGCCTGCAAATCTGGACAGTGACCGGCAGATCAGTGGCAGGGCTCCATCGCTTGCGCAAAAAAATCCCGTTCTTGTTATCACTCTCTGTGTCATATTTTTCCCTTTTTCTATTTCGTGTTTCCCCTCGATCGTTTCCTTCCTGCTCTTTCAATCTCTCTCACTCCATATCCCATTCTCTCATCGCATTCCAACCCCTCCCTTTCGCATTCCTTCTGGCAGCTGCGCAGTTCGCAGCGGTTGGCCACAACGTCATGGCTCTCAGTTTCTTTAGTGGCGGAGGTAGTGCGAGTCACGCCAAGTACTTCGATATCCGGTGAGTTGGTCCCCTGCACCTGCATCTGTATCTGCCCACTAACATGCGTGTTCGTTGTTTAGTTTGGACGAGGATTATATCGTATTTCGTGGAAGCGAGCATGAAGCCTCCAGTGCTCATCTCAGCGGAAAGCTTCTGCTCTGTCTTTCTGAACCCCTCTCAATGAAGCATATTCGATTGCATCTCACTGGCATCTCCCGCGTCTGGTGAGTCTTCCCCCCTGTCGGAATCATGGTTCCAACCAATCCTACGATAGCGCCCATCGCTGACGACTACCCTGCAGCTGGCAACTCCCCTCCACTTCCTCGGGCGGTGGTCGAAAATCATGGAGGGAACGTGTGTTTTATGAGAAGACCTGGAAATTCAGAGATGCGGGCAAGGGCAAAACGGAAATCCTGCGTGCGGGTAATTACGAATATCCTTTCGAGGTCATCCTTGAGGGCTCCATGCCCGAAAGTGTCGAGGGTCTGAACGAGACTTATGTCACCTACCGATTTAAAGCCGAGATCGGTCGAAAGTACGCCAAAGACATCATCGTCAGGAGGCCTCTGCGCATTATTCGCACCTTGGACTCTAGCGCCCTGGAACTTTCACATGCAATGGTAAGCGATGCGGCTGAGACACTTGCAGATTGGTGCTGACTTTTCCCGCCTTACAGTCGGTGGAGAATGTTTGGCCAAACAAGATTGAGTACTCGATCAGTACCCCGACCAAGGCCGTTATTTTTGGAACTTCGATCCGCATCGACTTTCGATTGATTCCCCTGCTCAAGGGTCTCCGAATCGGCCAGATTATCTCGCAGCTGATTGAAAGCCATGACCTCACTCTCAACCCCGAAGACCCTGACTCGATCCGCAATACCTACAAAAATACAAGGACGGTTATGACCGACGAACATGAATTGGATGAAGATAACAGCATGGAAATTATCGATGAATCGGTAGAGGGGTACCAATTTTCTCGCCATTTGGACCTGCCGAAAACTTTGACTCGCTGCCTGCAAGATACAGACACCAAGGGAATCAAAGTTAGGCACAAGCTCAAGTTCCGTGTGCAACTTCACAACCCTGACGGCCACATTAGCGAGGTAAATAATCCGGAGATCATCGCCCCGACCTCTACTTATTGACGAAATACTGACTTATTGCTGCAGCTGCGGGCCACTCTTCCTGTTTCGATTTTCATTTCTCCTACGCTTGCGATCGACGATAACAACAATCTTGTCGATCAGACCCCCCAGTCCGCCCAGCGAGCAGTCAACGACCTTTCACAGACAGCTCCCCCCTTATATGGCGAGCACCAGTTCGATCAACTGTACAGCCAGCTCGATCCCAACGGCTACCGAACGCCGGGCCCTGGAAGTGGCGGCGTCACTCCATTTGGTGCACTTAGCCGTAACATTTCTTCGGAGAATTTGGCCTCTATGAATGCTTTGACGAATACAGATATTTCCGCCTCTGCTTTGCATAGCCGTCTATCAAACCTCCACAACAACCGGTTCAGCTCGACCCACCCTTCACCCTCCGAGAATGAACACGATTCCGACGCAAATCGTCGACTGGGCGTTCCGGGCGACTACTTTGGCCCTTCATCGGGTTCCCATAGCCCTGCGAGCCCAGAGCTTTCTCGAAGGCCCTCCGATGAAGTTGATCATGAACAGGTCCACTCTGGAATGGCCACCCCGTTCTACCCGTCGTACGCAGAGGCCGAAACCCTCAGTCGTGTTCCGAGTTACTCGACAGCGGTTCGTACGACGGTGCGACCGTGCGATAGTGAACTACCTGACTATCAGGCTGTGATGGCTGGGGATGTTGTCATGCCTCAACCCCCACAGTCGCCTCAGCGAGCTCATATTCGGAGCAGCGGTCGTGGAAGCACCACACCACTGTATTCTCCTATGGAGGTGCTTCATCTCCCCAACCTATTTCATCGTGGGGGCAGTCACACTGACGAAGACGAGCGCAGACTCCGCCTAGTACAAGCCCGCGCCCGAGGTTAGTCTCCTTCGCTTAGGAGCCTTGATTGTCGGTTTCCTTCGCATCGTCTTCGACTTCTGGTCAACCACGAACGCAAATCCCACGATATTTGCCTCTCACCTCTATCGTACAATGCATCCGTCCGGGCACGACTTGAACGGTATACCGAGATCTAATAATTTGCATGCCTTCTCGCACACGCTACCTTGAGTCTTGGCTCGAATGTCAGCATTCTTCGGTATCCGGCGCTGGACGTTGGACACCATCATTCGAAAGGAGAAGAAAACCCTCTAATCATTCTTCTCTTCTTTTCGGAAAAGAAAAAAAAAAAAAAAGCGCTCTGCTATCTTGTATCTATTTAAAGCGGAGCCGTGGGCTGTCCCAGTCTGTCCATGACTTTTTTTTTTGTTTTTGTTTCTTATTTTCATTCTGCCGATACAGGGAGGCAGACACTTTTCACTGGCGTTTTACACCAACAATAGACGGATACTCAGGATTATATGGAGTCGGAATTTTTTAATGGATTATGGGAATGATACGAGCAAGCTGAACCCAACTGGGCAGCATGAGTTACGCACATGTATTCTGCATTGAATTGAAAATGATCATAGCTGTTTCTTTCAGCTTCTGTACTATTATAGATTTAGCATTTAGACTGATTCCAAGCCACTTTTCTCAACCTGGATTTCTTGATTCATGATCGAAAGTCAATCGACAGTTTAATTTGATGAAGCATGACATCTGTGGCGGGGATGATTCCTTGGAAGTTGGAGTAAGTGGGCTGTGGCGGTGTTCTCTGCTTGCGGGTCCCGCGGCATGAGTCTGGGCTCTAAGGAGTAGTGGTGATCAATTATAATGCAAATACATAGTAGTAGATTATGATGAATTGCATCTGAAGATTAGAAGACAGATTTCAGGATCTGTGGATTTGTTAAGTATGAATGGTGAAAGGAGAGGCAATAGTACCTGATAGTGTTCTGTTAGTTGGACTGGGATGATGCCGTCACCAGCAAGTGATACAGACAATCACCAACCAAACACAGCCTATAGAACAATTAAACAAATCAACCCCGTAAACATATCCGCGGTCCCCTGGTTAGAAAACACAATCCCATAGATCTCAATACAACCCCATCACATGGTTCTGGCTGGATCCAAGAAAACGAGAAAGAAAAAACGTGAGACAATGAGGGGTAAGCGGGCGGTGACCTCATCGTCTTTGTTCGGCCGATCATTGCCCCCTTTCGCGTTCAACCCTTTTTAAACTTGCCAACAGAGAACAACTCGTTCTTGTCGGCCCAATTCCTGCCCTGAGCTAGAGTGGCTATATCTATTCCATTCTCTTTGATCTCATTCTCTTCTCTTTCATCAGATTATCTATCAACTTTGCCTTTTTGAATCTGTGAGTAAAATATATTCCACCCCACCTCTCAGGCCCAGATCAAGTCTTAGCAATTTAGCTAACCAACTGCGTCCTGAACTAGCGACAAGTCCAAGACCGGCGGTGGCGTTGTGTGGCCTCCACAGCACTATTGCAACTTCCGGGGTGCCGGACTCGATTCTCAGACGACGATCTTTCTTTCAATCTTTCCTTTCCCTTCCACGAGATTGCTTCCCAATTTAAGGGCCTCGATCACCTTCGTCCAGCATATTGCGGCCACACTTTGAACGCATTTCTCTCGTCAATCCGATCCGAATTCGATCAAGATGTCGGCTACCAGCAGTCCCGTAGAGCCTAAGCTCCCCACTCGCTCGTCGACGGTGACCAGTTCCTTGACGGCTGCGACTCGTCGGCATTCGAATAGTGAGGACGAGGCTATTCCCGACTCTGATAGCAATGAGGTGTGTTTTGTTTTTCCGGTGAAATAAACCAGAGGGGAGCATTCAGGCTAATGGTGTTGGTGCAGACTACCAATCTCCTTCTTGAGCGTCTCCGCGCTTGGAAGCATATGTGTGGATACTTGGAGGATTATGTTAGTGTGACTGCCAAGGTGCAAAAGTCGCAGTCGAAGGATTATGAGAAGGTTCTCAAGGTGGGTTTTATATCATGTGGGATCGTGAGAGCTCAAGCTGATAATGGTGGGTAGACTGTGAGTGACCCGTTGAAGGAAGGTCACCATTTCTCTCAGAGCGTAGGTGGTGTTTCTGGGATGTTTGAGAATATTCGGTCGAATACTCAGGTATGGTTCTTACATGCTTCATTGTGGCGTCTGCTAAGATGATCTAGGGAATGGTGAACATGTACCTTGATACCGAGAAGAACTTGAAGGGCTCTCTACTTCCCACCCTCGAGCGTCTTCACAAGGAAATCAAGAACAAGTCCAAGGAGCTGCAAGCTGGAGCTTCCAAGGGTGCCAAGGCTGTTGAGAAGGCCCGCGGTGTTACTCAGAAGCACATTGAGCTCCTGGCCCAGCAAACTGCCTCGTTCGACGCAGCTGCAGGAAACAAGATCGAACAATCACACGACCCCTACATCTTGCGCCGGGGTGTCAACCACCGCCTGAACAAGCAGGTCATCGAGGAGAACAACAACCGCCAGGATATTCTTGCTGTGCAGAACAACTTTCAGCAATTTGAGAGCCATGTGCTGCAGACCGTGCAGGGTGCCCTGGACCAGTTCTTCCAGTTCATGGGCGGCCAGGCAGACCGCCAGCGTGCCATGTACGCGGACATCTTGGGATCTGCCCAGAAGATTCCTCCCGACTTTGAATGGGTTAACTTTATCACGAGAAACGACAATGTTCTCGTGAACCCAGACGACCCGCCCAGATCTCTGGCCAACATCAACTTCCCCAACCAGGATCACCGTGCTACCACACCACTGATTGAGGGATCATTGGAGCGTAAATCCCGCGCTATGCTCAAGGGTTACAGCTCCAGCTACTATGTCGTCACCCCTGCCCGTTACCTGCACGAGTTCAAGGACGACGATGACTTCCGCCGCGACCCTGCCCCAGAGCTCTCGCTTTACCTCCCCGACTGTGTCATTGGCGCCCTTGACGGCGTCAAGCTCAGTGTTAAGGGCAAGGATGTTTCGGGTAGCAAGGTCGGCAATGCCTTCCACACCACCACCGAACTGAACTTCAAGGCGCACACCGCAAACGATGCTGAGAAATGGTGGAATGTTATCAAGGACGCAACCCGTGGTCCACCATTGCAGAGAGTGCAGACAGGTGCTACCACAGGCAGTCAGCCCGCAAGCCCTGCAGTTGCCAGTCCCGCTGCCGCCAGTCCTGCCGCTGCTGCTTCCGCTGAGCCACCAGCATATAACGAGAAGGAAAAGGAAGCTGAAGCACAGGGTGAGCAACAGGCCGAGAAGACCGAGAAGGCCGAAAAGGCGGAAACTCCTTCGGAAACCGTGCAGAGCCCGACATCTCCGGCCATTAGCCGCACCGCCAGCACTGCTACGGGACACTTCCACACATCTCCCGGCGGATCTGCGACAGGCAATGAGAAAGCATAAGTATTCTGTGAGCATGATTTATATTCTATCATGAGTTCAACTTTAGCCTCGCTCGTTTCTTATACTGAGCATTCATCTATAGATAGTTTATTCTATTGATCTTAATGTATGTAATTGACATTTATACTTCTCATTCGCCCACTTCGCACATGCCCACGATAATTCAATCAATCGATCAAACATATTCATCTATTCAATATACTCCCTCCTCCACTCCATCACATGAATCGATTTTCGCCCTCCGCCCCGATTCTCCGGTACAACAGCCCAATCCTCCAACGTACACTGCTTCCGAAACTGGTTCTTCTCAAACACCCTCCTACTACCGGTATTATCAGTATGCATAGAAGCCTTGATGATATGCGCGTTCATCCGTGGAATCGCCCAATCATGAATAATAGTCCGTACAACAGCCGTCATAATCCCCTTTCCATGATGAGATGGCGATAGATAGTCTTTCTAGTTAGCATCCCCATATATAAATCATAGTTATATAAATCGGATTGAGGGAAAGGGAAAAAGAATACATACCCCCAAACATCCAAATAACCCCCTCCCCCCCAACCTCCCTCCCCTCATTCATTCCTATAGCGTGCCCCCTCTCCTCACTCCCAACCCTCAATTCAGGAAAATTATCCCTCGAGATCGTAACCACGCCAATCATCTGCCCCGAGTTCGCGAACCGGATACACGTAAACGGACACCCGTTTACGAATTGGTCGGTGTGCGCGGAGGCGAGGAGGCGCGCGCTCTCGGCGTACGCGTTGGCCAGGAAGTACACTGCGTGGTCGTGGTGGTAGGGGTAGGGGGGTGTGGTTATGTGCGGGTAGATTTTTGGGGAGTTGAGGAGGGTGACCAGGGCTGTTTCGTCGGAGTTGGGGCGGGGTGGGGTGAGGATTATGTTGTTGTGGGGGTGGGGGAGAGGGAGGTTGGGTTCGTTCAGCATTTTTGGTGTTGTGTTGTTGTTGTACAGTTTATGTGTATGTGTGGTTTGTATGGTTTGTATAGGTAGTGTTGGATAGGTTGGATGGTTGTTGGTGTTTTGAATGGTGGTTGGTTGTTGACGATCTGCGATGTTGACTAAAACTGATAAGTCTCACCGACAGTTTATATTTAATGATGACTCATTGGTTACAGGGATATATCAACCTATATACAGAATACGATTGCGGGAAATTGTATTTCATCACGTTCAAAGAAAATACCCTACCCTACCAAATATACCGAATAAAAGGCCAAGGCAACGCTCAAGGGAGATGTCCAAAAAGCAAAATCATGTCTCATGCATCCAGTACAACGCCAGAAAGGAAATTTTTGGGAATGACTCAGAAATCTTCAGGGCTCTCGAGATCCTCTAGCTTCTGACTGAGGAATTTCCCCAGCGCAGCGGATTTGGACTCGAGTGCGAGTAAGATTGCTGGTGATGCGGATAGGTTCAGCCCCTCCAGGCGAGCGAGGTCGGTGCTTCGGTCGATTTCATATTGTGTCTGTAGGTGAGCATCGATAGGCACATTGGCCTCACTGTGAGCACGCGAATGGTTGTGTGTTGTGTGACCGGATGTCGGGTTAGATGCGCCATGACCATTTGTCCGTGCTCCGTTCGATTCAGCCGCTCCATCAAATCTGCCTGTCGAGGCGCCTAATTTAGACGGTCCAACGGCAGCTAGAAGAACTTTGTCTGCTATCCTTGTCACGACAGAAACTAGGTCATCGAGCTCAAAGACAATTGATCCTACATCACCCAATGAGATGGATTGGGCTGTGACGTAGGAAGACGGGTGACTGGCCGGGTTCACACCCGTGAGATTACCGCTTGAGGCATTCTTTGCGTAGCATGTGTAGGCAGCTCCATAAGTAGCACTTAGGTTGCGCAGTTGGCGAGTCGGGAGAGAAGATGCGTGGGCGAAAATCGCCCCATTCGTTGAAAACACTCTAGGCAACAAGCATCAGCATGCTATAGCTGTGAGGGAACAAAAGGTCATACAAAATCGAGGTGATTTCTGGCGGTGACAGGTTATCCTCCAGGAGGTCACCTAGGGCCTCTGCGTCCAGCATTTTGATATCGGGAAGACCGGGAATCATTGTGACTTCGTCGTCGCAGCTGCCGCTGGTAGTTTCGTCTTCGGAATACTCTGCTTCAATAACCCAATCTTTTGGGGGAGACCAGGAACAGTCTTCAGGGAAGAAGAAACAGTTGTCCTGATAGTCCTCGTCCTCGTGATCGTACTCGATCGGTTCGTCGGAGCACTCTAGTAGATCCCGAGCGCACTGAGTGTGGCGTGCCCAATATGGTACAAACGGGACGTCGTAAATGCTAGTGGGTCTCTTTTCAAAGTAACCCGTCTGAACTGGATTTTGATACTCAGTCATTTTGCCAGCGAAGATGTAACAGATATAACCCAAATGTGGAGTAGAAATTTCGCAAACGAAAGGGGAGAGGAGGGGATTAAATAGACAATTCAAGAGGTAAGATAGGAGCAGTCATTTGAGGCAAGCCAACCAACACGGCTGGTTAGTAAAAGCACAGGCACACAACACCCGGTGTCACAAGAACCACACGGCAAGAGGAAGCAAGAAGCTTCTAGCTCCGGAAGAACGCGCATGGATGGAGAATGGGCTGATCGCTCAATTTGGCGGCGAGAGCTAACGCCATCCCTGCCAGTATAGGAAAGATGCGACATGTTGGACAGCCCTCAAAAGCCATCAAGAACGTGGAGAAATGGGGATAGTTGTGGGGAAAGGTAGCAACACGATGCCCGAACAGAATAGGAAGAATGTCCAGTGGCTGACAACAAATCATGAACGAGGCTGGGGAAGGCAACCAAAGGAAGACGACAGAGAGAGAAAAAAAATGAAGAAAAAGCAAAGAGACAGCAACAAAGCGGAACCAGGACGCAATGCCTGTGAGGAGTAGGCTCGAGGATGATCCTCTGCGTGTGTGTGGATGTCTGACAACAAAATGAGAAGGAATTCCACGAACCTTGAACGATCAACAAGACGACTAGGGCTTGAAAGGAATGAAGCAGACGAAACAGACCGTAAGGGAGGGAGGGGGGTGAATGTCACGATAGGACGATGATTTGTTGTTGATGTTGGCGTTGGAGATCGCTGGCACTTGGAGAGAGAAACGGAGGGCCCACCGCCTTGAAGTCCCCGCCGTGACAGCAGCAGGACATGTGGATGCAATCTGGAGGAGAGAAGAAGAAGAAGCTTATTGTGGCTGTTATTGGCATGGAAAAGACGGGCAACATCAGAAAATAGTCATCTGGGGGGCAGCCAATTTAAGGATACGAAGAAGTGGTTTAAAGGGGCCAATGGAGGATTTTTGACACGCGCCAGACACGCTTCGACGCTGATCTTGAAGCCATTTTAGAACATCGCATCCTTCGATTCTGTCTAATTTGGATAAACTTTAGTCTCCATAAGAGAATAATATGAGATAGTGAGATTGTATAAATAATCATTATTGATGCCATTGGTAAGGTGTTACTATAGTGTACTATAGTGCTTCATAGTCCTCCATCCCCAAGTCTACCTAGTCTATACCTATGGCTATAGCAAACCATCTAGATAGACTCTCGATTACTTCATTAGGATCAGTTTTATCAAAATGCTACTATCCATGTGTTGTATATCTCTTGCTTAATGATTCATCTTCATCTTCCTTCACGGCTCACCGGATAGCGTCATAGCTTCTCTACCCCACCTCACGTTTTCTCCTCACGCCAAATCACCGATGAAAAAAAAACCATCTGTCATCCACTCTCCAACCCCTCCCCCTCCTCCCCTCTCCGCCTATGTTCTCCAGTCGAATCTTTCCTCTTCGATTCTTCTCCCTCGGGGTCCTCGCACCAAGACTTTCTTTTGTGCCAGGTTCGTTCAAAGATCTTCCAACCGGATATCCCCACTTGGAGAGAACCATTGCTAATCGTTGGCTGCAGGAACAAACAGATCGCTCGCAACCATGGCGTCCCAGACTTCTACCTACAAGCTCAACCGTTCGTGATTATCCTTTCCCCCATTATGATTCGCCCATCGATCGGGTTCCTGCAAGATCTGGAGCTGACAATGGCTGTGTTTGGATACAGACTCGATGATCCGGGTCAAAGACCCAAAGAGATCAGGTAGGCGATCCACTGTCAGACCTTAATGTATGTACCTTGTTGGTACATGTCTAACGTCATGTGTTACAGTGGAGTTCTATAAGTTCCTGGGTCTTAACCAGATCCAACAGCTCGACTTCCCCGAAAACCAATTCTCCCTCTACTTCCTTGCCTACAACGGCCCAGCCTCCCTCCAAGGTGACCGTCACTGGACAGACCGCAACGCTGTTTTGGAGCTCACCCACAACCACGGCACTGAGAAAGACCCTAACTACGCCGTGAGCAACGGTAACACAGAACCCCACCGCGGATTCGGACATCTCGCCATCTCGGTCGACAACATCGAAGTCGCCTGCAAGAGACTCGAAGATGCCGGTTATGAGTTCCAAAAGAAGCTCACAGATGGTCGGATGAAGAGCATCGCGTTCGTCAAGGATCCCGATGGATACTGGGTAGAGATCATCCGTCGCCATGATGAGGACGTGGGAACCACCACGGACCCTGGTTCTTACAGACTCAACCACACCATGCTCCGAGTCAAGTCGGCAGAGGACAGCTTGAAATTCTACCAAGAGACCATGGGCATGACTCTCCTGCGCACCTCTGAGCACAAGGAAGCTGGCTTCAATCTTTATTTCTTGGGATACCCCAACTCCAACCCTAGCGTGCGCGAGGGTGCCCATAACCCAGTGTCTGAGTGGGAGGGACTGCTCGAGTTGACCTGGAACTATGGCACTGAGAAGCAGGAGGGCCCAGTGTACCACAATGGTAACGCTGAACCTCAAGGATTCGGTCACATCTGTAAGTTATATTTTCTCAGAATACGGAGTAAAGTGTCTCTAATGCAGTATAGGTGTTTCCGTGGACGATCTCAACGCCGCCTGCGACCGTTTCGAATCTTTGAATGTGAACTGGAAGAAGCGTCTTACCGATGGTCGCATGAAGAACGTGGCCTTCGTTCTCGACCCTGATGGATACTGGATTGAGGTGATCCAGAACGAAACACTCAAGCGCACCAGCAACTGGTGAATTTTTTCGCAACCAGATAAATTAGTAAATAAACCATCATCTCAGATAATATAACCTCCATAAGATCTACACATATGAAACGGGCCAGTCAGAAACACTGGATATCACATAGGTAGCACGTATTGGGGCTGCTGGTCCGTGAGCGAGTCTCGATAGGCCGAATCGCTGCTCCGGTGGGGAAAATCCCCGCTAAAAGTCACGCTGCGTTTTTCTGCCCCAGAAAATGACCAGAAAAAGAAACACAAAAGACAGCCGGTCGCCCTTCGCCATCATCACCACCACCACATCCCACCCCTTTCTCGTTGGAATTCTACTTGGATTTCTCTTCGAGCATGTCGACTGCCACTGCTACCCTATGGATGTCGGATAACCGGATGATTTTCTCTTTCTTTCCCTCCCGAATCGATTGACTCCTTCCCCCAGTCTCCCCGGACAGGCAAAAAGCTTCCCCGCTTAAGAGTCTCGCCGCCACTCACAATGCAGCCTGAGTCGGAGAAGCCCAAGAGGGCGCCGCGCAAACATGTCACCACGGCCTGTGTGCCTTGTCGAGAGAGTAAAATCAGAGTACGTTTACGGCTTGCTGCATCAGACTTGATGCGATCTAGATGATCTTCCATTGATGTTTGCCCGTGCTGATCGAATCAAGTGTGACGGCGCTACTCCGCATTGCAACAACTGTCAGAGGAAAGGTAAAGAGTGCAAGTATCAACATGGGGATGACAAACGAAAGTAAGTCTGGTTCCCAATTGGTATCACTTTGATCGGCATTTCCCAGTCTCCATTTTATTGGTTTTGATCTCTTCTTTTGTTGTCTCTGATTTCATCTCCTGCGGAAAAACGCGGTGGTCGTACAAGAAAACTGGGAACGGGCGCGCTGACCGCAGATTAAAACAGGGTGTCTCTTCGCGGTGCCACAGAGCTCTTCTCCGCACGAATTGATCAACTATGTCAATTCATCTATGATAATGGTCTAGAACCGCCTCCTATGAAACCCGAGGACGAATCGGGCATGAACCGAGTTCTGGATACGCTTCAAATACCTCGCGCACAGGTGAAAAGGAATGGATCGGTGGAGGAGAATAGGCAAAGGTCCGAATCTCAGCCTAATGTCGTACCTTCTCCGGGTCAAAGCCCCCCTGCTCTTCCTCCCGCTGTTGATGGACAGCTGGGTCGGGTGGCTGAAGCTCCACCCGCAGTCTCTTCAGCCTCCCAGAATGCGTTCACTAATCCACCATTCCTTCCCCCTGCGGAGACCAGCCCAGACCCTGTGAATCCATTTGGGATCCCTGCAGGACCGTCTGGGGGCTATAATTCCGCCCATTGGGGTTTCACCCTTCCGACGGCAGAAAGTCTGGATACCATTTATGCCAACATCAATGGCGGTGGTAGCTCTAGTCTTCCACATGATTCTAGCCTAAGCCCGGATAGTCTGCATTTGAGCCAGGACATAGCGCAGCAACCAGGGGTTCTGCTTGGACAGGCACGATTCGAGAGAGAATACGAGTCAGACAGCGGCGAGGAGGATGAAGCTGAGAAAGACGTCATTGAACAGCTCTCGAATCGTATAGGGACGCTGAAAATTGCCGGTGATGGCCACTTGCGATTCTACGGGGCGACTTCGAATCTGAATTTGGTGGATGTGTCTGCGACGCAGCAACGCCAGCGTCCAGATGCACGCACCGTCCGCCATGATGGACAGGACATCTTGAACCATCTGCGGGTCGGACAACCTGTTGATCAAGCCATGGAGGACCACCTCATCGAGCTCTATTTCACCTGGCAGAATCCCAGCACGTATGTGGTAGACAAGGAAATGTTTATGATTGCAAGATCAAAATGGAGGAATGAATTTGACGATACCGCGTTCTATTCAGAGGTACTTACTAACGCAATGTATGTTTTCTTCCTCGAAAATAAGGATTCGGCCAGCTAACAGAATGCAGGTGCGCTATTGGAAGTGCATTTGAAGCACGATACCATCCTACATTCATTACATTCCCAAAATCTCTATCAGAGTTTTTCGCAGACAGGGCTAAAGCCCTTCTCGAGATCGAATTAGACTCTCCATGTGTCGCCACTGTGCAAGCACTTGTTATACTAAGTTGCCATGAAGGGTCTTCAAATCGTGATGCTAGAGGATGGCTCTATAGTGGTATGTCCAAAGCCATCACAAGGTAGATTAGTGGAGCTAATAGTCTATATAGGCATGTCTATGAGACTAGCATTCGACCTTGGATTACATATTGATATGACACCGTATGTTGAAAAAGGCGACATCAGTGCCTTCGAAGCCGATGTTCGTCGAGTAGCATTCTGGGGAAGCTACACTGCAGACCAGTAAGTGAATTCAAAATTGAAGTATTGTCACAGGAGCTCACAAATCTTATAGTTTCTGGGGCTTCTATCTTGGAAGACCCTTTCGCATGAATGCGGGAGATATCACAGTCCCAAAGCCTGCGTCTGACCTAGGAGCAGAGAAGGAAGACACTTGGTATCCTTATGGTCTCCAAACAAAATCAGATGCATCTAATACGGGGTTGAAAAATCAAAACGAGTTAATCAGCAGGCAATTTGCCGTGCTCTGGGAGATTATCTCACCTGTTGGCCATATTCTGTAAGGAACTCTATACGTAACTGGGAGAGAAAAAAAAAAAAAAAAGCTGACAGGACTTGTAGTTATGGTTGTTCCGACATTTCTCGACACGATCTCCAGAGACTCTGTTATAGAGTGACAGAAGATCTGTTTGCCTGGAAGGCCAACCTGCCTTCAAGTCTTGAGATTGACCTTGAAAACGATAATATTGCGATTTTGCCCCATCTCCTGATTTTACAGTATGTTAAGACTCAGCAAGAAAAGCTGGATTCTTGGCTAATATAAAACAGCATGCAATACCACCAAATTGTCATTTTCACCCATCGTCCTTGGGTATCCAAAAATTACATTCAGCCACGTGCTCCACGTCAGGGGCCTGGCTATCACCATGCGCGAAGAATGTGCATTGAATCGGCTACGGCCATTACCCGGATACTCCATATCTACGAAAAGCACTACACATTCCGTCGGATGAACAACCAGGTGGTGGCCATTATATTTAGTGCAGCTTTAATGCTTCTCTATGTCACCATCTCGACTTCTCACGCCTCTGCCAAATCTGGTGGCGACAGCGGCAGCAATAATGCGGAAATGGTTGCGTATCTAAACCTCTGTTTCCGTGCATTAGATGAGCTGGGCCAGTCTTTTGAGAATGCGAAGAGAACTCGAGATTTTCTCGTCAGCCTCCAACGAAGATGGCAAGCTCATATGCGCCGAACAGGCTCGGCCACGAAGCGTCAAATAAGTAACATGCAGTCATCCCAACAGCAAACAGGTCCTATTTCTGAACTAGACATGTCGAGAAAACGACACCGAGCTTCAATTACCGCCCCAAACCCCCATCCAAACATTCCCCCCTTCCCAATACCTTCAGTTGCTACACCTGCCCCGGGCATGACTCCGGGTCCACAGTCACACTCACAACGAAATATACACCAATCAACCGATCCGCCACAAGCGTTCGGCGCATGCCAACCCGGCGATCTAGACTGGATCCGCAACTCCGACTTGCAATTACTCTCAGAGGGTCTGGGCGATACCAATTTCCCCCCATTGGGAACTACAACTTCATACGCAGAGGGAGGCCAGGGATTACCAACTCTTGCTGATATTGAGCCATGGTGGGAGTCGCCGAATGGTAATGGTTTTGGGGGATCTTCTCTATAGAAATAAGTAATGCTAACTTTGCTGGGACAATTGCGTTTTATAGAGGGAAGGGATAGAGGAATTGGTGTTTGTGGGCAGGATCAATTCTATCTCATGAATTTAGACGACTAAATGATATAAAATTTAGATGATGATACCATTTTTTGGTCTCTTGTCATGAATATTTTCTGTCGAAGTAGGGTAGCTGGCAAAGAGAAGAAACAACTTTTATGGTGGATGTGGAGTATTTTCTATTTTGCGCTATTCACCACTAGCGTTACAGATAATTCAACAACAGCTCGTATAGCTCAGTTGGTAGAGCGCATGACTAGTAATCATGAGGTCCGCGGTTCAAATCCGCGTGTGAGCACTTTCTTTTTGCTTTTTTTTTTTTTTTTGCTCTCCTTGATTAATCAAGCCTTCATTCATTTTTTGCTTTGTTTTCTTGAAAGAAACCCCCCTCACAAGTGCCAAGGGGCCAATGGATCCTGCGGCTACGAAGTACCAAGTCAATCCGTCTCTACAACATCCCTCAACCACATCGCTGCATCTTTACCCCCAGCCGAATCCCTAGCCAAAGTAACTTTCCTCTCTCCATAACCCTTCTCGCGACCCCAGAAACACGCACGACGCATGACATTGACCATTTCCTCGGCCTGTCGTGCTAACACTGTTTGGTTCCCTGGTTTGCGGTTGCCAGCACCATTGCTATGATTGTGCTGCGATGATTCGGGAGTCTCATCACGGACGAATAGACGGACCCATGGTAGAGTCATTTCCAATCGGCCGATGGCGCGGTATGGGCTGTTTGCGCCGCTGAGGCCGTAATCCAGTCCGTAGGGCGGCCATCTCGAAAGGGCCTTTCGACGACGGACGACAGTGCCTTTTGAGTTTTCGACGGGGTCAGTTTCTGGATCTGAAGCTGAAGTGGAAATGCTGCCGTCCTCTGGTTCATCATCTGATATGTGTATATCCATACCGCCAATGTCGTCCATGCTCCTTGACCTCAGGACGGGAACAGGGTACTCGGGTCCAGTGAGATATCTCGGAAAGGCCTTGGGGACATCTTTTCCCGCAGACCGAAGGAAGAGGAGTGGCGAAGCAAACGCATCAAAGTATCGCTCTGCTGTGTGGAAGTACCTCTCCCGTGCCTCGAGAAGAGGGACTAGGTCTGGCCGAACAGATGGCTGGACTCGCTTCGCCTTTTTCTTCGTGGTTGCGGAGCCATTGCTAGGACTGCTAGACTGTGAACCATCTGCGGAGATAGTACAATATTCGTCCAACCCAGTCCAGTCACAGATCGGTTCCAGCGCAGCCACGGCACGAACGGTCTGAGCTTCCGTGAGTGCTAGCATCAAAGCCAAAGAACCACCGGTGTGCGTGCCCAAAACACTCAGATGAGCTGGCTGCAGGGTTTGCAGTATCCAATCAAATCCAGCTAGAGTGTCGTGGATCGGGGTGGGGTATTTGAAGTATTCCACGCTGGGCGTCTCATGCTGTATGGCTTCTTCTTGGTGTTCCTCGGGCTTCTCTTCCTTGCCAACTGAACCCAGGCGGTAGTTGACAGTGACTACCGTCGACAGCGTGGTAGAAGCAAGCCCATGTTGCGGTGTGAGGTTCTGTGTATATGCTAGGCTGGGGTATTGCGAGAACAGTGGGCCCGGTGGGAGGTAGAGAATCACATTTGGCCGTTGGGTTTGCGATGTGTTATCTTTAGGTTGAGTTACGCTGGACAGATAAAGACCAGTAAGCATCACATAAGCCGTAATAATCGCATGTTAAATGACGCAAAGTCCGCACCTCAATGTTACATTCCCGTTATTGCCAACAGGGATGGAAAACGTCCTATCGATGCAGAGAGAAGATGAGAGACGTGTGTTCGGACGAGCGTTGAAGAGGCGTCGGAGGATAGGACAAAAGGAATTGCTTATGATGATCATGCGGTGAGATTGAGAAAAGGAAATATTTCCTAGGGAATTAATCAAAGGGCGCATCGCGCCATGTTGGTTGTTGAAGAGTTCGAGGTGAAGTCCGATTCTTGGCGGACAGACGTCACCGATAAGATAAGCACACCCCAGGTCACTTTATATAAAAAGAGATGATAGAGTGTATAATAGTACTGTATAGCGAAAATTCTACTTGAGGACATTTATAAAAGTAAATATTGATTCTTTTGGAGTAAATAAGAACGCTCAAAGAACTATTCAGCTGCGTTGTACAATCAAATCGCTCGACATATGATCAAATGTATTGTAGCACCTCAAAAAGCCAATTGACTGAACGAGAATTTCTCGTTTGTAGCAGATGCTGCTGGATCGTCGAAGTCCAAAGCTGCTTCTCCACCATATTCAGGAGTTGGACGAACGACTTCCAGACAGAGTTGCGGATCCTTGGAATAGACTCGTAGCCCGACCACGCACACTGCATTCCATGGGTCGTTGTTAACTTCTTCTGGCGGACATGGTGGTGCTGGCTGACAGTGTTTTGGTTCTGGTTCCTCAGGAGGCATGTCAATATCAGAGTCGAACTCAAAGCCTTCCAGAAACTTCTGATCATAGCTGCTGAGACCGTTGGTAACGATGTTGGTGTCCAATGGACGCGGTGATCTATACTTGCGCTTGATGCTCTTTGTGTTGAACTGGGTGTCGGGAGTCGTGCCATTGAACAAAGGTTTAGAGCCAACACCATTGGTAGAAACGCCTTCTGTATCCAGTGCCGATTGGACAGGAGGTGTTGGAAGAGGGGCTTCGGTCTTCAATTTCTTGTTGGCCATGCCCCCAGCTCCTGCAAAATGCCTCTCATCTGCCCGGCGTTTCCGCGCCTCCAGCTTGCGTTCCCGGATCCAATCTCTTTCGAGTCTCTTCTTTGTCTCTTCCCGCAGCTTTCTTCTCTCCATTACTCTGCGGCGCTTTTCATGGTTCTCACGAGCTCTCTTCTCGTCCTCTGTTTCGAAAACAAGGCCCTTGGCGTGTGCCAAATCATACGAAAGCCCGATTTGCACGAGCTTCTCCCGTCTGATGGGTGCTAGACGGCTCACAACGTCTTCAGTTGATTCTAAGCCGTCCTTTCGATAGGCAGTGATCTTCACGAGAACGTGGTAGAGACCCGGTTTGAGATAAACCTCTGCATTCACAGATCGGCTCATCAAATAGCTGGTGCGGCTACGCACAATGTAGTCATTGTCACCTTCTTTCTGGAGTCGGAATTTAAGGGTGAAATCGTATTCTCCTGCCAGTCCTTTGAAGTAGCGCTTGTCGAGCTTTTACATTTTTAGTCAGCCTTGAATAAGATAGAATACCATAGTTAAACTCACCTGCGAAAGGACAATAACCACAGAGCCTTCCTTCGCCACGTTAATAATGAACTTGTTGCTGTGGTAGTCTGCAGACCAGGGCACATTGAGAGTGGTCCATTGCCGAGTGACAGTCCATTCAGGCCCGAAGAGACGGGTCCGATCGATGTGCTGATACTTCTTGAGGAGGTCGTTGTAGGAGATCCAAAAGAACTGCCATCTGTCAGTTTGTTCTTTGTGATGTTTTCCTTGCCAAGGAAGACTCACCCCGTCGTTGCCAAATTTATGTCCCAATTTCTCCATCCATTCTGCCGTCCATTGCTCTGATCCATCGCTCCAAGCACCTCTCCATTCCTTTTTGCCCCAGGGGTTTCTCAATCTGAGTAGTCGCTGACCATCAATTTCTCTTGCCTCCATAATCGAGTATGAGTGATTCTCAGATATGCCCTTCCTGTCTCTGGGGGGCCCTTTATAGCCGGGGTCAAGCCAATTTGACCACAGACCAGTACCGCAGCCAAAAAGAAACTCTTTGTTAACCTTCATGAGCTCTTCATTCCAAAACCTATCCTTATCCAGGATATTACTTGTGAGTATATCGGAGGTAACACCGCCAGTCAGATCTTCAACTGCTTCCCTGAAAATAGTTAGCTTTCGTTCCAGATACTCAAGACTAGGATTCTTACCCTACGAATCCGCCTTCAATCGCTGAGTAGTCGCCGTGCGCCTTTGCGTATGCTTTCTCAAGCAATGGCAGCCAAGTCTCATTCTCATCCGCACACTGCGCGAAATATAAAGCCCGGGATCCAGTTTGCCAGACCTTACGGTATTCCTCTTCTGTATCAGTTCTGATGATGTCATCCCAGATTTGCCGCTCATCGACAGATTCATCGTAGTCGGCTGCTCGCAGATACAATTTATCGTCTACAATGCACTGCTGCCATTCATCATCTGTAGAAGGACGAGCGATTAGTACTACATCAAAATGAGAAAACACATACGATGCTTACCTCGATAGAAAACAAACCCATAAACACCAATGGTCTCATCCCGGGCTACGCAGATATTTTCGATCAATCCCTGCTTATTCCCCATGGTGCACAACCCGGCCATGAACCAGCAATCACCATCGCGTCCTTGGCGCACATCAGAGGCAGTTGGCCCATTAACATAGAATTGTGGTTTCTCAAAAATTTCCTAATTTAAGAATAACAATTAGTTTTTAAAGTTCGTAGGAAAAGGGGATCTTTTGAGGAGGCGGTGCATCACGAACAGTTACTCTTTTGACGCCCCTTGGTTGCATTTCCAAGTTTGACCTCTCCAGCCCATCGAGGTAGTCTCTTCTTCCGGATTTCAGGTCCACTCCGATGTCAAAATGAGGATCTGTATACTTCTGATTCACGGCTCTGCACTCTTTGATGATACGCTCGACAGCCCGTTGGCAGTCCTTCTTTGCCTGCTCGTAAGAATTCCCCGCATCTTGTCCTTGAATCACACCTTTGGGGATCCGTGCGGCCTTGGTGCGGGCATACGGGTTGTCAGGCAGAACAGTATAGACCTTGCCTGGACATCTTGTGGTGAACTGCTCCCAGAACTGTTTTACTAGGTCTTGCGGCGATACGTTCTTTGATTTGCGCCGTGTCTGACTCCCTGAGCGGGAAGAGGAAGGAGGGGGGAAGGGCATGTCGGGGAACTCGTCGTCACAGTCCATTATTATTCACTCTAGGTGCTAAAAAAAGATGGATAAAGTATGCGCTCTATTGTAGTGGAATGGAGGAAACACAAGGAGGCACTTGTGGGAGTTGTGAAAGGGTGCTTCGACAGATAGCATTTTGACGGCGCAGGCCGTATTTATGTCCTTCTGGTTCTATCTTTTATTTTTTCCCCTCGTGTCTGATCATGAGGCTGAGTTATGACTCCACAGTCCACAGAAACGCAACTCTTTTTCACGGCATTGCCGACATGTAAAGAACACCTCGTAGGATTCGCTACATTTCGTTCGGCGACGCCCTAGACTTGCAGCCGTTGCTGTAAGGCTACCCACAGTCATTTTTAGACCAGCGGTAGCATCCGCGCCCACGAATCGTGTTGAAGAAGACGATTGTCGGGCCAAAAGATGGCTTCTCCAGTTCATTTCCCCCTTTTCGTGATCACAGCCATCATTGGCTGCCATGTTGTACAGCCGCGTGCGTAAGGCTGACCAGCCATCTGTGCTGGGTCACTTTAGTTCGGTCTTTAGCGGGCGACGGAAGAGCGAAAAGGCCAATGCCCCCAGGCGATCGTTGTCAGCAAACTTGAAACGACTGGCTATTTTATTAATAGTAGGCTCGTGAACTGGTGGAATACGAGTGTTGTTTCAGCGGTAGCCATGCGCTTGGGGGTGGTCCCAGTCGGATTTCCTTTTGTTCTGTCTGCATCACGCTGATAAGGTGTGGGTGTCTAAATTCTCACGTGTGATGGGATTAATCTTAAATCCTTGAACTTTTAGTCTATTCTCAGCTCCCATAGTAGCCTGTATTTTTTGATTTATAAGGCATCCTCGATGGTGGAATCGGCTGGAGCTGAAGGTTGTATCCTGCTATGATTGCGATTCTCAAGCACAGCGCGAGAAACAAGGCGGCGATTGGTCGGAGGAGGGATTCGCGCGGTGGTGGAGGGGATAAAGGATTATCTCGTGCTATGTGGGTACGGCGAATCGACGAATTTGTAGCTGATGGTATTGAACTCGTAATTATCGCCAAAGAAATCATGATTTGTTGCAAAAAAGAGACGGGAAGAACCAATGAAAGAGAGGGACAAGAACGGGCGATGCTATTCTCGCGATGTGATTGGCTCAATCAAAGCACCATCACGTGCACCCCATCTCCATTCCATCTCCAGTTCTCCACCTCCATGGCTTCATCTCCCCAGGAATTCTTATCGTTATCCAGAGGAGAGTATATATATTTATCATGGGTTATCCAAGATGGATACTATAATACTTAATACCCCGGCAAGTGCTAATAAAAAGGTTGCCAGAGCATGTCAACGTTGCCGACGTCAGAAACTCAAGGTACCTTCCTCTAGTTGACATTCATCGAGTTCTCGCTGAGATTTTTAGTGTGATATTCAACGACCATGTACGCTATGCGTTAGGGCTGGTGCTAGCTGTGTGCCTCATGCGTCAAGCCAATGGAAAGTGTATCAGCCAAGCATAGAATCCGAACGGCCCACAAAAAGAACTCGCACGGCGGCTCCAGCGTCCGTTGAAGCGCCGTCTAGAGAAAGTCGGCGGATTAGTATTGATAGAGAGGAACTGGAATCTGTTGATCAAGAAGCCGTGGGACCAAGGAACCATCGGCAAAATGTCCATCTTGGTGATCAAGCGTGGAATTCGAGCTCCACCATGTCCTTAGTAGATGGGGTGAGTCCATGATATGCATTCATCTATTCGACAGCTAATATTTTTGGAGGCCTTTAAATTTCACAATGCAACTGTTCCTGGGGCCCCGGTAACGACTGCCATTCCTGGAGGCCAGCAGCAGGAAGTCCAAAGTGACTCAGGGGAAGAAAGCTCTGATGAAAGAGCAGGGATGAACCCCGGGAGTGCTTCAGCTATGAGGTCCACCAATTTCATTCCGTCAACTGTGAGATCAATGAATCGGTCATCTCAGTCAGCTATAAATGACCTCGTGTCTCTACTTCCCCACTACGAAGCTGCTGCTTTGCTTGTGGACACCTACTTTGACCGAGTTCATTGGTTCATGCTAATCTTTCATCAAGACGAATTCAGACGACGATGGCAGAAGCTATACCAAATATCTAGTAATCAGCTACAGGCAAAGCTTCACAGCATTGGCTTTATAAGTACGTTTTTGATGGTGATTGCCATCGGGTTACAATACGCAGGGGCTTATAGACAGCGCCTTCTGGCCAGTCACAACATTGATCATGAGAAGCTCAAGGAACGGATTTTCTCTTCTATAAGGGCGAACCTCTTGGATATTGTGTCTTTAGGGTCACTAGAGGCTGTGCAAACCTGTGTCTTGCTGGGAACATATTATTTGTTCCATGGAAGCCCTGGACTGGCCTGGCCAGTCTGTGGCTGCGGACTGAGAATTGCTCAAGCCTTGAAACTGCATCGAAAGCTACCTAGGGACGGATCAGGCTCCTTGCGTTCGATCAACCTACGCAACCACAATGAGACAAGGAAGCGTTGCTGGTGGGCTATCTATGAAATTGAGACATTCTGCTCTATGTCGTATGGATACCCTCATAGTATTAGAGATGATGATTGCGACGTGGAGCCACTGGACCCATCGGCCAAATCGCAGTCTGTTCAGTCTCCCAAATCATTCAATGAGCCGCTACAATGCAACACCACACTCTTGGCATACAAATACTTCATGTCCAAGTTGTCTGTTCTTACCAAGGCCGCCCTGGCTGAACTGTATCGTATCGGTCCAGTTTCCGCAAATAATTCAGGATATCCAGGCAATTCAGTTACAAGCCTACATCTTATCGAGAAGGTATCTGAATTCGATTCCAGACTTCGGAAATGGAACGAAGAGATTCCTCCGAAATTGCAGCTGCAAAGCGGAGTGAATGCCGAAGTGAGTTATTCCTCACCAGAGGAACTAGACCGTGACATTGGGGCATCTGGTCCTCGGTTTGAAATATACATTTTCCAACTACAGGCCTTGGCTCTCAAGCTGGCATATGAAAATGCCAGGATCCTTGTTCATCGGCCACTACTTTCTTACAAGCTCGTTAGCAAAGCCAATGATCCAATGCCCGAAAATTCCACCAATACTTCTGGGGAACACCCCGACCCATTCCGCCTATCCCTACAAGTATGTCGCGATGCAGCTTTGAGTACTTCTGAAGTCGTTTCAATGCCAATAGCGGAACTTGTCTCCGATACCTATGCCGCAGCTTTTGTAGGTATTCATACCTTCACAGCAGGAATTACTTTGGGGATTTTAAGCAGTATTGAACCACTAACCCCACAATCCCATGAAGCAAAAAATGGGCTTCACAAACTGATGGCTATACAAACAAAGTTGAAGAACCGATCTACTTTAGCTGCGCAGGGCCTGGAGATCCTTCAGCGGTTAACAAGACACGTCATGGAAAAAGAATTGAACGCGATGCTTGACGTATCCAAACCTATCACATCAAGTGCAGTGGCCGGGGCGAGTGCTACTGGATCTAATTCTTCGCATCCCGATAATATTCCACATGCTACGAATGGCCTGCAGCAGTCCACTTCGCAGCAAGTGGTACGAGAGGACATTGAACATGCCTCGCACATCCCACCGACGGGGAAACCATTTAATGATGGTGTCATCAGTGATAATAATAATCAATTTTTCCAATACGCGGAAGATCCTACCTTGTCGCAAGCAGTCTATGATTTCGACCAAGGTAAGAAAAGCTCATGCACCTATCGTGATTGAATAAGAGGCTGATTGGTATTCCACAATTAGCTATATCAACCCAAGACCACCCCTTTCAACCGGAATTGGAAGAGCCGCCAGTGGACCCTTCGCTCTTTTGGCCATCTGCCAACGACGGGTTTGCAGCGCTTGAGCAGGCATGGATATGGGGACTGGATAACTTTGCACCTCCTGAATGAGGAAATGAATTACGATCTGATCACCATAATTCTATCATTGAAGATCACTTAAACAACATGCTGGAACTCTTAATCCCACAGGTATCTATCATGGATCTATAAACTGCTCATAGCCGCGGTATCATTGGCAGTGGAAATTTAGGCTTTCGAAAAGATCCATGGTCAAACTGAGCCTATGTGCATCTGCATTATATTTCATCTTCAGCTAACCTTTGAGAAAAGTATCTTTGTCTAAAGAGAGGCACAGAAATTATGATCGCCCTACTATGGTATCTACTCACTGCGCATTCGGGAAGGAAATGACACCGCAGAATTGCCAGTAGAGAGGGTATTATGTTTTCAATGCTTCCTGCAGATGATAAACTGATAATACATGCATTATTACGCGACATAAAACAGGTTCAATCTTGATTTTACTTGCTGACTCTACAAATACTTCTAGTAACCACCAAACTCGTCCTCCTCTTGCATTGGCTTGAATGTGACTTCAACAGGCTCATTGCCAATACCCCGGCACTTTGCGTCCTCCAAAATAGCAATGGTGGCTGTGGCTCCGATGCGGGTAACACCCAGGCTCATGACATGCAGTAGATCGTCCAAAGTTCTCACACCTCCGGCAGCCTTGATCTGAACCTTGCTTCCAGACTTCTCCCGCATCAGCTTCAGAGCCTTAATCGTGGCACCCTTGTAGTTGTATGAACCATCAGCCTGCTTCACAAATCCATACCCCGTCGAAGTCTTGACAAACGCAACATTCAGCTGAGTACAGATTTCGCAAAGTCGTGCAATGTGCTCCAGCTTGAGGTAATCGTTTTCGAAAATAACCTTTAAGATAGCGCCGTTGGCTGTGACAGCCTCGTTAATCTGACGGATCTCGTCGGTGACATATTCCCAATCACCACCGAGGACCTTGCCAACGTTAACTACCATGTCAATCTCAGCACCGCCTGCCTTGGCTGCGGCAGTGGCCTCGATGACCTTGATTTCTGTAGTGCTGTTGCCATGGGGGAAGCCGATGACAGGGCAGACCAGAACGTCTGTTCCGGCAAGTTCTTTCTTGGCTAGGGGGATCAAGTACGGCTTCACACAAGCTGTAGCCACGTGAGCTTCGCGACAGATCTTAAGACCGGCAAGAATATCGGCGTCTGTCATGGTTGGGTGGAGCAACGAGTGATCGATCATCTTGGCGAGTTGAGGGAGGGTGACGGTGATGGTGTTGGCGGCCATTCTGAAGTAGGATAAGTGATTTTGTAAGATGAGAGAAAGTTTCAACGATTAATATTCAGATAAAGAAGTAAATGAAATTATTGGATTGTACTTAATGGAAATTAGTCTTGTCCGATGCGATCTTTAAGCCATTTAAGTAGAAATCCAAAGTGACGGCCACTATACAACTGTACCGAGAAACTGACTCCGGTGGAACCAGTTACCTTTTACGGAAATTCCCGGTGGCCGAGTCCTTGTTTGGCAAGTATCCCACCGGTGCCATAGCCCTAAATGACTTCGGTTGATCAGGGACTCCATAACTATAACTACGCATTACACGACAGAGTGGCGAAGATTATTATCATTTGTTGGCTGGAATGCGTCCCAAGTCAATAGTAGTGATGGGTTATATTGAATATAGAGCGATGCCTAATGCACTAAATTGTGCATCATCATTCATCCCTATGCGGGGTGCCGTCCCCGCTGTCGCCACAGACCTCTTGCTGCAGTCCACGGTGCACAGTTTCCAGACCCGCCTCCTGCCCACTTAATGATGCTACTGACACTGTATCCTGCTACCCACTGCTATGTGACTGGTGCCCCTAATGTTGATGCCCCCTTCCCTGCCGCTGATGAGAAGTACACCACCGGTGAGCGGGTGGCATGGCTAGAGCATTAGATAGAAATACCGAAGATAGGAACTAGAGAACAAGGCAATATGATTACAGAACAGTTAATTGTTGTCCCAGTACCTATAGTTAGACATGAGTGATGAAACAAGCTCAAGGGGCTGACAAGAAGAGAATCAGAGAGGAAGAAATAGCATTTGTTGATACGTATGCAGCCGGTGACGATGCAGTCACGAAGACTCCGTGTGCGCCTTTTCCGTCGGTGATCTGGCGTGCGTCTGCTGCTAAGTCTTTGGATTGGGTTATGTCAATGAAGGCTTCGCAGCCGAGTTGGAGGCAGAGGGCTTCTTGTTCTTTCTCTGCATCGATTCCGATAACTCGTAGCCCCATTGATGACGCCAGCTGGATGCCCATATGCCCTACACCTCCACCAGCTCCGATGAAAGCTGCTCACTGGCCGACGCGAAGCTTGGGTTCCTTGAACTACCACGATCCATTGTTAGTTGTTATAAACGCTTCAATTATAAAAGAGTCTTACGGCACGAAACATGATTGAACCACAACGCATAATCGGCCCAGCAGCGAAGTCATCAACTCCATCTAGAATTCGAGACGTATACCGTGCCGGACTAACAATATACTGCTGATAGGTTCCTGGAATCTGTCAGTAACAATGACCTTAACGATGGAATCCAGAAAGGAAACACTCACCTGGGGGCATAAGCCCAGTCGGTATTGCTTGTGCACAGTGGCATTCCATATCACTTGAGCACAATTTGCAACTCATACATGTATCCCACGTAGGCACAATCCTAGCACGATCCCCAATCTTCCAGTCTGTGACACCACTGCCGATTCTGACGACACCCGCCCCTTCGTGGCCTGGAGAGCGGACGCCATAATCGTTCATTCGTGGTAGAGGGAGGTCTTCGAGCATGTAGTGAATGTCGCTGTAGCAGAGACCGGTTACGTTGAGCTTGATCAGGAGTTGTCCCGGGCCTGTTGAAATAGCCTATGTATTAGCCATGGCAGTCAGAGAAGAAATTGAGATGGAAAACCTGCCTGGACTGGGAATAGAGACATCTTGGACGCTCAAGTCGAAGTTAGGTCCACGGTTGGTGACGACGCCTACTCTGCATGTAAACTGATCTGGGACGTGAGTGTGTGCCATGATGGTCATAAACAATAGTTCGTTATAGACTGGTAGCGAGTTAAGTACTTAACTTACCTTTTTATCTCATAAGACAAGGCAATAAATAAATGGCATGGGGTAAGCTGGTATCCCCGCAATCTGGAGAGGCATTGATGTGTCGATACCACTGGAGGTTGAGAGGTGCATCATCGGTGGAACAAATTACCCTGTCCAGTTAACATCGACAATCAGAAGTAGTATCACCACCCGAGGTGGACTTTGTTCAAACCGAGGTCGAAGATATTCCTTCATGGGGATGATTAAAACCTAGTAATATATAAGACACAGTAACTGCCCAGTCATGTTCATAGGAGGACTCGTTTGCATGGGTATGTACGTTGTCAAAAACACTTTCTTTGCAATATCCAGTAGCCTAACCTCCTTCCTGCCAGATCACTCCACAAATAACGCCATACAAAGGAAACGGATCAAAAAGATTAAAGAAAAGAAGAGAAATAGCAGCAACGGAAAGCCACAAGCACCGGGAAGCTGCACGATGGTCAGTAGGGAAGTTTCACGACCATCTGCACCCAGCATTCGTGGCTCCATCTGCGACAGCCATCCAGACATAAATTACATACAATATAAGAGAATCCGGGGCACATTCATTTAGTGGAAGCCATTTCTCCTGGAACGGCCAGAGTAATGTGAGCTGCCATTTTGGAAGTATGGGTGCATGCACGCCTGCTTGGCAGAAAGTCGTGTTGCCGGGTCATATTCGAGCAGAGCCTCAAGGAGGTTAAGACCATCGTCGTCCAAGCCAGGGACAAGTACGTGGAGGTCTTCACGCTTCCACTTGGGGAAACTGGGCTTGTAATCGGGGAAGGATGTCACACCGGGCCATGTGATTTCGTCTGGGGTACCGAGAATCCTGAGAGAGGTAGGATTAGCAAATGGATACTGATTACCAGGTGAGATAGCGTACCGGAAGATCTTGAAAATTTCATCAATCTCGGAATCACCAGGGAACAAGGGTTTGCGAGTGCACATCTCGGCGAAGATAGCACCGGCAGACCACATGTCCACACCGGTAGAGTACTGACGGCCACCCAACAGAATTTCAGGAGAGCGGTACCACAAAGTCACGACCTGAGGACACATTAGCAAGATTGCAAGAGCTGCCAGTATAACAGTTTAGTTACCTCGTGAGTGTAGGTTCTCAATGGCACACCGAAAGCTCTCGCCAATCCAAAGTCAGCCAGCTTCAAGTTGCCCTCACGGTCAATGAGCAGGTTCTGAGGCTTCAGATCACGGTGCAGGATTCGATGGCTGTGGCAGTAACGAATTCCCTCCACAAGCTGGGCCATGAACTTCTTAACCATAGCCTCCCCCAAGCCCATGGTTGTACTCAACGAGGTGCCATCCGGGAGAGCCTTTCCGCGTCCACCTTCGCTGACCGGGAGCGCTTCCATGTATTTCTTCAGGTCGAGATCGAGGAATTCGAATACGAGGTAGAGCTTGTGGCCGTCGGCATGAACGATATTGAAAAGCCGCACGATGTTCGGATCGTTCATTTCCTTGAGCAAGGAAATTTCCCGAATGGCAGTACTGGGGACACCTTCATCCTCTGCCTCCAGACGAATCTTCTTCAGGGCGACAATACGGTTGGGGTGAGTAAGCTCGCGGGCTTTGTAGACGACACCGTAAGTTCCTGGAATAATGAATTCGAATTAGATTTGCCGTTTCGGATACAATGAAAGTGATTACACGTACCCTCTCCAATCTTTTCAATCTTTTGGTAGTTTTCCATGATGACGGACGGGAGATGGACGTTTGGGATTCACAAAAGGGTACGATAAGCTTCAGCCGAGATAAAACGACGCGGAGAAAGCGAAACAGGGAGATAAAGTAAAGATCGTAATATCCCTTGGCAGTTGAACGTGTAACTCGAGTTACACCAGCACGGGGAGTTTCAAGGGCACAGAATGCAGCTGTTTTGTTGCCCAGGGGAAGTCCAGAGAGGGGGAGGAAACAACGAGAGGGTTCAGTCGAGAGGCTGCGAGGAGGCAGTGAGTTGGCGACAGAGTGACAGCTAGGGGGTTCCAATTGCCGACAGACTAACAGCACCGAGCATCCAAGGGCGAAAACCAGCCGATAACTAGTCGATGATAGAGATGGCGATGTGCGTTGGATTATTGATTCTTTTCGCCTGACGGTCGTGGTGGGGAGCGAAGGCGGTCAACCAATGCGGCTGTACACAAACAAAGGCGCGAAGAAAGAAAAAACAAAAGGCGGTGGGCGCGTGAACAGCTGACTTTTGCTTTTTGGGGATTCGGACGATGAGGTCGACAGAGTCGATTGATCGGATCTTGTGTTGATTGGTACAGAGCCAAAATATTGAAACAGCCTGCATTTATCGTCATGGCTCAGATTACAGATCTTAATGCTCACGAACGCCCGCCGGAGATCGTCCGCCAGCGCTACAAGAAATACCAGAAGATCCCCCTCCAAGATATTGATGGTGATACGGGCATTATCGATCTCCAGGCCCTGGACCCGGAGAATTTGCCAGACAGCGTGTCTCTCTCGCAATGGAGATCCAGCGAAGACCTTCGATTGGCATTTGACGAGTTCGTCCAAGGAAGCCATGATTCCTCGGAGAGAGGCCCTCTGATCGAGGACATTCCTGTATTTACTCACAAATCTGTCTCTGGTTAGCATAACTCATCCTAGTTTTTATATGAAGAAAGGGAATGGAAAACACTGTAGAACGATCCCTAACACATGGCAGGCTTGCAAATGATCCCGTCAATGTTTCCACCCACCGTCCAGATAGAGCTTTTGTCTCGTTTATTCCACCGAGATTTGTCGAATCCGCAGCACCAGACTAATCTTCATCTGCATTATGATGTTACTTATCCGGATCAAGTGAGGGAGGATGTTACACAGCATGATCATGCTTCGTCGTCGACAAGTTCCTGTTCACCAGACAGTCAACCCCCATCTTTCTTCCAAGACGACTTAGCCCGTGCCATATATCCTAAGGATCCTGATGTACACAAACCTCTTACAGTCAAGAACATTCTGGATAAGAAGCTTCGATGGGTTACTCTTGGTGGGCAGTACAACTGGACTATCAAAGAATATCCTCCCGACTCCCCGCCTCCATTCCCAGAGGATATTGCCAAACTTTTACTTGCGTCTTTTCCAGAGACGGATTCCCAAGCAGCAATTTTGAATTTATATTCCGCAGGTGATACCTTGAGTGTCCATCGCGATGTCAGTGAAGAATGCGATAAGGGATTGATCAGCGTGAGCTTTGGCTGCGATGGTTTGTTCTTAATCAGCCATGACAATGGTGACGGATGTGAAATTATCCGACTACGCTCAGGTGATACTGTGTATATGAACGGTGCTTCTCGCTTCGCCTGGCATGGTGTGCCAAAGATTATACCGGCTACTTGTCCGAGCTGGTTGGCCGATTGGCCATCTTCTCCAAATGACCGATCTGATACCTCGCGATATGAGACCTGGAGGGGCTGGATGTCGGGCAAAAGAGTCAATTTGAACGTCCGCCAAATGACAGCCTCTACATGAGCAGAATATCACTGACACCAAAGAATCTACAAGATTCAAGGAGCTTGCTGAACAGTATTGCTGACTTTCAGCATGCACTATTGGCTTATCCACCAACACAAGTCTCTGTGAGTTCTCTGCTGGCTAAGACCAATCATAGAATTGTCAACAAATTCTGCGCCAGGCTGGTCCTCACATCATTGCTCCAAGGGCTTGAGTATCGCACCATAGTGGGTATTGCGTTTTACGTCCAAGCACGACTCGAGCTGATATGTAGTCCTTATGGGCCAATTATGATATCAGATCCCATATTTACGGCATTGCAGCCCGAATTATATTCACTGCTGCTATACCAAACGCCAACTTGATCACCATGTTCACAGTTATTGACCAACCCTTTTTGAGCCATTTGGACCACAATGTCAATGATGGTCTAATGGTTTCATAAAACCCTCCAATTCATCGGCACATATTTATCTATCATTGATTACGAGATTCAGCCATGTCTTTCAATGTATAAAAGCTGTTTTTGGTTATATCAGCTACCTGTTGAACGATAACATAACTTGTCGATGATGAACACCGATAATGTCTTTCCAGTCGGAGGAACCATACGAGAGAGCTAAACGAGCTGAGATCTAAATATTTCTCGCGATTTGCTCAACTGTCAAGCTCAATAAATGATATTACTGCACTCGGTTCTGCTGTGGAATTGACGTCAGTGTTTACGCCAAATGTTATGAAAACCCAATCGGGGTCTTCTCTCTTGAAAAGACCCCATACATCACTTCATACTTCTATACCGAACCCATCATTCAAAATATTTTCCGAAACCCCTCGTCATGAATTGCCAATGGACGTCCCCGCACAATCCGAGCTTGTTAATACCAAGAGTGGCAACAACGCGAGTTTGAAGCAGAAGAAGTAAAAATTAGTTGAATACAAATATTAAGTTGTCATTCTATTAGTTAACCTTGTAGTCGTACTGGCCTTCCACTTGCTTGGCTGTGGTTTAATACACCGCTACCTTAGACTCTTGTCAATACCATACCTAAGGCCCCGTCAAATGAGGCATCATCGATACAAAAATCTAAACCAGTGACCAAGGCCTAGAATTGAGACACACATTTGAACTTGTCTCACCGATTCAACCACTTTGTAAGCGTATCTGTACGTCCCACAACCCCCGCACTATTCGTCCCACAGGTCCCGCAGGCAGGCTGGAGCACAAAGACACATCCGGGATGTTTTTAAAGGTATAATATGAGATTAGTATTCATAACTACCTCAAATTTCCATACCTAAATCTACTATTTTACTATCCAATCCCTCAAAATGTCTTGGACGCATCTTATACGATTCTTGGCCGTCGAGGACAACCAAGTTCATCTCGGCCAGCTGATAGATACCACTCGAGATGTTGGCAGAGACAGTGTTGATTCCAAATCTATCGGAGCCTTCTTGATTAACGGTTCGATCTTCGATGGCCGTGTCACAAATGTGATTATGCATGTTAAGCAGGTAAGCCACCCTCCTCTCCATGGACTTGGCCATAACTAACTCTACAGTTACTCTCTCCCATCACGCGAGAGGAGTGTAATTATATACGTTGCCTGGGCTTGAATTTCCACGATCATGCAAAAGTAAGTAACTGCAGGATCCGGTGTTTTGAACTGTATAAAAACCTGTTGAAGTCGGCGATGATGAGGTGATGGAGAATAAGGAGGGGGACTACCACAATTTACCACTCACTTCCCTAAACAACACCAACTAATACTTGTTGTCCAGGAAGCTAGCCTCGCCCTCCCTAAAGCTCCAATTCTTTTCACCAAACCACGAACCGCATTAACCGGCCCCTACCCCGCCACCATCAACATCCCGAAATGTGCCCAGGACGAGACAAGCGACTACGAAGCCGAACTGTGTGTCGTAATCGGCAGAACCGGTCGAGACATTCCCGAGGAAGAAGCGCTGGATTATGTACTGGGGTATACAGCCTCAAATGATGTTTCTGCACGGACGCTGCAGATGGAAACGTCGCAGTGGTCATTCTCGAAGGGGTTGGATGGGAGTTGTCCACTTGGTATGTCCATTACCTACCCAACTCACAGTTTATCATTTTAACATAACGATGCAGGCCCCGTTCTCGTGTCCCCATCTGTAATCCAAGACCCACAAACCCTCTCCATCAAGGCGATCTACAACGGCGCAACAGTCCAAGACGGACATACAAAGGAGATGATCTTCTCGATCAAGAAGCAGATCAGTTATCTGTCTCAGGGAACTACGCTGGAAGCCGGCACGATCTTTCTCACGGGTACACCAGCTGGAATTGGATATTTCAGGGAGCCTAGAGTGGTGTTGAGGGAGGGGGATGAGATTTCGGTGCAGATTGAGCAGATCGGGACTTTGGTTAATAAGGTTCGGTACGAGTAGTAGGAATAGGTAGAAAGAAGACTTGTTTGAGTTCTTTTATGGATTAAATATATTTTTTGACTCTCCATGTGAAGATATCTGATGTATTGAATGCAGTATACTATTTAACAGAGTACTATATATGTTACCTTATCTCCATTCTGATGGATATCATTTACACCAGCCATAAATCGAGTAGTATAATTACCCCTTCCATTCTCTTCTTCTATTCTTTTCTCCTTCTACTCGTACATATTCCCAGTCAAGCTTCTCTTGTTCAGTTGCCGACAAAGGCTATATATATTTCGGCAGCTTTTTCTAGAAAAACAGGTGTACTCTTTCAAAATTCCGACTCTAATTGATTATATGAGACTTGATGGCCGGAAAAGAGAATCTGGTACTGAGGAGTGACATTCAAATTACTATATTTAACTACCTTAGGGATAGAAGCTACAGTGTCTTTGCAATATAATGAACCGTTGATTCAACAAACTAAAGCATCACGATATAGTACCAGCCAAAGAATAGATCAATCCAAAAAGGAACCAGGCACCACAGGTCCCCATATGGCAAGTGAGTCTGGGCCAGCAGGTCCATATCCTATAGGCGTCTCCTCATTCACCAGATCGCCATCTGCATAATGCTCAATCATGTTTCCCGTGGTATCCCACCAGTAATCAAAGAGCTGCGATCCCAGGATATGCCGGCCAACGCCCCAAACAGGCTTGTACCCTTTGTCTGTCAGCCACTGATGGCCCAGCTTCTGTGTATCGAAATCGTGGACTTCAAATGAGCAGTGATGCACATGGCTCGAAGGATTCTCGGACATAAAGAAGGTATGGTGGTCGACGTATTCATCGCCACGGTCGATGTGGGCAAATATGGCGACATTCTTCTTTTGGCCTTCTTTTTCAACATAGAGGAAGTCCGTTGGGGCGAGGTTGAAATTTGTCGTATAGAATTCGAGGAGAGCGTCGAATTTCTGGGTGCAGAGGCCGAAATGCCCAAGCTGGGGTTGTTAGTACTCTGAATAGTGACGTTATTTGGGAGAACGAACTTTGTGAACAGCAGCTGGACCAGGAGTGAATCGCTGAAATCGACGCTTCCGCTCCTTGTTGACTTCATAGTTTACGGTGAGTTTCTCCGGAAACACACCGGGAGCCGCAGGAGTTTGGCCAAACAGCAGATTGACTGGAAAGCCTTCAGGGTCAATCACCGTCACCAGATGACCTCCTCCAGGTGAATCAGTCAGTTCTTGGATCTCGCTGGCGTTAGGCAGTTGCTTGGCTCTGTGTCTGTCAGAGTTATCTTCTTATATTGTGGAAAGATGAATCTCACTTCTCCAGGTCCTGGTACGATTCAACCTCAAACGCTCCTCCCAGAAACTGCTTTTCTCCCTTGCGGGCATAGTATACATACTGATCATTTCCGTATCCTCGATACCAGATTTCATTTTCAGTTTGTTTGGCCACGACCATCCCAAAGTCTGTCTTATTAGCCATATTCAACTGAACCGATGGATCACGAATACCTTTGAGAAAGACGGTGATTTCATCTAGATCAGGATGTTGGTATCGCATGTGCGAGAGCTTCACCAGCCGGATCTGTTTTTCTGTCTTGATGCCATTTTTCTCTTTCCAGACTTGGAGATTCTCGCTTTCCTCTCCGATCGCTGCTATGTCTTGAACTGAGGCTCCAGACTGGTATTGTTAGTGCTGAAGGGTATCTCAGGCTGTGTTTCATACCATGTTGAGTATTTTGTCAAGTTATCCGTTCTCTGACTCTGATTTACAGATACTCTACAGAAACCGAACCTATCTTTCCTTAAATCGTTTGATCATGTCTACTGCATCAGCTTACGATCACGTCCCACGCGGGGAATCAAAACGTCCCACACCAGCTCAACACCACAATTCCCCGCAATCAACCCCACAGGCGATGGTCGATGTCAGATATGACGATCAGTCACAAAGAGGGTAACCGTCCCACCCGATCCTGGGAGCTCTCGTTCTAATAATAATATACCGGCTATGTTTGGTTGGGGATTTGATGCGTCTTTTAAACACGGCCAAAAACCACAGTATGCCACCGTCTCACATCTCACTTAGTCTTCAGCACCATGGCTCATAGAGAGGAATTCGAAACCACCGATGTGGTGATATGTGGTTGTGGACCAACCGGGGCAATGCTGTCGGCCTATCTTGGTCAGATGTCGATTCGCAATGTTGTCCTGGAAAAGCATGACGAAATTACTACCGATCCGAGAGGAATTGCTCTAGATGAAGATGGAATTCGTCTGCTTCAGGGGGTTGGAATTTACCAATCAATCTATACTGAGATTGGGTCGTGTTAGTCCTCTATCTTCAGTTGAAGGTATATTTTCTAACACGTTTAGGCATGGGAAGGTTCCAGTTCGTCGGGGGTACTGATTCAAACTTGGACAAGAAACCCTTTGCGGAAATAAATCTCGAGATGGTAAGATATTCTTCACTGAATTCAGAACGCGTTTAACGATATCATAAAAGACCCAAGGTACAGGCCATGTGGGCTTCCTTTGTCACAAGCAGCCAGCAATGGAGAAACATTTAAGAATAGCAATGGCTTCGTCTGAATTCTGCGAGCTGAGATCAGGCTGTACAATTGACTATCTTTCAGAAGATGGAGACTGGACATACTGTCGCTATTCTGATGCCCAAGGAAGCAGGAAGCAAGTTCGATCGCGATTCTTTATTGGCGCTGATGGTAAAACCGGATTCACGAGAAAGCACTATCTCGAGTCCCGGGGAATCAAAATGGAACAGGCTCATCGGTACATCTGCGTTATTTTTTTTATTTACAAAAATACTGATACATGACAGCGCCTTTTACGATGAAACATGGGTGGCATTGAACTGGAAGATATCATTGCCCAATGAAAAGACACACCCTGATTTCCCACTTTGGTCTTTGGGGTATACCCCGGAGCAGGTTTACGATCTTTTCTTTCCAGTTAGTTTCCGGTTTCTGTGTAATCCGACACGGCCTGCTGTTTGTGGGCGGTTTGGTTTACCATCAGACCGACTATGGCGATTTGAATTTGTTGTATTGAAAGATGAAGATGGCGAAGAGATGGCACAGCCTGAGATGATAAAAAAAGTCGTTTTTCCGTATATCACACATCCGGGTACTCGCTATGGGTAGGTGTGGTTGAACGGGAGGAGATATTACCAGCTGACTCTATTAGATTGAAGCAAGATATCACATATCCTGAGGACTGTATCAAGGTTCTCCGGTCACGTCCGTTTAGATTCGCAGCTCGGAGTTGCAACAGATGGTCTCATGGCCGCGTCGTCTTATGCGGCGATGCAGCGCATGTCTTTCCGCCGTGTAAGTCTTACAATGGTTCAAATGTAGCAGGGCTAATGCTTCAAAGTTGGAGGTCAAGGAATTGCATCTGGATTCCGTGATGCTATATCTCTGGCATGGCGTCTTGCATTACTTTGCAGACCTCAACCCTTTGGGCCTAGCTATCACGATAAAGTCCTGAGCGCCTGGTATTTAGAACGCAAGCAGCAGCTCGAACGATCCCTCTCAACTACCATCCAAAACGGACAGTTCGTGACAGAGAGTAATCCCATCAAGATCTTTTTACGTGATTGGTACTTCTTTCTCATACGCCTGATTCCATGGTTGTGCCGGTCACAATTTGATGGCCGAAACGAAATGGTCCAGTACAAATACTCAGCTGGAATGCCATTCATCCCGGAGTATAGCGGCGGCTTGTGTCTTCCTCAGGTATACTGCAAAGCTGTTGATCGGCCGGCTGGTGATGTCCTCTTTACCGATGATGTTATCTTCGGACCACATAAAAAGGGACTATTCCAACTCCTCGTCTATCTCAAGAGCTTGAGTGAACTTACACAAGCTCGAGAGGAGATATCCGATATCGAAGATATCTCAAAAGGAGAGCTTCATCTTGAGGAAGTGACATTCATTGTCGAGGACATGCAGTGCAATCCATCAGAAGCAGCAGGACAAGACCTTTCTTCTGTATTCCGGCTTGCGAATGGAGAAGAGTTTTCAAATTCCCCTCTATGCCATCGACGTCCAAAGGCATTGCGTTATGACCCTTACTATCTTGGGAATGAGCTGCGAGGGAGCAGGTTTGTGATTGCTCGACCTGATCGGTTTACGTTTGCGGCGTGTGACAATAAGGAGGATCTTAAAAGTGCAGCTCTGGGGGTAGTTGCGTACCTTCAGGGAGGAGATATTAGGTATTATTGAGCAACATTGGGCCAATCAGCAGGGCTGAGATGTGATGGTACTGTTGTTGACTCTATCGAGATGTTTATCCTCCCCTCAATGTATATTTCTCTACACAACACCCAATAATGAGAATCCATTTTCCAAATCACATGGAAAATGGATATCGAGTAAATATTCTATAGAATCGAACATTATAAAATTTTATATCGAGCATCGTATTCGTTGACTGAAAGTATGATACTTGCATACCCCACATGGGGGCCATTCCTGACTTCGGCGTGCCCCCAACATCTTCTCATCCCCAAACATCCGCCTTCTCCGCACCCCAGACTCTCTCCCTCTAAGGGCCCCAATGCCTCGCAATACCCGCAGCAGGAAAGAGCGCACATGTTCCTGGTGCTCTCAGTCATTCACCAAAGATGAACATCTTGCCAGACATATTAGGACGCACACCAGGGAAAAGCCGTTTGTTTGCGATGAGTGTGAGAGGGCGTTTAGTCGCCAGTGAGTTGTCGTAAACTCGTGTTTTGGTTAGAGGATTAGGATGAGCTGACTATCTAACAGTGACTCGCTTTTGCGACATACAAGAAGTCATCAATTGCGCAGTTCCCAGCCTGTGAGAATCCAGGCGGCTTCTGTTTCGGAAGACACGGTGGCGGGTTCGGAGCAGTCTGGTCAAATCATGCGCAATTCAGTGCCACCTTCTCTTCATGGTTTGGATGGAGATATCGCTGAGCCTCTACAGCAGCCAGCTTCGCATGTTGGTGAAAACATTTCCTGTGCTGGGAATAGGTCAGAAGCACTGCCTCTGTTCGCCCGGTTACCCGGGAATGCCGTCGACTTGGACTCAGCAGGGATCGTCGCACAAGATGCTGGACTGTTCAATACCGCAGGTCCTGGAACAGGGGTTGATTCTTACATGGGTGATATAGGTGTTGGAAGCTCTAATGACGGAACTATCTGGGACTTTGATGCAGCATCCTTGCCTCCAGCTTGGTTGGCTAGTGAGGATTTTGATTTGAATGCTCTCAACTCGTCTATCATGGCTTCTACCACAAACTGGTTTCTGCAGCCCGACAGTCAAAATAATGTCGAGGCGACAAATTACGTTATCCAGCCTTCTACAAGCATTGACTCAACGCGACGAGAAGACATCATTCGCCAGCAATGGTTCACGTTTATAGGGGACATTGAAAACGGATATGATACGCCTGATGTCGTACCGGAAAAGACACAGGTTGACGAAGCATACAGGGAGAGTCTGGCTGATAAACTCTACCAGCAAGTCCCTGCCTTGCCTCTCCCGTCTACTGACTTTTTGGTAAGTTGGAGGAGTATCTACGATAATACTTCTGAAGTCTAATAAGAGCAGAACCTATGCATTCAGATGTACTTTACCCGCTTCGATCCTATTTTCCCAATTGTGCATGCCCCGACATTTCGACCATCTGCTCAGAGCTCGCTTTTATTGATATCCATTTGCTCTGTGGGAAGCTTGTTTGTGGGATCCTCCTATGCTACTTCTCAGGGGATAAAGATTTTTGAGACTCTCCATAAAGCTATTTTAGCTTCGGTTCGTATCTTTGTCTAAGACTTTGAAATGTCTCTAGAAAAGTACTGACTGAAAATTGCAGTGGGAAAGATACATATCTGGTGGAGAGGCTGAGGCTATGGCCATGATTCAAGCAGCTCTCATTGGCCAGACGTTCGGTCTATTGTCTGAAGTAAGTGAACCGTCTCTTACGGAATGAATACTTGATTGATGCTATGGAATAGAGACCAAAAGACCTACTGACGGTGCATACTTTCCATGGCACTTTTGTTGCAGTAAGTTGATATGATCAAATATTGGACTATAAACTAAATCAATCATTAGTGGTCAAGGTGTCACGCACCAAAGAGAAAGCAAGTAACCGATAATATTGTGTATGACGAACTCGCAGAGAATCCAGAAAAGGCGTGGAAGACATGGATTCGCGCAGAGGAGTGGAACCGGTGAGCTTGGCCAGCAATAAATCGATATAATCAATTGCTAATGTTTTTGTATACAGTCTTGTTGCGGGAATTCACATACATGATGTTGAAGTTTCGGAGCTGTTTCTTACAGAACCATTCATCAGACACACTCCATCTAAGAAACCAAATATTGCTGAAGATAGCCTTTGGACGGCACCGACAGCTGGTGAATGGTGCAAGATTATGAAAAATCGATCATCGACGTCAGCCCCTTCTGAACGCCGCCAAACATATAACCAAGCAAGCTTATTTTCATCCGGACTTTCTAGGTATATCGAGCTTGAAGAGATTGCAGCCTCTATTGCCGAAGATAGAAGCACAGACAGCCTCGACATGTCCAAAAAATACGAGTCATTGGTACAATTTTACAATTCACATCTCAAATCCAAGGAAAGCAGAGCAGCAGACCCTTATTGCCTACAGGTGCTGTGGCACTTCATCTTCATTTCTCTATACGTGGATTTCAATCACCTCGAGCTAGCTCTCGGCAAAGAGGGTTTCGACGAAGCACAACGACACGTTGACTATGCCCGTGAATGGGCTTGCTCAAGAAATGGCCGCAGATGCGCTTTACACGGTGCCCTGATCCTCCGCAACCTCGAGATGATGAGACTGGGAACCGAACCAGCAATACACGTCCCTCGAATAGTATTCCGTACAGCAATCGTCTGGTTCTGCTATACCAAATTCGCTTCCGCTGACTCTGACACTTCCCACCAAGCGGTGGATTTCCCTGAGTTGACGAAAATGGGAATCAATACCCAGAGGCTGCTCTTTGAAGCAAATGGTCTCAAGCCAACACGTCCTCAGACGCCTGAGTCGAGTACACTCTGCGGCTTGGTTGATATTCTCCAACGAGTTGGACACTGGGACATTAGTCGAAAGTTTGCTTCTATTCTTACTCTTTTGATGGAAGATAAAACTGGACTTTAACCTTTCGGGATAGTCATATCTGTCTATCAAGATTGCTGTTGGGGAAAGATAGGAGTTCCGATTAACCTTGGGGCTAAAAAGCACTTATCAACAATTCCTTGATATCACAAAGATTGACAAAAGGTATACTCACATGCTGACCCCAATTATCAAATGAAGCTGCTGATTCGAGGTCTCCAAGTCTCCAATTCCGGCCCCGAAATTGCCCCGCGTACCCCGCCTCCTCGGTTACCTATCTCGGCCATCCATGAGCCGAGTCGCAGATAACAACATGACTCCACTATAAAAGGAGACTCGGCCATTATTTTGAAGACCCCAATTATTTTAATCAATTCCATTTAAAGAGCTCAATACATATCCAATTATTCATCATGACTGTCAACACTTGGCAGTCTTTGGGGGCGGCCAAACGCCAATCTATCCTGGATGCTATCCCTCCAAAGTGGAGAATTCAGGAACCGATTCCTCCCCCGGCAGAACTACGAGATGTCACTGGCCCTTATATTCAACAGTTTCTCAAAGCAAGGGAAATAGAAATCACCGAAACTGATGCAGTTGGGATTGTGGATAAAACGACAACAGGCAACTGGACTGCCGTTGAGGTGACAGAGGCGTTTTGTCACAGAGCTGCTCTCGCGCATCAACTTGTATGTTAATTAGGCTTGTGCTATTCTTTTCATCTTGCTTACTGATAATCTAGGTCAGCTGTTTGCACGAAATATTCTTCGACTCAGCTATTGAAGATGCGAAACGGCTAGACGCCTACTTCGCAGAGCACAAGAAGCCTATTGGACCTTTACATGGCTTACCTGTCAGTCTTAAAGACCAATTCCACATTAAAGGCGTCGAGACCACAATGGGTTACGTCGGATGGATCGGGACCTTCCAGGGCATCAAAAACGACCCCCGACGAGCTGTTTTCGAGAGCGAGTTAGCCAGGGAACTTCGAGCACTTGGAGCAGTGCTTTATTGCAAGACCAGTGTACCGACGACTCTTATGTGTGGCGAAACCATTAACGGGATAATACAGTACACTTTTAACCCCCGAAACCGCCTCCTCTCCTCCGGGGGAAGTTCTGGTGGCGAAGGAGCTCTAATTGCACTGAGAGGATCTCCAGCTGGTATAGGTTCAGATATAGGGGGGTCTGTAAGATCGCCCAGCGGGTTCAATGGATTGTTTGGAATCCGTCCATCTGCTGGAAGAATACCGTACGAGGGCGCGGCGAACTCGATGGATGGTCAGAGTACGATTTTGTCAGTCCTTGGGCCGCTCGCCACAACAGCGCAATCTGTGAAATTACTATTCAAGGCTATTCTCAGTCAGCAGCCTTGGTTTCATGATCCGCTTGTTTTGGAGATTCCGTGGCGGGATGATATTGAACGGGAAACACAGGCTTTGATAGAGCAGTCGAGAACGGGCTCATCAAAGCTTTCCTTTGCGATAATACGCCACAATAAGCAGGTCCAGCCTGATCCACCTATTGCACGGGCCATGGGAATGGTGGAGAGCACGCTCAAACGGTTGGGACATAGGGTAAGTTGACGTAGCTTATAGTACGAGTTTTCCTTGACGAATTTTGACCATGCCCGGAACAGGTGATCGAATGGAACCCACCTTCTCATGACGTCGCGGATGAAATAGCAGTGCGTTTTATGCAACCCCGGAAACTTCTCTTTGATGGACACACCGTACTGACAGTAACAGGCCAAAGCATACGGCTTCGACGGAGGAGCAGATATAACCCATCATCTGGGGCTATCAGGCGAGAGCCTAGCTCCTCAAGTCATAGTAACCCAGGGCAAACCGCAGATGAACGCACAGGAAGTTGCCGCGGTGAATGTGCAGAAGCGAGAGTACCAAAAGCTCTACATGGAGTACTGGAACAGCACGGCGGAGCTGACCGGCACGGGCCGGCCAGTAGATGGAGTACTCTGTCCTGTTGCTGTCCATGCAGCTGCTATTCCTGGTAAATACGGCACGGTTGGATATACGACGTTTGTGAATGTGCTGGATTACACGACTGTGGTGATCCCAGTGACTCATGTTGATAAACGGGTCGATGTGGTACCGGAGAATATGGAGGTTCTGAATGATATTGATAAAGCTAATCAGGATGAATGTGAGTTTCACTTGGGATTGAAATTTTCGATTATGCTGATAACATCTATAGATGATGCGGGAATCTATGATGGCGCTCCCGTTGGACTTCAGCTCATTGGAAGACGGCTTCAAGAGGAGAAAATGCTGACATTAGCTGATTATATTGGTGCAGAGGTCGAGAAGGATCAAAAATAAATTCGAGGGAGTATTTTTTTTGCAGAATTTGTGATGTCTGCCCGGGAGAATATTTGTATAGCGCGTCCTGTATAACATAACGTCACTTGATCCCAATTTGAGACCGTTGCAACGTCCTTTAGGAATAGATATCCACACAAGAACGTAAGCAGCTTATTTATCACGCCATCATTGTGATGGTGGTACAATGGTGTGATGGTTTTGAGCTGATGATCATCCTCGTGTTGTTCATGATAACGTTGAGGAGCGTCACTGTTGATTCAACAAGACTGTTTTGATGTCACCAACTCTGAGATTTTCTTTTATATAGACAATCAGATTAATAAAATAATGAATGTGCTTTCAGATCGAGAAATAGGGAAGATATTTGACATGAAAGTTGAGATGAAAGAAAACTGTCAGATTCCCCACACGCAAAAGCTTGGCCAAGACATCCCATCATCACCACGTTGGAACTTCCGTCCGCTTCGCATCTTCCTTTCTTCTTTCTTTCTCCTTCTCTCCCCCTCACGATCTGCAGATCCCCGTGTCCATCGTCACCCGAGTTTTCCTGGTCGCGATTTATTCTCGATCTCTGCAAACGCGTGTCTCTGGTCATGGATTGATTTGATCCTGCAGAACAACCTCAAGAAACATCCGCTCTCTCCGTCTCGTCTCCCTTGCCTCTCAACCACGCGTCTCCCAACGAACCCACGTTTCCTCTCAGCAACAAAAGTCCTTCCTCGCGTCTCTGTCGTGCAACATGGAAGAATCAGACCCTCCTCGTCCAACCGAAACCCCCGAGGACTCCGCAGGAGGGGAAGACCAGGGTACAAAGGGCGCGACCGCCAAAGACCGAAAATGCCAATACTGCAAGCAGGCCTTCACTTCGTCTTCCCTGGGTCGACACTTGGATCAATTTCTCTTCAAGAAGAAGCCAGATGGCCTTCACAATGTCGAAGAGATCCGGCGCATTCGAAGCGGTATCACTCGACGACAGGCACGCACCTCGTCTAGCAAACGAGATAGCCCAGAGCGCGAACTGGGTAAAGGACAGTCGGAAGGGGAGAATGGGAAATCGAAAACTGGCTCGGTTCGCATGATGTTCAACACGCCTACATGGCATGCGACCGGGGTCATCAATGATATCCCCAGTCCGGGGTTTCCGCAGGCGAATTCCCTTGGTCCTTCTTCGCGGTTTTCGTCCAAGTCGTCGCAACAGCCCAAGCAGGCGGGTATCAACCTTCCTGATTATGCGAGCAGAGGTAGTACTGCCAGTAGTCCGGATACATTGAGGGCCCTGGAGCTGGCATTGCGAGAAGTATTGGATAATATCAAAGCTGCAACGTACGTATCAGACACGCCTACGTTTTCCTTATAGTGAATTTGAGATGATGAGATAGGCTAACATTGCGCACCTATAGCAGCTCAAATATGCGGCCTCGAATGAATCCCTTTGAATTTGATATTCAGTCTCAAACATTCCCTTCACTGTGTCTCCAATTGCTACCTCCTCCGCCAAGTTTATTCGCTACCGCTCCTTTCCCGTCACCGTCATCGTTTCCTCTCTCGCCTCCAGGAATTGAGCATCTGGATATTGTTCGACAAGCTCTCCGTGCTAAGATCGAGCAGTGGCAGTCCGATCAGATTTCCTCGGAATCTCCGAACGCCTCTCGGTCTGGGAACCCAGGCATAGGTCTCGACTCAAGCATGATCAGTCGAAATGCACAGCAACATGAAGACATGAGCCTGAGGCATCTCGAGCTGGCTTTTAAGCACTGGGCGTCTCTTTCTCCGGGAGCAAAACAAGAGGCATGGCAGCTTGAGATTACCAGAGCATTTGCCCGTGAGATGGAGAAGCGCAAATCCTCGGATGAACAGCTGGCCCGTGTGCAGCAGGAAGCTAACCAGCTTCGCGCCCAAGTCGAGAGATTGGGTTCCTGCCAATGGCCCCGAGAATTTGCCCTCTTCCCGCCAGACACGCTTCCGTTACCACGGGATGTCGCCAGGGAATTGGACGCGAAGGAAAGCCACATCAACCCCAACTCCCCCCGATGGGACTACGACAGCGTAGTATCCAAGTGGAAGCGCGTTGTGATGCACGATAGAAGCATGGGACGCATCGGCGTGGGATACGCAAACACGGCCGTGGAAGATCCCACCTACGCAGATAGTGCTACTAGACCACGCGTCGAGGAAGCAGGCAGCTCCAGCCGGCCAACGGCATTGCAGCCTCCCGTCGCCCTGAGCCCCGACCAATCCTCTCCCTACACAGGTGGAGGTACATCCGCACCCCCAAGCCAAAATCCCTCGCCTTATATCAACAACGAAGCCAGTCGAAGCCCCAACCCGGATGGTCCCCAAGCCAAGCGTCCCCGGTTGATGAATGGAAATCACGCGAGCGAAGGAGCCGGTAGTCCTTCGACGGCTCAAAGCTCCTCTGGCCCCTCCAACAGCAACACCTGGAACTCCAACCAGTCTCTTAACGTGTCTAACCTTGCTCCCCCTTCGGGACCGACGCCTCCTCCATCTTGCTCCGGTACATAGCTTCGGCGTTCAATTTTCTTGCTATTTTTAAGGCTTTCTCTTCCATGTTCTGATCTCCTAGCTCAATGGCTGGGAGTCAGGAGGCTATGTGCATTGGGGGTTGTATCTCAATGGATTTACTGTACATATTTACATCTATCAAGACCTGTTCTGTAATATCTGTACAGTGTCAAATCAACATACTATCAATATTAGTTGAGTTATTATCTTCGAATCTTATATGTTCACACATGATAATACGCAAATGGTCATGCCCTGGAGGCATAATATACAACTTAGCTAAACCTCTCATTAAAGCCTGCAATAAGATATATTCTCACTGCTTTGTGTTCTTTCTCGTCTTCCGTGCGCTGATCCACCGCGACAAGTCCCGGGCGCCATGAAGATAGAGCCACGAGAACCCAAACACAATGGCAAAGTTGAATATCACATAACCAAAGAAGATTCCCTATGACAGATTAGCCTTTGCCTGGTCCGGTAGACGAACTCGAAAAGATTGCAGTGACGTACATAATTCCGCCATTTGTGGTCGTAGAATACGTTGAAGCTAGCAGCCTATACAAACATTAGCCAACTTCCTAACCTTGTCGACAGCGACGTAAGACCAAGAGAGGAAGGACATACGAATTGATCACCATTCGAATACTGGCAGAATGAACACATCCCACCCGCCACTTCACGGACATAACCCCCCTTCTGATCCGCAAAGGGCCCAGCATACTCCTGGCAAGTCTGGCCGGGAGGTGGAGTAAACCTCGACTCCTCCCTATCCACACAACGCACGGGTACACCATGGACGGCAACGCCCAGGAATCCTTCTAGGAGATAGTGGAACGGCGTGAGCCAGTACATCCAGGATTGCCAGAAACGAGGGAGGGCGAAGTATGGGACTACGACGCCACAGAAGGAGATGACGAAGGTGAAGAATGTGGGGACGAGGAGGGAGGCGAAGAGCTCGTTTGGGGCGAACGCGGCGATGAATTGGCCCATGCTGACGTAGAATAGTTCGAAGAGCATTAGGAGCATCCAGGTGTAGCCGGATCGGAAGGAGTCGCGGGGGAACCAGACGCCCCAGTACCTGAATTGTGTGAGTAGGCAGAGCAGTTTTATGTAGGATGTTAGCTCACCAGCAGTTGAAGTAGATGGAGCCAGCAACAATCGAGTACGGGAATTCTGGGAGAATGGCACTCGTCACAAATGCGGTCCATGAATATATCTTTGAGCTAGACTCTCGTGATTCGTATAGACTGCGGAAATGGAGAAATCGTGGCTGAAGTTGCTGAATCAAAGGCGGGGCGATTGTTAGAGTCATGAAGATTGAAAACAGCCGAGATTGCATATCGATATAACTGTTTCCCAAATGCCAGAAGGTGAATGTGTTGAAGAGGCCTGTAATGATATGAAGCATGAATTTTCCCTGTGCGAAGGTCAGCTCAATTCAGCCCGTATCGAAGCTTAGGGGCTGCATACAATGTTATATTCAGGGCTCCTCCAGTAGGCAACAAAAGCACGCTTAGTAACCGTCACTATCTGCGTAGCGAGAGGCATGGCGAATTCACGGCTATCCGACTTCTTCTCCTCGCCTTGTCTACCACGACGAGAGTTGATGATGGCCTCGATGTCCTCCGAGAGTTGCTTGCACTCTTTGGATTTGGCCCAGACCTCAGACCAATCTTGTCCTTTGTAGTCGGGATTTCCAGCGCCGATGACTTCGAGCATATACTAATAAACAATTGGATTAGCAGATTCATCAGGATGGGTAGGGGTTGGCATACCTCTGCAGGATTCGCATGCGGCGGGCACTTCTTGCCACCATTCTGCTCAAAGTAATCAATGAGCGTCTTCGAGTCCGACCCTAATTCACCATTATAAACGACCTTTCCTCCACTCTTCAGAAGAAGCAAATCGTCAAATTCCTCAAACAAAACTGCAGACGGCTGGTGGATTGTACATAGAATAGCCTGTCCAGCGTCCGCTAGCCGTCGAAGAAAACGAACAATATTGAAGGCAGCGAGAGAATCCAGACCCGACGTCGGTTCGTCTAAGAAGAGCAACAGCTCTGGCTTACTTGCCAGTTCAACTGCGATGGTGAGTTTCTTGCGCTGCTCCTGGTTCAGGCCAGAGCCCGTCTTGCCGACTGTCGCACCGGCGATCTGTCGCATTTCTAGTAGATCTATGACCTTCTCGCAGTAATCGTATTTCTCCTGCAGAGGAACTTCTTTGGGTTGGCGAAGGAGTGCTGAAAACTGCAGTGACTCCCTGACAGTTGCAGTGGGCTCGTGGATGTCCATCTGTTCAGCGAAGCCTGTTGCTCGTTGGAAGCTTCTTGGGAGAGGCCTGTCATTGTAAGCAATCACTCCTCAACAGCCAGTCGCAATGCACTCACTTTCCATCAACGAGAAAGCTGCCTGTCACTACACCGAAATTTATCCGTTGTGCGAGGGTGTTGAGTAGTGTTGTTTTTCTACCAGAATCAGCAAATCCATCGACAATTTGTATACCAGGACAATACTAACCCTGCACCAGAAGCACCCATAAGAGCAGTAAGTCGACCCGGCTTGACGTAGCCCTGGACATCATCCAAGAGCTTTCTCTGCCCATTTTCATAGGGTATGGTATAGTTGACATGTTGCCATGTGAAGATGGCTGTATTCTGGGCAATACCCTGGACTTTCTCATCAGAGCTATCTGATCCAGTCTTGCTCACGTCAGAAACGGCAGCATTCTTCTCGCCTGTCTCAATGTCCTTTGGACGCTCTTTATTGTTGAATGCATCCTCGACTTCCCGTGGCACTTCACCCCGTTTAAACACAGTAACTGCACTGCCTCCTTTATTGGGTTTCTGTATTTCCATCCCCAGCATTGTCAGCGCAACAAAAAGAATGAAGAATGCTATGATGATCCCAAAGTTTCGCCATAGATGAGCGCGGGAATATGTGTAGGCTGCTTCAATATAGCTCGCTCCTCGGACAATCAGTTGGTCTGGGTCACTTCCCTGGATCGTACAACTTTGATGAGAAGCTACTGCATTAGGACCATCTGGGACTATAGATGGTGCCTCGCACTTGATGTCTAGATTGTAGAACTCATTTGCCATTAATGCTTCAAAGGCATATTGGACGGGGTTTATCCAAATGAGCCATTTGAACCACGGATGCATTTTCCAGGGTGGAATAAGATAGCCTGAATGAAAGACGTTAGTCGTGGTACTTTATGAAAAGCGACATACCTACCTGTATAGACAATCAAAGCCTGTATCGCAACACCGGTAATACGCGTAGCTATATATTCAAAGTAAGCAGGGTACTATATAAAAGAACCTCATGTTTGACATACCAACATCAAGTGATGCACAGAGTGCCCCAAGAGCCCGGAAGAAAGAATACATAGTCATGGTGAGTATGAAAATAAAAAGGTAGTTGATGAAGAACTGCGAGGCTGTTCTTGAAAGATTCGCCATACTAAGAACAGTCAGTCTCTTCATAGCTTAATGGACTCTGGGTTCGTACAAATATACAACCAAGTCAAAAATTAAAACCTGTATGAACACTTGCGGTACATCAACCACAACTTGGGCCAGTGCATAAGCAGAGGGGCGATAGAATGAGCTGATTCTGTAAGTATTGCACGTAAAAATAGAAGGCAGAATACTTACAAACTCTTGTGTTTCAATAAGATTGGCCTGCTATCAAAGGCAATTGTGAGTTCTGCCATTGCGAGCAGGGCATTGAACAAGAGGATCAAGAACATGACGCCTCCTCTCGTAAAGACACCACCACTGAAACAATATTAGCTGACACCCATTCATAAATGCATCTGGACTAACCTCGTAGGAGGGAGATTATAGAATAAACTCCCTACAATGAGCGCCTGGAAGAGTAACAACCCCCATTTCCCAAACAACGACTTTTTATCACCAAACATGATGAGGAACTGCCGGTGAGTCAGAATGGCAACCTGTTTGTAAAAGGATATGGTGTAGTTTCTCTTCGGGTGGCTCTGTCTGGCAGCTTCTTTTTCCTGTTCTTGGGACTTGACATCTTCTTCAAAGTCCTCGATATCTGCAAGGGTTTCCTTGAGGATGTCGCTTCTGCGGTATATCTTTTGGAAATCATCTGCAGATCGAGGGATTCGATCTTCCCATCCGCTCTTAACCTGTCTTGCATGCTGGTCGCTGACAGATGTGAGGAAATCCGGCGTTGTCCATCGAGGCGGGCATACAAATCCAAGGCGCTCAAAGTAAGCTTTTGCATGTCTCGTGGGACCAAAATATGCGCATTTTCCATCCTCTATCAGGATAACCTTGTCGAAAAGATTATATAGGTTTTCAGAGGCTTGATAGAGCGCTACCAGGGTGGATACATTGGCAGTGTTTGTCAGGCTCCTCAAACTCTGCACGTATTCAAGAGCTGTACTCGCATCAAGGCCTCTGGTTGAGTTATCCCAGCACTGAGTACTCGCCTTGGTCACCATAGCTTCACCGATCGATACACGTTTCTTTTCGCCACCAGAAACCCCACGGATTAGTTCATTGCCGACCTTCGTGCCTAGTGCATGTTCGATCCAGAATAGCTTGGCAATCGCAGAAAGGAAGGTCTGTTGATATTCTTTTCGAGTTTCACCAGGAATACGGGAGGATTTATCTGGTGTTCGGCTTTTCAGTGCAAAGGATAATGTATCTCGCACAGTCAAGGTTGCATAATGTAGATCATCCTCAGGGTTATACAGCACTGTAAAGTCAGCAGTTGCTCAAAGATTCATGAAAAGTTCATTACCTTCCGAGCGATATTTATGTGCCATAGTCTTGGAATCCGTTCCCCCATAATGCACATCTCCCTCGATACTTTCATATCCATTTCTTTGATTACCGAGTACTTTCAAAAAGGTCGAGCACCCAGAACCAGGACGACCAAGAACGAGAAGCATCTCACCTGGACGAACACATCCCTGTTGTAGATGTCAGTTCAAATAAAGAAAAAAATTATAGGATCCGAATACCGTAAAGTCATCCAGGATAGTCCGTATGGGAGGCTTTCCCGACCCAGCACCTTTCCCTCCCCGGGTGAAAAGTCCCTTGATAAGTCTTGGTATACCGAGGAAAACATCTCCATTCGTAGGCTGGAGAGCCGCCCCCAGACCTACACCTTTCACTGTAAGATTCTTCCATACAACACCAACATGTCTTGTCTTTTCTTCCTCGGAGTTTGCCCTTCTCTCTTGACCAAACATTCGAGAGATCAGCCTTCCTACTTGTTCCAGATCTTCTTCTTCGCCGTGGCCAGATGGATGGCTGCGCCGGTGAGAAAGAATGCGCATGGCATCATCTTCTGACATTTGCCTTTCAACTTGTGACTTGGGAAAGCTTTCATTACCAATTCCACTTGAATGTCGGCTGTTGATTGGCTCGATTTGGATCGAGTTCGAAGAAGCTGCAGTTGAAGTTGAATAGGCAGAGCCTTGAGCAGAATGTGGTTCCTGAGGGCCTATGGCCTCGCTGTTCTCAACGTCCCTGTGAGTTTTCATGATGAATAGGTTTCAATATGAAACAGACAGCTGGCATTCATGAAGAGCTGAAATCCTAGAGACTCAAATATGCGTTAAGTAATACTCTTATAGCACCAATCTTCCCTGAAGTATCAGGCTACAGCAAAAGAAGATAATTTCAACGTGATTTATATGAACCAAAGATAAAGCATATTGCGGGGAATGAAAGTTCTGGATTATTTGCGCATAAAAGAATCTAGTCCTCGTGCCTGTCGGATGTATACTGATAGAAAACCTTGAGCACGACGAGCGATTTGGCAAAAGCTCATCTCGGGTGGTGCAAAACCCGATGCCCGGTCGTTACGTGAGATGCATGAGCCTGTTATGGTGTTTTTTCAAGCAAGTTCTCTAAGGTCTGGTTCTGGCGTATATGGTCCACGTTTGCGGATGCGGTAAGTTCGGGAACGGTCACTATGAAGTCATCACTTGCGGGAACTCCGACGATGCAAGGGATAAGTCGTGTTGATTTCTAATATTCGAGCTCATAAAGAGTTGTAAATTTAGGTTTGAAGAGATGCCCGATTGTGATGTAGCATAAGGCAAGATAGCACACCAGGGCTGACAACCTACTTCTATCAAATCGCATTGGTGACGACAACCGAGCCTACCTCGTATTGATATTCGGAGACGGACCAAGTAGTATACCGAAGGCTTTCGGTCTCATCGGTACTTTTTCGTCCGATCCAATGGAATCATAGAACAGGTTTATTTCCATCGAATATGCCGGTATTTGGTGGTATGCATAAGGTTGCAGTCTGAAGGATATGACTCTGCCTAGAGCTTTCATACGAGATGAGATAAGATGGCGCCCATGGGACATTTTATAATACCTGACTGAGAATGAAATTTAGTTGCGTTACACCACATGGCGACTTTTGGTCATCCGATCAGCTCATCTTGCTTCTGGATGTTCCGTCTTCTGCTCGAGACAACCCTTCGCTAAGAATATCCCAACTCATCGATAATAACTGTAGTTTGTCCTGGTATATATGTAGCCTGCTCTCCAGTGGTGACTCATGCTGGCATTGTGCTTATCGGTTATAATTCTCGAGGCGACTGTGGGAAACCTAAAAGACATTTGTCAGTAGAGAGTAGGTATACAGAACATGCAGGGTCCAAGCATTAGCCATATCATGTAGTAAGACTGCTTAGTGCTGCAGTAAATTCTTTCATAAGCCAAGAGTAGTGCTCGTATTAAAAAAGCGCATCCCACCTGGTTGCTCATGCCAAAACTAGCGATTGGTTTAACGTGGCAGAGCTATCCTAGGAAACTCCAGGCCATTGTCATCGAGCTTTGCATCGAGCCATCTTGTTCATCAAAATAATGATAATGGCAGTTGGCTGACAGTGCTGCTGTCGAGTTGTGGGTTGAGTTAGCGAAGAAGAAAAGAAGAAGTCGAGTCGAGAAAGAAGGTCTGCCTTGTTCTGCCTCAGGCCGTGACTAGGGCACCCCATATTTCAACAACAACTCATCTTCCAGCAGTATCTGTTTGAAAAAACAACAGACTTTCTTTCCACTCTCTCCATGCTCTCTGTGCCACTGAATTGTCTCTTGCAATAAAGGTAAGTGACTCAAAAAGATGCCTTGCGGATCTTCATGTTAACCTCCTAGTAGGCTACTATATACTAGATGGAATTACCCCTACCCAGCTGCTTATTTTTACTCAAGGTTTTCCTCGACGACTGACAGCTACAAAATGCCCTACCTTTCTGGTGATACGGCTCGAGATAGCACCGCGACGCTTAGGAAAACATGCGCCATTCACGAGTCTCAGCATCACTGCTAAATGCACATATACATGATTCGTCTCCTTCCCTTTCCATTTTAGCCCCAGATCCAGCTCCTTATACACGGGGGAATACACGATCATTTATTCCCGCTCCAGGTCTATGATCTATAAAATGGGACATCAGAACTGACGCGTCAGGGTCGATCGACAGCTCGGGGTCGGTTACCGAGTATGGCATAGTATCGTTCTCCAGCTGAGTATAACAGCACACCCAATCAAAGGTCAGTCATTTCTCTTTTGCAAATTCCATGAAGGATGAAACATCCAGCTTCCAGCAGAAATGGTTGTTGAGTTATCTCCGAGATGATAGTATGTTGCAGTCTCCTACGCGTCAGTAGACCTGTGAGCTTTCGGGCGAGCCTTTGGGATTGGAACATGGTGTCTTTGTCCCCTGACTTGAGAATATAGGATGTAAGCAAACGTTTCGACGTGAGAGAGAAACATCTTTTGCTTCTGGCGGAATATCTTGAGTGTAAGGACTATGTGTAGCCTACCAGGAGAATGAGCATGAGCCGTCTATTTACATATATTAGAAGTCCAAGCTTTCCGAGTACAAGTGTAAGCCACTACAATGCCATTCCAATAACGCCCCCTACAAGTCTCCGCGTGGCAGTTATCATAGAGCCAAAATCTCTATCTAAAATTTCAAGTTTCTTCCGCTTTGATATCCATTTCTCACTCGACCAACTCTCTGCGCGGACCGATCGGTCGTTACAAAACGTCAAGATATCATCAGCATAAGCGCGCTGGTCGGTCTCTTGGCAATCCTCAACCACAAATTGGATCAACTTATCCTGCAACTCATAGCTGAGATCAATGTTGGACTTTCGATAATCGGTATCTTCGGTGTTCATTGAGGGTTGACCAATAGCCTCTGCATGAGCTTGGTCAGGCTCAACATAACCTTCCGAAATTCCTTGGTCAGCCTTCTTCAGCGCGTCGTGAAAAGTGCCAAAGGCATAGACCATTTCAACACCGTGGTGCGCAACTCCCTGCATGGGCCCTGAGAAGGGATTGCCGAATTCGAAATGGTAATACTGGATTCCCACACGCTTGGTGTCCTGACCACGGAGAAGAGCTTGTTTCCCGCGATGAGCCTTGAAGAATTCGTTTGCACGATATATCTTATGGATCATCGTGGCATCGGAGATGAATTGGGAGAATGCGTCAAAGAGTTCTTCATCAGAAGCTGTAGGCGAAATCCCGTATGCTTGAAGAACCTCCTCAGCCGCCGCCTCCGAGGGATAACTCGAGGTAAAAAGGGAGTGGAATGTGGTGTAATCCCAGTTGGCCATGAGGGCAAAGCCTCTAAACTCGTCGGCTGTTGCGCTCATCAGGACTTGGACCTTTTCGTCAGAAGGCTTGGTTTCATTGTCCAATCCGTCGTGCCCCAGATGTACAGAAACGCCACAGCCCAAGTCGCTTTTTCGAATGGTCAATCCGTCGATAGCCAGTGTAAAAAGCACCCAGTGAAGGTCTGAAACGCTGTTAAGAAGATCCTGGGTAGGGATTCTTCTCAGCATATCGACTCGATCAACTGGGTTCTCAGCGTGGACTGACCACAATTGGCAGAGGTCTGCCCAGCGCTGGTCGGCTTTTTCCATCGAGGTCAATTCGAGACCCCCAACCGGCCCAGACATCAAACCAGCCTTGCGAAATAGCGGTCTTTCCGTGCCTAATTCCGCCTCGAGAAGGTGAAGGTGACATGAAATTGCACCGGCGGATTGACCCATGATGGTAATCTTGGTGTCGTCTCCGCCAAACGCAGCAATGTTGCGCTTGACCCAGATGAGAGCAAGTTTCTGGTCGTAGAGACCAAAATTCACGCCCTTGAGAGGGGAGTCGCTGTCTTGGGCCGCGATCATGTCAGATGAAGCGCCGAAGCCAAATATACCCAGACGGTAGTTAATCGATACGGCAATAAACGGGGTTTTGTTGGAGAGGGAGCGAAGAACAAGCCGGGTAGGATCTGCTTACAGACTTGTGGTTAGCGAATACCTCTTTCAAGTACCAGGTAAGCTCGCAATATTCGAACACGTACCGGACGATGGATCCGTGCCTGCGCCAGCAATGAAGCCACCGCCATGAATCCAAATGAGCACCGGCAACCGAGTCATCTCGGCATCGATATTGTGCTTGGCGAGTGCATCCTGGCTTGGTCGCACGACAAAAAGATTCAAGCACTCGAACTCATCCTGACGGTCGTCCGGGTACGGCAAGTATGATTGAAACGCCCGTGTATCGGGTTTACCCTGCGCAGGACATCGTGGACTATGAGATGGTCAGAACCTGAAGACCTGCACCAACTCTCTGTAAATATCCCAGGGTAGACTTGGTTGTGTAGGATGAGGACTTGCCCGTTCTCCGTAGCGTCAAAGATATCACGCGGTAAACGATCTCTCAGGCGCGAGTGCTCCCATCTTCCCGGCACATGAGCATATGGTATGCCACGAAACTCCTCGATGTCATCTGAGATGGCCGATTGCTTGCCGACCACGGTTTGGATGTGGCTGGCGACCGAAGATGTGGGCAATCGCACAATGGGGGTTTGTTCTAGGCGCAATTTGGGTGACATGGTGATGGTGTAAGGACAACTCCAATTGCAGAATAACAAGAGTATCGCCAGTAGCCCCAACTATTTATTGGGCCTCTTGGCCAAGCATTGTTTGTTCTGATCTTTATAGTATGCGAAGAATTTGAAGTTCAAGTAATAAAGACTCATTCTGAGCCATGGTGAGTCATGTTGTGTCCACCAATTAAATAACAACATTCGTTCAGGGCATTCTTGTTGGTACTGATCGGGCTCGTACATTGGGCGATTTTAATATATACCTTCTGCCTGCACAGTTTCTTTACTGATCCTTGAATCCCAAAATTCCAGATTTTCGACCTGTCAAGATGCCTTACTCATTGCCTGACTATGCGACTCCGTTCACTCTTCACATCCCCGACGACGACTACAAGCAGTTCCAAGAGCTTCTTCGCCTCTCGCGCGTTGGACCTTTGACATGGGAGAATCAGCACAACGATTGCAGCTATGGTGTTCCGCATGAATGGCTTGTCTCAACAAAGAAATATTGGCTGAACAAATTCGATTGGCGCGCCCAGGAGAGGCGGATCAACTCGTTTCCCAACTTCAAGATGTCGGTCAGGGACGAGAAAGGCAATGTCGACCTTCACTTTGTTGGCATTTTTTCAGAGAAAGAGAACGCAATTCCCATTGTTCTTCTGCATGGCTGGCCGGGTAGCTTTCTCGAATTCCTACCAACACTCGATCTCATTCGGGACAAATATGAGCCAGCCGAATTGCCCTTTCATCTCATTGCACCATCTTTGCCAGGTTATACGCTTAGTTCAGGGCCGCCTGAGAACGAAGCTTGGGCGGGTGAAGATGCAGCACGGATAGTTGACAAAGCCCTCAAAATGCTCGGCTTTGATCAGTATGTTGTCCAGGGCGGAGACGTCGGATGCCTCATTGCTTCTCTCCTAGGAACCACGTATGATTCTGTGGTTGGAGTTCATCGTGAGTTTGAATTGTGCAGAAATACCGGACAAGAATTAATATTTCTAGTCAATTTGTTACCCAGCTTGGATCAAGTCGAAGCCGATGATCCAGATCTCACCGAGGTCGAGAGAAGAGTCATTCAGCGAGGCAAAACGCGCTTCCAAACGCCGACAGTAGGGGCTGCGATTATGAACAGTACACGGCCTGCGACTATTGGAGCGGTAATGTCGTCAAGTCCACTTGCTCTGTTAGCTTGGTAGGCCTGACCCATGGGCTCTCTTTTGACATGGCTAATCGTTACAAGGATTGGAGAAAAGTTTCTAGAGTGGCCAGAGGAAACCGTCAGCATCGACGAGGTTTTGACTGACGTGTCCCTGTATTGGTTCACGGACTGCTTTCCACGCTGCAACTACACTTATCGCGGCACCTTTCTCGTGAAGCCTCCCTTTTGCTTGCCGTTTATTGACAAGCCGTTTGGGTATTCATGGTTCATGCATGAACTTGCGCCAGGGCCTAAGAAAGTGGTGGAAAAGAAGGGCCGTCTAGTTTTCTATCGACAACATGAGCACGTAAGTCATCGCCCTCAATTCCACATGTCAACGACGTCCCACCTGATATCGATTAGGGTGGACACTTTGCGGCCCTTGAGCGACCTGTAGATTTCCTACAGGATATCGAGGATTTCATGGAGGTGGTTTTGAAAGAACTTTAACTCTATTGCTGGTAGTTGCGAGAGGAGAAAGAGACAGCAGATTGAGGGAGGGATGGACAACATGTGGACAGGCCTAGGTTTGCCATGCTAGGGATTAATCATTGGTTTGGTCTGTTCGTCTTCGCTACAGGACTAAGATCAACCAGATATTCAACCTCTACAATCCAGCTAATGAATTTGTGCATGGAACCAAGTCAAACTACACCGCTGAATTCAGAGTGGTGTAGTTGCTCGAAACAACCACATATCCAATACGCCGCTGCCATCGAGGCACGAAGCAGTACCCTCCTCGACAATGAGCCCTTCTACTCACAGCCCTGGCCCCTTCTCCAAAAACGGAAGTCAATTTTACCTAAATCGTCAAATCCGTCCGTGTCCCCGTAAACTTCATCGGGGTGGTTGACCAAGGAGGGCGGTTTATTCAACCGTGATATGTTGGTATAAATCATCCATATTTATGTTCTTTAAGACAGTTGGCCCTTTCTACCACTAACTGAATCTACCTAAGTATAGTGAAGAATTGTATACATGAGGCATTTATGCTATTGGAAGGTACTATCTGCAGGCCTTCCTGGTTGCATTAAGGTAGACACCAAGACAAGGCTGAGGATTTCATCAATCCTGTTGAAACAGCCTTGCTCATATAATAATTTTCTGTATATTTCCCACAATCCCTTCACATCTAAAGTTCTAACATGATACTTAGTATACCCCGCTTTTAGCAACATCTACCTATACCATTAAACGCTCTTTTCCACTCTAGAGAGCCTGACACGACATACCATTGACCATGCCCCAACAACAGGCAGTGCTGTTGTTGCATATGGCCCCATCTTGGCATCTGCTGGCTTCCCCGCTAGTTGACTTTCAGGGTCGGGAAATTAATTTGGCAGGTATAATGTGTATGGATGACTTTGTCCTCATTCGACTTGCGTACTCTATCCCATCAAGCAGAGCTTCTTCCATATTTATATCAAACCCCCTGTTCAATATGCGTGAGTGTTGGTGGGCCAAATACGAGCATCAGCCACTTCATTTTCTGGGCTGGTGGATTGCCGACTGACGATCATCATGAGTGTCACAGGCACACAGCCTCGCAGCCTCGTCTGCCGAGATGTCCACTTAGTCTGGGGAAGAAGAAGAAGGATTTAAACTGTTTGAAACCCCTCTCTCCACTCATGACCACGGAGGACTAACAAGTATGGAGTCAGGTAGAAAGAACGAGGACCTTAATCCACATCGCCCCTCTCTGCAAGGGAGCGAACACCCTCAAGCAGAACAATCTGCACTGCAATCTTCAACGCAGGGAGTGAATGCAGAACGTCACACCTCTCCTGCCCCCTCTCCCACCGAGGCCGCGATCACGCAGGAAAAAGCCGAAGACAGCAAACCACACCACACTTCCCAATCCATCGACTCCTGGTGGGGATGGGATCTGCTTGGGCTCGGCCTTGCGCTTGCGATCCTAATCGCTATCATCGTCATCTTGCGCGTGTATGATGGCAAGCAACAGCCCAACTGGAAGTGGATTTCGCTCAACACACTTCTCTCGTGGTTGAGCACGGTTGGAAAGGGCTGCATTGCATTTCCTCTCAGCGCGGGCCTGTCACAGCTTAAGTGGGTGTGGTTTGCGCAGCGGAAACGCCCGTTGTCAGACCTGAGGGTTTTTGATAACGCCAGTCGAGGCATCTATGGGAGTGCGGAGATGCTATGGGCATTGAGGATGCGGTAAGTTTCAATACCTGCATGACAGCCGTGCAGATGCTGATGAGATAGTCATTTTGCGGTCTTGGGTGCCATTGCGGTGCTGCTCGCCATTGGGTTTGAACCGTTCATTCAGAATCTGGTGCATTACTCGCCTGAGCTTGTCGTGGATGCATCACAGATCTCTCGCCTAGCGAATACCACGTATTATAGTAGTCTTGGACCGTTGCAAGCCGCTTCAACTAGTTCGTTCTCATCCTGGCTGTTTCCTCTACCGGACAACTAACATGAACAGACTATAATATTGAGCCTACATTCAAAGGAAACATGTACAACTCCATATTCAGTACGGATCCAGGGAGGCCATGGGCAATCCCACAGTATATGTGCCCAACAGGCAATTGCACCTGGGACCCTGTTGCCTCCCTTGCAGTGCGCGCCCTTTGCTCAAACGTTACATCATCCATCGAAGAAAGATGCGAACGCGTTAACGACACCAGCAGCGGGATTCCATATAAGAACTGCACAGTCTCACTTCCCAACGGGACATCAGCATATTACGCTGGCGGCTATCACACGTCAGCAATTGCCTTGCAAGTCCAATCCTCGTCTCAGCCCATCGTGTACACCAATGCCACCTTACCGGTCTTCCAGCGCATCGAAGCAGTAGAAGCAAACATGTACGAAGGGGAAGACATCGCTTCAAAAATTCGCGATAATCCTAGATATGTCGCGACAGAATGCTCCCTGGAACCCATTGTTCGCAGTGTCAAGGCCTTTGTTAATAGCTCCGTCTACAGCGAAACCGTTCTCGCAGAGTGGACCAACGTAGAGTCCTGGTACGACACCTTAAACAGCAGCAACGGGTACTACTTCCTCCCGAACTGGAATCAAGGCCTAGGCGTGCACCCAGGCCAGAACTTTACCTTGGCGCCGAAAAGCCAAGCTACGATAAGCCTCTTTCTGGAGTCGCTTTTTTCTGGCAAAGCGTACAGCACCATGATGAACCTAGTATTCCAGCCATTCACAACATCATATGGGCTGTCCGCGACAGCTGATGTCATGGAGGCCTTTATGTATGGAAATATCACGGGGTGCGCGGATCCTGGGAACGACCGGTTTGGTTGCGTGATGAGGAATGTCGCTGATGCCATGTCCAAGTCGTTCCGCGACCAAGCGTATATAAACAACGAGGAGATGGCAGTGGGCTATACGCAGGTGAATGCCAACATAATCCATATCCATTGGCAGTGGTTGACGCTGCCGTTGCTTGTTTGGCTGCTTGGTGCTGTGACCTGGGTAGGAACGGAGTGGAAAACGCGGCGCGGGAAATTACAGAAGTGGAGTGACAATCCGCTTCCATTGCTGTTTCTCTATCGTGGCGAAGATAGTCGAACAGACAAAGAGCTGGGGGTGTCGAACCGGGCGTATGAGCAGCGGGCGAAGAGCATTCATACGCAGCTGTATACGAAGGAGGATCAGGCAGCATTTGTTTAATCTGCTTACCATTATAATGATAATCTCAAACTGACTACTAATTCTACTCATGATATGCGGAGGTATCAAAGTACCTCTTTCAGCGTAGGCTCGGGAAAGCCGAGCATCATTCCAAGAATAGAAATACCGCCCGAACACTCCATCTCGGAGATAAGATCTCATTTACTCAGTATAAAAGCCTCCCACCTATACCACTCACACTCAGTACATCACAATCATCAATAATTAAATCAGAAGATCATGCCCTTCCGCCTCCACCTCATCCGCCACGCAGAAGGCACCCACAATCCCACCCACGACACCACCATCCTCGACCCCCCACTGACAGCAACCGGCGTCGCGCAGTCAGAACAATTATGTCGTGATTTTCCCTATCACGACTCCGTCGGACTAGTCATTGCATCTCCACTGAAACGAACACTACAAACAGCCGTTGTTGGTTTCGCGAAATGCATTGATGGAAAGTACACCAACACAGGCGTTCAAAACGGTGCTCGTTTCTCGCTTGAAGCAGACGTCCAGGCGCACTCTGCTCGGCCCTGTGATACGGGCTCAGATATTTCGGTTCTTCGTGAGGAGTTTCTGGGTCTGAGCTGGGATATACTAGAGGAAGGGCTGGATCCTGTATTTCCTGCCAAAACGGGGGCGTATGCGCCTGATGCGGAGGTGTTGCGGGAGCGGGGACGGAGGATGCAGAGGAGATTAGAGGGGTACTTTAGAGAGTTGGAGGGGAGTGAGAGGCCGGATATTGTGGTCGTCACGCATGGGGGGTTTATGAGGTTTGTGGCTGGGGTTGAGAAGATGTGTGCTGGGCCTGCGAGGTGGAGGACGCTGGAGGTGAGGTTTGAGGGGGGGAGGATGTGTGTTGACGCAGTTGATGAATAGATTATTAAATAGACAGATAGAAACGCTTCTAAAGTATGTATTACTGAAAAGTGATTATAATGGGGATAAAATGAAGTAGTATATACTGTCTATAAAGAGGATATATATGTGCAATTGCGAAAAATTGAGATGTATCATTATCTCAGGAATTCCCTATGAGAAGTTCAAGATTGATCAACGATTAACCAGTGCGGTTTTTACTAACTCACCGTATCATTTATATGGCATCTTTTCGTTATTCTGATGATCTGATCAGATAGAGGTAGCTAGCGGTAGTGTCGACAGCACCAGCAACATTGGGATTAACAAGAAATCCAATCTGCAAGCACCGTAACAATGTAGTATTCACGAGAGTATCATGTCAATGCCCACGATTCTGAGCTTGAGGGCGCGCAATATCATTATCATGTCAGATGGTTGCCCAGAGGACATGATCATGAGGAACAGGATTTGACTCGTATCGTGGTGTATTCGGCTAGGTTTAGGCGAGTTATTGATCGAGAAATGCATGCACATGAGTTGTAGCCAGAAAGCAAAGAATTCCACGTTGTTTTTTTCAAAAGCATTGGTGTCGTCAGGCTCCCTGGAAATCACAATAGGTCAAGGCAAAACGGAGAATATCAAACGAAATTCATTGCCCTGCAGAGCCAGGCCCAGCTCTGTAAGTGGAAAGGAAAATCACCCATTTGAGGAATTCGATGCAGCGTGTCGCGTCATCAGGTAACTTATCCAATGCTGTATTTCCCTGAGCATCCCGAGCTGAAATATCGGCCCCATTCTGGAGGAGAAGGCCTATTGTTGCTTCCTGTCTAGATTTATGAGATCTTGTTTTGGTGGAATAAGAATATGATGGAGCACAGGCGGCCAGCAATGCTGTATTTCCCTCTTTATCTCGCTTTTCCAGGTCCATGCCTCCGTGGTCGAGTAATGCCCGAATAGAAATATGATCTGCATCATTTGCTGCCCAGTGAAGGGGTGTTCTGCCTTCATTATCAGTTGCGTTTATTTCAGCACCGTTAGAAAGTAAGAGTTGAATAACCCCAGCACGTCTACTTCTTTCAGCTGCGTAGATTAATGGTGTCTTCCTATTATTATCCATTGCGTTCACTTCAGCTCCATTAGAAAGCAAGAGTTGGATAATCCCACTTCTGCCCTCTTCAGCTGCATGCATTAATGGTGTCTTCCCATCCTGGTCAGTGATGTTCACATCAGCCCCATTATTAATGAGTGCCTGAGCCATGTCTGTGTTATCACTGTACTCTGCACACGTCCCGAGGGGCGTCCAAGAAAAACCATGATTTACTTGCGCCCCGTGCTGAATGAAGATCATCATTCCCATATCATTCCACTTGATGGAATTTTTTAGGGCTTGATTCCAGCACTCAGTGTCATATTTGGCTTTTGCTTCGTTGGCAAGCAGGAGTTTAACGACATTATGATGATCGGATTCAAGAGAACCAGAATCAGCTGCTTGCCAAAGTGGTGTCACTTTGGTATCGACACCAAAGTTTACCTGGGCTCCTTTTTGGATCAATAACTTTGATATTTTCAGGTTGCCTTCCTGCGTAGCGAAAGACAATCCCCTCATGCCGTCTGGGTTGGCAATCTCCGGATTTGCCCCTGCATCAAGCAGCATGCTAGCCGTTTCGTATCGTCCATTCTTAGCCGCTAAACGTAGAATAGATTGCCCGGTACTGTCTATAGTATCAGGATGTATCCTGCCAGAGGATAGCAGGATCTCCAATGCTGGTGTATTGCCCTTCTCTGCCAAAGAAGATAAGAATGTTTTGCTTCCCCCGGGCTTACAGTTAGGACCTAGAAGCTGTTTCCAATCCTCGTCGAACCTAGGATATCCTTCAGGGCAGGTGAAAACTTTCAATATGCGCGTATTACCCATCTCGGTAGCGGTTAGGATAGGGGAACCGTGATGCTCCCCCGAGATATTAATGGACACCCCCCTGCGCAGTTGGACCTTGGCGAGATTTGGTAGATCATGATCCGCAAATATGTACAAAAAGCTCGCATCGACGCTGTAGCGATCGGCCTGGTCCTCTTCAAGCATATTACGTGCGTAGATCCAATTTTCCACGGGAAAAGCATCAAGGAAAGTGTCTTGTGGAACACCTTCAGCCTCTGCCTTATCAGCATGTTCAAGAACGAACTCAACGGCATATTCAATGAACGGAAGGGCTGTTAATGTTTTTTTTCTAAGAGCAATTGCATCATTTGACTTCGTTGGTGGCAGTTCAACACATTGGAGTAAGTGACCCTTCGCAATGCTCATTTTGATGTAGTTGTGACAGCAGTGTTTTAGTAGCTCGTGGCCGACACGCAAGGAAGCCATCTGGAATTCAACCAGAAGGTCATGTATGCCACCTTCTTTCAGGAGAAAGTCTCCCACAGATTCGTGTATAAACTGAATAGTTGGGTCTCGAGACCTCGTCATCTCTGCAAGTCCCTTTGAGGAGCTGAGGATGAACCTTTTGGCGAGATCGGGATCACCGGGCGTCTCAGCTAAATTGGCTTCTTCGTCTTGTGATTGAATAGCAACGTATAGCTCATTTGGAGTTAGTGGTCTTTTGGCGTACAATATCCATTGGATACAAACAAAGTGATCTTCCAGGTTTTCTCGATCCCTGGTTAAGATATCCCTGAAAAGATTTGTCAATCCCCGTGGAATTTCTCTAAGTCGCTGACGTAGGAATTTTATGCGGCCTTGATCGTACGCTTTCCTCAAAATGTCCACAACGAGAACAACCCATAAAAAGATACCGGATGCTTTCTCCAGGATCTCCTGTTTCACCTCGTCCACTGTCTGATGCTTGATCCCAGACAGCTTGCTATTTAGATATTTGCCCAAGTCTTGGGAATGGCCTTGTTGATTCTCAAGGATGAGCTCTAAGCCTTTGTCAAAGGTAATATGGGGATAATGCCGACTAGCAAAACAGATATGGAGGGCTCCCAAGGATAGCTCTGTCGTCTCACTCAGATCAGCTAGGAAGTCGACCATGTCTCGTACCTCGTCCTCGTCACATTCGTCGAGAGCATCAATAAAGCATATCACAGCTTTCTGTCGGAGCGCCTTGACAGTTGAAAGGAATAAACTTTGCAGTCTAGCAAGGTCCCAGACAAGCTTGTCAGTGTTGCTCTGAATAGGTAGTCCAATGGTGTCGAGAACACTTTGGGCTTCGGGGACAGCGAGGAAAAGTTGTAATAGCAAAGAGCGGTACATTCCCAGCGTCGATTTCTCTAAGCCCCCCCCACGAGCGTTGAAGAAAAATGATATGATTACTGTGTCATTTATGCTGAAATTTTTCTGGGTATGCTCAAAAGCATACTTCATAATTGTCGATTTCCCAGTCCCTGGCTTTCCTTTAATCCACAAGAAGCCATGGTGCTCTGGTAGTTTGCTCGCATCAAGCCAATGCTGGTATATCTGGTGTTCTTGCAGCCATTTGCATGTTCCGGCATGCGCAAGCCTGATTGTGTCTTTTCGTGTTTGTATTTGGTCAAATCTGAGGGAGTTGACCCACAGCCTCCTTTTCGGGATGAGTTCTTTTAAAGTAGTAGATTCTTCTAAAGCAGTAGATGGGAAATTGACCTCTTCTGGGAGTAAAACAAGTTGTAGAAGCTCCTTCGCATACGCTGCTGCAGTCGCTGCTGCGTAATCCTGCCATTGCTTATTTTTATGGGAATCTGAGTAATCACAGATGCCACGAATCGCCAGAGAAGGGAAATCATTCATAAGACCGGAAGCTTCCATCTCAAAGCAAAGAGCTCCCAGCTCTTGAGCAACTCTGTCTCGTGTCTTTGCATGCTTAATCACTTGGTTTCCTGACGCGATTGTCCCATAATGAATTACTGGACAGCGAGTATCTCGAGGTGGTCTGGCTATCACTTGATCTATATCGCATTTCTCACATGTAGCATGTGCATCGGAGTGTTCGTATTCTGCGTTGAATAGGATATCTTGACCTTCGCCCCGGTATGAATATTTATCTGCCATGTGTGGGAAACGCTGTAGCATACCAGAAACACGATGGAGGAGATATTCGCCGCTATGTTGTCGATGATTTGCTTGGACGTTGGCGATAGCCGCCAAAAGTAAAGAAGGGGGGTTGTTCAACTTCCCCGTACGCTCGAGTTTGCCTTTTGCAACTGTTTTCCCGTAGTCATATTGCACCACTGCTGATTGCTCACGCGAGGGAACGCTGACGACAACATCTCCAAGCCGAATATCTTCTTTCGGACTGGGCGCCCCTCCTCCGATACCGACCATTAGCCAAAATTGGATGGATGGAAAACTAGAGCGCATATCACTAGCAACTCTGGTGGCAGAAGTCGTTCCATAGATCCCAGCTGGCAAACACGCAAGGACACAATTGTGTCCCGCCATCTTTCCTAGGGTGTATGAGTTGTTGTCCCCTGGTCTCGATCCATGTCTATCGTGGATCTCATCCAACATCGCTTGAGCAGCTGCGAGCTCGAGAGACAGGGCTGAGATCCAACCGACCGTATATTTCTCTGGCGAAAGGCATATTCGAGGCGTCGATGAGTGATCGGGGGATTGTTGGCCATCTTGGATTGGTGAATGACCATTGTGGGAGGTTTTTCTCCGCTTCGAGTGAGGGGTTTGCATCGAATACGTGATGTTACACAGGCTCTTTTGCATCCGTAACGACAATTCTTGGATGGGGCACTAAATCAGTGAGGAAAAGGTGTAATTCAGACGACTCCCTTTGAACACGACATGCGGATGCAAAGTAATGAGCCACCTAATCCTCGACAGGCGAAAGTTGTCTCAGGGAGGGAACAAGACTGTGCGGCTGCCACATGACAACAAAGTCACGGGTCCATACCTGTCTATTTCTGGATCTCTCATTGCGGGCCGAGCCTGAACGGTGGGTCGGTGGGCGCTTAGAGCCTTAAAAGTTGGGCATCAGGCAAATTCAGCTTAAGCGTCGATCTCAAACAGGAGTGAGATGACAGAAATCAATCGAGTAGGTGGCGTTCTTGCAGCATTAACTATAGGTCAAAACCATGGCCTGTAGTCCTACTTGATATTTAGCAAAATGATCTCAACTAGCTGCACACAAAAACGAAGAGATTGACTAAAAATGTTGCTGGGAGTATCCTCTCAAGGAAATACATAGTGTCCAGCCATTAGATAATAGTTGAAATGACCCATACATACTGAGCAAAACAGGCCTTTCAAGCTTTCAATGCCCTTTCTTTGTTCCCGATTATGGTTTTTAAGATAGGTCCTGATAGACTAGTAGATATTATTGCTTATGAATGAATAGATTGATAAGATAGATAAAGAATATTGAACTTTGATGGATTCATATCGTATGTACAGCGATACACCCATTTATATTTCAAGCTTTGAATAGCTTCAATCTATTCTTTATAAACTTCCAAATCCTGATGGATTTTATCCAGGGTCTGCGCGGCAAGTTTCTGAACATCATCTACCCACTTGGCAATCTCGTCCTGAGGATTCCCAGCCCAGCTATCCACATTATCCAGGGCAACCTGCAAGGTGCTCTCACTGTTTTGCACAAGACGCTTCACAGCAGTCGACGCGAAGCTACACACAGTTGCCGCTTCATGCTGCTCAAACCCAGACAGTATGATAAGCCGATTTGTATAAAAGCTCCTGAGTTGTTCATATGTGTCCCATGCTGACTCGTGCAGGGTGCGTTGATTGACGCCGAGTTGATTATCCCACGTTGATTTCTTGTGGCAGTCTGGAGATGAGGCGAGACTGTCCATTTTTTGTTTGGTTGTTATGAAGACATTCTTGTTGAGAGCCTCGACTGCGTCTTTGGCTGCTTGTTCGAATTGTTGGATTTCACTGGACTTCATCTGTATTATGTATTAGAAGAGGTCAGGTAAGTATTTCAATGTCATGGAAATACGTACCTTGGATGTTTAAAGCTGTGGGTGTGATGAAAAACCCCATTTTGGGGCATGGAGGGGTTCAAGTATCTTCTTTCCACTGAGTTGCTTCAGCTGTCTTCAGCTCAGCTGCTCCACTCTCAGCTGTGATATCACACTTTTTACAGCTTATTCAGAGATTATATACATCGAGGCCATGTAATTTATTAAAGTAACACATAAATTAATCATAACCATGCTGCTGATTCTCCGTACCATCAAAAATGGCATCAATCCTCCCCAAAACCTCCGCCAGCCAAACCCCCAAATCCCTCCCCCACTTAGCAATCCCAGCCTCTGCAACTTCTGCGTCTCTAATCCACTCGCCCATGATCCGCGAAGAAAACACCGAACAGGCCTTCTCCAAGAAATCCTCCACCGGCGCCGCCGCTCTCGAATACATGAATGCCGCGTCTTCTTGCATGGACTCGGGCAGGTCGCGAACCCTTTCATAGCCAGTTTCGCGTAACCCCTCAAAGATCTCCCGTTGCTGTCGTTTCACGGTTGCCATCTCATCGGTGATCTGCTTCATCCATTTGGATTGGTCGTTTTTGTCGGGGGAGGATGCGAAAGTGGCTAGTCTTTGCTGGATCTCCATGCATTGATCGTGGTTTTTCTTGACTTCACCTTTGATCATGGTGCAGAGTGGTTCGAGGGCGGGGTCCATCTGTAGGATTAGTATTTATACATATGATAAAGAAAGATATGCATACTTTGAATGTCTGGGGATCTGGCATTAGGGAATGTGATGATAGATGGAATTTGAAACCAGAGACTGGGAACAGTGGGCTTAAGTATCTCTCAATCGATCGATCTCAGCCTCAGCAGTCGTCAGACAGTGAGGGGCATTCCCAGTGTCTTCCGTGTTGATTGGATCGATATCCAACATGATGTCTCTTTAGTGGGGCGGGTTTTCAGCTCTACAGACCTTCTTATACTGCGTTTCTGCTCAGCTGAGCATAGACCTGGCATCTATATCTGGTTGTTTAGGATTTTGAACTACTGTGTCCGGAGTGTACAATAGTTACCAACTATCTGTAGACCTGAATAGCTTCGTCTGGGGTTGAAAGAAGCCATTAATCACATGCGCGATGTCTAGATGGATGAACAGTAGAATAAGCCAGTCGTCGAAAGGCTGTGGAGAGTATACATACTAGATAGCACTTATATCAGATCTCCACTGCTATACAGCCAAATATAAGATCCCTGTTTCCCATTTTGCCGGACTTCTATCATCATTAACAGCTGAATTACCCGACCCCGCACTGTCGATGATCTATGCAGGATATTTCCACCAATATCGATACAGCTGGGTATAAGAGAATAGCATAAGAATGGCATTTCTGCTGCTTTTTGGGTACACTTTACATATCAATTATTGACAATGGCTTGTATTATTCTTATATTATATCTGGCTGCTGTGTGTGCTGCTACTGCAACACATACAGCATCACCAACACTGACTACGTCTCTCAATATAACAGTCGAAGGTATATCTCCCATATTCTACTATATATGGTAATTAATCTATCAGATCTCTGGAATCTCTACATCGGCCCCGTCCAAACCCCATCTGTGAATACAACCATCGAGCCAACCCCCATCCCCTCTGCAGACCTCATCCCCCCACCTTACCTCGATTATCCAGATACAACATATGCCAATTACTCATTCCCCAAAGGCTTCTGGTGGGGTGTTGCATCAGCCTCGTATCAGGTCGAAGGCGCCGTCAAAGCAGAAGGTCGAGGACCGAGTATTTGGGATGCATTCACTCACAGAGCGATGAGTGTAGCGGATAACCAGACGGGGGATGTCGCAATTAATGAGTATTATACTTATAAGCGAGGTATATCTATCTTGGACATGCTTATGTGTGGTATACTGACTAGGCAGAAATCCAACGCATCGCAGCAATGGGCGTAAAAGCCTACTCCTTCTCCATTTCCTGGTCACGGATATTCCCCTTTGGTAACGGTCCCATCAACGAAGCTGGGCTGAAGCATTACGACGATCTCATCGAGACCTGTATACAATATGGTGTCCAACCACATGTCACCATGTATCACTGGGATCTGCCACTCTACCTCCAACTGTCATACGGCGGATGGACAGACGCACGGATCGTGGATGACTTTGTAGACTACGCCAAAGTCCTCCTCACTCGCTGGGGAGATAAAGTCGCCCAGTGGTATACATTCAACGAACCGATTTCGTTTTGCGGCGAGTATCCCGTGCCTGAGGGGTACTTTCCCCGTAACACTGATATCCCTGATGTGCAGCAGAAGTTCTGGTGTGGGCATTATATGCTGCTTGCGGCGGGGAGGACGTATCGACTTGCGCGGTCGATGAATATCACGGCGCCTATCACTGTTAAGAATAACGGTGGGTATAAACTGCCTCGTACTAATTCCAGTGAAGATATCGAAGCAGTCGAACGCGCATACGCATTCAACGAAGGCTGGTTCGCGGATCCATTATTCCTCACTGGCGACTATCCACCCCGTCTGAAGAACTTCACATCAACCTTCCTCCCTGAATTCACCGAAGAAGAAAAAGCCATGATAAAAGGCGCAAGCGACTACTTTGCCCACGACGCATACACAGCAGCCTACTATGCAGCCCCGGACGCCGGGATAGCTGCCTGCCTAACCGACCCCTCCAACACACTCTACCCAACCTGCTACAACTCATCTTACACCCTCCCACCCTCCCAAGGCGGTTGGCTCATCGGCCCAGCCGCAGACCCCAGCTCGCGCTGGCTGCACAAAGCAACCGAGTACCTTCCCGCGTTCCTAAAATACATCCAAAACACCTGGAAACCGGAAAAGGGCATCGTGATCACAGAGTTTGGGTTCACGGAGCCGTTTGAGGCATACAAGACGAAGAGGGAGGATATACTTACCGATCCGATTCGGTCTGCGTATTATCGTGATTATGTGCAGGGGATGCTGGTGGCGATATCAGAGGGGGTGAATCTGGTGGGATGTTTGGCGTGGTCGATTGCGGATAATCTGGAGTGGACGGCGGGGTTTACGGTTAAGTTTGGCTTGCAGGTAAGATCTTATGTTGAGTTGGTGAGATGATGCTGATTGTGTTCCGTATAGTATGTCAACCTGACCACGCAGGAGCGGTACTATAAGGCTAGCTTTTTTGAATTGGCGAATTTGTTCAAAACATATATGCAGGACTAGGGCAATCGCCTGAATATATGCTGGTTTAGTACTGGGATACTCTAGGCTACGCCAGATAAAATCCTATACGATAAAAATAAATGCAGATCCGCCGATCATCTCCAGAAACCCCCAAATCCTGCCCAACCTGAGGCCAAAAAGAAAGAGGCTGGTATACTCTGCACCTAATCAGTGTCAGATCACCTGACCCACCCTAAACTTGCCCGACAGCTTAAACTCCCGCTCAACCAATTAGAACACAGATCCACACTAACACTGTTTGAGCATCAAAAGACCAGCCACCCAGAAAAAGATGGCTGGGGGTGAACAAGAAGGATTTTGTTCTTTCTTTTATATTGCAATGACCCGTGGGATTCTTGTCGGTGGTTTTTTTGACTATTCTTTCCCCCTGGATTTGAGGGGTGTTTACATACATTTATTCTATCTATCTGTTTATTGATTATCTTATCGTTGTGCTTGTTTGCTACCTACTCTGTATACCCAACGAGGGGCAACAGCAACATCCAGGCTCTACACGGCCTATCGGTCATCTGGCCCGATTGACCATCCTCCATACAAATATCCCTCATCCCCATCCTCATCCTCCGCCAAAATGGTCAAACGCAACATCGCCATCGCAATCATCATCATCCTCCTCTGCCTCGCCCTCGCTGCAGCCGGTGTCGCCATCTGGGCGATGCAGCACCGCGTGGGTTTCTTTAATAAGAAACAGGCCGTTGATGAGGAGAGTGCCGCCGAAGAAGGATGACCTTTTTTGCATGATACACATGATGGAGATGAAGAAGAATGATTACGTGGATACGAAATTAACTGCTCGACTGATTGCGATGATTGATTGATATACATACCTACATACCTCACATATATCTCGACTCGACTCGACTCGATACGATGCGATACGAACGATTTCTCGGTTTATAATTACCACCTGCACATCTACCTGCACATCTACCTGCACACTTGACTTTGACTTTGACTTTGAATACGGCATATATGTTACGGAGTATAAAACGTGGGATTGGATGGGCTTTTTCCATTTCCTGCTTTCGATTTCTTTTTTTATATTATTTTACGTTTATGATACTCTTGTTGGATTATGGCTACGATTGATGATATCACTTGTTTGATGGTTCAGAATGAATATGGTTACTGGAGATGAACAATTATGGAGTTACTGTATCATATTAACAGAATTGCATCCAAAGAATTTTCATTACTAGGTTCAGTGCACCGAGAATCAGGCCATGAGCCCAAGTCCCGTACGATCAACCCAAAATCTTCAATCCTCCCTTGGTCTTCCCCTGCTTCTTAACCCCATCATGCTTCGTCTTTCCTCCTCGGGATCCACCACCGCCTCCTCCATTCCTCTTCCCACCCTTGTTGTTCGACACTGGACGAACCTCTGTCGTAGCACGTCGCAGTAAAACCGGGTGTGACCCAATGTATTTGCCCTGCATTTCCCTGGCAGCTGCGAAATAGTCATCGCCATCACTGAAGCTGACAAACCCATAACCCTTGCTCTTCTGCGTACGTTTATCGCGAATCACCCGTGCTTTCTGGATCGAAGTATACTTCGCAAACGCTTTCAGTAACGAATCATCGGTGACCTCGCCCGCGAGATTGCCGACAAAGAGGCGGAAATGCGCCGGGTCCCACTCCAAAAGGGTGGAATCTGTCCAGGTTTGCCCACCTCCCGCTCGAGCGACTGTTTTGGATGCGGGCTCCGGATTCGCAGGCATTGGTGTTGGGGTACTCGATGGAACATTGGACGGCGTGTTAGCCCCAGATGCGGGATTGCCCTCGCGCCGGGGGGGTGCTTTACCCATGAATGGTGTTTCATCCTTGTTAGCATAAGCACTCTGCCATTGCGCGATCTGGGCTTCAGTGTCGGGATCTAAACCGGAGTCGGGACGACCGCCACCCGCAGGTGTGAACGGGTTTTGGATCTGAGGTACTGCCGGTGCGTACGTGTTATCGTTATACTGAGCCTGGCCATAATACTGTGCTCCGCCCTGATATGTTTGCTGTGGCTGCTGGTAGTAACCGCCGTAGCCCGCCGCCGTCGGGGGAGCTGAATATCCTGGTGGTTGTGATGGAGGTGCTGCCGGAGCAGACACAACAGGGCTGCTGGTACGGTGGCTAGAAGCTACGGAGCGAGGCTGGAATGCCGTGAAAGCATTGTATCCGGTCCGCGCAGAGTTCCCGCCATATCCACTAGCAGTGCCGGATGACTGGTATGATGGAGCAGCCGAGTAGGCGGGCTTGAACGACGAGCTTGTGCTTGCGGGTGGTGGTGGCCGCGGAGGAAGCGAGGAGGGAGCTTGTTTGAGACCTGGAGGTGGCGGAAAGGACATGATGAATGGAGAGTTCGAATAGACGGTAGATGTGATGCGCCGTATGCAATCAGCAGAAACGTACCTTCAGGGCCTAACTGACGCAGCAGTTATACGTCAGACGTCACGCCTGAAAAAGGTCCCGAATCCGGAGATGAGAGTATTCTCAAATGCGCAGTTGTAGAGGACTTTGGTGATTATTTCAACCACCTAGTTGACACCTCGTGAAAAGATGTCGAGTTAGAAGAAGGATATCGCAATACGTGAGAGAATGTATTCTCACAGTTGTCGCAAGACTTGATAGCCAAATGTTGACAACAAACAGAGGCAGTGGCGATCAAGTCCGATTCATCTTTGCGCCTGAAAGAGAAAACACATCTGGTGTCTACGGCATGCCGAACATTGCAAACAGGACAACATGCAGCCACAGATGACTCAGCGCCAAGATTCACCAGCCCCAACGCACTCCTCGTGGTGCCACCCCCACCCTATACCCCTTTAGGAAAGGCCGCAGCGCTAAGGTGCGTTAGACTAGTTCTGGGAAGCCTACATACAGCAGCATTGCAGGAGTTCTAGATGAGCGGATTATGTGATGGCGTTAGTTGCGGTATATTTAAGACGGAGATCAAGGCAAGAAGTCACCGGAGATGCATGGAAACAGGATCAGATAGCCGGCAATTGAAGAAGGCGTGACTAACCCAATGAGATAAAAGCCCGGAGGAGAAACAGCCAGCCAGGGGTGCAGAAGCCGACCGTTTCTGCTTCACCGAAATGCCCCTCCGTTTCTGCTGTGCCCCGCCATCCAGCATCAGCTGTCTGTTCTTCCGTCACCTCCGAGGGGTTCTTTTCCTGCCCCTCTGGAGGGGTAGCAACAGCATCATGTAATAAACAGCAGTCAACAGCAGCACAATTGACGGGTATGCTGTATAGCCATGTAGAATCGTAAAAGCAATGGGCGCAAATAGCCGCAAATTCCATCCAGCTCTGCCAATCCGTCTATACAAGATCCGTGGGATAATTGATTGTTCTTCTCACCGGACTACTCTGCTCCTCTTGTCTGCCCCGCCTCTTGTTCCCACCATGACGGAGAGTCGCTCCGTAAGCCGCCCAGTACCAGAATCCGGTCTGACATCTTCGAACTCTTTCGCTCTTTTCTTTCCCTTCATCTCCTCTTCCCTTCCTTCTTCTCTTCTCCATCCTCTCTCCATCCTTTTCTCTGAGCAGACCCTTTGGCTGTAGATATATAATCTGCACCATCTCCCCGTCGAGCGTCTCGTTCATTCTATCCAAACATCTTTCTTGACCCCCACCTTCATCATGGCTGAGACTCAGGCTGTGTAAGTCCTCCATCCTGAATTAACTATTTTCCCCTCATCACCATCATCGTCATACCCCTCAACCCATCATCTGTTGAAATGTTCTGTTCTCAATCAATGGCCTTGTGGAGCTCTGCTTGTTGCACGTCAATCATCTCTTCTAGTCATGAATAGTGGTTGCTGTGGCAAGCTGCCTCAAGCTTGATTCTGTCGACGTCATCTTCATGCATTGCCTACACATCTTCAATTTCCCTGGTCTTCAACTCGCGCTACCCATCTGTTGACATGAGAATTGGCAACTGACTTTAGCGCCCGTCTCGCCGGCATCAATGTCGGCGCTCCGGCGCGTCCTTTGCCCAGTGCTGATTTCGGTCTCATCGGTCTGGCCGTCATGGGCCAGAACCTGATCCTCAACGCTGCTGATCACGGTTTCACCGTTTGCGCTTTCAACCGTACCACCGCCAAGGTTGACCGCTTCCTCGACAACGAGGCCAAGGGTAAGATCAAATTGCTGTCAACGATTGAACAGAAAAACTAATCCTGACTCCAACCTATAGGCAAGTCCATCGTTGGTGCTCACTCCATCCAGGAGTTCTGCGCCAAGCTCAAGAGACCCCGCCGTGTCATGCTCCTTGTCATGGCTGGTAAGCCCGTTGACGACTTCATTGAGTCTCTTCTGCCTTTCCTCGAGGAGGGTGACATCATCATCGACGGTGGTAACTCCCACTTCCCCGACAGCAACCGCCGCAGCAAGTACCTTGCCGAGAAGAAGATCAGCTTCGTTGGTAGCGGTGTCTCCGGTGGTGAGGAGGGTGCCCGCTACGGTCCCTCTCTCATGCCCGGTGGTAACGAGGCTGCCTGGCCTCACATCAAGGACATCTTCCAGAGCATCTCCGCCAAGAGCGATGGCGAGGCTTGCTGTGACTGGGTTGGTGACGAGGGCGCTGGTCACTTCGTCAAGATGGTCCACAACGGTATTGAGTACGGTGACATGCAGCTGATTTGCGAGGTGAGCATTAGCCTGGTCCTGTTTCCATGCCATTAACTGACGATATCACTCTTTTAGGCTTACGACCTCCTCAAGCGTGGTCTTGGTCTCACCCCCAACGAGATCGGTGAGGTCTTCGACAAGTGGAACAAGGGTGTCTTGGACTCCTTCTTGATCGAGATCACCCGTGACGTCCTCCGCTACAACGACAACGACGGTACCGCCCTCGTTGAGAAGATTCTGGACAAGGCTGGTCAGAAGGGTACCGGCAAGTGGACTGCCATCAACGCCCTCGACCTCGGTATGCCCGTCACCCTCATCGGTGAGGCCGTCTTCTCTCGTTGTTTGAGTGCTCTCAAGGACGAGCGTACTCGTGCCAGCGGTCTCCTCACTGGCCCCACCCCCGAATTCACCGGTGACAAGCAGGCTTTCATCGATGACCTCGAGCAGGCTCTGTACGCCTCCAAGATTATCTCCTATGCCCAGGGCTTCATGCTCATCCAGGAGGTAAGTCCTTTGATATCTCTCGCGTCCACTGTTCAGTAACTGACTCTTCATCAACAGGCCGCCAAGGAGTACGGCTGGAAGCTCAACAAGCCTTCCATTGCCCTCATGTGGCGCGGTGGATGCATCATCCGCTCCGTCTTCCTTAAGGACATCACCAACGCCTACCGCAACAACCCTGACCTCGAGAACCTTCTGTTCGACGACTTCTTCAAGGCCGCCATCCAGAACGCCCAGAAGGGCTGGAGAAACGTTGTCAGCAAGACTGCTCTCTGGGGTGTCCCCGCTCCCGCCTTCAGCACTGCCCTCAGCTTCTACGACGGCTACCGCACCAAGGACCTCCCCGCCAACCTGCTGCAGGCTCAGCGTGACTACTTCGGTGCCCACACCTTCCGCATCAAGCCTGAGCACGCCAACGAGAACTACCCCGAGGGCAAGGACATCCACGTCAACTGGACCGGACGTGGTGGTGATGTCTCCGCCTCTACCTACGTGGCTTAAATGAGGACACGACGCAATGCGCTGGACGTGAAAATTTCCCCCCTGATATGTTCAACGTGACAGGGAAAGAGTGGGTTTATATGACCACGAGCCGGACCACTCGGGAAACATAGAATGATTACGGTAAAATATGGTTGGTATGCAATGTATTTAGATGCATTTTTATTATTATTATTCTTTTCCTTTACCATGTACTTCATTGAAACATAATGAAGCCTGGTTGTTTAAAAGTATGTGGCAGGGCTTCTTACAATAACCCACCCGCAGCTATCACAATAAAACAAAAAAAATTAATAAGGACCTTCTCTGTATGACCTTGTAGTTATTAAACCTTTTAAAATTAAATATATCAGTGAAGAAATGGAATAAACAGCTGGAAATATCATGAAACGTGATGCTGTAGAAATCCATAGTGTCTTCTCCGCCCGGGCTAAACCACATCGGGAACGCCCGCTGTGCAACCTAACGTCGACCCTGCCCATTGTTCAGTCAGCGTCAACCCCCCAAACACCCTCTTCTCCCCAAGCTCCCTCCCACCGGCTTCATCTCTCACTCTCTGGGCCAGCAGTCTGAGACGGAAACAAAGATTCCTCGTCTGCTTGGCTGTGCACCACTTGTTGGACCGCCTTTGTGTGTCACTTCGTCGCACCTTTTCGAAGTTAGTCCGGCTCCCGCTACGTCCCACTCTACTTGTTTTGGGATTAAGTCATATTTGCGTTTGACAAAACTTGGAGCTGGTTTCTAATTATCTCATCGCACTAGGTCGGACAGGCCGTTCAGGTTGAACAATTCCTTCTACCTGCGATCAAAAGGCGACCGGACGTGTTATCTCGTGCTCCCCTCCGATGTTCTGATCTCACCGATCGAGGGATTCAGTGACCGCATACGATCGTCGACATAGGGTATAACCTACTTGTAGGCTGAGGGGGTTATTGGTTCAACTCCCGATTACATTTTCTTGGCTGTGGAGGTAATCCTATGGTTGAGAACAAGCGTCACAGCGTGGGAGTTAAAACGTCAGTACAGGGATCTTCTGGTGTAGCTACGGGTCCGGGAATGGCAGCTGCCATGGTGCCGCTGGAGGTGGCATTGAGCGGTGCAATTGGTGCGCGGTAAGCAGTAGTGTTCCTGGAAATCAACCCGATGCCAATGCGATGCGCCGTTGCATGAACGGTTCTCTTTTTGGAGGCTGTTCCGTCGCACGGGGATGCTAGGTGAATGTCGTTACTGACACGTTTATCCCAACGCAGCGTTCGTATTAGCACAGCTCCACCAGCAGTAACTACCCTTGAGGGAGTTCTTTTTACGGCTTGTCCCATCACAAACTTGGTTGCGATCAACACAGCAGCCTCGTCCCCTGCCGCAGACACCAAACAAGGTCCAGCAGGCGATTATCATGTTGTCCCGGTATCACGCATCCAGTCGTTTCAAATCGTTTCTCTAGCCCCATCTGCCAACGGCTCCGATGGACCATCCTTCACCGATGCCGTCCCTGCGTTGCATGCGCTTGATATTCGTGCGTTGAAGCACCGGGAGGCCACTGCGATTGGCAAGGTACATGAGGGCGAGGCGCGCCGTGGCAAGGGTGTCACTCGAGATGCACAGGATATCTTTGATGCTTTTAGTCGGACCATGCCCGCAAGATGGGATGGATCCAATGTCGTCGTGGCAGATGCGGTCACGATTGCACCCCCATACCGTGTCGATGACTGTCGGCCGCTGGTGGCAGGTGACACAGCTGCACTTGCCAGAATCCGGAAAGTGGTATGTAAAAGTTTCTATGGAATCCCAAGATGCATGTTCAAATGGCTAACAGACGTGCCAAAAATAGCTTGAGATGGAACGTAAGAAGATCGAACTCCGCAACGCCAGTTCAAGCATTGGCAACGCAAACACCTTCCGCCCTGCCGGTTCTAACAACTCCGGTGCTTCCCCAGGGCCTGGTGCTGCTGGGCAAAGAAAGGGTGGTTGAGCGCATTAGAAATTTCTTTCCTTTTCTTTTCTCTGTTATAGTATTATCCGAAGCGCGATCATGTGGGGTGAAACCACCTATCAGCGCTTAGGGAGAAGAAAAAGGGAACCGTGTTTCCCTGAAGGTCGAATATATGTGGCAAATGAGATGAAAGCATTGGGGAATAGCGAGGCATGGATACTGTATAAGACCAGAGGAAGTGTCTTTTGACGATGACCTGGGTGATAGCTCAGGAGACGGGAGTTGCCGGTGTTGGATGCATACGGGCAGGAGTCGTGCTTGTGTATCTCTCGCCATTGGGGATTGCATTTAACTGGCTACCTAGAGTCTTGTAGATCATGTTGAGAAGACGTTGATCCCTAGAAAATGATTGGCACGAATACGATGATAAATTCCAACTTTCTTTCTCTAGGTCTTAAGCATCTACCCTGAACATAGAGATTATTCAAATCGAGAAAGCCGGGGACATTAAGACGTAAATTAAATTAATATCTTTTGTTCGTTTCATCTTTTCAAAAAAACGAAACAAACGCATTACACGGCCTACGAAGCATAATATCAAACTAACCAAACCAAAAGAAGAAGAAAAAGAAAGAAACGAAAACAACCACCCCAAACCAACCAAACCAGTCAAAATCAGTCCTCTTCCCGGCCTAATTTCTCCAAATTAATGGCAGCACTGATACAGGCCAGGTGACTAAATGCCTGGGGTGTGTTACCCATCTGTTCACCGGAGACGGATACCTCCTCGGAGAACATGCCCAGATGGTTGGAGTAAGATAGGATGTTATCGAAGTGGGCGAGGGCGAGTTTCCATAGGTTTGGAATGGGGACGTCGTATTTTGCGGCCTGATATAAGATAGGTTAGTGGTTGTGTTGTTTGCTGTTGTTATTGAGGGAGAACTTACACGAGCCATGGCTTCGACGAGCCAGAATGTAACCATTATAAAGGCGCCTTCGCGGCCACCCACGCCTGGTGATGTTTGGATCAGCATGTGTGATACGAGATATATAAAGGGTGGTTCTGAGATAGCGAAAGAGTGACGGAGAGGGAGATATACCATCGTTGGCCTTATCGTGATCATACCGAAACACCATTTTCGCACTGGACAAACCCTCCTTGTCTGGCCCTTGAAGAATCTTCTCCAATGTGCTGATGAATCGAGGATCGTTGGGCGCAATGAAGAAAACCAACGGTGCAATCATAATTGCTGCGTCCAGGACTTCGCGGCTCTCGAAGCTCTGGGAGAAATGTCCTCGTTCCGCATTATACCCCTTATCCATGATTTCATCGTATAGTTCGTCGCGAACCTGGATCCATTTGAAACGATCCGGACACGGCAGACTCGCACGCTTCTCTGCAAGACGGATACCGCGATCCAAGGCAACCCAGAGCATGATCTTGGAGTACAGGAAATTTTGAATCTGGCCACGGGACTCCCAGATAGACATGTCTTTTTCATGTCGTACTTCGATCACATAGTTCACCATGCGTCGAATAGACAGCCATTGGTCGTACGAAATGGGGTTCCCATGCTTGTTGTACAGATAAATGCTGTCCAGAAGCTCACCGTAAATATCTAGCTGGGTGTGGAAGACTGCCGCGTTGCCTACTCGGACAGGCTTGCTTCCTTTGTACCCATCGAGATGATCCAGCTCCATTTCTGGGATCTCATAGTCACCTCTGATGGTAAACATGAGAGGGAGGAATGGCCGTTTTGAGCCCACCTTGGCCTCTTGCTGGGCATGCGGGAAGATGCGGTCGAAAATGAAATTGACGTAGGCCTCGGCCTCTTGACTGTAGCCCATTTTGAGGAAGACGTAAAGAGTGAAAGCGGTATCCCGGACCCAGGAGTAACGGTAATCCCAATTGCGGTTACCACCGACATTCTCCGGAAGAGAAAACGTGGGAGAGGCAACTATAGCGCCTGTTGGTTTGTAGGTCAGTAGTTTTAGAATAAGAAGACTCCTCTCGACGGTCTCTCGATAGTGACCGCGGAACGCGCATTTCCGGGTCCAGTCTGTCCAGTAATCAAACGTTTCTTCTTCCATCCTATTCAAATGAGCTGCCACAGTGGCCTCACTGGGCATTGCCTTTTCAGGACTGTGTATGACAAAGGTGACAGTTTGGCCCTCTGTCAATCGGAGCCAGGCCACAAGCCCCCGTCCTTTAAGACCTGGTTTCTCCTCCATGCTTAATCGGCCTTGGGGGAACCCCGTTTTGTCAGGTTCTTTAGAGTCGGCAAAGAGTTCCACCTGAAGTCTTTCCGTATCGCTTTCAAAATGAATGGTTTGCAAGCGGTGCTTGCCAAGATCATTGGAGAGTCTTGCACGAGTTGTATGCGGGTCACGGGCATAATTAAAAGCTGGAAATAGTTCCACCTGTAGGTCCATAAATCCCCGGCTACATTCAATTTTCCTGATCAAACCGGAGTGCCGCAGGTCAGACTTGAAGCGGTTGACGCCATGTTCGTTACATGGACAATATCCAGACAAGATTCGACCTGACTGAGCCGTCTTCTTAGGGGAAACAGGGAAATAATCCAGCATTGTTACAACCCCGTCATCGTTGGTCCATCGTGTTTCTAGGAGATTGGAGTACGGCAAGTACCTCTGCTTGCTGAGGATATCTTGAACGGCCTGAGTCGGGGCGATGCTGAAATACCCTCCCTTTTTGGCATCGAGGAGACGACAAAAGACCGTGGGCGAATCGAAAACAGGCCAGCACATAAAATCCAAGCTACCAGCTTTGCTGATCAATGCACAGGTGTGCATATCCCCGATTATACCATAATCTTCGATGGCATTATATCCCGTTGCCATGATGGTTGAGTTGAGATGTCGAACTTGGCTGTATCAGCGATATGAGAGCCATACAATCTCTAGGGCGACAAGAATCCTATCAAAGAAGCAACAGACAAACAGTGCAACAGAGGGGAGAGGAGGACTACACAGAAAGGTCAGTCGGTGCGGGCAGATTGGACCCTGAGCGCCATTTCGACCCAGAACATCGATATGATAACCATTATTTCATCTATACCTCCCTACATCTGAGAGTGTCTGGAAAATACAACGACACGATGATGAGGGATGGTCTGAGGTCATTGTTGCTCGGCAAACCCTTTGACAGGCATGGTGGAGAGCCATCGGAACAACGACATTGCTACAGCGGTAAATTCACATCATAATATCATAACTGGGTCCCATTGAGTTTTCTGACAAATCAGCGGCGTTGATTTCACAAGATCGACCAAGGTACCTATTAACTTAGTCAATGACAATCCCTACTACCACCAAGAAGCTAAATCGCTAAAGACACGGCCGGGTCGAGGACTGCCAAGAGTCGGTGAGAGTCGAGTTGAAGTAGAGACGAGTCCATGATCCTACGATCAGGATTTCTTTGTTCCGGGTTTCGACTTGTCTTATAGGCAGAAACTCGTTGTCAATGCCAGTTGTTTGTCAGGGGCAGGGAGACCAGCCAGCTGGTTCTGATCCAAAGACGTATCGGACAAGGCCTCCGCCAACCAAGAGGAGTCGATGACCCCGGATCGGCCGGCCTCTGGGTAACTCTAGAGTCGTTAGGGGCCCAAATCATCACCTAGACTCCGCACGAGAAAATCCCCTAGTGCCTGAGATGACCATATGAAGAATTGGGCCCTTTTTTGACTTTTGCCGTAGTATTCATGGGGGAGTTGAGTCACCCGATCAGGGTCATGCCTAAGCCAAACGAGTCATTAATCATTAGCTGAGCAGATTCCTGATGGACTCATCACTTTTTAGGAGTGTTTTTGATTAATAACCTAGCTGTTTTGGGGGTGGCTTATGTCGGTCTGAAGCAGAGTGGAGAGTGAGTGGTGGTTGCTGTGATGGTGGTGGCAGTGGTGGATTAGGGGAGAGCCTCGCAGGGTTTATTGCCCCTCTCCGCCGGCGCTGCTGCCACGCTCTCTGTCCGACCGTCTCACAGCGTCTCTCTTTCGCTGTCTTTCTCACACGACCCTTTCTTTTCCCTCCTTCTCCTCTTCTCCTTAGATTATCTCATAGAAAAAGAAAAAAAGAAAAGCAAAAAATAATTACACTTACAGACGCTCATTTGATTTCCCTTTTCGACCCTTCTTCAATCAATCCGCACCCTTGCATATATCGTGTCCAAAACCTTACATACTACCACCACTTCCATTTCTCTCTTTTCCTCTCTTTTTTTCACTCCCTCTCACATTTCTCCAATTTAACTCTCCTGTTGTCACCACGTCTGGTCATTTCTCCCTTTCTTTTTTGGAGAAGCTCGAGTCCATCGGTTGCCTTTACCGCAAAACCACACCCACCTGTTGATCGGGTGCCGATGGAGCCCTTTGCATTCTAGCAGAGATTATTCCCCCCCTTCCTTTTTTCCTTTTTTTTTTCTTTTTCTCTTTTTTTCTTACTATTTAACAACCCCTCAATATGGGCTTATCCCCGGCTGGTAATCATCATCGACGGCGGAGTTCGGTGCTGACTAGCACGGGCGGCCCTTCACAATCAGCTTTGACCGAACCAAGGGATGACTCTTCCAAGGCGATTGGCGACAATAAACGTGAAGAACAAAGACTCTTAACAGCAGAGGAAGCCGACGCATCCGACCTTTCATCCATCGAGGAAAGCGTGGAGATGGATTTGATGAGCTCCGACGATGATCTTCACGATGACGAGGAAACCGGGCTGACAGCAAAACAAAGACGCCAGCGACGACGAAGGCGGAGGCAACGGAGACAGTTGGATGCTCGAATCGCAGATGTCAAGGCATCCCGACAAGATTCAGATTTGGATGATACAAGTGTGGCCAGGAGGCTGGTCGGCAATGCTGCTCTGATCCTTATGTGGTACTTGTTTTCATTGTCGATCTCGATCGTGAGTTTTCCCAAAGACCTCGTGGGGGAGGGGAACAGGAACGTGCGTGTGATGAAGAATATAAACTGACTCTTGATGTGATTGCTACAGTACAATAAATGGATGTTTTCCGAAGACGATGTCGTGTTCCCCTTTCCTCTCTTCACCACCAGCTTGCATATGGCCGTTCAGTTCACCCTCTCGTCCCTCATACTCTGGATCATTCCGTCTCTTCGCCCCCAAAATCCGTCATCATCTTCTTCAAACCCCGAATCGCCAGTACGAGATGATGAATCGCTGGAGCACCGCCCGGTGCTCACCAAGCTCTTCTACCTGACTCGCCTTGTTCCCTGTGGTGCAGCAACCTCGCTGGATATCGGGTTGGGGAACATGTCCTTAAAATTCATCTCCTTGACATTTTTAACCATGTGTAAATCCTCTGCTCTCGCCTTTGTCCTCCTCTTCGCCTTCATTTTCGGTCTCGAAAAACCATCCGTCAAGTTGATTATCGTTATTGCCACCATGACTGTTGGCGTGGTCATGATGGTCGCTGGAGAAACGGCTTTCAACGCAGTGGGCTTTACGTTAGTCATTGCCTCTGCATTCTTTTCGGGCTTCAGATGGGGCTTGACGCAAATACTCTTACTTCGCCATCCGGCCACCTCCAATCCTTTCTCAACTCTCTTTTTCCTTACCCCCGTCATGTTTTTCTCTCTCATTTTCATCGCTTTAGCCATTGAAGGTCCCATTCAGATCTACAAAGGCTTCGAGGCCCTCGCGAATGCTCACGGAGGGCTATTTTCCCTTGCACTCTTGATCTTTCCGGGCGTACTCGCCTTTTGTATGATTTCTTCCGAGTTTGCACTCCTCAAGCGCTCCTCTGTCGTCACATTGAGTATCTGCGGCATTTTCAAAGAGGTCGTCACAATCAGTGTAGCGGGTATTGTCTTCCATGACCAGCTCACTCTAATCAATCTCATTGGTTTGGGGGTCACCATTGGAAGTATTGGATCCTACAACTACATGAAAATTTCTAAAATGCGTCGTGAATCACAGCAAGGCAAGTGGGAGTCGGGCACAGACGGAGAAGATTCAGACGGCTATAGCTCTAGAGGGCGCGGTGACTACCAAAGGGTTGCCAACCCGGAGACTACTATGCTCACCTCGTCTCCGAACCCCCATGTAGCCGATAATGTCAACATCACTCCAGCAGACGACTTGACTGATGGCGGTCGACGTTCGTTCCGTGTCCGGGCCAGCGGTGCCAGCAGCAGCACACATGGGCTTACTATTTCCACAAACGTGAATGATCCGTCTTCATCGCGGATAGCGTCTGGTCCATCCCCTCTTAAGTCTGCCCCTCCTGTCCCTGTGTCATTCGCAGAATCCGTGCTTCACCCCCACACGGAACGGGGACGCAGCCATGCGCATCATTGGAGTCGTTCAACAACAGCGTCACCGGAAAACCTAAAACAAACTCCTGGAGAGGAACATTAGACGTTTATATTGTGACCCTTATATCCATACAATTCTGGCAACGTCCAGTATAGTTATATCTGTACCTTTTTTCATTTCTTCTGTGATTTATTCTCTGGTATCATCCTCTGTCGGTCTGGGACTGTGGGAAGAAGTGCACTCGGTGTTTGGGGGTTCTATGTCCATGTGTGACATTTTGAACATGCATATTTTTTTGTCTTGTTATACATTTGTGCTGATATCATCCCTTTTTTGGGCCTTCCAGAAGTTGGCTCGCATGAAGTGCTAGCGAGAGCACATGTTCATTGGCATTGGATTATAGTGCTAGGGAAATGATTCAAGTGATACCATGTTGATGTTAGCAACACTTTGCTGTTGACTATAATGTTATATCCTATTACAATATCCTGACAGTTGTCCTTTGTTGTAGCGACTGGCATCACATAGTGTATATTGAAATACTTCAGATTGTTTTTAAAATTGATTCCGATGTGGTATATCTTTTTTCGCTTTTCTTTTTTTCTTATATAAACAAAGGCGTGGTTGTCTGAAATAATTAGCAGCATATTATCAACCCACCTAAAAATGAAGGCTTTCTCATCCAGTGTCCCAACCGCCACCTTGGGTCTCTTGACAAAGGACCTCAAAGCCAGTCACAGGTAGTCACTTTATTCTTTATTTCTAAATAAAATTCGCACCCCGATCAAGAATCTCATGCAGGATACAGAACTCTTTATTTACTTTCCTAAAGATAGAACATGAATAGGAAGCACATCAACAAAGACTGGCTTCCCATCTGCCCTCGAGATAGTCGATTCCAACCCAGAGATCAAGTTTATAAGAGCTGAAATAGCCCCCCGTGTAGATGTGCTCTTCCCATCAATTAAAATACTATTTCACATCCATCTTTCACTGCCATCTCTACGTTCATCCAAATACTGCTCCTTGGCGGGATCCATTAAAGTGCACCACTGCTATTGATTCTATTCTTCTTCGTATATCCCCAGAGCCCCTATCCCTACTATCTCTTCCCAGGACGCTAATATATCTAGTATTGATATATAATGGCTAGGGTACGAAAGGCCAAACGCACCAATCACCCATTGGGCCAGTATGGCATTACCTACCGCCCCGCCACAGTCCGGAAAATGCACCAGAGCACGCGGCTTCTAGCTGGCTGTCTCGGTCTAGACGATGGGCAGCAGGTGTTCGATCTCCTATATAAGGATCCCGCGACCAAGCCGCTCCTGGAGGAATGGTGCGAACATCGCCGCAATCATTACGGGACGAGCCTCTCCGTGGCCAAGTTGACCATCCAAGCGCCCGTCCTCCTGGCACTTGCGCAAGACCCCAAAGCCGAGCCCATCATCACCAGTGATATCCGTCCAGAGCTTGGGGAGAGGGAGGGGCGCGAGAGTATCACTGCAGACTGGCTTGCTCCCTTGACATGTCTCTGGTATCTGGGGCGGATTATTGCGGGCAAACCGCAACTGTTCCCGAGTAGTGTGTGCCCGTCCATGTCAGGGCGTCAGGGTTTCACACTGGAATCACACCTCAACCCGTACGATGTCCTCCATGGGTGGAAGCTTTTGACCTGGGCGACGCGTCAGAGTAGGCTTCCAGAGCCAGGAAAAAAATGGTGCTGGCACCGCCCTGCAATTCAACCTTCAAGGTATGTGCGTCGAGAGAAAGCTCTGGATGGGTAGATGAGTAGATAGGTAATCATTGGACAGGGTGGGGTGGAAGTATGGTGATGAGGGTCATTTGCGTTCTTGTTTATATTAGTGTTTCCTAGTAGATAGTAAGATAGAGTATATAAATGATCAATCAATCACCTGCAGGCATATCACTCTAGAACTGTTGACATGGTGGCAAAAAGGTGCGTAGTAATTATACCCAAAGTAATATAGCCATTAGTTATGTGACAGTAAGAATCGTCAAGATACCCTCTTATAGCATCTCATTTCTTATTACCCTTAGCCTTACCCCCTGCCCCTTTCATCATATCCATTAGACTCTTCTGTCCCTTCGCAGGAGCTTTATTTTTCTTCTTCTCCTCAGCCTCTAGTTTTCGATCGTATTGTTCCTGCTGTTTCTCGCGCATCTCCCTACCTTCTTCCGATAACTCTTTTTCGAGAGTACGGAATTCCTCGCTCTCGGGGTCCATCCCGATCAAGGACTCGAGGAGTTTGATCTCGCGTGCCCACACGGATGCATCCGCCACCATGGGTGTCTTCGCACTAGCGGGCTTTTTGGATTGTTTCTTTTTACCCTTTGGTTTTTCGGTTTCGGATTCGGAGTCCATTTCGCTGCCGCAGCCTTCTTCTTCGTGGGCGCTCTTTGTGGTGGTGGTTTTTGAAGATGCGGTTTGGGGACGGTCAATTGGTGTTTCTAGGATCATGGGGAGACCTTCGAAGCGAGGCTCGTTCATGACGTTGTGGAATGCGCGGAGACCTAGGAATCCTGTGCCGATGTTTGCGTGTAAGTCTCGTTTACTGCCTCCTGGGGCTTTGGAGTCGTTGAGGTGAAGTGCGCGCAGGTGCTGGATTCCGATTAGGTCTTCGAATTCCTGCATGAAGGATTTGAAGCCCGTTGGGGAGGTTAGGTCGTAGCCTGCGGCGAAGCTGTGGCAGGTATCGATGCAGATGCCGATTCGGGGGTGGTGTTCCTTGGGGATGAGGGCTAGGAGGTCGCGGAATTCGCTGAGAGAGCCGCCGATGGTGGTTCCGTGGCCGCACATGGTCTCGAGGACGGGAATGACGGTTGATGTGGCGGTTAGGGCGTTTGTGAGTGCTTTGGCTAGTCGGGATAGGGCGTCGGGGAGGCTTGTTTGGTTGGCACTTCCTGGGCTTGGGTTGTTTAGTATCAACTATTGTGGGAGGTACGAGCGTTCTTACTGGAAGTTGTAGAGCTGAATTCCGAGCGCTTCGCAGCGTTTAAGGTCGTCCAAGAAGGAATCGTAGGCTTGTTTCGCTTTGGATTTGTCTTCTTGTGCCAGGTTGACGAGATATGAACCGTGGGGGAGAACGTGTCTATAAGAGTAAGTCTTTGGTTCTTGATTCTCTACTTTCCTCCATGTATGGAGATTCGGTCTCCTGTTACTTACTTGGCTGCATCATATTTCTGTTCTGAGCAAAGCTTTCGAAATTGGTCTCTGTGGTCATCCTGCAGTGGAGGGTTGTCCCATTTTCTCTGGGACTTCAAGAACAGGGCGAAGGCATTTCCACTGTGAGCGTAGGGTTAGCTTACCTTTCTGGACAATCACAAAGGACATACGTACCCGATATGAGTGCTATTATGTACCGCATTAAAGACACCTGCAATAAGCACTATCAGCATTTTGCTCCCAGATTTAGAGCAGGATGAAGCAAAGCAAACTGACCTTTCGCAGCACTGACATGGGCACCTACGAGCATGCGCAGTCCCTGCGTTCGTGGTTTCAAGGGCATCGCTTCTGCTTCCTTCTCTTCCTTGGTCTTGCCTCTTTTTGTGGCAGCTTTCGGGGTAGCTTTCGAAGCAGCTGGTTTCTTCTCTTTTCCTTGTTTGGTGTTTGCAGGAGGCTTGGTTTCTTCTTCGTCGTCGTCTTCTTCTTCCTTCTTTACAGACGAGCCTTGCTTGGATTTTGATGCTGGTGTCTTTTTTGGTGGAGATTGAACACCGTTTCCTTCCTCTTCCTCCTCTTCCTCTTCTTCTTTGAGATCTTCAGATGGCTGTTTCTCCTCAGTAGGCTTGACCCTCTTGGACCTCCTCACAGGAGAAGTTTGGCTGGTTGGTTCATCGATATTCCGTTTCTTGGTTCCCGCTGAGGTTGCTCCGTTGCGGGTTGCGCGAGCCATTGCAAGCCAATATTCCCTTGGATTTAAATGCACAGGTGAGGTCCACTCAGTATTTTAATATCTTGAAAGTAAGATAAATTAGGGCTTTTGACTGGGTATCTGCGTAATGATGATCGAGAAGATGTGGCTTCGGCTTCGGCGCGTCCCGGAGAGCAGCGCGACTGGCGACTGTCGCTGTCCGGAGTGGAAATGATGAGTGTTAAAACAGCACCTTGTTTTAGGTAATAATATAAGGTGATTTAATCTAGGAAGATGATATGGCTGAGTAGGATGGTGGAAGAAGAGATGATGATTTCTTGATTAATTGGTATTTTTCTACGGTGGTGAAGTCGGGGAGAGAATGCCTCCAGATACGGTGCTTGACCAACACAACCATCAAAATTCAATCAATATTAAAAGATCCCCAGATTGCCCCCTCCTTCGTGATCTACAAGGAATCCTGCCATCAGTTCCAGAATAATCTTAAAGCGAATTTAAGTGAAAATGACCAAGTTTCGTCGATCTGAAGCCAGATATTGCCCAGCACGGTATAGCGCCCACGTGACCGTCACCACAGCAACCGGCAGGGGCTGTTTATCGATAAACGTCCCACTCTGATAATTCTCCACGGCGAGACTTTTCCTCTGTCTTCATCCCCGACTGTCACCCCACGACACGCCCGAGATCGACTAACGACACAGGTCTGACTTATTATTTTCGACATCCGCACACTTCGATCACTCGACTAATTTTGCGAACAAACCCCATCGTGATCCGTCGCCGAGATGGCGGCCTCTGAAGATCTTATCGACTTCGATATCATCGAAAATCAGAAGGAAAACATCCAATCCCTTCCGGGTGGACGCTCTGCAAGAGAGCTTGCACGAATTTTCTCCCCAAGAGACACCACCGACAAGTTGGCTGCCCCGTCGCCAAACGACACACGAACCCTCAACGACGCCATCAGACAGGAATATGAAACAGAGCTGCAGGCGATAGGGGAATCCGATGACCCGCTCGATATATATGACAGATACGTGAAGTGGGCTTTGAATGCATACCCAACTGCCCAAGCGACACCTGAATCTGGGCTCCTCCCCCTTCTGGAGCGTGCCGTGAGAGCATTCTTATCATCAGCCCATTACAAGAATGACCCGCGTTATCTGCGACTGTGGCTGCATTACATCAGACTCTTCTCTGATTCCCCGCGAGAGACTTTTGCATTCCTTGCCCGCCATCACATCGGAGAAGGACTTGCACTGTTCTACGAGGAATTTGCAGCCTGGCTTGAGAGTGCGGGGCGGTGGACGCAGGCCGACGAGGTGTATAGACTGGGCGTGGATCGAGAGGCACGACCAGTCGAACGACTGGCACGAAAATATAGCGAATTTCAACATCGATACGAACACCGTACTCAAGACAGCGGACCATCGTCGCCTGCCCTTCCCAAAGTTCGTCCAGCGCTGGCCGCCAAGGTCGATCCATTCGCTTCCGCCAGTGCAACCGAAGACCCACAACAACAGGAGCCTTCTCCTGCACCGGCTCCCAAAACCAAGTCTGGTAAGCCGAAAATGGCCATCTTTTCCGATGCCGATTCGGCGCCAGCAAGCCAGCCCGCTTTAGGTGGCCCGACAAAGGGCTGGGATAGCATTGGATCAATGGAGGATCGGAGAAAGGAGAATAAGATGGAGGCCAAGCCAATGGCAGGTGAAACACTCAAGGCTGGAAAGAAAGCAGCGCCCAAACAGAAAATGGCGATTTTCAGGGATGAGGTAAGAAGATTTGATTCATAACCCTGTTCTGATTTCCATATATTTACGATCACAGGACTAATTTATGGCATGAACCTGTATTGGTTTACGATTTTATGTATTCAGTCAAATTCAAATATACAAGTCAAAGAGACAAAGCAGTCTCCGAAAATTCCAGAGCATCACGTAAGAGAAGCGGTAAACCCGCGAACTGGCAGACGAGAGCGCGTCTTTGTCAATCTCGAAGCAGTGTATCCTGACTACAGAAATCCCAACCACGAGATCAGTTTTGAAGAATTGCGAGCTATAAACCGTGGATGGATGGACAAGGATTGGCGCTCACACAAAGAGCCTCTGAGACAGATATCTGGAAATGCTTCTACAGACCTACCAACACAACCTGTTGCAAGCGCCTCCGATAAAGACTTACCAGAGCAATTCGATCAGAAACTCAGTATTAATGAAGCATCCCCTCAAGCTTCCCGCCAGACAATTCAAGGCGATGCGGGAGATTCTGGGAAAGCACGGAAACCGAGAGTTCGTGAGGTGAAGGGAGAAACACAGACAGGTAAGGGTTGTCCGATCTCGATACTTTTGATTTTCGATTGTCCACTTGATGCTTATTGAAATTCGTAGTCAAAATGAATTTCGACTCCCCCACGAAGAAAAAGGTTAAGCGTAAGAGCACTGCTCCTGCGGAGCCCACCATGACTATGCATACGCGAGCTGCAACGGATGAGATTTATAGCATTTTTAATCAGCCATTGAAGGCAGAGTCGGAGAATAATGGGGATGACAGTGACTACGATGACGACGACTATACAAGCGCCGGGGAAAGCACTGTCACTGGGCGAATATCCATCGCTTCCAGTGATTTTGGAGACGATGAAACTGGCACGTTTCACCAATCCTACGACGAGGATGGTTTTGACGATAATACCCGGGCTGAAAGTGTGGTTGATGGTGAATGGACTGAATTCACTGTCAGCAAGGACGTACCTGGACTTTCCCCCGTGCATTCACAGGCCGATGATTTTGATGACACTCAGGTTGGTGGGGAAGGTTCTGTTAGCGAGGGATATGAAAGAGAAAGATTTGTCCCAGAGATGCCCGACGATTATGATCCTCCTTATGGCCCATACCGTGACCCTGCAATCATGGCCCAGAATCGATTGCCTTTCATGACGCCCATTGTCGAGCGGACAGAGCATTCATTTCCCTCGATGACGGCCGCCAGAAGCCATCTCTACAATGCGAAGACTCCTTCCAAGCCTATGCCCGACATCGATCAAACCCCCCCAGGAATTCCACAAATGGACGATCTCCTTCTTGCAACACCTCTTGTGCCCGGATCACCGACCCAAGGCGGGAACTTTTCTCTCGCTGAAGAAGTAACACAGAGTCCGACAGCGAAGAAGGCACGCTCCAGCCCAAGGGTCTTGTCGAATCGTCCCAGCCAGCGAGGCGCAGTTATCAAGGATGCGCAGTGTAATCCCACCGACAAAGGCATTCGCAACACCATCATCAAGTCGCTGAGTCCCCCACTCGAATCATACCGCGGTGTTTATGCCCACCCTGCAGAGGAAAGCAACTACACACCTACCATCCAGAAGTTCTTGAAAGCACAGCACAAGCGTCCTAAGAGCGGTGACGAGGCATCGTTCGAGACACCAATTCTTGAACTCCCAGGGGCTGAGAGAAGCTACATCATCAGACGAGAACTCGGGGCTGGTGCTTATGCTCCAGTATACCTGGCAGAAAGTGTTGATATTTTTGAAGCCTACCCATCTTCCGACTCCGATGTCGAAAACGCAGACGAAAACAGTAGAGATTCCCTTCGCATTCGCTCGAAACAGACACAACGCAAACCCCGGCGCTATGGATTCGAGGCAATCAAATTGGAAGTTGGACCCCCAAATCCGTGGGAGTTTTACATGATCCGAATAGCGCACGAGCGTTTGAACCGTTACCCAGAGCTATCCCGTGCCGCTGACAGCATTGTCCATGTCCACGAACTGCACGTTTTCAGAAAAGAAAGCATTCTGGTCGAAGATTACCGCGGCCAGGGGACGTTGCTGGATCTTATCAACACTATTCGCAGCGAACCGACCATGGCAAACCACAGCGGAGAAGGAGGGTTGGATGAGTGTCTGTCAATGTTCTTTACTGTCGAACTCTTCAGAACCGTGGAAGCGCTTCATGCATGTGGCATTTTGCATGGTGACATCAAGGCTGATAATTGCCTCGTCCGATTGGATGACAAGTCAGCTACACCTCCGACTACCTCGCCCATTGATATGGGCGATGAGAACGTGTGCGATCCGCGTGATGTGCATTATTCTCCTCGTGGTTTGCATGGATGGCGTAACAAGGGCTTGGCGCTTATTGACTTTGGCCGCGGCATCGACATGCAAGCCTTCCAGCCCTCGGTCCAGTTCCTTGCCGATTGGGAAACCGGCAACCACGAATGCAATGAAATCCGCGAGAAGCGCCCATGGACTCACCAAATCGACCTCTACGGTCTTGCGGGCACGGTTCACGTCATGCTTTTTGGAAAATACATCGAGTCGGTTTCCGCGCGGAGGAGCGAGGGGCCTGCCAGCCCTAACGGCCACGGAGGCAGTTTTGGCGGCGCTAATGTGAGGAAGTATCGCATTCGGGAGATGCTTAAACGGTACTGGGACCGAGAGATTTGGAGTGAAGTTTTCGATCTTCTTTTGAACCCAGGTGCTGAGCGGTGGACTCAAATGGAACACGAAGGAGAGCTTCCTGCCGCTCCCTTTGATGAGAACGTGGCACCTGGTAGTGAACCAGTGATTCCTGTGCTCAAGTCCATGAGATACGTCCGCGAGAAGATGGAGGCGTGGTTACTGGCCAATGCGGAGAAGAAAGGCCTCGCCTTGCAGATTAAAAAGTTGGAGGCTATTTTTGCGGAGAGGAAGAAGAAATTGGAGAGATGTTAATCTGATATCCCATCCTTCGCTTCTTTCTGGCAATTTGCGTTTTTTGTTCTTGTTTTTTCGTTTCTGCCCTACATAATGATCCATCACGATTGCTACCTATACCCCCTCCCTTATCACGCTTTAGAGCGTTGGCGTTGGAAGTGATTTATTTGCACTACTTTTTTTTTTTGTTTCTATTTCAGTATTTCGGTAGTGATATCTGTTATTTCTTATCGGGTATTCTAAAGATTATTGAATAAGATACTGTCGAAACGTTCCCATCTAATCGAGTCTGTGGTCCTACAAGAAACCTACGGGGAGCATCGAAAATAGGACAAAATAAAGAGAGAAAGATCAATCAACATGGCTAATACTCTAAGACTAGACTAGATAAAAAAGGGTGAGGCAAATCATTTCACACATAGCCGGTCATCTGTCATCTTGTCATAATCAAAGCTGCTCTGACTGACTTGACTGGCAAGAAGCAGTCTGTCTAGAGTACTCATTTTTTCCAGAAAATCAAAACACAAAAGAGAGAATAATGAAATAAAATAAAGAAATAATAAAAAATCAAGATAATGCCAGATTTATGCAAAACGATCCGCAATGCAAAATCAGATGCAAGTAGAATGATAATTCAAAATATAATAAAACGCTGCAGATACAAAAAACAAAAAACGCTTGCATACAATGGCAGCATCTCATCGTTTCATTTCATTTATGAATCAATACGTCGTTTGTTTTTCTTTTCTTCATTCAGCGGTCGTTTTTTTTGTTTGGTTTTCGTTTTCATTTTCGTTTATTTTCATCTTCCATTGTCCCGTTCATTCATCAAGCGTTTTTTTTTTTTTTTTCAAATAAGGGTCATCATGGGGTCGTTCAAGAGTTAAACGTCACGGCATGATGATTTTCGGATTTTGAGATATTGGGACTTGGGTGAGGAATATCGAGTCGAGATAGATAGAGATAAGAGTAGAATAAGGAAAGGAAAAGAGTGGTTTGGTTGCGAGACTGGCTGCTTCTTTTTTCTGGGATATTTTTTTGTGTTTTTGTGAGGCAGCCCAGTGTTGCTGTGGTTTGTTCAAAGAGTGTCGAGTAGTCGGTATAGAGAGAGAAAAGGAAAAGGAAAAGAAAAGTGAAAAGTCCGTCAAGGAGTGTGGTGGTTTATAAGAGTTCGAGAATGGCAATGCGATGAGATATCGACCATCTGTCAACGCTTGGAGTTTGTCGGAATTGGGATGCGGTAATCTGTTTTCCATGCTGTCATTGCAGAAGTGTCGATATTCAAGGCGATTGTTGTAGAAATTCAGAGAAAAGTAAAGAGAGAATGTAAGTGAGTGAGTGAGAAATAGAAGGAAAGAGAAGAGAGGATCCAGGGACAATTTGCTGCCCATTCAATAAGATACCATCGACCAAACACAAACACAAACACGTCCATATCAACTGCAGTATTCAAGACGATGGAGTATTCACGATGTGCAGGTCGAGGCAATGCAAAATTCGTCAATTTGTATGTCGTTTTTCTCATTTTTTTCGTGATTTTTTTCGCTTTTCATTTCTCGTCTTTGCTGCTGATGCAAAACACCAAACAGTATATGATAATATCATTAAATGTCGTCAATGCCATTCTGTCATAATTCCTTTTTCTTTTTTCTCGTTGTAAAAGAATAAAGGTTGATGCCAAGGTCGTCCAGGTCATTAGTCGAATAAAAATCAGAATCGAGCTGACACCATGATGAAAAGCAGATTTCAAAATAAAATTGTTAAAAAGGCAAACGCTTATGATCGGGTCGAGTAAGACATGTTCAAGATCTGCCTTTTGATGCGTTCTGCATCCGATATCCCCTGCTCTGTAGGGTCGTACGGAAGCCCGCCGCCCATGATGCCTGGATGTTGGGGCTGGGAGATTTGGTGCGGCAACATGCCGCTGGCAAATGGGTCAGACAGCGATGGGGCATGTCTGAATCTGCCAATGGGACCAGAACGCCTGTTGCCTTCGACCTTGAACGGTGAGCCCAATCGCTTAATGCTTTCCCCGCTCAGGTTAAGCAAGGGATTAGGCACAGGTTTCTGAACCGGAGTCGTTTCTTCGTTACGCGACGAGGACGAAGGTGGGGAGAAGAGTTGATCGAGGCCCCTCGAATTCACGGCGCTCATCGTGACTCCACGGTTCCGGATACGGACACGTCGGGGTCCAACATCGTTCAGTTTGCCTTGGGAAAGAAGTTCCTCGAGATGACGCGGAGTATCGTGATCGCTCGGCAGCTGGGTCGATCTCCGCCTGTCTGGGGTCTTGTTTGCGCTCTTGCCCACGCCAGGGAACGGCTCCATCCGCGGAGGCGATCGCAAGCGTGAGCCTGTGACATGAATAGTCTCGCGCCTGCCCATGGGGGCATGGCGATGATTTCTTCGCTTTGAGCTATCAGGGCCCCATGTGTGGTACATGAATGGCGATCCCAACCGCGGGGCCATAGCGGGCTCTTCGAGGCCAAACCGTGTTTTCGGCGAGGGTTCCACGACATCTGGTTGACCGTACTGCAGCGGCTGGTTGAACCATTCAGGATTGGTGGTTTGCGGCGACGGTTCCTCGGCCGCGAGTTGAGCCAGAGGACCAGGAACCGAGCTGGAAACAAGGGATACGCCCAGGTCGCGCGTAGCATAAACCGTAGAGCTATTGTCCGGCACATCGGCACGCGAAGTCTCGCGCGACTCCTGCGCAAACATATCCGAGGCAGGTGTCGGGCTGCGCGATTCCATCATTCGCTGGTAATGCGGCGCAATGGAAAACTTGCGCTTCGACAGGTATTTGAGCCGTCGCCTTGTCGATGCTTCAGACTTGGGCCATGAAGGCTTCGCAGCCTCGCTCTTGGGAGTGGGCGTACTGTTGCCACTCCGGCATTGCTGTGACTGAGACATGGCAAACGGCAACTGTCGGTGAGTTCTGAGTCGCCTCCGTTCCCAGGTTCGCTTGGCCTCGCGGGCCACTCGATGGGTAACTCCTAGGGGCGGGATACTACCCGGCGTCATCTTGAAGGGGGTGATTTTTGGATCTTGTATGTATAATTGGTACGTGTTCCAGAGGTGATTGTCCATGTCCAAGGTCCACCGCTCTTTTGTCCGAGGCGCCCGCGACTTCTGGATGGGATATTTAGGGACGGGCGACGACTCGGGCACCTGGTTTTTGGGGAGCTCGAGGTAGAAAAATGGATCATGGCTATCACTTTCCGCGCTGGTGCAACTTCCACCCATCGAGCGCCGGGAGGCGAATGTTTCAATTGATGAGACAGACGAGTCGGATGCATGGGAGCAGGCCGAGCCCGGGCGCTGGAGGGTATTCCCCAAGTCCTGGTGGTCCCATGAAGCCCACGCCCCGGTATCATGGCAGTCGATCGGGGTAGCGCGGATCTGGGCGGGCGGAGTCTTCAAGGCCACACGGTCTCGGGGAGGTGCTAGGAAGCGGTCGTCGCTAGCGGGAAGGGTGGAACACGGTACGGAGGTGGAAGCGTCATGTGAAAAGGGGAATTCAATCGAAGGAAGAGGGAAATCGGGGAGGTTGGGGTTCAAAGTAGTGCGATCATATTCGGCCTGCGCAAAGACATCGGTACCGGAGCGGACCCGGGACCTTCGCACACGGCAACTGGCAGGACGCGGAGGCGGCGGAGGAACATCTAGATGAATTGAGGCGCGCTCTGGCGTTCTGGGCTCGCCTGCACTCATAGAAGGAAAAGTGAAGTTCTTCGGCAAAGTGCGCGAGAGGCCCTGCTGTCGGTAAGCCATGATGGAGCGGTGTTCCGTTCAACCACCGGACTGTAGCAACGACAAGAAAAAAAGATGTCTGTTTGAGATCTTCGATTGTCGGTTTGTTCGTTCGTCAAATCGATTGCTATGCCAGGACCATCGCGGGTTTGTCTGAATTGTCTTGCCACCAGGTAGAATGAGAGCTCTCTCCGACGTCCAATCCGAGAGAGGTACAACACTTTTCGTAATTGAACCCGCAACAATTGAAGCGCAAGAAGCGCACAAGATCGAAAGAAAAGAAGTAAAAAGAGGAAAGAAAAAGAAATCAGCTTCAGTCAATGGTGAACAACGTCTCGTACGGAAAACCGGGGCGTCGTTATAGGGTGATTCGTGAGTCGTTACAACAGAAGAAAAATCAGGAGCAAAGAGAAGAAAAATAAGGAAATAAACTTCGTCAAGATGTGAGTGGTCGGATAGGGAAAAGCGATCGAATTTGAATGAATTGGGGATGCGATGCGCCTGGAAATAATTTCAACACTGCAGGAGATCACATCGAACGGGTCCCGCGGTCCATGGAGGATGGCTGGAGGGCAATTCACACAAAAACGCCAGACCAACACAAAAGAAACGCAAGAGGGAGGCGAAGCGAAGCGGATAGCGAGCAACGCGCTCGCAAAAGGGCGAGAAAGGAAAAAGAGAAGCAAAAAGACGGTTGGAGAGAAGAAGAAGAGAGAGAGGAGAGGAGGAGAGGAGAGGAGGAGAGGAGAGGGACTTTTGGGGGGAGAAGAAGCGGTTTAGGCGCTGCTTGGGGTGGACCCACGCCCGATGCCACGTAGATTGAAGATATAATATTGATATGAGATGGAGAAGAGATGAAGAGAAGGGAATGAGAATGAAGATGAAGAGAATAACGATGAAGATTCTTCAAAACAAACAGCTGATGTCTGGAATGTGGTGGTCCCGTGGTCGAGTATGACTACGAGGTGTATACAACAACTCTACACTATAACTACAACCACAACACCTACACCAAGTCAGTGTTTGTTTTGATTCTACTCTGCATATAGACATACAGAAGACATACAGCCAGAAGATAGAAGACATACAGACCAGAACGAGGGATACGGACTCAATCCAGAGGGCTGGTCATCTCACCGCGCCCAACGATCCTCGAACGGTCAAGCGTGGCCGATGGAGTCTGCAGGAGCACAAGTAGTGCGTATAGCTTCACGCATGCCTGCAAGGGGCCTGTCTGTCTTGTTTATCTTCTTTTCTTCTCGTGTCTTCTATTTTTCTTATTCTGTCCGTACTCCGTCCTCTGTATATCACTCAAGTCGCAACGAGTGCCATATACTGGGAGGATGACTCTGTAGAGCGAAGTATCCACATGCAGCAAATTGCTTTTCTCTTCCTGATGATCTGCAAACTCGTCGAGTCAGAATATCCGGTGTAAAAGAAAAAAAGAAAAAGAATTATTAAAAACGGCCCAATCGAAGGATCCAGCATGAATGATTTGTGCGGTCTGAGTCTCTGCCTCGTGGGCCAATAATGAAGCACGTCTTTTTTAAGTCGGTGGCTGGAGTTCGATCTGTCTGATTGTTGGAATTTTTCACAAACAAATAATACTATTGACGATGATAATGGATATTCTTCTTATTATGATGATTGTACTAATAATCCTTTGCCATCAAGAATCGAACAAAAGAATCGGTATACATTAAGATAATGAAGAATAATGGAAGCAGCATCGAAGAAATGACGTCGATCTCGCTTATCAACGCGTCCAGTGGGGAAAACGCGCTCGGACGCGTTCGAGACGCGCGGGTTGCGCGTCTGGTAATATAACCGTATCAGGCACGCATCACTTTTGATTCCCCAGCAAAATCAATGGTCATGATACAGCAATATCAGTACAGCTAGTACAGAGGAAAATATTCCCAACATAAGCGATCTGGGGTTCTTCTATTTCTGGGTGTGGACTTTGTGGGTTGTGGATATAGTAGGTGTGTCAGTGGGTACTACTAAGATGCCATCGATCTTATGAACCATGGATGATGCTATAGTTTTGTTTATTATACTCTGCTATTAGCTGGTAGCTATAATAACAGATAATATAATAATAATAATAATATTTGGGATATAAACAAGATAGACTCCATAAACAGACTTGATAACCTTGCTGCATGCATCAAGGTATGTACAGCTGCAGTAGTCATGCAGTCTATTAAAAGTCTTCTTTATTATTATTATCATATATTAATATTATTGTCCAGTAGACTTTATTGATTCCTACTGCATCTTCTCAGAATAGTCTATACAGTCGCAGTGCAGCAGTATTCTCTGATCAGCAGACATCTCGTGCATACGCAAGGTCGACGCCCTTGCTCTCTGTGTAACTCCATTAATGCCACGACTATCTCTCTCTATTTCTCTGTCTATCTCTCTATGTCTATGTCTATGAACATGAATGTGAATGATAAAGATTATGGCAAACAGTACCCCCCATCAACCACAATATCACACCCAGTCGTGTAACTCGACGCATCAGACGCCAAATACAAATACGCTCCCTTGAGCTCCTCCGGCTTCCCCTCTCTGCCCATCGGGATCTTCCCCTTCCAAATCTCCTTCATATCCTGCGGCACAAACGTCGAGATCTCCGTATCAATATATCCCGGTGAGACGGAGTTCGCCCGCGCAAACCGCACCCACTCCACCGACAGCGACTTGCACAGATGCACCACGCCCGCCTTGGCTGCGTTATACCCAGCCTGGAGCTGCGGGATATTAACAATGTGTCCGCTCATGGATGCCGTGGCGACGAAGCTGCCGTAGGTGAAATTTTGCAGAGGCGTGCCGTGGACAGTGGTGTTTTCGGCCTTTTGGCGGCGCCAGTGGGCGGCTGCTGCTTGGGCGCAGTAGAAGGTTCCGTCGAGGTCGGTTTGGATTACCTCGCTGTAGTGCGCGACGGGGGCGTCGACCATGGCGCCTTTTGTCCAGGGGATGCCTGAGTTGGCGATGAGGATGTCCAACCGGCCGTTGAGCTCATTGACGCTGACGTTGAGTTGGTCTTGGACTGCTTGTACGTTGCGGATGTCGACTTTGTATGCACGGCCTGTCATTCAATCAGCTTCACTCGCTCATATTCACGTCAATTCAAGTCAAGCAGCATACATTTGACACCATATTTCGCCTCAATCTCCGCAGCCCGCTCAACCGCCTTTGGGTTAGAATTATACCAAATGGCAACATCAGCACCAGCCTCCGCGAGTGCATAGGCAACCTGCAGTCCAATTCCCGAGGCCGCACCGGTGACAACGGCCGTTTTGCCCTTTAGCGAGAACAGATTGAACACGCTCGATTCTGCGGGGGCAGTCGTGTTGTTGTGGCGGAAGAGGCCATTCTCGATTGGTGATTCTGCTGCCATTGTGATAGATTATTTCTGGTTCAGTCTGTGTTTGTGAGAGTTGAATGTGAAGGTGAAGTTGAGAGGGATTGAACGAGGGGAAGGTGCGGGGTTGACATGGCTATTAATACTTCCCGTTGTCTGTGGGGAACTAGGTTGGAGGGACCATCCCACTTGACGTGGACATCGAATGGTGATATTAATTCATTTCTCGGTTCCGGCGGAGGTGGAAATGAAGCTGATTGTTGTATCTCCGCCGGAACCGCTACAGAAGAGGGTAGTCACCAGTCACGATGTACCCTTTGGAGGCATGATATTACCGAATAGGAAATCTGGGCCGCACCATTTTAGGAAAATAACGCCCATTGCTATGCTAATCGCTAATCATCGGATGTACAAGAGTAAAAACAAGATAAAAGTATATAAACAGAAACAAAGAGAAACATCCTCCCCCAAGTCGAGAAAGATCAATCTCTGGCTCTCGTGCCCAGCAAAGCAACTTCATCAACAGGTGCACCCAGTTCCATCGGACAGCGCAATCTCTTGTGTGGGGTTTAGGTGGAAAAAAGCTGTGGTATTGTTAATTAATATCTCTTAAGGTATGAGACAGGCAACTTACTCATGCTAACATTGTTAATCCGCTGTGTCTCTTTCATGATACTATCTAACAACTTGAGATTTGACAGGCTGGTCTTCTTCAGAACACCGCCCTCCTCCATAACCCTCTTGATCTCCCCCGGACTGGGGCAAAGTATTCTGGATAGGCCGCCAAGTCGTACATTATGTTCGTCAACGGGTTGGGTGTCGTGTGAATCGCCGCCAGCGAAAGACCAACTTGGGCCAGGGTCCGATCATATGGACGCCCGCACTTCGTGCAACCAATCCAAAGTATCAGGCCGTCTCTCTCCGTCGCCCTGCCCTGCAGTCTTCCCTTGTAGAATCAACTCCCTTCTAGTGAGCTCGTCGTAAACGATTGTGTGACCAACTACAGTGTGGATTCGGACACTTTGTGCCCTGGGAAGAGCCCAGTGGCCAACGGACGGAGCACCGACGGCCACATCCTGAGCTCACGAATAGCCATGAATGTATCAATGGCGTAGTTGACCGACACATTTAGCCACTTTTTGTTACGGCAGACTTCCTCGCCCAAAAGCACAACGACGAACCCCAAGCGACAATGTGTGGGACTTCCCTTGCGAAGATATGAGGAGTCCATTCTGTGATATCGTTAGTCCCGTACAGGCAGAGTTCCAGGAAATGCCGTATCTTTGGATTTACCATAGTTCTCTTCGGCCACGACGGCTGCCTCCTTTGAGACAGGAAGCACAAGTGAGTCAAGATTTCGTGTGATTTTCTTGCTGACCCTGGCCGGGATAATGCAATCTTTGTCGCTTCCAAAATCTGGAATCCGGAGTATTTTCTGCCAAAGAAAGCCTTGGACAGTCAGTGACTATTCAGACAGCATATTGAGACAAAAGTACACACACCTTTTTGCTTGCTTCCTCAAAGTTGAGGGCCGGGTGGTTCTTGACTTCATTGATAAAACGTGGGTGTAGTATCATCACTGGTCGAAAGCAAACATGACTTGGAATGTACCTTTGCCCTGTAATAGCTTGGTGTTAGTGTTGTTTACTTGGTGCACCCCCAAGGCTAAATTCTTCGAGCCTCGATCTAAACGCCAAATGGACTTTTTTAGCTCCTGCTTGCCTAGAAGGATACTGTGGAGGGCCGATCGGAGGCATTGTATGTTCGAAGCGGGGATATACTAGATAGTACGAGATCGACATTGCTGAAGATGGCTCGGTTTCGCACGTTCCATCATAACGAAGAGTTTGAGCCATCGGATTTTCTTGTCGTTGATTCGATAATGACTCTTGAATTCTATGAGGGTGTACATAGTAGTTTGAGCCGGCTCAGTTCCAGTCAACAACTGTCAGAACTGTATCAATGAAGGAATCAAGGTTGTTGCGTACTCGCTTGCCTTGTTCCAGAAGGTATACGGAATGTTCACAAATATCCAAAAATAATGATGTTGAGTCCCTCAATCTAGACTCTTAATAAATTTATTCATTTATTGGGCAGTCAGTAATCAACTGTGATTCAGGCTACTCGAAACCATGCATTTTCGTCGTATGCCGTATGGGCCCGCTAGAAGCTTCATATCACCTAATTGACCGGCAGTTATACGGCTCTTTGACTGATCATATTGTTATTTCCATGCCAAGGCAGTGCTGAAGAAACTTTGTCGTTCCAAGTGTAGGGCTGCAGAATCATCGCCACTTGCTGGGGGCCATTCGTATCCATAATGGGAATCTGCATAGCTTGCCCCACGAATCAGAGGGCTTAAGTTGACAAGCACCATACTAGTGCAGATTGCGGAGCACGAAATAGTGTTTGTTTAGCCTTGTCAGTTGTCTAGTCTATGTATTCTTCAATCCCGTCTTTGTAAGACTGTGTGGGCTTTATCTTCCATGGGGGAGCAGCGAGGGCCGCGAGACAGACCGATCGTGAGGCGTCCTCGTTGAAGCCTTCAAGACTCGACTTGGCTTGAAGAAAGGGGCTCGGGGAGGATGAAGAATCTCAAACTCGGGGCTCAAATTATCCGAGAGTCGGCATATTAGCAGGTGGACAAGGGCTTCGAAATGTCGGTTAATGGCAACTAAGGATTTAATCAAGATTCTTCCTTAATATGATCGCTGTTGGTACTTTTTCATCCTTATCTGTACCACAAGTCAGTAAATCCCCGGAGCACACATCATGCAGATAGTTGATGCCCGACACGCACCTTAAAAGGCAGCAGCTGTCCGGATGGCTTCTTGATCCCTGAACCAAGGCTCGCTGCTTGCTGTCGTTGGTTCGCGATGGTGTTGGGTTCCGGGGATGTTGCTACTCCTCATCTCGTGACGCCAAGGCCCGCATTCAACCTGTCTGCATGCGGGGTTTGGCAACAACAACGATACAACATTGATTGTGAAAAACGCTCTTGGTCACTTTTATTAATATATTCAGCGGATCAATTTATAAACCACACCTATCTATTTCACACTGTCTTCTCCTCGTCTCGTATAGCAATTAGCCACCATGGGGGACTACGGACCAGGTGTACAGCCACCCACAGCACCGCTAGCTGGCAATCCTCCTCTGCTTTCATCGGATGCAGACGAAGTGTCTGTCCTGGTAACTGGATTTGGTGTCAGTGGTACTCTTTCTGATGACAGGGCCTATCTAACGAAAACTAGCCGTTTAAAACCAACCTAGTCAACGCTTCGTACTTGATCGCCTCCTCTCTCCCATCGTCGTTTACCTTCCCAGCAGCTCCAACATCTCCAGATGAGCCTGCTCCTGCTCCCCATCGAGTGTCCATCCATGTCCATCCATCCCCAATTCCTGTTGCATACTCGACGGTGCGAGAGACGGTCCCAGGCATAATCGATGACTACACCAAGGCCCACGGGGGTCGACGTCCAGACATAGTGATTCATATGGGCATAGCTTCAACGAGAGCGTATTATTCAGTGGAGACAAAGGCGCATCGGGACTCTTATAACATTTCCGACGTCAAAGGTTTGGCAGGATATGAGGATGGGGAGAAGCTGTGGAGGCAACTCCGGCTACCCTCAGTTCTACAGGCTGGTCGTTCAGATACATCTTCAGCATCCCAATCATCGCAAGTAGTAAAACCTCGCGCCAATCCTCATCCACCAGACGGCGATTTTTTGGCGGTGTGGAAGTCGCTCGTGGCGCCGGGCACTGATGTTCGCATATCAGAGGATGCTGGTCGTTATCTTTGCGAGTTTATCTTCTATACCAGTTTGGCACAAGCCTATCAAGCAGGACAAGACCGGAATGTGGTGTTCTTCCATGTTCCTGGGGCATGCGATGATGAGGCCATCGAAAGGGGAAAGAATGTCGCAATTGCGATGATCAAGTCGTTTGTAGCATGCTGGTTTGATGGGAAGAAATAGCGAGTCTGTATTTGATGTGATAATGTGGATTCATCTTCATACGTGGATATAGTTGGCATTCGAGTACATTGCACCAGTGGAGTATATATCTCCAGTCTATCTATAGGTGCACACCAACGATATATCACTCATTACTCATCGCTGATCGCAAATTACTGATTACTACTTACTGATTATCCTACTTGCCTGGAACACTCAACTATAAATAAACCATCGATAAACTACTGTCGATCTAAAGATCTCATCTCATCTTATCATTTTCCGAGTATAGAAAAGCGGTATGAATCGGCAGAATAACGCTTTCCACTGCGGATCTGCGGTTCGTCATCGGTTCTCATCGTCAACCACTCATCGCCATCTGCTATACAGGCTTCGCCTCGGTATAGGGCATGCCAATGCTTCCATAAACCGAATATCTTGACACAAAACATATACCCCCGAAATATCTGGTCAAAAACATCAATTGATGACCACCATGTTCGAGTCCGCGACAGCACTCTCATTGTTGGCTTTGGCACTGCTGCTTCTGGTGCCGATCTTTATCTTCCCAAGGTTCGAGGGCTGGGCCCAGAGCGGCAGATCGAGCATCTTGCAGAGATTCTGGTCCCGGAATGATGGGACCAGTGAGATTGTGTCGTTGCGTGTTTATCCCATCAAGTCCTGCCGTGGGATGCAATTGACCAAGACCTCGCTCCGCATGCACGGCCTGGAGCTTGACCGAAGATGGATGTTTGTCGATGCAGAGACCCGCGAGTTCCTGACCATCCGTCAGATTCCCGAAATGACTCTCATCAATACCGGTCTCAGCGCAGACGGCGACTTTCTCCAACTGAGCATCACCGGCGTCAACGACAAAGTCGTCAGCATCCCGGCCCGTCCAACCGAAGAGTGGTTGACGGCCCATACGTCCCTGGCTCAGGTTAAGATCTGGGACACCCTGACCGATGGCCATCTGTACGGACCGGAAGTGAACCAGCTCTTTTCGACTTTCCTACACCGCAACGTCTGTCTCGTCTACAAGGGCCCCACTCCACGCATCCTGCAAGGCAACGGTGCCCCCCAACTTCTGGGACGCACGCAGAGCACCAATTTCCCAGACGTCCAGCCTGTACTCATCGCATCCGAGGCGTCAATCGCAGAGCTCAACTCCCGTCTTAGGAAAAACGGCGCAGATGCCATCACCATCGAACGATTCCGTCCGAATATCGTCATCAAAGGAAACGCGCCCTGGGCAGAGGATTCGTGGAAACTCGTCTGCATCAGCCCTTCCGATCCGGCAAAGGCCAGTGTAACAAGACCTCTTGACATTGACATCGTTGCGCGGTGCACGCGCTGTCAGGTGCCAAACGTCGCCCCCGAAACGGCAGAGAAACACAAGAAAGAACCCTGGGATACCCTGATGAGTTATCGACGAATCGACGAGGGTATGAAGTATAAGCCGTGTTTCGGTATGCTCAGTGCGCCTCGCAATGAGGGGGATGTTGAAGTTGGTATGAAGTTTCAGGTGTTGGAGGAGACTAACCAGCATAGATACGTGAAGGGTTTCTGAGGTCTGTCCATATATCATTTTGGATTGATGCTAGTTAGAATACGGATTTGCGGATGACTGATGAATATACGACTATATCATTTTTCGTGTGACATAAGATAAAAATTTTATTGGACATACACAAATTATGGCGAGAAGAAAGCTTGCTTTTTATTTTATAACCCCAACAATCATAAACTGTACAGTACGAGGATGGTGTATATGCTTGAACAAGAAAAGAAAAGAAAGATGTACAGGACAGACATTAAGTACATACATCCCAATCAAGGGTTCGATGACTTGTAGTAGTTTCATTTCATAACCAGTTCCCAGAACCAGTGTTAGTTCTTCCCCTGCTTACTCGCCGAGACACACCAGTTATTCCATTCAGAGAAGAAAGTCGGCTGGACATGGCACTTCTTGCTGAGAAGCTGCTCCTTGCGCGTTTGTCCATAGACGTCAACGATATCCGCGAGCGTGCTTCTATCGTGGGCGACGAGGACCTTGACAACAAGCAGACTAGCCTGGCTACAGGCCGAAGCGTGAGTGGGCGTACCACTATGCGTAGCCTCCTTATGGATAGACTTGAGGAGCTCCCAGACCGGCCCGACAGTCTCCTCGTCAAGCTCCGGGACCGCAGAGCCCTTACAGAGCTTGGTGTATTCGCGGAGGACGGAACTAGTCTTGGAGGAGATTTGCTTGACGGTGGACTTGCGGGTGAGTCTGAGCAAGGGGAGGATGAGGTCGAGGGCGAGGATGTTGGAGTGGCATTTTTTCACGTAGATTTCGAGCAGGTCGAGGACGCGGTTCTTGAAGTTGACCATGGTTTCTTTGGCGTCTTTTTTGTCTTTCTTTTGGGAGAGTGCGTCGCGGCGGGCTTTGAAGACCTTGGCGAGTTGCTGGTCGACTTGCTCCATGTCGTCGTCGTTCATGTCTTCGCCGTCGGAGTCGGAGTCGTCGGTTTTTTCGTCGAGGTTTTGGTCCGCTCGGTGGGAGCCAAGGGCTTCGGCGAGTTTGGCTTCGAATATGGCGTCTTCAGCGTCGTTGGCGTTGTCTTCTTCTTCGTCGTCTGAGTCTGAGTCGTTGTCGTCGTCGCTTTCTTGGTCTTCGGCTTCGACGACTTCGACATCGCTATCATCCTCGTCGACATCCATCATCTCTGCGTCTCCATCTTCATCATCCTGCTGGTCAAACATCTCCTGCTGACCAGCAAGACTCTCCTTCGCTTCCAGAATCTGAAAGGACTGTCAGTTACAATATCAATATAATCTGCGTGCAAAACATACAGAAATGAAAGACTCCAAGCCATTCTCAGTGACCTTATCAGCAAAAGCACCGAAAACCTGCTCACTCATGCGACGGAAAAGCTGCGAGGGCTTAGAGGCGAAACTGAGCAAGATTTCGACCAGCGCATCAGAAGCATCGGATTTCTCGTCCTTTTTGGACTTCTTGTCACCCAGGAACTTGGTGTAGCAAAAGTCGAGTTCATCCAGCATGGAGACGGCGTCGGCGTCGCCGTTGTATACTTGGAGGATGGTCATGGAGTAGAGGAGCTTGAATGCTTCGATGGCGCCCTTTTCTTCCTTTTTCTCCTGGTATAAGTTAGTATCATTTTCATGGAATAGGCTTGGAGTTAGACGTACCATGTTTGACAGCTTCTTCAACGACTTGAATGCGGTCTTGACAGATTCGCCAAGTGTATCATCCATGTTGATGATGAATCTACCATACTCCTCTGATTTGGCTGCATCACGGATCTTGCGAACGACGGTGTACGGAATGGTAGCCGCGTACCTTTGGGTCGCGATAAGGCTGTTCAGAGAGGAGTTGATCCTGCTCCGGAAGAGCTCCTGTGTTTGTTGAGTCACGTCGCTGCCATTGTCCATGAAATAGGCAAATCGCACAAAGATAAGCAAGATGTGCTCGAGGACAGCCTCGATGCCATCCTCGGCATTGCTAGCTGAGCTTCGTGACCGAACGATGGAAAGGAGCAGACCAGCCAGGAATAGACGACTGGATGCTGCGCCTTTCGGATCGCTTGCGCCTGGGTTTGCAATGAGCTTCTCGAACATTGGCACAATCTGCTTCAATGCATCCACGTTGGCCTCTACCACAATCTTTTCGATCGTCTTTGTCTTGGTGACTTGGTCGAAGTTGACAGATCCTACAGAGCCCATCAGGCCGATAACAGAAGCTGCGGCAAATTCGGGCTCTTTGGACACACGGGTCTGGATGGTTTTGGCAGCTTTAACGGCCATCTTGTGCAGGTATCTATCCTCCACGGCGAGTTGGTTTGTAAGACATCTCACGAGGTTCTTTGTAAAGATGCGAGAAGCCTGCTGCAGGGGGCTCTCGTTGAGAACCTTGACGAAAAGAAGGAAGCCCCAGTATTTGCGCTCATCAGATGAAGCGGCAGCAAAGAGCCCATCTAAAAGATTTGTTAGATCTCAAATATGTATTATGAAGCTTAATATACTTACTGTCCACAACTTCCGTCCAAAAGTCGGCAAAACCAATTCGAGACGAGCTTTTAGATTTAGACTTTTCCTTTGACCCTTCACTAAGTCTACAGACAACAGCATCCCAAGCAAAGTGAAGCTTGGAATTCCACACTCCAGAAGACTTGTTGCCTCCCTCCGAATCGGCAGTAGAAGACTCCTTCATGACCTTGGCGAGCTGGTTACGCTCTTTCGTATCAAACGGGTCATCGTGCTTCCAAACCTTGCTAGGGAGGCTTGCTTTGGGGAACAAGTCCTTGGTTGCAAGCCAGATGGAAACACCCTCGGGCGTCTGAGCAAGACCACTCGAGCACAAACGCTCAATAACTGCCTCCACGAATTTTGCATCGGCCTTCTGGGAAGAGAGGTCGTAGACACAGCGGTAGAGAATCCATCCGCACTCTTCTCTGATCCATGGCTTCTTCTGGGCCAGTTCAAAGAGCAGATCCAAGACCTTTGTCCACTCTGTGAAGGTGGCCTTGGACTTGAAGAGGATCGATGATTTGATGATGGCTTCAGCTCCGAAGAGACGTCCAAAGTGGTGGTCTCTTTGTTCCTGCATCACAGTCAGTTTCAATGTTGATTATTAGGTGGTTTCCTCATACCTGACCCGACTCGCCGCCGGTAGCATTAGACTGCGACTCCCAGATAGCCAGAACATTTGAAATTCCAAGTCCAGCAGACTCTCTAGGCGACGCAAACACCTGAGTCAGAAGCTCAGTCAAGGCAACAGAAAACCCAATTCTCGCGGCCTTGCGGCTACTGCAAAGACCACGGAACAGCCTCTGCAAGGCCTTTTGAATCTGTTCATCTGTAGGGTTCTTGTCGGGAGTAAACTGAGAAATCAGAGCCTGGGCAGCCTTGAGTCTGATCTCGTCTTTTTCGCTAGCGAGATCCTCGTATATCTCAACCAACTTGGTATCAACTTGGACGGGCTCGCGCCGCCGTTTCTTGGACGCGGCGAAGTTCTGCGCCATTGTTGTGTGGGGATGGACTTGGGTATCCCACTTGTATAGCTTTCAGAATATGCAAGAGAATCAAGTGAGAATACTTGATTCAGCTGCAGTTTGAGGGTTCTGCAGCAATTGGCGGTGATGTTTTATTCAGACACAGCGAAAATTTATGAGGCGGTGGCCTAAACGGGAATAGCGTCCTCCGATAAGGACGATCGCCGCTTTAGTTCTTATCGGGTACTTTTATTCTTTCTCAACTTTTCATGATTTGATTTGATTCTTTTTGTTATCTTATATTGATATTTTGTTCTGTAATGAGAGTATTCAGATATGCAGACATCAGTGTTTGACTTGTGGATGTTGTGCTGTACTTGACGGTGTAGTATAGTAGTACGATATAGAAGAATATATCGGAGAACAGTCTGATACTTCAACTACTTTACTTTTTCAACAAAGCTGCTATAGCCTATTAATTGATATGAGATAAACCGCTTATATCTGCTGGATAATAATTTTGCGTTAAATTTAGAGATATTATATATTCGCCTGTAGTTGTGTTTGGTACACAGTATACTACGGCGAAGACCATACAAGCCAGATATCAAGCATCGCAGTTATATTTCCACCGAATAAAACGTAAAATACTATGATACTAGGCACGATTAAGAGGCCTACAACACTGATATACTATCTGTTTCAAAGAGTGTTCCTATTAACCACCTGAGTATTCATCAACACCCTCGACAGACCCAGATACGATGCCCAACGATGCCCAACAGATCCAACTCCTCCCTTAGCAACCTGAATCCCATTCAATAATAATGAGCCTTTTCAAGAAAGGGTCACACTTCCTATCACCACTTCCTTCGAACTCCTCTCCTACATCCCTTGCAAAATGGTCAATGCATCATGGCAATTATGAAACCCCTTACAACCTCAGCCCTAGATTAAGATGAAGAATGGACTAGACAAAGTAGACAGAGTGTGAAGAAGAAGAAGAAGAACAGAGTATCCTTCTGTCAACGTTACAGCGTTTGCGGAGTACATGGGATAGCAGAAGCATAACTCTGGGGTACAGTACATACTAACGTAGACTTTCTGATAGTAGAAGTAGTGCATACCTGATTGAGCCAGGAACGGAGCATGTCTCAATGTAAATCATTATTTCGACCTTGAAATTGTCCGCATATGCACTTAAGCAGGTGGGAGTCGATCCAGGAATGCCGGAAGATTTAGCCGTGAAGTGGCTTGATATTGATTGGCTAGGGCGAGGTTATTCAAGTTTGCAGTATTCAATATGCAAAGTATATATCCCTGTCTACGACAATGTGTTCATAGAGTACATTCTATATGATAACTGATAAGGGTATTAATTAGATTATTATTGTATGTATTATAATTAATAGACTGTCCAGAGCCAAGCATTCTGGTTTCTCCCTTTGCATCTACACTGCAAGGTACAAGGGATTAATTCAGATCAGGTGATCATGTAGGACAATGCAAGGATATTACGATACAGTTATTTACATGCATTCATCAATCTACCATCTGATATCTGGTAATCTGGAGATGTACCTATTGATGTATTGATATAGGCATTGGATTATCTTACACTATACACAGCATACCTAGTAGAATGATAAGAGATAATTACCTACTATAGATTTATGAGTGATAATATTGGTAGTTAATTGATACTCAGTCATCACATATAGGCTAGATAGATGGAATAATGTCATGGAATAATGGACGAGATCAACATCACCAATAACCAATCAATAACCCATCCTTGATAAATCCTTAACAGTGGCAACTTAATCTAGCATAAAAGCTATTCACACATAGATCCAGATATCAATCAATGCACGCGATACACAATAACACCTCCTACCTGTACCTACATGAACCAATGATATATCCCTTGATAAGCGTACATATATACTAGGACCTAAACGTCAATCCCTAGCCCCAGTGCAAGGAACAGAGCCTGGTATATGCATGCACCCCGGAGAGAAAAATAATCTAAATCAAATAAAGGAGGAAAAGCACAAGCACATGGAGCCACAGAGTGTACTGAGCACGGCTGGAGGATGGAGAATATATGGAGAATTGGGATCGATAGTTTTGCAGATCTCAACTTGATCTTGCCGGGGTTGGGGGGAATTTTATTTAATTTTATTTTATTCAATTTTGGGAAAGGTAAAAGCACGGGATTATTCCGCTTGTCTATAGAGGGGTTTTATTATATTATATTTTATGCTATTTATTGATAGTGTTGATGATAGTGATGGTGATAGTGTATTTGGTGATTGTGCGATATACAGAAGTAAGGCGAAAGTCAGGCAAGTCAGGGGTTGATGTCATAATTACCATTACTCAGTCCAGATCACGGGACAGCGCATGGCGGTCGCATTCGATTGCGGAGAGAGAAAAGAAATCGACAACAACAGCAGTATTCAGAGGATCTGGGGATCGATGATTCATTGTTTACTTGAAACGGGCTCAAAACAAATGATTGCAACAACAAGCAACACGATGCAAGAGATGCATACAATTGCCAGCGCATACATCATGGCTTACTTGCTCAGTGTGACATCACCACATCCCACCCGCAGGATGGCCGTACGGTATTGTAATTACGGTCAATAAAGTTGCAGCGTGCAGACAGACTTTGCAGGGGGGCACGAGGGAGCACAAGACAGGGATTTACAGCCAATCAGAGGGGTGAAACGAGAGGTGGGAGAACCCCGCACCAGCGGTTGTCGAGAACACCAAGACCGACTGATACGGGCGACCATTCGCATCCAGGCCTCGGTCGGAGAGGAGTCGAACTAACAGTGAGCAGAGGCACATGGCCGTGTCATCCAGCCTGCAGGTGATCAGTCATAGGGCGTCCTGATTGGATGGTGTGGTTTGGACCCCACCTGCGCTTTCTGGAGGCTCTGGCGGAGATCGGAATCACCGACTGTCAGATACGATACTATCACACTCGGAGCACACTTCAGGCGTCAAAGGCCAGCTGAAAGGCTCGCTTGGCTTGAAGGATCCCGTCCGACCGCAGATAAGATCGTCTGTGTAATGAGCCATATTAATTTGCTAATTTATAAATATTACTGCTAGGCGGCTAAGTTCTCTCCAACACGGGCGCAATCTCCCATATCAAAGACATTGTTGCTATTGTTGTCGCAATTACGACTCCCACTATTGACCGACTCGTTTGATCATCCAGCTGGAAACACATGACTAAAATATGGCGCATCTCGGATCCCGATTCTCACTAGCCAGCATGCTAGGTCGCATCGAATCGACCGGCGTCTCACGGATGAGGGGCTTTGTCTCTGCTCGTGGGGTAGGCAGGGTAGACCTCAGCTGGACGCCTGAGCTACCCGCCATGCAAGATAGGATGCTGAGCGAGTGAGGGGAAGATGGATGTTCGGCACATTGTTCGCTGCAAGATACGCCTGAGTGGCGGTGCCCAGTTAAGGATCTTGATCCTTTGACTGCGTGGATAGGAGCTCGTACTATGTACTCCATCCGGTGGATTCCAGACCGCAGATTGCCATTACCAGACAGTATCCACGGTTCCACGATCGATCAAGTTTGTATTTCCATAATGGATAATTGGTGTGCTCCGTACATGATGGCAGTTACTATGTATTCAGCAGGTTCGATCGGTCGGATAAGTGGGTGACGTCGTCGAGTCAACCAAACAAGGCGTGGGGAGCTTCGAGCACGTCCCACGGTCGAACCTGTTTGTCGACTTGAGCTTGCTCCGACTCCGACCGTGAGAACTAAGTTCAAGACATCAGCAGATAAGAATCAAAGTATTCAGTATTCCATGTAGTCGGCACGGGGATGACAATTAATAGGAAAACCCTTGAGGAAGAATTGGAAGGGATGCCCATCCCTAGATGAAGTCTGCAGGAATGCTCAAACCGTGCCAAGTTGGAGACGAAACGCTTTCTCGAAGAGAGGCTTGAGGAACGGACCGCAAACCGAACAATGCGCAGGAATGAATGGAGAGAAGGTCATAGTAGTTGGTGGTCGCCGTAGAATAGCCTTCATTCCTGGTGTTCTTCGTGATGATGTTCAACCTGCTCAATGTCACGGTATTTGTGGGGAAAGCGGTCGAGTAATGGACTCGGGTTTTCTCTGGGCCAACCAGCAAAGGCAGGGATGACCATCGCCATCGAAGATCTTGAGATTCTCAGCGCAGAACCTGGAACAAATCCGGATTCTTCCCAGAATATCATCATATCAGAGTTCGAAATGCGATCATGACTTGGCAATGGGAGCGGAAAGGGCTGGGCTGGGCATTCCAAATTAGGTTAAGCCAGAAGATTAGATAAGCGGGCCTTGTATTCAGCAGTAAGGGTATTATGGTCTAGATACAGTTTCATCAAGGCGATCGGAGATTTACTCACAGACAGCTGTATGTACTCCAGGATCAATGACAGTTGACTTCTTTGCTGTATTCCTTGCATATAGCCAGGACGTTTGGAAGGGTCAATTAATTCAATTGATTGAGACTTGAGACTCACCTCTCATGGATGCTGTATTGCTCCCGGACAAGCTCTTTTTTCCGACCGAGTGGAGCCGGTGGAGATACGTTAGATCTCACTGGAATGATGGTTCCTTTTTTTAATTTTTAATTTTTAATTTATTCAATTATTTTTTCTACCAATAATTGACGCCGACTGGCACGGCTAGGAATGGCCCATTGAGCAATGAAAACTTTTCTTTTGTTCTTTATCCATTCTATTAGGGTTCTGGTGGACAAACGGTGCTCAACTATGGGGCAATTCATCGACAGGATTACGACCCAGCATGCCCATATACTATACAGTATTCTATACAGGAGTCGGACAGGAGGCTTTGTATGGAAAATACGCCAGGAGGGCAAGGAAGAGAGACAGGAGGATTAAACAAATATAGAAACTCAATTTTCGGAGGGTCGTCGTCTCCGTAAACTACCAGGATAAGCTGGAATAAAGGATAAACTACTGGGATTGATGGACGAAAATAAACCATAGTTTAGACATAGTCAACTCCATACGCAAGCTGTCAAAGAAAAGGAAAAAAGAAAGGACAAAAAGAGGACAGAAAAAGAAAACCTGAGAAACAAGGAATCCAATATCCATAAAAAAAAGGTGAACAAAAAAAGGGCAAGGCTAACGCCTCAAAGAGCAAGCACGATCCATGCTTCAGGTCGCCCAGATGCAAGTAGGCGGCCTAGAAACGGCGCTGATTGGCTGCCAGTTGCTGAGCAGCGGATAGCGCTGGCGATGGCGGCAAGGGAGTCCCGGCAACGAGGGCACGCCTAACCATTGTGGGACTAGCGGCGTTCTAGTTGCAGGGGACCCATGGTATTACTGGTGACTAGCGGCGTATCATTCAATACCAATACAGTATCTCTGTATCCAGAACAAGGACAGACTCAGCATTGCAGAGAGCGTTGCAGCAAGGCCTGTAGGTAATTATGTCGATAGGAGCAAGAGGCAAGTCACAGCTGCTGGCCACAGGAATTCGCGACGGACGAAGGAGAAGAAATCCTCCGGCGCACCTGGTTCTGTTCCTGAATTCGAATTACAGCGCCCAATCCAGTTCGGGGCTTGGTTTCTGACACGGCGTTCTGTGTCGCTTAAGCTCTTCCTGAGCATCTGGAGATCCCCTCCCCACTTTGCGTTGCCATTGCAACAAGGCCATCCCTTCAGCTTCAACCTTTCTCCAGGCCTTTTTTCTTCTACGCTTCTTCCTCTTCCTTTTTACTGCTCGACGTCCCAGTCTCCTTTTCCCATGCTTCGTCTTTCTATTTCGTTTCGAGCCCAATTCCGCCTTGTCTCTGCTGTACTTCTTCGGTAACTTTCCCCCCGAGTGTACTGGTGTACCATCTCTGCTGCCGCATCTCCGTGCTGCTCCTTCGTACAAAAGGCCTTGCTAACGACCGTCTGCCCTTGTGATAGCCCCTCACGGCCTCCCTCCGTCCTGCTATAAGCTTCCCTGTGCCCGAAGATCTCCCCGAATCGATTTTTTCCCGTCCAGCCATGTTCCTCTAATCCCACGGCTTCGTCATCGAAAAAGGCCACTGAACGCTGGTGGTTCCGTGGGCATTTCGAAGCCGTTCTTGTCGATCTTGCATGACTCGATTCCATAACGGTATTTTTGGGAAAAGAAAGAAAGCGAATTGGAAGAGCTGGGTAGTCCCGTCTTGACTACGAAGGAAACAGAAAAAAAAAATCATCATACGTCCGGCGTTGTAGTATATGCCAGGTAGATAGACTGCCGCATTGCTGTCATTCGTTTCTTGGCTTCTGGAATTCTCCGACTGTACCTGCCAATCCTTAGTCAAAAGTCGGTATAAAGTGAAGGAGACAAGAAGATAAACGGAAATTTCGGGCAATCATGGAGCACTCGTCCCCGCTGGCTGCTATGCAGCCTCCGTCGGTCATGTTTGGACATTGCTTCCGGTCCGATGTGCCATCGTCGTATGGGGGGTTTGGTCCCAGGTCTGGGTTCAATCCCAACAGCTTCAACTTCAAAGACTTGTCTATGAAGAAGGGTGACTACTTCAACATGAAACCCGTCCGGGGTTCTTCTCCGACGGCCAGCCTTGCTGCGGACCTGTCTCAGAATTTTCACATCGATCAGAGGTTCGTCGGATTTTCTTCAGCCCTTTGTTCCCCTTTTATTCTTTTTTGTTCCCTTTCTCTGTCATGGTCAATGACAAAGAACTATGCTGACCCTAAAAATAGTCCCCAGTTGGCTACGCCCCGACGGTCTTTGTTCTGTAACAACCTTTTTGGGCCGGGCAAAGGACGTGGTAAGAGCTGATGCTGTCCGTGGGAAGACTTGGTTGCTCATTGCTATATAGAAGACTTGATGACCACTCCTCCTCTCCAGTCCTCACCAGCACCCGCTATGGAAATCATGGACATGTCGCCATTGCCGCACAAGCCCCCATTCATCGTCACCACCGACGTTGATCTCCAGTCACCGACGCCCGACGTGGACTCGCCCATGAGGTCTGCCGCAGCCAGTCCCCTTCAGGATTCTCCAATGGGGCCTCCAAGGGAAGGACTGTATGAGTAAGAGAAGATGAGGCCTTCGGGCTGGAAACGTATATCCTTGGAAAAGTTGTCTAATTGTCTTGTGCTGTATAGGAGGAAGCGTCCTACTTTTTTGCGTCCTAGTTTAGCGAAAAGCAAAGCTCAGTCTTTCCAGTTAGGCATGACGAAACCCGCCCCCGAGAGCCAGGCTCCCCCATTTCGATTCCAGAGCAGAGGGAAGACATCGATGAGTGCTTCGACCTCGTTGGAGGATATGTTTGGGGAATCACCACAAAGGGAAAGACCACTGTTGAGGAACAACTCGTCCGGAAGCGTCATTAACAACTCGCGATTGAGGCCCCCGATGAACAGCCACGCACGAGGATCTGGCTCACCGGCTTCAGGATCGATCCGAAAGAGCTCCCACCCGTTGATGCGTCCCCGTAAACAATGCAGACGCTCGTTGAGCATGTTTGAGCACCCCGAGGAAGTTATTGAGAAAGAGGCAAACTACACTACTACAAATGCACCACTTCAGTCGATCACAGACATCGAAGGAACCCCCAGCTTATCGCTGCCGCACTTCGTCCCGGAGGACCAGTCGGATACATTGCCTCGCATCAATAAGGCCACCTTGGTGGAACTCATGGATGGAAAATTCAACGAACGCTTTGACCAGGTCATGGTCATTGACTGCCGTTTCGAGTACGAATATGAAGGTGGCCACATCAATGGAGCTGTTAACTACAACGATAAGGAGTATTTGGCTGCTGAGCTCTTCGCCGCCCCCAAGCAACGAACCGCCCTAATCCTCCACTGCGAGTACTCGGCCCACCGAGCCCCTATCATGGCCAAGTACATCCGTCACCGTGACCGTGCCGTCAACATTGATCACTACCCTCACCTTACCTACCCCGAGTTGTACATTTTGGATGGGGGGTACAGCGCATTCTTTGCTGAGCATCGAGTGCTGTGCTTTCCCCAGAACTACGTTGAAATGAATGCCAAGGAACACGAATACGCCTGTGAGCGTGGTCTTGGAAAGGTCAAGCAACGGTCCAAGTTGAACCGGGCCCAAACATTTGCCTTCGGTCAGCAATCTCCCGAAATGGAAGACAGTCCCACTGGGAGATGCCGTAACAACGCTGGTGACCGCAACCGATATTTGGACTCTCCCTTTGGTGATACCCCTACTTCGAATCGATTTTCTGGCCGGCGCATGCTGTCTTATTAAGGCCCATGCATCATTATTTTGATTTTCATCGCGCCATGGCTTTATGTTCTTATGTTATTGGAGCGTGGCGCGTATTTTTGAGCCCTGTTTTCGAGGGTTAACATCCTTTTCCTTCGTTTTAAAGACTCCTCCGCCCATGCTGGCCCATTTCAGGTGAATTGGCTTTTTGAGCGGACAAAAATTCGTGAGAGTCATGTTCTTGGGTTAAGCCAGAAGGACGAGTGCAGACGATTTCCTCTTGATGTGGATCCTGTCTCGCCTCCAGCTTAAATCCATTTTCACTCGTTTGATATTTCGTTTTTATCTCTATTGTTTCGACCATTGATTTTCTACAACAGCCTTTTCGACTTTTCCTTTGGTGCTTCGACCTTTTGAGACCCTCCGTTTTTGATGACAGAACACCTCAGCTTTCCTCATATTATTGAGCTGGACAACTCGAACACCTATATTAACGACCCTTTTCCTTCGCATTACCTACTGCCACTCTCTTGCGACTATTTCCTATGTTTTTTTATGACCTTGTGCTACGTGCACCCTATTTTTCAAATTTCCCTCGGCTACTGCAACCGCAATCCAGATGAAGAACGTCTGCCCGCTCTCACGATATTTTCGCCTGCTCGGCATTTCCACTTCTTGGAACTTGATCATTTTTCTTTATCATCTTTTAATCCACCTTCCCATTCCCCTGTACACATCTTTGAGGAGTGAGCGATTGCCGTTCCTCGCTGTACAAAACACCTCGGTGTACGACCATCAGGACAAAGCTATTATTCTTGTGCATGTCAGCCTCTGAAACAAAATAATTACTCTAATCAGGCCAGCAGAAGGCATTGGCTTGCATCGGGAGTGTCTGTGCAGCTGTACATAAACAAAATACGCCTCACACTCGGGTTATGAACCGAATTTTAATGGGGGAAGCATGGGGGAAATTGGAGGCTAAAGATACTATTAATTTCCTTTGTTGAAGTCAAATGAAACGAAGTCCAAATACATCTTGTCTTGTGCTCTGTAGACATCAATTAGACATGCGTTGCATGAAGTCCGAAGTAAATTTCCGCCTCAGGCATCCACTGACTATTCCCACTCCGCCCCGTCTTCTTTGTCTCTCCAACTCCGCTCCGCTCACATCCCACCTTTTTCACTAACTCCACCGTTCATCCTGCAATTGTGCTCCTCCTCGCGGCCCAATGCTGCGTGGAGCTGTCGAATACAGCCCCCATTATGGATATCGATGACATTCTTGCTTCCGTCGATCGTGACGATGTCTCCGCGCCTGAATCAACCGCCCTCGATCACCAACTCCTCACACGCTTTTGGGTCAGCGAGCGTGCCGTTTCGGAGCTCTTACCATGGCCAGGACCACTCATGGACCGGATGATGGATAGAGTCAGAAGACAGGTACGTCACGCACTCATTGAACACACCTTCCAAAGCACCAGACAATGAGGCTAATTAATCCATCCTCTCAGATCGAAGCAATCGAAGACCTAGCCGCCTCAGCCTCAGACCCATTCTCAGCATCAACAACCCCAGCAACACACAACCAATCCCTAAACCTCAAGCTCTCCATCCTCCAAACTGACCTCGCCCGCACCCAATACCTCATCCGCTCTTTACTCCGCCAGCGCCTCTCCAAAATCACAAAACACAGCATGCACTACCTCCTCCTCGTCTCCCCATCCAACCCAGACTCCTCCATGGCCTCGTCGCAACAAACAACGCAGCAACCAGAAGACTCAATCCCGGACCCGGCGACTTCGACGAACCCGTCGCCGCTGTCGCCGCAGGAAGCGGCGTTCTTGCATGCCCACCAGACGCTGTTGGCGGGCCACTACGGGGCGTCGTTTTTGAGTGCGTTTCCGCCGCAGTTGAGACGGTTGGATGATAATGCCGGCGGGACGAGTATGGTGCAGGGACCGGGGATGAAGGAGGTCGTGTTTGTTAGGTGTTTGGTTGAGGAGGTTAGGGTCGTTGTGCCGCCTGGTGATGGAGTTGATGAGGAGATGCATGGGACTACGATGCGCATGGGTGATGTTTGGGTTGTGAGGTGGGAGGGGATTAGGTCGGCTTGGGAGAGGGGGGATGTTGAGGTGCTTTAGAATTGGGTTATGGGGGCTCTCTTGCTTTTGTTTTCTTTTTGTCAATGATATCCTGCTTGGAAGGTGACTTGGTTGGAGTTTTGTTCTTGTTCATATCATACCATACTTTTGGAAGTGTTGAAATTTTGCATATGGTTCATACAGAAAAAGCATACATTGGCGTTTACAGGCTGGCTCTACGGCTACGGATCCATGAAACTTTGAGTTATTCAATTCCTTAAACATTGGGTATTGTGTTTGCTACCAGGACTTGTCGCTGGATGCTATCAATCCTAACCCCAATTCATTCCATTCAATCCATTCTAGCGTATATCATAACCCGTCTGATCGTCCAATTTCACCCCCTCGAAAAGCAGAAAGTAACAGTTACCAAAGAACATGAAAGAATAGACAAAAGTATTTCTATAAGGGTGAACAATCGCCGCCTTTTTCGCCGTCACCGCTAAGCTCAAGATGATTTTGCCATGCCCAGAAACAAACGTTCAAAAAGGAAACAGGCAGAGAAAGAAAACAAAGAAAAGTCGTTCAGTGTGGCCTATGCGATCACAGGATGCTGAAGTGGCTATCGTTTGATAAGGTCTATGCCGTTTACGCGATGTAGCCGTACGCGGGTGGATCTTCTGAGACTCGCTCGAGATACTCGCGGTCAATCAAACTTTCAATACGTCTCTTGACCATGTTGACGTCCGGGATGAAGCGGGCAGAGAGCTGCGTAAGTACTTCATTCATGAGTTGGGAATGATTCAGGGTCTTGCGTTGTCTGTAAAAGGGAAATGCGGTTAGCTCTCGATCGATGGTAAATGGGCATGGTATATGGATGGATGTAACTTACTTCATGATTCGCACGACAGCGGCCTCAATACTGGCACCACGCTCATCATTCATCTTCTTCTCTGTTTCCTTCCGCTGGTCCTGATTCTCGACCTTGTTGGCACCTCCACTGACAACGCCAATACGAACTTTCATGAAGGGACTCTGGAAGTCCTGGTTGAAGTAGAATTTGTCTGTTGGCTTCACGTCCTTGCTCATTGGCTCCTTCTTCAAGACTCTGGTCTTGGGTGCAACAGCCAGCGATTGCAAGTTTCGAATCAGGTCATGATCGGGGATTCGTGTGCGTGCTTGTATCTCTTCGAAGGTGAGGGATTCGCCTGCGGGGACGTCGTTAAACAGCATCAGGATCACCATGGCAAAGGTGGACACGTTGAGCTCATGACGTTGAACCTTGCCATTGGACCTTGTGAATGTCGCTCGAATATCGGCAGTGCCCATACTGGCTTGCCACGAGAGCTTTCTGCCGTTATGTTTGCTGAGATAGAACTGTTCGAAGCTTTGCTTGACGGTCTCGATTTCTTTCGGAAAGGCGCATGGCAGCTGCACTTCGCCATCTCGCGTGCTTGACATGATCTCCATAGGCCACATGGTGCTGGTAAGTACATTGATTTCCAAGTCGACTCGCTTTTGGTCCGGATCACCACTCTGGAGGGCATGGTCTTTGTAACTTGAAGTTAGGTCATCAGAGATTGCCATGTCCTTGAACATGGATTCCAAGCGCTGCGTGAACTGGTTTCCAACCTCCATCTTCATCTTGGATATCATCTGCCGTTCCGCATCCATGCTAGCTGAACGCTTCATCAGAAGTCGTCGAGAAAGATGCTTTTTGTAATACGTTTCAAAGAGATCCTTGTCTTTCACATAGCGCAGCAAGGTGATACCATTGTCCAAGAGAGCATCGACCTCATTCTCCGTTTTGCCCTTGATACCCTTCTTGAGATTCTCATCAAAGAATAGAGAAAGATACTCCGAGCTGCGATTATTCGAGTTAATGAACTCGGCAAAGCTCTTGGTAATGGAACCCTGAAGGCCCTGGTCAGACAGAAAGGCGTTTTCCCAGATATTGTCGAACTTCTTCTTGAGACCCAGAATTTCATCGACCCACTTGATTGCAGATACTGTCTGCTGGTTCACGGGCTTTTCCTTCTCCTTACCCGCTGCCTTCTTCTCTCCGCTAGCATCCTTCTCATTTGATTTCGGAGCCGAACCTGATGTTTCTGTTGCAATGGAGGACGAATTGATCTCTTGGCCCATTTCCACAATTCGTTTTTGAACCACTTTGGTCAGAGCAGCTTTCGTCTTGTCAACTCTCGCATTGAGGTCATAGACATTGCGCAAACCATCCAACCGATCATGATCAAGCATATTTCTGACGCCAGTGCCTTCGAGATTGATGACCTCGGCAATGTTCTTTCTGATCAGCTCCTCATCCAACACATCCTTTATCTTCGGCTCTGTGAGTGTAGACAGTGTATAGCGACAGCGCTCCTTCTCTTCTGTTATCCGATTGGTGGCGAGTCTGCAGAATGTAGCAGCATCCGCCATTTCCAAAAGTCGTCGCCCTTCCGTTTGATAAAAGGTCTTACTAGTCTCCAGGAACGCCGGCTCGAATACGGTCAAATATAGTTTGGACGACTCCTCTTCTGTTATTGTTTCGTAGAGACCCTCGAGCATATAGATGCAATGACGGATCAATGGTCGCTCAATAACATGCCCCGCTCTTTCCAACTGAATCATAAAGAGCACAGTTGACTCCAGCACATCAGCCACTGTTGTTTTCGAATCGGACCGAACCGCGGAACGTAGGATAGAATCACGAAATAGAGCCATTGCTGTAACATAGATCGACGGCTTCCGGTGGTCTGTAGAAATAACCCGGTCCTGAAATCATCAGACATTAGTCCTGGCAAACGGCAGAAGCAAAGGGTCCAGGCATACCATGTACATAAGAACATCTGTGATCATGCCCATGCACAACTGATGGTCTTCCCACGCCTCTTTCAACACATTCAAGAATTTCTCCCCCGCTGCCCTTCTCTCGTTTGATTGATCTTGCATATCCGCGGGCTCCTTTGCCAACAACAAACTCGACGATATCGCGGCCGTGATACGCTTCTGCACATCGTTGTCCAACCAGTCCTTCTCTAATTGTTTGACTCGTTCGTACAATTCATCGCCGCGCGTCATCAACACAATTCTATATGCATTCCGGTATAGTTCTTCGAAGGAAAGGGTGGATGCATTTTTGGTGTGGATTTCTCGTAAAGAGGATGCAAGGACATTCCATGTGGTATCAAAATCATCAGTTTTATTAGCTGTCAGGCCCTGGAGAGCTTGTTAGCTGGTTGTTCTTTGATCACAACTTCTGTATCCTCGGCCTTCAATCCACGGATGCCCAGGGCGTATCCTGTCCACCCCACAAAGGAATATTAAGCGACGATTGGAACTAGAAATACTCACCCTTCGTGGAGCACGAATCTTTTGTCTTGCTCTCATCGCCATCTTGGAGACTCAAGGAAATGCCACTCTACTGACATACACTGTAGTTCTCGCGCGGGGCAGTGGAGGAGGTGAGGAGAAAGTGAGGGGTATAAACAGAAGGGATTCGAGTAATATCACAAAAGAAATAAAAAGAAAGTTGCAGTGAAACCGAGGCCTCGAGTACCCTTTCAAAGCATCCCCACGGCTCGAGGGCAGTGAATGGTGTTGTCCTTTGACTTGACCGTCGCCGCGGAGTGAAAGAGCTGGAAGAACCTAAGTCCGGCGCAACTTTTACAACTTCGTCATCGCCTCCGACGAGCATCACTTGTCTTCGTTCTTCTTCAAACACGCAGCCATTCTTTTTCCATCACTATTCACTCTCATCGACGCCTAATCCAATCCTCGTCTTTACATAGATTTCAATCCTCCGTCATGCGTCCTTCTACCGCATTTTCACAAGGTCTCCGTGCCTGCAACAGCCTTCTTCCCCGAGCAGTTCCTCGCACGGCATCTCGTCCATTCTCTCAGCTCGTCAACCGTTCTCCTCTTCCCTCAACACATATCTCGAGACCTCAAAGACTACCTATTCTACACCACGCAATCATCAGAAATAACTCGAGCTCACCCCTCACCGATAGACCCGACCAGGCCTCGACCGATGCACAAAACGAAGAACAAAACAGATTGCGCCGCGAACAAGAACCTGCATACCAAATCACATTTACCTGCAAGCCATGTGGCAACCGTTCGTCTCACAGGATGTCCAAGCACGGTTATCACCGTGGAACGGTGTTGATTCGCTGCCCCTCGTGCGATAACCGTCATGTTATCAGCGACCACTTGAACATCTTTTTCGACAAAAAGAGCACCCTTGAAGACATTCTGGCAAAGGAGGGCCAGAAGTTGACTCGGGGCTATTTGAATGGGGACATGGAGTTCTGGGATGATGGAAGTGTGACTCCCAAAGAGAAGGCAGAGGAGCAGAAGCCGGACGAAGGCAAAGGACAATTGCCATAAATGGGCTCATGACCATATCAATTGATTCTCGTTAATCAAGATGTCCAAATGGGGGTGATAATCAATAGATGTTTTTCGCCTTTGGATTTGGGGTTTGGAGGCAAAGACTTACGGTGGCGATAAAATAGAGGCGTTGCATGGAGTTTGTCCTGGGCACTCTAGAAACTGTTTATATACACTCTGCTCCAGCGATATGTACTTTTTAGAACATTAATGATCATGTACTATAAATCTCCAATTCTATATTCATCATTCCAATCATTTTATACCCCCAACGCCAATTTTTTTGAAACCAACATGACAATAGATGTAAACATTCAAAGCATGACTTCCCACTACCAACCACGTCTCTTGCCGCGGAATTCCATACCCTTCTCCTTTCTCTTATCATGCTTGCGCTCATTCCTCCTCGCCTTGTCCCTTCCATGTTTCTCGGGGTCTGCAACCGCTTCAATGCGTCTCTTGACACGTCTGCCCTCACGTCTCTCCTTGATGGAGTCTTGGACAAGCGACATTTGAGCCACAAACTCGGTAGTACCCAGTTTCTTTTGCAGAATATCAAGGACCTCGTGGCAGTTGGATACGATGGCCTTGTATGTGTTTCGGAAAGTCTCGTCCGATGAACGCGGTGGTGGAATTGACGAATCAGTCATATGCTGGAGAGGAAGAAGGATGACCGGCAGGGAGGGATGGATTTGGTCGGCCTCCAGGTGTCGGCAAAGAGCCGCAAAGAGGCCAATGGCTGCAGTCTTCGGGATCAATACTTCCGGCCGGGTAGAAAAGACCTCCCTTCGGAGAACATATGACGCTTGCTCGAAGAAGTATCGGATGGCGAGCTTGGGCGTGTTGCCGGCATGGCCGTTGGTAGTAGTCTCGTCGGCTTCATCTTCGGCTTCATCTTCGGCTTCGACTTCATCCATTTCAGTGTCCTTGTCTCCGGCCCTGGCAAATTCAAGACCATTCTGAGCGCAGCACCTGCTGAGGAAGATGGTGTTGCGAACGGTTTGCATCGCAAGCTCCTCACTGATACCAGGCGTCCGAAGACAGCGTACACTAGCACGGATCAATTGCAGCATCGCGTCCTTGTCAATAGCAAGGCCTGCCGACCCAGCCAGAGGAAGCGAGCTGTAGCCACTTTCTGCATTGTGCTTGCCCAGGTCAGCGAGCCACATGCCGATGAGGTTTGCAGCACATGTTTTAACCCAGGCATGGGGATAGAATAGGCACTCGCGAATGGCAGTCCAAATCGAGGCACTTTTCTTGGCCAGGGCAAGGGAAGGCACGGTTTTGCAAAGCTTCGTGAAAAGTTGGAGAGAGAAATAGAGTGTTTCCCAGTTCTCTTGTTCTTGATCTTCGAGAACGGGCTGCATGAGTGACGGAAGAACCTCGATGACGAAACGAGCTTCCTTCTCCTTTTCAGTTCCTTCGGCTTCAAAGTAAATCCTCATAGCCTGCAATCCAGTGCTGCTGAGAAGCAAATTGTCCGTTTGTTCAAGCCAGGATCGAAGAGGTGTGAGAACAGTCTTGATCTGCTCCCTGTCTGCCCTGTTGTAAAGTTCTCCTAGGAGGGCGCCTGCCATTTCTCTGCACTCGGACGAGTCGTCGTTTGACATCACAATAACTACAGGTAGGAAGAATGTACCAACAATATCTTGAGCCAGTTCGGGACCAGTCTTGTTTAGGAGCATATGGACTGCTTCCATGACAGATTGACGGCCGGATTGGTGTTTATACTCAAGGTTCTTAGCCAGGAAACCAAGTTGCTTTGTCCAGCGATTCTTCGCCTGGGGATACTCGATCAAGAAGTGGACATATACACCCCGTGCCAGGTCCCGCGCAGAGCGAGTCTGGTTCGTAACCATCATGGTGGCAATTTGGTCTGCCAACTCGTACATTTCTGGGACCACGAACTTTCTCGCCATGACAGTCCTAATGAAGTTGAATGTCACGCCCTGCCGATCGGGCTCCTCGATGTCGGAGGCAAGGCGCTGGAGCAGATAGGCAAGATGACCATCTCTGAGTTTTGTACTCTTCCTCTCGCGCAGCATGGCTGATATCAACTTCAAAGATGCCTGTGAGGCTTCGGTGTTTGTGCTTGGTGCCTCCTTGATCACCTTTACAGCTTCAGTGAAATAGACGTGGGCGTTCTCATCAATTTCAGGCAAGGGAAGCTTGATGATAGTCGACAGCATTCGAAGAGCAGAAATCTTCACTTCTTCCTGTGCCTGAACGAGTGCATCGCCAATAATAGGAATAAAGCCAGATAGATTGGCTGCGGTCAGTAGCGAATCAAACTTGTTTAGAACCACGCGCAAAACATCCAGCGCAAAGCGAGTCATCTTGTAGGCATGGGAGGAAGTTGTTCCTCGTTTCTCACCCCGCTTGGCGCCGTGGTACTTCACCAAGAAATGTTTCTCTGAGGCGGTTTCAGGTCGGGTTTCAGACTGCGTTGGGTCACGGTATGACTCCTTGATGACTTCGTAGCAAAAGATCAGAAGATCCCGGCTCTCTGCACCTGGGTTTCTCAAAAGTCCCACCCCGATTCTTCTCAAAAGCTCATCGATCTTCTTCACGAGACTAGAGTTCAGTTTCTCGCGCAAGAGAGATTGCAACGGCCGTGTCAGGTTTGAGAGGTTTTGAACAGTGGCGTTCTTGGCCAGCAACTCCATGGAGTCATAACTCTTGCTGCTCTTGACTTCTTTCATCTTGCTGACATATTCCTCGGCATCTTTCTCTTGGCCGACAGTGCCAAAAGTATCATCCATAATCACTGAAACCAGATCCATCAAGCAATAATCCAAATCTCCTTGTTTGAAATCATCTGTTGTTGCCACAAGGATGGAGTGGACAGTGAAGGAAAGAACGTGAAGTTGGTATCCCCGCTTGAGTGCATTCCGCAGTTCCTTGAGTATATAGCTGAAATAGCTAGGTCCCAGGAGAAGGGCAATGTCGTTAAGTGTCTTCCGAGCAGTGTCTCGGGTCTCTTGTACTTTACTCTTGAGAATGCTGCAAACGTCCAGAAGAACTGGAGGTAAACGGATCACCATCTCTTCCTCGGGAAGCAGTTTCAAAAGCTTAATCGTTGTGACCGCGGCTGGCAAACGGAGACTCATCTCCGCCTCATTCTTGTGGTGGATGAAGCTGATCAACTGGGGTGTGAAATTTGTGGTCAGTTCCGTGGCAAGCTTGGAGGCAGATGGGAGGGTTTGAGCGAGTGTTGATTTGGAAGGCACCGAGGATTCAGTATCATCCATTGCATCCTCATCTTTGCTCTCTCCCGCATTGTATTGCTTCGAAGCATTTGTCAAAGAGTCGGCCATTCGTCCCAGGAGCCTGAGGACGTTCTTTTCCATATCAGGCTTGCTCTGCATGTACCCACGGTACCTCCGGAAGGTGGCCCTGAATCGATTCCAATCCAATGACTCTCCGAGTGCCCCAAGCGTAGCTACAGCTTCCGCAACCAGATTATGGTCGCCTCCCTCAGCTTCTGCGTCAAACACGAAATGTTCGTTGAGAGGGATAAAGATCGTGCTAATGTTCGAAGCCTGGAATTTTCCTTGCAGTGCTTCGGTGGCAAGACGACGCAGAGCTCGGAGACGGCGATGCTGCTGAATATGGAGGACATTGTTGAAGAAAGATGCCTCTTCATCGTCTCCCACAAGTAAACAATTCATATCCTGGACGGAGGGCCTAGTTGGGTTTAACTTGACGAAGTAGCCCAGTGCGGACACAAACTCAGACCGAATTAGTTCCGACTTCTGCTTGATACCGAACTGCAAGCCAGGGAATAAGGCGTCAGTCACTAGAGATTCGAATTCTTCCTCATTGTTGTCCGTAGGAAGAACAGCTCTCTCCATGAATCGCTTCAATCCAAATGAAGCACTCGATCTGATAGCAAGTTCCTCGTCATCCTTAACATGGAAAAGCATGTTGTAGAGCAGAGGGCGCCATTGCTTGGCATTCAAAGTCTCCCAAAGGGTTTCATTGATTCTCCTGAAGGCTTTCAACCGGCTCTCATAATCGACTTCAAGCTTCTTCCTAGATATGGAGTTCAGATCAGTGCACAAAGATGCAACTTCCGAGAGCTCAGAATCATGGGCTGCAAAGGCAGTGAACACCCTTGACAAGACCTCGCGGTTCGAATCATCTTTAAAGTAATCAAACATCGAAGAAACAGCCTCGTAAACCTGCTGAGAAAGCTCTGGATCTTCTTGCGTGTCAAACAAAGGCAAGAAGTGCTCCAGAATCCGTAGAAGGCCTGATTTTGTTTTGGGTGACACACGGTCCGGAGGTTGACGAAGGAGGTATGTCGTTATTCCAATGAGACTTGAGGTCTCACGAGAAGACTCGACACAAGGGGCAAGCAGTGACAAGGTTTGAACACCAGAAATTAATGTAGGGCGAGAAGGACCACGCTTGAGAAGTCGATTCATGTGATAAAGAGTATGCTCGATGTAAGGAGACAAAACGACCGAGCGGATTTCATCGGCAGGGAAGTCGCTCATTTCCTCCTGCTCTTCTAGCTTTTTCCCAGTTGAAAGTTCGATGATGGGAACCAGGACCTCATCCATAACGAAAATCTTGACTTCATCGCGGGCTGACTCTACACCAAGACAGTCCACAATCTTTGTCAAGACACTGTCATTGTGCTGTACAAGGTAGAACGATGACCGAGAAGCAGATGCCCAAGTGTGGAAGAGTCGGAGAAGTCCAGATACTCCTTGGGCAGTTTCAATGGCGAAATTGTCCAATCTAGGGTTGATAACTTCGTCGAAGATCACACGGACATATGGGGTCCAATCTCGGTCCAGCGAGATGGAAAACACGAGGTCGATGCACCGGATACAAGTCTGGCGAATGCTGCGCAATATTGCCAGCAACTTGTTCTCTTGGGAATCGGAGTTCTCCATAGCTTGTTCTTTCTCCAATGCTCGGCATGCTCGAACAAGACAATAGAGAACAACATTCATAGACTGCTCCACATACGGAGCCATCCGGCTTTGGAGCGTTTCAAAAACGGTTTCGACCATCTTAATCAAACCAGTCTGCTTTCTTGGGCTAGTAAGTTCCTGGTCAAATACCTCTTGATCAATCTGGCCATCTTTGACCAAGCGGACGCCTCCGAGAGGGCCAAATGAAGTTTGCATAAAGAAATCGAAGTCGCGGTCGGGCAGGTGCGAAAGTGTTCTCAAAATGGCCTTTCTCCGTCCTCCTTGTCCAGCCTGTCCTCCTGCACTTGCGCCGGCTTTCGAGATCATTCGGCCATACAAAAGCCTGAGAAGAACAGGAAGGAGTTCTCCTCTATGCGCATCTTCAATCACACTGTCTTCTCTGCCAACATGGACGAAGACAGCAAGTTCATCCCTAAATCTCTGCTCGTCCAGGATGTTCAAAAGGTTTTCCTGGTAAGGCATTATACTCGGAGACTTCCAGGTAAAGAGAGCTTTGAGGGCGGATTTCTGAATCTCCGAATTACCATGGCACATCAAGCCAAGTACGGCATTGTGGACTTCGGGTGCCTTAAACAGAACCTTGGGGTTGATGAATTGTGCGAGAAGAGCAAGGAACGATAGTCGGTCTTTGAAGCCCCAAGGAATGTATGATTCATCTTCAGAAGTGTCTGGAGCAGCGCCATCCTCTTCGTCACGCAATGCCCATGACAAAAACAATGGAACCACCTGGCGAGAACGCTTTTCGGCAATGTTTGGTGCTGCATTAAGAACACGAAGGGCGTGGGTTCGAGGATACGCGGGAATGACGTCGGAAAAGGTGTGATCCAGCTCGAGGTTTTGCATCAAGGTCGAGCTGGGTTGTTCTGAGCGCCGGAAATTCGAAGAAATGACCTTCTCAACATTGAGCACGTTGTAGCACTGGAAATATTTAGAAGTAAAATTGTTGTCGCTTTCCTCGTCTGCTTCTTCGCTTGGCAAGGAACCTTGTTCCTGAAGCCATTGGATTGCCATATCCGAGACAATCTTCTCGCCTGCAGAGTGCTCACTGATGGATTTCAAAGCGCTAGCAGAGTCATCCCAGAGGGGAGCCATCTTCTTTGAAAAAAGACCAAAGCAGAAATGGGGGATCAATGTAGCCATCCATCTACGCGAAGCTACCTGGGGATAGAGGAGCGCAAGCTTACGGACATGCATAGAGAGGACTCTTGCGGATTGCAGAGTCAACTCACTCTCCTCAACCTCTATAGCTAATGAGATGGGGGAAGCGTCATCGCCAGAAACCTGGACCATCTCTCGTAGAATTTTCAAAGATAATAACCTCAAAGGGTGGGAAGGTCCAGCAAGGTTGGTGATCAAAGCTCCGGCAAAGTCTTCAATTGTCGACTCCTTGAAATCGATGGCATCAGGGCACGCGGAGATGAAAGCGAGTGTTGCCTCGAGGAAAAGGCGAAGCCGAGAGAATTTCGTAACTGCTGCGCTCACTAGTTCCCAGAGACTTGCGTCGATGTCCCCCGATTTGGTAGCGAGCTCAACGTAAGCTTTGAAGCCTTGGCCAAGGAAGAACTTTGTCGTAGCTGATGGATCGGACTCGTTGCTTTTGAGAGCGCTAGATAAATGGGAGTGGAAGCTGCGCACCATATCAGGGAGAAGGGAGGGGTCGGTAAATAATGACATGGCTTGAGGTAGTTTCGAGTATGCGTTGAGAAGAGTCACTTCGTCATTGCTGGGAGTAGATATGCTCAGAGTTTCTTTGATGCGAGATTTCCAAGCGCTTGGACAAGTGATATAACCTGGTTTGGAAACTTCAGATGTTACACATCCAGCTTGGTTCAACCGGAGCAAGGTCAAGCACAATTCATGTTCGTTCTCACGCCACGAAGAGTTGACATATCTATATTCAATGGTTAGAATGCAAGAGGTGAGGCTACGTAGATGCACAAGAGACTGACCTTTGGAAATGGGGAAGAACAACGCTATGGAACCTTTCTGTGCCCCATTCCGCGAACGTGGCGCAGAACGGCAGAAAGTAGGCTGAGAACCGTTCATTTGACACGTTATCCATGATCGGACGCATAAATGGAAGCATTTCATCCATAGGAGACAGCTGAAGTGCATATGCGGTAACAGTGAGAAGTTGGGGCATGGATTCGGCATAAACATCATGTGCAGCTCCAGCTTTCTGGAGCAGAAGCAGCAAAATCTGGTGGACTGCTTTCCAGTTCTTGACTCGGGAACCTTTGCGAGTAGACACACTCAAGAATATTAATCGACAGCAGAGCTCTGCATGCGGCCTGTGGGCCTTTTTGGAATGGGTATCAATGTAAGATTTAAGAAAATCCAGAATGGGCTCGAATGTGTCGGGGGTCGTAAAATGGAGAATGTTGACCACTACTCCGCTTACAACTTCGAGTGACAGACTTCGCTGCAAGTCATCCTCCACAGCTGCACTCTCCAGGAGGCAGTGGAGAACATCAGTGCCGTTGGTGTGGATGGCACCCTTGATACCTTTCATGGCATCAGAGAACATGTTCATGAGACCTTCCTTGTATGACTCGATACTCTTCGAATCCACCGCCGCATTCCGCAGATCCTGAAGCAAAAATGATGTCGCAAGCTCGAGGGGTGTCTTGTTCTTGTAGTAAACCAGCGCAGCCTTTCGAATGAGGAATGACATGGACTCTGCGGCGAATCGAGCAACGAATGACTTTTGTCGTTCCTTTCCAAGATAAGGTGTCATGATCCCAAGTACCTGTCTCAAATCCGGGACAAGAAGGCGAGAAAGGAATTTGAAGGTCCATGCCAAACAACCGAAGCTCCATTCGACCACCTCGACATCAGGATGAGTCGCCGCAACTGACGCCACGAGAGTCACAGCTGTCGCAAAGTGCTTCTCGAACCTCACACCCAAATCCCTCGCAAACTGAGCAAGAAGACTCAGAAGTGGCTCCAATGACAGTTGGTCCCTCTTCTCAATAAACTCCACCAACAAATTCATTATTTTCTCCTCGTGGTATAGAATCTGAGCCAAGCTCTCGCATAGCGGGCTGATTTTGCGTGAAAACTGGGAGAAATTGTCCGACAAATTCAACTCGGCCCAGTGATCAAACGCGGATCTGAAATAAGACGAGGTCGCATCTCCATCTTCGCCAAAGCTCGGTCGACGTACGCGATGAATCGGATCGATCTTTAATTTGGCGACACGCTGCGAAAATCCCTCGAATCGATAGTTTTTGGTGGTTTCTGTACCTCCTTTCACACGCTTCACGGACTTATTCCGCGAAGCAGACGACGCTGCGACCATCTTGAAACCTGATGGCTGAAAATACAAGCAGCGCCGTTAGAATGTTTGGTCGATTCTGTTCTTGAAGCTTTTACTCTTTCCGATAAAAGAAAAAAAAATCATCGGCGCATTTTTGTTCCGGTGCGGAGATTAGCGTCGGCCTTTGCAGCAGGCGCTAACCTCATACGGACGTCACGTGGAATTAAGGTTGGCCCAAGCTCCTCGGGTCCGTTTTTTGGCCGAAAATGGCGATGTCTTCATTTCTCCATAGTATTGCCAACGCCTGTCTGTAAAAATGGCCTCTAAAATGTGAGTCCGTGTGATCCTGATATCATAAAAAGCTTCTAACAATCGTCTAGAGTCGTGGTTGGTAACGTGAACTGCGAGCTGCGAGAAGTATTCACCAAGCTCGCCAAACTGCATGTCAAGCAGAACTTCGCGTTTGCCATTGTCGCTGGAGACCTTTTTGGCGACTGCTCGACTGAGCGCGAGCTAGATGAGGTATCTGGCTTGCTACAAGGGACTATCCCCGTCCCTCTCCCGACCTATTTCGGGCTGGGTAATCGGCCACTTCCCACTCGGGTAATTGAGAAGATCGAGGCCAATGATGAAGTCTGTCCCAATCTGTATTTCCTCGGTAGACGGGGAACTCTCAAAACATCAGAGGGCATCCGAATTGTCGCATTAGGTGGCAAGCTCGAAACAGACACCAAGTCGACCAACAAGTTTCATCCGGGATATGCGGAATCGGATGCCAGGGCTCTCTACGGCGCACACAATGCCGACATCCTCCTCACCCATCAATGGCCCAAGGGCATCAAAACCGGCTCTAAAGTGGCTCTTCCCGAAGGGGTCACGCAGCCGGAAGAGGTGCAATGCGTGGCAGACCTCTGCGCAACACTGAAACCTCGCTATCACATCTCATCCTCCAACGACTTCTTCTACGAGCGAGAACCCTTCTTCCACATGCCAACCCAGGAAAACCCGGACGAGAAACCCCTCACCCGCTTCCTCAGCTTATCCTCCTACAGCAAAACATCCAAACAGAAATGGATGTACGCCTTCACCCTAGACCCCAAAGCCCCCATCCCTCTCACCGTCCCCGTCGGCGCAACCGCCTCCCCTCTCCCCGCCGTCCAAACCAAGCGCAAAAACCTCCCCAGCCAAAAAGAATCCTTCAGCCGTTTCGCCCACGACGACCAAGACCATCGCCCGCGCAAACGTGCCCGCGCTCCCCCTCCTGGCCCCGATCAGTGCTTCTTCTGCCTATCCAACCCCAACATCGCTACCCACCTCATCACCTCCATCGGCAACGAATGCTACCTCACTACCGCAAAGGGGCCCCTCCCAACTTCAAAAACTTTCCCCTCCCTAGGCTTCCCCGGCCACATCCTCATCATCCCCTTCACCCACACCCCTACCTTCAACCTTATCTCAGACCCGGAATCCCGCCAATCAACCTACGCCGAAATGCAACGCTACCGCAAATCCCTCCACGCCATGCTCCAGTCCCGAGCTTCTTCCTCCCTAGGCGCCGTCACCTGGGAAGTCAGCCGCGGAAACGGAATCCACACCCACTGGCAATTCCTCCCCGTCCCCGCCGACCTCGTCAAAAAGGGCCTCGTTGAAGCCGCCTTCAAAGTCGAAGCCGAAAACCTCAAATACCCCAAATTCGAAAAACCTTCCTCCTCCGCTGCCGCAGACCCCACCACCGAACCCGGTGACTTTTTCCGTCTCTCCATCTGGGCCCCGGCATCCGACTCTACCTCTACCTCTGAACCTGACTCTTCCAACGAGGGCTCAGAAAAAACCATCCTGCTCCCGCTTAGCCCTGACTTCCGCTTCGACCTTCAATTCGGTCGTCGAGTCATGGCTAAACTGATGGGTCTTGAGAAACGCATCAACTGGAGAGATGATGTGCAGTCCCAGGAAGAGGAAGAAGCAGATGCTACTGCTTTCAAGGACGGGTTTAAGGAGTTTGATTTTTCGTTGGAGGAATAGATTGGTCTAGATTTTATCTTGGTTACTTTTTTTTCTTGTTCTTATTGTTACCGTTACTGGTTGGGTAGGGTAGGATTGTAATGTTATTGATGCATTGTAATATAGTTCTAGATAGGTTGGGTTTGGATTACCGAAACGAAAAGTTTATCAATTCAATGAATTCTATTTGAATGAATGAGACACCGCGTTGATTCATATCAAGAATGTAAGATTGAAATAAATTCAAAAGTGGTATATTTACAAAAAGAAAATGCCATCACATGTGGCTTCATCAGAATAATCAACAAAGAAGGAAAAAGAACATAAAAGGCATCATCTAAATCGACACACTGGCTTTTTGCGATGCCCTGCTGATTTCATGAAAAGTATGCAGTAGACTGGATGGATACCAAGTATCGGTCAAGCCGATGTTGTTTTTCAAAGTGAATACACGGTGGAGGTAGTCCACATAGATATCCAGATACCTTCCAACGATAAACGGAATCGTCACATCGAAGAGGTTTAGAAGGTCCTGATCAACAAGAAATGAAACCCAAGACACGATAGCGCCAGATATTGAATGAAGAAAAAGATATAAGAGAATGGATCATGGTTCTTTGGAGAACGTCTCGTTAACATTGTTTAAAAGTTTGTTGCGGGCTTTCGTCCGCTTTGAAGGAGACTCGGGGGCCTGCCCGCCGGCTCATTCACGTGCATGTCGAGAGAACTGGGAGTGGCAGTGAACGGTGGAGGGGGAGATGAAGGGGGGAGACTAGGAGAAACGCCCCGGTAGATCGGTGATTGGGCATATCCCGCTGGAGATGGCTGGCGGAAAGGAGCATTTGGGCCGGGCGACGCTTGACGGAACGGAACACCTGGACCAGGAGATGGCTGACGGAAGGGAAAATTGGGCCCCGGGGATGGTTGACGGAGAGGCATGTTCGGTCCTGGGGAGGGTTGACGGAATGGCATACCAGAGCCTGGTGATGGCTGGCAGTATGGGACCGGGCGGGACATATCCGCTGCTGGTGAAGCAGATGGCATGGGGTCATACGGCGAGTAAGCAGCCGGGGCGGGAGACATAGCAGGAGACATGGCATGGAAAGGAGGCGGCTGATTGTAGTCTGCGTAGGGCTGGTTGTCATACGGAGAGTGACCAGGAGATGCGGGAGCAGGAGTGTGAGCACCGTAAGTGCTTGGTGCATCATAACGGGATTCGGGGTAATAGCTGGATGATGTACCCGTCCTGACCGGTGGAACTCCCATGAAGGCGGGCGTGTTTGACCTAGCTCCAGAGTGCATCCGATGAGGTTCCTGCGAAGGATTCAAAGGTTCCATCTCCATCTCATCAACATGGGCGTTCTTATCCTCGACCCTTCTCGTCACAGCATCGTCCCAACTTGGCATCGCGGGCAACGCATCATCATTCACCTTCGAGGCGGCCGGGCTTGAAGGAGCGTCGAACCGCGCGGTACTGGGAGAGTCATAACGAGAGACTTGTGCTCCACGATACACAGGCGGAGCCGGAGACGGTTGATAGATATTGTTTGAAGGCGCCGGAGGTTGGTTGTAAGGTTGATTGTTGTAAGGCGATTGTTCATCCAGATATTTGGACTTATTCCCCCTCCTCCGGCCAGACGGACAGCAACAAGACAAGCACCTGCAGCAGCCCGTGCAGCATTGAATACCACAGCAGAGACAATTAATGACACAGGCCAAAATCGCAATGACGATAACGGCGCCGACGATGATAGCAACGATAACAGGCCATCTAAACAGCTGACGTTAGCACGTACAAACAACGACATAAACAACAGGGCAATGCGACATACTTGCAATAAGACTTTGCCATACAGCTATCCCAGCTCGAAAATGTCTGAGGAGCCGACTTCAGATCGCTAATAGCGTCTCGCGCCCATAACGGGTTGGGCGTCTTATCGAGTACCGGACTCATGGTGGATATCGCAACGTCCCAAACAATATAGACTCGTTATATCCACAGTAAAGAAAGCCGATTACTTCAACACTTGCGACGCGTGCATATACAGGCAGGAAATTGCGATTACTAACAAAAAACCCGATCAGGATGGAAAGTAAGGGTTGCTTCTCCTCGACTCGAGTTTCGTATCTGGATTGGTTTATACACAAGCAACCGACATCGAGTCAAAACGAAGCTGCCTGATTGTACTCAAAATCGAGCACTTGATGATCCAATGCAAATGATGTAAAGAGATCGCATGGAATAACGACGAGGTCGGTCTTGCGTAAGCGTTGGAAAACGATGCGACAGTGGTGTGGAGCAATCGCGGCCAATCGATCCTAGCACAGCTTAAAGAGCGATGACTTGGAAGGGCAAAAGAAGGATTGTTTGACAAAAATAGAAAAGAAAAAGAGAGACAAAAGTGCCAAACTGGAGATAATCGACAATGGCGGTGCAAGACGGAGGCTGGTGCGAACGAGAGACGGGCTGCAAGGCGGCAACCACAGTGGGATGATTGACAACTCCTGGAACGAGAGACAGGGGATTCAATATCAGAACGATGGAAGTTTGGAAAGGAAAGTCTGAAGGGAAAGAAAGAGAAAGAAAAAAAAAAGACGCGATTACGAGAAAAGGAGTTTCCACAGATCAGCGCCGAAGAAAGAAAGAAGATTAAACGAAATTCGTCGACGAACAGCGCGGAGGAGCAGAAAACGACTTGAAACCGTCGGCAAATGGAGGCTGCAACTCGGGCCTCCACCATGTCGATCTCATTTCTCGTGCCGTTCTTCGACATCGTAGGAGTAGAAGTATTTGTTTATCGTCTATTTCTACCTACTATCATTGTCAGGTCAGTTTATATTATATTCAGTTGTTAAGAATTGCTGTTCTGTATCTGAGAATGTCTATATCAGAACACAGACCAATGGTTCTTCTTTTATTAGAAACTAATCTAGAAGAAATTAAGGATAAAGGATGAATGACAAAAACCGATGGAAATACTCCGTGGCCATTGTACATCTGACGTCTCATAAGATAAGCTTATTCAACGCTATCAAAAGTACTGTACATGAAGTAGATCAACAATGGGTATGTTCCAATATCAATGGATTACTCCGTACATGTTGATGAATCCCTAATTTGAAACACCATCGACACCGTCATTATGATACTAAGTAAAGATAAAACAGAGAAGTTCATGGTCCCATGACAGATTCTTTGCTGTTCATTCCCTCGGTCCCATCAAATTATTCATGCAAAAGCCAGAAGCCAAAAGTCCAAACGCCCAGATAAGAGAAAATAGTTGCAGCTCCGATATCCGTAATATATTCAATTCATTTAATCCTTTGCTGGGGGTGGGCCCGGAGGTGCTTGGTATACGCGATCGTGCGGGTAGGCATTGGGAGGCTGCTGCAACTCAATCCCGGATTGTTGCGGTTGTCCACCAAAGTAGCCATACGTTTGCGGGTTGGGAGGCGAGTATTGGGGTGGAGGAGGCTGTTGAGAGTACGGATCTCCGTAATAAGGCTGCTGATAAGGTTGTTGTTGGTGGTAAGGCTGTGATTGCGAGTAGCTAGGAGGCGGCCCAGCCAACCAGGCGGTTCCAGGATGAGGACGAAGACCGTGGCTCCGACGACGGCGAGCGTTGAAACAACTGGTAATTGTGAGCTATTGAAGGGATAAGAGGTGAAAGGAAAAGAGGACATACGCAAACATAAAAAAGATGATAAAAGCGATGCCAACGATCACGGCAAATGCGACCCAACGGCCCCAGCTATCCCAGCGACTGTAACCATCTCTGCAATTTTCACCATAACCACTGCCAGAATATTATTAGCAAGGGTCTGGGGTATGAATGCAGCCATGCAAGCTGGAAGGGAGACAGTACTCACCACCACCGAGGATAAAGGACACCCATGGCGACGTGACGATCTTAGGCTGAAATATGACGTCGATTCAAGACTAGTAGCAGTAATAGCAGCAAGCTGCAGAACACGAGACTGATGATTCTGTGGAGAGAAAGATAGAGAAGAGAGAGAGAGATAGATAAAAGACAAGGCTGGAGGGAAAGAAGATCAAATAAAGATCCTAAAGTCGGGAATCGATGAAAGAGAGAAAAAAAACGCAAGGAGAACTTCTCCAGAGACGAAGAAGAAGGGAAAACGGGTTGGATTCAGTTGTGGCTGGTTGGCTTGGCGGCCTCGGCGAATCCCGTTTTGGGAATGTAGTAGGCAGAAGGATTTCACAATTATTATCAGGGATTCATCTGATGGATAAATATCTTCAAGTTGGATTCAAGTAGGTAATTATAGTCCGTTCATCAGGTAGCTAGTGTTGGTTTACCAAGACAATCCGTTGCTTCCGACAGGGCTGATGGAGAGGCTCTCCACTGTCTCCAGACTGTAGAGGCGTCATCACCAGAGCCACCCGGATATCGGCTCGATGATGCTCAATTCTGCAGCAGATGGAATACAACTTACAATTCAGATAAATATCTTCTGTCTGTATGTCTTTGTTGTACAACATGTGAATATATATTGATCCTACTGGCTCAGACCAGACGTGGAAATAACACCCGCAACCTTAAACCACCCTGATTACGCAGTGTCTGGCGACCGCAACTAAATATATTCCCGTCCAAGTCACCTACATAGTAGTATACGACATACTACATATACCAGATCTCCTCAACGCGTCACCAGCAGATCCAGATCATCACCGTAGATATCCCACTGCCCAAGGTCTCACTGGCGATATGCTCCCAGTGTTGGCGGGGTAATTTGCTTAGTTTCCCTCTTGCTGGCCGATGGATGGATGGAGGACGCAGGGCTTTGGCTCTAGTTCCCGCCTTCGCGTCTGCAATGCCAACGCATCACTTGGTCTGTGTGTGGCCTCACTTTGGTCGATTATAATAAAGGAGGGGAAGTGCAGAGTGTAGATGTCTTTTCTCTTTCTCTCTTCATCTCTCTTGAACTGGGTTGTTGGTTGTTCTTGGGCTTGCACACCCTCTTATGACTCACTGACAACCGATCATCGCTATGCATGTCTTCGTACACTCAGTACACTCAGAGTACTTGAAGATAAAACAGTTTATTCCAGCTGTTACAGTCTGAACAGAATGCGCCATTTAAACATACACGACTATCACACCAGTCAAATTGATCAAAACAAAAACGCTCAAGTTACATGTGTCTGGAATCACATCGTCAACATCATTAAGTCTGAGCCCGAGCCGAAATGTTGGTCATCTACAAAATATAATCTCGATCGTTGAAAATGAAATGCTGCATCAGAACATGTCGCGTGGGCAGGTTTCCAGTCGGTTTCCTCTTCGCTTGTCGTTCATCCCTCATCGGCTGGCCCGCGCAATTAACCAGTGCAGAACCGCATCCAAGTTGGTCTCCTCTTTGGCGCTGATTCCATAGCAGCTCACCTCCCGGCGGGTGATTGACTTGAGATCCATCGCATCAATCAGTTCGTCCACTGACAGCTTATTCGGAAGATCGGATTTATTCCCAAGCACCAGGAGTGGGATCCCGTCCAGGCTGGGTTTGGTTACCAATTCGTGCAACTCCTCCGTTGCAACGGGCAGAGCGCCCTTATCGGCCGCATCTACTATATAACTAATCATCACAATTAGCTTGATTCGAGTTCACTGGTCTTGAGTAATGAAAGCAGGTTCTTACACGATCGCGTTGACCCCCCGGCAATATCGCTCCCACATCGGTCGAAATCGTGGCTGGCCTCCTAGATCCCAGCTGAACGGATATTAGATTCAACGGCGTCCCACGGCAAAAGGGCGGACACTGAACGGCAGGGGAAACTCACCACTTCAGGGTTACATGGCCTTTCTGCACTCGCTTGGTATTGAACCCGATGGTGGGGATGGAACTGCAGAAAGTGTCTTAGCAAGGCCCCCGGTGGCTAGGCTAGCTCCTACGTGCTGAAAGACTTACTCTACTGTGAACTCACCCCCCTGCACAATCGACACATCACATCAGCGATTTTGGGCTCTTCTCACCGACGGAACGGACCAATGCCCTGCGTCGGATCAGGTGGACAAAGACAAACATACCGCAAGAACACGGAGCAGCGAGGACTTGCCTGCATTTTGAAGACCGATCATGGTGACATCCATCTCCGTTGCCCTACATGTTGCGAGTGCTCGTGCTTAGCGACTCGTTCTGCGGGGACGGGCCGGGAAGGCTATTTGCGGGAACGACGACGACAAATGATTACTCGATGGGAACAACGGCCCACTTACCAGAACATCCTCAAGAGCCAGTCATAGATCGTTCGAAAGATTCCAGCCATGTTGACGTTGTGCAATGGGGCGAAAATAGAAAAGAGGTCGAGTTGGACAATGCTTGGAATCGGCCTTGTGGGATGGAGGGTTGTGGGCGAATATATCGAAACTCAACGATAAGAGGAGTTTTGTAAAGGCAAGTGGGGTGGTGGTGGGCTGTTGAAGGGGGGAGATGACCACTTCTCCTCCCAATAATAATCAGGGTAATAATATGGGCAAAAAGTAATGTGCGTAGTCAAGGCAGGCAGAAGAGATGAGAAATAGGGTCGGGGATAGGACTGCGTTTGGGAATCAGGACGACCGGGAGAAAGAGAAGGACAGGAAAGAGAAGCAGGATGCTGAAACCAGACTCGTGCAGCACGAAAGAATAACCAGGAAAAAAAGCTCCGCGCTATTCAGACCCGTTCGTTTCTTGCTTTCCTTTCTTTTTCCGCTGCTAGAAAGAGAAGACCGAGCGGCGATATTTTCCTTCTTCTGGAGCTTCTTCCTTTGCGGTGAAACTGCGCTGCTTGGGGATCTTACTATGGGCACGCATGACCGTTCTTTTGCGCCGCTTGGGAGGGGAGCGCTTAGGCTCTTCCGGGGCTGGCGCCGTCTGTCAGTTCAATAGTCGCAAATGATCAGCCCGTAGTCATGGTTTTGCTCGGGATTTATGATGACATCGAGGATGACTGGCATCAATTAATAATGGTATCCGCTATCTGATAATTCTTCCTTGCCTGGCCCTGGTTTGTTTCTGGGGGAAAATCGACTGAGGAACGATCAACAATGAGATCAGACGGTCGATGTGCTTGCCTTGTTGCCTTGTGGCCTGGGCATCCCGTGATGTCGGTCCCGTGATGCACGTGATGTCACTGCTTTCGTTCCGCCTTCCTGCCTTACTGCCTTACTGCCTCAGGCCACAATCTAATCTATCAGCACGTGATGATAACTGTCCGCCGGTTCCACCTCGAAAAATTTCCCCGTCGGCGACGAGAGCTTCGTTTTTTGCCCTCCAGACCGCGACCCTTAATCCTCAATTAATCCATCTGTTCTCTTAATTCTCCTACTGCCCTTCTCCTTGATCTACTCCGAGAGAGAGGAATGGGCTTGTGATTGCACTCATTGCACCGGTTTCGTAGCTGGTGCATCCGAGTGTAGAAAGCCTTAGGACTTTTCACTTTTTTTTTCTCCGTCCATCTTGAATTCTCGCCAGGCGAGAAAAAATACCACCATGGCTCCCGCGCCGACAGACACCAATTGGACTGTCGAGAATGACGTCCTTCGACGGGAGCGTCTGTTCAGAAATCCCCCCTCGGACCATACCGCATACCCCTCCTTGGCCGAAGCGATCCGGCCTCACATCGACTCTTTCAATGCGCTGTTCGACGGTAGCAAGATCCTGGACGCAGGATTGAAGGATATTGGTATCAAGACCTTCCTTGACGGTGATGCAGAGACTCCGGAACAGAAGAAGGCACGGCAAGCGGAGGGCCGCAAAGCACCCAAGAGGAACAGGCTCAATGTTCGCATTAAAGAAGTCTTCCTTGAAAAGCCCGTTCTGCCCCCGACCAACAAGTTCACCACTCGCAACCGTAACATCTACCCATCGGAGTGCCGTGAGAGGCATGCCTCATACAGAGGAAAGCTGCGCGCTAGGATTGAGTATCAGGTCAACAATGGAGACTGGGCGGAGTCAGTCAGAGAATTGGGTCAGGTTCCAATCATGTTGAGGGTGAGCATTGGTGATTACTGCGATTATCAGAATGAACGACTAATATGAACAACCCATCAGACCAACAGATGTCACTTGGAAAAGGACACTCCCCAGCAGCTCGTCCAGCACAAGGAAGAATCGGAGGAATTGGGTGGTTATTTCATCGTCAACGGTAACGAAAAGCTGATTCGAATGCTTATCGTCGGAAGGAGAAACTTCCCCATGGCTATTGTCCGTGGTTCATTCACCAAGCGTGGAAACACCTACACCAAGTTCGGTATCCAGATTCGATCCCTTCGACCCGATCAGACATCCCAGACCAACGTCCTGCATTATCTCAGTGATGGAAATGTGACCTTCCGTTTCTCATGGCGTAAAAACGAGTATCTCGTCCCGGTGATGATGATTCTCAAGGCCCTGGTAGAGACAAACGACCGTGAAGTTTTCGAAGGTCTGGTGGGAGGCGCTTCCTCTAAGGGCGTTGACAACATTTTCGTGACCGACCGTGTTGAACTTTTGTTGCGAGTGTACAAGGCGTACAACCTGCACACTCGCTCATCTTGCCGGGCTTACCTGGGAGAGAAGTTCAAGCCCGTTCTCGGAGTTCCATTGGACATGCCCAACGAGGAGGCCGGTACCGAATTCCTCCGCAAGGTTGTTCTGCCTCATCTTGGAAACCAGAATGTCACAGAGACTCAGGATTATGACAAGTTCAAGATGATCCTGTTTATGATCCGAAAGCTTTATGCTCTTGTCGCTGGCGACTGTGCCCCCGATAACCCCGATGCCGTTTCTAACCAAGAAATTCTGCTTGGTGGCTTCCTTTACGGGATGATTTTGAAAGAAAGACTAGAGGAGTGGGTGAGGTCTTTTGCCCCCATCCTCAGGGACTGGAGCAACCGTAACAACGGGGCAAAGTTCACTGATCCCGAATTCGAGAGGGATTTCCTGGGCAAGGTCGTGAAACGGTCCAATGAGAACATTGGAGGTGCCCTGGAGTATTTCTTGTCGACAGGAAACCTGGTCAGTCCTACAGGTCTCGATCAACAGCAAACGTCTGGTTACACCGTCATGGCCGAAAAGATCAACTTCTATCGATTCATCAGTCATTTCCGCATGATTCACAGAGGTAGTTTCTTCGCCCAGTTGAAGACCACCACAGTCCGTAAATTGCTACCCGAGAGTTGGGGTTTCTTCTGCCCTGTTCACACGCCTGATGGTTCGCCATGTGGTTTGCTCAACCATCTTGCGCACAAGTGTTTGATTGCTACCAGCGACTTGGATGTCTCTCATCTCCCTAGAATTTTGGTTCAGCTTGGTGTACGATCCGAGTCATCCGTGGCTCTGGAAGAGAGTGTGACCGTCCAGCTTGACGGAAGAATTATCGGTTACTGCTCACCCAAGCAAGCCCGTATGATCGCCGACACCTTGAGACATTGGAAGGTGAATGGCACCAACAATATCCCGCGGGAATTGGAAATTGGATACGTCCCCAACTCCGGTGGTGGTCAATACCCCGGTATCTACATGTTCTCCCAAGCCGCCAGAATGTACAGACCCGTCAAGTACCTGCCTACCGACAAGCTCGACTACGTCGGCCCCTTTGAACAGCCATTTATGGAGATTGCCTGTTTATCACAGGATTTGGTCGCTGGTGTCTCCACCCATATCGAGTTCACACCAACCAACATTCTCTCCATTGTTGCCAACATGACGCCTTTCTCCGACTACAACCAGTCTCCTCGTAACATGTACCAGTGCCAGATGAGCAAGCAAACAATGGGTACCCCTGGAACATCAATCGACTACCGAACAGACAACAAGCTCTACCGCTTGCAAACTGGTCAGACTCCAATCGTGCGGCCACCACTCTACAACGCATATGGATTGGACAACTTCCCCAACGGCACTAACGCTATTGTGGCCATTATTTCTTACACGGGTTATGACATGGACGACGCTATGATTATCAACAAGTCTTCGCACGAGCGTGGATTCGGTCACGGTACAATCTACAAGACCAAGATCCACTCACTCGACGACAAAGACTCTCGGAGAGGCAAGTCGAGACGTGAAATCAGCAAGCTCTTCGGTTTCGCCCCAGGTGGTGAGATCAAGGCCGAATGGCGTGCTATGCTTGATGAAGACGGTCTTCCGCACATTGGCGCCAGAGTCCAGGAGGGCAGTCTCGTTGCCGCATGGCACACCGTGCGCTACGACGCAGCTTCCGATTCCTATGTGAACGTTGATGGTGTCACCCACTTTGTCAAGTACAAGGACGCTGAAGAGGGTTACATCGACAGCATCCGTGTCATGGGTGCTGAATCAGGCATTGAACCCTGCCAGGCACTCAGTGTGAAGTACCGCGTTCCCAGAAAGCCCGTCATTGGTGACAAGTTCTCTTCTCGTCACGGACAGAAGGGTGTTTGCTCACAGCTCTGGCCGGCAGTCGACATGCCCTTCTCCGAGAGTGGCATGCAGCCCGATCTTATCATTAACCCTCACGCTTTCCCTTCGCGTAAGTTGAACCCTTCTTATAATGAGGAATTGAAATGGTGGCTAACTCAATATAGGTATGACAATCGCCCAGATGATCGAATCTATGGCCGGTAAGGCTGGCGCCCTGCACGGACATCCTCAAGACTCGACTCCATTCCAGTTCTCCGAGGAGAACCCTGCAACAGACTACTTCGGCCACCAGCTGCGCAAGGCCGGATACAACTACTACGGTAACGAGCCGCTGTACAGTGGTATCACCGGAAAGGAATTCGCGGCCGACATCTTCATGGGTGTCGTCCACTACCAGCGTCTGCGTCACATGGTTAACGACAAGTTCCAAGTCCGTACCACTGGTCCCGTCAACTCTCTGACTGGCCAGCCCATCAAGGGTCGTGCCAAGGGTGGTGGTATCCGTGTCGGAGAGATGGAGCGTGACTCCCTCATTGCCCATGGTGCCGCCTTCATCCTCCAAGATCGTCTCATGAACTGCTCCGACGCCCAACGCTCCTGGATCTGCCGTGACTGCGGTTCCTTCCTGTCCGCGCAGGTCGCAGTCTCGTCCGCCGGCTCCAGCAAGGCCCGTATGGCTGCCAACGCCAGTGCCTCCGCAGCCACCTCCAACCAGCTCACCCAGTCCAGCGGAGCACCAGGCATTGTCCGCTGCAGACGCTGCGCCCGGGAAGCCGTCTTTGACGACTCTCGTGCCGAGGTTTGGGAAGACGGTGATGGACGCCGGTATGTCGGTGGTGACAATGTCACCATTGTCGCCGTCCCTGGTGTTCTTCGCTTCTTGGACGTTGAATTGGCAGCCATGGGTATTAGGATGAAGTTCTGGGTTGAAAACTAAGCACCCGCTGAAAAAAGAATTAGATGATATCAAAGAGTTTCTAGAAGTCAATGTTGTCTGGACAAAAAAAAGCATGTCTATAGGGGAGCATCTGTTTGTTGATTTATGGGATGTATGTATTTATTTCTTGGGATATGAGTTTATTTGTAGCATCCATCATATTATTAGTACTATTTTTCTTCAGTTTTCCTGTCCAAAGTTAAATGTCTTTATACAAAAAAACTCAATCGCTCACCACTGGGGTATACTTATACTAAATGCTTTACGAGGAATATATACAAATCGAACTTTTGTAAATGAAACCATCTTTTCATGTGTACACCTTCCCAGAAACCGGCGACTCAACATCGAGAGAAGCAAAGCTGCAATGAGCATACATAATTCGGTTTCCGGACGCATAATCATAATCATTATCATTATCATTATCATCAACTGGATGAGCTGTCTCCCCCCACATAACAGCCTTGACAGCCGCATCTCTATCGTCACTCGGAGGATGACAAGCGGCACTGATAGCAGCGCTGCAACTCCCAGCATTCGGCATGCGCGATTTAAACCGCCTAAGGCCCAGACCCAGCAAAACCGTTAACATAAGAGCGCCGAGGATAATGGCGAAAATCGTCGCCATGGGCGACCATGCTGCGGTGGTCATTATCGTACTGGACTCGTTGTAAGTGACAAGCGGGTTGACGGTGATAACGCCGAAGAAAAGCGACTGCGAGACGAGCCAGTGCAGGATCGCGGAGATGATCATCAGCGGTATGCTATACCGGTATGGGAGGGTGAGGAAGTAAGTTGAGCGCTGGGAATCCGTGGGCCACGAGACGCGGAGTGCTTTGCGCTCTGTGGCGAAGCTGGTGTATTCGACTACGAGGAGCATGGAGGTGAGGATGTAGTTGAAGAGGAAGTAGGCGACGGAGACGATTAACTGGGGTGTGTTGGCGAGAACGATGATGCCGAAGGATTCTTTGTCTGTGCTTGCGAAGAGACTGTATTGGTTGAGAGAACCGAATCCCAGGTTCCAGAGGGATTGGAAGTCGATATCGTGGTTTCTGCGTACATGCATGATGCCGCCTGCCAGAAGATAGATTGCTGCAGTGATTATGGATAGGCATCTGTTGTGATATATCAGTTTAGTGCGATTCTTTGGATCGTTTGTTGCTCTCCTCTGCGATACTCACAATGCAACCAAAGCCCCCCAATGGCCTTTACTAGCAGCCTGGAACCATCTCTTTCGACCAGGGAGAATATCCGGGACAACATGAGGCTCCCAATTCGGAGCGAGTGGCTGATGAGAAAACCAAGGGAGAAACCAATACCAATGTCCTCCCCAAGGCTGTGTGTCTTTTGTCAGTGTTTCCTTGGACATCAAACATCGCCCAACAGTGTACGGATCCGGCCGTTTTAGAAAAGAAGAAATGGCATCACCAGTTGTCAGAAGAATTTCTCCACGGTCCTGACGAGTTGCCAGAAACATGCAGGCCACTTTGATTGCGTTACAGACGATAACAACAAAGCATATAGCAGGACTGAAAAACAACTGACAATGCTCCTCGCCTTCCATGACAAGGCAAGCTTGCAAAGGAAAGTGGCCTTCCCATCCAACTGGATTATGGGGCCACTCAGCCATGCATGTTTGGGGTGGGTTTTCATCAAACGAGACCTCGGTAGCCCATGAGCTGTTGGCCCAATTGCTCTTGTTTCCCAGGAATTGGTGTATCTGATTCGCATCATATACGTTTCCCTCAATATATCGGAAGAGGGTGTTGGTATCTTCTTGGAGCTGTTCAACCTCGGCTGTGAAATTGTTGTTCGGCTCCTCTAGTTCTTTGTTGCTGATGAACTTGTACACAGGATTGAGACTGGACTGGTTGAATTCCACCGTGCTTCCTAACGCTGGAACTTTCATATTCCAGGCCGGCACTGACCAATTGTAGGCAATGTTTCCCTCATACCCCGGCTCAAGAGGAGCCAGATCAGAGAAAAATTCTGGATAGTTGACACCACCGGCGAAGATTGAATCTGTTAGCTGGGTGTTGTTATAGTCGACCAGTAGTACCACTGTTCCGCGGCCAGGCACCAGTTGATTCTTATTGAGCGAATCGAGACATTCTTCAGCCGTCATATTCTGATACGAGCCTTGATTGAGTTGCGTCATGAAGCTGGACAGACTCTGGTTGGTGTTTTGCTGCCAGCAGGCGCCGTAATTGGCGCTGATATCGGCTGTTTTCCAATCCAGCTCCGGTGAGGCTATTACGCGTTGGTACGCATTGATGTCTATGGATGAAAAGACAGTCGAGTTATATCTAGATGAGGCGGATGTGAGACGAGGAACTAACTCCCAGCATGGCGGATGTTTTATACTAACAACAAATGGATAGGCAGAGTCGTAAACAACAGCGTCGCCCACAGAACCTTACGTCTCCAACTGACGATGACCAAGTTCCTGAGACTGCTCAATCCAACATCGAGCCATTGGCGTTGAGAGTGCGCATGGTCAATGTCCTCACGGTCTGGAGCAACCAAGCCCTGCATGCAATAATTACCAGCAGCCAGCATCGCAGTACTGAGAACGTTGATAGCCAAATGCATCCCAGTCGCTGTATTTTGAGTCTTCGAACAACTGCCCTTGAACAACGGTGCCATAACAGCAAAACGCTGATTGGAATGGGCAAAGGCGACCGCGCACGCGACGATGGTGAGGGCCACATTTAGGGCCAAAATGGAGGCAGTCACGTAAATGCACAGTTGCATGCCCTGCATCCAGTTTTTGGGGTTGAGGACGAGCGATTTCGTCTTCTTTTCGTCGTCATTGTGCAATTTCTCCTGGCTTTCTTGACGGTCTTGGGACTCTTTCAGCTCAATGGTGTCTAATTCATCTTGGGGTTGAAGATGTCTGCTGTGGTGGCTTGTGTGGGGTAGGATTGCATCCTCCTCGCTGTCGATCAAGCCTCTGCGGCTGTCATCTGTGGCGTAGCTGGTTGTTTTTCGAAGAGAAGAATGGCATATGGATATCTTATCGTTTAGTTATCAATTTAGCACGAGGCGTGGTGGTTGTGATGTTCTGCAGCAGATGGGCGCGAAGCGAACATGAGGCTCTAATGCACCAAATCGATTTAGGAATAGCTCAGATTTATCGAAATATCATTGATTCATTGCATTTTCCATTCATCTAATTAAATGGTCATATGTCTACTTGACTAGAACCTGTATCCTACGAAGGCTAGAGGAAGAGGATCTTGCATGCCTGAAAATGTAGAATTAAAAACGCATCATCATATCCACCATAAGATTTCCATCCCCTTACAACTCCGACGTAACGTTCGAGAACTCGCCCTTCTCCAGCTTCGTCTTCCAGAAAATGGGGTTCATGTCGTTGAAGCCGTGGTGGACCCATCCCTCTTCCTTGACGTGGTACAAGTTGATGAAACCACCAGAGTAGGCATCTCTGTGCATGGCGGCGAGAATGCTTCGGCGACCAAGCTCAAGGGCCTCCTCTTCGGTCAGCTCGTATTTGTATTCGGCATCGAGCACACCATATGCGAAGGTTTGACCGGATCCAACACAAAACAAGTTACCGGGGAGTCGTGTGCCGTCCGAGTCGATATAGTACAAGGCGGGTCCTTCTTGGGGTGTCATCTGCGGAAACTAATGTCAGTACTAGTCGGATACCACCGTGGATTGAACATACGCCTGCCAACATCGTTCCCATGCTCAGACCCATGCCCTTGTAAGAGTATGTCAAGTTGGCGAGAATCTTCGAAGCAGCAGCAACCGTGATACGGCGCTTGTGTCGGATTTCTGGTGAAAATTAGCATTTGTATGTTATTAAGTAGATATCCTGGAACTTACCATGGAGTGTGCACTGCTGACTCAGATATCTCAACCAGTATTGACAATCCTACCACCCAATCAGTATACAGAAGTCAAAACATTATGGTATGGAATCCCCAATAATAAAGAGATCCAGATTGAACATACCGCAGCACCACCAGCCATAGTACCCAACAAACCAGGAACCGGGACCGGGTTCTCTGAAGGCTTATCCTCACCACGACTCAACCGCGAAACAGGAATAACCTTCTTCACCGTCTGACTGGCGATCCAGTTTCCAGCAGTCGCTCTCGAATCTGTTGCAACAATCTAAAATTGACATGCTCGTCAGCGGAGTCCCGTTGGGCATTAGGAGAGAAGGTGGCGGCGTACAATTCCGCCCTGGAATCGGAATGCGAGTGTCGTCGTTCCGTGGGCAAGCTTAATGGGGCAGTTGGGATTCGAGTGGTCATCGGTCATAGCACGCAGGAATGCCGAAGACTAGATGAACGATTCAAAACCGATGGTCAGCCGTCTTGTATTCTCTCACAGTTGATTTGGTGTTGTCCACGTCAGGGCTCCGTAGCATGGTCCTCCACGAAGCCGAACACCCACAACCGCCACATCCAGTGGATTTCAAACTCACGTTGTCGACAGGAGGGAGGTTGAACTTCAGAGAGATGGAAGGGTGGCTCTCTGTGAGATCGTGCTGCTCTTGCTCGGAATAGAACTCATTCTGGTGGGGGCGACGCGAGTACTGGGCGACTAATTTATCCATGATGCCGGATATCTGATGTCGAATTTGATGGGAGCGAGACGCAGCCGGACGATAATGTACAAGGACTATGCGTGCGAGGGAGAGTGGGATGTGGTGGAAGTGAAGCTGCTCTGGCGGAGAGCTCCAGCGCTGCTTGGGAGCTCCGACATCCGCGTCACTGCTTGGCGCCTAGGTCACGTGGCTACGGCATTATCACCAGTCGAAACGCATTCATGCTTCATATTCCTCAATCATATAAAGAATGGGCCATAACCATTGGTAATTACACGATTACATTCAGCTGGTTCCATCCCCGTGCGCCATGTCCGATATCCTCCTGTGTACCATTCTCCCAACACTGTCCAACGCCTGCCAACCCATATCCAGATGTCCATCGAAATAAGATTACTGCTAACTATACTAACAGACTGATTAAGATATTATTAAAATAGCATCTCAACTTAATAAGGGACTGCTACTGGCTGTCCGGCCGGCTGCTCCAACTGTTTCCCCTTGGGCTCTTCGTACCCAGCCTCTAAAGGTGCACCTTCTGCTGCTTCTTTGGTGGATCCATACGCAGTGTCAAACGATTCTGGCTCTGCAACAGGTGGGGTTGCCTCGGCTCTTCCAGCAGATGAAGCCAAAAGGGCAGCGGATGGCTCACCGGCCGAGCTTTGAATAGGCTCGACGGTTCTCTCCCACGAACGAAGATCACTCTCTGCGTCTTCGAGGACCTGCTTCGCCTCACCGGCATATTCGTACGCCTGTCGTGTGTCTCCAGGAACGACGGGGGTATCGTCGAGATAATTGAGCAGACGACGGGAGTGGCGAGCAAGGAGAATCTGCTTCTCTGCGCGTTCAACAACCGCCGCCGTGTGAATGTCAAAGGCCTCCTTGAGCTTCTGTCTGGTCTGTAGAAACTGTTTAGCATACTGCCGGCATTAAATCACTGGGTGCATTGAACATACCACATTGGTCAACTGAGCTTCAGCAACGAGGTTCTGTGCCTCCGCGCGAACCAACTCATGCTCCAAGGTTTCCAATTTAGGACTCGTCGGCTCCTTCCACTTCAAGCGCTGAATCTCATCGGCAATCTTGGCCCTCTGGTCCCGCGACGGCTGGACAGAACCCTCCGTATCGCGCACCTGCTTCAGAAGGCTCCGGTAATCCTCCAGACTCTGCGCAAAGATATCTTCCTGTTCGCCCATCTCCGCCATCAGCACGCCCAGCTTATCCGAGATGTCCGAGACGGCCTCGTCCTCGGTTGACTCGCCCCAGTCGGACAGCTGTGCGGCGATAGACACGCGCTCTCGGCCTGCGGTTTCGTGGGCGCCGATGGCTGCGTTCTCGTTCTTGACGAGACGAGCCATCTTTTTGCTGAGCTCGGGCTGCTGGAGGCCGCGGAAGGTGGCGATACTGAAACGGTGACGACCGGCAGCAGCCTGGTCTCTCTTTCTGATAGACAGTGTTCGATTCCTGGGTTGTCAGCGGGCTTGATAATACATCCAGTGATAATCACGTACATTGTTGCGACTGATATCGAACAGACACACTACAATCACAGAATGTAGATGAAAATCTCCCTTCTTCTTCTTGGTGGCGATCAGTTGGAGTCAAATTCGTGACAAGAAGGCAAAGACTCGTTCAAGACAAGAATGCGCCTTCCTTAACGAATTCGGATGTATGGATCAACTTCCGATACACTCAAGATTGATGATGACCAAAGATGAATCCGGAATATTAGATACTTTAAATGATATCGAACAGCACGGCTTATATTATGCTTTTTTTTTGCAAGGCGATAAATGAAATGAAGGGGTTGCTTGTTCGTGACGTCATGCGGGATGGGCGGAAGCTGAAGTCATCGCCGGTTGCAGTCATACTCTGACGATGGATTGAGCTGTCATAGAGTTTGATATAGATGGGCTCATAGATGGATAGATGGATAGAGATGGGATGGGGATAGATGAGAGTGTGTAGTGGGTATGATTTACACTGAGATTCTCATAATCGGATGTTTTTTCCGCATCTCCACTGCACATAAAGCCATGATCGACTCATACTACACATGAATCAGAGTATGGACCACTGGATCCAATCAGATGTTGCATTGTGAGTTGAGCCCTTACTAGCTACTACATACTAGAATAAATATGGCAGCATACAATGACAACGATATACACGACGGATGGAATTATAGAAAGAAGTACAAGGATGCTTATCTTTGCATACGGGATGTTATTGATATAAGCAAGACGTAGATAATTAAAGACAAAGATATTTTTGATGTACTACTTACTATCTTGAATGAAGTGTTACGGATCATTCGTCTTGAGAATGTCCATCTATATATATACTCGAATAACATTGTACCCCCTGCCAGATAAGGATGCACTCTCCATAATGCTCTTTGGTGCCGGACCCTATTCCTCCTGGAGGTCATATTCATTCAGATCGATATCTTTGAATTCATTAAGAGAGATGTTGAATGGAGGATACTCTCGATGCTTTACAGCATAATATGGGTATACCTAGAATAGAATAGAACAGACAAACTACACGACCAACACAATAAATCCAATCCAAATAATCCATCAATAAATATAAATATAAATAAAACAAATCACCCCCTCTCAATAAACCTCACCTCCCTCCGATTCCTCCTCCACTCCTCCTCCCCCGGATCCACATACTCGACGAACCTAACATCCTCCCTCGACGGCCTCCGCCAGAAACTCCTCTCAAACGGCATCAGCGATTCAGCCCTCGTGCGGATCCTCGTCCGTCGCGTGGTCGTATAAGATGGCTGAGGCGAGTATGAGTGGCGAGGTGAGAAAGATACTGGTGGTGGGGGCGAGAGTGAACGAGAGTGAGAGTGCGAGTCATGATGGGCATGATGGTGCGAGTGGTGGCTGTGATACGAGTGTCGCGGGGAGCGGATATCAATATCTGTGCTATTATCGCTGGAACAGCTGGATGCTGAAGATGCAGAAGAAAAAGAACGTCTGCGACGTGGATATGAAGCGCGGAGAGGACGGGGTTTCTTGTACTCCGTGATGCGGATGGAGGGGGTTTCGTCGTCGATTTCAACGAAGCACATGTCTATTTTTCGCTTGAGTGTGTGGCTGTAATTTGTATAGTGGCGATATAGCAGCACAAAGTAAAAGGCTGCGAAATAGACGATGCTGTAGAAGATGTAAAGGATGGTGATGATGATCGTGGAGACGGTGAGGAGGACGGCATGGTATATGCGCCGGCGATGGCGATAGGGGATATAAGGAATATATCGATCCATGGTGGTGGATATCAGCCGACATTAGAGATAATATCATCTCTTTTGAACAAAACTACTTCCTAGATGCCAGTCATTTATATCCATCAGGTGGATTCGCCCACCCGGTGATGGTGATGGATGTTGCTATCGCACAAGTGACAGCGTCATGTGCTGACGATCTTCTGACTCCCCCACAACATCAATACTTAAGGCTAATTCAGAGCTGTGCTCGACTTTATTCAAAATTATCCATTCATCAAATTCCAAGATGAATTCATTTTAATTGTACACCAGCCCTCCGAGTGAAGAAAACAGACACAACGCTCATCAAATGGTACAGACCGGAAACACCCCGTATAATAACCTGCATTTACCCTCAATCAGAATCGAATCCAACACCTGTCAACCCACCTAGGACATATCGTCCGCGTCATGATGGTGGGTGTTTTCATTATCCGACGCGTGGAAGGCGTCCCCAAAAGCCGAGTTGTCTAGATCTGGAAGATCCAGTCCCTCGTTCTGTTCGGTATATGCGGCAAGCGCATCGCCAGCGCTGTCCATGTTGGTAAAGTCGAAGTTGCTGGTATCAAGACCAGTGTCTCCGGCACTTCCAGTGTTGCCGGGGGTCAGACCTTGCATCCCGCTGCCTGGTGTCCCTGCCCCTTGGCCGGGAATGTCGCCAGTCGTAGTCTTGTCCTGGTTCTTCTTTTCGTCATTGACCATGACCCAATCCCCAGTTTCACCCGCCGCTGTTGGATGGCCACCTCCCATGTCCATCTCAACATCCAAGCCACCTATACCTTGCTGGCCTGCCGGCTGCGGTTGCGCGGGGATGTGAGAGGCGCCATGTGGGCCAGGAGCAGCGGCTGCTGGTGCTGATGCTCCCTGGTTGACTGCTTGTGATGGAGAGGTGAATTGATTCAGAAGATCATCGGCCGCATTCTCCATGTCGATATCGCCCTCCACATTGCCGTTCTGCGCCTTGGGTTCCGGTTCAATCTTCTCCAACAAACCACCCTTTTGCACACACGAGACCTTGGGTTCCGGCACAACCTGCTTCTGCCACGATGCTTCCACCTCCTTGACGACGTCATCCACCTTGAATTTCGGCTTTTCTTCAACGACCTCAGGGGTGCCTTCCTCGGTAGGAATCTCGATGCGGCCTTCCAGTCTCCAAGTCTCTGTTCCAGTAGCAGCGGGGTCGGTCACGGAGTCACGGAGTTTAAGCTCGGCATCCTTGAGCACGGAACTGCGGTTGAACTTTTCCATCCTCCGGGCATGACGCTTCTTCAACTTTTCAATCTCAGCGGTCATATCTGCGACCTTCTTAGCAACCCGGTCGGCAAATTCCTCAGCCTTGGCGGGTTCCAACTTGGTAGCTTGTGTAGAGTCGTCTTTGTCATCCTTGCCATCCTTGTCTTTGCCCTCAGCGCTTGAGGGGCCAACAGGCGCATCAAAGAAGCCACCAGTTAGCTGTTCAAGTTCACCCTTGCGTCCCAATCCCAACGACACTGGTTCAATCTGGCTGATGGCGTAAGGCGAAGCAAAAATCTCCTCCATCCACTCGTGGTGCTGTTGATATCTCATCTTGCTGACTTCTCTAGGTGTCAAAAGGTCCATCATGTCTCCGGCTGAAACGTCCTCATCCTCGAGCGCAAAGTCGGCTGTTGCGGCGCTCATGGCTGCAGACGAAGCGCGGTGTCCGCGCGGCGCCTTTACAGGGGTGGCACCGGCTGGGACAGGCATGGGCTGGCCCGCTGCGGCATAGTATGGTTGACGTCCAACCATTGCATTGGGATAAGGTCCCTGTGGCTGCGCAAAGCCCTGTGGGGCCATCTGTGGTGGGAAGTTGATGGCGGGCCAGCTGTTCCGATCGTGCAACATAAAGTCCTTGCGGGCAAGCTGACCTTGACCCTGCAGGAATCGTCGTTGGGCCAGCATGCTCTGAACTTGAGGGAGGACGGGGATTCGGTTTGCGGGGACATGGTCGGTGGAAGGAGCTCTCGAGTAGTGAACGATCCACAGCGACGGGTCGGCAGGAGGAATGTTGGGGGAAGGAACTTTCGGGGGCAGCAGACGATAACGTCTACGGCAGTGGATAGCGGCGGGCTCGTTTGGTGGGTGGTAACCACTGCGGTGAAGCCACATTTCAACGGTCTAGCCTTCTGTCAGTAACCAGTAGCATCACGAGAAATCGCAGGGCAACATACGTGACCGCGGGCTTCGAAAGTAAAAGCCTGTTCGACATCAGCCCAGACATAACCGTCACTGGCGAAGTTTGTCCCCAGGTGATTCAGCGGCTGCCAAGTGAGCATGACAGAGCCATCCGGGGGTCCATCTAGAAAGGTCCAGTGCATCGGCTGCATTTCGCGGACGACCTTGGGCGCGGAGAGGAGGTATTCCACCACGGTATCGGTGGGCATCATATGCATCAACGGGTAGCGATGCCGCGACACAAGATGCATGTGCGGCAGCTGTAGAACGTCACAGTAACATTAGCTATCCAAGCTCGAATCGCAGATGGCATCACGGAAGTAAACGTACCAGCTGCGCGGGGACACGACTCGCTGGGTCGTCCATTGTGATCGGAACCCCGTGAATGGGTAGAAACAAGATATCAATGTAGTCGCAAAATATTCTAGAGTTCAATAAACAGCAAGAATTGACGCATCAAAGATGGGGACGGCAATTTGGGGGTTGTCGACCTGGAGGCGCTGCGAATGCCTGAAAACGCGACGCGGAATTTTGAGGTTCCGTAGAGAGAGGAGGATGCGGGCGGGGAGAGAGACCAGAAGTGCAGGACACCTGAGGAGTCAGGCATCGACATTGTAAAGGCTGGGATGTAAGGATGCATGTCGAATTGCTTCATTTGCAAAGGAATTGGCTAGCCACTGATTTATTGTAAGATTAAGTTCAATTGAGAGCGAGGAGAGTTTATGATCAGCACGGGGTCTTAAACTGACGCGAGTCTAGATGCTATTTCTATTCGTTCTATAAGATCACTGCAGAATTGACCATTGTGATGCTAGGAATATGTCGCATGATAGGTATTCAATGATATACTCGTATTGTTCTTCTAATCGCAAGGGGTATAATAGATAGCAATTGGAATGTAGAGCGTTTCGAGTGGTGCTCAGTCGTAGTTCAGAATAGAGTCATCGGTATAGACTCTAATCCACCCATGGTTCAATCTTCCATCTTTATTCAATCGTCTGTCTTCCGTATTGCATTGATGATTCTTAATACGGCATCGAATATGTTTAGATTGATTGGATTGACCATAGTCAACCAAGACCAAGCCACAGCCAGAGAGTGGAGCATGAACTGTGAGCGTTAGACGACGTAGATAGCATCAATAGCCAATGCACGACATACCTTTCCAGAATGACTCCGTAGAATTATTGAATGTGCAATAAATTCTCCGACAGCAGAAACTGCTCAATGTCTCAATTGTTGTGTCTGTGAGTCAACAAAATGTGGCGGGTGTTTGAGCAGCAGCAAGGCGTGTATCCCTTCCACGGCCAATGCAGAGGCTGGCAATAGTCTCAACAACGTGAATGGCCATGTTTGACTGCTGTTAATCTTCCAGATGCATCTGATACTGCCAGTCCCCCCATCGTGGCTCTTGTGATGTCCACGAGAGATGATGTTGTGATCATCCTCAGCTGCCCCGGAACGGGAAGATCGTCGTTGCTTAGGTCCATTCGGCTATGGAGATGGCTTCTTCCTTCCACCAATAATGACTTCATTTCGAAATCGTTTGGGTCCATCGCATGAATCGTCTTGATTTCATTGAGTTTATCCAGCTTGGATGATTTTTTCCTTTCTTTTGACTCAAATGCAGGTCCGGATTCTTCCTTTTGCTTCCACCTCCATCTTCTCCTCCTTGACCTGCCATCGACGCGCCTCTGGCCCACCCCCTCGCAGCTTCAACATCGCAGCCTCGTTGATGCCCCGTCGCTTTAGCTTTTGCAGATCTCGCAATAGATCCAGCGATGGTCCCGCCTGAGGATCCATTGCATCAGTCGCCTATATAATATCCCGGGTTTCTCCAAACTTCTGCTCCATCATCTTATCCATTAATCCTAATCATCTTAATCTTAATCACCACTCCTCTCTCTCTTCCTCTTATCCTCATCTTTGTTCAATATGGGGTTCTTCGGGAAGAAGGATTCCTCGAATCCAGATGTCATCGAAACCATTCCACCTGAGCAGGACTCGGAGAAGCAAATCCCTCTGCACGAAGATACCGCGCTTCCTCAGATTCCTGCGCCCGTCATTAAAATCGACCCCGCCGTTGAAGCTCGACTGTTGCGCAAACTCGATTTTAGAGTTCCTATGCTGGTTGGCTTTTTCTGTAAGTTGCTCTGTCAACGCATCTCTTGATGATGTCAAGCTAACAGTGTCGCAGTCGTGCTCGCTTCTCTCGACCGCAGTAACATCGGAAATGCCAAAATCGCGGGCATGGAGGAGGATCTCGGCCTCACGTCGGAGAAATACACATGGCTTTTGACCATCTTCTACATTTCATATGCGATCTTTGAATTTCAAGCGTTGATGTGGAAAGTCATGCCGCCTCATCGGTGGGCGGCCATTACTGTGCTTGGCTGGTAAGTTGCATTCGCAATGCGCTCGCATAACGCAACATAGCTAACTAGATGCAGGGGTATTGCTTCGACATGTCAAGCTGCGGCTCAGAACTGGCAGGGTATGATGGCTTTGCGATTTCTGATGGGTAAGTTAGCCAAAAATCTCAAGCTCATCCATATACTAATGACTCATTTAGGTATCTTTGAAGCTGGATTCGGACCTGGTGTCCCCTTTCTGCTATCCTTTTTCTACCGTCGTCATGAAATCGGTCTTCGCTGTGGTCTGTACGTCGCTGCCGCACCTCTGGCAAGTACATTTGCCGGTGCCCTCGCCTACGGAATCACATCCGGTCACTCCAAGCTGGCCAATTGGCGACTGCTATTCCTCGTGGAGGGTATTCCCACCTGTCTGGCCTCTATTCTGGCCTGGTTCTTTCTGCCCGATAACCCAGCGTCTGCTACATTCCTCACGGAAGAAGAGAGAGAAGTCGCCCGTGCCAGAGCACTCCGAAGAACAGGCGAGTCCGAAAAGAAGCGTGGACTCAACTGGAAAGAGCTCGGCGAGACTCTACTTGATGCCAAAGCGTGGCTCACTGCTGTATGTCTATTCCCCATCCATCTACAGGAAATCACAAAAGCTAACACCACACAGCTCATGTACTTCAGCTGCAACGTCAGCTACTCCTCTCTCCCCGTCTTCCTCCCCACCATCCTAGAAGACATGGGCTTCACCTCCATCAACGCCCAAGGTCTCACCGCACCCCCTTACTTCCTCTCCTTCATCATCACAATCCTAACAACCTACATCGCCGACCGCCTCCAACAACGCGGCCTAATGATCATCTTCCTCTCCATCGTCGGCGCAGTCGGCTACATCCTCCAAGCAACCTGCACCTCCGTCGCCATCCGCTACTTTGGCGTCTTCCTCGCTGCCTGCGGTGTCTTCCCCTCCATCGCGAACGTCCTCCCCTGGGTCGTGAATAACCAGGGCTCCGACTCCCGCCGTGGAATGAGCGTCGTCATTCTGAACATCGTCGGCCAGTGCGGCCCGTTCTTGGGAACGAGTATCTTCCCGAGTAGTGAGAGCCCGAGATATATCAAGGGTCAGTCGATTTGTGCCGCTTTTATGTTCTTCACTACCCTGCTTGCTTTGGCGCTGCGCACGCTCCTGGTTTGGGAGAATAAGCGTCTCGATAAGAAGTACGGGCCTGTGGAGAAGAATGAAAAGGAGGAGACAGTCGGTGATGAGAACTACGGTTCAACTTTCCGATATGTGCTATAATGTTTATATGGTTTGATTTTCTTGCGTAATGAGCGATTTGTTTTGATCGGCGTTTGATGCAAATATTTGGCATGGCTTATGATGATGACTACGTTGATAAAAGTACTATATATAGAACAATCTATTCAATGTCGATAAGACCCTGATCGCTATCAATGTCTGCTAATCTGTACAATCTAGAGCAGTGATCTTTCCAAGTATACATTCCATATCCTCACCATGATTGTCCAGGCAGAGCCTCCAAGCGGTTATAAGGAAGAGGACGAGCACCAATGATACTACTCTCATCCGATGAACTCTCCCCATCTGGCACAGGACTCTTGAAACCAAACAAGCGATAAAATGGAACATCCACAAAGTACGACGAATACACATATTCTCTCCGCCGCAGCATCTTTCCAAGACCCCCGTGCGGACCATCACCCCAATGAAAGATGCGATCTAGGACCATATGATAGCTACGTGCATCATCACGGGGATCAACATGATCGAAGCCGTGCATCTTTTTCTCCAGCAACCGTTTTAAATACCACATTCCAAACTCGGTATACGAATTGCCTTGCATGAATTTCTGCAGTTGAGGAAGTCCTCGAAGGTGGAGTTTATCTTCCTTCGTCTGTGTTAAGGGCTTTTTGTAGTACGTTTCGTGGCCGACTGACAATGCTATCGCAATGTAGATACACTTGCACTCCCTCATTTCCACAAGGTCATACCGGCCCCAGAACAATTTTATCTCGGAGGCTTGTGTCTCCCATTCGTCGGGCTCGTTGGACAAAGATGCATCACCGGGTTGATGGAACAGTTCAGCGTATAATTGAATGCGCAACAACGCGCGACGCATACGAGGCCAGGTGGGAGGATCCGACCAGCTATCCGAAGCAGGGGTGTACGAAACCGGAGGACTATTCTTGCAGAAGAGAGGCGTATGAAACACTCTCACAGATCCCCAAATACGGACTGCATATGCGAGGTAGAACTCGACGGCATTCAAGACGCGAACCATGTACTCGAGGGAGGCGGGATCGCGAAGAACACATCGGGGAAGAGGTCTTGTTTCTCCATCACTGAGGAAGTAATATGTGAAAAAGTTTCGGAGCTCTGTTGTACCCCGTGGACAGAGAGAGCGGGCTGCGATGATGGCGTGGAGGAATTGTGTTAGTAGCGGGTCGGCGAAGGACTCGGTGAGGATATCTTTGGTGATGGTGGTGAAGTAAGAGGATAATGGGGTGGCTAGATATGGGACAGCAATGATGAGGTTGTGCAGAGTCTGGAGGTCAGTCAGACCGCACATGATGGACGCTGTAATGTCCCATGGAAGATGGATAAACATGGACGCCATGATGATATGATAATAGTTGTATACAGAAGAGAGAAGCCATAGTGAGCGGAGATGATATTGATTATACTAGTGATACTCTGTATGCAGGTTGCACTTGCTGTTTTTGTCAACACAACATGATATCTACAGACTCATATAATATCTTCGTCTCTTTCATCTCTTCAACACTGGAAAAATAAGATAAAGCATTGCAAATTACAGAAAGTATATTCATCGGGCTGTTAGCTCAGGGGTAGAGCGCCCGCTTCGCATGCGGGAGGTCGTGGGTTCAATTCCCACATAGTCCATTCTTTTATCTTTTTTTGAACATCAACTTTATTCATTGATGGAGAAAACGTGGAAGTATTTCGAGTATGAAGCAGAAGTAAGTTGATTCCCAGATGCTGATATCCGATATCTAGTTATCTGAACTTTTCTCTGACAGCCACTCTTTTTTCAACAGCCTCCACTGTGTTTTTCGCTCTTCTGCATGCTCCCTAACAGTCCTCATCAGGCCAGTCTGCTTTGTATTCATCAGCTGCTAAGAAGTTAGCAATAAGCCCAACAAAAGAGAAGGAACTTGAATACTTCATGTTTTTTATTCTGCTGTTTTTTAACTGCGTAAATGGGGAGATTTCATTGTATGGAGGTGAGCTTGATGATTTGGTGTCGCTATGTAGGCAAGATAGGCTACAGTTTAGGATGACATCGAAATTACACCGATATAGCAATACAATACTTCTTGGATATAATAATGAGATCAAACAGAACTAGATGCAATCCAATGGTATATATTAACGTAAATACATATGAAACCCATATTCAGTCTAGTTTAGCAGGGCTGAGATATCATAGAGATAAAATTGCGCCCCCACACAAGCTCCAGTGGAGACTCGAGTTGATATTGGTACTGGTCATTAAAGATTCGATAGTGTCACTTGGCAAGAGTAATAATATATGTAATAATAATAATAATACAAAGAAATAATCATACATAAGCAATATCAGCCATCGATGGCGAAATCACTCATACTATGCAATATTCTTGCTCTGTTCTTCTACCCCGCCGTTCGGTGATATATCCCAACTAGGCGTTTTGCCAGGATGCTGAAACTGCCAACATAACCACACCTTTTAATTTACATCTCTATCAACATGAACAATAATGTCTATTCTATTCTCTTAACCTTCTTCCAGATAATTAAATCTGAATTGATCTAATTCAGGTACGAACTGGTGGCAAAGACGGAGAATATCCAGTCGCCAATCAACGTCCGCCCTGCTCGGAAACCACCCGAAGCTAAGCTTTTTCAATGCTGAAACACGCGATGATTTTTCACGCAGTGGACTTTTCCCACTCACGATGGCCTCGTGTTGGCCTCTCGATGGGGACGGTGGATTCGTCGAAATGGCGTGATAGGGCCCGTGGGTCTGTCATCCAGATTCTGTTCATAATGAACTGTTTTCTCCATTCGTCTTGTCTTGGATTCGGACTTGTTATCCTCACCTACTCTGAAATCGGGTCAGTGTTGGATCAGCTAATATGGTATGGTTCTGTTGCCTCTGTGCTATGGATTTATCAAGGCTAACTGAACAAGAGTGCAGACCCGGCATTCAAGACGGACGCAAAAGCCCTGTCGGTCGACCAGGAACGTGGCATCGTCGAGGAACATGAGGCAAAGAACCTGTCCAAAGGACTCGTCCAGCGCCATGTGCAGATGATTGCTCTTGCGGGCGCAATTGTAAGTTGTCTCTGTGCGCCAATGTCTGTTGTGACTTTCTAACCTTCTCGTCCGACAGGGCACTGGTCTTTTCCTTGGTCTCGGCAGCTCCATCCAAACTGGAGGTCCCCTCGGTTCGTTGCTAGGATATCTTCTCGTCGGAGTCGTCGTATGCGCCGTCCAACTTGGTCTCGGTGAGGTATCGGCCCTCATGCCCGTCACTGGTTCGTTTGTCCGCCATGTCGAAGTCCTCGTCGACCCAGCCCTCTCCTTTGCCGTCGGCTGGAACTTGGTCTATCAAGCATTCATCGGCGTGCCTAGCGAAATCTCGGCCGCGGTGGTCTTGATCCAGTACTGGACCGATCTCAACTCGGCCATCTGGGTGACCGTCCTCATTGTGTTTTCCGCCATTGTCGCCTTCACCTTTATCCGAGTCTACGGCGAGATTGAGTTTTCCCTTACAATCTTAAAGATCCTCCTCGTTCTTGGAATCGTGTTGATGGGATTGGTTATTGATTTGGGAGGTGTGTCGGGACAGCCTCGTCTGGGATTTCATTACTGGAAGACCCCAGGGCCGATGGTGGAGTATATCGCGACCGGGTCTTGGGGTCGATTCTTGGGTTTCTGGGCTGTCATGAACAACGCCGTCTATTCGTTCTACGGCATCGAGAGTCTGTCCATCATGGCGGCAGAGATCCGGAATCCTCGCCAGAACATCCCCAAGGCTTGCAAGAGGGTGTTTTTTCGTGTAACCCTCTTTTACCTGCTGGCTGTGTTTATCGTGGGACTGCTGGTTCCGTCCGACGATCCTCGACTTTCAGGGGACTCTGGAACAGCTGCTCAGAGTCCGTTCGTCATTGCTGCCGTGGACGCGGGTATCAAGGTGGTCCCGTCCATCATTAACGCAGTCGTCCTGAGTTCGGCATGGTCTGCTTCTAACCAGAGTATCTTGACCGGCACTCGAACGTTGTATGCGCTGGCTCTGAAGGGCCATGCGCCCAAGATGTTCCTGCGAACGACATCCCACGGTGTTCCGTGGGTATGCGCCATTGCCCAGATGACCTTTGCCTGCCTGGCCTATCTCACCTGTTCCAACAGTGCCTTGACGGTGTTCAACTGGATGGTGGATTTGACTGCGGCCGGAGTCTTGGTCTCATGGGGCACGATTGCCCTGAACCATATCCAGATGTTGCGCGGCATGAAAGCGCAGCAGATTTCTACCAAGGAATTACCTTGGCACAACTGGTGGAGTGGTGAGTACTTCATGTTGCTGGGAGGGAACATAGCTGATGATAACTAGTATACCTGTCTTGGTTTGCCCTTGTGATGTGCGTTATCTTCCTGCTCACAGGAGGATTCACCGTGTTCACCAAAGGCAATTGGGATTCGGCCACCTTTGTTTCTGCATATCTGTACGCTCTTCCCCGAGTCAACAAAACGCACAAAAATACTAATCCAAATGCAGAGATATCCCCATCGTCCTCTTCCTCTATCTCGGCTACAAATTCTTCGTCAAAACCAAGCTCGTCTCAGTACATGACATGCCTCTCCGAGAAGCCCTGGATGAAGCGCACAACGACCCCGAAAACGTGCCTATCAAGACCAACAAATGGTCGCGATTTAATATTCTGTGGGGATGACCGGGTGTTTACCTCGCACCGTTAAAAGGGTCTCCTTTGCATAACTTCCATTCAACTGGATTGAATTGAATTTGTTAGACCTGTGGTCTCAACAAAAAATGAAGCTTACTCAACATATTTCATGATAATACGACTGGACATGCTGTTTGGCATTTGTATATATACCCCAAAAGAGCGAGAGAGAGGATATGGTGGAGTGATATAATTGAATGGAGATATAACAGTTAACCAATAAATAATTGGCACTGTGATGAAGCAATAAGCATTGAAATATGATCAGTCAAGCAATCGTATTCGTACTATCGGAGTTAAAAAAGATAGTCAAGACATGATGACGTCGTCAAAGACGGGCTGTAGTGTAGGGGATGGATCTTCGGGCGGTTATTAAAAGGGCGTGGCGCAGCTTAAGCATGGAGATCGCAATGCTTGGACGGTTGAGATCTATCCATGACAGGAACCTGACTTGGAGGTAGTTTGAGATTGATGAATGCAGTTAGATGAGAAACAGAATAATCTCTGCAAGAACTGAATGCAGCATGAATCGTTGCTTTTGGAAGGTTTCACAGCGGGCGAAACCGACTGCAACGACAGAATCACGTGATCTGGTATAAGATGAAGCCATGACGTTTTGACGTTTGGACGAACTCGTGTTGGAGATATTTTCAGAAACATGACATGTCGGTCTGTCTGGGAATATCTACAGCTGAATACAGTTATCATGGATGATGGGAATGGATTCAGGGCAACCGACCCTTAATAATATCAACCATGGTGTTGTACCCACTCATCCTGACAACTGAACCATCAGAGTAAGTATCCCTGATCATCCTGATCATCCTGATTACGACTTCCGTCCGTCTCCTGTGGCTCGAGATCCAACCAACAAACCGCCCTCCACTCTCAAAGTCTCTCGGATCGACACGCTTTTTAACCCAGCAAAAATGATGTCGCATTTATCTGGGGCCTCTGGCATTCTGAAATAATTCCCGTGGCTCACCCGTGCTTCTTCCAAACCCTCTTCCACTCCCCTCTTGTTTCTCTCTCCCCCAATCTGGACCTCGTTTTTTGATCAAAATGTTCACGTCCAGTCCTTGGCGGCTCTGTAGGGCTCTCTGTAGCCCTTTAGGACTGCTTTTTGCTGCGCAGGTCACTCAGGCTATTGATTTAAATATCGACGATACCCGTATGTTTTTAATATCCTTGCTGAAACTGCACCAATCCTTTTCTCTCTTTTTATTTTCTCCGCCTCCGCTGCAAGGTACGGGAAGGATTCAATTGGGCTAATTTCTGACACATTCTGCATATTTTAGAATCTATCAAGGATGCCGCTAGCAATGCCGCTTACGGTTCGATGGTTTGGTATAAGGGTAACGAGACCGGCCAGATTCCTGGTGCATTTCCGACCAAATGGTGGGAAGGCGGAGCCTTGTTCTATTCGCTGATTGAGTATTGGTATTTCACGGGCGACGACCAATACAATGAGGTTATTCAGCAGGGAATGGAATGGCAGGCTGGTGAGGGTGATTACATGCCTGCCAACTACAGTAGTTATCTGGTAAGGCCAATTTGCGATCACGAGAGTTTTCAGATTATCTGACATGGTATACAGGGAAATGATGACCAAGTATTCTGGGGTCTTGCAGCTATGACTGCTGCCGAGCTGAAATTTCCTGATGTCAAGGGTAAATATTCCTGGCTTTCTCTCGCGCAGGGTGTCTTCAACACCCAGGCAGGCCGATGGGATACCGCGACGTGCGGTGGTGGATTGCGCTGGCAGATCTTCCCCTACCAAGCCGGTTATGCGATGAAAAACACCATTTCGAACGGTGGCTTCTTTCAGTTGGCTGCTCGCCTCGCCCGTTATACTAATAACCAGACCTATACCGACTGGGCGGAGAAGGTTTGGGATTGGACTGCGTCGACGCCTTTGATGAACAACGAGACCTGGCAAATGGCTGATTCCACCACGCTCGAGACTAACTGCAAGTCTCAAGGAAATGAGCAGTGGTCGTACAACTATGGTTCTTACATGGCCGGTGCTGCGTACATGTACAACTACGTAAGTTTCCCACCTGCTTCGGCTCAAGCACTGACAAAAGAAATGTCACGAACTCCGCTAACAAAATTATAGACCTCTGATGAAAAATGGATGCCGAGAACCAAGGGCCTTCTCGGAGTTATCATGAAGAGATTCTTCCAAAACGATATCATGACCGAATACCTCTGCGAACCGAACGAGGCTTGCAACAACAACGAAATTCTATTCAAGGGACTCATGTCTGGCTGGCTGGCATTTACCACCACTCTGATCCCCTCGACATACGACACCATCATGCCCAAGCTCAAGACCTCAGCCATCGGCGCTGCCAAATCATGCACCGGAAACGGCAACAACACCTGCGGAGTACGATGGTCCCAATCCAAATGGGACGGCTGGACAGGAATGGAAGAGCAAATCAGCGCCACCCGCATCTTCTCCGTCAACCTGATGGACACCAAAAAGGGCGGCGCGGGCCCCGTAACCGACAAGACCGGAGGTGACAGTAAAAGTAACCCCGGCGCGGGCGGAGGCAGCAGTAGCGACGACGACGATAAAGATAAACTCAAACCCATTACAACCGGCGACAAGGCAGGCGCTGGAATTCTCACGGCTCTTTTCCTCGGCGTTTGGGCTAGTATGGTTGTCTGGATGGTTATGGCGGGTTAAAATTGGGGGTTTGCCTGGGATACCTTTTTTTTTTTTTTCAAGTGGATTTTTTTGTATAGTAAATGGTTTTTCTTTATGGTGTTATACATTCAGCTAATTGATTCCCTGTTGATATTCAGAATAATATCTTTTTCTTTTTCAGAATTGTTGATTATCTATTACTGACATCATTGACCGTTCAGCTCAGCTACGATACGACTCTCAGATCCCCCCGCCTATGCCCACCTGCGGGGGCTGCTAACTGCTATTTAATTTCCTTCTCAGCTGAGATACTTCATCAATTCCTTTCGTCTAGGCCATCGCTATATCTCAACTATTTTGAATAAACATTCACCCCCTTGACATTGGATAAGGATAAATATGGCCGAAGTGAGGGGTAACAGCAACTTTTACGGAGTTGTGGATATGGGGAGGCAAGTTGATTCAGCTCACTTGCTTCTTGATTTGGTTTTTGCGTTTTCGTCGCTTTCTTCTCTTTTTTTTTTTATTTCATTTCATTGTTTATTCAGTCATGATTGATATTGATAATAAACTGACGATACCAGCAATGGTCTTCGCTTCTCCATAACCGACCTCTCTCCCCCAACAACGCGCATAATGCCAATCCTCTACCAAGACCGCACGGGAATCTCGCTCTACGATGCCCAATTCGCGAGCGGGTCGCGCGGGCCGATATCAGCGGAGATCATGCAGGCGGTAGTAAACCGGCTGCTGCAGTTCAAGACGACGTGTGCGGATTTTGGAGTTCCGGACGAGAATATCTACGTGCTTGCTACGGAGGCGACGCGGACGGCGCCGAATTCGACGGAGTTTAGGGAGCTTATTCAGGAGAGGGTGGGCTGGGGGGTTAGGATGTTGAGTAAGGAGGATGAAGGGAGGATTGGGGCGTTGGGGGTTGCGAGTAGTTCGACGAGGATTGCGGGGTTGGTGATGGATTTGGGAGGGGGGAGTACGCAGATTACATGGTTGATTGAGGAGGAGGGAGTAGTTACGACTAGTCCCAGGGGGTCGTTCAGTTTTCCCTATGGGGCTGCGGCGTTGAAGCAGCGGTTGGAAGGGGGAAAGAAGAAGAAGGTGATGAAGGAATTGAGGGAGGAGATGGATCGCAACTTTCAAGATGCGTATGCGCAGCTGGAACTGCCGGGGAAGCTGTTGGATGCGGCGAAGGAGAAGGGAGGGCTGGATTTGTACCTCTGTGGTGGTGGGTTTCGGGGATGGGGATATCTGCTCATGGAGCAGTCGTCGTCTGCGAAGCCGTATCCAATTCCCATTATCAATGGGTACAGGGCCAGCCGGAAGGAGTGTCATGCGATGGTTTCTACGGCGGAAGACGTGGCCGACTCGGAAATGAAGGTGTTTGGCGTGTCGAAGAGACGGGCCACGCAGATTCCTGCCGTGGCCGTCCTGGTCGACGTGCTCATGGAGACGTTGCCGGGCATCAAGCACGTCCAGTTCTGCCAGGGAGGCGTGCGCGAGGGAATCCTATTCGATATCCTGCCGGTGGAAGTGCGAAGACAGGATCCCCTCCTGGCTGCAACGATGCCATACGCACCCCCGTCGGCAGAGGCAATCTGGGATCTTCTTTGGTCTGCCTTGCCAACATCCCCTGCACCATCCACGTCTTCCGCAGTCCCCGGTTCCTTTTCTGGTAATCTGATATCTGCTCTCGCCAATCTTCTCTTCGTTCACTCCTCCGTGTCCAAGGAAACCCGTGCTGCCGCTGCACTGCACTGCACCACGACGGGAATCCTGGCCACAGCCAACAGCCTGTCACATACCGACCGCGCCCTCCTGGCACTTATCTTGTGCGAGCGATGGGGAGCAGACCTTGCCTCTGCCGACCAGAACTTGCAGATACGTTTGCGTCAGTGTGTGTCCAGCCAGGAAGCATGGTGGTGTCAGTATCTAGGCCGGGTAGCCACCCTCATCGGTGACGTGTATCCATCCGGCAGGGTATCTCAGACAGGGTGGAGGATCCGATTGGCAACCGAGTGGGACAGTATCACGAAGAAGAAGGAAACGGGCGACCTATTGCGTCTGAAGGTGCAGCGCAACAAAAACAACGACAGCCAACTGGCGATGATGGATTCACTGAAGGAGGGGGCGGAAAGCATCGAGAAGGCCGGAAAGAAGAAGAACTGGATCCAAGAGTCTGGAGTGCGGGTGGGGGTTGATGTGTCTTGAAAAAGCCAGTAAAGCCACTAAAGTGGAAATACGAGAAGCCTGATTGACGCGTGTGTATGTAAGAGAATCCGTCGAGGACGAAGATGAACCGGTTGTTGTTGTCGTGGATAATTATCGAACCCCGCGGACCACAGAGCACCGTCGATGAGGGGCAGCGGGTATCGTGACACACCACAATGAGTCAATTTGCGTCGAGAACACACTGGCTCGACATGGATGAGGCCGATCATCGCACCGGTTTTGCTGGAGATGTCATGATGACTTCAAGGACGATCTCAACTGGCGTTACTCGACAAGCTCACCGGGAAAGTTTATGGGAACGTTTGCGGAGGTTTTCGGAGGTGCACCGTGTCAGAGACGTGCGAGAGAAATAAAAATTAACTCCAATGAAGATCGATCGAGGGGTTGTAGGCAAATAGAAATAGCAGAATAATTAATATTTGGTGAGGTGGTGTTGTGGTGGAGGAGAGAATTTACTTAAAGCTGCCCCTCCTCCCACTTCTTCCCCTCCTTCTCTTCTTCTTCTTCCATCTTCAACTTCAACTTTACCAACTCACTTTGAATCCAACAACTCGTCTTACAAGTTCTACTCCCCTTTTTCTTTCTTTAATCTATTGGCTGACTGTTTTATAGGACTCAAAAAAGTATATCCGCCTCGTCCTTCAGGATGGAAGTCATGGATTCACTTTAGCTGGACTTGTCATGAATTGATCAAGGTATCTCAGGTAACGTCTGGGTATGAGCCGGTGTTCGGTCCCATCCTTGGTCTGTTTCTTTTTCCCCAAGATTCAGCAAGGCCCTGGGATCGTTCTGAGATTATACGGCCAAACTTGATCTGGATAATACCAGCGAAAGGATCATGCCTTCCCCTTTTTCTCCCGTGGTGGAATGGCTAACAATTTACAGTCAATCGACTTGACAATTCATCATGTCTCCCCCAGCTGCCATCTTTGAACAGCCCTCTGTGGCCCCTACTGGTATCAAGAGCAAGGTCGTCGTCCCTGAGACCGCCGCTGCTCCCGTTGCCGGTGCCTCGACCAAGCTCTTGGACCACTTCGGTACCAACTGGGATGAGTTCAAGTTTGCTCCCATCCGTGAGAGCCAGGTCTCGCGGGCCATGACCAGACGCTACTTCCAGGACCTCGACAAGTATGCCGAGAGTGACGTTGTCATTGTCGGTGCTGGTTCTTGCGGTCTCAGCACTGCCTACGTTCTGGCCAAGGCCCGCCCTGACTTGAAGATTGCCATTATCGAGGCTTCCGTCTCGCCTGGTTAGTCTTGAATGATATCAATGCTTGGATACAAGCTAACAGGTATAGGTGGTGGTGCTTGGTTGGGTGGACAGCTCTTCTCCGCCATGGTCCTCCGTCGTCCTGCGGAGGTCTTCTTGAACGAGCTCGGTGTGCCATACGAGGATGAACCCTCGAACCCCAACTTCGTTGTTGTCAAGCACGCCTCTCTGTTCACCTCGACTTTGCTGTCCAAGGTCCTCCAGTTCCCCAACGTCAAGCTGTTCAACGCTACCGCCGTTGAGGACTTGGTCACCCGCCCCTCGCCCAACGGTGACCCCAAACAGATCCAGATTGCCGGTGTTGTCACCAACTGGACTCTGGTCACCCTCCACCACGACGACCACTCGTGCATGGACCCCAACACCATCAATGCCCCCGTCATCGTCAGTACCACTGGCCACGACGGCCCCTTCGGTGCCTTCTGTGCCAAGCGTCTTGTCTCCATGAACAGCGTCGACCAGTTGGGTGGCATGCGCGGTTTGGACATGAACTCCGCCGAGGATGCCATCGTCAAGAACACCCGTGAGGTCGCCAAGGGTCTCATCATCGGTGGTATGGAGCTGTCTGAGATTGACGGCTTCAACCGCATGGGCCCTACCTTCGGTGCTATGCTTCTCAGTGGTGTCAAGGCTGCTGAGGAGACCTTGCGCATCTTCGACGAGCGCAAGGCCCAGTGTGCTGAGTAAATTACGGATGATATGGCTTGATATTCGAGAGACGCTCGTTACTGCGCAGAAATGTTTGGTTTTGTCTCTCTTTAATGAGAATGATGATTTAGTGTTAACTGAATGACACTCCTTGACTACTTCAATTGGACATTGTAGATGACATACACGTAGTGATTAACATTATACTATACTGGGTATGATATACAATTGTACAAATGATTGAAGTGATCATTCAATCTTCTTTCCCTTCCCACCCACATCCTCGACAATCCGTTTCGCATTCCTTACCTCCCATTCGAACTCCTTGAGAGCTCGCAACTCACTGGACACAAACAGCCCCCCAATTAACCCATCCAGAATGCCCGCCCCAAAGCTTAGCGTACTCACCAAGACCAGGATAAACGCCACATACGGCAAATGATCGCCCGTCCACCAGACACCGACAAAACAGCCAATAGACACAAACACGGACACGATAAAATGCGCCAGTCGCCAGCGTCGTTGGGATCGTTCTCGTTGCACGTACTTGTGAATCATCCCAATGATGCGGTCGTAAGTATCAGGTGTAAGAGCAGCGTTAGGTGCTAGGAGTAATGTCTGAGGGGGTTTCGAACTCGACTCTCCATTCTTCTCATCCTGACGAGTGATAACAGCCTCCACGGCGAAATGATCACTCAACGAGCACCGCAACGTAGGATGTCGCTCCATCATGGAAATCTGCGCCGACTGGACGGACCACTTCGGCGCCGGGAATAACGGCGCATACCCACCGTCTCCAACGAAGATATAATCCAGTCTTTTTCCCCTCGGACACGGCGAGTCTTTATCAACCGTCACCTCCTGCCCCTTTTCCAATTGCTTCTGATGCGCCTGCGACCAGCGCCAGGTGTTGAATTTGCCATCACAGGTGGCTCCGTTTTCGTGGATATTAAACTCAGCAGTGGGGATGGGTTTGTTGCGCTTCTTTTCGACTTCGTCAATGGCTGCGCCCACAGACGAGTCCGGGTGTAGGACCTGCCATACGTCGTGGACGGGGCTATGGGCACGGATTAACTGATGCGCGAACGAAGAAGGGAGCATGTTGAAATCGCCCAGTCCGATAACGAGATGGCCTCGTTCGGCCGCGCCGCGCATGAGCTTCGAGATCTCCCATGCCTGCGCGGTGCGGTGGCAGATGTACGAATCGTTCGGTTCCCGCTCGTAGGGCGCGTGTAGATGTGTGGTAAACACCTCCGCAACGTCTTCTACGCCCGGCCCAAAGCGTATCCTGGCGCATGCGACGCCCTTCCCGACGAACCAGTCGCCGCGGAAGAAGGCCGTGGGCCGGCCGTTGAGCGGGTAGGCGTACATGCTGCTCTCCTCGATGGGCCAGTGGGAGAGGATGGCGAGGCCGGCGCCGAAGATGCCGCCATAGTAGAATTTACCGTAGGGGAGGATGTGGCGGGTTTGTTGGCGGATGCTTTCGTAGTCCTGCTGCGTCCAGCATTCTTGGAGACCGACGATTTGGGGCGGGGGATCGGCCAGGGCGAGTTGGCGGCCGATTTCTGAGAGGCGCTCGTGGCGGTATTTGGCGAGGTATTTGAGGCCCCAGCAGTTGAGGGTGAGGATGCGGATGTCGGAGGGGGAGGACATGATGGCGAGTATTATTGTTGAGATGGAGTCATCTCCAATGGAAGATGCAATCGAGTGGAGTTGGTTTTAAGGAGAATCGATAGACATGATTTCATTCTGTTGCTTCTCACCGCCTTTGGAGCACGCGAGGAGTCTTGGATATTATTTTCTGTCTACCACTACGCAGGACAGAGAACAGAGTCAACCTGATAATATTCCCCGGTTTACGGCTCATTAATTGAAATCTACCATGACGGGCCCCGACCATCCCTCCAAGCGCCGCCGGCGAGACACGAATGGCTACAAAATGATGTCGCCCATTGAATCCTCCTCCGACGAACTCGCCGCGGGCTCCGACCATGAAGCCGAACGCCGCAGAGCCAGCTGGTCCATCCAAAAGGTCTACCCTCCCAAACGGCCATATCCCCGATCGCGCAGTTTCAGCGGCTCAGAAAGTCCCGACGAGCTGGCGGTCGATGCGGATGTGTACTGGCGGTCGCGCAACCGGGGTCGTAGCCCGTCGCACGAGGGGAGTGAGGGGGACGAGGAAGATGAGGATGAGGAGGAAGGCGAGGAAGGGGACTTGGATAATGAGAATCAGTCGAGGGGTGGGGGGTATTCGGATCGATCGCCTACGCCTGTGCCTCCGCCTCCTCCGCCGCCGCCGCCTAAACCGGAGAAGTTGAATTATAGAGAGAAGTATTTGCTGAGGGGGCATCTGCGGGGGGTGTCGGCGGTGCAGTTTTCGCCGGATGCGACGATGATTGCGAGTGGGGGTATGTGTGCTGGGTCTTTTGATTGAGATGGGATGCTGATTGTGGATTGCTACAGGTGCCGATGGAGCAGTCAAGGTGTGGGATACGTTGACGGGGAAGCTCATTCATACATTCGAGGGGCATTTGGCGGGTGTTTCTACCATCTCTTGGAGTCCGGAGGGCGCAACGATAGCTTCTGGGTCTGACGACAAGACCATCCGACTGTGGAATGTGTTGACGGTATGCCTCTTGCTCTCTATCACAAGGATATCATTTAATCTAACATGCGGCAGGGCAAAGCACACCCCATCCCCTTTGTCGGCCACCACAACTACGTCTACCAGATCGCCTTCTCGCCAAAAGGCAACATGCTAGTGAGCGGTTCCTACGACGAAGCTGTCTTCCTCTGGGACGTACGATCCGCAAGCGTGATGCGGTCTCTCCCTGCCCACTCCGACCCCGTCGGCGGCATCGACGTCGTCTGGGACGGAACCCTCATCGTCTCCTGCGCGTCTGACGGCCTCATCCGAATCTGGGATACAGCGACAGGCCAATGTCTCCGGACAATCGTGCACGAAGACAACCCACCCGTGTCGTCGGTGAAATTCTCGCCGAACGGCAAATTCGTCCTCGCCTGGTCGCTGGACGACTGCGTGCGGTTATGGGATTATGTCGATGGACGGTGCATCAAGACTTACCAGGGCCATATGAACCGGAAGTACAGTCTTTCTGGCGGGTTTGGGAAATACGGATTCCCAGGAATCCCGCCTGATGCGTTCGCCGTGAGCGGGAGCGAAGATGGGTCGATCCTCTGCTGGGATGTGGTCAGCAAGAAGATACTACAGCGGATCGAGGCACATACCGATGTCGTTCTGGGGTTGGACACGTGCGAGATCAACAACAAGCGACTCATGGTGAGTTGCGGGCTAGATCGCACGGTGCGAGTATGGGAGGAGGTTGAAGAAACCGATGAACAACAAGAAACCGGAACCGAGAATCAAACCGAGACACAGCCAAATGGGACAGGGGAAGAAGCCGAACAGTCAAATATAGAAACTGTTCCGCAGACAAATGGCGCGGACGATATCCCCATGACCGACGCAGTTGAGCCTGAGGTTGCGGCTGCGCCTGAAGCAGCAGCAGGAGCTGAAGCCGGCGATGAGATGATGGAATGATACGATTCTGTTCGATTCGATTACATTACAATAACTTGTATCTGAGAAAAGGGATACCCTGGTCACCTGGAGTTTGGAGTTTACGATAGTGGTTACTATCTACCTTATTCTTTGTATTCTACGTCTATATAATTCCGCATATGACACTATACTGCATCTACCTATATCTACATCTACAGCACATTCCATATACAGCAAGACGGAAGATACCATAACAAGATATACAACCGGATATCCACAATATAGCAAAGCCACGGAACACTCTCTGGGCAGGGTCTGGCCTGTCTATACAACTCCACAGGAGGTACGGAGTATACATCCACAGTACATCCACAGTCCGTATAGCAGAAGTAGTATCCATGACTAAGTCAACCACGAAATGAAGAAAACAGACACCATAAATCATCCATTTCAAACAATAAAATAAGTCATAAAACAATGTCACAAGACCCCCACCACCAATCACCGCCAATCCTCATTTCCAAATATACCACTCAACCATGGATCAACAGCCAGGAACAATCAGCTGAACCAGCTAATCCCTGCTGGAAGCTGTACCCTGGATGTTGCAATTGGCGGGGTTGATGCAATCCATGTCACAGAATCCAGAGCCATCCATGGTTCAGGAAATTCAATCCAGGCGGTCTTTCACCCCTGGCCAAGACACCGAGGATTCCGATTCTGTTGTATTTCTGTGTGATTCTGTGCTAAAGCAAACTAAGAGGGACTAAGGGAAAAACTGTACTGTTAGTGTCAGTCCAAGTAGTTCTAGATGTGTCTAGATGTGTCTTTTATATACTTTTTCATTGTGTAGCGTCTAGAGTGGAACTCAAATATTTACTTGAAGAAGATTAAAGAAAGAATTCACATGAATTGATTCAGTTCGGATGATCACATCCTAAATACAGACCACCTCTCCACGGTACGCCCCTTGGGACGCCAAAAAAAGAACGAATACCATAACTCCTATCCTATCCATCCCGTCCGTTCATTCATCAGTTAGTAGACTAAGTCCACTCGCTTAGGAGAGGTAGGCCTGGCCACTCTCGCTAAGACCGTTTCCACTCAACAAGTATCCGTCCTTGCACATGTAGTAGGCATATCGGGTCACGGTATCCTGCGATTCCAACCAGGGCACGACTTCAGCGAGGAACTTGGCGGACTTGGAGGTCGACCCGCCGTTGAGGTCGCTGTTGAGCGCGAATTCAGTCACCCAGACTTCGTCCATGTTGTTGTTCTTCGCGAGGGAAATGGCATCGTTGACGAACGACTTGAAGTCGTCGGCGGACTCGCCGTACCAGTGCACGGCGAGTCCGCTGAGCTTGCAGTCCGAGCACTGGTTGAGGAAGCTCTTCATCCAGCTCAGTCCCATGTTGTCGCTGCCGCTGTTGGTCACGGACGGGGACACCAGCTTGGCCTTGCCGGAGTAGGGGGTGATGTGGTTCTTGTATGCGGAAGCGGCTTCATCGGCGGTCATCGAGGCCTGCGACGACATGTCGGGCTCGTTGAAGCCCAGAATGTACTTGCTGCCGCTGGAGAGGGCGGTCTCGATGGCCACGGCCCATCCGCCAAACATCTTGGCTCCCCACAGCATGGGGACGTACTCGATGTCGCTGGGGAGGCCGCCGTTCTTGGCCATGTTCCAGTCGTAGGCCCATCCGACAGTGCTGTTGCTTCCTGACAGGACGTGGACGAGAGAGGCGTCGTTGTAGGCAGCACCACGCTTGCCTCCGGAGGAGGACGAGGAACGCTGGTGGTGGAAGTGCGAGTGGGACATCTTGTGGGGGACAGCCAGGGCCGAAGTAGCCAAAAGAGCGGCCGAGATGAGCTGAGTGAAAGAAACCATTTTGAAAGTGGTTTTGAATAGAATCACAAGAGAATGGATTTTTTGTAGTTTTGGAAGGGAATCCGAGAAGACCTGTTCTCGAGGACTCTTAAAGGACTGTAAAGTGCTATAAAAGCAACAGAAACAGCAGAAGAAAAGAATGAGACGACCGTGCACGGCAACAGGTCAGAAAGAAAGAAGGTGTGGGAAAAAAGAAAGGAAGACTTGTGATGGATGAAAGAGGAAAAGAAAAAAGGAGCAGAACGTGGGAGAAGAAGAAGCTATAAATGCCAGGCAGCGGAGGGCGTCAATAATGGACGGATTATTGAATAGCGGCAATCCATGGGAGCGAGAGTGGGGCAGACAGATGCAGCAGTGGTACGCCAGGATAGTCCAGTGTACACAGTGTTGGTACGCCATAGTGGTGTTTGAGATGTCAGATGAGTGAGATTTCCGATACAGCTCTGTAACACTTGCCACTCATCAGCCAGAGAATACGTGAATTTAGACTGATTATGATCATCATAATCAACAATTGAGAATAATACTGACCAGAAAATAATACTCAAACCTCAAAGTAAAGAATGACCTGTCAGAAGAACAGCTGGGTGGGCGCGAGTGGCTCCACCAAGAGTACTCGGAGTATCGCTCATCTTGGCTGTAAGGACTGCCAAATCCCATCATCTCGGCCCAATATCGTCTTCAATAGTACCAGTCCAACATCTCCTCTTCCATTCGTCTTCTATCCTCCTTCGATCCATCCTATATCCCATCCAATATGATCTCCCACTAGATCGATCGGCTAGACTCTCTTCGACACTCTCTTCTGCCCAGCTAGCGCTGCGCTAAGGCAGCGCTAATGCTGCTCCCACAGTGCCTTGCAGCGGTTCTCTTCCTCTGCATTCCCATTCGCCACTGCCCTCTCGGCCTGAAACCGTTCTTCTTCGGATGACGTGGAGTGGCTTACCTTTGTCCCTCTTATTGGCGTCGCTCACCATCACCGCCGGTTGTGCGCTTCCTTTTCTGCTCGTCTTGCCACGGCGCTGAAGAGTTTTCCTCTTGCTGATTCCGTGGTTGACGTGGATGTGGATGTGGTTGTGGACGGTGGCTGTTTCAGACTTTGAGCAGGGATGTCATGACGAGCGACAGCTTGATTGGTGTGCCTGGACTGTCACATCTGCCACTGCTGGCCCTACCACGGCTGCTGCTGTTCTGGAAGGGGCGATGTACTGTGTGTGTATCTGTACAAAAAAGACGCATCTCCACGGGCACTCATTCGTCGGGGTATCACTTGTTCCTGGCGTCGGTCCATGGCGTACAGATCGGGAGATATCCGGTGGGCTCGCCGGGATGCGGAATGGCAAAGGACTACCGATTCTGATAGCCAGTTAGTGATAGTCCATGTAGGTACACCGTAGTTCTAGGAATGCCCAGAATGCCCAGTGGTTTCGGGGAAGTGGTGGTTGCATACGGGCAAAGACTGTGCATCCATCGGGTATGACTGTATCACAACGGCTGTCTGTCTGACAGCTGACCGCAATCCCATATCCATCAGTTGAATGCCAATGAAGTCATCCTGCGTCATGCAGCTACAGTCATCAGCGTCGGTCAACTAATCCAGAAGTCACCTGCATCTTCACATTCTTACCTGTAGATAATGAACTCCCTCGAAGCGGTCAGGAACCCCAGTCGGATGTCTGTCGTGCATCGTTTGTATGTACCTAATCACACTGAAGGAACAAAAGTCCTTCGTCAGCAAAAAATCGCTGGTAAGGTCTTCCACCGTCATCGCAGATCAAATCCCGGCCAACAAAAAACCAACCAACTAGCTAGCTAACTAACTAACTATCTATCTAAAAGCTAACTAAAACTAACTAAGCCAGGATGTCTATTCATCCCGCTGTTTCCAGACAGGAGAGCTCAATCTTTGCTGCCCAAAGAGAGACTTGCAGGACAAGCAGCAGAGCCACCAGAGTCGAACTGCATAGACTGCCATGATATCGTCTGCCTTCTACCTGCTATTTCTAGACAGGAGAGCTCAACTGCTTCAGTTTCCCAAAACACGTCAAGAATAGCGGGACAAGTAGCAGAGCCACCAGAGTCAAACCGCAGACAGCGATGTGCAACGCGCCTATTCTACCCACTGTTTCCAGACGGGAGAGCTCAACCTTGGAAGCCCAAGAGTCAAGACTTGCAGGACAAGCACCAAGTGCCAGAGTCGAACTGCATAGACGGTGCAGAAAAAAATGGGGGGCCCTGAACACAATCTGAACTATTCTTCCTGGCGTTTAAACACAGGAGAGCTCAATCTTTGCTAGGCAAAGAGAGTCTTGCAGGACAAGTGGGGAGCCACCAGAGTCAAACCGCATAGACAGAGTTGGATGGGTGAATGCAAAGAGTGGGGATACAGAGTGCAACAGGATAAAGAACAGAACGATAAACAGAAAGAAGAAAAAGAACGAAGAGAGTGAAGAAGAAAAGCAAGAAAGATGAGAGGAAAGAAAAGAGGGTATCGCCAAATGCCACTTCCTAACACCAGAGACGCTCGGGTTCTTACCTGGACGAGAGCTGGGAAGAACCCAGTACTGCGAGGCCAGCTCAGTTGAGATGAGAAGGATGTCAAGATATCAGTGAGATGGTTGAAGAGGGTGTAGATGGATGAGAAGGATGAAGTCTAGGAAGGGGAGGGATAGGAGGATGGGAGAGAGGAGAGAGGAGAGAGGAAGTTGGGAGAAGAGAAGAAGTGAAAGAAAGAAAGAGAGGGAAAGAGGAATGTATCTTCAGTGTTGTGGGAGAAGGCACCAGGGCTTGAGTCGAGGCAGCAGTGAATGAAGGCGAGATCAAAATGAGCTGATCGATGAACAGAAGGATAGACAGCAGCAACAGAAAGAGATAAAATGAGATAGAAAGAGAATAAAATGAAATAGGCAGATATCAGGACATGAATTCATCTTACAACACTACTTTAGATTTGGTATCAGTTTACTATCAATATATCCTCAGTCTCTGTTTCTCCCCTCCAGAACGCCCATCACATCAGACGCACTGTCCTTATCGCCCTTTCTCTTCTTCGGTCCTCGCTTCCTCTTATTCCCCCCGCGACCTTCTTCGAAGAACACAGTCTCTTCGTCCTCTTCATCTTCATTGCGACTACCGCCAAAGCCCATGTCCATATCCATCGCGTCCTGCGCATCCCGGCGTCGTGCTTCTTCGAGGAATTTCTTTTGTCGAAGGAGTGAGTCCTTGTCGACGTCATCCCCTTCTGCCTCACCAGACGGTGATGTTTGTCGTAAGGCAGCCGCCCTCTTCAAGGCAGCCAGGATAGTGGGATCCTTTGTGAGAGGGTTAGAACGGTCTTGAGGTTCAGATTCCACGGTTGTCGGGGTTGAAAAGTAATTGCGCGGCCTGGATGGTTGGGTGGCTGGTTTCTGATCACTTTCGCTGATAGACGCCTTCTCTGCAGGTTGACTTCGTGCCTCGGGCACTTCTCCGTCCTCGTCAGACTCGTCAGATGAAGACCCATCTCCTATGTCTGCCAAAGGATTATAGTCCGCACCAACACCCGCGAAGATATCATCATCCTCATCCTCTGGGAGAGGGGCTGCTGCTGCGGCCTTGGCTGCGATTTCAGCAGGCACTTCCATACCCAGCGGCTTTGCGTCCTTGTCAGGAACCAACAGTCCAGCATTCCCATTCGACTCGCCGGGTTTATCCAACCATCTGGTCTTCCTCTTCGTGTTCCCTTGGGCGTCTGTGATGACCAGGACTTCTCTCCGTCTACCATTCTCATCTTGTTCGACAAACCGTTTCTTCTCCGGCTTTGACTCTCCAAACTTTTTGAATTTAGCCCCGAGCTCTGGCTCTGCAGGCCGAGGCGGTTGTGCCGCAGCAGCCGCTCGGCTTGCTTTGAGCTGTTTCAGAATCTCATCTCGAGACCTCTTCCCTGCAGGAGCCGGTGGAGGTGCCATAGACCCTTTCTTTTCCTTCTTCTCTTTTGGTGCTGTGGGAAGAACACCCTTCTCTTTCTCATCTAGCATACGGTCAAACTCATCATCCACGTCTTCCACCGTCTCGGGAACTTTCTCCTCCACCGCTGGCTTCTCAGCCGCCTTCGAAACATCGTCACCAGCCTTGACACGCTTTAAAAGATCCCAATCCAAGCCCTTAACCATATGTGTACTTTTCGTATCACCGCCGACTCCGAGGTCCCGTCGTAACTTGTCAAATGTAGCTTGGTCGATCTGACCCAACTTGACCATCTCCTCGAGCGCTTGAATCCGCTTCTCGATATCCTCTCCACCCTCATCGGTTGTTTGCCGTTTTTGCGCGCGGTCTTGGTAGCCGGTGGGTAATTTGGTGCCTTTCGGAGCTGCAGTGGACTTGAATCTCTTCGAGGGTGGCTGTTCCGAGTCGCGACGTTGTTCAGCTAGTTGACGTGCAAAATCGGCCCCCGTAACTGACCGTCTGTTAAAATAGTTAGCTACATATTGTACTAGTAGTTGACTTGATGGGTGGGTAATACGTACGGTGTCATCGGGATACTCGATCGCATTCTTGACCCCAGCATCGCACCGGGCGTCGCACCACCATGTCCTCCATCTCGACGGGACGGTGTTTCGCTCGATCCTGACTTCTTGCCACTCGACGCATTGTCGACCAGAAGCCGACGAAATTGTTCGTTGTTCATGGCGTGTCGATTGTCGGCGAGTCGGAGTTGGAGTTGGAGAAAAGCAGCGATGATTTTATGACGGCATAAATGGTTCTTGGCACTACACCACCATCTGTATACGACAGCTCTACCGCATTCTATCTAGCATATCGATATTCGATATAGGGAGAAAGTGAATATTATAAAGAATTTGTCTGCCCGGAATTGAATGCTATCAAATCATTCCTTCCTATCTTCATATCCTCCGTGAATCAACAGTGACTCCTACTATTTAAGAAGCACTCTGCATCTCCGTTTATCAGTCCACCATCTACTCCTTCCACACCTCGAAAATTGTCTTTGATTGAAAGTACCTATTATCACACAAACGTCCAACATACGGAAATAGGGTCTGCTACAGCCTCTATTAATTCAAAAGGGGGTGTTGCCATATCATACACCAACCCCAGATGCGCGGAAGAGCTCCAGTATAGGGGCATTGTTCGATCGAACGACTTCCCAAATAACCGGGATAAGATGAATCCTCTGTCCCAATCTGTCGATTGCTTTAATGCTGTTCGAAACATTTTTTTCGACTCAAGACAAAAGCACTGAACAGACCCTGTTGACCCAGCGATGCTTAGAGATGCATACTACAACATCTGCAAAGATCTCGATGAGCTGCGTTTCAAAGTTGATCGCGAGATATTCGTTTGGAAAAACGTGTTCAGCATCAAAGACGAATCAAGCCGCCATTTGGCATTGCATTCGTATATCAAGATGTCAGACTGAGACTGGCCACCAGAGTGGTGAATTTAGAATATCTCAAAGAAGCCGTCTGGACGTACCCTCTGGTCTATGGTTGTGACCCAATCCCAGTGCCAACAGATGAGGAGATAAAGAATAAGTATAAGGACAAGAAGCAGCCCCTCTGACAGCGGGCATACCTGAACACCAAGCAGAATAGATGGGTGGATCACCTAGATGGTCCAAAGTCTCATCCTAGACAAAGTCTCACCAAGGAGATCGCACAGATTGTGTGCCACTGGGCCTGAAACATCTACGAAAACCGAACACCGGTCGACCGTGGCGAAGCAATGGTGTATAGAAGACGTCCATGCGTGGGAAAACATTGTAGGATCTTTTCGGAACGCCACTGATCTGGCGGTCCATATGAACTAGACCAGAAAGGCCTGGATTGGCGGATAGAATCGAAGCTGTCGAAGGGGATATCACCTTCAAATTTATTATCTCTAACAAAAGATTCAAACGTACAAGAAGCACTCTGCAGCAAGATCTACAGAGCAAAAGGCCGAGGCTTGGAAGAAATAATTGTCCACGGACAGGATCACTACTGGCATCATCAAGCTCTAAATATCATCAAGTTCATTCATCCGAACCATGTACATAATAAATATCAAGAAAAAAAAAATAAGAAATATGAATCAAACATGAAGAGATTGCGACAACCTCTAATCATCGTAGCGGAGCGCTTATCATCATCAAATCCCAAAAAACTTCTTTTGGACTCCCATAATATTTAGATGAATTAACACTGTCGTTCAACTTTTATTTTAGATCGTTTCCCATCCCCCGTTGTTGATGTCTGCTTCCAACTTTCGGCTGACCGTCGCCGGAATGCCATGCGACAGCCACACGTCACGAAGAAGTCGGTCGTATCGTTTTTGGTTGAGGATGAGCTGGCGGTTTCGTCGAAGGCCAGGGTCGACTTCGCCATGACGGTCGAGATACGGTGCGTAGTGCCATGAGCCGTTGTGCTTGTGAAGGTAGAGAACGGTGCACTTGCGGATGTTGATGAAAAGACCAATGTTCTTTCCGCATCTGAATGGCAGTCTTTGTTAGCAGCGCTTCGATGTTAAGTGACAATAAGTGATACATACTTCCGGAGATGCTGGTTGCATCCGCCCATCTTGCGGTCCATGCAGCACACGGCTTGCGAGCAGAAGATGTCGCCACAGAAGAGACAGATACTCGGGTCACTCAGCTCCTTCTTGGAGTTGGGGCAACGTCTCCGGTTTGCCTCTTCAATCAAACTATCATAGTACTTCGGTAGGCCGACAAGCTCGAAGATTGCCGGATGGGCAAGGCTCGGCCACGGCTTGTGATCGGCAACGCGGACTTCCGAGCGAGAGACATTCCAGTGGAAGATCCATCCCGATACCACTGCATCAAATGGGTTTGTGTTCTTGTTGGCAGGGTTGACGGAAGCAAAGACCTCATCCAGCGACGGGAGACGCAGCACCTTCGTAAGACGGTCGAGCTCCGATGCGTCTTCGTCGTTGAAGCCAGTGTTGGGGAATTCGACGCCGTGTTGCACGTGGAGAAGAATCACTGCCTTACGAAGGAAGGTCAACGCATAGCTTGAAATCAGACGTCTCAATGCGATGATGACGCCTGGGGTCGCCGACTCCTCATCCTTCACATAACCACTCTCTGCGGGGAACGATGTGCTTTCCCCTTGTCCTCTGAGCTCCCCAACAATAGAATCAAAGAAGTGTCGAATAACTCCGTATCGCTCATCCGACAACTCCACGTCCATCAAGTAATGTGCGTCTCCATGCTGAGCCAACTCCTGCTTCAAACCCGACGGTGACAGAATGTACGTAACAGCAACCTTGACAATCTCAGCCACGTAACACATCTGAATCAAATGACGGATGTCGATGTTCAGGACACGCAGGAGTGAAAGCGAGCATTCAGATAAGAACACAAAGCTATCTCCTGCAAGGAGAGGCTCGATCTCGCGGAGATCACCCAGCAACGCTCTTCCAGTTAGGCATGGGTGGCCAACAAGCAACTGGCATATCTTCTGACGGTGGATTTCCTGAAATTCCTCAACAGAGTGGCCGTTAGAGTCACCGATATCATGTAGACACCCAACTGCGGCGTAAGACAGTGCCGTCTCAGCAAGCACACGGAGATGTGTGAGAGTCAGCTGCGGGATCTTTTCAAGCAAAGTAGAGCCAGGCTCCGATTCTACCCCACGCTGTGAAATCTCGACAGCAGCGATGCTGAACCCAAAGCTGCGAGCCAGCGAGTCAGTGTGGATCAATTGGGGCCCGTGGATAGACTCTGGAGGATGATTGAAAGTCGAAAAGATATGGTTCAAACGCAACGTCTTCTTGAGTCGCTCATAGATCTGAAGAAGCTCCGACATGGGACTGTCTCCGGGAGTGGAGACCTGCTGGAGCGGGCTTGTGGCAGTAACGTCATCAGCACTTGGGAAAAGACCGGGCATCGGCATTCTTGCGGGCGGGAAGTGATGCACAGTCGATGGAACAGAAGCCGTCTTGAGCTGGTCTATCTTGGTAGAAAGAGGAGGCACCAATGTCTTTGATAAATAATCGGTGAACAGTTCCCGGTAAGGCTGTGGCTGCATCTTGTCATGCTCTCCAAGAGCAGTATAGTTTGGTGCCTGCGACAGAGCAGACTTGATATCGGTGTTCATGAACTCTTCAAAAGACACGGAAGTGGATAGTGGACCGGGGTATGACTCCTCCTTGCCCTTCCAGACAATGGGGAGGAACGAATTGCCCAAAGCCTTGCAAAGAGGACAGACAAACTCTTGCAGAACCAAGCGCTCGGGATGGTTGCGAGCGATTTGTTGAGTGTGTCGCCTTTGAGTCGCAGTGTAGTAGACCTCAAAGCATGAATAGTGCATGATATGTCCGCAACCAGTTGTAACAGGTCCATGCATGGTGTTTTTGGCACTGAACCCTTTGCTCAAGCCAACCTTCTCACTGATGACCTCTCCACCAGTAGAGTCCAATCTGCGCACTGTAGTGCGGTTCTCGCCTGCAACTCCGAATGGGCGAACTTCATCGGCGGACTTGTCCAGGGTGGATGGGGTCTTGAGGGCTTCTCTAATCCAGTCTGGGTCACTTGTATCGGTTTGCCTCAGGATATTGCTGTCCTGTATCAAGGCAAATGTACCATAGAGCCTTGAGTCGTTGGTTTCCTCCTGGCAAAGAATACAGGTGCCACTGGGATATTTCCAGACCTTCGCCTCAGGGGCCGCCTCTGGCTCCGACTCGAGGTCACTAAAGTCTTCCTCTCCCCAGTCAATACCACCCTGGCTATTCAAGAAGTTCTGCTGTTGCTGCTGGAACTGGGCCATGACTCTGGCTTGCCGTTCCAGGGCCTGCTTCTTCTTGAGCTCCTTCTCATTATCGGTATCAATAGCAGGAGAGTTAGTATCAATCCTGTCGAAGGGGAACCGGAGGGAAGCGGTTGCCGAAGTGTATGCTCGAGGTCGCTTCTGCCAGAGTCGTTTGAGGATGTGACGGATCTTGGGGCCACAAGCGGAGAATTCACCCATGACGGAGATCTTCTCCAAAAGACTAATAATAGTCAAGTTTCCGGCTTGCGTCATCCTGGCCTTGGATAGTGCATGAGACACAAAGGACCGGGTGGAATCCTCGGAAATGTCATCTTCTTCAGTCTTGTCTTCCAGTGTAGCTGCCAGGATCAAATGCAGAATAACTTGTAGGAAAGTTTCGACCCGTGTGGAAGGAATGTTTGGAGTGCGGTCTTTCGACGACACCACATAGTCAAGACATTGGTGCACAACTTGAGCAAACAACAGTGTCCTTGTGAAGCGAGGAAGGTCCGAGAAGGCTCCGGCACTGATAGGCCGCAGTTTGGGTTCGAAAACAATATCCGATGCCTTCTTTCCGGTCTTCTTGGCCATCCACTCCTTATAAATGTTCTCTGCCTCATCGCGCTGGTTCTTGGTGTAGTGTGCACTGTACGGATCAATGAGATCGATATATTCAGGCTTGAGTTCGAAGGTACCGGTGTCGTTCAACCCCTCAGGTGGTCGGAATCCTGCGACCTCCTCCAAAACATCTTGGAACATATCCGAGTCAAGCAGCTTGTCACTAAGGCGGGTTGAAAGGTCAGAGAAGGAAAGCGGCTTGAAGCACAGCACGTGGGCAATGTCTCTGCTGATGTTTTCACGAGTCAAAGTATCGCTATCATCAAAGGCAGTGAGGGAAGTTCGATCGGTCAACAGGACGACGAGCAGATGAACGAATTCTTCAGCCACATCAAGAATCTGGGTGTCCTCGTAGCCAGGACGGGGCATGTAGTTCCGGATCATCCAGTCAGCCATTCCAAACCTGTCAGCAATAGATGCGAGTACCCTGCTGGGGTCACAGATAACCAGAGCGGTTTGGAGAAGGAAGATATCACGATAGTACGCAAAGTCGCGAGACGAAACTCCCCTGTATTGTGACATCTGATGACGAAGGCTGAGACCGTTTCGAACCCACATCCCAGCTTTCATCTGCGCGAGCCAGGCACAAACTCGGAGGGGGTAGTCAAACATGCTAAGAAGCAAGTCCTCTGGAGTAAGTTGGCTATCGTGAATGCACTTGTCATTCGCTGTCTGAGCTGCGTCCAACAGTACATCGCGCATCAGATCACTGCTCACGCTACGACCACATTCAATAAGCCACGAAAGGGTGTAGTGCAAAGCATGATGGAAACTGATCGAGCCGCGTTCGACAACAAAGTCCACCACACGATGACGGGGAATCTGGCCAGAGTGGTCGACCTCAAAATCGAAGCAAGGCAAAGATTTAAACCGTACGTATTCCTTGATCTCAGCCTGGTCGAAGCGTTTGCGCTCCACGCCAGTAGAGTGAACAATTGCGGCTATGGTTGCTACCTTAATGGCCCTCACCAGGTTCTGACCATTGTCGATTTCAGGCTCACGGAAGGCCTCGCAGAACTGGCGACACAGACGGTTGATTTCGCGCATGAGTATTGATGCGCTGATCCAAGCGTCCGTTTCGTATTCCACGTGCTCTCCGACGGCCCGTACATTGGGACAAATTCCTTGAGACAATTTGACAAGATCAAGGAATTGAGACAAATATTGATCCTCGGTTCGTACACGGTGTTGCACGTATTCGGACTGAAGGAGATAACGGAGATCCAGGAAGAAGTGATAGAGGCGTCGGTTCGTCACAGATCCAGCATCAAATGCCAATGTCGCATTAGGGTTAACTTCATAGGGTTCACCAACCTGCCGGGTAGTCAGGAAAGTATAAAGAATGGCCATAACCTTAGTCAGGAAGTTTCCACGCAAGACAATCTCTTCTGTGATAGAGGGTGTTGTGAGAAGTTGTAAGGACAGATTGACAATAGAATGATCCGGCTCTCGATCTGCGATCAAATATAACTGTGCCAGAGCGGTATACAGCGCGGACAAGCGCAGGCCCATAACTCGCTTGAATTGAGGAACGTTGACCACCGTTCCGATATAAAGATCGCGGAGATCTGTTCGTGTCTTTTTCCAGAGCCGTAGATCGAAGAGAACCATCCAGTCGAGCCGGGTCCGCTGCCACAGATCCTCGTAAACCGGGACCTTTTCACCCTTGGCAGGAACAGAAGGCTTGACTTGCCAGTGGCCCGGTGTCTTTGCGGGGGATGGTTTTACAGTTCCTGTCGGAGTCTTTGGGATAGAAACATAAGACATGGTCCCATACTCGCGGTTGTCACCACTGACAACCTCGCTAGGAGTGGGTTGCTGCTCTTGCTGCTCCTGTGCTTGCAGTTCAGCTTCTTGCTGCTGCCCCTCCTCTTGCTGTTGTTGCGGTTGTTGCAGTTCTTCCGGTTCTTCAGGTTCTTGTTGCCTGTCCGGCACCTCAGGTGGCGTGTTTTCAAAAAAGGCTCGTCGCTGCGCTTGGAGCCCTAGCAGGGCCCGTGTGATATTGAACGCATCCCCTGTATTGTCCATTACCACATCTTCATCCTCATCAGCCTCTTCGTTGAGGCGGTTGATATCAATTTCCATGTCCTCGTCCTCATCGTCAGCATCGTTGGGGCCCTCAATCACGAAATCTTCTTCGTCTTCACCATTCTCTTCATCATTTTCAGCCGGCCCATCGGGGTTAGGTGCCTCCTCCTCCTCATCGTCGTCGTCGTCGTCGTCGTCGGCCGCCAAAACGACCTGTCCCTGGGGCGACACAGTAAGCATGACTGTGCGAAACGGCGTATTCTCGCTTCTTTGATGGTCATCGATGCCCTTCAACCCGATAGCTGCGTTGTAAGCCCCACTCCCCTTCTGCCAGGGACTCAGCACTTCTTCGCAGATGGTGTGGCGCAAAATTTCATTATCCTCGAGAACGCTACACCCAGAAATATCGGCCAGCCATTCAACAATGGTGGCACACATTTGCTCGCGGAAAGTATCACGCGCAGATCGTACTGTGACAGTAACCTTGATCTGCTCAATAATCTTGGACACAGCCAACAACCTTGGCAAATCCTTCGAGTATTTGACGATACTTCGTCCAATGTCATTCGTTTCGTGAGCTCTGTCCAGGCCGAACCTTTCCCGCTCTCGACACGCACGGATGATCTGCTGAGCAACATCCCGGATTGTATGTTTCTCGTCGTTCCAGAGCGCCAGAGCAAATTCCGGCTCTTCCTCCGCCTGGTCTCCCTCGCCATACCATCCAGGGCCTAGCCGAGATTTCTCCTCATCCTGTCGAATCCCATCTTCCGTCTTGGGCAGTCGCAGCTGTTCGGGCGAACACGAAATGACATCACAGAAATAGTCGAGCACTCGAGCGATCGTGAGCTTGATACTATCCACCCACTCCTGCGGCAATTGGTTCCGGGCCCGTTCCTTGCTCTTTGCATCACCGCTGTCTGTGTGGATCGCACAGAACAACGGAAGTCTCCAGGCTTCATCATCCCCGCAGTCACAACAGCCACAATTTCCCGAAGAGAGGGAAATCTGGTACTGGTGCCCCGTATGATCGGACGAATCAAAGCATCGACTGCAAAGCACGCAGGTATCGTCTGCAGCACATGTTACACACCGGTAGGTAGCCTCCCCGGCGCGGAAAATATGACCACATCGCTTGCCCCGGGCAGCTTCACTGTATTCCGCGCCCTCCTTCGCACCTTGAGCTTCGGCTAGCTTCCATGGACCGTCTGGGAGTCCTTCGGGGAATAGCTGACGCAAGTGCTCTTCGTTATTACCGGAGAGCGATCGAAAAAGCAGCTCTAACAAATCTTTCTCCGCCTTAGGTCCATAGCGGTACTCGTGTTTCGAAGGAAGACGGAGAAGGCCTTCACCCAGAATCCTCTCACATTCCGTGAGCATTTTTTATGGCCGTAGATATGTCAGCGCGACACCCATCCGGCAGTTGAAGGACGAAAGAAAAGGTGACTTGTAGGTGGGATGGATTCCCTGTGGCGGGATGCGCGATAGGCGACTAGGATAAGAGGGGCGGAAGAACGGGGGAAAATCGGTCAGGTCGGTCAAGCGGTAAAAGACTAGTTTATGTAGATGATATTTATTTGTGCAGAAAAAGATCTTGGAATACACAATCCTAGAGGACAACCCGCGATTAGTCGGTGTGTTTGAGTCCTCAATCTGTTGTTTCTTTTGTCTCGGTGGGGGGAAGAAGATATGAGAGCCTAGTGATGTGGAAGCGAACTGGAGCTGAGAGAGCCTACCAAACCAACAAACCAGACCTATGGGTCCATCAAACCATGGAGGAATTCCCCTTGGATTATGACAATCAATCCAATATGGGCTGTTTGGCTGGATCGGAAATAATTAAGTGTTATTAAAAAAAACAAAACAGTGAAGGGAGAGAGAAAAAGACTGTTGGGTCCTGCTATGACATCGAACACTGCAAACAGCCGCTGGGGGGAACTAGCGCCACCGCAATGTCATTCGCAGGTGCTGGAGACGACGGCCTCCCCATGACAGAACTGGGATACTCGGGACGATGGATTGTAAAAAAAGTGGTTACAGCTTGAAATTCTATTTCATACAGTCGGGATGAATAAATAACATTGTTGTTCCATCCCCTTTCCCTACCCTTCCGCGTCTTTCAGCAGTGGTATAATATAGCACGGACTGTCTGTCTCCTCAACAGACCCGACGGCTGCTGCATCTTGCCTTTTCCTTGCGAGCACAGTAATTCTCTATTCGTCGTCGTCCTCATCCTCGTCGGCCTTGTTCATGTACAGGTGCTTGATGTCCTTCCATTGGCGCTGTAAGAGAAACCCGTCAGTCAGTCGTCTAGGGGGGAACTTTGGGAGGGATGTTATATTTGGTAACATACGCCGCGGTTCATGGCATCCCAGATTCTGTTGGTGCTAGAGTCGTAGGCACTGTTCCGAAGATGTTGTCAGTGATTTCCTCCGTAAGCTCCGCAGATCAAAACACGCACATCTCGAAAGCGAAAGCACCGGCGAAGATGCTAGTCAGGTAGACAGCATTGCGGCGGATGAGGGATCTAAATATCGCCAGAAACACAGGTTAGTTGGAATTGTTCATCGGTTCCGGTCGGAGAACAGGGAGACATGCTGGTAGAGGAAGTTGGAGATCTGAGAAACAAGTCACCCCCAGTTAGCAATTGGCCACCAAACGAAAATCCAGAAAGAAAACTCACTGCGCCAGCCATGGTGAATAATATGCGTCAAATGACGAGGTCGAACGAGAGGGGGAAGCAGGAACGGCGAGGCAATTGGCAACGTCAAGGTTGAGGCCGGAAGTTGAAGTTTCGAGTTGGCCGGCGCGAAAAGCAGCAGCGGGAATCAGCGGCGCTCTGATTGGCCGGCCGGGTCGGGCCTGCGAAGAGCCTCCGGATTTCCGCCTTTGGGGGGGAAAACGAACAGCAGCCAGAATTGTTCGTGATTCCACTTACCGGCCGTGCTGGGCTACTTTTTTTACTGTTTCTGAGGTGTACTATTCCCTCGGATTTACCACCATTTTTATCACCCGACCTGTCACTCATTCCGCGGAATTCTAGTCATGGCACCGACAAATTCCGGAATCACCACCGACTCTGCGACCGGAGAGCGATTCATCCCCTCTTCAGTGCGCGCTGATGGCACGAAACGTCGTGAAATTCGTGTCCGACCTGGATACCGCCCTCCTGAGGATGTGGAACTGTACAAGAACCGTGCTGCTGCTGCATGGAAAAACCGAGGTAAAGGCGGGGTACCGGGGGCTGAGAGTGTGAGCAACGAGGGGGATCAAGACACAAAGAGCAGCAGTGCTGCCAGCAACAAGAATGCGAAACGCAGGGAAAACAAGAAGAAGGCAAAGTCGGCCGAGGATGGACCTGCTCCTACAAATGGCAAGAATGTCGCAGAACTCGACAACTGGCGCTCTTTTGCTGCTGGTGGAGACAAGAAGAAATCTGATGAGCCGGAGAAGACCACCACTGCCGAACCACCCGTTGATGCTGAAGCTGAGAGTGAGAAGAAGGCGCGCAATCTGAAGAAGAAGCTAAGACAGGCACGGGATCTGCGTGATAAGAAGAACCAGGGCGAGTCCCTCCTGCCTGAGCAGCTGGATAAGATCATCAAGATCAACGAATTAATCCGTCAACTTGACACCCTAGGATTCGATTCGAATGGTGACAAGAAGGGCGAAGCGGAGGGTCAGGACAATGAGAAGGTCTAAGGACAAGACATTTGACTTCTAATCTGATCAGAGATTCCATATCAACATAAGTGTTCGGTTATGGTTTTGTGAGAGTATCTCGTGCACATCATCCACCACTACTGTTGAATGCAGCGAAACCCCATCCACAGGGATCTTGGACAATCTCGATATGGCTTCGTTGTGGTGTTTTGGGGGAATATCCGATGTCCATACGCGCAACATGTTGACAACTCTCTACTCGTCCTCGAGACAGTCCACTCGCTATCCCACCTCCAGATGTGATGCCATGGGCGAAAGCTCGCCATCAGTCTAATTCGGATCAACCTGAAAATCTCACCTTTGCTTAATACCTCATCCGTGCCACTGGCCATCAAGGTTGGGGCTCACAATTAAGATATTAAGATGTGCATAGTACTTGCCGAGAAATGACTGTTATGGTTATGATTTTTCTTTATTATGCCGGGAATGATCTTTTCTGTTCTACATTGGTCAACGAACCAAGTATTTATTTCAAAAAGATTATGTTGCTAGACCTGGTCTCTTCAACTTTTATTGATCTCAAAGTGTAGCCAACCCAAAACATGTATAGTACAAGATTAGATCACTAAGCATTTCAATAAATATGCTTCCGTTCCGTCCTAAACGCTTCAACCCATCGTACAGGCGACGTAACTATTCCTCCCTCCAACTCCCAGTCTTCCCAGCTATATCTCCTCCAGGGACGGTCACTCTCAGCAGCATCGAGCTTCTGGGCACCAACGCCAAACGACGCCGCCAAATATCCCTGCCGGATACAATCCGCAACACCAATGCCACCATACCAGCTTCCGGCAAGAGTAAGGCGGTTCATAAACTCATGACGCACATTCCGTGAAAGCTCATTCATCCGATCCAGATGCCCAACTGTGTACTGAGGGATTGCGTTGCGCTGGAGTCGGCTGCGTGCGATTGTAGGCTGGTCTGTGATACCAAGATGTCTCTCGAGGAGAGACTGGCACATGGAAACGGCCGTGTCGTGATCGGGATAGTCTGATTCCTTCCAGTCGTCCCACCAGTGGCCGCCCATCATCACCGTCAACTTAGTACCCGGGGCGGTATCCTGACCGACACTTGAATCGGATGCGAAAATCACCCCCAAGGCCCGCTCGGGGTTTTGTTCGAATGGGATTGATCGTGGGATCAGGTAGCCAAAGCCTTTAACGGGAACGAGGTCCGGGTTCGGGTAGTACAAGTTTATAACCATGACAGTAACAGCATAGTTGTGATCTTGAAGGTTCTTGATTGTCCTGTGGGGAACTTGCTGGTTGTTCCGTAGGTTATGACCAAGTTTATTTGCCAGGTCTGGGGCAGAGTTCGTGGCAACTACCCGGTTATGTGTTTGGGACTGGTTGTCTCCATAGCTGATCTGTAGAATGCGTTAGTCGAGGGAAGATGGCATATTAGGTGACGGGTAACCTACAGTCAAGTCGGAGGTATTTGGGTCCTGGTCAATAGCCTTGACCTCTGTCTCCGTGATGACATTGACCTTGTCAGACTTGTTCAACGCAGCCGCCAACCCATCAGTCAGCTGGCCTACGCCATTTTTCATCGTCAAGACACTAGCCCCATTCACAAGTGTTTTCAGACTCTTCCAGTATGATCCTCTCTTCTCCTCTGCTACAGAGTGCAGCGCTAGCAGATCATCCATAAGAATAATCTTCAAATCCGAAGTCAAAGAGTGCAGCAAAGACCCAAGCACCCGACGGTCGTGAGATTCAAAGTCCCGGTAACTTCCCATCAACGTCTGCGCGCTCATCCGGTCAATATCCCCTGCGTAAATGCCATGGTATAGGGCCGAGACCAGATTATCGGCGATTTGCGGACTGAAGCGACGCGATACAAAGTCCGCAACGGATTCGTCTCGATTGTAGATCGTCTCGTCCGAGGGCACTTTCATCGGCTCCAAAATAACACTCCGTATGAGACTTTCAAACACCGGCTCATTTTTAATACTATTAAATATCGACAAGGCATTCGTAACGAAGCCAGCATCAGGGCTCGGCGCGGGCATGCGAACAAGGTGGTCGGGGTAATAGATGTAGCGATTGGAGGCCGCGGGGGACTTTTTGCTCGTCAAGAGAATCTCATCGTGCAGGTCTAAGTCAACCAGCTTTCAGTATCAAAATATATTAGCTTCTTTGCTCTGGTTATAAGTGAAGAAGCAACGCCCTACCAAGTCGAGAAGAGGCAGACACGAAGGTACCGCAGCCCTCAAGGTCCGCGGACCATATTCAAACACAACCTTGCCATCATCGACTGGGATCGTTTCCGAATTAATCCAACCCCCAATGCGAGATGATTTCTCATACAGCGTCACCTGCGCACAGGATGGATCCTGCGACAGCCGGAAAGCTGTGGTCAAACCGGTGATGCCACCACCTATGACCGCCGCATCGTACGGCTGGGTGTGCTGAGCGCGTCTCTGGCCATGGCGAGAGAGCACCAATGGCGTCCGGACTGCTTTCAGTGCACGGCTATGAGCCCATGGTAGCCGCATCTCAGCAATAATGGCACGGGGAGATTATTGAAAGATGGTGAAGGCGGCATGGTGTCGATGGGAAATGAGGGTTGGAGATGATCGAGAGTTCCGATGGCCGGGGGGCGTAAAATTACCAGGTAACGTTACAATCTACTTGCGCACTCCATCAATTGGATCTTGGAGATTATTATCAGAGGAAAGAATGAAAACAGGCTTCTCATGATATCCAGATTCTATTTACAAATTAAACATCATACTCTTGTCATTTCCGTTGGCAAAATCAAAACAAATGTAACGCCCTTCCTACCAGCCGCCATCATCCACGGACGGAATAATACATGGAAAAATTAAACCCAAGGGGAATTTTTAAATATCTGACACCCGAATATATCATGATGTGAGAAGAGAAAGGAAAATAAGATGGGCTCTGACCTCATGTCGCAACCTCCTGGTTTTGAGCATCGTGGGCATCGTTAGGAGCGTCAGGCTTGATTAATTCCTCCGTACCTTCATCCGCCACAAACTTCCGTTCACTGACATGAGATTGCTCTCCTGCAGTCCACACCTTGTCCCCAAAAGTGCCTTTTTGGCCCTCTGCATGCTTGTATGTGCAATTGGGGTTGAGGCACGGGTTGAACTTGCAAGGTACCTGGACATGTGTGAATTTGCAGTCCTCTGCAGAGCAGTCCGCGCCGTTGCGACACAAAGGCATCGAGGGGTGTTTGAAGGAGCAATGGGGGTTTGCACAGTGGGGGAAGAATTTGCAGAGCTCTTCGGCTTGGTGTGCGGATTTGACGGCGGGAGAGGGATGACGTCCAGTACACTTTCTGTTCTTGCACGCTGCTCCAAAAGTACACTGGTCTGCTGGATCGATTGGAGCACCCTCGGGGGCAGCCGGTGACTGGTGCGCGAAGGGACAATCTTTCCGCGTGCATCGGAGATTCCACCGGCATACATTGTCGGTATTACTCTCGTCCTGTCCTCCATCTTTGGCCATGTCCATGTCAACATCGGTATTCTTTTGAGCGTTTTGGTGTCCTCGGTTGAAGGACCGCTGTCCCTGGCGTTCAACTCGGTCAAACAATGAGCGTCCTTGTTGAGGACCGTTCTGCTGGAAAGCCGGATTTATCGCGGGCGGAACGAATCCCGGCATAAACTGTGCCATCATTCTTGCTTGTTCTTCAAGGAGAGACATGAGGTGCATCTGATCGTTGGGGTTCATGTTCATCAGGTTGCCCGCGGCACCGGCCATTTGGTTGCCCATACCCATACCACTCATTTGCCGTCCACCGGACATTCTGCCACCATTCTGATTGAATCGGCCACCCTTCATGTTGTCTCTACCATGGGAGTTGATTCGGCCACTGCCACCTTGCCCACGGACACGATGCAGCGCCGAGTCATTGCGGTCCATCGACCTATTGATTTGGTTAAGCATCCTCCCTCTACCACCTGGTCGGCCGTTGCGCATGGCTTTCGGCCCGGTCGGACTATTGATCTCCAAGTTAGCTCGAGCGACAGATAAGGTCCTCGGTGGAGGGACGGGAACCCACATGCTATCACCTCCTGCATCACCCATGTCTGCATCCATCGCACTATCGGGGCCCGGCGCTTGGGCCATATCTTGATCGGTAAAAGAGGGAATGGCCTGCGCGGACGCAGGTTCGTTTGATGCCGGGGCACCTCCGCCATTGATCTGTCGGTTGAGATTGTCGACCTGTTCGAAAAGCCACCGAGAGAAATCCAAAGCCTGTGTATCACCTTCGCCCAGTCCCAAAAGATCGTTGGAAAGTTCGCCGGCAATTTGTTCCTGGGTCTTGCCGTTCACAAGCATCAAAATCACATATTCGGTCAAGGCTGAATCGTCGCCCCCATCGGAGCTCCATCCCATTTCCACCAGTTTGGGCTGAATCACACCACTCAGGGCCTCCGCAAGGGGAGTACCGACGGCCACCACGGTAGTCATGGCTGGAATCGCGACGATCGAAGCTTGGTGAGGCAAAAAAAGACAAACGAAAGGACTCTAGTGTAACTCGATTCCCGCGCACTTGTCTGTCGACAATTTGGTGACAACCCCTGACCTGGTAACGAAAGAAGTATCCGGATAGACAAAAAGATCACCGGATGTGATCACACGAGGAGGGAGTTGCGAAGAGATAAAGGGCAGTGTTTTGGCACCTGAACCGCAGAGAAACTTGGGCGATGATGAAAGCCGCTGGAGGCGCCAAGATTTGGACCAGCCACAGTCACGTGCACGTGGCATGAAGCTGAGTCATCGGGCAAATGGAGCAAACACCTCGTTTCTACAACACAGACACCAGCAACCATCACCACGATATGAGCTTCTCTTCAGTTGACAATTGATTGTCTATTGAAGAAATGAAAGGCTGCAGATCCTGAGATCTAGTACTTTCTCATTTACCCAATCCGCATCTACCATAGTACTCAGTCTTGATACCATGTGTCTCTTGCCACCGATATATATCTAAGCCGTCTAGCAATATCGATAGACACTGCTACAAAATTCCAATGAACCTCGCAGTTTGACGGCTGAGTTCTTTCACCACTGTCAGTGTACCCATCGTTCTAGATTATAGAGCCTGATGGTTTCCCCCGGGATTGGCGGACATGACATGATCGGCGTTTGAAACTCAATGGATAGATGTATCAGATCTCGGGGGTCAGATTCATCAAACGATGCGACTCGTGCATCTCCATAGATCTGTTATCGATTCCATAATGCTGCTTCTGTTCACCAGATTCTTGAGGCATTCCATCTCTTCCACGTTCAGACCATTGACGTGGCAATCAATACTTCTCTACAGCTGACCAAGTTACCTTGCAGAAGAAGCGGGGTATAAATCCTGTTATTCATACGCAAGACGGTTGACTCTCTTCACTCCACGAAAAACATAGTGTTTGGATAGGTGACCGAACTCAAACCGTCAAAGTTTCATCTTTATATACATTTGTTGAAATACCAAGGGTCTCAGTGATCATTCCGATCTTTGATACTGGCGTTTACGTTGTCACCATCGCGTGACCCGAACGATCAATGCACCTTTATTTAGAAACACAGGGATCTGGAGTCTTTTAATTTGGAGATACACGTCTCTATAAGTTGGACTGCAATTGTTCATTTGAAGGTCATTTAACATCAACTTTTATATTTCTACCCTTACCTCCGCCCATGATGCCTATCACCCAGCAGACATCTCTATCTAGGACCAACGAATACTATGATCTTGGATCGTTCGGACGAAAGATCAATACCAAAAACGCTGATGCGCAGGCTTGGTTCAACAGAGGCTTAACCTGGGTATATTCCTTCAACCACGAAGAAGCTGCCAAATGTTTCGAGAAAGCCACTATTTGCGACCCCTCCTGTGGTATCGCGTATTGGGGACTGGCATTTGCTTTGGGCCCCAACTACAATAAACCATGGGAGCTATTCGATGAAAAGGATCTTAAGACAACTGTGGAGCAAACATACAAAGCTGCCCGTACTGCACAATCGCTCATCTCGAATTCCACTCCTCTTGAGCGGGGGCTCATCAACAGCATCCAAGCCCGGTATGAGATTGAATGGAAAGTTAGCAAGAAAGACTGGGCATCGCGGAACCGTGCCTATGCTGAGAAGATGGGGTCAGTTTACCGAGAATTTGGCCACGATCTGGATGTGGCCTCTTTGTACGCTGATGCTTTGATGACTTTGACGCCCTGGAAACTCTGGGACCTCTCTACCGGAAAGCCAGCCAGTAAAGCTCGCACGTTGGAGGTTAAACAGGTCCTTGAGAAAGCATTGAAACAGGAGGGTGGTGCTGATCACCCTGGTATTTTACACATGTACATCCACCTGGTTGAGATGTCGCCGAACCCAGAACTGGGATTGAATCCTGCCGATCGCCTCCGTGACTTAGTGCCTGATTCTGGCCATATGCATCATATGCCTTCACATCTGGACGTCTTGATTGGTGACTATCGACGTGCGATTGACGCCAATTATAAGGCAACGCTCGCCGATGACAAGTTTCTGGCCAGGGAGGGGGCATATAACTTCTACACTATGTATTGTCTGCACAACTACCACTCGTTGATCTATGCTGCCATGTTGGCAGGAAAGGTTAAAACCGCGATAGAATCAGTTGATCGCATGGAAGCTACCTTACCAGAGGATCTATTACTTGTCCAATCGCCCCCGATGGCGGATTGGTTGGAGGCGTTCATGTCAGTCCGTCCGCACGTCATGGTCCGATTCGGCATGTGGAATGAAATTACCCAGCTCGCTCTCCCAAAGAACCAGGAGCTCTACTGCGTCACCACGGCTACGATTCACTATGCCAAGGGTGTCGCGTGGGCTGCGAGTGGCAATATTAAACGGGCAGAACAGGAGCGTACTTTGTTCCAAGCTGCTTTTCAGCGTGTGCCCCTTACGCGCATGGACTATCCCAACAGGTGTGTGAAGATCCTCTCGGTGGGTGCCGCCATGTTGGATGGTGAGATTGAATATCGCCGCGGCAACTATGAGCAGGCCTTTTCGAGTCTACGCGAATCAATCAAGCGGGACGATGGCCTTATCTACAGCGAACCCTGGGGCTGGATGCAACCGACTCGTCATGCTTACGCAGCCCTGATGCTGGAACAAGGTCATGTTGAGGAAGCAGCCAACGTATATGGCGCCGACTTGGGACTAAACAAGATGCTATCTCGGTCTCATTGGCATCCAAATAACGTCTGGTCGCTCCAAGGATATCACGAATGTCTAGTTCGACTGGGGCGTACGGATGAGGCGCTTCTTATCGAGCCACAATTGACGGTGGCACTTGCTGTCGCTGATGTCCCAATCAAATCATCGTGTTTCTGTCGACGAGATGAAGAGACACGGACCGACGGGGCACGGAGCTGCTGTCCCAGAACTCGCACTTCATACCTTTGATGTATTGATGGAGTTCTAGCATTATTTATAGAATATTTGGAGATGCATGGTCTGGAGTGGAGGAGCTTGGGGTAGATCTATTCTTAAGCAACATCACTTTTAATAAATCACTATATAACCAAAGTAAACTGTTCTGCGAGTATTCCGAATGCTTGAATAACATTTACAACAGTATTATTCGAATGGCATGCTATATTGTTTGATTCATACCGCATGAATCCCAAGTGTTAATCTAAAATGCAGACGAGCGGCAGGGCCTCTTCCCCACTTGTCATTCACAACAACACCAGCAACCATCGAAGACTCCATCCAACCGATTCGATTCGACCAGAATGAGCTCATCTTCTCATTCAACGCGACCCAAAGTAAAAGGTACAGGAAATAAACATTCCGAATATCCTTTACTAACAAGTATAGGCTGCTATCAGTGCTCGCGACGTCGGATCGACTGTGATCGCCAACAGCCAACATGCCAAAAATGTCAACTCAAAGGCCTCCACTGCAGTGGACTGGGAGTCAGATATCGTTTTAATGATGGCGTAGCATCGCGAGGGAAGCTGGTTGGGAAACAGTTGCCAGATGTGCTTTCATATCGACGGACTGCTTTTAGGCCTCCGCTGGACCAGCCTCCCCATGCCGAAGAATCATCCAAAACAGGGGCCGACGATGGGGATACACCAGAGGCAATCCAGCCTTGCCTTAGCCATATTGATGGAACTACGCAATATTTGCTTCAATATTGTATGCCATCACCCTGCCTGTGCATACTGTCCCACTGACCTTGCACCAGTTTCCGATAATATCGCCCCCATGACCACAGTCATCGATAGGGGATTCAACGGATATCGAGATTTGATTGTTCCACTAGGAGAAACAGATCCACTGGTGAGAAAAGCCATCGTGGTGGTCTCTAGACAGCATCTCTCGTTACGATTTGGAGCCGAAATGACAGCAGACATCACCACCTACGGGGATCTCATTCGGGATTTGATTATACGGTCTAAGTCGTGTTCTCTAAGGGAAGATATGTCAAGTATGACTGCGTTACTTCTTCTACATGTTCGTGAGATGGTTAGTGGAAGTGGCGATTTTAAGCTCGTGTATGGGTCATTGAGGGCGTTGGTTAATGCCACTGGACAACATCATGGAAATGCCTCCTCACAGCTGATGGAGTATGTGAATATACAAATTCTCAGGTATGTCCCAGTAATTAAGTGGCTCAACTCGTTCTAATCATCCAGGGTTCGTCTCTTTGCTGAAGCACTCTTTGATGAGACACATGGCGCCGAGTACCTCTCCATCCATGGCGAGACATCACTTGAATTCCTCCGCTTCTGTCGACGTCTCCACCCTGAACACGAAGAGCTGATGACCCATCTATTCAATCTTATCACCTTGGCTCGTGACATCTATATACGGCGGGCTTTGCACAACCCGCCCCCGCAGCAGACAATTCCCCTTGTTGAACGTTTCCGACAAGTCACTGAGAAGGTCAAGCGATATGGCGATGTAATAGGACAACATCTTCTCGCTTGGGCGTATTTTGTAGTCGCCGCTGAATCCTCCACACAGGATCACCGGAATTTCTTCGAGGGAGAATTACAATCACTATACCGTGCTACGGGATGCCGGAGTGTTCTCAGAGGCATGGAGCAGCTGGAGAGGATTTGGACTGCGCAGCCAACTACACGATGGACCAGTTTATTAGGCGGTTCAAATCAGGTTTTCATTATGTAGCGGTTGAGCTACTGATATTCCTTGAAGACAGCATTGACGACCGTCTCTAGCCTCTCCACAATTAGCTCAATCTCTTCTTGGGTGATGTTATATGCTGGTGCAAGAAGGATGACATCCCCATCCTTGCCATCCGCAACTCCATTCCCAGGTATCAAGGAGATGCCATGTTCCGATTGCAATCCAGCTTGATGAACCTTTGCGGCAATCTGTTCACTGACTGGGAATGGCGCTTTGGTTGATTTGTCCATAACAAATTCCAACTAATCGAGTATCAGCTTTATCCCAAGATCTTTCAGAGAGGACACTTACTGCCCAGAACAATCCTCGACCACGAATGTCTCCCACGTTCTTGTGATCACCCAGACGGCTCTGCAACAACTCTCCCAGGGCTTTTCCTTTTTCGACAACATTTTGCAGTAAATCATCCTCTACGATGACCTTTTGAACCGCATCGGCCGCTGCACAGGCGACAGGATGACCTTGATATGTCTGGCTGTGCACGAAACTCCCTGTACCATCGGTTAAAACATCAACCACTTTTCTACCCAGCAGAAGGGCCCCAATCGGCGCATATCCCGCCCCAAGACCTTTGGCTATGGTTTGGAGATCAGGGACAACACCTTCTTGCTCCCAGGCATGTAGTGTTCCTGTACGACCCATGCCTGACATAACCTCGTCGAGAATTAACAGTGCACCATGTCGATCGCAAACTTCTTTCATCGCTTTGAGGTAACCTGGGACTGGCGGGACACATCCAATAGTCTGTACGTGTTAGTGATGTCCTATCTTAACGGGAGGAATACTGACAGTTCCAGAAACAGTTTCAGCGATAAACGCACACACAGTATCCGGACCGACGGCTTGGAATTCTTGCTCAAGCTCATCTGCCAGTCGTTTGACATATGTTTCATCGGACTCGCCCGGTTTCTGATCCCGATATGGATAGCACGGAGATACGTGGGAGACATTCTGACACAGGATGGACTCGTATATCGCCCTACGGCTCTTATGGTATCCAGCAGATAGAGAGCCCAGAGTATTTCCATGATATGATTGTCTGCGGGCGATGAACCTGGTCCGGTTCCACTGCGGTTCTGGCAGTTCTGTGAAGTACTGACGGGCCATTTTTAATGACGCTTCGATAGCTTCGGTGCCTGGATATTGATGAGACTGCATTCTCTATATTCACCATGACTTTCAATAAACTCACCCGAGCTGACAATGAAAACTCTCGGCATTTCACCACCCGTGGACTCGGTCAAAAAAGAAGAAATCCTTTCCGCGGGAGGAGTAGTAAAGAAAGGCGAATAGACATAGCTCACATCATCCAACTGTGACATGATAGCTTCTTTGACCCGCGGATGGTTATGTCCAAGAGCAGCTACGGCAGCACCACCTGTTGCGTCGAAGATCTGTCGACCATCTTGGGTTTGGAGATAATTCCCATGACTGCGGACGACTTGGAGAGGGGGCTTGCTGAGCTTGGAGTACAGGACAGAAGGGACGTTAGCTTTCACGGGGAGTCTCATTTTGCGCTTGATGTTATGTTGGGTGGTTCGTGGTAAGAGGGAGGAACAGGATTATTTATGATTATCATCTTATAAGAAGAACTGAGTTTTCAGAATGCCTTGCTGATGAACAGCTATCTGGATTGCATTACCAAGTATGTAAGGTCGAAGGAGACGTTATCGGGATGGCTGTCTCCGATTGGTAGACGCCGCCGTGTATATCAGAGGATCATGTGAAGAGCCACAGATTGCCTAAAGTGGAAGGTTAAGGGAGACTGAAGGGGTGATAGATATTTTTTTTTTGTCTTTCTTTATCTTTATCTCTTCCAATCTGGCCAGATTATGATAAAAGATGGAATAGAATCATCTCGAAAGGATCCATATAGGACATCCCTTTTATTGGTTCTACAGACCGATGTGTGATGCAGTTCCATGTCGCCGATGCGGGGAAATCCCATCCACAACACACGACGATGCGCTGGCATTTATACCAATTCCTTACCTCAAATTTGACTTTCAACCGGCTGATCTCGAAGATAGGATAATATCTTCAAAAAAACATCTATCTATATCTCTGTCACTAAGTTCCCCCGCCCACCATGACGCTGCACTCATTCCACTACCAGCAAAACCACGACAAACCGGACCAGATCCACGATGCACAAATCTTCATCGACAACCAGCTTCTCCCATCCAAAGCCACCAGCTGGATCGAAGTCCATGACCCTGCCACTAACCATGTCGTGTCACGTACCCCCGAGTCCACGCTGGACGAGCTGCAGTCGGCCATCGCCTCGGCAAGCAAAGCCTTCCCAGAATGGAGCGACACAAGCATCATGAAACGACAACAGGTTATGTTCAAGCTGACCAGCCTCGTTCGCGAACACATGGATACTCTGGCTGTCTCGATCGTGCGTGAACAGGGCAAGACGCTGGCTGATGCGCGAGGTGATGTCCTGCGTGGTCTTCAGGTCTGCGAGACGGCCTGTGGCATCACCACCCAGCTCACGGGTGAAGTGCTCGAAGTCGCAAAGGACATGGAAACACGATCATATCGTATGCCGCTGGGCGTGGTGGCAGCTATCTGCCCATTTAATTTCCCCGCGATGATTCCGCTATGGAGTCTTCCTTTGGCTGTGATTACGGGCAATACTCTCGTGTTGAAGCCGACCGAACGAGCACCCGGAGCTTCCATGATTATCGCTGAGCTCTGCAGGGAAGCAGGGTTTCCTCCAGGTGTCGTCAACGTCATCCATGGATCGAAAGATACAGTGAACTTCCTCCTCGACGAGCCACAGATTAAAGCTCTTTCGTTTGTCGGGTCGAACAAAGCGGGCGAGTACATTTACCAGCGAGGCACGACGAATGGAAAGCGAGTGCAGGCCAACCTGGGGGCAAAGAACCATGCTGCCCTTCTGCCAGACAGTAACAAGCATCATGCGTTGAATGCTATTGCCGGTGCAGCCTTTGGGGCAGCAGGCCAGCGCTGCATGGCGTTGAGCGTTCTGGTCACCGTTGGCTCGTCGAAAGAATGGATCTCTGATCTGATTGAAAAGGCCAAAGGATACAATGCGGGCAGTGGATTCGACTCGTCCTCGGATTTGGGTCCGTTGATCACGCCTCAGAGTCGAGAGCGCTGCGAAGCGCTCATCGCCAGTGCAGAGAAAGAAGGAGCGACTATTGCTCTAGATGGACGAGGCAAGAAGCCCCAAGGTTTCCCAGATGGGAACTGGGTAAGCGATCCTTTCCCTCTCTATTTATCAGTAGCTTTTGCTAAGAGTATACCCAGGTTGGCCCGACTATCATCACCGGCGTGAAGCCACACATGCAATGTTATCAAGAGGAAATCTTCGGTCCAGTCCTCCTTTGCATGGAAGTAGACACCCTTGACGACTCCATCAATCTCATCAACTCCAACGACTGGGGCAACGGTGCTGTCGTCTTCACTCAGTCTGGATCCAGTGCCACGCGCTTCCAGAAACGCAGTGAAGCCGGCCAGATTGGCATCAACGTTCCTATCCCGGTTCCTCTTCCCATGTTCTCCTTTACAGGAAACAAAAGGAGTGTAGCTGGAACTGGCCTGGCCAACTTTTATGGAATGGATGGAATCCGATTCTATACGCAGTGGAAGACCGTGACGAGTCTGTGGCGAGCAGAAGATGCGACAGCGCTACAGAAACAGACTGCGATGGTTTAGACAGAATGAGATTGTTCAAATATCTTAATTAAGATCTATGATTTGTTATTCAAGAACTGTATGAATTTATGCATGTTATGCATTGTGTGAACGTCATATGGTCATATGTAACCTCGGGATCAACAAAGCAAAACGGTCGCGTGGAGAATCCCTGAGCTATTGAGCAAATCAACGCCATCATGAACAATACCAAGTGCGTCCGAGCCGTTCGTATTGTTCATCCATGTCCATCGATTCCTCGATTCGAGGAAATTCAAATCCACTCAAAGCGGGGTTTGCACTTTTCGCCTCGCAAGCATGGCCTAAAGAAGGCCTCTTCTGGCAGGTAGACCTAGCCCGGTTGCGTATGCGACTTCAATCGATTTGGTCTTGTTGACTAGGGATACCAGCTGGCTTTCGAATAATGCTTCGCTTTTTTGTCTCACTCGGAAATAAATAAGCCACCCTTGATTTCTTCCCCTCGTTTGGCTCTTTTATTTACCACCAAGAATCAAACAAAAGCAGCCAGAAGCCATGATTGAAGACTTGGTCAGCCACATAACGCCAGGGAAAGCAGCCCTCTGGCTTATAGGACTCTTTATCATTGGCTGTGTGATTCGCAAGTTGCAGGTGTACCGAGAAATCTCTCGTCTGGGTGCCAGAGCTCCTTATATCCCTTCATCCGCCCCATATGGTAAGTGACAGTTCCTCGAGTCATCAAGACAGATAAATAATGTCAAGCAGCGATCGACTTCATCCTCAAGACTTCCAAGGCCAATGCAGCCAATAGGGACGTGCAGCTTTGGAGCGACTGCTTACGAACAGCCCGAGGAGCCCCCCAGATCAAATCCCCCAAAACAGCAGAGCTCACCTCCGGCCTGTCCAACCGTATGATTCTGACCAAGGATCCGGAAAACATCAAAGCAATCTTGACTGGCCAGTTCGCCGACTATGGCAAGGGAGAAAAGTTCCACCAGGACTGGAAAGATTTTCTGGGTGACAGTATCTTCGCCACGGATGGAGAATTGTGGTCCCGTTCACGACAGCTCCTTCGGCCTATGTTTGCAAGAGATCGTATCGTTGATACGGAAATCTTCGAGAAACATGTCCAGCATCTCATCCCACATCTAGCAGGAAGCGGTCATCCTGGAGGCAGCAGGGTTGTTGATGTTGGGCCGTTGTTCTTTCGCTTCACCCTTGATGCTGCGACGGATTATTTGCTGGGACAAGGCACAGACAGTCTGCAGAATCCCACCACCCATTTTGCAGAGGCTTTTAGATATGTTCTTCATCGTCAGTCAGAAATCTTCCGGTTTGGGTAAGTCAATTTGTCTCAATGCGATGTCATTTACTGACGTTGATATCGATACTAGTCCCTTTAACGTCTTCCTGTCCAGGAAGAAATTCCGAGAGCAGCTCAAGGTAATGGACCAGTTCATGCAACCCTACATTGAAAGGGCCCTCTCCCTCTCGCCGGCCGAACTCGATCAAAAGCTCTCCAAACGAGAAAGCTTCCTTGAGGCTCTCGCCCGCTTCACCCGCGATCCTCGTGTCCTTCGCGATCAATTGGTTGCCGTCCTCCTCGCAGGTCGCGATACAACAGCAGCTACTCTTTCCTTCTGTCTCTTTGAGCTCGCCCGTAACCCAGAAGTTGTCGCAAAACTACGAGAGGAAATTCGCTCTCGTCTGGGTGTCGGCCCTGACGCTCAGAAACCGTCCTTCACAGATCTCAAAGAAATGAAGTACCTCACGGCCGTCATCAATGAAACTATGCGTCTATATCCAGTCGTTCCATTCAATGTCCGCGATGCCCTCCGCGACACGACTCTGCCCCGGGGTGGCGGACCAGACGGTACTGCACCCATCGGTGTCCGCGCTCACACTCGTGTTATCTACTCCACTATGATCATGCAGCGAGATGCAGAGAACTATGATTCTCCAGGCTCTCCAAATTACTTCGACCCGAGCAAGTGGGTTCCTGAACGGTGGTTATCAAGCTGGAGCCCGCGCCCCTGGCACTTTATCCCCTTCAACGGCGGTCCGCGCATCTGTATTGGTCAGCAGTTTGCCACTATTGAAATGGGGTACACAATTGCACGGATCCTGCAGGCGTTTCAGAAGATCACGGCTCTTCCTGTTTGTGGGAAGGATCAGGTTGAGGATCCAGTTCTTATGTTCGAGGTTACCCTCAGTCCGGGATCAGAGTTGAATTGTGTTTTTGAAAGAGACAATGAAGGCAGTGAGAAAGAAAAGGATGTTGACGCGTAAATGTCGGGCCAGATCCTCCACTATGTATTCTTCTATTTTTTCTTTTCATGCTCTAGTGTGAATCATATCTGTCGAGTATGAATGCTGTTCATATCTTCTGTGATGTTTATACAAGCATCCATTATAGATGCTTTGGTAAAACTTGTAGACAAGTATCATGTTTTAGTTAAAAGCAAAATCTTCATATCATCATTCAGTTTGACAATAACTTGTCGTGGATTATTATAGAACAAGATGGGTCTAGAACGGGTCTAGAAATATACAACCTTGAGCTTTCGGATCTTCTTCAACTTCTGCAAAATTTCGATCTTCCGAAGTTCCAAGAACAGATCTTCTTCGTCTGCGTCGTCCAGATCGCTAGAAATACTAATCAAAGGAGTCTTTGAGAGTGGGAGGTCTCCATTCACTTTGACAGCTTTCGATTTCATAGAACTGCTTTTGTTGATGCTGTTCTTGGCAAGTCCGGGAATCTCCTTTGTTTCCAAGAATCGAGGTGGCTTATCCCCAACCCAGCCTCTGCTCATACTCACTGCCTTTTCCCAGTTTGTAAATAGTTTAACACTTTCTGGTCGACTCATCTTAGGCTTGAACACCGTACCACCGGCACGGTTGATGTCACGCAGTTCGGCGAAATTGCGCCAGAGCCCTACTGCTAATCCAGCAGCAATCGCGGCCCCAAGTGCAGTGGTCTCTCGCATTTTTGGTCGATAAACTGGAATGGAGATGAGATCTGTCTGCGTCTAATAGACAACAAAGTTAATATCAACTTGTGTCATGACGAGAATTCGGGTCACCCCTTACCTGCATGGCAAGATCCGAGTTACTCATTCCGCCGTCAACTGCAAGCTCTGAGAGTGTATGCCCGCTATCCTTTTCCATGGCTTCTAGAATAGCCTTGGTCTGGAAACAAGTGGCCTCAAGAGTGGCTCTCGCAATATGACCCTTCTGAGTGTATTGGGTGATTCCGACTAAAGCTTGGTTAGAGGTGGAAAGTTAGGGCCCAAGAAGACTTACACATCGTTCCCTTCGCATCGTCTACCCAATACGGTGCAAAAAGACCGCTGAATGCAGTAACGAAAACACAACCACCATTGTCAGCCACTGTTAGAGCTAAATCATTAACCTCCTTGGAATCTTTGAAGAATTCAAGATTGTTTTGCAGGAACTTGACACCAGAGCCAGCAACTGCAATGCTACCCTCTAGAGCGTAGACTGCCTTTCCATCAAAGCTATAAGCTACAGTTGCCAGTAAACCGTGCTTAGAAATGACGGGCTTATCCCCAACATTATAAAGAAGAAAGCAACCGGTACCGTATGTATTCTTTGCCATTCCCGGGAAAAATCCCTTTTGGCCCACGAGAGCTGATGACTGATCGCCCAGACAGCCCATGATGGGGACCCCGGCAAGGCTACCAGAACAGATGGCCCCATAGGCCGTTGGATCCGAAGACTGAACAATATTTGGAAGGTGGACCCTGCCTCGGATACCAAAGAAGTCTAGGAGGTTATTATCATATCGAAGCGTCTTGAGGTTCATGAACATGGTACGGGAGGCGTTTGTAGGATCCGATACAAACACATTTGCCTGCACCCCACCGTTTAAACGATAGACTAGCCATGTGTCCACTGTACCAAAAGCCAAAGTTCCTTTTTCATAAGCAACCTGGACCTTAGGGACATGGGCGAGCATCCAAAGGAGCTTCGAGGAGGAGGAATAGGTTGAAAGCGGAAGACCACAAATCTGTTGCAGCTGACCCGCCCCTGGCTTATCTTTCAAATCATGGACGATAGCCTGTGACCGTGTATCAGTCCAGACTATGGCATTGTATAGAGGCTCCCCGGTCTCGTGGTCCCAGACGACAGTAGTCTCTCTTTGGTTGGTGATACCAATCCCCTTGATGTTATGTCTCGAGTAGCCCTTTGATTCGAATTGTCTGACTGCCTCGTCGATACAACTTTCCACCGACGATACAAGTTCGAGAGGATTGTGCTCATGCCACCTCGGACTGGTCAGTTCTAGAGCCCTTAGTACACAAAGGTTGTACGGCATACCCTGGATTGGGATAGATCTGTGTGAATTCCACTTGATGGGATGCAACGGGCTCCCCATCCCGGTTGAAGATCAAGAACCTGGAACTAGTTGTCCCTTGATCAATTGATCCCACGAATATCTCTGATGGTTTCATGTTTTTCAAGCTAGCGTTTTTCGAAATCCCGAATTTCGGAAAGGATTGTATATTTGCCTTGGTAGAATCGGGCACAAATAAGTCAACAGGAGTCATCACGGATATAAACCCGGATGAAACTCGTCTTCCTTAAATAGTCGACTCACCTGCTTTCCATTATCCTTTCTGTGTCACTATCTTCCGCCTCGCAGGTGACCTGCGGGGCTCTAAGCCTTGGGAAGGAATAGAAGAGAATAGGAAGACTGCGATGAATCAGCATCAATATCACCCGAAGCAAACAAGACTATAACAACCATAAAAGAGAGCCAGTGGCTGGGCCAAATAACTGTAGCCACTTACCAGCCAGAAGTCTCTCGAGGGCCTCCACGAGGACAGGCTTGGGCGCCAACGATACGCCGGTATGAACGGCCCAACAGGGATACGAACATCTCGGGTGGATGACTGGCAATGTTTAAGTGGTGGAAGGTTATTTGAAAATGACAGATGATGAGGATTGGGCTTTCATGGCAATGGATGCTGATTCGAATGAGCCGATGCGTGTGGGAGAGAAGGGAAGGAGGACAAGAGAACGTGAGACCGCGTCGGGGCATTTGTCTTTCCGGCCAACAACTCATCGTCCATAACCTGGAGTCTGTCTTCTCACCAAACCTCGTGACTGTTCATCGTCGTTAGTATCGCTACTGCCTCTTTTATTATGGTTAGACTAATTCTTGTCATTTACATACAGATGAAGTGCAGTCCCTGCAAATGCCCCGATCAACATGGAGATTGTCACCCAGGTGCATCTCATGCTGTCAGCGATCGACCTCCACATAAATCCTTACAGAGAGATTGCGGGGAGAATAATAAACCTGTCACTGATTGAGAATGCTGGAAAATTGTGGAGCGCATTGCAGGCAGATCCTAATCGTGGAGATCGATCTCACGCGGCCGCATAGAAACGGAGGTGAGTTTACTTTGAACGGAGAACCCCGGATATCCAGGGCATACGAGTCTTGCTCAAATGGGAAAGATGTCAGGCTGATCAGATAACATATCACGATGAAAACTATCTCTCCCTTCCTCCGGTCAACCAATCTCGAGGCCCCCAAAAACGCCTGAACGTCGGATCTGGCTATCCTTGTCTTCCTGTGAGCAGAGCAGAACGTGACACAGTCACCGACGGACTTTGATTCATTGACAGAATTAAGCTATTATATGCATACCAAGCTTAGGATTTCCTCCGCATTTAGGGCTACTATCCGGTTCTGCCTTACTATGCATCTATCTTCTTTCCCTGACTCCTAGGATTTAAAACCTTTAAGGACTAGTCCTCTGGCTCAAAAATGCCATGTGCTTTTCGATAGGATGAGCTACACCGATGTTTGACACCTTCGGGTAAAGGACGCGTGTATTGTGTTTCGCCTCCATGTGTCACTAATCAACATCGGAAAGAATAGCAGACATGACCACATCAAACCAGCACCAATCTAGACAGATCGATGAAAATGGAACATATGTCCTCATGGAGTCAAAGCTGACGGCACTTACCATCGATGTGGCTGGATCCTCTTCCTCCCTGATCCTCGAAGATAACTTGCTCCGAACCACGTGCCTTCCAATTAAGACACTTTCTTGAAGGAGAAATGCCATAAATCTGCTCGAGGTGACACTATGCTTTTCGTTGATGAATTGTATCGTGTCATGTTGCACCTAGCTGTGACTTGAATGTCTGCTGGATTTCATATATCTCATACACTTCAAAGAATTTCAAGTCTACATCGAGAATTTCACTACTTTGCATGACAACTCATTTATTAACTGAATATGGAAGTCATAAAGCAAATAGAGACAGCCGAGATTAGCCAGAGTGCTGCATATATCACGGTGACAACAGAAGGTAACAAGCACGATGTACCAGTCCACCCCAGTCCACCATTTACAGACCCAAACACAGAAAAATCACAACTGCTATGGGGTAAGGTGCGGGATAATTGTCGTGATGCATTCTCTGAGTTCTTTGGAACAATGATCTTGATCCTCTTTGGTGATGGTGTTGTAGCTCAAGTTCTACTCAGTCGTGGTCAAAAGAGTGACTACCAGTCGATCTCCTGGGGCTGGGGGTAAATGTTCCAATACCCCTTGATCAAGTCTAGTACTGACGAAGCATCTTTAGGCTCGGGGCTATGCTTGGAGTATACGCAAGTGGCATCTCAGGAGCACATATCAATTTCGCGGTGACCTTTGCAAATTGCATCTTTCGCGGGTTTCCCTGGCGAAAATGGCCTATATACACGGCATCTCAGATCTTGGGGGCCATGTGCGGAGCGGCCATTGTATATGGCAATTACAAGTCAGCCATCGATGAGTATGAAGGTGGAAAGGATATCAGGACTGTCCCGGGATACTCATCCAATGCAACGGCGGGGATATTCTGCACATATCCTGTCGAATTCATGACAACCACAGGGCAATTCTTCTCCGAGTTCCTTGCCAGTGCCATTTTGATGTTTAATATATTTGCATTGAAGGATGTTGACAATCTCGGGGCTGGACCATTGACGCCTCTTGCTCTGTTCTTCGTAATCTTTGGGATTGGTGCTTGCTTTGGCTGGGAGACTGGGTATGCCATCAACATGGCTCGAGACTTTGGGCCACGACTAGTATCATACATGCTGGGATACGGAGCTGAGGTCTGGAAGGCAGGCAACTATTACTTTTGGGTATGTTGACATGCTCAGTTATAGACCGAAGAATCCACTAACAATTCGCATGTAGGTACCGATGGTAGCTCCGTTTCTGGGATGTACATTCGGGGGATGGATCTACGACTTGTTCCTCTACACTGGATCGGACAGTCCAGTTAATACGCCATGGATGGGATTCAAATGGCTAGCCATGCCATTTCGTCGGGATGTAGTCGAATCACCAAGCTGGGTTTAATGGGTCTCATGACTATCGGAAATAATTAATGAAGAATGATGCAAGATACCTATACATACCTATACCACCCAGTGTTAGGGCTAGGAATTGGCCACAATAAGGGCAAATAATATCCATAGCAGCTGACGGTTAGAATTTCCATTGCTACTGTGGCATATCCAACCACTGCTCGAAGCCGGAACGGACGGGTTTGCCTTGTACAACAGAAGACATGCCCTGGATTGGTGTGTTGCTTATAGAACTGAATCTGGATCGACTTTAGGTCTAAATACCGATTGGCTGTGATGCCATTTCCATTCTTCATGCGCTATATTCTGGCATGCTGCCATGGAGCTGCTGGATATAGAAGCATTATACAACTTAGCGAATGAGATAGCATACTTAGCTGCTCTACTTGTATATAGGTATTCTGAATAGTCTTCTTTAGATATATAATTAATATAATATCTGCCATATACCAACCCATCTAGAACGAACAATACGTCATGGTGAGATACACCCACCCTCAATCAACACCACCAAACACAACTCAATATTCCAAGAGAGTACTCCAAAACACATCCTCATCTGAGAATTAAGAAAAAGAAAAAGAAAAAGAAACAAAATGCCCGAATACAAAGCCTACCAAACCGGCACTCCCAACACCAAAGACTTCCGCACCTATCTCAGCCGCGACAACGAGCTCTGCTCCCCCTGGCACGACGTACCTCTCTTCGTAGACGACAAGCGACAAGTCGTCAATGCAGTGATTGAGGTTCCGAGATGGAGTAATGTTAAAATGGAGGTATGCGCCACTTAAACATACTGTTGCTTATGCACAGTATAGTGCAAGTTGGAAGAGAAGACGAGGCTGACAGCAAGACGAGATCTGCAAAGATGAATTCCTCACGCCTCTTTCGCAGGTCATGAAGGATGACAAGACGCCGAGATATGTCCCGAATATTTTCCCTCATAGGGGGTATCCGTGGAATTATGGGACGCTGCCCCAGGTATGCTTTCCTCCCTCCCTTCCTCTTGCCTATACCCTCGTTCCAAAGATAAAATATTGACAAAAAAGACCTACGAAGACCCCACCCTCCACGACACACACACCAACCTCCCCGGCCACGGCAACGGCGTCAACATGTGCGAACTCAGCGGCGAACTCGCCCACCCGGGCCAAGTAAAGCGAGTCAAAGTCCTCGGCGCCTTCGCCGTGATCGAAGCAGGTAGGACAGATTGGAAGATTGTCGTTGTGGACGTGGCGAACCCACTTGCGAGAGAGCTGAGCGATATTGGCGACGTTGAGCCCGTGATGCCGGGGTATTTGGGGACGATGACGGAGTGGTTTCGCATCTGGAGGACGGCGGATGAGGGCGATAATGGGGTTAATTTTGTGGCGTTTAATGGGGAAGTGAGGGATCGGCGGTATTTTCTTTTGTTCTGTTACTTTTTGATTGATTGATTGCTGATGATTAAGATAGGTTTGCTTTGATGCTGCTTGAACGATGCCATGCGAGTTGGAAGAAACTTATGACGGAACCAACCATGCAGGCCAAACTATCCATGTAAGAGCCATCATATCCCTTACGATAGGCTACTAACTAGCGCTAGGAAGGACGTCCCTATTGGAGATCTGAATCTGGTAGACCAAATAAAGCAGCTAAAACAAGGCGAGGGGGAAAAGATCGACCAGAGAGCAGTAGAAAGATTCCATTTCCTCGCAGCCAACTGGCCTCTTGCGGCTTCATGTCCAGGCTTAATGGACATATCTAATTCTCAGTAAATTTTACTGAATTATAGTATCCATAACTCAAATAATAAAATCACATCTATCTAAGCAACCTCCGTCCCAGTAAAATAGCAGGCTGCTTCAAATCATCATGCTCAAACCTATCATCCTGTCAGTACTTCTCTTTCTCATATGGTAAAAGAAAATCAGATATAGATATACACACCCCAAAACAGCCACTCCACCCGGCTCCATCAGCAACCGCATCCCATTCCGCAATGGCTGTCCCGCCCATCGAAGTGCCAGTCCAGCAAGAATATGCCCATGTCCAATACACACCACATCCCGGGGTTCCTCGGCCGCATGAGCCACCACCTGGCCCCCAGGCCAACTGGCCGCGGTGCTTTCAATCACGGATCGGATCTCGTGGATTAGATTATCGAGGCGGTCGGAGACTTGTTGGGGGGATCTATCGCCATCGCCATCGTCATCAGCATCAAGCCCAACACGTGCACATTCATGTTCATGAATAAGGGAACCTAGGCTCGCTCTCACTCTCCGCCAGGACATCCGTCCTCCCAGATACTCCACTGTCGATCTTTATCCAACCCCTGCTGGTTCCGCACGCGATGTACATCCGAGATAGTCATTCCTTCGTACTCGCCGTAATCCCATTCTTGGAGCCAGGGCGTCACCTGGATTGTGGCCTCGGCTACCTGGCCCTTTGTCGGTGCAATTGCTGTCGTCTGGGTGCTTTGGGTTGCTCGATCGTAAAAATGTTGGTGGTTGTGGACTCCGAGGCCGAGGATTTCAACTGTACGGCGAGTTCGCTGTTTGGCAGAGACGTAACTTTAGATCAATCGAGTCGGGTCGTTAGCAAAGTACAACACTGTCGTCTTCTCTCTCATGGCTTCAACTCACATCCGGGAAATCGTTCGTGGATCTATCAGCTTGCCTTCCCCGATAACCAGGTTTCTGGTGTCTTCCACCTGCTTCTCTCCTGCCTTGGACAGGGGAATGTCCGAATAACTCGTGTGTTTGCCCCCCAGAGACCAGTCGGTCTCGCCGTGTCGGATCAGAAAGATGCGTGCTGACATCTCGTTTGGCGAGTGATGGTCGTTAATCAGTGTAAAAATCTAACTGCTAAGCACTGACATGCCAGGTGAGAGAAAGCCCAGTATCATAAATTTCTTCCAAGCAGTTCGAGTGTGTTTCATGACATGTCGGTGGTGTATGCGGCCTACCTAATGTTGAGGTCAGACCGCCGGACCGCAGTTCCATCGACCTGCTAGCCCTACGAAGCATCAGACAATTAAACAGTGAATTCTTTTGAATTGAGGATTCAATATAAACTATTTTCCTATCAACACCAATGTTAAAAGGATAGTACAAGAAAGAAAGTTCCTTGGCGGACCATGACGGCATGTCAGCACGTCGCCCTCTAGTATCACCAGATAAAGTATACTGACACAGAAGTAATCATAAACACAGAAATAAACCCCCCGAACAAAAGAAGACCAAAGCGCCCTCATCCCTATAGATGTACAAAAAAGAAAAGAAAAAAAACAAAAAACCCTGGGTCGTCGAAAGTCCATACACTCATTAGTTTATCGTTTTGAGTCTCATACGCGTCGTCCAACATAAGATCCCTATACTCCCTGCACCTGAACCAATATCCGCCAGACTATAATAATAGTTTGTTCGCCATCCAAAGGTCAAGCTCAGAAGAGCAAAAGACCACTACCGAGGAGCACACAGAGAGCACCCATTGCGATAGGAGCCTTGTACACGCTGTTTGCGGTACCCACGGTAGGAGCAATGTGTGCAGTGTTGGTAGGCGATGGAGTTGCTGAAGAACCTGTACCACCTGTAGCGAGAGTGGTAACAGCAGTAACAGTGGAATGGCCTGTCGATTTGGGCGTGGTTGTGGTGTGCAAACGACTGGAAGTCGCCGACTTAGATCCAGTTTCAAGGCCAGAGGGGGAAGACGAGGCCAGCAAAGAGGCAGATGATGCTGATGTAGACCGGACCGTAGACTGTTTCATGATGGTTTTAGTGATGATTCTCGAATAATAGCAAGGAAAAATAGGGGAGTGCTCACTCACAGACGCCGCGCTGGGCGGATGAATCTGACCAGATCCGGAGAAAGTCCAGCCACTGGGGAGAGACTTGGAAGTTGGCTCGGAAGACTCAGCAGTAGCCGTAGGAATCCAAGGCCATTCACTTGGCGTTACAAAGCTCGACGTTTCGCGGTGCGTTCCACTGAAAGGAATAGGAGCACTGTCAATTGTGGCTGTCACGGGAGGGGCAGATTCAGTGGACTTGGGCTCGGCGGCACTATTACCATTGACCTGACCCCCCTCCGCAACAATAGACTCCCATGTACCAGTCTTGTCACTGTACGAGTACGACGATCCAGTCGAGTAGTCGGTCGCACTGAGCGATTTGAGATACATGGTGTATGGACCAGCACTGTAGTCAACGACACCACCCGCCCATTCTAAAACGCATTAGCAGAGGATACAAATCTCTAGTTAGGAAGACACTCACGAATAGTTCCTTGAGCATTGCCAGGATCACCACCAGCCCAGACACCAACCTTGACCATCATGGGCGACTGAGGGAACTGGCCATTGGAATCCGAAGGAGTGAGCACCCGAACGGTTTTGCCATCGATCTGCCACACAATTTGAGAGCTGGTCCATTCGATAGTGTAGGTGTGGAAGTCATCGTGGTTTCCAGGATTGTCGTGAGAGGCTCCACGGTTGTAGCTACCAGTCTGACCCCTTCCAAAGTAGTTAGTCTGGACATAGGCGTTGCTACCACCGAGCCATTCCCAGTCAATTTCGTCCAGATCGTCCGACTGCAGAACAGCACTGCTGACGATACCAGTTCCAGGAGCGGCCTTGATCACAAAGTCGACACGACCAAACATGATGTACCAGTTGGACTGGATCAAAGGGCCATCGCCCTTTTTAGCCACGGTAAACGCAGCACCATTGCTGTCATAGGAAGCCGTTCCGGTGGTTGTAAACTCGGACGAACCACCTTGGGTGAAATCATAGCTCGCAGACTTTCCAAGAGCAGGATCGGGGGGGCAGCCTTGAAACAGGTGAGCACACAGCCAAAGCCCAGAGAACGGGAAACTTACTCTTTTCTGTGGGGTTGCAGTTGGTATAGGTCTGGGCTGCAACCAAAGTCGAAGAGGAGAGCAGGCTAACAGCCGCACCGAGGAGAGAGAATCTCATGATGGACGGTTGCACAAGCAAAAAAGAAAACAAGACGCAGGGATCGAAAGAATTGATGATACAAGCAGAAGAGACGATATCGGCGAGAAACTGGCAGTTATGTATGCAGAAGTAGATGCTGTAGACGAAGAGTTGCAAGGAAGTGATGTGGATGGAAGAAGAGAAGAAGAGGAAGAAATCGAGAAGAAGATGCGGGCTGGACAGTCGATGACACCGCAGCAACGCACATGGAAGGTGCAACTGCAGGCCAGGCAGGCGCGGGACAAACATCGAGGGTCTTTTAAATAGGGAAGGAACGAGACAAAGAGAAAAAGGTCATTTCCAGCCTCCTCGCTTTCTCCGTCATCATCAACTTGCCCAGATAGGAAGGCAGTGGGGGTGGTGGATCCCGGAAAGACCCACTTGGTGCGCCCATGAGGGCAGTGGCAGCAGCATGGCGGGCCAATGGTAGGCGGCCATGGATCTCGGAGTGACGGCCCAATTGTGAGCTCTGCACTCTGATTGGTGGAAGGGGACAGTTGTGAGACATCGTTGGGCCAAGGGAGAATTAGAGTTCTTTCCACGGTGCATGCTACAGGTAGGATCGATCGATTTGCAGTACATACAGACTTCGTCCACGGGTGGGCTGATGGCGAGAGCATCTAGACTTATCGAGAGTTAGTTGGATACCATAGTCTGTACCGAACAGACAAGATCTATCTTAGAGATCAGATCTGGTTGATCATTACAATGTCAATTGCGACGGCTGGAGTAGGAGTACTAGGTATTATCCATGACAAGTTGCTCACATAGTCACTTTCAACCCAACGTATGGCAATGCGGGACACAGTGTCGAAAAGCCAACAATTGCGACAGCATCAGACGGGCGAATGGTGGACGGAGCCCACGGTTACAAAAAAAAAGTACATCAAGAGTTTGCTGTTGGCCCCACCCCCAGCCATCTCATTTTCTCAACCATCAACCACGAGATCATCATATCTGTCACCGCTGCCTTGATTTCTCTCTGGCAGCAGATTTGTTTCTTTTTTAATCTACGGAATACCTTCCGTGGCCCATACAGACTACAGAGAGTATGGAGGAGTGGATGTTGGTGAGGTGCTAAAAATAGCCTGTCAATCATCGAGTATAGGTGGGCAAAGCAAGGTATATGTAGGTAGTTATTCACTACTCTGTAGTCCGTACTCGGGTAACGAATATCACTATATCACTATATTGCTATTAAATATCATTCACTCGCGCCAAATAGCCGGCTTATTATTTCCTATGCTTGGGTAGTATTTCTACTAGCCAAGGGCTTGGTGCGAGCACGTGTGGCAAAGCATGTGGGCTACACCAAGACGCAGATAAAAGTAAAACAACTTAGCGAGGGAATTAAATTAGAACAATTAAACGATTGAATCCAGTGATTTCTCCTGCATAGATATGCAAGGCAGTCGGTTTATCGATTGTTCAAACTTTATATAAATGAACGTAATCTATGCTGACTCGTAATCCATAGTAGATCATCTATTCTTGCTGCACTATCCGCATAACGTCCTCTTCTCAAGACACATAAAAAATAGAACCGTCTCTCATTATAAGCATTGCCAATATGTGAATCCCATCAGTATCGCTAACCGTCCACCTCGGGTCCTCGGCTGGGTCTGGATATTAGTAACGCTGGATCAGCAGCGAGCTGATATTGAAATACTCCACTGTAAAGATCTGCATTGTTTTTTATTTTCTACTTCTTCATGCTATCCTACACATAGGTTTCTATCTGCTACTCACAGTGAACAAAAACGGATTGTTGCGTTTGATAGGGTATGTTTCTATAAACCCATCACAACGGAACTGGAAATTATAACATTACGTAATTATTAAGATGAAGCATCAGATGAAACGATGGTCTACTTTATAACTATGAGACTGTTTCTTGTCGAATTGACTATATATTGTACGCCTAGTTCGTCCTATAGCCAGAAAACTTTTCTTGTAGCAGTTAACCCCACTCTAGAATTGAATAGTAGCTGTGAGTTGAAGGTATTATTAGTTATCACACTGAGCAATGTGAAATAACTCAACTAGCCCAGATGGCGTTACTCGTAGATGAAGCTATTGGGGATGAGGTCATGTGGCACCTGTCGATATCGGGGATCGCCGATATATATCTACAGAAGCACAAGGAAATGCATCACATTTATAGAACCACCTTATCGTAATAGCCGTCTAGATCATAGACAAAATACATATACTACAATAGATAGTAGAAATGATTTTCTATGCTCATCTCGACGAACACTGCATCATATATTGCCGAACCCAGAGAATGCTCGGCGCGGGGTGAAGGAATCCTGGTGCTGTTCCATGCTTTTTCTCAAATAGGATTTATTGATTAATCAAAGCTGAACCAGGATCATTTCAGGGGAACATCCCAGATGAGAGACCATGAAGTGATAATAATAATTTCTTTTCTTCGTTTTTCGACGTGCCGCCGCTGGGATCATTAAATTAAATGTGACGACTGTCAAGAGTTCCTTTGTGCTCCGGTAGCCCCTTTAATACCTTCTAATAGTTCTATGCAGTCTATGCAGTCCTTGAGGAATGGGTGATTCATATGATAGTCATCATGCCTCTGAGGTAATCCACCTTGCTGTTGTACTCTAAATGATGATGTTTTGCGTGGGATGGAGTCAGCTTGGCAGACCACAGGAATGTACCAGGTAGTACCAGCAGATACAACAAAACCAAGAGCGTATACCCAGGGACTCTGGATGAGAATATCAGGATATCAGAATCGTAGAGAAGCATGAAGGATATACACCTTATCTAAACTCCCCTCTTCAAGCCGCACGGACAACATCACGGACCATGCCCCGGAAACGCTCCAAGCGACAGAAATGGAACGTGCCCGGTAGTTGGTTTCGACCTCAACTCGATCTGCAGCAACACTCTTTGACGGGAGACAAAACCAGCATGAGGTTGCATCACATACTCCTTTCCTCATCATTACTCTGTAAACAATAATTTTTATTCTTCGAATAATTCTGTCGTGGTGGTTGTCCGACGCTGGCCGCCCTCCGTGTGTGGTTTAGCGCCTGCGAGAGCCTCAAAGAATCTTTAACTCCATCATCGCGCAGTTTCAACTCCTCCCACTAAACCCCCCCCCCCCCCGACTCCGCCCACGCCTCCCACCACCACACCAGAACTTCCCCGTCAGTTTTTATCCAACAACCCCTCTTATAACCTCGAAGCATTCTGGCCGGTATAGGATGGGACATTGGATTACTTCTTCAGAATGTGCGATGGTGCTCCTTGACCGCTACCGCTCGTCCGCTAGAACATGAAGCACGTCTTGACACCGTCGCGCCCGACGCTAAACCCGTGCCACCCCAGCAGCTGCCCATCCAACACTCTTCTGTTTAGCATTTTCGATTCTTTCTTCTCTACATGATCCCCATCGCTTGATTACTCGACTCGCCTTTTTATATAATCTCCTTTTCATAGTGATATCCACCCTACCTGCCACTTGTTAGTTTCACGTTGTGTGTCGTTGAAAGAGCTCCCTATCCATCCGGATCGACCTCCTGTTTGATCGTCCCGTCCTCATCAAGCGACAGCTTCCTCTTAAAACCTGCCAGTTTTTCTCGATATCTACCCCGGCCCATTGATGGTGAACGCTGCGCGCTCGCGACTGCTGTGACAGCCCACTGCGACCTTGTTGTTTGCTGCGGAGGTACCCGGAAACAAAGCCTCGAAGCATGGCGTTGCGGGGGCGCGAACAACCGCCGCGGGAGCCCGAGGGAAGGCATGGCTCAGAGAGCTCGGGGAATAATAGCTGGCTATCGGAAGACACTGTGATGGACAACGAGAGCTCCCGACCAAGCCAGAATCAAACTACGAGTAATGGCCGCGGTCCTTCCCCGCTCCCAAGCTCCTCAAATATGGAACGGTAAGTACCGCGTCGTTTCTTCATTTTGTTTGGCATAATATACATCGACTCGAGTTCCTTGGGTTTTGGCATCGAATTGGACCAGTCAGAATCGGCCCCTGAGCAAAATTGCTAGGCTCCCGCGCTGGGTCGGTTGACATTGCTGCATGTCGCAAAATACTTAAGCCCCCCAGCTGCAGGGAGCTAGATGCATTGTGTGTTTGGGGTGAGCCTATTGATCAACGCTCTGGTCACTATCGCTCAAGTGAATCTCGACTCCCATTCCATATGATGTCATTTCTATTCATCAATTGCTTTTGAATGATTCACGAAGATTCATTAATTAACTCTTTCTAGATCTGATTCACAGAGCCGAAAGCCATCGCCTTCCTTAGGACTACCTCCCGAATTCTATACGTCCATGTTCTCCTGGAACTCCCCCGATGTCTCCCCGACAGACCAACGTAAAAATACAGGTTTCGGCAATCACAGAAAGGCTCTGGCTGTATTAGGAACCGATGACCCTGGGCCTCCCCCGACCTCCAATTCCAGCTCGCGGACGCATTTAAATATCAACAACTCCGACCACTCTCAACAAGAATCCATTGCGCCGTGGTCATCCTCACCGAAAATGGCGCCCAGCGATAATTCTGGCACCTTCTTGAATGACTTTTCCGAACACGAAGCCTCACCAGCCTCTGCGACATTTCGACCCAACACAGGACGTACCTATGCAAGCGAACCTACGGACTTGGATTACAATGGGGATCATCGAAGGCCGTCTGTTGCTAGCGCTACCACGATTAGCAGTCAAGGGTCAAAATCCAGTGCTGGTGGTAGATTTCGGAAACGACTACAGGGGTTTTTTGGGGATGAATACCACACAAACGGAGAACCCAAAGCCGACTCAGAAAGTGTCCACAACCAGATGTCGAGGCTAGGTTCCATCGATCAATACACAGCTCGTGAAAGAGCTAACTCGGATGGCTCGCGAAATGTGTCAGAAAGGTCAGAGGGACCGTCGTCTCAACACCCTTCGAGGCCGCGAACACCTCTTCCCTCCAGTGAAATTACTCCGTGGGTGTACCAAAGTTTCAATGTAAGTGCCGAACAGGTCTTCTTATCGTGGATTATTCCGAACTAACTGCTGTTGAATTAGGACATTCCGCAATATGGAGAAGCCCCTGTCCGCCACGCCCCCACTTCGGCTGACAACCAGCGCATGGCTGCTCGTAATGCAGCCAACGCTCAAGCTGGCCCGTCCTCACAAATGGATCCAAATCGAAGACCATTCAATGCCCACCGCCATTCCCGAAGCAAAGAAGAAAGACCGTCTGCTGCTGGTGATTTGGCTGGGTATCCAATCCGTCCGGCAACAGGCCGAGATGATATTTCGGTTGGCCTCCGCCCTTTTAGGGAAGGAAGTCTGGCCTCTACTGCAATGAGCTCTTCCACCACTCTTGGAGGCCGTTCTACTAGCCCTACTCCAAGTGTTCAAAGCGCCTACTCGCGAGAGCAAGGTCAAAATTCCCCAGGCGCACAACCAAACAAGCGCTCTATTCTGGATAAACTCCGTCGCAAACCTCACGGCCCTCTGAAGCACCTGCCTGGAGTTTCAAAATCCACACAGGATCCGGCGAAGCCCTCTTCAAAATTAGGACGACGAGAAGCGTCTCCCGCTAGACGAGCAAGGCAGGGCAGTCTTGAAAGCGGCACTCCTTTGAAGAACGTAGAACCGGGAGAGCATGACCGCAGGAGGGACGGAAAGGTCTTGGCTCTTGCTCCTACGAGACTTCGTGGCCGTCGCGGCCATGAAGGCGTCCCTGAGAAAGCCTCGGAAGAACCAGGCGTATGGAGGCTTGACACCGACCTTACTCAAATGGACGGTATCGTTAGCCAGCCACGCCCCTCATCACCGAGTGACAAAAGTAAAGCTCTCGATGGTGCTACCTTACACCATGAGGACCCCAGGGAAAGCCTGCCTGCCGGTCACTGGGATGCTCCAGAAAGTTGGCAGGTCAAAAAGCATGGGGAAGATCTTTCCACACGACTCCCCCAAATTGCGGACGAAGCCGCTCGCACTGCATCAGAAAGCGATGGGACATCGTATTTCATCCGAATATTCCGAATTGATTCGACCTTCGCCACACTTTCTGCTGGGTTGAATGCTACCGTTGCTGACATTCTTCTCATGCTTGGCCGAAAATCCTTCCTTCAAGACCATCTCAACAACTATGAGATAGTTATGCGGAAAAACGACCTTTCTAGGCAACTTGATCATACGGAACGTCCAATCCTGATGCAGAAGGGATTGCTTGAACAAGTTGGCTATACCCCGAAAGACAAGATAGAAGACATTGGTCGGGAGGACCACAGCTACATCTGTCGTTTTATATTCCTTCCCACTAAGCTCAGTGGTTATAGTAGTCTTGAGGGCGATCCTGGCTTCAACAAGATGCAAAAATTCAGTCATGTCGACCTCCAAGGTCGAAGTCTGGTTACGATCCCGATTACCCTTTACAAAAAGGCATCCGAAATCATATCGCTGAATCTATCGAGAAATCTGTCCCTCGATGTACCAAAAGATTTCATCCAAAGCTGCATCAATCTGCGAGAAATCAAGTTTTTGGGCAACGAAGCTTCATTCCTGCCTTCTAGCTTCAGTCTGGCAAGTCGGTTGACTTATCTGGATGTGTCAAACAACCGATTGGGGCAATTGGATCATGTTAATCTCGACAGACTTCATGGTCTTGTCAGCATCAAAATGGCCAACAATCAACTAACGGAATTGCCCAGCTATTTCGGAAACTTCCCATATCTGAGGAGCCTGAACATCTCGTCAAACAGCTTCCAGAGGTTCCCCGAATTCCTCTGCAACTTGAAGAGCTTGGTCGATCTTGATATCAGTTTCAACAGTATTTCAGAGCTCCCGAACATCGGGAAACTGAGTACTCTTGAGCGGATTTGGATGACGAACAACGACATCAGAGGACCTCTTGGCGAGACTTTCTTAAGTCTAGTGAATCTAAAAGAGATTGATGCACGATTCAACGCGATCGTCAACATAGACAATCTGTCACAGCTTCCACGTCTCGAGCAGTTGCTGATCGGCCACAATGCAGTCTCAAAGTTTATGGGATCTTTCCCAAAACTGCGAACCTTGCTTCTTGACCATTGTCCTGTCACCCAATTCGACATCGATGCTCCGATACCAACGCTCACATCTATCAACATTGCATCCGCAAAGCTTGTTCAGTTCCGGGACACGCTTTTTGAAAACGTGCCTAATTTGACCAAACTCGTTCTCGACAAGAATCATTTCGTATCGATGTCACCACACATTGGCAAGCTTCGCAAACTGGAACATTTGAGCATAATCAAAAATCCACTTGCTTCTCTGCCAGCGACGCTCGGATGTCTGACGGAACTTAGATACCTCAACCTAAGAGAGTGTAACCTTGACCGACTACCCCCTGAGATTTGGTACTGTGTTAAGCTGGAGACTTTGAATGTATCATCAAACGTGCTCAACAGTTTTCCAAAACATGGATGTCCTCCTCCGCACCCCCCTAGCGAATGCGGCGCCACTCCTATGGCAACTCCAGGAGGTTCAGCAACACCAACCTTGGAGGAATTGGGACCTCTCGAAGACCAGGAAGTGCGTCGCCCCAGCCAGACGTCCGGTGGTGTTCTCAGTACCGGCAGCTCACCGAGCGGTGGCACATACCGGAAGCCTTCTGTTGCATCATCTTTAGGCCAAGGGGGACGAAAGGTGTCGGCAACGTCAAGAGCTGCAGAGGGAAGTCCGTCCTCGCGAAAAGACTCGAACTTCTCACAACATGTGGCTACAACCTTCGGCGGGTCGCTCAGGAATTTACACCTAGCAGATAATCGACTGGAAGATGACATTTTCCGCGAGTTGTCGTTGATCCCAGAATTGCGTGTTGTCAACCTTTCTTATAATGATTTGGCAGAGCTGCCTCAAGGATTACTCAAACGCTGGCCGTTTCTTTCAGAACTGTATCTTTCAGGAAACGAGTTGACCTCGCTTCCATCCGATGATCTTGAGGAAGGCAGCAACCTTAAAGTTCTTCATATCAACGCCAACCGGTTCCAGGTATTGCCCGCTGAGCTTTGCAAAGTCAGCAAACTTGCCATTCTGGATGTCGGGAGCAATGCATTGAAATATAACGTTTCTAATTGGCCTTACGACTGGAACTGGAATTGGAACCGAAACCTCAAGTACCTAAATTTCTCCGGAAACAAACGCCTGGAGATCAAGCCAAATACCGCTGCGTTGGGACAAGTAGCAGCGAATGGAACCGACCTCACCGATTTCAATTCTCTCACTCATTTGCGTGTCTTAGGGTTAATGGATGTCACGCTCACCACCCCTACTATTCCCGAGGAGAATGAAGATCGCCGTGTCAGAACATCCGCCTCACTGGCTGGACAGCTCGCTTACGGAATGGCTGATTCGCTTGGTAAAAGTGAACATCTTTCCATTATTGATATGATTATACCACGTCTCAAGCCGGACAACGTGGAAACCTTGATGGGCATGTTCGACGGGCAAACCCAGTCAACCGGTGGCTCGAGGATTGCAAAGTTCTTACATGAGAACTTCACGTCAACATTCTCAGGCGAGTTGCGAAAGTTACGAGCGGAACAAAATGAAACACCGTTGGATGCACTGAGACGGACATTCCTAGCGTTGAACAAAAACATGGCTGCGGCCGCATTCAAGTCCATCGATGATAAGGAGATCCGCCAATATCGTCGAGGCTCACCAGCCACGAAGCTACTCAACCAGGACGATATTCGGTCTGGCGGTGTTGCCACTGTTTTGTATCTCAACAACATGGACTTGTATGTCGCTAATATTGGAAATGCCCAAGCAATTCTTGTGAAGTCAGATGGCTCGCTAAGGGAATTGACACGGAACCATGAACCCGCCGAGCCTGATGAAAGAGCCAGGATTCGCGCGGCTGGTGGATTTGTCTCCCGCCATGGAAGACTCAATGATCTGCTTCCTGTGTCCAGAGCGTTTGGCCACTTCCAACTCATGCCCGCGGTCATTGCAGCCCCACACACCATGCACGTCACTTTGACGGAGCAGGATGAGATGATCATCTTAGCATCGAAGGAGTTGTGGGATTATGTGACACCAGATCTGGCCGTCGACGTTACCAGAGCGGAAAGAAGAGATCCAATGGTGGCTGCCCAAAAGATCCGAGACTTGGCTATATCTTATGGCGCCAATAACAAACTCATGGTCATGATTCTCGGAGTCACCGATTTGAAAAAGCGAGAGAAGTTCAAGTTCAGAGGCACGACCCTTTCAATGGGTCCATCCGCTTTCCCTGAAGAACAGATCATTCCCAGCACGAAGCGTACTAAGAAGCCACGCGATATGCCTGGTGATTCGAGACTTGCCCGCTTTGATTATGTGGATGCCCCCGTTGGCGAATTGGCTATTATTTTCACCGACATCAAGAAGTCCACAAGTTTGTGGGAGACTTGTCCGGAGGCGATGCGCTCAGCTATTCAGATCCACAACGATATTCTCCGACGTCAGCTTGGAATAATTGGTGGCTATGAGGTCAAGACTGAAGGTGATGCTTTCATGGTTGCATTTTCGACCACGACTGCTGCTTTGCTTTGGTGTTTCAATTGTCAAACCCAGCTGCTGGAGGCTGAATGGCCTACTGAAGTTCTCGAGCAACCCCAGTGTCAGGTGCAGTATGACATGGAAAACAACATTATATTCCGTGGATTGTCTGTCCGGATGGGTGTACATTGGGGCGAGCCAGTTTGTGAAAAGGATCCGGTCACCAACCGCATGGACTACTTTGGACCCATGGTCAACCGCGCATCACGTATCTCAGCCGTTGCCGATGGAGGGCAAATCTTTGTGTCTTCTGACTTCATGAGCGACATCCAGCGCAATCTCGAAGTATTTGCTGACAGCGAACGAGCGGCGTCCACCGGCTCAGATGAGAGCTATGCAATGGGAAATCTTGGATACAACATCCGTCGCGAGCTACAGCAGCTTAACAGTCAAGGGTTTGTGATCAAGGACCAGGGCGAGCGAAAACTGAAAGGCCTGGAGAACCCGGAGCCACTTTACTTGATATACCCTCACTCTCTTTCTGGGCGACTGGCCTCGTTGGAACAGGCAGCGAGCGAAAACGCACCGACTACAATCAGCAAGCATTCCCAGCTAGAGATTCAGACTGACCTTATCTGGCGGCTGTGGGAGATTTCTCTCCGCCTCGAACGGATCTGTGCTGCGCTGCAGTATCCGGGTGAAGCTCGACTTAAGGAGCCCAATGTGGCCCTGTTTAATGTTGTAAAGAATCATGGGGGCGAACTTGCTGATGCTACTGTTGTCACCTTGGTGGAGCAACAGGTGACACGCATTGAGGTTCGTAGCATTCTCTTCTTATTGTTCTCATTTTATGCATGATTTCTAACGTATTACAGTTATCAATCAACACAATCGCGGTACGGTATATGATGCGGCCGTTCAAGCCAGGCGACAAGCTCAGCGACCATGCCGTGCCTATGAGCGAAGTGATGCAACAGTTGCAGACACAACTCGCTGAATACAAGGCCCTCAAAGAGCAAATGGCTGTCAGTGCTGCTGGCATCACTGGCACACCAGGCAGCTTAGTAGCCGCAGACCCTCGGGACGGCGCCGAGAGTAACTCCAGTTTCACATCTTCATCCTTCCTAAACCTCGCTGCCCCTTCTGAATCTTCTCATTCATATGATACTCATACCAGCGAACTTCATCCTTGAACATTCTACTGGCATACTGTGGATATAATCTCGTTAATTCTTCCTTTGAGTGTTTTTATTTTTTTATTTTTTATTTTTTATTTTTTGGTTTTTTCTATCTGTTTTCGTTTCTTTTTGGCCTCTTGCAACTGAGCGGCGTCTCATGGGATGGTGGAGTGTTCGCAACTCTATGAAGCATGGATAGGAGCCACGGTGATATTGGTTTGTTTTGTGTTGATTATTTTGCATGCCCATATTGGCCGCGTTAGTTATTTTGGAGATGTTATTTAACTGATGGGTTTTGAGTGCTCATAAAAATATATTCCACATTGATACCAGAGTAGATTTTTATCTTCACTCTATAAAGTGTGGCGGTGTGATGTGGCTCAGCAGGTCACGTGTAGTACTCTTTGTTTGTTGTTCCGATTGGGTTAGCGGTTCGAAAATCGTCATCGCCCATTCTTTCTTCCTGCGCGTCTCATCATCCTGACTTATCTCTCTCTTCACCCTGGCCATCTCAACGGGCAAGAATTACAGGCAAAACTGTATATTCAACGTCGAGAGAGGAAAAAATAGCATCGATGAGCCGTTATTTAACGCTAATTATCCTACACCACCAGGTTGGTTTCTTCTGCCCCGGGTCCCGCTCTGTTGCCCTGGATACCAGTCGTTTCGACGGACGTGTTCTTCTTCACCCCATTATTATTGACGAATGGAAAATAACGTCTTCAAAAATTTCTAGATCTTACCCTTGCTCGACAAGAAATATCTCCGGTGCAGATCCTCCATTCATTGAGAAGTGGTGTCTGCGAACGTGGTTTTTTCTTTACTTTGGCAACACTTCTTAACAACATTGTTGTCATTCTGGTTGATTATTTACGTTTACGGTGCTCGTTCCTGGTTACGAACCAGTACCTCATTACACCATGGCGGACTCACTGGATTATCTGTCCCCCGATTTCGACTTGAATTCCCTCACCGTTCCACGCCTTCGCTCCATCCTTGTCAGTCACGATGTTCCCTACCCGGCCTCCGCGAAGAAAGCACAACTTGTCCGGATCCTGGAGGAGGAAGTCTTGCCCCAAGCCAGGAAGCTACTGCGCGAACGGGAGCGAGTAAAGAGAACTAGCGCAGGAATCACGGACATGGGAAGTCGTGCGACTTCGGTCGCTAGTGATTATGACGACCAACGGGAATATGGAGAGCGGGAGTCAATGCCTCCACCACCCACTCCCTCGACAGTATCAACGACTACTGGCGGACGAAGAGGTCGCCCCAAGCGGAGTACTAGAGGATCAACAGTGGATACGGAGGAAGGAAATGCCCCAGCGACGCCGTCAACTGCCTCAAGAAGAACCGCCCCGAGGTCTGAGAGGAAAATTCCTCGCGCAGCTGACATTCCGGAAGAGGACCCCGCAACTCCAGTTATGCCCGACACCATGGCACCCAGGAGATCGACAGCTAGAAAACTTCGGAGGAGTGAGATGATGACTCCATCCACGGAACCTGAGCCGCCCGCCCCAGCTGTGAAGGTAGAGCCAAAGGACGATGCGGTTTTCACATATGACAATCCTTTCCAAAGCGGAAGCTCCCCTGCACCTTGGGATCAGCAGAGGACGAGTCTCAGTGGAAAACGGAAAAGCAGTTCTCGTCTGCCGACTGAAAGCCCTGCCTTCAAGGAAGGATTGCGATCTCGGAAGTCGGAGACCCCCGCCAGCATCAAACGCGAATATCAAAGTACGCCCAGGACATCTTCATTCGGGTTCTCAGCTGCTAAGCCGGAATACGCCGAAGAGGAACTCCAAGATTATGAAGACGACTACGAAAGCGAAGCTAGTGCCGGCGAAGAATTCACACCGGATGAACAACTTGCCTTGGAAAGAGAGCAGGCCGATTTGATGTACCCCCCCACCCCTAGCCGTCGACAACCGCAAAAGCAGGGGGCAGCGAGCAAAGCAATTCTCTATGTGGTCGTCGTATCATTACTGGGTAGCTTTGCTGCATGGTGGCGCAAGGAGAAGATTGAAATCGGATTCTGTGGGATTGGGAAACCTACCTGGTCGTTGGTCGATACCAAGGTGCCTGAGTGGGCCAATATCCTGGAGCCTGTCTGTGACCCGTGCCCCCCGCACGCCTTCTGCTACCCCAACTTCGAGGCACGCTGTGAGCATGACTTCATTCTGAAACAGCATCCACTATCACTGGGGGGTGTGGTCCCATTGGCCCCCACTTGTGAGCCCGACAGCGAAAAGGCTCGCCGTGTCAAAGCTGTTACTGACAAGGCCGTGGAAGAGCTCCGTGATCGAAGGGCCAAGTGGGAATGTGGCGAACTGACACACGATGGCAAAGATGAAAACTCCCCAGACATGAGTGAGCCAGAGCTCAAACAAGAGGTTGGGAACAAACGGCGGAAAGGAATGAGCGATGCTGAATTCGACGAGTTGTGGACGGGGGCTTTGGGTGAAATCGTTGGAAAAGATGAGATTGTGAGCAAAACCAAACCGTAAGCACCGTCCTGTTTCTTTCCTTCCTTTTTGCCCCACGCGCTGGCCTGGCAGGTATCTGCTGCACAACCGAGGATCCTAGTTCTGACGTGTCTGTATACCCGGAACTAACAGAAACGGCCACACAATTACAGAACAACCTCTGAGCTCATCCTCACTTCCACATCTATCACGCGGCTCCCCCTCACCTGCGCCTTCCGCCGTCACATCCGACTATCTCTCCTCGCGTATCGACTCCCTATTTCAATTTTGATCGCCTGTGTCTCTCTCGTAGTCTATGTTCGTTCGCGGGTGCGAGCCCGCCGCTCTGATATGGCAAGGGTCCCCGAACTGGTGGCAACCACATTGGACCGCTTGGCGACACAAGCCGCCCTGCATGCTCGTGGCAAAGCTCGCGAGCCGTACGTTCCCGTGGGGCAATTGCGAGACGATGTTCTTCGTTCTGAACTACGGGGGAATCGGCGCGAAGAGCTCTGGCGGCGTGTACGCACAGTCGTCGAAGGCAATGCCAACATTCGAGCTGCGGTTAGAGAGGGCCGTGGCGGCGATGTTGCCCGCGTGTGGGAATGGATCGGTGGGATCGGCAGCGTAGGTGGGGACGTCGAAGAAAGCGCACGACCAAGGGACAGCAGCAAAGTGCAGTTGTCGGCCTCGTCGAGTGACTGCCGTGAGCCCGACCAAGAGAACGGCGATCGATCCACTGGGAGAAGCCCGAGAGAATCACGCAATTGGGATGAGGGAAGGCCGATTTACTGAGATGGGCAGAGCCCACCAGCAGCTTGTCTCGTTTTTGTTATTCTGAGGTTATATATTTTTTTTTTTTTCGTGTTTATTGATACATTGTTGTGGCATCCATATTACCACAGCCCGCCGTTTTGTAGATACCTTGTCTTGCTTCCTTCATTGCTGCCTTTTTGCCATACCAACGGATTATGATCAATTGCTTGGGAAGAGAGTTTGTTTATTGTCCAGGGCGCGATGGCGTTGGATTGTTGAGGTATTTCTTGCTCATTTAAGTACATACTTCCGTACTGGTAGTGGTAAGCACTTCCTCGGCGATCACCTTTAGGAGGATACTGTATATTACTTAAACCAGCTCGCATCCTGTAATAAGTGTCTTTGTATAATCAGGGGAGCAATCTACATATGGTAGGAATTACCTTTACATCTGTATATAAACTAAAGGGAGAGGAGTTAGGCCTTTAACCGCAGTCACGGGATATGTCTGGAAACAAAATGTATCTAGATAAGTGGCCAATCCCTGCCACTCATTAGGGACCTGCCGCCAATCGGCCGAATGGCTGAAAGATGCGAGAAGGAACCTGATACACACACACAAAAAACACACACACACACATACTTCCGTCCTGCGTCAAAATGTGGGTTTTTATGGCCCAATCTTCGTCAAATCATAATCCACCTACATAATACTAATAGTCCATGCAGTTCGTATTCTCGACTGTGTGGACTATTAGCCTCTGCCCTAGCCTGAAAGTATTAGTTAGTTGACATGGACTTGACAGTTGTTGCTTCGTTATGCAGACCCATCGCGCACAGCTGTGCAGAGTAAGTGCTTCACTATCTTGGTATGATGAATCACTTCTTTGGGGGTAGTATCCTATGTGACCTTGCATCGCAGACCCATTTCCTGACCACGTGGAGCCATACGTATAGTAGTAGATGGGGAGTTCAAACAAGTAACACGAGAATATGCCCCACCAGACCTTCCACATAAGGTGGCGATATTTCATCACTTAAAGGAAAGTGGGTGATCTAGTAATCTCTTTGCTAACACGCTTAACTCCTGTATACTGTATAGCATGTTCCAAGTTGATTCTCCACTGGTTGTGATTGCCACCATTACCCATAGTATAGGGGTTCTGTAGTAGGAACTGGGTGTTTTTGATGTAATTGGTCTGATTTTCAACTGTAGTGAACAAGACGTCATCCGCTATTATGATTAAGGGAATCGCTTATAGAATGAATAGAAAGATATCTGTACTCTCTTTCAAGCTTTGAAAATTACCCAAGACGTGTGCCATGCTATCGTCCGATCCTTAATATGCGCTGCCTAAGCACTGGCATGTAGTCAATGGACGGCACGTGTAGTAGTGACATTGCAATTGTTTGTTGCTCTTTTTATACGACAAAGCGATTTTGAGAACTCCGGTGTGAATGTGCCTCTTTCACCGAGAATGGATTCGAGAACAGGTTGGCTAACATGTACACCGTCCTGTAAGAGAAAATGTAGCGTGTCTGGCTTTCCCGAATAGGCCAACTCAATGGCCGGTACAAGTGAAGAAATGCAAGACTCACGATGGAGGTCGAATGTGATCTTGGCCCCACAGGATATAAGTTAGGAGGCAAGATTCAGTTGGTTTACATGGCACGCGAATGACAAACCAGTTAGCTCGTAGGATGTTGGTTGGTTGATGTCGAAGCCGTTGTCCAACATTGCTTCGACAACTTCGCGAATGTCATACTGACATACCAAGAAAAAGGGCGCCGGGTGAGTGTCAATAATAATTAGTTCAAACCATATAAAATGATTCTTTTCACATAGCGATCAGTCCCTTTAAGCTCACCAAGCTTGACTACCCATTTTCCGAAAGTCGACGGCGTTCTGCGACCAGAAAGCATTGGATAATCCTGCCAGTTGCTGTTACCATCGAAGACAGCCAGACATTTGCAAATGTCCTGGCCAAAACTCTTCTGCATAATGACGAAGCCCGTACTGCTCATTTGTTGAGAAAGCCCTTTTTTCGTCAAACTCGATCGTACTGGCTTGATTGAGAAGTGAGATGGACGCCGCTGCGATGAACGCATGGCCTTTATCGGCCATATAATCTGGTATGCCTGGAGCAATTCACAAACAGATTAGAATTCACTAACAGATGGATGAATCGAAATCTATTTGTCCCTCGATCTAGGTCGACAAAAGCCGAACAAAGGTGTAGTACGTCGTCTGGCCTTAAATTGAGGCGATTGCTGTTAGCACTGTAATTTCATACAGAGACAAAAAGTTTCCCACTCTAGGGTTTCATTTCAGGGGCTGTATAGCAACCAAAATATAATTCTTTGGATCATATCTGGTGTATCGCGGTCCTGCCCTTGTTCCATCGATGGCCATACGCAAGAGTAAATATGGCCTGCTTCTTTTGCTCGTCGTCTCGAAGTCAAAACTGACAACGCCTGGTTCTTGATAGATATTAGCGGTGGAGATACCCAATAAATGTGTGCCATACCTGTCGTAGGATGGCAATTTTCTGGTTTAAAGATTCGAAGCTGAGTAGAATGAACACCATCAATCTTGTATCTCTTCGTGACGGTTGCGTCGTTGTTGGTGGAAAGAGGGGAGGGGAGAGGAAGCCACAACCAGTGTCACGTGGGTAATCTTTAACTAGATATCATTCTGCTTCTTCACGTATAGGTAGACCTGGAGCCATACATATATAGCACGCTGTTAGATAGGACTTCGACCAGTCGGAGGGTTTCTTTTCCCAAGCATTCTTACTCACGCTTAAGTGATCGACTAACACCTCATGGCTTTTCTTTCTTTTCCAAATCCTTCATTCATTGCTTTTTTCTTATTGCCACACCAGACGCTCGTCCATCAGACATCATCGTGGGTGTAAGCCACGCCTGAAACACCAACTCTACCCCTCCGCTAGTGGAACCCCCCACCTGCGAAAGGTACGTACTAAGGTAGGTAGACAAAGTACGCTGCGTATATTTTTCTTGTTCGAGATTAGTCCTTGCCTGTATCAACAAATGATTCATTCATTTCGCAGCCACAGACGTCGAGCTCCAGTGTTGTTGTGACTTTCTTAGGTGAAGAGCTAAGGATGGAGATTCACGCACCAAAACTGGTAATTGATATTATGATATGACCTCATTATAAACCTTCGCGGGCAGCTCTCGCTTGTTTTCCTGCCAATCCAGCGCGCCACATATCATTGATCGGCGATGATCATCCAAACTCCAACGATCAACGATATATCTCCTTTTCTGCCTGAGGCTACAGTGTCACTCAGTGGGCTATTCTCAATTGGGCGAAAATAGTCACATGACGATATATACTGTCACATGATTCTCTCGCGGACATCAACCATGAGGCTCGAGGGCATCAAAACAAAGAACCCTGGATTGAAAATGGACACAAAGAATGCAAGGGCAAAGGAGTCAACAGCCAAGAGAGATCAAATGAGATCCAATCCGATCCTTTGATAGCCATGTCTTGCATGCTCAAACCGTAGCGGCTCCGAAATCTTCCATGATGGTCGAGCTACCGCCTGTGGTGATTCTCTCTTGAGCTGTTATGCTGTTATCACAATTCGCCCTCTTTTGTCCCAGACATGCGCATGCTTCTTTTCTCTTATAAATACCACGCACATGGACTACGGATGACTAACTCTGACCCAGTGGGCCAAATACCCGAGTCTCGTTTTGTCCCGTCGACGCCCATCGACTCTCGTGGCCTATCAATTCGGACGGATACTGTATCCGGTGCCTCATAATTCGTGCAGATTGATCTCCTTGATGAATTCTCATCCAGTCTAAGTATCGGTGGCACTTGGGCTGCCATGGTCGAAGCTTGGCTTGTGCAGTAATAATTCCAATAAAGAAAGAAATTCAACCGTGACGCACAGAATAACGGAATAATCATACGGTCATAATAATGTCAGCGGCTGGGAGAGAAACCAAGGGAAGAAGAAGAACAAAAGGCCAACGAAGAAAGTTTGCATTCCTAGACCCATAGTGGGATGTACCACTTCCTTTATCTGGAAGAATCGGCTTTTATTATTTGAGAAAGGCTCCATACTTGTCTGCAGTATGGTGACTGACCAACAGAAAGCCGTTCTTTATCTACCAGCTCGCACCATTGAGCTGTCAGACTAATCATGATTTCCCAGCCTGTCATCAATGATTTTAGCGCCGAACAGGAGTCGAAAATGCAAATCGCCACCCTTGGTCAAGGGCGCATCGATCGCAGAACTAACTACAGACAGCCCAGATTGTGCGGAGTGCGCCATATGGAGACCACTCGAGTCGTCGGGCACACTTTCTAGTCTCCCCTGCTGGCAGTAGGGGGTCTTTCTTGCCACGCGCTTTCCTGGATTTCTGCAAACTCGAGGAGAACCGGCAAGATCCCTCGTCCTTGGGGACGGCCCGTGGATAAGCCCCCCCGAGCAAATGTCAAAATTTTTTCCCAAAGGCCGCCCCCATCCCCGACGCACTTGCACACGCACTAGTATCTCTCCATTCGACAGTCTGCCTGCAGTCGTGTCCCTGTGAACTAGTGAACTAGGCACAAAGTCCTCTGGCCTAGCGCAGGAAAATATTACATCCTACCCTACTCCGTACAAATGGTCCCTTGATAGAGCTTGGTCTGCCTGAGAGACGTGTATGTCCTTGTCAGGAGCATGCTTTTAGAAGTCTTGCCCAGAATCCTTTCTGGCTACCCTTGACCCTTCCCCTTCTCACCTCTCCTTTTCCTTCGTTTATCTCCGTTTGTCTCCTTTGTGCGTGTTTACATCATGTCCCATCAAGGGCCATCCAAACCACCCTTCCGCCCTATTGCCCCAAGGACAGCGCCGGGCAGCCCTGCTACAGCTCCTGCTGAGGAACCCAAGGTGAAAAGAGCGTCAGCAGCTTGCGGACAGTGTAAAATACGACGGACAAAGGTATCTTCATTGCTTTATCGAGAATCCTTGTGTTGATGGTTTTATCTACTACCCCACTTCCCCTCTCGTCTCCTCTCCTCAGTTTTCTCCCTCTCTATTTCATGTTCCTTGTCTCCTCCCTGCGAACATCTGCTCATCTGTTTATTTTCCAGTGCAGTGCTGATATCACCGGAACCCCCTGCACGGAATGCGCTTTACATAATCGCAATTGCTTTATCGATGAAGGTGCCGACAAACGCCGCAAGATCTCCGTCAAACGTACCGAGGAGGAGTTGAGATATTACCGTGAATTTGTCGAGCAACTGCTCAAGGCAATCCGGCAAGGCAAACACTCAGATGTGGATATAATTGTGAATGCCATCCGGTCGGGGGCATCACAGGAAGAGATTCGCTCTGTGATTGCCCACTGTTTGGGTCAGTTCCCAAACGATAATGATCCCGGGAAGAAGCCGGGTAACGTGGCCAACGATCTCACGAATAACGATGCATCGACGAGTACGACCCCAGACGGCAGATGACGACCTTTCGGATCGATCGAGTGCTCCATTTACAACACACGCGACCGAATAATTAATATGACGTTATAATCATCTTCACCCATACACCTTACTTCCTTTCTTGCCTTCAAATGTGGTCATGTCGAAAGGATCTTCCCGCCTTGTGAGGCTGTTGGAAGGGCAAGGATCCATCGACGGTCAAACATGATTATTGGGAAAGCTTAGCCGTCTCGCAGAAAAAGAGACCACATGACGTGCATCTTGAATGAAGCGAAAGGGACAGAAAAGACCAAAAAAAGGGGTGGAGGACGAAGGGAGGGAAGGGAAACAAACATCTCTCACATTTCCTAGCGATATCAACAAGTTTATTTCATTTTCTTGGTTATTTTTCTTCTTATCTCTTCGGTCCAGAACTAATGGCAGTTGACCATTCTATCTTGAGCCATGGGGGGATGTTCATGGTAATTTAGATGGTATCAAGAAACGAGAGATGACAGTGACACAATGCAGAATTACAGAAACAAAAGGTGTTTTTCTCTTGATTTTGCAGATCGTCGCTTACATTCCCATACCAACGAATCGAATCTTGATATTATTCGCCCAGAATGCACGGTCGATGTTCTCCGTGCTCATATGATGTGTCTCTCTGCCTTGCTTTCGGTTAACAACCTGGCCAGAAAGCCTGGCATGCAGTGAGAGTACAACAGACGATCTCAGATCATCAGACTACATCCTCGTCTGTTGTGTTCATCACCCTGGCTGAGAATATTTGATTATTAGCAATCGGGCATGAAGACGATGATCGGGGTGCAGAAGATCTACACACCCTTGCTTCCAGGGAAAGCTTTTCCTCACCAACACCATCGCTGAATCGGTATTCTCATATCACAGGAAAGCAGGGAGAAAGTTCCTTGCTGGACAGAAATTTACCCAACTGCCTTCGATTGTTATACATACACCGCTCGCTAGGATATGAACGGCATGGGAAATCCAGGATGTGGCCCAATGCCGGCCTAGATCCCGTCTGCACGACACCACCAGGCTGAAATCTGATGGTATTAAGATCGGTCGGCCGAATGCCCGATTATTGGCCATTTGGGTGCTGGAAATAGCGGGATGCCTGACAACAAACCTATCTCAACAAAGGAGTATGTCCGTATCACTGGATATGATTTGTGACTCACGATGGTGACTTGGAGCCAGGCTCCTCACTTATTCAACCCTTTCCACCGGTAATTTTGGCATGAGGAATGCGATACAGCGTCATTATGAAGATATTGATCAGATCCATGCGTTTATGCAGCATCTCGATCGGAATTCTGTTGAAGAAATCCCCAACCTTCCACTTCTGTTTATTCTCCACAAATTAATTTTTCTGGAATCTTCGAATTTCGAGTCTTTTATAGAACCATTTCTCAATCTTTTGTATCCTTTTCGTTCTTCGTAAAATCGTTCTGTAGTGGCTGCTGCTTGCAATGTGGCTGACTAATCGATGTGCAGGACGCCGTCGTTCTCCCCTCCCCTTCGATTTCTTGGAATTCTCTCCATCTTATCTGACTCTCTGCTCGCTTCATATCTAAGAAATTGCTCCACTCTTTCCAGATCCGGTCATCAATCACCTCTCCTCTTCTATCTTTTTCCCTCGCCCCGGATTTCTCTCCGTTGGCCAGTGTGGAGTCATCATGGCCCCAACCCCGCACAAGGACCGGCTTCGAATGACAAATCCGTGGGTTCCCGGAAATTTCTCCTTCTGCCAGTCTTCCTTCTGATTGTTCCTTCATGACAGAGAGTTATATGCTTGGCGATAGGAAGAGAGAGAGAGAGAGAGAGAAAGAACTGCAGCGGAAAAAGAAAAGGCCCTTCCATGTCTCTCCACTTGGAACGTGTCAGCCAACCGACGCTTTTGTTGTCCGATATTTACAACATCCAATGGCCCCTGCAGCCGTTGATAGGACGGAGTCACATCTGTCACCCGGAAATGGCAGCCATGTCGGAATAGACGACAACAACACCATAAATGCTGCCAACGGCGATGACTCTGGTGGATCACAGTCGGTGACCTCCACATTCTCGTCAGACCGAAAGAGAAAAGCATCCGAGTCGTCGTCTGCGACTAAGCACACCACCCAGCGGCAAAAAATCACTAGAGCGTGTGATTATTGCAAGGAAAAGAAGACTCGGTGTACCGGGACATTGCCCTGCATGAGATGCACGAGACTGTCACTTTCCTGTGAATATAGTGCCGCTTACTCACGCGGTTTGCCGCCGGACCCTCTGCCAGCTCCTGCATCGTCCGGCTTGTCCAAGAATGGAAATAGGCCACAACGTCCTCCCTTGGCGGCTGGACGTGCTAACCAGTCTCCTCTCACGCCACGATCTGCAAAAAGCTCCCCCAGAGATGCTACTACTTCGACCCACCAGCAGTTTTCTAAAAATGATCCCGTGATCTCGCCGCGGAATTCCCCAGACCCCGTGGCTATGGATTATGAGGGTAACTATCTAGGGCCGGCGTCGGGAGTTTCATTCATGAATCGTGTCTGGAGTCGTCTCCACCAGGATGAAACGTCTGCTATTCCCGATGGACCGCAGGATGAGTCGCCGTCCAAGAATACCTCGGTGTTTATGTTTGGCGACAAGCCGTATTCCAACTACCAGGAGACTGGCTTTGTACTACCTCCGTTCGAAAAGGCTTTGGACTTGGTAGGCACCTATTTTGATTTTTCTATGGTCACATACCGGTTTCTGCATAGAGGAAGTGTGGATGCATGGCTCAGACAGGTATATGAGCATAATGTCTCCTTTTCAAATTTACCGACAGGGTGTATGGTGGCTCGAACGTCCATCATCCTCATGGTCTTTGCAGTGGCTACTCTCTACAAAGAGCAGCAGCCAGGGGATCCAATTGAAGGCATGAGTGAGAGGTATGACTTTCCTCCGTCTTTTCTTCAATCCCTCAGTATGCTAAAAGTATGCCAACAGTGAACGGTGGTATGCAGCTTCCAAGTATATGTCTTCCATGGAGTCTGGGCCTCCTCGGCTAGAAACAATCCAAGCAAGGCTGGGTCAGTGTCTTTATTTGCTTTCGTCCTCGCGCGCAAATGAGTGCTGGTACTCCTACGGTACAGCTTTGCAACTCGTGACAGCTTTGGGTCTGCATCGACGGTGTCTGGCAAAGTTGTCGAAGAATGGAAACTCTTATCTTGAGCAGGAGCTCCGTAAGCGCATCTTTTGGAGCGCCTACACCCTGGACAAGTACCTCAGTGTTATGTTTGGACGTCCCAGGCTGCTGCACGACGAAGACATCGACCAGGGCTTGCCTGATGAGATGAATGATGAGGACATGCTACAAGAAGATCCAGCAAGACGAACAGGGTCCCTAGATAGCATGATGATAGCATCTGTTCTTCATTACAAGTTGGTTTCCACCTTCTTCTGCACTGTTTCTTGCCCGTTCACTGACACTGCTTATAATAGACTTGGCCGTATTATCGGTGAAATTTCCCGGCAGCTTTATACGATCAACCCTCACTCCCGAGATCCACCGCTTGAAACCGCTGTTCGTCTCACTTCAGAACTTGAGAAGTGGAAGGAAACCGCACCACCTTTGTTCAGCAGTGTGCGGGCGACCAGTCTTATCCCACCTCTATGTAGGCAGAGCCAAGTTCTGCAGCTTGCATATTCTCATGCAATGATTCATGCAACCCGGTCTTTTCTCTTGAATGATTTCACAGATCTCAGCCGCAGGCCTCCAGTCCCCCATCCCATGGTCACGAGCCATGTACAGAAATGTATTGAGGCTGCTGAAGACGCTATGACGTTGGTGGATAGTCTTGCAAAACAAGGTATACTGATTCAGTCCTTTTGGTTCACTCATTATGTGTGTTTTTGCGCTATCATTGTGGTGTATATCCATACCATCCAACAACATCGACAGTCTTCTGGACAAGTAGCCGAAAATGGCAGTCAGACGTGCTATCTGTTCAACCTTGCTGAGGCCTGTCAACGACACCTGGCCGAAGCTACCCGCAAAAATTGCCCAAGTCGTCGCTATGGTATAATCCTGGAAGAGTTGAGACTGGAAGTACATAGACAAATCGGCTCCTGCTCGCAATCAGGATATTCTCCTGTGAATATGTCTGAAAATGACCAAGCCAAATTTTCATGCAGTACAGAGCCACCTCTGAATCAGATAAACTTCACTTCTGCCAGTGTCGAACAGTCCATCTCACTGGACCCCGGGAATGCTATGAATTACCCATCGATCTCAGATAACTTGCAACCATCTGATTTAACGGACGGACCTTTTGACCCCAACACAGACCTTGGAATTCTTGATAATTTAGAAGGCTCTATTTGGTGGGCTCAACTGGATTCTTGGGTAAGTGATCCGTTGTTATGATCATTTTACGTTTCATATTTCTAACCGCCATCTCTCTAGGCCTTTACTAGTCTCTCCAATGATCCTTCGACCTTTACATTTTAAGACCTGCTACAATTTTGCTTCCGAAGATACCCATAATACCCGGTCATTCGAAGCCGCAAATGACATGAAAATCTGCATGAATTACGTCTCCACATGATTAATCTTCTCCCGCATAGACAAAGCTCGCCTGTCTTATTAATGAATGCTTTTCAAAATCCCCCAAGGATACGGCTTTTCCCAATACAGATCTTGCTCTTGATATATGAGCTCTGAGTAAACTTGTTAGATTTACCAGCTTAGTGAAGATGCCTGAGAGCTCCAGAGACGTAAGATATCACGGTGTTTCCTTCCCTGGAAACTCAACCTACTTAGATTGCCGAAATAGTGTACCGAAATAGTGTATACGACTCTGGTGCTTCGTGCCCTAAACCGAAGCAATATCATACATCGTTGATAAACTCATATGATCTTTCAAGAAAGGATCGGAATAATTATTTGAATCGATTCAAGTCCAATGGTTATCCATCCGGATATAGGGCTAGACTTGGATGTTTCAACTTTGCCGTTTACCTTCGGATTCTTATCCGCACACCGCAGTTTGCTTTTCCGTGAGGCTAAAGGAGCCATTTCCAACCCTATGCTGACAGTCTCCCCGGATTTTCAAGACACCATTTCTCGAACCAGTTTGAAGTGTGGAGCGTGGAGAATGCATTTAAATAATCCGCATATCTTCTTTGGGTGTCATTGTTTCTATACACATACTAAGATACAACTCGACCCCCGTATCGCATACCCCATTTCATTTCCTCATCGTTTTTTGAAACATCTATTTTGATACAATAGGATACTCGCGAGTGGCACATTCACCAAAAATGTTATCAACAGCTTTACCCTCGGATATGAATCCAGCTTTGCGTGAGCGGGCCTTGGTGGACGACAAAGACAAGATCAATAAAAAGGTCCCCGAGAGAGAAGCACTGACAGTCGATGAGCTTGTTCGACACAGAGCATCGCTAAGAACTGGTCAGCCCGTGATCTCATACCCCCGGAAAGGGATTGAATATGAAGATTTCCCGCTTCGTCAACTGGATGTCTTCGGCTACCGGGCTGCCAAGGTGCTTGCAACTCGCCTGCCACCAAGAAGCTCTTCAGCAGAGACCCCGGCGGTAATCTCCTTGCTAGGACCTTCTGATCTCAGCTACCTCGTCACACTTCTTGCGCTCACAAAGCTCGGGCATACCATCCTGTTTCTTTCGACACGTATCTCGATCGAAGCCTATGTCTCGTTGCTAGAGAGAACGGGATCCAACCATCTTCTCATCCATCAGTCTTTCCGAGACGCCGCGGAAGAGCTTCAGAAACGGCGTCCGGGTCTTCAAATCGATGAGATCCCGGCTCAGGAAGTCTACTACTATCCAATCCCAGAGGAAGACATTGACACAAACCTCGTCCCTCATTTGGATCCAGACGTGGAGTCTAAATACAACACTTTCATTATACACTCTAGTGGTTCGACGGGTCTTCCCAAGCCCATTTTCCAGACCCAAGGAGCTGCTATCAAGAACTATGCGGGTAATATGAATATGAGAGGATTCGTTACCTTGCCGCTATATCACAACCATGGAATCAGCTGTCTGTTTCGAACTGTTCACTCGTGTCAAACTCTCCACCTCTACAACGCTGAATTACCGCTCACGAAGCAATATCTGTTGGATATAATGAAGGCACACGATTTCGAGATCTTCTACGGTGTTCCGTATGCTCTGAAACTTCTGGCTGAGACAGATGATGGGATTGCAGCTTTGGCAGGATTTAAGGCAGTCATGTTTGGTGGCTCTGCATGTCCTGACTCACTTGGTGATCGGTTGGTTGCCAACGGTGTCAACCTCATAAGTCACTATGGATCGTATGTCTTCATTGGAATTTTTGGGTTGATTCGTGCTAACTTTTGGTAGAACGGAAACTGGCCAGCTAATGACCTCTGTCCGACCTCGAGAAGACAAGGAATGGGATTACTTACGGCCCTCGGAAGCTGTGAAGAGGTTCCTCCGTTTTGAAGAGCGCAGTGCTGGGATTTTCGAACTAGTTTGTCTTGATGGATGGCCTTCGAAGGTGACTTCTAACAGACCCGATGGCTCATATGCCACGAAAGATCTTTTCATGAAACACTCAACTCTGGAAGCCTACAAGTATTATGCTAGGCTGGATGACACACTTGTCCTTGTCAATGGAGAAAAGGTTAATCCATTGGATATGGAAGGTCATGTCAGACAGCATGATGCGGTTTCCGAGGCTGTAGTTTTTGGACAAGGCAAATCCCACATTGGATTGGCTGTCATTCGCGCCCCTGGTGCCGTCACTTTGTCTGACGAGGGCCTCATTCAGATCATTTGGCCTGCTATTGAGAGTGCTCATGAGGTAATGCCTGCGTTCGGTCAGCTTTCCAGGAGCATGGTCAGGGTTCTTTCTGCCGATACGGCATATCCTCGCACAGACAAGGGAACCGTGATTCGACAGGCATTCTACAGAGATTTCAGCCAGATGATTGAAGATGCATATGAAGCGGATGAAACAGCGACTGGATCTTTAACTCTTGCGCAGCCAGAGCTGAAAGCTTTTATCAGGGAGCGACTTGAGACAATCTTACCGCTCAAAGACCCGGCTTCTTTGACTGACGACACGGATTTCTTTGGACTGGGTATGGATTCCCTGCAAGCGACTCAACTGAGGTCCATTATCACGAAGAATATCAACACGAACGGAAAAAAGCTGGGTTTGAACGTTGCATTCGATCATCCTACCATCAGTTCTTTGGCTCGTCATATTGACTCCCTCGCTTCTGGTGCGGTTGACGGAGTTGTGCCAATTGAAGATCAGATGGATGCTCTACTGTCGAAATATTCTCAATTTCAAAAACACATCCCATTGCCTAATGGTCTTGGTGGAAGATATATGGTGAGTTATTATGCTTAGTCCCTTGGCGATGATGATTATCGCTGACAAACAAAGGTTGTTACGGGTGCCACGGGCTCTCTGGGAAGCCATGTTGCTACAAAGCTTGCTCTTCTCCCGGATGTTCAGAAGGTCTACTGTCTTGTTCGCGCATCTTCGTCTATCGAGGCTTACGACCGACTGCTTCGATCAATGCGCACTCGCCGGGTCTACGACAGCCTACCAAACGAAGCCCGAAACAAACTCATTCCACTTCCATCCGATTTCTCTCAGGCGACTCTAGGATTAGACTCTTCAACCTACAACACACTCACTTCGGAGATCACAGACGTTGTTCACTGTGCATGGTCCGTCAACTTCAACCTACAGCTCAGCAGTTTCGAAAGGGACAGCATTGGGGGTCTGAAGAACTTGATCGATCTGTGTCTCAAATCGCAGAGGCCAGCGCCTGCTTCGTTCAATTTCTGCTCATCCATCAGCTCAGTTGTAAACACTGAAGGTGACGAAATACCCGAAGCTCTCCCCAAAAAGCTGACCTATGCTCAAAACATGGGTTACGCCCAGTCAAAACTGGTCGGAGAGCACATGTGCGTGCGAGCAACACAACAGACCGGTATCCGCGCACGAGTCCTTCGAATTGGACAAGTAATCGGTGACCAGGAGCATGGAATCTGGAACGCAACAGAGGCAATCCCTCTCATGCTGCAAACTGCAACCACCATCGGTGCACTGCCAACGCTTGACGAATCGCCCTTCTGGCTTCCCCTCGACACTGTCGCTGGCACAGTCATCGATATTTCCCTCTCTACCGCAGATGCTACTTCCTCTAGCAATGTCTTCAACGTCACCAGCCAGCATCCTTTCCATTGGACACGTGACCTACTGCCATACCTTCGCGGCGCAGGTCTCAAATTCGAAGAGCTTGGACAACGTGAGTGGCTGCGTCGATTGAGAAACTCAAACCAGGATCCAATCCTCAACCCGCCCATCAAGCTTGTTGACTTTTTCGCGGGCAAATATGACACGGATAAGCCCCGACGGACGCTCGTGTGGCACACTGAGAAAGCGAGAGAGCTGTCGCCTACATTGGCAGATGCCACGCCATTGGATCAGGCCCTTGTCGACAAAATGGTTGGGTTCTTTCAGAAGGAATGTTGGGGTATGGTGAAGAAGTAGATGGTTTGATTTTAAGCATGTGGGATTTTAATATGAAAATTTGTCTTTATCTTTTGTTGACTTTCTATATAAGCAACGAGCCTTATGACCATTGAAAATTTGCAACATAGTATCTTTACAATCCATCGTTAGTAATTTAAATATTAGCAGCCCAATTATTCGAGACGATATACAAGATATAAGTTAATAACAACAGCTGCTAAGAATATTTGCAGAAACCAATCTAACACTATACAGTAGTATTCTTCGAACACCCGATTAGACCCCCAACGCCAATCATTCATGATCGTACCTTCATCATATATATAAACCTAGGGCAAAAAAGCCTATAAATAAAAATATAAACTCAATCAAATTCCACAGGGGGCAAACCCCTTTCTTCAACGGCACCCTTAACGCTCTCCTGCAAAGTCTGAAGAACATCATCCCACGCCATCACACCTTGTGAGCTGCTACCAGGATTGGTACTCTTGGGTGGATCTTGAGGTTGGGGTCGTCCGTCATCAACTAGCCACACAAGCCAGTTGACCGCAGACACTGCTTTGTCGACATCCTTTTCATCGAGCACAACGCGTTTAAGATAGCTAGAGAGAGATTCTACATCCTCGACGAAGGGCCCATCTGGCTTAAATGTAGAATACCACGCCTCTAGAGCATCGCGTAGGTCTGGTAGACTGGAAAGCCGCTTAGAGGTGAAGGTAGGCCGTTCCGGTAGCGGAGGAAGATGAACTTTTTTCTGGGGCTGAGGCTGAGGCGGAGGAGCGGACGGTCTTGTTTGAACGGGCCTCCGGGTTGTTGAGGAAGCAAGATTTGAACGCTGTAGCATCTGGGATCGTTTTTGTTCTTCAAGGACTTCACGGCGGATGTCTTCTGGCAATGCGGCCAGGAATTCGGCCGATACTACACTTTCCTCGAATATTGGAGATGGCTCTCTTGGAAGGGACTGGTTAACAGCGCCAGTTGAGGGAGTCGCGTTGCGAGTGACACCAAAGCTGGATTGTGTGAGTTTCATGTTTCCAACTGCCTTCAGACTTGGGCGACCACGTCGCTTCTTCGTAGGTGTTGTAGGCTTCTTTAGCCGCAAAGACCCAGAAGATGATGGCCGTGATGCAGGCACAGAAGATGTAGATTCTGACGGCTGTGGGGTTGTTTCTCTTTGAGGCTGGTCATAGTAACCCAAGACTTCAGCACGCACATCTTCTGGTAAGGCTGCCAAAGTATCCGCATCTAACTGAGATTGGGGAGGAAGCTCCGCGTTGGCACTCCGCCGCGGACGACTTGGCGGACAAGGCGACAAAGAGCGGGAAGTTTGTCGAGGTTTAGCTTGTGATAAAAGTTTCGATCTTATATCACCAGGGAGCTCAGCCACAACGTTGGGATCTGCCTGGGATGGCAAGATAAACTGGGTTCCTGAAAGATTCAAGGGTTTTTGGGTACTGTCATTCAGCGTCGGTGCTTGTATGACTGACTCGGAATCCTCTTTACGAGGGCTTTCTAACTCGTCTGGATCGAGAATCCGCTCGACTTTTTTTCTAGCCGGAGATTTCTTGAAATTGAGCTGTTGTTGGCTGCTTTCGGGTTTCTCTGCCGCTGTTCCGGGCTTGAGAGGTTCAAGCTTCGTCATTTGGATCCCGAGGCCCCTCAGATCACCAGGAGAGATACCGAAGCTCCTTAGCATGGAAACAGCTTCCTTCCCAAGGATATCTTTTGCGTTGGAAGCCACACCAAGGATGACGCTTTTGTTGAATACGTCACACTTTCCATGGCCCAAATGCTTTGCCGGCTCCAATGGCGCATCCGCGGATCGTTTCATAACCTTGAGTGTCAACTGTTTGCCTTTCACCAGATTTTCAACTAGTCTCCGGTGCAACTCCTCGCACAGAGATCTCACAAAGTCGTCGGCCTGATCTTGATTGACAAACCGAATACCCCAGTTAACTTCTGCGGATACCGATTTTCGGAGCACATCATTTCCTACTTCTGCCCGGTCAATGCCACGAGCGTAATCCCATAGCTTTGTGCCAATTTTGGGCCCTAAGCTGGAAAGAAGTTTTTCCCGGGACAGCTCTCTGATATCTTTGACGAATTTGACTCCAAGTTCTTCCAGTTTTGTCCCAAGACTGTAACCAACCCCAGGCAGATCTTGAACGGTCAGATTCCCAATGAAATCCAAAACAGCCTCTGGCTTCAATTGGAATTGTCCAGCAGGTTTCGCTTTTCTCAGAGCCACTTTAGCCAATAGAATATTGCCACCAATCCCCACTGATACAGCGCAGCCAGTTTTTTCCTTTACAGAATCTCGTAGATTCTGGGCAATCTCATCTGCTTTGCCTTGTTCGCGGTATATGGACCCCTCAGATATGCCTTTTCCATCTGTACCTCCGGCATCCAGACATTGAGAAGTAATGTCAACAAGAGCCTCATCTATGCTGACACTTTGGACAATGCCGTCAATTGAAAGGACGGCACTGTAGAACTTCCGACTGGCGTCTTCGTAGGCGGGGAAATCATACGGCAATACCTTCAGCTCGGGACATGTTTGCAGAGCGCCTTTCATCCACATTCCGTTTTTAATGCCGTAAGCGCGAGCTGGGTAATTGCAGCTGGCAATCTCAGACCCACTACCAGTGCCGTGGGCAATGGCAACCGGTTTATCTTTGAGTTCTGGATGCTTTAGAATGGAGACAGCCGCAAAGAATGAATCAAAATCAACATGAAGAACATATCGTCGGGCTCCAGAGACAAGCTTTCTCCGTCCGATATGCGATTGTGATTTCTCCTTAGCTGCGGATTGAAGTTGCGCTTTCAACTCAGCTTTCCATGTAGATAGATGATGCAAACGGGATTCCCTGTAGTATTGTTGAATAAATTCCGGGTTGACAACGCTAGAGTTCTTCATGCGGGGATCTGACAAGAGTTGTGCATTGTACTCCTCGGAGGTCATGTCTGGTTGTGGAGGAACAGGCTGAGGCGACAATGGACTCTGAGCTACATGCGCCTGAGGGTCTGGAGAACGGCTACGTACATGATGTTGTACTGTATCCTTGTTGTGTGACATAGGATCGGTCGACTTCTTAGGTGTATTTGATTGCTCTTGTAATGGCTCGTCGGGGACGTCAAAACTAGGAAATTCGCCATAATCTGACTGCGTTTTTATACTTGATGGTTGTTGGTCTTCCACGTCTAAAGCTCCGGGGGGCAAGGAACTGTTGGTTGGTGAATCTGCAGCTGGAAAGGACGGTTTCGGGCTTTTTAGCTGCGAGGTGTACCAACTGGTAGTTGTTTGGTCCCTATAACTCGTCTGTTGACTATTGGCTTCGCTGAAAACCCGTCCATTGTCGAATTTGAGTATTTTCTGAGATTGGCCCTCATCAACCACCCTAAAGGCATCCCAAGGAAGTATTCGTCCGGCCTTGACACTTTCTACCACCCATGCTGGTTTCACGATACGGTATCTTCGAAATTCTTCACGCTTCTTGGGCGTTAAAGAGCTGGCAATGATATGCGTTGCAACAGTCTTGCCATCCATATATTGAAGAAAGCCACCACCATGGCTGACAATTATACGATGTAGATCCTGCAAAGAAGGCTGGGTGTAGCCATTAACGTGGGCGACCACGCCCCGAAAGATCGGGGGGCAACCAGGTGACGATGAGCGGATTTCTGCATCTAGATTCTGCAATTTAATTTTCTTGCGGCGCATGTAGTCACCGAAACCACCGAATTTCGATGCATCATATTCTTCACCTTGCTCGTCATTGAAGTTGTCTGGAACACATCAGAACAAATGCAGGTCGGAGGTGCCAGGAAACATACGGTTTTCGATCCTTTTGCGCACAGAGCTGGAGTTTGCATCGAGCACAGAGCCCATGACGGGCAGAGAACAGGCTCATCATACGATGACCCAGCTGGTTTATAAAATAAAAAGAGACAGCTAAAAAGAGTCTGTGTAGTTGCGACAAGTTGTGAACGCCAAAAAGTGGCGGCAGACGCGCCAAGAAGCGCGAAAGGCGGAACGAAAACACGTGATGCATACTGTAAACAGAAGGCGGTAGAAAAGGCAAAATTATCATAGTGGGTCACAGGTACTGCACTCTGATTGGCTGTGAAAGAAAAAAAATTGGCGGATTTGCTCCACCGCTGCTTTTGGAGCAGCAGCGCCTATCATCAAATCTTTTCTTCTTCTCTTCTTTTCGACCCAAGCAGACAACCGTTCTCTAGTTGCTCCCGTCTGTTCAATCTTTTCTTTTCTTTGTTTTTCGGTTTGATCTATTGTCTTATTTAGATCTCTCTCCTTTATAATCATTATTTTTTAGACACTTGCATACCTTCAAAATGTCTGGAGTTCAGCCTGTCGCAGTCTACGCCCTGAGGGTTCCTCCCGGAGGATTGGTTCCAGCTCTTCCTCTCCAGGCCGCTGCTATGGTGAGTATCTAATCGCGTCGCTCTCACTGAGCTTTCGAAATTTGGGCTAATTGGCTTATTACAGTTCCGTGTGAGCATGGCTGCCATTGACCCCGACGAGGTTCCCGAGCTTGATGATGATTCCAAATCCCCCAGAGCTACTCTTAAGCTTGTTCGTCCTCCCCCGGGTATGGACCTTGACGACGAGTCGGACGATGACTACGAGGACGAGGAGGATGATGATGATGATGACGAGGATGATGAGGAGCTCAACGGCGGCCCCAGCGACAAGGAAAAGGCTCGCAAGCTTAAGGAGCTTGCCGCCCTGAAGGAGATGGAAGTGGACGAAGAGGATGACGAAGAGGACGACGAGGGAGACTTCGACCTGAAGGCTGCCATTTCGAAACTCATCAAGGGCAAGAACCCTGCCACTGAGGATGACGAGGATGATGAATCAGAGGACGGTGTGGATCTTGATGAAATGGTCATCTGTACCCTTGACCCCCAGAGAGTAAGTTTCTTTCAAAGATTTTTCTGCCTAATTTGACTCGTTGCTAATGACAATTCCCCCATAGAACTTCCAGCAGCCTCTCGACCTTACTGTCTCTGAGGATGAGCGCGTTTTCTTCAAGGTCACTGGTACCCACACTATCTACCTGACCGGAAACTACGTCATGCCTGACGATGAGGGTCGTCAGCCTTTTGACGAGGATGAAGAGGATGAGGATGAGGATGACTATGACCTGTCCCCCGACGAGGATGAGCTGGACATCGATGCTCTCATGGATGAGGATGACGAGAGCGACGATCTCGATGACTTGGAAAATCCCAGAATCACCGAGGTCGACAGCGAGGAGGAGGCCCCCAAGCTCATTGAGAAGTCCAAGGGAAAGAACAAGCGCGCTGCTGAGTCGGACGAAGACGCCGGTCTCGATGACCTCATGGCTAAGGAAAAGGCTGCTCCCGAGGCAGGCCTGAGCAAGAAGCAGCAGAAGAAGATGAAGAAGAACAATGGCGAGGCTGTTGCTGCTGAGCAGAAGAAGGAAGAAAAGGACGGCAAGGAGGCCAAGGAGGGCAAGAAGGTTCAGTTCGCGAAGAACCTTGAGCAGGGCCCTACCCCCTCTGCCCAGGACAAGAAGCCTGCCGAGAAGACCACTGGCACCCTTGGTGTCAAGGAGGTCAAGGGCGTCAAGCTTGACGACAAGAAGCTTGGATCTGGCCCTGCTGCCAAGAGTGGCAACACTGTTGCCATGAGATACATTGGAAAGCTCGAGGATGGCAAGGTCTTTGATTGTAAGTCACTTTTTATCTTTCTGATCCTCGTGGTGATTCATTGTTTACTGACTGATTTCTCCTATAGCCAACAAGAAGGGCAAGCCTTTCAGCTTCAAGCTCGGCAAGGGTGAAGTTATCAAGGGCTGGGACATTGGTGTCGCTGGCATGGCTGTTGGTGGTGAGCGTCGCATGACCATCCCCGCCAATCTCGCATACGGCCGCAAGGCTCTCCCTGGTATCCCCGCCAACTCCAAGCTCATCTTCGACGTCAAGCTCCTCGAGATCAAATAGAGCAATCTCTGTTTCTGTGTACAGCGTAGCACCCTGATGCTCAAAGTTCAATGTCTTGTCTTTTTGCAACACTGCTGAAACCAATCATGTGTGTATTTTGATTCGCTTTTCTTTTTTCCAAAAAATGGTGTTTTAAGGGGGTTTCAATTGCATCGTTTCCTCTGGTTTTCAACTTGTTTCCTTTTGCACAGTTTTCCGATACATCTAGCAAGAATCAGGATATCGCAAGGCCCTGGTATCCAGTCTTTTGGGTCTGATTATTGTTATCAAAAGTATTGGGTCTCGAGTCCTGTTATCTAATACGGTTTCCACGCGACTTCATGTCTGACCTAAAAAGTTTCATTTAAAAATAACTACAATTTAAGATGCGTAAGAAACTGAATGCATAGAAGATTTCCATATCAATATAGGTACCTTGGTATGATTGGTGATATAAGCTTCCATATGCTCCTGCCCGATGCGCATGCATTTCCGTTCCAGTCACGACTTCCTCACCTGTTCTCTCCACACAACAACATCACAACCTTTCAACAGCCCACGATGCAGCTTCCTTCTTTCTCGGCAGTGAGAGACGAGAGCTATGTATTCTTCCCTGCAGGCTTTCAGACCTGGTCTTTCTGCTCTTCCATTGCATCCCCGTCCTATCGTTAATCAAGCACCACTACGTGCTGACACAGGGAGCTTTCCATAGCTACATTTTTTACTTATCATCTTTCGTTTTCAACCGGTCAATGGGATATTGGCGATATGACTGTTGATCAAAAACCGGCTGAAAAGGGGTCACGAGTTCCTTTCAGTCTTTGGACTTCAACCAAGGCCCCAATTGTCAACGAGGATCCTCAATCAGGTGCCAGTGATTCGACTGTTTCGGATGGTCCAGCTTCTGATATCGTTATCATCGAACAAGCCGAAAAGGACAGGATAAAAGCACGGCTTAAACGAAGCAGCTCCAGGTTGTTATCATTACTCGGATTTCGGGGCTCGTATATCGGTATGCCTGCCTTGCTGTCCTACCGACTCTTCAACCATACTGACCGTCAATATAGCTGTCAAGACATTGTCCCCCCAGTCAGAGAGCCTTTCAGACTTGGAGAATATTAACTGTGCACCAAAACCATCACATTTAGTTCCAGAAGGGGATCATACTCCGCCCAAGAATACAGGTTCCCCGCAAGACAGAAAACGGGTTGATTTGCCTGTCGGAACTGATATTGAATGCCCTGTAATATCGTTCGATACATTGAATAACCCATCTCCAAAAAATAAGAGGAGTCGACAAAAGACCGAAATTCTGTCTCGACAAGAGAAAACGGAGACTCCTGAGCAGGACAATGCTGTGACCCGCAATGTTCGACGGAGTCGCTCAAGCCCAACGGATCTTGCCAATATCTTCTCTTGGACAATGTCAACGACATTCGGGAATTCAACTGTGATTCACCGTACTAATATTCGCCCCAGACCCAGAATCCAAGGTGTTCAACTCCAAGAAGCATCCAACGACCCTCTCAGTAAGCAGGGTGATAGCACCAATGACAGCTCTGACCCCTCAACACCTACCAGTGGTACTGGTTCTCCATTCTCTACGAGCTCAACGTCTGCAACTTCGGAGCCGTCATCTAACCTTTCGGAAAGGTGGAAATGGCTTCCTGATATTGGCATGGCAGGTAGCCACAATTTACTCGCCCGTAATCAAGAACCAAGCAAAAAGCCCAATCCAACAGAGGCACCTTATCCGTTGCCTACAATTGTTACCGTTGAAGCCACTGCCAACGCAAAGGTATTCTTTGAAACATATTTTAGTTCCATGGTTCCAGACCTGGATCTACGTGCTCAGCGCAAGCGCGAGCTAGAGCAATACATTTACTCTTTGCCACTCACGGCAGAAGAGCAGACGAAAGCAAGAAAAGATTGGATCATGCAAGAGAGAAATTATCTTCGCCAATACCGAGTTCTCAAATCTCGCTCCCATAGTACTCGTCATGAGGAAACAGTCTCAATTGCGGGATATGAACCTTTAAAAATCCTGGGCAAAGGAAGCTTTGGGTTAGTTCGCCTTGTGAAAGAAAAGGGAGGGAGAGAAAGTGAAATCAGTGGCTCAGGTGAAGAAAATTTGTCTTTGCAAAGTGAAGCTGCCTATTCTATAGCTGGTGCTTTCGGTGCTATAAGATCGGTCATCGATGGGAACAAGTACAGTTGGCGGAAGGAAACGACCGGAATGCGAAAAGAGGTATATGCCATGAAGGTTATCCGCAAATCAGAGATGATACGGAATAGTCAGGAAGGCCACTTGCGGGCTGAGCGAGACTTCCTCGTTGCTTCGGCAGGGTCTCGTTGGGTGGTACCTTTGATTGCAAGCTTTCAAGACATCAATAATCTTTATCTCGTTATGGACTACATGGTCGGTGGAGACTTTCTGGGTCTTTTGCTACGCCGTGACGTCTTGTCGGAGAAAGAGACAAAATGGTATGTCGCAGAGATGATCCTATGCATTGAGGAAGCCCATCGACTGCGCTGGATTCATCGAGATGTCAAACCAGATAATTTTCTCATTTCAGCCTCTGGCCATTTGAAGATATCGGACTTTGGGTTAGCCTTTGACGGACACTGGGCTCATGATCAGGCATATTACAATGAGCACAGGTACTCCTTGATGAAATACCTTAGAATCCAGGTTGACGGCGATGCTGAGGACCGGAAAGACGCGAAAAAGGCAAATAAATCGGTCGTTATCAAGCAAAGCGCTCACATCGAAGACTCTAACAATGCACCGCCAAATACTGATCTTCTTGGATGGCGTGACAAGAACCAAAGGCGAAAATGCACCAGGAGCGTCGTTGGGACAAGTCAATACATGGCGCCTGAAGTTGTCAGGGGAGATATATACGATGGAAGGTGTGACTGGTGGAGTGTGGGAGTTATACTGTTCGAAGTAAGGCTGTCTATCCGAGCTAAAGTCTACTCGACTAGAAGATGGAATCTTATAAAATCTGACCAGTGTCTTTATGGTTATACGCCTTTCGCTGCCAAAGAACGCCATGATACCAAAATGAAAATCCTTGTAAGTTAAGTGATGTCTTTCTGGACTACTATATATCTTATCCACTGACGGCTGTAAAGCGACATCACCAGACATTACATTTCCCGGTGTCAAGAACCTCTGACAAAATTGTTTCTACAGAAGCAATTGACCTCATTATACGGATGCTCCAAGAAAAGGAGGATCGTCTTTGCTCTCACAAATACAGATACAACGACGTCATGAATTCGCGCTCGATTTCGAGATACCCATGGTGCAATATCGATCCACATAACAGAAATTATCAAGGTTTCTACGTATATGCAGATGATGCAGCTGATATCAAAGCCCATCCATTTTTCAATGGTATCAGGTGGGAGTCGCTTCATCAGTCGAAGCCGCCATGGACACCGAAATTCAAAAGTTGGGAAGATACCAGATATTTTGAAGATGCGGACTATATAAGTGAGGGCAATGGAATCTCCGCCAATTCAGATGGAGAACCGTGTGAGAACAACGCCGGCGCAGAGGGTTTACAGGCAGTGAATCTGGGAGGAGTCTACGTGCAGCAGTCTCCAGCCAATCTCAAGGTTTGCGCAAAGAACGAAAAGGAGGCTATTAAAAAGCAGTTAGCGAAAGCCCATAAGAAGGATAAAGAGAAAAAACGGGCCCGAGACAAGATTTTACGTGATGAAAAAGTGGGAAAGACGGTGATGGATATGCGCAAGAAGGGTGCTTTCCTGGGGTACACTTATCGTCGACCTAAGGGCGTTGCGATAGCACTGAATCCCGAAAGAGGGCGGCCATTTCGGCAAAGAGGACACTTGTCAGATTTATATGTCTTTTAAATACGTGTCACCGGCTCTTGGAGTGGTATATCGATACCTCGTCGGGCTTGCCGCACGGTCTGAGAACCTATCCATTGGTGGGACCAGTATTTCCAAGAGCGGCTGTGTGGAAGCAGTGGCATTCTCGGAATTCCGAGATAATTTCCTTAGACTCCCAGTTGACCATATATGTATTCTTAGATATTCTTACGTTACCACGGTCCTCACCACAAGCCGTGATATTCCACAGAGTATATCATCCTTACTCCTACGAATAGCACTACAACCTGACAAACCAAACAAGCCCGAGAAGAAAAGACACATTCCGTAGATGCGTAGATGCGTAGATGTTGAAATATTTTCGACCGATTCAAAGGTCAATTGTAATTGTCTCTTCTACCATCTGAGATTTCGGAATGGAAAGAACTCTAGAATGGAACACGTTTGATGGAGAAGTCTGTCAAAAGTAAACCGAATTCTGAAAGAATGCAAAACACTCATGTAAACACCGATAGCTCCACAAATTTCCCAGCAAGTGTCCACCAAGAAAAGACCATGCTCGGGGGGTATGATTGAAAGATTTTGATTGACAAAAATTAATATTCATGATGAGTCGTAGACTAGAAAGAAGAGAGGAGGAGGTGGAGAGGGATGTGATCCGCGGGAAAGATCAAGGTGACGTGATGAGATGGCGAAAGAAAAGGAAATTATCTGGGGTATCATGGAAGAGGAACAGATGAGACGGGCTTAAACGGCGGGAGGAGCGCCCATTGCGAAGGCAGAATCGCTGACACGATCTTCTTGTTTCATGGTGCCGTTGAGTAAGGGACAGAGTCTGTTAATGAAGTGACATGTTAGCCTTGTGCACTTGAGTAAGGGCTTGGAGGTTTGTCGTTGATATGCAAGTCGTGATTGAATATCAAAGAGAACCCTCTGGGGTTGGCCCTGGCAATGTTCTGTTTGCTCGGGGAAGGAAAGAAAGAAGATAGATGAGGGCAGGGGAGGGGGAAAGGGATGAGAAATCCAGGAAAAACGGGCCGTTGGTTATGGCTGGGTCTGGGGACGATTGTGAACGCACTTTTTGTTTGTTTTGATATGGCCAACTTGGTTGCAGTTTGCGCACTTGCGCTGCGTGCCAGCGGTTTTGCCAGTACCACCAGAGCCGCCTTCTGCCGGGGAATCCCCCGTCGACGCTCTGGCTGCTCCCTTCTGTTTCTCGCGGGCGAAACGACGTTCTTTGTTGCGGTTGAGACGACTCAACTCGGCTTCGAGACTGTAAAATAAGAATAAATGTTAGGTCAAGAACTTGTGTGATATGGATCCTTGCAAAGGAGGGGAATGGGTAAACTGACAGTTTCTTGTTACGAGAGTCTATCTCTGGATCACCTGTAGGCTGCAATGACTCAAGTCTGTAGGGTAGATGGTTAGTTGATGCTGCTAGGGAAGAAGCTGATGGTGATTTCAAACTTACTTAGTAGTGAGGGCTTCCAGCCGGTGGCGATGTTGGATGTAGTGGCGAATGACACGAGGGTCCCAGACAAGAGTTTCTTTGGGGACGATGTCTCCCTTTTCGTCTCTATAATTCCGGACAATACGGAGCACCTTACCCTTCTGGTCCGACATGCTCATCTTGCTAAACTGACTCGTTGTCTCGTCATCGCGGCGACCAGGAGCGGGAGTAGGGGCTTCAGATCTCGGAGTAGGTTTATCAAACCCAACATCTTCCTCGTTGTCGATGTCACTTTCGGCGTCGGAGTGCTCCACAGTGGAAGACAAGCTGGCCTTCTGAGTATCCCAGATGCGTCTGATAGAGGTTTCGTACGACTTTTGCTGTCTGGCAACATTGTAACTATGGCCTCCAAGCTCTTTGAGCCTCTGTGCATCAAGTTTATCTTCGACACTTTCACCAACAGCCTTGAAACCTCCTTTCATCGAGGTTTTAATGAAACTGAAACCTTCACCTCGGCCGGTAGGATCACCCTCTCCATGCAACTTCAGCATTGCTTTACCCTGAGATGCCAGCAAGAAACTGCGAGTGGCCTTCCAGGGAGCCATCTGCTGCTCGAAACTCTCGCCTTCTCCATCGTCGTCATCGTCGCCTCCAGTCTCAGCATCGTTCCCAAAACCGGTGTCATGCAAGTGTTGTTGACCGACTTGCATGGACTCAAGAAGACAAACGTCTTCGGGGTGGACCCAACTTCGGATAGTGTCTGGATCTGGGACTGGGTCGAGAGGCACCCAGTACTTCGAATCTTTGTCATGCTGAAGGAAGTCTTTGACTTTTTGACGATTTTGCATATCGCTAGTGCCAGGAATGTGGGCGGTAACATCGCTTATCGAAAGCCTCAGATCGGGACTCTTCTTTAGCAAACGATACACAAGCATCTTCATGCGGTTCTTAGCAACGGTTGTGACCTTCCGCGAATGAGGACCGGGAACATCCACAGAGGGAAGTTGTTGTCCAGCAACAAACAAGTTTTCGATATTCCTAAAGTAATAGTCGCTGCCACCTGAGCCAGTTGTACTGCGAACGATCAAGAAATCGTTCGATTTCGCTTGGTGCTGGAATAGAGGAGCTCGGTACATTGAATTTGAGATGGCCGGAGTGATTTCCCCGGGATCCACGTGCCCAAAAATAGAGAACGGACTCTTGTCTTGAGGAAGGAGAACAGTTGTTTCACCAATTTCTGCCTTCGGGCGAGTGGAATCTTCCATACTTTTTCGCCGATAATAATTGATGAAACGGTTAGACATTCCGAAGTTCGACAGCATAAGAGGCACTTCTTCCGAATATTCAACCAATAGGACATTCGAGTTATCGGCCATGGACATTGCTTTAGTAGAATCGTAGAGTGTTTTGATATCTTTGCCCTTTTGGTGTTTACGCTTGACATAAGCAGGGTTCTTGAACCAGCAGGTCTGGCCTGGACGGAAAGACAGTGCCGGACGGTGAAATGACCGTGCCTCTGCCTTTGCAAGTTCTGTCTTGTAGTATGGCCACTGAAGCCGCAAGGCTGGCATACTGTGCTCCAAAGTGACGTTACCAAGTGTGCTCCGAACCTTGTTCTGGTGATTCTGCTTGAGCATGTCATATGCAGAATCATTCGAAATGTTGTAACGCTGGTTGAAACGTCGAGTGACGTTGGCATCCATCTCATCCCTATTGATAGATCCCAAGGACTTGGGTTTCTGTGCTGCGGCCTCTGGACCACGCTCGTCGAGCAGGATGTAGGGGTCGTTCATATCAACTGTGACCTTTTGAGCAATACGAGAGGTTGCTTGTTCAGGGTCATCGAGCAACGGAAAATCGATGTGCGAAAGAGCAATGACGTCCATCGGATCTGCTCCAACTTTGCGCTTTTTCAACGGGCGAGTCGTTTCCATAAGCCAGTCATCATCTTCGTCCATGGGGTCGGCGGTCTCCTTGACCGGAGGTTCATCAATATCCATTGCAGAAACTTCGCTCTTAACATCCCAGTCTGTACAGATAACTCGAAGATCCTGAAGAGTTACTCCCCCTGGCAGTACTTCATCGGTGTCGGTGTCATGCTCAAAATCTTCCCTGATATCCTCTTCTTTCTCCTCCTCCTTGGGAGCCTCGAGGATAGGTACAATACCCAGGTGATCTGCATCATGCGAGCGTTTGTGAACCTGGCCTGCCGCCTTAAAAGCTCTTTCCTGGTCTTGGGCAAGCTCAACATTGACTTTTGTCGGGAGAACGGGCTTTGGTGGTTTCACAGGCTGTTTACCGACAAAAAGAGCCTTCTTGTGGGGGATGAGCTCAAGGAAGCGAGGTAGAGCTTTTCGGTCAAATCCTGGGAATAGAGAGTGCAGAAGCTCCTCGACATTTTCCGGTGGTGCTGGTGGGTTGTCGGGGCCCACGGCAGACATGGCAAACAGGGCTTGCTGAAGTTTCCATGCCCGGAGGGATGCTGGGTCCATATCTTCAACAGGAGGTACAATCTCTTCGTCCTCCTCCATAGGCTCCTCTTCCTCCTCCTTTGCTACCGGCTCCGGTTTGGGTTCGGGAACGAGGGTTTCGACGGGCTCCGGAGCTGGCGCGGGGGGCTGTTCCTCTTCTTCCTCAAAGAACAGATCCCTTGTAGCATCCATCTGATCTGGCCCGGGCGATGAAGGTCCATCACCGAAAAGGTCATCGAGATTGTCTCCTGGAGGTTGTTGGTTTTCCTCGCCACCTCCAAAAAGATCATCTTCCTCCGCCTCGAACAAGCCTTTTTCATCCGCGTCTTCCATGTGTCCTGTCCCATTTTCGGTCGGTAGCATATTATTTGCTCTTTCTTCTTCTTCCGGGAGGTCGTCATCAGACATATCTTCGTAATCTACCGCATCGTCTGCCTTTTCGCCGGGTTCCAGATCTCTCGACAAGAAATCAAACGATACGCCCGTTTCGGCCATCGGGCCGTTCATTTGTCGCATCACATTATCAAAGTCGGCATCCTCCTCGACCTCGGGGGCCGTAGGCTGCGTCGCGTGAGGCATCTTGAGCGTAAACTAAAGGAAAGGTTCGGAAGGACTGAGGGGGGAAGTCGTAGTGTTGGGATCGGTTTCAGTGACAAGTCGAGAACCGAACGGGAGGGTTGGAGGCGAAGTGTTAGGTCCAAGTACACATCGAGACAGGCGTTGTTTGCCAGCGACCCCAGCTGACCTGTGCCACTGAGGGGAACGTGAAGTGAGGGAGTGTTGGTGGTGGAAGAAAAAGACAGGCGCTGGAGGGTTGAGAGCGTCGCTGAACGGCTTCGAGGCGCGAAGGCGTCCTGGCGGCGCTAGTCCGTATCGGGTAATCAGCTCAGTGACTGAAGGAGATGCGGTGTTTCTCACGGTGAATTGATAGAGAGAGGTTGTATTACATTCAGAAGCAATTGATGAGGGATTTAATATAGAAGTAAGAGGTATGAGGGTATTCATTGGTAGTGAACTCGTTTTAAAAGATAATATTGCAGTGCAGTCAAATCCTTCCACCCAACTCCGCGAAATGAAATGAACAGAAAAAAGAAAGAAAATTAAAACCGACAGAGGGAATATAAGAAGCCCTTTTAATACAGTGACCCACGGTCATTTTACATCGAAGCCACCGTAATAGATACACAGCGCTTTGCTGGCTCCCTCCATGCAGTAATGCATGACCGTGGCCTTCTTGCCATCGTCAACCACTTTCGCAAGTTGCTTTAAATCAGAAGTCCTGGGGAGAAACAGGACTATGTGCTCTGTGAATAGTGAAAATTCGTTGTACAAATGGGCCAAAGAGTATGGCTCCATGGTGCGCAGATTGAACACCCAGTCCGAGCGATATCCAGGTCCTGGCATCAGATTAGTTTTTTGCGTTATCAAAGAAACATCGAATATCGAGAGGAACATACCGCCCCATGGAGGACTCGCAAAGACGATGCTATACGGAGCCAAGTCCTTGAGCTGGTTTTTCAAGATCTCAAAGCAGTCACCCTCAAACCAAGTGATCTTATCCTCCACACCATACACCTTTGCATTATGCTTTGCACATTTTAGAACAGCAGGATTCTTCTCGATAGCATAGACCCGTTTCCACTTGCCGCTCTTCGCAAAAGCAATGGTGTTTCCACCCGCCCCGGCAAACGCATCAACCAGGATGCTACGCCCTTTGGGGGAAGATTCAACGAGATGGTCTGCTATTTTGCTGTAATAGACTGATCAGTTCCCCGGTAACTAGAGTCATAGGAGGAATGAGCGTACTTGGCGATAGGTTCTGGGGTGACTCCGAACCAGGCATCGTCGGTCAGCCAAACACCTTCATCGTATTTGGAGAAGAGCTTGTATCGCTGCGCAAAGTAACTGGAATTATTGTTAGCTATAAATTCCCTAGAAGCCGCGATGAAAGAAACATACTTTTGGATATCCCAAGGAACTTCGCCGATGTCACTGTAGTGATGGACCTCAGGAGGAGCTTCCTCCGTATCTTCGAGCATGGCAAAGACGAAAACAATGCAATAACCCGGACAAGATCAACAGGTAATTATCGAGTGTGCAATCAGTCTCATCATTCAGCAGAAAATAATAGATCGGCTTCCAGATCGTAATCATCAAATCGTTATGCGCTCATCGATAACCGATAAGTCCCTGAGCGGCCCTCGCTGTTTGCTCTGTTTGCAGGCGCAAACGCCCAGCTCTCCACGTTGTTGACAGTTGATAGTCAGCAACGTCGTGCCCAACTCGAAGAAAAGACACGGAAGGCATCAAATTACTCAGATCATGTTTGGGGCTTTGAACAGGTTCATCGGGAGGTTGGACTCGGAGCCTGTCCAACAACCACGGAATTCCATCGATAATGCCTTTGGCTTCCAGGTGCTCCGCAACAAGGACGCCGACTTGCCTCTGGAGCCGTGGTTTGATTTCATCGTTGGAATTAATGGACATTTGATTGTGAGTAGCTATGTCAAATTCCGTATGATATATGTGGAATATTATCTGACCTGTCATTTACTACTACTAGGAGGACCCAGACCCGAATCTCTTTGCTACCGAAGTCCGCAATTGCGCCGGCTCAAGCGTCACTCTCGATATCTGGAGTGCAAAGGTGGATATATATCAGATTCTACCAAGGGTGGCCTCAGCTAATAAGTTTGAAATAACTTCCAGGGCCAACGAACACACACAGTCTCGATACCAGTCTCCCCCACGAACCCCACCTTCGGCCTTGCGCTGCAGCTAGCTCCCCTCTCCTCAACCCAGAACATCTGGCATGTCCTCTCTATCCCGTCTCCGCTTAGCCCAGCATACCAAGCAGGGCTGCTCCCACACTCCGACTATATCATCGGGACGCCCAGCGGAACGCTTCGGGGCGAATCCGCACTTGGCGAGCTGGTGGAGGACCATCTAGACCGGACACTTGTTCTGTGGGTATACAACAGTGAATTTGACGTGGTTCGTGAGGTCGAACTGGTGCCAACCCGAGGCTGGGGTGGCGAAGGCGCTTTGGGTGCTGAACTGGGATTTGGTGCACTACACAGATTACCCGTCGGGTTGGGAGAGGAAGTGGAAGGGCCTGGTGAGGTCGTCTTTGAGACCAGACAAGACGGCACCTCCACACCAGTTGCGAATTCCTTCAATATGCAACAGGGAGGTGCTCCCGCTGGACATTTCCTGGTGCCGGCTAATATGGCTTCGCCCCCGCCGTTTTCCTCCCCAGCAGGGAACCTGGCCGTACCACCACCGGAGGCGAGGGCATCGCCCGCAGGACGTCGAGCAGGAAGAGGACGCCATGCGGGCGTTTCGTCCAATAGAGCTTTTGATGAGTTCTTTGCAGAAGGAGAGCAGAAGAGTAAGGAGCAGGATTATGCGCCATCGAGAAAGGGGACACCTCTACCTCCTCCGCCTAAATCGGGAATGATGTCGCCTCCCACTTCGGGCAGTCCTGCTCCTGCATCTGGTAGCGAGTAAAGCAAGAGAGATAGAGGGGTTATTACGGACAGGATTGGTTTGAAATGTATATTTATCACGAGTTTCTGGAGTTACGATGGTCATCGATGGGCTATATCAATGATTGCAGGATATCAAATTCAAGTATTCAAAAGCATCCACCTTGATAATGATTGTAGTGGTTGTTGAGCCGCATAGAGAACAAAGAAAAGAAAAGATCGATTGCTGCGAATCTAGAGTTCTAAGAGTACATATGCAAAGGGAAAAGCTGTGGCCTCCCCAGCCCATGTTTGCCCAACGCAACGCTATAAAACTGCGTTCCAATTTAAAAAAACTGAACAACGTACAAATTTAGTGACCCTTGCTGACCAGCTCCTCCAACTTCTGGCGGGCCTCGCCGATCTTGTCCTCCATCTTCATCCTGGCCATTCCGCTGTGTGCAATACCAGTGTGCCAGATGTACTCGGCCTTCTCGCGGGCCAGAAGGTGGTTCTCCGCCAGAGCGGGAACTCTCTTCTCGTACTCCCACACAAGGTCGGAGACATTCCGCATGGTCACAGGCAGGAGGGACCAGGCAGCGATGGTACCAAAGGCAAGCGGCGAGGTAGCACGGAGGAAGATGCCGCGGTTTCGCGAAACGATCGAACCGGCCATAGCGGAGACAACTACGTAGACACCGCCGGGGATCAGCTGCTCACCGGACTCGGGGGAGGGAGCGAGAGAAGCGATGGTGTTGGTGAAGGCATTCTCGATGTGAAGAGCACGCGAGAGGAAGTTGTTGAAGCCGGTCTCGGCGGCGAGCGAGTTGTCGTAAAGGAAGAGACGAGCACGGCGGACCTGCGCGGTCAGAATGTCTGTCGGGGTAGGAGAAGACGACGAGACAGGTGCCTCGGGAGCTGGGAGAGGTTTGAGGGTAGGTTCGGGGATATCGGCAGGGAAGTCATCGTAGATGGGTTTTCTCTGAATTGCTTCGCGTTAGACGGTCTGGCACCCTCCACGGCCACAACAAAAGCTGACGAGAGTGGAAGTAAGAGCATACGGAGTCCAGGGGTTCCTCTGCAAACGCTGTGCGCTTGGGATAGAAAGCAATGCCACCGGCAAGAAGACTGGCAGCGATCGGAGCAATAGCCCGCTGGAAGCATTGTCAGTGACCGGGACAGACCACCCATTGAAGATAATAATTACAGACCTGCTGGAACATTGGCCGGAATGACATCTTGGCGGAGAAGATAGTCAATGGCCAACAATCGAGGGAAGGGGAAGGCTGGTCGCGAGTGCGTGGGATCGTGAGATCATAAAAAGGGCTGAAGTCGACGACGTCGAAGCCAAGCCTTTTTTCTGCGGCTGTTCGGCTCTGCGGGCGACGAAAAACACAGCCTCCGTCATCGTCCGGCCATCGTCCATCAACACTCACCACCTACGTCTAACGGTTTTTATCGGCATTGTGAATTGCTTTTTCTTCTATGGTTTCTACGTGCTGTTCAGACGACCTTCTACCACCAGGGAGATGTTGACGGCGTGGCGGCAACGGCCATGGACGTGCCGCAAATGCCTGCAGCAACTGCAGTCCCGTCGATCCTTAGCAACTGCAGCATCGCCAGTGTCCAATTCGACGGCATTTGAATATAATCCGGCCAGCCATGTGGGACAGAAGAAGAGTGTGGATGATAATACCCTACGAAAGGTCTTTGACTCGCAGCCGTTCTGGAAGGAGTTCTCGCATCGCAGTGCCGCTTCGCCCAAGCGGATAGGATTGGTCCAGAACCAGTACCTGACGAGCCCAGATGGATTCCGTGAATTTGCCAGCAGCACGCTGCAGAAATGCCAGGCGATAGTGTCCAAGGTGCTGGCAGCATCTACACTGGAGGAATACAGAAACATGGCTCGGGACCTGGACCGACTCAGTGATCTGCTTTGTCGAGTAATCGATCTGTCTGACTTCATCAGAGTCATCCATCCGGACCCCAGGATTCAGGAGGCGGCTACCCAGGCCTATGCGCTCATGTTTGAATACATGAACGTTTTGAATACGACCACCGGTCTCAACGATCAACTCAAGACGGCTGCTGCGAACCCCGAGATTACGTCGCACTGGAGTGAGGAGGAGAAGATTGTGGCACAAATTTTGATTAAGGACTTTTCTAATTCGGCCATTCACATGCCACCATCCGAGCGACAGCGCTTTGTGAACTTGTCGAACGAGATCAGCCAGCTGGGAATGAACTTTGTCAACAGCGCTGAGCCGGCCAAATCGCAGGTGGTCGTGGGCGCCAATAGTTTGCGGGGCCTCGACCCGATTGTCGTGCAGCAGATCAAACGGTGGAATCGAACGGCACCGGTGCCAACAATGGGAATGATTCCGCGACTAGCATTGCGGTCTGTCCACGATGAGGGGGTCCGCAAGGAGATTTATCTTGCTACACGCACCTCGAGTACACGCCAGATCCACCGCCTGGAGCAGCTGTTGGCGAAGAGGGCGGAACTAGCCAAGTTGTCTGGCCATGAGACCTTTGGCCACATGACACTGAGTGACAAAATGGCCAAGTCCCCAGAGGCAGTCTCCAACTTCCTGACCTCGCTTGTCGGAAGCAACCGCGAGTTCGTCCATGAGGAGCTGTCCAAGTTGCAGCAGCTGAAGGGTTCCTCCGTGCAGCCATGGGATCACGCATACTATGTTCACCGACGAGTGATGGAATATTCACAGTCGCGCCGCTCGCGAGAGCTCAGCGCGGTCCCAGAGTTCTTCTCTTTGGGTACCGTGATGCAGGGCCTGTCACGATTGTTTGACAGACTATACGGTGTGCGCCTGGTCCCACAGGAGACAGCTGTAGGAGAGACCTGGAACCCGGATGTCCGACGGTTGGATGTCGTCGATGAGGCGGAAAGGCACATCGCCGTCATCTACTGTGATCTGTTCTCTCGACCGAATAAGCACCCTAACCCAGCACATTTCACTCTACGATGCTCCCGTGAGATCTCTGCGGAAGAGGTTGCCGAGTGTGCGTCGATGGACCAGTCTTCCCACCCGAACGACGGCATGGCCACAGCAGTCGACCCGCAGTCTAAGACGCTCCGACAGCTCCCTACAATCGCCTTGGTGTGTGACTTCCCGGAGCCGCCAGCAAGTGGCGCAGGACGCCCATCGCTGCTGAGCGAACACAGTGTCCGTACGCTGTTCCATGAAATGGGTCACGCTCTGCACTCGATCCTGGGTCAGACCCGTTTGCAGTCCATCTCAGGAACTAGGTGCGCCACCGACTTCGCCGAATTGCCTTCTGTACTTATGGAGCGGTTTGCAACTACTCCAGAGGTACTGTCCCTATACGCTCGACACTGGAAGACAGACCAACCCCTCTCTGAAAGCATGATGCGGAGTATGGAATTGGACCGAACAGCACACGGATCTATTTATGGAGCAGTTGAGAACGAGGCCCAGATTCTCATGGCCCTGGTTGACCAGGCCTACCACTCGCTTCCCCCCCAAGTTTCGGATATCGACAGTACAGCAATCTATCACCAGGTATTTTCGCAGCACTGCACCCTCCCCGACCCAGTAGACACCAAGCCTCCTACCTCGTGGCAGGGCTTCTTTGGACACTTGTACGGATACGGGGCTACATACTACAGTTACATCTTCGACCGGGCGATCGCCAACAAGATCTGGGAAGATGTGTTCCAGGCGGGCCAGGCGTCCGTCGACCGTGAAGCAGGAGAACGATACAAGAACGAGGTTCTCCGCTGGGGAGGAGGACGTAATGGGTGGGACTGTGTTGCGGGAGTGCTGGGAAGCAGCAACCCGTCCAACGCAGATGGACGACTCGCCGAGGGAGGCGACGAAGCCATGCGTGAGGTAGGACGTTGGGGATTGGGACGCGATGGCGTCTCTGGATAAAGGCGTTGATAATGGATACATTCAATGTAATATACTAGCATGTCATTTGTAGAGTTAGCCTAAAGTTATGTACCTTTGATGCCTAAATATATGGTCCGACATTACTTCGGTATGACACCTATAGATAGAATAATTTTCACCAATCCTATCTGACACGATCTCAAACCATCCCACATTTATAACCCAACACAACAAACGTCACATCGCCGATATGTCTTCCGATACTATCCTACGATTCATGGGGTTCCCTCGTCGAATCTTCTACAGCGCCACAGTAGAAGACAAGCGAAAGGCACTTTGCAAATCCAAAGACGCTCGGGAGTTCCTACCCTTGCTGCAATTTCCCGATATTGCCGGTGAATATAAGCTCAGCGATCTACTTCCACTTGAGATCCGCCTCAATGCTAAAGACCTCGAATGGCTTGAAAAACAGCTTGAGCGTAAGGGTGACTTTCGCATTCTTCAAGAATTATCGCCAACCTATGGCTACAGCACTATTACTCGAAAGAAGGAAGAGCATGGTGCCAGAGCCTAGTTGAGTTGGACATTAAGGGCCGCTGGATTGTCCAACGAGAAATATATCTCAAAGAGGAGGCGCGGGTGTTGCACAAGTCCCTGGAATGGTGTGATTTTGAAGACGATACTGAGAAAACCAGTCTACTGGGTATCTGGGAAGATGAGTTGAAGAGTCTGCACCGGCAACACTGGGAGCATTACCGAGAATTGTGGATGTTAGAGGCCAATATGCCAGGAGGGCCGTTACGAAGAGCATTCAACGCATGGAGAAAGAATCCTGACTGGTATTTGACCACATGGCTGCGTCAGGACTGTGCAGGCCGAGGAGGCTGCTGTGGTAGAGAGTGTGGATGTTGTGAGAAGCCTAGAGATACGGATCGAGCATTGAATCGAGGGCATTGCACCAGTGCCTGTGGCTGTTGCGTCCGCAGCCATGGGTTCAAGGGCGATGAAATCAAGTTTGATGACCTTAAGGCGTTTCCGTTTGAATTGGAGCACCGGAAAACGATGTATAGTCGGCGTATAGGTCGCGCTTATATCTGGGGCATCGACTTCTTGAATGATCTCGATTGAAGGTGGATGGAAGCCTGCCACCTGTTGCTGTACCTGGATACTCTTGCTGTCTCCATCTTCGGCTCTTGCTAGTCTAAACTTCTCGATTGTTGAAAATGTCTTCTATGTTTGAATAGACCTGTGTGTCAACACAGTAGTTATATTGCTCTGGGATGCCCTAGCTTTTGGAATTTTCTTTTGACTTAACCATCTCCACCTTTCTTGACCTCGATTATTATCTGCATGACCCGGGCATTTTTGCTCCATAGTGCACTGTCTGTCTTGACTGTATACCTTCCATTCTTGTACGGCACGAATCCAGTTATTTAGCATGGCCTCGTTGCCAGTTTGGCGGAAGTCCGCCATTTCGTTGTAGCACATATCTCTGTCAATTCATGTGGTACTGAGAACATTGAGTGCCTTTTGCACTTATCTATACTTCATCTTATTTCGAAGGATGTAGTGGTATCAAGACACCAGCTATCGATAGAACGATAATGGCTCCGACAATCGCAAAAACGATGCCAGGCCCGCTGGTGAGCAAGCCTCTCACTTTATCAATTGATTAATTCATGTTCGCTTTTGAGTTTGAAGATCAGTGTCTTGAGATATTCCAATGGGATACCCGAAGGATGCTACAATACACCATGCTTATTCGCCTCTTTGCATCGCTGGCATGAGACACCCTACTGGGGGATGAGATGATAATGTGTAACTCTGTACACTTGAGTAGCAGTGGAGATGAATAGCGACATGGTGATGAATTAGCCAAGCTAGTGATATTCAAGGATCAAAGTCGATGGCAAGGTCAATCCACTCGTATTGATGATGGTAGACATTAAATATTGATGGAATGATGAGACGAGAAGAAGTGGAAGAAAGAGGAAGAGGAAGAGGAAAGAGAGAGCAGACCTGTAAAGGAAAGAAGAGGAAGACAACGTGGCATGCAGCCAGCATTCACTGATAACACTTCAACAATACAACCTCAACTCCAATCCACTCCCCATCCCGATCCACCATTGGCCATGTTTCTGCATCCAACGTCGCACAAGAACGGATCAGCTGCATGTATCGCGGATCCTCGGCTGCAGCGACAGTCTATCCAAAAACCGTTATTTATTGTACCACCTTCCCCTCTCCCTCTCCCTCCTCCTTTGTCTCTTTTTCGATTCCTCTATCGAAGTTGAACGCTGAACACGAGCTGATATATCAACCAGTCCACATGAAACATGATGCATTCTATCCAAATCATCAACGATAACGCGTCTTTCACATCTACACTCGCTTCCTTTGATAATCGCCCTACTCTCCGGCGACGGAAAACCGTCCAGAAGCTGTCGAGATGGGTGTCGAGGCGGATTTCGAGGCCAACGCTCTCGCCTGATTTAAAATACGATGATGATGCCATCCGCTCTGATGAGGCCGTTCAAGACGATGAAGATCATATCCACGAGTCCTACGCGGCGTATTGTTATGCCTTTACGGCGTCAGGGCAGTCATGTCCGCAGAAGAAGACATTGAGCATATCGTTGGACCATGACGATCAATTGGCTAGCAAGGAAGAACCATATTCACCAGATGCGCCCTTTTTTCCTTCGCCTCCTCCCGAGATCCTCACCCCTTCACTCTATGCAGAAATGACTCGAACGCGCAGTAAGAAGGAATGGCGACAGCGAATATGGTCACCTTTTCTGTGGTTCTTCAACAATCGGTGACATGGAGACAGTTGAGATGATTCGAAATCTTTCTTGTTTGATACCCACTTCAGATTTGAGTAATAATATAAACATCTACAATGGTGATCATGACTGGCTGTATCATGTCGTATCAACATATCTATTCCGTAGTAGATCCAAGGACACTCAGGTCGTCATAATCAAGAGCATCCACAGAACCCTCCAGGAATCATCAACATCCCTAAATGTAACATGGGCAGTATCGTCTGCATCGGATCAACCGGCAAACCATCATGATCGCCAACAGAGCCACAGACCGCATTAAAATATGTATGGTCGAACATATAAGAAAAACATCAAACAACAAAAGAAGAGAGCATGAACAGGGGTATCCTGAGCATCTGATTACATACAACCTAACCAATACAAAGGAAATTCACTCCTTCCACTGCGGCCCATTCCTGACCCTCCCATCTCGAATGGAATATCTGGGCCATGTCCGCAATGGATCCCTGGTAGGAATCGATCATGATGATTCCCCACCGTTGCGTTTAGTCTCGTCCGATCCGGCGCTCGTGTTCTCAGGTTGAAACGTGGAAGAGTGGCCCAGGGAACCTGGTGCCGCTCCCTGCGACAGTTGGCCAAGGTCGCCCATGAGTCTGAGATAGAGTTAGAATCTTTATGCCACAAAGGAACAAGAGGTAAAAACACTGACCGTCGTTGCTCGTCGGACCAATCATCATTAGCTGTGCGGATTTGCTTAAGCTGCTCCTGGATGCTGGCCATCTACAAAACGGTAATCTCATCAGTATAATGTTACAATAGGGAACGGACAGCTGTTATGTAAAAGGATGGAAAACAGAGAGTCCCGAAAAGTAGGACGTTAAACGGGGATGTCCCACCGTTCCCTCAATGGATGATCCAAGGTCCTCACCTTCCGCTGCGGTTGGACCAGCCTCTTCTCCAGCTTTGTCCTGCTCTGCCCACCGGCTTCCTTCCAGTCCCACCCCCTTGGATCCGTCCGCCTTCAGAGCGGCCAATTCAGCCTCTAGCTCGCGGACCCGCTTACGGCTGGCCGAGATTGATGAGTCCACCTCCCCAAGCTGGGTAAGCAAGGACATGTTCCTCTCAATCTGGTCATTCAGGTTCTTCTCACCCTGGGTGAGCTTCTCCTCCATAGTGCGGGCCTGGGTTCTGGATTCATCGAGTTCTTCGGTCACGGCTTCGTGCTTCGACTTGATTTGGGCAAGCTCTTCCTGCGATACCTTGAGCTGGTTCAACACTGTCTCCAGTTCCGACTTGCTGCTCTCAGAAGCAGTCAAAGAGTTTTGAAGTTCTTCCATCTGGCTGCTAACGACCTGGTGTTTCTGTTCAAGCTCAGCCTTCTCAGCCTCGATCTTCGAGATCTCTGCGCTGTGTTTGCCGGAAAGTTCTTCATGTGCGGCAGTAGTCGACTTCTCGGCATCCGCCAGCTTCTGTTCAAGATCTGTGATGGTTGCCTTCAGACTGTCCAGGGCCGAAGTATCCTGTGCTGCCACGTTAGCCTGGGCCAGCTGTTCCTTGGCCTCGGCCAGTGCATTGTCGTGGGATTTCTGGAGCTCTTCAAGCTTGGCCTGGTTGGCGGTTTCCAATTCAAACTTAAGGCTAGAAAGCTTGGATTCTTGAGCACCAAGGAGTTCTTCGATCGCTTTACTGTGCTCTGCTTCGGCTTCGGCGCTCTTGGAGGACTTAGAGCTCTCCAGCTCAGCCTGCAAGTTGGCCTTGATTTCCTCGAACGATTTCTGGAGCTCAGCAACTTCCTTCTCTCTAACTTCAGTGTGCGATGCAATCTCGCCAGCATGGCGCTCAAGGGCTGACTTCAACTCGGCCTCAAGTTGTTCGACCTTTTGCGCGTGGCTTGATTCCAGTTCCCGGTTGGCAGATACTAGCTCATCGTGCTTGGCCTGGAGCTCACTCAGTGCTGTTTCCTGGGTTCCAGATGCCTCACCCTTCAACTTCTCCAGCTCCGCAGCATGTTCAGCTTTCAACGCCTCCAGGGCCTCCGCATGCTTCTCAGCCGCAGAAGCGGCTTGCTGAGATTGCTCCTCGAGGGCCTTCTGAGCAAGAGCAGCCTTCTCTTCGAGCTCGTTGAGCTTACTTTCCTGTTCGCTGTCCTTCGACTTGCTCTTGTCTTCGATGGCACTCAGACTCTGCTGTAGTGCCTCTGCCTCCGCCTGTTTGCTCTGAATCGCATCCTGCAAAGACTTGATCTCGCCCTGTCCAGTTGACAACAATGACTCCAATTCGCCAACTCTCTCCTTCAGGGGCTCGATTTCATGGACAGCAACGGCATGGGCAGAGCTGGCTCCATCCTCTACAGCCTGACGAGCCTCGTTGAGAGCTTGCTCCGATGCACTCAGCTTTTCCTGAAGAGCTTGAAGTTCGATCTGGTGTGCATCTTTAAGGTCGCTGGTAGCATCTTCCTTTCCTTGCTTCGCCGCAGCCTCAGCAGCCTCAGCAGCCTCAAGCGCATTTCGAAGCTCCTGGACCTGCTCAGAGTTTGTGTTACCGGCGGATTCCGCAGCCTCCTTGGCCACTTCCAGTTCCTTTGCGTGGGCAGCTGCAGCGGAGGCCAGAGCTTCATCGTGTTCATCCTTAAGCTTGGCGATAGCAGCTTCGTGGGAAGCTTCCAATTCCTTGATCTTGTCTGCCAGCTCGTCGGCGGTGGCTTCGCGCGCCTCCTGAAGCTCGACCTGGAACTTCTCAATAACCTGCTTGAGCTCAGAAACCTGCTTCTCCTTGTCGGCAATAGCAGTGGCCGTTTCATCCCCCTGCTGAGTAGCGGACTCAGCTTCAGCAAGCTTTGCCTCCAGAGAAGCAACCTTCTCCTCCAGCGCGGACACGGATTCCTTGGCAGATTCCTCAGCGGCTTGGATTTCCTGCTGTTTGGAACTGTTCAGCTTTTCCATTTCAGCGTTGAGGTTTTCGATAACTTGGTCGCGGCCCTTGAGTTCACGTTCAAGGCCATCGAGAGCCAATGCCTTCTCTTCCTGGAATCCCTTGTTGGCTTCCTCCAGGCTAGACTTCTGAGACTCCAATTCACCCTTGAGAGTATCGATTTGTTCGGCATATCCAGCAACTGCAGCCTTTTGCTCGGCCAACTCTTTCTCAAGCTCCTGGAGCTGGGCCTGGTGGGCTTGCTTCAATTCCTCGAGCACAGCGGCGGTCTTATCGTCACCTTCCTCTGTTGCTGACTTGGCGGCGTCGTCCAAGTCTTTGAGCGATTTTTCTTCCAGCTCTTTCCGCTTAGCTTCTGCCTCTTCTAACTGGGCTCGCAAAGCCGTGAGCTCCTCAGTATGAGCAGCTTTAATCTTTTCGATTTCGGCAGCGTGCTCAGCCTGAGTATCGGCGGTAGCATCGTTCTGGGTTGATGATCCTTCCTGAGTAACAGACAGGTTGGCCAGCTTCTCATTCACTGCCTCCAGCTCCGCCTTGAGGCTTGTCACACTGGCTTCGCTCTCGGACAGCTTGTTCTGGAGATCCTGCAGCTTCTCCGCTTCCTCTTCGGTGTTCTTGCTCGCGGCAACGGTGCTAAGTCTCTTCCGAGCCTCCGAAGTAGCGGTAGAAGGTCTGGTAGTGGTCGTGGAAGGCTTGGTGGCTGTCCGCGACGTGGTGGTCGTGCGGCTTGTAGCGGTAGTTGTGACGGGCTTAGTCACAGGCTTGGTCGAGGAAATAGAGCTCGGGCGAGCCGTGGCGGGTTTCCTCTCTGCCGTGGTGCCAGCCACGCTTGATCTCCGATCCAGAGAAGACGTAGTTGATTTCACGGGAGCTCTCGTGGAGGCACTGCCGACCAAGGACATACGCTTGGCTGTTCCTGAGATCCCCCTCCGCTCGTCTCCAGAGCTGGCCACACCGGAGCTGGCCACGGACCGTGGCTTCTCATCTGCGGAGCTGCTAACAGACGCGCGAGACCGATGGGAGGCCGCAGTCGACGAGGTCAATGGCTTGCGGGCTGTTGTTGTCGTTGGGGGACGAGTAGGAGGTTTGTTCAAAGTAGTGCCGCCCATCGACGTACGCGAGGATGTGGTGGATTTGGGAGCGGATGACATGGAAGTCGGCCGCTTCGTGGTTGTCGAACCAGACAGCGGGCGCTTGGTGGTAGATGTAGTGCTACTAGATGTCGGGCTCTTCTTCGCCGGGGACATTCTGGTGTTCTCCTTCCCGGCCTCAGGACTCGTGATGGGTTCCTCACTTCCCGAAAGAATGCTCGACTCGACGGGAGTAGCGGGCGGGAGATTCTCTCCCTCGGCCTCGACCGGTGCAGGGGGAGGAGGCATGGGTTCTTCAGTTGAAGCCATGGTGGTCAAAAATTTGTTTGGCTACTGAACGGGTCTGAGAGGATCGGCGGTATTTATGGGACTCTGCTAGAAGAAAAGGGGGTCCTAGGTCAGCCAGTGTCCATTTCTGAAAAAAACAGCGCTGTGTGAAGAAAGCACTTTGTACTAGATCAATGAATTGGATTGCCATCAAACATAGTCAAACATAGGTAACATATGGGCTCAGGATATTCCGCTAGCATATGTATTTATATGAGAGTGGAAGAAAAGGAGGGGAAACGGTGTAGGTGTCGCAAACAGGACGATCCATAGATAATGAATAGAGACCCAAGAAAATATAGCCATGATCTATCACCCAATGCCAGCTGAATATCCAACTCGGCGATCTGGACGTAATGGCAGCTGCGACGGGGCAGAGGAAAAAAAAAAGGACCTCGGGTGAGGCTTCTCCTTTTCCTGACGGGCATCGGGGAAGAGGGAGAAGAGCTTCTGCGGGGAATGCAGCTGATATACTGACCTGAACCGAGAGCTGCAGCTGTGAAGCCAATCAAGGTGCGATACGGCAAGTATCCGAATGCACCTAAGAAGGATGGACAGTTTCAAGCTGCAGAGGAGTCGCACAGGAGCAGGAGGGGGAGGGTTGCGAGGCAAGTCGCGGGAGGGCCAAACAACCAAAGAAACAGAAAAAAAAGAAGAAGGAAAAGAATTAGAAGAGTATTAGGTAGAGGATAATAGAAACAGGGATTAAATGGATTAATTGACCGATGCAGACGCAGGTGTGGCAGAGGAAGAGAAGGAGAGGAAGAGGGAGAAAAGAAGAGGAGAGCGCAAGAGGGGAAGAGGCTTTTCTCGGGGCGGCAGCAGGAAAAGCGGTGGTTCTCTGGGGAAGACGAACGACGACGATCATCGGAACGGGCTCAGAGACGGTGAGAGGCCAAGATGGATACAGATGGAGATGCAGGCTGCAGGCCTACGGTCTACATGGATGCTCTATCTTCACCTTAATGGGGATCTTACAGCGTCGATGGCCCATCTGTGTTTATCCCCCAGGATTGTTTGGTGCCAACTGGCATTGATCGACAACTGCATCATCGTACTGGGGTTGATTCCCCTGCATAGTATCCGCATTCCAGTACCCCATCGATCCAAGATAGCTGCCAATCTCTTGCAAGATTCATATGGAGATAATCGCAGATTAACTCGAAGATCTTGAAGCTATCCAGACCCGGACACGTGGCGGTTGTTTTCCTCGGTTCGCGTTTGTTGTTGTTGTTTTCTTCCCCGACAACAGCATCCATGGATCCACCAGATTGCGGTCCCAACGGTTTCGATGCGGAAGACAAACACGGTTGGAGATATCTTAAAGCATGGCCAGAAATAAAAAAAAAAAAAAAGAAAAAGAAAAGAAAAGAAAAGAAGGCTGGGTATTCTAATAATACGAAAAATCATCGCTACAACGCTAGGTAATATCGTAAAATATCATACAGAGAGAGCTTCAGTTGTCATCTCGCACACTCAGCAGCCATTGATGTTTTCGGCGCCCTTCAACGGTTTGTAAATCATCCTGAATGCTGGGCAATGCATTGTCAAGAATCTCTCGAGCCTTTATTCGTAGCTCGTGGAAAGTCCGGCCACGCAGCCGATGGCCGAAATGTCGCATAACGTCAATATACCGATTGGGTCCTACATGAACCTGTCAGAGATCCATGTTTTCACTATGTTGTACCTTGAACGCTTACCTTGGTATTTGTCTAGTCCCAGAATCAACGCCCACGTTTCATCCTCTGTCCATTCCTTTCTGGTGTCATCATCGGACGCAATGCTCCTCGATTCATCGCCCACATCGGCTTCCAGGACTCTCCCATCAGAGGACTCGGGCCTTTGGCTTTTCAGCTCGTCAGACTTCAACGCCTCGATCAGTTCCTGAAGAGGTGAACTCATTGCGCGGCTGAGGATCTTCAGGTTTGTGTACTCCCGGTGGCCGAGGCTAGAGATACGTTTAGAAAAGTATAGGAGTGATTCCAGGACGCAGAGTAAATGGTAGTATACTGCTGGACAAGCCCTGTGATCAAGGCAATACGCCTCAAAGCCGGTGGTTATAAGGGTGACCATCTCTGGTACCACACAGGCTTCGAACCCACTGAGAAGTTCCCTGGCCTTGTGTTTTCGACTGGGCTTATCAAGGCGCGTGGTCTGTCGGTAAACATTGTTCAGTATCTTCTCCCCCTCAGAGGAGATGACTTCAAGGAGACTGTCGCATGCACTTAGAGAATGAGAATGCCGGTCATCATCCAACAGATTGTTTGAGATATCCTTGAAAATGTCGCAAACTTGCTGGATCAATATGATGATATCTTTAAACTTCTTCTTCGCTGAAGAAGAAGCTCCCTGACCGATGCTGTCGGCAGTGCTTATTATAAGAGCCAAATTCCTCTTCTGTGGGCTAAGATTGATGAATTCTAAGAGTCGAGAAGGCGGCTGCGTGTGTTGTTCTTCTGAATTATTTGTGGCATCCACGGCACTTTCAGTAATCTCGTTATGTTGCTCATTAGGTTGTCCAATTATTTGTACCTCAATTTGTTGGTGAGGAGATTTTTCCTGACGCTGATTACTCGGTCTTGTTTGAGGTTCATGGACAACGAAACCGACAGGAGAATTCATGAACGACTCCTCTTCAACTTCGCCGCTATCATCAGACGGATTGGAACTTGCCGATGTAGCCTCTGTGTCGTTCCAGTCGCGGTCCTCCAAATCTTCATTATCTTGTTGAAGGGTATTTTTGTTCAAACTCCTGCTCGGGTTTGAGTAGCCGCTACGAGTCTCTTGCAATGAAGAAAGACCCCCGGGTTTGGCGTTTCTTTCAAGCAATCTTGACGAATGACGTTCTGGCGACTTTGTCATCCCATTGCCACTGTCAATTGGTTTTTCAAATCCATTCGCTTTTCTAGAGCTCCTAGGTGTCTTTTGTATTGGGGAAGACCTATCCGAGCCAACCTGGTTCGCAGCTTGCTCTAATTCACTACCGTCGGGCACCTCATTCTGCGTCAGCTGTGTGTTGGGAACTTGTTCGACTTCCATGTCTTCTCGAGAAGACCAGCTAACAAATAGGCCTTGGTCATGAACAATATTATGTGGCTCTAGATTATGAGAGAATCTGGTCGAGCGTACGCTGCCAGGAACGTTGTCGTCTGAAAACAGTTGAACATGGACACCGTCACTGCTTTCTCCGTCGTCGTCGTCGTCGTCGTCGCCGTCGCCATCCTCTTCCTCGTCCTCTCCATGCTTATGTCTATAAGGCGTTTTGACTGGCGTGTTTTGACCATTTACTTGATCTTTGATTCGCGAGGATCGCCGGGGCGTATGGGGTTCGTTTTTGCGTGGGTATCTTGTGCCGATGTTTTCATCCTCCTCTGCTGTCGGTAAATCCCATATGCTACCACCATTGCGAGACGCTCTTATTCCAATGTGAGTTGCTCGATGGGTAGAACGTGATAGGCGAGAATGGGGTTGATTGTTCTTTTTGCCGGTGCTGTTGACGCCGTTCAGGAAGTCAACAGACTGGTTGGTCGTGTCGCGTTTCCTTCGCGGGGTGGATCGCAAATTCCTCATCCTGGGAGAGCCATTAATATCAACTGCTCCCTAGTGATGAGATACAGCATCCACGCGTCAAGGTGGGTGGTACAAAGTTGATGAAGAAGCGAGATCAGCTCTGGTGCGGAGGAGCAACGGAGAGCTTGACGTCGTTCGGGTCCGAAAAGCGCATCTCTTGCCGCCCGCGATCCAGCATCGTCATCGCCGTCGGACGTCTTCTTCTGTCTTCTCCAACAATTCTGCCAAAAAGGCCTCTATCGAATTATACCCCGGAAATAATTCCATGCTATCATATTTACCTCAAATATATCATAGTCTAATTTTTACCTCATGACAGACGGAATTCCTGTCAGGATGCTGCCCATCTTAGACCCCTCCGCGGGGCATTCCTTCGTCGAGCCCAGCAAGAAAATCAACGAGGGCCAAGATGTCTCGACTTTCTTGACTACAAAAGCCTACGTTGATATCATGACCTTTCTCCTTCAGCTTAATCGATCATTATTTCCCGCCAAATTACCCGATGGGAGTGTGCAGACCTGGCCTCTCAACACCGACGCCGTCGAGTTCTCCGCGACGGTGCGACAGCTCCAGTATCTCTTATCCAAGCTAGAGGGTATTGTTGCAGAGGTTCCTCCCGATACAGGACCTCGGAGGTTTGGTAATATTAGCTTCCGCAGATGGTATGAGGTCGTCGAGAAGCGAGCCTCGGACCTTTTGGATGAGTGTCTGCCGTCGGAGGTGCTACAAACCAAGTCATCCGATCCTGAGGGACCGACAGCGAAGGTGGAGCTGATGGCATACTTCCTGGGCAGTTGGGGAAGTCCACAGAGACTGGACTATGGAACCGGTCATGAACTCAGCTTTCTGGCTTTCCTGGCGGGGATCTGGAAGCTGAACGGGTTTCCCAAATCCAGTCCGGGGGTGGAAGAGAGGGCCATTGTCCTCGGGGTGATTGAACCGTACGTCTTCATATACTGGGAAAGGGTAATTTTCGAATAAAGGTACTGACTGCAATTCGTCTAGCTACCTTGAGCTGGTACGATCGATCATCAAGACTTATACCTTGGAACCTGCAGGTTCCCATGGCGTCTGGGGTCTGGATGACCACTCCTTCATTTCGTATATCTTTGGTTCCGCACAACTATCTCCAGCTATATCAGAAACAGATAGAGTGCCCGAGGAAGGCTCTCTTCCGAATGCCCCAGATCCGGGCGGTGTTGCAAAAGCGAACATTGTCGAAAAAGAACGCAAGGGAAACCTGTACTTCTCCGCAGTTGGCTTTATTTATGACGTGAAAAGAGGCCCATTCTGGGAACATAGTCCGATGTTGTATGATATATCTGGCATCCGAACCGGCTGGGCCAAGATAAACAAGGTATTCTTCTCACAAACTACCCTTTGTTGAACCCACACTGAAGCCAGTCTCAAGGGTATGATCAAGATGTACAATGCTGAAGTGCTTTCCAAATTCCCCGTTGTACAACACTTCCCATTTGGTTCTCTCTTCAGTTGGGAGCGTGACCCTAATGCTCTCCCACCGCCAACATCTGTCCACACAGCGTCTGTGCCTCAAGCAAGACCCAAGGAAGCCGTCTCCTCTTCGACGGCCAGGATGCCGGAGTCCGGAACAAAGGCTCCCTGGGCAAGTGGAGCAGCAGGAGGGACTGCGGCACCGTGGGCAAGCGCAGGGAGAGAAGGAATACCAAGCCCTTCTGTTTTTTCTGGCAATACCCCTCGAGTACCTCCATCTGTTCCCGACACATCCAGGTTACCTCCAGGTCCAATGGCCCCTACAAGAGCTCCTTGGGCAAAGCCCCAACCAGAAAGGCAGGCTCCTACTGGCAGCTCGGGGGATGTACCCACCAAGGCTCCTTGGGCAAAATAATGATCCAGTTATGACAAATTTTCGTACTTTGTGATGACCTGTTTCCGTGAATATATACCCGATTTACATCTCATGCTGCATGAAACAATGACGATATCATATAAATAAAAGTCTACACAAACTCCAATTGGGTATCTTAAACAGGCTGAAAGAAACATGACCTAAACTATACAAATAAACATCCCGAGCAATGCAATAATTTCACTCGGAATCCGAGCCATAGTCCACCAATGCTGCTGGCACAGCCGAGCCTTTAGTAGTTGAAACGCCAGTGGAATCTTCAACAGGTGAAGCCTCATTGTTATCTGCGCGATCTGGGCGCTGGTGCTCATTTTGTTCCTTGCTCACTACCACGGGTTTGGTTGCGACGACTTTTCGTCTCTTAACCTCCGGCCGCCACGCAGTTTCAGCATGCGTCAGGAATGGATCGACAGTTGCGCGCGTATTCCCGGTCAGCTCATTGCGAAATGAGGCTTTGCGTTGTGCAAGTTGATCGGCTGGCTTGGGCGGTCTCGCACGTTTGCTCTTCCCGTGTCGATCTGATTCAGTCGACCTCTGTAAAGCGGACGATGAGCCTTTTGTCTCAAACATAGGCCGTGTGCGCAAGACTTGAGAAGCGCCAGCATCAGGCCCAACCATATCAGCACCATTGGGACCATCAGGACCAAAATCGACCATCCCAGCACGCAGACGGTCCTCTTCCGTCTCATCGACAAGATCGATCCCCAAGCTCATCTTATCCTTAATCGCCTCTCGATTCGCCTCGGCTTTCTCAAGGCCCTTTCTCTCCGCGCGGAATGTCCGTCGCAGCCGTCTCGACTTCTCATACGGATCATTCCAATCTCGACTCTGGCGTTGCTGCAGATCCAGAATTCGACTGGTCTCCGTTTCTGCCCGTCTCTTATCCTCAACCTTCCCTTCCAATTTCGCCAGTGCATCCTTCTTCTCTTCATCCTCTCCAACCCGCCGAATCGCTATCTCCCCAGGCTGCAATGCCCTGTCCCCATCCTCCCCGGTATCTCGCTTCCGACCACCCTCAAAAACCACATACGCCGTATTCTTCGGATCGGTGCGAATCTCAATCCACCCGCCGCATTGGGGATGTCGCATGCGAAAACTATATATCGGAGTCGAGTAATAGCTGCCCACTTTTTTCTTTTCGGCGTTGAACCGCACGCCCTGGCCGATGATGGTCTCATGCGGTTTGCAGGTCGTGCACCATACGGCGAAAGGCATCTCGAATCGGACCACCAGTGCGCCTGTTGTCCGGAGGTGGCGAGCGCGTGCGCCGAGGGGATGTTTGCCGGCGAGTTTGTTGCCGGTTGTTAGACCTTCTTGGTCTGGAGGGACGTAGCTAGTTTCATGTTAGGATTGAGATACGACGAGTTTATTATCGAGTAGATAAAGCGTATGTAGCACTAACCGTCCCATATCTGTAGAAAAGGATTGTTAGCTCACACCCCGCTATGATCATTGGCGTTGCTCAGCTTACTGAAGCCCTGCATTTTGGCTGAATGTGGTTTTCACGTCACGCGCATGTAAATTATAGTACTTCGTAATGATAATATCAATCCTGCCCTGGTCAACGGGGCAATAGTGGAATGAGCCCAGCGTGAGCCGGTGTTGATGTTGGCAAGTTGATTTGAGATTCGAAATGTCCGATGACGAGGTATAGTTATGCAGCTGAGTAAGCTGTGTATAAGATACCCTAAGTCTATCTGCATTATTTGGAGACTACCAACAAAACCCTTGTGTATGGAATGGCCAAATTCTTTGGACGCTGTAATACGGAGGATATGGCACTATATAATGAGGTTGAAACAATTCAAATATGTGTTAAATCAAATCTTCCGTCTCCTACTTTCAACTGGCTATAGGAATGTCCACGGACTATGTACGTCTCAATATTACATGTCCGATCATCGATAGTACACGATACGTTCTCTATACCATTTTCTTCCTAGGAAGCTACCAGATGGTGATGAATATCAAACCGATTTTGACTCATTTGGGGATGGGCTGGTTGATCTTTTCCATTTTCGATTCTGTTCATCAATTTGTGCACGACCGAAATCAATGAACATGACTCGTTTCACCTCTGTATTCCATAACATATTCGGCATCCGTATATCTTGATGCAAGACACCCAAACTTGAGATTTCAGCCTTGGTGCGTTCAATTTCCCGGCACCGCGATATGCGATCGGCCTCCTGAAGGGTCTCCCCTATGAGTAACATCATCTAAAATTGATCGGGATGACAGTCCAGATAGGCACAATTGTGTGCAAAACTTAGGATGTAATGTCTGACCTGGAGCTTTTCCCTGGCGTTTGCCTCGGTCCTGGATTAGGAAAGAAAGGAGATTCTTTCGGCGTGTATCATCTGAACTGGGTGATGAGCTCCCTTTCGGTTTCAGAGATTTTGGAATAGATCCAAGGGCATGCTCCGAATCAATTTCCCATTTGCTAAGCGTTTCCATAGCAGCATTTCGCCCAGCTTGGCTGTGTTGCATTGACTGGGATGCTAATGTTGTAAGCGCCAACATGCAACTCACAGCCGTGGAAGAGTAGCGGAAAGCAGAATTATCTTCTGGATTTGGCTCGAGGAGGGAGTACTGTAAGATCTCTGGTCTGTCTTCTGGTATACGAAGAATGACTTTTATGCGACCATTTGTTACACAACCCCATTCACAACCTGTCTTGATCATATCTTGGAACTGTTGAATAACGGCAGCACACGATACATAAGTGGCATGGCAGCGGAGTCTCTCATCAGGATCTGTCGGTCTTGTGGTTTGTTGCACAGCTTCCTGCAGCATATTCATTTTCCGAAGGCTTGCCCGGAGAAATGCATTGTTAAGCGTACGAGGGGCTTGATATGATTGAATAAAAAGCAAGCATCGGGCATTGCCAGCTTGATGGTATACACGATGCTGATCTGTTGACTGGTCTGGGTTCTCGGTGATTGACTTGGAGTGGTTTTCGTACAATATAGTACCTTCACCAAGTGAAAACTGATCTGGGGCTATCTCGTGTAGCCTTGCAAAGATTTCTTCCACAGGAATTTCCACTTCGAGTTCTGCATGTCTCATCAAGCCTGCTGCGCTTGTCAGTTTACGATGGCATGCCCCTTTCCCTCTATCTTCGAGAACATTTAATGGTGGGACTAGTCGCTTTGGTGAGGGAGATTGAAAGATTTGGTAAATCTGATCGAAGACTTCTTGATATATTTCGCGAAAATCAAAAGGTTCGAGGTAATCTGGGCAAACATGACCGGTTGGACTGATGATATACCCTTTGGATGCAAGCAACTGTTCGGTTCGGACAGCCATAGGTTTCGTTATCAAGTCATGGTTGGCTTGCAAGTATTCTACGAAAGTTGTATGCCGAATTGGCTTTTCAGCCTGTTCAGCGAGAGATATTTCCTGTTTAGCACGGAATCTCGCCTTTTGCAGGAGGGCCAGGAGCTCCTCTTTAGTTGGTGATCGCGATGTTTCGGGAGAGGACCCAGACTCCATGATCAACTGTACAATAGTTGTTTTTTCAAGACATAAATTGATAGATTATATTCTGATTAACATAGGTTGAAGAAAAGGTTGAGGTGTCACTATCCTGCATAATGCGCTGTGTCGGTCCTTTGTTTTCCCACGCGCGCTGTAGCCTAGGCATTCTCTATCACTATCGACTTTATGGAGACAAAAATGGATAAAATGATTTGACTGTTCAAAGACATGCAAAGCTATGTTGATGTTCATGTGTGGATGGTAGCAGGACCCGATTTGTAGCTCTATTCCGTACATATAAGTATCAGTATCTTTACACAATCAATGATAAGCATACAAGCCGTTATATACATACCCCGATATCACATTCTCTTACACTGCGTTCATCGTCTGTCTATTTCAGTCGAACCTCGCCTAACCTAGGCTTCACACTCATGAAATCCATACCAGGGTCCAGCCATATCCGCACCTTGGTCCTTCGAATGTAAATGCCATCCTCCGAGTCCAGCAGCAAAAGGTAAACATCAGAACGAATTTCACCGTTTGGCACCCTTCGGTAGTGAAATAGTTCTACTACCAGAAAGTCAAATACCCCTGACGGGAGAGTAGTAGGATGATGAAAGTCTCTCTCCCTCATTCGGCCAAGGTAGAGCCCCGTTTCAGGAACAAACGCCTCACTGAACGGGTTGGTGCGGATTTCCAATCGGGCTATGTTGGCCTCGAGTGTCAAGACATGACCGTCGATGCTGATGAACTTTGGTATCATGTCGACTCGTTTATCTATGTGGTGACAGTGGTCGATTGTTTTGGAAAGATTCAGACCGTTTGAGTATACTGCCTCTCCCTCCCAACCAGCCCAGGACCACGAGGGAAACTGGGGACGGCGTCGGGGCTTGGATTTGCGATGGTGAAACCACCGAAGTGATTGTGGGAAGTCCTGGAGAGGAAGTCCCCAGACAAACTCGTTACTGAAGAGATTGCGACACAGGTAGCTCTGCAATCCTTTAAAAGCGTCGAGAGAATTTATATCATTGGTCATTTGGCGGCTGGTGTATTCTTCTAGATAGCTGCGGTTCAAGGCCTCGCCTATCTCCAAACACCGTTCCGGTGAGCACTCCTGCCGGATACCTTGAATGTTAAATGCCCGAGTGGCATCATACTCTGCACTGTAGTTGAGGAGATACTGCGCCGGGTCGACGGTGTCGTCGACAGTTTCGTAGAAGCTGGCATAGTTGCATTGGAAATGAACCTGATGATTCATGAAGAAAAGTCGGCGATGGGATAGTACTTCTTCTTGCATTGTCCAGGCTCGTCTGGCGTATCTTGAAGTCACCGCTTCCTGGACGACCGTGGGAGGCACAGTCAAGAACTCGGCTCCATCGATCACCTCCATTCCTTGCTGGACTCGAGGATTCTTCTCGCTCACTCCGGCTAAACCGCTATCGGCGTCATCACCGCTCAGCGCGACGAGGGTAATTGTGGCCCCCTGGTAGATCCTGTCCATCATGGCAATTTGCTGTGCTTGCTGGTGTGTTTCCTGCTGATCAACACAGAGCATGTCCACCCAGAGAAATCGAATGCCCATTTCCAAAGTCACCTTGATGGCGTCCTCAATCGTCTGGGGCAATTGATGATTCTCCAACTTCTCTATTCCGGGTGCCTCAACTCCTCCCCAGACGTAGCTCAAAGCTATGTATCGACAATCAGGGGGGTATGGTACGACAGTCCTCGTGTGAACATCCACCATCCGCGTCGAGGAAAGCTCCTCGCTCCAAACCGGTTGACAGTTGGACGCATGTGTGGATTCACATCGATGCAGCCAATTCCTCATCATCGAGAAGTTGGCCAGTCGGTCCGATCGTCGTGCATTTAGCGCATCGCGATGGGGGACCGGATTATTAGATGATAGGGCAAAGGCTCGGAATACCTGCTCAATGATGCCCATACGAGGATTTCGCTGATTCCCGACCCGGATATTCATCGATGTGACTTTATCTTCGACGGAAAGATAAATTGCATATCGCTCTTTCTGGCTTTCCGTGGCCTTCTTTGCTAACGAAAACAGTCTCTCGTAGCTGGGCAGCGCGTGGATATAGTAAACTGTTGTTAAATCCGTCTCGTTGGCAAGATCAGGAAATACACGAAAGATAAGGCGACAAAGAGGGCAGCTTCCTGAGAGAGATAGAGACTTCAATGAGCCTAGTATCAAAGTCTGGGTGCCCTTGAGCCCGGCCAGTCGACGTGCCTGCACCAGTCGATCTTCCACATGAATTGTCGAGATCAAATCCAGAATCTGGTACTCTGTACATCGTGGACACAGCCCATCGTCTGTTGTTTGCAATCTTCTCAAAAATGCTTCCTCCCCCAAACGGGTGGATGGTTTGTGGTCATCATGCCAGTGACTGCATTGAGCGGTGTGGTGACCTGGAGTACGGCAGCGAAGGCAGAGGTGAAGGTTCATTTTCGATTCATGTCTGATATCAGACAAGGTGCAGGATTCTCAGGCTTATTATAAGTGCCCCAAAATTGAAACATTAAAAAACGGCCCCTCACAACACTAGCAGGGATCATAAAACTATTATTAGATTTTTAAACGCGCGCTTGTACTCCAAAAGTAAATCACATCCAATCCACAGGGCATAGACGGCAAACGTTGTTTGTAAATCGTAGATATATCACAAGGAAGCCGAGGAGCATTTTCCACCAACCTCACACACAATGTTTAGATCAGCAACGCTCTCGCCAACCCACAACTTGACACCTTCGCCGTTGACGGGTGCTTTCCAATCCTGCGTCACAACATCCCAGACACTCAGATCTTTGCGCGTGACCGCTAACTCCAGGACTTCACTTTGTCCCGGTGCCAATGTTTTGCTTTTTCCAAACTGACGCAACTGACGAGATGGTGTATCGAGTTCCAGGCTGGATGGAAGCTCTACATATAATTGTGCAACAGCACGGCCATTTCGCCTGCCAGTGTTGGTCACTTTAACACTGACAGTAAATGCAGTATCAAAAAGGGCTGGGTTGCCTCCTTCTCCCCCACCGGCGCGTGGTGCTGGGTGGGACTCGTTTGTGTATCCAGTCGGATAGGGATAATCGGCTTTCGAAGTCACAGCCTCAGGATTGTCGAGATATGGATATAGATACCGCCAGATGCGATTGAAGTTCTTTGGCCAGGCCACTTCAGATGCTGGGGGAATTGTGCTAGCATATGTTGGTGTTGGTCCCTTGGTAGGACGAGGCGAGGGATAGGCATCGCTTAATGGCGTGCCCATAGATAGAGTTGGCTCAGAAATATTGAAAGTGGTATATGACAGACCGTGACCGAATGGATATCTGGGTGTTACATTCGCCTTCAGGAAGTGGCGATAGTCGACATACAACCCTTCAGTGAATGTGTCCTGGATTTGACCAAACGGCTGAGCGAGCAAACCCACACTCGATGGATAGTCTGATTCACTGCGAGGGATAGTGTAAGGTAGATGGCCACTAGGGCTGTAGTCGCCAAATAGTATATCCACCAGCGAGTCTCCAGCCTCTTGCCCAGGAAGGTGAGCCACCAAGACGGCCTTGACGGATTCAAGATCGATCCACTTCTCCATGATAATCGGCCCGACAGTATGGATGACTACCACAACATTGGAAAACTTCTCTGCAGCTGCCTTGACCAAATCATCCCCGTTGTGCCAGGCGTAAAGGCCTGCAGATGTCCGATCTCCTGGGTTGTTTTCAACGGTAATGTAATTCTCACCGGAATCGGAGTTAATGAAAACAATGGCAATATCGGCCGGGCTCGCTTTCACGTCTGAAGGGAAGGAATCGGTAATGTGAAACTCGGCATTTGCAGAGACGTTGGCGATGGCTTCTTGGGGAGTAATCAAGTAAGGAAGTTTCGATGTCCCACTTCCCCATCCCTGTGTCAAAACACCTTTGTCACAGCCGCCGTCGCTGCAAGAATTGAGACCGTCTGTATTTCCTCCGGCATCTGTTCCAAAGATCTTCAACGAAGCATTCCGTTTCAACGGAAGCACATCATCGTCATTCTTCAGCAAAGTGATTGCATCACGGGCAACAGACCGTGCAGTGACATTGTGATTACCCTGCACGTTGACGAACTTGTTGACCACGCCGGATGGTGAGAAAAGAGCACCAGGATACAGTAGCCCATTCTCATCGTCGGTGTTCACCGAGAAATTTGGCAGTGGGTAATCCTCATCCTGGCCGAATTTGTACCACGTTGCGACGATTCTGGTGACCTGCATTCTTATCAGAACTTATATCGTCTAAAATCGAGGGGAGCTTTAAGATACATACCATGTCATTCAAGCGCTCCACAGGAACAGTTCCATTAAGGATCGAGCGAGACAACTCAGAGGCCCAGTAACTATCTCCAAGTACAGGGATGGCACCATCACCTGGCATACTCATGTCAAGGCCTGCCAATGTTGCTGAGACACCGCCGATATGCCCAAACCAGTCGGTTACTATAAACCCCTGGAACCCTAATTCATCCTTGAGAATCCCGTTGATCAGCTTGCTATTCTGGCTGCAAGATGATCGGTTTACCTGACGAAAGATTGTATTAGTCCAAAAAAAATTCAAGTTAGGGGGTACTGGGGTGTTTCTCTCACATCATTGTATGCAGTCATCACCGAGCCTACACCTGCTCTAACACCCTCCGCAAATGGCCATAGGTAAAGCTCATGAAGGGTCCGGTCGTCAATGTTGGAGGAATAGCCTTGGGTAACAACACTGCTCATTCGATGCTGTTCCTGCTCATAGCCAATGAAATGCTTGATGGTTGCGATTGCCCCTGCGCTCTGCATTCCTTTAATCGTCTGAGCAGCCGCTATTGCTTGAAGACTAGGATCGGCACCGAAAGCCTCCCAGTTACGCCCCCCTCTCGGCTTTCTTCCCAAGGGACCAACAGCAGGTCCCATGAGAACGTTTACGCCCTTTCCTTTGGCTTCCTCGCCGAGACCAACACCGCGAGCGTACATGAGGTCTTTGTCGAAGGTTGCCCCAACTGTGATCCCAGCTGGGAACGCGGTATTGTGGTCGGCATTGCGAACCCCCAACGGGGAATCCATCAGACAGATATTGGGTATACCAAACCGGAGTGCACTACCGGTTTGTCCAACGCAAGGCCCCATGAACATCCCCGTACCGGTGGTCAGGTTCACCTTTTCAGCGAGAGTCATGTTACTAACAACCCGGTGCGCTTTCTCGTAGGCTTGAGTCCAGTTGGAAATCCATCCTCCCTTCGGGGTAGGATAATACGGCGGAGATGAATACTCATCTGCATTGGAATCCCGCGAGTTCAGATGCACAGTATGGCCGGCAGAGTTGGCTGTAGGTGTTGAAAGGGTCAAGTTTATAAGAGAGACAAGAGTCAGGCATATCGCAAAACCCGCCATCTTGATGGCGTGCCCTTCAGACGGGACGAGTAGAAACGACAAAAGTCTTGCTGAAAATCCAATCAGTCGGGTCGATATCTATCAAGTGAGCGAGGGGTCATTTTATATTTTCAGTTGTGAACATGAAGATCCTCGTGTAGGTATCGTATCCAAACCGAACAGTCCCAAGGCCCTAAGTCCTAGCTACGCTACCGTCATTTAGCCAGTGGGCATCCATCACGGCGAAGATAAGAATAGCCACTCCTGATTAAATAGCGGTCCGGACTGCGGAGTACATGACAGTTGAAAAGAGGGGAAGAAAAGGAGTCGAATTGTGGACAGTGTCCGCGTGCCAGACATTGGCTATAACTATCCTGGACCGTTCATTGCTGGATTATCTTGGGGTAGTCCGTCATCCATGATGGTATGAAGCACATGGTGCCATTCTAATCCGGTTTGTCCTCCGGCTAGTGGCTTGCATGCGTCGTAGCTCTTTTTCCCTTTGGGTACTGACGGTCCGTACCCCTTAGAGCAAGCTGCCTTTGGGCAGGGAGTTATAGAAACATGGGGGGAGGGGGGCAAATGATCAACCCTCCCCCCGATAATCTTTGCTGAAACGGGGAGGCTTCGACATGGTCTGACGGCCGTCCACTGCCCAAGCAAAGTGAGGCACGGAGACTCGGAGTAGTTAACTTGTGAGGGGAAAGACCGTTCGGTTAGAGCGCCAAGTTGTGGGCTGTGGAATCTGTATGTTCCTGACGATCAGTTGATAGTTCAAACTTTGGGGTCGAAAATCGCCGATTCTCCACGATTCAGGGGTTGGGACTGATGTGACGAATCTATTTTTGTACACAACCACCGTTCATTTATTCCTGGCGGCCTTGAAAGATATCCGATGATAGTATATGTCACTCCCGTTATTTTTATTTTATTCATTTTGTTATGCATCGTCACCATCGATCTGCATTCTGTCGATGGAGCTTTGTCGTTGCAGGGGTGCATCGTGGTGATTCCAACTACCCAGTACGAACCGAGGTATAACCTTAGTATCTCCGAAGGCAATACTATCCTATATCTCGACATGTTTAACGGATTAGTTCTTGATCTAGCTTCATGGCCTCTAAGAAACTCACTTGATGGACACCCGTTCGACGTCATCAGGTGTGTCGCCCACTTTGTATTGGCACATCTTCCATCGGCCTATGTGGGTTATTTATCCGAAAGTTGTATAAGGTATGTTCACAATAATGGCCAGCATTATAGAACTTGTAAACCAGTTGAGCCAATGCAGTAAGTGTAATCAGCTGCATCGAGTGCCGATGAAGAACACGGTGGGTGGTCAAGAGAACCACGAGAGAAGAGACAAACTGATCGAAGTCATCTGACTTGGCATTCATATTATGACAGAACTGGACCAAATTCTAGACATAACTAAGTCTATCTTGAGGATACACTTTCTCTTAGACCCTGTCGGTTTATGAATCAGTAGAATTTTCTATTATGTTTCTTCAATGCCCGAAAGACTAAGGCGATACTGTTTGGCTATAGGTACATATCGTGTTGGGAAACCCTGACATGAAGTGTTTAACTTCACTTACAACAGTAGTTAAGCTATGAAGGCTGGCTATATCAATGGACATGATGCGTGCCTGTCCATTGATGCTAAGCATCAGTATCTGGTTAAGTAAAAAAACATGAAAAAACAGACTTAGAGCCTCAGGCAGGGCCTCAAGAGCTAGAGTATCCCGAAGCACGTTAATATTCACAAGCCGGTAAATTCCAACCAGAGATTTCCCTATCCAGTTCATTCAACAATCCCAAGGTTCTGGGGATGAGTCGGCAGCGAGTTCCAAAGCAGATCCTCTTATCGTGGAGCAATGCATGACATGGTGCATTCCCTATTGCCCTTATACGGTTTGCGAGGAAATCAAAGCTGATTCAAGCAAAGGGTGGCTAGATCCGTGGAAAGATTTCAAGACTGGACAGTGTTTTCATAAGTTCCCCGATGTTAAGCTTATCACAGTCAGAGCAGCATTGCCCTGCCTTTACCAATCCATAAATACGTCCATATAGCGACTTCACAATTTGATCAATGTAGTCTTGTCTTTCTCTCTCGATTCCCTCTGTTATTCGAATGAAGTCAGCAGCTATATATATGCTCAGGAACAAAGAATGCCCACCTGCTAGGTCCTGTGGGATTGGAAGGTCCAGGCGTCTAATTGGCCCAGTGACCTCACGCTGGAGAATGTGTGTCATTTTTCGAAAGACATCATTGTCACGAAAGTTCCAAGATATCCAGATCCACCTGATCAAATCATCCGTATAGCTTGTTGGTAGCTCTAGTTTAAGATCAGATATTCAAGAGGCCGCAAACATTTCCACTGCTTCATGGCATCCGATATAGTCCACCAGCACAGCGATCTCGCACAATAGGTTGAGATCTATGAACTTGAGGACCTTTCTTGTTTTGCAATGCATTATTTTTAATACCATCAAAAGTGCAGCTTTGTTCCAGTCAAATATAGTCATTGTAACCTGTCCTTTGTACTGCAGTTCACTCCCCTCTGGCCAGCAACTCTTAAGCCTTTTCTCAAAATAACGGGAAGAAAGAGTCAAATGCTTGGACGAAACACGAATCTTAGTTCCTTCGACACTGGAGTCGGAAATAATGCTGTCAATTGAGGCATTCTGGGCGAGTGTTGGGTTACGAGAAAGAGATGAAGTCCTTTCTTGATCTCTTTCCGCTTCGATCAAGGTCGTATTCATCTCAGCCATAGAAATACTGTCATAGTTCGAGGCTTCATCTGATTTAATGAGAATAGATGAGTTAGCAATATTTCAAAATGGTTGATCACCGCTGTTTCATCTCAAATCTCAGTTATCCAAGGGAAGGCAGGGGACATAATTATTTTCTTGCGGGCTTTCTCATCAATCATTACCTTCTTCGGGTGATTCCTTTAAAATCAGCAGCACATCTCCTTTAGGGTCTATCGTGTACGACTTAGTCCTCATCGTCTAGTCTAGGTTGTAGTTTAACACTTGACTCGAGTTGCTCCTGGGGGGCAATGGCTGGGTGGAAAGGTTGGGTAGAGAGAGAATATTATCTGTTGTATTTGTGGGGTGTTGTTTGTAAGAAGGCCAGAAAGAAAAGCCTTCAGTGAATGTGACCCAGAGGCTGCTCGTTTTGTTTGACGACCTGTTTGCAAGAATATTCCACTAAGGCAGAAAAGACAGGCCCAGACGACTAAAGCTTTTGGTTTAAAATTGGAGAAGACCTGAAATATCTAAAATAGAAATATCGCGAAGAGATAAGTAAAATATAAATCACCCAAACATGATAGGTCAGAGCTTGATTCTCGTAAGTTCGTCTCAAAATCTATAAACATCTATATCCAAAATAAGGGGGATCTAAACTGATACAGTGTTATTCCCAATGGTTGATGCAAACCGGAAGAAATTAGTTGAAGTAACCAGGGAAGAGCCAGTTGAGTCTCTCCCGTGCTTCGGGGCTCCAGTGCTCCTGAGGAGTGCTAACACCGAACTTGACTGAGCCCTCGACGTGCTTAGCCTGAACAAGATCAGAGTGCTCTTCGTGGGCCAAAGTATCAAGGACAGCAGTCACAAAGCGTCTCGCGTTTTGCGAGTTGGCCTTCATGTTGCCCATCACCATCTCAACGGTGACATCCTCACCCGACTCGTGCCAGCAGTCGTAGTCGGTAGACATGCAAATCATCTGGTAGGCAATCTCAGCTTCGCGGGCAAGCTTAGCCTCAGGCAGAACAGACATGTTGATAACGCTGCCGCCCCAGGAACGGTACATGTTGCTCTCTGCGCGTGTGGAGAATTGAGGACCCTCTAGAAGTTGCGCATAGAAGTTAGCATGAAGAAATTGGAGGTGAAGAGATAGATAATTGATCGCCAAAAGAATACCAAACACAAGGACTACATACCCATGCAGATGATGGTGCCACGGTCGTGAAGGGTCACACCATCGCCTTCCAAGCTGTGTCCGCAAGCCCGGACAACCTTGGCGACACGCTCATCAAATGGGTCGCCGAAGGGAACGTGAGCCACAACACCTTTCTCGAAGAATGTAAAAGGTCTGATACCCTTGGTGCGGTCGATGACCTGGTCGGGAATCACGAAATCACGGGGCTTGATCTGCTCTTGCAAGCTGCCAACGGCGGAGAAGGCGATGATGGTGCGGACACCGATGGAACGCAGGGCAGCAACGTTGGCGCGGGCAGGGACTTCGTGGGGCGCAATCTGATGGTGCAGGCCATGGCGACTGAGGAAGGCAACAGCGACAAGCTTGCCAGTGTTGGAGCACTTGTGGTGAAGAATGCTAATCGGCGAGGAGGGGTTGCCCCAGGGAGTCGAGATCGACAACGAAGCAACCTGGGTGAAGCCTGGAAGCTCGCGAAGTCCAGTACCACCAATGACGGCGATGCGGACGGGGTCTGGATTGATTGAATATCAGATACTATTCTCATAAAACTCCAAACTCCCCCTCCGGGCTGACACTGAGCGATCTGACTTACCCGAGTAGGTATCAGGAAGGGCGGCCATTCTCTTAGCAAATTGCTTCGGGGATTCAATTCTTCGAAGAGGTCTTGTTGTAAAAGTAGATAGATGACGGCGAAGAAAGGAGAAAGCCAACATCCACAGCCAACTGAGATGAAACGATTTCTTCGTCCTTCCGACTTCTTTTTTTCGGAGCGGGGTTGAGCCCGATTGGGTTATCGGGAACCCCACGTGGGTGATTTATAAGGCACTCAGGCAGTTAGGCACCCAGGCACCATGTCGTGATCTCCTCATCTTCTTTCACTCTCTTCTCTTTCCATCTCCCTTCACTATCCATGAATCTCTTACTCATTAAAAAATGCCCGCTATTCGTCTGGAATTGAGGGTTTAAACACTAACAAGAACCTATTTTGTCAGCAGACCTTTGCCTCATCTCCGGGCACTTATCAAACTAGGAGATTGTTTGAATAACTCCATTAATCTATGCATAGGATACTGAAACTTTAAAAAACCATGCCTTCATGAGTGATAACTAACAACTTTCTAAGCTGGCTTCCATTCATAATGATGAGGACCCTTCTTGACCTGTCCTGGATCTTCGCCTGGGATGTCTGGTTTGTTATAGGCGTGGGCGCCAAAGTAGTCCATCTGGGCTTCCATGAATTTGGTCGGTAGCATGGTTCCACCTTCATATTTCAGATACTCGAGTGTGGCAGACATCGCTGGGATATACTGGTCTGAAAGAGTTCCCTCGACCACAATCTCCTTCAGGCAGTCGAAGTGCTTATGCAATTCTCGAGCTACTTCATCGACAAACTTCATATTGGTGAGGCGTATATTAGCAGTCAAAGCTGGCTGTAGCAGGTCTGCAATGGCCTCCGACTGAATAATGCACCCTCCACGCCATATTTGAAGGCATTTGCCCAGATCAATGTCCCATCCTTCGTCTTCGGAGGCGCGGGCAATGAGCTCAAGACCCTGGCAGAACGATGCCATAAAAGAGCAATATACTGCTCGACGCAGATTGTCGATGAATGCTGCCCTATCCTTAATTCCCTCGATTGGTTTGGGGCTAGGCATGTGAAGCTTCTTTGCAACTCGGAGTCTTTCTTCCCGGTTACCACTCGCAACTCGCAAATAGTGAGCCGCGGCAAGGGTGGGCGCAGAAACATGCCGTGCAGCAGTGTCCATTAACGACCATAGGGGCGTTCCTTCGGTATTGTCGTCATCCTGAACGACCTTGTCGAGGACATCATCAAGCACCCAACCATTGTTCTTACTGGCACCCTCGCCTTTGTAATCACCCTGAGGGGTTCGTTTTATGTGGCAGATATCCGCAGCAATCTGGATCAGAAAGTTATTTCGCAATTCACCATCCTTATCCCACTTCGAAAAGATGTCGCCAATCTCGTCGTAATTGAGACCCAACCCATTGTGAAGGATGGACCAAGCCTCGGCAGTCGTCGACAACATGCCGCCCTCAATTCCGTTGTGTACCATTTTAACGAAGTGCCCCGAGCCCCCGGGACCGACTCTCGTCACGCATGGGAGGCCCGTCTTGCGGTCCTTTGCCGAGTAAAGTTCAAGAAAAGGCATGACCAGTTCGATGGCTTTTTTATCGCCCCCAGGAGACAAACTAGGACCATGTCGTGCAGACTGGTAACCCCCAGATACGCCCATCCCAATCCAACTGACGCCTATCTCCTCACACTCCCTCTGTCGTCGTTCAGTCCGTCGATAGTTCTCATTGCCGCCGTCCAGGATGATATCGCCTGGTTTCAGGTCATGCTTGATCATGCTCAGAACCGAGTCTGCCGGGTGACCATGCGTAATGGAAAACATGAAAACCTTGCGTTCCCCTTGGCCTTCCAAGCTCTTGGTGAATTCATCGATGTTGTAGAAGCCCTGCACCTTTCCCTTGACGTCCTTTGCGTTATCTGCCCATTCAATTACCTGGTCAACATTTTTCTTACTGACATCCCACACGGACACGTCAAGACCAAGCTCGGAGAAGGCAAAGGTCATCATCGAGCCCATGTTCCCGGCCCCGACGACTCCTATGCGCTTAAAGTGCTGGAGTGGATCGTTATTTGCGGACGGCATGATGTACCAGTATTGTTATGATGGAATTCTCTGAGGCAAAGGATGAGGAGCTCTTGCAAGGATTTGCAAGCTTGTATACGATAAAATCAAAAACTTGGGATAAGGGCGCCTCTTCAACAAAATTACCAGTGATCATTGGAATACTATCCGATTTGAAAGCAAATACATCTTGCTTACATCATGAGATATATATCCGGACGTCATAGCGATGTATTCCCCGAGAACTTCAAATGATGGCCCATTTACGCCATTTTCGTACTTCTATCGATCTACGCGACGGGGACAATCATGGTTACATCATAGATCAACAATGCAATGAGACCCGACAGCAATTAGAGCTTGATGATCGCATAGGAGTATTATTCACTGGCTTTTTTCTTTGGAATATTTTCAATTAGTATTGACAATCTTCCCTGAAAGTTATTGTTTTGATGAAAACTCCCACAGACCCAGTCTTGTGGTCACCATCTAACCAGCATATCATCTGAGTTTCAAAACAATCATGGGAAATCCCTCTAGATTCACAGCACCCTTAACCTTCGACTCCTCCCACAAAATCTCTCTCGCCTACGCCTCCTGCTCAATCGGCAGCAGCCACTCCGACACCCTGCCCCAGAAACTCGAAGCCATCAGCAAAGCAGGATTCTCAGCCATCGAGCTCTCCTTCCCAGATATTCTGGACTATGGCTCGCGCTTACAGGGCCATCATATCGCCCCGGAGAACTTTGCTGAAGTGATCACCACAGCCGGGGAGATTCGAAAACTATGCGACGCCAACTCACTCAAGGTCATGATGTTACAGCCGTTTGCGAACTTTGAGGGCTGGCCTATCGGGTCGATAGAACGGCAGGATGCATTTGCCAGAGCAGATGGGTGGATTGAGATTATGCATGTTGTCGGCACGGATCTTTTACAGGTATACTCCCTCTCACCCCGTCTGTCTTTTATCCACATAAAACAAAAGTACAAGGAAAATAACAGTCCCCAAATAGGTCGGCTCAACAGACTCCCCATCCAACAAAATAACCACCTCCCGCAGCAATATAGTCTCCGACCTCCGCGCCCTAGCCGACAAGCTTGCCAAACGCAACATGCGCCTCGCCTACGAGAACTGGTGCTGGTCCACACACGCCCCCAACTGGAAAGACGTCTGGGAAATCGTCAAAGAAGTCAACAGACCCAACGTCGGCCTCTGCCTGGATACCTTCCAAACAGCCGGCGGCGAATACGGCGACCCCACCACCGACTCCGGCCTAATCGAAGACGTTCCCCAAGAAACACTCAAGCACCGCTACCTCGCCAGTCTCGAGGAACTAGCTCGGTCTGTCCCGCCGGGGAAAATCTACCTGCTCCAAGTCTCGGATGCGTATAAACCGTCCAAGCCGATTGAGGATAAGACGGTTGGGGGGCTACGGCCGCGCGCGAGATGGAGCCACGATTTTCGGCCCATGCCGTATGATGGTGGGTTTTTGCCCATTGAGGAGGTGGGGAGGGCGGTGCTGAAGACGGGGTTCCGGGGTTGGTTTTCGATGGAGATTTTTGATAACGGGCCTGAGGGGAAGGGGAAGAAATATGAGATGGAGCCGTTTGCGAAGCAGGCGATGGATAATATGCAGAGGTTTCTACAGGGTTGCTTAGAGTCTTGTTAATTGTGTGCAAATGGTTTGATGGGTTGGATATGCCGGTAGGTAACTTGGTATGCTTTGAAATTTTGATCGTTAAGCATTATAATTGGATGTCTATGGTAGATGTATAGAAAGATCAGAAATTGTAATGGCATATCGATCTACTTTTCCTAACTATAAACATAACCTTTACATTTTGTAAACCTGCCATCGGTGTAAAAACACAGAAAACGCCAGAAAACATGCTCGTTGAAGTGAAACACAATCGTCATGAAACTTGTGGGGAATAATAAATGCACAGTGAAAACAATTCATCCCGCCATCTAGGCGTTGCTGGGGTATTCAACCTTGTAGGTAGGGACGAATTCCTCCTTCATGGAGCGCAAGCTGACGAAGCGCGAGAGAAGGTTTCCACTTCCGGCCTTGTCGTTGGTTCCACTGGCACGAGCACCTCCGAAGGGCTGCTGGCCCACGACAGCACCAGTGCTCTTGCAGTTAATGTAGAAGTTTCCTGCGGTGTTGCGGAGAGCGTCGGAGGCCAGAGCAATGGTGTCTCTGCCCTGGGCGAAAACGGATCCAGTCAGACCGTAGTCACCGGTCTGGTCGATCTTCTGGCAGATCTTGGTGAAGTCTGCATCAGTGGCATCTTCGTAGGAGTAGACAACCAGGACGGGGCCAAACAGCTCCCGGGAAAGCAGGGGGTGGTCAGGGTTGGTGGTGCGGTAAACGGTGGGTTGGATGTACCAGCCCTTGGAGGAGTCATAGGTACCACCGGCGAGCAGCTCGAGTTCGGGGTCATTCTTGGCCTCATCGATGACCTGCGCCAGCTTGTTGAAGGACCCCTCGTGGATGACGGGGCCACAGAAGTTGGTGAAGTCGGAAGGCTCGCCAATCTTAAGAGCCTTGGTCTCAGCCGCGACCTGCTCCAAGAACTGGTCCGCGACAGAGTTGGCGACGTACGCACGCGAGGTAGCACTGCACTTCTGTCCCTGGAATTCGAAAGCTCCACGGACGGTCTGGACAGCGGCGTTGCGGATATCGGCCGACTTGTGGATGAGATGGAAGTTCTTTCCACCAGTCTCACCAACGATACGAGGGTAGCTGCGGTACTTGCCCTCGCCAACACCGTCGGCAATCTGCTTATAGAGCGAGCGGAAGACGCTGGTGCTACCAGTGAAGTGGAGGGCAGCAAACTCAGGGTGGTTGAGGACGGTGTTGGTGACCTCCTCAGCGTCTCCGGGAACGAACTGGATGACATCCTTGGGCAAACCGGCCTCGAGGAGAATCTGGTAGACCAACCAGTTCGAGGCAATGGCCGATGGCGATGGCTTCCAGACAACAACGTTACCCATCAGGGCAGGGGCACCAGCCAGGTTACCACCAATGGCAGTGAAGTTGAAAGGACTGATGGCGTAGACGAAACCCTCGAGAGGACGGTACTCAACACGGCTGTCAAAGTTAGCTACTGACTCGCATACAACTAGGCAAGCTACTTACTTCCAAACGCCAGGAGCATTATGAGCCGGCTGCTGAGCATACAGATCCTCAGCGTACTTGACACCAAATCTGAAGAAGTCACACAGCTCAGCTGCGGAGTCAATCTCGGCCTGCCACGCATTCTTTCCCTGGCCGTGCATCGTCAATGCCATGATGTCATAGCGGTACTTGGTTGAGATCAAGTCTGCGGCCTTGAGGAAAACGCTGGCACGGTCGGCGAAAGAGGCAGAAGCCCACGACTCTCTGGCTGCGAGAGCTGCATCAATGGATGCTTGAACATCGGCTGCGGTGGCGTGGGAGTAAGTAGCAACAGGGCCGTGGGTGGCGGGGTTTGCCTGGGTCAAGGACTGAGAGCTCTTGATCTGAGATACGGTTAGAAATTAGTTTCACACAGATACGATTGATCGGATACAAACCTCCTTTCCAGCAACAACCAGGGGGACGTTCAAAGGAGCGCTCTGCTTGGCTCTTGCGAGGGCCTCCTCGAGGGCCTTGCGGTCGGGGGTGCCGGGAATGTAGTGTTTCTATAAGCAAAATTGTCAACAAAACATGCACAATCCGGCAATTCTCGAAGTTGAAGCATACGTTTGGCTCGTTATCAATGCGAGGAACCTTGAAAGTAGCATAGGAGCCCATAGCCCGGGTTCCCCGAGCAAAGCTACCAGACAGTCTGGCAAGAGGCTGCCCTCTAGCACGCAGAAGCAATGAGGTCTGCATTGTGTAAATTCTGCTCCGTGTATATGGCAACGATGGTCAAGAAGGAGAATGAAGAAAAAGAAAAAATAAGAAGAAAGGAAGAAAGAGGAGGAGAGATACAAATGCAGCTACCAGCTAGCAGTTGTCCAAGGCGCGGGGAAAGCTCTCGTGATTTAAGGCGAGGGGAAAAAGCCGGCTATGATCGGTGAAAGTTCCGGGATTTTTGCCTGCGAGCAGATTGGCCGGGAAGGAACCGTTCTGTGCCTTCGTTCCACGGCATCCTGGAGGAAGAGCTCCATCGCAAGTCAAGGTACCGATAGAGAATTGCTGTGGTGGCGAGCAGCGGAGAGAAGACGCGATGGCCGGTGCAATTCCGGGTGGGCCTGACCGGGCCGGAGAGAAGCAGTTTGGATGCACGATAGATTTCAATATTGGAGTAATAAGAAGGGTAATAATGAAAGTAATGATAATAAAGCATCCGAATGATAATTGAGACTTGACTAATTGTGTGGGATAAAAGAATAAAAGGATAGAGATTGACGGGGGGAATCAGAGAATGTGGGGAAATACAGATCAGTCTGCTGCAGCGTCGATCTGGATGTATAAATGCCCAAGTTATGTCAGCTAGCATAAAGTTCCTTTGTATGGCTTATAATACAGATTAACAGAATAACAGTGCCTAATCCTTAAAGCCTGGCTAATACGTGGTCAGATCAGCTGGTCAAGAACTGACAGCAAATAGTTATACATCACCGATCCAATAAATAACAAGTAAGCCAAGATCAATAATAGTCTGCGCTCTGCAGTGCTACCACTGTAATCCGAGCCTGTGAAATGTAACTGACGGAAAGATATCATTCTACCTGATAATGCATGATAGTAGTACGACTACAGTACAGGGTATGCGCCTGTAGAGATGAATCTGGGGTCTCCGCAATACTACGTAGATCTGGTCACCTGATGATCAGAGCTCATCTTGAAATGAATAACCTCAACGAGTCAGCTACTTAAAGTGCTCGATTAGTATTATCCAGAATAATAATTCTATTCACTATTGCATATCAATAATGTATTATCCACAGCTTCCATCTTCCATCCCTCTTCCTGATCCCCGTCTCGTGACTTCTGACCGGCCCGGATTCTACAGCTTTGGTGATCCGCGACAATTGCGCACTCTGATTGGTCAAGGATCTTTAAGCCAAGGCGCCAAGACACTAAACGGATTGACATCAGTGGGTTCTTCTGCCTGGAAACACAGGCATCAATGCAGTGGCATCGCCACGGATGAGCTGTTTGAACTGGTTTGATCAGCTGAAGGCGTTTATCAATTACGCTGTCTGGCCGATGAGTTCATATTGTCCTCGTGACCCTATCATAATTTCAGTCATTTACAGCTTCGAGTAATCCATCCAGCGTCGCCTCTTTATATCCTCTGACCGGCCCGGTCAACGCAGCGGTTCTTCTCCCGCAGTGGGCCTGTAACGTACAGTATTGCTAGTGCCCGGCCCGCCGACCGGATTGTCGCCGGGATTGATAACTAGTCCGATATGCTTATCTGCTTCTCTCAGGATTTTTCTTGGAATCAGGACTTTTGTCGTTTGGAGATGGAATTTCCATTATGTATTTATTACAGAGGACTCCGTAGATGCTCAGCTGACTCGATCCACCGAATCCCACTGGTAGGCGATAGTATTCTCTTAACGTAACTCCGTATACACCGTCCCGGCGCGGTTTCCACCGGCAAAGGGCTCGACACTTCAACTGCCATCTGTACAACGGCATCAACTGGCTATAGCTGCTGTTCTTCCCCTCCTTTTATCGGAGCCCCTCATTCCATCCTCCTCTACTTAATACTTCTCCATCTCATCCTCCTTTTCGATCAAGTATCCTTCTTTTAGACTTGACTATCATATCATCATCTACAACACTCACCAAGATGAAAGCCCCCCACCGTCCTTTGCGCTCCCTCTCCGCTATCCCCGTGTCCTCGTCTGGCGCGGTTAGACTCGTCAGCGGCACAAGCAATGCGAGATCTTCCGTTGCTGCTGCTTCATCCAGCAACCTCTTGCAGCAGCAGACTTCTCCATCGCCCAAGAAAGATTCCGGCTCGCCCTTGTCGAAACTCCCTCTGTCGTCTGTCTTGCGGTCCTTGTTGATTCTATCCGTCTCTTCGTCATCCCTCCTGCTGAAGCCATGCATCTACACCCTCTCCATGCTGGCCCACCCCAAGACGGCCGTGTTGGATGTCGCAAAGAACCCTTTCCTCAACATGCTGGTGAAGCACACGCTCTACAAGCAGTTCAACGCCGGTGAAAATAAGCTGGAGGTTCAACAGTCTATTCGTGACATCAAGCAGCTGGGTTACAGAGGTGTTCTCCTTGGATACGCTCGCGAGGTGCTGGTTGGCGAGAGCAATGTCGACCCTCGTGACGAGAAGGCTGCCCGCCAGGAGATCCAGATGTGGCTGGACGGAACCCTCCAGACTGTGGACATGGCTCAGGAAGGAGATTTTGTCGCTCTCAAGTAAGCTCTTATTTATATCTATTATAAATGGACCGTACTAACAAAATATCAGATTCACCGGTATGGGTGTCCAGGCCCTCGATGTCTTGCAGAAGCAGGGAGCCCCTACTGAATTCATGGACGCTTCTATCCGCAAGGTCTGCGACCTCGCTATCTCTCGAAACGTGCGCCTGCTGGTCGACGCAGAGGAACAGGCCGTCCAGCCCGGTATTGAGGAGTGGATGATGAAATACCAGAAATACTGCAACTCGCAGACACCGGGTCGTTCCATCTTCTACAACACCTACCAGGCTTATTTGCGTGCCACCCCGGAGACTATCGCCAAGCACCTCGAAATTGCTCGCCAGGAGGGCTACACTCTTGGTGTCAAGTTGGTTCGTGGCGCATACCTGAAGATTGAAAAGCGTCAGTTGATCTGGGCTGAGAAGGAGGAAACGGACGAGTGCTATGATGGCGTCGTAGAGGCCCTTCTCACTCGCCGCTACAACTCCATGCTGAAGTCCGCCAATGAGAAGCACTCGACCGAGCTGCCTCCGGTGAATGTCATCATTGCCACTCACAACCGTGACTCTGTTCGCAAGGCACACGCTCTTCGTATCCAGCAGGCCGGCCGTGGAGAGTCCCATGGTGTCGATCTGTCTTATGCCCAGCTCCAGGGTATGGCTGACGAAGTCAGCTGTGAGCTGCTCGAGGGCTTCCAGAGCGCCGAGGAAACCACTGCCAGCCGGGCTACCGAGAACCCTAACGTGTTCAAGCTTCTGACCTGGGGAACCGTCAAGGAGTGCATGGGTTTCTTGCAAAGACGTGCCATCGAGAACACCGAGGCCGTTGGACGTACCAAGCAATCCCGAGAGGCCATGTTTGCTGAGCTCCGGCGGAGAGCCCGCATGGCATTCCGGGCAAGCAACTAATTTTCGTCCCGGGAGGCTGTTTTTGGATTATCTTGATGAAGCCACGCTTTGCATATTTTCTTTTGTTTTATTATTCCCCCGGCAGCTTTCTGCTGGCGAATTGCATCTAGATGGCGTTTGCATGGGTTTGGTTGATTTGGCTGAGGAGATTTAAAAGGTCTTCGTTTATATATTTTTGTTGCTAGACTCACTCAAAAGATTCTGGGTTGAAAGCGTTATTTTGTGCAAAAGATACCTAAACTCGAAATTGTTTGATAGTCAAATAGAATCAGTAGAAGAAGACGGAGAGATCGCAGATTACAGCCGAACAATCGGTACTGCATCCGCATCTCGGGTGCGTCTCCCGTGAGGGGTCAAAACATCATCTTTGACTCCGACTTCGCTCTTGATTCTTATAAATACCAGGAAGAACAGAATATCACGAACATTTTAAGTCTTCAACTACATCAAGATCCTACACCTGTATTCCGTATCTCATCAACTATCCAACGCAGTCATATCAACACTATCCCCCACAACCCCGCGCCAACTTCACGATGCGTCTCGTACCAGAACAAGCCGTCTCTCAGATCCTACGCCAGATGACCCAGGAGCAATGTTATGGCTTCATCGACACAATGAACCAGTCCCTCGTGGGCGTATTGTCGGAGTCCAACACGCCCGAGTCAGAAAAGCTCATCCACCAACCGCTCCGCACGACCTTCAGCCAAGGGGAGAACCTCTCGCTATTCATGCCTGTATCCAGCAGAGACAATAAAGGAATCAAAATCGTCACAGCCAGCAGCAGTGGCATCAACGGGGTTATTAACATCTTCTCCCCAGAGGGAAACTTGGAGGGGCTCCTCAACGCAGCGGAGATCACAGCCTTCCGCACCGCTTTGGCGATCATGACTCTATTCGTGCGCTGTTCGACACTGAAAAAGGAGAACATAGTCATTCTTGGCTCGGGGCGACAGGCAGAATGGCATGCTCGTCTAGCGCTATTACTAGTGCCTGACCAGATCAGGAGAATCACGTTTATCAACCGCGGACGCAAGCGACTGGAGGAGCTGGAGAATGAGACCATCGCCTCGCTACGCATCTCACACCCAAATGTCGAAATGACGACTTTCGCGCAGGAAAATACCCCAGACTACGATGCACGACTCCGCTCCGAACTCGGGTCGAGCGATGTCATCTTTAGCTGCACACCAGCGACACAGCCTAACTTTCCACACGCGTACCTCCAGCAAAGTCAAAAGCAGCGTTTCATCTCCCTGATCGGGTCATACAAGCCCCACATGAAAGAGGTCGACACGGAGACGATCCTGTCAGGCGGTGGCAAGATCTACGTGGACTCCAAGGAAGCGTGTCTGGAGGAATCTGGGGAGTTGATCCAGGCCCAGATCCAGGAAGACCAGCTGGTGGAGCTTGGAGAGCTCTACAAGACGCATGATAAATCGGAGCCCGTGCAGGTGCCGGAGGGATGCAATGTGGTGTTCAAGTGCGTGGGGATGGGGATTATGGATTTGGCGATTGGAACGAGGGTGATGGATCTTGCTCGGGAGCGGGGGCTGGGAATGGAAGTGGATGGGTTTTAGACAAGTTATGCGTTGATGTGACTTCAACTGATGCAGATATATGTACAATGATGCCATTGCATAGCATGGCTATCCTGTCGCTATACAAAATCTAGATTGGAAGCAAAAAACAGTGGGACTGAAATGCGGGGACAAATACACAATACCGTATCTTACGTAACAAAACCGTACCGACCGCATGGGAGAAAAAAACGACGCTCACCCGACTTCATCACCGCCCACGGAAATGCCTCTTCTTTTGTCACTCCCCGCTCGACATCGCTGGCTGATAAGAATATACTACACTTAATTCGAAAGATTTATACACTTAGCCCAGCTCAGATCTACGATGCCCATTAATACTCCCCCCTAGATACCCTACCATCGATACTGAACCGACTGTCATGGATGGCCAGACGGCTACGGGACAGCAGCAGCAGAAACGTCCCCGGGTTTCGGAGGAGAACAGGAAACGAGCTGTTCGAGCGTAAGTACACGCACGTGTCATGACACCCTGCCCCAACTTCTTTTTATGTGAGAATCGTATGATCGTTGATGAATTTGTTCGGTTAACGTGGAATTCTATCTAGATGTGATGGCTGTCGAAGGGTAAAGGAGAAGTGTGAAGGTGGTGTGCCCTGTCGACGGTGTCTCCGCTATCGCAGACAATGCGTTTTTACTCATTCCGATCAGGCTGAGAGGGCTCGATCGTCGTCTGTGTCGTAAGTATTTGAATGTTTATCTCTATCCTGTGTTGGTTTTGTTGACAATTATAGTCTCTTGGAACGAGCTGCAAGTCTCAGCCGACATGAAATGGCCGAGGCGGAACGAGTCCGCTGCATGGAGCGGATTCTGGAGTATTATGTCCCCAACATCACATTCGATATCCAGTCGCTGCGAAAGGCGGCCGAGGATTTGAAGCATAAACAGCGTGCTTCTGACTCGGGTGGTCCTTCGACTCGAGTTGATGGGGATGAAGTCGATGATTTTGCTATTGAGGACGAGGACTTTACCATCAAAGCCTTGCCGGATAATACGACACGTAAGTCACGATTATCATTGCTCTGCGGATTTCTGGGTTGCTAACTTGGGATAGAATATTCTGGAGAGTTCTCATATCTCAATTTTTCGATGAAGATTAGCAAGAAGATTGATGAGTGGATGAAAGCTGCTGCACCAGAGGTATGTTCACCACTTTCCTGTATCAACAGCTCCTTACTCACTGCCAACTGGCAAAGGCATCTACTGAAACAGAACCGTTTGAGGAGCGATGGCGTGCTACTCAACTACAATCTGGCACATCGCAAGTTTCCACTGCTATCACTTGTCTTCCTCCTCGATATGTGGCCGATTTTCTGGTCCAGATCTTCTTCAGATACGCACAGACCAATAACTTCTATGTGGAAGAGGATTGGCTGCGCGATAAGTTGCACACTTGCTATACTAACCCTTCTAGCCTCTCGTCTGACGATGCGGGCTCTGTTTGTGCTATTTTGATGGTTTTGGCCGTTGGAACACAGTTTGCTCATATGGAATCAGCTACTCCTGTCAACAAGCTGTCTGCGATGTCCACCACAGGAGAAGACCATCGCTTCTCTGAAGATGAAGTCGGTTTGACCTTTTATCAATTCGCCTCGAAGCTTCTCCCAGACATCATTGCTACCGCTTCAGTGCGGAGTGTGCAGGCTTGTTTACTTATCGGCACTTATCTACTACCTCTTGATACCTCGGGTCTCTGTTATACCTACTTTGGCCTGGCTCTTAAGATGGCCATTCAAAATGGAATGCACAGAAGATACCGGGGAGAGGGGCTTTCTCGCCGAATGGTAGAGATACGAAACCGAGTCTTTTGGACAGCTTATACGATAGAAAAGTAGGCATCCCCCCTCCCCTTCTTCTGGTCAGATACTTACAATACATCAGGCGTGTGAGTATACTTCACGGTAGACCGGTTTCATTGTCGGATTCAGATGTCGATGCTGCGTTGCCAGTCGATTTCCCAGGTTTGATGCCGGCAGGGCAAACGTCCAACCACACCAACATGGTGACGTTGATCACTTTAACTCTGAAGTTGGGAGAGGTCTCCAATGAAATGTATGTATTACCCATTTGAAAAGTTCAATGCAGAAGATAAGTAACTGACAACTATAGATCTTCGTTACGAAAATCTCCGAAAAGCCAACAGCAAGATTGTCTCGAGAGGTTACTAAACTTACGAAAGCACCTCATCGATTGGTGGAGCACCCTACCAGAAGAGATGGATTGTAGAGATCTGAATCCAGCTGGTCCTCATTTCCGGTCCAATGTTCATTTAAAGTTGGACTACTGTCTGACAAGAATCTTTATCGGACGGCCCTTTTTATTCAGCAATATCAAGGGTATCAACCAAACTGTTTCCCAAGGCCCGCCGTTCAAAATGTCGTCGGGCATATCGAAGAACCGGTCTACACTTGTTTCGGACTGCGTTGAAGCCGCACTTGAGATCATTGATCTTTGTCGACTTCTCCGTGATGAAACTGGCCTTGCTCGAGCATCCTTTACAGAGTTCAGCTCATGCCGCGCTGCTCTCCTCGTTATTCTAGCACAGAGTTTAACCAAACGAACCGAGCGACTCCGCGAAGCAATTGAGAAAGGAATGGCTCTGATCAAAATCATGTCGATGGGAGTTGGCTCAGCACGATCCGCCGTCAGCGTAATCGAAGCCCTTGAGCGCGCCATCCGCCGACTCGAAGACTGGAGCGAAACCCAAGCCCAGGGAAGCACCGGCGCCGTTGAGTCCGCATACGATCGGTTCAAAAACTGGGAAATGCTCTGGAAAACCGGCCCAATCTCACCAGAAACCGTCCCTTTCCAAGAACAATTCGCCACTGGGATCCCAGTCCCCATCACACCCATGACCGGCACCGACAGCGGCAACGAACCCCTCGAAGGAAGCGATGTCGCAAATGTAGACACCATTGCAGGCTCCTCTGACTTTTCCACCCCCCATCCTTTATCGCAGATGCCGCATTTCGGATTCGATCATTTCGTCTCTAACTTCCCGCAGGAGTTGGGCGAGTTTACTGCGATTCCTTGCTTCGAGAACGAAGCGCAGCAGAATCTTGCAAATGAGATGAAGAATACCGATACCAGGTGGATGCAATTTATGAATGATTGATCCATATATTTACTTATTTCTTATTATCATCATTATTGTTTTTTGATACTGTGGCACTGGTGTTGTGTTGTGATTTGTATAGCGCGTGTGATATTTATGGGCGGCAGTTTTTTGCATACGGTTTTTATGTCGACAGTATTTGGACATTCAACAAGGAGCTTCCAAGCAGATACCTTATTTTATATATTCCGAGGCCTGAAATTGATCTGCATCAGAGATTAGTACATACAGTGAGATAGATGGCAATCAATTGAGTATTTAGAAAGAAGTAATAAAGATATTTCATTCCATGGCCGGTAGATCCTAATCAAATGTAACCTTCTTTCCAGCGAATGCCGCTGTAGCCTTTGCCTCTTTCGCTTTCTTCGCTGCCTCCCAAGATGGATGCAATGGCTTATTATCCTCTTCAGGCTTCCTTCTGGGCATTCCAGATCCACCACCTTGTCTTCCACCCGCATCTCGTCCTCCAAATCCGCCACCACCGCGTCTCCTATCACCGCCACCTGTAGCACCTCTCCGAGTATCCCACCCACTATCGCGATTCCGCTTATCCTTGGCTGCCTGGTTCTTGACGTGATTCGCCCCGCTTCCGAACTTCTTCTCCCAGAGTGCACGACGGGCTTGCTGGCCCATGCGGTTTTTGCGTCGCGGGGGCTCATTCGAGTCGATGTCTTCGGCTTCGGATTCGGAGCCGGAAAAGTATCCGCCCATGCTTAGGGATGGAAGGAATGTGGTGCTTGTTACTGGGTCGGCGGCGGATAGTTTCTTATTGCTCTTTGCCTTTTTGGAGGGGGGTGATTCGGACTCAGAGCCTGAAATGGAGATGTTGTCGTTTTCGTCTTCGTCTTCGTCTTCCTCTTCGGGGGTTGGTGATCGGGAGATGGAAATGTCGGAGTTGTGGTCATTTTTCAGTAGTGTTCTGCGGTTTGATTCGTTTTCGTCTTCGTCTTCATCATCGTCGTCGTCGTCAGAGCCAGAGGCGAGTCGCGAATCGAATTGCGCCAGGTCCAAGCTCTCGGCGTCGTCCATTTCAATATCCCCTTCTGGCTCATCGTTGGACGCTGCGCTCTCGGTCTTGCGATCCGATTTTGTGCGCTTATCGGCCTTTGTCTCAGGCTCTTTGCTCTTCGCACGAGATGAGCCTTCATTTTCCTCTGTTTTGTTCTTCTTCACGGCGGGTTTTTCATCCACCTTGAGCATTTTCTTAACATCGTCCATGATACCCGGCACGACCTTCTGCACTGGGTTGGATTTAAATAATCGGGCTGTCACGTTGGCTTCGGCCGTATCGCGCGGTCCATCTGTAGGAAAACTCTGGGCATCTTTGAATTCGATAAAGTGAGGGGATTCGGCGATCCGTTTAGTCTTGATAAGTTGTTTGAAAAGATATTTTTGCGCTGTTACATTGAGGTCCAGAGTCTATCACCAGAAAAAAGTTCGCGTTAGCATTTAAACCATCTTAACCCATGAAAGAATTAGAAAAAGAAAGATGAAAAAAAGCCAAATACCTTCAAAGCATTAATCTCCCCCGCCAACCTCTCCAAAGTAGCCGTTTCATTCTCTTTCTTCGCTGTCTTCTCTCTCCTCCCAAGCTTCTGGCGCTCAAACCCCCGAGCGGTCTTCAGCGCTCGCGATAAGGCGACCGCACCCTGCTCATATCTAGACTTTAAGCGCACGGCTTGCAGACTCAAGGGACGGTATTTGTTGTCCGAACCGTCTACATCCCCGATCTTTCGTTTAGGCATTGCGGTTTTTCTTTTCTGGGTTATGGTGAATCAGTAGGATTGACTGGCGGAGGAATAATTTTGGGTCTGCGGAGAAACAAAGGCGGACTTTTTTTTTCCTTCTTTCCGCGATGCCAAGAAATGGACTTTTGCACTTTTGTTGCTTGATGTAATCAGAGCAATCTGATAGGCTTAGACCGAACTACAGGATATTTCAAATATCGCAAAAATAGAGATTCGTTACAGACTGAACATTAGACTTGAGTGTGATGATTCGAAGATTACACGTTTGACCCGATAATCGAATTGAACCATTGAAACGTAGAGCGGTATGTACATACAGAACAAGGCAAGGAAAGAAAATAATACGAATACATTTCAAGCGCTCTATTTCTTTTCCTCCTCCTTCTCTTCCGGCTTGGGGTCGGGAAGCTTGAACTGTAATTTCAAAGTTAGCAATTATCTCTACTATATCCTTCAGTATGAACTTACGGAGTCGGGCGTCCTGTCCTCTCCAGGTCCAACGGGTTCCCATGCGGTAGTACCGCCCTCGAAGTTACGGAATGCCTGGGTAAGCTCGAGCGGCTCGATCACAATTCGCTTCTTCTCTTCGCAGTAACGGAGCTCGGTGTAACCCGTCAAGGGGAAGTCCTTGCGCAATGGGTGTCCATCAAAACCATAGTCGGTCATGATACGGCGCAGATCGGGGTGTCCGGAGAAGAAGACACCGAACATGTCGTACACCTCACGCTCATACCACAGAGCACCCTCGAACAGACCAGTGACACTAGGAATGGGGCTGGCCTCGTCGGCGTAGGTCTTCACACGGATACGCGAGTTGTATCGGACACTGAGCAAGTTGTAGACGACCTCGAAGCGGTTCGCACGGGTAGGGAAGTCGACCGCAGTAATATCGGAGATCTGAGTGAATTCGGCGGCGGTGTGGTTCTTCAAAAAGCTCATCACGGGGACAATGCCAGCGGGAGAGACGTAGACAACGAGTTCATCCTTCCATACGGAGAACTGCTGGATGTATTTCGGCAGACACGACATGACATACTGACCGTAGGCGTGCAGGCTCTCGGCTTTGCCCTGGTGCTTGTCGGTAGGGTTGATGACGGGCGCACGGAGGGGTCCCTCAGCTGGGAGTCAAGTTAGTCAATGGCGTACCAATTGAGGCCTTCTGGGCAAATTTCACATACGGGCACGCTGAGCCTGACGCATATTAGCAGGCTCGGGAACCTTCGAGGCATACAGAGGGGTCGAGGAAAAGGCACGGCAGCCCCGGGACGATCTCGCGGCCGAAGCCAACGGGCGACCAGTCCCCAACCGCATCAATGAGCGAGCAGAGGCCATTGTGGAAGGAGTAGTTGTGGAGGCACAAGCAACGAGGGCGGAGAGGGGAGCAGGAGTGATATCCAGGGAGCTTTTCCGGAGAAACGTCGAAGGTTGAGGATATCTGGTCACGTGGTGCGCTGACATAAGGCAGAACAAAAGCGACGGGTGCAAACAGAGCAAACATCGAGCTTCCCTTCTCTTCGCTATTCTTTCGCCTCAAACTCTCCCTCTTCTCTCTCTGCGTCTATCTTGCAACTTTCCCACATCGTCCTTTTGTCCTCCTCCAACCCCACTGTTGTCGATCCTCTTTCTCCAGGACCTCTTCAATCTTGCCGCCTTTACTTCCCTCTGCGCGGTCCTTCCCATTTTTACTTCTTCATTCTCGTGTGTTCTTTAATACACTTCCCCTCCCGGTTGGTTTATGGGTGTTGGCGTTTCGAGGCTCCTGTCGTCTTTTTAAGCTGTGCATCTTAGTTTTCTTTGGCAACCATGTCAAGCTTCCAAGAACTGGACTCTGTCATCGATGATGACGATGAGTTTTGGTGCGTCTCGAATCTCCCATAGAGGCGATACGTGGTGGTGCTAACAATCTATTGTCCTCTAGCCCCCTTTGCATCGAGGAGTTCGATCTGTCCGATAAAAACTTTAAGCCTTGTCCCTGTGGATATCAGGTGCGTTCCCTCATCGCTGTCATATCGAACGACCCCTTGTCCGCGATTTTAATACTCCCATTCTGCGAACGTGTGTGGTCTGACATGATTGTGTATAGATCTGCCAATTCTGCTACAACAATATCAAAACCCACAGTGAAGAAGGCCGATGCCCCAACTGCAGACGGGCTTATGATGAAAGTACCATACAATACAAGGTTCCTGATGCCGACGAGTAAGTCATTGTCCACCTAACGATGCTCTGGTTTTTTGCCCGAGTTCTTGGCGCTAACGTTGGTATCCGCACATTAGATTCAAGGCCGACTTGGCATTGAAACATCGGAAGGCTGCCGCCGCGAAGAAAAAGGAAGCCGAAAAGCGCGAAATCGAGGCTTCCAGTCGGAAAAATCTGGCTGGCGTTCGGGTTGTCCAGAAAAACCTGGTTTACGTGATCGGCCTCAACCCTACGATACGTGACGAGAACCAGCTCCTCCAAACCCTGCGCGGAAGGGAATACTTTGGTCAGTATGGTGAGATTGAGAAGATTGTTGTCAGCAAAGCAAAGCCGGGCGGAAATCCAAACCAGGGTATCGGTGTCTATGTTACTTATGCGACAAAGAACGATGCCGCTACCTGTATCGCTGCTGTCGATGGGTCTGGCAACGGTGACCGGGTCTTGAGGTGAGTTGGCCTCGGAATTTCCTCATGACTAGCATTTTACTGACCTATCTATAGGGCGCAATATGGAACAACCAAGTATTGCTCTTCATTCCTCCGCAACGAGCAGTGCAACAACAGGAACTGTACCTTCTTGCACGAGACCGGCGAAGACAGCGAAAGCTACAGCCGACAAGATCTGTCGTCGATGAATACGATCTCTACCCAACGATCTGGCCATCCGAATGGAACATCCAGTGGCCCCGGCCATACCGTTGTCCACCCCTCCTACATCACTCATTCCCGATCGTCCGCCCAACCTATCTCCCAACCGATGCGCCGTCAGCCGAGCAAGGACGATGCTTCTGGTGGCCGCCCACCTGATGGATCCGCTTTGCCCTCGTCGGCCAGCTGGGCAAACAAGGACTCCGCGATCCATCGTGCAAGACGAGCCAGCCTCACGGGAAGTCAGGCTTCCAATAGCCCCCGACCCACAAATGCCACGGTTGCCTCAGCGCCAGATGAAGGGAAACGCAGCGAGAAACAGCCTCAGCCGCAGCAGCAGCCGCAGCCTGCTCAAGACGTGCGAAAAACACCGTCGCCAACCACTGCGCGCTCTTCAACGCCTCCATCTGCTTCGCGCGAGGCCAAACCACCCAAGGATGAGGAAGCTCCTCTTTTGGACAACTTGCTTAAAGCAGTCAACTCTCCTGACTTTAAATTTGTGTTCTCTGCCGCAGGCTTACCAGCTGAAGAGATTGCGTTGATCGAGAATCATCCCTCGTTTATCGATCCATATGGTGGTGTCAAGCGCAGGGCAATGCGGGAAAAGGCTGAGCAAGAACGTGCAAAAAGAGAACAGGAACTGTTGCAAACTGCAGTGGCTGAAGAAGAAAGCCGGGAAAGTGGGAGTTTGCAACTTGGTGGTGAACCCGATGATCTCAATCCCCCACGAGGTCGTACTAGCCGTGAATCGCATGGTGCCATCCAACCACCGTCCCAACATGGCACTACATCCAACTCAGTTGTAGGCTCTCCTGTCTCAGCCACGAGCCATCAATTCCAGAACTTGAATCTCGGTGGCCGGAGTTTGACCCCTCTTCAACAACAACAGTTGATGCTTCTCAAGTCTGCCAACACCCAGCAGGCTGGCCTGGTGGACCCACTGCAGAACGGTCTTGGTTCCGCTGCCCTTGATCAAGCAGCTCAGGTCCGGCAGGGGCTTATCCAGAGTCAGATGGCGCAATTCAATGCGTTGCAGGCACAGAACCGACAGTCGTCCCGGTTTTCCTTCGCTAACGAGGCCGGTGCCAAGAACCTCCCAAATGTCAGAATGCTGAACCAGCAGGCATCTCTGATGCAGTCTGCCACCCCGAACCCTCTCGCCGCGCCCAGCCCACAACACGGGCTTGCGAACAGTTTCTATACCAGTGGCGTTCAGGGACCTCCACCAGGGTTGAAGACAGCCGGTACTCCCCCTATCAGCGGAGGTGGAATGTTTGCTCAGGGCCATGGATTTACTACGAACAACCTTGGCTTGGGAGCCAATATCGGAAAGCAGGAAGCCAATCCGGAGCTGATGCGCGAATTGCTACGGGGCCGTGGCACCAATGTTGGTGGTTTGCAAGGGCAGGAGGCCGCTAAGCGTGAGTTCATGTTTCCTTTCCTTCAGCAGCACCAAACCCCCCCTCCCCTGACTCCCGCAAATGGCCTTCTCAGCTCTTTCTATGGCTCTCAGACGGGGACCTACTCCGATTCTGGGTCACAGAAGCAGAAGAAGAAGGGGAAGAAGCACAGACACGCTAACACTTCCTCCGGAGGAGGCGGTGTAGTAGATCTTGCGGACCCGAGTATCTTGCAGGCGAGAATGCATCAGGTCGGTGCGAATGCCACTGCTGGGCAAGCGCTATACGGGAGTCAGGGTCAAGGTGGGTACAATCCCTCCATGATGTATGGGGGTGGCGGGTTCAACCGCTGGTGATTGCATTCAATTCCCTCGAATATTCCTCTATTTTTCTTCCTTCATTTCACTTCTTACCTTGTTATTTATGGTGATCACCCTTGATTGTCTTTGTTTGCCTTTCTTTCCCCTTCATGACATGATATCATCTCTTTTCTTCCTAGATGGGTGCAGGATATGAGCTTTCTTCTGTTCTCGGATCTGGTTTATTTTGATTTGCAATTTGTCTTTCCACTCTGCAATCAAGCATTAGGCAGATGCTCTAAAAACAACTGTCGGTTACGGCTAGGCGTGCCTTTGGCGTTTTTTTGATGGTCGTTTCTTTTTTCATGACTTCATTCCAACTTCATTTTTGTTTCCCAACGTCCCACAAACAGGAGGCGTTTTCGCATCTTATGAACATCTCTTGTCCTCGAGCTGCCCTTTCATATGGTGGCCTTCGTATGTGTGTTTCTTTTTTTGCATCCGAGCTGGAATGATCTATCAGCATCTTGGTGGCCCGGTCGGTCATATCATGGCTTTATGTACGTTAACCTCCCTGTCCTGGCTTTGTATGCCCAAGCGGGGACTTTATCTGAAACCAATTTCTCACGATTACTGTTCATATAGACGTCCTGCCTTGTGTGTCTGGTCAAGATGGCCCAGGACCTTTGTGTAATTATCACTATGCCTGCCCCATTCGTATATCTCCATGACTTTGTTCTGCCACTCATCTGGGACGCTTGTTGATCATCCTTCTTTTTTACTCTGTTTTCCCTCCTGTCGTTCATCACATCTGGCGGTTGCTTTCTGATTTGTTTCTCGGCGCTCATCCTGCATCTTCACACACGTCTTTCATGATAAAAAGGCTAACCAGTGATGATCAGTTGACGAAGAATTCCCTCCACTTGGTGCACAGCCCAAGGAACGACGTCCTGTTGACAGCTTTGGCTTTCTTTTCCGGTCTCATCTTCCCAGTGAAGGATCGGCAATTCGCTCTGGAACCCCAACTCTCCCTCCTGGACTTCCATTACCGCATGCACACCCGGCATCCACGCTCTTTCAGAGTGAAATGAACTCTTCAAGCCCTACCACGTCGGTGTCAATTCCAGCTCCTGACCTCACCCAAGCATTCCCTCCCGGTACACCATCTCAAAAGCTTCAAGACCCTATCTCTCGCCAGTCATCTCCTGGTCGAAAAGATACCCCTGACAATATACCGACCTCCAACAGGGTCAAAAATCTTTCAGAGATATCTTTAGGCTCCCCAGTGCCAAAATCAGCCAGCAAAACTCGAAACCCATCCAAGAATGATTTGTCGGTTTCACTCGACAGAAAAGACATTTATTCCAAGACGGGAGATGCTGGTGAACACAAACCATCTGCTAAAGTCAAGCCTATCAAGCTGGACCTACCATTGAACACATCTCAGCTGCACGAAGTGTCTCCCACAAGGGCCGAATCGTCAGCCCAAGCACCACCATCCGCCATCGGCTCCCGACCCAATACTCCCTTGACGGGTGTTTCTCGTGGATCGGATTCATCGGCTCTCCGTCAACCTAGAGTCCTTCGTGTGGTCGATACTCCGAAGGCTGAGACCCCCCCTCCTGCTTCCGCTGCTCAGTCCATATCATCCTCCATGGCGGCAGCGACTAAAGCACGATCCAGAAGGCCGAGCATATCGTCACTTAGCAGGCCAGATACGCCGGGGGATCTGAATTCTGAAGCTGATCTTTACACTTCGGCCTCGGTTTCCCGTGCTAACTCTCCTCCTGCCTCGTCTCGGATCGGCTCTGCTCCTGTTCGGTCCATGACAAAGAGTCAAGTGAAAAAGGAAAGACGCCAGAAAGCTAAAGAAGCTGAGGCTAAGAAGCATGAAACCTCTGCCGTGCCAGAAGAGCCAGTTCAGGCACCTATCATGGGCAGAAAGCGTAAAACCAAGAAAGCCCCAGCAACCAACACAGAATCGTCAAACGTAGCCACGGAAAATGTTCCCGAGTCTGGAAAGTCCACCAAGACTACCCAGGAAACCGTGGAGAAACCCGAGCAGAAGGAGGAGGATGTGAAACAGACCAAGCCAAAGGAAAAGCAGGAGAAGGATGCAACGCCCAGTCCTTCGGTTGAGGAGAAAAGATCTGCGGATGACAAAATTGCAACTGAGGCCTGGCGATCGAGGAATACTGTGGAACAGATGCTCAAAGACTCTGAATCCAACGGCGTTCCTGTTAAAGAATTGCTTACTGAACGAACCTCCCCCCTGCAGACTTTGTTAGCTCAGCTCCACAAGTCCGGCGTCTTGGACCTCAATAACCACCCCCTTTTCAATCCGACCAATCTGAGCCAGCGTTTTGACATGAAGTGCTCATCCGACGATTACGAGATCCTGAAGCACCCTATCGAGCTGACAGAAGAACATCGGAAGGCATTGCTGCGTGGCGAGCCGGTGCGACTTCATGGCGACGTGAACGCGTTGAAGGATCGGTGTCTGATAAGCCCTCGCGGATGTGTTCTCCATCACTTGTCGCCCGAGGAAGAAGATCGGTATCTCGCTCTTGAAAAGAGCATCGCATGGGCCGTCGAATCGTTCCAGGAATACCCTGTGACACCCATCACGGAACCTGATGTCACCAACCGTGGCGGAGGTCTTGATGCTCTCTTCGCAACCCCAGAAAACTTCAATATCTGCTGGGTAGATGAAGCCTCCTCTGGCATTGGATCACCATCTCCCACCACTGGTTTGTCGGCACCTGAAGGCTCCATTTCCTCCACCTCTGCTCCTCCGAACGTGCTTTCTGCTATGGAAGCGGACAGCACCCGAAGCCACAACTGGGCAATCGCCAACACCGCCGAACTTGTCAACGCGACTGCAGCCTCTGTCCGCTCTTTTGCAGCTGCTACTGCGAAGCATATGCTTGGAGCCGCAGGTGTCGTCATGGGAAATATTCCAGACTTGGATGATGTCGTTGGCATGACAGATGAAGAATTACGCACATTCGCTATGAAGTCGCAGAAGGAGCTCGAGGGTTCGCGCAAGGACCTAGATTCGATCGACAAGAAGCTCACCGCGCTAGTCAAGCGGAACAAAAAGCTCGCACAGCAGGCTCTCGCCACCACCGTCGAGGTATAGAGTGATGGCTATTCAGCAGGTATTGTGACTCTTATTTATGGGTTGATCAACTGTACCGATACAATCGCGTTTTTATTTCTCAGTGTTAAAGCAAGTTACACTTCGCCTTAACTATAGTCTTAGCCTTGGAGTTTTGTCGATTGTGTATTTTTATTCGGTTTGTACAAAACGCTTAAAATTGGTTTCTTATTACATTTGGTTGATGTATGTACGCTAAAATGCTTAGTTATGGTACTCGATAATCCTTAAAAAATAATCATTTCCAAGTCGAATTGTTCGCGACGGCTACTATTAGAAACTTGACTGCCCAGAGCCATCAAATTCGTAGCAATCGACAAACAAGATATCATAATTCTATTTGTATGTATGTTTAACGGGAGAGACCAGCATTTACACCATTTTATAGACCATTGATCCCCTCTTCAAACTGGTGAAGATCATACTCGTTGGGATACTTTTCGAGAATCCGCTTGAGTTCCTTCATTTGGTCCTGGGCTTCCTCGGTCAATTCCTCATAGACATCAGTAAATGCCTCTCGAATAGGTGGCTTCTTCAAACGCTCCGCGGCGCCGAATTCCTTGAGCACGTTCTTTCGCAGCTCCTCGCGGGTACTCTGCTCAAGATCCTCATTCCACAGCCCTTCATTCTCAAGCCATTTCCGGAGGCGAATGATGGGGTTATCGCGGCGTTTCCAGTCCTCGACTTCGACGCGGGCCCGGTACGCGAAGCTATCGTCACTGGTACTGTGATGGGAGACACGGTAGCTCATGGCCTCGACTAGGACGGGTTTCCCACCGTCTGAGAGGGCGACGCGACGGGCTTCTTGCATGGCTTCATACACAGCGAAGATGTCGTTTCCGTCGACGCGGATGGTGTCGATTCCGTAACCGAGTCCTCGACTGGCGATGCCGTCACCGCGGTATTGTTCCAGGGTTGGGGTGGAGATGGCAAAGCCGTTGTTGCGACAGATGAAGACAACGGGGCAGGAGCGGGTGGCGGCGATGTTGAGACCAGCGTGGAAGTCGCCTTCACTGGCGGCACCTTCGCCGAAGTAGCAGGCAACAATACGAGGAGGCTTGTTGGGGTCTTGGAGACCTTGGAGCTTCAAGGCGTATGCTGCTCCAGATGCTTGGGGTATTTGAGTTGCAAGAGGGGACGAAATGGTGTGCTTTGCTGGTTAGTTGTAGTATAAAAGGGGTTGGGCTAAGGTATCTTACGTTGCGAGGGTAGTTTGATCCATAATGAACAGGCATGTTTCGTCCTCTACCATTGTCATTGCTGTTGGCGAACAGTTGGCTCATGAAATCATGAAGAGTGAATCCTCGTTGTTGGAAGACACCTGCTTCTCGATACTGGGCGAATACGACATCGTCCGGGGTGAGGGCCGCGGCAGATCCAACACTGATACCTTCTTCGCCAGCGGATACCTATATTGTATTATTAGCATTGGATGGCATACATCGTGTGATTCAATTGAACCCATACCATATAGAAGCTCAGCCGTCCCTGTCGCTGTGCTTCGAACATAACCACGTCCATCACACTGACTGATAGCGGTCAGCTTCTTTCAATTGTCTTTTGGATTCCCAAGATATAAAGCCACGAACCGGTCAACATATTTTTATACCACGTCAAGATATTTTCGTTCGAAACATTGAGAGCTTCTCGGGTTTTCTCCACTAATACGCCATCGGAATCCATGACACGATAGGTAGGGATGTTGGGCATGTCGGAGGCATTGATAAAGGACATCTGCGAGGTGAACTTGCTGTTAACGGCCCCAGGGAATCGGACTCTGGTTCAGAACGACGTTAGCACCTCTATTCTACTTGAAAGTTGTGATGCCAAATGATCCCTTTCTCGACTCACCGATCCGATCCTGGCCGCTGGGAGATGGAACTGCTGCATCGTCCAGCGATTCTAGCGTTAAAAGGGGAGGGAAGAATTCGTGCCCTTCGCAGTGGTAGGACTGCCCGTCTGACAATATTCAACGACATGATTCTTTTTGGAGAACTGTTGTCATGATGAAAGGAGGAATGTGCCCTTCTTTTGATTCTGGGGAAATGCGGAGGGACTCGGTTGGCGTCGGTCGGCGGACGTCATGGTACCGTGGATAGCCGATAGTTGATAGTATCAACATTCAGGATGAGGTGTTGATAAATAAATGTAGGATGAGGTACAGTAAACTGTTTGTTCAAGTGATGAAGCTCTGTAGAAATTAATGGTGGGGAAATGGGAGTGGAAGAGAGAGAGAGAGAGAGAGAGAGAGAGGGAAGATTTCTATGTCGATCAAGGATGATACTCGGTATGTAACTGAGAATCAAGGATCAATTGAAACGGATCAATGAAAGAAAAAAAGAATGTCGGATATTTAACCGTCTAATAGCAACATTTTATCGTCGGATAAAAATCATCTGAAATATCATCCAAAATATCCTCAAAATCACACCCTCTGCAACCCCCGCATCTCTCCGCCAACAATCCTTGTCGTCCGCTCAATATTTTCCATCAACAACAATCACAGCTTCCCCTCAATATCGTTACACTGCAGCCTCTCAGTGGAGAATGGCTCGATCGACGGTCCCTTTTTCAGATCCAGGATGCACCTGGAACAAAAGATGTTCTCTGGCCAACTCCCAGCAACACCTGATAATTCCCCAACATTGTGGTCAAGGCCGTCGTCCATCCTATGATGCGTTCAAAAATAAAAACAGCTCTGGCATTATTTGCATCTCAATATCTGTCTTCTGTGCTAGCCCAACATGTTCGAGATCTCTCTGGTGATGGCTGGACGCTCAGCAGTCGAGCTCTGAATAAAACAGTTCCTGGCCGACTTCCTTCGCATGCTCATCTGGATCTTTTCGAAGCTGGCGTAATTGGTGAGGGTCTTTCTTCGCAATATTTGGAGTCGTAACTGACAGTTCTAGATGATCCGTATGTTGGATGCTTATAATCACATCCCGTACCCTTGATTAACTTCGCGAAGATACCACGGCCTCAACGACTTTGATCTGCGCTGGATACCCGATGCCAACTGGACTTATACCAGCGATCCAATTGAGGGATTGTGAGTACTACTTGTTGTTCTCCTCATATCAGCTGTTAACGATCCAGACTCGGTGACTATGAATCCTCATGGCTCGTCTTTGACGGACTAGACACATTCACTTCGATCGAATTCTGCGGCGCGTTTATTGGATCAACGGACAATCAATTTCGACAATGGACCTTCGACATTTCAGAGGTCTTGAGAAGCTGCGATAGAGACCCAGTGTTGAGCATTAATTTCGGCAGTGCACCAGATATTGTAAATCAAATCGCCGATAGCCCTGGCTCCGAAGGTTCGATCCCTCTATTCATGCTAGAGTTCATCTCCTGACAGTATCGCAGAATGGCCTGCTGGTGTACAGCTGTCGTATGAGTACCCCAATCGGTGGTTTATGCGCAAGGAACAATCTGACTTTGGATGGGATTGGGGCCCTGCCTTTGCTCCGGCTGGCCCGTGGAAACCTGCTTATCTGGTGCAGCATGAAAAGCCAGAGAGTATCTATGTCTTGAACACAGATATAGATATATACCGCAAGGGCCAGGTAAACTATCTTCCTCCTGATCAGAGTCAGCCGTGGGTAGTCAATGCCAGCATCGACTACCTAGGATCTCTTCCTAGTAACCCTTCAATGTCAATTGAAATCAAGGATCTTGCTTCTGGTGTGGTTCTCATTTCCGGGTCTCTCAAAAATGTCACACTATCGGACAAGTCAGTCACAGGCAGTACAGTTGTTGATGCAGACTCCCCGAAACTCTGGTGGCCCAATGGCCTTGGGGATCAAACCCTGTACAATATTACCGTGGCCATCAACGGTAAAGAAGAAGCATTGACAAGCGTTACCAAGCGAACAGGGTTCCGTACCATCTATCTCAACCAACAAAACATTACCGAGGCTCAGATCGCCCAAGGTATTGCACCTGGTGCAAATTGGCACTTTGAGGTGAATGGACACGAATTCTATGCAAAAGGCTCAAACCTCATCCCTCCAGATACATTCTGGCCTCGGGTGACAGAAGCCAAAATGACCCGACTGTTCAATGCTATTGTCGCTGGAAACCAGAACATGCTCCGAGTCTGGTCATCAGGTGCTTATCTTCCCGATTTCATATACGATCTCGCCGATGAGACTGGTGTCTTGCTGTGGAGCGAATTTCAATTCAGCGATGCTCTCTATCCTGTCCACCAGGCATTCTTAGAGAACGTGGCTGAAGAAATCACATACAATGTCCGGCGAGTGAATCATCACCCATCATTAGCTTTGTGGGCCGGTGGAAATGAGATTGAGAGTTTGATGCTTCCCAGAGTCAAGGAAGCGGATCCAGAAGGGTACGCCAAATATGTCAAAGAATACGAAGAGCTGTATATCAGTCTGATCTTACCCTTGGTATACGAAAATACGCGGTCCATCTCATACACGCCCAGCAGCACAAACAATGGCTATTTAGAAGTCGATCTCTCGGTCACAGTTCCCATGGTGGAGCGATATTTCAATACTACTCCTGGGTCTTATTATGGCGATACAGACTACTACGACTATGATACGGGCGTCGCGTTCAACTACTCTTCCTATCCTGTGGGTCGTTTTGCTAATGAATTCGGCTTCCACAGCATGCCTAGTCTCCAGACCTGGCAACAGGCTGTAGACCCTGAGGATCTTCATTTCAACAGCAGCGTAGTGATGCTTCGAAACCATCATTATCCGGCTGGTGACCTCAGCACAGATAATTATCACAACACCTCTATGGGCATGGGCGAAATGACTCTGGGCGTGGAACGATATTATCCCATTCCCAGCAAGTCAGATTCAGTTGCCAACTTCAGCGCCTGGTGCCACGCAACCCAGCTTTTCCAGGCCGACATGTACAAATCTGAGATCCAATTTTACCGCCGAGGAAGTGGCATGCCCGAGCGCCAGCTAGGGTCTCTCTATTGGCAGCTGGAAGATATCTGGCAGGCACCGTCATGGGCTGGAATCGAGTACGATGGTCGGTGGAAAGTTCTCCATTATACTGCCAGGGACATCTATCAGCCCATCATTGTCTCCCCGTTCTGGAACTACACCACGGGTGACCTGGAGGTGTATGTGACATCTGATCTGTGGGAGTCAGTGACAGGCAGTGTGGATTTGACCTGGCTTGACTTATCTGGCAAGCCCATCGCGAACAATGCAGGCACACCACCATCCCTGGCATTTAATGTCGGGGCTATCAACACCACCAACGTCTACAGTACTAATGCAGCCAATCTCTCCTTGCCAGATCCGGAGAACTCCATCCTTACCCTCTCCCTCTCGGCCAAGGGACATCTTCCTAACTCAGACAGCACAACGGCCACATCCTTTACCCATCAGAACCATTTTACACCGGCATTTCCAAAGGATCTATCTCTTGTGGACCCCAATCTGGACATCACCTACGATGGGAAATCGAAGAAATTTACCATTGAGGCCAAGTCAGGCGTATCACTTTACACTTGGTTAGACTACCCGGCGGGTGTAGTGGGTTATTTCGATCAGAACTCGTTTTTGCTAGTTCCAGGGCAGAAGAAGGAAATTGGGTTTGTAGTCCAGGATGATCAGACAGGTGGTGATTGGATTCCCAATGTCACAGTTGAAAGTCTCTGGGATCAGAAAGTGAAGAAGTAATATATAGAGGATTTATATATCGCGGCATGGAGCCTTGATGTTGATACATAGTAGTTGTACGTGGTATTAAGTTGACCACAACAATCTACTTAGAGGTTTGAATTGAACAAAAATAAGACACAATACCTAAGACAATTGAATAAAAGAACATAAAATATTATAATTGAAGGTATCCCATACAGTTGAGCATCTAGTCGGAACTCCGCCTAAACCTCCGGCCGATCGGCAGAAAAAAGTAGCTTGTGTTCTGGACATCCAGCCAACTTCCTCCTCCACATCCATCCAACACCGTTTGCAAAAGGCCGATTCAACACCCCAAAGCCATCATGTCGTCGCGATTAATGTGGAGGAGCTTGCACTTCAGTGCGAAGCGGAGGATGGCAGTGCCTCCAACACCTTACCGGTGTTTCTCGTGCTCCTTGCGAAACCAAAACCAACCAAACAAATCCGACGAGGCCGAACGCATGACACATTTCGGATTCACCAATGTGCGTGAATCGGATAAGGAGTCTATGGGTATGTTGATATCTGTTCTTGGGGATTCAATTCCATCCTGGGTGGTAAGAAGGAGGAGGAGCTAACAACCGAATAGTTCGATCGGTATTCAGCTCCGTTGCCTCATCCTACGATGCGATGAACGACTTCATGTCCCTGGGAATCCACCGACTCTGGAAAGACCACTTCGTCCGCTCCCTGAACCCCGGATCCGCCCTGCCGTCTCGCGACACCGACACCACCGGCAAAGGCTGGCAGATCCTCGATATCGCCGGCGGGACCGGCGACATTGCCTTCCGCATGCTGGACCACGCTACGAACATCAACAATGACCACGAAACCAAGGTGACCATCTCGGATATCAACCCGGAGATGTTGGCCGAGGGCAAGAAGCGCAGCATCGATACCCCATACTACAACACGAAGCGATTGTCGTTTGTCGAGGCCAACGCGCAGGAGATGCCGCACATCGCCGATAACTCGATTGATTTGTACACGGTTGTTTTTGGAATTCGCAACTTTACGGATAAGCAGGCGGCGTTGGAGGAGGCATACCGCGTGCTGAAGCCCGGTGGTGTGTTTGCGTGCATGGAGTTCAGCAAGGTGGACAACGAAGTGTTCAATGCGGTTTACAAGCGGTGGAGCTTCAGTGCTATCCCTCTGATCGGACATCTGGTTGCAGGTGACCGTGATAGCTACCAGTACCTGGTTGAGAGTATCGAGCAGTTCCCCAGCCAGGAGGAGTTCCGGGGCATGATTCAGAAGGCTGGGTTTATGATCCCCGGCAAAGGATTTGAGAATCTTACGGGTGGTATTGCGGCAATTCACAAGGGAATCAAGCCTTTGCAAAAGTAATGTTTGAAGGAGCTTTGTATCTTATCTCATTTCCTTCTATTGTGTATGTATAATAGCAGCTCGGCAATGTATTATTATGATAGAATCCATATGTCGACTATCCAGACAGGAGATTATTGTCTGTCTATTGTTAGCTGTCGGGATAGCACCATATGACCAATTCTATCAGTTTATAATAACCAGCAGTCTATATCATAATAATTAGCCTTGATGGTGTGATGCGGACCTTAAACTTTGCTTCCGATTTCGCTTCGTCGCGTTCCGGCTGCGTTCAGGGTCGTTGACTGAATTTACCATCATGCAGAGAGTTACTAACTGATGTAGAGGTGGTTATTGTGATTGGCATGAATGTTTTTATCTCCTGCATCTTTGCATCCCAGTCGATCATTTGCAAATCATTTCTGTTCCACCTCCGATTTTATCTCCGAGACTTGAGATAACCGTTATTCTGGCCTCCACTGCCCCTCCACTCTAATCCCAGCTGTCTTTGTCTCGGATAGGGCGGATTTCTATTTTTTTCCCTCTCCAGGAACCTCTCCAGGATTCCCCCTGGGAAGAGAAGAGAGACAAATAGGTAGTTCGTGGCGCGTCCTGTATCTGGAGCAATGCATCTCAAACACCACCAGCACGCCTCTCCAACCACCATCACGATGCCTCCCTCGGCCTATGGAGATTTCCCCGTTCAACTGCCACTAACTCCACCATATCCGACAGAGCCGCTGCCACGATCGACAACCAAAGATGCAGCTTCGGTGGCCACGGCTGTCCATGTCATTGGGACGGAGCGTGCAGCCCTAGCCCACCTGGAGCAGCTCTACCAAACAGATCAACTGGCGCAGGAGAATCTCGGACGCGCCGTGAGTCAAATTGCGCGCAGTATGCGCAACGGCGGCAAGGTGGTTGCATGCGGGGTTGGAAAGAGTGGCAAGATTGCTCGCAAGATCGAGGCGACGATGAATAGCGTGGGCATCAATAGTGCTTACTTGCATCCGACGGAGGCATTGCATGGTGATCTAGGGATGGTTCGACCGGTATGTGTTGGTTGGTTGTATCTATATGCTGAGCTTGATGGAACTGACTGTTTGTCTTCTGGGATAGAGTGATACCCTCCTGTTGATTTCGTTCTCCGGTCGTACTTCAGAGCTTCTCCTGCTTCTTCCTCATATTCCGCAATCTATCCCAGTCATCGCTATTACATCTCATTTGCATCCGTCAACATGTCCTCTACTCTCGTTCCATCCATCCGAGATGGGTATCCTCTTACCGGCCCCCATACATGAAGACGAAGAGTCCTCCATCGGACTATCTGCCCCGACTTCCTCTACAACGGTAGCCCTAGCTTTGGGGGATGCATTGGCTATCGCTACAGCTCGACGACTACACACTACCCCAGGGAGAGGCCCAGCGGAGGTCTTCAAGAGCTTCCATCCAGGCGGTGCAATCGGGGCTGCATCCAATATCTTGACGCCCATGAGTATGTCGGCAACCTCCTTCAGTTCGACTTCATTGGATGACCTCCAAAGCCTCCCACCATCAATCTCTACTCATAATCATTTACCCCCAGCCACTTCTTCAGACCAAAAATTATCACCACCAATCTCTGATATTTTAGTCCCTCTCGACCAGATCCCAACTGTATCACCATCTTCTTCCTCCTCATCAAAAACTTCATCACCATCCAATATCCGCTTCCTAGACATTCTCCTCACAGCCATCCAAAACCCAGCCGCCAAATCATGGGTCTTCCTCTCTCCATCGGAAATCATCCCACCCCGACATATCCGCTCTCTCTCCCAACACGGAAATAACACGGACATTCCCGTGTCCGACCTGGGCACTGTAAAGGGTTTGCCCTTCTCCATCCACCGGGACGATTGGCTTACGATTCCGGGATCGAGAACAGCCCCAATCGACGACATCCGTCGACTCATTTCCCAGGCGAGGGTAGAAACCGGTGCACCGGTTAGTGTTGTTGCTCTTATGAGTGAGAAGGATCGGGGGGTTTGTTTGGGAGTTTTTGAGGTGGGGGATCTTTGGGATGACTGTGGTTGAGTTGCATGGATGCCTTTCCATTTGGTTGATAATTTTTCCTGATGCTTAACGAATGTTACGCTATATTTCTTTTGTTTCTGGTTACAGCCATGTATATACTAATGTAAATAAACCGAGCAGATTAAGTTTGACCATACTTGATCGAAACATACACGTCAAGTCAGTATATAGAACTGTAGTCAGAGGACTGCTAAGTAGTCTCTTCCAAGGATTAGGAACAAGGCCGTTGTATCATGGCAGGAGTATAGACATCCATACATGGTAGGTAGAATCAACAATATAGGACTGTACTTGCTATACAATACCTCCTTCCCATTCCAATATTTCCCACTTGCCTATTCCAGTATATCGCAAGAAATTCAATGAATATAATCAATAAAAAGCTGAGTTCGAAGAACAATTTATCAAGGAATCTGAACTCGTCTTAATCGAATAAGAACGTGAATATAGACAGAGTGAATCACCTCATTATAAATATGATCATCCTGTCATATGGAAGCCACCACAACTTCTCCCTTTGCTCTACTCTACTCTACCTTGAACTGAACTGTCCTCGATATTCCAGGCACTATCGTAAACCTTGCCCACTCTAGCGATGGGTGTCCGCGATGCTTTTCTCACTGAAAGAGAACTACAAAGATATCTGCGAAAGCAGAAATATCCCGACAAACTGGAGGAAAAGAAACATCATCTCGAAGATTCTTTTAGACAAGAACAGCTTTTACCTAGGAAACGTATATGCCGGCAGCGGTCTTTACCACGTCAAAAGAAGAGCCAACAACACCATGTACTATATGGACTGGACGTTGATCTCAATCGCCCCGGAGAGGTTGGGGGTAACAAGGTATGTGTCTCCTTTTCGGACTGTGAAGGAAGAGTTTAAGCTAGGTTGCTGACTTTGGTATTCGCAGTCTCTCGAGCTTTCCGGTCCGAGGGTGTACCTCGATTGACCCAGATGCCACATTTGGGCCCTCCATCCAGATCTAGATGATATCGAACAACCGCTTCTAAATTGCGGAAGATCCACTAGGATGACTAGTGGAACCTACAGCGAGATTTTAGAAGCAAAGATCTGCAGAAAGTACGATGAACATTGTCAGCTAGTTCCTGAAGTCACCTTCGAGCACGCTGTAACCAGTGCCACAAAGGGCACTTTTGCTGAACTTGGCGACTCAGGATCGTTCGTTTTCACGGAGGGCGGGAGAGTGGTTGGGCTGTTCATGGGGGGCGGAGGGGTTGAGCGAAAAGACGTCTTTTACTTCTCTTACATTGAGGATGTCTTTGACGACATTAGGGCTGTCACTGGGGCCCAAGAAGTCCGCATTGCATATCTAGTTAAACAGATTTGCTTATTGAAAGGGGGGGGAAGTGACGACTGCTTTTTTCATTTTATCACCCGCGGGATGTTTCTCTAATGTATAGTAGCTAGTTGTGGCATGTCTTGTCCGTCTTGATCTTTTATGTCAAAATGGAGTGCGTGTAATTCATGGATGCATATGGCTTGGTGAAAGAAAATTGTGCAGCGCTTATTCTTCTTGTCTTTTGACTAGTACACTTGATGTGTTTTAGATAGTGTTATTTCAATTTGATATGTCCCAAGGAAATGTTGGCACTGATCATTCTGGTTGATCATAATGTAGATATAATTCTAGGTCTAGATAGTGATACCAGACTCTGGTACTCACTCAAATGACAGGTACATAGGGTTTGTGCAAAGGGTATAAGAAAAAAAAAAGCAAACATGTTTATCGTATGCTCTATGGCATTAATGACACCCAAACGCCCCCGAATCAGAATGTTTTGTAGTATATTGTTACCACATGGTATGGGCGTTTTCTGGAGTAATTTTCCTTGTCAACCATGCGATGAAAATACCTTTGGTTTCTCTTCCCATTTCAAGGCTCGTGTCGGATATAGATACTTCCAGAGTTCAGGGTATTGTATACCGCAAACTGAAAGCACAACTGGCTGATACAAAGCCACGAAAGAACCTCTTGGGTCGCCACTTGGGAAGGGTTGTCAAGCTGGGGCAAGGTGTAGGCGGCCTTGCTGTACCAAGGAAGCGAACTTGTGATATCGCTATCATGGTAATAGACTAACGAAGGCGGTTCGTAACTCATATCGTAGGCTGACTGGTCGTGAAAGGCTGGAGATAGGATCAAACCGAGGTCCCTTTGCCCTTATCGGTGGCCGACCTATCCTCTTCGTACAAATGGTGTTTCTCGATGTAGTTGATGACAGGAACCGGGATCAAATAGCGAACGCTCATATCACGTCTCAAGAACAATCGGATTTTGGTGCTGCTGACATCATTTTGAATGAGTTGTTGGATGACATGGATGTTGTCCTTCCACTGTTGCAGGGCAGCGAGTGCTTCGTCGATGTCTGTTCCGCTACGCTCGACGATGAAAGACTGGGAGCAAATTCATATTAGCGAATGCATGTGAGCCGAAGAGCACATAACTAGGCATACCTCGTATTTTCCAAGGATGTGATCCAGATCCTTTGGATTCCAGACACCCGGAGTTGACATGGTGTGAATCAGATCCGCACCGGCCAAGAGGGCAATCCGCACGGGCTTCCGAGCGCCATTTCCAATGTCAATGCCCTGTCGCACAGTGTTGATCTCGTAGTCAAAATGGTCCAGGACAACGGCGGTCGGTTGGTATTCCTTCTTCCTAGGTTCCCAAGTATCCACCATCAGCCAGTCGGAGGATTCCACGGCCGCTTGACACATCGCGACACTAATATCACACATGGTCAATAAATCACTCTTTGCCCCCCCAAGATAGAAAATATCCTACCGATGCTCTGCACTGGCAAGACCCGCCTTGCGATACGCGTCCGACACAGGGGAAAGATAGCCTCCGACAACTTCGAAATTGGTGTTGAATTTGGCATGATCGGCAGCCATCTCGAACATACGCAAATGCAAATAAGTGATAGGCGAAAAAGAACCACAAGCAACCAGAATCAACGGGGTCCTTTCCGGGTCTTCCATCTTGGGCTTCATACGGAAGTCGGGAAAAGCGTAATCGTCGTCATTAGGCAATGCGGGGGGTAAAGGAGGGGTCTGCTGGACATTGTCGCGCTGTCCTCCGGCGACATCCGTCATGGTGAAGATGGTATAAGTTGTGTTGTAGTAAAGTTGAATAGGAATAGGGGATGTAACAACGGTCCAGAAATGATGAGACGGATGACGGAAGGGGAAAGGGATGAAGAAAGAAAGAGGGAGGCAAAAGGTGGCGGCGGGCGGGGGAGGAAAAAAGGCTTTTTATCTTTCCGGGGGAAAAAGACAAAAAAAGGCGATCGGTGTGAGTCGGAGAGCAGCCGGTAAAAAGTGTTTAAGAAGGCGATCAGAAGCAATTATTAATCGTCTCCGGGATGCTCAAGATGGAGAGGTTCGTCTTCTGGAAAAAGAAATGATCATTCTGGGCTGAGTGGTTATTGATTGATGAACGAGATTAACCGGTGGGCCGCAATCTGGAGCACGCGAGCGGGGTTGATGGAGACGAGCTGAATGAAGCTGAAGTTATTATTGAAATTGAAGCTGAAGCTGGGGCTGGGGCTGGGGCTGAATCGGTGTATGAATGCGGGAAATCGGAGGATCAAACGGTGATACCGATAATATTGTGACGCTGGACGAGTCTATACAAACTTCCTTCGGGAATCGAGTCCGATGCTGTCAGGATGAGTCAACTTGTATAACATTGGAGATGTTATTTATTATTTTGATGGAATAGTAGGCATTTTTATTGGAATATTATGCTAATAATAAATATTAGTATCAGTATATCGTAGATTGATATTTGCGAGATATAAACGTTGGACAGCCGGAGTGATGCCATACCAGACATGTTTCATCCAAACAATGAGATAGATCAATTAATTCGAATTCCAGCTGGTTGAATTGCCCCTTTCGATCCACAGCTCCTTTTAATCCCTTTGAATCTTTTGATTGTTTTGGTCATTTTGCATCTTCCTGCAGCCCTGGCGATGCAGCGTAGTTAATCATCGTCGTGGATAGAACCATCAGCAACACGAGGGGGATTGCTAAACGCCATCCTCCAGACCAGTCAATTCATCTGCAATATTTCTCCATCTTGGCCATCTGCCTCCGATTCTGTTTCTTCCCCTGGCGAGCTGAGCCAGGTGTTGCACTTTCGTTGTCTGGCGCTCTCCGGACTCTTTGGCAGCGTCACACACTCTCTCCACCACGTCAACTCATCCTCCCCAACTTCACTTCTTCCTCTTCTCTTCCTCCTCTTCCTTCACCAACCAACCCATCTTCCACCCCCTGTGGCTATCCCATTTTTCTGGTCGCTTTTGCCATTTTGGGTTCTTATTCCTGTCCCGTCTTTTATTTAGATATTCTTTGATTTGTTTCGCTCTTTGACTCGCCTCCCTGACTATTATCTTTCCCCTCATCCGCCGCCCACGACGGAAACAGCTCCATCCACCGCTATCAACTCCACGACTCCCAACTCCTCCTCAACCACACCACTCCTTCAGAGTTGCGGATGGCGGGCTGAGCGGTGACTACAAGCGAGAACTCCTCACATTGAGCCCTCGTTTGAGCAATTAACATATGGCCAGGCAAAGGGCCACCTTACACCGCCAGGACCCTCTTGAGGACGCTCCCACTGCTCCATCCCCCTCTTCTTCACCCGCCACTGCTGGAGCTGCTGCCGCCAGGTACATATATCACTCTTTTCCTCGCTCAGTCTCCTTTCGTCTTCAACACTTGATCCCATCACCTTTCCATCGTGGTTGCGGCCAGGTTCCATCTCCCTGAGGACCCGGCAGTAAGACTTCGGCGGATGATCTCATTATCCTGCTTTATCCCATCATTGCTGTCTCTCCCTCTTCCTGTGCCCTGATTCAGCCCTGTTTGGATGGGCGCTGCTTCTTCACTACACCATTCGTTCTTCTTTTCACCCTGCATTCGCCTTCTCTTCTCTCTCACCTACCGGAAAGAGTCAGCTTCTCATGTCCTCCAGAATTACTCGTTCAGCCGCACGACTCGCTGCAGACACCTCGTCCGCCGGCTCCGGCCCCTCTCCCTCGATTCCCGCCGCTGGTTCGGCTCCGTCCCGGAAGCGCAAGGCCTCGACTCGACGTGATCGTTCCCTCGACGCCCCGGAACAACAGCCAAATCCCCCCTCCCCACCCCGGAGAGCCAAGAGACAGCGGATTGCACCTCCCCCCGAGACGGCTGCCGCGCCCGCTGGTCCCCGCCGTGGTACCCGAAACCGCAACGCTATGTCCCAACCCGGGTGAGTATTGATCCCGAGGTACATCGTATGGCAGTGGCTAACAAGATGCCCCCTAGTCCATCTTCGCATCCCACGGAGGATCCCTCGAGAAACCCAATATCCTCGCCTCCACAATCCAGACGCAAGTCTAGCCGAAATGGAAAAGTATCGCAGGGTAAGGCTTCGAGTGAGGGATACAAAAAAGCATTAAATACGGTTCGCATATTGACTGTCTATCTCTTTACCAGAACGCTTGTCAACAACACAATCTCCCCCGCGTCGACAAAAGAAGCGACAGACCAGGACTAACCCCGATACGATCATGAAAGAAGCGGAAGAGGAGTTAGAAAGCCCAGATCAAAAAGAGGAACGGGATCCATCCCCACCTAGTGAAAGCAACGATGGCACAAATCCTTCTGTCCTCGACGATGATGACGACGACGATGACGATGGAGATCCTTTTCACAATAGCTTGTTTGGGTCCCGGAGCCCCCTGGGCCTCCAAAGTACCCTGCGTGCACTCAGCGGCATGATGTCGGGCATGTCCTCTCGCCTCCGAGATATCCTTTCCAACCTGAGAATGAAAGACGACCCCTCCATCCAACTGATTGCACTGCAAGAGCTGTCTGATCTTCTTCTTGTTTCAAACGAAGACAACTTGTCCGGCCAATTCTCTCCAGATCCCTACGTAAAGGAGCTGGTTTCCTTGATGCAGCCTAACGATTTTGGAGAAGAAAACCCAGAGATAATGCTGCTTGCTTGTCGATGCCTGGCTAATTTGATGGAGGCCCTAAGAGGCTCTGTGGCGAATGTTGTTTACGGAGGGGCAGTGCCGATCTTGTGCCAGAAGCTCCTTGATATCCAATTCATCGATCTGGCCGAGCAAGCCCTCAGTGTGAGTGAAACATTCTGGTTCAAACCAGGAATAGGATGCGCGAAAGCTAATTCTTAACCAGACCCTTGCTAAGATCTCTGTCGACTTCCCTGCATCCATCGTGAGAGAAGGCGGACTGACAGCTTGCTTGACATATTTGGATTTCTTCCCGACCAGCACTCAGCGTACTGCAGTGACTACGGCTGCCAACTGTTGCCGCAATCTCCCTCACGACGCGTTCCCGGTTGTTCGCGACGTGATGCCGACCCTTCTCAACGTGCTTTCCAGCAATGATCCCAAGGTTGTTGAGCAAGGCTGTCTGTGTGTGTCCCGAATTGTGGAGAGTTTCAAACACAAGCCGGAAAAGTTGGAGGAGCTGATCGAGCCCGCAATGCTGAAAGCTGTACTTCGTCTCCTGCTTCCTGGCACTACAAACCTGATCGGACCGCACATCCACACCCAGTTCCTTCGTGTTCTTGCCATCGTATCCAAAGCCAGCCCCCGTCTGTCAGTCGAGCTGCTCAAGATGGAAGTGGTCGATACCCTGTATCAAATTCTTACCGGGGTTTCTCCGCCCCAGAGCGTGGAGAACACCGCAGTCAAGATGGACAGCGTGCTCGTCATGCAAGCTTTAATTCATCGCCCAAGGGAACAGGTATTCGAGACCCTCAATGTCATTTGTGAGCTTCTACCTGGAGTTCCAAGCCGACAGGGCCAGCAAGCGGACGGTATGCTGGGTGCCTATCTGGACAGCAATATGGATGTTGGGTCGAAGTCGCCGAAAGCGAAGGAATTGCTCGAGAAAAGACGGTCTCTCTTGATGGATTGCAAGACTGAACTCAAGCGGTTTGCCATGATTTTGTTACCAACTCTGACTGATGCTTACTCTAGCACTGTCAATCTTGGGGTTCGACAGAAGGTTCTTATCGCTCAGCTAAAGATGCTTCATAACCTAGATGCTACTGTAGTAGAAGAAGCTCTGCGCACTGTCCCGTATGCCTCGTTCCTTGCTTCTATTCTGTCACAGAAAGACCATCCGTCATTGGTCTCGTCAGCTCTGAGGTGCGCCGAGCTTCTGTTCCAGAGGCTCGAAAATGTCTATCAACACCAATTCCATCGTGAGGGCGTCATATCCGAAATTGTAAAACTAGCAGAGGGCCCCTTGTCAACCGAAAAACAACACCGTGACTCGCCCGCTGCCGCTGCCACGGGCTCATCCGACAATACTCATCAGGAGCCCAATGCAACTGATCGTGACGCCGCTAAGGGAGATGGCACCCCAGAGGATGGTGCTCCAGCTGATTTTGACGGTAATGACGCGATGGATGAAGACGACGAGCAAGATGACGATAGGGATGAAGATAATGAGGATATGTCGGACTCCGAAAGCTCTTCTTCTTTCTCCGGCCAAATTCTCTTCGCCAAAATGGACAACGCTATCAAGGATCTCGTCATCCGTGATGCTCGTGCTTTCCTTGAAGTCTACGAGGCCAGCAACGGCTATGCCGTTCGGGACAAAGCGCTTGAGATCCTGAATAAATTGCAGGCCCTGGCTGCAGAGATAGAAACTTGCTATTTTGGCAACGGAGATGGAAATGGCCTTCCGCTGTTCAAAAAATTGGCTTCATATTTCGACGGTGATGCCTTGGAAAGTATGACCAGCTCTGAACTGCTTAATTCAAACATCATCAAAGTCCTTCTGGATGTCTTTGGTGATTTTCAATGTGGGTCTTTTGAAATGCGAAGCTTTCCATTATTTTATTTTATTGCTGTTGCTAATCTTGTACATCGTTTTCAATAGCCGCATCCATGCGTGAGGCCCGTGCTGCTTTTCTGCAGGCGTTCATGGGGTCAAGAATCTCTGAAAAGGCCCAAAGCCAGAGTACTGCCACTACACCATTTAGTGTGCTAATCCAGAAGCTGCAGGACCTGCTCAGCCGGACTGAGCATTATGAAGTGCTTACTGTCAGCCACAACTCACTGGAGAACACACGGAGCAATGCAGCCTACATGCTGGGCAAGCAGCTGAGACTCAAATTGGTAGCAGATGATGAATCCGAAATACCCCGTGCATACAGAAACATTATGGTTTCTATCCATGCCATCGCGACTTTCAAGTCCCTGGATGACTTCCTTCACCCGAGGATCAGCCTGTCAGACCGCCCAAGACCGTCGCGCACCCGTGATACGATTCTGTCCCAGATTGCCAATGCAGCACGGCTTCGAGATCAGCTTGCCGGTGGCAATGAATTGCCAGGCAGTGAAACTTCAAACCCGCTACGATCGTCCACGAGTACCAACCAACCTCCCCAAGCAGACAATTCCAACGCTGGCACGAAAGACTCAACGGCCGAAAACCGAGAGCGCCCAACAAGGCCCAGGAGGTCTGGTCGACACCAACCTGCTCAGACAGAGGAAGAAAACGGTGAGGAGCCATTGGAATGTGCAGACGAAAGGCAATTGAGCGAAGAGGAAGAGGAAGAGGACGACGATGGTGATGAGGATGATGCTCTCAATGCTATCGTGGATGATCTGGATGACGACCTCTCCGATGACAACGTTCATGACCCGACTGCTGTTAACATGGAAGTGGCTTCCACGGGCAAGGTGACTGCTCGGAAGGAAGATGGGACTCGTGTCGCAACCCCATCTCAGTCTACACCAGCGTCCAAGTCGTCGTCGTCAGCACCCGGCTCTGCGTTGAATCAAATGGGAAGCAGCAGCTCGTTGGCCATGGCTGGCCGTCCGTTTTCGTATGCCGCCGCCATGGCTTCTCCCCCTCAGGACTGGCATCTCGAATTTAGTGTAGATGGCAACCCGGTTTCAAGCGAGACAACAATCTATCGCGCCGTCCACCACAATCGTGAGCAGGTGGAATCCAACGCACGGAACGTTTGGTCCGCTGTTCATACTGTTCAATTCAAGCGGGTGCCAGGACCACCCCCTGCGGAGCCTTCTACGCTCAATTCCAGCCTCTCCGAAGCCTCGTCGAAGGGCGACAGTCTCGCTATGCCACCATCGCTCGACAAAGACTCGATCACATCCTCGATTCTTCGCCTGCTGCGCGTTCTCCACCAAATGAATGTGACTCTTGATGATATCATAGCTGAAGCCAAGGAGTTGATCGCACTCAAGCCAGAGTCATTGGCCCAGTTTATTAACACGAAGCTTACCGCCAAGCTCAATCGACAGCTGGAGGAGCCATTGATTGTTGCTAGCAGCTGCCTTCCTAGCTGGAGTGAGGATCTCGCTCGCGTCTTTGCTTTCCTTTTCCCATTCGAGACACGTCACCTATTCCTGCAGTCGACAGCCTTTGGTTATTCACGAGCGATGATGAGATGGCACAACTCCCAGAATGAAAACGACAGCCGCATGGACCGTCACGCGGAACGGCCATTCCTTGGACGACTCCAGCGACAAAAGGTGCGGATCTCGAGAACTCGCATTCTAGAATCTGCGATGAAGGTAATGGAGCTTTATGGATCGTCGCCCAGTATACTTGAGGTGGAGTATTTTGAGGAAGTTGGTACAGGACTGGGCCCTACTTTGGAGTTCTACTCCACTGTTTCCAAGGAGTTCTCCAAGAAGAAGCTTAAGATCTGGAGAGAAAACGATTGCATGAATGACTCTGAGTATGCTTTTGGAAAGCGTGGTCTATTCCCGTCTCCCATGAGCGAAGAGCAGGCGTCTCAAGAATCTGGGAAGAAACAGTTGCAATTGTTCAAGATTCTGGGCAAATTTGTTGCCCGGTCGATGCTGGACTCCAGAATCATCGATGTTTCTTTCAACCCAGCTTTCTTTAGAATTGCCGATAGCTCATCTTTTGTTGCGCCATCACTCGGAACAGTTAAGGCAGTTGATCAGGATCTTGCCAACTCTCTACTTCTCCTCAAGCGATTTGCCAATGCCAAGATTGCCATTGACCAAAATAAGGCGCTCTCCGCCGCTCAAAAGGCGCAAGCTCTCCTTGATGTTGAGATTGATGGAGTGAAGGTCGAAGACCTAAGCCTGGACTTCACTTTGCCAGGATATCCTTCAATCGAGCTGGTCAATGATGGTTCCAATGTTTCCGTCACAATAGAAAACGTTGACTTGTATGTGGACCGGGTGGTTGATATGACCTTGGGTAGCGGCGTTCAACGCCAAGTGGAAGCATTCCGAACGGGATTCTCTCAAGTATTCCCTTACTCGGCCCTCCGGGCCTTTACCCCCAGCGAGCTTGTTATGCTGTTTGGACGGGTAGAAGAAGATTGGTCAATTGAAAGTAAGTGCATCACCATGGAAATGACCTGAGTATTCCGCTAACAGTATTTATCTAGCTCTTATGGACTCGATTAAAGCAGACCATGGTTTCAACATGGACAGCAGGAGTGTGCGAAACTTGCTCCAGACGATGAGTGAGCTGAGCACGCAACAACGACGGGACTTCCTACAGTTTGTTACGGGTAGTCCAAAGCTTCCAATTGGAGGTAAGAAAGAGAAAACCGCTATCTCAAGTATCAATATGCTAACTTTTCATCGCTAGGCTTCAAGAGTCTCATACCCATCTTTACAGTCGTTTGCCGACCCAGCGAACCACCATACACGCCAGACGACTATCTGCCCAGTGTCATGACGTGCGTGAATTACCTCAAGTTGCCCGACTACAGCAGCTTGGATGTTCTTCGAGAACGGTTGTCCGTGGCGATCAAAGAAGGCCAGGGAGCCTTCCATCTGTCGTGATTGCGGATTATCGGAGTCGTCTTCTTGGTTGTTCCATACCCCTCTTTCATGCATTTTTATCCCATATCGCTCTCGTTTTTGTTTTTGTGTGTTTCATCAAAAAAGATACAGCAGCAATCGTTGGTACAGTAGCTAGTAACATACCCTTTATCTGATGGCGGTGGGCGGTTTCTTTTTCTTTAATGATGGCATGAGTGAATCGCCGGCTTTGTTCTGTTCATTTGCCGGCCTGTTCAGTTCGGTTGTATCTTTTCGTGATTCTTTCCATGTTGTTATTTTCCTTGCTTGGGATGGAGACTCGAACAGTTTCATAATTCTTTAGATAGGAATGAAAGTACATGGCTTTGTATATGTGTGTAGATGAAGTTTATTAAGCTAATTGGTCTATCTATCTCTATCTCTATCTCTATTGCTATTTCTATTTCTATCTCTTATGGTCTATAGTCTATACAAACATGGGTATTCAAAAATCAACAAGTCATCACGCCAGATCAGTTTCTGTAAAGAGGAACCATGGACTGCATAAATAAAGTCAGCAAAGATTCCTCAAATGGGATACCCAGATAAACATACCTCTGCAAACTTAGGCTCAATAAACAAAGCCCTAGCCTCAGCCACCATGACAGCCTCACTGTCCTCCCTCCCCACAGCCGACAAACAAGTCATCTTCCCCTCAACCCAAGCCTTCCGTCCTTCGACCTTGACCGTCTCAGCGCGAAGCACATACACCCGATCCGGGGTGGCAGGCTTCCGAAAATCCACATTCAAATTCGCCGTCATGCCCAACCCACTCGGGAACGAAGCAGACACACACCTCGCAAAAGCCTCATCAAACATAACCGAGAGCAGGCCGCCATGCACAAACCCCGGATGTCCACAAAGCTCCGACCCAATGTGGAAAAGCGACACCACCCGGGTGTTGGCGTTGGTGGTAGACGACTTCTTCGAGGTAAACATGTACGGAGCTACAGTGACCTTCCCGGACCCGGTGATGGCGCCTCCGACAAAGTGAGTCCCGCGAAGAGCGGGGGGCATGGTGAGGTGTGGACGCGACTCTTTGAAAGTATGATCATGGCGGAGGGATTGGACGATGGGGAGGTTGGAGATGACGGTGTCGATTTTGTGTTGTTGTTGGGCGGGGGTGGGAGTTAGGAAGGGTTCTTTCCCTGGCGTTGAAGATGGAGATGGAGATGAGGAGGATGAAGATGTAGATGTAGAAGAGATATCATCGTGGACTGCAGCGGCGATTTTCACGGAGCGTTGCTGTTGCTGTTGTTGAGGAAAGGCGCTGCGAAGTGAAGCTATTCCAAAGGCCGGTTTTCGGAGGAGTCGAGGAGTTTTGGTGAGGAAAGACATTTTTGCTATTATATTGAGTATTGACTCTGGAGACGGTTAGTTGGATCTTCTTTATACTGAATTTATTGTTAGCGTTTAGCTCACCTGTCAAAAAGACCTAATTTTGATTCCAAAATAAACCCACGTGGGAAAAGATGCAGATCCAAAAAGCGTTGAAGAGAAGAAATAAAAAACGAACAGGGATCGCAGCGCCCAAAGAGGAAAAGCGGCAGGGAAATAAATGAAAAATTAATCAAAATGGAGACACGAAAAGAACGAAGAGAAACAGAATCTGATCGCCGGTGGAACCCGAAAAGTGGATAAGCGATTGGCAGTTCCGAATAGCGTCATTTCATCTATATCCAAAGAGAAGACATGCTCTTGATCCCTAAATGGCGACTCTTGCAGGTCGGACATCGTTTAGGAGTAGATCTAGGTATTTACTACCTCGATACTTGGGCAATGCAGACTTGAAGCTTTTCACGACCAGTATGGTGTGCTGTTTAGTAGAAAGATACTGTCGAAGAAACCCACAAATATGAGAATGGCTGTCAGAAATAGCTGCAGAGTATTCTTTAGGCAAGGAACAAGAAGTTGTCTTTTGTTCTTCTAGTCGATTTCTCGCATTCAATTCTATCTCTTGTGTTGTTGACCCTGTTTGCCCTCAAGTTCTTCTCTCTCCCTCCTTCTTCCTCTCCCTCTTCATCTTCCTCTTCCTTCAACTCCAACTTGATCTCAATTTATTTCCCACCTAATTTCTCTACTTTGGCCCATCTTTACTCTACTTCTTCTATATGGATAACATTACTCCCATCCTAGATTTCCTCCGCGAGCAAGTCGCAGAAGCCCGAGAGCAGCAAAGAGGAGAGCAGCCAGAAGCTCTCTCGGACCAGGACCTGGCTCTCCAGGCCTGGCAACAGGAGATAGAACAGTATGAGGCCCTTAGACTAGATCGTGACCTTGCCATTCGTCTTGGAGAGGGCCATGAATTACACCAAGACCAGCCAGGTATGCCCCATCAACTCTTCCTCCCCGGACTCGTACTGATATTCCCGGTAATAAAAGCCAATTCCAACCAGCCATCGAGTCATGTCATCCCAGATGGGGTGAGAGTGCAGTGTATATCTTGCACTGAAAACTTTGCAATCGCCAACACGATCAGAGCCCAGTGTTCGCACAACTACTGTGGAACTTGCGCCGCAAAGCTATTCAACAGTGCCCTTATAGACGAGACGCTCTTCCCTCCCCGCTGTTGCCGTGTTCCAATTCCAATCTCTACAGTTCGACATCTAGTAGGAGACGACTTCGTGAACAGATTCCATGAAAAGTGCCTGGAGCGTACCGACCCTAAGTCAACGTATTGTTCGAATTCTGCCTGCTCCAAGTACATTCTTTCTTACCTTGTCATGTTGAATGTCGTTACGTGTTAGATGAGGAGGCTCTGCGGTTGGGGGTGACAAAAGGTTGGCAAAGATGCTATCGATGCAGAACTCTCGTCGAGTTGAACACTGGCTGTAACCATATTACGTACGTGCTCTGCTATTTACCCGACTCTCTTCCCTATCTTCTTGGCTTATGATACTAACCGCATCCACTCATGTATAGCTGTCGCTGTGGTGCCGAATTCTGCTACGTCTGCAGCGCCGTCTGGCAAACCTGCGATTGTGAACTCTAGGATGAAGAAAGACTTGTTGATCAAGCCCAAGAACTCGCCAATCGTGATAGATTGCCTGGTCAACAACCCGCTGGGCAGGCACAGGTACAGCAGATGGTACAACGAGTGAGGGAAAGGCACGAGTGCGAACATGATGGGCAATGGAAGCGTGTCGGGGGTCGGCACCGTTGTCAGGAGTGTCGCCATTTGTTGCTTTTCTACATTCATGAGTGCGAATATTGTCTATTACGAGCGTGTGGTGAATGTCGATATAATCGATTGTAAGGGTTTGAAGATCTTCGAGGACTGTGTATCATGCTCTTGCTTTCCCTTCGTCTCTCTGGTGCGTCTACACGACGCGGAGATGTGAAACACTTTCAATATGACCGAACATGTTCGTCTTTATTATGCTTGAGCTTGAGACTGAATATGAGTTCCTTTCAATAGTCGAAGTGTGGATAATGAAATCAAAGGGCGATGACATGAAATTTTAAGTCTATCGGAATCATAAAACCAACAAATTCATATATACAGCCTAAACTAGACGAACCATGGTATAATACATTCATACCCAAATCAAAACTCCAACGGATCAACTTGTCCCAGGAACGAATTGTTACCCTCTCCCCGCAGCAGTGCTTCGATATCCACTCTCCCGGAAGTCAGATACCGCTCACTAACACCAACATTCACACGCTGGGAAAGCAGTTCCCTCAGCTCGGCTCGCATGGCAGCCAACTCACCCTTGGTGATACTGCCCTGCTTCTTCTCTCGCTCGTGACGACCACGGCCGCGTCCACGGCCCATACCCTGAGCGGCATCGAATTCCTCGCTGTCATAGTCAACACCGAGATCTTCAGCTGCGGCCTTCAGCCAGTTTTCTTCGGCGGAGACCTTCTCCTTGGCGATGTTGGAATCCACAATGCGAGAGGCGAGTGTCACACGGGGCTTGATGCGAGAGATAACCCGACGGTCTAGCTCAAGGGACTCGAGCGGCAAGCGTTTTGTCGAGGTATCCTTGGAGCTGGCGTGCACCTTGGCAGCGAGACGGACAACACCGACCATTTCCTCGGGGGCACAGATAATGACACTCTTTCCGGATGCACCAGCACGTGCGGTACGACCGGATCGGTGCACGTAGGTGTCTGCCGTGCGAGGAGCGTGGTAATGCACAACGAAGTCGATGCCCTTGATATCGAGACCACGTGCGGCAACATCAGTTGCAACTAGGATGGAGCTAGGGTCGGCGGTTGGGGAGGAGAATCGCTCAACGGAGCGGAGTCGAGCCTTCTGGATCATGGACGAGTGGAGGGCAAGGGCAGGGAGCTTCAGATTCTGGAGGAATTGGGTGAGTCGACGGACGGCGGAGATGGAGTTGGTGAAGATTAGTGTCCGGTGCTTGGGGTTGTAGAGAAGGAGTGCGTAGAGGTAGAGGTCCTAATCGACTTATTAGCTCTGATCCTTGTTTTGAGAAGACCTATTGACGGTAGCTTACCTTTTCCATTGCAGGACACTCAACTAGACCCTCCTTAAGACCCTCAGCCATCTGTGAAATCGGGTTCATGTCGATGAATTTGGGTTTCTCTTCTCTGAAATTGAGCTTCTGAAGGAGATACTCCATGGACTCTTTCTGGTCCATCACGTCACCTCCAGTCCAGCGCCCTTTACCTGCCAACTTCACCTGCAAATCGCGGTGGAAGGTAGCCGAGAAGACAAGTGTCTGTCTCTCCACCTTGTCAGAGGGCTCTTCCTTTTCTTCTTCCTCTGCATCATCGTCTTCTTCGACTCGGTCCAGGGAGCTCAGGATATCCTCGACTTCCTTGAAGTGACCTTCACTAAGGAGTCTATCGGCCTCATCCACAACGAGGAACTTGATTTTTTGCATCCTTGCCATCAATCCCTGTCCTGTGCTGAGAGTCTCCCACACTCTACCTGGTGTTCCGATGACAATATCAGCCCCAATCAATTGTCTCTGTTGCTTGTGAACCGAAAGACCGCCAGTCAAAAGTGCAATTCGCGCATCCGTGCCGGGGGCATTATTCGTAAGAGCACCAATGTGGTCCGCCAGCTGGTGCGCCAATTCTCTGGTGGGAGATAGCACCAGTGCAATCGGAGTCGATTCCTTCTTATCGGTCTGCTCCTCGGGGTTCTTTCGTCTTTGCTCCAGGTAGTGTTCGAGAATAGGGATGCCGAATGCTAGTGTTTTACCGGAACCAGTAGATGCCTTTCCAACGACGTCGTGGCCGTTCAAAATATGAGGAATGCAAGTGTTTTGAACTGCGGTCGGTGTGCTAAACTTCATCTTCGAAAGACTGGTGAGAATCTCCGGTGAAAGACCCAATGAGTCCCAGGCAGATACATCGGCGCCATCATCCTCTTCCTCGTCTTGAAGGGCTTCAAAGTTCAATCCTGGCTTGATACTTTGACCATTCTGCCCCTTGGAATCTTGGGCCTTTTGCTCTTTCTTTGCTTTCTGTGCCTCCTTTCTCTTTTCTTTTGCCGCCTCCTTCTTGGCCTGCTTCTTCGCAGCCTTGCTCTCCTTTTCCTCCTTTACATCAGCCTTCTCGTTTGGTTCTTCTTCGTTCGCTTCGTTCGCTTCGTCTGCTGGGGGAGCATCCGCTTTCTCCGGCTCATTGTCGCTAAACCCGGACCATTCGTCGTCGAAAGCTGGCTCTTTGGCCTTGGAAGCTTTCTTTTTCAGGTAATTATCTTTCTGCTTCCCAGAAACAGCCTGATTTCGTCAACTCATGCGCCCATCAATCACCCGTAACTCAACAATAAATCAGTACGCACCTTGAATCGAATCTCTCCGTTGCCTGGTGTTTTCACGATATCAACACCGTCGATTTCTTCTAACCCGAAAAATCCCTCCGCGTCTTCAATTCGATCGGGGAGAGGCACTTCGTTCCACTCGAGGTCATCGACCCCAATGAACCCATCCCAGCCGTTGTCATTCTGTGTCGCATTGTCGGGTTTACCAGCCTTCTTCTTCTTGTTAGACTGGTCATTCAGTCCTTTGGACTCTCTTTGACGTTTCTGACCCATGATTGTAGATTAATAAAGTGGAAGGCAAATAATGAATCCTTCTCGAGGTTTGCAACGACGCTGATTTATTTTTGCGCGAAAAGAAAAAAAGGCGGCAGAAAAAAAGTTGCCCGCCTTTGATCTTATCGTCTTTTCCCCCACGTTGAAAATCGCAGTCCGATTTCAACTCCGCCATTGAACGCCGACTTCTACGATATTTACCAGGAAATTCCCGCAGTCGAGAGAAGCCCATTTATACATTCTTCGCTATGGGTAAATCTTCCAAAGACAAACGTGATGCCTACTACCGACTGGCGAAAGAGCAAAATTGGCGTGCCCGTTCCGCCTTCAAGCTCATTCAAATCGACGAACAATTCGACCTTTTCGAACACGAGAGCCCGAAGAAAGTTACGAGAGTTGTCGATCTGTGCGCCGCTCCTGGAAGTTGGAGTCAAGTGCTGAGTCGAGTGTTGATCAAAGGAGAGAGTTTTGGCCGCCGGGCGTGGGTTGAGAAAAAGCGAAAGGAAAAGGAAGCGCTGGAGAAGGTGAAAAATGGAGCCGTGGAGCAGAATGAGGAAAGCGAGAAGGACAGTGCCGCTGAATTGAAGCCTCGAAAGAACGTCAAGATTGTCTCCATCGACCTTCAGCCTATGGCACCCCTAGAGGGCATTACCACTCTGAAAGCGGATATCACACACCCATCCACCATCCCTCTGCTCCTTCGTGCCCTAGACCCGGGAGCTTACGATTCTTCTGAATCGTCCCCTTCTGCTATAAGACAACCACATCCCGTCGACCTGGTCATCTCAGATGGTGCTCCCGATGTAACTGGCCTGCACGATCTGGACATCTACATTCAGTCGCAGCTGCTCTACTCAGCGCTGAATCTAGCCCTAGGTGTCCTGAGACCCGGAGGCAAATTTGTGGCTAAGATTTTCCGTGCCCGTGATGTTGATCTGCTCTATGCACAGCTTCGTACAGTGTTCGAGAAAGTCAGCGTTGCGAAACCAAGGAGTAGTCGTGCAAGCAGTCTGGAGGCCTTCGTGGTTTGTGAAGGATTCATTCCCCCTGCTGTCCACGATGGCGTTTTGGGAATAGATGCATTGAAGGACCCCTTGTTCAGTGGTGCAGCCGCTCCACGTTCTGCCTCAACTGATGGCAACGTCGGTGTGGAGGTCATGGACGAGGACCTCGATGGAGCTTCTACACAAGCCACCAAACTGACAGCAGCAAATCCCGCCACTGACTCCAGCCATGAAACCGAAGTCCGCAAACTCCACCCAGACTCGCACATCACGAAACCAGCTGCTCAAAATGACTCATCAGAAAAATTTGCCGTTGAAAACCGGTGGATTCCTTCCTTCATTGCTTGCGGTGACCTTTCCGCTTGGGACTCTGATGCCTCATATGCTCTGCCCCCTGATCATGTCAGTCTGGATCCTGTCCAGCCGCCTACGGCCCCTCCTTACCGACGCGCTTTGGAGATGAGAAAGGAAAAAGGTGGTGCGTACGGGAAGACCAAACTGGGCGCCATGGGGCGAGCATAATAGCTGCTGGTCCGATTGCATGGGAGGGCACCTTGTGTATATATTGCATTTGCTCATGGTGTTCTTTTTTCGATGTTTTCATGAATATTTCCTTGGTTTTGATGAGAAGACGATCGATGTCCCTACGGAGTTTGCTTCATACGGAGCAAAGCATATCTAAAAGTATATAGCAGATACCCATAGAATAAACAATGAATGGTTAAAAAAGCAATTAATTCTATAAGGCGAGATTTTTTAGATCACAAAAAAAGAAACAAGGTCTATCGTGTTCAAGTCATGCCAAATAGCGCTAAACCCAACCGGGAAATTCATATCGTCAATCATGCACAGATTGCGGGATCTGCAGATCTGTACTCAAAATCCACCACACCCCTCATTGCCAACGTCTAGTAGACTTCCAAGACGTATCTCTCCTCATCCTTCAACTTCTCAATCTCCTTGCGGGCTTCGACCTTCTTGCCCTTGAGCTTGGCGTCAGTGGCGATGGCCTCCTCCAGCACAGCAGTGACGTCGGGAACGGGCCAGGTAGGACCGCAGAGGTAGAAAGCACCCTCTTCGCGGATGTACGCCTGCATGATCTCGGGCAGAGACTCGCGCATACGATCCTGGATATAGATCTTCTGAGGCTGGTCACGAGAGAAGGCGGCACCCAGGAGGGTGACAACGCCAGCGGCTTGGTAGGCCTCCCATTCCTCTCCGTAGCAGTATTCCTCGCGCTGGTGACGAGAACCCATGTACAGGAGAACGGAACCGATTTCCTTTCCTTGGGCCTTCTCGAGAGCACGGTGCTGGACGAAGGCACGGAACGGAGCGAGACCAGTTCCCAGACCAGCCATGATGAGGGGCTGGGTGGACTTGGGGGGCAGCTTCATCACACTGGACTTGACACTGACGGTGACAGGAGCGCCAGGTCGGAGACGGCTGAGGTAGCGGGTGGCCTGTCCGAAACGGTCGCGGCCCTTGGGGTCGGTCCAGGTGACGGCAACGATCATGAGAGCAACGGATGTCGGGGTCACCTTCTGGCAAGAGGCGATCGAGTACTCGCGGCGCTTCGATGGGCCGACGATGCGGATCAAGTCGTGGAAGTCAGGGTGGGCAGATGGGAAGTCAAGCAAGACGTCAGCAAAGGTGACATTGTCAACCTCAGCACGACGCTTGAATTCCACGGCACCCTCAGGACCACCCAAGGTAAGAAGCTCCTTCTTCTCATTCTCGTCGCTGGCAAACTCGGCAAGAGCTTCATAGAAACGCTTGGGAGGACGGCCGAAGATGTCGACGTTCTGCACGAGGGCCTGGTACACGGTGCGGTTTTCAAACACGGAGGCATCCTCGCGACTGGGCACCTCAACAATGTCGTCAGGGTTCAAACCATAGAATGTAATGAATTCCGAGACATCATTGGCATCGTTCTCAGCGTGGACACCCAGTGCTTCACCAATGTCGTACTTGAGACCAGAGTTGCCCAAATCGAACTCGATGTGGAAGATGTTTCGGTCATAGGTAACGGGGGTAAGACGTCTGTTCTCCTGGACGTGGACGGTGAAGGTCTTGGTAGCCGTCTCAGGGCGAAGGGAAGCCTGGGTACCGTAGGCTTCCTTGAAAGCCAGACCCTTTGCGGCAACCTGCCAGTCCTTGAGAACGGAAGCAGGCTCATCCTCGGCCTTGTCGAAGGAAACGAAGCTGTTGGGGAAAATGTCCTTGGGAAGCTCAGAAGCCTCGACGGCCTCTTCGGGCGTCTTCCATCCCTCTGGGATCTCGAGCTGGCGCAGCACCTTCTCGAGGTCCTTGGTAACATTTTCCAGAGCCTCGGCGTTGCCAATGATGGAAGACAGCTTCTTGGTGGCGAGACCCTCCTGAGATGGAAGGGCAACGCGCAAGAAAGCAGCCTGCAAGATGAGAGACTCGAGGGAGGAATCGTCAACAGCCGATGGGTCGACAATGAAGAGAGAGATTCCACGTTCGGCAACTGCCTGTCTGAAAGCGGCAGGCAACTTCTTCTCAAGCTCGTCATCCTTAACACCAGGTGCGTTGACAATGACCTTGCCGTTGTCCTTGACGGAAGCGAGAACATCGACATCGCCCAGGAGCTTGATCTGTCCGACGTAGGCAACATCGGCGGAGCTCACTGCGTAGGGAGCGTCCAAGATCTTAGAGCTCTTGCGGATATCGACACGAACAGCTCCACCCTGGACAAGGTTGTCGTGAACAGTGCTAGTGGTGACATTGCTGGCGGAATCAGCGGCAAGGGCCTGAGAAAGAACGGTGGCAGCGTTGTTGCAGTCAGAGGTGTCAACATCCCAGAAAGTGTATTCCTGAACAGTGGCAGGGTCGAGCAACTGCAAGGGGGTGGCCTGGCCTTCAGCCTCGGTCTGGATAATCGGCTTCTCGGAGATGAGCTGGAATGCTGCAGCAGTGTTCACCAGATCCCAGCGCTGGGAACGAGCATATTTGATGTCGACGCAAGAGGGGGTCTGCTCACGACCGGTGGCAAAGGTCAATGCCGCCAGAACATCCTCGTAGAGAGCAGAGCGGATGCCTTGCTCCTTAACAGCCTGGTCATTGACGACCTGGCCGAGAACACCGACGGTCTTGGTGGATTGGGGAAGAACTCGCAAGAACTCCTCCTCGACGAAGGGGCGGTACACACGAACGTTGATAACACCAACGCGAGCACCATCCTTAGCCAGGGAGCGGGCAACCTGAGCAGTGAGGGACGCCTCAACGGTACCGAATGCAACGAGGACAGATTCAGGCTCCGCATGGCCGTGGTATTCAAACAGACCATAGTCTGTACCGAGCTCGCCGTTCAGAGACTGGAGCAGGTCGAGCAGCTTGCCTTGAGCATCGAGGTGACGGCTGCGAGAGTCCTCCAATGTCTTTCGGATAGTCTCATAAGTGCGCGAGAGACCAGCCTTGTCGAGAACGTCAATGACTCGGGTGGTCTCACGGCCGACGCGAACACCGTCATAGATGTGAATGGATGGCAGAACCGAGGAGAGCAGAGTGGTGAGGAGTGCCATGTGCTGGGATTCGTGGACAGAGGCACTGGAGACCAAACCAAGGCCCAGCTCTTCGGCGAGGGAGAGGGCGGAGGCATAGTCGGAAACCAATCCCTCCTCACCAGCATAGTCAACAGCTGCGACATGCGCGGCGAGAGGGCTGGCAACGGAGTACAGCAGGGAGAGCTGCTCCAAAGCGGATCGCATGAAAGGGAGGGTGGCGGACGAAGCGACAACACCCTGGGGCACATGGCGCTTCTTCAAGTCGAAGTCTTGAGAGAAGAGGTAACCGAGGGCAATGTTTCCAGCACCCTGGCGAGTCTCCATGGCCTTGACGGCGGGAGATTCGCCATTAGCATTGACCTCCTGGCTGGATGCCCATTGCTTGAGAGCAGCATCAAGATCGAAGGACTCTGGGGAGTAGGAGAAGACCTTGTCACTCAAGACATAGGCGACTTGCTGGATCAGCGTCTGGGCGGTCACATAAGTAGGGCCACTAAGAGCCGACAGGGCTGGGGAAGAAGAGCCCATGATGAAGATGTCTTGTCTGGATACCGGACACACAACACCGATATCTATGTGAAGAAGACAAGAAGGAGAGGGGTATGGAGAAGAATATAAAGGAAATTGAGCGGGGGCAAGGGAATATTAATCCAAACGCCCTGGTGGTTTTCGGCCGTATAGAAAAACTCCATACTCCGGCCCAAAGCGGTTAGCGTGGATCACGCAATTTTCTTATCGATAGATGGCAAAAGGCGGCGAAAAGCGGCAAAACGTTCCGTTTTCGGAGCATCCCCGCATTAGTCAGCAGCTCGTGCTTCGCTGCCTGAGGCTGTAAACTTACCCTCCTTGGCCTAGCGTCAGTTGATCCACACTAACCGTATATGACTAGTGTGTTTCGATGATATCAACCCTTGGAGCAAGCGTCATTTCATTTATCCCTTTAAAAACATCCTTCACGGACTACGGAAGATACCTCTATCCGACTTGCTAATTTATCCATAGTAATACAAAAACCACTCTGTAAATATGGCTGGTGTGGCCTTGCTCGGAAGCACGGGGATGGTGGTAAGTCGCATGCTCCTGCTGCGCTTCCCTGCGTGGCCCCCCTTATGCACACGGGGTAATTTTATCATAATTCCATAATAATCTGATCCATCTTCTGCGCCTTCAGGGTACCCATATCCTCTCCAGTCTTCTTTCAAACCCAGCTGTTGCGCGCGTGGATACCATTTCCCGTCGCACGCCTCCGGCCGCCAGCGCCGCCCAAACCAAGCTGACCACGTTTGTCTCCGATGATACTTCGCGCTGGGCGAGTCAGCTCTCCTCTCTGACCCCTGTGCCCTCCATTTTTATCTCTTCCTTTGCAACGACACGTGGTGCTGCTGGGGGATTTGAGAACCAGTACAAGATCGAGCATGATCTGAACATCGAGATGGCACGTGCGGCGCACGACGCAGGAACCAAGGTGTACGTACTGATTTCGAGCAACGGCGCCAGTACCACTTCTTCGATTCCCTACACTCGTATGAAGGGTGAAATTGAAGAACATGTGAAGGAGATAGGGTTCGAAAGGACGGTCATCCTACGCCCTGGACTCATCGCAGGCCAGAGAGACGAAAGCAGACCGATGGAGGCGGCTGTCCGCTTCATTGCAGGTGCCATGGGCAAGTTGCACTCCAGTCTGAAGGATAGCTGGGCACAGGAATCGGATGCCATTGCCAGGGCCGCGGTTAATGCAGGTCTCAAGGCCCTGAACGGCGATGTTCCTGCGGGCAGCGAGAAAGTCTGGATTCTGGGCGGCAGTGATATCCTCCGTCTTGAGAAGGAGTCTTCTTAATTGCCCCGAAATGCTGTGAAACTGTCAGATTCTTTGTATGATCGCATTGTATTCATGACTTGATATCCATTTATATAATGATTTGCGTTGTCCCTGCTCGAAGATATTGCTGGTTTCAATTCCCGTGCTTTCATAGATAATAAATAACTATTCGACGCATGGTTTTTATGTACAACACCGAATCCCTATACCTATACAACAAGTTCAACCTAAAAACAACTCATTTTTTTCTAAGACCAGGGTTCACCGTCTTGTGCTTATGCGTTTGTCCTCTCGAGCTCGCCGTCGTTTTCTGATGACTGCTATCTCCTTCCTCTTGTGCCCAATCACTCACATCCTTGTTCGCAGGGCTCATATCCAGAGGATTACTGACTTTCCCCTCCTGTCTAGATTCCTCCTCCGTAGCTTGTATTTCACTCTCAGGCGATGTCTTGGAGGGATCGTAGGCTGCTGGATGTTGGGCTACTTCGCTATCGGTGCCGGATTTCGTAACTTCCGATCTTTCGGGGTTCAACGTCGTTCGGTCTTGCTCCTTGTTGCTATCACTCGTGCGCAATGAAGGGGCGCCGTGGAAAGCCCGTGTCTGTTGAGCGGACGAGGCAATTGGGGGGTGGAATTGTCGGAGGCTTCTGGTGGCAGCCAGGCCGTGCTGGCTAATTGAAGTGATTCTGCTGAGCATCGTGATGTTTCTTTAAAACAATGATCTGTCTTGCTGTGTGGTGGTGGAGCGAAATTCTCGGTCAAATCGAAAATTGAGGCTATACGGAATTAGCTTCCGCTACTGACTGTGATGAATATATATAGTATCCGTACCTTTTGATAATTCACAGAGTATGAATTCGACGAAGATTCAAAGATTAATGATCCGAGAGAAAAAGGAGTCAGTCGTTCTTCGCTTGTCTGGTTGTAGGTTGTATTCAAAGTCATGTTGACGTCATCGCCCTACAAATGAAACCTGCTGCCAGCCACTTATCTATGATGACTCTGACAGCCATGCAATCGGCATCTGCAAAATACAACGAAGGGCTCTACATAGTAGTTTTGCTTTTAGCAAATACCGGGAGTAAGTACTAGGTTTAGCCAGGAGAGGGGAATAGTCGTCTCATGAAATGCACAATATATATCCTGGTCAACTATTACTATATCGAGTGAACGTGGGCAACCCGGCAGTAGAACAAGTGGCAAATACTAACGCTGGGCCACTCAGCCAAAAGAAGCACAATAACTACTAAAAAAAAAAAAAAAAAGAAAAAAAAAATTAAAAATATAGAAAGAAAATGCTATTCAAACTAGTCTCCAAAGGCCAGGTGACCACCTCAGAAGTCAGCATCTGCGGCATCGAAGATCATAATATCCTGGAAACTAGTAGCGGAACAACGAATGCGTCAGGGCCATAGCAGAGCGCAGCGTTGTCTCTACAGTCAAAGGCAAGATGAGCCTGGCCCTGCCACGTCAACAAATGTGTCGACTCAACCTCCGTCAAAGCGTAGATGCGGCTCCGTGATAATATCACAGCTGTATCTACATTGGTGCAGCATCTTGCAGTTGCCTCTGGCGTATTTCCGGATCTGCATGCTCTCGTCAACGCAGTGCGATGAGATAACTGTCAATTATCAAAAATATATTTGAAATAAGTCCAGCGGATTCCGATATGGACTGGGTGTTCATGCTCATGGCTTGAACTATTGATCTGAGAAACACACACACTGATTCATGGAAAACCTAGAGACAGCCAGTAATATCGTATGCGGGAAGACTAGTCATTTTGAGCTCTTCTGATCGCTGCCCGTACAGCGGAGTCAAAGGAAAAAAAAGCAAAGGTATGAGCGTTGTGTCGAGCATAGGCTGTCTACTCTGTGAATTGGACGAGGACACTTGCAGATGCGAGGGGCCCAACTCTGGCTTTCTGTGAACGGCCGAATAGTGGACCCCCGAGTCATAGGTATTCTGTGATCCCGGGAGGCCTAGAAATCATAGCGTAACTGACAGGGTACTGCACTAGTTGCATATGGCTGGGCCGCCATCTAGGGAACTTCATTGGATGCAATTATCAGTTAACATTTAGCATCTTTTCACCTCCTAGCCAATCTTATTCCACAAACGCCCTGCGATAGCAAAGGCCCTCCTTCACCTTATAATTTCAAAAACCAGATTGGAAGCTTCTATCTGCCGCTGACCGTAGCATGCGCGTGCAATCCACGGGAAGCTCCGTGAACTACACAATCACGGGATCTGAGGAGCCCGGCGGTCTGGAGAGTGTATGTGGGTCGCAGAATTCAAATTTAACGTTGAAGCAGGTCAGTGGATGATGAACCTGCAGGCAGAGAAACGCAGACGCAAAGTGTCAACCAGATGAATTCATCTGAGACGGCAAAAACACAGTAAATCGAATGGTTGGGTAGATATTCCAATAGAGAAGTCTGTAAATGTTCAGCCCAACCCTTGCTGAAAGCATAATGGCTTGGATTAGAAGCGGGCTAAAAATTGCCGGACGTAAGACGGGTTGCGAGAGGAAAAGAACAAGGGTGGCAACACGGTTCGAGGGTTCAGGTATCAATCAATTGCCTCTTCCATGGAGGTGCGGTTAGTTCTCACAGCTGTTACCTCACCCCAGCCGTATGCCAGCATTGGATACCGCTGAGTTGGCATTCAGTGTCTTGCCATGGATAAGTTGCTCGAGTTCCTCAGCGTACAGGTGATTAAACCGGGCTGCCCGACGATCGTGCGTCATGTCAACGAAATCCTAATTGACAAGCCTAGAACAAAAGGACAGGCATGGGATCGATTTTCAGGGTTCCGAGAAGTGGAGGACCAAAATCGATGTTCGTCTATTCGTCAATACCAAGTAAACAGAGATCCCAGGCCTTCCAGTCTTTCCGAGAAGCTGTGAGCCGATGGCTTCCTCGCTTCAAAAAATCCCTGAGCAAGCAAAATTTAAAATCATAGACTTCACGAGGGGCGCCACGTCAGTAAGTCTTCGAGTTTTAGTGCAGCTGCATGTTGTTCAACAGTAGCCGTATCGTGTCACGGCTTGTATCTACCATGTCCGATGTACAGCAGTGATGTCCTATCAATTGAACCGAGAAAGGCAAGTCAACGAAGATAAACCCTGCACCTGGGCGGGGGCAAATGCGGGATTATCCTTCTGCAGATGTGAAAGATCAGCTGAACTGGAGCACATCCTGATGATATATTGCGTTCATCACACCACTATGGACAATAGTAACTCAGAGGCCAGTGCCAACGGTGCAATGGATACCAATCGAGATGCCTTAGTGACGCGGCATTTGCCACTTAGGGCATCAACTGTTGGTTAGTATGGACCAAACGGGAACATGCGGAGGAAAGGAGACAATTTTCGGGCAAAACATCGAGTATTTTGTGATTGGCAGTTGGGAATGAGACAGGAGGGTCAGTACGTAGGGTTGCAACCAAGTGTCCCAGGTGATGGTACCAGAACATACCAGGTTTCCGCCACACAATAAGAAAAAATGAAATGAAGTCTCAAAACAATTGAGGCAAATGCGTGAAGCGTCACACTAAGTGTGGCTTTCCCTTCGGACAAAAGGCCGTCTCAAAAGTCATGTCACGGCATCGCTGGGTAATATCCGAAGCAATTGGCTAGGAATGAGCAACGACATTGATGAACATAGCAGGATGGCTGGGAGTCTCGGGCCAAAAGACACGGCAGAGCAAAGGAGTCATCACATTGACAAGGGGAGGTAAAACAATGGTTTCCTTTTTACTGGAACGCAAGGTCTCCCCTGGATGAAAAGCCTCCAATGCGAGATGGCATGACAGCTGGCATGAGTTCAACAGAAACTCAATTATGCAGGAGCTTTGATTCAATAAGCGAAGGGGATAGATCCGGTTCTCGAAAATGGCATAATGGAGGAGCACCGATGAAGCGGGGAAGAGCAATGGAACGACGAAGGCTGCAGTAGCAGTCCAATCTATGGAACGGGGAAGATTGCTCTGCGAATGAGAATTTTTCAAACGCTGAACCATGGAAGAAAAAGAACAGAATATGCCACGACACCAGGGTGCATGCATACATGAGGCAATGGCTGATTTCGATGGCCCCATTAGAGATATTGTGGAATCTCGTGTCTCCACTATTGGGAGAACTCACGATAGCCAACCACATGAAGCATCCCAAGTATGTGACTTGAATGTGATGATAGAAGGCCAGAGACGATAAGCCATCACACATTGAGGGGCGTTGATCGACAATTGATGGCCGTAGGAAAAAGAAGCCAAAACCGTGGCCTGCGGACTTCATTTGGAACATAAATAGGACTCTCCAGGCCCTTCAGCACCATATATTTTTTTCTCAATCAACATTAGTTTCAGACCTGGCCTTCCCAGAAATTATCATAAGCAATAAGCTCTTCTTCTTCAAAGAAAGTGTTTCAACTTCCTTAACCTGCGATCAGTTCTCACTGGGCCTCGACCAAGCATAGCCTATCAAACCTTTGCAGCGCGGCAGACCGTCAGCCCCAACCAATAGCATACAAGGCAGAAGGTGAAACGACAATTCTGCAACAGTTATAAGTGAGTTTTATCAAGGCCCCAGGCAGGACACTTCTGACAGATTTGATAGGCATGTGCTTTTACGACCAGAAGATCTTTGTGTGCGGAGACTGGAGCTGGGCCAAGTTTGCTCACCGTTGCAATTACGAGTATCGAACTGGCGAGACATGCGGCATGAGACTCGTTAACCAAACTGAGAGGGAGCAAACACCATGCCGCCTTTGCGAAAAGATCGAAACCAAGCATCGTCGGCGAATCGCCGAGAAGGAACGGCTGGACCGATGGCAACGAGAAGGAAGCAATCTTGTGGCCTCGATGGATAAATCGAAGAACACGATACTGGAGCTTGAAAAGGAGATCGCCGCCCTGAACAGCGAGCGCATCAGTCAAAGGACACAGATGATTGGGCGGTCTTGAGTCGACACCGGAGAGTGGCCTGTCTTTTTGTTCCTGTTTCTTTTCGCCTCTTTCTCTTTTTCTTTTTCCTATAATATTCCCTCTTTTGCGATTCCTTTCTATTTCAGATCCTGTCAATTATGGTCAGGACCATGTCTCACACTAATGAGTTCCCCTATTTTTCTGGTTCATTGACTGGCTTCACTTCGAGCTGGCTTCTTCAAGGTCATGGACAAACCTGGACGGTGGTTGGAAGAAAAAGTCTAAATTCCTGTCTATTAACGACGAAATCCCAATGAGAATTGATGATTTTCGAAAAATTGCACATCATGGTGGCTCATCATTGGAAAGTTCCACTTCATAAGCGCCTACGCTCTGGTTGAGCGGTTCGCCGAAATAAATATAGGACCATGGTATAGTGAAAAGAGCGAGTAGCAAATCTGGAGATGTTGATCACAGGTATCCCGGTGTTTCGGGTCCCTGACGAGGGCATCGTGCGAACCATGGAGTATGTATGATCTTCAGACTCTGCTGAATTCAACAATACTGACAATGGCAAGCTTCGAGATCAGTCGATGAAGTTGGAACCCCGCGTCCAGCCTCCCCTTGGTCTCAGGTGACTGATTCCATATCCGGTTAGTGGGATCAAAATCACGTGCACAACACCTTGGCTATCTTACACTGTGGGCAAAAAGTGATGCTGGATAACTTACTAAACAAGGAATTCAGGCAAAAGAAATTCAATTATGTGTATCAAATTGCGTATACGATATTGAATCTTGTAAGAAAAAAAAAATAAGCATCGAAGGTTGAGGGGTAAATACATGATGGAATGGAGTATTCGGAAAAGGTCCAGAGAGTACTAACCAAGAATCCACAAATACTTTAATATGATCTTTGGTGTTCTGGCTATAATAGCATACTGAGAGAGGAGTTAGACACCTTAATGATTTGAGATAGAAGATTCTATCCTCAATGGTAGCTTGGAGTGCCAGTCTTTATATCTACACGGATCACTCAAGCGCTCAAGGCCTCCAAGCCGAAGACTACGTGGTCCCATTTATTCCAAGTAAAAATTCTTCAGAAAAACCCGTAACATGCTTCATCAAATTGGGTTGAAGGTTTACAAAGTAATCAAGGATGCAAGTGCTCGCTGCCAGACGTCGCCGCTTGACACGTCACCACTGGACAACGTCAAGGTTTGCTTCAGGTACAGAGTGAAAGATTTCAAAATTGCTGTTTCAATACCATCTTCATTCATTGATTGCGATAATCCTAGATGCCATCCCGTAAGATTGATAAATGAGAACAGGTCTTCCTTTTTGATACACAAATCCCCACAAACAAAGATGCGACTAGGCGTTTCGTGGATGTAAGTGGTGTTATCTTATTTAATTTCGCCAGCCTCGGGCTCGTCATCAACTTTAGCCAGCCCGTGTTCCCTCAGAAGAGCATTGATCTCATCCGCGTTCCACAAATGATGATAAATCTTTCCATCCTTGGTCTTTCCCACGGTTGCAAATTCGACTAAAGAGTAAGAGTGTCAAGTTAGCAAATGGTGCCCAGCAAAGACATAAAGTATGTGCGGTCACTCACTCTTTTCGCTGCTTAGCTTTGTCGAATCCATTGTCTTGCTTAGAACCTTGACAGCCATGGCACAAGCTTCCTTCAAGTCACAGTCTTCCTTGTAATCCTGCTTGAGCAGACTTTGGGCACTAGCATTGTTGGCTCCCACACTGGTAGCCTTCCACCCACCATAGTTACCGCTGGGGTTGCTCTGGTACAACTGGAACTGTCGGAGAGGATCGTAACCTGCGTAGATGAAAGAGACACCGAACGGACGGAGACCACCGTGCTGAGTATATCCTTGCTTGAGATCGCATAGTCGACGAACAAGTTGTTCGCAGGGGATTTCCTCGTTGTAAGTGAGAAGATAACGCTGGGCGGCTTGTCGGGCGTAGTTGATAAGGATGTTTGCATCTGCAGTCATACCGGCAACAGCGCATATCATGTTACTGGGCAGCATTAGCTAGTCGAAAAATACGATATAGTCCGTCGGATAGACACTCCATACTCGTTCAGTGTGTAAAGCTTCTCCGCTGACGTATCCTGCTCCAGCAACTTGCTGGTCACCTTCTTCTCGGCAGCGAGGACGATTCCATCTTTGGCTAGGATTCCCAAAGCTGTACCGGCATGTGAGATTGCCTCAAGGGCATATTCGACCTGGTAGAGTCGGCCCTCCGGTGAGAAAATCGTCGTCTGTCAAAGAACATCAGTGTTAGCTGGAGCTTCCTTCCCTGCCAACGGAATGACGAGATGACATACCCTTGAATCGTATCTCCGTGACATCTCGTATTAAACACAGAAAACAAAAGAATTACTATGCAACAGAATCTAAAAATCAAAGCAAGTTGGCGGGGCGGGGAAGTCGTGATGAAGAGTGGGTTCTGGAGGAGCTGTGGAAGATGAGGTGGTGAGCTCCAAGTGACTGGCAGGCAACTCGCCCTGGCGCGTCCTCCGGCCGGGCTGACCACCCGCCAAGCTCGGGCCACTTGCGAATTTCCCCATGCGAAGCTCCCACAGAGAACTTCAAGACAGGCTGACTGCAGTTTGAACAGTCTGAATTATGAACCAAGCAGTACACTATTTGAACATTTAATTTGATAGAACAACAGCGCTTAATACTGCGACCATAATGCTTAAATCAACATATGCCGCACTTCCTCCATTACCACCAGGATGGACGGAACATAAAGCTCCTTCAGGTTTGTTTGTCAGAAATGCCGATAAGAAGCCTTTGTTCCTAATTGTACAATAGGTCATCTATACTACTATAATGCAGAGACCAAAAAATCTACCTACACTAGGCCGCAGGCGCCTGTTGCCGCTCCACCTCAACCTTCTCCGGTCGTTCCAGATGCTGCTCACAACGCTCCATTCCTTACGCCGGATACATTACCACCCTTTTCTTCAACGCCCTATGGAGGATTTGGCACTACGTATCAAGGCGCCCCTCATCAGGGGACTCCCCATCATGGACAAGCTCGTGGGGGTTTCCGTGGCGGAAAAGGCTATCAAGACCGCAAACACCGCGGTCCGGAGGATAGACCGAAATCAAAACATTCTATACCTGGGTGTGCACCATGGGTGCTTGTGAAAACGAAGCTTGGGAGGCGATTCGTGCATAATACGGAGACCAATGAAAGTTTCTGGAAGTTCCCTTCAGGTGTGTTGAAGGGTGTCGTCGAGTATGACCGTCTAGAAAGAGAGAGAAAAGAGAGACGGGAACGCGGTATTGAGAGTGAGGAAGATGAGAAACCAGAGCCAGAAAAAGCCCCCTCCGGTAAAGTTGAGCGCGAACAGGCCGAACCTAGTGCTTCTCTGGGAGCTGGAGAAGAAAGCGACGAATACGAAGAGGTGGAGGTGACAGACAGTGAGGGTGAAGGACAGCCTTCTAAACGACCAAGAACAGAGGAAGGAGGTGATCAGCAACAGCCCCTGGAATTCACCGAGGATGATATTGAGTACCAACTCGCGGCAATGGGTGAGGACTACGGGCTTGACCCCGGCGAATACGGTGAACCGGGCGAGGATGGCTGGGAAGAAGGTGCAGAAGGTCTTCCATTGACAGAGGAAGATGCAATCGCCCTTTTCCGTGATATGCTCGACGATTACCGCATAAGTCCATTTTCCACATGGGAGAGGTTGATAGAAGAAGGCAGCATTATAGAAGACAGCAGGTATACCGTGCTTCCAAATATGAAAGCGCGACGCGAAGCTTGGTCTAACTGGAGTCGTGACCGCGTTCAAGTATTAAAAGAACGCAAAGAGAAGGAAGAAAAGCAGGACCCCCGCATCAAATACCTTGCCTTCCTCCAGGAACGTGCGACCCCCAAACTTTACTGGCCAGAGTTCAAACGCAAGTACAGAAAGGAACCCGAGATGAAGGATTCTCAATTATCCGATAAGGATCGCGAAAAGTTTTATCGTGACCTGATCTCACGAATTAAACTTCCAGAGAGCAACAGAAAGTCGGATCTCTCTGCTCTTCTCAAGTCGATTCCAACATACGCCTTTAACCTGTCCTCAAGTCTGGAAACTCTCCCGCCAGCGATCATAACCGACCTTCGCTATATCGCACTCGCCCCCAAAGTGCGTGATCCGCTCATCCAAGCCTACATTTCTACCTTGCCCCCCGCGCCTGAGGAAGAAATGACCGCAGAGCAACGAGAGGAGCTTGAAAAGAAAAGAATCGAGCGCGAGAAGCGCGAAAAGGCTCTTGCTGAACGTGAGAAACGGGTTCAGGAAGAGAAACGCAAGCAGCGAGGCAACCTTGTACGTGGCAAGCATCTCCTGGAAGAAGGAGAGGCGGAAATTGAAGAGGCCATGAAGGTTGGCAAAAGCGGACTCCGAAGCTATATGGACGTGGATAGTCAACCAGCAGCGGAGGGTGGAGAAAAGCAGGCGTGATGGACATGTCATTTCTAGTAATTACACGGAGATTTAGAACTTTGAGTATGACTGAAAATGTATATTATTTCTATTGTGATTTTCCCTTCCATATCGCTTGACCACTCAGCTGTCAGATAATCCAGGTTGCCCTTCCACTCTTTATTCATACATCTTTCTGTCTTTGCTAATATTAGGGGTTGATCCAGAGCTCCGATATTAAATACAAAACAAGTTATCCATATGCTGCAAATACTTGACTTTTCACCAAGGCCACCGTAAAAATACCCTGACACATTAGAGGGCAAAGTAACGCTTTTTTTGTTTTGAGCAATTTCATATAGCTCGTCATTTAGTTCATATGGGTATCAATGTAAATATGACAATCCAAGACCTCCCTCTTATGAAATGGCGCCTTCAGTTGTCCACCCCAGACTCGTATCTTTTTATCATTTTTTTTCATCTTTATTTTGGTTTTCTTCGGCGAGAAATTACCTGAATCTCCAGTTGTCCCAGTCATCATCGTCGTCGTCTTCATCATCGTCGTCATCGGCGTTTTCGCTGGCGGCCTCAGCATCTTGTTGCTTCGACTTGGTGATGGTAGACGGATGCCCTTCAGCCTCATCGGCGGCCCGCTTTTCTCTCAGCTCCTCCCGTTTGTGTTTGAGCCTCCTAACTCGCTCTTCAAGTTGTTCCATCTCATCAAATTCATCTTCTAAGAATCGAGCGGCATCCTCCCGTTCACCCTCAGCCTCGGCTTCACGTGTTCTTGACATTGACTCCTTCTCTTTCTCTTGCTGTGCTGCAAGTTGTTCCGCGGAGACAGGTGCTGCTGATATCGTGGCTGCTGCTGAGATGGCAGCGGGTGCCTGAGGCAGGCGACTTGGTGCCGCCACTTCACGTTCAAACGCTGCCCATTCATCTTCGTCAATGGACTGAGAAGTATCTGCGGCCGGTTTCGAAGCTGCGGACGGAGCTGTGGGAGGTTCTGCGGTCGCTTCATGATTTTCTAGCTCAAGTTCAGACTCTGGTGGAAACTCTGGTCCGGCTGTTTTGCTCTCTGTTTGTTGTTGCACATCTTCCTCTTCTTCTAAAGCCTGGGCACTCGGCGGCTGTACCGATGGATGTTGCTCTGGTTTCACATCTGTAGATCTCATCTTTTTGCGCGTCAAATCATCCCCGTTATCTACCTTTCGCTTCTTGGTAACTCGACCTGCTGTGCTCCCCGGTTGGCTTGCGCCCTTGCGAGAGGCAAGCTCATTTCGAAGTAATGAACGAACGTCTGCCATTGTGAAATGTAAGGTAACCTTGTTTTTTTTTTTTTTTTTTTTTTTTAAAGAAAGTAAATAGATGAAGCTATAACAAAGCAAGGTACTGGAAGGAGACAAGTATCGGATGAAGCGTGATCAGGGTGAAGTGAAGTGAATATTATATTATTATTATGTGGAGATCTGGAGAAGGTGACGATGCGAAAAGACGCCAAAAGGCAAAAGGATACGCGACGAAAAAGCGCCTGGCGTGTGCCAAGACCTCAAGGGCCATCCCCCGCCGAGCCTCAGTCACGTGCTGCTGCATTAGTCACGTCGCGAACACCATCTCCTCTCATTCTCCTCTTTTCCCAAGTCCATCACCTTAACATCACCTCTCCATCCACCCTCAGTCTTCTTGACTACCGGTTTTATTGTGAACTATCATCCGTGCGCTCTTACTGCGATTAAGCTCTCGAGGTTTTCTCAATTTATATTCAAGTGATCAGTATCAGGACAGGCTTTTTTTCACGCGACCCCGCTCACGCCAAGCATTCAAGTTGCGCGACGGGCAGTTGAACGAATTTGAGCAACAACCCAGGGATACATTTGTGGCTGCGCGTGGTTATTCTCGACAAAGATATTGGAAGGTCGAGCAGACGAAGTAATACCTCTGGACCAGGCAACATTGCCACTGTCCGGTGTCTTTTCCTGCGTATTACTTAGCCCCCTGATGCCGTAGAAAGAGAGCTGTTGGGTGGCGTGCACAACTTGCTCGGGGCAACAATTTCCTTTTACCATACAAAGCGCCGTAGAATACTTGAGTGACTCAATCATTATCTACTTTTATCATGGCTGGTAAGCAATAGTATGCCGTTTTCTGCGGATGTCTCGTGAAATCACCCAGGAGTGGGTAGTGAGACAGTCTAAGGCAGATCCCTCAACTTTGTCGAATAGCAAGCTAACCACTATGTTGTTAGATGAACCGCGACGCTCTGGCCGCTCGACGAAGGGCCAACACAAGAATCTTGACATGGTCACGGAGACGCCGGCGAAGAAATCGAAGTCGAAAGGCCAACTGAAAGAAAAAACATCGAAACCCTCCGCCGAACCAACACCTGCTCCCAGCGAAGAAGAAGAAGAGATCATCCGGTGTATATGTGGCGAGTATGAAGAAGAGGAGGATGTTGAACGGGATATGATTTGCTGCGACCAGTGTTCAGCATGGCAACACAACGACTGCATGGGCCTCACATTCGCAAAGGGAGAGGAGCCTGACCAATACTTCTGTGAACAATGCAAACCTGAAAACCATAAAGTTCTTCTGGATAAGATTGCGCGCGGCGAGAAGCCCTGGGAGGAAGCCGCCGAAAAAAGGCGCAAGGAAGCCGAGGAAAAGAAGTCGCGACGCAGAAAAGGCAAACGGGGTGGAAAGAAAGGCAGGCCAAGCGAATCGAGGCCAAGCGAACCCAGGCCCAGTGAATCCAGACCAAGTGAATCGAGGCCAAGTGAACCTAGACCGAGTGAACCCAGACCGAGTGAACCCAAGACAGAGGCGAGCACACCGGCCCCCACGGCCCCCACGGCCCCTTCTGCAACCCCGGTCTCTGCTGGTAGGACTTCTATACCCCCGGCTCCACCCTCTGCAACGCCAGTCCGAGAAGAGAAGAATGGTGATGTTGGCGATGCTCGACCAGCAAGTACACAAAAACGAAAGTTTGACGAGCACCAAGAAACCACACCCTCCGAAGAAACTGTGAGTTCACTTGAATCTTTTCTCATATCTGTTCAATTACTAACTTTTCACCTTCCAGGGCCCGAAATTGAAGCAACAACGAGTATCACCACCAGCCAAAGAGGTGACACCGATAGAAGCAAAGGAGCCACAAGTGAAAGCTGGATCTCAGGCACCGGCTTCTCGACAAGGCTCTGTGGCAGAGACAGTCACAGCCACGGCTGAAGAGCTATGGAAACCCGAAGATATTTCGAATCCAGCCCGGAGAAGTGCCGCCACTGCTCTAGTCAAGTTATTCGTAGATCAGATTTCTGAAGCTCAGAAGCGAGGATCTTTCAGCTTGCCCAAAGGAAAGCCAGCGGAGGACTTCGCACGGCAGCTCGGTATTTCGATCGAGAATGCTATGTATCAGAGTATCTGCGGAGGATCTGGAGAACCAACTGAGCCATATAAGTTACAATTGCGGACGATTCTGTTCAACGTAAAGAAGAACGTTTCTCTACGCGACCGTCTGCTCGTAGGTAGTTTGCTCCCAGATGCCCTCTCTAAGATGAGCTCTCAGGACATGGCAAGCGAGGAACTACAGCAGAAGGATGCCGAGATCAAACGAGAAGCAGAAAGGCAGCATATCATCGTGCAGGAACAAGGGCCTCGGATTAGACGAACGCACAAAGGAGAAGAACTCGTCGAAGACGAAGCTCACACTGTCGCCAGCGAGCCAGTCTTCTCAGCGGCCCCGGCCCGTCGCAGCATTGCTGATGCAGATGGTAGTCCTACGGCGACAAGCCCGACAAGCCCAGGAACCAAGCAGCAGTCAGAATCGCGCGAGTCTCGAAAGCCTGCCAAACCGCAAACTATCGATACGAAGATGACTGATGCAGCAGACCATGACCAGCGTTTCCCAAGCATTCATTCGCCTGGTGGTGCAGATCACGATCAAGTTTTCCCGGAGGTTTCCACCCATATTCGCGAGCCATTGCCAACCGGAAAGGTCCAGGCCGATGCGGAGATCGACCATCTGTTGAGAGACGACGAGGAGCCCGACTCACCTCCATATTCGCCCAAGGAATATCAAGAGGAAGGAGCTGTGTGGCGTGGAAAGGTATCGATGAACACCATTGCAGAATTCTCCTCGTCGGCGAAGCATGTGGGAGGAGCAGACTTAAGTGGACGAATTCCATGGAGTCAGCTTGCACCTTCAACGTTGTTGGTTGATGGACGAATCGACATCCAGCTAGCAAGCAATTATCTATGTGGCTTACGGTTTAGCTTAACGACGGACGTGTCTGTGATCTCTATCGCGAGGCCAGAAGTGTCGACAGAGCGGACGAGCTTTGACAAGTTGTTCAACTACTTCCAGGAGCGCAAGAGATATGGCGTGGTTGGGAAACATCCATTCCCAGCTGTCAAGGACACCTACATCATCCCTATAGAGGCCGGATCGACCAAGAAGCCCGAGTTTATCGAGCTTCTTGAGAACAACGCTCTTGAAGACCCAACACCTGAACGCGTTTTGCTTGTGGTATTCGTGGTGAAAACTGGTGACTCGAATACACCTTCAGTACAGCCACCATCCCACCACCCCAGCCAGGAACCTCCAGCTTCTGCGAGTCCATTGACCGTTGCTGCGGGCACGCCTCAGGCACAATTTTTTACCCCAGGGCCGCGATCCGCATCTCAACCCTTTGTCGGCACTCCTGCAACACCCATCCCGTACAACCAACAGCCTCTACAACACCCAAAACCACAGTCGGCTCCACAGTTCCAGCAGGGAAGTGCCCAAGCTGCTGCCACAGGGATGGCAGCCGCAATCTCAATATTTGGCCCTCAAATAAATGCGCCTGCTGTTCAACAACTGCTACAACAAGCGCCCAACATAGATCCAACCCAACTCTTGATTGTGCGTGACATTCTCCAGCGACGGCCAGATACAGCCTCCAGCTACGAGAAGATGACGGAGGCTTTGCTTCAGGCTCAAGCTACAACCAACGGGCACGGTCAATAACAAAAAGCCGGATTGCGTGGAGTGAATTAAGGATGTATAGTATTTCATCATATTATCTTCATAGGGTCGTCTTTATATCGGGTGTCTTTGTATTTCTTCTGCTACCATCTAGCAGGAAATGGATTTCGGGCGGTCATGGGGGTTCATGGGTTTGTTTTTGGATCTACGTTTTGTTCTCTCTCTTCAGCGGTTGAATTTTTTACTTGATTTCATCGTATATCTCTGTTGATGAAGGTTGATTATGAATTATCATCATTGTTTCATATGAGTGCAGTCGAAGCAATCTCATATCACGATTTTTCAATTTTAGTTCTGCGTCTATGCGTTTTTTAGTTCTTGTATGCCGCTCAATAAATATGATATAGGACTTTTCTACATTATTCGTTTCAAGTAGAAACCAGCCCATGGCTGCAAATAAAAAATATGTAGAAACAAGCCAACTACTAGTCAAGTCACTCATTTAATTATCTGCACAAGTCGCGATTCATAATGCCCTTGGACACAGAGAGAAAAACAACGCCAGCGCTATGCAAAGTCCAGCACAAAAAGATCAATATAAAACACGCCTCGTAATCACCATCGTCCACGCTTTCTGTATCCACCGCCACCGCCATACCGAGGCCCTCTTCCACCACCAGACCGTCCACCCCATCCACCTTCTTCTTCGTCATGGTGACGAACCGGTGGTGCTCTACCCTTGAGCTCTTCGCTCAGCTTCTTGGTTGTCTTGCGCATATCCGAATAGCCCATGTGCATCTTTCCGAAAAAGTGATCGGCCAACCGACGGTCATTGTCCAGACGACTCAGGTAAGCACCGCAAACATCGCACACCTGCAGCTTCTGGTGACCGGAGGGACCAGAGGTATCCTGGAGGTTTTTCAGTTCGCGCTCGCATGTTTCCTTTTGGTGTTTGGCAGTGCGAGTCTTGTGAAGTTCATTGAGTGCTTGTGCCACGGAGCCAGTTTCGCCTAGAACGGAAATTTCGAGCAGGCCGGTATTGATGGTTTTGGAAAGGTCGGATATTTGTTTAAGCTATCATGTGTTAGCTATTTCATTTTTCACACAGTCAAGAGGCGTCTTACAAGGTTGTTTGTCTGTCGGATCTCGTCCGGAGTCTTCTCCAACCGTCGCTGGGCCGAGTCAATCCTCCGATCACAGTCATCAATATATTTTTGCATATCGCGCAGATAGTCGAAGTCAAAGCCCCATTTGGCCTTCTCCGACGAGGAAGCGGTTTCGTACTCCGTCTTCAATCCCTCACTATGCACCTTGGGGCAGGGACCGAGGTCCTGCTTGGTGTTGGTGAACAAATCATGCGGACAGGTCCCAACCAGATACGAGCGGCAGACTTTAGAATCGGTGATAGATAATTGAGCGTTGCGAGAGGGAGTTCCAAGACCAACGAGCTGGTCCGCTATCAGAAAGATTTCTTGTTAGCTTGTTTTGTCCAGATAGCTCCAGTCAAGAATTTTCGCGCAATTAGCCTACCTCCCATGAGCTGCTCAAGCAGCTTTCGCTGTTCCGCCGCCATGATGAAGCGATTTAAACTGGAGACACAAGGCGATAGCGCGAATTGTCGAGGTTCCTGCGAGCACTGAAGCTGTTGCTGGTGGATGAGGGTCCAGATTCCCTTTTGCGAGTGCGGAGGGGCGCTAATGGCGGCTGCGCTTATGTGAGCGCCCCTTTTGGCTCTGCGGTTGAGCTGCTCAATAGTTTGAGAAGTACAAATAGTTTGGATAGTAATTTAGTTATTAAGAGCCGAATATAATTTAATGTCTACGTATTTAATATCCCATTGCTAGGTGTTGGTTTTATGTCGTGGTGCTAACCTCAATCGGTCCTTCATTTGTTATCCCCGGGAATCTCGACAGCTTCCAATCTCCAACTACCTCATAATTCCCCGTTACATGGCTCGCTGACAGCTGAAAAGGTGGGATATTCGCACTATATACAGACTGGAGGCTCTCCTCTGGCAAGCATGACGTGATGACGGTCCTATTTCTTCTCCCTCTGTTTATCCTCACTGCGCTGTCCTCCCTCACCTCCGCGGCGTCGGACTATCACGAAGAGCTCGTCCTACAACCGTTACCCCAATCTGCTCTGCTATCATCCTTCAATTTCCGAAGTAATACATCTCAGGAATCCTTTGAGCAACGACATTTCCGATATTTCCCCCGCGCTCTCGGCCAGATCTTGCAACACGCTCACACGAAGGAGCTGCATCTCCGATTCACAACGGGAAGATGGGATGCTGAAAGCTGGGGTCCCCGACCTTGGAATGGTTCGAAAGAAGGAGGCACAGGTGTAGAGCTATGGGCTTGGATAGATGCCCCGAACGATGAGGGGTACGTGTCTCAATCACTGGGCTGAGGACCTATCTCCAAGCTGACACTTGTCCAGGGCATTTGCGAAATGGATCACTTTGACACAGTCCTTATCAGGCCTCTTTTGCGCATCTTTGAACTTCATTGACTCGACTCGAACTACTCGACCGGTTGTCTCCTTTGAACCTTCCGGGGATCACTTCCCCTCGAGCCAATTACATCTTCTCCATGGAACGCTTCCTGGCGAGGTTGTCTGCACAGAAAACCTCACACCCTTTTTGAAACTCCTTCCCTGCAAAGGAAAGGCAGGTGTTTCTAGTTTGTTCGATGGTCATAAGCTGTTTGATGCTTCGTGGCAGAGCATGTCTGTTGATATCCGCCCCGTTTGCCCCTCGGAAGGCGAATGTTTGGTGCAGATTGAGCAGACTATAGACATGGTGCTTGATCTTGATAGGTCAAAACGACCTCGAGGTGAGTTGCTTTCGTTTTTATATTCATAATTCTCATATTGGCAGTTTCTAACTATTAACTAGATAACCCCATCCCGCGGCCAGTCCCTGCTGACCAGCTTGTGTGTGACACTTCCAAGCCTTACCATTCGGGAGATACTTGTTATCCTTTGGAGAAAACTTCCGAGAAAGGATGGAGCCTAACAGAAGTTTTTGGGCGCAGTATCAGTGGTGTCTGTCCGCTCGCAGACGACCAGGGCTCTAGCGAAGAGACTGTTTGCCTCCGTGTGCCACATGAAAGAACAGTGTATATGTCTCCGGAGGCCTCTGAGAACAAGGATTCAAATGGAATATCCCGCTGCTTTAGCTTGCACCCTTCGAACCCATTCGACTTAGTCCTCCCGGAGCAGGAGGTCCAGGCCAATGTCCCACTAGATGAGCCTGTTCTGCGTGCGGAGCGAACTATTGTTGGCCACGGCCAAGAACGGGGAGGCATGCGGATCATTTTTGATAACCCGTCGCTAACCAGTGCTGTTGACTTCATTTATTTTGAGACTCTCCCGTGGTTTCTGAGGCCTTATGTCCACACACTGCAAGCTACTATTACAGGACTTGATGGCGTTCCCCGACAAGTTGCAGCATCCGAGATCATCAAGGAAACATTTTACAGACCTGCAATTGACCGAGAGCGTGGTACCCAGCTCGAACTGGCGCTGTCTGTCCCTGCTGCCTCTACCGTGACGCTTACATACGACTTTGAGAAAGCCATCCTACGGTACACTGAGTATCCACCCGATGCCAATCGCGGATTCAATGTTGCTCCCGCAGTGATAAAACTTGTGAGCTTAGAGGATGATGCCAATACTCGACAAACCCCGATCTACATCCGTACGACCAGTCTTCTCCTTCCTCTCCCGACTCCCGATTTCAGTATGCCGTACAATGTGATCATTCTCACCAGTACCGTTATCGCACTTGCCTTTGGCAGCGTCTTCAACTTGCTTGTTCGTCGTTTTGTCTCGGCAGAGGAAGCAGCTGCACTTACGTCGCAAACACTCAAAGGCCGAATCGCTAGCAAGGTGGTGGCTTTGCGTGATCGGGTGCGTGGGAAGTCTTCAAAGGTGGAATAGGCGTCGGTTTGCATATATTTCGGTGTAATGATTAAAATATCACCATAGATCATCAATGGGCTTGATGTATCCAATTTCAACTAAGGTCAATAATTTTGGTCGGTATACAATCTTGTATGAACAATCTATAGATCCTTTGTATGCCAATGATTCAAATACCCAATTTTCATCTCAAATGCATACTCTGCCTTGCCTAGCATTAAAACAGAAAGACTTCATTTATCTTCCGCCCTGATGTAACCTAGCAGTAACCACGTCAATGCCATACCAACCCAGATAAACATGATAGCCAAGGCCATGCATAAAGAAAAAAAGACTTACATCTCCAAAAAGTTCTTCGTCTTGCTCCAACCAGGCAACGTCCCCGGACATCCAGGTCTATGATTCATAAAGCTATGATCCTCATTTTCACAAGTCGGGTAACCACTCTTCGTCTTCTGAGTCCCATACCCAGCACTCTCAGCCCGCTTGCTATGGTTACTTTCCCCGAAGCTTTTCTGCTGCTCGAGACCGAGGAAATTACCACAGAAATCTAGCGCGCTCTGGCTCTGGTTTCGTTTCTCGTCAGTCTTGAGCTTTCTGATGGACAGGTTGGATACGTAACGTACATGTACATGTCCGGGTCCGTCCATGCCACCCTTGCGAAATCCCTTATCACCCCAGCCTTTGCCGCCGCCTACATTGTTGGCTGGTGTAGGAAAGGCACTTGCACCACCCATCGTGGCCGAGGGTTGGTGGTTGGGGCTTTCGCCTGTAGTGGGAGAGCTGGGGGTTGCCATTTTGCCTTGGTGACTGGTTTCGACTGAGTCTATTAATTCATCCAACCTTCTATTCAGCATTGGGTGAAAAGGTCTTTCAAATATAAAAAAGGTGAGCTGTCTTGGTGATGTTGATTCATATATGTAGTTGTTATACACAACCACCATCAATGACTTCATCATGAACAACATGGCACGTATTATTGGAAAACGCCACCTCTGCTTAACTATGGCAGATGGCGGTCTTTTGGTTTATCTTCGAGGGAGTGCAAATTAAAAGAATCATCAAGTATTGCTGATTTGGGACGCAAGCAGAATGTACTGTACACTAAGTCATAACCAAACCAGCAGTGGTATAATATCATCAATGTCAAAAAAATAATAATAACCCAAGAAAGCTCATGAATGCAGACGAATTTCCAAAAACGAAACAAAAAGGGAAAACAAAAATCCAACCAAGTGGTATATCAGGTATCGATCATTTACATCCGGTGATGTTTTGGGCGTTCATGGTGCATGCGATATTAAAAGCAGGGGAGTATAATATGTCCAACGTCAAGGCCGTTCATCTTCTTACTGCGATTCGACTTGATCGGCCCATGTGGCTCCGTTCACGGGCGACAGGGACTCCAGTTTGTCAAGCGCAGCAACCGGGGCGGTTGCAATTTTAGCGGGAGAAGTGCTGTCTTTCTTCGAGTCCCCGGGCAGTGCAGGGAATTCGGTTTCGTTGTTAATGACTGGAGCGGAAGGCGAAGGCTTAGATTCCTCCGCAGCAGGACCATCAGGTGCACCATCAAATGATGAATCTCCTCGAGGGCCACGAGCGTTCCCGCGGCCCCGCCCACCTCTTCCCCTTCCTCGTCCACGGTGGTTGTTTGGATGGTGGTGGCGGTCCGATATCTCTTCTCCAGGGTGGCCATCGTCAAACTCCCGTCGAGTGTACCCCGAGACTCCGCCGTGCATTCCTCGTCGGAATCCACTCTTTCCGCCACGCGGATTGTAGTCCTCTTCCCGCTTCACAGCATCCCACTCTCGGCCAGTCAAGGCGCCAAGCTTCCGCTGTCGGTTGCGCTCTCTTTCATTGTCCATGACAGCGCGGTTTTGGCGCTCTTGACGTCGCTTTTCCTGTGCAACCTTTTCGCGCTCGAGGAATGATGCCTGGTCGGCTTCGGCGCGGGCGTGGGCTGCGGCTTTTCTAGCAGCATTCTCTTTTGCAGCCGCAATTTTCTGTGAGAGCTCTTCTTCGGTGAGTTTTGGCTGGGGAGGCAGTTAGTATCCATTGTCCATAATAGATTAGGTGTTACTGTCATACCTTCTTCAGTCCACCTGTGGCACTCCTATCTCCACGGACAGCAGGCACACGTTGCGCTTCACTCCCGTTGGCCACTTTAGAGTCCGATGCGGCATCATCCTCTTTATTGGGCTCCTCTGTCCCTTCGACGGGCTTGTCCTGAACTGGTTCCTCCACATTCTTAACCTCTTTCTCGGCAGCATTCTCCCCTGCCTTGTTCCTCGGGCCTCCTTCTGTGCGTCTTTGGCCGGATTGATGCGATCCTCGTCCACCACGACCTCTACCTCGGCCCCGTCCCCGGCCTCGTTCTCCACCACGCGAACGCGGTGGGGTGTCAATACGAGCTGGCTGTACATCGTGACTATCCGGCTTCTCAGCAGCAACAGGAGCAGGAGCAACAGGTTCTTCCACCTGCGGTTGAACTTCTGGCTGAGCTTGTTCTGCAGGAACCGGGACGATCTCATCGTCAAACAAATCATCGCCTCCTCGAGTCTGCGCGAACTCGTCCATTGGAGCGTCTGGATTCGAATCGGCCATCTTTTATATTTCAATTCCAGCGGAAGAGACTGTAATTATAGTATTCGGTATCGTTTGCGTATCTGATCTGACTGCACGCACTTTCACGACACAGATGATAGGAACCGACGGTAGCGAACTTGAGGGGGGAAACCAGCGATCCCGATCAGCGCTAGTGGAGTGTCAGCCGGCGTTCAGCTCGAAAAGGACAGCAAAGCGTTGGTTGAAAAAGACAGTGCACGGGTATTTGGCTGTGCAGGAACACGCAGACAGCAGAGATAAATCAAAATCCACAATATTCATGACTGTTGACCCCAACGCCTGGTTTAAGCCAGCCTTGTAGGGTGATCCCAAGGCGGTCTGTATATGTGGATCTGTCTTTCTGCGGAGGGGGTTGGGATAGAAAAGCCTCGGACGAGGACACGGGACTCGGAATGGGTTCCATGGAGGGGTAACACATACAATTCCAAAAAATAAATATATCCTTTTGTAACCTTGATGATGGCAAGGGAAGCCCTGGTGAAATCTGCGGGGATAGCACTGGATGGCAGGTGGGAGCAAGTCGTGCCATCGGTTTGCGGTCTCGAACGGAGGCGCTTTTCTGCCCCTTCCGACCGCCTCTTTCTGCCGTCCGAACTGGATGACATCGTGGATAACGAACAGTTCTTCAGACAAATAGCAGAGATTCACTCGCATTTATTGCTATCGCTAATCATATTTACATATATACCATACAGATCTTCTCATATGCACAGGTTAATACCCGACAGTACAAAGAATTAAACGCACTGCCATGCATTTTCATCGGTATAGTTTCCAGGTCCCTTGTACACATTTCTGCGTGGGTATCGGCAGTGCTTGCGAGTATACTCAACAGCCGAGCCGACACCATTGGAGAACTTGGCACCACGGACAAACTCTGGAGCAATGCCCTTTTCCACCCACTGGACCATGGCCATGAGAACGTTGTTTTCTGGGTTATCTCCGTTATACGACTGAGCAGTGTTTCCGATACCCGAGGCGCCATCGCCTCCTCTGCAGTGTCCCATACCACTGATCTGGAAGAAACGGTAGAAATCATCCAGATCCTCTGGGGGCACTTGCATGGTCTCGGCAACTCGTGCATAGTACAGCTTGGAGTCTTCGGAACTGATCAGCTGGTCCTGGAGACCGTGGTAGGTGAGGACCTTGCCGCCTGCCTTTTGGAAGGGGGAGATATCAGCATCCCAGGTTTGGATGTTGTACGGGTTCTGAGCCAGGGCCACGGCAGCATCTTTAACGCTAAATTTGGAAGCGTCCCATTTCGTGTCGTTGTAAACGACGTAGCGGTACCAGTCTTGGCTGTAGGGGAAGGGTTGTCCGTTGTACATGATAGAGGCAGCAAGGACTTCTGATCCTGGCTGCATACGGGGATAGAGGAGGGTTCCGTTCACGCCGTAGAAAGGTGAGAGAACTTCCCGGACAGTGTGTGCCTGGGCTGCAGTGAGACAGTTCGTTGAGTTGGAGGAGCCAGGCTTGCAAATGATGCGCTCCATGATCGGATGGCAGAGATCAGGGTCCTCAATAATACCGTCTTTCGCTCCATCAATCGGATCACATTGTCGCAGGATCTCATCATGGGCAACCTTCCACTTAGCCGGTGAAAGATAGCTTTCTGACGAAGGGGGACCGGTGATGGGGTAGAAATGCGCACTCCAAGAGAGCAGATTAATGAAGTTCATTGCCGGAGCACCAGCAACGACACCATCGAAGTCATTGGGGAATTTCTGGACCGACTTGAAGCCTTGACGGCCACCCGTGGAACAGCCAAGGTAGTAAGACTTGTTGTAACCCTCATCATAGAACAATTTAGTGAGCTTCTTGCCAACGACAACTCCGGTATGAATTGAGCGCCAAGCGAAATCTTCAATAACCTCAGGATGACGATAGAAGGGCTTGCCCGTCGTTCCATTGTGGCCATTATTGGCACCGACTGTAGCAAAGCCTAGTCCGGCGGTATACGCAAGATCATAATATTGAATGCCTAGTAGCGACGTGTCTCAGCATCAAACCGAATTGCATAAATTGTGACAGGGGATGATACATACAACCTGAAACACCTCCATTGCCTGTACTCAAGAAGCGACCGGTGTAATTCCGGGGAAACCAGGCTTCCAGGGTGATCTCGCTGCTGTTTGAAGTTGCGACAGCCATGGCAACTCGGCACATGTCCGCATATACTTCCTGGGAAGATGAATCGCAGCTAGCCGGCGCATCCGGCAGCGACAGATTCGAGTTCCCAGGAACATAATTAACGAAATTGACCTTGACATTGGGCAAGTCAATCTTGTCCGCGAAGCTTGCACACTTGGACTGGAAGGAATCCTGACTCGCTAGGGCTGCAGAGCCCATAGCCAGCACAGAAAGGAAAAATTGAAGACGGGTCATATTGCATCAACCCAGTGTAATGCTGTCTCTTGGCCTGCGATCAACTTGTTGCAAGAGACTCTATGGGGGCGAAGCTCGCTATATAGCATCTCTTGCGCTGTTATCTCTCATCATTCGACTCCTCCTCGAGGTTCTCCGCGCGGGGTACACGCGTACTCGGTGGAATTATCAACTAGAGGAACCATGTAATCTCTGTTTTGCCCCAAAAGCGATTGAATTTGAGTGCTAGAGAACTCCGAAGTTATGCCGTGTGTGGGATTGGGTGGGAGCGGATATGACCATGATTGGAGGCCTGTATATTAGGGAGAACGGATTTGGCATTCAGATGGGTCTGCGATCTGGAATTGTGTCATAAAAGTGGAACTGCTGTAGGCACAAAAAGAAGCTTGCAGAGGGGGAAAGTTGATATTGCTGACTCTGGGTTGTAAACAGTGGATCACAGCAACAAGGAACAGCGAAAATCGGGGGCCCCTGGTGGGCGTTGGTGAGGCCTTAGTGAATGCGGGGATCGTCAGGAGACTCCACAGACGCGGAGGAATTGCCCATGCTGCTGCTCAAGGCTTGGGCATCCTTCTGCCATCCCTGCGAAACTTTTGAAGGATGTCGAAGTCGGCAGTTGAAGAAAGGATCATCGATGAACTCGGGATGTCCCGATGCCGAACAGACAGTTGATGTTCTGGAAAATTACAGCCATCTTGCATGGTTGATGCGGTTTCTCTCACTTCAACCTCACTTCAGGGTGTAATTAGGCGCAGTAGAAGCCGTGTCCGTTTCTTTAGAGCCACCCATATCTCCACTGGGGTTTTTTCTGGGTCATCCCGACCTGATTCTGCTGAATTGGTCCTGTATTGGATATGCTATCAAAATGGTAGGCCTTACAGTTTGAATACATCCAATCTTTCCATGTTACCAAACTAACCGCAGGCCTCAAAACACCGAGGCATGCGAGTTTAATGAAGCAACGAACGGCCAACCAGATGGAATCAAGCCATTTTCTTCCCTTTGTTCGACTCGTAATTCGACACATCAGCCAGGGCCTGGAAATGTTAGAGCTCCCCCTCGGTGAGATATTGAGGTGCATGTGGATCTGAAGCGGGCTGTTGCTGACAATTACATGTAAGGTAGTATCAGTTAGTCTGAGGTATATTCTAAACCATTGACTATGTGTTTCGTCATGTAATTTAGGTAGTATTGCAAACAAAGCTGCTATGATGCTCAGTTCCTGGACAGAAGACTTCGGTGCTCTCCATTCTTTAGATCTGGCGGGAAAGCGTTTAAGAATATAAAGATAGCTGGCAATAAGTAGAATAAAATAGGTCATAAAGGGGAATAAAACATATCAAAGATATCAAATCAAACTATCACCCGGTCGATATCATCTCTCTCCAACCCGCGGAGTGTAAGAACGCCATGAAGAAGCAAACCCCGATGCGATATAACCCATGAAACCGCATTTTTCTGATGGTCGTATAGTTGTCTAAAGAAGGTCGTAAAGCCGTATATGCTGAAATAAACGCAGATGTTTAATTGGAAAAGAAAAATAAATATAAAATTTTCGTTATGTCGTTATGTCGTTCTAGTAAAATATTTTCGTAGCAACCATGTGGACTGGAGATTAAATTTAGTAAAGAAACGCATAGAGCAGTCGAGAGACTTACTGCTGCCAACGAAGAAAACTGCTAAGGCAGATCTTGGGTTTTGCGCCCCGATGATACTGAAAAGGAGGGCACATACCGTCCATGCAGAGTATGTTCCCAAGAAACCACCCAGAGCAGGATATTCTTTATACTTGACCGTCGTTTCGTCTATCATTGTCTGCAAATTCGCTGCTGTGGCTGCCGTCTTATCAAGAAGCGCCTGTGAGATTCTCATATTTGTTTGTAGACTCTCTTGGGCTTGCGATTGTGTCGCGATAGCCTCAGTCTGCAACTTCTGAGTCTGCAGCAAACCTTCGGCTTTTACTTCGGATTCTTCCAGCGATGCCTCGAAAGTCCGCAGTCGCTATGTAAATTAGCCATAGTCCGTACTTATTCCATAAGAGCACAAACCTCCTGTATCCTGGACTCCTGCTGTACAATAAGGTCCATCTTCCCAGAAAGCCATTCCTAATACGGTCAGCTACTCATGAAAGTCATCAAACACCGAAAATATTTACCAGCGAAGAATCGAAAATCTTCATATTTTGGGAAATCCTGGATATATCGCCCTGTAAAAGTGACCCTAGCGAGGATTGGATGGAAGAGGCAAGGTGATGATGAGCTAAGGCATCTCGTTGATGTATATCCGTCAACTGTTCGTTTCTTGCCAATGCCTCAGCATGTGCGACTTCTAGAGCTTGCTGCAACCGTTCCACTTCGTTGGATGCGTTTTTGATATCCTAGGAGTGTAAGTGAAATATCCTGCGCAAGGAAGATGTTCTCACCTTCCCGAGGACTGTTACCTCCGTCTGCACCCTCCCAAGAACCGAAGTCATAATTGTCATGACCGAATCGAAACTCGACTCAATGTCATGGAACAGGTTTGCAACAAAGTATTTGAAGCGTGACTCTGTTTCTTCCAGATCATGAACCAGTCTAGCTCGCATAACTTCGTTTGCATGCATGAATGCTCTATGTTGAGAAGACTCGTCGGCGGCCATTCGCAGAGCTTCCTGAAACCCATCATTGAGCTTGATGGTGCTCTCGACTATAGATCTGTGAAGTCCCAAGAGTTCTTCTTTTTCGTTCTCAACCCTTGCTGCTTGGCATATCACCACGGCGTTTTGCCTACTGTTACTATAAGAGGTCCACCACTGTGGGCGTGATTCCAGTGATTTGAGGCAGGATCCCAGGACTTCCTTGGGCATGGAGTCCGCTATATTAATTTGGGGTTTATAATTATTGGAAAAGTCAAAGATTCCTTTCTTTTGGGGTGGTAAAACTGTCACAGGGATACATGGAGGGGGAATTGATGCCCCAGCCCCATTGAGTTCGCAGATGGCAAGCCTTGCTGCATATAGAGAGCGAACGTGATCCAACGACACATGGGTATGAGTTTTATCACTTTGTCTGCTCGCCTTTCCCCCGATGGATTGACAGGATGTAACGAGTCTCGTGGCAGCGATTCGATTGCAAGATGGTGACGATTGCATAGACTCTAGCAACTGCACTGCTTCCGTGAAAATGGCGTCATGCTGCTGCGATTTGGAGTTCAAGAACGAAACCAAGTCAATATCATCAGATGAGTTGTCCCTTTGAGTAGAAAGCTCTTGTAATTCTGTCAGCGTAGCTCACGTCGCTTCAGATATCAAGCAACATACCATTCGTTATACCATCAGCACGGCTGACGGTTGAGGGTATCAATGAAAATAAAAATAGAGCAGTGAGGAATATGGAAGATGGTGATGCTCCTGATACCATCATCGTGGCTGCTAATATCGAGGATTAGAAGTCAGAGAACAAGAGACGTTGATGAGAAGTCACTGTCTTGTCTTTGTTTTGCTTCAGTGCACTGGGAACGAGAAAACACGATATTAGAAGAAAGGCTGGGAGGAGACACGATGAAGAGAAAAATTATAAAAATTCAAAAGAGAAATCAAGCATAGACGCAGTAGAAGATCATCAAAATCAATAAAAAAAAATATCAAAGTGAGAGATGACTTCGAGGAATTGAAGATAGGAGCGCAGTGGTGAGAAGAAAAAGATTCGGGTATCACATTATTGCGTAAAAGCTGGACAAATCATACAGAAACATGAAGCTCAAACATCAGAGAGTCAGCAACACCAAGCACCATCATTACCATCACCCTCAACAGAGAGATAATTGCTAAAGATGATGTTTCTCAAAACATAGAAACCGTGATGAAGTCACGTGTTACCGCACTAACCATATTTGGAGTGCAGGGCCCCGGACAAAATCCAGTCGGGATCGGAGTTCCAAGACGCTTAAACAACAGCAATCATCATCGCCATGTCTTGCTCCATACCCCAGAGCTGCTTCAGAAAGCTTGCACGGAATACCGTCAGGCCCAGCCAGCTACCTATTTTTCTAGCACCCGCATTTTCCCCCTCTCAGCGACCACAATGCTTCTCTACCACATCTCCGGCGCAATCTCGAGTCGGCGGCGCCGCCATATCAGTACCACCGGAAGTGTCGCTCAAATTCGTTGATCTGCCCCAGGCACAGATCCGGGGGAGGGGAAAGGAGATCCCCAAGACTGCAGTTGAGATCAAGGGACCATTGGGTCGGTTCATGAGATTCTATTTGACTCGGGAGTAGGACTAACCGTTGAGCTTGGCAATAGGTGAATTGACACTGAACATTCCCTCGTTTGTGAATGTCGCCCACGACGAAGCTGCCCGAAAAGCCAGTCTTTCTGTTGAAGATTCAACCATCGCACACCAGCGTGCTATGTGGGGTACGTGTTACGTGGGAGTTTGGCATTGGAACGTATCTTAACACCTACGTCTTTATAGGAACCACCCGAGCACATCTACAAAACCACATCCTGGGCGTGTCAGAAGGCCACATCTGCATTCTGAGTCTGGTCGGTGTCGGTTACAGAGCTAGTGTCGAGTCAACGGCCACCACGGTTGAGCCCGAATACCCCGGTCAGCAGTTCGTCTCTCTTAAGGTCGGATACTCGCATCCAATTGAGCTGCCAATCCCGCAAGGCGTCAAGGCTAGCACCCCGCAGCCAACACGTATTCTGTTGGAGGGTGTTGAGAAGAGCGTCGTGACAAAGTTCGCGGCGGAAATCAGGGAATGGAGAATCCCCGAGCCTTACAAGGGCAAGGGTATCTTTGTGAACGGGGAGACGATCAAGTTGAAGGCCAAGAAGATTAGATAAACTTGGGTGGTTCGGGGTTGCCCCCATAGTAATGTTTTTGTACATGTATATTGGAAGCACATTGTCTTATTTTCTGCGTTTGGTATCTTTCTACCCTATGTACTTTTAGACGCATCTAGCGTGGTCTGACCAAAATCATCATCAGGGTTCATTTTCATCATGGATTAGGAGAAAGTCACAGCTTGAGAACTGTTTTCACGGCACCAATAACCTGGTCCTGAAGGGCCTTGGGAGCAGCAACGACTCCCTTGTTGGCAGCCAAAGTTCTGCCCTTGCTGAAGTCCAATCGCTGGCCGTAGATATCAGTAACCTGGCCACCTGCCTCGCGAACAAGCAGATCTCCGGCGGCGTGATCCCAGATCTTCTCCTGGTAGTCCTTCTTGACGGGCAATCGCAGGTAGATGTCACCGGCACCTCTGGCGATCGAGCAGTACTTGGCCTGCGAATCCAATCGCACACTGGAGGCAGTGATTCCGAGGAGCTGAGCGACAGCGGCATTGTCGCCCTGGGCGGAGTGGGCAGCCTCCACACCCTCGCAGAAAACGGCCTGAGAAACATCGGGCACGGGGCGCATGGAGATGGGCTTGCTCTCGGCGAGCTTGTTGTTGGTAAGAGGGCGGCTGATGGAGCCTTCGCCCTGGATGGTGGAGAAGAGAACACCGTTGCCAGCAGCGTCGGTCTGGTCAGCGCCAATGCCAGCAGAAAGAGCAGCATCATCAACGGGCAGGTTGGGGCAACCAATGGCTCCAACCTTGACATCACCATCCACCATCAAGCCGAGGCAGACCGCATACTGGCCACCACGGAGGAAACCCTTGGTGCCGTCAATAGGGTCCAAAGCCCAGATGCGGCCCTTTGATCCTCCAACGCTCTTGCCCTGGTCGATGATGTCCAGCATCGTCTCCTCACTGGGCAATGGGCCGCCGAGCAGGTTGTCGCTCTCAGCATCCTCCAACTTGATGTCCTGAACCAATCTCCAAATCTCAGCACTCAGCGCCTTGTCTTCACGAAGGGAGCTGGCCTCTTCTTCGGCAACGATTTCGTCCTCGGGGAAGTTTTTGCGGATAGCCTGGATGATCAGAGCCTGGGCTCCAAAGTCACCGATTGTAACGGGCGACTTGTCATCTTTGGAAACGGTACCCTTGGCCTTCTCGTGGAACACCTTCTGGGTGAGGAGGGTGGCACGCTGGACGGCGAGTTCGGCGATGTAACGTTCTTGTTGGTAAGACATGGTTGCGACTTGGGTATAAGAGGATGAAGGGGAGAAGAAAGGGGAGAAAGGAAGTGCGACACGGTGGGTTTTAAACACGATGCTAGCACCCAGGAGAAAGGTGGAGCAGAGCAGCAGAGGGGAGAAAAGCAGCCGGCGAATAGACGAAGGATCTGCCCGAGTTTTCGACCGGGTGCCCATGGGCAAGGTGATCAGATGTACGTAAGATGGGGCGTAAATAGAAGTGACAGCCCGTGGGTATCAATTGAATGGTTCCTGGACTTGCACAGTCCCATACATCTATCTAAGCAATACGCATCGACATGTTTCACAATGCGATGCGCAACTGCCGCAACACTCAGGCAACGAGGCAGACAAGTCTGCCCCGCCCTAGGCCCCTTCGGGGATAGAGCACCCCCGGAGAACCTTGGCGAGGGGCAGTCACGAGACTCCCGGCTATCATCCAAGTGAAGCCATTCAGAGGGGCGCTTCCGTCTTTCTTATATTTCATTCAGGTCTTGCAGTGCAGGGCTTTTGGAATCTATTCGTGTTCGAGATTAGCCTCCTCCCCCACGTTGGCCGAGCCGGGCTCCAGGTGCAAGCATCCACGCCGTCGATCAACGCCAAGACAATACGGCCTGACGACAACGGCGTCTAACACGTCACTGTCTGCTATCTCGCCCATAACTCCAGGTACTCAGTGTTGAACAGCGCCACCATTGTGCTCTTGAATTCAGCGATCCTATGCGTTATTCTATAGACGAGATTTCGCCGGGTTGAATATTGATCCATGGGAACTGACCCTGGGGAGTCCTAGCTGTTTGTTGACACCGACGCAGATGTTCGGAGAATAGACATAGTCGTGAGTTGAACTTGATGCATAGTTTTCAATTCATGGATGATTGGTTATTCTGACATTGATTAGCTCCAGGGAAGGTCGTTAAGCAATCTTTATAATGTTTCATTCATCTGTAAGTCGTACTATGTCAAGTGATGCATCTACCGTTGATCCTGTAGCTGGATATGTTGATCTCATGAAATTGGCTATTGCAAACTTCAAATATACTATGGTTCTGACTGTTGTCTGTTAAAGAAACCTTACTCCGCTGTGACTGCGCAGATCGAAGTCCTCACCAGTGAACAATATGAGGTCGAGGACTCCAGCGGGATCGTTGATCTTATCGAGGTCGTGCGCATACAGGACACTGGCCCGACTGAAGCAAGCCGTGCCTTGCGCAAGAAACTGTTAGTCCTTCATCATTCTAGTCCAAACCACTTAGGATCTGACTTGTATCAGCAAATATGGAAATCTCCACCGTCAACTAAGATCACTCACTATTCTTGACTTTTTGATCCAAAACACAGGGGATCGTTTCTTGCGAGAATTCGCAGATGAGATGCTGCTGGAACGACTGCGGATCGCTGCTACAGATCCTGTTTCTGATCCCTTGGTGAAGCAAAAGTGCAAGCAGCTCTTTGGACAATGGGCAGTGTCCTACAAGACCACTCCTGGCATGGAAAGGGTGGCGGGTCTTTACAGGCAGCTGCCGAAACGCAAACAACCCGCTAGTCAAGCCAAGGCCAAGGTTCTTCGGGAGTCTGGCACTTCTGATGAGCCCCCGATGGGCCACACTGTTTCCATTTCTGCCGGTAATGGGCCATCGACTGTTGTCGGTGGATCCAAGAGCAAAAGTAAAGCTAAGAAGAAGGAGAAAGAAAAGGAAAAGGAGAAGGAGAGGGAGAGGAAGTTTCGTGAGAGATCCTTCAACTTGGAGAAAGAAAAACCAGAGATTCTACAGACCCTGGCCTCTTCTTCCGTCGCCAGTACCAATCTTCTGAATGCACTTAAACTTGTCAACCGCGAGACTCACCGGGTGAGTGAAGATGCTGAGGTTCTCAACCGGTTTGAGACTTGCAAGCAGCTTAGGCGTCAAATTCTTCGATATATTCAGCACGTGGAGAGTGAGGAATTCCTGGGCAGCCTTATCCACTCCAATGAAGAGCTTGTCACGGCTCTCATGGCATTCGAAGTCCTGGACAAGAGCGTTGATTACGACAGCGACAGTGACCAGGATGTTCTTGAATCTGGCTGGAATCCCGACAAATATGATGTGCAAGAGTCATTTGCGGGGCTCAGTGTTAATCCTCCTAAGCCGCCACGTCCTCCTAGGCCTATGAGCTTATCAGTTCCTTCGTCTTCACATCGCGTTATTCCTCACGACGACGACAGTGATACCGAGACAGAGTCGGACACGGAATCAGACGATGATGACGAAAACAATCCTTTTGGCGATCGAAATGCCATCTGTACACCTAGAATTGGGACATCTGGTCCTACTTGGTATGTATCCTTATGCCACCATGGCGTATATGAACTAACATTCTTCCAGGAGGGAGGTTTGAAATCTGAAGCAGCCCAATTGAAGTGCAGCTGCAGATTACGTGTTGAGCACAGTCGAATCAGCATAGGCATAGTGCGTTATTCTGGGAAATGCATTATCTCTTTATTTTCTTTGTTATATGTTTGGAGCAAGCGTCTGAGATAGACATAACTCACCGTTATTCTTCACCGGATGGAGGTTGATGTAGAATGATATGGACTGGCGCCTCTGGAATGGATGGCTGAGGGTTTGCTATGTTAGGGTATGTTTTCCAGCGACGTATGATTTGAATAAACCACATGACCTTGTAACATATCACCAGCATTGTATACTAGTCAGTGGATTGGTGAGCGTAGATCCATAGATCATGTAGGATAGACCACAACCACAGTTAACAATACTGGCTGAAACCGGATATAAGACGATAAATCCACTAGACTCGGTCTTTGCGCTTTGATAATCGCGACAAAAGACGATCCATTGGAAGATCGCCACAGGCAACAAACGCAACGTCACTACCTCCCAAATAGGAAGCTGGTCTCACAGCCCCAACTATATAAATCCTGCCTCATAAGAACAACTCCCATCCTATCTCATTACACACCTCACCTCACCCCTACTTAATATCAAACAAACAAACCAATCCAACAAACAACCAAAAATGCCCATAACCGAACTCGCCCTCCTCCACACAAAATCCCACAACCCCCCATCCAGCACCACAATAACGCACCTCCAACAAGCCCAGTCCGCCCAAACCGCCTTCTCAACTTACCAAGTCCACCTCTTTACCCAACTCGAAGACCCCTCTTACATCTACCTCCTCGGCGGCTGGGACTCTGCAAAACAGCATTACGAGGAATGGATCCCGTCGACTACGAATCAGGGACTGCTGGCGCTGCTCCGGGATGAGGTGGATGTTGTTTGGATGTTTCATTTTGAGAGACTGTGGGAGGGGGAGATTCCGCTTTCTGCGCCTGTTGTTGGGGTTGGGAGATATTTTGTGAATGGGGGTGTAAAGAGGGAGGGGGAGTTTGAGAGGGTTTTTGGTGGGTCGAAGCACTATCTCGAGGAGTATACAAGGCCGTTTCCAGTGTTGGGGGGTTGGAGGGTTGAAGATGATAATGATGATGGGAAGGAGTTTGTGCTTTTGAGTGGGTGGGAGGAAGTTGAGCAGAATTTCAGATTTGCGGATTCGGATGGGTTCAAGAAGATTCGGGATTATTTGACTGGGGCGGAGATTAAGCATATGGTTCTGTTGAAATAGATTCAAGTCAAGAGTTTGAATTAGTTGTATAATTATATCAACATTATTGCGGTCCATTCTTCGTCTCGTCATCCATGCTATACATGCAATATGTACTCCATTATTAAACAAAGTGGGGTATTGTTAAATCCTGTTAACCGTATAATCACAAAATAAAAGCTGGTGGAAGAAGAAAAGATGCTTTAGAGAACCTTGGTTTTCATCCATTCGCTCGTTCCGACTCCAAGGTTGAGTCCATTGCGAGCCCACCATCGTCGGACACGCCCTTCGGCTCCAGACACTGGATCTGCGTCTTCCAGTGCTTCTTCGATATCGCACGTCTTGAACTCAACCCGCAGGCCGCTGCGTCGCCACCACTCGAGAACGTTATCGTGGCCGTTCTTCGTCGGGCCTACCAGGACCTGACAGTCGAAGATCATCTTAGAACCCTTCAATCGGTGCCAGAATTCGAGGACGTGGACATGTCCGTGCGTGCTGGCGATTCGAGCCACGGATTCTCCATGGCTATAGGGAATACCCGACGCATCCCACCAGCCGAGTGATGCCGTCCGGCCAGACTGCGCGGCGAGGAGCACGGATTTGCCGACTTTGAGGGGGAGAGGGTTCGATGCAGGGGCATTTGCAGAAGCATTTTTCCACCAATCTAGTACATTGACACGCCCCTCTGCACTAGCAGACTCCAGTGCCCTCTCACTGTATTTGAGCTCGAGACCGGAGGTTCGCCACCACTCGAGTACGTTAACGTATCCAGCCCGGGAGGCGCCGTCTATAGCATCAGCATGATATTCCTTGGTAGGCAGGGCAGGGACATCCCGCCACCAGGTCAAGATATCAGGGTTGCCATAGATTGCTGACGCCCGATATGGAAGACTCGTGTGGCGAGAAGTCGTCCACAACAAGTCGAGGTTGTTTTCCGTAAGATAAGAGAGTATATCGGTTCGGGAGAACTTGAAAATAAGGTGACAAGCGAGATCAGAAATCGGCTTCCAGCGTGGCAAAGCGACGATACGTCTCTGGATTGCAGCGAAAGACCCTCTGAGAATAGTATATTCTAGCGATGCAGGAGTAGACATCTTCAAAAGGTGATTTTGCCACTCCTTGGGGACTGGTAGGTTAGTTGGGATGCCAACTGCTTTGGCAATTTCCCAATCTCCTAGTTGATCCTCAAACACATTTAACCATAGCTCAAGGGGTAAGGTGGGTGCACCCTGTCCGTCATGATTGGGACGATATTGTAAATGCCGGGGTGGCGACGAGACGGCATTCCCAGGTTGTTTCTCTGTCGACGAGGTTGTGTAGTCAATCTGACGGGGAAGAGAAAGTTGTTCTGTGAAAGGCACCCCAAGGGTTTTTTCCATAGTCTCATGAAGCTCCTTCAAGCCATCCCAAGGCAGCTGAACCAGTTCCTCAGGACTTGTGGATTTACACAAAAAGGGCGTGACAATACTGATCCATGGCCAAAATTGGTCAATCTCCTTCAGCTGCTTACTGCTCAACGGATGATCCCATTCCGGAACAGTCATGCCCGGGATAAGAATCACAGGCTTTGTCGACATCCAACCACGAAGAAGCGCCAGCGTTAAAGTGTTGGTAAGACCGTAAAGCATCGATCCCAATGTTCCAGCATCCATGGGGGCGACTAAGAGCATATCAGCCCATTCGCAAAGCTCCGCCGCCTTAGCCTTTAGCCATTTTCGTGCACCCGTCTTTTTCTCAAATGTCTGGCTATCCACAGTATCCATATAATGAGGGACCTTGTTCGTATCCGCAAGGAGGGCCGATGGTTCGTCCGTAATCAAACGCAGTTCGATTTCGGGATTCTGGACAAGCGATGGGAGTACATTGTCGGCAAAGGCGCTCTCAGTCGACAAAAGTAAACGTTTCCGGCGACGACTCGATGGGGTGATATCTTGTTTTGAACTCTTATAGGGACAAATCCTGTATCCTTCTTGGTTTGCAATCACCTCGCTACCCTTGCCAACTTCCATCTCACTCGACCAAACGCCCCTTGTGATACCAGCGGGAGTAGATGAACTATCGGATTGAAAGCCAACTGCCATGTCAAGTTCAATAAAATGCGTTATCGGTGTCGAAAATGCCGTGGCAATGCGACGAATGCACGTCAAGATACGTCAAGTTGATCGAGATAGGGTTGATCGAGATAGAAAACGATTCGAAAAAAGCCTAACGACAGGAAGAACGAAACCCAGCGGATAAAGGTTTTCTGTATGCTTTTTGACGAAAGAACGCAACCGGTGCGAAGAAAAAAAAATCTCGAGAGGCAAGAAAGAAAAAAGGCGGGAAATCAAAAATAAAGAAATTGATGCCTATCAGTCGAGCTGTGATTTATATGCGTTTTTATCGGGACACTTCAATTGCAGCCCAAGAACCTCTCCTTCAACTGACCACGGTATCAGAGCCATGTAAAGTGATCGTGGCAAAAAGCCCCAACTGCCTTCCTGCTGGGGGGAACCAACAAGGACCTAGACTCAAGGGCTTGAAATGTGCAAACTTGTTTGTAAAAGGGGCTAGGAAGCGGTGTGTAGCAAGTCGTAGTCGTAGTATGTTGCCAACCTCAAAAAGGTCTCACGCGGGCTATGAAAGAAAATGTGACGAAAGGATGAGCTTGGGGGTCCGCTTTGTCCAACTGGCGACGCCACGTCTTGAAGTGATCGTGCCACCAGGTCGAATGTGGGTCGGTTCAACGCTTTTTATCGATGGTGGAGATATTGACTGTGAGTCCGGAAGATGTGCGACAGACAAAGACACTCGATGAGAGCGACTGCGATGTCGAAGCGTCTTCTTTTCTCAATGTCGCGGAGAGTGAAAACAAGAGAAAGTGACGATATCCCGCGGTTACTGGCGGCGAAGAGGGAAGGCCGCGGCTCTGATTGGCTGCTGGGGAGGGGACTGGCGGTCTGCCGATTCAGCCAATCAGCGGCCGCATACAAGAGGTATGTTTTGGATAGGAGGAGTGATTCGATAGAGGATGAAGATATATATTGACAGTTCTATGCTCATAAGTGTATATATCTACTTGTATAGACACCCTTACTGGTCCCTTCTGGACAGGTTCGAGTGCAGTTTATGCTCTCTCATGGCCAAACTGGCCAACGCTCCCAACACGCCGAGCCCAAAGAGCGTCAAGAAGACCGCTCGGAGAGAGTCCATGTACGCATCCAACACACCGTATTTCCAGTCTGATGGGAGCTTGGCAATTTCATCCAAACTATCCCTGATCCGGGAGATGATTTCCTGGGCATGGTCGCGATCGCCGAAGCGAGACCAGAGCTCCGACTTGAATAAGTTCTGAAAGACTGCAGAAGCGATGGCAATGCCGATCGTACTCCCTGTACTGCGGAATGCATAAGATGCTGATGTGACGACCGCATGGTGCTGATGGTCGACAGCCGAGATAAGCGCAACAAGGGTGATTGTGAGCATGCTACCGTAGGCAAGGCCCAAAAGGAAAAGGTAGATGAAAGGCACCCACCCAGGAGTAGAGAGGGTCATTGTAGAGATCGTGATCGTCGCCAGAACTAGGAAGGACACCGAGGTCAGATTCAGCAGCCTGTACCGACCACTGGCACGCATGATAACGCCACAACCCAGCGAGCCAAGTGATGTCCCAACAGCATATGGAATCAATCGCACACCAGCATCAGTGGCTGAAAGGCCCTGGACTTGGAAATAGAGCGGCAGATAAAAGAGAAGGCCAAAGATAACCATGGTTGAAAACCAGTTCGTATGACAGGCCGAAGCCACCGTCCGGTCTAACAGAAGACGGACAGGAATCACAGGCTCAGACGCAACATTCGCTTCAATGTAGATGAAGATGCCCAGGAACACGACAGAAAGTGGCAGCGAGGTGAGAACAAGAGGGTGTGTCCAAGAAACCTGGCTTCCGCCAGCATTGAGGCCGAGCAGGAACAAAACCAGCGTGATGAGCAGTGTTATAGCACCGAGGAAGTCGATCCGTTTCAGCTTTGACGCATCAGACTCCTTCACCGGCACCTTCACCGTGAACACGACCAGAAGGCACGAAACCACAATAAAAGGGACTTGGATCAAGAAAGCCCATCTCCATCCCAGCGTGTCATTAATGAAGCCGCCAAACACTCCGCCCAGTCCACTCCCAGCGCCATAGCAGATATTCCCGATACCCTGCCATACTCCCCGTTTCCGAAGAGGGATCAGATCCGACGTGACAAATGTCGCGATCGCTAGAAGGCCGCCTCCTCCAATCCCCGCGATAATACGACCAAGCACGATTTGCCACTCGCTATTGGCGAGACCGCAAATCAGATTCCCGGCCGCGAAAAAGATGTTGGAGAAGATCAGTCCAGTCCGTCGGGAGTAGATATCCGTCAATTTCCCGCTCAGCGGTTGGAAGGCAGCATTAGAGATGAGATAGGATGCTGCTAGCCAGGAAAGCAGGGAAAGAGAGTTAAAGGAAGAAGATATGGGACCTGTCAATGTAGCAACAATTGTTGTATCTGTAGCAGTCATCAAGTTAGCTTTTCTCCCAACAACGGCAATTCAACACCAAATCATACCTAGAGCTGCCAGGAATACACCCAACCAGATACTGCCCAGAACCAAGAGCAATTCCTTCGTGCTGGGTTCTTTGGCCAGAGGAACTTCGGGCTCTTCACTTTCATCAGGCTGCGCTGTCTCACCAAGCAGCGGTGTTTGCTCGGTCACAGGGACTCTGGCAGCTTCCGCTGCCTCTACCGTGGTAGGCTCGTCAGAAGGCATTATATCAGTAGGGTAAACACTGTCCAACTGTGCATTGAAGAAGATGGATGCCCCTGGCGATGGTATGAAAAAAAGATGGAGTTGTAAGCATCGGAGCGGGGGGCTGGGAAAGTTGGGGTTTATTAGTCGGCCGATGACGATAATTGCCGATCTATTGCGATTATGTGGAGAACCGTTAATTGGTACCAAATCACCTTCACGACGAAGTATGAGGTTATTTATAAATATTAAAGTATTATTCCAGTTCTTATCCCTTCTATATCAATGAGTCTTTCTCTGGTTCCCTCCAACGTGGATAATTTTCTCGATAACTTAATTCGTGAGATCATAGTATTGGAGGTGCGTATACTTCAGTTCCATGTTGTTTTCTGATTACAATAATACATGCCGTTTTAATGAATGGAATCCATTGAATGGAAAATAACGAATAGATTTAGGAATGGTGTTCTGCCAGCTCGCCAATCCCGGCGTTCTTCATCGAAGAACCCGATGATATACATTCGGGTCACTAATCACTCTCTGGCCGACTCGTTGATCATCGCAGTAGCTTCCAGATTGAAAGCCATTAGAACCTTTGACAAGTGACGCATATGTACATGGTTGTAGATATCCCAGGGACCATATTCTTGCATGGTGAGGAATCCAGGATCCTTGCTGCGATTCTGCTTGAAGTATTTGAGTAATCCGGGACCCTTGCTGTGGTCTTTCATCATCAGATATTTGACATATTCGGGGCTGTAGGACGCAAACGTCAAGAAAATTTCGTTTCGATTCTGGGAAACTAAGAGTCGTCTTCGTAAATTAGTATCAGTGATCACTATTTTCCGCGGTGTTTTTCACTTACGAAGAGAGCGGTACTTCTCGAGAATGCTCTTCATCGTGCAAGATCCATCCAGCCATCAGGGCTGATTCCTGCATATACGCTGATGGATCTGCTCTATCCCTAACTCGAGGCTTCGTGTTGGTGATTGCAAGGACTTCTTTGCTGTCTCTGGAACATAAGTGACCGTCTGTTCGCGCAACCATATAAGCAGAGTCGAATTTTGTTGTGAATATATTCCCTGCCACGATCCAGTTTATCTGTGTATCGGGGTTGAATATCTGAATAACCTTCAGATACGTGATTAAAGCCACCCTTATGACTCTTTCGGGGTTTGATGCTTCGAAAGAAAATTCTTCTTCTTTTTTTGGTCAGTGACAGTGAAGACAATATGCTTCTAGAGGCAACTTTACTTGAATCTTCCCATGACAACTCTGATTCAGTGCTCCCATGATTCAGAGTGAGGATTTTTGAAGATTCGTCATCTTCATCGGTGCGTTCAATATCCAGTTGCCAATCCCTAACTGGGGCAAACTCTCCCAGCCCTTCCCATTCTGCAAGTTCCTGGTCACTTCTCTTATTCTCGATCTGACTGAGATAAGCTTCAAATCGCCCGTAGTCCCGGAGTCTATCTTTGGCCTTCGAGTAATGGACTTCGGGGAGACGAATCTCATCTATTCCCTTCCGTTTTGGCCAGAGGGATCGAAGAACAAGAAACTGCTGTACAGTTATTTTAGATCCAGTCTGCATGATGTCCGGGCTATGGACGGTCTTCTTTTTGAGGCCATGCTCTTGGACCAGCTTGAACCAATCCTCCTCGATGGCTGGCAGTCGGCCACTCTCGGTTGACATTGGAACGGCCATCAGGTATGAGCAAGGAGATAGAACGGGAGAAATGCAAAGTCTGAAGGTGATGGTCGGGGTGGCCGGATAACTTTGCCAACCCAGAATTTGGTAGAAGAGAGAAAGGAAAAAGAAGGAAAACAAAAGATAAAAAGAAAGAGAGGGAGAGAACAAACAGAAAGGCCTTGGGTTAGGAAAACTGCATAACAAACAGCAGTGAATAGAACAAACGGTAGCAAACATCGGCTGAGCGCATAATATTTGATAATCCTTTGTGCGACTTTGCCTCTAGATCCCATACCACGATATGAATACTGCTAGATAGATAAATTTGAGGTCAAAAGATATTACGATAACATGATGGTGTTGATTTATAGAAATCAAAGCAAGACATTTGTATGTGTCCTAATTATATGCTGGGCCCAGTTTTTCGTTAACAAATCAGTCTGATAAGAAGCGATTATTTATCCAGTCAACACAGATCAGAGCTGAAAAAATAAAATGGATCAACTAGCATTGCTTAATCTGCAGAATATTGTATCTGTTTGATCGTCGGTGTTTCTGCAATCGACCACCAAGCAATGATGGAATGAAACTCCACCGGGAATGGCTTCAGCCAATGATGATCGCACGGGATGGAGTCGTTCTCCATTGTGGAGATGACAGCAGCCGCTGAAGGAGATTAACAACAACATTTGATCGTGGAAGAAAGAGGAAAAGGAGTCGGTCGATCAGGACCGTGCCCATGTCCATCACGTGGCTGTGTCAACCTTGACGTTCTTCTCTGGACAATGTGATTCTTCTTTTCTTTTTCATCCTTGCTCGATCTGTCATTTTCTCTCGCCCACTCCATTGTTCAAAATGCCCGGTGTCCGTGAGTATAGCCCCGCTGGCTAGCTCCATGCCATGCCGCATTTTAGGTCGAGGGGTTCTAACATGTATCTGAAGCACCCGATGCGCTGCAACAGCTGAAGAGGGGCCTTAAGGCCATGTTCCGGCGAAAGAAGAAGAATGCGCAAGAGGCAAAGAAGCCTGAAAATGCCCCTGTCGCCGATAAACCTGCGGATAAACCAGCAGACAAGCCAGCAGAGACCGCTGCCCCCGCTGCTGCGCCGGCGGCTGCTGCTCCAGCGGCGGAAAACAAACCCGCAGAACCAGCTCCTAATACAATCGGTATGTCGCACTTTTATTGAAAATTTGACTGTTCATCTCGTTAATACTCTGCGAAACAGAGCTAGCAGCCCCGGATACTCCAGCAGCTCCTGTGGACAAGCCAACAGAGGCCGAAGCAAAGCCTGAGAGCTCTGCCACACCAGCTCCAGAAGCAAAGACAGAACCTGCCCCTAGCGAGCCTAAGGCAGAAGCCCCAGCTCAGGAGACCAAGGCAGAGACTCCTGCCCCTGTCCCCGCTCCTGCTGCTGAGGCCCCGGCCGTTGAAGCCCCTGCTGAAGCTCCCGCCGAAGTTCCGGCTGAGACCCCAGCTGCAGCCCCAGCTTCTGATGCAGCACCTGCTGCTGCTCCGGCAGCAGAGAAGCCTGCTGAGACTGCGGAGCCGGCAAAGGGTGAGTTTCATATATCATAAAGCTATGAGAAAGACATACTAATCATGCGCAGCTGAACCGGCCAAATAAATGTGCTTATTTGACCTTCCTTTACTGCAATCCAGAAATTGATCTTGCCTACGTTATTTATCTGCTATGTCTCGCCACTCCATTTCAAAGTTGTATCTCATACCCGACCAGACCGCTTGTGCTTTCATCGCTGGCTTCCAGCATAATACCCGCTGTGTTTGTTGTTACGTTTATATTAGAATGTTCGCTAAAGACGTGTCTATCAACTGACATACGTCAAGTAGCCTATATCAATCACAATGAGGTTTCAGAATTTATGGCATATACACTTCATAGCAGACGTAAACTTTTAGGATAGAACGTTGTTAAATATAAGCGCAGGGTATCTTAAGCTGCAAAATCACAAAGCCATTTAGGAGCCATTTAGTCATCGCCACCTTGTGATGAGGCATCCCCGTCCAAGTCAGCGGGAGGAACTTCCTGGCCTGTAGCAGCAGCAGCCGCTGCCTTTTCCTCGCGTGCCTTTTGTCTCCGTTTGAGCTTTCTCTCACGGTTTTTGCGATTGCGCTTCTCCGCTTCTTTCTGCTTGGCGTCGTCTGCGGCCGTGAGACGCTTGCGTAGCTGGATTCGACGCTTCTTGCCTGGCTTCTTGCGGGTCTTGGGAGATGCTTTTACCGGAGGATCGATCGTACAGACAACGGCATCTTTGGACGGAGGGGGTAGCTTTGTATGTTGTCTTTTCAGATGAATTACCCGCCACGGGAGATGGCAACCAGGCTAGACATATGTCAGTTTCATCCAACCAGCAAAGAACCACCCAGACGAAGAAAAAGCAAAAGAAAAGACCTACCCAAGCCTGCTTAGCCCACCCCATCATATCTTGCCCACTAACCGCCACATTCTCAAACTGCGTTCGTCTCAACCGAACCTCCTCCGACTCCTCCCCACCCTTCGACTCCGAACCAGAATACAACCCCTCCGTCGTAAAATAATACTGCCACCCCCGGAACGGATTCACAAGCCGCCCATCCCCAAGATTCGCAGGGGTAGGCGTCGGCGACCGTAACCGAATCCGCAACTTTTGCGTCCCATCACCGGCCCCGGATGTTTTATTCGAGTCGTCACCCGCTTCCGCGCTCTTGTCGTCTCCGCTTGTGGTGGTGGGTTTTTTCGTCGGGGCGCTGAATAGCCGGAACTCGAATTCCTCTTCTTCGTCTTCGGCGGCGTTGCCGGGTTGGTTTGGGTTTGCCCCCCGTGACTGGTCTGTTTTCTGCTCTGTTGATGGGAGGACCGGTTGGTCTGGGGTGATGAATGTGTCGATGTTGAGCAATTCGCCTAGACGCTGGTGGGCGTCGTGATAGCTGGATTCCGGGGGTGGGGATGGCGATGGTGATGACGATTCGCGGGAGAGCATTTCATCGCGACTGACGCTGTAGGAGAGTAGAGATTAGCAATTGTGTTTCCATTGTCCGTTATTCTAAGGAGTTAAAGCATGATGCGATGCGAATGTTGGAAAAGCCTCGTGCGGAACGACGTACCGTTTTGCGTTTGGGAGGTCGAACATTGTGGATTGTAGTCGCTAGAATGACTTTTATTTTTAATTGAATGAAAATAGACCACTCCAGTGATAATATCCAACGCAAAGCTGCAGGTTCTACTCTGTCGTGGTGCGAACTTGCAAGATGGCTGCTGTGCGGAGAGTGAGTGGGTTGAAAAATGTCAGGCTAATTTTGAAGCTGCTTATTTCCACGGGCTGGATCGGTCTTGCGGCCACGTCCCGGAGGATTTTATACATCGGCCATGGAGCTTCCATGATTTATCTGCTTTTATGCACTACACGGGTTGATAGATACATTTTATTGCAATATTGAATATGGATAGAGAATCCCTTATGGGTCAATTACGTATTGTACCTGTGTATTTTGAAAACCACTCTAGACTGAAGTGCATGGCGCCATCCATTCTTTGGTACGGAGTACAAGGATATCTCACTCTCAAACGCAGCGACCTCCATCAACCTGTAGTACGAAATGAGCAATTAGCAATCATCAGCGCAGACCATAGTTGCAAAAAGAAACACACCTCCAGATTGACACCGGTAATAAAGTTTGCTTCATCACTCGCAAGATAGCTGCAAGCATTGGCCACATCGGCCGGGGTGCTGGGTCGACCAAGTGGCACGGTGGAGACGAATGCTGCTCGATTCTCTTCTGTATCCGGCTTTCCAAGGAATAAATGTGTCCTACATAAATTTCAGTGGAGTTAGATTTGCTGATATCAAAGATGAGCGACGATGCATAATGTATTCACTTACATTCCTGTACTACCAACCACTGGACAAACACAGTTGAATCGAATATTCTTAGGCCCATACTCCACGGCCAACGTCTTAGTTGCGTTGCTCACAGCTGCTTTGGAAGCATTGTACCAGGTCAAGCCAGGTCTAGGACGGAGGGCAGCAGTGGAAGAGATTTGGATGAACGAGCCAGGACGATTATTCTCAGTGAAGTAGGGGATGATAACGCTCGTAGAAAGGTAGATAGATTTTATATTGACATTCATGCACAAGTCGAAATCGATGTCGGTGACATCGGCAGTGGGCTTGTTGTGGTATGTTGCACCGGCATTGTTCACAACGATATCGAGCTTCCCGTATGTGTCCAGTGTGGTCTGAAGTAGTGCCTGCCAGGACTCTCTCTTCGTCACATCCGTCAAGACGAATTTGCCGTTCAATTCTGCTGCGGCCTTCTCACCGTTATCTGTCGACAGCTCTGCGATGACCACCTGAGCGCCCTCTTCGACAAACTTCTTTGCGATGCCGTATCCGAATCCCGAGCCTGCCCCGGTGATAATAGCAACCTTGCCTTCTAAGCGTCCTGGCATGGTGATGGATGATAACAAAGATCAATTTCGAGGTTGAGGTGATTGTGAGGAAATTGGTCCTGGATGTGTACTGAAGAAGGATATACGAGGTAGACAGGGGAGGGAAGGAGGGGCTGACTAGGTACTTAAGTATCTCTGCGCAACAGAGGGGTTGCACTGCGGGGTCTGTATTCAATAAGAATCATGGACGATGGAAAGAGTGAATTCTTTTGATTAAATATTGGATTAGAGTTTATCTGGCAAGTCGAATCTATTGTCTTTTGTTGAGTCCATGCTGTCTTCTTATCACGGTGATTTGGGATAATGAGCTGTAAAGAAATTATGCAGCGGACTAAGTAACTTACAAAGTAACTCATGAGTAACATGGATGATACAATCCATATCCATGTTCATTCACGATCAGCCACTTCTGCCCCTAATCGTAATTGACTCTTGACCCGTCCTTGAAGCGGGTAGGGACGGCATATCCCATCGCAATAGCTTCAAAGTTTGTCTGCGACGAAGAAGAACAGCTCCAAGCAGTCTGTAATAATATTTGGCCTTTATGAATTGTTTATTAGCATTCAGTTGTGGCGATAATGAAGCAGTTGGACACTTCTAGTGTTCCGGCTGTCAATCCCTGGGTTAATTGGTATGGATCGTCCTTATGCCATTCAACTCATATGATAATCAGTTTCCCTTGAATACTCTGCAACCATCCAGCATGACGATCATCATGAGATCTGATGAATGTGATGCCCAGGAAACAAAACGAAACAACCCGACGATGTCATCGCGACGGACGCACGGGCCACTCCCAATCCGAAACGCCGCCGACAAGAACGTCTGCAGCTGAATCTCCCCTTGAGCGATAAAAACTCGGTATTTACAACAGCGGCAGCTGTGGCACGCACTCTTTTTTGATCTTTTATTACTCCACGTCTATTTCTTCCTCTCCCTCTGGCCTTTTTATCGCCCATATTCTTCGCCCGTGTCGGTCTCTCACCTTTTCGGCTGCGTCCTTCCGGCCTCCCGTTTCGTTTTGCGACGCATCCAATCCACACTACGATAAATGGGCGCCTGTGCCTCGTGCCTGGGCCTTAGTCGCCGGGAAAATAACGATGTATGTCATGGAGTCATGGCACGGTCGAGCAGAGATTTGGGAAAAAGTGATGTTTTCACTTTTTATCTCAAACTGCGCATCCCGGGCTTTCCCGTTAAGAATCCGAATATACCCTGGCTAACGAACAATGTGTTTTGCGCAGTTGGAATCTTCACGATTACTAGACGATGATATCTACCAGGCTGGCTATGGCTACGGAGCTCTCAACCATGCGAATCAGCTAAACCACCCTGATCCGGAGAACATCAAGCGGGAACGGGAAGCCCTCGAAGCTATCTGCCAACGGACATCGGAGTGAGTTTCCCTAGCCAAAGGGACCCATACTCTATACAGGATCACGATACTAACTATTCGGTCCTTCGATAGCTCCGTCATCGACATCTGGTCTCTCCAGCCCCAACCTCACCTGCAGCCCCAAGCAACCCTTCATAATTCCATTTCGCCGACAACATCAGACGCCGGTGATGCCCCGGTCAAAATCACCACCACCGTTCCACCAGAGAACGGCCAACCGGCCCCGAACAAGGGAGGCGCTGTTCCCAAACACTGGGGTGAAGTCGTCATCAATCCGCGCAAAGGCAAAACCTCACGGCCTGAATCAGGCGCCGCAGAAGAAAACGGTCGACGAGATGTCTTTGGTGTTTTGAATGTTGCTTAAAAAAACCGAACTTTTGACGAGTTAGTGATGGATGGTTGATATGTCGGATTTTTCTCACTTTCCCTTGGGCCCTTTTCTTTCTTCTTTTTTTCTATTCTTCGCTTGGGTCGCCGGCCGACAGGCTCTATGCCTTTGTTTTATCTTCTTTTTCTCACCTTTTCCTTCCCTTCGATGTCATAATAATACCCCCCATCGCTTTATCTTTCTTTTTTGGAATCCCTCTTTTACACCGCACCATGTCAGTCTGTCTAGAAGGCACATCAGGCGCATCGGGCGCATATTTTCTTTTGTCTTGTGTTGTCGTCTTGCCCTCCAGCGACTAGTTGATTAGATCTCACTACATACATGGTAGTCTTCATCTTATCCAAGTAAATATATCTATGTAAGATGTAAGAGCTATTGCTGTTTCACCTATATTGTACTATATTGTCAATGATATAAAACTAAACTTTCAGTACAATCTGCAAATGCACACAGTGCTCCTGGCTGAGATTTGTGTAATCTCCATGCTCGAATATCTGCAAAAGAGATAGAAAACACAAAGAACAAATGATAATCCAAACTAGACGGTCGAATCAACAGGAAGGAAAGGCAGTCGAATCCTTCCTTGATGTGAGTGATCGCTCATTAACTTGTCCCTATACTATACTCCTGTACGACCGCCATAGTCAGTTGCACCAAGAACTTCAAAACTCCGCCATGAAAAACGCCGCCTGCCTAATTCCGATTGAAGAATGATATAAATGGGGGAATATGATGATGCAGTACATCTGTGCTCGCACAGATACCGAAGAGAATTCAAAAACAGAGAATATGCAGGACCGGTTAGACATCGTCCATTGCACCGGCGGGTTCTTCGCCACCAGACTCGTAGCTGCCAGCCGAGCTCAATTCGTCTTCGGATTCGGTGTCTTCTCCAGCATCGTCCACTGCTTCTTTACTGGCATATTTGGAGACATATTCTGTCCGAAGTGTGAGCATAGCGATCATCTTCATAGACCAATTTACATACCCTTCACCTTGGCATCGTAGCTCTTGGGTTCTCTCATCAACATGGCTGCAGCTTCGCCATTGAGCGGGTCTGAAGGGTTCGGGTAACGCAGTAGTTGAGGAAGGAAAACTTCGAAGATGTTGACCATGTCGTACATGGGCGACCAAGTCTGGTTGATCACATCCAGGCAAACAGAGCCAGAGCTATTGTGAAAAAGGTCAGAAATGAAAGAAAGAGCCCTTTAGCCACAGGGACTTACAGCTCATCAATGTTCGGATGAAAAATCCGGTTGACAAACCCAATACTTGGGCTCTTGTAGGGATATTGATCAGGTAATTCAACGTGGATTTTCCAGTGTCCGCCGGCAAACGGTGCTTTAATCTCGTCAGTACGAGGGTACACAACTTGTGGGGCATGGACGGCACGTACTCTCCTCAGGACCCTTAAAACGCACGTAAAATTCTTGCCTATTCACCGAGATCCCAATCAGCACCTTATTCATTTTATCTCGTGGGAAATTCTGTATTATGGGGGACGTACACTACATCAAAAAGTTAGCATTTGAAACCAGTCTCCCAGCAGTAAAACTCACTGTTATCATTAACCAGGGTCACCTCATAGTCACTCATCAACCTAGGAGTCATATTAGCACCAAGTAATATATCATTCTTTCTTCCAGCTGATGCGGAGTGTTATCCGGCCGGGGTCATGGGATCGAGAGGGATTGGACGTCAAGACTGAGGGATTGCATACATCCTGTCCAAATTAGCCACGGTTCACCCCATAGTAATTCAGGAGAAATACTTACTTCATCACCTACAGATTAGAAGCAAAAAAAAGCTCAAATGTCAGTCTTCAGTTCTTCCAACTCCGGGTTTCAGGCTGTCCAGCTTGACTCACATCTGTTTCGATTCTGCGCTTAGGGCTAGACATAGTGGCGAGTTCTCGAGTATAGTAGACTGAACAATCAAAATTGCAATCCTCGAGTTCAGGAGCAAGCCCCGATCAAAGGTCGTAAGTTGCGTGGGTGGTGATTATAGTATTCCAAGACGGTCCCTAACGGTGGAGCGGGGAAGCAATGAGCGGGGCGATTTGCTATCGACAAGCAAGAGATAACACTGCTGTAGAATCAAGGCAGATGACTGAGGATAAAAAAGATGGTCTCAGGATATTGAGGCCAGAGGAATTCGGTAGAAAGGATGTGTAGAAAGAGAGAGTCAAGAAAGAGGGAGGGAGAGAGAGGAAGAAGGCGGAAGAGGGACGGAGCAGCAGCGGCGGTGATGATATGATGGCACGCCAGAACTGATGATGCTTCGGGCAGCCGAGCCCGTCATGTGGACCCGGACGGGGGCGATGAGTCAGCCGGTTTGGGTGGTTTTGGGTGCATTCTTTAGGCATGGATAACTTCATTTCCTTTGCGACGTACAACCTTGGTGTCGTTCGAAGGTTCCGGTCATCCATGGAACTCGATGTTCCCATTTGTTTTCCATCCAGGCGCGGGCATTGCAATGGCACCAATACGAGGAAGATCGCCCCGAATCTAGCGGAGGTGCTATCGTATCACTGTACACTGTCTTGTGTCTTCGATAGTGGGTGGGCTATTGATGGCTATACGGGATAGGCGTGCAGGATTCATCATCATCGTACGCACGGAGTACAGGAGGTACTAATTACTGCTGTGACACATCATAGCCATCTTCCACCAACACTTAGGCTTGTGCTTCAGCAAACAGGATATTGACCTGTTAGCAGCTGATTGCAAGCGAACAGTAGCTCCCTGTTTATATTCGAGGATACTTCATCCATCCTCTCTCTGCGCTCCCACTTGTTCCCACGATCAGCAAAAGGTGCATACTCCACTATGCAGGTGAACCTAGGACACACTGCATTAATGCCTCAGGGACTGTACCTGAAGCGTTGCCCAAGATCATAAACCTGTAGGAATGAAGGAAGAAAATCTAGCAACAAAAAATAATGATTCGCTAGCAGAATAGCCTCTGTAAGATCGACTAAAAATAAGACCTCATAATCGCAGTTATTCAAATGCTGAGGGATATATCATAGACGTATAGTGTGACTGGTGTTCTGATTGGGCAATAGCATGGGGTTTCTCCCTCCCTCTCTCCCTCTCTCCCTCTCTCTCCGCATGACACTTCATCCCCTCAACACAAAACACACACCAACATCTCATTCCACCAGTCATCATATTCTTCCAGGAAACCCAACTGGAAAGAAGCTCTACACTTTTCAAACCAAGTTTCAGCTAATCTTACACGTCGATCACCATGGACTCCTCTTCAGACCCCTCTGCTCGAAACTCCCCGAATCCAAACCCACCAGGTGCTTCTGGAATCGGTCTCCCCCACCGGCCGGCAAGCAGACAAAATCCAGACTCTCCTTCCAGTAATGCCGGGAATAACGCCCCAATTCCGGATGAAGAGCACGGGGCAGACTTGCCGTTGACCATGTCGGCTTCGGTGGTGCTAACAAGCCTTCCCCGCGATGCTCATCAAGCACTAGCGGACGCGGAAGCCGTTGATCAAGGAAAAGGTAAGCTTTTTGACTTGTTTACTGCATTGATTTCGCGCTATTCGCAAATGGTCTCTTGGCTGTCTCTTTATGGTTTGTGGGCGTTTGAGACGTTGCAATGCATGTTGTTGACAAGCTTTTATTGCTTTCTGCTGCGATGCATATTCTTTTCAACCTCTTCGATTTTGTCTTTTGACCTGCGTCTTACAGCGTTTCTAATTCCTTGACAGTTACCGTTCGCTTCCAGCCACTGCCTTCAGCCCCTATTCTCAAGAACCGTGTTTTCAAGATCAGTGCTTCCCAAAAGTTCGAGACGGTTGTCAAATTTCTTCGGAAGAAGCTGGATTGCAAAGATACGGATTCTGTCTTTTGTTATGTCAACAGTGTTTTTGCACCTGGATTAGACGAGGGTATTGGAGGGCTCTGGAGAGTGAGTACAAGTCCCCATTTTTGCCTAACAGTTTAACAACTGCCATGCCATATATACTGATACAGATAATGTAGTGCTTCAAAACGGATGATCAGTTGATCGTAGCCTATTCAATGACACCTGCCTTTGGTTGAGATTATACGATGGACCTTCCAGCCGGTTATGACTAATACGACCTGCAGTAAACTTATCAATCTGCATCGTTTTGATGATAGAAAACACTTGAATTACAGCGAAAAGAAATTTCAGAATGCTGCGTCAGTTGGCGCAGAGGCCGACGACCGCTATGTATTACTACCTAATGACTATTTCCACCAGGTGATGAGAAATCAAACCGCCATGCCAATTCAGCAAACGCAAATGCAATGCTTTGACTTGAAACGCCGAAATAATATATCAAACCCCCGAAATTAACCCCTCAAAAGAAAAAAGAAACTCCAGACACGGTCATTCCAAATGCGAACCAAATCATAAGTTGCGGTGAAAGTCATCGACCGTCTTCTCGAACTCGGCAAGTTCGTCTTTCGAAATGGGATAAGTGTATTCTGGTGAAGGATAGGCCCGGCTCTTGACTTCGTCTCTGTATTGCTGGATTCCCTTCATCGCCTCACCCCAAACATCGGCATACTTTTTGACGAACTTGGGAAGAAAACGGCCGGTTGGGAAGTTGCCGGTCATGTCGATTTGAACAAGGACCTGTCCAGAGCAGCCATTTCCAGCACCAATGCCAATTGTTGGCACTCGAAGCTTCTCTGTGATAATAGCAGCGATCTCTGCAGGCACTGCCTCAAGGACTATCATGAAAGCACCGGCTTCTTGCACGGCAAGGGCGTCTTTTAGCAGCTTCAATGCCCCGGCAGTGGATTTTCCTTGAACTCGGAAGCCTCCGAGAGCGTTCTGACGCTGAGGGGTGAGACCAATATGGCCCACAACAGGAATTCCTGCTGTTGTGATGCGCTTAATTGTCGGCGCCATCTCCTCGCCACCTTCGAGCTTGACACTTTGCACACGACCTTCCTTTACAATACGGATGGCCGATTGCACTGCTTGTTCAGGGGAAACTTCATAGGATCCCATGGGAAGGTCACCAACCTGCCAATTGAATGTTAGTTCAAACTCATTGGCGCTAGAAAGTGTGGGGATAAAGAACGAACCGTGAACGAGGTTTTGGCTGCTCTAGACACACTCCGGCAATGCAGCAACATCTCTTCCATAAGGATTTCACTTGTATCCTCCATTCCCAATGCTACCATGGCCAAGCTATCACCAACCAATATCACCTCCATTCCAGCAGTCTCGGCGACATGTCCGGAAGGGAAGTCATGGGCGGTGAGCATGGTGATCGGTTCACCCTTTTTGTAAAGATTTCGTAGAGTCTGCAGGGTAACCTTCTTTCGAGGGTTCGCCGGAGTTTGCCCCATGGGCGAGTGGGAGCTCCATCGTACGGAGGGAGAGCACGAAGTAGATGGGGAGAAGGCCGAGATGTTGGTGGACAGCGGAACTACCGGAGATGACGAGAGAGGTCTAGCAACAGTTCTCCATGCAAGAGATCGCAAAGGCGTCGTCAGACGAGATGCAGCTCTCGAGGAAGCCATAATGAGATGATATCTTTTATGTATTATGTATCAGAGGTCGTGAGAAACGACGATGAAAAAGAGAGGGAAAAAGCGACGAAGCCGAATGCGGTGTAGAAAACAAGAGTGATCTAGAATACAGAATTCAAAAGAAGAAAAACCAAAGCAAAGCAAACCCGGAAAGCATCAAGTATTAATATCAACAAAATAGCGTCAGCAAAACCTAATCCTAATCCCAATCCATCCAACTTCCATTTGACCGCGATCCCCAAATCCCAATCCCAGCACAAAAGTTGCCAGCTGACTGAACTGATGACTGTTCTGGCATATCCCGCGTAGCCCAGAGCATTTCACAATTCTGCCGGATGTTTGCTCCCACGCTAGTCCGTTTCGGGGTAAGTCAGACTCGGTTATTTCGGGGTTCCCGCATCTTCTCCGCCGGATTGGTGGGTTGTTCCGTGCCGAGGGATGTGTTGAAGGGCCGCGGCTTTTGCCTGATTGGGTTTAGTGAGGGGTTTTGGGCCTTTTTTCTTTTTCCTAAATCTGGTTGTATTGTGATTGTAGATATTAATCATGTTCGATATTGTTAGTGGTGTTGTTTTTTATTCAAAGTACTTTAGTGTTGTATATGAAGGGTATTCAGTCGCAGGGATGAAGGTGATGGATGATTGGCGATAACGGAGATGGATCTATGGATCTATGCAGGATCTGATATGGACTAAGCTAAGTTAAGCTTACATTCTACGGAGCACTGTGTAACAACACGTCTACAAATGATGTGAAGAGGTCAAATCCAAGGTTACGCATTTCAACAGTGTTATAGCTATGTAGCTAATAGGGTTACGTGAAAAGAAAAGGGGGGATTCATAGGTTCAAATCAAACACAAAACAACCACCGGGAAAGACGAAGTCTTTTTTTAGGTATCCCCGTAACACATCCATCCACCCACGTAGAAATAATAAAGAAGAAGGGATACAGGGAGTAACTCCTGTGTATTAACTTCCCAAATCAGTAGAATGCCAATGCAACGTCCCTCTCCGAATCAGTGTCAACATGTCGCTGAAGTGCAATGTATAAACAGGAGACACTTGTGAGTCCCGCGCCATACCCAACTTGAAACCAGCTTTTAATAAACTCGAAAGCGCGCCAGTTGCATACCTGCAAAGTATGGTACAACAGAGCTGGACTGGCAAGGCAGTCAGGCTCTCTCGGTGGACGAAGAGGAAACAAAGAAAATAAAAAATCAACCACTAATCCAATGACGCCGGCTGCGTTATGATGCAAGTAGAATATCAAATACAACGAGCCACAAGGTGACCAGAGAATAAAAGAAAATCCCATGAGGGTGTAAGAATGAAAGTTGAAAGAACGTCGAGATGCAATGCCAGGAATCTTTCGATTGTGCTGACGCAAATAAAGATAAAAACGCCGAGATATGCATGTGCGCCACTGGGATCAAGTATGGTATTTTAGTTTCCGTAAGCCGCTTCGAAAATTATATCACAAAAGACGATATGGACGTAGACATAGGAAAGCTGACGGTCATCGATGGCAGATCGGGACGCATTGCAGGATAAATCGTGAGATTTTGGAAGGAATAATCGAAATTAGGTGAACATAGCCTAAGCATATTCGTATTCCGTCTTCAAGGGTCTTTCCAGTTGGAAAAGCAAGGAATCGAGTTCGGCCCAGTTTGACATGGTTGTCGCAAATTTGCGGTGCTTCCTGGTCAAGGTGTGCTAAGGAATGGTCAGCAACTTGCGTCATCGGCTGGATCGCATTTAAATCTTACCTCCTCAAAATCGTCGAACTTGTCTCTGCAGTTCTCGCAATAACCGGGTTTCGGGTCTCTCCTCCTTTCCTTCTTCTTCGGGTTGCTGATCTGCCGACGGTGCGACTGCCCTTTCGCATTGTCATTCCCTTCGGACTGGGTAGTGTCCTCCTCATTCACATTCCCGAGCTTCTCCTGTGTATTCGACTTGGACATCCCTTGGCTCTGATTCTTCGTCGGTTTCGGTGCCGACTGATCCGTGGCGCGATGGGATAGTGGTGCTGGCCCTGTAGAGATTCCACCGTTGCTCTTTTCAAGAACCTTCCTCTTCAATTCATGGACCTCCTTGCTCAATCCCGCCTTGGCTCCGGGAGCCGCAGCAGTAGATGATACCATTTGGGACCGAATGGCAGAAGTAATGTTGGAGGGCTGGACACCTGATGCAGCTGGTTCACGGCCAACATGGAACGGCCCTGTGCGGGGAAATTGCGGGGGAATGAAACTCTCCGAGCTCTTCTTTGGCGATCCAGGCTTGACTTGCGGCGCGATTGGTCTCTGGTAAAAGTCGAGCTTTGGTTGTTCTTGGGTATCCTTGTCCTCAGTGGCCTTTTCTTGCACGGAGTGCTTCCTCTTATGGGTCTCAGGATTGGGAGCTGGTTTCAAAGCGGCCTTCTTTTTCTTCTCCCTTTCTTGCTGCCGTGCCTTTTGCCGATCCAGTTCCTTCTTCGTTGGAGGTTCATCAATGAAAGGACATTTTCCTAAAGGTGCACTTCTGAATTGCGGCCAAAGACCATCCTGTCGTCGTGCTGGTTTTTGATATTCTCTAACCATGACGGGCTTTGTCTTCTCGTCCATATCGTGAATATAGATGAATGGGCCCTTGAACATCACCAACTCTTTCAATGACGACAATGGATCACGATCAGATGGTCCGTTCAGAAGTTCGTTGCGGAGGACTTGGGAGAGATCCGTCTCGCCTCTGGCCCGGGTAGTGCCACCGACAGTATTGTTTCGAGTCGTATGATGGTGTCCACTGATCTCAGCATCATTTATCGTAGCGATCATGCGCTGTAACTTTTCGAGTGCCCATATCTTCATTCCCATTTTACGAGCCCTGTGCAGAATATCCATGTTGGTCTGTTCACGTCTCGCATCGTTCTTCAGTGACATGTGGGCGTTTTTCTCCAGCAGTGATGGGTTGACAGTTTGCAGTGAGCCTTCCACATTCGATTGGGACACAGTGGTGTTCAACTCGGCAGAGCTTGCGTTGCCATTTTCCGGGGGGATAGGACGAGAAGTAATAACATGGGTGACTAGTCTCGAGAAAAATTTCTCCTCGCTCTGCAAATTCGTCAGTAGATGGACTCCAGGCCAATGGCAGGTGACAAAGCGTTTGTGAAAGAATCATCGCAGCCTAACTCGTTGTATGGATTGATCGGGCAAAATCAAACGCCAAACAGACTTGGGAAAGGGTCAAACTCACAGCCCCCAACGCAATCACTTGTCTAGAGCATTTGCTCCGAATTTCCTCCGGAATGCTGTCAAAGTAGAAAACAAACTGCGGGAAGGCCTTGCGATAATGCCTTTGCCATTGTCGAATAGTATCCACCGTCTCCGCTGACGGCTTGTCGTGCCTCGTCCCCTTCACTTGCGTAGTCTGTCGTTCCTTGTCCCTCGCGGCCACCAATTTCTTTTCGAACGCACTCGGCTGGGTATTGTTCGATCGTCGGGTGAAAAGTTTAGAGTCGGTGGTAGTCTGATACACAGATGACTTGCGCGTCGGCGACCGGGGTTCCTGTTCGGCCCCGTCAACTACCTGCTTTTTAGGAGGAGGCTGGCCGTATGGGATATCGAGCTGAGTCGAGGTCCTTGGCCGTTTGGCTGGGACCAGACCCGCCCTGTGAGGGGAATTGGTGGCATTGGGCACGTTTGCGAGGGGCGGTCGTCGAGTCGACATATTAAGGGACATTTGAGGCGAGGGAGGTATGAATACTGCTGCCATAAGGTAACGATATACAAAGCACTTAAGAGCTATTTAGGCGATGAGTCGATATGCCAGCGAAAGAGGGGCACTCTAGGCCGAGCACGCGACGTGCTACACGTCTTGAAGGGCAATTGAGTTGGTCAGAAGAAAGCCATCATAGACGGGGGTATTAAAAGGTGAGGCGTAGGAAGAAAGAGAGTCAGAGAGAGAGAGAGGGAGGGAAAAGAAAAAAGCCTCTCTTAGAGTAAGGGAAAGCTGGGAAGGCAGAGTCGAGCCTCGAGGCCTAGGAACTGATGTGATGACGGGGGAAAAGGCAGAGAGAAGAGAAGAGCCGGAGAGAGACTAAGCAGGCGTCTTGGTGGAGACGAGACGGGTTTGTTTTGGGGGATGTGCGCCGGACAACCAAAAACACCGCGCGAGGCATGAACCAGCAGCGCATTCTTTTTCAACGAGCGCGTCGGCAAGGATAGAGGATTTTCTTTGTCTTCATTTCTGGCTGTCTTTCATCTCTTGTTTAAATTACGATGCATACAATCTAGGGCGTTGTATATGTTGTGCATTGAATCGGCGCGTAACTTTTCATGTTACGCTGATCGGTACGGGTCATAACACACTGTTACAACAACACAACAGTGCCCTGGCAATGGCGTCACGATCCAGCCTCCGGTCTACTCTCACGATCGATTCACTTCAGTGTCATTGAGATTTTTCTTATACATCCAATTATCAGGGTATCTATCTACTAATATACAAGCTGGATTTTTAATCACGCAGGGCCTCGATGTCCTCGACCTGAAAATCGCATTCAGTTAGCATGCTTCAATGTCTACACGATTACGAATCAACAAAAGGAATTTAAACACACCTCTTTTACTGCCTCTGGCGTCAGGACGATAGGGTGATCGTCTCCGACACAGACGCTGTCCTCGATACGGATGCCAATGCCACGGAATTTCTCTGGGAACCTGTCGGTGTCTGGGACGTAAATGCCACTGCAGGACGTTAGTATGCATTCAACCTTGATGATGGGCCAACATACGGTTCCACGGTGATACATTGGCCGGCCTTGAGGTCATATCCTCGCGAATAGCCAGAACAGTCGTGGACATCTAGTCCGATATAGTGGCCCAAATGGTGTGGGAAAAGAGCGTGCATTGCCTATCTACAAGTCAGCGACCAAGGTGAAATGAAAACGGGGCTATAATGAACTTACGCTTCCGGAAACATCAAATCCAAGCTGTTGCAATTGGTCTCTCAGTCCATTTTCTGCGACGCTATGCAATCTATCGAGGGAAAGCTTTGCACTTTCCCGGCAAAGGGCGACACAAGTACGGTGCACATTCAAAACGGCATTGTACAGATCCCGTTGAGGGCCAGTGAATTTGCCATTGACCGGCCAAGTTCTAGTAATATCGGAGATATAAGTGCCCGCTTCCTGTCATTGAGTTAGTATTGAAATCAGATATCAGCAAGGAGGTATACGTACTCCACCTCCGTCCACGAGGACCAAGTCTCCGTCCCTAATGACGCATGTTAGTTAAATTCTCGGCAAATTTCAAGTAGACGTACCTCAGGACGTCATCGTTTCTGGTATAGTGGATGCTCAAGGCGTTCTATACCCGTTAGTTCAAATACAGGCGACTTGGGGTTGAGTGTCTTACAGAGCCTCCCGCCACGACAGGGACAAAGGCACTGGTGTCACAGCCCTTAACCTTGAACTGATACTCCAGGAAAGAAGTCAAGTCCTTCTCCTTGGTAAAAGTCTGTCTCATCGATTCCGTAAAGGCTCGACCCGCGGCCTGGCCAACCCGGCGCAATTGTAGCACTTCATCCTCGCTCTTAAACGCTCTCATCTCATTGAGAATTGAACGCAATGGCTTGACCTTGCGGAAGTCGACAAGTTTCTTGAGCTTTTCCGATGCACTAGAAGGGCCGTATAGATATTTGTGCAAGCTCGTCCTTCCAGTCTCAAAAGCGGGAATGTCCGTGTAAACTTCTGTAGCTCCAGAAACGATGTTGGGAAGGATATCTCCGATGCGATCGATGTCTCCTGACTGTGACCCAAATATCAGCTGTGTCCACGGGCCTGAACTAGCAATCACCGACCTCATCTGCATTGAAGACATCCATGGCAGCCCGGGTGCCGGATCGAGCTCCATCCCAAAGCTCCGCCTTGGGGTCTTTTTCCCGGACGTAGAGGTGAAAGATGTGGTTATCTCCAGATCCATCATTTCCTGCAGTTGTATGAGTTTTTGTTTTTTTCCGACTGCTTTGTACTCATTGAAGCTCACCAATCACCGCCAGGGCACCGGGTTCGTTGAATCCTATTGAGAATAAACAGTCAGTAAAAGCGCTCACTCGCCAGTACCCGCTGCGACAAAGACATACCGGTAAGGTAAAAAAAGTTGGAGTCCTGTCGGTACTCATTGAAAATTCCCGAAGCACGGTACTTGACCTCAGAGGCTGCTAGCACTGCGATCGCACCTTTGGGAAGTCTATTTGCGAGCTTCGAACGACGTTGGGCGTACTCGAGAGCAGTGATTCCCGGCGTAACTGGTATCCATCGTCAATATTCCTAACCCGTGTTCTAACAAGGCCCAATACACACGTTCTCCGGGATTCAGTATATGAGGGTGTGTCTCATGCAAAGGCTGTCCGAATTTAAGGTCTGCGGCGGAGATTGAAGAAGCGTAGGTTCGACGTGTAGGTAGTGACAATCGGTTGCTCTGAAGGTGTTGCTGCAATAGCTGCTGGTTACAGCTTCGAAGACGCGGCGAAGAGCGACGAAGATAGCGAGGCCATTGGCGGGCCAGCGATTTGCATGACGACATGCTCACTGATATGCGACAAAAAAAATCGATAGTAGCAGACAAGCTGATCCAACACAGTTCGTCGTTGGTGCAAAAGTTAGCAGGTGGTCCTTCGATGGAGAGCTCCAAACAGCAACGGAGAGGTTGCCGGGGATCGGTCGGCGGCGCGGGCCAATCGGGATGCCGCTGATTGCGATTCATCGCTGCGATGCTTCGGCTTCCCCTCGTCTTTCGAGCCACACAAATGGAAGAGATAGCTGGGATTCATCTTGACTGGATGATGCGAGTGACTCAGTGCTATGACTCAATAGGATGTGTGGAGCGATTGGCTCACGGTTGACGCCCTTCGAGTCTGGATAGTGAATATATATTTCGAGGGTATTCCTATACAGCGAGGATGATACTGACCACGTCTATCACCCTTTACTCACGAGAAACAGACAATAAACATACTCTAACTAAAACAGCAATCATGGGAAGGACTCTGGTATACCCAAAAGGATCCTCCAATACTGTCAACCGATATAAGCATCGGGGTATGTTGAAACACCATTGCAGCTCATACCCAGTAAGCAAATCACTAACCGTTGTTACAGCGACTTATGATCTAGGGGCAATCCATTCGATTGTCAATTCGACCCAGGTCCTCCATGTGTCTTTCAATCCTGGCCCTTCAGACCCATTCCCCGCAATCTTGCCGATGATCGGTCAGATGGGTTCATTCGAATACCCATCAGCAGGCATAAACGAACCCTTGGACTGCTATCTTCATGGATATGTCAGCTCCCGGGTTATGAACCTAGCACGAGACTCCGAAAACGGATTGCCTCTATGCATAGCAGCTAGTAAAGTGGACGGCCTGATCCTGTCACTCACGCCCAACTCGCATAGCTACAACTATCGATCTGCCATTCTTCATGGCTGGGCCAAAGTGGTCACGGACGAGCAAGAAAAACTCTATGCTATGAAGCTGATCACGAATTCCGTGGTCCCAGACCGCTGGGATCATACCCGAGTCCCTCCTGACCGTGCTGAGATGTCTTCGACCGTCATCCTCAAGGTCAAAATCGTTGACGGCAGCGGCAAGATTCGCGACGGAGGCGTATCGGACGAGAGAAAGGACACAGGGAATGAGGAAGTAACTGGTAGCGTCTGGACTGGCGTTGTACCAGTCTGGGAGACCTTTGGGCGGCCTGTCCCAAGCCCTGAAAACAAAGTCACTGATGTGCCGGAGTATCTTACTTCATATGTCTCCAGTAAGAACGACGAAAACCGTGTACATGCAGAAGGCGCAGTTGGTGTCCAGCTTCCACCAGAGGAGCAGCACTGACTGATTGTGATCACGCCTTTCCCCTCGTGGTCTGCTTCGGTCCTATTGATACAGGAGAAGCATATAGTACTAAGCCGCAAATGTCAATCGAATCAATTTTCCATCGTACGCTCACATATAAAAAGAGTAGGCTCCATAATAAAGACTGAAATAGCAATAGAATAAATTTATTTTCAACGTTCAGTTTGTCCTACATTGAAACGGAGGATATTTGTTGATATGCGGGGTTCGCTCAGAGTGCGGAGACGTCATTAAGCTGACTCAAAGCTGTCTGATCAACATTTTCGTCGTTCAACTCCAATTCAGGACAAACAGTGCTGCTGCCCATTATTATTAACACCGCAGTTTTGGATATCGTGGTTTTTGCACTTATTCTCTTTCTAAATACCCTTTTCTATTCTTCAAAGCAGACTATTTGTGTTCATCCCATCCTCACCCCGCCATGGCCTCAGCCATCCCGGCAGCTGATCTCCAATCATTCTCTAGCTATCTCAAGGGATGCACACGAATACTGGCACTGCTAGGCGCTGGACTCTCTGCCTCCTCAGGTCTCCCTACATTCAGAGGAGCAGGTGGTCTCTGGCGATCGTATGATGCCACTGATTTGGCTACACCTGAGGCTTTCGAGGCCTATCCAGACCTAGTGTGGCAGTTTTACAGCTATCGCCGTCATATGGCCCTCAAGGCAAACCCGAATCGTGCACATTACGCCCTGGCAGAGTTGGCAAGAAAGAATAAAAATTTTATCACGCTAAGCCAGAACGTCGATGGTGCTGAGCACAATTCATCTACTACGTTATTAGACTATCCATCCAATGCTAACCAGGCTTGATTATGATTGTAGGTCTTTCGCAACGAGCGAACCATCCAAATGAGCAGCTTCATCTTCTCCACGGCTCCCTTTTCACAGTGAAATGTACTTCCTTTTATTGCAACTACTCGCGGCAGAATGACTTCACCGACCCTATCGTCCCTGCTCTCGCCATCCCCCGATCTGGCCCAGAGCTAAAACCTTCAGAGAGCGATAAGACGGGTGAAGAGGCTTCTAGGTCTCTGCAGAATGCAATGAGGTTAGAAAATGAGGAAACAGGACAACAGCAGGAAGGAACAGAAGTAGACATTTCAGACGAGCGCGTCCCGATGCCTTCGTTGAGTCCTGACGTTCTTCCACATTGCCCTGAATGCAAAGATGGTCTTCTCCGTCCCGGAATTGTATGGTTTGGTGAGAGCCTGCCGTTGCAAACTATCAACGCTGTGGAAAACTTCATCAATACTTCCCCCAAGGTTGACCTGATGCTGGTTATCGGGACAAGCTCCAGAGTCTACCCGGCTGCAGGGTATGTCGACAAGGCTCGTGCCAAAGGTGCCAGAATTGCAGTTATCAATATGGATCGTAATGATGTTGGTTCTTCTGGTTTGCAGCCTGGGGATTGGTTTTTCCAAGGCGATGCAGGTGTAATCGTTCCGGAAATTCTCAAAAGTGTCATTGGGGATATCTAATAGATAAACACACGTTATAAAGATATAAAATGCCACTATTAACGAGAATTGAAGCATTTATGTTGCCATGACATGTCGAACTCATTAGGCGGAGATATCCTCCGTGTATGCTTTATGAATGCTTTTCATTTTATCAAAGTAAATTATAAGGATGGATCATTGTCTGAATATATTGAGCCCACTACTAAAAGCAACTGGCATTCCTACCTGCTGCTATGATGCTATCGACAGTATGGAATTTAACGGTGACCTCAGGCATCAAGGCAGCACCCGTTGCCGGGGTTTCATGGCGCAAACCCAAAACAAAGCGCTAAGAATGATCGCTATCGATAAATGTGGCATGTGGGCACCACCACCTGTTTCAAATCAAGGCAATCTCAGAGCTCGAAGCATTCTGACATCTTCTGAATCTCGATCTTAGCTCTAATATGGACTGATCTGGGTGAGTAACAATTCCCTTTTGCCACTGTGCGCCCACTATTGGTTTTGCAGTGTGGCAGACTTCACAGCGGCATATGTCAGGATTCAGGATTTGACACATGCTAACATCCTGCCTAAATACCAGACTAGAGGATACAATCAACATCTACTAACCAACAGCATAAAATACCTTCCTGAACCCCTTGATTTCTGAGGCCTATGGTCCCCAGGTCTCTACCATAAGATCAACAAAGTGTGCCAACCCCGCGCACAAAGAATCGACCTGTTTACCCACAAACACCACCCCACTATTGCTCTGCCAAAGGATTTACAAGTGGGATACACCTATTTGACTTATCTTTCAAGATGGCAAAAGAAAGCGACGCGCCCCCGTTTCCACACACGCCTGGAAAGCCTCAGGAACATCCTTCAAGACCCCTCCCCCAGCACCCCGAATTCGGAAAACCCTCTCCTATCCGCCCGAGTCACCACCACCAGCAGTCTAGCAACCCTTTCAACATTCCCAAAGCGAACCGGCCGCGTGTTGAACACCATAGACCTAACCCTCAACAATGGGGGGCACAGAATCACGCGCAGAAAGCCGTGGCTCGTCAGGGCTATGGTCCACCTGCTACACCCAGAGCTGGTGTAGCCGCTACCCCGAAGCGCAGTGAACCTTTCGATCCTTTCAAGCCTGTTCGACCTTCGGCGTACAACAACAATAGAATGTCGCGTCCTGTTGACAACGATGTCGTCGAAATCAAACGCCCCGAGAATTTCACATTCAATACCCCGCGAGCTCCCAAGACTTTCTTCACGTCGAAGCCATCCGCGATTAAAATGAATAATATGAATAATGCAAACAAGAACCTCAGGAACTTCGTCGATCTTACAAATGAGGGTGGCTTCAGTCCCAGTGTTCGGCCCAACAATACTGGATTTGGCTCAATGGATGTGAACGGCTATGTCGATACAGCTAAAGCGAATGAGAACATCAAGGCTTTGCTGGAAGGAGCCTTTGAGGATGAAGATGATAAACCGCGTCCAAAGCCAAAGAGCAAGAAGAACAAAAAGAAGAAGGAGAAAAAGAGCAAGCAGAAGAAGGAGGAAATGAAAACGGAGGAGAAGAAGGTGGAGAGAAAAGAGGAGAGCTCTGAAGTCGATGACTTGGCCGCTGCGCTACAGGGAGTGTCTGTCAATGAGACCAAGAAAACCGAAGACAAGGTGGATGAATCAGAGAAGGACTCAGACTCAGACTCTGAAAAAGAAGTGAAAGGAAAGGAACAAGTTGCTGAATCCGAATCCGAGGCCGAAGATGAAGATGCAGACGAGCAGGAAGACGATGACGAAGATGAAGAGGACGAGGATGATGGAACTATCGAAGGCTTGAAGGTCAAACTACTGCCTCACCAGCGGGAGGGTGTGAACTGGATGTGCGACAAGGAACTAGGCCAGAAAAAGTCCAAGGGAGTCCTGCCCAAGGGAGGAATCCTCGCAGATGACATGGGTCTTGGAAAGACTGTTCAAGCCATTGCTCTACTGCTCACAAATCGGAAACCTACAAAGGAAGAACACAGCAAGCGAACGATCAAGTCCGACGATGACTCCGAAGACGACGAGAAGAACGACAAAAAGGCAACTAAACTGCCGCCTGGCGTGAGCAAATCGACTCTTGTCATTGCCCCTCTTGCGCTTATCAAACAGTGGGAGTCGGAAATCGCAGAGAAAGTGGAAAACTCTCACAAGCTTCGCGTATGTGTTTATCACGGAAATACTCGAGCGAAGGCGAATGATAACCTGGAAGATTACGATGTGGTTATTACAACATATGGAACTCTCACGTCAGAGCATGGAGCCATGAACAAGAAATCTGGTATCTTTTCTGTTTACTGGTACCGCGTCATTTTGGATGAAGCCCACACAATCAAAAACCGAAATGCGAAAGCAACTCAATCTGCCTATGCCTTGGATGCAGAGTATAGATGGTGCTTGACAGGAACGCCTTTGCAGAATAACCTCGACGAGCTGCAAAGTCTCATTAAGTTCTTGCGTATCAAGCCATTCAATGACCTAGCAGCCTGGAAGGAGCAGATCAGTAAGCCCCTGGCAAACGGCCGAGGAGGCCTGGCCATCGAACGCTTGCACATTTATCTAAAGATTTTCATGAAGCGACGCACGAAGGATGTTCTGAAACTCAATGCCAACCTCAAGCCTGGTGAAGAAGGAGGCGACGGGAAGAAAAAGAAAAACCCTGGTTTCCAGATTGTGAAGAGAGAAGTTGTCAAGGTAGAGGCTGAGTTTATGCCGGGTGAGATGACCTTCTACCAGCGGCTTGAGCAACGGACAGAAAACAGCCTTGATAAGATGATGGGTGGTACTAAGCTTGATTATGCCGGTGCTTTGGTCTTGCTCTTGCGTCTTCGCCAGTCCTGCAACCACCCGGATCTGGTAAAGAGTGATCTCGCCCAAGACAAAGACGTTCTTCTCCAGACTGGTCCCACCGGAAGCCAACAACCGGCTAAGAAGGATGACCTTGACAGCATGGCTGATCTGTTCGGTGCACTCAGTGTCGTCTCCAAGAAGTGTGATGTTTGCCAGACAGATTTGAGCCAGGACCAAGCCAAGAACGGCATCAGCAGGTGCAGTGCATGCGAGACAGATCTTGCAGGCAGCCTTGCCAACGATTGGAAGCGGAGCAAGAAGTCTTCTCACAAGAAAGATGAAGATAGCCCACCGCCATCACCTTCGGACCGTCGCTCTAAGGCTCAGATTGCTCGATCCCAGAGAAACAGAAAAATTGTCATCGACAGTGACGACGAGGAGGAAGAAGATGGCGAATGGATCGTTCCCGAACACAAGCGTAATATGCCCAACCTTGGAAAAGCCGGAGGCTCGGATGATGAGAACGCCGAGGGAGGTGGTGAATGGCTCAACTCTGAGGATGAAACTGACTCGGAAGACGACGGACCTGAATCTCCCACTCAGAAGCGCAAAAGTGCTGTTCACATAAACCGCCGAGGCGAGGAAACTGACTCTGAGGATGAGATTTATCTCAACCCTGACGATGATGACAACCAGGTCCTCCCATCCACGAAGATCAGACATCTCATGAAGATCCTCTCACGCGAGTCCGCGGGCCACAAATTTATTGTGTTCTCCGTATTTACCTCGATGCTTGATAAGATCGAACCGTTCCTTATGCGTGCCAATATTGGATTTGCTCGATATGACGGTGGAATGAGAAACGACCATCGAGAGGCAAGTCTCAACAAGCTGCGAAACAACAGTGCGACCCGGGTTCTGCTGTGTAGTTTGCGTGCTGGTGCTTTGGGTCTAAACTTGACTGCCGCAAGCCGAGTGGTCATTTTGGAGCCGTTCTGGAATCCCGTAAGATATGCCTCTTCTTCCCGCTTTATGATGTTGAGCTAACGAATTTCTTTAGTTTGTTGAGGAGCAAGCCATTGACCGTGTTCATCGACTCAACCAGACACAGGACGTCAAGATCTACAAGATGATCATCAAGGAGACCGTCGAAGAGCGTATCATCGACCTACAAGAGCGCAAGCGAGAACTGGCCAACCTCACCATCGAGGGCAAGAGTGCTGCCGGCAAGCTCACCATGACCGACATGATGGCCCTCTTTGGCAGAGATGCCGAATCTCGGTATACAGGCAACCAAGAAGCTGTCGATGTCGCTCAGATGACCAAGCTCCTGACCAAGGACGATGCTATGAAGGGAAGTATGCCTGACTCTTCTCGGGACCGAAGCCGTCAACAAGAGAAGCGGGCACCTAGATCCGAGGATTCTGTCTACGGACGACGATGGTAAAAGACACGATGTTAATTTATGATGGGCATAGATCATGGGGGTAATTGAAATGCATATTGGGAGGGATTTCGGGTTGAGGCGTCATGTTATGGATTTGGATGTGATTTTCGGTTGAGTCAATATGATACATTTCTTCTAATTCAATATTTCTACTGGCTTTCCTGTCTTGGCCAGTGAGTTAATGGTAGGTAGTCAACTGCTAGTAAGATTAGACACGAATGGACCATTTAGGGAAGTTTGTCTCTGCCTTACACTCACTAGAGTTTTGCAACCAGCCTTAACTGCATATAGTAGCCAACTATTAAGGGTGGAGTAATATATTCGATCCGTTTGTTTATACACCCAAGTGCCTGGCACGCAAAGGTCTGTTGGGCATTTTTCTTCCTTTACGTTGCGATACCTTCTGGCTTGCAGAGTAGAATGCTCTGTCTTTTCGCGAGAAGAACCAGGCCCCCGAGCCAATACAATGATCCTAACTACTACTTTCGAGCCATGAAGCCGTTCTGTTAACTTTTGAAGAATGGCCTGGAGTTCTGGAGCACAATAATTCGAAAATGCCTCGAAGTGAACGGCGATATATACCAATTTTAGGCGTCGGTAGGTTCTGAACTGAGCCCGGGTGGATAATCTATTATGAACCTACTTTATTGAGTAACGTGCGGAGATGAAGGCACCAGGGCTGAGGATGCTGAGAAGTATCTAGAATTTGTTTCTACATCTAGGCCGGATCTGGGGTTGTGCTGTCCTCCTGGACGAAGCGGACGTATTCCTTGAACAGAGAAGCCTTGAGGATTTACAGCGAAATGCCTTGATTTCGGTGTTTCTGCGCGTGATGGAAGCGCAAGACTCTTACACATCGTCATGTTGCGGTTGTCATCGAGGTATCTGGACGATTTGACGCCCTATCTCGACAAGCTCCACGGCGGTATACGCAGGATGAACTAGCACAAGACGATGAAATGCGGCTGGCATAGCTAAGCATCCACGACGAATTAAATCCATCTTTCTCTTTTTTCTTTTCCGAACATACTAATAACACCCATAGACCATAGACCAGTAATAAACCGATTTCCTAATCGGTGTACAACCTCCGTGACCTCATCCGACAATTAATCTGAAACACCAACCGGCTAAAAAGAAAGTGTTAAGTAAGTAAGAAAGAGGGGCGATGAGATAAACCCAGACAAGCTAAGATTTGGGGTAAAAATTGACAGGGAATAACAAATCCAGATTGAATCATGCTTCATCTGATTGATCTGAGACGCCCGAGTCATGAGTTGCGAAAAAGCCAGTTAAGCCGATGATTACCCCGAACTATTGAATCGACCCTGGCTACAAGCCTATAGGTGCATGCGTGATATACACTGCCGATCTCGAAGGGTTGAAACATGGTGATTCTATTGGAGTTGAACAGAGTTTATGAGGCAAGGCTTGCCATCATACCGATGATCATGAGGAGAAGGAGTATAGCAGGCAGAGAGGATAGTATTTGATATAAGGATGGATGTGATGTATCCGCATCCTGTCGATCTATCTTAGTTATCAACCAGGATAGGGCATGGGCATGGGTTAATGAAGTCCAAACAGACGTACATTTCCGATGGCCTTAACACCGGGGATTTTTAGGTTTGCAGCCGGACTATTGGATACAGTAGTTATTCCGTATAGGGACGTGGTGGCTAAGAATAGTCTGGCATATTTATCATGGCAGTTCAAGTTGGATAAAGTTGAGAAATTAAAAAGATGCAAGATGATAAATGTGGCGCTTCCCCTATAAATGATTTTCATTCATCGAAAGAAATTCTAGAATCGTAAAATCAACAGTTTGAAAAGAAAAGGAGACAGGAAGAGGGATGTATGACTTGCAGATAGTATGCATGGATATGGAGGATATTTCTTTTTCTTCAGACTCAGGAGATGTGAACACATGGCATGATTTCTAGAAGGTCTTGTTAGAGTCGTCTTTCACAAGTAGCAAGTCAAGTAGACTACGCCGACAGACAGTCAGTTTCACATTCAAGGATAGCCTCGCGGGATCAGCAGTGGAAGACAACTCCACTCGGCCTCTCACTAGAAAACTAGACCACAGTAGTGGTTGTCCACAGTGGGTGGCCCTAACGCTGTCGATCCCCGGTCTTTTTGAGGATTTTTTTTGATTGGACTCGTATTGCGAATGGTTAAAATAATTTGATGAAATAAAAAAGGTCAGTGCCAGCCTGCCAGAATAAGAAGTAGTCGATATCCATGACAGATGTGACAAAAAACTCAACCTGGCATTATTTGTACCACCACCCGGACCCCCTGCCAGAATATTTCAATAATAGCAATCCTGTCGATTGTTCAAATGGCTTCAATTCAAGTCAGTGCATTCTCGTATTATTATTTTACTCGCCAAGACGAAAAACCCTCAACCGGACACATCATAATTTAGGTGATTTCTGTCTGGCCAACCTGACACGCCGGACAAGAGATGCGAGACTGTCGGAGACACAGTCCGAATGCGATGGAGCCCGCCAGCCTTACCTTATCCAGGGGAAATGCTGGACGGTGTGTGCGACATGAAACAAGGAGGATTTGAGTCTTATTTTGCGTTTGACATGCACCTAAATTAATCGTGTTCGGGGATCTGCGGGCGCTGAGGTGTTCTTTTGAGGGACGCCAGGAAGACAAGAGTCCATTCCAGTATTAATACCCGTTCTAGACGTCTAGAACGTGGAATGGCGGTATTGACGAAAGGAGATGGAAGAATATTCCCTAGTTCTCGATTCTTCTTTTCTTCCAGCCTAGCTGGGCAGCCATGCGTGAGAAAACGTGGCGGCCACGAGACCCAGGTAGGAGAAGAGAGGAGAAGGAAAAGAAAAGAAATGCAGGCTTCGCGAAGGATACCAGAAATTGACAGGTCAGAAACGTGTTGGACCAGGATTAAAGTGAGATCAAATCATGGACGAGATGACAGGTCAGCAGCATCAAAAAGGTTGGGGATTGCCAGACCGACCGCAGGGATCAAGAGATATTATGGCTGTATTATTATTCACTAAGAGAGCGAAGAGGAGAAGAGGTGGTGATCGGTGGGGAAGACAGCGTCGAGTGGATATTTGTTCTGGACAGATTCATCCTGGATCCGGATCCAGTTCCGAGCCTGTTGATTCTGTAGACACTCTCTGTACATCTGTCGTAGTGTGTAGAGGAGAGATGGGTCTGATGAAGAGAAGAGGCGAGGTGAAGCCTGAAGAGAGATGAGGCATCTGGATAGCATCACGGACAGTGAATCTTCATCCCGTCCAACGCTCTCCACCGCATATCCTCCTTTCCTGTCTTTTTTTTCCCTTTCGCTTTTCTTTTCCCTCGTGGGCCCAAGCGGCTTTCTCCTTAAGTTTAGTTCGACTCCTTCTTGTCGCTCTGGATGCTTGAACTTTTGATGTCGTTGGATGAAACCCCCTTATTATCTCTGCTTGATCCTCTTTCCCCTCCGACTCTCTCCTTGTCTCCGGCTAATCGACTGCCACGACAGTCAAGCATAGCTTATTCTTCTTCTGGCTTTCTTGTCGCTGGAATTGCTACTAATTATTCTTCTTCTTCTTCTTCTGTCTCCCTATCCCGGAGGCTTTTTGGCCTGGTCTGGTGGCTTTTGGGCTTATACGAACCCTGTCGGACTTGCCGAGTAGTTTTTTCTTTTTTCTTTTTTTTTTTTTTTCCATCTTTTTCCCTTTTTCCTCCATTATTTGTCCTTTTTTTATTCTTTCTTTTTCCTGAAGAAAGAAAAAAGAAAATAGTCCATTATCTATTATTCTATAATTCTTCAGCTTTTCTACAAGTCAGATTCGCCCATCCGTGGTTCGCTCCTCCTCCGCCTTTCTGCCAGTATCCGCTCGTTCTTCTTTAGGGGGTTCACGGGACTGTCCACCAACTACCGACTAATTAACTACCTCATCTCTCGCTCTCTCACATCTCTCCTCACTTGCTTAGTCCCTGGTCTGATCCATTCCGTCCTCGTCAGACAGGTCAATTCTTCTGCCTTTTTTCTCCTATTGAATCTACCGGGTAAGCTTTCTTGTCTTCCATTTTGCGAATACGACCCATCTCGGGGGAAATCGAACCCCTCCCGCTCTTCGTCTTTCCCGCCTTTTGGGGGCGACGGCCAGCGGGCAATTTCATACCGTCCCTGCATTCCTAAGCTCCAATCCACTGACTTTCCGCTGCTTTTGTTCGAACAGGTCGGAAATTTGCTTTCCTAGATTCGCGTCGGTTTGCCTATGATCCACCGTACGGCGACCGTTCAATTCAATTGATTCACCGCCGTCTTCAGCTCAGCTACGCGTTCTCCGCTGCGAAAAAGACTCCGCCTCCTGTTCTTCTGTTCGTCCGGAGACAAATCGTTGTTGTGGTACAAGTGGGATGCTGCCGGAGAAGATTCGCTCGGAAATCAGTGTTACGATTTCACTCTGCTCTCTAGATGGGAAATACTCAAGGGAAACCGGTGTCCTTCACCGATGAGGGTGAGTAGTTGGACATTTTGGGCTAGCTGCACGTGTGTACTAATCACTGCAATTCAGTCAACCTCAACCATTTCCGCCTCCTTCGGGTGGTAGGAAAAGGTGCATTTGGTAAAGTTCGCATTGTTGAGCGAAAAGATACCGGCTTGACGTTTGCTCTGAAATATATTCGGAAAGAAGAAGGTGGGTAGACTCCGGCTGGAACTGTCTTGACATGTGCTGATTCTGTTTCTTCCCAGTGGTCCGGTCGGAAAGCGTACGGAATATCATTCGTGAACGAAGAATGCTCGAGCATTTGAACCATCCATTTCTTTGCAACTTGAGATACAGCTTTCAGGATATAGAATACATGTGCGTCGTGCCCCTGTGCAGTCTCCCCTCGCCCGTCGCTGATTGTTGGAAAGCTACATTGTGGTGGATTTGATGAATGGCGGTGACCTGCGATTTCACATCTCAAGAAAATGCTTCACCGAAGAAGCTGTGCGGTTTTGGATAGCAGAACTTGGCTGTGCTCTGAGATATATTCATTCCCAGGGTATCATCCATCGCGATGTCAAACCAGACAATGTGCTCCTTGATTCGGAGGGTCATGTCCACTTGGCTGATTTTGTATGTTGTCCGCATTAATACCAAGACGTACGCTAATCTGTTGCAGAACGTCGCATCGGACTTCCGGCCGAGCAAGCCTTTGACAAGCAAATCTGGAACCTTGGCATACTTAGCTCCTGAAGTGTACGAAGGCGGTGGGTACTTTTGTGAGGTCGATTGGTGGTCGCTTGGTGTGACATTCTACGAGTGCATCTACAACAAGGTTCGTTTAACTGAGCAGGTGTATAAAGTCGAAATGCTAATTTCAATAGCGACCATTCGAAGGCCGTAGCCAAGATACTCTTAGTGAAAACATCAAGAAAGCCTCGCCGAAATACTTTGTCACAAACCCAGCAGTTACTGTCCCATGTTTGCGAGCAATGGGCGCTCTGATCGAGAGAGACCGAAGCAAGCGAATTGGCGCTGTGAGCTTCGAAAGCTTCACTTCTCATCCCTTCTTTGCCGACTACGACTTTGAGGCTTTGGAACGAAAAGAGATTCTGCCTGTTTTCCGACCGTCGAGTGATAAGACCAATTTCGACGCAACGTACGATCTAGAAGAATTGCTGCTTGAGGAGGCACCACTCGAAGCTAGAGCACGTCGGCAAAAGCCTAGAGCGGAACTGAGAGAAGATGCGACGGCAAAGGAAATCCGGGAAGATGAACTGCATCGTCTTATTGAGACCATGTTCGAGCCATTTGACTACACAACCGTAACTTTCAGAGGGTATGTCGACATGCTTGCTTTGGATTCAATAATGCTAACCAGCTACAGCAATGCCGCCGAAGCAATTGCCGCAACAACGTGAGTACCCCAACGCATTCTATTATTAGACCAATGCTGACATTCTATAAGAAACCCAGAAGACTGCCTCCCAACCAATGGCCAGCCTGGCCGCGCTGGTTCAACCCACTCGAGGCAGGTGTCACAACCTGACTCCTCGAGGGGTTCGCCGCCTTTGCGTAACGATGGATCCGTCAGCCGTCTTAACGCCGCCGAGAACGTCTCCTCCCCGCTTACGGGGACTGTCGAGCCGCAAGATGTTGCCCCGCCTCCACCGCCGCAAGAGAGACAGGCTCCCTCTCCTGCTCCCCCACCGCCGGCTCCCTCCTTCCATCGACCATTCCCGCCCCCCGCTGCTGGCGCCCGAGGAGGAGCAACACGCAAGACGAGTAAGGGTGGTGGAGTACAAATGGTGTTGGACGAGACCGGTAGCTGGAGTGAGTTGGCAAGCCACAGTTCCACACTGCCGGCCGAGGGTTATGATCAGGCTGGGGATAAGGGAAAGTCCAACAGTGGAATGCTCGCTTTCCTGAGCCGGAAGAAGGGACGCGACAGGAGTCCCAAACCCCAAGAGCCCGGTGTTTTGGGCAAGGAGGGAGCCAGGCAAATCATCAGCTGAGGATAATATTCCTGGTTTGAATGACCTTGAACAAAACGGCTCTCGATTCTGCTGTCCATCTGGACGATAATGAACGTGTCACAGTCGCTTCCTAACAAGAGTTCGGATAATTATTGACTCCGCTCCTGTCTGGTCCACTGGCGTGACTGAGGCCAAATCCAACGATTTCTGTCAGAGTCCAAACGGACGATGATTGACAGTGTGCTTATAGCAAAAAACGATAATACCAATGATTGAAACAATACAGGCGGCGGTCTCCGACAGCTGAGATACTCCGGTCTGGATGGACCATGTCGATCGAAATGGCCAACGAATCGTCACTTCCGATGTTCTGCATTCTCTTGACCTTGCAGGAAATTGGATTACCTGAATGCCTTTATCATAATGTTTCTTGATTCCCCTGGATTGAGCGAAGATATACTTTTTATTTTTTTTTTTCTTTCTCATTTACTAATTCCATTTCATTCTCTTTTCCTTTTATGGCCGCGGAGTCGAACGGAAAGTGACAGGCCTACGACTTCCTCTTCATCTCATCATTCATTCATTGGGCAGGAATATGTATTCTAAGCCGTCCGACGTACTTTTGTGGCATTTGCATATCTTGATTGATGCGAGGGACGAATGTTAGGGACAACAGAACCTTGTATCTGTCTGATTTTATGTAATTACAATCCCTTCTTGATAGATATCTAAATCTGATCAGATCAGTATATATCCGCAAGTAGATGTGATATTGGCCTAGTACTTAAGATAAGAAGCAATGTATCTGAATTCAACGTTCTTGGGTTACAGACGAAAGGTAAAACATAACAGGATCTTTCTTAGGATTCTCGTTTATAAGCCATATTGTACGAAGCAGGTATGAAGATTGTTGGCCAGCAAAGCAAGACTTTCATTCGATCTTCAACCATGGGTGCAAGGATAGATAGCAAACGTTAACCCAAGTCAGCGCCAGGGTGGACGCTCCGGACATTGATTCTCCTTTTTGGCAGTCTTCTGCAGTAACTTTCTCGAATGACCAGACGGGTGGGTTGTTAATCTCGAGGCTGAGCTTTCTGATAGCTTGAATATACCAGGTTCTTTGGGTTTTCGTGACAGCGCAAGCTTCTCCTTTTATTTTTACTTTTTTTTTATCTTGTTGCTCTTATTTGTCGAGACGGTCAAAGTGATCATCGCTCCAGATATTAAATGCAAGATCCCAATCATCGTCTACGGTGATGGGCATGAAGTCGGGCTTTCGGAGTCGATGATGCTGAGGTAGGTGAAATCGACAAGATAACTAACATCATCAGCATACGTTAAGAATGAAGCATAGAGAATGGGGTGATAACAGCTTATCCTGCTCTCTATCATATCGAAGAAAGTTGGGATCCTGTTCTGACAAGGCCCAGTCATCCTGTCTCATGTGTCTGTGGGAACAGGTATATTAACCCATATACCTTAATCATAATGATTTCATGGCTATACTCACTCAAGAATATAAGCAATCTGCCGCCTGATACTCTCCAACTGTTCAAAAGAAAGTTCCTTATAAATCTCCGCCACATTCTCTCCAGGAACCCTAGAGAGGATGAGAAAGTACACCTTGCCATTTGGATATGGGAATGACGGTCTTGCTTTCTGCATGAAATGGTCGATGTATTCAGGCCCGTGGCCGATTTTCTGGACGGTTTCGACCCCCTCCCATTCATTCATGAAGTCTTCTTTGGCATCTTTGCGGACTTGCTTTGGGTTTTGGAGGTTGAAGTGCTTGGGGTTGAGACTGATGTGGTATAGCCCAGTTAGTTAGATTAGATAAATATTCCATGGTACAGGTAGATACTCACTCGTAGCGGATCTTGACCATAACAGGCTGGTTTGTATCCATGTACCGTGCTAGAGTGAGGACTTGTCGTTGACCAAACATACCAATCGTCTCTTCTGTCAGCTGTTTTTCAATCTTGATGGGCCTGTCTTCGATTATGGGGGTACGACCCGTGAAGTCAAAGGCCCATTTAGGCATGGTGGGTATGGATGGATGTGGATGGATATGTTCTGGGATGAGGTTGGTGTTGTAAGAGGAAGTGGTGGCTGTTTCCGTGGATGCCTGCAACAATGTCTACAACAATGTCTACGTCTACTTTAGGGTTATTCACTCTTATTGTTAGAATAAGCATTAGGCCAAAAAGCATACGCGCGCACCTAGTTGACCTTTCTTAAAATCATATTCAAGAATCTTTACATCAGATAAAATTTTGTATAAGATCTATTAAAGGTTATCAAATGAGGCCATTATGTATCCATGCTTCATAGCTTCAGGGTTAGACTAAGTGTGTGGACTGTCTGTCCTGAGGAAATTTAAACTCCACTGCCATATACAGCTTATTGAAGCTATAATTATATACTCTCATATTCAACTTTAAATATATGTATATATTCATCCCAAATCATCCAAGATGAAGCTATTCGTACTATTGTTTACCGCCCTCGTTGCTGCTCCAACGTCTCTTCGTCTCCACCCAAAAAAGACTGGGCGCTCCGATCTTCTCCCAATCCAGCCATTCCTCTATCATCCATCATTCCATCATCTGTTTTATCTTTACATCTATGATCAATTTATACTCGAATACTGTCTGCCTGTGGATTTGAATATCTTACAGAAGCACAGCGCATCCGTGGCTGGAAACCGACTTGGCTCCGCCTGTGTTTGTTTACGTCTTAAAACTGGATCTTGCGGACCCTGGACGCGTGGACACTGGACCTGGACACTTGGATCTCTGGGTCAGATAGCAGACCCGCTGAGGGGAGAGGTTATTTACACTTTGTACGGGGTCTTGACTTTTAGATCTGTCGATTTGCGTTTTATTTTAATTGTTGAGGGTTACGGGAAATCGAAGCTTTTTACACAGTTTGAATCTGTCAGCGAAAAAGCCAAAGCCAATTAAGCATCAAGGCACAGCGCAGCATTCCAGAGAAACATTCCAGAAAACACAAAGATCAAAGATCCCACATTCCGATCAAAATAAGATTGCATGCCGAGCCAATCCCGCAGTCGAGACCGCCGTCGCGGCGATCTCTCCCGCCAGAACTGGTATGACCAGGATAACGGTGCGGGCGACGGCGACGGTTATGACCACACGCTAGACGACCGACGATATCAGCGGGAGAATGTTCGGAGAGTGGGTGGTCCGGTACAAGGGTATGGGATGCAGCATGATTACGACAATGACGATATAGGACTAGAACGGAGTTCGACATGGAAACACTTGAGTCATGATTCGACGAATAGCGAGTCGCATTTGCTGAGTGCCGAGGCGCTGGCGAGGAGGCTTGATATGGAGCAGGAGGAGGAAGAACGGCTGGACCGATCTCGAGCGCAGAACGAAATTCGAATGGATAAGAAACGAGGGCGAAAGAGGGGGTTTGTTGCTGGTGGTGAGCAGGATCTCGATGAACCAGCGCAGGGGCTACTCAGGGATGAAACGACGGCTAGAGTGGTCTCTGGTGCTCATCTGGAAGAAGGGAGGAGTGCGAATATGAAGGTTCGACACCGTGGAGGGGGTGGTCCGGCGATGGAATCCGCATGGAAAGAAGGCAGCTGGGTTGGGAGTACCCTTGGTGGAAGTTCTGTTGGCAGTCGGGTCAGCAAGCCATTCTATAAGCGCAAGGAATGGTGGATTGGGATGGTGGTCTTGATTATCTGTCTGGCTGCCATTGCTGTTCCCATTGCGGTGGTGTTTACGAAGAAACACAAGGATAACCCAGGCTCGACAAGTTCGGATGATAAGAAGCCTGCTAACTCGAATCTGGACGGCCTGAGTCGAGACATTATTCCGGATTATGCAAAAGATACAATCTTGGATCCATGGACCTGGTACGACACAACCGACTTTAACGTGACCTTTACGAATGAGACCGTTGGTGGCCTGTCTATCATGGGATTGAATTCTACATGGGACGATACAGCACAAGCAAACGAGCGCGTCCCGCCCTTGAACGAGTCATTCCCGTACGGGCAACAACCGATCCGGGGTGTGAATATTGGAGGATGGCTCTCACTTGAGCCGTTTATTGTCCCTTCGTTATTTGATCCGTACACAGGTAAAGATTCGGTCAATGACGAATGGACACTATGCAAGAGGCTTGGTAACTCTGCCAACTCCACCCTCGAGAAACACTATGCCACCTTTATCACGGAACAAGACTTTGCAGACATCAAAGATGCAGGTCTCGATCATGTTCGAATTCAATACTCCTACTGGGCCGTCAAGACCTATGAAGGAGATCCATATGTCCCTAAAATTGCATGGAGATATCTTCTAAGGGCGATTGAGTACGCCAGAAAATACGGACTGCGAGTAAAGCTAGACCTCCACGGTCTGCCCGGGAGTCAGAATGGGTGGAACCACAGCGGCCACCAGGGCAGTATAAACTGGATCATGGGAACAGACGGGGCCTTGAATCGAAAGCGGTCTCTTGAGCTGCACGACCAGCTGTCCAAATTCTTCGCGCAGGATCGCTATAAGAATGTTGTCACGATATACGGTCTCGTGAATGAACCACTCATGCTCACGCTGCCAGTAGAAGAGGTTCTCAACTGGACGACAGATGCCACCAAAATAGTGCAGAAGAACAACATCACCGCGTTGATTGTTCTGCACGATGGATTCCTCAATCTGAGCAAGTGGAAGAAGATGTATAAGACGGACAGACCAGAGCGAATGATCCTCGATACCCACCAATACACCACTTTCAACACAGGACAGCTTGTCCTGAACCACACGTCTCGAATCAACCTCGTCTGCAATGACTGGTACCACATGATCCAACAGATCAACACCACCGACGAAGGGTACGTTCCAATATCCATCTCCAGAAAACTAAACTAACCCATCTAGTTGGGGTCCAACCATGTGCGGCGAATGGTCCCAAGCAGACACAGACTGCGCCAAGTACCTCAACAACGTCAACGGCGGTACTCGCTGGGAGGGCACCTACGGCTCCGACAAAACCAAATACTGTCCCACCGCCGACACTGGCCCAGCCTGCAGCTGTTCCTCCGCCAACGCCGAACCAGCCGATTACTCGGACGGATACAAAAAGTTCCTCCAAACCTACGCTGAAGCACAGATGGCCGCCTTTGAAACAGCCGAGGGATGGTTCTACTGGACCTGGCGAACCGAGTCGGCAGCGCAGTGGAGTTATAGAACCGCGTGGAAGAATGGGTATATGCCGCAAAAGGCGTATGCGCCTGCGTTTAAGTGTGGCGATGATATGCCTGATTTTGGTGATTTGCCGGAGAATTACTAACCGACACGGTCTTGGATATGTGTTGATTAACGATTCGATGTTTGATAATATTATGTATGTACATGAATGATTCAGAATACCACTTGCAAACTGTATAGCACACGATAATGTGTTCCTCCATGAGAAGCGCATCCCTGGCACTTGAAGCCTAAGCGACTCTCCCCAGCCACAGGTTTATTCCAGAAAGCAGCCAGGGTAGGAAGAGGTTTTGCATTCTATGATGTATTCGAATCTCATTAAAAAGAGTCAAGGCTCAGGCCTCCAGCTGCAACTGACTCGGCCTTGCCAATCAATCTTTTCTTGTACCCGTCGAAGCAGGCTCTGTATTGCCTTTATCGTTTTTCGAAGAATTGGACAGTTTTGAGAGAGCCGCGTTGTACTTGACGTGATGGGATGAGTTTTCTGTGATAAATATTAGTGAACTGGGATTTTGAGTAGTTCAAAGCTGTACCTACAATAGCTGTCGCTAATGGTGACCAAGATGTCCGAATAGCATTCCTCGTTTCGAGCTTCCACATCGTGACTATACCCATGGTTCAGGGCAGGAATCATAAGGTACTGGAAATGGATTAGCGAAATCCTTTCAAACTGACGCTTCTACTGACATTCGGGGGTGCCCATTGGTTTCCAGGAATGTAAGGGAAAATCGTTCTTGTCGGTGGCTCTCATTGTATATTGGTGCCAGAGGCAAGGAGCCTCGTAGACTGTGAGGGTCACAGGAGTCGCGAAAGAGGACGAACGCTTGAAAGTCTTGCTGTTCGAGGACTTCACAGCTGCAGCAATGGCGATATCTTCCTGGAAATTTCTTTGGGGTCTTCGTGTTGAATCATTTGCTGTTCTCTTATGAGTGAAGGTCACACACGAGTCATCCATGACTTTTGTATCAGGCAATGTGTCTTTCCATGTTCGAGCAGGGGCAGACATTGAACTTGCGATTATAGTCTTCGAGATTGGCATTGCGAAAGATATGCGCCAGACTGGAATGTCCTGCTGGTTGTCACCGCAATAGCGCACGGGAGGATGAATATGGTCAAGATATAACTGTACTACCATGAGACGAGCATCAAACTACATTTCGAAAGGAAAAGCCTGTTGAAAAGAGCTTTCCAGTTTTGTGCGTTTTGTCTGCTGGAGATGCCACTGCAACAGCTCCATAGACAGGAGTTCTTCGAGCTGGTGCACGCGTACCATGCGTTGCTACCAAGTAGTCCCTGAGCTGGCTGGCAGCTGCTTGCATTGAACTATTAGAAAGACATGGCCTTGGTTGGTAGCCAGCTGGTCTTCGCTGGTAGATAATGGCATCTACCTGGCCTCTAGACTGTCGTTAGTATTAGAGCTTGATAGTTGGTGGTCCATAACTCACAAAGTTACCATTGAATAATCCGAGTAATGTAGACCAAGAAGCATGTCAGGTCCCAGACTTTGAATTGATGTTGAATAGCACCAAAGACATTGTTAAAGGGATTAAATGCAACAGGTATCATTCAATGCAGAGGATGGAAACATGGACTAAGATTCCATCTGTGATCATCATTGAAAAGATAGAAGGCATTCATTTCTGGTGTTTTGGATGGATGTTGAGAAAATGTAAAACAGAGAGAGAGAGAGAGATTCAGTTGGCGTATATATAGCAGAGATGATGGTGAATATATTACATCAACAGTTATTCAGGTGAATATATGATAGGATATAATGAATATAACAGTGATTCTATCCACAATCTGTTTGCCTGATCCAGTCATGCCATCATCTCCTTAAGCCTCTTCTCAATCCGCTTCAAAAAACCAATAATCCACTCTCTATTCAACAGTCCATGCGACGTCATAAACATATTTTCCACCTTCAGATACAGAAACTGCCAATCTAACTCCCTTTGAACCAAATCTTCATATTCAAACACCACATCTCTGCGGAAGCGCGCCCTCCAAAACGCATCCGGCAGCTGCCATCGAAATGCATGCAAAGCATTCTCAATATCAGACCGTTCATCTAAACACTCAACAATCACACACTGTACGTCCAGTGGAAGTTTACACAGTGTATCTCTCTTGCGAGACACCGCCGACCTCTGAATAGCTTCATCAACCACATCCCGCAGCTCAGCAACATTCAACGGATCCCGCCCCAATATTATCTACGGATACCCATCCATCCACTCATAATGAGACCGCATATATCGCTCAGGATCACGCAGGAACGTCTCCGCATCCATATCCTCCAGTTCGTCTCTCCAATATAATGACTCAAACTCCCCGGTCATGAGAAGGGACCGGATAGTCGCCATCTTCTCCCCACGCATCGCCGCAACAAAAGCACCCAAGTTCCCATCTACCCTCGCCTCCCCCAGTACCCGACAGGTTATATTCCAGCACCGTTCATGGACATGGTACGCTTTAGGGTTAAACGATGGATTTAGCGGATCTTCGGGGTCTTCAGGCATCATGGGCGCCGGGTATACGCGTTGAATCCGGTTGTTTTTGCTTCTGCGGTGATGAGGGCCGATGGCGACTCTGCTCGCATCCAGAGGAACTGTTAGTGCGCCGGGCATATTCCAGAACCCGATCTGTCCTACGCCGGTGCGGTCGAATTTTGTGCCTTCGTAGTTGTTGTTTTCGGGGAGGACTGATTATCTTATCGTCAGTATCATGCCATGTTACTGTCTGATTGGGGTACTTACAAGTTCGAACAAACGTTGCCCAAAGCCATGGGACATTGAAATATGTTGCCTCAAGCTCTGCGATATTGCAGCTTCCAGACGGCGGGGTTCTGTTGTTGTTTTCCCATTTCTCTTGCTCTCGGAATGTGAACATTAGCTGGTGTTCATATTCAAAGTATTGCTTGCATATACCGCACCTGGGCAATCCCAGCAGTAGTGGCATTTTTATGATGGTGTGACTTGAGAATTGTCATTGTCTTGTTTTATATCAGACTTGTATGTCATGGTGAGACGTACACTGTTAAACATGTCTACCGTAATCTATACTATTCTATCTACGGGAATAATCTAATATTTGGATATTTTATATTTTTATACGATATAGCTAGCTTAATACCGAGCCACTATCAGTCTATAACCAATTTTCTACTCTAAAACCAAGGGATCAATTTCTAATAATACACCTAACCCCTTTAAATATATATCTACCCCAAGTGCAAAACAGCCAGAGCATCCGATGCTTCATTCTTCCCTTCTCTCAAACCACCCTCCCTTTTCCCACATTCCAGGCTCATATACACTAGCGTTTCGAAGTTCATCCTGGTGAACACCATTGAGTAGATGATTGATGCGCTGAAAGTCTATTGGCTTCAAAATCCACCCGTCAAACCCGGCGTCAATATAGGTCTGTCGATCCTTTTCCAGCAAGGACGCAGACACCGCAAAGACAGGAATGCGGCAATTGCCACATGTATTTTCAGAGGCCAAAGATGTCTTGGCTAGCTTTTCAGACTCTCGTATCATTCGTGTCGCGCCCAAACCATCGACGATCGGCATCTTGGTACATTAGCTTACGCTCAAACTGTTAGATATGACTTACCTGTAAATCCATCAACACCGCGTCAAAAGACCCTGCATCATCACAATGCACTGAGGCACACTCTTTGCCGTTTCTAGTCAGCTGTACGGTATAACCAAGCTTTTCAAGTCTTTTCTTTACGATTGCACTGTTGATAGGATCGTCTTCTGCCACTAAGATGCGAAGATTAGATTTTGGAGGGTCTTCCGCCTGCTCTGTACCCTTGCCGTTAGGTGGAGTATACGATGGCTCAAGACTAGAGCTTCGCTGGTGATTCAGCTGAGATGCCCCACTGTCGACAGCAATGTTGATACCTGGATCTGTGTTTCCAGAAGTGCATTCATTTTCATCGGCATGCTTATCAGCTTCTCTCTTCGTAGACCTGTGAGCCTCGGGTTTGTTTGATTCGTCTTCGGTATTGCTTTTCTTGGCTTGCTCCATATCTGGAAGATCGTTGGTACTATGATCTTGACGGATCTGCTTTGAGTCCCGCTCATCGGAACGCTGCTCAGGTGATAAAGAGAAATTGAGTCTAATCTTGAAGCAGCTTCCCTGTTCCTTTTCAGATTTAACGCTAAGCCGACCATTCATGTTGCGGACCATACGAGCGACTAGTGCAAGCCCTAAGCCGAGAACACTTTTAGAGTCGTTCTCACTGTCCGTCTTTGTCTGACAGCATTGCGAGTTTTGCAAGTTTTCTGCGTTTGAGACCTGTTCCAATTCGCAGAATAGCGCTTCTACGGTTTCCTGAGACATGCCAGAACCTGTATCGTGGATTGCAAACTCTATTGCAATCTTTTCGGGCTCTAGCTTATCAGGAAAAACGCTGCACTCCACTGTCACGGCACCAGACGATGTGTTTTGAACTGCGTTGCTGATCAGGTTCGTAATGACTTGACGCACTCGACGTTGGTCTCCCAGCACGAGGGGAAGGCTGGAATGCTGCACGATATGAAGCTCAATACCCTTCTGTCTTACCTCTTCCCGAAATATACTTGTCGCTTCGTGAATAGTTTCAGAAATATTAAGAACTTCGTCTTTGGTCAGCTGGAGGCTTCTTCCGTCTTCAACGTTCGTCAAATTCAAAAGGTCGTTAATTATGTAAATTAGCGATTTTGAAGCAGAATGTGATCTGGCAAGACTCTCTCGAGTTTCCTGGTTAAGAGAACCATCTAGTGCAATCTCCAAATAGTTTATTATGGCATTGAGGGGAGTTCGGACCTCGTGGGCACAGTTTGCCAGAAGTAGTTTCATAAGCTGCGTGTTTTGCATGGCTGCTTCCTTCTGTTGCCATATTTCGGAAAATGTCTTGTACATCAGAGAGACCACTGATGCTTTTCCAAGGTCAACTGCTGACCATCCATCTGGTTTGTAAGAAACTGTTCCTCTTCCTGGACTGCTAATTGGGCTGAAGCCTTGATATGCTTCGTGCAGATTCTCGTTATATCCAACCCAGGTGACTTCTCGCCATTGTGAAGTCTTAAAAAAGACAATGAAATCGTGATTTTTGTCCGACAGAGGTATGTAGATCAGACTAGATATGAATTTAAATCCGGGTGGGTAGCTCAGATCCTGGAAATCTTTTTTGATATCCGTCGACCAAAGGGTTGTGTCGAACTCCCTCATTTTCAAATACTCTACCAAAACGAGCACCTCCTGTGAGTCAAGAGGCTTTCCGAGAATCTTTGTCTCACCTAGTATTGACGAAGCAGCATAATCTGCCCCGAAAAAGCCGAGGATATCTCCATGAGGGGATTCGTCACCTCCCATAGAGTTGGTTTGGGTTGGATCTATCTGCTTTTGGAGTCTAAATGGCAGTGTGTGAGATAATCGTTCAATGTTGCTGGAAAGCACGTCACTGGTCAGCCAGCACAGCTTCTGAAGTGGTGGTGATAGTCTCATGTCTTTATCATAAGACTGGCAAAATATTAAGCCCCAGAGCTTCCCAAACACACTAACGCTGATAGAAATGGACGCGTGGGTTGCAATATTAGCAGGCGATTTCGAGGACTCTCTCGTACACAAGTAACAGTGAGACATGTCCAATTGTGCTAATGAATCCTCGGAGCTCCGGTAGCTCAGCTCAGCTGGCAATTGCTTGTCACTGTATGTAAGGAAGACTTTATTTTGCAAATGAAGTTTTCGACAGCCCTCTGAAAATATCGATCCGGGAATATGCATGCCGCTGTAGGGACCTAGGTTGACATCTGGGTCGGCGGCATCAGCCAGGGCAATACCATTCCAGTCGGTATCGAGGCGATAGAGCGTAACTCTATTGAAACCAGTCAGGGCCTTCACGGTTCCAATGATAGAGTTAAACAGCATTTCAAGTGACTGTGCATTTGCAGCAAGCTGAACGACTCGAGACATTGCATTCAGGATATTTATGAAATCAAGATTCTTTTCATCCTTCCTCAAAATCCTCAATGCATTGGGAGGGTCAGGGATGTGATCATTCTCGAGTCGTATTTCACCAGGCTCTGGATCACCATTGACTTGGTCAGCGGTACTTCTCACTGGCTCTAGCTCACATAGTATGTAACCAGTGTTAGCCTTCGTAGTATGCATAGTACACCAAAAATCGTTCAAATTTTCATTTTCTGTGTAGATAGACAGAGCAAATATTTCAGGCCCATGCTTTTCAACATCGTACCACTCCTGTCTGACGAATATTGAATGGTTCAAGAAATCATTTCGCCGTTCGTGGGGCAGGATATCACATAGAGAATCAAGCTGAAAGAGATTCTGGGGAGAATAACCAATCATATCTTTGATATTATTGCTTGCGATTCGGACAGCAAGCGCTCCCTGTGACTCTTGCAAGACAAGCAACGCTCCAAATGACTGGTCTGTGTTCATGTGATTTCCTTCTTCCCCTGGACCGTTCTGCCATGCATTTTTGCGTTCGTATATAGCTGTCAAGCTTGCGGTCTCTGCCGGTGTATCCTGCAGTTGTATTGATTGACGAAGGGTGTTACTCGATGGCATTCCAGGGGAAGACTCTTTCTTATCAGAACTATCGGTGGTAATTCTGGAGAGTCCGTCCCTTAATATACCCATTGACACCTCAGCAGCCTCGTTGACGGAACTATCCACATTGGTACCGGATGAAGATCTTTCTGCTGAGCCGTCTGAAGGCGATGTGCAATTTGCATCTTCCGGTGAAGAAAATATATAGCTTCCTGATCCTCCTTCTGAATTTGGATAGCTCCAGGAACGCTCACCAAAAGGAGAATCTTGCTCAACTGAGGGTGTCTGCGCGGCAGAAGATGGGTTCGAATCGACCGAGACAACAGAGCGGATGGGAAAGACTCGTTCCGTTAGATCAGGGCTCAGTTGAGGCAGCTTCAATCGTGATGGGATGACGACAGATATGGAGGAGTCGTTTTCCATTCCAGGTATGATACGCATAGCCTTTGGTATGGATAGCTCCTTTCGAAAAGGAGGGCTTTCCGTCCATGACATATATTGGTCCGTATCCTTGTGACCCAATCTCATGGAGTTGTCTGCAGCATCGTTATTGCCTGAGGAGGAATCCATTTCTCTAATCCTCGAGGTGGTGTAGCTGAAATCTATTGTAGGAAAATGAAGGCGTAAGCTTGATGCAATAGTATACTATAGACACGAGTATCGTATTAGCTCTGAATGCTCATAGACTCTTAGCTGAAGGGCAGCTCAGATATAGGGACTCACGCGTAAGACCCCAAATTCTGTACTCTTGACAAGGTGCACGCTATGGAATGATCGTAGACGTTGGATCCTAGGCACTCGTAGAACCAAAGGAAGCGTCGTGTATAGCAACCTGCAGGTAACTCCAAAAGAATATGTCGGGAAAAGCAAAGCAACAGACGAATGATCGTGGTTTGAAGGCTCAAATACTTTTCGCGAGAAAGTCCGAAGAGAAGGGTCAAGGTGAGAATCACGAGGTGCAGAATCCCCGCGAGGAAAGCACGTTTGTCCTCTGCTTCGCCGCCCACAGAAACAATCAACCGTCGCCCATGGGCGTCTTCCATCACCCGTCGGATCTCAAGTCTGTCAACCCAATCAACAGCCCAGCAAGAGCAGGAAAAAATCACTGAGGAGGGCTCATATCGGTTCCTTTGTCCGGTTCGCCAGGGACTACACCGAAGATGGCTTCGCGGACACCGAAAGAGGACGACATCCCATGGATCATGTGAGTCGGATTGCGTCGACAGGCGAGATCATTGAGTCTATTCCAGCGAATGCTGCCTGCTGTTAGCTCTACCATAGGACTGTCTTCATGACCTACTGTTGATATTCCTGCGACGAATGGCTACGAGATACAATATTTATGTTCTGGTATTACAATGAAATAGTCACTGATACTATGAGAGACCCCGTTACTATACAATATAATGACTATGGCTGTCTAACATAATATCTACAGACCTGTTTTTATGCATAACAGACTATTCTGGACTTCTTTTGCGTCTCGAACCACGGATCCTCCATGGCGGGAGCGGATAGCCCGACATATCCTCACAAATACCGTACTACTCTATCATGCGTGTCTGCTATTTGAATGATATGAATTTAACGGGGAATATTCAACATGTTCAAGACCATTTTCTTTAGTGGGAAATATGACACTTGTGCAAGGTGATCGCCGTTCACGCCTATATCACCAGGCAGTCTCACACGATTCTGATTCTCGACCCGGGATTACTTTCCGGCCGACTTGCATTGCCACTGTTCCTGGAACCCTAATAGTCTCTGAAACTGTTATTAGCGGGCATCTATTCCGAGTTCATGCCGTCAAAATAGAGATAGTAGGACTGTTTTGGTTGTCATTCGCGGAGCCTTAGAAAGGAATGGGCGTGTAGGCTTGCCTCCACATATAAATCCATGTTCCTAAGGCTAGGGGCGTTTATTTCCCCGTCTCTTTTATTTAGCTGCTAGCTCTAAGCCCCAGGTTGGAATGTAAATGTCGATTAACTATATAAGAGAAATAACACCTAAAACCAGACGTAACTCATAAGGCATATAAGAAATATCGCCGAAGTATCACAAGCTCAAAACCAGAACATTTGACCAGCAAATAAACCAGTACCATCTCGCTCAAGGCCGCCCAAATGTGAAAAGCGTTCCCCATCCTCTGGTGTTTCGTTTGTCATCAAAGGAAGCTCCATCCGCCACGATGGTCGTGGTTATTTGAGGCACTGTGTTGAGTCCCTTTTCTGGATCTGCTTGATTGTGCCGTACTGATGTGCTATGCTTTGGCTTTTGGCATTTCACTCCTTCCAGCGTGCTTATCGAAAGCTCCCCGTCGGATAGTTTTGATTCCTTGGTGGATCCGGTAGTAGACGTTGTCTTTCTAGATTTAAATACCCGTCGTACTGGATAGCAGATTGTTTCGACTATCGTCCATCCACGCCTCTTCGAAATGATTAAAATAGCAGTGAAAGATACTGTGATAACAATCAGCTTATGCCATAGATCAAGCTGGATATCTTGAGCCGGGGAGAACGAACGTCCTATAACCAAAACAATCCCTATGATAGCGCACATAACAATTATCCCTTGAGTAGAAACACTTATAGAGCTATACGACGCTTTAGCGCTATCCTGGGTTTCCGCATCCAAGATATTCTGGGCTGTCGCTTGTGTCAAGAGTAACCCAATAATAATATAATAGTAAAATAATAGATCGAAAGAGCGGAACATGGTTGTAGAGCCTTATTTTGAGCTGGTGATAGTAAATAGGCGTAATTATTAAGGCGTTGTTCACGGTTGGGTGGTTGAATATGTATGAAAAGGTGGGGGATAAAAGAGGAAATGACGGCGAAAAGGGAATTGGGAAAACCAACGTCAGTATATAGGCACATCAGGTACCAAAGTCGCCACCATAAACATGACCTTCTTCTTTTTAGGAAGAAATTGCGTTGGTGATAGGCTCAAATCCTGCGATTTTGAAACCCTAGACGTAGCGTATCGGGGCATTCTGCAACATTGGCGCCGAGTACCATGTAGTCGCCAGGGAACACCCTTTCTAGGCCAATGAGAACCACAAGCTGCGCGCCGGAATTCTGAGTCAGGAGATTTCTTTGTTACACATTGGATTTCGTGAAAATAGTGGGTATTGATAAATAGTCTCACGTATACTCCGTGAAGTCGATTTTTTTTTTTTTTTCCTTCGCCAACGCCTGCATGACGTGAGACGATCTTTTATGACTTCATTCGAACCCTTCTTGTGAGATACTGTCAGCTACCAATTCAAATAAAATTAAAGGGGTACGAGGGCAAAGGAAAGAATCCTGAATTTCTTTTCCTCTTCACGTATGCCCTTCGAGTGAGGTGAAGATGTGGGCGAGATTACCGTGATCGATCATCTTTTGCGACCTCTATCCGGCCTTTCTCCACAAATTCATGCATTTGTCTCTGTCTTATTATATAAGCCGATCGCGAATGTCGTAAGTATATCGAGGTTATCATGAATTTTATCACATTTCACTGGGTGTTCGATTGTGTTCGAAAGATCAAATTCGTGTCCTGTCGAGGGTCAGCGGTAAGCAATCCCGTCATTCCAAGTTCAGCTATATCACATTGGGCATTGACAAAGCCATTCCTTTGAGATGCACAGTAAACTCGAATTGATGTCGTCTATGATAGAATGAGCATTCAAGTGTGGCTTGCTTGTTGAGGTGTTGCAAGAATGGAAGGCAGAGCCTGTCTGGTGTTACCCGTTTGGGACAGTCAATCACGGGAAATCTCCCCCTCCTCTTTTTCCCTCGATTTTCATCTTCTGCAACCTCCTCTCTTCACATGCCCTATTTCACGTCTCTTTCTCTCAACAGCTGCATGGGACCTTAAATATCATAAAGACATCAAACACTATCAAGGATAAATCTTGAAGAACGGCTTCGCAGCCCACAGTTTCAACATGGCAGATCCAGCTGTTGTCCCGCTATTGTCCCAAGAACCGCAGGAGTCCGAAGGCATTGAAAACCATGATGCGCACGAGTATGATAAAGAGGAAGAGATGCTACTTCTTCAAATGGCAGACACCAATGATGGTCCTCTTTCACCAAATTTGAAGGCAGTCATCGATGGAAGCAACGAATCGAATTGGACAGCGGGTCAGAAAGAGCCAGCCCCTCTACTCATGGAACGCCCGCAAAGCTCTGGAATTGATGTGAGGACTTTTTCCTTTGCAAAGCCTGCCCAGTATGGAAAAGGATTCTCGCTTCAATCTTCGTATAAACAACCTCCTGCAGTTTCTAGGGCTCACGGAAACACGCCGGTTCCAAAGGGACGCGAAACAACCCGGGCATCTAGTGGCCACAGTGAAATATCGCAAAAAGAGTAAGAACATCTTCATTCTTTGACTTGTGAGATCTAAGAATTTTTCGAAGGCCGCCTCTTCTTCTCAACATTGAACCTGAAAACTATCCTTCAAGCAGAACCGAGGAAGGCCCTCAGGCATCGACAAAATCGCCCTCGGCCCTACCTTTGGAATCTCAGGGGCACAATAAATTACTAGAACATGCGAGTAGGGAGCCTACCTTGAACAGTGACACAAATCCGGCCCAAAATCGAAGGACTGAAATTGCCAGCCCTCCCCCCGTAAACAATCCACAAAACAATGGGCCTCCTGAGCTCAACAATATCAGTAAGTTAGCATGCTATATAACCACAAAAATTATACTAATATACAAGCAGCTAGCTTGACCGAAGACGTAAGATTCTACTTAAAGTACGGAATAGATATCATGACTGACAGAAAGCAAGGTCCATGACCGACGTCCAATTTCGCAAAGGCACGGGGAGAAAAGACAACGGAGGGGAGAATCTTCCAGACAGCCAATGCCTATCAACCACATTGAATTTGAGGTTACTCCGTCGACATTGCGCCCATGTGCCCCGGAAACCGATGAGACGAGGCCTTTAAAACGCCGCCGCACGAACAGCAGAAAAAGGCTTTCTTGTTTCAAGCAATCCGAGCAGTCGATCGTTGACGACTACTCTCAATTGTCAGAGGATAATCTATTTCAGATGTTGATAGGCCGTATCAGACAACGCGAGGAAAATGAGATTGCTGCTGCCAGTCTACGAGAACAGATGGAGACCACTGTACTTGAGCTGACAGAGGAGAATAAAGCACTGAAGGAGCAATTGGAGATGTTCGGCGCCCAGCTGCAGAAAAGGACTTCAGACTGTAGAGCATACAGGGCTCAAATGGACAGCTGGAAGACTAAGCTGGGAAAGTTTAAACGATTTTTGAACTCGTTGGGTAATGACTATCAGACCCTTCGCGGGGAAGCCATTCAGTTCAAAGCTAGAAGAGCATCTCTAGAGGAAGAGAAAGGCGGAATAAAACGCACCATCAGCGACTTGAAAGTGCGCATCTCGCAGATCGCTGATACCATGAGCCAAAAAAGAAACCACTTGCGTGAATCGGCTAATATAGTAGGTTCCTTGGAGCAAGCCTTGAAGGGAGCAGAGGACAAGGTGCAACTCATCCAGAACCATCTGTCAGACGAGAAGAGAAAATCTGCGATTCTTGAATCATACATACAGAGCCACTCGCGCACTCAAACAAAACAACTCGGGCTCATCAAAACCGATCAGCTTGAGATAATGAGCAAACTTGAAAGTGCTTTCCAATCGATCAGTGAACAATGGGAGTCTTCTCAAACCAACATTCAATCAATGCTCAGTCCTGCTCTAAACGAGTGCCTGTCGTCGGTCAAGGAGCTAAACGAAAGATACTCCATGAACAAAACAGACACGCAACTGGTTTCTGATGCATTTCATTGGTTTATGACACGGTAAGTATCTGGGAGCCACCAAAATAGCACTATCAAACCACAGTGGTCTAATTATCACTCAGCATGGATTCCATCACAGCCCAATTGACCAAGGAATTCGAAAAGGGCTCCGAAGCCAATGGAAATATGGTAAATGTTCTACAGGTACACCTTCGAAATATTGAAGATGGCCTAGGATCCGATTCTGCCTTATTCAAGAAACTTGCCGTAAACGATCAATTGTGCGGAAGCTTGTACGAAAAGCTCGATTTGGTTGGGCCAAATATCTTCAATCTCACTTCCTGCTTAAATGGGTTGGAAGAGAAAGAAACAAGTCTGTCCCAACAGATGGAAGAACTTGGAAGAAGCCTCGCAGCTCAAAAGCCAGATGAAGAGGCAGCTTTAACACCAGAAATTATCGGCTACATGACAGAAAATACCAGGCTACAGCTTCGGGTGCAAGAAATATCCGCAGAATTGAATTCAAAGGACGAAAACTTGAAGATCAAGGAAATGGAAAGCGACAATATGAAAGACTCACTGGTCGGGGCTAGAACCAAAGTCCAAGAGGCAGAAGATCGAGCAACGCAACTTGAATCTGAGACTACATCTCTTCGAGAAAAAATCAATTCAATAGAAACAAAAGTCCGTGAGGAGTTAAATCGAGCTAGTGTCGTATCCCGAGACCAAATTAAGGCAAGATTCGAGCAACAGATCCACAAGCTTTTGAAGGAGAAATCGGACATCGAAAATGATGCAGGCAATGTAAGAGAGCAGCTTGCAAATGCTCAAGAGTCTCTGGTAAGCCGTCTTTTAAAAATTATTGAATTCGAATACTGAGAAGTTGAAGGTTCAAAATAAAGCGACTATGCAGAAAAAGCAAGCAGATTACGAATCTTCAGTATGCTATCCTGATGGCCCAACTCATATTATTGCTGATTTTAGTAGCTCCAGGAGAAACAGCAGCAGATGCAAATTCTTCAGGATTCTCATATCGAGTATATTAATAGACTGACAACACAGGATGCAGAGCTCAGGAGGTATCGAGAGTTGGAGGCCTCTGCTGTATCGCAACAAGATTCATTGCTGAAACATCTCGATGAAGCCAATGAGAGGATAGAAAGTCTTGAAAACCAGCTTTCTTTAAAGGATGACAAAGCGCAGTCCGAGCTACAAGAGTTGCAGAGAAAGGTCGAGTCACTCGAAGAAGAATTTTCAAAAAAGAAAGAAGAGTGCCTGTCAGTCCAGAAAGACCTTGATGCCGCAAATTCCGTTAAATCGAGCCTCGAGTCCGGTAAACTGAAAGCAAAAGACGAAATTCATGCACTTCTTCGTCGAGTTCAAGATTCAGAGGAGTGGATGAAGAGTATCAGAGACACGCTCCAAAAATTGGGTATCCTCAAGCCGGAGGAACCCTTTGCGGAAACCTGGAATAGGCTCGAGGTACTATTGAAAACTGCTGTTTCAAACAACGCTATAACCGCAGTTATCAACTGTCCTGAAAAGGATAGTACCGTTAACCATGGTGCCAACTCCCCGGAAAGCATCGCCCTGGCAGCAACACCCAGGGGGGGTTCCTTGATACCTTCGCAAGGCTTTTTTCAGACGACAGAGCTGATATACCGAACTCAGAGTATTCAGGAGAGCCTATACGCTTCACCAGATGCTTATAGACATATTCAGTCTATAGCTGCAAGTAACACAGTACCCAGTTCCTTTCCAGGATCGCAAGTATCAAACAGCATTGTGCCGTTCTCAAGCATTCAACAGCAGCTATCGCCAAGATACTGCTCGTCACCTAGCCAAGTCCCCGATGATCTTGCAAACATGCTTATTCCAGCCTCCGAAAAACAAGAGGAACACGGAGAGTCTACCAGTACGTGCGGAGAAAATGAAACCAATATGTCTTCTGGAAAGCATCCTGGGCCCTTCGAAGCATCAAAGTCACCCAGCTCTACCCTCCATCCGAGAACTGATAGACATGTCCAATCGAATATAAAGATTCTTTCCGATAGGAAGCCTCAATCTCCGGTATCAACAGCGTTGACGGAAAACCGTGCTAATGACTGCAAGAAACACGTTGGTGGAAAACATAAAGCGGTTACATTCGAGGCACAAAGCACGCCTACACCTAGCAGTTGGCAAGACCACGAAATCCCCAAAGCCCTCGATGATACATCGCAGCAAATGGCCGAGGAAGTTTCAAACGATCAAAAATCAGGACGCTCGATTCGGCGAACATATAGCAGGACCAGGCAGACCGGGCTCATGAGAGAGAACCAGGGGACGTCACAGCATGAAATAACTCCTTCTATCTGTGGCACATCAAGCCTCAAAAATAATCAATACGATAAGAATCACAGTGAGAATAAAAGGTTGAAACCATCTGTTGCATCGGGTTCGAGGCTGTCAAGACAGGCAGGGGATAGCTCAGAGTTCCTTGGTCGCAAAGCCAGCCCTACAAGCCTAGTTTCTGGGAGCAGCCGACAGTCGTCTTCGAATGGGGGTCACTTGAATTCAAGGGCCACGGCACGAGGCCACGGACGCGTTGGGCGCAGGACAAGAGGTACGAATCTAGCCCCTTATGTGTGAACCCTGCTAAAGTGTAAAGGCGAACGTTACAACGCTCTCTTCGATCAAGATACAAAAGGTCATAATTGAGGTGGGTTAAATATGCGGCAGAAGTATCAAGACTGGAATTTGAAAAACATCTAAAAATCACTTATCCCTTGATTGCATTTATTATGCGGCGACATTTGTTCAGGTTCACAGGCTGAGTCGAGCTTCATATTCCAATTATGTGTGATTTCAAGTATTTTCGAGGTCATACTTTTATGAAGTACGCGGATGTTATACTGGTTTATATAGGAGATTAGATTACGGCAGTACTTATTTGACGGCTTCGATATAACTAGCAAAGAATGTACCAAATTGCATGCAATTCTTACTGTGATAGTCATGATTTAGAGTCTAGCTTCTTCGAGAACCACACTCAGCCATGATGCAAAGGAAGAGAAAACATGGGTGTCACTGTTCTCTGGTCTCTGGCAGTACTCCAGAAGAGAACGGTATCTGTCGCTGGAGGTTGTTCCAGTCGCATGGAGTATCTTGGAGAGATCGATTGGACATAGATAGGGAGGTTGCCTTGCATCCTCGGACAGTGATGCGCTTCCCTGCATGATGCACGCGTAGTATACGCAGTGATCGATACCAAAACAATGCCCTAGCTCATGACTTGCTGTTCGACACATTCGGGCGAGCCAGAGCGCTGAGAGCAAGGCTGGGAAGGAGTCTATGTCTGGGAGCTTGGAATAAGATGCCAAGGCAGCTTCCAGTGGTGGATTTTGCGTGGATGATGGGTCATCCTTCGATGTCCTTTGCTTCTTCAAACCCACCCATCCAGAGGTACAGCATTCTTGCATATAAGCTTTGCAATGAGATGCAGGCCAGGCATGTTGCCGCTCGACGGACTGAATTATATCGATATTCGGGCAGTATCTGGCACTAGAAACGACTGCTACGCGACTCCCTCCGTACGCACGACCACAAACAAATGTGTCGTCGGCATCTTCGAAAAGGTCATGGTTTACGAGCATGCACAGTGCATATGCGTCGTCTGGAAGTATACCCATCGCGACATCTAGCAGATCGTCGAGATTCAACTGACGGGGGTAGATCTTGTCCGGGCATGCACGAGTGCCGATACGGACACATTCTTCTGAGATAGCTAAGCCGACATAGCGCGGTGCAGTCTTAGATGACTTCTTTCCCTCATCCCAAGGAACAAAGCGAAAGTCAGGAACTGGGAGCAGCTTCACGGGCAGGCCATGGTAGAACGCCGCCAAGTAGTCCACTATATCTTGCGTTCGAGGCGTCGTGATCCGGTGCTTGTCATCTCCTTTCTGGGGTTCTGTCCACGACTGCACAAAAGTGCATTCATCATCAATCCCGGGCGGGGCTACCACGTAGACTGTCCTTTTGGTAGGTGTGATCTCGTTACGGTCTTCTTCGTCCAGCCATTTTTGGAATGATTGGGCTGGGTAGTCAGGATCCAATGCGAGGTCATCGTCTGGGAGAACCAACGGTGCTGGAAACTGTTTTGAATCATGCTTTAGAGCTGATGACTTGATTCTTCGGGTGCTTGGGGCTGCAGTTGGTTTGGTGGCTGCGATGCGTTGCTGCTGGGTTGGTTGCTTATAGCCGGCTGCAGTGGCGTGAGATGAACTGTTTTGACAAATAGATTGGTGGGAACACCTCCGTAGTTGTTTGAGAGGCATATTTTGTGGATATGATGTGGAATATATGGTTGATGGGAAGGGGGTGGATGGTTGGGGACGGACAGCAGAATAAAATGCAAAAGCCACGAAACAATTTCTGCCTGGAAGCCATTGCAATTGCACGAACTTGATTGGTCCAGATTTCCCGTGCTATTTTCCTATATTAGCTAGACTCTGTCAGCAAGGGGATAAAATGCTAAAGTAGCGTTTAGATATCGCTTGGGTATAGGGTCACAATGACTGGTCTGTATGCTTTGACGATCTTAGACAAAGTCACAAATTCCAACACAGTACATTGCAAAGTAGCGTAACTGAAGTATATATGGAACATTATGATTGACCCAGATTGTACTGCTCTAAACGCCAAAAAGCAAAGCCGGAAAAAGGTATGCAGCTTAGCAATGATGATAGAACGCCATAAAGTTCCCCATAATGCCAACGCTGCTATCCTGTCTAATGTACATGATCATTCGCCGAAGTAACGGGCTCGAAGTTGGCTGCTGCGCTCATCGTCGATTGTGACTTATGAACCAGTGTTGAATCGTATAGCACATTCGAGGTTGTAGGTAGCACTTGTTGCTCCGAGCCGCGCTTTTCTTATTCCCCAAATCATATTTTCACCGTATAAATAACATCGAGAGAAGATAGTTTCCGTTTATTTTGCTCTTCCACCCTTAGTTGCCTCGAGGAAGAGCACCTTCTTCTTCACGACGGGGTCGTATTTGAGCATGCTGAGGGGACGATGGGTACGGGGCCGGATCATTGTTCGGAAGTATCCGGTCAACGCCATGGAGACGAGACGAACCGACATGGTACGGGACTTGGCTATAGAGAAGGTGGAATGTCAGTTTGCTGCTGTTGGTTCAAAAAAACACCGGGGATGCACGGGTTGGGCAGATGGGTTTCCGTGTCGAAAAAAAACCGAAAGGACAATTGACAACACACACCTTTCTTGGCCATTTTGACTGCTCAAACACGAGGTAGTACCAACGGGGATAGTGAAGCCGGGGCTTTGATGAATTCGAGGTCTCGGAGGTGCGGCGGAGAACTTTGGCCGGTGATAGTTTCACGTGATGTTGATTACCAGAAGGGGAATAGTGTCATGCTGAGTCCATATGCTGCCACGACAGCAACGACGACACGACGTGACAAACAACGTCAATGATAAAAATTGTCTCTTATGCGATTATAGGCCTATTCTTCATTTAGATTACGCCTCTGTGTAATGCCAAGGTAAGTATCTTCATCTTGACGTGTGACAATCTTCTAATTTTATGTCAGGCAAGCCGCGACTTCGGCATGCTTCTTCAATTGCCATTGAGTGCCAGAGCGGCATCAAACGCATATTCAAGCCTCTGCGGAGAGATGAAACGCGCACTCGAGTAACAACGTTGAATATCTTGGTGATTCAACACAATTGGCTGTTCAGCTTACGGGTTGCATACACGATTGCTTCCTTTGCAGGCACATTGAATGAGGGCAATCCTCTTACATATTTCAATTGTCATTCGAAGCCACTAGCGGTTGCGAGTCATGTATCGCTTATATCTATGCCCAATTATATCTTGGGGGTGCTTGTGACGTCTAGTCTCATGGTTTGGCGACCAAGCTGCATGGCCAACTTTAGCAACTTTGCTGGAACCGAAATGGACGCCCCAAACTACCTATCATCAATACACGAATACCTTATACATACTGAACAATTTAGGCAGTTGTCTGACCTGGGTTGATCAGATAAGGACACTGGCTAGTGGTGGCGATGTCTTATACTGATTGAAACGCCATGGATCCGACGATAATGTTGAATCAAATAATGCAACAAACATCCCAAGATACTAGTAACTATTACGCTCGATTATTACAAATTATGGTGGGCTATATAGTGCCAGGGGTGTTTTACGGCATGTACGACACGGCAAGTGAGAGAGGGGAAGATCTACCTACTTGAAGTGGATGAACTTATCCAACCGACCGTACCAAACCGCCATTATTTCCCGATACAGAGCACCAGTCAATACGTGAGAAGAGAAAGGGCTTACGCGAAGGGTTACAGCCACAGATGGCCAAGACTGCGCTTAACTGAGGGCAGAAGGCTCAACCGCGCTATCCTAGGAAATACATTGAACGCTTCCATTTCATTTGGCAAGCTATGACTGATACAGGCGCGAGAAGTACTATTCCAACTTATTGATGGAAAGTTCTTTCTGAACTGTGGGTGGCTTCGATAAATCCAACAGGAATTCGGTCAAAAAGTGGCCATCATGGTACTTCCGGAATCTTTCCTAAACACGAAATTATTGTCGACTACTATTTACCAAGAACGAAAACGAGTCGGGATGCTTCCCATGAGATCCACCAGTCGATGAAACTACTGCCAGAATCAAGTTGATCTTCGATAGTAACCCGCAAAAAGCTCCGTGGTTGCATTTGGTGTCCTAAACCTAGATGGGGTCATTTGACAATATACAAGAAAGATGATCTTGCTCATCGGAACCTAATAACTACTCTAGATACATTTCAACGACAAGTCCTTGGGTGTCTACGCCTGCATCATGAAATTCGTTGGGGTTTGCCTAGGGTTTATCATCGAGCACAATGTCCTTATGACATCATTCAACATTTCTATCCCACCACTTCGATATCTTTCAAATTCCGCATCGCATGTGGACACTGTTCATCTGCGGGGATTTGACAGTTTCTTGAATCCCAGGCCTCCATAAAAATAGACGTTGCATCCGACACCATGACCTTGTATAGATCGGAAGCAAGTGAAAATGGTAGATTCAACGACTTGGAGCTATTTTAGGGCCGGACTCATCCGCGACGGGCACTACACATGCAACTGTTCTCGTGAATCATTTCAAAGGATCGGAGGGAGGGCAAGTTCAGTCATCCATTCTCTTCCTATCCAACCGATGGCAAGAGAGCTACCAAACATAGGCTTTTTAGGGTCACCTGAATCATCTCTGATTCGAACGGGAGGGTGAAACTGGGTGATCTTCGTACTTGTCCTGGTTGATTATTGATGCTGATATCTCTGCCTACAAACCTTGTCTCCCACCGAGTTTACGAAGATGCCCTCCACCATGCCCTAAATGCGGAGATATGGCAGTTTCCGGCCTGGATTCCATCCCGTTTACATTAAAAATCAGGGTGAAGATCGCAAACATCGCGTTCGCGAGCAAGGGCCATGTTATGTTCAGGCCGTCAGACGACCCATACACCACCTGCAGGCCAAGAAAGGCCATGCAAAGACACCAGCCACAGCGACACAGTGCTATCCAAAAACCACGCATTCTTGTTATTTCCACCAGACTGACTCATTTGCTGGCCACCAGTGGCTCCATCTTGCAGACCGTAGCACATCCAACGCTAGATGAGTTGGCTGATGATTGCAGAAAGCTTGGTGCTTAACTACTACATGCATCGCGCGATTCCATCCAAAGTATAGTGTAGAGATATTGAATCTACTGGCATTGTTCTCAGATTCGTCAATGGCAAGCTGCACTTTGAATCCTACAGCGACATACATTCGCATCGCTTTGGGTATAAATCCCCACAAAAATCAACAATGCCATATCAGCAAAATAATAGGCCAGATAGCGGGGTATAATTCTATCGCACAGTCGAAAATAGAAAATAAAAAATAAGAATTCGGGAGGGTGGATGTCGCAGTGGATGAAGTCACCAAGGGCACATATAGGGAAATTCTGCCGGACGATATTATGGAGACAATTCCTGTTTCCCCTCTTTCACATGTTTCGAGGAGAATCGAGACCGTTTCAACTTGTTTATTCTTACCCCTGAGGGCTATATTTACCCTATACCAAAATAGATATTATGTGTTGGCTTACCTGTTGGCTGATGTGGGTTTCATTTCTTTCTTTATCAACAAAGAATGCCTTTTATAGTATCTCGCATTGTAATGTTGAAACTCAGCTCAACATTGTGGCATGATTATTATACGAAATACATACAGAGATATACAATACTGTACATCCAATCCTGGATGGTACATCTCGATCGCATACACAGCCATCCCGTCCCTCCAGGGTAATACAGAGGGTGACTACTAACGACTTAGTTGCATATCACCAGCAACCAACGCACCAATCATGGATAATATCCACAATGAGTCACGGCCAGTAGCAGGGAAATTCCAAGAATTAGACCTTTACTGGTGTTTATTATGATATGCAATGTGCAGGTTTAATGCATTTATTATGCTGTGTTACGTTCGGGTGGTTGGTTGCATTGTAGAAGATTTTATTTGTTGGACTCTTTTTTTTCTTTGGTATGTATGTAACTCAAGTATTTCTACTTGAGTATTGTATTTTGGTGATATTTGCATAGTATAATAGATAAAACAGTAGGTAATAGAAACAAAGAATACAAATAAGTCACACAGTGGTAAATACAAAAGCTTGCATGGATGCGATGCATATAAAACAGAAGTCAGGTGCTTTTTTTGTCTGTTTTCTTGTTTTCGTTCGTCTTTTCAGATCGAATGCGTAATCGTAATAGTAATCATCATCAGATCATAATCATAACAAGATCGTTGCCTAATGACAAATGAAAATACCAGTTTTGTTGGAGTTGGTGGCTCAGCAGGGGTTCCCCCCCCCTTCGCGATGTAATTCATGTCCACCAATGTACAGTGTATTGAGGACGTAGAACCATGCGGGCCCTGTCTGCACGACTGCGTTTGTTGAAGGTCTTGCTTCTTCACGCGGTCGGCGAGATGGGAGGGGGGGAGACCATTCATTCACGTCCAGCGTGGTTGTATGACTGCGATAAGGGCAGAAAAGCGTATGGAAGTGACGTATGAGTGGAAGTCAAGTCGAGGTCAAGTTGAGTAATGAGTAATAGTCAAGGGACGATTCGCAATCAACGGTGGTAGCCGTTTGGTCGGTAGACACGGGAAGATTCATACGAGCGCTCGATACGGTCGACAGCGTCGGAGTCATAGAGGGAGCCTCGGCTGGGAGAGCCACGAGGAGATGGGTAGACGATGACATGGCGACGCTGCTTGGTGGCTCTGGGCTCTCGCTCGATGATTTCCTTGGACGGGACAGGCTGCTGGGGAGCGACTGGTCGACGAGGAGCGATGGGGTAAGTCTGGTCGTAGCTGATGACTGGGGGGTGGTTGTTTTCCTTGCGGTGGATGCGCAGACCGTCCTCGATGGCGAGGAGGAGAGAACGGACGGCCTCGCAGTCTCGAGGGATCTTGACAAGGGTTGGCTGGTTGAGTTCCTGGTCGACGACCGAGTGGGCCTTGCCGTTCTTGCTGTAGAGGTACTCGGCGACGTCGATGGCATACTGGTGGCCTCGGTCACAGAGAGTGCGACCCTGGAGATGAGCCTCGAGAGGGTCAGCGCACTTGATGCAGTGACTGGCGTGACGCTCAAAGGCAGTCATGACATAGTCCTCGTCGGCGTGAAGCTCGCGCACCACGACGACGGGATCGACAATCTCAATGGGGGCAGGCATTGTGTTTGAACGACGAGGTCGACGGGTCTTGCGAGACGGGGTTTTTGTAGTCTCCCTTCTAGACAATGAGAGGGAGAAGGGGTCGAAGTGAAACGAAGAAGAGCGTATCGGAGACACGGTGACGATGGGGGAGATAATTGGGGGAAAGTGTTTCAGTTGAAGTATTGAAGTGAGTATTGAAGCAGAAGAAGTCGCAATAGTCGAAGAGTTATAATAGTAGAGTGTATCAGAGCAGAGTGTGTTGAGATGAGATGAGATTCACTCAGATGGACGGGGAGACAGAATATATAGGCATGGCAGCCTGGATGATGAAATACAGAAAGAAACACAATGTTTGGTGCCTGCAGATGACTCGATCCTCAGGCTGCTGTGGCTTGCAGGCTGTGTTCGCAGCGGTCAAAGGGCATTTTTGGCGACATCTTCTGCCACCAGTGGACGGCTGCACTTATTCTCATTGGCCAGACAGTGCAACAGACGGTCAAAAGGCCTGTATTATTTCGCTTCTTGCTTTCCCTCCATGACGAGAATCTCCCGTTTTCCCCCCCTCAGGTGGAGTTGCAAAGGATGCGCTATCCTTTAGCATCCCGAATCCCTGCGGCTTTTCTTGTTTGGGTGTCGGGGAGCCAGTCCAGACTACGAGTCAGCCTTGTTGGCCGTGAGAATATGGTATTTTGATGGTATTTTACTGATTCTGGTCTTTGTGAGTCCACAGGAATGTGTCATTTCTCTTGACAGTCACCGTCTGTGGCTTGACTGCTCGTGTTCCTCCGCTTTTCCTCCGTCGCGCTATCTGACGGTCGACTGCCACACTAAACGAACACCGTAGCCATTAGGGATTACGATAAACGCTCTCAGTCATCTCATCATCATCATCATCCTTACCATATCATCTTATCGATCGGCACATCTGATCGTTGGCTACGATTTATTCTTCTGCTACACTGACTTTCGATGCATTCTTTCCATCCATCTCTCATTTGCGCTGCAGCCGCTGTGCTATCGCGGCGATACCTGATACACTCGGTTCCAGTCTGCTGGTAACCTATTTCTGTCCATCTCGTATCTATTCTCGTTCAGAACTGTTTGTTTCTGTCCTAAGAATACGGATCCCAAAATACAGGGTAGATTGGATTACCCCTGTCATCATCACATCACAATCACGTTCAAGTCCAACACGAGCCTCAGGGTGCTGAGCCTCACTCAGAATCAGCAAATAATACTCCGCCACAGCCACAGATATCACTTTTGCATCCGAATCATTCGCTGATGACGCCACAGTCTGTCCAGATGCTCATCATTTACAGGCTGCAGCCTAGATGTGAGGGATCGGACCGCGATCTAGTCTCTCTGCCTGTTATCTTGTCATGCGCTAATAGGTAGACTCGTATCTTTTGTTATTTCAAGCTCGGTTACGGAGTATATTTTATAATATTGGCGCGCGATAACGTTTCCGTCCTATTCATATCAGGTCGATCGCCGTTCTGTTTTTCGTGATCTGTTTCACCAGTCATTCTCGCTCCATTGCTCTGATCATCCCCACTATCATCTGTTCTGATTTAATCACCGAGAATAGATGCATTATGCGCTGAGTGTTGTCGGGGTTTTTCGAAACGTTGGGAAGAACTGTCACTGGTTCGTCTATCGCTAGCAAATGGTTATCAGCGCATATTTCATGCAGCATGTTTGATCTCTGTGAACAATGGCCAACGGATCCATCAGAGCAATGCGCCGGGGTATGATGGTCGACCCGTCAATGTGGTTCACCCGTGGGCGTCTATTGCTGTCTACCAATATCAACATGTTGTTGGACGATTGGATATATATCTCCGTGGCCGAGTGTATCAAGTATCGCCATGATGTCGCACCACTTCTGGCAGTCCCAAGCGCCGAAGCAATTGAGAGCAAAACAGAAGCCACAGCCCCATCCAATGCCAGATGCGTTCTGATGGAAACCATACCCCGTACAAGAACATTTCAATGCACCACCAAACTAACAGACAGATGCTACTATAAGTCAAAAGAAAGGTCAACCTTTCAACCAAGAGCAGCCGGGCTAGCTCAATCGGTAGAGCGTGAGACTCTTAATCTCAAGGCTGCGGGTTCGACCCCCGCGTTCGGCTTAACTTTTTGCATTTTTTCCTTCTGCTCTATGGCTTGTGTGTTCACGGCGTGATCCACTGCTCCATCTGGAAGAGTTTTTTGTGGTTCTGTGAATGTGTGATCCACCTGCACGTGACTGAGATCTACAATGTATTGGCCAATCATATGATTTTATGTTTATCGAAGAGATTGACAGATAAATTGAGCTGAGATGGAATAGAGTATCTTTGATATTAATTATCAACCTCTGTATAACCCTGTGTATCTGCTGTGTAAAGTCCCTGCAGACGCTGACGTGAGAAGTTAACCGGAGCCATGATCCATTGATCCTTGATCCGCCACTCCGTCATCAATATTCCCAGCAACATAATAACATCATCATCAATTCAATCATCAACCTACAATCACTTCTCAATCATCAACTTCAAATCACCATTAAGATCATCAACTAATATCAAAATACACCAAAAATGACAACAACCCACCCTCCAACAATGAAAGCCTGGCTATACAGCAGCACAACGGGCGGCCTAGAAACCAACCTCACCATGACCTCATCCGCCCGCACCCCAGGGCCCCTCCAACAAAACCAACTCCTCATCCAAGTGATCTCTGCATCGCTCAACCCCGCTGACTACAAACTGCCCGAGCTAATGGGCATCGCCGCGAAGGCTATCATCGGGTTGCCCGCGTCCCCGGGGATGGACTTTTGCGGACGGGTCGTGACCACCGGGTCCGGCGTTACCGAGTACACACCGGGCGCGGTGGTGTATGGGTCGCTGGCTGGGGCGGTGCAGTTTGGGAGCTTAGGCGAGTACATCGTTGCGAATGTTGATAAGGTCGCGGCGTTGCCGGAGGGCGTGGAGGTCGACCATGCGGCGACGGTGGGAGTAACGGGGCAGACGGCGTATCAGTCGCTGGCTGGGTATGTGGTGCCGGGCGATAAGGTGTTTATTAATGGTGGTTCTGGGGGATGTGGGATCTACGGTATCCAGATCGCAAAGGCGATGGGGTGTTATGTGACGACGACGTGTTCTGGGCGGAATGTCGCGCTGTGCAAGGAGCTGGGCGCGGACGAGGTAATTGATTACACGGCGCAGGATGTTGTTGGTGTGTTGAAGGGTGGGGGGAGGGTGTATAGCCATGTTGTTGATAATGTGGGCGTGCCTGAGAATCTGTATAGGGAGTGTGATTCGTTTTTGATGCCGGGGAAGGTGTTTGTGCAGATTGGGGTTGTTTCGTTGGGGACGGCGGTGGAGAGGTTTGTGAGGCCTGGTTTTCTGGGTGGTGGGAAGAGGAAGTATGATTATGTGGTTTGTAAGAATGAGAGGGAGCATCTGGTGAAGATTGGAGAGTGGATTCGCGAGGGCAAAATCAAGGTGGTGGTGGATAGTGCGTGGGCGTTTGAGGATGCGGTTAAAGGGTATGAGAAGGTGAGGTCGGGGAGGGCGAGGGGAAAGGTTGTTGTCCATGTTACTGAAGCTTGATTATCTTATAATGTGTATGTACATTCATCTTAACGATTATCTATAATTTGTTGGTTCTTTGTTTCTGTCCCAAGAATGTCAACGCGCCAACCGTCATCGCATCCACGCCCGTCTGCAGCGTTGGCTGGATCACTGGCGCAAAGAACGGGGAGTGATTGCCTGGTAGTTGATTCACCGTGTTTGTCTCTACAGCTTCATCCCACGTCTTGCCGTCCATTCCACCATACGTCCACATGACATACGGTGCCCCGACTGCGGTGGCCAGGAGCGAAAAGTCTTCACTGGCAGTCGCAGGTTCCGTCTCGACGAGACGATCTTGAAAGTATGACCCGAATGAAGACCGAAGAGTCTTGACCGTTTGGTCATCATTGATGGTGGCAGGCGATGAAACGACGCATTTGATAGATGGCTTTTCTGTCGCGCCGGATGCTTTGCATTCGGTCTCGATGATGCGCGTGATTGCTTTGATCACGATGTCTCGTATACTCGGATTGTAGGTCCGGATGTTGATTTTCAGATCCAGATAATCCGGGATGATATTCGCCGTATGACCCGCTTGAATGCTGCCGACGGTGACAACCGCCAACTGCCCCGGCGCCACCTCCCGACTCACAATCCCCTGCAACCGAGTAACAATCGACGACCCGATGATAATAGGATCGATGCACGTGTGAGGCGCAGAGCCATGCCCCCCTCGCCCGAAGACACGCACATCAAACGAATCAGCCGCAGTAAGCAACGGCCCAGACCGAATGCTAACAGTTCCTTCTCTCATCCTCAACACATGCTGCGCGAGAACCAGATCCGGTTTCGGGATCTTATTATACAACCCATCATCGATCATCGCCTTCGCACCGTTCAAGTATTCTTCAGACGGCTGGAAAAGACAAATCAACGTCCCCGACCAGTTCTCTCTGACAGAGTACAGCACCTGCGCAGCTGCCATGAGGGAGGTCGTATGGAAATCGTGCCCGCAAGCATGCATCAGCGGCTTCTTCACCCCGTCTTTATCAGTGGTGACCTTCTTACTCGCGTAGGATAGGTTAGTCTTCTCCTCGACGGGTAATGCATCCATATCTGCCCGGAGGAGAATAGTCGGACCGGGTCCATTGTGCAAAACGCCTGCGACGCCGTGGCCTCCGATATGGGCGTGTACTTTGTATCCGAGTTTGGTGAGATGAGATGCTGCCAGTGCTGCTGTTTGTTCTTCTTGGCCGGATAGTTCGGGGGAGCTGTGGAGATGGCGGTAGATGTCTTCGTATTGTTGGAGGTTAGGACGGTGTTTTTCCATGACGGTTTGGAAGAATTCTGTATTCTGTAAGGCTTTGTTGCTTGGGATTGGGATTGAGATAAGTTGATGAGGTCTGGGTGTTTACTCACCTTGTGATGACGACATGATTCTGTCTGGCTCACCTGGCAGCACTTTCAAACAAATTGAATAAACGAAACAAGTCGAAGTAACTGAGAAAATATGACACAGTCCATAACTGACAGAAAAGAGATCCTATAAATACGCCATCTGGCATTAGCTGGGGAATTGGGGAAGAGGAGATAAGGCGGGGGTGGAGAATGGAGATATCGCCATCCGAGCAACTCGGCTAAGTGGTCCAGTCGGTGCAGCGCTCGCTTCGTCGGCAATTAGATTGGTTTAGATTGAGCGTAATGGGCTTATATTTTATTAGCTTCTATATGATGGCTGATATGGATGGATTATTGGTTAATGGGTTATGGTGTTTGCCCGTGTCTAAGTAGGTAAATTGTAGCGTGGGGAAGTGGATGTCTTATGAACTACTCCATTATCTACCATCTATGATCTATACTGTTGACACTTCATACGCATGTATCCTTATATCAGACATATCAGATATAAAAATGATATAAATCGAGTCAACAAAGAGCAGGAGAGATCCCATTCCAGATGGAAATACTAACAAAGAAAATGACAGACGAGGATAACCGTTGGATCCCTGCGAGTCAAACAATCAGATACGAGAGATTCTTGGTATTGTCGTTTGATTTAGGATTGTTCTACGTCTACATCCATCCAAGTGAATGGATAAATGTCCATGGATGCAATGCCAGTTTCTTTGACATGAGCAGGGATGCAGTGGAGGCCAGGAATCGACTCCATCCATTGGTATATTCACTTGTAGAATTGACTGGACTGTGTAACATCCAGGGAATAGAGCAGTTCACTTCTTTCATTCACTGAAACTATCACATCCTTTCTCTGTCTTCAGATATAAATTCAACTCTCTTTTTCCTTTCCCCTTCTCTCTTTACCACCCATCTCTCTGTCTACTCTTCTACATCCCATCAGCTAGCTCTACATCCTCAGTCTTCATTCTCAATCTCAATCCAACCCAATCCAATCTTCACCATGAAGTTCCTCAACCTCCTCACCGCCACCTTCTTCGTCTCTCTCGTCAGTGCCGTGGCTATCGAGCAGACTCCCAACCACATCCCCTACGGCCTCTATCCCACCGGCTCTGGTAACGACAACACCCTCAACACTATGAACACTCAGGACAGCTGCGGTCAGATGTGTATGGGCCACAACAGCTGCGGCGGCAAGTGCTCGACCTGCGACATCAACAGAAGCAGATGCGTCTAAGCATAAGGCGATGATCGTGCCAATTGGGTCTCTTGAATGGTGAGTCGACCTGATGTGGAGCTTGCGTGAGGAGATTCTAACCTATGCCATGATAGACTGCATTGAATCGACTTGACTCGCTATTTCGGTCTGAGCATACTGCTCATAATGGTTGGAGGATGGCTATCGTCTTTGCTGGTGAAGATTACGATTGGAATGAATGAATGCGGATGGCTTTTGCCTATATCTGCTTTGGCCGATGGATAGGACAAACGACCTAATAGTTCAATTGAACTTATTCTTCTCAATATTCCTATATCGTAGTCAGTAATTGCATGGTAATAAATATCCTCCCTCGAGTCAATTATCAATCCCTTTAATGTAGTGTTCACGGGCCCCTGCATTGTCACACACATCACCATGGATTAACTCAAATAACGAGTCTCCACGAGTCGTTTGCAGCAAGTGTGACATGTCAGTGAAGTGTTCTGCCATGCATCTGCAGCAAATAAGCTTGTGGTATGTTGCCAAAATGATCGTCCTTTGGCAGTTTTATTTGTTAAATTGCGACCGTCGCTCTCCTCCCCTTCATCTTATCGCTTCATTTCCCTTCGTTTCTCGTTGTTTTGCGCTGTCGATCGCAAAGGGATTAGCGCTGCCCCTGGAGCCGATGACATCATTTAATGGGTCTGCGATCGATTGTCTTTTCTCCTGCCATCGTCCTTCATCTTTTCTTATTTATTTCTGTGGAATCGCTTTATTATAAAGGGTTATTCGTCTATTAGAGGCCAATGCTGCTCAGTCGTCAAATATAACAAACTTGGGCTGATACCGGGATTCTGGCCTCGTCTACGGTTCACTCCTCCTTGGGCTCCAATCGCTGCGCTGTCGACCGTCCACAGCCTCATCTGAACCCGCACATTGTTCATATTCTTCGTTTTTCTCTCAATGCCTTTGTGGCCCTCAATCCCATAATCCAAATCCTCCCACCATGCCATTGAATACGGTCGCGTTGAGCGCTGCCCTCACTCCGACTGTTATCTCGACCTGCTTTTCTCACGTGCGTCAACCCATGTCCCTCCTTACCAAGGATCGGTTAAGGTTCCATCGCAGTATCACTAATTTCCACGGACTAATAGTATCTACATCGAAAATCACTTCATCGAAAACCCTCCGTCCATATCTCCTACGATGAAGCAATTCATATCATGCGAGAGTTCCTCGCCTACGTTTCCAAATACCCCGTCGAGGACCTCCAGGCGTTTTCCAAACAATGGGTTCCCAGTCCGCACTGGGTGAAAACGGAGACGGTCACTGTCCCTGATAAATATCTATCGTCTGCGGCCGCAACTATCAACGATCAACTTGGGCCGAAAGGAGTTGCCCGCGTCGGTGGGAAGGAATGGTGGCAGTGGCGCGGCCCCGCGGAAGATCTCAAGGGAGAATGGATCGAGATGCGGTATCATTATAATGAGAGGAAGAAGGCGCCAGATAGTGATAAGACTAATCAGAACCGCATCATGTTGTATATTCATGGGGGTGCGTACTTCTTTGGGAGTGTCGATACGCATCGGTATCAGATGCAGCGTCATGCGAGAAAGCTCAAAGCACGAGTATTTGCACGGTATGTCTACTGGTTATGGTTTATTGGATTACGCTAACTTGGTGCAGTGAGTTTAATCGGAGCTACCTTGATGAAAAGTACTAAACCTATGCAGCGGAATATCGCCTGTCACCACAGTTCCCGTTCCCTTGCAGCCTGCAAGACTGTCTCGCTGCCTATCTCTTCCTCTTGAGCGCACACAACTCCAAAGAAATCATCTTGGCAGGAGATTCTGCGGGTGCTGGCTTGGTACTCTCGTAAGTTTAACGCTGTTCTGTACGGCCTGGCGCTAATTAATGCAGTATACTCGTCACCATTCGAGACCAAGGACTTCCTGTGCCCGCTGGAGGGATACTAATCTCTCCCTGGGTTGATTTGACGCATTCCTTCCCCAGTATCATGGGGGAAAATTCCGGAGACTATATTCCCCAGCATGGATTCAGACATAAGCCGTCCCAAGCATGGCCACCTCCAAACTCAGAAGAAATCCTAGCCATCAAAAAGGAAACTCTCGGGAAGAAGGCTACACAAACCGATCTAGGGAAAGCAACACCACATGGTACTCAGGCTCAAGATACTGCAGTTAAAGGATATAATACCCAGCAGGATGTACCCTCGACAGGGCCTGTTTACCCGGGTCAGCAAAATGGCTCGGATTTCACAGATGAGGCCTTGCTTCAAAATATCTCGGTTCCGATTGATGGCAAGGATTTTGAGATTAAAGATCAAATCAACATGTACACAACCAACCAGCTTCTATCCCACCCGCTCGTTTCGCCTGTCCTGCAGCCCTCTCTTGGTGGCTTGCCTCCTCTTCTGGTCCAATCTGGTGGCGGCGAAATTCTTCGAGACGAACAGTTTTACCTCGCTCATAAAGCCGCAAACCCGAAGGCTTATCAACCCAGTGCTGTCTATCTCGATGAGTACGACCCCAATCGGGAAGCACTAAACAAATATCCGCCCACTTACGTCCAGCTTCAAGTTTGGGATGACCTTTGCCATGTCGCACCATCACTGAGCTTTTCTCGACCAGCCAAGTATATGTACCGCGCCATTGCACAATTTGGGGCATGGGCGCTCGCTCATGCGCAAGACTCCGAGATTGATATTCCAGACACCGATATGTCGCCTATCTCGTCAAGCGAATCGGATAGCTCCGATACGCCTCCTGGTAAAACGCAGCCAAAGAGGACAGACACCGCGATTACAATTGTTGGGAAGGCCGGTGACCCTCTACCCCCGTTCGAAGACCACATGATGCGTCAGAGAGTCGACAAACGCGGTAATATCTATCCGCTCAAGTCACCCTCTTCTTATCCTGTGTTGCAGCTTCCAAAAGAACGTGTCGGTGCTATAAACCCCGAACTTGTGAAAAAGTGGCTGGCGGCGAAGACCGAGTGGGATGTGAAATTCAGCAAAGAGAAACTCCGCACGCAACAGCAACGGATCAAGGAATTAGCCCACGGGTTCCAGGAGTTCAACGGGGGATCACCTCCGCCTAGTTCGTTGGCAGCAAGGCGATCCGCTCCTGGGGTCCTTCCAGCCCGCCATGCCAGGAAGAGTTACCCCATGATGATTTGGAGTGGATGGGGTAGCAAGCACGACAGGAGGGCGCTTGAAAGAGAGCGTCTTGCTGAGAAGGAGGGTCGCTCAAGGAGAACAAGTGTCGATGCTGGGCGAGCTGGAGCCTCTATTGACGAGCAGGAAGGCAATAAGCGTGCCCACTCCCTCCCAGAGAAGACGTCTGGAGATGCAGTTCCAGATGATGACCAATCCAGGTCGGGCAGCCGAAGGAAAGTGCTCATTGATGTAGCCAAGGCTAATCAAGGCATCGATGGAAACCAGAGTTCAACTGGTGGCCTTACCAATGGCGAGGCGTCTAAGCAGCCTATTTCTAAATTGTCGACTGATCAACCTTTGAGCCCAATGCTCGTCTTACCTGACTACGATAACAAGCAATCTTTTGAAGAGAATGCCAGTACAAGGGCTCTTTTCCACGCCTCGGGAACAATCCCTATGACCTCCTCGACTTCCCTTCCACGAAGCAGATACCATGCCCCATCCCGTACGGGATCATGGACTGGCATAACGACGGATGCTGGAGAAGATGCCGCCAGTACCGTTGGTGGAGATGAAAAGTCTCTTGCTGTTACTAACACCGGTATTGATGCTGCCAGCACCCGGGCAGTACTTGGTGCATCTGGTGTTGTTGGTTTGATGGGAGACGGGGAAAATTCTCGTGTATCTCATGATACTTCCTCTGTTAACCGTCTGAATGATACCGACGCCCAGTCTTCTGTTGGAGACGGAATAACCAATGGAGTGGATCACGGCAAGGAATCTCCACGTCCAACCATGCCGGATCGTGACTTTTTCAAGACCGCCGAGGAGTACCATTGATTTTGATGATCACGATTGTGACTGTCAAATGACATCCTACGCTTGACGCAGAAGTGACTTGACTTTATTCCAACTATTACAGCATGACTGCTTCTGATTTCTTTTGTCGGCAGCTGCTTTGTTTGGACTAACCCAGTGACCTTTGCAGAGCATGCTTTCTTTCATTCCATACATTTCTTATTTTCTTTTATCTTATTTCATAAATACCCCCCACATTTATGTGAATACCCATTATATACAAACCATCTACAATGACATATACAGCTTTCTCTTTCTTCGCTTTCACCCTTTGTCTTCATCTGGACTCTGTATCATTCTTCTGATCCGCTTCTCAACAAATTGGGCTTGTGGTTTAGTGGTATAATACTCCCTTAGCATGGGAGTGGTCCGGGGTTCGATTCCCCGCGAGTCCATTTTTTTGCGTTTTTGGTTTTCGTCCCGTTGATCATGATCGTTTTCTTCTCTTTTTCTTTTTTGAAATTTCTGTGATTTTTTTGTGTGTCGCGTTTAAGCATTTGATTTATGTGGGCTGGAAGTAGACGAGGCCAGCTCGATCACGACTAATGAATTATGATATTACGAAGAGGAGAGTTTGGGATATATCTGATGCTTATTTAGGGTTATTCGATAAGCTTTACTGATCCTTGTCTTGATCTACAAACTCCATAACTACCATATGTCCATATCTACGGTTCCTTGGGGTTGGATTTTATAGATTTCTCTTGGTATTATACTATAGAAACGGGTTTTACTGCTGCTTTGGGAGAAGCGCTGCTATTATTCAGCCACGTATTATGCAGTTATGCAGAGTATGAATCGACTGTTTGATTACTTGTTGTGCAAATAATTTAGGAGACTACCAGCCACACTAAGTATTCGCGTTCTAGGTACGCCGTTGTACGTAGCAAGAACCACTTAGCCACAGGGAATAGGTGTATAGTAGAAATCGACACCGCATAGCTAAGCCAAGAGAAAGCTGTGAAATGATTTCCCAGTCGGTATTGCCATGGACCAACCAGCCTTGCAAGCGTAACACCTACACCGTAGAGCAACGGGGGTTCATGCTGTAGGAACAGGGGTATTTATGCAGGCCATGAGAGCTGAAATGAAGGATTCAAGCTGAAGTCTACTTGGTGTGGCAAACCCAGTTGCTGTGCTGTTGGATGTAAGGAATTAATTAGGTTTTATATATACAAGTTATTTGTTATACTTTATCTATTCTAACTGTAAAATGTCATTCTCTGGCAGTTTGTATTGCGGAGATTATCATATTGTCGAGCTTGATACAGACCCAGATATCATATGTTTCTTTCCTGATGAGGGCTCCATGATGCCAAAATAGACTAACCACATCGCAGGCTGGGATAGGAGTGTCTATTCCACTAATGTCTTTATGCTTCATTCTCATTCTAATAGGTCTTTCTTGCTTTCCTGCTTTCAGCATGGCTCACTCTCCTTTTCGTCGCCTTGCCCTATCTCTTCATCGAAGCTTTCCCAGACAAGATCATGAACCGACTCGACCTGATGATCGTCCATCATTCCCGGAAACTCAAGAAATTCATCCGTTTCCCATATCCCACAAACCAGGCCAGGTTTCTTTCGACATCATCCAGCAGATTGTCCTGGCACTCAGTGATAATCACCGCGGATATCCTGTACTACCATGACATGCTTCTGGCTCAGTACGGTCTTTCAACGCAGTGTGTCTGGACCAATATTTCCTGGGATCATTATCCATCCAAATTAGCCTTCTGGCCTATCTTCTCCGTGGTCTTTGAAGTCTGGAGTCTCGTTTCTATTATCCGATGTCTGTGGCCGGACGCTTTCGACTCGTGCGCTCAACTCTTGACCTCGATCACGACCAAGCTCGCAACCCGGTTGAGCTTCCTATCGCTTAGAGATTGGTACTCCTAGTCAGCAGACAAAATGTCTCAAGTGAAATTACAAACCCTCCGCTTCACTTTATGGTGGTGCGTGGAGAAGCTAGCCTTCATCCCATTTCTGCTCTATATTACACTCCGCGAGATCGTGTCCTCGGACGAGTTGAATATATGGCTCAACTTTGCCGTACTCAGTAGCGTCACGAAAGAAATAGTTGATTTGAGAGAGTTTACGGTAGAATACTTGGGGGGTTGGGCAGATTCTGCCAACGTTGCTGCTGGCTCTGCTGTTGTTTCAAGTGCTTGAGATGCTTCGTGGTGTGTTTCATCCATCCTTGCGATTGAGAATAATTTAACTTACTTCGTCCAAAACAGATGCACAGAGACAAGAGAAGTCAACAGTACCCAGTCAAAATAGCGATACCGATATCCATTCCCAAGAATCCTCTACCATCAACACCCCCCGCAACGAGTCGATACCGAAATGGCTCGATCATCGATCCTCGCACAGCCCCCATCAACAAGCGACTCAGATTCTGATTCTGATTCGGGCTCGAGATCTGGAAAATCCTTATCGGAAGAGGATGGTTATGATGCACTGGAGGAACAACTGTATAGCTCGGTGCTTTCCCGTGTTTGGGTGGGGGTTTTGCTCCTGGGGGCTTATTCGGAACGTTATGGGGGGCTATTCAGAAGAGTATTGTTATTTGATTCCTGATTTTTTATTTTCTTTTTGTTTTGGTGTTTGGAGGGAGGATGGTTATATATATTGCTGTTGATATCTTGCATACACTTATTGTACAAAACATCTATACTCTTAATTGATGGTCATGGAATCGGGACTTGCTCTTTAATATGTGAGTATAGTTCACTCTAGTCTATATAAAGCTACATATCATTTACCGGCAAATTCATTCCCAGCTAGCATTGATCATATTCACTACTCTATGTCTGCATTTGGTGGAATGACTGAGATTTGCTTTATGTAACACAAAATTATCTCGCCTATCAAGCAATTGGGCTTGTGGTTTAGTGGTATAATACTCCCTTAGCATGGGAGTGGTCCGGGGTTCGATTCCCCGCGAGTCCATTTTTTTGTGTTTTTGTTTTTTTGTCTGGTGGAGAATGTTGCCGAGAGGATGTCGATTGTCGTCTTTTTCTGTTTTTAACAAGTGGAGAATTCAATTGATTCACTGTTTGCTCCCAGACAGATAGTATACATTTGGCATTGAGATGGGTATATATATGGTACATCGATCGGACATTGATCAAGTAGAAAGAAAGTGAATCGATATCTTAGCGCCATTCTATGCCCACCTTCCGAGCGACCTTTTCTGCGACGCCGAGGAAAGCATCGCGTCTAGCGCTGCGGTCGTCGCTTTCCTCCGACACAACAGTCGGCATGCCTCGGTCTGCATCTTCGCAGACTCTAGCGTCGAGGGGGATATCCCCGAGGAATTCAACGCCTAGTCGTTTACACTCGGCAACGACTCCCCAGTCCTCTGATGTATGCTGGTGATGTTCACCGTGCGAGAAGATCCGCGTTTGGTGACCGCACTGTGGACAGGCGAAGAAGGCCATGTTCCGTACCATGCCTAGTACCGGTACGTCCATGCGTTGAAACATGCCGAAGCCGCGAACTGCGTCTCGGAGAGCAATGTCCTGTGGTGTGGTTACGATCACAGCACCGTCCACAACAACCTCTTGGTTAATAGTGAGCTGCACGTCGCCGGTGCCTGGGGGAAGGTCAAGGAAGAGGACGTCGAGAGGCCCCCATGAAACCGAGTGGAGGAGTTGATGCATGGCCTTAGTGACCATCAGACCACGCCATGAGATTGGTGTTGTGTCCATAGGAATGTTGGATGAAGGTTGGGAAGGGTCGGCTACTGGTTGAGGGAGCAGGTAGCCCATGGACATAGATTTGAGACCATAATTGGTCATAGGGACAAGGCAGTTCTCTACAGCATCGGGTCAGTGATTATCTTATCATCTGAGATCGGAAATCTTACTATCATCGAGTCGGGGCTCGCCGGAGAGATTGAGAAGAGTTGGAATTGATGGCCCAAAGATATCGGTATCCAGGATTCCGGTCTTAATTCCACGACGGGCAAATGATAGAGCAAGGTTTACTGGATGAAGGTTAAGCGCAAAACACCAGCATGCTGCGTAAGACTACCCACCTGCAAGTGTAGATTTCCCCACACCACCCTTGGCAGAAGAAACTGCAATGACCTTTTTCACATCACGAATCTTGCGCTTCTCTGGCACTCCGCGACGGCTCTTGAATGAAGGCGGGGTGCCGGAGCGAGGAAGGCCCTAAAAAAGCCAATTCTTAGCAAAACCATCCGGAAGAAGCGATGGACAGAGACAAACCAGGGGATTTTCATGGTGAAGTGTCCTGAACGTTGAAAAGAACCTCTGCCGGATCATGGTGAGTTGATGTTGGCCAGAATGACGAACGACGAGGAAATAAAATGACCGAACGCTGTTGATTCTGCCGGTGATAAACCTCACCGCCTGCCACAACTTGCCCATGTGGGAGTGTTTCTCCGGTTCCGCATCCCGACTTTTCTGCCAAAAGATCGTCGCAAAAAAATATTGCCATCTTCAAACGCCTGAGATCTCCCACGTCAACGCCTCACAGGCCGGAAAAAAGAGGAAGATGGCACCCAAATCTCTGGCAGAGCAGATTGCTGAGCTCGACGACCCTACTCCCAAAGGTTTGTGCATTCCAATTGAACGAAACGCATTGTGTTAACTTTTTTTTCTTGATCAGATTTCGACCCCGAAGATTTGGAACGCGGACAGGGAAGTGACGACGACGACGCTTCGGAAGCGGATGCGAATGCTGGAAGGGAGCACTACCAAGCTGTAGGGTGAGTTTTATTTCCTTTTTCTAGGAAAGTAGTCTTATCCAATACTAACCTACAACAGCAAAGGAAAGCTTAGGAAACAAGATCCGATCAACCTTGGAAAGCAGTACGCAGGATCGCGTGTTAGCAGAGATGCTCTCGAGGCTGACAGCGACGACGACCCATTCAAACCACGCTCCGACGATGAGGATCAGGACGAGGACGATAGTGAGGATGATGAGGAGGGACTCGAATTAGGAAGCGATGAGGAGGACGATGATGAGGACGTCTCTGAGGAGGAAAGCGAGGAAGAAAAACCTAAGAAATCGAAGGTTGTCGCGAAGAAGGGAAAGAAGCAGCAACAGCAGGATGAGTCCGACGACATGGAAAGCGATGCCTCCGACGATATCGAAGGAGAGGACGACTCTGAAGATGACCTCGAGGGTGAAGAAGATGAGGACATGAGCGGCTTGTCTGATGAGGATGATGAGGATGACGACGAGGATGACTCTGAAGATGAAGAATCTGCGAAAGCCAAGCCCAGCAAGAATGCAAAGTCAGACGACCGAGACGAGTTGCGAAGGCTCATGGCCACCGATCAAAAGACAATTGCTGCCACAATCTCCCAGGCTGCTAGGGCTGATGCAGTGAAGGGTAAGGCAGTCAAACAACAACGTTCAACATTTGACGCTCTGCTCAACACCCGTATTAAGCTGCAGAAGGGCTTGACTGCCGTCAACCAGCTTTCTGTCGCAACCAAAGATGAGGAAGATGTCGATGGCGAAGCTATCAAATCAGCGGAATCGGCCGCTCTGGCTCTTTGGTCTACACTCGAGGGCTTGCGTCTCGCTCTGGCGGATGCCCAGTCTACAGACGAATCCAAGAAACGCAAGCGACCATCCCCCGTATCGCCATCCACATCCTCGGCATCTTTGTGGAAGCGCATGACAGACCTCGAGTCTGAGTCTGTCGCTCACCGTCGTGCCGTCCTCGACAAATGGTCTCTCAAGGTCCGCGGTTCCAACGCTACCCTCCCCAACGCTCGCGGAAAACTCCTCGGCTCTGGCTCTAGCAGCCAGCAAACTATCACCGCTGTCCTTGATGCGCAAGTCGCAACCGAGACCAGCGAGCGGGCAGCGAAACGGGCACGCAGCGCATCTTCTGACGGCCAGGAGCCAATCTACGATGACACCGTCTTTTACCAGTCGCTGCTGCGCGAGCTGGTCGAGCAACGCATGTCTTCTTCCGATGCCATCACCAACGGTCTCGACACCATGAATCTCCAACTGCCTTCTCGTCTCTCCGTGCACCCCGTCACCGGCATGCGCAACGACAAGGTCAAGAGAAACATCGACACTCGTGCCTCCAAGGGCCGCAAGATGCGATTCGATGTTCACGAGAAGCTGCAGAACTTCATGGCCCCCGAGGATCGAGGATCATGGACCAGCCGTGCCCGCGAAGAATTTTTTGCGTCGCTGCTGGGCAAGACTGCGAGTGGTATGCTGGGAGAAGGCAACGATGACGATGATGCCAGTGGTGTGGAGAGTGATGATGACCGTGAAGAGGGTGGACTGAGACTTTTCCGGAGCTGAGTATACTGTACATATAAAAACGTTTTACATATAAAAGGGATTGGATTAGATCAAAAGCATTGTTTGATTTGCATTTCATCTTCTTTGACTTCACCAGAAACCCAATAGTTGATAACGATAACCGTTTCGTCATGGCTATCAGCATTATCTGAAACACCAACCATGATAAATCCTTTCGCTAAAACAGCCCCATTCAAAATATCGCAATGCAAAAAAACGAGGCTATGTATATAAAAATAAAGCCCCGAGCCCACCCAAAGCGCCACTAAACTCCCAGTTGAAATGTATGTATGTACAATTTGCGCCCCCAAGTCGCACAGCCATGGCACTAAACGCCCCCTATTTCTCACTTGCAGGTGAATACTTCGGCAACGGCGCACCTTGGCATGGCGTTGCCCATGCGAAATCGCTTGTGCGAGGAAGACCCATCATTTTTTCGTGAACTGCGCGCTCCAACGATGACTGTCTGTCCTTTTCTTCTTGTGGAGATAGGAATCGCGGAAGACCGTTCCAGTCGACGACGACGGCGCCGCTCACATCATTATAGTATGGCAGAGAGGAGGTAGAGGTGTTGAGGTCATCGGATTTTTCCTTGGGAGCAGCCATGTCTGTTTCGACTTGGGACGTTGGGATTTGTTCTTTGTTTGAGGGTGCGAGGTGGGCGAGACTGACTGGTGGGTTGACGTCCTGCCAGAGGAAGGCGTTTTCGTCGGGGTCGATTTCGGAGGTTGGTTGTGAAGATTGAATACATTGCTGTTTTTCGTCGCTGGATAGTTGGTTGTTGTTATCGCATGCGGATAATGGTAGTTTTGTGTCTGCCGGATACGAAGTATCGATGGTTTCGCAAGGAGAGTAGCCGAATAGCCAGGGGAAAAATGAGAATGTCATGTTGGCGGTTGATTTGTCACTTGAGTAAGTGAATGTGAGAGGATATGGTGTTGTGTAGAAAGAGCCAAAGTTGTTGACTATTTTGGCGTTGAGGAATGCAAAGGTATTTGTCGCAGATGCCTGGGTTGTAGGGATGCAGACTGGCAAGCAGCAGACAGAAGAAAGATGAGAAAGAAAAAAAGACGATCGAAGAGGCTGAGATGGTGACGATATAAGTAGTAGGATCAGCAGAGTGAATGCCAAATCGTAGCACAGCACTATAGGTGGATAGCGACGATCAATAAATATGCAAATTGTCAGCCAAGCCAATTTCCAGTCCAAGAACATCCAAGGAAACATGCAATGGAGTCATGGACCCCCAGTTTTCCGGCCCCAAATAAGACAGGCCACATGGTTGCATGTAGTTCTCCAGCTCTCGTGAGCTCTTATTGTAGTACACTTTGATCTTAAAGCAGACTAGCGAGGATGCAATAATAATGCCTCATCATCGCATGATCACCATGGCGTAACGAAATGTAGGCATTCTCGGTGGTTTTGGGCAAAGAATGCGGAGAACCCCGCAAATTGCTGCAGGCATGCAATAGTGAGCTCTTTGTTGGCATGCTCAATCAATTCATGATTCGATGTTTATTTTTGCCAGTATTTTTCTTGGTATACCGAAGAGCTTTTGGACTCTGGAGGCTTGACCCCTAAGAGCTCTTTTCACATGTTGTCTCCACCTCTGGGGAAGGAGCGTCAGGGACCACGGCTCTGTGGGGATACTTCTGGGTAAATTCCATGGCAAAACTATGATGACGGTGGGCAGATAAATAAACATGAATATGTAGCAGCCCTTTGGGATCCATTGAGCTTGGAAGCTGAAGGCTTTGACTTGGAATGAGATCTCGAGATCTTGTTGCCTGCTTCCATAATGAGCATCTGCAATATGATCGAAGATCGCATTCAGGGAGTGACAGTGTTACACCGATTGCTGATGACGCTGTCGGTTGTCCCCGGCCGCGCGGCTGCCCCCACCGAGTCCGTTTTGCGGCTTGCAGTTGGGCTCGAAGAATAAAGATCAAGGAGTAGGAAATAAAGCAGCATATTAGTTAGCTAGTTATTGCGATGGTAAATGCTGTAAGTTTTGCCATTAAGCCAGGGTCATCCCCTAGTGTTTGAATAGCCTTTGTTAGTGATGCTTTATGGCTTCGGGCTTCAAGGCCTCGACTTGAGCCGGACTCCAACCATTTCTTAGATTCTGCTTGTTTTTTCAAAATATAAAAGCAGTGTTGCTTTGACCAAAATATGGACCAGCGATGCATGACTTGGCTGGTGAGTACATATTGACCATCATAGTCAGATGTACCCCATACTGTAGACTGAGAATGATGATCGTCGGTGGCGGAATCGTGGACCGTGGAATTAATATAGGACCCCCGCTCAGGCGCCCAGGAACACATTATTGCAGTCCCTGGTTCTTCGTCAGAGCTGAGAACTATTCACCAAATTAAATGACGTAACAATTGTCGTTTCTGTATACCGAAATGCATAGTCAAAAATGATAATGTCCAAATCCCATTCAATCATCAGAATTCTCTTCTTGCCATTGATCCCTCAATGACTGGATCAATTGTTTCATGTTCCAACCGGTTGTCGTTTCCATGTCCTTCAAAAGATCCTCTGCAGCTTCTTGGTCTAATTTATGACGAAGAACCCAACCCCCTGGGATTGTTAGCCGAACATCAGTGACTGATTTAGTATGCGAGAGTGTCTGATACTCACAAGCCACTAGACTATGCCGCGCAGTAAAGAGTGTGTTCTCGGCCTTGGTATTGGATTTTGCCAGACCAAGGACAGTAAGTAAATGATTTCGCACGGTTTTCTAATGTCTGTTAGCCATGGTCCACCAATCCCGTTGAAATGATGCAGACAAACCTCAATATTCCGCGAATGCCGAAAGTTTTCATACGCGGGCAAAGAACTTGGGCGACTAGAGAATGCAAGTACGATCTTTGCGAGGTGGTAATACTGGAGGCCAACGACTACCGAATAGATACCAGTCAGAATCTTGAATAACACCAAGCGATTGGGATGAACTTACCGTGAACAGACAACAGCATCCAGATACTGGGAAATCGCATCTGCCTCTCTTGACTGCGTGGTACGAATCGAATCGGATTAAATGTCCGTGGTTTAGTGATGTTCCAATTCTCGACTTCGCCTTCGATCCCCCGCAGCACGTTCCGTTGCGCCGTAGATGACTCATGGCTGAAAGCGCATTTAAGTACCTTGGCAAGTAGGAAGACCATTCTACTCGCCCATGCAAAATCGTCGTTTCTCTGAAACACGTCGGAGCTGTCAAAGCTCTGCAAATCGGTTCGGAGTGGCTTTTGTGAAGTAAGTGATATATAGATGTCTTGTCGAAGACACAGCCAGGCTGCTGCTTCTCCTAAGCCCCCTGACGATCCAAAGGATGATACTGTGTTTAATATACGAGTTGTTCCCGTCAAATGGAACTGATTATCTTCGCCTAAGGAAAGTCAGATCGAGATTTTAAAAATCAGACTTTGTGATAACATACAGTCCATTTCTTCATGTTGGCGGAGTATTGCAACAGCAGCTAGGATGACCTCGGTGATATCATCCCTGACACCAGAAAGGACTGGAATCAAAAGTTGAAGGCAATGATTGTGGTATTGCAATGCCTCTGCTGTCTCACTGTTTTCTTGTCTATCGATATGTCGCGACGAGAACGCAAAGATAGCAAAACGCAGTACGGGCTCATCGACAGCCCTCATCGGAACCTCGACTTCAAAATGTCGTTGGGGGTCCGTTATGTCGGCCTTTTGGATTGTCAAAAAAAAGCACGGATAAGACTTTGAACTCTAGCTTACCCACAAGGCCATATTCTCAACAAAATTTCGCATAAGAATAGCTTCTCTTTCACTGAGAGAAAAGGGTTGTGATTGAGGGGAGGGGGCATCTTTCCATGACCTGTTTAATGATAGATGGCCAGGTGGGCTGGGAAAAACCCCCGAGTCCAAGGAAAGCTCCGATTCCTGGAAGGGAGAGACGCCATCACATGCTGTTAAGTCAGTTGTTATACATCAGTAAAAGCAAAAGCGTCCAGCAGCATACAAGATGGAAGTAGAATTGAGTTGTGAGGAGATGGTCGATTCTCCTGCAACGCTTGCTCCAAATAAAACGATGCCTCTTTGGAGTCGCGTGATATTTCTAACGCTGTACCAGCATTGGCATCATAGGAGCAATCTGCAGAATGCTCCAAAGACTCTTGCTCTTCGTCAATAGTGTAATACCTCTTAACTTCTATAGTCTCGTCGTAAAAGTGAACTTTGTACATGAGTTAGTGCCCATCCTGATCCTGTACGACTATAAATGCTTACTTGACCCAGTCGGATGTGGCCAAAATTTCCTTTCAGGAAATGCAACATCATGATCTTTGGGAAGATCAATTCCCTCACGAAATCGAACATTGACGCTTCTAAAGCATTGAACCTGAGCTTGGTTGCAATGATAGCATGTTGGGGTTTCCGTGTCGCCTGAAAGGCCCTGTGAGATTGAATCCGATTCCGTTGTGGGCATACGTACACTTGAGATGGCGGACTATAAGAAACAACAAGTCAGCGTCTTCTATCTGGTGGCAATTCCTGGGTAGTCATTTGAAGCTTTGACCTGCTCTGTTGCACTGGCTTACCTCTACACCTGTGACTTTTGGCTAATTAGCGCTGACTAGGGTTAGGATGTAGAAGCAATAGTACTCACCAACCAGCAATCAACCGACTTCTCCTCCTTGTAAATGTAGACATTGAACTGCATATCCCACCAGTTGTGAGGAGTGAGAACGGAGAGAGTTGCCAGGGCAGAGACTGGTCTGTGAGGCTCGGCGAATCAACCCCACGGGAACTTCCCCGCCTACAGCTCTATGCGGGGGAAGCTGTTTCGAATGGATGTTCTCGACGGTGGCGATCTCCCCTCAACGCTGTAAATATCGTCAGCGTGAATCTATTTGTGTGGGAAGATCATTCTTGCAACAGAAAGGAACAATTGCATCTTGGATGAGGCAGAGGGCAAGCAAAACGTCGCCAATCTGGAGGTCACCTGCCAGGGCCCTCTCCACATCGACAGCCAATCACCGCAGTGAATGGAGACCAACACAGAACAGCAAGTCTTTCCGTTTTTCTGGGCGTTTTCGAGTTTCTCCTTCGACCTCGACTGGAAACTCTTTCCGTCTTTCTATCCACCTGCATCTCTGTACGAGACTACGAACACCTGGAACCAGCTCGACAGACTCTGGTAAGAGTGGAATTCGGCCCACAGATAGACAACATGGCGCATCGCAGATGGAGATTCTTGCCTTCTCTCGAGAAACACAGAAAACTTCAACTTTGGAAAGCCAACTTGCAGACAATGTCCCTCAAACCCCGCAGACCTCGAGGTTATAAAGCTCTCGAGAAACCCTTCAGCATTGCTTCTCCAGATTCATTCAGATCCATTCAAGCTGAAGTCTTCTACTGGGATCTTTGAGACCTAATTGACTTCTTTCTTCACTGTCCTTTTCTACTTGTCTTTTATTGTTCAATTAACAACCGAATCACCTCCAAAATGATCCAGAAACTCAACGTTGGTATGGCCGGCTTGGGCCGTGTGGGAAAATTCCATGCCTTGAATTTCCTTGAGCGTACTCCCCGTGCTGAGCTGGTGGCTGCCTTTACTCCCGACCCTGCTGAGATTGCCTGGGGCCAACAGCACCTGGCGCCCTACGGTGTTACCTTGTATGATAACTATGATAAGATGCTTGAGCACCCGGGCTTGATGGCTGTTGCCATTGGAACTGCAACTTCAGTGCACGCTGAGCAAGCCATTAAAGCCATGGACCACAATCTGCATGTTCTCTGCGAGAAGCCCTTGTCAGTTGATATCGAAGTGGTATGTTGAAACTGTCTCTACCGCAGGCTACATCCATTTACTAACTGCAACCTCTAGTGCAAAGCTGTGGTCCAGAAAGCAAAGACCAAGCCCCATCTGAAGGTTATGTGCGGTTTCTCTCGACGATTCGACGAATCATACCGTGACGCCGCCGACAAGATCACCCAAGGTTTCATTGGACGTCCCTCAATCATTCGAAGCCAGACCTGTGACAAGTTCGACCCCTCGGGCTTCTACGTTGAATATGCTGCGTGGTCTGGGGGTGTTTTCGTCGACATGGCCGTGCACGACATCGACCTCACCTTGTGGTTTTTTGGCGATGACTCTGTCCCCAAGAGTATCTCCGCCCACGGTATTACAGCTGTCCAGCCCGAGCTGAAGAAGTACAATGACTACGACAACGCCGTTGGAGTCGTCGAGTTCCATAATGGCAAGATCGCCTACTACTACTGCTCTCGCATGATGGCACACGGCCAAGAAGACACGACCGAAATCATTGGAACCGAAGGAAAGTTGACCGTTAACGGCAACCCTCAGAAGAACCTGGTCAACCTCTACTCAAATGCTGGTATCACCCGCGAAGTTCCTCCAAACTTCATGGGTCGGTTTGGTCCCGCTTTCGTGCGGGAAGCGAACGAGTTCACCGCTGCATGCTTGGACAACACACCGCTGCCTATGAAGCTGAGCAATGCGGTCAAGGCCGTTGAGATTGGTGCATACATCCAAGAATCGTTGGTTACTGGAAAGCAGATCCACTTTGACGAAATTGGCAGAAGAGTGCAGAAGGCTCAGCTGTAAGAATAATACTGATGTTTATGAAAAGTCTTTTGTTAGAAAGAGGCTACAATGGTCTTTTACGATTTGCTAGATGATATGTTTTTCCCAATCTATACAAACTTTCACATTTCAATTTTCCTCATAAAGACCCCCGTAGCCTAACCGACTTCTCCTCCCTCCAAACCTCATCAATCTCCTTCTCAGCATCATACCCATAACACCACATCTGCGTCGCCGGATCACTCCATTGGTTCGGACTATGAGAAAATGGAACCCCCTTCGTCTCCGGCACCAAAGCAGCATCCCGAGCCTGCTGCAAAGGTCCATCGGGAAAATGCCATAGTGTCCCATTCAACAAACTTGCTTCTTGCATTTTATTCGCTCGCGCTATTCGGACTTTTTCGAAGATTGATAGTGCTTTGCTGATTTCTGCGGATGAGGTGATGTGGGAAAGAGATTGGGCTAGAGCTACGCCGTCTTCGACTGCCATTGCGGCGCCTATCGTGTTTTAGTATATTTTCTGGAATGTAGAATATAGATATTGTTGTAGATGAACATACCTTGAGACATATAAGGAAGCATCGCATGAGCAGCATCACCGAGAACAACGACTCGTCCCGAAACCCAGCGAGAAAGAGGAGATCCACTGAGAAGAGGCCATTTAAGGGTCTTTTCAACGAGACTGATGATTTTTGTGAGTCTGTTATGTTTGTTAACTTCACGTAACGAACAAAGTAGGTAGTAGTAGATGTGGTATACCTTGGATCCCACCCCTGGAACTCCTTCACCATGTCTCGTAAAGCGGATGTTTGATCCCAGGTTGAAGGGTCTGTCGTGTCTGGATGGGAGAGAACCATGTTGAATGATTTGCCTCCTCCGATTATGTATGTCATGACATGTCGTCCGTCTCCGATCCTAGGGTAGAGTGTTAGTTGAGTTCTATTCACGGCATGAGATGGATGGTTCTAACCAGATGTTTAGATTCGGTTTCTCCAGTAGCCAGGATATCTTTGGGTCGTTTCTTATGCGGTTTACGTCGACGGTTGCCCTGTATGCGGCGAAACCGGGTTTCTCGAATGGCTTTTCGATGTCTCGCAGGAGGATCCTTCTAGCAGGTGATTTTATTCCTGTAGATTCTGAATTAGCAGCTGCTACTGATATAATTTAAGAATGACAAACCATCAGCAGCAACAACAAGATCAGCAGTAAAGACAGACGCATCCTCAAGTCTCACACTGGGTCGTTCAGAATCATAATCAACCACATTCGACGCCAACTTAACGGTAACGCCCAAATCCAACGCCCGTTGATACAGCGCCGCCAGAAAATCTGCACGATGGACAACATAGTACGGCCCATTGAAGATTTCTCGAAAACTCGGAATCAGCTGTGTAAGTCCGATCACTTTACCATTTTTCCAGCGTCGGAATTTGATGGATTCTGGCTCTGTGACATGTTTCTCTAGATAGGGAGTTAGGCCGAGTTTGTGTAGGAGGCGGGATGAGTTGGAGGGGATTTGAATTCCTGCGCCGACCTGGATTGGGTGTCTGTTAGCTTCTGTATATTTTAATATCATTGTTTGGAGTCATACTTCGCCTAGTGTTGCTGTCTGTTCAAACACAGTCACTTTGTGGCCGTGGCTTGCGAGGGCAATTGCCGTTGCCAGACCTCCAAGTCCTGCTCCGACTACGATGATGTCCAAGCGAATCGTCGCGTGATATGATGCTTGATCTTGATGGAAGGATTTCAAAAAGTGCAAGCAGTGGCTTGGGTATGTTGGCTCCTGTAAAGTATTTAATAGATGTTTTGATAACAATCTAGACAACTGACCTTTAGGAATGAGGTTTCTCGACGCGGGGCTTCAGCCTCGTGATCCTTTGTGATTGCCATAGCGACTTTCTTGCTTGTATCCCTGACTATATTATTTTGATCTGAAACAGGAATCCACCGTGGGGATTATATGAACACTGAAGATGATGCATACAATGTACAGTCTTGAAAGAGATTCCGTTCCAGCCCCGTGTTGGAGAGAGATGAGGGGTGTTCCGCTCTATCCCCGGACGATCCCTACAGGCGAGGATACTAGAAATGTGTACTGGCTATATTTATATGGCCTGAAGGACAGTGGATATTTTGATGATACCAGCCAGAGGATTAGCATAAACTATGTCCAACATGACCATCGAAGAAAAAGCCATCAACGAAATTGACATGCAGGAGAAACTGCTCGAAGATCTGGAAAAAAGCAAAACTCTCCCATTATGGATGCAGATGGCTCGATTGAATCCACCAGAGCCCAATCCTACTACAGTCCCTTTTGTCTGGTCATACAAGTCTATTCGACCTAATCTGCTTCGAGCTGGGAAACTTGTCACAGAGAAACAGGCTGAACGAAGAGTATTGATGCTGATCAATCCAGCTCGAGGTGATTTTATCTCTCCATCATACACATACAGACATATGCAGACTGATATATGGCAGATGCACCGTATACAACAGACACACTGTATGCAGGCCTACAGCTTGTCATGCCAAACGAAACAGCCCCAGCCCATCGCCATACCGCATTCGCCATGCGCTTTATTATAGAAGGGCATGGAGGCTTCACGGCAGTCCATGGAAAGCGGATTCAAATGCAGCGAGGCGATGTCATCCTAACGCCAACATGGAATTACCATGACCATGGCAAAGACGGTTCCGGGCCGATGATATGGCTGGATGGACTGGATCTTCCCAATTTTCGACACTTTCCTGTGCATTTTGTCGAGCATTTCAATCAGCCTCGATATCCTGCTGAAAATGTTGATAGCGAGACTTCGCCCATTGTCTTTTCGTGGTCAAAAATGAAGGATCAACTTGACAGCGTGGATGGGGACTGGGCTTCGCAACGCTATCTCCGATCTGATGGTCGTGAAGGTATAGTCTCATCTACAGAATAAGCTATCTAGTAATACTGACTGACCCGATAGTGAGTCGAATCCTGGGTGGTTGTGCCGAAAGACTCAATGAGGGCAGCTCCTCACCATCTCGTCGCGAAACCACTTCTGCCGTATACCACGTCATCACTGGCAGTGGTTACTCAATAATTGGAGAACAGAAGCTTGTCTGGGAGAAAGGAGACACGTTCTGTATCCCATCTTGGTATAAATACCAGCACTTTGGAGACTCGGGGGAGACGGTTTACCTATATCGTTTTGATGATAAGCCGATGATTGATGCTCTGGGGTTTTATCGATCAGAGGATACAGATGTGGAGGCTCTTGTAGAGAATTAGCTATGATTTTTAAGTGGCTATATCTCTTTGTTAAATTTCACTTTCGTCTTTTTCTATCCAGTATATATGCCTGAAAAGCAAGGCATAAAAGACATCCCGACGACTCCCCGATCTTCCCGGCCAACACCCGATCCCAAGTTTCCTTCTTCCTTTTTCCAACTTTCCCCCGAACAAGACCAGAACATTGACATATTCTATCGCTGAGATGGAGAATTCAGCTGTCAATAATAATTCCCCACAGGGAGCACCGGCGACTAAACGACGTCGCGTAGCCCTAGCCTGCGATTCATGCAGAACGCGAAAGTCGCGGGTATTCACACCCTTTCCTTCATCTTGTCAGTCGTTCTTTTAGTTTTTGGCTAACACCAACCAGTGTGATGGCATTCGACCTAAATGCTCCTTGTGTAATGATTTGGGCTTTGACTGTGTATATACGCCACCCACGACTTCCACAAACGTCATCGTTCAGAAGGAGTGGGTTGTCCTATCCAACCTGTTAGGTTTTATAGTTTTGGACTAACGGTTCTAGCTATATACACGGTCTTGAGGGAAGGGTGAAGATTCTTGAGGACTCACTATCTACGGTGAAGAATGATCTCAATGGACTGGCATCTCATGTCCGTGGGCTCGGATCCCAAAGTCGAACAAATGAGGAAGCTCCAAGGCCAGAGACAATGCCAGGGCTGGCAGGCACAGATGATTCTGTGGATGCCATGGGGACAATATCATTTGCTAAAGAAGAGGACTCTGGATTCTTTGGTATTGATTTCTCGTGGACGATCCGAACCCGTTGGTATTAACAGTTCTCAGGTCCCTCGTCGAACATTGTGTTTATACGACATCTCTGTCGGGCAATAGCCCGTGTAAAAGATTTAAGGGGCGAGATGCCATCGCCTTTAGGGGATAAAGGCCTCTACGAAGGAGGTTTTGTGAATGCCTCGCGACCTCCAACCCCGGCAACACAACAGACTAGTCGAGCCACCAGTTCAGATCGAACCAACATCTTTGCTCTGCCCCATCAGAGCGAAACCTGGGAGCTCATTCAGAGGTACTTCGCAGATACTGGACTTCTTTTCCCTTATATTTACCCACCTACGTTTCTTGATACGTACAATCAGATGATACGTGACAATTCTACAAAGGTACGCCGGACGTGGCTTGGCTTGTTGAATATGGTACTAGCCATGGCCACAATAACGACTGTCCCCGGTGATACACAAGCAAGTGCTCGAATTAAGGAGTCCGATATATTTTACCAACGTGCTTTAAACCTTTGTGGGAATGAGATTCTGCGAGGGACATCTGTTGAATACGGTATGCTTTGTCATTTGACCACAAGAATAAAGAATCATATCTAACTTCTCATAGTACAGTACCTCCTTCTCATGGGTCAGTATCTTCAAAGTACCCAGAAGTCAGTTCAGGCATGGACTGTCCATGGATTGGCTGCTAAAGCTGCTCTTCAACTTGGATTGCATTCTAGAGAAGCATCTAAAGCTTTCGACGCATTGGAGCGAGAAACTAGAAAGCGGACATGGTACGGCTGTGTCATTTTGGATAGGTGAGATGCAGTTTCCCTCTAATGCTTGTCCCCGACTAATAAAATACAGAACATTAAGCATGACATTTGGTCGGCCGTCTGTGATTCCAGATAACTATGTGAGACTTGAACTACCTGCAAACCACGGGAATCTCGATACATCGGCAATCATGGATAATGAAACTACGGATCTTAGTGTTTCGTTTTTCAACTCAACCATGTAAGTAAGCACTGGGATATTTAAATACAAAAGGCTTACCAGACAAGAACCTTGTACAAACAGATGTGGAACATCTTGGAACTCTTATATGGTCAAAATCTTGGATGCGATACACCGTTAACTGTTAGCGAGGCAGTTTCCCATGTTTTTACAATGGAACAAAACCTATTTAGTTGGGAGAAAACACTTCCAGAGATGTTGCGACCCACAAGCTCTGCAAGGCTGAAGGAGGCAGCCCATAACGATCCGAAATCGAATCTGGAATTTTTTTCTTGGAAATTCCGGGTGATACTGACTCTTAGGTATTTGAATGTTCGCATTCTGTTGCATCGGCCAATACTCGTGAAATTCATAGATACCTGTGGTAGCTCTGATCGCGATACTGATGAACTGAAGTTACTACAGCAAATTGGGATGAACAGCATGCAGATCTGTACAAATTGCGCCATGGAACTAATCGATCTTGTTCATACTTTTATGTCTGACTCTGGCTGGCAAAGGAATCTTCAAGGAGCTTGGTGGTTTACGCTATATTACAGTATGTCTTTCGCTGTTCTTGACCTAATTATTGAATACGCACTGATGTCTTGAAACCTAGCCTTTAACGCCTCTTTGGTCATCCTTGGAACACTCTGGGCCTGCAGAGATGAAAGTGTAGTAGGCTCTTCAACTAGCACTTTGGTCAGCAATGCCAAAATTTATCCATACCATGCCATTTCTGCTCTTCTGAAAATGGGTACCGGGAACCGGATGATAGACCGTTGTCGAATATATCTTGAACGGTTCAACTGCGCTTTGAACCCACCTGGTCAGTGATGCCTCTCATTCCAGAAGTGATGTTAGCTTCGAATACCGGAATAGCCTTAAACAGGCTAATCAACCAACAGACACAGATGGCACCACTCCGGGAGCTTCTCGTGCTACAGACGTTCCCATAGCGAGTGAATTCGATTTCTCGCCCCTTGGAATGGAGTTTGGGGAGTTTATGATGGATGGGGATCTGCTCACATTGCTGAATAGGCCTGGACTTTTGACGACTGATACCTCTTTTCTCCACCGATGAGACCACTAGCAATTTAACGTATCTAGGGGTAAAACTAGCCGAAATTCTCGGTTATTCAAATTGCTGGGATTCATTTCGCCAATATACAAGGTTCGGAACTAGTTGATCACCGCTCGGATCTAGATAGAGACCGTGGGTAACGGTGCCGACCCTTCCCCGGAGCCATCAAAAACCGCGTCATAGTGGAGAGCATTTATTTAGTCTGCCCACTCTACAGACTAAATTTTGGACGATTGCCCAGAATTAGCTGGGATTTCGGTCTGGAGATAAGTGCCTTCCGCTTAATAAGAGGAATCTATAAAAGTATAAGTTGACTGAAGTAGACCATCATCCTATACTATATTGCTGGTTCTCACAACTCGAAAATATCCCCGACAAGATGGCCACCGCAGACGAACTACATGTTGGGAAACACTTCCCCAACCGTCCCCAATTCTCAGGCTTCATGAAGCCATGTCGCTTTGAGGCCGAAGTTCAAAACCTGGAGGTTTACGGTGAAATCCCCCAAGATATCGATGGCACGTTCTACCGCGTGATGCCAGATCCGCAACTGCCACCTTTTTTCGAGAATGATCCGGTAAGAATTGGCTTGAATTCCTACATGGCCTTATGGTATGACTGAAAGAATCAAGTGGTTTAATGGAGATGGGAACATCAGCGCTTTTCGGATTAAGAATGGATCTGTTTCCTTCCAGCAACGATATGTGCAGACGGAGAAGTTTACTCGGGAACGAGAGGCGCAGAGATCCTTGATTGGTGTTTTACAGAAAACCACCTTGTTTGGTTCAGATCCAACCATTGACATTGCTGTTTAGGCAAATATCGAAACAAATTCACCGACGCAGTCGAGTTCAAAGTCCGCAGCACCGCAAATACAAACGTGGTTTACTTCAACGGCCAGCTTTTGGCATTAAAGGAAGACTCTCCTCCTTATGCCCTAGATCCACAGACTCTAGAGACGAAGGGGCTGCATACGTTTGACGGACAGCTTCCGAGCCTAACTTTTACTGCTCATCCAAAATTCGACCCCGATACGGGAGAGATGATTTGTTTCGGCTATGAAGCTAAAGGAGATGGGACTCCGGATGTTTGCTATTATACTGTGAGTCCGAAGGGAGAATTTACGCAGGTGGTTTGGTTGGTTGCGCCTGTTGTAGCTATGATTCATGATTTTGCTGTCACAGAGAACTGGGTAAGTGGCAGCGTATATTCTTCATAGGGGTTTGTTCTAATATCTCAAAGGTTCTGTTCCCTTTGATCCCGCAGTTATGTGATATCGAGCGAATGAAGAAGGGTGGAGAGCATTGGGAATGGAGTCCAAGTACTCCGTTCTATATTGGCGTTATACCCAGATATGGTGCGAAAGCATCTGATGTTAAAGTGAGTCTCTTCAGATAAGAAACCGAAATATTCCTAATTAACATCTCCTTTAGTGGTTCTCCTATCAAAACTCCTTCCCAGGACACACAGCAAACGCATACGAGAACGCAGATGGCCAAATCACGTTTGACCTTGGACTTAGCAACACGAACGTCTTTTACTGGTGGCCCGACTCTGAAGGAAATGCCCCGGAACCCAGTCAGATACACTCACAACTGACTCGATTCGTCTTCGACCCCAAATCCAACGACCTCAATCTTCTACGACCACAAGTCTTACAGAACGGCAACACGGAATTCTACCGAATCGACGACCGCTTCGCCACAAAACCACACAAGCACTGCTTCTTCGACCTCATGGACCCAACCCTGGGAACGGACTTCCAAGCCATCGGCCCCGTCATGGGAGGAGGCTATCCTCCATACAACGCACTGGCACACTACGATATTAGCACAGATGAAACAGCAGTGTACTTCCCCGGAAAGCAGCACTTTGTGCAGGAGCCTGTTTTTATCCCTCGGGCTGGATCTACGGAAGAGGGGGATGGGTATGTGATGGCTTTGGTTAACAATTATGCAACGCTTTTTAGCGAGTTGCATCTCTTGGATGCGAGGGATTTCGGTAAGGCATTGGCGGTTATATTGTTGCCGTTGAGACTTAGACCGGGGCTTCATGGGAATTGGGTGGATAGTCGTGATATGGAGGGGTGCTGATTCGGGGATTAGATTATCAGAGCGCTTTTGAGTCTAGAAATTCCTTGTCGTTTTTTATAATTTTAAATCATCGTGAAGATCTTGAACGGTGGATTATTCCATCCGTGATTCTCAAATGTACCGGGGAAACGAACCCGGTCTCTCCCCGAGCAATATCCCAGCTACCGTATATTACTCTCACCCACCATATCAACAAGTAACATGCAATCCTTTCCAAACAATATTCGAAGTCAAGATGACCCTCCCCTGGAAACGCCTTATTCGATTCATCACCACCGATGGCCGTACTCTCCGCGGTGAACCCATCGCCCCCGACGACCTCGATCTGGGTTTCATCACAGAAGCAGACCAACTCCAAGCCAGAGTCATTTCCGGAGATGAAATCTACGACATGACCGGTAGAACCAGCGTGACTGATGAAATTGTCACCGTCAAGACGCTTCTAGGACCGCTAGCTAGAGAGGAAGTCCCGATTCTTCGATGTGTTGGGTTGAATTATGCCAAACATAGTGAGATGTCTAGATTCGTCTTTGAATACATAGGATGGCTGATGGTGAATAAAGTCCGGGAAGCTGGTCGAACGCCGCCTCCATTCCCGTTTATCTTTTTCAAACCGAATACTACGATTCATGATCATGGGGTGCCTGTGGTTATACCGAAGATTGCACAGGACGAGCAGGCGGATTATGAGGGGGAATTGGTAACCTTTCCCTCCCATTTCACATCATATATGTGTGATATTAAGAGCATCAGTGCCTCATAATCGGCAAAGACGCCAAAAACATTCCCACCGAAACCGCCCTCGATTACATCGCCGCATACACAATCGGCAACGACATCTCGTCTCGAAAACTGCAACGAGATCCCGCACTCGCCGGCCGTGTCCCGCAATGGGGATTCTCCAAGGGCTTCGACACATACGCACCGCTGGGACCGTGTTTGGTTGCCGCTTCTGAGATAGCAGATCCGAAACAATTGCAGCTTCGCACCGTCGTTGATGGGGAGGTGAGGCAGGAAGAGAGCGTTTCGGATTTGCTGTTTGACTGTGCGTATCTGGTTTCGTATTTGTCGCAGGGGACGACGTTGCAGAAGGGGAGTGTGATTATGACGGGAACTCCTGGGGGTGAGAACTATATCTTTTTCTTGTATAGCTGTTTGGGTGAAGCTGACTTTCATGTTTTCAGGTGTTGGTGCTGGGCTTCAACCGCCTAGGTATCTTGTTCCGGGTACGCAGATGGATGTTTTCATCTCGCAGATTGGGACGCTTCGGAATAATGTCATTTTCGAGTAGATGCAAATGTCATAAACGTGCTATTCTCACGTGGCGGAGAATATCTTGGTGTTTTGTATACAACAGTGTTAGAGGGATTGTTGAAGATGTAGTGTTGTGAGTAGTGGATAATTTCCACCTACCATATTTTCTCCATGGCTAGACCATTGCAGTTAAAAATGAAATCACCAATATGAGAGATCAGATAATTAATGCCGTGATGCATTCTCGTGGCTGTTGAACGTGTTTCTCTTAACCCCGCATTCCGTCCTCCTTGGCATTGACGGCTCTCCATCTCCAATTCTCTCTCCCTCTTCTATTTCCATCCACAATTCATTTATCATGAGTATTTCATCGTTATTTATTTCGATATATTAATGATGACCCTGAGATCATCCTACTGACTCAGTTGTCTTATCCCCTCCACAGGGATGATCGTGGGCAATCCTGGCTTGACGCGCGGCCGACTGCCATGACGACATGGGCGGGTGCGATGGACAGGATCGCCGTTGCCAGGCAGGGGTTTTCTCCACGTCTGCTTCACGTTCGACCTCCATTTAACATGGCCAGCCCTGGCTGCTCTGATTGTGTCTCTGGCAAGGCGCGGGGTCTTCCTGGATTGTTCTCCTAACTCTTTCTTCACCTGATGAACTGCTTATTCTGAGGTTGAAGTCAACCCCGACTCGACTTTTGATCCAAAATGATTCTTAAATTCGGGGATTCAGGTAATTCCCTGGGACTGGGCTCCCTTTGCACGATGGTGCTCTCTTTATTCGCTGGCGAAAGACAACAACATCCCGTCACACATACACCCGCCCTGCCACCGTCTTATCCTCTGGCGGTCCGCAACCCATATCTCTCAACATGGATGCCCAGTGACCTGGTTCAGAATCTGCCGTCTGCTGAGCCGCAGTTCTGGGCAGGGCAGAGTGTTGGGTGGTCTGTTATTGCGCGCGTCGATGGCCAGGCTTATAGCCTGATGAGCGTCAAGGAGCCTGGTGATGAGATTCGACCGGCGGTTGTTCGTGATGCCGAATACACGGCGACACATTCCATCTTTAACCTCACCGCGGGATCGGTGACGTTTACTTTGGACTTTTTTTCGCCTATTTCTCCGTCGAATTATCTTCGGCAGTCTCTTCCATTCAGTATGGTTGATTTTATCCCGTGGAGAAGACCTTGAAGCTAATGTAGTTTAGGTTATTTGACTGTGACTGTTTCTGAAGCTGTCGCCAATGAGATTCAGGTCTATTCAAGTATTGATGGCAGGTGGACTGGGGTATCACAAGACACTGTTCCAAGTGTTCACCAAGCTGGAGATACTGTAATTCATTCTCTGGCTGTTAAAGGAGCTACCACGTACGCTGAGAACGCGGACATGGCTACTTGGGGACAGGCAATCTTCGCTTCTCGACCGACAGCCTCGTCAGAACTGTCGTCAGGTTCCGGTGAGCGTCTAGCTGATCGTTCTCAGTTTGTGAGGAACGGCAGACTGGCCGGAAATAATGAGCCCTGGGTTTCCGAAGGAGTTGTTTCATTGTCCCATGACCTGGGAACTGTCACTGGCGAGCTGTCGGTGAATTTCGGCGTTGGCTATGTGAGGGAAGAGGCGATCGACTATCTAGGAAGGGCATATACGGGTTATTATCGAGCCGAATATCCCCAAACGTTCCAGGCGGTGTCATACTTTCTAGATGACTATCCAGATGCCCTCCGTGAGTCCCAGAAGCTTGATCTCAAAATGGCCGGCAAGGCAAAGGAAGCCGCGGGACGGAAATATGCAGACATCGTCACATTATCGGCCCGCCAGGCGTATGGTGGTATTGACCTGACTATCCCAAATGACTCGCTTGACACTGAAAATGTGTTGGCATTCATCAAGGAATTGTCTAGCAATGGAAATTTGAACACGGTGGATGTCATCATGCCCGCTTTCCCCATATACTACATTCTCGACCCGGATTATATCCGATTACTACTGGAGCCGATGATGAGGTATCTTGCTGCTGGACGTTGGCGTCTACCATATACAATCCACGACATGGGCTCGCACTACCCTAGAGCTATTGGCCACGATGACCAGCAAGCCGAACCCATGCCTATTGAAGAGTGCGGTAACTTGCTGGTCCTGGCCCTGGCATACGTTCGTGCAACCGGGGACACAAACTGGACGGACCAGTATACGAATCTTCTGAGGGGCTACGCAGATTATCTGATTGATAACGGAGTAAATATTGAAAATCAACTGTCGTCAAACGATGCTGCTGGTCCCCTAGCGAATGAGACCAATCTAGCCATCAAGGCAGCGGTTGGAATCAAGGCATTTGGTGAACTGACAGGGCTCGCTGAGTATTCCCAAATTGGCGAGGAGCGTGCCGACCTCTTTTTCCGCCAGGGGCTTGGAACCGACGAGAAGAAAACCCATTTTGTGTTGGAATATCCGGAGAAGCCGCTTTCCTGGAAGATCCCGTACAACCTGTATCCTGACGTATTGTTGAACCTCTCAACCTTCCCTGAAGCTGCCTATGAGATGAATAACGATTTCTTTTCATCCGTCCGGTCTGAATACGGAGTGGTCTTGGATCATCGACAAGACTGGGCCAAATCCGACTGGAACATTTGGCTGGCGGCTACCTTGGACACCAAAACCCGGGACGAGTTCGTGGATGACCTTTGGGCATACATGACGAATGGCAAACACAACTGGCCTTTCTCTGATCGGTACGTAGCGACATCGGCCCACGGGAATGACCCTGGTGTTCCGATTTTGTGTAGAGCTCGGCCAACGGTGGGTGGTCACTTTGCTTTGATGGCATTGCAAGGGCCTAGGTCCCTCAAAGAAGCACTGTCAGTCTCTACTTTGGAGGACGCGAAGCATAATGGCGATCAGCATGTCTTGGGAAGCCAAGGGGAAGAGCTGTGATAGCCGGAGGACGAATTTTGTAAATACCACATGATGCACTATTGATACGTTGATTTATTAAATATTTTTATGAATACTTGTCACATCCTGAAACACTATTTTCAAACAATGATTCTAGACCTAGACGAGTGAAGTTGTCAGTGAAAGAAAGATACGGTGAATGAGGGTGACCATCACCCAGAAACACGATTCTTTCTGAATCGCCATCCAGCCACACGTGGACGACTCAATAAAAGCATCTTCTTCCCCAGAAAGAAAATAACCAGATAAAAGAAACTGACAACCTGCTGCTCCCTTGCGCCTGGCGAAAAAAGAACGACAGCGACAGGAGGCTGCTTACATAAGCACTCTCACGGAGTCGCACCCGCAGCAGAGCAAAGCAAAGCCAACGAAGAACGACTCCAAACACCCAACCATCTCGTCGTCCTTCTCCATCCTCCTGCTTCTTCTTCATCACCGTCAATCCTTCTTTTTCTTTTCCTTCTTCTCTCCCGCTTCTTAATTAACACCCCCACTCATGGCTTCTGTATGTTCCCCTCCAAAACTGCATCTCCCTGTCCCCATTCCCTCCCCTCTGTCTGTGTCGCCTCATGGGGCAAAGCTATACGCGTTGGGCGAACTTTCCTCCCCCCCGTACTCCGTACACGCGAACGAATTCCAGAACAAGCTGACTCTCCTCCGCGCTCGACTTCTAGCCCCGTCCTCCGCACAACTTCGCCCCTCAAGGCTATCCTCTCCAGAATGGTGCCGTAGCTTCTGGTCCTGTGCCTGGGGCCGCCCCTCTTCTTCCGAACAACGGCAGGATTATCCAGAACGGCCCGGTTAGAGTGCTGTGCATTGCGGACGTCAGAGGTGAGATTTCTCCCTTGAGATGCGTCATTGGACATTGAAATGGGGAGAACTGTGACTGACTGGCGGCTATTTTCTCAATAGGAAACCTGAAGTCTTTGAATGAGTTGGCCAAGCAGGCTCGTGCAGATCATATCATCCACACTGGTGATTTTGGATTTTATGATCACACTTCGCTGGACCGGATCGCAGACAAGTGAGTGGATTACAATTGAGCTTACCTTTTTTCCTGTTATACCGTGGGGAATTTGGTAACGTGTATAATTCGCCTGTTGGTTGAACTGCGTCTAACCTGGTGTTTTCTTGATAACAGGACCCTCAAACATGTGGCACAGTACTCTCCACTGCTGCCTGAGAATGTGAAGCGGACGATTGCCCAGACTCCTCCCCAGCAGTCAATCAAGCAACGATTTACCCCCGAACAGCTACCGCTTTCCGAGCTTCCCCTGCTTCTCGACAAGCGTATTACTCTCGATGTCCCCGTATACACTGTTTGGGGTGCCTGTGAGGATGTCCGAGTGTTGGAGAAATTCCGCTCGGGTGAGTACAAGGTCGATAAGCTGCACATCATTGATGAGGCAAACTCGAGATTGTTGGATGTTGGCGGTGTGAAGCTGCGTTTGCTGGGACTGGGTGGTGCTGTGGTGATGCACAAGCTGTTTGACAACGGTGAAGGAAAGACAACGATTGCTGGTGGACAGGGTACAATGTGGACAACTTTACTCCAGATGGGTGAATTGATTGACACGGCAAATCGTGTATACGATCCGTCCGAGACTCGCATTTTCGTTACTCATGCTTCGCCTGCCCGTGAGGGAATGCTAAACCAGCTTTCTGTCACCCTCAAGGCCGACTTTTCGGTCTCCGCCGGTCTTCACTTCCGCTACGGTTCTTCCTACAACGAATTCTCCGTCAACCCTTCTCTCGACCACTACCGCGGAAAGCTGGCTGCTTCGAAGGCTTCTTTCAACGACGTTTGGGAAACTGTCCGGGGTGAGGTTGAGGCTGCTATCTCGTCTAACGAGGCCCAGAAGACTCTTCTGGACAATGCTTTGGACGTTGTGCAGAAGATGCCTTCCATCGCCAATGGTGGTAACCCATTCGGTGGCTCTGGTGCGCCAGGCAATGCCGCCGGTCAGGTTGACGAAAGCGCTTTCAAGAACATGTGGAACTTTAACCTTGCGGATGCGGCGTTTGGTTTCCTGGTCCTTGAGGTTGAAGGTGGACGTATCGCTACGGAAATGCGTGCCCAGGGTTTCAACTTTGCCCACCGTACTGGAAAGCCCCAGCCTGCTGGTCCCGCTGGACAGGCTGTGCCAGTCCTTCCTCCCGGCGCTGCTTCCCCTGTTCCCAATGCTCGTGTTCCAGGTGCTGCCCCTCCTCAGTTCGGTCAGGCTCAGCCTGCCGCTCCCCGTCCGGGTGCGCCTGCCCAGCAGCCTGTCCAGGCTAAGCCTCAGCCCGCCGTCCCCACTCGCACATCCCCGGCTCCTGTCATCCCGAAGCCCGCAACCCCACAGCCCTCTAGCACCCCCACCCAACCCAGTGCTGCACCAGAGGAGAAGCCCGTCCCAGCTGAGCCGAACGGCACCGCCCAGCCCGAAAAGCCATCCGAGTCTCCTCTTCCCCGGGGTGAGAAGAAGCCTAGCAATGGACTCTTCGTTTCGAACGTGGACAATGAGCAAGCTGTCCGTGATATCTTCCCCGAGGAGGACAAGGCAAAGATGCTCAAGGTTGAGAAGTGGGGTAAGTTCAACCACGTTGTGACTTTCTCTACTGTCGAGGAGGCCAAGGCCGCCCTGGACCGTCAGCCCGCAGAGCACAAGAAGCCCACTCCTCCTGGTCAACCTCGCAAGCCCAATGTCAAGTTCTTCGAGGACCGTGGCAGCCACCGGGGCAACGCCGGCACTTGGCAGGCTAGCACCCGGGGCGGCAACACATCCCAGCGCGGATACCAGAGTGGAGGTGCCAGTGACAGCGAAGGTGGACGAGGCCGTGGAGGATTCGGCGGACGCGGCCGTGGCCGTGGCGGCGATCGCGGTGGTCGCGGAGGCAGAGGTGGCCGTGGAGGCTTCAACAAGGGTCCTACCGACTCTCCTGCGCCAACATCGACGCCCTCTGGCGACAAGCCCGCGGCTGGCGGAGATGCCTAGATGTAATGTCGACACGAATTTTTCCTTTTGTTGTCGAAAATCTCACTTGACCATCTCTATTGCTTTCCGCTTTTCCTCGTTCTTAATTTCCTTTTTTTACTGTCACTTTCTCCAGTTAATGTTTCCCCGATATTCCTAATTTCTTCTCTTGTCGTATTTGCAAAACCTATGTTTTTTTCTTTTTCTGAGCGAGATGCGCGTGAGAATTTCTTTATTTTCCTTTTTCCCTTGATCACTTCTTCCAGTAGATGCTTGTCAATAGGATTCAGGGCTTCGGGGAGTTTGTCGGTGCAGAGTTTGAGGCGGAATCGTGGAGAGGAAGAGAACAGCTGCAATACGGGGGAAAGATGGATGGGCTGTTTCGTTCGGGGAAAAGAAATGAAGACGAAGAACAAAACGACCGATACACAAACATCAAAACAAAAAGCACAAAAAAACACCAAAAAGCAAACAAACCCCTGAATATCCCATCAACCTTTTTGTATTTTACATTTCCTGGAACGCTCCAATATCGATACCCTTGTAGCTTCAGATTTTGTTTCGAGTATGTGTATGTGTAGAGTTATAATGTCCAGGCCTGATGGTGAATGGGAAAAGTATTGATATTGATATTAGTATATCCTTCCTAAATGGATACCAGTTCAAGAGAATGATATTCAACCAAAGCTGATCATAATAAATACATCATGAGAATGAATGCTTTGCTTCAATCGAGAACTGAACACAAGATGAGAAAGGAAGACAAGTTCATAAAGGCATTGACGCTCCCAATTCCTCTCAAAAGTCCTCCGATAGGTAAGGTAGTAAGATAGATAATGTATCATGATGGTTTTTTGTTTGTGTACAAGACTCATTTTCGAGTTTGTGGTAGAAGAATAGAAACCGTACCGCCTGTTTCGCCTTCGCATGTGAAAAAAAAGTAAATGATAGAACGATAAGTGAAAAAGGAGAGAAGAGATAGAAAAGTGACAAGAGAGAAAATAAGCTGCCTTGAAATGAAATATGGAAACAGGAATACTCCTAAATGTAAAACAAGTAAATAACTTGGGAACTTCCAACGTATTTCAACGTACACCAGATCCGGTTATCAAAAAAATAACATAAACACATTTGCTAGATTTCCCTTTGTTTCCTCCTTGCCATTTTTGTTCATGACGACATCAAATTTGTGGTATCATAGTATGAATTGGATTCGGAACGTAGAACGAGGTTGGTAGGTTGCGATCTTTGAAGTGATCCTATTCCTCCCTGTTATGGTATTATTTGGCGCGTCCCATGATGTCGTCCACATCGGTCTGGTTCACGACCACGCCGCCTTCGGAACATCGTGCCTTGGTGCGCAATTCGGAGCAAAGATGGTCGACATCGATCTCGCCGTTACGGAATCTTTCCATTGATTGCAGACGGTCCCTACAAATGATGAGTTAATATAATTGCCCCGAGGTCGGTGATAGGAAAGAATAAACATACCATATCTTAGTGCATGAGAGCATCTGTGACTTGTCTTCACCAGGGACCACTTCCTCATCCAGTTTGTTGTCAATCTGGGAAATCAGGTCTTTCTTAGGCGCTGGCTGAGGTGCTGATTGAGATGCAGCCTCGGAAATGTTATGGCCTGGGCTGCCTAGATCTGGGAGAGGGAAAGCATCGTCAAAGAAAGTGCCAAAGTCCTGCGATAGCACAGCGTCCTGGGGTTCACGCCAGTCACCGAACAGTACTGGGTCAAACTGTCCTCCATTCTCTTGAGCCAGCGAGTCAAGCCCGGCCGACGTATCCAATGGCTGATCTACTCGAACAGGTGTATTGGACGCACTCTCACTGTTGTGCCTCACGACTGGGATTGGATTCCTAATGTTACCACACGCCAAACCAAGCTGTGCGCAGAAGTTCTTCTCCCCATCTATGGTGCAAGAGTGGGGTTCACCAGCTTCATTTGGCTTTCCAGCCGCGGGAGAGTTGAGACTTGGTTCCGGTGAAGTTCCGCTTGAGGAGAGAAATTGGCTGTGGTGCGAATCCGACGAGGACGATGGGGAGTCAGAGTTGGACGTGTCGTTCGTAGATGACGACTTCTTCGAATTGTAAGTTTGGTTTTCGCTAGAAGCATAGGCATTGCGCTGGTTTGTGTTTTGGCCGTTGCCAGTCGGTGTGCCGCTGGCAGACCTCGCGGTAACGTTTCCTCGAGAAGCCGGGGAGTTGTGAGAGCCATTCGAACTGTTAAAGTTGTCTCGACTCAAAACGCCAGGGACCTGCGAGTCACTATTCTGGTTGTTCTTCAATTTGTCCTGGTTTGTCTTGCCTAGCTGGCTGTTGTTAAAGATTTGCGAACCGGGAAGGTCTCCAAACTTGGGGAAGTCAAAAAGGAAGTCGTTGTTCTTCAGGCCGTACATCCCCTGGGAATAGGCACCAGGGATGGCGTTCATGGCAGAAACTCCATTTCCGCTAGTCACCCACGAGAGACGCTTGCGGTACTCTCTCAGCTCAACCTGAAGACGCTCCACTTGGGCACGCAGCAAGCCATTCTCCTGATTTGCGTCATCGGAGTTCTTCTGCAGCTCGTCGACCTTTGTCTCCAAGTCTTTCAAGTGCTTTTCCTTGCGCTCACGGAACGCCCGCTGTGCCGCGCGATTTTGTGCCTTGCGCTTCTGTATTGAAGGTTAGTAGGAGTAGGATAGATAAGGTGCGGCCCAAAAGGCTAGGTTGCCTACCGAAGTCGGTTCCGAAGTCAACGGTTTCCTGCCCGGCTTCTTAGCTGCCTTGTCATCGCTTTCCCTTCGCTTCTTCCCTGACTCCTCGTTCTCGTCACCGTCAATGTCCTTCCTCTTGTCACCAGGTTCGTACTCGCCTCCAGGGAGATCCCCTATTAAGCTGTCTGAGCCTGGGAAATCAAAGTCTACCTCCGGGTTGAAATCAAGAAAAGGACTATCGTCGTCCCCATAGCCGTAGCCACCCGATTGGTTCTGGGAGCGGTCAAAACCCGAGGGAGAGACACTCAGACTGCCGGCCGATGCCTGTCCAGGGGTTCCCTCTGACTCAGTTTTCATATGAGGAGTACCATTTTGTGGTTTCTGAGATGAATTCTTGGATTGGTTGTTGGATGAAAGAGCGGCAAGGAGCAGATCCTGCTGGTCTGGAGAAAGGTAAAGACCTTGCTGGTAGAGGGAACTAAAGTCCGACATGGTGATTATTGTATCAAACGAGACGGAAACCAATGGTATTATCTGATAAATTTAGGAGTTGATGTCACTTGAAAGATCGAATTTAACCTGCGTTGACACCAGGAAATGCACCGATTCTTGATCAAGCGGCCGGGCTTCCCGCCCGTTTGTCGAGTCGATAAAGAACGATGATATCAGAGAGAAGGCCTCGCAAGATGGAGGGCCACGTCTAGCGAGAAAACAGTTGACAGATTCTTTTGGTGATGTGATGTTCGACAGACAGGAAAAATGAGGGGCTCGATGCCTACGGCGGACGAAGATAGCCGAAATATGTCAGAGGCGGATCGACTGAATACGAGGGTAGAAGCAATTGAGACCCGCCAAGAACGACAGGGGTTACAAGATGCAGCTCAAGGAGTTAGAAGGCCTAGAAGACCAGAGGCAGAATAAGGCAGAAAGAAACAGCTTCAAGCAAGAGAATCTGGATGGAAAAGAAGATAGATTGCACTACTCGAGCGGCGATACCTACGATTGAGGGGGGAGCGAAAGAGCGGCGAGGCGGTGGACAAGGGCGGCAGCAGACTCTGACATCGTTGATTGGCTGATGGGGTTGGGGGTGGAGACCCATAGCCAATCAGCGGTGAGCGTTGGGCAACGCCGCTCTAGGGAGGAAAAAACGCGTGCTTAGAAATCAGGCCAGACCGGAGATTGGAATCCCTCCGCGCCGAAGTTCTGCAACAGGCCATTTCATTCCATCGCGATAAGGGCTTTGGAGGTGCTACAGAATGGCTTCTCCTTACTGTCTCACGCTCATCTCACGCTCACAGTCACAGTCACGCTCACTATTGTGCTCAGTGCTGAGACGCCATATCGTGGGATTGTCCGTAAAAACCCCAAAAGGAAAATAGATGACGTGACTCATAAATAGCCCGTAATCCAGATCCCTGATTGACTCCGACTTTCGGTCTCCTGTGAGCCCACGGGGTTTCCATGGATGCCTGCACTTCATGCCTTGCAGCCTGAGAATTCTGATTGATATCCGCGGGTTTTTTGGTCAAACCCAACCTACCGTTTGCGGGAACGGGACAATAATTGCGTCAGAGGCAGTGAGGGACAATCGCGATTCTCGATCTCTTCCCCAGTGGCAACAGGGGGGATTTTATGACTTCACAGCGGTGTCCCTGTCCCAACTGCCGCAAAACCCGAGTGATGTGAGGACTAAAACCACTAAAGTAGGTTGTCGATCCTCGTTGACCCTAGAAGTGGACTTGGGCCTTTGGGTGCTCTTCCGCCCTTCCGTAGTCCGTACAAGGGTCTTCTGGGGGATGCATGTTCAAAGTAGTGTAGTCCGCGGCTCTACTACATGACACAAGACAATGCTGTAGATGATTTGATGTACCTTGATGTACCGAAAGATGCTGTTCCCTGCACAATGTCAAGGTGGATCTCACAGCGCAGGCGTTGATAAAGTCACGTGATATCTTGGCTACGTCGGAATCTCTGCAACTCACCCGTCTAGATTCCATCATCGCGACTTCTTACACCGGCTAAACGCCAAATCACTGATCTACCAAACAGAGGCATATTATTCATATCACATTCCTTTGATTCTAATAATCGCATGCTTCGTTTGTAGCCGACTATCATTATCCCTGCTACCTCCCAACCCCCTTCTCAGCCGCACCCGAGCGCGCTTTTCGCATCCAAACATCATCAAAAATCATGGCAGACGTGACATCCCTTGAGGCGGAGGTGAAGGAATTCAAGCTCCAGGTGGGTCAAACGAAGGCGCAAGATTATCCAGGCAAACATTTTGACTGTTGGCCACTAGCTTGAAACGGTCCAATCGAGTTTGCAGGTAGACCCAGACAATACGGAACTTCAGAGTCTCAAAGCTGAGTTGGAAGAACTCATAAATCTCACCGAAACCTCGATCGCCGAGCTTAAACCTGCTGCCCCCCCCGCAGCAAAACCTTCGCCTCCCCCGACAAAGGAAAAATGGTCCAAGGAGAATCACCCAGCGTATCAGGCCGGCTATCGCAAACCCACTGCCGAACCTGCGTCTACTTTTGAAACACCAACCCCGGTCTCGTTCTCTGTTAATGACAATGTGCTCGCTCGATGGGTATCCGGCGACAACTCCTTCTACCCTGCTCGTATCACCTCAATCACTGGATCTTCCAGTAACCCAATATATCTCGTGTCCTTCAAGTCGTACGGGACAGTAGAGAATCTCACTGCTAAAGACCTCAGACCCGTTTCGGGAAATGACTCGCGAAAGCGTAAGGCTGATGCAAGCTCAGGCAATTCTTCATCGCAATCACCAGCACCCCAACCCCCACATTCGAGTGTTATCTCTGCGGCGGCGGACATCAATCCTGCATTGGCCAACCAGGCCCGAAATGAGCCCAGCAAAGCCGGGGATGGACCCGCCCGTCCGGCAAAGCTGCCGCGCAAGGTAAAGGCAAATCGCGAATTGGAAGAAGGAAAGAACAAATGGAAGGACTTTGCCAGCAAGGGCAAACTGGGCAAGAAGCAGAGCATGTTCAGAACTGGTGATGGTGTGAACGCAAGAGGTACTTTCTACTACAAGTCTCATATTTTGACAGGGATGCTGATTCTTTTTAGTGGGTTTTACTGGCTCTGGCCAGACTATGCGCAAGGATCCCTCTCGAACACGCCATGTTTACCAACAAGGCGAGGACGAAGGCTATTGATTGGGGAATAACTGGGCCAGTTATCTTGATACCACGGCCACGTCCATTTGTGATGAATTTTCATTTGGACCGAGGCCAATAATGTTTCCGTCTTTGTTCATATCTGACTCAATCTTCCTCGTCTGTCCATTTGTTCCCATTGCTAACTGGGCTGTTGGTAATGCAGATACAGTCATCTCTCTTTGCTTGGTGTTCGAAGCAGGGGGTAATTTCGTACATAGCACATGGCCTTGAGGTTTATTGGTAATATTCTATCCCATGAATTTGGCATTTGAAAAGTTTCAAATATTTCTTTGTGCTGTTTTCTAATCAAAATCTCTATGTGCTAGGATCCCTGGTGTATCAACATCAGAGATCGTCCCAAGTCGGGCTTCAATCTTTATGTCGGACGTTCTTGATTGACGTTCCGAGGTAGAGGCCAGTTGTCACCAGGTTGAGGGATTCCTTCGAGCTGTCTCACAGGCATCCCTCGGCATTCACGTGTTGATGCATGGATGCCACATCTAAACAAAGGTGGCCTGTCCTACACAACCCTGTTGTGTAGGAACACTGCAGGATCGTAGAATCCTTGTAGCATCTAATAGTTGCGATATGGCTTGCCAATTTCTCCAAGACCATCCTATGATGGTTGGATATGGTCATAATGAGCAAACCCGGATTGCCCCATCACTCGGGATTTACTAACTATGGCATTTGATGAATGATTGTCTCGAGGCTATCTGCATGCCTTTTGGGGCATTGTCGCTGAGTGTCATCAGGAGATACTGTCCTGCTTTGGCTGCTGCATATCTGAGATTTATCCAACTGCCCTTCAGCTAGACTGCGTAGTATTACCGCCTAGGAACAATTGGGGTTCGGTCATTCATCATCATGTTAACCATCAAAACATCGTAATCGTTGTGATTATCGTATTATGACGCACATGGAATCCTCCATAAATAGTCTCGATTCTGTCAACATACCTCATCTATCCTCAAAGCGTTAGTATCGTGCCTACAGAATTCAAACCACCACAATGTCTCGCAACGTATGCATCACCGCCGTAGAAGGCAACACCGGCTATCTCATCGCCGAACTACTCTTGACAGATGAAAACTTCGTCAAACAAATCGACACCGTCTTCGGCCTCACCCAAAACCCCAATTCCCAGCGCTGCAAAGACCTCATCCAGCTAGGCGCAACCATCGTCCCACACCAGCCCGGCCGGACCAAGAACGTCGCAGGCACCCTCACGGACACCAAAGCCAATACCGTGTGTATTGTGCCGCCAGCATCCCGGGACAAGATCGACATCACGGCCGAGCTCATCGAAGCGACCAAGATCGCAAATATCCCGAATGCGGTCCTCCTCAGCTCGGCGGGGTGTGATCTGGCTTAACGCGATCGACAGCCTAAGCTGAGAGAGTTTATTGATCTTGAAGCTATGTTTTTGGGGACGAAGGGTGATGATTCGACTGTTATGGGTCATTGTCCGGTTGTTATTCGGTGAGTTCTCTTCCACTTTAAGTTGCATATGGCATCATGTTGATGACGAGTATAGCGCGGGCTTTTATGCGGAGAATCTCCTCGCGTATGCTCCCCAAGCCAAGGAAGAAGGGTTACTTCCTATTCCTGTTGGACGGGAGCATAAATTCGCCCCTGTTGCGTTGGGAGTACGTTCTATCAACACACATGAGGAATGATGAGTCTTTTGCTGACTATTCTAGGACGTTGCCTTGCTAGCAGCTCATGTGCTCACAGGTAAAGGCAAAGAGGGATTCGACGATAAACATCGTGGCCAATTGATGACCCTCACCGGTATAATATCTCTTCTCTTCTCTTCATCGACATTCAGTCCTGACATGTATAGGCCCAATGCTCCTAGATGGCACCGAACTAGCCAGAGAAGCCGGCGAAGCCCTAAACTCAGGCATGGAATTTGAAGATATCTCCGAGTATGTCCCCCCGCCCCAACCCCTCTGTAGATCAGATACTGACTATTCCAAGACGAGAAGCCAAAAAAGTCCTCAAATCCCAGTCCGCCACAGACGATGCCGAGATCCAGTATATCCTCGAATACTACTCGCTCGTCCGCGAGGGCAAGACGAATTATGTCTCCACGACGGCCTTTCGTGATGCTACGGGCGATGAGCCTCAGCAGCCACCGGATTTCTTCAGGGTTTATGCGGAGGAGTTTACTCCGAAGAAGGGGGCGAAGAGGAGGAAGGTTACTGATGGGAAGTAGTTGAGATTCTAGATTATAATTGAGGTTATTCAATGATCTGCTTTCCTCGCGTAGAGTAACTTCCAGACTCAACTAGCTATTCCAAAAAACAGGCTTGTCTGTAGCTGTAGTGTTAGCTGTAGTGTTAGCTGTAGTGTTAATTTGGATTAGTTTGTCCAACGCTGCCAGGTAGTGCATCTGGGGTGACGCGGGGTAAGCTCCCATTCACTCGCATTGCTTGGAGTTGAGCTCCTCAACTCATCTGGACTTTCGCTGCCTTACTTTCCCTCATCAAAATCAATCTACTATATATCTACAAATACTCTGATTAACACCTTAATCCAAACATATCAACACGATGGGCTCAATACAGAAGGACATGCCCTGGATACAACTTGGAGAGTTTGACCCAGCGTCAACTTTGACTCCACCCCCAGCTGCCTTTCCAGAGAATAGCACAGCCGAGCAGAGAGCAAGCATGAGGTTTGGCGTCAGTGGAAATGCGGTCTGTACGTTGATTCCGATGCTGAGATTCTACAACGATATCAACTAACCTCCATGCAAGTCACCGGCGGGGCAGGGGCACTCGCTCTGGCATCTGCCCGAGCCCTTCTCGAACACGGTCTATCTGGACTCGCCCTGCTAGACTTACCAGCGGCACTGGAAAAGGGAAAGTCGGATATTGACTCGCTGCGTACAGACTTTCCCACTGCGAAGGTTCTAGCAGAGTCGTGCGATGTTACCGATGCAGATGGGATGCGTGAGGTCGCACAAAAGGTTAGATATCAGCTGGGTGATCTGAATATTCTGTGTTGCTTTGCGGGGATGGTAAATTGCATTGCATCCGAGGATATAGCTATTGAACAGTGGAGGCGTGTGATGGATGTGAATACGACGGGATCGTGGATAGCTGCACAGGCAGTTGGAAAGTAAGCAGTCATACAAAGTCACCTTGTCCAATTAAGTATACACTGACAAGCGCAGGCACATGATCAGCAGCGGACGAGGTGGTAAAATTGTCCTGATCGCCTCCATCAGTGGCCACCGAGTCAACTACCCACAGCCCCAAATCGCCTACAACGTGTCTAAAGCTGCGGTGCTGCATATGCGGAGAAACCTTGCTGCAGAATGGACCCGGTATGGGATTCGAGTCAATTCTATCTCACCGGGATATATGGATACTGTTCTCAACGAGGGAGAGGATCTTGCTCCATGGCGACAGATATGGGCGGAACGCAACCCTATGCGTAGGATGGGATCTCCGCAGGAAATGACGGGACCAGTTGTGTTTCTCTGTAGTGATATTGGGGGAAGCTATGTTAATGGGGCTGATATTGTTGTCGATGGTAGGTTGGCCTTTTTTCGGTTTTATGCAGTGCTGACAGTGATAGGTGGTGGTTTGGTATTTTGATCAGATCAATCTTAAAACAAAACGAGCAATAAATATTCAAATTTTTGATACTCTCAATCCAACTTCTCCCAATCTTCGATACCCCAGATATACGCACGGTTAATGTGAACACTGTACCTATTGCTAAGCTCGACCATGTCAAAAGGGAACTTATCAATATTATCCTCGACCTTAACAACGGTATCAGGAATTCTTCGTGTGCGAATGCAACAGCCGCATGCATTGGTACAGTGGCCTCGATTGAAAGCTCGGTGGGTATTTCTTGGCCTCTCACAGCATCCACGATCTCTCCCACAACAGCCTCCTCGTCCAGCACAGTCCTGGCGTAGCCAGGAGAGAAGATACCAGTTCGGATTCTTTCGGCATGCTTTATATCCACGATGCAATGGCCCTGGCGGTATGTTTCCTTCTTTCCCCCAGACATCTGTGTGATAACTCCAGTATTGGCCGTTGAGGTTCTCAAGCTCATCTTTGCATGCACTTATTTGAGGTGCAATGCTTTTCTGTTCATCAGATTCAGATGCAGACAGCTCAGCTGCTTTTTTCAAAGCCTGGATCTTCTCCTGGACATAGATTTCCCGCTGCACAATCCACCGGCCTGTGAAATCCAAAACGATCACTTCTTTGCACCACTCCATCCACCTCTTATGGTAATAATCTGTGTAAAACAGCTTGTACCGAAGCAACTGGGCAAGCCGAATGTCATCACCAAAGTGAAGTCGAACCTCGCCTTCAAGCATTTCGAATTTGCTGGTTTTTCTATACACCATTGCGGAGATTCGCTCAATGATTTGAACCTTGTCCAGGAATGACAGGTCCGTGGATAAAAGCGCCGGCAGGAAACTGCGAGGGTTTTCCTCATATTTGAGATTCCATTTCCAGTCTGCTAGGGTGAGGACTTGCTTTTTCCTTTTTGGTAGGAATGGCAATGGCATTGTTTTGCGATGTTGATGGTCTTTAGGGTGTCGAATTGGCTGGAATATATCTACTAGATATACACTGATGATGAGGCACCATGCCGTACAATGTAAGTGTCATTTCTATGTAATTATAAGCTAACGTACGGACGTGGCATAATTAATGTGCTTGTAAGATTTATATAAATTAAGTCGATCTTGCTTCAATCTATCTATTGCATGCGTGCTGGCAATATCCTAGGTGGTGGTTTAGTGTATTGAAGTTATTCTGATCTTGAATGATGATAGTAGATATATAGAAAAACTGTATAAGAACAAAGCACTTCTCAAAGCAATCTTTCAGAAAGTGTAATTTCTTGCCAAATGGGCTCCTGGCCATTCATGCTCTGTAAATGACTTTCATCCTGTTGTTCCTTGACAGTATGCCCTGACGCCACTTCGCGATTCATGGTCTGCGAGTTGTTTCCATGTTTGCCAACATATTTATCGCCATCGTTTTCGCATCTTTGTTCGCATCGTTATCAACATCCTGGGTACCATTGTTTTTGGCATTTTGTGTTTCCTTGGTTCTCCATTATTCTATGTCCACATGTTGGACACGCGGGTGCCTCACTAGGGCCTTGATTCTTTTTATTTCTGCGGCGGGACATGACCCAATTGAAAAAAATCGCTTTATGGGCCCTGCCGGGACTGTTTCTCAGTCAGTAACTGCAATCTAGAGTAATTATATTACTTCTTCAATGTGGCCTACCTTTCCTGCACTCTTCAACGGCATGAAGCCAGTTATGGAGCTCGGCCTCATTGTCTGTTTGGTGAAACTCCGGCATTAATGTCCATAAATACTATCCAACCTTCGATTTCCAGTCTTCAGTGTGAGGACCTTCTTTGTCTTTTGTTGATGCAAGCTGGATGGCATTGTTTCGAGACGTTGAGGATGTTGAATGGGATGGAAAAAAAATATCTGGTGTTGGGTAGGTAGGTATGCTCTGGTGATAAGGCAGGCGCGATGTTGTAAAGGGTAAGAGCCATTTCTATGCAATCATAAGCTAACATGAATAGCAAAAGTAATTAACGTATTTATAAGATTTATATAAGCTGAATAGTCTATCTATCTGATTTAAAAATTATATATATGCCCTGGGGTGTGTCCCCTTTCTGGCTGGTATTCACCATGTGGAACAACTGCATCATTCACTATATGCAACTCAAAACCGCATTTAGGAATGACATAATTGAATATCAAATGAATAGACAAAATTGCTACACAATCAGCCCTGTTAATGCAACAAAAACACATGATGACTTGGACTAGAAGGTCGTCTGATCGACTTTGCCGATGTTTGTGTCTGATTCGAGCCACGACAGCAGCATTTTGATGCCGATTTCTGTGAGCCAGCTGAATTGAACACCGTGGATGGAGGATTTGTTATGTTGTCGATGTTTTTGATGCCGTTGAGAAAAGCTAAGGTAGTCGAGTTTCTTTTAGCATTTGACCGTTGACATCGTAAAACATCCTCTCCACAGTAGGCATTTCATGAATGCAAGACAGACGATTAAATAATTGCTCTTTTGAGATAATATTGATTTGATTGATTGATGGTGTGCCACCCACTTCACCGACCCTCTTCCTACATGGCTCCCAGCGCAAGGGACCATCCAGTGCCTGACGTTAGCGCCTGATGGTTGGAAATAGCGTTGTGCAACAAGACTCTCCCAGCGAATATCAGTAATCTAGACAAAACAGAAATGCCTCTTAAGGAGGAGTGATGTCGGACCACAAAAGTCCCTCCTGTCTCCGCTTTAGTTACGTCGATCTCCGCCTCGGATCCCGTCCTCTTATCGTCATAACCACCGCCTTTCCCTCCACAACAGGTATCATCTCACACCTCCATTCCTTTGCACTGGCACCCTCCCGGTCAGCCACCTCATGCATTGCTGATCTCCCTTAGCGTGTCTTGACTGTACCCAGGTATCTATCAGTACTTCTCCTGCTTTCTCCAAGCTCCTACCTACCTCCTGCGACCGCTTCATCCTCTCAACACTTCGCCGCATGTTTCACGCCCTCTTTGCTCCTACATTCTATCGGAACCGAATGGTTCCCATCTCCCAGTCTTCCAATCTCTCCAGAGAAGGCTCAAATTAAGAATTATATCGAACGTTTCTATCCGGTCCTGTCGTCATAACCGTCTCCAACGATGCGGGGACTCCGCTTTATCCCCGTCGTCGCGAGCCTCGGCTCCTTCCTACTGCCATCATCGTTTGTTCTTGCGGAGGGGGAGACGAAGATACATGAAGAGGGCCGCTGTGCTATACGGGGTCATTGTGGGAAGCAATCGCTTTTTGGGGGTGAACTGCCATGTCCCGATAATGGGCTTGCGCGAGTCCCGGAAGTCTCGGTGAGAGAGAAGCTGGTTGGGCTATGTGGAAAGAAATGGGAAGATAGTCCGGTTTGCTGTGAAGAGGAGCAGGTGAGTGTTGATATTCTCCCTTCTATCACTGATACCACGGATTTAAGCTATGGAGACTGACGAGTGGTGGGTTTAGGTCGACGCGCTCGCTTCGAACTTGCACCTTGCCGAAGGCATCATCGCATCTTGTCCGGCGTGCAGGAATAACTTTTTCGACATCTTCTGCACGTTTACGTGCTCCCCTAATCAATCTCTTTTCGTTAATGTCACCCAAACGGTGAAGAAGTCTGGAAAATACTTGGTTACAGAATTGGACAATGTTTGGTCGGAAGAGTATCAGAGTGGCTTCTACGACAGCTGCAAGAATGTCAAGAATGGAGCCTCTGGTGGTAAAGCTATTGATTTTATCGGCGGTGGCGCAAAGAACTACTCCCAGTTCTTGAAGTTCCTAGGAGACAAGAAACTCCTAGGTAGCCCGTTCCAAATCAACTACCACACCGAACCAACTGGATCAGACCCTCAAGGCATGCGGCCACTTTCAATGAAGCCAAAAGCTTGTAATGACCCGGATCCGGCCGTCCGTTGCTCATGCGTGGACTGTCCGGACGTTTGCCCGGAATTACCTGCAGTTGGCGTGGACAAACAGTGCCACGTGGGTCTTCTACCTTGCCTGTCTTTCTCGGTCATCCTTATATACTCGGTATTCCTCCTGTTTGTCATGGCTTTGTCTAGTTATGTCACGTACAAGGAACGACGTCACCGCAAGCCTGAGCGGGTCCGCCTCCTTCAGGATCCGACCCCAAGCGACGATGAAGATGAGGGTGATATCGTCCACAACGGAGGCTATATGGAACAGCCACAAGGTATATACAGATTGAACTCCGCACTGGACGCTATCTTCAATCGTCTTGGTGGCTTTAGTGCTCGATTCCCGGCGCTCACAATCACATCAAGTATTATTGTGGTTGGACTTATGAGCTTGGGTTGGCTTAGATTCGCGGTCGAGACGGACCCAGTTCGTCTATGGGTAAGCCCTACTTCAGAAGCTGCTCAAGAGAAGGCATACTTTGATGCGAATTTCGGGCCATTCTATCGGGCCGAGCAAGTTTTCCTCGTCAATGACAGTTCTCCTACTGTAGATGGCCGAGTTCTCAGTTACGACACGCTGAGTTGGTGGTTTGGCGTTGAATCGAGAGTCCACCGTATGATCTCTCTGAATCTGGGACTTTCGCTAGACGATGTCTGCTTTAAACCGACCGGAGACGCATGCGTTGTTCAATCTCTAACTGGTTATTTTGGCGGCTCAGCATGGAATCTTCAACCCGACACCTGGGAAGAGCGACTCAGGCATTGCACGGAATCGCCCGGTGATGTGAGCTGCCTTCCTGAGTTTGGACAGCCTCTGAAGCCAGAAATGATTCTGGGGGGATATGAAAACACGAATGATGTGCTCGACGCTTCGGCATTAGTTGTAACATGGGTTGTCAACAGCCATGAACAGGGAACTGAAGGTGAAGCCAGAGCAATTGACTGGGAAGACAGCGTCAAGCGGATCTTCGAAGTTGTCCAGGAAGAAGCGAGCGAGCGCGGTCTACGTGTCTCTTTCAACACGGAAATAAGCCTTGAACAAGAACTGAACAAGTCCACGAACACTGACGCCAAGATTGTGGTTATCAGCTATATCATCATGTTCATTTATGCGTCATTTGCTCTAGGCTCGGTAACTGTGACCTGGAAGTCGTTGCTTGCTAATCCCGCCAATGCTCTTGTTCAGTCGAAGTTCACCCTTGGCATTGTCGGTATTATCATCGTTCTTATGTCTGTTTCTGCTTCGGTCGGGCTGTTTTCTGCGGCAGGTGTCAAGGCGACATTGATCATTGCGGAGGTTATTCCCTTCCTTGTTCTGGCTGTCGGTGTGGACAATATCTTTTTGATAGTCCATGAGTTTGAAAGAGTTAACATCAGTCACCCCGATGAAGAGATTGATGAAAGGGTTGCTCGCGCAGTGGGAAGAATTGGACCAAGCATTTTCCTATCTGCTCTTACTGAAACTGTTGCGTTCGCCTTGGGCATTTTTGTCGGAATGCCCGCCGTGAAAAACTTTGCTGCTTACGCTGCAGGTGCCGTCTTTATCAATGCTCTTCTGCAGGTCACTATGTTCATTTCGGTCCTTGCCCTGAATCAGAGACGTGTGGAGAGTCTCCGGGCAGACTGCATTCCCTGCCTTACCGTTCGCAAAGCGAATTCGTCTGGTATGTCAGAGGACCAGCTCTATGATGATCAAGAAGGAGAAAGCCTTTTGCAAAGATTCATCAGAAAAATATACGCACCCTGTTTGCTTGGACGCAGGGTCAAGATTGTTGTTGTGATTACTTTCTTGGGAGTTTTGACTGCTTGCTTGGCTTTGATACCGGAAGTGGCTCTTGGATTGGACCAGCGCATCGCACTTCCGAGCGATTCCTATCTGATACAATATTTCAACGATCTGGATTCCTACTTCCAGACTGGGCCCCCGGTCTATTTTGTTACACGGGACGTGAATGTGACTGAGCGAAGACACCAGCAACAGCTCTGCGGACGATTCACAACGTGTGAGGAGTACTCATTGCCGTTTGTCCTTGAACAGGAGTCTAAGCGTCCCGACGTCTCCTATATCTCTGGATCCACCGCTAGCTGGATTGATGACTTCTTTTATTGGCTGAACCCTCAGCAGGACTGCTGCAATGAAGACGGTGAGCGTTGCTTCGAGAGCAGGACCCCTGCATGGAACATTTCTCTTTCTGGCATGCCTGAAGGCGACGAGTTTGTCCACTATGCGCAAAAATGGATCGAGGCGCCTACCGACGCAACGTGCCCTCTGGGAGGAAAAGCTCCGTATAGTAATGCCCTCGTCATCGATCCGAAGCGCATCACGACCAATGCTAGCCATTTCAGGACTAGTCACACTCCCCTCAAGACCCAAGATGACTTCATCAATTCGTACAAGTCGGCCCGTCGTATCGCAGATGGTATCTCGGAAGACTTTGGCATTGATGTGTTTCCATACGCGAAGACTTACATCTTCTTCGATCAATATGTCTCCATCGTGCAGCTGACGGGTGTTTTGCTTGGGTCTGCCGTTGCTATAATTTTCATCTTGACATCTGCCATCCTTGGATCTGTTGCAACTGGTGTAGTCGTCACTATCACTGTGGTGATGATTGTCGTCGATATTATTGGTTCTATGGCAATTGCCGGCGTGTCACTGAACGCGGTATCCCTGGTCAATCTGATCATCTGCGTTGGAATCGGTGTTGAATTCTGTGCTCACATCGCTCGGGCGTTCATGTTCCCTTCGCGTGCCATTCTAGAGAAGTCACCAACCAAGTTCCGGGGCAAGGATGCGCGGGCATGGACCGCCTTGGTTAACGTTGGAGGAAGTGTCTTCAGCGGCATTACGGTGACGAAACTACTTGGTGTTTGTGTCCTTGCCTTTACACGAAGCAAGATCTTTGAGATCTACTACTTCCGTGTCTGGCTGGCGTTGGTGTTGTTCGCAGCTACCCATGCATTGATCTTCTTACCAGTGGCTCTCAGCTATTTCGGTGGTGAAGGTAAGCCCCATTTTCTCTATGAGGCCTTAAAGTACGGATACTGATTGCAGTCGATAGGTTATTCTGATCCCGGATCGGATGGAGGCCTGGAAGAAAACCTGGCGTCCAGGGGCTACCGGTCGATGTTGGTCGACGAAGATTACGATACTGACGAATACTAACTGCTCTTCGGCTAAGTGACACAATCTGACTACCGTTCTGTCGTACCTTTCACGAAGCACTGCACTTACGAAGCTACTATACATACGTTCGGATTTTACTGAGGGACGGGTCATGTTGACCCGCATCCCTTGCCCATGTGTTGGATCATGGCTACCATGCTGGAGTTACAGGACCTGGATTGGAGTTTGGGGGAACTTTCTTTTTTCCTATATTTGCTCTTGCTACGAGACAACAATCTTTTTGAGCAGCCATCATTGTATCAGCGATTTGTATATGACGTTTGCGATGAGAGAAAACATATAAGTAATGTGAACTTTCTCTTCGACACTCGAATTCAACTTCTTCTTGACCTGGGAGAGCGCACTAAAAAAAAAAAAAGTAAACAAACGATTGAACCCTGGGCCGTGAAATGAGCTGTGGATACACTGCAATGACCTCAGTCGGGCACACAAGACGGACGCGGAACCCACGTGACTGCGTGGAGCAAATGGCGCTAAGAAAAAAAAAAAAAAGTAGGAAAACAGCCCACCCCTTAAATCCAAATTTTTTCTCCGCCTGTCCCTCCACCTCTTTTTCTTTTCTTCTCTCCCACACTCTTTTTCCTTTTTGTTTCTTGTTTCATTTTTCTTTTTTGTGATACCCTTGAGCTGTTTGTCTTGATACAAACGGCTCATCCAGTCCCAGATACAGGAGCCTTGTGATAGCAAGGAGCCTGGGACAACCCCGCACTACATATTTGTTTTTTGAAGAAGACTTTGGTCTACACATTATTCCATCATGGATCAGCAAAGATTCCTGCAGCAGCTGCAGATTGTCCTTGACCGTAAGTTGATCCTTGGGAATTCCTCTCGCTGGAATGCCGTGGGCGTTGAACTAACTCGAAATTTTTATTCTAGCCTCGAAGGGAAATGTCAAGGAAGCCACCGGCGTCTTGCAGAAGGAATTCTACAATCAGCCTGAATCGCTCGTCCTCCTCATCCAGGTTGCTACTAGCCATGAAGACCCCAACTTGAGGCAGCTCGCTGCCGTGGAGTCCCGTAGCCTGGTGGGCAAGCACTGGGTCAGCGTCCAGGGCAACAAGCCTGCGATCCGCGAGCAGCTGCTTCGTTGTGCCATGGGTGAGGGCTCGTCTCTGGTCCGTCACTCTATTGCTCGTATCATCTCGGCCATTGCCAAGATCGACCTGAACGATGGCGAGTGGGTTGATCTGCCCAACTTCCTCATCAAGGCCGCCGACACCGGTAACAAGGAGGAGCGTGCTATTGCTATCTACATCCTCTTTACCATCCTCGAGACTCTCGGGGAGGGCTTTGAGGAGAAGTTCCAGGACCTGTTCACCCTGTTCGCGAAGACCATCCGTGACCCTGAGAGCGAGGAAGTCCGCATCAACACTCTTCTTGCTCTGAGCAAGCTTGCCATGCACCTCGACTCTGAGGAGGATGTCGGCCCTGTTGAGGCTTTCCAGCAGATTCTGCCCTCCATGGTTGCCGTCCTCAAGGATGCTATCGACCAGCAGCAGGAGGACCGCATCATGCAGGCCTTCGAGGTCTTCCAGACCATCTTGGGCTGTGACCCCGCGCTCTTGACCGCTCACCTCAAAGATCTCGTTATCTTCATGAACGAAATCGCCGCTAACACCGACGGTGAAGAGGACACCCGTACTCAGGCGATCAGCTTCTTGATGCAGTGCATCCAGTACCGCAAGCTCAAGATCCAGGGCATGCGTATTGGTGAGCAGCTCACCCGTAGCGCCCTCCAGATCGTCACTGAGCTTGGTGACGACTCTGAGGACGACGACATCACCCCTGCCAGATCTGCCCTTGGCCTGCTCGACATGCTCTCCCAGAGCCTGCCCCCCAGCCAAGTCGTCGTGCCCCTCCTGAACACTCTTGGCCAGTACTTCAGCAGCCAGAACCCCGACTACCGTCGTGCCGGTATCATGGCTCTGGGTATGTGCGTTGAGGGTGCCCCCGACTTCATCAGCACTCAGATGAAGGAAATCTTCCCCATGGTCTTGCAGCTCCTTCAGGACCCTGAGCCTAAGGTTCGCCAGGCCTCTTTGCACGCTGTTGCTCGTTTGGCAGATGACCTCGCTGAGGATCTCAGCCGGGAGCACGCCGCACTCATGCCCGTGCTGTTCAAGAACTTGGCCAGCGCTATGCAGGAGTACAAGGGTGAGGAGAGTGGCCCCATCATCAACATCATGAAGGCTGGTATCAGCGCCATTGACGCCGTCGTTGACGGTCTCGATGAGCATGATGTCGCTCCCTATCAGAACGAGCTCGTGCCCATTCTGCACAAGCTCTTCAAGCACCCCGACTTCAGAATCAAGGGATTGGCTGCCGGTGCCATTGGCTCCCTCGCTTCCTCTTCTGGCGAGGCCTTCCTGCCCTTCTTCGATGAGTCCATGCACCTCCTGCAGGAGTTCGCCACTGTCAAGGACAGCGAGGACGAGCTTGACCTCCGTGCCAGCGTCACTGACGCCATGGGTGAGATGGCCGCTGCTGCTGGTCCTGAGCGCTACCAGCCTTACGTCGAGCCTTTGATGCGTGCTACTGAGGAGGCCCTCCACCTTGGTCACTCCCGTCTCAAGGAGAGCACCTACATCTTCTGGGGTGCCATGTCCAAGGTTTACGTCGAGCACTTCTCTCCCTTCCTCGACGGTGTTATGAAGGGTCTCTTTGCCTGTATTGCCCAGGACGAGACTGACCTCGATGTTTCCTTGGGCGAGCACGGCAAGGACCTGATTGGCCAGGAAGTCACCATTGGTGGCCGCAAGGTCAAGGTTGCTAGCGCCGACGACGATGACGAGGATGATGACAACATCGAGGATGTCGAGATTGACGAGGATGAGGACGCCTGGGATGATATCACCGCTACTACTCCCCTCTCGCTTGAGAAGGAGATTGCCGTCGAAGTCATTGGCGACCTCGTCACTCACACCAGAAGTGCCTTCCTGCCTTACTTCGAGAAGACCATCGAGGAGGTTCTGCCTCTGTGTGAGCACCCTTACGAGGGTGTTCGCAAGAGCACCATCAGCACCCTGCACCGCTCCTACGCTATGCTCTTCACCATTGCCGAGGAGACTGGTCAGATGGCCAAGTGGCAGCCTGGTCTGCCTCTCCAGGTTGAGACCGCCAAGGAAGTCAAGAAGTTCGGTGAAATCCTCATGACCGCCACCGTCAAGATGTGGTCTGAGGAAGACGACCGGTATGTATTTTATTCTTTTTTGTTTATTTTTTGTTTTTGTTTTTCAAACCAGCCTTGGAAAATTCTTCCGAATTTTTTCTTGGCTGGTGTATCTCGAATGATGACACACCTCGTTTACCCAGCTCACTTTGATGCGCAAAGCGCAATTGATGCGAAAGACGTATATTCTGTCCTGACAGATCAGTCATACATTGCTTTTGACTCTTTGTTATTTTGGTTATCATATTCTAACGTGATCAAACATTTAGTGCTACCGTGGCCGACATCAACCGCAACATGGCCGAGAACCTGCGCTTCTGCGGTCCCTCGCTTATCGCCAGCGAGAAGGATCTCCACAACGTCATCCAGATGGTCACCGACATCATCCAGAAGCAGCACCCTTGCCAGGTTGAGTTCGCCCCTGAGGAAGAGGCTCTCGAGGCTGGTGAGGAGACTTCCGAGTTCGACTGGGTTGTCGTTGACACTGGTCTTGACGTTGTTTCTGGTATGGCTGCCGCCCTTGGCCAGAGCTTCGCCGAGCTCTGGAAGGTCTTCGAGAAGACCATCCTCCGCTACGCTGGAAGCAGCGAGTCTCTCGAGCGTGCTACCGCTGTCGGTGTGCTCGCCGAGTGCATCAACGGCATGGGCAGTGCTGTCACCCCGTACACTTCTGGTTTCTTGAAGCTCCTCGTCCACCGTCTCGGTGATGAGGACCCTCAGACCCGCTCCAACGCTGCCTACGCCGTTGGACGCCTTGTTGAGCACTCCAACGCGGACGCTGAGATCGTCAAGGAGTTCCCCGCTATCTTGTCGAAGCTCGAGGCCTGCCTCTCGATGGATGTCTCTCGTCTGCAGGACAACGCCACTGGCTGTCTCAGCCGCATGATCCTCAGACACCGTGAGAGCATTCCCATCAAGGATGTTCTCCCCGTCCTTGTCGGCATCTTGCCCCTGAAGAACGACTACGAGGAGAACGAGCCTTTGTTCCGCATGATCTGCCAGCTCTACAAGTGGGAGGACCCTACCGTGCGCGAGCTGACTCCTCAGTTCGTGCCCATCTTCCAGGCCGTCCTCACCGGCCCTGAGGACCAGCTTGAGGACGAGCGCCGTGCCGAGCTCATCGAGCTGGTCAAGTTCCTCAACGTTCCCTGGGCTAATCAGCTGTAAAGGCATGCTCACTCATGACGAAGGAATTGACGACTAGAAATATGCGTAATGGATAGACTGGGTGCCGAAAGGCTAACATTGGACATATGGATGAAATACTTAGACGATACCCCGGCGTACATTGATGACCTGAGGCGAACATGAAAGGATTTGGGAAAATGAAAACAAACAAAAAGAGGAAAAATAACGCATATACACGAATGCCTCTTGCGAAATGTGCGATGAAAATATGGATGAAGATGACCCGAAGTGATGGATTGGTTGCTTCTGCAATGATTTATGAACCAAAAGTACTGATGTAAATATTTTGTTTGAAAACATTGGATTTTCTGATACACTCACTCTCTTCATTAAAGTAGATGAAACGTTAACCCTTATGTTTCTTGAGCTGGTCTTTAGTCTCTACCTATACCTATACTCCATGGTTTCTCAGCGCATGTTGCGCTAACCTTGGAGGGTTTATGGAAGTTAAGCTGTCTGTCAAGTCAACTGTGTCAGGTAATAGTTCTGTTTACTTCTACCTTTCGTAGTATACAATATGGACCTTGTCTGATTTTTTATTGAACATTCATTTCATTTCTCACATGTTTTAACTCATGATCTGACATACCATACTACCCATAATCTACACCCAACATCACAATTTACCAACCCTCTCCTCATGCTCCGAACAAGCCTCCTTTTCCAAATCCTCAGGAACACTTCGTCCATCCTCAACATCCCCATGGGCCGGAACAGGCACAAACCCAATCATATACCACGGCAACCGAAACAACGCATCCGTGCTCTCCATACTACGCCCCTTACATTCCGGAAACGCCAGAAACACCCACACCGTGGCGACGAAGGTGAAGGCAGCGAAGAGCGCAAACGGACCATACGAGTGCATGTCGACCGTCATGTTGGGAAAGCCGCGGGTGATGCCGAAGTTGAGCAGGTTTTGGTAGGTGAATGCGATTGTCACGACTGTGCCGCGGATGTGTGTGGGGCAGATTTCAGAGGCGGTTAGGGAGAAGGCAGGGGCCCAGCCGAAGCCGTAGCCGATTGCGAAGAGGCAGATTGCGACGATGGCGACCCATGCTGCGGGGGAGGGGGAGGAGGAGGTCGAGATGTCCGATGTGCCGAGGAAGGCGGCGAGGTAGATGAGGCAGATGAGGTTGATGGAGGAGCCGATGAGGAGGAGGGGACGGCGGCCGAAGCGGTCTGTGAGGACGAAGGCGTAGAGGAAGACGGAGACAACTTTGATGAGGCCGTAGATGGCTGTGAAGAGGAGGACTTGTTGTGAGTTGAGGCCGATGGATTTCAGGATGGTAGGGGCGTAGTAGGTGATGGAGTTGCCGCCGCACATGATGAAGAAGGTCTGGATGAGGGTGACGAAGATGAGGACTTTACGGGTGGATTGGTCCTTGACGCTCATGACCATGAGGGATTTGAAGGATTCGAAGCCGCTCTGGGCTTCGGCGTTGGTGTCGACTTTGCTTTGGAGTTCTGTGTATTCTCTGTTGAAGTAGGGGTCGCTTTCGTCGAGCCCGCCGCGGAGTCTGGAGAGACTTGTTCGTGCTGCTTCCACGCGGCCTCGCATCATGAGGTAGCGAGGACTCTCGGGAAAGAAAGGCCATCCGATGAAGAGGAGGATTGACGGGATCAACTGCAAGACGAGTGTAGTACGCCATTGCCAGCTGGAATCCGAGGGAATGACCTCTGAGGAGCCATAGTTAATCCAATAACTACCAGCCACGCCTCCCATGATGCTGATATTGTAGAAAGTCGTCATCATACCACGCAGCTCAGTAGGGGCTACTTCAGAAATGTAAATCGGACCAGCCGTCATGCCCATTCCAGATCCCAGACCAGACAGGACTCGTCCGACCAACAGCTCAACCAACGATCCGAAGTTGGCTGCCATGAGAATCGCCCCGATAGTGTAGAAGATGGCAGCGGCCATAATCACGGACTTGCGTCCTCGTCGTTCTCCAAGCGGACCTGAAAGGAGGACGCCAACAGTTTGGCCCTGTAACGTTAGTATACACCCGATGCAAACCAAGGAAAGAAGTACACACCAGCAACATAGAAGAAACAACCCAGCCCTCATAGTTCGACACCTGCACGTCCGGAAGATCTTCCCATCCAAAGTCCCTCACAAAAGGATCGAGACTCATCGCCCCGGATATATTGGCCGTGTTGAAGCCATGCAGACCACCACAGTATGAAGCCCAGATGACAGCCAGCCAGATGTATGGCCCTAGGGCAGCAGAGGGAATGCGCTTCAGGGCATCTCTAGAGACACCACCTCCTGTAGCTCCCATTCTAAGTCTGTCAAGTGGATAGAGAGATAGACTGATGTGATGTGATGTAGCCAAGAGGGAAAATTAAACCTTGGCATGGGGATATAAAAACACAAGATAGTCAATAACTATCCCAGTTGCATCTGGGGAGCTACTTTATATCTTGGATCTCATCCTCCCCTCACACACACCTACCCTCTTCGCACTCTGACCGAGACCTGAACTAGAGTTAGTACAGTACGGTACGTACCTACGGCCTGAGCAGCTCAGACCGTGGCCAGCAAGCCCATCGTCAGTCGACTGACGAGTACCACACACGGCCAGCAGCCAAAATGTGGGGATACGGCATGTCACCGTGAGCCAAGCAAATGACAAGACTGGGGTGCAGTTGAGATTCGGTTTCCACTCGTTTTGCGGGGAAAGGAGCGCTCCGAACCGGGGATATCTGTCTTGGAGGAGCTGGAGTGTTCCGGGCGGGTTCGGACCGGGGAGGATTCCACGGTGTGGCGAATCATGGTTTGGGCATTTAATCTGGTGAATTATGGTGGTTTGTTGAGGTGTGGTCGTTTAGGAGGATGGATTTAGGTTGGTTCTGATGGGCTGGTGGTAGTGTTGTGGGTTGATGTCAGTGTGTTGGTGAAGCTATCGAGAAGGATTGGGGGCATCACGTGAAGGGCACAGTCTAGTTTCGATTAACTGATATGTGTTTTCAGTTCAAGGAGTATGACCGTATAAACTGTTCAAATATGATGCCATTGAAATGGCCTACTGTGGAATCCGATTGATCAGAGATTCAAGCATTCTTTCTGAGAGTAGACTGGCTTGTTAAATCCATGCAGACCATTCCTTGCACTTCCTGTAAAGGCGAATGATCTCCCGCAGCTTTGATTCTGAATTTAGTGAGACTATCTCTTGAAGAAAGCACAATGAGCAAGCTACGCTGACAAAGGTTGGATATTACTCTAGCTTTGTGTGAATGGAATTGGCCGTCTATTCATCTCGTATGTCACATCACTTCGAGTCTCAGCACCCGTACCGGTCCATGACGGCCCTGAATGAAGGATCTCGCAAAAGCTCTGACGCGGTAAGCCGTTTTTCTGGGTCATAGATAAAGACTTTCGACATGATAGATTGCACATGTTGCCGCTCGACCGGATCGGCGTCGGGACGAAAATATGCGATTTTTGCGGCGAGGTCATTCTCTGGATCAGGAGATTGAGACTGATCATACCATGAATCCAGTCCACCAGGGTGTGTATAGAGACCTTTCCACTGCATAGGTAGTGGGCCTAAGGCTTCAACCATCCCACTCACAACCCCGCCCTCAAGAAATGTGGGAAACGGAGGAAATGTAAGGTAGAGCATAGAGAAAACAGCCATATAGCTCCACATATCACAAGCAAAGCTTGGCTCTTGCCTATGAAGTCTATCTGGAGAGCAATAATGCATAGGTGGGTAGCCACGTTGAGTGGTAAGGTCACCAATTTTCTTTGCTAAACCAAAATCACAGAGATAGAATTCTTCTGTAAGAAGGTCTTTAGGAAATTTAACAGGGCTCACAAGCTCCCCTTCTTTCCAGAGATTGACGAAGGGAATTGTCTGCTTCAAAGGCCGGCCGAGTAACTCATACTTAGCGCTTCTGCTAAGACCATCTATAGGAACCATTCCCCACATACAGTTCCTTGCATTCAAATCTATAGTATTTTGTATTAGTATATAAAAAAGCAAAATAAGATAATGTAGACTCACCGCGATGTATGATTCCAGCCTCATGTAAGCTTGCCACAGTCTCCAGTAGTTGTCGAGCAGCAGACATACGAGAGGCTATAGGGGTTTTTTTCAAGGAAAGAGTGCAGATGGATGGCCCTTTCATAGGGAACACCAAGACCCTATGATAACTTTTATCGTCTCGGGGTAGAAAGAAAGTCGCAGTATAGGTAACCAGACGAGAAGTATCCCGTACCGTTTTGATGATCTCATCCTGGATTCGAGTTTCATTGTCGCCCCATTTCCCTAGAGCCATGACTTTGAGGGCTACGTCTCTCTTGTCTTGCAGGTCATATGCCATCCAGACCGTTGAGCCGCCACCAAAGCCGAGTTTATGTTCAACCAGGTATCGCTCATTAAGCACTTCCCCAAGGCGAATTGGATAGAGGACATATTGGTTATCCTCTGTTTCGTACCTATGCCATGGCTCAACAAGCTCTTCAAGATCGAGCTCTTCTTCCTCATCCTTCACGAAGTCACCAAAATCTGTTGTGCTCGCCATGTTGATGGCAGAGTGGATGGATAATGAGAAGATTTGGTGAGTCCAAGGCGGAGAATATCCAGCAACTCACCGCCCAGTAGTGGCTGCATGAGTGCGCTCATCACTCGATTAAGTGTGTGAAGATTATTTGATGGTATATACGCAATGTTAATACATGGCTGCAATAGCTGGTGGTGTCTGTTGGGCGCTCTCGCAGGTGGTGACAGAGTAATTACCAGTCAGGATAACAGTTGATATTTCTATATTCAAACAGATAAATTGATATAAATCACTCCATAACTCCAATCAACCCTAACTCCATCAACTAATCAATCATGAAAGAGCAGTAGCCTTGATATGATTCAACGCACTCCCAGCCCTCAACCACTTAATCTGCCCAGCATGGTAACTATGATTCAACTGCGCTTCCCAAACCTCTCCCTTAATAGGAGTAACAACCATCGTAACCTGCTTTCCCGGCTGAAACTCGCCCTCTTCCACCCCACGAAGCGTAATCCGATCACCCTCACAGATCCGGTCATAATCAGCAACATCGTCAAACGTCAGCGGCAGCATGCCCTGTTTCTTCAAATTCGTCTCATGGATACGAGCAAACGAGCGCGCAATGACAGCCACACCGCCGAGGAAACGCGGTTCGAGGGCTGCGTGTTCGCGCGAACTCCCCTCGCCGTAGTTATGGTCGCCGACGATGCACCAGCGGATTCCGTTTGCCTGGAGATCGCGCGCGGCTTCGGGGACGACTTGCAGTTGTGCGGTGCGGGGGTTTGTGGTGTGGCCTAGGAGCTGGGGGTTTTTGGGGGGTAGGAAGGCGTTTGTGGCTGTTGTCAGCATGTTGTTGGAGATGTTTTCGAGGTGGCCGCGGTATTTGTACCATGGTCCCGCGGGGGAGATGTGGTCTGTTGTGCATTTTCCTTGGACTTTGATGAGGAGGTGCATGTCGGTTGTGGAGTTTGGTTGCCAGGGTGGGAAGGGGGTGAGGAGTTGCAGACGGTCTGAGTGAGGGTCGATGAGGACGGAGAGAGAGGCGCCATCGTCGGGTGGTGTTTGGAAGGTTTCGGCGCCGGCTTCGAAGCCGGTTGGGAGCTCGTTGCTGGTGGGAGGAATGAATTTGAAGTCTTCCTGGCCGTCGACAGGGACGGTGTCGGTCAGGGGATTGAAGTCCAGACGACCGGAGTAGGCAAAGGCGACGACGAGTTCGGGGGATGTCACGAAAGAGTGCGTGGCAGGGTTGCTATCATGACGACCGACAAAGTTGCGGTTGAAGCTGGAGATGACGGAATTCTTCTCCTTGCCTCGGACGTCGACGTCTTTTCTATCCCACGATCCGACACAAGGACCACACGAGCTGCTGAGCACGACGGCACCGGCATCTCGCAGGTCCTGCAGGATACCGTCTGCTTCAGCGGTAGCGCGAATCCGCTCACTGCCCGGCGTCAGAAGGAAGGGTGTTTTGAATTTATCCAATCCAGCAGACCGAGCCTGGGTGACGAGCTGTCGCGCCTTGTCGAGATCTTCATACGAGCTGTTCGTGCAGCTGCCCACCATCGCATGGCTGATCTCAGCCGGCCAGTCACTCTCCGACACAGCCGTCTTGAGCTGGGAAATAGGATGCGCGAGATCAGGCGTATACGGGCCGTTGACATGCGGTTCGAGCGTGCTGAGATTAATCTCGATAACCTGGTCATAGTACGCATCCGAGCCCTCATCAGCCGTGAGCAGAACATCCTTCACACCACCCGCAGCTTCAGCAGCATGCGCGCGCTTCGTCGCAGTGAGATATCTCGCCATCGCCTCTGAGTATGGGAAGATACATGACGTCGACCCGATCTCTGCAGACATATTGCAGATCGTCGCCATGGCTGTTGCCCCGAGTGTTTCTGTCCCGGGGCCAAAGAATTCAATCACTCGACCTTTTCCACCTGACACAGACAGTATCCCAGCCAGTTTGCAGATGATATCCTTGGTTGATGTCCATCCGTTCAGCTGGCCAGTCAATCGAACACCAACAACCTTTGGCGCGACAAGCTCCCACGGCATCCCAGACATGGCGTCGACGGCATCAGAACCACCAACGCCAATCCCCAACATGCCCATTCCACCGGCGTTAGGCGTATGCGAATCCGTCCCAATAATCAACCCCCCTGGCCTTCATCACAGTCAGTCAATCTAACCCAAAGCCAGAACAGATGAGATACTCACACCGCATAATTCTCAAAAATAACCGTATGAATAATCCCCGACCCCGGCCTCCAAAACCCAATGCCATATTTCCTCGACGCACTACTCAGAAAATCATACACCTCCGAGTGCTCCCCCACCGCACGCCGCATATCCTCCTCCGCGCCCTTTTCCGAGATAATCAAATGATCACTATGCACGGTGGTAGGGACCGCGACGCGCGGGAGACCCGCGCTGATGAATTGCAGCAGCGCCATGGTGGCCGTTGCATCGTGGCAGGCGACGCGGTCGGGGCGGAGCTCGAGGATTGTCTTGCCGCGTTCGATGGTGTTCAGGTTCCATGTGTTACTGGTGGTGTCGATGATGAGGTGGCTGTAGAGGAGTTTCTCGGTGAGGGTTAGGGGGCGTGAGGAGCCGGCTTTGAGGGTGGTGAGGTTTTGGAGTTGGGTGGTGTAGTTTACTGCTGACTTGACGCCGTTAGAAAGATGTTTATCATTTTGAAGATGAAGATGTGCTTACCGGGCTGTGTGTTGCGAATTGTCGAGTGCTGCTCAAACAGTGAACTCTCGCCGTCTGCGGCAATCGAGGAAGAAATCGCTGCATCTTGCTATCCTGTCTTCATGACAATCAAACAATCAATGTAGTAAGTCAATTGAAGAAAAAGAAACAGAAATCACCCCCAATCTCAAAAACAATTAAAACATCCCCACTAGACCAAGACCGAGTAAACTCCCAGCGAAACTCGGGCCCAATCCCCCGAATCAAATTATTGAGCCCGACAATCGGCAAATATCCGCCTGCATCTCACATTAGCAACTGTCTTGAGCAAATAAAACGAGGATGATTCGATGGCGTTGATCGTGGAGGATTTCTGGATAGCTCCGCGATGCGCAGACGGAGTAGTCCGGGTGGGGAAAGCAGCAGTGATCAGAAGACCGGAGGAGTCCAGACAAATTGAAATTGAGGGATTTGTTGTTCTGTAAGATGTTGGGGGTAAAGTACCGAGGATATCTGTTCTCATTCTATTCTGATATTGTCATCGTTGTTGTGTTATTCAATTGTGTTGTGAATACCATCAACTACCTACTCCGTATACAAACAATGGCCACAAAATCAAAACTCATCCGCGCCCTTCGAGGCTTCGCATCTTGCGACGTTCGTTCCCATCCAATCCACATCTTACATAAATATCAAACTAATACCATTAATCCAACCAGATCGGAGACGCCCTCGTCAAACTCCACGTCCTGCAAGGCGGGTTTCTCTCCGGCCTAAAAATGTATTCCCCAGGGTACATGGCGCCTGGCTCGAAGATCTTCGGACAAGCATACACGGTGCGGATGGTAGCAGCGTCCGACAAGACATCGCCCACACCACCAATCCACTTCGCAGACTCGATTCCGAAAGACAGCATTGTGTTTGTGTCGCAGCCGAAGGGGTTGATTAGTGCATGCTGGGGCGGGTTGATGAGCATGCGAGCGCAGAAGCTCGGCGCGGCGGGCGTCATCATCGACGGCCGGTTTAGGGACATCGCCGAGCATAGAGAATTGGGGATGGGGTTGTTTGCGAGGGGGGTGAGTATTCTCGGTTCGAATGGGTTTACGAGGTCGGCGGAGTTGAATGTGCCAGTTACGTATGTGAATGAGGAGACGGAGGGTGGTGAGGTGCTTGTGAATCCGGGGGATTATATTGTTGGTGATGCGAATGGGGTTGTGTCTGTTCCTGTTGACAAGGTGGAGGAGTGTGTGCGGCTGTGTCGGGAGCGATATGAGATTGATGAAGAGACAAGGATGTGTTTGGAGAGGGGGGAGGAGATGGGGCCTACCATTAAGAGGTTGAGAAGATAGATAAAAATGTATTATAGAAGAATTATACACTGAATTGACGCCTACTCCATCCAATCTATGCTATTGTACATACCTGACCAGGTCATACAGACCCCGAAAACGGATCCCATCCCCAGTCTCCATGCAAATATTCAGCCAGAAAGCTCTGCATGGCGGAATCGATTGCCGGGACTTCGGATCCGTCAGAGTAAAAGGTATCATAAGGGACGATGGAGGGATTAAAGTCGCCGACGAATGATGATTGAGGCCATCCTGCTATTGAACAGTTAGATCAGTTATACTTGACATGGATATGCATACCTTGGAATGAAAGATCTATCCCCTCTTCACCCACAACTATATCCTCATTCTCAGCCCTAGTCAGTACGGACTGGTCGTTCGGATGAGACGTCCCCAAAGCGCGTCTCCGCGGGGGAGGTGAAGAAGACGTAGACAGAACCTGTCGCTGACTGAGTTGTTTAATAGTAAGGTCTACAATCTTATCAAAACTATCCTTTCCACTCCGTACAGAAGGCCACCACTGACCCCCTATACTCAGCAGATTAGAACAGGTTCGTAAATCGCGCAATGCCTCCGCAAAAGGGACGCTGGTTTGGAGCTCGCGAGATGCCCAGAAGCAATATACGATCGTGGCGCCGGATGAAAATATGCCGTGGATATTGCGCCAGCTGTAGTAGAGCATTTCCCCAGTGTCGAGGTAGCTGTATATACGCAGTCGCTGGCTGGAGCTGTGGTAGCATAGTGATAGAGCGTGCTGAGTGGGTGATCGGAAGACTTGTGATGGTTGGAAGAGCAAAGCAATAGCTGCGTGGTATGCTAGTTCGAGTTTTAGTTTCTCGCAGTGCGAAAGCACAGACTCTTCGTCTATTTCCGGGGCGGGGATGATCCTCGACGTATCAGCTAGCCACTGGTCGAGGTCTGATTTAATCCGCTCTTGGATGCTGGCTAGATCTGTAGGCCAGACAAAGGGACGGCCTCGTGTGGGCAGGTGGTAGAATAGGAGTTTGATTTCAGAAATGTACTGGTCGAGTTGGAAGCGACAGATAGACAAGGCTAGATGTTTCTGCAGTGGTGCGCGAATTTCGAGCTCGTTCTCGGTGACGATTAACGGGTCGTTGATGATGTCGTCTAACGTTGGCATTCGGACATCAAATGTTTCATCGCGGATTCCTAATGGACGGCCTTGGATTGTTGCGATGGATCGGTCTAATGAGTAGACGGTGTAGAAGATGTATCGGCGGATAGCAAGAGAAGTCGGGGAGAGGTCTGATGGGTCACTAGGTTCGCGATGAAGACCTAGATCAATACAATGCGACATGGCAATGTGTATGAGAGTCCAGATATTAAGACCAGCCGGTCCGATGGTAGACTGAACAGCCAGCAGCAATATTCCCTGCAGAGCTGGGACGGACACACTCGAGAAACAATCCGATGCCGCTGACATGGCCATTCGATACAGTCGAGACGGGGAATGATCGTAGTTTTTCTTTCTTGTCAGTATAGTTGCTGCTAGTGACAAAGCGAGAAAGACATGAAACACTGCCGTGAAGATGGATATAGGAGTCGTCTCTGTTCCTGCTATGAGGTCGAACTTGCCATTATACGGAAAGGGACGAGTGCCATGAATCCATCCATGCCGATCAACTCTTCCATTGAACCCATGCTGGGTGCATCTATACAGTGCCTGGTAGGCATTAACCAGCGAAGCAGGATGCAGAAACGGGTGATCGATATGAATATCCTGAAAGTAAATTCCAAAAAGCAACCCCGCATCCTCTGGCGATGGCAATTCCTTTCCCAGTCTGGCGTAGAGAGACTGGTATGACTCCCCCGAAGGAGGCCGTAAAGGCGCCAACCGACGGGGATGCGCAGTGCTAGTCGAGCTGGACGAGACAGGACTCGACGCCTGACCCTCACTATCCACCCCGATGAGATTGGTAAATAGCAATCCAGACGAAGAGCCGAGATAGTGCTTCTGTCGCGAGTCGGAATGCAACGACAGCATGCCCAGATCGATAGCCACCGACCGCGCCTCGACAGAAAGAGGCCGTTCAGCTTCAGACTCTTCCATAGACGCATGCGATCGTTTCGCTGGATTCTCCGCAGTCAGATCGACCGTTCCCTCTGCTGTGGGTTTCGCGACAGACGCAGCCTCCTCCACTACAGTCGCACTACAATGCGACGACAACCTCTCCAGATGATCCATGTTAACCGGCGGACCCTTGGACAGGTCGAACTCAGAATCCAGCAGTTGAATCTGCGCCTGAAGCCATTTAATGCGCGCGCAGCAACTCGCGATGAAACTGTCATGTCAGTCTGAGTCTAAGAATTATCCTCGGCAATTCACTCACTCGCGCGGCAGCGACATGTCATTATTGCGACCGTCCACGTCGACGCAGGGCACCTTGGCTCGCGCACAATTCCCGCATGCTGGAATGCCTCCATCACACTGATAAGTTAGCAATTGTATTCATTCAGATAGGGATGATCAAGAAAGACACACTTTGACGCGTTTCTGGCGACATCGACGACAGGCCAGGCGGACTTTTTTGGGGGGCTGGGAAGCCGATTCTTCGGGGGTGACCATCTATTCAATATATTATATGGGGTCAATATATAAAATAGATATAGAAGAGGAAGAGAGAGAAAGAGATGAGAAGAGATGAGGTTGTGGGGAGAATGTGGAGATATTCGGTTGTCAAGCCTTACAAGGAAGAATTTCCCCGCATTCATACTTGCATACAATTGGCATATTCTATTTTATATTTATTGATATATTATGCATATTGGATATTATATGAATAATACGATTGATGATGAACCAGAAACGGATGATCGAGTCATTGCATCATCGCCGACATATAAACCTCTGATCCTCTCCTCCCACCTTCATTTCATCATTCTATATTCACCTCAGATATTCACTTTTTCAGATTCACCATGTTTCGACTATTTATTCTTCTAGGCTTAATTGCTACTGCAGCATGCAACATCCCCCTGAGCCACTCTCCACACTTTGGCGAACACTATGCAGTGCTCAACCTGGACCTGATTGACGTGTTGGTCTCGTCCGTCGAGCATACCGAACCCGGTAAAAAGTGGATTTCCAATGTGGAAAAATGGATTAGTGTGTGAGTTCCTTCATCATCATTATATAAATATATTTATATATTTATACTTATATATATATAGAGTACACAAACAAGAACCACCCCCATTAAGCATCTACACCCGCATCTACTACTCCAACTCTCTCCGCCCAGAAGTATCGGAAGACATTCCCTTCTGGCACTTCGCGTCTGCATTTGGGAATTTGACTGCCGACAGTCCGGAGAGTCAGGTGTATTCGGCCTTTGAGCCGTTGGAGGAGGACGTGGTGTTGAGGAAGTCGAGGTATTATGCGGGTGATGGCAATTCGCTCGAGGAGATCTTGAGGACGCAGAAGGTGGATACTGTTATACTGGTATTTATCACTTGTCCTATGCTATGAGGTATGCTAATGAGTAGTCCGGGATACGAACGTCTGGCGTTGTTCTCAGCACTGCGTATCGGTTGTTTGATTTGGATTATAACGTGTAAGTCTTCTGTTTCTATCTTCTAGAGATGCTAATGAGTAGATACGTGATATCCGACAATACGATCGAACCAAAAGACTCTGAAATCAACGACTTTATCCTGGAGAAGATTCTGCCCAAAATGCCTGTCAAAGTCATTTCCCTCAACCAGGCCATTAATGCTCTTTAATCTATAATACACTCCATCTACTTGTCCACTGAGTCACCTTCTCATATATCGTAAAACTCACCCCACCAGATATCTACCTCTCATTAGCTTCATCTTCATCCTCAATAAAGAAAAGACACTCACACTCAACCTCGCCAACCTCGGCGTTGTCCCTCTCCACAATGCAGAAATGCCCTCATTCTTCATAACTGACCTCACGCAATCCACTGACCCTGTATACTTGGTATATCCCCCAATCGCCTGGAGTCGGGTTTTGACCGCGTCAAACGGCATCGTCATATACACCGTCACCACGCCTGCCATCGCACCTGCGATGGCCGTATTCACACCAGACTGGCTGAAGCTATCCAACTGCCCCAGGAAGAAACTGTAGCTTGTAAACCGCACCATCGCGTTGGACGATTGCTTGAGCGTCACTGGCACCACGCCCCGGTATAACCCCCTCACATCCTCCTGGCTGATAATGCACCGGATGGCATGTGTAGCAGATTTATAGCATCTCGCTCCGGCTCGATCATCGATAATTTTCGTCTTGAGCGTCTCGCCCGGCGTCACGATAGCCACACTCTCCGCGACACCGGCCATCATGCCTGCGACTAGGTTTCCGAGAGACGTCACCTTTCCGTTCCCGTCTACCGGCATCACCTTGCGCACTGTATCGAATGCGAAGAAGCGGATCCCGGATTTCGACGCATTCGAGACGCAAAACGCCATGCTGCCTGTGTAGAGGTGGGAGAGGCCATGTGTGCGGATGGTGGTTGTGAGGAGGGTGAGGGGGCCGGTGGAGTGCGTTTTTAGGAGTTGTTGGCGGGTTTTGAGGTATTCTGTTGGATACTAAGTAGTCAGTATACTTTGTTATAGGAGATGAAGTTATTGGGTGGGTACAGTAAGGAGAGACTCGAATCCGCCTGCTGCGCCGCCAGCGAGGATGGATTGCCAGGGGGAGACTTGTTTGGTTGTCATTTCGATTGTATCAACTACGTTACCTATTATTCATATGTATATGTATATGTATGTATAATATCATCATGCATATAGATAGGTCTGGGTTGCTCCGACTGCAGTCCGAAAAATGGAGCCGGAGCACTCCGGCGGAGATGACGATCCGTCTACGGGGTAATTGAACTGGATAAACGATAAAGCAGTTTATCAGACATTATTATATCATCTACATCACTATCACTATCACTATCCACTCTATCATCACATCACAATGACAGTCACCGATCTTGACCTCTTCCCCAACGGCGGCTGGGACGTCCACCACCACATTTTCGACCGTAACACCTCCTCATCTACACATTCAAGATACAATAAATACTAATATATGGTAGCTTCTAAATTCGCCTACGCACCAGATCGCCATCTAACCCCACCCCCAGCCACAATCGCCCAATTCCTCGAATTCAAAAAACGCGTCGGCATCACGAATTCCGTCCTCACGCATGGCCTGTCCTACGGGGCTGACTGCACCTCACTCAAGTCGTTCGTCGCAGAGCTATCCAATAAAAAGGAAAGCAGCACGAAGGCAATTGGAGTGATTGACCCGGCCACAGTGACAGGCGATGAGTTGAGAGAGATGCACGACGCGGGGATTCGAGGGATAAGAGTCAATCTGTACAAGTACAAAGCCTTTCACGATGTGGAGTTACAGAAGACAGCGCTGCGTGAACATGCGGCTGTGCTGAACAGGTATTGTCCGGGGTGGAGTATGGCGTTTACGCATCCACATTGTGAATTCTGGGCTGAGTTGAAGCCGTTTCTGGAGGAGGTTCTTGTCTCTGGGGGTGTTAAGCTGGTGACTGATCACTTTGCCCTGCTCAAGGGGGCGAGTATGCTCCCCCCTGAATGTGAGGGCGATGTATCGCGACAGACTGGCTTCAGGGAGATTATCGAATTGGTCAAGGCAGGACGGCTATATGTCAAAGTGAGTGCCCCGTATCGGGTGAGTACATTGGCAGGTGGATATGAGGATTTGAAGCTGCTCGTGAGGGCATTCTTCAATGCAAATCCGAGACAGGTTCTGTGGGGGAGTGATTGGTATGTCTATCCTATCTATTTTATTTGTATAGAGTGCTAAGTGCAAAGGCCACACACACCACACATGAAAGTGCGAACCCACGAAGAGGCAATCCGGGAGACTCCGTATTTGAAAGTGGATGATCTAGCCTGGTTGAGGAGTTTGCGGTCGTGGTTGTCGGATGAAGAGTGGAATTTGCTGATGGTTGAGAATCCACGGGATTTGTATGATTGGTGACTGTCATGCATCATGTATAGCTAGTGTCAATAGGATCAACTTCCCCGCAAATGAAGCGGGGAATTAGCAAGAATCCATGTACGTCGCTTAGAATGTGGTGTAGATGGATCGTTCCGGTGGAGAGACCCGGTTACTCTATCGGGTATATATAGCCTCAGGCCACTGTTACCTGTATAGGACATGAACACCAACAAGATGAACTATCTGAATCCCCTCCCATGGACCAGCCCTGCCAAATGGGCCTGGCTCTCTTTGACTGCCTTTGCCTCTCTCCCCGGCACTTTCAACCGGACAATCTTCGATGCGCCGTGGACAGCAACTGTTTCTGATCCTGTTCTTCAAGAGACGTACGCCCCCGTATACCACTTATATCCAGTCTACACATACTAAGTATACAGATTAACATACCTAAACACAACCGACTTCGTCGCCTACACCCCCGATTTCCTTTCCATAATCGGCCCCAACGCTACCATCGAACACGTCCAACATCTCCCCTACCAATCCCACGAAGCACCCTGCTACATCCCCTCCACCAAGCAGCTCTTCTTCGTCGAATGGGGTCCCCCGGGTGGCGAGAACGGGACTCACACCTGGCAGTATCTACTTGATGTCGAGACGAACACTCTCCAAAAGATAACTACATCTCCCCCCACGGTGAATGCGCACGGGTGCGTCCATTACGATGGACAGATATATGTTGTTACGGACGGTAGTGAGAGTGAGAGTGGGTATGTTGCGAGGATTGATTCAGTCTCGCTGAAGAGGGAGACGGTGGTGAATAATTTCCTGGGTCAGCCGTTTATGGGGTTTAACGATTTGGAAATTGACAGGGAGGGAGGGTTTTGGGTTACTGATTTCAGGTCTGGTTGGGTATGCCTTCTCTTCTCTTCTATCTTCGTCTAACTTGATATGGATTACTGACTGACTGGTGCAGGGCCGCGGTATCATACCGTATACACCCCCCACCAACCCATCCATCTACTACATCAACTCAACCACCCTCCAAACAAAACTCGTCCACACCACAACCGGCAACACAAACGGCATCGCCATCTCCCCTGACAGTCAAACCGTCTACATCCCCGACACAGGCGTGTCTGAATTCCGACCCAGCGCCAAAAACCCATACGGGAAGCGCGAGGTGTGGGCATTCGATGTCTCCTCTGGCGCGGTGTTATCGAATAAACGCCTCCTCGCCAGCCCGGTGTCATATTTTTATGATGGATTGCGTGTGTCGAGGGGTGGGTGGCTTTTTGCAGGGTCAGGGGACGGAGTTGATGTGATTGATCCAGTGACGGGGTTTGTGTTGGGGAGTATTCGTGTTGGAGGGGGGAAGAATGTCGCTGTGAATTTGGCGTTTGGGGAACATGAATTGTGGATTGTGGGGAGGGGAGGGGTGTGGCATGTTAAGAATATTCAGCAGCGATTGGATAGAGAGTGGTAGTATCTATCTATCTGTATATGATATAGGATCTGTATAGGGTAGGTGACTACCAGACAAGAACAGCTTAAAGGCCCTCGCACCCTCCATATCGCGAATAGCATCTTCAAACGCTTCAACAGGATAGAAACTAACCAGCTTCTGCAACGGCATCTCTCCTCTCAAACCCAGTGAATCAACTACGGGATGAATGTCTGCGGGACTGTATCCCCTTCAACCACACGGAAATCGTGGGAGATTATTGTGCGGGATGTAGTGACTTTTCTTGTTTTTGGTTTGTGGTGAATATGGGATGAATGGATTGGGTTTATATAGCTTCTTTATCTTCGAGGCTTGTTATTTCTGGTGACTTGAAGGGTACTATTCGGATGATTGATCTGTACGATGTTGGCCTTATTCCTTGTATACCTGTCCTTTGTATAACTGAAGTACATGATGATATATGGCCAGCCTTTAGATGTAGTTTACTGCAACGCAGTATCACTCACTTTCCAGATTCACTTATGCATGATGAAGTCTGAATCCTTACTTTATATACAACATGCAGTGTCACCACTTCTTGTATCATGTCGGCTCGGACTATAGTTGGTGATCATCTACAGGCACACATACCAGATAGACTGGATTTTGTGCATAGTTCTCTCCTGATGACCAAGTATACCTCATCTGGCTTCCATGCCAGAGCTCTATCTCATATGCTCACGACTCCGGTTCATAACCTGCTCAATGTCCCTCTTCCCTTGCTCATCAAGTAGTTCCATCCTCTCTTCCCATCTATCTCTGCAACTGTGTATAATCCAAAGAATCGATGGTCAAGATTCTTCAGAACACAGCGTCAAAAGCACTCAGAATATCTATACTGTACTCGCCCAAATTGCCCCAAATGGTGCGACTAAAGTGGCCTGGCCTCTAACCACCAGGCACTGACGCTTTTTATTTTTCTTCTATATATGTTCCAGCTGTTAAAAACATAGTACATACGACCACAGGGTGTGGAGAACAGGGCTTCCCGTCCGCTCAGCCGTACTTAAGCCACACGCCGGCAGGTTAGTAGTTGGGTGGGTGACCACCAGCGAATCCCTGCTGTTGTATGTTTTTCTTTCTTTCTTTTTTTTTTTTGCTTTTGGTGTTTTATCACTTCTCTTGACATGGAAAGTATAGATAGCATGGCCTATTGTGGTCGGAAACGCTTTGCCGTCATCTGCAAGCAGAATTCTGCCTCGCAGCATATGTAGTCTGCGTTCTGTGGGTTCATAAATTAATCATGAATACTATGCTTCAAAGTAATGAGAGAGATTTGTGAACTAAAGTCTTATAGATTCCTCCTGAGGATCGATTAATTCTAGGAGAGTGTTGTTCACTGGTGACCATCCGGGGCAACATAGGGCTAACAGGCGGTCTTGGCTTCCCCATGTAACGCCAAGATTCGCTGCCTGGCCTTATGTAGCAGTCGCCAGTTGGGCTTCACCTCCAGACCGACTTCTTCTCAACATCCATCTTGCTAACTTACCATCCCTCATCCATTATACCATATACTCGATAGTAAGTCATTCCCTACCCATTGACCTCGACAGTGATCTGCATCCTGTCTTCTGCCATACGAGTACTAACCGGATCAGCAACTCGATCATCAGTCAACCACGAATTCACACCCCTTACAAAATGGCAGCCAGCTCCATCTCCTCGCCCGTCAACTTTACCCTTCCCGACTCCGGGTCCGGTTCCTCTATTAAAAAGCCCATCAAGTCCGTCTCGAAACCATGCTTTGGCTGTGATTGCGGTGACGAGGCCTGCGACTGCTGCATTTGCACTGTGATGTAATGGTTGGTCTGCCCAGTGCCGGTGGTTATGTCGCATATAATAATGGAGTGTGTCCAGATCGATAAATCAGCCAGCTCGGCAGCTGCCACTGTCATTCCATCCATTGAGCGCAAACACGATGCCATGCCTATTATACCTTATGCAGTATGCACAAATGAGGAGTACAGGGTGATCGGAGGAGGCCCGATCGTTACGTGTGATTCATTATTGGTTTATGCTTCACTGTTGATATTGATATCCATTTGATTCATTCAGTTCAGACATCCATATCTTTCTTTAGTCTTCCAGAGTCTAGTCATTCTGGCATTCAGGTTTCGGTTGGCAGCGGCCGGCGCCCCCATTCAATACGTCACATTCCCGCCCGCTACTCCACATCTACCAAGCGGAGCAAAAAGAATAATCCACACACAATTGCTTCAGAGCAGACGAAGAATCGACAAAAAAATGGTCCCGACGAGGGTCGAACTCGCGACCTTGGCGTTATTAGCACCACGCTCTAACCGACTGAGCTACAGGACCTGTTGTTGAAAGAATGAGCAGGATAGAGACTCTTGATTGGAATGTAGTTTTGTTCTGATTTTGCTGTAGATCACGCCTTATCATGAACAAGCAGTACTCGTACAGTCCACTGCAGCTTCTACTTTCGCTGTTTTGGGTTAGACTAGTATATCAGGCACATGACAGCACATGATCTGCTGGATTGCATCTTCTCCTGTCCATCAGTCCCTCGTCCACAGGCAACTTTTTTGCTGCACACTGCGTTATATATTTTGGCTTGCCTATGGGTCCTAGGGTCGTTCAGTTTGTCATGGATAAATTCAACTACTTTCACTGCCACTTCCAACTAAACTCATCCAGCCTGATCGCTGCCTGCACAAGCCACAGCTCCTGCGGCAGCATCAGCTATGAATCGTGGTGATATCCAAATGCTCCATGTTTCCGACAGCCTGACCAGGATTATAGGCAGTCACGATAAGAGCCTACAAAAATCAGCCAAACACCCAAGCTCTACAGAAATAACGCATCTAAGCGCCAACCCCTGCATTAAACCCGGAATATGAGGCGATGCAATTGCATTAGCTGCGGCGGGTTCAGCGGGTGGCTTAGTTGACTACACAAATTCCAGTTCGTTCGGATGAAAGGCTGACCATGTGTTTGAACTACTGCAGCTTCTCGCAGGGATTATATGCCTTAGTCTATGTTGGCCGCTGATAACGACATGTTCATTGCGGAGTACGTTCGCTGCATCTAGCCAGTATGGGAAGGTATCTGGGCTGTGTACAATGCCCTTGTATTTTCCTTCCAGCCTCGTGGCATATTGTCTTGTCCAACTTGCATAAATTCTGCTTTGTCGCCCTGGAAACTCTGGTTTGGCTCGCTGTATTTTATGCGCCACAGCAAATCGCCCAGCGTTAACACCATGTCGAGGAGAAGCACAAGGACCAGTCGATCTTCCACTCCTTTATCACAGAGTGAAAGATCATCGCGGGAGTCGGTGCCTCGTGACCCACCTGATCTCAAGGATGACACATCTGATTCTGTCGAATCCTCCCCTCAAACTGATAACCGCTCAGACGTGAAGCGAGTTTCCGGCTTTATCGATCAATATAATGAGTCGCCCTGTCCCCCAGAGAAGCGTGCAGCGAAGCCACGAGCCAAAAACACTCGGCGTAGTGAATCTCCCTCGCCCGAGAATGGCGAGAATGAAACTATTGATCTGACAAAGTCCGACGATGAACCCGATGATGATGGTAAGTTTGGCTTAGCTATTTCGGCTTCATATGTCGTGTGCGATTCTAATCAAATGCTGCTACAGAATCCTGCACGGCACCCCAACCCCCCTCTCCATCCCCCAGCCCCTTGAATGGGAATTCTTCCCGGAAGAGTGCCAAAAAAGGTGGCACGCCTTTGAGAAATTCACCAACTCCCTCACCACCGCTGACGATAGAGGAATTGGAAAGCGAAATCAAAGACATCATCACGGAGGCAGATAGATTTTATACGGAGGAGAAACCGGGACATGTTTATGTATTTGCAGACCCCGATGGAAAAGCCCCTCATTTCAAAATCGGCCAGACAAACGACTGGAAATCTCGGCAGGCATGGCATCGAAGTAATTGCAAAGCCACTTGGAAGTTGCATAAGATACCATCCAACGGCGGAACTCGAGCATACGTCCACCTGGAGAAGATAGCACACACCGAACTAACGAATTTGAAATACAATTTTGAATGTCTTTGTGGCACGGCGCATAAAGAATACTTTCTCGGTGAGAAGGACATGGGACTCGATGTCCTTCGCTTCTGGGCTCGCTGGATGAAAGAACATAGCCCTTATGACGAGAATATCAACCTTTCTCCCTTCTGGGCTGAAAGGCTCAAGATTCTAGGAGGGGAAGGATTTGATAACCACAGATACAGATGTCCTAAGGCCGAATGTCAAGATGCGGCAGAGGTCAGAACTAGCTCATGCCAGGCGTGTCTCCGGTTGCGCCTGCAAGCATGGACTGAACCTACGCGTTGGGACAAATTTTATTACGAGCTGTTATGCATATGGAGAAATGTGGCATTCATATGGACATTTATCTGCGATCCGAAAGTTCATCTTGTTGCACTCTTTGTGTATTCTGTTGCTATGCCCATTGTTGCTCTGCTCATTACGTGGGAAAGGGCTTCTATTTTGATATTCTTGCCACCTTTTATCACCTTTTTTCGCCTCTGGAAAACGTTGTCTCTGTTTGAAAAAAGTCAATCGGCGAGAGGCCCAACGAAACCCCAAACGCCTGGCAGACAATCTACTAGGAAGGTTTCAGTATCACCTACACCAGCCAAATTGGAAGTTCTCAGTGACCAGGACATGTCGCCGTCTATAACACGATCAAGAAGCATAAGTGAACTTATCGACGATGTCCCCGAGACGCAAAACACCCCCAAATCTTCGACACCCGGCGCCTCAAAGACAGAAATGGATCCGAAATTCTTGACACCAGAACGGCCAAGGTCTGGTACAAAGCGACGGAAAAGTCACAACTAATTGACCACAGCCAAGTCGATCGTTTCATTCATACAAAAATCTTCTATGTGTTGATGTCTCAAAGCAACGAGGGCGTTGCGTATATTGCTGTGTGATGTAGCATAGAACATCAAAGTCTTTCAACCAATCAGGTCCTGTAGCTCAGTCGGTTAGAGCGTGGTGCTAATAACGCCAAGGTCGCGAGTTCGACCCTCGTCGGGACCATTTTTTGTCTTTTTGCTTTATTGGCCTATCTCAGGCTGTCTTGGGGCTCCAGTGCTGTTTGGATTGCGTTTGATTTTTGTTGGTGCTATTTTACTCTTGTCGCTGGTGGTGATTCTTTGATGGTGTTAATATTTCTCGCAATGCAACAACTACTTTTGATTTCGATTGACTCAACTATTTTCTTACTCTTTCGGTTCTGTTTGCAAGCTTTGCTACATTAACTCTTGCATTCATGCTAATTCCCGTGATGGTAGGTTTCGATCTAGCTGAGAATGAAGGGTCAAAGGGACGAAGTTCCATGATCTATGTGCTCTAACAGCTACGACCACAGTCTTTTAGTCATGAGTCAGTTGACCCTGACAAGTCTCATATTCTGTATTATCCGTTCAAGGAGGCCAAAGCCATCGCAAATGAATCATTGTGCAGATCTACCCAAGATGAGTGGGATGGGCCACCTATATAGGGCACGAATTGTGCTCCCGCTCCTACTGTACGGTACTACTACTTTGTGTAGCATTGCTATTTCGAGATTCCTGCCGAGGCATGAAAAGATTCAAATTGATTGCAGATCTCAAAATTTGCAGACTTAGATTCGCACAATCCTTCCAATTCGATGTGAATACGAGAAGTGGAGTTCGCTTCTGTTGCGATGCTATTCAGCCAAGAAAAAACACGGGCTGATCGACTCTACATACCTATATTGGAATACAACTACCACCTAGTTAAAGGTCTAGTATGGTAGTCAACTTAAAGCCTGGTGATTTCCTCTTTCTGCTTTTCTCCATTTCATCTATTCCGCACAGATTACAGAACATCTTATCTCGTCGATATGCTTTCCAAAACAACTCTTTCTTTCTTGATGGGCAGTGCCCTCTTCTTCACCCACTGCACCGCATCTACCTACAACTCTCCTGTCCTCCACAGTCGTCATGAACTTCAGGGTCGATCTCCAGTGGACTCGCCTCTGGGTAAGAGGGCCAAATGTAGCGACGGATCGCAGTGCTTGATCGGCCAATGCTGCGGCGGTGGATGCGCACCCAACTGCTGCGCGCATGATAATGGAGGAGGTATGCTTCTATCTACACCGACGTGAAATATGGACACATACTAATAAATACTTCAGTCGGATGCGGTATTACAGAGCAGTGCTCGTTCAAGGGGAACGTTTTCATTGGATGCTGCAGTGATGTGGCTATAGGGTAAGACTACCTATATCTTATTCAGAAAAGAGTGTATCTAACATCCGATATAGTGGCTGTACCAGCGAAGCGACCCGAGTCACCGTCCATACCCCGTATAGCACCGTCACTCTCCAGACCGGCGCTGCCGCCACGACTGCGGACGCTACAACCTCCACCTCTGAGTCGACTAGCGACTCAACTTCGGCCTCCCTCCCATCTTCAACGGACATGTCCACGACATCTACCAGTACAGCTACATCTTCCTCTGCAGCTGAGACATCAGAATCAGCCACTGCATCGGAAAGCTCCAGTGCGCAGGCTTCTGAGACGAGTTCCGGGGGTGCGGCTCCCACCTCTGCGCCTATGTTTTTCGGCGGTTCGTTGATTGCCCTGGGAGCTTTGGTTTTGGGGTAGATGGTATAGAATAGTTTACGTGTTTCGTGGTGACCATCTGGTAAAATGGGGTATGCTATGGTATACTTACTGCTTTTGCTTTCTTTTTGAGGGCAGAGGGAACAAATTACTCTATGCGATATGAACCTAATATAATAATGAATTTTCTTGTGGCTTAAGAAATCAAACTATTGTTTGTTATATCGACGTTGGAACGAAAATGTAACGTTTGGGACTTATAATCGAGATATTGTATACAGCCATCATCACACCAAACAACAACAAACAACCTTCAACACCACCAAAAGAGAAAAAACCAGAGACCCAGCCATGAAATTAACCAATACAGCAACAGATAAACAGGAAAATAGCAAAAAAAGACAAAAAGAAATGGTCCCGACGAGGGTCGAACTCGCGACCTTGGCGTTATTAGCACCACGCTCTAACCGACTGAGCTACAGGACCACTTGTTGAATAGCGCTTTAAAAGGGTGTTTTATCAATCTAGTAACAAGTTTCACTATCAAATTGTAGAGCCCAAGCACAATACCATGAATAATAACTTGTAATTTTCTTGTGCAGATTATGAATATATAAAGCCATAAATCATTACAAACAATTGCACAATGTCACCACCTTCAATACTTCCTTATCAATCTCCTGGCGCTGGTTGCTATGCACCACATTGAAAAGAAGACCCTAGCACCGTTCTAAGAAATGTCTTATGAATGAGACCCCATATCGATAGCAAGTCCGGATACCATGCGCAATCCGACCACTGGTTGATCTGCTTCTGCTTGGTAGTCCAGTCCCCGAGTGCCAAGGCGTTCTATTTAGGATGGACAAGTAGTGCTGTATTCCTCTCTCGCTACTGATAGCATAATCTAAGGCCGTTTTTGATAATACAACAGTCTTATTTACTAACTCACCGCTTTTATCGCTTTCTAGTAATAGTCAGGCCATCTCGCTCGCTAGCTCATGTTTGGCAGAGCGACTGTGGGTGGTACATGAGGCGCCAACAGTCCATGCACTGAGGCCCGGGCTCACCACATAAGAATCGATGATAAGGCCCTACAGTCTGTGTTGTCAAGACTACACTGAAATTATAGGATCGCGAGACCAATCACTCTATGTGAAATAAAGAAAATGGAAGTCACCTGGTATTCATGAAGGCATCTCTTTCTGGCCTTGACAAGAGGAACGCCGACATGTAGAGATGGCATTCATCTTAGATAATTATTATCAGGTTGAGTTCAGGCATATTCAAAATAATTTTCATTCAACATTGTAAACCTAACCTTGAATAGCAAAGTCTAGATGCAAACCAAAACAACGCTGTGAATGAAAAAGAAGAAAGCTCCATCAGGCTCAACTTTACACGAGGAACAGAGCCCAACCCGCATTCACCCGCACAGCAGAGATGAGTCAGGGCGGGAGTCACCTATATAGGATTTGGACAATTTTTGTGTTTTGTCATGTACGCGACGCTGTGCTCACTGATCTTGCCATTTCACTGATAATACAATCACAAAATTTCTCATTGCATCATGATCATGAATAGAGGTCAAGGTCATACAAAATGCTCCACGTCAGCCTTCAACGGCTCCTTTGGATTAGCCCCAGCCGCTGAAACAGCTACCAGATCTCTCCTCGCCTCCATCTCTCCCGCCGCGCCGTCAAAGACGATGGCAATTTCTTCGAGGGTGCGGCCCTTGGTCTCCGGAAAGACAAAGTAGATAATACCCAAGAACCAGATCAACAGACCGACATACACCAAATAGAATTTCCACTTGATGGCGTCAAAGGCGATGGGGTTGACGTATTGATTAAGGAAGCCCGTGGCAAAGGTAACGGTGAGGTTGAGGGACAAGCCCTTTGCACGCAGGTGGAAGGGGAGGATCTCGACCGGGTATGCAATGGAAAGAGGTGTATAGGCAATGTCATACGAACCGAAGAACAAGAACAAAAATGCAACGACCACGCCTCCAGCTGCTTTGATTCCCCGTCCAACGAAGACGGCCGAGAATGCCGTCACGATGGACAAGAACAAAAGCATGAGCATGGTTGAGACCATCCAGAGCGGCCGTCGGCCATGTTTCTCTGCTGCGATGGCACCCCCAGCTGCGCACATTGCGTTCCACACCTGGAGTCCGAGATTGATACCGGCCTGCTCGCTAGAGTTGGTGATGCCGATGGTTTTGAGAATGGGTGCCAAGTAGTAGGATACAACGCCTGTTGGAGGTTAGCCTCATGGGGTGAGTTGTGGGACAGCATGTCATACCATTACCAGCCCACTGGATCATGAACCCAACCAGGATACAAATCACCAAACGGTGGCGCGCTCCCTTGGTCTCAATGAACTCAGCCCAGCCACTTTTGTGAGCCATGGCCTTCGCCTGCCCAATGGCCTCACAAATTTCGCGGAATTCAAACTGCACGAGGGGGTCAGATGTGTCCCCATTGGCGTGGTACCGAGCCAGTATCTGAAGAGCCTCTTCCTTCCGGTCCTTGGATACCAGCCACCTTGGGCTTTCCGGGACAATGCAAAGACCAAGAAGTTGAAGAGCAGGAAACACAACTTGCAATAAGCAAGGGGCTCTCCAGGACCAACTGCTGTTGTTGTTAACATAAAGAGTACCCAAAGTCACGGCAGCAGCCAGAATAGAACCCCAGTACCAGATCGTCTGGAAAGCAGCTGTGATTGTACCGCGATGACGGGGGTGGGCAATCTCCGTTATAAGTGGAGGGGCGGCCGTTTGCGAGAAACCCAAGCCAACACCCATCATTATCCGAGTGCCAAAAAAGGCCCACTGGCCAGAAGTCGCCGCTTGAACAATACCGGCCACGATCATCAGAACTGAGCCAAGTGCCACACATTTCTTGCGCCCGACATGGTCGGCGAAGTAGGATGCGGGAATGAAGGTTGGAGTACCCCCGAGGGAGATACCTGCAATGATTAAGCCGAGGGTGTTGGAGTCGATATTCTCACCCAGGTTTGTCAAGACTAGGAGGACAATCAGTACACAGTGGAAGCAGTGGTGAGTTGGAGAGCACATACACATGGGCAAGGTCAAAAGACCGTTCATCAAACTGCCATCGTAACCATTGGCAGCGGCTGATGCGAACATCAGGCAAACGCCCAAGTTGAGACGGCGGAGGCCTTTATCCTTGGTCCATTCCCCCATCGTATTATTGGGAATAGAAGCGTATGCATTCTCACCAGGAGAGGTCATCACGCCGGCAGCGACCATGGCTTAGGTAGGATGAGAGTATTTATTAGTGAATGAGATGGTTTCTTTTTTTCTTCTTTCTTTTTAACTCTCAGTGAGGACGAGCGTGCCAGATGAGAAAGAACAGAAAGTATCGCAGAAGACTTTGAAGCATTTTACAGACCAAAAGCCGCCATCGCCCATGAGACTTTGAAAACTGGTAAAATGATTTCAATCCGATCAGCTTTACTGATCAATGGGACGCAACCAGTCGAACTGCCCCATAGCATTTGCGGTTGTCGCTCGCGATGAAGCGTTATCCTCAGCCTGGGACAGAGAGATGTGAGATGTAATCGGTCACTAGATTCTTCAAGTCCTGCCCCCCGCAAAACCCACCCTGGCGGTTTGAGTTCTTTTTTTTTTTCTTTTTTCTTTTGGCCTTTGGGGATTCCGGGGCACTACATAATCAGCAGTGCCTCTGGGCTGGGGGAAAGGGAAATCCCCGCAAGATTCCCTGGTAGGTTTTCGGTGAGATTTTGGGCAAGCTTTCTGGGCAAATTTCCGGCGAGATTCAGGGGCTTTTTTTGGGCCTTGGAAATCTTACACTGTAGCCAATCACGTCCCTCTAGATGAACCTTTCACCAACACCAAGATATTAATTATCACGCGCGGGGAGCTTGCGAAGGGATAAATATGGACAACTCTCCCGTTTCACTGGTAAAGACATATCATGCCACTCACGTTGTTCGTTGAGACAAAAAAAAAAAAAAAAAAAATCCCGACCAGGGACGAAGGCATATCGCAATTCGCTTCCACAAAACCAGAGTACAGAGCTATTGCATGAGAAATGCCAGCTACGTTCCTTGGACTACGAAGCGGCAACTGGTCCGTTCCAACAGAGACTGTCCCCAATTCTCGCAGGGGGCAGGGTGCTTTTGGAGAGATCAAACACTGCGACAGGAAGCAGTGGCTCTGACGAGAGATTGAGAGACTCTAAGAAGTTTCAATATTCCGTTTACAGGTCGGGCCGGCACATGCCCCGATTGATCCAGCGTTGTCTTTCGAATATTTGTTTCCATGCGCTTTTTTATTATAATCATGCAAGAGTTTGTCATTACCACTTCGGATCCCTGTTGACAATCACCTAAACGGTCACTCATGCTGCTCTTCCTCTTCGCCTGTCTCTTCAGAGGTCGGATTATGTGCTCGAGAGTGTGCAGAAGGATGGTCGCCAATCAGGGGAAGGGGGTTGAATGGTAGATAAGAAATCCTGGATTCGCCCAATTTTCTCTGCAGTACTTCTAACCGCTGCGCCTTGCCATTACTCAGCGCAAACAGTCGATAACACAGATGATGGAGAATATCCCGACTCCGAAGAGAGGTATCTTGTGATAGAGATGGAACGCAGTTGATCACATCTAAAAGCGTACTTGCGATCTCGAACAGTTTGATTTCCTGCCTATGATGTTAGGGCATGGCAATACAAGAATCATGAAACATCTAGCTCACCATTCCAGGACCATGTGCCACGAGGGTCCCCAATGACACGTTGGAGACGAACTGCAGTGCGTCTCTTGCCACGTGAGCTGGATATGTTAGGGACATGCTCGCATCCGTTGAACCGCTCGACAGATAGGTTTTTTTCAAGGAAAGTTGCCAGAGCAGTATCCGAAGCCACTGTTGGGTGACAACAATATCTGTTCTCTGGACCTCGTTATATTCCTCAGGCCATTGGATGTGTTGACGAAGTTGGCTCTGCAGCTGTGACAGCGTTTCTTTACAGTATTGTTTGTTTTGAGACCTGCCGTGGCCTTTTGGATCCAGGAGGATCCCCTCAACAGACGTGAAGAGACCAACCAGATTATCAAAAGCCTCAAGGAGTCGCCTCTCACCTGCATGGCCAGGTGATGAGAATTTGATGGAATTGGTCAAGCAAATGTTGGTACCATGTTGCATGGCATGGCCTCTTTCAGTCACGTAAAGAAGCCAGAAAGTCCTCCGTCTATAGCTGTCTTCCGCCAGGTCCAGACACTGATATGTGTCTTCCTTGTCTAGCCCTAAAAGTTGACACATCCTCACCGACTCTCCCAGTAGGAATGAAGCGGTCTGTATCTTCTGTTCAGCCCCATAGTAGAAATGCAGGAACAGAGGCACCAGGACCGCCTCAATGCTAGTACTCTCACGGTAATCATACAAGGAGCGATATCGTTCTGCTTCCACCGCAAATCGATCAGCCACCATGCCTTTTTCTCGTTTTTGAGAGGCAGCGGTATTGCCTGGAGGAAAACCCTCTGAATCAATTCGTAGCTGGGCGATGGTTGCCGCACATATTCCGAACGCTAGAGCGCATGTTTCGCAATTGTTCCAGTCTTTCATGAGCATACTGCCCAGGCGAGTTCTATCAACCACCGGCCAAACAGGATACATTCGCTGATGGTAAATTTCCAGATAAGCCAGAACCTCAGATAGGGAGAAGTTTGACTCCCATTCCGCCGATGGCAGGACCTCACCACTGGAGATTAAGGGAAACGGATCCGAAGAAGATAAATTTTCCGATAGGCATGTGTCTTGAGGCGAGCTTGATCCTGCATCGCCTGGCCATGGAGGCGTGGCTGGACCGGGAGCAGCTCTGTCCCTCAATTCTTGGAGTTCCTTATTGACCCGAAGGTAAGTTCCGCGACGTGGGCCCTTAGGGCCTGGCTTTGCTGGTTTCTTAGCGTAGGAGCACTCAAAGCCAGCCCTGACGCAGTTGTGGCAGGGTTGATCGCCAGTACATCTGTTCTTGCGGAGGTAGCAGCCATCGCAGGCCCGCCGTCTCACCATGGTGACGAAAGAGTCATCGAATTGCCATTGGAAGGCAGATGTTTCGAGTGTCTGAGTTCAAATTTAAGGGACAGATATACAATCTGAATCCCGCCAGCATACCCTCGGAAATTGAGAAGTCGAATACAAAAGTCTGATTGTTGGATACGAAGCGATCGCCCCTTGGCTCCAATGTCTATTCCTTCGATATTTGATTAGTAATCTAGGTTCTACTCTGGTAGCCACTGAGAATTAAGCCGGGAATTAAACCGGAACGTAAACCAATAATCAAACCGAAGCAGACCAAGAAGCAACCTTCTCGGGTGTCTAAATAAACTTCGGCACGGATGAGCCACAGCGTTACCCCTCATTGGAATGCATGTTGAATAACTATACGGTCATGAAAATGCGATATTGACTGACTTGCTGCAAGGTCGATATACATGAATCGATACGCTCCAACAAGAGCCTTATATTACTGTCTGTTTCCTGTTTCCTGATTGCAGTGAAAAAGGAAGATGGAAGTAGCAAATGAAGACCCCTCGTTAAGGTTAAATTAGCTTCGATTCCTGGCTACCAGTGTTTGTCTAAAAGATATTACTTCTAATGTAATTGAGAGCATGACCATCAGGACTTTCTTCACTTGGATCTTAAAGGGAGTGAAATCTATCTGATTCAAGCTTCTTAAGTCTGTCTGTTATAGGGTGCTTAAAGTTTTTCTTGCACCAGATGGTGAGTAATGGATTGGGTTCAGACCCAGATTCAATGTTAATGGCCGCTTCAGACAAACTGGGCTTTCTTCCATTTCTTCGTCCAGGAAAGGGACCATTAGAAGTTGGTAATGGATATCTTCTGCTGTCATCTAAATCGTCCTTGTTGTTGACAAAATATAAATATAAGTGGGGGGTAGGATCATTAGGATTGTTATATTTAAAGTTGACACGGTCATGCAGCCCAATACGGATCTCGACCTTCAGGGCGGCGTCTAATAAAGGAATAGGACTAGTTAATACTAAAAACTGCAATAGGGTCCTGTATACGTCTATAAAGTAAAATCTATACCATTTCACGCAGAAAATCAGACTAAATTGAAAAGCCTCATTTATCTATATATAGCAGATGCTTGACAAGAGTTTCCTCTTTAGAATCTCAATGGTTATTAAAGGCAGGAAAATCACTGTACTATAGCAAGAGACGTTTCTGGATGTTGGGTGGGCCGCATACCTTGTTATTTGCCACTTTTCGTATGGGACTGATTTTTATTTTGCGTTCGCATTAATAGATTAAAGATCCCTTTCTGAGGACATCAAAGATGATATATCTAGAGCCTTCTGTGGTTACACAGATGGCGTGAAAAATGGCTCGAAAGTCGGCATTATATAGTGTTGTCAGGAACGATATACATCGGGCTATCGTGCTGGAAAAAAAGGCCACGAAGGTCTATCAAAGTCCAAGTATGCTCAAAATCAATTAAACAGAATCAATGATAAGATTTACACTTGAGAAACAGTAGAAATTTCCTGGCAGAAAATTCGAGGTTGCTTCTGCGCATAAGCCGGAGGAATGATGCATGTCGGAAGAAGCCCTAATACCATGGATGGCGAGTTCAACCACATCAAATTATCCAGACAATACTAAAAGATATTAAATATGGAAACATTGAAAAGTTTCAAGTTATCACCAGTTTATCAATGCAAAATGTCTTTCTATAGTTACTCTGCACATCATTTGAGACACGTGCAGCATACGAGGTCATAACCCTAACACAGGCCAAAATACATGAAATAGGTTCAGATAACACTAAATTGAAGCCTGTATCAACAATTAGGTCCTGTAGCTCAGTCGGTTAGAGCGTGGTGCTAATAACGCCAAGGTCGCGAGTTCGACCCTCGTCGGGACCATTTCTTTTTTGTCTTTTTCTTGTTTTTTGCTATTTTCTCTTTTGCGTCTAAATGGCATATCCGGTTTATCTGAAGTCAACATCTATTCGTAGTGATCGTCCAATGTCATGTCATTCGGACGTTAAATTAACTTTTCCGCTGACTAACCAGCCCACACTGTCCTTATTCTTCTTTGTCAGCGGAAGTCGGAAAACTCATTCTATTATCTTACGGTCATACGCTTTATTGCCGTCCAAAATCTGCAGATTAACCGATTGTCAGGATATAGCCGGATCTACGGACTTGATTTTACCCTAGGTCTGGTTTCCCCGGGTGCTGGGGAGCTCATTACGCATGTATCAGTCCCCAACGTCGGCCGCGAAGCCTGGAGACGAGACTCCGCACGGGCAGCATGCAAGAAAGCGGACGGCCAGAGCGTGTGATTCGTGCTATAAAAGAAAGGTACTGATTATCTCATCGATTGCTCATTTTTGCTGTATTTATATATTTCTTTTTGATGCACGTGCTGATATTGATGGGTACAGATAAAATGTGACGCTGCTGTTCCACAGTGTAACTGGTGTAGCCACCATAACATCCCCTGTACATTTGAGAGGGCCAGTCAGAGGAAACGAAAAGATAGACACAATGGGAACAGGTATTCAAGCGCGTAATGCAGAGAATTCCAATACATCTGCTAACTATAGCTGCTAGATCAGACAAAGCATCGCATCTGGCAGCGCGTATCAGCCGGATAGAAGAACTTGTGACGCAAGGATTGCTGCGAGAGTCCGGTGAGTTTGTCCGACCATATTTCCTGGCACAGCATAAGCTAACATGCAGACAGTCTCTGCTGGATCTCCTGGTGGCTCTGAACGTAATTTCGTCCCAAGTGCCACTCCGCCTAGCTACCCCCAGGCTCTACCACCTGGTCCACCACTTGGTCCTCCCAGTCAACCCCCGGTCTCATCTTCTGTGGCACTGCACTTCGCTGGGAGAGAGTTTGGCGTGATCAGCCTAATTACAGGAATCCCATTTCTTCTTCCAGAGGGCCAGCAGTGGATCGAGTCGCGGACCGGCCAGAGGGTCAACAACGATAAGCTTAGTCTCTCCAGGCCACCATGGGAGAAACAACGAGCCCAGAGTTCAAACGCATTGCTGATGGATCTGCAACCAAAGGAGCTTCTCGAGCTTCCTGACCAAACTGTTGTGCGGATGCACTTTGAAGTCTACCGCTCATCCTTGATGCAACGCGTATTTCCCGTTCTGGACTCATTCCTTTTCCACGAGACGATCAAGACCGCTTACCAACCGCCGCAATCCGAGGATTACTACGGACACCACAGTGCCAGAGCATGCATTTTTGCTTTTATTGCCTTTGCATCCATCTTACACCAGCCTGCAATTGAGGGCACAAGATTGCCACCCATCGACAGTGACGCTTATACGCTCAGGGCGCGATACCTAGTACCTCAGATTTTGCAAGAGACCCCAACATTAGACGGGCTGCAGACTGTGACAATTTTGGTAAGACTTATACTACCTGCTGTGCAATTCGATGGCAAATGCTAACCTATCGATAGGCATTAATTGAGCTCATACTAGGAAACCTGCGTTCTGCAGACTACTTTGGCTCTTTATCAGCACGATTCATTTTCATGCTAGGTGCTCATACTAACCCCACCGAATCTCTAAAGCCCACGGCATCGTTTGCGGAGTTCCTCAAGGCCAGAACGAAGCGTCACCTACGCAACATTTTCTGGCTCTGCTACAGCATCGAGAAAGATGTTGCTATCCGAACAGGACAGCCTCTGGTTCTATCCGACGAAAACTGCGACATTACCCTACCCCCCGGCTACGAAGATAACCTTTACACAACCATGGCATTTCATCACCACTCGCAACAGGTTCCCGATAGCCCGCTATTCCCCGTCGACCTCCGATTAAGCATCATCAAATCACGAGCATACAGCGCTCTATACTCATTCAAAGCGCTGCAAAAGTCAGACGCAGAGATTCTGAAAGAGATTCGCGAACTCGACGACGAACTCGAGAGGTGGAGGCTTTCGGTGCCACTGGAATGGAGACCAACACTGTCTTTCTCCCACGAGACACCAGATCCTAACCTCAGCATGCATTCTGTCATGTTACGTCTGAACTACCACCTCTGCATGATGATCATCCACCAAGCAAGCAGCCGCTGCAAAGCATGGGACAAGAACCAGAGCGGAATGAGAGAAGGCGTAAGCTCAAGCTTAGCCCTCTCCGTCGAAGCCAGTCGCTCAACACTACTGTACCTCGAAACGGCGGAGCCTGTCCTTCTCGATGGTGTTTTCTGGTAAGCCACAATCATCCCAACCAACCAACCAAACAACCAACCCATACTCTATTAATTCCCTAACAAATCATAGGGCCATAATCTTCTACCCCATGTCCGCTCTCCTCGCAATATTCTGCAACATCCTCCAAAACCCCTCCGACCCGCAAGCCACAAAAGACCTCGCCCTCCTCAAGACCGCGACAGGGGTCATGGAGCGGGTGTTTCTGCGTGAGACGGCCTCGAGCAACGAAGTCGTGCATATTAAGCTCGTGGCGGATTTCGTTAATGAGTTGTACAGACTTGCGATTTGTGCGGTGGAGAAGGCGTACAATGAGCGATATGGATGACTTGATGCATGATTTGTGGTATGGTTTGGCGAATTTCTTTAGCTTTGGTGTTTGGGTGTTGTGTTGTGGGTTTCGAATTCATTGGATTGGAAGAAATCTTTGGTTTGCAAATTGACATGGGTAGATCGATATGAAAGCATACTCGTATATAATCTAATATCTATTTGAACCTCTACAAAATCCAGCAGGATCGAGAAATACGTTTACAGGTGTGAAGTCACATCAATTGAAATAAAAGTCATATTATATTCAAGCATAGCATGATATCTAAACCTGGGTAATACCTAAACCAACCAACGTTAGCAATTTGTTTCCAAGTCAATGAAGCTTGCATTGGTGGATGAAATAAAGCTTATGAAGCTCTTCAGATTATTAGAGGTAAAAAAATGCACGATTAGACTCAAAGAACACAAGTGTCCTCATATGGGGTTGAAACAAAGAAAAAGGCATAATCATCATTGTAAAGCTGAGAAGAAAAGAAAAAGCAGCATCGTAAAACTTACCAAAGTCAATGATATGAGCGATGTAAAGCGACTTGATGGCTCAATTCCAGGCAGGTAGTCCAATAGGCATTTCAATGGATAGACTGCATCTGAACAATGAGACCGTCAAAGCCACGCTCGACGAAATGAGAAGCTCAGATCTCGAGACTGATTGTCGATGTGAAAGCTGGGTTGAAGCTTGAGAACAAAAAATGTTTGGCTGGAGAAAATTCGGTGGGATTTTTAAACGGGGCGGACTAGTGCGACACGTGACCCTATCGGATAAATCGTGATTCCGAAGCCGCATTCTATCAGATCGGATTGAGACATTGAGTGGAATTCGACAGTCTGGGATTTCCTCGATATCGATAGATAGTTGTTGTTCGTAGACCGATGTGTTGGGGCTGGTTGTGTGGATTATATTGCTTCTGACCAGCAGAAAGAACTATCCAGAATCTGTAGGAAGGACTGGCGTATAAATACCGTAACCCGGTTGATATAGCCGCTGCGAGAGTTGTATGCCAGTCTGTTTGAGACAAGGTGCCGTTAAATGCGATGTGATCGGCCGTATGTATAATAGCTCGTCAATCGCCCATGGCCAATCAATTATTCTCATCCAAGAGGTCCCACATCAGTCGAGAATCTTCAGCCTGCTGTTCGCTTGATTCTATCGGCTTGTTGCCTTTCTCGGCGGCCTGCATGGCAGCATCCGCATCAAGTCCCTCGGCTTGCAGCTTCTCCAGAGCTGCTTCAATCTCAACCTTCACTTTGTCCATCTCCTGGATCTCCTCCCTTGTCCGGCCCAATTGTTCTTCCATCATCAGAATCAGGGACTCTCGCGCTTGGTGAGGCCGATACAAGTTCAGAAGATGGTGCGCGTTGATGAATAGGTTGCGCAGATCCTCCACCTTGGATTCGAACTGTTCCGGATATACCGAGAGAATGCCAACAAAGTCAAGGAAGTTTAAGAGTAGAGATTTGCTGATTTTGAGAAGATAATAGGCGTGGTTTAGCGGCTGGGAAGGTTTCGCTGGAGATTCACGATCGGCGTCTGCTGGAGGGGAGGGGTAGAGTTGTTCAATGCCTTGTTCTTGTAAGGATGGGAGGGCGGTCGAAAGCTATAGCAATCATTGTCAGTCTCATGTAACAAACATTCATTCAACTTGAATGGCATGGAAACGCACGCTTTGTAGCTCCCCAAAAACGCTGTATTGCTCTGTGGGAATTTCAGGTGGCACAAGGAAACGAAGCTCTGGAGGGAGATCGAGAGCGCGTAATTCAGCCGCCGTCCACTTCTTCTTCCGTGATTTCCCATCTTCTCCCTTTGAAGCTTCCTTCTTGATCCCCTCGAGCTTCTTGATGTTATCTGGAGTGAAATGTTTCCATAGGGGAGGTGGCGGCGCGAAAGCAGTCGCGAGGGCTCTTTGTTGTCCAGCCTCGGCCATTTTCTGCTCACTCGAGAGGTAGCTATTTGGTCATGAATTAGATGATAGTGGAGTCGAGCAACGAGGATAAGATCGACGTGGGTGAAGAGGAATGTCGGATGGTTTTGACCGCGATGCGGAGGTGACAGACTGGCCCGTGCTTTTCAACGGCCTGAGGCGGCCGGCGAAACAGTGAACAACTCGTGTGACACTCTTGTCCTTCTCTCACTTACGTGCTGCTGTCTTTTCTTTCATCTGCGCTTCGGAATGCGCAGCGAGTGTGACTTGTCTGATGGTTTATCTGCTTAATTGAGTTTGCGAATATGCCTCGCAATGGGTTAGCTGCTGGGTCGGCAATTCCCATGTCCAACCAGGCCGGTGTAGCTGGTGCCGTGACTCGATTTTGCCAGCGATCGTACGCGGTGGATTATATCGCGTTGGTAGTTATTGCAGCAGGATGGGCTCTGGTGAGTCAGACAATTCTACGCAGTGTATATGGTACTGACAGTATTGTCGCATAGATCCAGCTCTTCGTGGACCCATTCCATCGCATGTTCTCTCTCGACAACAAATCCATTCAATATCCCTTCACTGTGGTTGAAAGAGTGTCGATTGGTAAGTACATAAGGGTTTATACATATTCCTGTGCTAATAGATCCAGTGTGGTCCATTATCTACGCCGGAGTCATCCCTTTCGTGATCCTCGTCCTTTGGGCGGCCATGTTCCGTCCCGGTGCGCATAAAGTCCATGTGACGATTCTCGGGTTTTTCGTGGCTTTGATGCTATCCACGTTCCTTACGGATATTATTAAAAACGCAGTTGGGAGACCTCGGCCAGATTTCATCTCACGCTGCATCCCCCGCAAGGGCACCGCAAAAGATGTGCTGGTCGCATATACCGTTTGCACCCAGACCAACAATCATATACTCCAGGAAGGCTGGAGGAGTTTCCCAAGTGGCCATAGCAGCTTTTCATTTAGTGGTCTTGGGTATCTGACTATGTAGGTTGAGTTTGACCTCCAGTATATAAGGATACTAATTTTGTTTTAGTTTCTTTTCTGGCCAGATGCACGTATTCAGACCGAGGACGGATCTCGCTAGATGTCTTCTCGCCCTTGCCCCGCTTCTGTGCGCACTGATGATCGCCATTTCACGTCTTGATGACTACAGACATGATGTGTATGATGTTACGTGTGGCTCGATTCTGGGCGCGGCAGTGTCCTATTTCTCTTATCGCCGTTACTATCCTTCGTTGTGGGCCATTAGTTGCGATGTTCCACACAGTAAAACCGACCTGGTCGACCCTGATGGGTTTTCTAAGCTGCCTGGGGATGAGGAGCAGCAGATTGAAGGGCGTGGATCTATTCCGCGAAACTGGGAGGATGGAGAGACTTATCAGCTTGGAGAGGCAGTGGAGTCTCGGAGGTAGATTTCTTGACTTTCTAATGATACCCTGGCATATTCAATATATTGGTTTCGTATAATTAAACCGCACAAAGACTATTCAATTTACCATATTATATTGAGCCTAAATACGATGAACCTCACCTACCTTTACCACAGGCTGCAGGAAGTTGATTGGTCGAACACCAACCCTGTCTATCCATGGAATCCAAGGCATTGAGGCAACCAATGACTTTTTCCACTACTGCATGCATACCTAGCCACCAGGCTGAGCTAACAGCGCCTCATAGAGATACCTATTTAACATCCACCGCACGCAGAGAAACCGCCTTTTCAATTTTATCCTAATCTCCAACTATGGACCCCTTATCTGCACTTAGCCTCGCAGGCACCATAGTCCAATTTATCGATTACGGGATCAAGATAGTCGGAAAAGGTCGCGAACTGTACAAAGCTGGCACCCTGGGTTTGAACGAAGAAATCGAGCTGACGACGACTGAGCTTCAAAAGTTCACAGCCAAATTTCAGCAGGGCAAGTCCCATGCGGGTCAGAATAGTATTACCAGAAAGCCGCTAGGGGAGAGTGACGTGGCGTTGCAGAAGCTTTGTAGTGGATGCGATGAGGTCGCGAAGGAATTATTGGTGCAGTTGGCCAAGTTGAAGCTCAAGACCGACCCGGAAGAGCCAAAGTCGGATGCTCCCAGACAGGAGAAGGAACGATGGAAGCGGCAGCTGAAGAAAATTGCTCTTCTCAAACAAAGTCTGCAGCTGGGGCTGGAGAGTGTATGGAATCAGGGTGCGATTCAAGAGCTGGAGACGAGGCTGGAGAAATATCGAGCAGCCATCCAAACGCAGTTGCTAGGATCATTGGTGTCTGTCTGGCTTTGAGTATAGAGTTGAGGTTGGAAGCTAACCATGTTCCCTTCCAGAGACCAAGCAGAGTCATTGGCAAAACAGCAATCGCAGAGATTCGATGCTTTAGATCGAGAGACAAAGCGGATTGCCAGTCAACTTGTACAGGACATGCAGAAGAACATTTCTCAGAATATTTAGCAACAAACAGCAGCTTTAGCACAGCTAATCAACAAGAAATCCATTGTTATTTGGGTCAAGAAAAACAAGGACAAGAGGGACAAGAGGGATGAGCCGGACGAGACGGACGAGATGGACAAAAAAGATATGACGCCAATTGTTGTCACTGATAACTACCAAGAGACTGACCAGCATCGAGTCAACCTGATTGAAAAGGCTCGCAAGAAAGAGAGACGAATCCGCTACTCGGCCAGTCACGATATCCCTTCCAGCTTGCAGTTTGATGCGCGAATGGAACGCTACGCAAGACTCAGCGAGGCACATGAGAGCACTTTTCAGTGGATAAACCACAACGACAACCACGACGAGGAGCGCCGCTGGGATGGTTTTCGTCGACTGGCTGGGATCAGGCAGTGGACTGTACTGGATTCAAGGGAAACCTTGTTCAGGAAAGTCCACTTTGATGAAATACATCGGCCACAAGCCGTCAATCTTTGACACTTCGTAGAGATGACTAATTTCAGAAAGACGTTTCAGATTGCGATTGAATAACAGGATAATCGATCAAGTCAACAGGACAAAGAAGAAGGAAGCTAAAGCGTCCATTATGCAGATCCCCCGTGACAGCAATATCAGCCCCAGTAGTATAAGATGCCCCATCGCCCAACAGGTACGCCATCGTGAATGTTAGGTCCCCAGTCTGGCTAATGCGCTTCAGCGGGGGCGTTGTTCTAAATACCTCCTATATATCTGTAAAATGCGCCAATGTCTTGGCTATAATGAATCTAGGGGAGATTATATTAACACGGATGTTGTATGGAGCCATCTCCATGGTAAGAGTCCCTCCCAGAAGTTTAATGGCGGCCTTAAGAGGCTCTTATAGATAAATACCCACTGTGCAGGAATGGCGCAGTGGGCGACGATGGAGGCTATCATCCCAATTGAGCCGCCATTTCCTTATTTTATCATTTGCTTGGCCGCTAACTGAGCGGACAAGAAGAATCCGAGGACCTGCTATGTCAGTATATATTGAAAAATAGGATGGAAGACGTACATTAATGTCAAGAATCCGCCGAGACTCTTCCCATGTACGCTCAAGAAATGGCTTGTCCAGGGCAACACCAGAACAGGGGATCCAATTGTCGAGTTTACCTAGGTCCCTAACGAAATCCATACACCTACATTAACGAAAAATGGAAACTCCGACAGGAAATAATAACACGCTATTCAAGAATCACAGTTTTGTACTGTGGACCTGCATCGACCCAGATTTTGAGAGCTATGGCACCAATTCCAACTCGGCGTGCAACGCTCGTCTCAGGATCCCGGTTGATCAGCATCACACGTAGCATTATACCACTGTCCATTTTCTCAAGGACCTCCGTATCTGGTGTAGATTCATTCCCCCGATCCCGGTATAAGAAATAGGAATCTCCAATAGACATTAGTATGAATTCCATCACGCCATTTTTGATAGACATTGAGTAATACTCAGGCGTTGTGACCATGCCTGCAAAAGATCCATTCCTGGATCTGATTGACAGATTGTACTCTGTTGAGCTGGAATGGTGCAAGTTGGAGGTGTCAAGATAGAAATATGCACTCTGACCGTGAAATAGAATCCTACCAGGGGCGGCGTATGCCAGGCCACAGTCACGTGGAGTAAAAATACTTTGTATATCCAAGTGGCCAAATGCATCATGCCAGAATGAACTGTATGTAGGCCATCGTTTGTAAAGAGTCATGAGCAGAGATCCATGAGACAAACTTTCAGGGGTTGTGAGATAAGCAGTGAAACCAAATGGATATTTGTGGGCCAGAGTAAAATCAACGGAGGGATAGGAGGGCTCTTTCTGGATCGGGAATGGCCTTGGCACACATCCACCAAGCCACGCCACCACCAGTTTGTGCAGGAGACCTATCTTCCTACTGTAGCCTTCATGCCATTCAGATTCCAGTAGTGCCTTTTCGTCCAATGGAGAGGGTTTGCATACAGCGACGGTTGTTGCTGATTCAGGAATGGCCCATATTGCAAGCCCGGCTGCTACCGTCGATTTGCGTATGGGACCAACATGTGAAGTCCATGACCATGATGGAAATCCATCTCGAACCTTCCAAGGGATAAAATTTGATTTCCAACTGAATTCGTCCGGTTCCCAGGCAATGGCTTGATCGATATAATCGAGTGGGAGGCCATGGTAAGTGCGGTCTCCATGGGTGGCCTGTAACACTGCGGTAAAGGCATGCAGGATATCAGTCTGGTAGGACAGTTCTCTCTCGGTGTACTGCACCAAGGTTCCCCAGTAATTCATGTCAAGGGGGAGTATCCACGCAGAATCCTTTTCACAGATTGTTTCTGACTCTATTTGTCCTGGAGACGAATGTGAATAGTAGACTCCATAGTTAGTGAAAAATAGCATTGCTGAAGAGCAGTACCCCTCCTGAAGGGTCCAACCTCGTGTCAGCCATCTTTTACCGTCCATGAGTTTATGTAAAGCGGGCGCTTTATTAGAAAAGGTTATTCGACCAATGTCCACGACTGTGTGTTGCCAAGACTGGGGCACAGTCACTCTGGGGAGGCCATGATTGGAGTCGTCGCCCTCCAACGCTACCAACGTGCAGGTAGCATGTCGATAGATGTGATTCATCTGGGCGATCTGTTCCTGTACCTCGGATGGATTACTCTGGTTAATACAGAGTTGATCAACCCAGAGAAATCTGTATCCTAGTCTGTCGCATGCTAGTATCGCATCCCGGATAGTTGCAGGCAAGTTATCCCTCTTGAAAGAGCGTGATGGTGGCAATTCAATGGTTTTAACCCCCCCGAAAACATAGCTCAAAGCCAGGTATTCACAGTCCGTCGGGGCATGAACTACTTGATCGTCGACCACATCGATAACTTTGAGATTTTTCGGCCTCCCAGAGGCAATTGAACGTGAATATGTATGCATCCATCGGCGCGCTTTGTCCCAGTCAACATATCCTTGTAGCGGAGGTGGTGGATACTCGCACGGATCATAAGGGGAGCGCCAGGGCATCTTATCAACTCCTTTGCTTGGGACCCATGAGTGGATCTCGATATGTCGCTTAATCCCAGGTAAAGAAAACCAGAAACCGATTGTGGACTTTGAGCGTAAATCTATCTTGATCGGCCGGGCCCGTGAGTTGTTGTCGGGGTTCAGTTGAAGTTGTGCGTAGCATGTGTTGCTGATAAATTGACAGAAGCGGCACCGCGAACCCCTCTCCTCCACTTCTCTCCAAATACCGATCTCAATGTCTGGAAGCCAGCTCAACGTATAGTCGACGCATAAATGCAAGTGGGCAATTCTCAAATGCCGACAAACGTCACACAGAATATCATCGAAAGCCTCGGTGGAGCATCTGTCACAATCGGAATGGAAGAGCTTATGAATGTTTTCTTCAACCTGGTCAATCCAGCCTGCAGAATAGCCTTTGCAGACGCTGCAATCGAGGCTTTTCTCCGAGGGACGAGCCATGGCTGTGTTGATGGTGAATGGTGATTTCCCAGCTTGCTCAGGGCTTTTGAGGCTGAATCTTGGTCATGCATGAACAGCTGGCAACGCGTCAACCTCAACGCCCCACGATATTTCAGCATTTGGTCGCTAAGGTCCAGTAAGGTATATGAACTAAGCAAGATAGATCCTACTATTTAAAAGGCTATCTTGTATTGCCTGTTCTGGGGATAGACATAATTTTGACGATATAAAACAAGTTCTATGGACACCTCCGAAGCTACGGGATAATGGATCTACCGAGTGAAAGCCGCTCGCCTTTGATAAATATACGGCAAAAACCCTGACGTGTTCTGATATCCTCAGGGTCTTTTCCTACTTTCTATACATTGCCGTGGAATTCGACCTCTCATTCTACCTCCGCGACCTGCTAACAACCAACAAGAACTATCCCAGGAAGAGTGAAAAGACGACTCTTCCAGCACGCCCTGACAGCGAACGAAAGGACCCAGCCAGAAACCATCTTGGCTCTATTAACCCATGGAATCGGCCCGTTCACGGAGCGCCATGAATGACAATATTTCAAGGCGGAGATCACTCCACCATTCGCAGAACGCTTTGCTTTTGGGCCAGGCTTCCATCGTGCAGGCTACACTGAAGTATCTTGGTGGATCTGTGAGTTCAGATAAACAAGAAATGAGTGCCTGGGTGGAGGTTCTGAAGCAACTTCTTCCGCTACCTCGAACAAAACTTTCCATGCCTGTGGGTGATGACATCCAGACTCGTCTCGACATGTGTAATATGGATGAGAGGATATTTTCACCATTCCCGGATCTATATGACGAGGTTCAGCTATTGCTTCCAGAAACGGAGCCGATGAAGACTTCTTCGCGGAGACATTGTTTCATGCAATAGTTGCAAAGATGTTGTTGGAATATAGTAAATATCATGTAGCGTCATAGCGGATCAATCCTTATTATTAATTGTTCAAAGCTTCGAAATATCTCTATGCTTAACATTCGTCCATTCCTTGACATCGTGGAAATCCATCACCTTATTCGGCCCACCAAATCGACCCAGAGTATCTCTCCAGTTTCTATTGGCAGCACTTTCTGGATCCCATTTGATGATTTCGTGGATTCTAGATGGGACCTTGTCTTCCATTGCGTCGACGATAAGATTTCCAATTGATGGGAGGTATTTGAAGCCTGGATGAGTTAGTTTTCACACTTGAGATGGTAGTATATGAGAATGACATACCTCGTCCAGAAGCACCGCAGCCCAGAATAAGAGAAGGGTGATGGGGATGGCGATCGATGATGAATTCGCGATTGGCAGTATCCGCGCACCAGCAGATTCTCGCAAAGCTGAACGGCCGATCCGCGAACTGAGGCATTGTCTCCGCGAGAAGCGCTCTCACTCTTGCTTCTGATTCCGCGGGGACTTGTGTCTTTTCAAATGGAATGCTTCGACATGTGCCGTCGGCGTCTTGAACCATGTTGGTGTATCCGGGATGCTCGTCGCAGATTTTGATCTCGCCGCGCTCTTCGTCCGGCTCGAAGAAGAATCCCTTTTCGATGTTGAAGATGACGGGAATGTTCTTGTATAGAGCCCGTTCTTCTGGCTTCAACGCGATATGCACGAGTGTCCACGCCGTCGGGCGCAGCTGTTGCTTGAAATCTAGGAATTGGCCTGCACTAGCCCCAGCGCAGAGGAAAGTCTGATCTGCTCGCCAGATCTTGCCGTCAGCTGTCACGGCGCCCTTGACGTCGTTGTTCTCGAAGATGAGCGTGATGACCTTTCCCTGCGGGGATCCCGTCACGAACTTGACGCCCAATCTCTGCGCTTCCCTCGCAGCAGCCACGAGGGCAAGACGCGCAGGCGCCCACCCAGCCCCCGAGCGATGGAAATAGCCCTTCCAGCCCGGAAAATCGCCCTGCAGAACACCAGGCGCTGCGAGTTTGCGGAATTCCTCTGGCTGTGTCAGCTCGACGATATTGGGGTCGCTGTCTGGCCTCACGCGAACACCGAGTCGGCCCAGGCCTTCTGGTGTGCAGGCGGACATGAGCAGACCGGTGTCGTGGTAGTAGGGTTTGAAGAGAGGGTCGTTCTTCCAGCCGTGCATGGCCTGCTGGCCGAGGAGTTCGTTGACTTCGATTTCATCTTTGTTGGTGGAGTATTGGCCTGACGAGATGACTTTGTTGATGTCGTTGCCGGCCGAAATGGCCGACGGCACTGGGTAGGGATCCAGGACGGTGACATTTGTGTATCCCCTGCGAGCCAGATGGAGGGCAGTGGACGAGCCCCAGGTGCCGGCACCGACGATGAGAAGGGGGGATGATTTTGTGATGGCCATTGTGTGGATGAATTGGAGTACAGGTTGGACAGAATGAGGCTATCGACAAATCGGTTGGTCTTTTATAGGCGATAGCAGGGATTCATGCGGTGGCGGGATTTCCGACCGAGGGAAGGTCCACGCGATTTGGAGAATTGAAGACGACAGCATCGCCGTATCGGAGAGAAGAGCGTATCTGATATGACTAGTGCTAGTTGTATCTATATGCACTGGTTGTTTAGATTGATGCATTGATTGAGATAGATCGAGAAAACCGTTTAGGCTGAGACAGCCCGACATCGGATGTATATCCGATAGATATGATGCTATTCAGAGCAATCGCTGTCCACATAATCAATGGATAATGAAAACCACAATCATGATCAACATATACTATTACCTATAGAAACTAGTATAATAAATTAGCTATAATAGAATACGAAGCATCGGATACCAGTAAATGCGGGGAAGTTCGTCCTTATCATATTAGGCTATTATCTCGCTTGGACCTTACTTGCATCTGCCTTTGTCTTCTCCGCACTATCAATGCTACTGAGATCGACGATATGGGGAAGGCTATCTATCTGCTATCTAGTATCTTCTATCTACCTTCGTCTGTGATACGACGTTACGTTGGAGTAGATATGCTACCATGCGTGTTTTATTTCCTATAAAGCACAGCCATGGCCTCCTTGACTCTCTGAAACATCCACAACTTTCAAGTCTTGCAGTGAAACACCATGGCTCGATTCCGTTTCCAGAGCCAATCTGGCGATGTAGAAGAATGTCCACGCGATACAACCCTGCAGAACAATGACCTCCCCAAGAAGCCTGTTACTGCCGATGAGGCGATGGAAATTGCCATAGGGGAGAGCAACAGTGTCGAATATACCATTGATTCAGACAACTCTCCATATCTTGAAGTTCGAGCCAATGTGCCCAACACGGATGATCCGACTTTGCCTATCAACACATTTCGAATGTGGTTTTTGGGTGTTGTTTTCACTTTGGTATGGCCGAAACTAGAATACATGAAGCTATACTGACAGTCATAGGTCGGAACAGGCGTCAACCAGTTCTTCTCGATGCGATACCCCAGCGTGACCATCACATCGCTCGTGGCACAGTTGGTCAGCTATCCCGTTGGATGCTTCTTCGCTAAAGCATTGCCCATCATGAAGATTCGTGTTTTTGGTCGAGAAATCATGATAAACCCGGATCATCACTTTAACGTCAAGGAACATGCTGTTATTACCATCATGTCGAATCTCAGTTTTAACCAGTCTTGGGTGAGTATCATCTGGTTGAATCATGGAGTGTATGCTAACTATACCAGGCCAGTGCTATTATTCAAGCACAAAAGGTATACCTAAAGATGGAAACGCCAGTTGGATACCAGATCTTGCTGGCCTTGTCCATGCAAATGTTTGGCCTTGGTCTGGCTGGTATGGTATACAAGTATATCATTGAGCCACCGCAGATGGTACGTATAGCATCATCTACCACGAGCCTTGACTAACTCTATAGATCTGGCCTTCGACTTTGGCAAACGCGGCATTGTTTGAAACTCTGCATAGTGAAGCAAATCCTCTTGCGGACGGCTGGAGAATTTCGAGATATCGATTCTTCATCTACGTCTTCATTGGAAGTTTTTGCTGGTATTGGCTTCCTGGATATATCTTCACAGGTCTGAGTACTTTTGCATTTGTGTGCTGGGCTGCTCCAAGTATGTTATTTCAGTCACATTAAGAAATATCTAACATGATCTAGACAGCAAAGTCGTCAACAATCTGTTCGGCATGACAACCGGCCTTGGATATCTCCCTACAACCTTCGACTGGAGCCAGATTGCCTACAACACCTCGCCGCTGGTGATCCCCTTCTGGGCCCAAGCCAATGTCTTCGCTGGATGGTTCTGCGTGTATGCTGTCGTGGCACCCATTCTCTACTACACCAACACCTGGTTCACTGCGTATCTCCCTCTGACAGGCTCCGATGCATACGACAATACCGGTAATATCTACGACTCCAGTCGGATTCTGGATAGCAACGGTGCCATAGACGTCGAAAAGTATAAGGAGTACAGTCCTATCTTTTTGCCGATCACCTTTGCCCTCTCGTATGGTCTTGGGTTTGCTGTTTTGAGTTGTCTCTTGACTCATGTGGTGCTGTACCACAGCAAGGATATCTTGAGTACTTTCAGGGGCCAGAATAAGAAGGATATTCATGCTAGGTTGCTGTCGCGCTACCCGGATGCTCCGTGGTGGTGGTATTCCATCCTGACGGTATGATTCCCGAAAAATTGTTCGTATGCAGCGGCTAATCGAAAAAGGTCATCGTCGTGGCTGTGGCCATCATGGTGCAGTATGTGTGGGATACAGGACTTCCATTCTGGGGACTCTTCATCACTCTTGCTCTGGCTGCACTTTATGTGATTCCTGTTGGAACGGTATACGCCGTGGCCAACTTGAACAGCAATGTCTTGACTGTTTTGGGTGAGATTGTTTCCGGTTATTTGCTGAGAGGCAAGCCGCTTGTTCTTTTGATTTTCAAGGTGTGTCCATCATCACCAGGCGTGGAGAATTCTTGCTGATATATGTTCAGTTCTATGCCTACACTGGGTTGAGTCAGGCCATGTACTATGGTGCAGATATGAAGGTATGTCACGGCATGCGGTTTTAATGTGTGATCATTCAACTAATTTTTATAGCTGGGATTGTACATGAAGATCCCCCGTCGAACGCTGTTCGTTGCACAGCTGGTTGCTTGTATACTTGGTACCTTGACACAGAGTAAGTTTGATATACTACATACAAAGATAATCCACTAACGTGTGATAGATGGTGTATTGCTGTGGATGCTTGGAAACGTGCAGGATGTCTGCTCAAGCGATCAGCCCGACAACTTCACCTGTCCTCAAGGTCGAGTCAACTACAACAGTGCAGTCTTCTGGGGAGGTAGGTTATTCTTCTCCATATCTTTTCTTCGGATTTTAACAGTCTGGCAGCAATTGGACCCGCAAGACTGTACGATATTGGCAAGAGATATTCTGGTCTCCTGCACATGTTCTGGATTGGAGCATTGCTTCCTATTATAACATTCTTTCTTCGGAAGAAGTATCCCAACTCTCGCTTTCTGAAGGCAATTCACTGGCCGATTTTCTTTGCGGGAACAGGAAACTTGCCTCCAGCGGTATGTGATCCTGTTTTTATTGGGATTTGCGTCAGCTAACATGTATTTGATAGACTGGAATCAACTACACCACGGCTTTTGTCGTCAGTTTTGTATTCAACAAGGTGAGTTTCATGAGAGTGGCCATTGTTTGAAGGTGCTAACAGTGGCAGATCATCAAAGGACGCAGACCGCAGTGGTGGGCCAAGTACAACTATGTCCTCTCTGCAGCCCTGGACTCTGGTGTCGCAGTCTCTGCTATTCTGATCTTCTTCGCATTGGTGTTTCCAGGCGTCACTCTCAGTTGGTGGGGGAACAATGTCAATAGCGGGACGGTCGACAGCAAGGGAACGCCATGGAAGATATTGGGTGCCAATGAGACATTTGGCGAGACAACATGGTCATGAGAGTGTTATTCTCACGATATGAAGAATGGGGTATTTGATGATGAATAATTTCTGTATGTTAATGAACAAATTCATGCCTCAGGCAACAAATGAATGTCCAATCAGCGCCAGGATACCCCGCGGGGTGACAGGCGAGTTCCTATTGGCGGGACGCGCAGTGGAGCGGATTTCCTCTTATCAAGAGGCGAAACCGACGCTTCATCGTTACTCTTGATAACGACGGCTTTTTCTTTTTCTGTCTACTAGTATATAGCCTGTGAAATAGGCCTCACCACGCAGACCAATCGAATCGTCTTAGAGCATTGTACAGCCACTCTTTCTCGTCAGCTTCATTTCACCTTTTCTGCGGTGCAACCTCAATCGTTCGCTCCCTGCTCCTCGACGAATCGATGGTGCCCGGAGCCTAATCCTGTCCAATAGGACTGGGCCATGTGAAGAGTATCTTTGAGCCGTCGGATGCCGCGTAAAAAGGCTGCAGACCGCGTGGGTCCGGTCAAGACCCGAACTCGTGGCGGGTGTAAAGAATGCCGCGCGAGTCGTGTCCGTTGTGACACAAAGAAGCCCATCTGCACGCGATGCGCAGAGAGGGGATTCCCCTGCTCGACGCAGCTGGTGCTGAAATGGGAGTCGGAGTTTGTCAGCCGGGGGATGGCGTTTGGGAGGGCCGGTGTTTGGAGCAAGTCCCGTGCTGCCGGGGAAGCGCAGCCGGCGGCGCCATCTCCGGCGTCGGTGTTGTCGGAGGTGCATGAGTGGTGTCCTGTGCCAGTGGTTGAGTCGTGGGGGTTTGTGAACAGTGGTGTTTCGACTTTTGAACAGCCGCATGAGGTGAATGTTGCGTGTGATGAACTCAATGCTGTGGTTGTCCGTACTCAGGACCAAAGTCGGCTACATGATAGTTCAACTGAGGGAGGGATGAACTGGCTTGCGCCAGTGAGTATCGCAGATTATGGCTTTTCATTCCAGAGCATTCCTAGCCCGACGAATTCCTTGCCACTGTTTCCTCATATCTCACAGGCAAACCAGGGAAGGGTTTTCGAATACTATCTCCAGCAGGTTTGTCCGCGTACGACTGCCAGCTCGAAACTTTCGTCACCGTTTGCGTCTGTGATTCTTCCATTTTGTTTGTCGGCTTCTCCGACACTTTTCAAAGCGATTCAAGCGTTGGGGGCTTGTCATTGGTCTCGTTTTGATTCAAAATACAGTGCCATGGCACTTCGATTCAAGTCTGAGGCTCTGGGCGATCTTCGTCGCAGACTTGCTACCGAAGGGTCCTTGACGTGCTCGTCGGATCCTGAGGTATTGGTGGTTATGATGATGCTTTGTCTGTATGAAATCGTCGACAACTGCGACCAACACTGGACTATCCATCTCAAAGGAGCCAAGGAGTTGATTCGACTGCGAAGGCAGCAACAGGTGGAACTTTCCAAACATCGTGGCTCCCAAGATCCAGTCTCCGCGTTTACAGAGCTTTTCTTCGCTTTTCAAGATGTTATGGGCCGTACAGCCTGCGGCGAGGAAGTCCTGTTCGGGACTGATTACTGGCAGGAAAATGAGCAAAGCATCGACCTTTGGATGGGATGCAGTCCGGAATTAGTCTCGATTCTATCTTCGATCACAGAGTTGAGCCGATCGAAGCGAAAGCTTACCACGGATCAAGCTCGAGCATCTTTTTCATCGCGAGCAACTTCTCTCAGACGCAAACTTGAGCACCTGGTGCAGGAGATTGACGATGATGACGAGATTCTTCATTTGGCTGCGGAGCTGAAACGTCTCGCTGCGGTGCTATACCTACATTGTGCATTATACGGCGCCTCACCATCCACACCTGTAGTGGTTGAATATGTTCGAAAGATTCTCCGAATTGTATCAGACCTGCTTGATCGTGGGTCCCTTGTGAGCATGACATGGCCTGTCTTCGTGGCCGCAGTGGAACTTGATCCCGGACACGACGAACTATGGTCTGATTCAAATGATGAGGATATGTATGGCCGACCACTCGTCCTACGTGCCTTAGCAGCTATGGCAGAGTCAACCGTCTCGAATATCGCTCGTACCCGAGCCGTAATCGTCAAGGTGTGGCAGGCCAGGGATAATGATATGCTCAAGGGCTCCCCTGTTGAGACATCGAAAGATCCTGCGAGCTGCAACGACTGGGAATGGTATGTTGCACCGATTAGTACGGCAATGAGTTTGGCATGATTTTGTGATTACGATTGATGATATTCTTTTTGTTTTATATGTGATTCTGCTTTATGACTTTTGTAATATATTTATCCAAATTGTCTATATCAAACATTCAATGTGACTCATATGCACCAGGCGGTTTCAAACTATGATTAGGTGTGTATAGATAATTTTATTAACTGTCGCATTGTAATAAGTTTTTATTTCCATGGTATAGCGATGATAGTTTTTTGGTTAATCCAGTATAATATTATAAGGATGCTTTTTCCACTAATATTCCATCGAAATAAGGTATTAGGTAGTGATAATTCCACGGAATAATAGCAATTTTTATGATAGAGTGATGATGATTATATTAAAGATATTACAAAATTTCTATCATTAGTTATACATGTATAGTTTAACAACTTTTCAAACAATTTTTTGAAATTGCCTGGTGCCCCTATGGACATGTCTCAGTGCTTTTGCTCGATCTTCGAAATCACCTCATGAATGGATTATAATACCGTATCGTACTGTAAGGATAACCGCGGGCCAATTACCACCCTGGATAAGCCGTGGCGGGGAATCGGCTCGCGTGATTCGCCGGCCGCAGTGTCAAGGACGTCAGGGCGATGATCGGACGAGGAGCAGAGGAGGACGTTCACCTCGTGTTCATCCATCACAAACAACTTCTTTATATCTCTGGTATATAAAAACACGTGTTTTTCTAGATCTCCTTGCAGAAGGAACCATCATTGGGAAAAGAGCAGGCCTTATTTGCTTAGGACGGCTTCAAAATCCCCGAAGACTGCATCTGGCTGAAGCGCCCACAGCCAGCACTGCAGGACCGCCTCAAGTGATTCCCGTTGGAAAACTTCACTATGCTCTGCATCACTAGATGCATTTTTTACTGACATTCACGCGTGATACATGTCTTTTGCAGTCACTAACATGACATCCTCAACGACATCTTCAACCCTATCGCACAGCTTGGCTGCTGTTCCCTTCGAGAGCAAGCTGAGCGAGCAGCTATCCCAGCGAAGGGAGCAGAGTGAATCTAGTTTTGAAACCACCTCATCGGGCGACAAGAGCAGACAACTCGGGCCACCATTACGTTGTTCGCCCAAATCACGCTCGCTATCCGATGCGGCAAAACCCGCATCGTCCACCCAACAACCTGTTTCGGGAGACAATCGTCCCTCAAGCAAAGATGATAGTTCCATCTCGTCGATTCCCGCAACACCCCAACGTCAATCTGCTCAACAGCACAGTTTATCTCTAAATCTTCCTTCGAAAGTCCCTAACCCCGCGTCTACGCCCAGCCGTGCCCCGCTCTCCCCAAAGCTCGATTCTTCCCAAATCTACGGTTCCCCCGGTTCGGTTCTCCCGCGTCGTTCCCGAGGTCTGGATTTCTCCCGTGCCTGTACAAACCTACATCACTCGATAATTGCAGAGTCCTCGCCGGAATCGTCGCCCACAATTGGCGGGCGGGGCGTGACGATCCCTCAGCGCCGTGGCTCGCCCGGGTCGACCTCCAACCCTCCGTTCTCGACATCAGCTCAAGCTGACCGCGCCACCATCTCGAGTTCCGTTTCGAGTGTCAACATGATGGAGTCGGATACCAGCAGCAGTGAGGAGGACGACGAGCCAATGGACAGGGATGAAATGATGATCACAAATACACCACAGGCGAACAAGATGGGGGGTGGGATGAATCCTTTCGCGGTGGGAAACATTTCGAGTCCTGGAAACGACTGGATGGGTGGCTATTCCCAATCTGCAGCAAGTCTCATGAGTTTTCAACGCGCCCGGTTTCGCAGCAAAGGCCGTAGCAGGCATAGCTCCAGCAGCGCTAGTGGAAATAGTTCCAAGCCCAGTCCTGGGCCGCTGTCTCCACCCGTGATGAAGAGCATTGAAAATCCAAATGGAGGATATTTTGGCTCGAAAACTGGTGTGCAACGACGGGAGAGCTTAAGCCTGGGACCTCATGACTTGCGTCTTTCAGATCTCAGTGATGATGGAGAGCACCGCGGTGCTCGTGGCCATAGTCCTGGTCCATCGCACTCAGAGGGCGGGCCCTTGGGTGTGATACGACGTGCTGTGACTCGACGTGGAAGTTTATTGGTAAGTTCTCATGACGCTGGACGTCAACAACGCAAAACTAATATACCTGTACAGCCTAAAACGAAGACCTTTGCCCGAATCCGGGCAGCCCTCGTAGAAGAATCGTCTCCCATTCATAGCGAAGCAAAGCGTGAATCAGAGGTTATTCGCCAGGTTCGCGAAAGTGAACCAACCATTCCGGAAAAACCCCCATCGTCAAGCGGTTTCCCCTCCGTTACACCCTCTAGACCAAGCGAAACCGAACCAGACACGGACGATGCGCCTGCAAAAGCTGGACCTGCACTGAGTGAAAATAGTTTCAGTGAACAGGCTCATCGGAATTCCCGGGGTTCGGATTTCTGGAATTCTTTCGACGAACGATACCGTACACCCCCTCCACCGATGCGTCAAACGGCACCTTCTACGATATCAGAGGATGACTTGGCAATGGCGATGGACATGACACCCTCGACGACATTGGGATCGAGTACTGCTGAATTTGCCAAACCATATGATCGACCTAGCTCTCAATCGTCGACGACTCATGGATCTCAATCTGCAGTCATGAGCGAAATCAATCGCAAGAGACGACGAGAAGATGACTTTGACCCGAATCTCCTCAAAAGAAGAGCTGTGTCCCCGAGTATGAGCGCCCAGAGTAGTCCAGTGATGCCTAATTCCCCGGTGGTCAAGGACACTGGACACAATATCTGGGGTCCACCCCCGAAGTCTAATCTCGGCTCTCTTTTCCCAGAACGCCCCAGCACCGAGAACGGGAACCGAAATACCCCTCATAGCGGAACATTGAAACGAGTTGGCCTTCAAGGCATGACCGAAACCAACGACAGTTTGATGAACATGAGTATTGAGTAATCAGCTCATAGATCGTGGTAGCTGTTTATCGTCCGCGAGCCGGGCTCGCCTGCATTGAATACTATCCTAACTTTACGGCAGAATACTTCTATTGTTTTTGAAGCGTGGCACTTATCAGACTGGAGATGTTGGAGGACCTTTGTCTTTACAGGGCGTTAAAAATTTGTGGGCTGTCGAATGTTTTGGTTACCTTTTGAAGCTATATCTTTATTACATAGGCATGCCTGTCATTGATAAAAAGACATATTAATAATATAATTCATTGATAAATCAAGAATGACTAGATATATGCCCGATTCCATGTTTTAGATTTGGACTGTAAAGCGGAATAGCCGCCTTTTCCAGTATCATTGGCCACGTTGAAAGGAGCCGGCGCTTGTCGCGCCAAGATGTCCCTCCGCTGGTGACACCGGGGAAGCATCAAGCAACAGCCTAGAGCAACTATCGTTCTCCTTCACATCCGATCATTTTCGCCGTTTCCTCTTTTGAGTTGTTGTTTTCTTCTACACATATAAATTTCTCCTCCGATATCTACAAATCTGTCGTTGAATTGCCAACACCATGGCCTCAACTGTTGAGCTCGCATCCTCGTTCATCGAAGGTGCCCCGCCAGGCGAGGTATGCCACTTATGAGTCTTTAGACACTATTCTTGATCCTACCCCATATCAAACATTACACAGTGACTAACTGGCATTATCTTTTTTAGCTCGCCGATGTCATTGCTGGTACATTTCCCCCTCCCCGTGTCATCATCCTTTTCCCCGCAATCCCGACCTCGCACCACCCACCGATCGTATAATGGAACACGTTTTTGCTAAATAATGGACTCGAACAGACGTGAAGACTCTTACCTCCGATGGTGAAGATATTATTCCTTCGCTTGCGCCCGCATTCGAACGATACAATGAGAAGCAACTGACGACGGTTAAGCTGCCTGGGGCTAGTCAGGAGGTACGCACGATGGGGATACATATCATATAATGCCTGAGAGGGTTTATGCTAATTGGACGTGGAAAGGTCATTGTCAGTGAATTCAACAAGTTGGAGGATAACCGATACTTTGATGTGGAAAGTCAGACATCGTTTGAAGTTGATCATGTCACTCAGGTATGATGCCTCGTGGTCTATGGGGACACTAGTATCGTATCGGCTGACAGCTGGTTTTGGTTGAATAGGAAGCGTCTGGAGCGCAGTCATATGTATTGGAATCGCAGAATGCTGATTTGATGTGAGTGAGCTTGGTGTTTGGGTGGTTGGAGATTGGATGCTCATTCGACGTTTTTGCTATAGCAAATCCCTACTCAAGTCGCTTGCTGCGCATGCCAGTGAACACTACCCCAGCTGCTCTTATGGAGTATACCCGATCGAGGATGATTCTGCTGTTGCCATCGTGCTCGTTGCAAACCGATACTCGCCAAACAACTTCTGGTGAGTGACATTCTTCAAGATGCTCCGTGGGAGCTTGACTGATGATGAATAGGAATGGTCGATTCCGTGCCGTTTACCAAGCCCCCGTTTCGTCGTCTACCACCGTGACCGGCAAGATCCAGGTCGACGTCCACTACTACGAAGACGGCAACGTGGCCCTCAACACCAACAAGCCGATCAGCCTTTCGATTCCCTCGATCTCTGCCGAGAGCATCATCTCTCGCATTGCTGCTGCGGAACGTGACTACCAGGAAGACCTTAACCGGGCGTTCGTGCAAATGAGCGAAGGAGCCTTCAAGGGCCTGCGGAGACAATTGCCAATCACACGGCAGAAGGTGGAGTGGGAGAAGGTCGGAGGATATCGGTTGGGACAGGACATTGCGGGGGGCAAGGGGCGGTAAGCTTTATCGCTTGTTGCTTGTTGTGGGTTAGAATGTAGATATTCTGGATGGCGAGGAAGACGGAATTGATTTGATGTTAGCGATAGCTGTAGATGAATTGACATTGTCTTGCTGTTTTTATCTCGTAGTATCATATATATTTCCTGATCAACAGGTGATTCTTTCCATTTCTAAGAGCACTTTGTTGATCTCTATCTCTTGTAGATTTAACGTCAAAACGCCAAGTTAAAATCGGCGCCGAGGCGGAGATGAACAGACATCGCCCTAATACTAATCAAAGCACCAGGATTTCCCCTCTTTATCTACACAAACCATCTGTCAATTACATGGAATATCCTGCCTGCATTATGCTTATATCCCTTGCATAGCCAATTGTTTTCTCCCAAAATAAACCATCCCATTGAATTTCTCTCTCCCCATCAATTGACAAGCGATTGATTTGATTTGATTCTCTTATCAATCGACAAGGACAAAATGGCGCAATCTACGGCTCCTCCGTCACCGTCTCTTATCAGACAATTCGCGAATTTCACACGCTCTGGAGCAGGTCTTGAAAAAACACTCCGTTTTGTACAGTCTTTGGCGCAGATTGTGGTCGAGGTCGCTGTAGAGAGTGCAACAGTTTCGAGATGGTCAATTGCTAAGTCTCAGTTGGCGTTGAGTGAGTTTTATCATTTTTATATTTCTTGTCCATTGGAATGAATTTAGGCTGATGATTTCAGCTCGGAGATATTTCCGATTTTTCAGCTTCATCGACTGTTTCCTGAATGTCTTTACGCTTCTCGGTGGGAAGGGATCGGGAAATGCAATTCTGACTTTGCTCGAACTGGGGAAGTGGAGTTGTTTGGGGATGTATATTTTCTTGGAGGATGTGACTATTGTATGTTTCCCCTTCCACCATGTTATCTTGATGGGAAGGTCTGGCTAATACGCTACAGCTCCATGCAATGAACATCTGGACCGTCCCCTGGAACGGCCCTGTCCTGGTCGAAGCATACAAACTCTGGTTTTACGCCATTTCCTTTTCACTAATGGGATCCATCTGGGCTCTTCTATTCAGTTCGAGTAAATCCCGAAACAGCAAATCCAGACAATCGAAAAAGTCGAAATTGTCTGAGAAGTCATCGCCTTCTAAGGCTGCCTCGTCGACCGCTCCCCTGATGAGACGGATTGTCGTCGATGGATGTGATTTGCTGATTCCTGGGGTGTTCTTGGGATGGATTGATGTGAGTAATGTGGTGATTGGGATGACGATGGTGGTGAGTACATTGGTTTCCTCGAGAGATATTTGGATCAAGGCTCAAATGCAGTGATGGGTTGTTTTTCGGTGGATTTTGGGGTTGTTTGAGATAGAGCATTGATGGGGTATATATATTGGAGTTCTGCTACTACATACTTTGGATCATGCTGTAAATAGCCCATCGTATATAGAGTTGATTCTGTTGAATCAAAAACGATGTCAAATATCTTCAAGAGTGGAGATAGAAAAAAGATAGACGGAAAAGCGGAACAAGCGGAGCAAGGGTCCTAAGCGGTGAGAGATAGTACCGGCATTACCCCTGAAAAAAGCCTCACCGCCCGTCTGCTGACATCATCCCCCGCACAAATCCATCTCCACAAATTGCCAGGAACCATCGGCATTTGCCCTAGTACAATACAAAATTTTTTGGTCAGGGATTATCCCATCATTTGCACGTGGCTGGGAAGGTGGTAGGGCAATGAATCCAGCAAACCGGTGCAGGTGGAATCAGCTCAAGTTGTCCGTCTATAATCCAGAATTTCCCCGTGTCACTATACCGTGAAATTATACCGGCAGTTATGGTTTACGGCCGCCAGCGGAGTCAGGGGTGCATACTTTGCAGGAAACGAAAAGTCAAGGTTTGTACTTTTGTGGCTTGAATTTTAATTATTCGACTAATTGAGAATGTCAGTGCGATGAGGGAAAGCCAACATGCAATAATTGCAAGGCTCATGGAAAAGAATGTCCGGGGTATAGCAAACCATCTTCACCGTTCATTTTTCGCAATGAGAATAAAAAGGCCGAGAAATTAGTCCAGAAGGGTCAGAAGAGACATGAAAATAATCAAAACCCTCAGTTTGGCCCTGAGACGAAATCGGAAACTGCCGTGTCAAGACGTTCTGGTACTTTTGAAGGTCCTCTAATAAATGTCTCGGTCTCGGTCCCGCGGTATCTGTTCGACTCAACATGGGAGGATCGTAGCCATTGCTACTTCCTCGACCAGTTTACCTTGCCACAGGAGATAGATGGTAGTCCAGGTCCATTGGATTCCGTACCAACTCTATATACCTTTTGTCAGCGGGGTGAAGATACCAGCGGTGCTCCTTTGTCGTGCCTGCAATCGGCTCTTGACGCAGTTGCGTTCGCCACTCTTGCAAACCAGGCAAATGTACCTTCATTGGCTATCCACGCGAAGAAAAAGTATGGCCAGGCTCTGCGTGATCTGAACAAAGCATTGAGCTCTGTGGAAACTGCCGTCCGAGACGAGACGATGGGCGCAATTGTAATGCTAACATTATTTGAAGATGTGAACAGCGAGCGGGAGAGCTTGCTGAGTATTCATATAAAGGGAATTCAATATTTGTTAAAGCTGCGCGGTCTTGACCAGCTGTTTAATCCTGCCACCCGGTCTCTCTTTCATTTTGCCTTTACCCAAATGGTGTGTACGGATGCCTGCAAGAAGATAATCAGAGCTAATTATGAAAGTCGATTCAACTTCTTGGACTGAATGACCCGCTGTTGATTGACGTAGATTGGTTGATGGGGGTGTTTACTGTTCAGTACCCAGTCTACAATATGATGGCTGGGGTTTTGAAGATCAGTAAATTTCGCGCGACTGTCGCGAAGATGCTCTCTCCTGAAAGCCAGAGCTTTCATCCTTCAACTCAAGAGTCACTCACATCTATGCTCGAGATGGGAGAACGATTGGGTCTAGAGTTCGACCAATGGTACAGAGGAACGCCAGATGAATGGCTTCCACAGAGCTCGCCAACGATCCACGGGGAGACCATAATCACCTATCCAGATATAACCTCAGCTGGCGTATGGAATTACTACCGAGGCGCCACAATCGCCCTTCAACTGACTCTCATTGAAATCCATCACCGCCTGAACTCTTTGGTCGCCGGCAACTTGCACAACACAACCGACTCCAACCAATTCGTCGGTCTACAATCCCCCGAAAACATCATCAAAAATACAGTGGTAGGCATATGCCAAACGATACCATTCGCACTTGGAGACGTCGACCGATTCGGCTTCCCAACCCCTATGCACGGAAAACCCGGGGTCGGAATTAAGGCCATCCAACAGTTCGCGCTACTATGGCCCATTTGGACCGTCACGCAGTGTGGACTTGCCACCGCTGAACAAGACAAGCAGGCCAGGGTGGCTTTGCAAAGGATTGGTCTGGCATCGGGGATTAAGCTAGGGCTGGCCCTGGCTGATCAGAATACCGTCTTGGATCGGGCGACGCTTTCGAGTCCATCCCATAGCCCTGTATCTTCGCCTCCGAAGAGTGTTTAGAAGGGCTGGGGTGGATCTGGTCAGGTGAATCTGGCTAGAGTATATATACTTGACCATCAGACAGGGCAACGGTTACTGTCTATGGATTAGACTATGTGGTTTCTTATATATAGACGATGGTATACTTGGGATTATAGAACTGATAGACGCGTCTTGATGACTACAGTTGATGATTGAATTAACATGAACGATCTGTCTTGTCTTTCCTTTGCAACCCGCCATTGTCTAATACTTCTAGATAAAAACTAACAGTAACAGTCCAGCCAGCCATAGATACACTAATTGTAAATCAACCGGGGGATAATTCTTAACATCTCTCATATTTTGCTTATCCTATTTGCAGCAAAGCACGATATGCCATGATTCGAACACATCCGGATAGTGATCTAATCGGGAAAATATTCTTCGCTCCATTGTCTTGGATGCTCTCACAAGACTTCATGGTGCATCATTGGGCGTTATCTCTGATCTGCTGGAAGACATATTCGAAAAAGTCGCCAGAATATGCCAGAAAAAAGAAGTTGAGATGACTGGAAGGTGAGATGGAGGCTTCAGCGACATATTTACTGGAAGAAACAGACCTGGTCGTCCAGATATCATTATCTGAACGCAACACTGAGATTCATACGGTGACATATTAGCTGCTGAACCCACGACAGAAAAGATAAGTGAGGTCAATAGAAGCGGTCACAGGGCTATAAATGAGTGGTTGGGTCTCCTGCCAGAATAGGCAATGCCTCTCATAGGTGAGGACCCCCCCTTCTCACTCTCTTTTCATCTCATCTCTTACGCTCACTCACTTCCTCTATCTCTTATCCTCTTGCCCGCCCCCTATATAAACTCTCTCACACCTCCTCTCTCCTTTCTCTTTCCGCTTTCTCCCAACCATCCCATCATCCATTCCTACCCCCCCTTCGGGAAGCCGTTGAGATTTCCTTGGACTCCTTCTAGGCTCTCACTTTTAACTACCAATATCGCAAGACACATCTTGAACTTGAATTGCCCAATACCCAGCGACCTCAGCCAAAATGACCACTTCTTCTATCAGCAACGACATTCAAAAGTCCATTAATCTTGCATATCGCGTGCAGCTCGGCTTCAATACAGGACCACAGAGGTTCCAGGAGCATCTCCTAGGGTACGTATAACCCAGAGCTAAGGGTTTTGGGGTGTTACTAAACCAGCCTGTTAGGGTTCTTATCATTGCTCTTCGTGGTATCAGGAGGCATTTTTTGGAACTGGGCTTAGCACAGTCTCAAATACGGGAGCTACAAGGCTTGTTGATTGAATGCCACGCAACCTTGAATGATCAACAGGATGCACTTACAGATCAAGCGCTTTGCATTGCCATTTTGGATCGCTTAGATGAGCTATCGGATTTTTATGACAGCCTTGATAGGTATTTGAAGTCTTCAATATCGCTTTTATCTGTAACTGCTAACCATTCTAGTGAGCCATCTCCGGAGAATGGGGGTGATGATAATTTTCAAATTCGCTACTCGGCATTGGATAGCAAGGACTTCCAAGAGCTCCAGGCCATTCTGGATTGGTTAATTTCTTCATCCCTAATATCCAAGCACGAAGATTGCATTGCTCAGCGACACGAAGGCACTGGTGTATGTGGTTCGTAAACTCCCCGGAATTCAAATCATGGTCAAGCAACAGAGGCAGATATCTATCTTGTGCTGGAATGCCAGGAGCTGGAAAAACGATCATGACTTCCATTATCACTGAGAATCTCGAAAAAAAGTACTTGCGTGACCGCTTCACTGGGATTGCTTGTGTTTACGTCGACAAATCTCTTCCCGCAGACCAGAGACCCGTTGCATTACTTGCAAGTATTTTAGGACAACTGATCCAGAGTCAAGGATCGGCACCAGAAGAAGTGCGAAATATATACTTGTACCATCGACTTAGAAGGTCACACCCTTCACTCGAACAAATAATTGTAGCTCTCAAGGTTACTTTACGGCGATGCTCTCGAGCCTTCATCTTGACTGATGCACTGGACGAGTTTGTTTCTCATATCGACCGCCATACCTTTTTGTCTAAGCTATCCCATCTTCAGAAGACAAGCCATATCAACATTTTAGCCAACATCCCGGGTCATGGGGAATATTTCAGAAGAGATTGTGGGAGATGATTTTGAAGATTTTGATATACACGCAAATGACCAGGATGTGCGAAGCTATCTGACAAAACAACTTTCGCAAACACCAAATTTAGCACGACGCCCTGACTTGTGCGACCATATAATCACTGAGATTATTGAAAAATCAGCAAAGATGTGCGTTTGAACTATCTAATCCTCTTAAATTCAAACATTTATTGACAAAAGGCTAGGTTTCTTCTGGCGAAATCTTTACTGAATGAGTTCGTGGACAGCACTTGTCGCCGGGGTATACAGGATACCATAGCTACACTCTCAGAACGCACCAATAAAATTAATTGGCTCTATGATGATGCCATGAAAAGAGTCAAAAGCCAGGGGTACAACTTCCAAAACCTCGCAGTGAGGGTACTCGCGTGGCTCACCTTTGCTCGGAGGCCTTTGAAGGTCGAAGAGCTCCAGTATGCCCTAGCAGCGGAAACTCAGGTGTTGACAATTGACATTGATAGGTTTCCGAATGCCCTGTCGATAACTTCGGTTTGTGCGGGCTTGGTGATGGTAGATGAAAAGAGCCAGTGCTTTTGCTTCACACACTATACCATCAAGGAGTATCTCGAGAATTCGGTTAATGATTGGTACCCGGAAGCAAAGAACTATGTCGCAAGAACTTGCATCAAGTACCTATCTCTTCCCACGTTCAGGGATGGGCATCTCTTTATTTCATCAAAGTACAAAGACGACAAATATGATTTCTATTCTTATACCGCGACGAACTGGGGACACCATGTTTTAGATGGAACACTCTCCTACCAATCTGAGGTCATCCCTTTCATGAAGTCGAAAAACGCAAAAGAAAGTATTCGAGTCATGAAACCTCAAGTCACGAATGTCTCTTTGGTGCACCTCATTGCCCATTTTGGACTTGACGACATCGTTCCCCTGCTTACGCAACAAGACAGAACTGGACTTAATTCCAAAGACAGTGAGGGAAACACACCACTGGCCTGGGCGACTTCTCAAGGTCACGAGAACATGGTAAAGGTTTTACTCTCAATGGGTGTCGATGTTGATTCAAAGGATCATTCTGGAGCAACTCCTTTATCCAAGGCTGCGTGTAATGGCCATAGTGAAACAGTCAAGTTGCTTCTAGAATATGGCGCTGCATTGGAAGCAGAAGACTACGAGGGAATGACTGTCTTATCCCGTGTGGCCAAATCTGGAGATGTGAATATGATGCGACTGCTGCTAGCCAATGGTGCAAGGCTGGACACAACCTGTCGTGAAGGATGGACGCCCATCTTCTACGCCGCAGCATCTGGCCACGAGGAAAAAGTGCAGATGCTGACCGAGGAATACGAGGTTGATGTGTTGTCTGAAGATTACGTTGGTCGGACACCAATATTTATTGCCACTATGGAGGGACATAAAGCGATGGTGGGGATGTTTATCGACCGATATAACGTTTCGCCAGACTGGGATGATGAGGAAGGCCGTTCTTTGGTTTCATACGCAGCCGAGGGAGGCCACACGGCTATATTCAAGCTCCTGTTAGAAAAACATTTTCTTCGGGCTGATGGAAAAGACTCCGCTGGTCGAGACGCTTTGTCTTGGGCAGCGAGGTATGGCCGCCTCGATCTTGTTCGACTTTTTATCGACAATTATAAAGTCGATCCAAACTCAAGGGATGTGGATGGGCGGACCGCATTGATGTGGGCAGCCTATGATGATTATGACGAAAGCAGTGCAAAAGGCCGTCATGAGGTGGTTCAGGCATTAGTGGAAGAATACAATGTTGACAAGGAGCCAAAGGATGGGTTTGGCGATACTGCACTCTCATTTGCCATGCAGAATGGTGATGAGGAGATGGTGAAATTACTCACCAAATCCTGATGCTGCTTTGGTACTTTCTTTGGACATATGGTGAAGCTTGGAGTTTTACTTATTTTGATCTTGTGCATTTTGGCTAGATATGCCCTGGAGATTTTGCATACTATCGCTGGAGTTTTGTTTCTTTTCAGGTTTTGATGAAAGCAAACCAGGAAACCGTGGCGTCTAGTTCTTCTATCCAAAAAAAAATGTATTTACTGCAGTCTTTAGTTTCGAATGATACAATTCAAAACCTTTACATCAGATCTTCTGGAATGAAACTAGTCTATCCCATAGATGCGGGACAACTGTATAGTGGCTCAGCATTTGCCACCTGCACTGTTATTGGCAGCCCACGCGAATACGACCCCAGCAGGGAGTGGATAATACGAGATCCATAAACGGCATAGAGCAGATCAATTCTGGGGATCGACCGATCTGAGCAAGGCTGACAGAGTGCCCTGTTAACCGCATTGGGTAATCTCGTATTGCGGTGTTTTGCTGTGCCGATGGATGGTCTATATAATGAGCTTGATTTCCTGCCATGTAGACACAGACTACTTCTATCTATAACAACTGTTAAATCTATACAAAAATTCAAACCTCAAGAAAATACTACTATACCAGTCAACATGTCCAAAGAACTTGAACCTCTGCCTAAAGAGGAACTGCACTCCTCCGCCCTCTCCATCTCCTCCACCAGCAGCACCCTCCACAACACCCCAACCAACACCACCACCCCCTTCCACCCAACAAAGCGCTTCGCAATCCACGCCCAAGGCATCGGCCTCGTCCGCCTCCCCTTTCCATCCCGCGAGATGGAAACCCCCATTTACCACACCGAAGACGGCAGTCTCGCATACACATCCACCCGCGACAAGCGCTGCTCAGGCAACGCCATCCTCTCACACCCCAAACAAGGCGATATCATACAAACGGAGTACTTTTTCGGTCCCGGACGAGACCCTGTTATTCGTGTTTTGCAGACCGAGCAAGGCCCGTTCGAGGTAACGGTTAAGGGGAAGTGGGCGTCTCGGACGAGGCAGTTTGAGATGCGCGATGGGGAATGTTTTGAGTGGAGCTATGCGAGTGAGAAGACGGGTGGGAAGAGGGTTAATTTGATTGTTTTGAGGCGGGTGGATGGGGATGGAGAGAAGGATAGGGAGGGGAGGATTATTGCGCAGCTTGTGCGGAGTGAGGAGAAGAGGACGGCAGGGACATCGCGGTCTCGAGCAGGCAATGGAGGGGAATTGCTGGTGAGTGAAGAAGGGATTCGGGATGTTGGAGAGGGATTGATTATCGCGACGTGTTTGTCGATGTTGAAGAGGGAGATTGATCGACGGAGGGCGGTGCAGGCTGCGGTGATTGCGGGGGGTGCTGGCAGTTAGGTAGTTGAGTTGAGGTTATTCAGATTGATTGAATGGTTCTATTCAGTCTATTGTTATCTTGTGTATTTTCCATAGTATCGCTAATCGCATCCAGTGCTTCATAAATGTAGAATCGAGGCTCATCCTGGTCAAGGAGTTTCTCTCCCCCCTTTCTTTCCTTTCTTCTTCTTCCTTCCCCTCACTTTTCTTCTCTCTGTTATCGCTCGTCACTTCGTATCACCCAACACCAACAACGCCATTTAATCTATTCATCATATCAATCCATCACCGCTGCTCTTTCAGCAATGCCTCGATGTGCGGGTTCAACCAGTACCCCTCCAATGCCTCCGACGTCATATTCTTCGCCCCCGAAATGCGTCCTCTGCACTCTTTCGCCCCGCAGTTACAGTCAAACGACTGATCCATATCCCATTCCGAGCTCGGATAGAAGAAAGTGAGATCGTCTCCGGCCTTCAATGGCCGATTGTCAACCACTCGGACCTCCATGTTGTGCATGTCAAAGTTCAAGGTGGGCGCGCACGAGTGATTGCAGAAGACCAGGTCCGAGTTGAGCTCGATGTGCGAGTCTGGTCCGGTTTGCACGGATGTATAGGCTTTTTTTGCGGGGGTGGCTGTGGTGATCTTTGCGAAGACGGCGCCCGCGGGGAGGTCGACGAGGGAGGAGGCACTGCTGCCGAATTCTTGGGCGCTGCGGTTCACCTGGAGGAGGCCTGGATGCGTGGGGGCAGGTGTCTTCTCGTGGAAGGCTGACTGCACGGGCGCAGGCTGTTCAACAGCAATGGGTGCCATCTTGGTGGAAGTGAGGGGTGAGGGGTGAGAGGTGAGCTGAGGAGGGGTAGCTGTGGATGGTGAGATAATTTGGTATCAATGTCAATCCACGAAGACTCGTCCTTATATACCTACCCCTCAGCTGATCTACAGCCTCATGATCTGAGAGTGGGGAGCATCATGTATGAGCGCTTTTCGGTAGCATTCCATCATCTCTGCCGCGCCAACGCCAGACAACCTTTCCCTTCTACCGAGGAATGCGAGGGATCGGACCGGAAACATTGATTTGGTGGGCCCGCGCGACGGTCCGGATGCTCAGTTGGTCTTTCCAAGCAGTTGAGCTCCATTATTGTTACGGAGTAGGTGTCGTTGACTTACGGGTCGTGGATGCGTTGGTGGCTGCATCCTGTATGTACCTCGGTACAAGGTAAGGTGGTGATGCTTTCAAACTGCGACACCCAGACAAATATTCCATCATACGTCATGTTCTGAGAGAGAGATCTTATTTACTCATGCTAATTCTTTTTGTTACAAACAGACAACAAATAAACAGTACCAATGGCTGTTTACACTTCCTGCAACCAACAGCAAGCCAACAGCTCACCCGAGGTACATCACGTCGGCCAGACTCGCAACAACAATGCGGGAATGCCCCCCCGCCGCGATGACGACACAGCCCGGGCGTACAGACTAAAAAGGACACAAATTTGAATAAGGTTCCAATCCCCTTAAGAAACTGGATTTAGGCTCGGGTTGGCAACGTGGGGAGAATCTTCCAGGCTGTTTAGTGCACAAGCCGATCTCAGGCCGGCGATACTTGGTCATTTGACTGGCCCCGGCCAGATGGGACTCGACGCATTGGTGTTTCGGTGAATGGCCACATGCAAATCGAATGATAATTGCAGGCCAAGTGTCGCTCTTATGCAGCCCTAATGCACCCTAGCATTCCTCGGCGAGGATCGTGATCGAGTCATTAAGTTTGGTCATGAATTCAATTCTGACAAAGACTGCTTTCACATGACAGTCTAATATATACTATATACACCAAATGGCAAATGCAAGGTGATTAATTCATCTTTTTTTTCAGCTCCTTTCCATCCAGCCACCGCTCCAGATTCTCCGCTACTTCTTTATACCACCCGTTGATCAGTTCCTCCTCACCGTATCCCATGTGTGGTGACAGAACCACCTCGCTGCGTCCATCCTTACCCCAGGCCGTTGTCCGCCATGGGCTATCTGCTGGAAGAGGTTCAGGGTCAAAGACATCGAGCGCTACACCGCGAATCCGACCGGCGTTGAGAGTTTCTAGCAAGGCTTCCTGGTCAATAAGTGGCCCGCGTGATGTGTTAACGATCATCGCTGTTGGCTTCACAACAGCCAACTCTGGAGCCCCAAGAATCCCACGGCTACGATCGGAGAGCACATTGTGCAGGCTCACAACATCAGCGCGTTGGAAGAATTCGGACTTGGAGGGCACGGCAACGAAACTGCCAGCGGGAAGTCCCTGGGCCTGAGCTTGTTCATCCGCCTTCTCCTGTGTCAGGTTGGCTGACCAGGCAATAACGTCCATCCCGAAGGCTTGGATGGCGATCTTGCCTACTTGCGACCCGAGTTTACCCAGACCAAGCAGGGCCAGTGTCTTGCCAGAGAGGTTGATACCCAGAGAACCTTGCCAGCCCCCTTGTTTTACGGCGGCATCGTCGCGAGCAATGTGACGTGCCAGAGCAAGGATCAAAGCCCAAGTATGCTGCACAGTCGAGTTTACTCCCGGTGGACGTCCCTCCGTACCAGCGACAGCGATCCCTTTGTCCGCGCAGGCTTGCAGATCCAACGCAAGGTTTCGGGTACCGGTTGTCAGCAACAACTTCAGATTGGGCAACGCCTTAACAGTATCCGCGGCGAAGGGCGTGCGTTCTCGCATGGCTAAGATGACATCGAAAGGGTGCAGTCGCTGGATCAAGGCATCTCTCTGGGTAGGATCGCGGGGATCGAGAGTCTCGGGGAAACGCGAAATGTCAACTCGCGATTCGAGATACGCAAAATGCGCCGACGATATACCCTGGTAGTCGTCTAGGATAGCGAACTTGGGTTTCCCAGCCATGGTTCTGGTATTGAACTGACGAGACTTGCAGGTGGAGGAGGCGAGTGTCGTCAAACGAATCAGATGTCTATGCCCCGGCATGCACGGCTATCCCGATGAATCTGCAATGCTGGATGGGATTGTGGCCTGATCGAGATATTTTGGCCCAAAGCAGTGACTAGCGATCCTGACTGGCACTTGCAGCGGAAATATGTTGATCTCAAGATGATTAAATGAGCGTGGAGGGGTAGACAATTTAACCCCGCAGGCGTGTAGGCATTATGTTCTGCCGCTTCCCCGCATGCTTCCGATGATCGGACTTATTCATTGACGACGACAATTTCAACATGCCAATTCACTATGGTGAGATCAATGCATGGTATATCATATTTGATCCGGTGGTGTGACCGCGATTTGCTTTATCTATTTACACATTGCGTCAATCCCGATCGCTGCATCGTGAATTTTCGGCAAGCATGCAATTGATGCCCAGTTGCCCAAATGAAAGCAAGAAATCGCAATTTCTCTCCGTGGCTGGGTGAATCCTGGACATATCGAACATATTGCTCGATCGGATCATGATTACAGCACCTTCAAAGGCCGTAAAGCAACGCTAAACCCACCCAGAAGAGCAGTAACCCCCGTGAAAACGATCAAAGCGCCATATCCACTACCATACGCACCACCAGCAGCATTTTGCCAGGGAAATCCTTTAATCAAAGCCTCACTGAGCGGACCACTGACCACGTTCCCGACTCCTCTCCCCGAAGCCAAGAATCCAAAGACAATCCCAGTTTCGGCGTAGTTGTTCCTCTTACGCACCTCGGTTGACACAGCAGGCCAGGTGGAGGTGAAAGATCCCGCGAACAAACCGTACGCGAGGCAGAAAATGTACAAAGGGGCAAGGCTGATGGAGAATCCCCAGATGACGAATATCGCCAACGTACTCCCCACCGTAGAGATGAGGATGCAAGTCGTGACGTGGTAGCGGTCACTTAGCGAGCCCATAGTGATGCACCCGAAGACCGAGGCGAGGTTGATTAGAATGACAGGCAAAGAGGCAGTCAGATTGCTGGCGCCCAGGGTACGGGCGTAGGTAGGCAGATAGATGTTCGGGAGAAAGAACCCCAGAGCCTCGATGATGTTACCTAGTTGGTAGATGAGGAAGGTCCGGTCTTTGAGGAAACTCAGATTGAGCGGACGGATGGTGGTATTCGATGAGATCGGAATACGAGGCTTCACAAAATACAGCAGCGGACCAGCTAAGACGAAGACGACAATCGCCCAAATGCGAAGCGTGGTTTGGAAGCCGTACATATTAAGAAGCCATTGCAGGACAAGAGGGAGGACGACTCCCGACAGACCCGTTCCAGCCTTGATTCAGTCAGCATATCGACCAGAAAAGGAACCATCATAAAATCGATGGGTGATAGCCAACTCACCCACATAGTCCCAAACGCCATCCCCTTCTTCTTCACAAACCACTCATCCATAAAGATGATAGTCGGCGCATAGGCAACACTCGCCCCGATGCCATAAAAGATACCCTGCGAGAAGATAAGATGCGTCGTAGTCGTCGAGAACGAACTCAGTGCCAGCGCGAGACAAATAATCAAGAACCCAGCGGGGGTCGCCCATCTTCGCAGAAAGGGCATAGACTGTAACAGGCCGAAGATGAATGGTGCGAGGAGATATGTCACTCCCTGATTATGTTAGAATATCAACCCAAGATATGCGATGAAATTGGGGGTGCTACCATTGCACAAGTACCGATGATAGCGGTATTTCCAGACCCTTTAAAGGGTTCGTGGGTTGAGTAGTAGTTTTGGAAAATACCAAAGGCGAAAGAGAAGCCTAAGGATGCTTGTTAGTATTTAAATTTTTTTCGACTGGTGAATTGACGAGACATACCCCAGATCAAGGCTTCAATAACGAAACACGCAGCCAGGAAGAGCCATGCGTCTTTTCCTCCGTCGGCGGGAGGAAGTTGGGCATCATCGTGTTCATGTTGATCGTGAGTAGAATTTGATAGTCTGGGGTGAAGTTCGACTTCCATATCTTTTTCCTTCTTCCTCTCTTTCTGCTTTATTCCTTCTTCTGCTGTTGCTCTTCGCGGTAAAAGAAGAAGAAAAGAAGAGGAACACAACCCCACGAACAGCCAGCCGATCAACGGCCAGGATTACGTGCGAATTGCAAAACAACCGATTTCCACAGGCGCAAAATCCCCACTTTGGTTGTGTTTTCCCATCGGTGTGATTGGTTAGATTGGGATTTAAGTGGGGATGTCAGGTATTTTTTAAATCAAAGTTGTTTTGCAGCGTACCATGGTCTGGGTATGGTACTTTTGTATATGATAGATCGACTTAGTGATTTGGTTCTCTAAAATAGAAGATTTAGGGGAATAAAATAAAATAAAATAGATTTATTAAATGACAGTAATTAAGAAGAAAGTTTGTATTATCTGCAAGTCCAGAGTACGCTTATCTCGGAATGTTCTGCTCTACGGTACAAAGAATCGATATCACCTGACTGGCATACCCTTGGTCTCTCTCTCTCTTCCTCTCTCCTTCTGTCAACCTGGATACGCACTGGGAGTGAATACAAGACTGCATCAAGAGCACACTCGATTGAATATTGATATCCATCATCTGGAGATGTAGCAACAGCACCTCAAGATACTCGAAACTGATTCTTGCCAACTGAGAAGCCAGACGATCACCACTCGTCACAGCCTCAAAGCATTCATTTACTAACCTTCGTTCTCCTAATGAGCTAGGTCTATCATCCTTAGATTGCCTATTTCTGCGAAATTGCACCCAAGTACTAACATCTTCATCTCTGTATAGCAAAAACCAAAGTCCTCATCTCCGATTATACGGGCACCTTTCATGTTCAACCCTGAAGATGACGTACATACCACAAGATGCGGTTAATTACCGCAGGAATGCAGCCAGGTTAAGAAGCTCTGCCTTCAGCGTGTCATCTTCCACGGATGTTCTTGGTGTACCTGCACAAGAAATTAGCCTGGGCTGCATTTCAACAGAACTAGACCATGCACCTCGATTTTGAATAAACAGTGTGATGATCAACAGAGGCTTTGAAACGTCTTTCTCTAACCTACATTTTTGGCCAACTATGGGATAATCAAGTCTCACCGATATGGCCAATCTTGGTACAATGCTCTTGTGTTGAGCTTGGACCAAGGACCCCAGTCGCCCTACAAATTCTACGATACTATTGTGATGACCCACTGGATATCTGTTCCATCTCAACCATGGCTTACAAGACAACAAATGTCGAACTTCATACTGCGTGTTTCAACGGTTGGATACTTCGAAAATGGTGCACAGGCCAAGGATCATCCCGATTCCCTGTCATCCTGATTTTCATCGCTTAGAGAATCCGAATTCCGACCAAACATAAACCGAAAACCCATCATAGGAATTCTGATCGATGATCAACGTATCTACATATGGAAGCACCGAACATGCTGTTTACCCATCTCTTGACCACCATTGTGCACCACCAATTTGCACCACCAATTTCCTAGTCGGGGAATCTAGCCGCGGTCCGATATAGTAGCCTTGGCTCTTAGCTTTTAATGGGCCAAAGAGTCAGGTCCACCAACCAAACAAAAAAATGAGACCCTGTGGCTTGAGATAGTCTTGCGGACACGAGCTTGCCATAGGATAAGCCGAATGAGACCCGCTGTACAACTCCACCACAGCCTGGTGACTCTAGACATGGTGGCAGGGCCAAGGCTCCAGGAAGGATTGAACCAAACAGGCCAGATGAATCAAAATCATTCTCATTTCTTTCATCGTCTTCGCAGCCATCATGCGACTTCAGCTGCTTCTACAGCGTGTGCTTAAACAACCTGCAGCCCGAGTTTTACTCGCCAGTGTTTTCCTCTACCTCCTCGCCTTTCAATACTGTCGTCTTCGTTTTTGGCGCGATCCCCACTCCGCTTTTTTTGACAGCCGCACGGTTTATGACTGGAAATATAGCCTGTTTCGAGAACACCAAGCCAAGCATTTCATTTCCATCTACAATGCCCCATCTGATCCCCCGCCTGTCACGGTAGGCGAATCGCATCCTCTACTATGTGCTGCCGTGACAACTGTAAAGCGTGATACGGATGATTACTTTGATGCTGCGGTGGGTTCGCTGCTGGAGGACCTCGATCCCCGAGAGAGACGGGCGTTGCATTTGAATGTTTTATTCGCCGATACGGATCCTTCACGACATCCAAGCTGGGAGCAGAGATGGGTGGGCCGGTTGGCTGACTCGGCTGGTTCGTATAATGTGTCTGACGAGACGATGGAGCATTTGAAAGAGTTGGAAGGGAAACGGAACTTTTACGAAAAGGGCGTGTTGTAAGTATACAACTATCCGATTTTATCTACATACCTAACCAATCCAAGTGACTACAACTACATGCTCGAAGACTGTCTCGCCACCAACGCTCCCTATATCGCGATTTTCGAAGACGACATCATCCTCGCCGACGGATGGCTGATCAAAACCCTCAACGGCCTCACCGAGATAACCCGCAAATCACCCCAAAACGCCGACTGGCTCTACCTCCGCCTCTTCTATACTGAAACCTCGTTGAGCTGGACCTCCTCCGACTTTTGGTATCGCAATATGCCTCTCGCCTTTGCCCTCGTCATTACTGCCGGTCTTGCAGCTCTTCTCACAATCCGTCGGTATCACCCTGGCGCCCGAGCCTCTTATCTCGACTATCCATCCATCGCGGTGATATGCTTCATCACACTCCCTGCGTTTACGGGATTGGTGTACATGATGGGAAAATACAACATCCAACCACTCCAGGGCGTGGTGGAGATGAATGCGTACGGATGCTGCACGCAGGGTCTTGTCTTCCCCCGTGAACAAGTCCCAGGATTGATGGCTTATCTACACAAACGCGGAGCCGGACAGACGGATAGCATGATTGAAGAATATGCCGGTGAGACAGGATTAACGCGGTATGCGCTGGCACCGCAACAAATGCAGCATGTAGGCTTGCGGTCGAGCCGTGATAACACTGCCCTCAACACGCAGAGTACATGGGCGTTTTGGTTTGAAGAAAGTGACCCTGCAGTATTGGCCAAAGAACACGAGAAGCTACTAAAAGAGGGAAGCTTGGTTTAATGATTCATATACCCATATACTCATTTCTATCTAAGACCATCTAAGAACAATACTATATTAATACCAAAAAAGCATCTATCCATAAATCATGCCAAAGCCTTATTCTCCTTCAAGAACACCTTCAAGTCCTTCAATCCCTCCAACCCCTTCGCAGACTCTTCCACCAACTCCTCCGTCTTTTCGCCGAAATACCCCGGGTTCTCAAACCACCTCACCATGGCAACCTGTCGTTCTGCCATAGCCTCCGGCAGGACCTTGATGAACTCCTTGTCCGGAATCTGGAGGTACCGCACCCTCTTCCCAGTAACCTCCGTGAAAGTGGCCGCGATCTCCTGGAGCGACCGCATCTGAGAAGCAGCGTACAGCGTCTTCCCAGCAAACCTCTCCGACTCAGAAAGAATAGCACCGACAAATTTCCCCGTGTCGGCGACGATATCAATAAGCGGAATCTTCGCATCCGGGCTAATAACATTGACCATGGAATACTCCTCCACCGACGACTCAATAGGCCGAGGCTTCATGAACGTAAGAAGATTCTGCATAAACATTCCCGGCGAGTAAAACGCACTCGCGACAGGCAGCGACCGGATATACTTTTCCAGCACGACCTTGGACTCAAACACGTCCACTCGGTCGTTTGTGTGCACGGCCGAGCTGAAAATAAGGTACTTGGCTCCGGCCGCGACGGCCGCGTCGGCGATGGCTTTGCCCTGTCTGAATTCGCGAGTGGCGAGGTGTTCATCGTACACGGTTGCGGTGACGATGAAGACTGTGTGGGCGTTTTCGACAGCGGCGGAGAGCGAAGACGCGTCTTCGGCGTCGGCTTGCACGACTTCGACGCCTTTGGTGATGTACGCTTGGGCGTCGGGTTTGCTGCTGTCGCGGGTGATGGCGCGCAGGGCGTACTTGTTCTTCAAGGGGGAGTTGAGGACGTGGTTGACGACTGAGGAGCCGGTTTGGCCTGTTGCTCCGAAGACGACGAGGGTGTTCATTTTGAGTATTTGATTGGAGATTGGAAATTGGGGATCGATTTATTGGTTGATCAATTGATTGACTGATTGACTGTTGGTACTTAGAATGCTGCTGCTGATGGAGATACAACCAGCGATCACAACTCATCTTATATACTATTATTCGGAGCATCATCTTATCGTCCTACATGATGATTCGGAGCAACACAACTAATCACTCCGACGGGATTTCCGTCGGAAGAGAGAATCAAAATTGGGGCAAAGGATCTGTCCGACAGACAGGGATTATATTCGCGCAACGTAATCAACTCCGTCTATACAAGGAATATCTGTAGCCTACCGATCCAGCTCACTCGCCCTTTGCGAACTTCTTGAGCGAGTCCTCGCTGCCATTCCATAAATCCGAGTCCCCTCCGAATGAGTATTTGTCAGAGTTCTGCCAGATGGACTGGAACTTCCATCCGCCGGGAGCTGCACCAGGGGCGCTGTTATATCTTGCCAGGACCAGCGGGGAGGTCTCGCTGAAGGCCTTGCTGTCGCCGGTGCAGGTCTTCCACCAGTCGGCCGTGGTGTAGATCATGGGGTACCGACCGGTCTTGCTGTTGTAGGTGTCGGAGAAGTCCTTGATCCAGGCGGTCATCTGCGACGGGGAGAGGTCGTAGCAGTTGTTGCCCTTGTATGGGTTGTACTCGAGGTCCAGCATGCCGGGCATGGTCTTGCCATCGTTTGTCCAGCCGCCGCCGTGGGCGAGGAAGTATTCAGCTTGCTCCTTGCCGGACTTGGAGTTGGGGACGGCAAAGTGGTAGCCGCCACGGAGGAGGCCTGCCTTGCCGGCGCCCTCGTAGTGGGTTGAGAAGGATGGGTCGGTGTAGGTGGTTCCCTCGGTGGACTGGGTTGCTTGTTAGTATGGACATTATGAGCTGGATGAGGTGACTGACCTTGATCAGGACGAAGCGGGCACCAGCCTTGTAGGCACCGGCATAGTCGACGTCCTTCTGGTAGTGGGAGATGTCGAAGCCCTGGACGCCGTTTGCCCGAGCTTCAATGGTCACAGGAGAGGCCGCAGCCAGTCCGGCGGTTGCCAACAAAGAGAGAGCAGTGATCTTCATGATGGAGATGATATGATTATTGAGATGGGAGTTGTGATGGACTCAATCAGATGGGATTCATGCTGCTATTTATCCTCGACAAGAAGCGAGGTCGTTTTGTGTATACTGTTTTAATCTCTCGCAATGCTGCTCGATCGGGACGACGATCCATCGTATCCCAAAATAACAAGTGACGATCATCAAGAAATACGAAGGAATCTCAAGCTTAAAAGCCAAAACAACGGATACTCTTATTTTCAGAGCCAGTTAGAATGATGAAACTTCATCGTGAGTGCAGTAGATGGCGAAGATAGATTGGAAAAGGGATAATAATAGGAGTGTTCCTGCATTGGTGTCACTGGTCGTATTTCCTCCCAGAGTGGTGGCTCGTATCCGGTCATCATGCCATGGAACTCATTAGCTGAAGATCATGTATGTAGGCAAGTAGGAAATTGAATGAATCGTGAGATCATCTTGCAGATGAGATGAGATGCAGATGTGATAGAGGATAGAACGTGAAACTGATGGATAACCTCAGTCGATAATCCTGTCGGACCGTCTCGCACTAACGCCCGACCGTTGATATCATCGTGCAATTCCTCCACAGTCCACCATCCACCAGGACCACCTCGCCTCCCCCCCTTCTTGTCGATTCAAATCTCGACTCTTCCATCCCATTTCCATCTGCAGTCGGCATGGCATGCGGTTCGAGCCGCCGACCTCTTCTCCGCCACCAACGCCATTATGAGCTCCAGCACCACTGCCAGCGACAAGGAGTTTCGTGAACAGCTGGGCAAGTTTCGCCTTGACTCGGTCGCCAATTCCCTTCCCCGTCCTCCTCCACCTCCTCTCCCTGCCTCTCAGCTTCCTCTCCCGACTCACCTCCCCTCTCAGCCCCAGCATCCAGACGCCGTCGGTGTAGGCTCTGACAACCCCCTGCATTCTTCTTCGACTGGCTCTTCCTCCATCTCTTCCGCCTCCGCCGCCGCGGTCGCTCGCAGCAAACGCGTCTCCACCGCCTGTGACTTCTGTCGCAAGAGAAAAAAGAAATGTGATTTTCGCTATCCCAATTGCTCCGCCTGCACCCGTGCTGGGGTCCGCTGTACTATTCCCCCGCCCGGGCCTCAAGTTGCCAGTGCCTCCGTCCCCCGCGATCAACTCGAGAACCTTCAAAAACGAGTCAGATGGCTGGAAGATATCGTGCGTCGGAAGACGGGCCTCCCCGTGGCGGACATGACCACGGGGAGTGTTGTCGATGCAGATGGAGACCCTGACTGGTGGTACCATGTGCCGGCCATGATGGCCACAGGTAGCGCTCGTCCTTCGACCGCTGCTGCATCGAGTCCTGGCGGCAGCACGGCCGGGTCGTCGACTGGACCGACTGCTTCAGATACTTCAGGATTCGGTACGGAACTGCCCAATGTTGGTGAAATTTTTCGCGACCAGCTAGAGCATCGCCGACCGTCTGTGGCACGTCCTCTTTCCTCCGCCCCACGCGTCATCCGCTTGTCTTCGTTGGAAGAAGCAGAGAGAGTAGCGGGAAATTATTTCGACAGCATGGGGTATCAATATCCCTTCCTCTACCGACCCGAATTCATGACCCAACTGCGTCGCATCTACGCGGGCGGCGTGCCGTCATCCGAGGTACATTACACATATCATATCACGATCGCGATTGCGTTGCAGATTGGAGGAGCAGATGCTATACAAACGGCTGAATTCTATCGTGCGAGTCAAGAGACTTTGCCATTGGCTATGCAGAATGAAGATCTGTCTGCCGTCAAAGCGCTCTTGAGTCTTGCGCTGTATACTATGTTTGCCACGACAGGTCCCAGTGTCTGGCATGTGCTGGGTACAGCCATGCGTCTGGCCACGAGTTTGGGGCTACACAAGGCACGTCCGATGGCTAGCTTGGCCGAGGAGGAAATGTCCAAGCGAGCTTTTTGGAGTCTCTATAATTTGGACCGTCTCATTGCCAGTACCTTAGGGCGTCCGCTGGGCATTGCGGACGAGGATATTAGCGTTGACCTCCCGCGTGAATTCAATGATGACTGGACGGAGATTCCAGGTGGAAGCTATATGAGCATTCCCGTACAGGTAGTGCGCTTGCGACGAATCTTTTCGCGTATCTATCGTTACTGTAAGTTCCGTCAGTTTTCGTGTTGACTTACTTCTAACTCCAGCAGTGTATAACAACCAACCCCCACCACCTCAGAAAGAAGTTGCAATGACATTAAGCCATTATCGGCAGGAGCTGGATGAATGGCGCATGAGAGCTCCTGTGTTCCAACCAGCTCTTCTATACTCCACCAGCTATTACGATTATCTCTATTACACAACCCTGCTGCTCATGTATCGCCCTAGTCCGCGAAATCCTACACCCGACGTCATTAGCATCATGAGTTGCGGAGACTCCAGTATCCAGGTTATTCGCTCATATTGGGATAGTTATTCGGTCGGCAAGATCAAGTGGATCTGGTTGACCTTGAGTCAGACGTACTTTGCTGGTATTACCATTCTTTGGTGTCTGGAGCAGAACTCCCGTGCGTTCCGGGATGGCAGGCCACCATTATGGCAGCCAGATGAACAGATGATGCGTCGTGCCATACAGGCCGTTGTTGTTCTGCTCGAAGAATTTGGCAAACGACGACCGGGCGTAGACCGGCTGGCAGAGACGTTTCGCCATCAGAGCACGCAGATTTTCAGCCAAATTGCCTATCAAGAACAACAGCAGCGAGAGCAGGAGCAGCAGCAACAACAGCAAGTACAACTCCAGCAGCAACAGCAACAGCAACAGCAATTACAGCAACAGCAACAATATTATCAGCAGCAGCAGATTCTTCCTCTGGCACAACCATCGCAGCAAGTGCCAATGGCACCTGTCCTGGATGATGTCTTGCTGGTAGATGGCACAATGGGTGTACCAGTGATCGATCCCCAGCTAGCGGAACAGCTATTTTACTCGTACGATTGGTTCCAAGAGGAGATGGCGACGTATTATACCCTATGAGCGTGTTGGTGTTGGTACATTTTCTTTGCAGTAGACAGCTTTATTGTAGTGGTTATTTTATTTGTGTAGTTATTGCTGTCTGATATTTGTTGGATTTGTTTATATGCCTTGAATATTGTGTACAAAGCATAGATCTACATAGCAATGATCTTACGAAGTGAACGTGTCACCTGCAGGTGCTGCTTGAAGCTACCCCGCTAAGATATATAACCTCCAAAATCTCCATGATAAGATCTCCATCTCCAACACCATCAACAACAACTCCACCACCATGACTTCCAACCAAGATAAAAAACCCCTCGCCTTCCACGGCACGATAATCCACTCAAAAGACCTCACCACCATCCAAATCCACCCCAACACCCTCCTCCTAACCGACACAACCGGCAAAATCACCCTCCTCGCCCCAAACACCCCCAGAGACGAAATCAACCACCACCTCCCCCCCTCAACACCCATCACTTACCTCCCGCCTACAAAATTTCTCATCCCAGGCTTCGTAGACACCCACAACCACGCCCCACAATGGTCCCAACGCGGCATGGGCCGCGGGAAACCACTCCTCGAATGGTTGGAGAAAGTGACGTTCGCGCACGAGGCTAAATTCAAAGATCCCGAGTATGCGCGCTCCATGTATACGTCCTGCGTGGAGGGTTTCCTGAAACAGGGTATCACGACGGCGTCGTATTACGGGTCGCGACATGGTGAGGCGAGTAGGATTTTGGGCGAGGTTTGTGTTGAAAAGGGTCAGAGGGCGTTTGTGGGCAAGTGTAATATGCATCGTAATGCGCCGGATTGGTATCGGGATGAATCGGCGGGTGAGTCATTGCGTGAGACGGGGGAGTTTATCGAGGCTGTTAGGAGGATTGATGATGGTGAACATGGGCTGGTAACGCCTATCCTTACGCCGCGGTTCGCGATAACCTGTGACGAGGAAGTTCTGGATGGACTGGGGAAGATGGCTGAGCAGAATCCCGACTTGCCGATTCAAACGCACTTCAACGAAGCCGAGGCGGAGATATCATTCACTAAGGAGCTCTTCCCGACCTTCGACACGGAGGCGGATTTATACGAGAAATTCGGTCTTCTCAACAACCGCACCATCCTCGCGCATTCAATCTTCCTGCAGGAATCCGAGATGAAGAGGCTTCGCGAACTCGACTGTGGTGTCGCGCATTGTCCCATCCCGAATACCACCATGGGTGTGTTTATGGTTGCGCCTGTTCGCGAGTATTTGCGTCGGGGCATCAAGGTAGGCCTGGGCACGGATAGCGGGGGTGGGTATTCGAGTTCGATGTTAGAGGTGATGAAGCAGGCGTTTATGGTTAGTACGGCGCGGCATACGATGAGTGGGGGTAAGGATGAGGTGTTATCGGTTGCGGAGTGTTTTTATTTGGCTACGATGGGCGGCGCGAGGGTGATGGGGTTGGAGGGGAGGGTTGGGAATTTCGAGGTTGGGAAGGAGTTTGATGCGTTGGTGGTGGATGTTGATGTTGATGGGGTGATGGCGCCTGTTGAAGAGGAGGATAGTCCTGAGGACGTGTTGGAGAAGTTTTTGATGACGGGGGATGATCGGAATATCGGGCAGGTTTATGTGAAGGGGAGGCTTGTTAGAGGTTGAAAAGAATGAATGCTGAATCGATTCATGCAGTATATGGTATCAAGTAAATCAACAATAATATACAATATAGCCCCCAATTATCAATTATCTGTACATGAACATAAATGAAGTTATGTGCAGGTATATGTTCACTCCCACGTCCCTCTAGCCGGACCAAAGTATCCCTCTGCAGGCACACTCTTCCACGGCGTGCCCTTTCCGTCAGCCGTGTTCGAGAAGACGGTATTACCCCACCAGCTCAACGACCCGGCAGGAAGAGTGATGCAGAAGAAGATGATGACCGTAGCGACGGCGACCCCGGAGTCGAGGGCTGCAGAAAGAACATAGTCTATGCCGTTAGTATACGTAGAATGAAGCCCCAGAGATGAAAACTTACTATACTTGGACCACCAAGCTGGCCTCCGTCGCTTGAGCAATCCGTTGAAAATCATGTTTACAACCCACCAAGAGGAAAAGTTAATACCAGTGGCAGGAGGAACCAGGCTCATGGCTCCGAAGGCCACAGGCCAGGAGATGTAGTTGACGGCCTTCCATCGGCGTCCGAGAATATAAGTGATGGCAATCACAACCGGTCCGACAAGGAAGAACCAGAGCAGGTTCCCATAGATCTGTCCTGGGGTGAAGTTGCGTCCAGGACCGAGAACACCCCAGATCAAAGACGACGAGTAGGTCACTCGGCCGTGGGGACAAGAGAAGCCTCCCGAAGCATCCGAGGTACAGACGCCGTCAATTCTTGTGATCATAAACACGGTCACACCGCACTGAACGACAGCACCGACCAGTGTGGCGATTCCTTGGGCCATGAAAACTGTGCGAGGGGCAATGTGAAGGTAGTGGGCCAGTTTCATGTCGGCCACAAACTCCAGTCCCTGCGACACGGCGGTGTAACCGTAAAACTTAAAGGCCATGTTGGCGACCGGCTTCCCCAAGAATGCATATCCGCCGATGAATTCGGTAATCAAATTCAATTGATTACTGCTGATGTTGGTCACGGCCTTGATGATCCCAACCGGAATAAAGTAGATGATGGGCAGCACGAAAGCCACGAACACCGCCCATGCAGGGAGCCCGGTGTGCCAGACCTCGTTGGTGACAATGCTGAGAACAAACATCAAAACACTAACCGCAGCGAACCACCACCAGGGAACATCCTTATACCCTGAAACGAGTCGTGCGTGAATATCCTTCTTGTCCCGTCCTTGCCATTGCTCCCACAGATCCTTTCCATGATAAAGTCCGATGTGGACGAAAATGCCCGTGAGGTTGGCAAATGCGATACCGTAGGTCAGTGCATAGCCAGCCGGAAGAAACATAGGCGAGTACTCGCGGTATGCTTGTAGATTAAAAGTTCCATCGGTATTCATGACACGGGTCGTATTGTAAGTTTTACCGGTGTTGTCAAAGGTGTTGGAGTTGAGTAAAGGCAAGTAGGACGCGTACCAAGTATTAGTGTAGTAGAGAATCGGGCAGATCAGCCAGTAAAACAGGACGAAAGACCCCATAACGTTCAGGCCTGCCCAGAAGGGGACCAAGAGGGGACTCTGGTTGGCATAGACCACCTGCGCCCAGTCAAAGGTTAACATGGACATGCCCAATCCGGTTGTTTGACCGAACAACTGATTTACTACAACATTGTTCGGCACAATCCAGCAGATGAAACTGAATGTGCTGAGCGCCGTGAAGAGGTAACCTGGTAAAAAGTACCAGATACCGCCAACGACAAATACGATGAGAAAGAATCGGAGACGCGAGATACGCCAGCCGTCCGCGATGGCATTGGCCCGCGAGTGCAATGTCGACAACAGAGCGGCATTAGAAAGCACCTGGGGCCAGATCATAGTGGCAGGACCCACGAGCCATCGCGAGGCCATCCCTGCCAACCCGAATCCGAACATTTGCGTGGTGATGGTCAACAGGATTTCGAAACCACCCTGGGAAGGAAATCCATAGAACTTGACCATGGCCTCAATGATCTGAGTAGCAGCCGCCGACCCAAAGGCGACATTGGCCATGATGGTAATCAACGCATGTTCCTTGATATTGAAGTGACGGTCTGGATTCAGAAAACACAGTGGCATCCATTTCGCCCAAGCACAGCCCACCGGGAAAGCCAGCAACTGGGCGACGAGAGAGCTAATGGTGACACTGGGTTGGCGTAGACTGAAGAATTGATTTAATCCACTTCCGATCTACCCAGCGTGGTCAGTTTAAATCCCATGCGTATTGTGATTTATCAAAGTATCGGCCGGGTACGCACAATAGTAAAAATGATTCCAATGGTCCACATGCGGACGGTATTAACCGGCAGCGACACATCGTCGACGGGCTGCACAACGGCGCGCACTTCGGGAAAAGGCGAATCGTCTGCCTCATACGGAAGTATCTTTTCTGCATCCCGATCACTGAGGAAGTCAATTCCATCACTGGCGGTGTCCAGTGGGGGCTCCTAGTGGAGATTAGCATTATAACGTCCATGAATGGGCTGGTAATATTAATATTGTGCAGTGAAGGTGGACACGAGGGGAATAGGTAGGCAGGCTATGACAGGTGTAGACCCTCCAATGTGGGGGAGAGCAGAAAAGAAAGAATTAAAAAAAATGAAAAATAAAAATAGACAAAATGACAGCGACAAATCAAAACGGAAAAAAAAACCAAAAATAAAATAAGCAAGACGGGTTGGGAAACCCACCTGGATCGAAGTCTTCCGCTGATGCTTTTCGTCTGCCGTCTGCGCCATGATGGAGGATTATGACTTTTCCTGCTGATCGGCTGTCAAAGGCGCAGCCAGCAGGTCAGATTTGTCGTCTGACAGACGTTGTTTTTTTTCACCCACCAGTCACAATGAGACAGACGCCACAGTGATGGATTGGCAAAGACCACCTACTGGTCTGTTGGGTCTGTATGGATTTTTGATGGTGCTGATCGTTTACGAGATGCTTTTGGATGGAGAGGATTGACTCCTGAATCCAGAGAGAGCCAGAGAGAGAGGGGAGACCGAGGGGAGACGACAGAACGCGACTAGCCTGGAAGGAATGAATCAGCACCCACTCTGTCTTAGCTCCATGTCCACACCACACACACACACCAGTCGAAGTGACAATTATTTCGTGCATCGGACCAAGGATTCAAGCGGCGATGGCCTCCACTTTTCGCTGCCCAAGTCGCCGTCCTGAAACGAACACCACGCATCTTGCTGCGATTCTAGAAACGGTCGCAGCGTTCCATCATCGGGATGGCCCGCTGCTGGAGGTGACACTGTCCAGTCTTTCCCCCCGGTTGGTCAGCCCATCTGCCGTTTCCAATCGATACGAGCTTACGAGCTGACGAGTCCCTTGCTCTTTTTCTCCCTCAGCTGCTTGTCGTGGAGATTCTATCGTCCAGCGGGTCGAGCCGACTGTCGGATCTGAGCGCCTCTCGCCGACAATCCGACACAAAACGTCCAAGAAGGGCACCAGGGAACAAAAAACCGTAGGACTCGAAACAAACGACGGGCAAGATCGTCAAGATGCGCTCTCAGTCCTCCGGTGATAAAGGGGGACTGGCCTCACTGGAAAATTATATATATATCGACTGCGCGAGGCGGCATTGTGGTTTTTTGGTATAGAGTTTCGCCTCCGAGATCGGCATCTGAACCAGATATACTCTTCTGCTTTCTACCAATATCATCATCTTCACGAACCGGTTTCAAATAGAAAACAGAGTCAGTTCGTACAAAATGGGGGAATACACTCAGGCCAACGATAACCCCCGTGTACCCTTTTCCCAGCGTCCCATCATCATTCTCGGGGCTGGTATCATCGGTTGCGCCACAGCTCGACAGCTTCTACTCAATGGCTTTCCTGTTGCTCTGGTGGCTGAATATCTACCAGGAGATCAGAACATCAACTATGCCTCCGCTTGGGCGGGTGCAGCATGGCATGCTGCCGGGGGTATCTGCCCAGAGTATAGATACTTCCAGGCTGTCACCCATCGCCACCTGCTCAAGATGGCTCAGGAAGACCCCGAGTCTGGCGTCTGTGTCGTGGATGCACGGGAATACCTTGAACAACCCCCGGGAGAGAATTCCTCGGTTTGGGGAAAGACCGTGCTGTCAAACGTAAGTCCTGAAACCTACTTCTATCTTGGCAATGCTAACAGTCTGGGACAGTTCCGTCACTTGAAGGCAGGCGAATTCCCTTCGAACTTCGACACTGCCTGGGCCTACGACACACTCGTTACAGATCCCACCCTTCACATGCCTTGGCTCGGAAAGCAGATCACTGCTCTGGGAGGGCAGTTTATTCGAAAGAAGGTCGAGTCTCTTCAGGAGCTCTACGCCCTGTTTCCCGAGTCGACTGTCTTTATCAACGCCAGTGGCGTGGGGAGTAAAGCCCTCACCGATGTTATGGACGACAACTGCTTCCCCGAAAGAGGGCAGAATGTTTTCCTCAAGACCGAAAACTGCAACCAAATGTTTTTCCGGAATGGCAAGCAGTACACCTACATCATCCCTCGACCATTGTCAAAAGGTGTTGTACTAGGAGGTGTCAAGCAGCAAGATGACCTGTAAGTCTTTTTGCAGCAGTGATTCATACCCCAAACCGTATACTGACTATCCCCAGCTCTCCCGAGGTAGACATGGAAATCGCACGGGATGAACTTGCTCGCACCCATATTCTAGCGCCGCACATCGTTCCTGAACACCCAGCCGAAGATACGATCAGCCATATCATTGGTATCCGCCCCTCGAGACGAGGTGGATTCCGTTTGGACTCTGAGAATATTGGCAACCGTACCATTCTCTCCGCCTACGGATTCGGCGGAGGCGGATATGCCTTTTCCTACGGTGTGGCCGATGCCTTGGCCAAGATGGTGGAGAGGACTGAGCGCGAGAGTGTGATTTGATAATTGCAGCCCAGCGATTCTACTATTTAATGTTGCTATTTCTTGTGGACATGGTCGAACAGAACGCCTTCCACGACTGTTGACGCAGTTTTTATTATCTTTTTATGTTTTATTTCTTGAGACATGCCCGGTGCACGTTTGATGTTTCTGCATATATGTTGATACCAAGATTTCGATCGCCAGAGCAAATACCAATTCACGACTAATATGATACTTTCGATATCTATTTGTGCATCCCAACTTTGCGTTCGCCAAACTGTCAAATAAGATGGATTCGGGAAATCCGAGCGGGAAGGGGACGGCACAGAAACTGCCGAAGGGTTCAAACTCAGCAAATTACCATGGTTTCTCGCCCAGAACAGGAAGATCATTACTAGATCTTGGGATGAAGCGGTGAGTAGAATAAAACGACAATAATCACCATTCAGAACGGCACTTCTTGGGAATGAACAACTTTTGCTCTACTGTTGAAGACGTGAAGCGAGTTGAAACGAGGGCTGTTTTCCTGCGCCACGTGACATCCCACTTTGGACTTTTGCTTCAATCTTTTCAGTCTTTTTTGCTGAATTCTTGCCAATCTCAACGCCAAGATGACTCAAAAATCGCAACCGATAACCTCAAGAATGCAAAGAACCATAATTACCCGATCAGGAATAAAGGAAGCGGTCCACCACGAAACGCCCTCTTGGGTATCAGCGGATCTTCCCGACTGCAGATCCCAGCAGGCCAGCACAGCAGGTTAACCCTTCTTTTGCAGTCGGCCGAAATTGTTCCTCACCGGCTTCTAGGGGGCTTCCATTTTCCAGATCGACATGAGCTTATGGCCTGGTATGGTTCCCTTTCCATCCAAGGGTGATTATGAATTATATTAATCTCTGGGCGGATGCTACACTAGTTAAAAAATTCCTGATCGCAATCACCGTTTCAAGACTCGATCTCGACCGTCATGATTATTCATGCTTCTGACAGAATCGACAATAATACCAACACCCGCTACATACGGAAGACTCCGTTTCGCAATTGCCTTTTTAACCTACCGGATTAGCGTGTTTATAACGCGGCAGACACTGGGCAGTGGACAGGCCTTGATTCCTTGCTTTTCCCAATAGTCGCTGTCCTCTGACCATCGTGTGACATTTCCCGTCGGGTGTGGCCGTCGGTCGCAGAATCAATCGTTATGTTTGGTCGACGAGGAAGGGTTTGCATAAGCAAGCATAAGTCGAATAAACCAGTCCAGAAGGAAGAAAGAAGGAAAGAAAAAAAAAAAAAAAAACTGGAACTGTAGGGGGAGAAAGGAGGGATAAAATACTTCCCACTGGGTAAGGAGATGTTTCAGAGGATACGAAAAGTCAAAACCAAAAAAAAAAAAAAAAAAAAAAAGGGATGGTGTTGATCGGAGGGAAATGAATGACGTTTGACCCACGAAGGGATGCACAACGACATAATGTTGCGGTCAGAATATGCTCTGACGACAGGGGTGGATCCCGCCAGTTTGGGCTCTTCATGAGGTCTTCAACCATCTTTCTATCCTGAGGAGGTTATGTAAGTGGTTTATTTTGTCCCAAATGGAATTACCACTGCAAGCCTCCTAACGCCCTATTTGCAGTGGTTACCAATCTTACCACGGTTCCTCGACCTGTTCAGAAGCAAGTCTGCAGCTGGATCGCCTTCCCCGCAGCCGGTTGGGTTTGCCGGCCATACACTGGCATCCCTTCGTGCGATCGTCTTCTGACTCTTATTATTGACGTCGGTGGTGTGTTGGTTCCATAATTTGGAATCCCTTCATCTGACAGCGTCTGGCCAAAAGGCTGCGACTTTCCGCTGTCTTCGTTTTTATTTGATTTTATTTTTATTTTGTTCCTTCACCTTTTTCTTCGTCCCACCTCCATCTCCTATCTTCTTCGTCCCCTCCACAACAAACAAACAAAAAAAAAATAAAAAATAAAAGCCCCGCTGGATGAGTCAACTGGATTCAGCCTGCCAGGCAAATTTTCTCATCTGCTACCGTCGCGCGCCAGGCGCGCCCGCTGCCAAATAAGCAAAGCTGCCAACGCCAACATGAGTTTCGATCAGCGGCTGCTTAGCCTGAACATTGCCGACAGGCGTCAGTCTCCTGGAAGCTTCGCCATGGTCGCAACACCACCTGAGGAGACAGAGTTGTGCCTGGATCACTTTTCTGCGACATCGAGACGCGAAAAAGAGGACCACCATCGCTCGCGGCAGGACGTTACAAAGATGACGCCGGAACCCGAGGATCCCATGACTCGGATCTATCGCTACACACCAGTCCCCACCATTATTCTTGATGCATCCCTACATATCGTTCAGGTCTCGGATAGCCACCTTGAATTCTCGCACCAGACCAGGGACACGCTTCTGAACACTAGCATTTACGAGATTCCCCCCCGCACGATTCCGGCCCCGGACATTGCAACTCTCAACGGTGCGATTCGGGCAGCCATCACATCCAAGGCTGTGCAGGTGATTGATCACATTTATTTGCCCGATATCAGTTCATACATCAGCCTGCGTATGACACCGATCTATGAAGAAACCACGTTGATCTATCTGGTTTTAGAAGTGCATAACATCACCAAAGAGCATGACGAGCGGAAACCAAGCAACCAACACACCTATATCAACGAAACGTACAGCGTTCTCTTGGATACCGTCAAAGACTACGCCATTTTCATGTTAGACTGTCGCGGACATATCGCGACTTGGAATTCAGGCGCTGCCATTTTGAAGGGATACTCATCTGCAGAAATCATTGGGCAGCATTTCTCTATCTTTTATAGCGAAGATGATTGCCTCGCAAAGAAGCCATCGAAAGAGCTTGAGGTATGCCTGCGCGAGGGTAAGGTGGAGGATGAAGGCTGGCGGTACCGCAAGGATGGTTCACGATTTTGGGCCAATGTCATCATCACCCCGATCTATCAGTTTGGCCGCCATGTGGGCTTTGTCAAAGTCACGCGAGATTTAACGGAACGAAAAGCAGCAGAGGCGCGACTGATTTCGGCTTTTGAAGAGTCTTCCAAAATGAAAAGTGACTTCTTGGCTAATATGAGCCATGAGATTCGCACACCGATGAATGGCATGACTTTGGCTCTGACGATGCTCACAGGCACTGAATTGAGCAAAGAACAACGGGAATACGCGTCTATACTCGAAGATTCGTCGGCTATTCTCCTTCAGGTGATCAACGATGTTCTTGACTACTCGAAGCTATCTTCCGGATCGTTCACCTTGAATTCCGATATTGTGGATATTGATAGCGTTGTTGGGGCAGTCTTACGTAACTCTAAGTCAGCTCTTAAACCGGGTGTTGAACTGAAGAGCTTTGTTCCGAAAGATTTCCCCAAGCATATCAAAGGTGACCCGCTACGATATAGACAAGTGTTGCAGAACCTAGTGGGGAATGCCGTCAAGTTTACTGAGAAAGGATATGTCCGTATTTACACTTCATTTGTTGTGGATAAAGAGAATCCGGATGTTTACGATGTGTTGACCGAGGTGGTCGATTGTGGGATAGGTGTGCCCGAAAGCGCCGTCAGCACTCTATTCACCCCTTTCACACGATTTGCGGATTCCGCACAGCGGCGATATCAGGGAACCGGGCTTGGGCTATCTATCTGTAAAAGCTTGGCTGAACTTATGGACGGTTCTGTGGGATTCCGACATAACCCGGAGGGACAAGGCAGCATTTTCTGGTTTACAGCGAAAATGGGTCGCACCGACGTGAATACTGAAACCGTGGAAAGGCCGTTGGGTACATCGAGCCCTGACGAATTAATTGACTTTTCCGCCGAAATTCGAAAGATAGCACCACAGAAGCGCATTCTGGTCGTGGAGGACAACATGGTGAATCAAATGGTGATGCTCAAACTCCTTAAGACTCTGGGGTTTGAGTGTGTGGACTCGGCATGGGATGGGGAAGAGGCTGTCCGGCTAGTCAAGCAAATGCCTCTATCTTACAATGTTGTTCTCATGGACATTAACATGCCGGTTTTGGATGGCTTGGAGGCCACGTCAGAGATTCGAAACTTGAACCCAGATGTGCCCATTATCGCTCTCACAGGGAATGCGCTGAAAGGGGATGCAGAAACGTATCTTGCCAAGGGGATGAATGATTATATCGCGAAACCCGTTCATCGCAAACAACTCGTAAAATTATTGTGGAAATGGATGGGAACATGATTCGCCTAGGCCTGGATTTCAAATCTCTAATCACCCATGACATCATTTTCATGACAAACAAAACACCCGATTGACAGGAAGCACCGTGTGCGATATATCGTCAATTTCCTTGGCAAAGGCCCTTTGTCGACCACTTCGCGACCACATATCCGGCATTTTTTGGCAGTTACCGCGGCTGAAAGACATCGATCTTGGAATTGCCCTGTTGAAACGATCAATAAGGATATAACCTGCCTTGATAACGAAGGACAATGGAGTGCGCAGCCCACGACCTGTGTACAGGGAAGGTTGATTCCAAGTTTCAGTCTTGCCTACATCGAACCATCCGAGTTCATTCAGCGACTGATTATCTGCATGCTGCAAGCTTGATTCATCGAGGCTAACTGGCTTGCAGACCTGCCCACCGAATGGTCCTTCATCCAGTCTCCATGACTATGGAGCACAGCTCCCTGTATCAAAACCGAAAACACCCACTAAATGAATGATTCTGTGTACTAAGATCATAAGAGTAAGGTAGTTACCGCAGCTTGCGCGGCTGATCGTAGACCTTGTGAGTGTAGTGAAGATGCTATCCAGGGATTTCGAACGGATTTGTCCGATCACTTATTGTCCATCCTGTTCCTCTACTTTGTATATTTTCAAATATACTAAGTGTCTTTGCCTTTCGTACGGAATGACCATGGCCAGCCAACAGCTGCAAAAGGCGAGGGTCAAATTTTGTAGCAACTGCCTTTTCTACACCGGAAAACTGCAAGAATTGATGAAGTTGCTGTTTGCAATCCTCAAGGCTATTTCAGGCCGATCCTGCGTTTTAGATTCTGTGTTCGCGGAGTTCTATTTCCTCGCTGGTAGGTCACGTGATAGAGTGATTCTTCGAGGGCCGATGCGTCGCTCTCTTTGCTCTTAAGTCTCACTGACACGGCAGTTGAAACGTTTCAGCCTTTGATCCATGATCATCAAAACACAGGAAACATGCATAAACGCCAAGTGAGATGGGATAGAACATGGCGGATGCGACAGTTGATCATTATCTCCTGAATCCGTGCAGTTGCAGGTCGCTCGCCCGGGATTTGCAAGAAGTCTGGATGATGATGAATTCCTCTGCCGTGTTCCAGGGCTCTTGACATGATTTATGTGTGAGACCGTGAATCCTTTCAGTGCTCGTATTGACTGCAGAAGACAGACCGCAAAAAGCCTCTTCCATCATCGTCCTTCCTTTCTGGTTGTTGATGGGGGATCGACGGGAACCGTGTCTGCGCCATCAGCGACGGACTCTCAGAGCTGCGGGGAATGCCCAGCGAATTGCCGTGTTCAGCGATCGTCACCCACGAAGGTTGATTATTCTTATTACGATACTCGACCTCTGAACCAACCAGTCCCTTTTTCTAGTCCAATTGGCCAGTGTGTCTCACTAGGAGGACATGGTTCTAAACTATTGCCGACGCTATGGGGAGAGAGGGGTTCGACAGCTTATTGGAACTACAAAAAGACCAACACACCCATTATTGATGATTATTGCTATGGGGAAAAGCAATACCGTTACACAGCAGATAAATCGCCAATAAAGCTTCTATATCCAAATCCTTTTACAACTCAGCCCTGGCTGGCGCCGACGGAGTAGGCTGTGCCAGGTGGGATGAAAATGGGAATGCGTTATCTCCATGGATGATGGCAATCCCCCTGGATCACTTCCGTCTGTGCAAAGACGATCATCACCCCATCCAAGATTGCTACCGGCAGTACTCTCTCCTCGTGCAGCAGTTTCTTGATTGAGGGATTATCGTCAGTCTTTGGGTTAATTCACGTGGAGCTCTGGTCCCGCCCGAGGTTGTAATGGTCTTTGCCAGCGCTCTTTGTGCTCTGAAATTGCTGCGATACAGCAATTCTCCGACGCGCAGCATTTGTTCTGGGCATTTTATTTTAATCGTCCACAAGATCCTGGTCCAATTCTTTGTTTTCTGAGATCTAAAAGATTTGGCATTGGAAACCTCTTCCGCTCAGTCCGAAAGAACGGCCATTGGCGATGATCACTGGATGGCAAAAGAAAAAAACAATACTAACATGTAGGCGGCCACAGTTAGGCACAATAGTAGCGATTCCAATCCCCACCAATGAGGCGAACTACTCTGCGCCCATTGTTGTTGCGGGGATATTTAGCATGATCCTGCCAAGGTGGTTCAAAGGCAAAAGACCCTCGGCCCACTTATCACCATGTTTATCATCATCACAGCTGACGAGTAGCACTACCAAGCATCACTCGTCCAGTTTGCAAAGTGGAGTCGATCAGGCAGTGGGGTTTGGATATATAAACAGGAAAGCCTGCAATCTCTCTCCTTTTATCTGTTAATCCGACCCCGGGGAATTGCAATCTGACCTCGTGGTGTGTTTTCCGATCTGAAAATGAAGTCCCCTATCTTGCTTCTAGGAGCTCTTGCTGCCAGCGTGCTCGCCGTCCCTGCCCCTCATGACTACACGGTCCATGAGCGCCGCAGTGAGATGCCTAGCTCCTGGAGCCAGGCCAAGCGGGTGCACCAGTCCATCTCGCTGCCGATGAGAATCGGTCTTACCCAGTCCAACTTGGACCGTGGCCATGACCTTCTCATGGAGGTGTAAGAATAGCCTTGTTTTCTGTTTATATACCGTGCTCATAGTGAATCTAGCTCTGACCCTTCCTCGTCTCGCTACGGAAAACACTACACCGCACAGGAGGTTCACGATCTCTTCGCCCCCTCCCAGGACGCCGTGGACAGTGTCCGCTCCTGGCTCGAGGAGTCGGGCATTGCGGCCCACCGTATCTCGCAGTCGTTCAACAAGCAGTGGTTGCAGTTCGACGCAGATGTCGATGAAGCCGAGAAGCTTCTGGAGACTGAGTACTATATCTACTCGCAGGAGGACACCGGCAAGTCTCACATTGCCTGCCGCGAGTACCATGTTCCCCGATCCGTCCAAGACCACATCGACTATGTCACCCCCGGTATCAAGGGATTGGGTGTGCGTGAGCCCAAGCCTGCTAAGAAGCGTGACCTCGCTGCTCGGGGTATTCTGCCACCTATCTTGGGCCCTCTGACCATCCCTCTCAGTGAGCTGCTGGGTAACGAGCTGGCGTTCTGTGACATTGCCATTACTCCTGCCTGCATTAAAGGTATGTTTCATCCGATTAATCATGAAGGAAAAGACTAATTGGATAGCGATGTACAACATCTCCGAGGGAACAACCGCCACCAAGGGCAACGAGCTGGGTATCTTTGAAGATCTTGGCGACATCTACGCCCAAGAGGATCTCGACCTGTTCTTCTCCAATCTGGCCAGGTATGTATTAATTCGATAGAAGGTATGCTTAGAGATTTGATCTAATGAGTAATAGCAACATCCCCAAGGGAACCAAGCCTACCCTCAAGGCCATCGACGGCGCCACGGCCCCTGCTAATATCCTTAACGCTGGTCCCGAGTCCGACCTGGATTTCCAAATCTCCTACCCGATCATCTGGCCCCAGAACTCCATTCTCTTCCAGACCGATGACAACAAGTACCAGAGCAACTACGTCTTTGACGGATTCCTCAACAACTTCCTCGACGCCATCGATGGCTCGTACTGCACCTACTCGGCCTACGGTGAGACTGGCAATTCGCCTCTTGACCCGCCTTACCCCAACCCTGCTCCGGGTGGCTACAAGGGCCAGCTGATGTGCGGCGAGTACAAGCCCACCAATGTCATCTCCATCTCCTACGGTGGGTCCGAGTCCGACCTGCCCATCTCCTACCAGCGTCGCCAGTGCAACGAGTGGATGAAGCTGGGTATGCAGGGTATCTCTGCTGTCGTCGCGTCCGGTGACTCCGGTGTTGCCAGCGCTGACAACACCTGTCTCGGAAAGGATGGCAAGGTCTTTGTTCCTGAGTTCCCGGCCACTTGCCCTTACATGACTTCCGTTGGAGGTACCTACCTTCCTGTCGGAGCCGACGTTAAGAAGAACCAAGAGGTCGCTACGGAATCCTTCAAGTCTGGAGGTGGATTCAGCAACATCTACGAGACGGCCGATTACCAGAAGAAGGCAGTCTCCGACTACTTCGCCACCACTAACGTCCCTTACAAGTCCTACTCCAGCGTGGACAACAGCAGCTTCGCCCAGGGCGGCGGTATCTACAACCGCAACGGACGCGGCTACCCCGATGTGTCCGCCATCGCTGACAACATCCTCATCTTCAACAAGGGCCTTTCCACCGTCATCGGTGGTACATCGGCCGCGGCTCCTGTCTTCGCTTCCCTCCTCACCAGAATCAACGAGGAGCGCATCGCCGCCAACAAGTCGACTGTGGGTTTCGTCAACCCGGTCTTGTACGCCAACCCCGACGTGTTCACCGATGTTACTTCTGGTAACAACGCTGGCTGTGGCACGGACGGTTTCCCTTCTTCCAAGGGTTGGGACCCTGTCACTGGATTGGGTACCCCGAACTACCCCAAGCTCTTGGACTTGTTCATGAAGCAGGACTAAACAGTCATAGTACATAGTACATATATGTAGAACATAATATCTGAGTACATAATGATAATCATACTCATACTATTACTATCTATATACATTCAACCAATAAGCTTAGTAGTCAACTTACCCCTATTCGACCCATCGAACAACTTCAACCACACCTCGGGAATATCCTCAAAGGGCGCCTCAATTACCGTCTCCGTATCATCACTGAGGATAATCTTCCCCTCTTTCCAAGCCTGGAGAAACAATTCCCTGACTTCTGCTGCTTTGTGCATGTAATCGAACACGATGAAGCCGTGGATAGAGATGCGGTTGGATACGACTTCCTGTTCCCATATACATTAGCAATATCCTAGCAGTATAAATATAACGAACGTACATAATAGTTCTTAATCCCGACTGGATCCAGATTTTTGTTGTAGTTTGATATCGTACCGCTTTTCACGTTAGATACATCGATCATCATACTGTTTGCTTAACATACCAAGCTGCAATACGCCCGTGTCTCTTCATTCGCAAAAGCATCAAGTCGAGGATTTTTCCACCGACATTATCTAATACTTATTAGCCTAGCCTGTCAAGTAGAAAGATGAAAGGACCAACCGTAGAAAACATCCACAAACCCCTCCGTCTCTCGGAAGAGATCCTTCTCAAAGGTCTCCTTCCTGTAATTAATACAGACGTCTGCTCCGTGCGATTCAACCCAGCGGCATTTCTCGTCTGTTCCTGCTATTCCAATCACCTATACATATATTCATCAGCATCAGCATCATGCACGTAAATATATCATATGATATATATATATAAAGAGAAGGATAGACTCACCCGCTTACACCCCAAAATCCTCTTCGCAATCTGCACCGCCATCCCCCCCGTCGCCCCCGCCGCACCACTAACAACAACCACATCCTCGCTCGTGGTCTTCACAACCTCCTTAAGCCCATAATACGCCGTCAAACCGGGCAGACCCAATGAGCCCAGAAAATGCGTAACGCCCAGCCCATCCACGGGCGTAATGCGCTGCACCTCACCCTCATGGACAACCGTGTACTCGCTCCAGTTCGTGACTGCGAAGACCAACGATCCAGGCGGGTGAGACGGGGATAGGGATTCGATGACTTCTGCGATGCCGGTGGAGCGCATCACGGCGCCTGTTGGGACGGGCGGGACGTAGAGGCGGGCTGGGTCTGCGTTTGGGGAGATCCAGCCTCGTTGGGCGGGGTCGTTGGAGAGGTAGAGGGTTTTGAGGAGGAGGTGGTTAGGGCTGAGAGGGGGGGTGGTGGTGCTTGTTTGGGTGAAGGTGGGATTTGGGCCGGAGAGGAGGGGGAGGGAGGGGGGTTTGGAGGTTAGGAGCCATTGTTTGGTTTGCATTTTGATTGATGTTTCTGGTGTTGATTGTGATCGTGATGGTTGTGATTGTGGTGTTGTGGTATGAGGTGAGATGAGGGTGAGATTGTATATGGGGGTTCTTTTAGTAGATACACGCCCCACCTTGATTTATAAACAGATGATTTATAAGATGCGGAGAAACAGCTCGGAGAAATGCTGTCAGATTTGATCGTCATCATGCAGATGCATGCAGATGTAGTATGACCGTGGCTTAATTCTTATCCGTCTAGTAGAATATACAGTTACTATTACTCCGCACAGCAGTAGTAGACATACATCATTCATTGAACTATCTACAATCGTACATCATTAAGCCTGCAAATCTAGACAACAACCTTGTGGGTAGCAGGAGCCTCCTCAGGCTCGCCGAAGATGTTAATGTTCCAGCGAGGCTTGTTGGCCGTGTAAGGAATGTTGTACCGTCTGGGTGTGTTGCCGATGGCAGTGATCTTGGCGATTTCTTCGTCGACAAGCTCAATCTCCTTGAAGTTGGCGGCGATACGCGAGGGAGTGACCGACTTGGGGATGACACTGTGGCCACCGACCTGGGACCAGGCGAGGATGACCTGGGCGGGGTTGACTTCCTCGCCGGTACGCTTGGAGACCGCCTCGGCGACTTCCTTGACTTCGGGGCGGGTGATCAGAAGGGGCTCGCCGATCATGTTGTTACCGAAGGCCTACTAATTAGCTGGATTCGAAGAAATAGAGTGGGAGACATACAGAGTAAGCGGTGATGTGAATGTTCTTCTCCTTGCAGTAGTCGATCAACTTGGTGCTTTGGAGGAGAGGGTGACGCTCGATCTGGTTGGCGGCGGGAACAACACCGGTGGCGTTGATGAGAGCCTCGAGCTGGCGGGGTCAGTGCTGCCAAAAGTAATAGATGCGGAGTACTTACGTGCTCAACAGTGTGGTTGGAAACACCAACGGAGCGGGCCTTGGACTTGGGGAGCTGGGTCATGGCCTTCCAGGTGTCGACGATGGAGATGTTGTCTTCAATCTGGACATCACCGCCCTCGACGTTGCTGCCCTCGACGAGAGGGAAGTAGGCGTTGCCAGTCTTGAAGGCGACGGGCCAGTGAACGAGGTAGAGCTATTCGAATTAGCATTGTTGTGATAAGAAAGAGGAGATACCTACGTCAAGGTAGTCGAGCTCAAGCTCAGCCAAGCACTCGTCCAAAGACTTCTCAACAACGGCGGGGTCGTGCTGGCTGTTCCACAGCTTGGATGTCTGGATGGGTCAGTACTATCCAATTACTCTGAGAGGCGACTTACGATGAAAATGTCCTCACGCTTGAGACCCGGGACGTCCTGGTAGGCTCTCTTGATACCAGCAGCGACTTCACGCTGGTTCTGGTAGATGGTGGCCAAATCCTGACATTGTTAGCAGTGTCTTAAACTGCAATTCGAAAGACTCACCAAGTGACGGTAGCCGGCCTTCAAGGCCTCGTAGACAGCCTCACCAACCTGACCAGGGGCAGATTGCCAGGTACCGAAGCCGAGTTGACTGGAGGGTTAGCCGTGGTTTGTTTTGGAGATGAAGGGAACATACGGGATCTCCTTGCCGGAGTTGAGGACGACCTTCTTGTTGAGAGACATTGTGAGATGGAGAGAGAGAGATGATAGATGGGAAAGAGAAAGAGATGAGGATGGATGAAAGAAAGAGGGATGGAGGAGGAGAAGAGGAGAAATAAAAGGTGTCTTCAACTCCGGCGGGGTCAAAACAGTCCCTGCGCAAACCCCGCCATGCCATCGCGGGGCAATCGGTGGCACGCATTGCCCGATTCGGACGGAGAAATTCCCTGTTGAGTCAGAGCCGAGGAATTTTTAGTGATGGATGGATCCCAAAGTGATGAGTTCCGAATGCCAGTGTTTGGCAGACTACTCCATAATATCGTACGTAGTTGGACCTTCCATTCTATTCGGCCCGAATGCGTGCCGCTTCTGAGAGTCTGGATCCGGAGTAAAGAAATCCGGAGATCTGCCATGCTCACTAAGCAGGGTTGTTTTTATGAAACTCTATATAGAACCATGGCACTTCTACACCTGCATGTCAAGCATTTTAGATCATATAAAGCAGCTTTTGTGGAGCATCTCTATATAATTCGGCTCATCAAGATGCCCCCAACACATATATCATAGCCGGAAGACAATGTTGAGTCCTATTTAATAATATAGATTAATAGACAGAGCTAACTGATCTCTATATAATGTAGCTTGTCATGGACTGTAAGACAATACGAGATATTTGTGTCTATTTACCATAGTAAGTCCTCTGTAGGTAGTCTCATTTCCATTCTCTGACAATATCTTTGTTTATACTCATCGTGCGATTTTATTGTACCAGACGGATTATTCTTTTTTAATAAGCATAAATTTAGGCTATTTTTATATTATTTAGTGAAAGGAAACAATTTGTGAATGATCGATATAGAAACTAATTAGAAAATAATCTATAGGATATGCCCCCATTTCTTATACTTTCGGGCATTATTAAAATAGAATTGAGCGTTTATCTTCTAGAAAATAGATATAAATCTTAATATTACTCGAGGCTAGTCTATTTTCATTGCTCTGAGGGAAGTCTAATTTTGCCTATTTTACATCAACATTATCCGCTCTAAAATATGAACAAATTACATGACACCACTCTATCCATAAGATCACCGTGGAGAGACACCACAAAGCCTTAGATATAGCTGAGATCCTGGAAGCGATCCTGCTACAGACTGATGTCTACACGTTACTATCTGCCCAACAAGTCTGTCGATACTGGAATAACCTCATCAACAACTCCGACAACATCCAAATTGCCCTCTTTTCAAATCAAGCAGAACACGCCATTCTCCAGGGAGGAAACGCATCCAAAACCCCATCATCCAACAGCTGTGGTTAGGACTCCGGAAAGATTCCCTTTGATTGAACGGGCAAAGGCGCACACAAACGCGATGAGACAAGTTGGAAACGCATGCTTATCCACCAGCCTCCCACATCTCAAATGACAATAATCGAGACTGATCAAAAGGGTGACCAATGCTCTTAGATACAGTATCTATCTTGCTATAGTCCTTTTAAGATTGTTTATTGCTATATACTGAAAGTATTCTACACCCTTTATCAAGGTGGATGGTTTGCGCAGGATATGTATAGCAGATGGGATGACTTGACAGCCGATTTGCTATGACACAATATTTAGTAGACCTCCAGCAGGGTAAAGCTAAATAATAAAATGGCTGGCTTCATTAATGAACTCCTGACACAACCAAGATTCGTGATCGGTCTATCCATGGAATTAGAATCTTAGCAAATCGATGGCCAGTCAGACCATGTGGGGTTGATCAATTATGGGTCGATCGATGTTTGTTTGTTCTGTTTGAACTGGGGCATGTGGTTGTTGTTTTCTCTCTTTTTGCACGATATATCATAAGAGCTGCCTATTAGATAGCTAATATCTGAGCCATAATCGAGCTCACTACAAATCCCAATGGAAGTGGAATAGAAGGTTCGTGATGGACTATCGGCACTAGTGACCCCGCCGATCTCTCAGCTGAGGTGGACTTGGATGCCGCAGAGTTTTCCGCTCTTTTCAGCTTTTCAGCTCGATCAACTCATTCAGCCCAATTTATGTAGCCTATGAAAGTAAGTAGACTGCTGTGGGGTAATTTAAATTCGCATGATTTATTAGCAATCACACCCCTGGCGTTGGATTTCTTTTCTCGTTCTGTCTCCATCTGCAAATAATATTTACAAGTCTTTATGCAAACTCTACCTAGTGTCCTTTTCCAACACCATGTTACCCCATGATGGAGCTGTCCACCATCCCTTGGGTGGTGGGTCGTATTATTTCGGGAAGAAACTCATCAGATATCTGAATGATCAATGTACTCGACCTACAATTGCTGTTCATATCGGCTCGCAGCCAAACAGCAGTCCACATGTTGGCAATATGGTCACTTTTGCGACAGGATTCGCCCTTGCCGCTGCTTTGAAGAAAGAGTTCCAGCGAGATATTAAGGCCAAGTTCCTTTATGTGGATAGCGCCCCTTCCCCAGGTCAGGACATCAATATCAACGGGGTCAGATATCAAAAAAGTCTCAAACACACAGGAGACTTCGGGGCAAACCAAGCGGCGTTTACAAAGGTGCTAGACGAAATGTCTGCCCTGTCCGGTGTACCATATGACATTGAGACACAAAATTTCTGGCGATCGAATCCTGCGTTTGGAGCTATTCTCCGGGACATCGTGGGTCGTCACAAAACCCTTGGCCCTCATATGTCACCAGAAACAGGCAAGCTGGCGATTCGCGCATCATGTACACACGAAGGATGCGGGCTAGCAGATAAACACGGCATGAACAATAAGTACCACGACAATAACATCACATTCGTGTGTCCTGAGCATGGAGACCACCACATCGATCTCACATCACCTCAAGATCTAGACCGGTTGGAGTTCAACACGCCCCTGCGCAACCTCATCCGGATTCTCATCTGCAGTCGAGATCCAAACACATCGTGGATTATGTGTACTGGGGCTGATTATGCCGGTTTCTACCAGGAACAGCTGACATGGAGGCTGCTGGAGCGGCCTGCAAGTGCCCCGGTGATATTTTATGCGCCTCTTGTCCTCGATTGGTCTGGGGGGAAGCTCTCAAAGAGCATGTATGTCAAGCAGGGTGCATACAAGTATCTGCGTGATTCAGGGCGCAGTTACGTGCTAGATACAGATGCATTTTTCAGGAATGAAGGTGGGCTCAAGGCGTTGTTTGAGGAAGTGCAGGATTGGGTGGAGAATCCATATAAGCTGTTCAGGAACTACTCCGTGGAGTATCTTGACACGCAACTGATATCTCGGGGGATGAAGCTTATAGAGAATGGCTCTGCTTAGACTATTAGAACATTAATCCATTATATATGCATTGGAACACTTAATGATGGCCCATAATCCAACCTCTTAATCCTTTGGATCAGACTGTGTAAAGAAATCTGATATCTTTTTCCGTCCAGCCGGACTTGATGTAGGCGCTTTCTTAGCCTCTTCTCGATCATCTACCTTCCTCCTCTCCGGCTTCTCTTCCTCTGGCCTGGAGAAAACATGATCCTGTTTATCCATCGGTACCCTCTCCAGCAGCGCAACCGGAACCCAACAATACTTCTGCGGCGCGCCCTTCAACCACCCTTCCGAAATAGCCCCCTTCAAACTAATCGGCTCTCTCAACCTCCACAAATCCAGAATCTCATATGCATATTTCGACACCTTCCTCCCGGAATTAAAGTCTTCATTTCCTATCCCCCCATCCTCGGGCACTTCGCCGGGAGTCTTGCCGGGAGAAACGCGCGCAACGTATTCAAGTCGCGAGTGCGGCGCGGTCGTGTAGAACCAGATCCGTCGCACGCTGGCTGGAAGGAGATACCGCCGGTACTCGTGGTTCTTTGCGCGCGTGGAGATATTGTACATGTGCTCGGGCTTGATGCTCATGAAGATGTCGCTGCGACTAGTTTTGGGGGTTAGGGTTTTTGTTTTGGACATTGTGATTGTGATTTGAATAGTGTTGACTTTGTTTTTTGTTTCTTTGTTGCAGCATAAAGGGCAGCTACCTATGATGGGATTCAATTGCGCTAAGCCTGTTCGGGGATAGGGTATAGCTGACGCGACCTGTTTTATTACGGAAATGGCCTGGTATTATTACCGCAATATTGTTGTATTAGGGTTAGTCTTGTAACATGACTCCAGGCCTCGGTATCATGCAGTCAGCATAACTTTATGCTATCTACATGTAGTTTATTAATTCCAGCTACTTTTTTGTATTTGAATAAATGAAGATAAACAATATGAAAGGCTGGATAGCCTGTGTATTTAAGAAGACATAAAGATTGCAGAGTACTGAGAGCCGTTGAACACCAGATCAGGGCGTGCCGCGGGGTAGAAGATGCATGGATTATCAACATTAAGATATGGATGATAATCTTATGGCTACAGGCATGTCTCGTATTTAGTCTTATAGAGTAACTTTACACAAGCTTTGTGGCCGAATTATATCCAGCATCGTGATACCCTATCTCCATGAATTCGGGTAACCTCATCTATCCATAACCGTCCTTGCTGCCTCAGCTAGCGCCGCAAAAGTACCAGCGACAAGGCTGGCAAATCAATTTTTGCCAGCACAGGTATCACGTTAGATAAATGCACTCAGACTGCGGCAGTTAAATGGTGCTGTTTGATTGAACCATTTCATAAAAAGATACGCGCAAGGCACTCAGCCGCAGTCCCTGCCTGAGGCTGCCTAACAATGAATTCAGCTGAGCTGAGATTTTTTTTTATTTTGACAACATCATGACTCGTCCAACTCGTCCAACCAACTTCTTCTCTCCTTCAGCCTCCTCAACATGAATGCCCAGCCAAAAATGTTAGAGCTGGTGTTCAACCACATCGTCTTTCCTCCCAGACTGCCCGGGAGGCAAGATAGCCAGGTTGAAGATGTCGAGCGGGACCTAGTTTCGCGGCTACTGGATGCGACCAAGGTGCTCAAGGACTGCTCGATGGGCGACGACCTGGCTGCCTGGAACTCGGTCGAGGAGTCTTTGGAGACATGCAAAATAGTAAATGATAATGGACATATCAACAGGGTGGCTTTGCTAGATGCACTCAACCAGTTGCAACCGTACCATGCGATCATCCTGCGTATTACAGAGCAAAATGCTGGCCTTATCATCCGAAGAGCTGGGTAAGAACCAATATATCAATACGTGATCTCCAAATCTAATCAAACACCAGTCTCACTGAAGATGTCATCTTTGAAGCCTTTGAAGCATCGCCCGCTGCTGAACAGACTCTGGCAGCAAAGGGTGCCCTCCAGTGGGATTTTCCCGGCATTGCCGTGTCGCTCCCACTGTCTGAATTCTATAACCCTGTTTTTCAGGACAACTTAACTTCGTTTCTCGAAAAGGCCAGTCTCGAGTTAGTAGACGAGTTCGCGGCCAAATCACACAAAGCAGGAGCCACGATCACAGAGAACCGCGACACGACAAATCCAGCACTCATCACCCAGTTCCTTGCAACCGTCCTCGAAGTGAATGGGAGTCGTGTATATCCCCCAGTCCTGCGAAAGCGTATCAAGGATGACGTGTGCTGGGATGATGCAGAGCTGCCATGGCGACGGAGTCCGTATTGGCTTATTCTTCGTGTCTCGGTGCAGCGAATGCTTTACCTGAAACTAGGCGAAAAAAGAGGGCGGATCCAGTATAAATTCCTGCTATGCTATTTGATGGCCCATCTACTGGCGAATTCTGTCCACGTTCTCAGTTCAGAGCGGTGCGACTTTCTTAAAACGAAACTGTGTCGTCGTCTGGCCAAGTTAGAAAGTGAAAGGGTGATTGACGGCCCTGCTCTTGCTCAGACATATACACACCTTTTTGTTACCATTGGATCGGTCTGTCAAAAGTCTATTGATTCCGCAACGGCTTCCATCGAAAACCAGTGGAATTCCTTCAAACAGAAAACCCGTCGCCAGATTCCAACTCTTCCTCTGCGTGCGGAAAACCAAGACCTAGAGTTGACCCTTCCCAACAGTAGCGCCTACCTCGCAGAGGTACTCCGTCATCCTAATTGCCAGAAAGCAAAAAAGGCAAAGGTCGATCCTTCTACTCTTGGATCGAACGCCAGCAAAAGCACAACTGAGCAATTCGAAAGCCTGTCCACACGATACTCGGCACTTGCAGACAAAGAGATGTCAATTGAATCCACCACACGGCAGATACCGAAGACCAAGTTGGAATGTGAGGATCGATGCAAGATCGTCGCTCCTCGCATCACCAACCATCTGATAGGTGTAGGGGTTGCCTATGATGGTGATCCAGAGAATATGAGTATATTTATTCTGGATATATTCGAAATGTGGGTGGAGCTCGACAAGTGTGCCACCGTTGTTTATCCTTTATTACGCGAATACCACCCATGCTTCGACCCTGAGATACTGGATGTGTTACTTCTCCCACGATTGCATCATATGCATCGTCTCCAGAAAATACAGTCTTATCTTCATGAACGGTGCACTGCAGCGAAGAAGAAGATGACAATTTTCAGTGACCCAGAACAAGGCTGTTTTGCAGATCGGTATTTCGACTTCGATTCAGCTGACAACATGCAAAGGCTATACCAGTTGCAGAAGCGGATTGAGGCTGCATCTACCAAGACTCGAAATGCGAAAGAAAGGGAACTCGAAAATGTGAATGCAAAGCATAAAGAGCTCTCCCAGAGTATAGCGCAGACAGCCTGCACTCAGCGACGGCTTCCTGATGGAAATCACGATATACGAGGATGCGATCGTTGCTTCCATCTTCGAAGTCGCCGTAGGCTTAGAATTCAAGTTCACGAGGACTTCCTTCCCCTGGAAAACCGCGTTAAATGTGTCGTTCAGAAAAGGGCGATTGTTTTCGAGCTCGACACTCCGGCTTCATTTTTGGCGTATCGTGAGACCACCTGGGAGATTATCAACACACTGTGTTTCAAAGCAATTCAATCAACTGAGAACACACCAAACATGTTGCTCGGAGATTACAGTCAACTCAAGAACTTCGATACCCGTCGCAACCGGCGGTTGTCCTTAGCCTCAAATACAAAATCCTATCTTGATACGCATTATAATTGGAAAAGGTTGCCGGCAAAGGCTGCCAACATTTTGTTGCCGTTGGGGTTGAACTTCTCATACTACGATTCAGGAAGGAGCATCTGGGCCAAGGATGTCCCGCAACAGTTGACTTTTGCGCATCATTTTGTTCTCAAGCTACCGAGAGGTCTGTCATTCGCGGACCTTTATTCGTCACCAGCCTTTGCACCTGATAGCGATGGCCCTTCTTCGTACGAGGTCATTGCCAGTGTCACGAAGTGTCCACCCGATTTGAGCGTCCATGAGTTCAAAGCTCACCAGAGCTTAGTGGCAGGAAAGAACAGCCGTTGGATTTCTATCCTTACCGAACTTGGATCATCAAATATCAATCTAAGTCTTCAGGATACAATGGTACTCTTTCATCATCTTGCCTTACAAGCAGGACCTAGGTTGGATAATGATCATCTCCGAGCCGTACATGTTGTATTTAAAGATGAGAAATTTTGCCAAAGACTCATCGAACAGATCGAACATCATGCAGAAGCAATTTCGGCAAATTGGCGCGAAAGTTATTACATGGAAACGCTGCTGACTTTGACAATCCGCATATGTGACCTGGGCTGTTCAGAAACATCAACCCAGGCGTTTCAACTTCTAGTCAAGATTCGTCAGATTACATTGAACTGGATTCGTCTTCTACGCAACGAGACAAGGTCTACGCAAGAGGTCGATGTTGCTGAACGCGCAGCCCGTTATGGGTTCATGTCAGCGCTGCTATGTCGTAGGACATTTGCGCCTCATGCGTACAACGATACCGACCTGGATGCCGAGTCATTCCGCACATTCATCGAAGCTACTCTTGCCATGCAGGAGAACCTTGTTGTGGATTTGAGTAAATTCTCTGCAACAACACACAATATGCTGGTCCGCGATATCAAAATGACTTTCCGGATAAGAACCGTGCTTCGCAAATTGGTCAAGCGGTATCCATCTAGTTTGGAGTCTGCCATGGAAGCAGTCTGGCCCGATGCAGACAGTGCTTCTCGAACGTATACGCAATGGAAGTTTCTATCATCTCCATATGACTGGTGGGTGACATCAACGGTTGAGGCTACCAGAGACACAGTGGCTCAGACGGTACATTACCATCTCCTCGAAGGCCATCTTCTGGTAGACGGAAGAGCACTTGGAAAACTACCAGCAGATATCAGAGATTCTGAAATTCTGAAAGGCCTTTTTGGTAACCAGCGACTTCTGGCGTTTCCTTCGCCTCTACAAGGAATGAGTTACGTTCTAGGCATTCAAAAAGACGGCCATGAGATTCATCTTGGATACCGAAAAGAGCAGTTGGTCATTCGGGCTCGAACAAGAACTGCGTTACTGGAATTAATACCTAGAAGCGTTTTTTTTAACGGTTCTATTTTTGATTTACCTGGGTCTTTGATTTTCGACTGCGTTCATTGGGTTGACTTGCGAACTGGCATTCTGGAAGCTCGACAACAACCGCATATCTGGAGAAGCAGGCCCGGAAACTGGACTATAAACACTTCCACTCGCCGTGCAAGCCGTAACCAAGGATCTACTTTGGTTGATCCCAATAGCAGAACATTTTCCCTTGTTGCTCAAATTTTCCGTCACTTCGAACAGCCTCAAAAGCTGACACTGTACCAACCAGTGTCCAAGAACCTGTCTGTCGACCTGAGACACATGAATCTCACTTTCCATGTTAATAAGCTGGGACATTTACATTGCAGGCAGCTTGGCGCTGAAATTGATTCGAATCAGGACGCTGGAACATTGTACGGGTTGCAGAGTATGCTGGTCCTGCGTGATGGAGCACATCGGAGTGTTATAACTCCCCTAGGGGGGATGCGTTATCAACGCCATGGGATACACGTACTTGTCCAGATAGAGAACTATGGAAGTTACGCGAAGTATACGATCGATGATGTCCTGGGACGACTCCATTGTCCGCCTGAGCCACGGTTGCTATACAACAAAGCTCAACTTCACGCTTTCACGTCGTTTGTCCTCCCAGACCCACTTACAGGCCGAACAGGGACCGAAGAAGCACTGCGCTGTCTTCAATCTGGATATTGCCAACCGTGGTGCCCGCTTATCCCACAATTGGTAGACATGCTCCAAGCCCTCGCAAAACTGACACCACAACGACGGTACTATCCCAAGGAACTGAGACGGCAACAGGTGGTGCATTGGGATCCACATTTGACAACGACTATTCAACATGATGCTTATCAAGTGGTGGTTGACTGGATCATGAAAAAATCGAAACGCCTTTCATTATTCCAAACCGATCAAAAAAAGGCCACCGTTGTGGAAGAATTCCCAGAAACACCTCACCTTCTCGAAAGGGCTCTTTGGCGTCGATTAATCTACGAACGTCCAGACACACTAGTGAAAGACCTATCACCACCCTCCGATCTTACATACATTGCTCGAGATGGCCGAACACTCTCCCCACGCACAGCCAACGTTTGGGAAATAGTATCTTTACTTCGCCAAAGGCCCCAATCAGTGTGTACGACTCCGAAGCTGCCAAATATTCTGAAGCTATTCCCCATTATCGGCGGCTATGTCAAAGAATTCGCACCGTTTGATATTATAGAATATCTGAGCACAGATCTGGCCCAGGAGTGGGGTGGTCTGGTCAACCTCTGCCGAGAATGCGCGCCCAACGATGTCTACAAACTCATGTTTCAATTGGGTATGGTCACCTTCGGCAGCAAGGTTGATATGACACTAGTGAGAACGATAGTCGCCTTCTTTGTTTTGGATGCTCTCAAAGGACTGAGCTTTTTCCCCTTGTATTCAACTTTCACCGGTCTCGGGACAAACGAAAGGCCTTCGTCTGAAGCACTTTTAGGCAATGTCCGATTCTGCTGCAAAAAGTATCGAAGTCCAGCTATCTCGAAGAAAATGATGAAGAAAATGAGCCAGGAGGACTGGGATCGCATCATGTCTGGCAAAGAGAGATATGAGGAGGATTGCCAAAAGGAAAGTGAAGAGTTCACCAAGTTCCTCCTTGCCCAATGGCCGACGGCTGATCCTTCCGTCGAGGGATTTAAAGCGAAATGTGTGGATGTTGATCAAGCTCTTGACGCTATACTTCCTTTGTGGGAGGAGTCCTATGGAAACCTGAAGTTTTCCAGCCACATCAACCAGGTGCAAGCTATTCTCGACCGACATTCTACCAAGAAACGAATCAGTACACCAGAACTTATAATCCCGAAGATTGAGGTATTTGGCCTACACAGAAGCCACGAAAGCCTCATTCCTGAATTAGCAAGAGACTTGTTGGGGAAGCCAGGGCCCAAAATAAGAGTTGAATCTGCGAATCCGACAGGTTCTGAGCAGCCAATTCTTCACAGGGCACAACAGTGGGCAAGGCGTAGTATATCTGCTAGCTGGCAGTCGATGTTCAAAGACGAGAGAATTTCAACGCCGGAAATCAGTGAGTTGGAAACGATAACTAACAAGCTAATCCGCTCCGATTGTTCAGTGCGATCAACCTACGGCAAAGACCTGATGCAAAGTATCAATGCCTTGAAAATGGTCAAGACAACGGCCGAGGAGAAGCCGCATGAGAATATCAGTTTCAATGAAGAAATCAGCAAGGCTCGTGACTTGGTCCGTCAATATCACAGCCAGATATGCAATGCCCTTGCCAAGGACGATACACGACTCTCATGGCTTACAAAGGCAAATTTGTGGCCATGCGTGACGCCCACTGCAATCTTGGAACAACTACGGTCGACGTCTGAGCCCATATTTGGACGGGATATGAAGCCTGCTTTCATGGAATACGCAAGAGCCATTGTCCACTTGCAACGTCTACTCCGCGTGAAAGATGCATATATGAAGGGTGACGAAGGAAGATTGAAACAAGAACGCGACAATCCCGGACACGTCAACTGGGACACGAATACATACCCAGACTGGTTATTGTTAGAGATTGACGCCAATATGCAAATCCGCGAGGACCAGGTCACGGTGGCTATGGAAATGATTCATCCTACTTCTGATGAAAACTCTGTTTTGCAAATGAATATGGGACAGGGGAAAACCTCCGTTATCATGCCAATGGTGGCCTGTGTTCTTGCCAATGGAGATATTCTGAATAGACTTCTAGTCCCCAAGGCTTTGCTATCTCAGACCGCGCAGATTCTTCAGTCAAGACTGGGAGGATTGTTGGGAAGGGAAATTACACACATTCCATTCTCACGTCGGACACAGACAACCCTAGAGCATATTCAGGAATATTCCCGGCTGCATGACGAGATGCGACAGGGATCGGGGGTCATTCTGGGTATTCCGGAACATGTCTTGTCCTTCAAGCTGTGTGGGCTCCAGCGCGTGTCCGATTCACGAGTCGCGGAAGCTGCCGTGATGGTGGCAACTCAGCGTTGGCTGGACAAGGCCTGTCGTGACATTCTAGATGAGTGCGATTTCACTCTCGCTGCCAAGACACAGCTTATCTACCCCAGTGGATCTCAATTGGCAGTGGATGGCCATCCCCATCGTTGGGAGGTTGCTCAGGTCATGCTGAGTCTGGTTGCATTTCACGTTCGGGAATTGGCGCAGGAATATCCTCAAAGCATTGACGTGGTTGAGCGGACGGTTTCGGGGTTTCCTGTCGTCTACCTCCTACGAAAAGACGTTGAAGAGGCCCTCACAAAAAGAATCATGGATGACATCTGCTATGGTCGAACGTCTATACTGCCTATCCGACAGTTTTCAGAATGGCAGCATGCCATGCTCCGATTCTTCTTTTCCCAAGAGAATGTCAACCAAATTGCGACCCAAAATATCATGCGGTTATTCCCCGATAGTCCTAAGGCCAAGAAGAACTTGTACCTTCTCCGAGGGTTGTTAGTGAATGGAATTCTACTCCTCTGTCTGAAGAAACGATGGAATGTTCAGTATGGCTTGGATCCCAGGCGCGACCCTGTAGCGGTCCCTTTCCATGCAAAGGGTGTTCCATCCGAACAGGCAGAATGGGGGCATCCCGACGTTGCTATTCTATTTACCTGTCTAGCATTTTACTACGAAGGACTCAATCAGAAGCAGTTGCGACAAAGTCTGCAGGCTGTTCTGAAATCCGATGATCCTGCTACTGAGTACGATCGATGGACGCAAGCTTCAGCGACCCTACCAGAGGCTCTACGGCACTGGAATATAATCAATGTCGACGATGATGGACAGGTTGCAGAGATTTGGAACCATTTACGCTTTGCCACTGTCGTCATCAATCATTTCCTTAACAATTTCGTCTTCCCAGTCCACGCCAAGCAGTTCAGTATTAAGCTGCAGGCATCGGGCTGGGACGTCCCTCTTTTCTCACTTGATAAGCCCACAGTGGGAGTAAAACGCCCCGGTTTGACGACTGGATTCAGTGGAACGAACGATAATCGACGTCTGCTTCCTTTGACTATTCAGCAACGAGATCTTCTGGGTCTCTCGCATACTAATGCTGAAGTCCTGACTTATCTCCTCCAAAAGAGAAGTCGCCATTACATGCTTGCCAGCAAGGATGGACGACGTCTTTCTGAACGCGGCCTCCTGGGAAATCTCAAATGGAATAGGATCCGGATTCTGATAGATGCGGGTGCGTTTATTCTGGAGATGGATAACAAGAGTTTGGTCAAGGCGTGGTTGCAGCAAGATACCGAAGCCCAAGCCGGAGTATACTTTGGGGCTGATAACAAGCCGTGGGTACTGTATCGTCATGGAAGGGATGTCCCGTTAATTGCAACTCCATTTGCCGATGATTTGTCGAAATGTGTCGTTTACTTGGATGAGGCGCATACTCGAGGGACGGATTTGAAGTTTCCAGCGTATGCTCGAGGTGCAGTGACTTTGGGTTTGAATCAAACCAAGGATCATACGGTTCAAGGTATGTAAGTTCGTCAGTTTAAAAGGTTGATACTGACACATTCAGCGGCCATGAGACTGAGACAACTGGGAACAACACAGTCGATCACCTTTGTTGCACCGCCTGAGGTTCATCAAAGTATTCTTGATGTTTGTCAGAAGGGACTGCAGTATAGGATTGACTCTTCGCATGTGATCACCTGGCTGATGGATCAGACGTGCAACAACAATAAAGAACTTCAGCCGCTTTACTTTGCTCAAGGAAGGGATTTCTGTCAGCGCAGACAAGCAGAGGACAACTATAAAAACTTTTTGACAAATTCCAGTCAGCGGCTGGCATACATGAAGGTTTTGCAGCAGCCTGAACAACAGGACCTGGAAGAACTCTATGGGCCAAAGACATCCAATAACGATGCCCGGGTGGGTGATGTTGGACTGAGTGGAAAGCTGTATCTATTCCAACGAGAACTTCGAGAGAGACAGCAAGACTCCAGTCTCATCAGCGCATTTTCTAGTTTAGCACTAGAAGAAGTCGAACAGGAACGAGAGGTGGCTTTTGAAATTGAACAAGAGAGAGAGGTTCAAAGGCCCGAGCATATGAAGCCGCTCACATTTGCAGCACTGTCAAGGGCCATCCGCAGATTCATCACAACTGGTGTGTTGAGCGGGGAGAGTGGATACATGAGGGCATCGGCGGCATTGCAGTCAACACAGTTGGGACAGAAGTATGGTATCGACGCGTCATCTCTTCTGCAGCATCTGTATGTCTCGATCGAGTTCACCAGGACAGTGAAGGTAAAGAATGGGCAGACAATGGATAGCTACACAGTAAGTGTCTCCCTTCATAAGCCCGATCAAGCTAACAGTATCAGCGTCCGGTCAATTGGGTTCTTTGGAGTCGAAAATCAGAAACCGGACTTGTTGTGATTCCTGAAGAAGCAGAACTGTTGATTCCCATCATCCGGTCTGTTGGGGATTCCATGGTCCATCTCTTCACGTATGCGGCACCTGTTACACGGAAGATGTTGCATTTCAACCGTCTTGATTACCATGCCATTCCCAGCTTTCCGGTCGATTGGAGCCCACCAGCTTGGCTTTCGTTTGAGCTGGGAATCTTGGCCGGTAGACTCTATTTTGAATTTTCTGAATACCACCCACTTTTGGATCGTATTTTGTGTGTTGGAAATGGTGGTGTTAAGTCGAATGGTCCTTTGGATATTGAGGCTAGGGATGGCGTTCAGTCGAATACTCATAGGAATATGCTTGATTTTCTTGGAGAGTGGCTATCTTTGCGGCGACAAGGACAGGACATTACCCATACGCCGATGGGATATGTCTGTCAAGGGTGGCAGCTTCGCAGTGATCACCCATTCTTTGCTCGACGGGTACTGGAGATCGATGCGGCTGGACAGATTTTAAACCAAGCCAGCTATTCATCTCCAGAACCGGTCGACGAATTTGACGGTGAGGAGGAATTGGAGGATGACGAGGAATGATTAATGTACGGAGTTATTTAGGAACTGGCTTATCTACAAATGGAATGTGATATCACAGATCGACAAACCACTGACAGATCATAACAATGACAGCCACCTGGCTCCCTTGAGCTTTTTTATTGGGCCAGGTGCCAATCTAGCCAGACCATTCCCCCCTTGCAGAAATATCGCTATCAAAGAACTTGGCCTCAGGTTGACAGCGGTTGTACGTGGCCTGCAAGTCAGACTTTTCTCCCCATTCCATCGCAATGTCACCTTCTTCTTTTCCATCCTCATCTTCATCATGGCTCAAATACATCTATTGTCATGGCCCTCTCCCAAGGGCATGTGTCTTGGGTTAGTCGGCTTGTTTTTCATAAGTCTGATGTCGATGTTTCTATATTTAGACGTCGTGTCAGAAAAGCAGATAGGCACGCCAATTTCGGACAGAACCACCAAGAATGATCAGATCGTGCGAGAGCTGAGCGATATCACGAATCGGTTTAATCATGGTGCCGTTAACTCGAGTACTGGGGTTGTGATGGCCTCTATCACGAACGAGGATCTATCTTGGCTGCTTGATTATTGCAAAGAATCGTATGTTTCGCTCTTCTAGGTTTACACTGCTAATCCATCAGAAACACCATTCCTTTTGTCTATACCACCGAAACTCCTCCCGAGCGAGATCTTCTCATCCCACGAACGACCCGAGGCCGTGAAGCCGCCGCGTATCTTTCCTACGTTGTCGACTTCTACGACCGTCTCCCTCCATACTCGATCTTCGTCCACTCCAATCCCGACCAATGGCACAATGACCTCTTCGGACCACACACCTCAGTGACACTCCGCAACCTCCGTCTCGAAGCCGTCGATGTAAAAGGCTACGTCAATCTCCGCTGCGAACACAACCCGGGCTGTCCAACAAGCGTATCCCCATTCCGTCCTACAGAAATTGACATCAAGAACAATGATATCCGCGCGTTCTTCCCGCAGGTTTACCAGACCCTCTTTGACGTTCCATCGGCAGACGTGCCGGATGAGATCGGCAATGTATGCTGTGGACAGTTTGCGGTTAGTCGGGAGAGGATTGTATCGCGTCCTCGAGCGGATTATGAGCGCATGCTCGAGTGGGCGGAGACGACAGAGTTGACGGATAATTTTGGGGTGGGGTGGGTGTTTGAGAAGGTGTGGCATATTGTGTTTGGGATGGAGGCTTTGTAGTAAGTTTTTCTTTCTTCCTTTGATTCGGTGTGTGGAATATTGACTTGATAGTTGTCCGAGATATGAGCAATGTCGCTGTGATGCGTATGGATGGTGCGGTCCGTTGCCATCGGGAGAGACACTGCAGGCAGTGATGGGTTGATTTATGTTGGATCTGTTTGGATATAATGAGGTAATAATGTGGTTGCTATGATGATTCTGTGTTGTAATTGCTATTATTTATTTGTATGAAGCTATATAATCAATGCTTATGTTTATCAAAGGGTCAATTTGGCCCCCACCGTATATAAACCTCATCTCATTCACTTCACCATCATCAACATAACACAACACAACAACAAAATGCCACCAACCATCATCCTCATCCCCGGTGCCTGGCTCACTCCCACCTTCTACCAACCCTTCCTGAGAACCCTCACCTCCGCCGGCTATCCAACCCACTACGCCGCCTATCCCTCCCTGGACCCCTCCAACCCCCACACCGCTGACTGTCAGACAGACACGAACGCCATCACCACCACCACCACCCCTTTCATCGACGCCGGCCAAGATGTGATTCTCTTCATGCATTCGTATGCCGGAATGCCCGGATCAGCAGCGGCGGCAGTCACGGACTTGGCTAAACCATCTCGATCGAGACAAGGCAAGAAAGGCGGGATTCTGGGACTAGTGTTCCTGGCTGGGTTTCTCGTGCCGGAGGGCGTGAGTTGTACGGGGGCTCAGGGTGGTAACTTGCCGAATTGGATTTTGCTGGATCAGCCAGCGCCGGATTTGAACGTCCCTGATGATGTGATAAACACCTTTGCGGGGGATGTTGATCCACACTTGGTGGCTGGTCTGGAAGAGAATGTCAAGCCTCATTCTACGTTGGCATTCCGGTCTGCTCAGCCACATCCTGCGTGGGCTGATGAGGCCTTTGCGGGTCGATTGGCGTTCATCGTTACGACTGAAGATAAGGCTATATCCAAGGAAGCGCAGTATGGGATGATGGCAGCAACGGGAAAGGAATATATCGTCAAAGAGATGAAATGCAGCCACTGCAGTCCATTTATTGACCGAGTCGACGAGACAATCTACCTACTACAAGAGATACAGACTATCTTCAAACATGCCGAGTAATGACAAAGGTCAGCCCCGTCCGATCACCATCCGTCAAGCCGGGCAGATCTGCCTCTTCCAGTCCCCAGTCTAGGATATCGACGGTTTTGACGTCGAGGGTCCATTGTGTGGTTGTTTCTTTTTGGATTATTTCCCACATTCTCGTGAATGAATGCGAATCGTGCAGGAAGGCCTTTCCCCACGGTCTTTTGATCTCCTGCTCTGTCTTTGCTCCTCGTTGGTGGCCGACGAGTATCGTGCCAGGCTTTGACATGTCTACCATCCGCTTGAGTGCAGTAAGTTGTCCGTCCCAGTCGAACAAATGCAGAAACTGCTGCGCGATAATCACATCCGCTTTACCTGCCAAGCGACCCAATTTATCATCTGGCATAGTGAGAAAGTCACCACCAATGAACCGTCCTCTCATCCGATGTGCATCCCGAAACAAATCAAACCCCAACTCCCAAAGTCGTGGCTCGAGATCAACACCCCACATATTCGTCGTCGGGACGCTGTGGTCTGCAAGTAAACGCAGGTTCTGGCCGAGGCCGCAGCCTACGTCGATTATGAGGGGGTCAGGCTGAGATCTGGCTTTTTCCACGACAGAAGGAAATTCTGGTAGTGATGCGAGACCGGGGAGGAGGAAGATCCAGAGTCCGATACAGGGGTATTTGGCTAGTGGCCAGGCTTTGTCGCGCTGTTTATTTTAGCATTTTCTGTAAATAAGGAAAGGAGGATAGAGAGGTACTATTCTGTGTAGATGGTCGATAAGTTCATCATCTGGGATGCCACTCCAGTGGGTATAGACATGGCGAGTGATGGGTTTGAGACTGTGGCCGATGTCAGATCTGTACCAGGTTGGAGTGGCCATCTTATTATATACAAGAATTAGATGATGATCTCAATGATGGGAATGAGCCTTATATAGAATGAAATGTGCTGACAGCTGGTGGCCTAATTATGCATTATCTTTGTATTGCATGTACAATTCTGCACAATAAATTGGATTTACCCCTCTTTATCGGATAAACTGCATAGAGATACTTTCTCTCAATAACGAATTGCACAATTCATCAATGACCTCTAGCACTTATCCCCGTTCCCATCCGTCGCAGCCTCCTTACACCCGTCCGGACAATACTTGGGATGTCCCACGATTCCGGGATTCTTGCAGTGAAACACCACATTCTTCACGTCATCCAGTGCGTCGGAATCATCCTTGAGGTCGGTGTCTTTGAGGGATTCTTTGAGTTCGTCTTCTGTCCAGCCTTTCAATAGTTAGTATACTATATTCAATATAGTGATAGGGGTGTAGGCTCACCCTTTGAGCTGAGAAGTTTCGAGCCACAGTAGTCGAAGCTGGGGGTGCATTCTTTCGAGTCTGCGGCGTGGGTGGCGAAGCCGGTGGAGACCAATGCAAAGAGGGTGAGGATGGAAGAGAACTTCATTTTGATTGTTTGGTGGTTATTATGGTGATGGTGTGATTTGGGAGGATTGTGGGTGATGAATGATGGAAGGGAAATGACTATATATAATAGTAACACCGCTTTGTTGATGGATTCCTTTGTTGGTATGCTGGGTGGAATGAAGCATTCCAGGCACCATGTGAGGAAGTCAGTCATGATGCATTCTCCAACTTTGACAGAGTATAAAGGACTGCGGGAATAAAGCCTCATTGTTGTGGCTTTCATTCAGTTATTCTATCCTGAATGTGGGTGCTCTTTGTCGGTATCATTTGGGTACTTGAAAATCAACTTTGCAATATATATAGTATGAACCTTTTGGTTACTAATTCTAAGAATACATATTAACCTGTGAATGAGTGCCGGGATTAGTTGGCCAGTTCAATCTCTCGAGCGTCAGTATTCATCTGCCAAGCTGCACTCGAAATGCCATACTCTGAATATTATCTGTGATATACATGCATTAATTAAGAGGGTGACCTCACTATAACAGTACTGTGCTGATCCCTATCTATCTTATATCACTCTCCTATCTTTCTTTCTACCTGGTTAGATTTCTAATCTAATGGTTTCCAGTCATTCTAGATAGAATTTTTATAGTATAGGTAGTGACATACTGCATGGTTAGAGCTATAGGGCTATCTGACTTGCCTCATAGCCTAGGGTATCACACTATTTAAGGATAATTGGGGCGAATTTAGTAAACGGCTTAAGATTATTAGGGTTCTTATATCAATCCTTATATTATCTCTTCTATTCGGTATAGTGCATTTTCTAGGAGTACTATTAGTCTAGGTAACTTATTCTATGTCCTGTTACTACTTAAGGTTTTATCCAAGTGATCGTCTTATAGGCCCATGCCTATAATCTACATAACTCTAACTACCTGGTCTACATGTGGCTTAGGTTAGTTACCGTTATTCTAGTAATATATGCATTCCTTGAGACAGCCTATTACTTATCTCCACTAGGATAGAATCTCATTTAGGTAGCTATTTAGAATGTCCTAGGCAGCTTCATATATCTAATCCGCGTGCTAGAGTGAGCCGCCCTTATGGGACACTAGTAGCCTCGCCTATTCCTGCTTCTGTGATGTCTTTTTGACAAAGCGAGCATGTCCTTTCCAGTGCAAGTCTACCCCCGACAGTCCAGCCAAGTCCAGCTGCTCAGGATTTCGCAATTTGATCGTCCATTGGGTAAAGGGGGTTGGCTCAGCATGTTGCTGTGTTGGAAAGATAGCATGAACATGCGTCTCTCCGACTTCCCCTGCTGCCGTGATGTCGTACGAGAGTCGCACCTGTCTGGCCAGGCTGGCAAAGTGAAAGATCTTGCCACCCTGTATATCCGCATAGACGCCGGTTGTCAGAATGTCAATATCGACCTGCACGACTCCATTATGGACTGCCTCTGGTCGGGGAACGACGCCTTGCAAGAATGTCTCCAGACCATCCAAGCGGAAATGCGAACCGTCTTTGAACACACTGGCGAAGCTTTCCTTGTCGGTTGGATCGGTACTTGGGGCAAGTGTAAAGCTGGCACTGTGGTTCTCACCTTTCAGCCCTTGAACCATTAGGGGGCCATAATTGGCAGGGAGCTGTCCGTAAGTCAGTGAACCTTGGCCTGATACTCTGTGAGTGCCATCAGAAGTGCTTACATCTTTAGAAGGAACAGTCCAGTTGAATGCTGCATGAGTTAGCTTTTATAATCAGAAAATCGATCGATGTAGTACATACGTTGGAAATCAGTTGCGTATTTCTCATCGGCCGATTCGATTTCTCTCTCGAGCGTGAAAAGATCATTTCGGAATTCCACAATCGGCTTCTGAGAGTCGAGCACCACGGTGCTGTCGGCCAAGGCCCAGTATCTGTATGCCCATACCAGCTTCTGCATCTGCATCACGACGCTGGTTCGAATGGCCAGGACGCGGCTGAAGAACTTGGCTTTGGCCAGGGCATACTTGTCCTTCTCCCCCTTGTACTTCTTCAGTAGCTCCTTCAGACTGGAAATATCTTGGTAGCAGGCCATGACCTCCATAGCAGCTTGCACGTACTCCTGCCCGGCCTTGACAGCTTCGGCCTGCGCTTGGGCCAATGTCTTGCCATTCACGGCCTGCTTTCGAAGAGCCAGTCGATAGCCGCTTGCTCCTGCAACACTTTGACTGATTGCATACTCCAACTGCTGATCACATTCAAGACTCCATTTATCCCATGCGGTGAGTGTGATGATAGCTCGAGAATCGGCATCACCGCCACTGCTTCCTGTAACTTCCCCAATCGCAGGGATCTTCGCCTTGGGATCAGATTCCAGTTCCTTGATGGCTGCAGTTAAGGTCGCCGTTTTTGGATAAAGACTTTCAAGTGCTTGCATACAGTCACCCAGCGTTTCCAGCGTTGACGATTTGATTATTTTGCCGGTGTGATCGGGTTGCTTCTCCGCTTTGATAACTTCGTCTATTGCACCTTTGATATCTGCCAGAGCAGCGCCAATGCTGGACTCAAACCCGAGAGAGAGAATACCCGGAGCATTCGTAAACTCTGTCACATTTCAGTTGGTCACACGACGTTGGTCAAATAGAGTAGAGTCTTACTGATAATTGCACTCAGAGTCTCGAATGCTGCAGTGAGATATGTTTTCGCATACCATGCAACCAGGCCCTTGTTAAAAGCCTCTTTGGTAGCACTCAAATTCCTGTTATCGGCATTCACCTCCTCCTGGCAGCGGGCTACCACCACACACGCATCCTGATACTTAGCCCACGCCACCTTGGAGAGATTGACACCTCTACTGAGCTGAGTCTGTGCATGCTCTAGCATGGCATTCCAGGCCGCAATTTGCATCTCCACATTGGCTTCATTATCTTGAAAGCGGTCGTACTGGTCCTGGAAGGCTGTGACTGCATCAAGCCCATCGCGTACGGTTGGAAGATATTCAGAGATTTTCAAGACAGGAGCATAGCCCATATCAGGCCCGGTCATTGCTTGCACTGAGAGCTGCTGGCCTAATGATACCGCTTGGGCATTGATCTGGGAGTACAACGCTGGGTTCACCGTGAGTGCTGCGACGTACGAGCAAATGGAGATGGCAATGGACGTGTTTCTCCAGAATAGTGCCAGTGCAACGCGCAATTGGGTGTCGAGGCTGGCCTGAAGGTCCTCATCCACGACTGGATTATAAGCCTTTTGGTACTCGGGATTGATTTTGTCCGGATGGACGTTCAGCTTCACACCGACATATTCCTTTCCCAGACCCAGCCCAAGAAGAAGCGGCGCCTGATTGCCCACAGAAACCGAAATGGGTTGGTCAAGAATGTAACCGAAGATCCACAGCTGGAATCCAGCACCTTGAGGCGCCAGCTTCAGATGGACAGGCTTGTCGGCTGTAAGAACCCTCGCAACAATTTGAATCTCACTATATGGAGCGGGCGAGATCGTAATCTCTGATTTTGTAAATGCAAAGACATCAGCGTAGAGATACAGTAGCCGGGCCGCTGGTTTCTCGATCTTGGATTCGTCCAGATAGATGTCTCTTTCAATGAGGGTGTTCTGACAGATGATTAATTGCCCGACCAGAAGAAGCTGGATTTCAACTCACCTGTTCGGATTTCTGCTCTTTTCTCAGCGGAATCGAAGTGACCACTTGGCTGTTGGAGTATTTCTGCCACTCGCCGGGGCTCTTGGGCTGGAAGGGAATGTCGCTCATTTTGGATGAGGTCAATAGGATCGCAGGAGGAGCAGAGAACACTGCGACCAGCGGGGGAGTTCGTTTATGAACAAAATCAATTACATAAAGCCCGGCGTCGACCCCGAGAAGGATCATGCGAGATACTCGGACAGGCAAGTCAGGTTCGTGTTTGCTTTTTGCGCTGAGCGCCAGTGCAGCCAAGCCTTGTGTGATATCCCTGCGAGGAACACTGCTGACTGCAGATCGAATAGCAGCGAATCAAGCCGGCCATCTTGCCGCCAAGTGTCGCACAGGTTCGTGTATTCTGTGGCGACATCCGGGGTTCCCCTCAGCAGTCCAAGTGATCGGCGAGAGAAGGAAAGCGGGACAGTATCATAAATAACCCAACAACAAGTCTCCAGCATCATCTGTCTACGCACCATCGAATTCCTCTTGCTGACCACCCCTCAACATGAGCAGCGAAACGAACAAACGTCTCCAAGCCAAGCTTGAAGGCTTTTCTGAAGTCAGTCGTCATATTGAATGGCTTTTGATGCTGCAAAATCTAACCGCATTCCCCTCAAATAGATTACAGCCCTCACTCAGCGGGCCATTAACGCTGCCATGGTCAAATTAGTGACGGATAAACCGGAAGTTGCCCGTGTTAATTGTAAAACAAAACGGGGGGATTCAATCAAGGCCACGATCAATCGACCCCAGGCGGCATTGAAAGTCACTGGGAGCAGTCGCGCCGATATCGAGTATTTTGCTCATTTTGGATCGGGAACCCTACATTTCAACTATGATCCACCGTGAGTTTTATATTATTGCGTATCGAATATCTATTGAAGCTTTGCAGGTTGGATTTTGATATGAAAGACTGGGTGGTCGCGTTCAATGTGAAAATCGACTCGATTGAGGTCAAATCGGGCTCTGATGAGGACAGGCAGGTGAGAGGCGCAATTCAACAGCCAGGAGACTTTTCAATCAAGTCCTTGTTCCTCACATTTAACTGTAAGTGCATCTCCTCCGGTACATGGCATGAACTAAACTTGTGATCCAGCGGGAGACATCATCAATCCAAAGTACAGGCCAATATATTCATCCTTGGTGTATATCCCACTAACACATCTCTAGCATGGACCACTGCAACTTCAAGGGAGCCGATCTCGACAAGGATGACATCCTCACGCTTGGTGGTCTTCTGGCCAAATGGTACATCGAGGAAGGGCCCATGGTTGATCGACGAAACCGCACAATCGGATACGGAGTCCATACTCCAGATCCATCGTCCATGAACGAGCAGGCGCCCACATTTCCTCCCACTTCGTTGAAATTCCAAACGTACGAATACATCGCCCCGGGCAAAACAGCGCCAGAGGAAGGAATTCCACAAGGAGACAATAACATGCTGTTGTATCTGCAAATGACAGAGAACAAGCCATTTCCCTCGGCTGCTATCCTCAACTACTCTGGAAACTATGCAGCCAGTGGAATGGACGGAACAATGGCGATTGAACGCGAGATCTTCTTGGATAAGTATCTCCTACGGACCAAAACCCCTGAGCTCCTTCACGTCTTCAATCACGCCACATACGTATGGATTAAAAGCGCGAGCGTGGACAAGCCCACGGAGGTAAACTGGGAGATTGGCGTTGGAGATTCGATCCATTCCTACAAGCCGGAATTCTTTCGCTGGGAGCCAACAGGCACCATGTCATGGGCTTGGGGACTTCCGCAAAAGACGATCGAGCAGTATTACAAGAACGAATATCAGCCAGGCTACAGGTATGGAAGGCTGACTGTTGACTGTAAGCGCTGCTCTTGGTTTCATCCATTCTTCCTCTCGTCTAGATGATAGTTGACACCCACGTCCAGGCACCACCAGTAATCATATGTCAACGCGGCCCGGATCGAATGTGATTGATGTAAGCGGAAAATCAGACATAAAGGTTGAAGGTTCCGCGGGTAGCTCATCTCCATGGACGCCCTGGGCAGCCAAGTATGGGTAAGTCATCTTTGGATATTTTGCATGGAACCAATACTAACTGTCTATAATAGTGTGCATGTATGGCTGGAATGGAAAACAACAATCACTATCAAGGCAGTCGACACTGGTGGTCTTCGAATTGATCTTGATCTGGATGAAAGCAATTTCAAGACCAACAGTGACCCTATCTATTTCAAGGGAGATGAAGCTTATGGTATCACGAGGGAATCCGTAGAGAAACGACAGTCCAAAGTCGTGGATGATCTCAAAGCAACGTTGAAAAGCTCGCCCTTTAAAGAGATAAAAGAGAAGCTACAAGACAACCTCAACAGCACCGCACGATTTGTGGTCCCGGGTCTGGGCACCTTTCGATACAAGGATCCCGTCTTTAATGATAAGGGTGACCTTTTCATCCAAGTCGCCTATCAATGACATGCGGTCTCTCCTATGGGTATGGATCGATAAGAGTGGCACCAGGACACTTGAGATTGCTAGAAGGAAGGGTGGGTGATTGCATGGTTTGTTTACTGTTTACTACATTGGCACCGATGGCGAATGATATCTTGGACTGTGATTATCACACGTTACATGAATATATATTGGAAGATGGCCTATCTGAAGCAAAAGAGTATTCTAAATACACGAAACACCGCTCTCTTGTCTTCCCATCAGTTAGAAATTACCAACATGGGGTTTAGTTCACCGGCGCATGCTTCGCACGGACCGTAACATCCACGGTAGACCTTGTCTGCAGTCTTGGGATTGTCTAACAGGGCTGGGGAAGGCACAGTAAACTTTTCCCAGAGCTTCCACAGGCTTGTGTTCATGATAATAACTGACGGGCTCAATCCCCTGATTGAGGTTGAAAAGTTCTTTGGGTCCTTTTGTGACTTGATCTCTTAGAGAAACTTATAATTCTTACTGTTATATGCCTTTTTCTGACTTAATAGAGTGTCGCTAATATAGTAGATATATGCCGCCCATCCCTAAGTGCTGAAGGGGGCTATTTATATCTTTATACCTACATCTTTATACCTAAATCTTTATACCTACAATAATATTAGTTATAGTCTTCTGAAGACTAGGATCAATCTAGCTGACGTTAAAGGGGTAGATATAGGCACCCTCCTACTAGGGGAAGGCTGTTTTATTAGATAGGACTTGGGTTGATTTAGCTCTGATGTGGTCCTAGATGTGGTAGCCATATATAGGTCTGTTAGGTTCTTGTTCTTTTATAGTTCTTATCTATTTAGTTATATAACCTGTGACATCTGGAGTGATTCCACCTTTAGGGAAGATAAATGATGTATGATAGTTATATATCTCAGAGAGAACACCGAATGCTTTATTATGGACTTCCCATTGATAAGTGATGCCATCTATTACTTGGGACATTAATGCTATTATGTAGCCTCGTATAGAACCATCTGGTCTGTCCGCCTAAACCCCTCGCGCTAGGAGCCAGGCGATCACAGAGAAATCTCCTAAAGGAGCTGGGTTTAATTACATAACTTTATGCTATAAATTAGATCAATTCAGAATTTATATCCAGCAGGTATATATTCATTATTAGGAAACTGAGTGGAGAGCCGAACAACCCGACTTCCCTTCAAAATGAAGGTAATTGATAATGTCAATAACGGAAAAAGTCCCCAGCCAAGCAACTGAGATAACTCAGTTGGAATCTTCCTTGGTCTAGTGGTCATGATTTCCGCTTGTCATTCACCTGATAAGCGCGGGAGACCGGGGTTCGATTCCCCGAGGGAGAGATTCTTTTTTGCTGTTTCTTTTTATCAGTCAAACAAAAAAAGAACATTATTTATTTGCATTTTGAACATAAATCATGGTATCACATATGAGGTATCTAAAAATAAATCAAATCATAATCATAACTCCTACGCATGGCTGATCGGCCGCTGATGCCTCCCGCTCACCGGCCCAGCATCCAACTCATAATACACGCTCGGACTCGACACCGCCGCGACCTCATGCACATTCTCACTATCCAGCATCGGCACGACCGATTCCGACGGCGTAACAGGTACCGGGTCAGGCGGTATTGACGCGCGAGTCGGCTTTCGGGGTATCACCATCGCCGCGGCAGGCGTATTCGCATTCGCATTTGTCGGACTGTTATTCGGACTCACGTCTCGCACGGCTGGTTCTGGCTCTTTTGGCTTCTCCTCGTCGACATCACCGGCTGCAGCGGCTAGGGGTGTGAATGTGGATGCTGAGCCTAAAGCGCGCTGCTTTCGGCGGCGTTTGAGCAGCATCCAGGCGACGGCGAGGACGAGGATGACGAGTAGAATGACGGCGATGGCGATGCCGGCTTTTGCGCCGGAGCTGAGACCGGTGTTGGAGCCGTTGGAGCAGGAGTAGGAGCCTGTGAAGACACCATCGCTGTTCATGCTGTTGAGGTTGGCGCAGGAGAAGGAGTTGGAGCCGCGGATTGTGGTTTTGCCTTTTGCTTGGTCGAGGTCGGAGAGGGAGATTCTACTTCTGATTAGTATGTTATGAGATAGAAGAGATAGGGCGGCTCACGAATTAAAACTCCCTGTCAGGGATAAATCGCCATCGACCTCTTGCAAATCATCAAAACCAATCGTATTCAGCGCCTGATTATCCTCCACCGTCAAACCGCCTTTGACAGTCTGAAGATTTGAAAAATCCACACTGGTAAGGTCGTCGTTATGTGTGAGCGTCAAGGATCCAGCGATAGTCTGGAGATTCGACGCGGACAACGTAGTAAGACCCGATACTCCATCAGCCGTGAATCCGCCTTGGATTTTTTGAATCTTGCTAAATGTGATAGATCCTGTAGTGCTTGAGCCGATTGTGATGGTGCCAGCGATGGTGTCGCAGGAGGAAAGGTAGTCGGCCTCGGTTTGGCTGGTTATGGTGATGCTGTTGGTGCCTACTATATTAATATTTATCCATATAATAAGATATAAGTAAAAACTCACAGTTGGCATTGTTACTATCAGCAATGGCCTGGACGACTGCCAGGCCAAGCACGAGAAGCAGAATGGATATCATTCGTTATGATGAGTGGCAGGCTGTGGGATTCGTAAGAGCACGCAGAATCGGCATGGTCAGTCGTTGAAATAAAATAAAACGAAAGCAGAATCGGGGATTGCCAGGTTAAAAGAGAATTAAACTTGCTAGTGGATGCACTAGCTGTGGGGATCTCTGCTCATCTGCTGCAGCTGCTTAAGCCCAACTTCCAGTCTCTTCCTGTTTGTTGTTGTTCCCTTTCCTTCTCGAGATTCTTCTATGCTTCTGATCTGCCACCTACACCTATCATATACTATATACCTACTTTCTTCAAACATATTCATATCAGAATATCATCTCATTGAGAATTCAACCTGGATTCCCAAATCGACTAATGCTCCAGTTTCTACTACATACTCCGCATGCATTGGCCAATGAGACACTGCCACTGACCCACTGCCAATGCCAATGTTTGTCTGAGCGTTGATATCGTCCATATTATAGCTCATATATTATATCTACTATCTTGTCTTCTTCACTATCTATAGTGACTTATGATTTATTACCATTTACTTATCACTTATTGTTCACTCTATACTATGTATTATTGTTATTGTCATTGTTGTTGTTCTACCTCCATGTTTATCTAATTATAGCACCAACCAATCAAAACCCATCCTCAACAGGCAGCAAAGTTTACCACCGGATCTAATCTCGCTTTTCGATTAGTTTATGATGGCTGGTACCTTGTTTTCTTCTTCTGAGGTACCCTGAGTTATGCATGTGAATCAATAGTCTGGTCGGTATTTCGATGCCTGCTGAAGTGTTCGTCTGCCAAGGTGCCTCGACGGCAACCCCGCTTAAGGCAGAAGAATTGTATCATCAGGGTCTGGTCTGTGCATATTATGATGTTTATTTATGCCATCATCAGTCAGCAGCATAACTATGCTCAACCAATATAGAGAAGATCATCTGAAACACTGATAGTGATTCTGATTGTGTCACATCGTATGACAGCCAACCCAAAACTGATCAACAGCGTTTCTTGCCCAACCCATCCTTAGTTCCATTTGTTCTCCGGTGGGGGTGTTCGCTGGTTTTATACTCTTCGGGTAAATGTTGATCTCTACCCCTATTATGCGGATAGCTAGAGGTCAATTGTGATTACGAATATTAACAGCACTTCTTCCCTAACTCATCCTTAGTCTCATTGATTCTCCAGTTCACTGTTTCTTGTATATTGACTCCTCGCATACATGTCGATCGCTACCTCTATTATGCCGTTAGCTAAAGGTCAATTGTGGTTCTGAATATTTTATATTACTTAATAGAATAGCTAATCTAATCTGATCAACAGCACTTCTTCCCCAACTCATCCTTAGTTTCATTTATTCTCCGGTGGTTCGCTGTTCATGTATATGAACTCCTCGGATAAATACCGATCTCTGGCTCTATTATGCTGATGGATGGATATATAAATGGGATGGATGGTCACGAAGGAAGGGTAGACAGACAAAGCAAAATGCATTTCTCTCTTGGACTTGTCCTTTTCCCTCTTTGCTATGCCTTTTCTCATCCTGGTCTTTTGCATACAAATGCCGACTTTGAGCGAATCGCCCCCAATGTTCAGAATCAGACTGAGCCGTGGATTACGGGATGGTATAAACTGACCAACAGTTCTTATGCCTCTCCTGCATACACCCCCAGCGCACAAGAAGTCGTCTACCGAGGTGATAATCCCGACCATTCGCAGAACTATGCCAGTCTGTATCGCGACATTGCCGCTGCCTACAACCTAGCCATCCAGTGGAAAGTCACCGCCAACAATACCTACGCCGATACAGCGGTCTCCATCCTCAACGCATGGGGATCGACACTCACCGGCATCAGCGGCAGCGCAGACAAATTCCTTGCCGCGGGGATATACGGATATGAACTCGCCAACGCGGCCGAGTTGATGCGCGACTACACCGGCTGGGCCAGCGACGACTTTACCACCTTCACCAATATGATGGTCGGAGCCTTCTATCCCATGAACCACGACTTTCTCACATTCCACAACGGCGCCGCGGTGGACCATTACTGGGCGAATTGGGATCTGTGCAATATCGCCTCGATGTTGTCGATTGGGGTGTTGAGCGATAACGAGACCATGTTTAATGAAGCTGTCGATTACTTCAAGACCGGCGGTGGAAACGGACAGCTGGAAAAGGCGATTTGGCATATTTTTGACGTTGATGGACAGAGTCTGGGACAGGGACAGGAGGCTGGACGCGATCAGGGCCATTCGATGTTGGATTTCTCGCTGTTGGGGCCAATTGCGTTGTCTGCGTATAACCAGGGCGAGGACTTGTTTGAGTATCTTGATAATCGGATTCTGGCTGGGTATGTTCTTCTTTATATATATATGGTGTATGCCTCCACTGACAACCTATCTTAGTGCTGAATACGTCGCCAAATACAACCTGGGCAATGATGTCCCCTACACCACGTATGTCAACAGCGACGTGACACAGTCTGTCATCAGTGATGGCGATCGAGGCGGTGTTCGACCAATTTGGGAATTACTGTATAATCATTACGGTGTGCTCAAAGGGCTGGATGTCACCTGGACCAAGCAGTATCGTGATATGGTAGTGGAAGCTGGCGATGGGGCAGAGGGAGGAGGAGGGGATTATGGAACGTCCAGTGGAGGATTCGATCAGTTGGGATATGGGACGTTGATGTATACCTTGTAGGGAGTCATCAATTACCTTACTGAGCTTAGCGGTCGGAAGAATTCGAGCCATGAAGCCATACGAACTTCGGCGTGGCACTGGCGAGGCTGTCAACACCAAGTCACATCTATTGCTACAGATATACGATTGAAGCTGATGTAGTACGTCACCGCGGAAACCGCATCTCTCCCTTTACTCCAACAAGTGATGGGTCACGCCTACGCGAGCACATTCCAGACATATATGAACCAGCGAGTCCAAAGCCATGTTCAAGCGGCATTCCTTGGTTTACCTTCTTTGGGTTGAGATGTTCAGTAGGTAGCAAGCTACAGTGGTTGGAGAGAGGTAGGCCTCGCCAAACTCGCCCGCGAAAACGCACCCTACGGCTCGGGGCGGGTCAACTTTGTCAGTCTCTTTTGATCGAATGGCGAACACGCAACCCCAAACAGTGTGTTGACTCCGTGACAAGCATATGTTTTGATTATATATTTTTGAGCTGAACAATTTATGGCTACTGTTATCAGTGGTCGACCCATGGATACAATGTGGATGCAATGACCGGTCTAGATGGTATATATTTTTTTTCAAACCAATTTCTGTATTAATCTTTGCTTGTTTGGAACACAATATGATCTTTATCTGTGTATCCAAGTCATTCTTATTGAAATAAAATCATCTTCATATCCATGTTCTAGGGTATACAAGGCAGGATTCTGGCGAGACTTCTTTACAGGTACAAGCTTTTTTGCTCCATTTTTTTCGGTTGCACCTCAATTTTTCGATTACGTTTCTTAGAAGAATACATAGGAACTCAGTGCCTACAGGGCAGGTGAACAGAGAGCTTGCGGGGGACTTTGAGGCCCAAGGCCCCATGCCTCATGGCCTTGGGTCTAGGAAGAGAGGGGGGCGCGGCGAAAGATTTGAAATCAAATCATGCAATCGAATGCCATGGACGTCTTTGGAATGAATAAATATGCTCTCTTGGATATCTTGGGCACTATCTACTAGTCTATTTCATCAGTCCAAGACCCTGTCGCCTACATATCTTCATTACCCAACCCATGATGTCTAACCTCCCAACCTACACCGGCGGATGGCAGCGAATTGGCACAGGTCCAGAAGATGGGTCCTCGGCTTTGACTTGGAATGGCATTATCCCACTGCCAAATTTGGGCCCTACCGAAGTATTGGTCAAATATCATTCACGCTCGATGAACTACCCCGAAATCTCCAGTATGTGTTCTAGGACAAAATGCCCTTTCGCATGAGTGCTGACAGCTCATCTAGTTGCTAATGGTACATTTCCATGGCGTTTCCCCGACCGCGTGGTAGTGCCTGGTTCCGATGGTGCTGGTGAGGTGATTGGGACAGGCGCTCTTGTTTCAAGCTTCACTGTGGGAGACAAAGTGATCCTCCAACATTACCCGGGGTTTCACAACGGACCAGCGCCTCCAAATAATCAAAAGATTCCAGGTACCCACATGGACGGGACACTCGCGGGGCATGGGGTCTGGGATCAATCGGCGCTTCTTCCAATGCCCGCATATTTAACCTACGAAGAGGCTGCTACATTACCCTGCTCTGCTCTCACTGCTTGGAACTGTCTCTTCGGACTCACGCCAGTCAAGGCGGGTGACTATGTGCTCACCCAGGGCTCTGGCGGGGTGTCGGTGTTCGCTATCCAGTTTGCTTTGAAAGCAGGCGCCATAGTGATCGCCACAACGTCCTCGGACGAGAAATCAGCAAAATTGCGGGCCTTGGGTGCGCAGCATGTCATTAACTACAGGGCTCACCCAGATTGGGGTGTAAAAGCTCGGGAAATAGCAAAAAGTAGGGGCGGTTGTCAAAAGGTAATTGATATTGGCGGTGCAGGGACGATTGATCAAAGCTTCAAGTGTGTGTCTCGTGGTGGGGAGATCTCCATTGTGGGATTCGTCACCGGAGGTCGCTACAAGGACGGCCCAAACTTACTTTCTCCACTGCTACAAGTATGCACTGTCCGTGGAGTCGAAGTTGGCAATCGGCTCCAGTTCGAGGAGATGATGCAGTTCATGGAGGCATGGAAGATTCGGCCGGTCTTGGAAGAGCGCCGGTTTGCGCTCAAGGATGTGAAGGAAGCCTACAAGTACTTCTGGAAAGGATCGCACGTTGGTAAGATGGTCATTACAAATAGCTAAGAAGGGTCGAGGAAATCATTCCATCATTTGTACTTGGACCAAGGATGATCCCACCATTAACAGCTGTGACCCATGCTACGAGATATGACGTTATTGAGAATGGTGTGTCTTTCATGATTGGATTGAGATTTTGGCCAAGAATGGATTTGTGTATATTCTACATTTTTATAGACCGGCTCGTCCAGTCAAAGAGAGGGGGGGTTTCCACCACTCGATTGTTCATGATGAAACATTCTTCATACCCTGCAGTTCTCATACATGACTTGGCCGAGATAAATTTGTCCTCGTCAGGAATAACGACCTCTTTATAGAAAGGGTCGTTAAGAGCGTTGCCGATACAATCAAGTGAGGGTACGTAGAGTTGCACATGGCCATCCCAATTAGCGATCGAGTCGGCGCCAAGGTATTCCCAAAGTTTTGTGGCACGATACTGTGGTGGTTGATGATACTGAACCAGACGCGGTAAGGAAGGAAGCAGTTGGGAGATGTGATCAGTGGAGTAATCGTGCGTGGGAGTACTTAATAACGCCATGGCGAGCCAGCCAAGCGCTGACTAGAGGTCCATGAACATGAGTCCAATGATGATGAAACTGCTCATCCGTAAGATCTTCACGTTTTTTCAGCATTAGCGTTAGCTGAATGACATGTTCAGACGTTTCAGACATCGTAGACGAGAATGATGATAACGATTCGATCTTCTGCCGAATGGTAATGTGTCGAGATTTTTCTTTCCTTCTTATAATTTCTACAGCTCACATTACCAAAAGATCATGCTACAGATCTTGTTTTGCTGGAAGACGGCTTCTTCAAGGTGGACAATCAGCGGCTCTGACTTTCTGGTCTGAAGCTTCGGTTTCTCCAACGCTTTCTCCAATTTTGGAGAAATGCCGTCGCTTCGGAAATCAGATCTGATTGATTCCCTCCCGCGGTTCTACCCTTCCAAATGAGCCGGGGACTTACCGTAGGTCGTATCGGACGCTAGATTTGCCCATGACTTGAGATTATTCCGTACGTACCTTTCGATTGACCGATGATCTGCAATCAGTCTATACTGACATCCGGAGCACATAGCTGCACGTGGGTGTGGTTTTAGTGTGAATCGGCCCCATTATCACTCCGGATTCCTACATACGGAAAGTTTTATCAAACCTTAGAAATCAATTCAGCGTCTTTGTTCATCAAATCCACTATTATCTTTCCCTGTTGATCGTGATGTATTGAAGTAGGCGGGCTTAGTCACAAACCCGCAATCACATCCAGGCCATCCTCTCTTTTGAGTTATTTCCGTAGCTATTCACATGAAGCTTTATCAGTATTTTACCATTTACATCTTTTCATTTTCACTGGTTCGTGACGATGCATGAAATATACCTATGTTATGTATCATATTAGATCAAAACAGGAATTTCAATAGGTGAAAATTCAACCATCTTCTTGCTTATCTCTTATCTCATTGAAATTCTGCCATGGCTCCCAAGATCCCCATATAAGGCTACTAGCATAAATTAAATCGATCAGTACAGTGATAGCTGACGATAAAGTCCCAACAGAGCCAGCGCGCCAGATCCCATTGGTGGTGAGTTTCTGGTTACGACTACGGTGAAACACCAGGATTGGCAGAGTTTTGTGGCTAGCAACATACGTATCCTAGAAAAGCAAAGGCCACTGAACAGCATTTGTCGGGTGTTTGGAAACGCCTCTGGGTTATTCTCGACCACTGCTCTACTAGTTGTAGAAATCCCAAAGTGCGTAAACTGTACTGCGTCATTTCTGTTTCTGGCTCTATGCGGGTTTGCATCAAGACACGAAACTACCGAGATTTTTGGCCAGCTGTAGATTTTGAATCGCAGCGAGGGAGATTGACCGGGGGATTTTGTATAGGGATATTTTAGGCACCAATCCATAATACTGATGCTGAGAACATTGTCAAGAAAACGGAAAACCAGCGCTCCACATACTTCAGAGCCCATACCACCCAATAAGATACAGTCTCTCATGTTTGCCCAACATTATTGACAAAGCTCCGCGAATATGCTAGCTGTCTCCTCCGGCATGCTCCAGAAAGGGTTATGGCCACTAGGTAAACGAAACACGCGAGGGTTCGGTAGCAGTTTGATCATTTCATTTTGCATGTCTGGTGGAAGCGCGACATCATCATCGCAGGCGATGTAAGCACTTGAAATCGTCTGCCAAGGCTCCTCGGTAGCAGGCTCAAGAAACGCCGGGAGAGAAATATGGGAGTGTATGTCCTTAGCATGGCTGGCTTTGAACTCTGCAGACACATCTTGAACCACGTCGACCGCCGGATCCAAGCGTACATAGTTTCCCTGGCTTGGGATAAGCACATCTCGATCAAAGTCGAAGGATCGGCATTCACCTACCTCAACAAGCATCCACGGCCAGAGCTGTCCGCCGATCATATCTTTGAGATTCTTGCCTTTGGGTGAGACAAATGCGGCCATGAACACCAGAGTCTTCACGCCTCCACGCTTGCCGGCCATTTCGCGATCTGTCAGGCCTAGACCCTGAGCAGCACCCGCTATTACCATACCGCCATAGGAATGGCCGACCAGGACAATTTTCTTTCCTTGGTCTATATGGGTAGTCAAAACCCGACGAAGGTTTTCCACATCATCGGCAAGCCCCTTGGTGGGAGGCTCCGCGCCGTTGGAAGAGTGATCAATGGCAACGGCTGTAACACCTTTCTGCTTTAACCGTTGGCGAAAGTCATCATAAGCACTGCCGGCATTCCAAGCCCCCGGGGCAAAAATCACAATTGTCTCGTCATTGGAAGTCATAATGAGAGAGCTCGAGCTTTCCGTCTGTGAGACCGATTCTGGAAACACCTTTAAGGACTCTCTGATTACTCACCAGTATTCAATCAGTGGCGGCCAACTAGACTTATACCATCAGATTCTTGTAGGTCAATCGGGCCAAGGCATATACTTATCGATATAATAATGCCCGAAGAGTGGATCATGACATGCTTTCTAATACATCAAGATTTTTGGAAACGTTGTCTCGGCTTCTTTTACTTCTCGGGGGGGATTTCCCTCCGCGTCTCTAGAGATAAAAGTGGCCGAAATCTGAATAATATCTGCACAGAAAGGCTCCGAATTACCAAGCAAGTTTTTAAGGATTGGGTTCTGGTGGATAATTCGACTGAACTATTGATCCGATGGGTATAAGGTAGCAGAGTGGGGATGTCCTGAGCATTTTGGAGAAGCGGGTCTTTGGAGAAGTGGATCTTTGGAGAAACAGATCATGGGAAACAAGTCAACTCAGTGGACCCAACGATGCGAAGGCGATAGATGACCCAGAGAAGTATGTTTCATCGTTTGGTCATCAGCGTCATTTTTTTCGTCAATGTACAGTCATCTAAGTTTCGACCATCTTCGAGATGGCCTCGAAGATTGATATAAAATGTGGTATTCTCCGCCATGAGAACTCGATCTAGTACACACCACAGGAATATTTACTGCAAAAGTCGCTACGCTTCATCGCAATCATGTCTCAACAGACCGTCATTCGTCTCCCCGGTGAGCGGAACTCGCTCAAGAACTTCAAGGCTTTCAAGGAGTCTATCCCTAAGCCCCAAAAATATGAGGTTTTGATCAAGGTTCACTCCGTCTCCTTGAACTACCGCGACGTGGGTGTTGCGCTCTCCCTTTACCCTTTCCCCACCAAGGATAACGTCGTTCCTTGCTCTGATGCCGCTGGTGTTGTTGTTGAGGTCGGCGAGGGTGTCAAGAATGTTGCCAAGGGCGATCATGTCATCAGCACTTTCGACCCCACCAACCTTTATGGCCAGCAGCTCAACTGGGAAAACGGTCACGGCGCACCTGTCGATGGTGTCCTTCGCGAGTACTTCACTGTCCACTCTGCAGCTGTCGTTCAGCTCCCTAAAGATTCTCCCCAAAGTTTCTCCGAGTGGTCCACCCTTGTTTGCACTGGTGTCACCGCGTGGAACGCTCTCTATGCCAATATCCCCCTGAAGCCTGGCCAGATTGTTCTTGCTCAGGGTAAGTAATGAGTACTGATTCTCTTTTCGCGTTGGTTAACTGACCACTGGCTTGAAATCAGGAACTGGTGGTGTCTCGATCACCGGTCTGATCCTGGCTAAGGCCGCTGGTGCTACCGTCATCATCACTTCTTCCAGCGATGAAAAGCTCGACTTCGTGAAGAAGACCTATGGCGCAGACTACACCATTAACTATAAGACCCACCCGGAGTGGTCCAAGGAGGTCATGAAGATCACCAACGGCCAAGGTGTCGACTATATCTTCGAGAACGGCGGTTCCGGAACTATCGCCGAAAGTATCAACTCCGTCAAGATGGGAGGAAACGTGTCTGTCATTGGATTCCTTTCTCAGGCCAAGGAGATGCCCGATGTCGCTGGTATGGCTCTCGCCAAGGGAGCTGTTGTCCGAGGCGTGACTGTCGGATCCACTCAACTTCTGCAGGAAGTGGTTCGATTTGTTGCCCGCAAAGGTCTTCGGTTGCCCGTCGAGAAGGAATTTGCCTTCTCCGAGGAGAACACCGTTAAGGCCTTTGAGTACCTTACCTCCGGAGCTCACATCGGCAAGGTCTGCATCAAGATTGTCAACTAAGATAAGAATACGCCTGTTTGGATGTCGGCAAATAGCCTTGGCAACATGAACTTGGGTATAAATAACTTGAGTCACAATGGACGCTTTTGAAATAAAACGTGAAATTACGTATCGGTCAATATCTGGACATCAAAGTTAATGAAAACCCGTAGACGGCAATATTCCCCCATATGGTAAATGAAGTCCATGCAACACCGCTCTCTTTGGCTTTCTCTTAATAGGCTTTGTACTATGAGAAGGCTTTTCGGTAAACTGCACATTAGCAGTACAAGGATCCCAGCGTAGTCAGACTCGCGGATAAGTTCGGGAAACCCTGAGACCTTTCCCTATCAAAAGGGCACCATTGTCATAGATGCTCGTTCCGGGACTGTTTATCGTCTAAGTCTATCAATATGACCAACCAGATCAACAAGTCCTTCGTCTCACGCTCATGTGGAGGAAGAGAAGCGATTTGACGGACGAACAATTCCATCGTCACTGGACCCACGTTCATGGTCCCTTGGTCAAACAGTGGCTCCAGAAGCACGGGCTGATTCGATATTGCGAGGTATGTTCGCCATCTTCTGTCACCATGGGAATTTTCGATGATAACTTCATAGTATCATTTACCTTCTCATTGCAAGGAGCAAACCAAAAATGTGTAGGATCATTTTGGAAACATGTCCATCAGTGATTTTGATGGCCATTGTCAGCTATACGTGCCATCTCTAGAGTGTTCCGAGAACGCTCTTGCGGACCCTTACTATAAAGAAGTTGTCATGCCAGACGAAGATAACTTTATCACAGCAGCGTAGCGTTCAAACGCGTCTTGGGATGCGCGTACTGCGTAGTCTACATCTTCCGCGTCGGTTGCTGGGCAAGATGCGAAAGGAATACCGGTACCAGGATCTTTTGAAGATGAATCAATAACGCTCTTTGGTTCTTTTGCTTATGTATTTTGATTTTGTCTTTGAATATAAACGGACAAGCTCTCACAACATACCGATCACTTCAACCCGTGTACCCGATGTTGCTTCAACAGAGTGGGAGCCTCCAACTAGGCTCTCATACAACCAATCAGCTTTCACTCTCGTCATACGAGACAACGATGGCTTCTCACCTGGAACGAAATTTGGTATTGTGAGCTCATAGTGCAGGAATGCGGTGCTACTGGTCTTTGGGTAGTTTTTGTTCTTTGTGTCTCCACAATCTTTATTTTATGTCCAGAGAGAGTATTTTAATCGTATGTGCCCGTACGTCTCCAACTGGTACTTTCCGCTGACGAAGCCGTTAGGCACCTCCTGCCGATGTACCGAAGAGATGATGAGATCTCTCCGCATTTCAGGTCTGAGGAGGGGTCTTTGTGGGGAATTATCCCCAGCTCTGGCATATGTGTACAAAGGTAACAATACCCGATGGGGATTCGATGTACCCACACTGCATATGACCAGCATCTAGTTATTCATTCATTCTGATCTTCCTCGATACGTTTTCCATCCCAGCACTTCTGTTTGCTCTCTAGCCGAAGATGTCTACCGTTTCTTATGATTTGATTGTGGTGGGATCCGGCTTTGCTGGTTGCATGACTGCTTTGAACTTCCTGGAGACCTCTGAGCGATTGAAACAGCCCGCCCAGGTGGCTCTCGTCGAAGCTGGCAAGAATGGTGAGAGATACGGCGCATCCCAGTGGACAGGAGCTTTCCTTCATATGGGTCGTGACTTGACATTGAATGAGGACTGGATTCAGGAGATGATTCAAGTCAGCAACGGCCAGGCTGATTTAGAATATTATCACAAACTCACTCGTGAGGCCAAAGTCAGTGTCAAGTATATCAAAAACTGCGGTATCAAGCTTATTCAACACAAACAGAGAAATGTAAGTGACAGCAATGGACCTCTTACTATGCCACATCTAATGCTGCCCAACTTCAGGGGCTCCTTGAATTCAAGACCAACCAATACTTTGTTATGCCCAATGGCGGTGGCTAGGCAATCATCAAAGCGCTGATGAAGAACATCAAGACATATGACAACTATGATATCCACTGGGAAACTGAAGGGCACTTGCTCCTAGTGGACTAATAGGGCCGCATCACTGGACTACAGGTCTGCTAATCTGATAGTCTCTTAGAAAGCTTATATACTCCTGATGTAATACTTACTAGTAGTAGATTCAAAGGAAACACCTTCAACCTTTAATGCAGCCTATAATAATAAGCCTTTATATCTTATAAAGCTGGATAGCAAGGCTTCTACTAGTTTGAAAGTTAATAAATCAAACTGGACCAATCCGCTCAATAACCCTCCATTTTATGCTTTCCCTCTTACTACTCAACTTACTTTCACGTCGACTGGCGGGTGTCACTCTGGCACATAGACTACCTCGTTCAAGTGAAAAGGCAGTCTTGTGATGCAGTTATATGAGCTTCTTGATAGATGCAAGTGGGTTTTTTTCACTAGTGGCTTTTCGACGGCTGTTCTATATATTTAAGCAATACAGGAATGAAACAAGTAGCAATTCAGACCTCGTCTTCTGATACTCTCGACCTCCACTTCCCCGGTACTCCCGTCAAATTCATCGGCTGGATAACACGCAGCCCGCCTCACTAGGTTGTTGACACTTGCACTTTTTGAGAGGATTTCATCGGTGGTCTTTCGCCCCTAAACGTCTATACTCAACAAGTACTTGGCCTATCATCCGTATGAATGGGTATGGCGAGTTACCGTCCATGATGTGCGACCACAATTCCAGGATCTTATCGGGTAGATTGATGGCTTGTCGGTTTTCGTAGGACATATGATCTTCGGTGGATGAAAGTCCCTCGCGAACGACTTCTTCGATCCAATAAATCAAGCGTGATTCGTGGTCTTGTGCAAAACGTTAACATATTTACGAGTTTGCATTTGGGAAAAGGGGAGGGGGCTAATTTATGTCGATTGGTCTGACCAGCCCAGAAACGAGGGATTTTACGTACCCGTCAAAGGCTCGTTGCAAACTGTAGTTTGAGTGTTTCGAAGCCATTTCTCCAGGAATATCGAGCAATTGAGGCCACATAGGGCAGACTCGATTCCCCAGAGAATAGCTTGATTGTATTTGAAATATTGAACACCGAGCTTAACCAATGTGCTGAGTAGATTTGTTGCGTGGTAGGCTGCTAAAAGCGAGTCGTGAGTGCGGTCCACTGGGAGTGAGTCCTGAAAACCTGGAGCAATCTCGAATGGTGTCCAGGTGAGAATCCTCCTCCTTTGAGATACATTGAAACATTTCCGAATATATGCAAGACTTAGCAAAGCGCTTGATGTAAACGGCAACGGTCCATTGGGGTCCAGGGGCTCCAGATTGGACTCCGGGGTTTGTTGCCAGGAGAGTGTCCACTTTTGAAGCGCTGACCTATGGGACAAGTTAGAGAGAAGCTTTTGAGGTGCTGAGTAGGGAATTCAGCATGGCAGGGGAAGATTTACTCGAGAACTGACTGGAAATTAGTCGATAAAGTCTGTGATAAAGAGCCGGACATGGATCTCCGACTCCACAAGATCTTGCTCAAAAGACCGTGCATAACAACATAATTCCCAACTGGTGATATCTGGGTAGATTGGGGATCTACAGGCTGGGTAGATAGTAGCTGCTCGACAGTGTCATTAAAACGCCTCGGTTCACCTGCTGCACCTCCTCTTAGCAATTCCCACGTCGTTTGATCCGGTGCCGTCCATTCCGGACACGAGCACGGCAGCTGTAGATTGATCTCGTCGCACAAAATGCTCGGTGGCATATCGTAAGCAATGTTTTGAACCCCAAGAAAGCAAAAAGCAAATAGTTTAGTGCGCCTATCAGACTCTCGTTGCGCCCACTCTTCCCAGTTGAGATGTTGTAGAGTATCGGTGGTTTCCTCGAGACCGCTCGATCTCAGGCCTTGCACAAGTAGACTTTGTAACATATAAGCTTCCGCTCGGATACTCGAGTCACTGTGCCATGACGCAAATTGAGCAAGACAAAGTAAGCAGCGCACTTCGTCCATTGATTGCTTTTGTGATTTATTGTCAATGTTCATAGAGGAGACACCTATAGCCCTATTCATTTGTGATCGAGCCTTATACTGATGGCCATCAAAGAGAAGAGCTTTGGAATAATGAAATAATTGTGTGGCTGAGGCGTATTCGAATCTATCAATAGCGCCAAGTGCCGTCATAGCCAAGCAAAAGGCAGGCGAGCATGACTCGAGCTTGAATGTTGGACCGTGACTAAACGGAGAACGAGGGTAAGCCCCCATGAAGTAGCCAGCCATATATCGCGTTAAAGCACTGCTTGGGGGTAGATCATAACTGGGAGACGCTTCACCCAACCTGCCTAGAGAGGCAAGTAATCTAGATCTATCAGTGTCTGTGACCGTGGGATTTACACAGTGAGGTACGATTTGTGTAGCTTTCAAGTCAGCTTTTGGGCTATTTCGATGGAAATGATGCTATAACTCACCTAGAGATAAGTATGGAAAAGGAAAGATGGTGGGGAACTCATGAGCATAATTTCCCCCGGCATTATTTTCCCATAAGGCATTTTGACTATTGTACAGCTCTGAATCTCTGAAAGTCAGTAATTGGGGTGTGATAGAACGAGAATGTGCCACGAGCAACACTGACCGGCTTGTGGTGGTGTCTCGTTCGAGAAGTGCGACAGAGAAGGGTCTTCGACTGGGGTGAACGGGGCGCTACATTTCCCAATTCAATATGATATTCCATAAGACTTGCTTCTAATCATGTATCATGAAACGGACAGAAGGGGTATATTCCATACCTCAAAGACCGGGCGTGAGTCACGCTGGTCGAGTAAATGGGGGAATCAGACGTTTGGGGGCAATTGGCCTGCTCTTTCTGGGTGATAGTGTTCGTCACGGCCCTATTTTGAGGGGTCGAGACAGATGCAATATCGTGTATGGATAGATCACTATCATCTGAAACACGCGATGGTGCGTTGGCAGCATTAGAATGATCGATCATACGTTCATGACGACGCAAAAGATCACGACGAGAGAATGATGCCCCACAGCAACAGGTGAATGGCTTCTCGTTGGTGTCTGGATCAACAATCTTTAGAAATGGTATCTCTGTAGGGAGGGATAGTACGAACGTCGCCTAGTGTGGCGCTGCAGATGTTCTAGTCTGCGAAATGATTTCTGACAGTATGTACACCGAAATTGTCTGTCCTCATCGTAGCTATGTGTAGACGATAGAGCCATTTTGGGTCAGGCTACGAATAGGAAAAATAAATGGAGGACACCTTTCTCGGGACTTGCATCACAACCCGGAGGTGGTAAAGTCTAGAAGCCCTGGTGATGCAGGCGGTTGACTGGGGCGCGAAAAGTAACGTGACCGCGCTCCATATTTCGGATTATCAATATTCCGTTCAGGGTCCCTTCACTTTGCGTATACTAATCAGAAAGCCATCAGAAATACTCAAAGGCTACAAGAGTGAGGTTTAAAAAGTGTTGTAAATAGCCGTACTAGATACCAAACCTTTGAAATGGGGGATTTGCTCTTCAAATGTTCTTTGGGAAGTGACAGTGTATATTCCTGTTAGAAGAACCTGTAGTTAATCATACATGCATGGCAATTATATGTTGCAAATGCTGAGTATTCTGCATTCATTATATTTAGCGAACCCAATCTCGAGGCTTACCTCACAAGTTTTTAAAGCACACCGAAACCTCATCGATTGAAACTACACGATCACCTCGTTTTCCTGGTTCATCTTTTGCAAATCCATTACGATATGAGGCATCAAGACGTGATGGCGCCAAGGCACTAAAATAATCTGGGGCCGGGAGCCGTAATTATCCGAGCCTAACTGGGGGATCTCGGGGGAGCGACTCTGCCAGTCTCGCGTTATTACCATGGCCCGCAAGCGAAAAAATGCGATTCAAGAGATGTAAGATGGAGTCTTATTCGCTCTTATGTTCCAGGACTTATTCTGATATAGGCTTTACGCAAAGGATTTACAATGTGTTGACGAAATTACCGTTATTCCGTATGTCGCTGAGATCCGCCGATCCCGCTGTACCACCAATATTCAACTGATCTATAGTCTATAGCACTTTTCAACCCTAAATAGCTTTAATATTTAGAGATTTATCTTACTACTAGAGATATGAAAGTGCTGTTTTAGTTACTGTATGTAGACTAGTTTTCGGGCTTTAGATTAGCTATATCTATGCCCTCATTTTCATAGATAGACAACCAGACCTTATTCTCTTGATCACATGACTATTAGCTCGTATGGTATTAGTAGCTGACACTAGCTGTCGTAAAGCGACGAAGTCAAGTAAGCAACCGCTGGAGAACAGATACCCTGTAATAATGCTGGCGGTAACACTGCCGTCTCGGGAAGCGATCGGCTCCTGGAGCCCAGCTGGGTTAGTCCCCTCGCCGCCCTGAGCACCCTGATCGCTCGCCTTTGATGCTCCGGTTGACCCACAACACGCCTCTTTCTTTGTTTCACATCCCGATAAGCGCTTTGCTGCCTACAGTCGCTCCTAGGAGCTCAAGCAAATTCATGACTTTATCTTACTGAGATAAAAAGTGACGTCGTATAATTAGATTTGACATTCCGTGGATCGACATGGCTTGACAGTTGCGTGTCTGATATATACTATATGTATAAGTGCCAGACTATACGACAGAAGGAAGCTAAAATACTCCACCAATCAGCACCTGCTGACTCAACCCCCAAAATGCGGGGAAATCCCCAGTTTCTCCAACTTTTCGCCTCGAGTCCATCTGAGTCTTTCTCTCGTGTCTCCTTTTCTTCTTTTCTTTCTTTTCCTCGTGTAACCTCACTCTATCAGCTGTAGAATCATCCACCTGACTCTATATTCTCTTCAGTGGCATGAAGCCCCCACACCCTCCCTCGCATCTTTCCCTCCCCCGCAATTGGCCATGAGAATCGGTCGAGGATGTGAACGCTGTCGACATCGTCATATTCGATGCATCGTCCGTCAGGGCGAATCGGCCTGCAATACGTGTGCCCGTCTCGAGAGGCCGTGTCGCTTGGATCCCCCGTTTCGCTTCAAGACGGTGCGCCATGTTTATCAAAAAGGCAATGGGCGGGCTTCACGGTTCGAGCTGGACTGGGATCCGCAGCAGAGCTGGGTGGAAATTCCGCGATCATGTATATTCAAACAATCCAAGTAATACTGATGGTGTGCTGATTATGCAGTAACGTTTGTGCTAGAACCCGTCGACGAGCCGGTGGACTGGAATCCCGATCTCTCGCTCGACGAGGAACAATCGTCGGATGCGCCCGCCGTGCCTGGCGGGGAGACTTTTGCCCCTCCTTTACAGCCCCAGCGCGTGCTGGACGAGGTCGAGCTGCCTCCCGTCGACAGCACGGGTATTGTGTCCACGCCGTCTATGCCTGATGAACGACAGCTCGCCACATCCTCGGTTATTTCGCCATCGATTCAAAACTGCGTGGCCTCGCCGTTGGCGTCTTCATCGTGGACGGGGCCGGGTTCGCCATGGAGCGCCTTTAGTCCCCGGCCTATCTCGTCGCCGTCATTGAGCCCGCGAGAGGCGTTTCTCTTGCGCTCTTTTATTCATAAGATTGCGCCATGGGTGAGTTTCCTCCTACATTCACAAACGTGAAAAATGGAACTAAGATAGACAGGCCGACATATGCGACATGCAATCCCACTTCACCACCGAAGTCCCCCGGCGCGCCCTGCAAGTCCCCATGGTTCTCAAGGCCGTCCTCTCCCTCTCCGCCCGCCACGACGCCATCATGTCGCACGCCACCGACGTCGAAGCCTCCGAATACCACGGCCAATGCCTGGAACTGCTCATCGCGGCGCTCGCCAAACCAGAAGAGTCCTACGACGACAACCTCCTCATCACCGTCGTCATCCTGCGCATTTACGAGGAACTCGAGAACAGCACCGACGAGCAGTACCATCTCTTCGGCTCGAACCGGCTGCTCAATACCATGTCGAAATCAGCGTATTCCGGCGGACTCGCGGAGGCAGTTAGTTGGCAGTTTCTGCGGCAGGCCATCTACGCCTCAGTGGTGCAGTACCAGCCTCTCGTGCTGGACTTGGAGAATTACGAACGATCCGCCGTCTTCCTGCGTACCGATGACGCTTCGTACTCGAATATCATCATCTTTCTCTGCGCGCGAATCATCCAGCTCTGCACGGGCCCGGACTCGCTTGCGTCCGATGAGGGCGCGTGGAAACACCTCGCGCAGAGCGTCGAGCGCTGGCATCGTGCTAGGCCCATCACCTGGCAGCCACTGCGGTATCGCTCGGCGGATGGGTCGGAGAATCGCCCGTTTCCGGAGTTGTGGATGATGTCGCCTCCTGCTGGTACGCCCTAGCTCTATATAATCTCACTTAATGAAATATGTATGGTGTGCTAATGAATGCAGTGGTCGGATTGCAATATTACCATGCGGCGTGTATCTTCCTCACCACGTCTGATGGCCATTGGCGTGGACTGAAAGATTATGAACTAGCTCGATCGCGACGATTAGCTGAAGTGAGTACCTCACCCTACTCTCTCTTGGTTTTATTTCTAACTATATAAATGTAGAAAACAATCGCCTCTCATGTCGCCATGGTAATAGGGCTCTCGTCGTCGAATGAAGCTGTTGAAAATGCCAATTTCATGGCGTGCCATTTACTGCATCGGTGTATGTCCACCTCACTTATCAGTGTATCTGTACTGACCATCTAGTCGGACATTGTCTGCGCAATCCGGCGGAACAGCGGGGATCGTTAAAGTTTCTGCAGCAGGTCGAGAAAAAGCTCGGTTGGCGAACGGCGTGGATGGCACAGGAGTTGGAAAGGGAGTGGGCGGAACTACAGGAGTTGGACTCTTGGGATATTTAGTGACCCTATAGATTGATAGAAATATAGAAGTATGATAGACCCCGAGACAACACTAATATATATCATATATAGTCTAAAAACCCAACTGCGCATTCGATACAAAATGAGACCCTCCCGCACATCTATATCCGTTTGACTGTTTGATCCATCGATATCCCATACAACACACGCCCATATCTCTCAACTTCTGCTGCGCTTGTTGTTCTTTCTTTCGCTCGGCTTCCATTTCTGCTTTCTTTCTTCGGAGTCGCTCTAGTTTTTCTTCTCGAATTCGCCGTTCGAGTTCTCGTTGAAGCCGGTCTTGCTCATGTCGCCTTTTGGCTTCGTCATCGTCATGTCGCTGTTTCTCTGCTGCTCGAGTTTCTTCAGCCAATTTCCTTGTTGCCTCTTCTGCTTCTCGCTCGTCTTTGAGGGCCTGTTGATATTCCTCCTCTTCGAGTTCTGCGCGGCGTTTGTCATCCAGTAACTGGTTCCATATTTCGTTAGTCACGCCCGCATCTCGTCCGTCGGAGGCTTCAGGCACTTTCGGCTCAGGTAGGCTCTCTTGCCGCTCTGGGGACTTTTGCCGCATAGCCATAGTTGTGGTTGTGCTGGTCTTTGTCTCAGTCGGTGTCGCGGTCTGGTCATCAACTGCAACTGGCTGCAGGTTTATGGGAGGAAGAGAGGGAGTGACATTAGATCGATTCGTGCGGTCGGTTATCATCGAGTCCATCTCGGCCAAAATGTTCTTCTCCTCGACGGCCAGTCTCGTACCGATGACAGATTGCATGGTCTTACCGAAAATAGCCTTTGCCAGTGTTTGAACGTCTCGCGCGTTGGCCCAATTGGGTATTTGGGATAGGATTGAAAAGCGAGACCGCACTTCATTTGCAAATTGACTGGTCGGTCCTTCAAGGGCGCTAATGTCGAATTCTTTCCCTTTCTCATGCACTTTTTTCCGTCGTCCCTGAAGTAAATTGGTCAAGAGTTTGAAGCAATCGTCCGGGTTAAGCCCGTTGAACTCCATCGAATGTGGGAATCGACTGGTAAGACCAGGGTTGATTGTCATGAGACGATTGATATCTCCATCGTAGCCCGCAAGAATGATGATGAGCTTCTTTTCGAACTTGGGTTTGGTGATGCAGTCGACGATCTCGTCCATTGCCTCTTTCGCGAATGCACCTTCTGCCAGTCGGTAGGCTTCGTCGATAAGCAGCACCTTGCCTAGTGCCTTCTCCAGCAATGCCTGGGTTTTGGGACCGGTCTTTCCTACATATTGCCCAATTAGATCGGTGGCAGAGCTTTCGATGACTTCTGCAGACGCTAGAAGACCCATGTCGTAGTACACCTTGCCCATCTTTCTGGCTGTCGTGGTTTTACCGGTACCTAATCGACGTTAATATATCGGCAGTCGAGAGGCTAATTAGACATACCTGGAGGCCCGCGAAACAGAAAGTTGAATGCGACTTGATCACGAGGATCCAGATCAAGTAGCTGCATGTTCATGACCGTACGGCGATACCCCTCCAACTGTTCGACGATCTTCTCACTTCCAACAACATCGGCAAACAACATAGGGATATTAGTCTCAGTCCGTTGTCCGCGATCATGGTGTTCATCAAAATCCTCTGGCACTAGAACGGAAGCGGTGGTTGAGGCTTTTCGTGCACTGACTCGTTTCTGATGGCGAATCTTGGCCTTGTTCAAGAGGATGTCGACTTCACCCGCGTTGCCAAAGTTGGCACGATTGCGAGCTCGTGCAAGGACTTCCAATGCCACCTTTCGTCCATGGGTGGTGGTTTCAAAGTCTTGCTGCTCCAGTTTGAGATCGAGAATAAGACCAAGCTCATCATCGGTAAAATCCTCAAACATAAAGGCAGAATCCAGTGGAAACCGTCGGGTCAGACCTGGGTTGACATTCCGGAACATTTCTTCCATCTGTTCTTGGTATCCAAGCAGCAATACGCAGCGGTCATCCCCTGGCACACTATGGACTTCGGAAACAATCGTATCGACCACGGCGGTCTTGTAAGGATCTGACTTTGGTCCACTGTCATCACGACTGCCTCCGCCAGATAGCATATAGGCTTCATCTATAACCAAGACCTTGCCAACAGTCGATGCTAGAATGCCCTTGGTATTTCTCTCAGACTCCCCAAGAACACTTCCAACGAAATCAGCGGGATTCTTGACAATCACTAGTGCAATTGTTAGTTTCCAATGTTTCGCTAAGAGTCTCAAATACTGACCCTCTCCGTTAGACAACAACCCAATATCGACCAGAATCTGCCCATACAGTTTGGCCACACTAGTTTTACCTGTTCCAGGAGAACCCAGAAACACGCGATTCAAGGTAAACTCGACCAATTTCTTCTCCAACAGCTCTCGCTCGTAGTTGGTCTGAATGCTGTCCAAAAGAGCCTGCACATCTTTCTTCACGGCATCAAGGCCAATCATCTTTTTCAGCTTCTGCCATGCTGAGCAGTTCCGAAGCGCTTGCGATGGCTCTGGACCGATAAGATCATTCTTGGTCAGGAACATGACATCTACCGAGCGCCGAGATCTTCTCTCCCGTGCTAGGCGATTAGCCTGGCGCTGTGAAATCAAGGATGTGACGTTTTCAATAGCACGAGCATTGCCAAATCCTTCCTTTCCGCGTCCTCTACCAACCCGACGAGCAACAATGCGACTGAACAAGCCACCTCGGCCTCCTTCAATCTTCATTCTGCCATTGTATTTCTTGTCAAGTCTATACTCGAAAATCTGTCGGAGCTCGTCGTCATCGTAGTCTTCGAATTTGAATTCGTGGGGGAAGCGACTCGGTAAGCCAGGGTTCTGTTCAAAAAATTTCTCCATGTGGCTGCGATATCCCGCCAGAACGAAAACAACCTTGCCAGTCTGCTTCTCAACCTCGCCTAAGAGGAAGTTAATCACTTGGATTCCGTAGATATTGTTTTCGGCCAGCTGGTATGCCTCATCTATGAACATAACACCACCGCCATCTTTAAGGATGCCCTCGATCTTTTTCTGACAACCAGAAACACCCTCGTTCGCAAGTTCCGAACCTGTAGTCTCGACAAAACAGCTGCCTGGAAGAACCCCGACAGCACCAAGGAATTTGGAATAGAGACGAGCAAACGTTGTTTTTCCTATTTCCGTGAGCAAAGGAATATATCTTGATGGAATAAAAACATACCAGTTCCCGGATTTCCTCTCAAAACAGATCCAAACCGTTCACCTTTTAGATCAATCCCCTGCTTCAAAGTTGTGTCTACCTGATCTTTAATGGTGATGAATTTCTCCTTCACTTCCTCGAGTCCGATCATTTCCATCAAGGTATCGATTTCAGCACTTTTAGCACCCTCGAAATTCTTTTGATACTCCCACTCGTCTTTTGCGGCGGATTTGGGTGGCTCCGGTTTGTTTGTGGACTTACCCTGATTCTTGACCGTGGGTTCTGGTTTTAAAGATGAAGGAACGTCATTTTCTTTATTGAAAGCCGGGCTTTGCTTTGGTGTGATTGTTTCAGTGGCCATGTTCATTGCCTTTGACTGGTTATCAGGTTTCGGGGATCTTAAATTGGCAAGATCATCGCGGTGTTGCTGTAGGACTCTCTTTCGTTGTTCTCTGTCTTGCTCATCCTTCTGCAAGCGTCTCTCATGGGCAATTTCGTCTTGCAACTCCGTCAGCTCTTTCATGTATTCCTTTTGTCTTCTTTCTCGCTCAACCTCGAGCATCATGTTCCTTTGTTTCTTGGCTTCCTGAGCTCGATCTTCAGCGTTGCAGGGCTGGCATGCGCCGTTGATTTTGGCACAGGGTCGGGTGGTTCGGTGGCCACGAGAACAGACCCATTCGATTATTTGGCGACATTCCATCTTGGAATGGTCTGATAATTGGTGGCATCTGTACGGACAATCGTGGATACCACAACTCAACCTGACGCCGCTGTTTTCTTATTAGTGGATGTGGCACACATGGGAAAAAAAAAAAAAAAAAAAAAAAAGATGGATTTACCAAGGCAATGCACAACCTCCATCCGGACACTCTGTGTCGAACTCCGCTGCGGTTCGGACAACAGTCATTTTCTGAGGATGCTGTTCGCATTTGACGGGAAGACCATCGTAGAGATGACCCTTTGTCTTTAGATTATCGATAAAAGGTACCCAGACCTCCTTGCCCTTGCGGCTGATTGTGAAGGTATTTGCATTCCCGACCATAATGAGGATGTTGCGAGCACGCGACAACAGCACATTCAGTCGCTGCGGAGCTGCCATGAATCCGATATCACCGTCTCCGTTGCTGCGGGTTAGTGTGGCGATTACAATGTCACTTTCTTCACCCTGATAGTTGTCTGGTATTTAAATTAGAATCTATTCTGGTTTAAACGACCTTGGAACTCACCTATAGTTGATAACCGAATAGAGCGCTTTGAATAATTCGCACTTGCCTGAGAAATCAATCCAGCCCGAACAAGATCGTAGGAGTCTAGGTCACTCAACACGGGATCACTGTCCTTTCGCAGGAAATCACGAAGGAGATGTAGCTGTCCAAGGTATGGTGTAAGGACAACAAGCTTGTCCGTCCCATATCCCTGCTGACCGAGATACCGTACGATTTTGAGAACAATCTCCACTTCAAATATATTGCGCTTGCTTCCCTTTGACCCTTCATCCCGACGGTCGGAAATGCTCATGAATTTTGTTTCAGGTTGCTCATGGTGGAAGAAAATAACACGGTCCTGCAATCCACGCGGTGGAACTCGACCAAGTGTTTTTGCATCATCCTGCAAATCAGGGTAATTTAGGGCTCTCACGAGAGATGAAATCTCCGGACACATTCGATGCTGCTTGGCCAGGGTAGAATGGGGATAGCCGGCGAGAACAAGACGTTCAAACAAAGAGCAGTTAAGATCATAGCCGTTCCCTTTTTCGACCGATAGGGCGTAGTTGTTAATCTTGGGCCGCAGTTGCTGATGATCACCGATAAGCACGAGATGTTTTGTTTTCGTGCCCATGGCGGTAAGTACGTGGGATTCCAGAATTTCACCGGCTTCTTCGAGAAGCACAATCCCAGGGGATGCGGATTGAAGATCCTGGGCGTTCATGGCAGCAGCGGTGGTGGTACAGCCGATGATCCTCTTAGACTGTAGAATACTGGATGCACCCTTTTTCCAGACTTTATCCAGATGATTCTGGCATCGGTCAATCTCGCGGGTATGTTGATGAATGTTAGATACTTGTTCTTCGAGGAGACTGTGCGTCCATTCGCGGATGTGGGTTTGTCGAGTTGCGGGGTCCATAGCCCATACCAGTCGCGAGTCTTCCGAGAGACCATCCATGAAGAACCCAGGCTGCTTACCCCTTGACCATTGGTCGTAGAGATAATGAGAGTCTACAATCCTTCCATTCTCACCGACCATGGTCATGTCATCATCGAACGATGGAGGAAGGAAAGCATCGTAGAAAGTAGGATGCTCGAATTCTAAGAATTCCAACATTGCCCGAGAATTTCCCTTGAACTTTGTATATTCATTCATAGCTGATGTCAAGGAACCCTTTGCAATGTTTGCTTCGTTCTCATACTTGTTAATCACGTCCCAAGTTGATCGAGTATGTTTGTATGCGACCTTTTGCTGTGATAAACTAAGAGGTAATGTCCGAGTGGTTGATTTAGACCCAAGTCGTACAATCGATGAAGAGTCAATTCCAATGTCTAATAGATCCTCGAGAAACTGATCTAGGGCGTGGTTTGTGTAACACATGACGAGAATTGTTTCCTTACTACGATCGTGGAAGAGTTTGGCCAGAAGGGCACCGATGAAAGATTTTCCCGTCCCTGGTGGATTGTCAGGTTGCATAAGCCAGGATTATGAGGAAAAATACCTGGGGGGCCTTGGATAAGGCTCAGAGTTTGTGTCAATCCCGAAATGAAAGATTGCAGCTGGGACGGGTCAAGGTAGACAGGCGTTTTCGTGTCCAGAATACTCTGGATGTTGCCATCCCCTGCGTTTCGTATGTCCTGGATGGTGGTATCGGAGATGAGATCAGAGTGCTCTGCCAGGTCTCCCTTTTTGAATTCTAGTAGCTCTCGGGATAAAGGCAAGTCTGTTTTGTCTTGCAAACACTTTAAGATCGGTTCATACGCAAAGACGGAGGCCTCAACTAAAAGGAACTGGATATCATCGTATAACTTGAAGGACATCAATGTCTTCTTCATGGCATCATCACCAAGAACGCGTAGTACAATGACTGGAGGATCCAGAAGTAGCTGATCAACATTTCGATCGACCGTAGCAAAGGCGACGATTTCCTCATGGCGAATGAAGCAACCAAATGAATCATGTCTTTGATAGCCTCGATCCTCGTTGAGAAGCCGTTTTCGATCTGCGGAGGGAATATTGGAAATTCTCTCCAGTCCTTGATCACAGGATATTGCCAGTGAACAAGGTCTGAGTCGTCGACCATCGCCATGACGAATATTGACGACGGAAAGCTTTTGTAATAGTGGAGCGTTTCGTCGGCCTTTTTTCTTCCCCAGCGCGATTTGGATATCATCACGGAGCTCTGATAGCATGTCCTCGCGGAGAAGACGGAACTGGTTATCCAGATGAACGGGGATTCGCATGTCTGATGATAGTTCTGATATCTCGTCCATGCGACGGTAGAAGGGCTTTGCAGTTGAGGCGAACTCATCAGCGGTGGGATAGATGGCAATGCTTCGAAAGTCGGCAAAGTCGTTGTCATGCCGTCCACCAGGGGCGAAGTCAGGATTGACAGGAGTGTTAGTCGTCGATTTGACCATCAGGTTGTGTTTGATCTTATGTCCCAATGCGCGGATGTCTGCAGAAGCGGATCGGAGTAAGAAGCCATCGTCCATGACTTGCTGGGCGTCGTCCTTAATGTCGATCTCAGCTGAAGCCGGGAACGAAAGTACCTCGACTATCATCCAAGCCAGGGCATGGACAGATGAATCTGTTAGCTCGCGCGCCCGGAAGGCCTGCAGGAATGCAGTCCATAATGTCTTAGGCTCCACAACGATAGCTAAAAGATCCTGGAGAAACTGTCCGTTGCAGAGTTGTTTTATTTCTGGATTGGCCAAGTAGTGGACAAAAGGCGTCGTCGTGTTATTAAGAAATGCAGGCGTAACGTTGAATCGCAGTCCCTGCTGGAGGGCACTTCGAGCTGATGGACTGGCGATGATGCGTTCGACACAGGCAGAGGGGCTCCTCTGGTCGTGGATTGCTTCAAGGAAGAGCTTCACGTTGTCAACAGTAGTGACAGGCTTTTTGCCGCTGACGACGCTGTTGAAGAACTTGAACAGACGATCTGAGCGGGACTGGCTAGACATTATGAGATGGGATGGGAATGTCCAAGATGAACGGAAGGTGCTGGAGAGCTACCATGAGTCATTTAAATTAGCTGGAGGGATGGTGGGCTGTGTTTGTTATCAAACGAGGCTGCTGCCCCTCCATCCAGCGCCATTCACTGTCGGCCAATGAAGCCCTTGTTGCTGCACTGTGCCGCATCACCCAGCGCCAAACAAAGAACGCCTCGTCAGGCTCAACAAAAGGTACTTTTGACAAGGTGCGTGATTTCATCAGCGGGAGGGACATATTTATTTCGCGCTCATCTCAGTCTTATTTCCCTTTCGACAGACTTCCAGCCATCATGTACATCCCAAGACACGGATCTCACTCTGGCTCCGGTCGCGGCAGAGGATACCGAGGAAGATTCAACCGACCTTCTGGAAAAATCTCATGGAGAAAGAAACCAGAAGTAGCTGAGCCACCAGCACCTCGTTTAGGATCCGTATTGGCGACGGTTGAGATTAGTGATCTGGTGGAGGGGTTGAGAGAAGAGGACTCCAAGATCACCGACTGCAGGGATCTTGCATCCTACAATTGGCTGAATCGGAAGGAGCCGACCATCCTGATTCCAGGTGCGTCTCATGGAAACTTACTCATACTAATACTAACAGTGATCGCTGCTAGGAAAACCTCCCGCTTGGACGCCACAGCCGGACCGGGTCAAGCTTCGCGAAGACGACGGCGAATACTTTCGAGACCAGAATGCCGCAAGATATCCTTCCCATCCTCTACAGCCAGCGGTAGAGGCTATTCTAAAGCAGAATCCTGATTTCTTGACGACCGACGTTGACATCGTTGGGTGTGGTAGCACCTTGGGAAATCTGCTCCGATTTGCACGAGGAACCGACAGGAAATTCCGTATGGTATTGGAAGCAATCGGATCGACAGTTTTTTTCGTTCGCAGAGAGAACTCGCCTACGCAGACAATTTCGGGTGTTTTTGGATATGGGCACACGTTCCCTGAAGCTAATACGACCTGGGAGGCAGAGGTGAAGGGGTCTGAGTCTCATCAACGCATAATCCAGTATTCATTTGGAGGAATGAAGTGCCTTGTCCGCTTTGAAGCAGATGGATATCATCGTGATCTCGTATCTCAGACATCTGGGCCTGAGGATATATCCGCTGATCGAAGCGTCGATCAGCTTTTGTCTGTCCTCAACGGCAGCACTGTGAGTTCCCACCAACCCACGGAAAAGAACCTGACCATCGAATCCACCGGAAGCTACGTGCCACGAGAAGCAATCTTTGATCTCAAGACACGTACCGTCTGGAAGAAGGACAAGAATATCATCGGCGAGGAGCTCCCCCGGCTCTGGATTTCGCAGATTCCAAATCTAGTTCTTGCCTTCCACCGCTCCGGAGTATTTGAGGACATCGAAAAGATAGATGCTCGAGAGCATATCGCCAGCTGGGAGAAACAGCAAAAACATGATTTGTCCAAGTTTGCGGCACTGCTGAGACTTTTAGTTGCCTTTGCCCGTGGTCAACCGGAACGATTCGAGGTGTTCTACGACGGGGAAAGTGGGGTTTTAGAACTGCGTGAGGCATGCGACGATGTCAACAAGACCTTGCCAGAGGAGGTGGACGATATATGGTTATTAGGAGCATATGATGGCTTCGATAGAGCAGTTGTGAAAGAGGATGCGAAAGAGGATGCTGATGATTGGAGTGACTCCGACAAGGATTTTACGGCTTGTTCGGAGGAATGTGGATATTGCGGCCATTGCTAAGCTCACTTGAAGATCATCTTGTGATAATATCCCCTCATGTCTCCTAGAATGCAACAATCTCTTGAATAATTAACTCAAATTGATTCGCGATGTCCAATACCTCGGATGTGGGGAAGTCATGTGCCCCACCGTTCGACTTCACGTCGCCACATCCTCCATCTTCATCTATCCATTATTCATACACATCACCATGATCCAACCATCAAGAGACCCCAGTCGGCGCAGAAAAGCAGACTGTCGCTGCCATACGTGCAACCGGACCTTTTCCAAGTCTGAGCATCTGGCCCGACACATCCGCGGCCACACCAAAGAGAAGCCGTTTGAATGCGGCGTATGTGGAAAGTTGTATTCAAGGAGGTAAATATATGCTCTTCATAGTTAGTCATTGCTAATAATCAAGTGATGTCCTTCGTCGACATGAAAAAAGCCACGCGACTCCAACTACAGGCAAATCGGACGGAATGTCGATTCTGACGCCTCCGCCGACGCACGGAACAGCGCCGTCTGGAATGATCGCTGCTTCTGATCCTATCCAGTCGACTACGCCGATGAGTGCAGAGGATATCTCGCATTTGGATAAGGATGCGCCTTTTTTTCCTGGGCTTCAATTTCCACTGCACCAGGTGCCGTCTACCGAGCCATCTTGGTCTCTAGGGGACGACTTTGATGTCACTGCTCTGGACTTATCGTTATCATCTACGATATCTGACTGGGCAGAGTTACCAACCCATTTATCTACCTTTCCAGATGAACAAGGGGACAGACAGTTTGTCCCTGTTGAGCAGAATATCACCGTCCCCCAGACGAGGAACACAGAAACCCCCGTCCAGCAGAACTGGTTCAGCCATCGCGGTTCGATTGACAGTAAATCGACACCCTTAATGCAGGGGAACCAAGTGCATGCCGACGAATCATACCGTGCCGGTCTATCCCGTCGATTACAGCCGCGAGTTCACGACGAGGCATTGCCTCCTTTCGATACGTTGAATTTATTCGCCAAGCTCTACTTTACCCGGTTTCATCCACTCTTCCCTGTCATACATGCTGCCTCTTTCCGACCGACGACGGAGAATGCTCTTCTGTTTCTTTCTATCTGCTCTGTGGGCAGTCTGTTTGCGGGCTCACAGCGGGCTGTTGCACAGGGAACACGCATCTTTGAGCGATTGAACAAAGCAATACTTGCTTCGTGGGAGTCTATCCTTTCAGGGAGTAAATGCGATGCTGTTTTAATGGTCCAAGCGGGGGTGATCGGACAGACGTTTGCAATCCTGTCAGGGCGGCCAAGAGATCTCCTTCTCGCGGATGTATTGCATGGGACGGTAAATGCCTGGATGCGAGAAGCTACCAAGGGATCTCCAATCCCACCGGATAGAGCTCTGGATACTGCCCTGAGCATAGAGGAGAACTGGCATCGGTGGGTTGATGCGGAACAGCAAGCCCGGATATACCATGCTCTTCGTATTCATGATGCAGAACTGGCTAGTTTACTGCATCACGAACCTGTACTGAGACATCGGGGCGGACAAAAGCCAGACCTCGCACCGGATGTCCTCTTTACAGCTCCCACAGCTGCGAAATGGGCTGCATTGTATCATCGGCTGGAAGATCCAACGGACATCATCCCGCATATCAATCTCAACTCAAGTTTCTCCGCATACAGCCAACTAGAAAGCATCAACGCCCGTCTCATCGATGCACGACGATCTCACTCATTCGACACTGACACCGCAAACGAAATCTCCCACCACCTCATCGAATGGCGAACACAATACAACCAAACCTCCCTATCCACAGACACAGACCCCCTCTCCCTCCCGATTCTCTGGCACGCAATCTACCTCTCCCTCTATGCCGATATAAACCTCCTCGAACAAGCCATCGGCCGCGACGGCCACGACCAATCAACCAACTCCGCACACGCAGCATGCACCTGGGCCTCCTCCCCTACGGCAAAAAACAGTCTCATCCACGCACTCCTCATCCAGCGACACATCGAGACGATGCGCGTATCTACTGAACCCGCAATACACGTCCCCCGCGCCCTGTTCCATGCGGGGCTCGTCTGGCTCTCGTTCTGGAGATTCACGACTGATCGACAGATGAGAATTGCGGGGTATGACAGTATTCCGGAAATACGGATGCTGGGAGCTGAAACTGTGAATATGGTAGAGGAGGGAATGTGCGAGGATGGAGGCCATGTTGTGTATCGGGTGATGGATTTGTTGAGGCGCGTTGGACGGTGGGGGATTGCGGAGACGTTTGCGAGGGTTTTGGGGACTGCTGTTGAGGGTGTATGATTACTATATGAATTAGAACTATATTGACTATTGATATGGTTGTACGGTTTCAATTATTCCAAATAGATCATGGAGGGATGGACGATCACCCCACACCCCGCATCTCACCCCGCCAGATCCAAATCACCCATACCCATCCCCCAATAAACAACCAAATGAAGACCTAATTCCCCACCCAAAAAAACCCTATACTCAACCGCCCTCCCCTCCTCATCAACAACCCACCTCCCCTGGCCCAAAAACCACGCCTCCTCAACCCACTTGTACTCCGGATGACTCGTCTCCAGAATCGGACTATTAAACCACTCGGTATCACCAAACTGCGTCGGCTGCGCGCCCTCCTTCCAGCCTAGCACCTTTTCACCTGCTTCGTCGAGCTTCAGGATCCCGTCGTAGTGGATGTAGAAGCCGTGGCCGTCGGGGGTGCGCGCTTGGGTGCGGACGTCGATGTGGATTGTGTTTGTGGTTGGGTTGTGCTTTTTTATTAGTATGTAATCTGGGATAGGGAAGGTAGATGGGGAGGAGGTATATACGAGAATCCAATCAGAGCCGCCGGGGAGGATGTCAGCTTTCAGTCCTGGGCCTTCGAGGAAGCCGTGCGTAAGGGGGGATATTATCCGTGACGGACCGGATTTGACGGTGTTGAGGTTGAGGGCTGTGTCTTTGGATATGTAGACGCGTAGAGTAAATGCTGGGTTGAGCTTTGGGGCGGCCATTTTGGTGGAATGGATGGAATTGATGAATGGGGGATGGATAGTATGATGGTGTAGGCTTTTATATTCCGGACAATAGAGGCATGGAACTCACTATGACATAATGCGCGATGGAACTGGAACAAGGAAAAAGAATCCGAACAACAGTCGCAGCTAGTACTATCTATACTATCGATCAGTCAGGGCAAGGTGCTGCTGGGATAATCTTTATATCATATGATACCCATAGTATGAGCCAGAGACACCATGGGGCCTGTCAGGGGATATATATATGAGTTACATAGTAATACTGCACCTTGCCTTTTTGCGCTCACGCTGTAGCTCAAAGAGGCTATTGGAGTGCTGTCTAGTAAACATATGTATTTAGATTTATATATTCGCAGTGTATCACAGAGTAAACAATGTATCCATCGCGAAGGCCTTCCGATGATATTGTGGACCCAGTGGAGCCTTACGAAGCTAATCTCAACCCCGCCAACTGATCAACACCAATTTCTGTCTTCTCTCTCATATAAGCATCATGGATGGAAGACACTGGCCAGGAGGTATTCCCTCCACCATTCGTCCGCATCCAGAACCACAGTGCACTGGGTTTAATTTCGACGTTGCCACACAGGGCTTTCGACGATTCATTCGCGAGAACTGGAAACCCGGAGAAAATGAATCCGATGAAGGATTCGAATATGAAGATACCCAACGACGGAAATTGATTGAGACTTGGGCTTGTCCTGATCAGGTTTTTCGTGAGGTAGATAGCTATATATTCAAAAAACAAGAGTGATGCTAATAAGATAGAACTACCAAAACAATGCTACGAGCGAACCCCCATTCAACAGGTATAATGGAGTAGTATGTCAAAACAATACCATAGTACCGTGCTTAAATCTGATCACCAAGGACCCCTGCCTCCGGGGTATCCCAGAAAACGCGAGCGTAACAAACTGCTACTGCATCGCATCCATCCGCACACGCGAAGACCACGGCCGAATGGTAAAAGCCCTCCTCCTCATGTTTCTCTGGGAATACTGCGATCCTGAATTCCCACCCAACGGACCGGTATCTATGCTCCCTCCGAACCCCGCCAGCGGGCCTATCACAGCCGACAATTTCAAAATGGCTCGATCGGTGGAATGTCCCGATCTGACAAATATGGGGACGACGGTTGATGGGACGGTGGTGTTTCAATCCTGGAAGTGAAGTATTGGTTAATAACCACACCTTGGAAACGGGGTTGCTGTTGATGAGTCAGTTTCGAGATAATGGGTCGGTCAGAGCATCGGGTCGAATTCAGCCCAAGGACTTGCATATTGTATGGGGGTATATCGTCGGTCTGGGGTGGAGTCTGCAGGAGTCGCTTGAGCATAATCTTGCTGACGAGAAGTGAGTATTTCCATGCTGTGGTATTGTTCATGAGCTGATCTATAGACCATTCGATCTGCGACCATCCCTCGTTGACATTCTATTGTCTCGGTCAGACGAAGTCAGTCGGGAAGAATTGATGGAGAGAATTGAACACATCGCGTCAGGGTATTTGCAGGCCGAAGAGAAAGGGGTTGGATTTGCTGGCGAGTATGATATGAGCCAGATTGAGTTTGACCAATGACCAATGAAATGGATTAGTTTCTATCCAGCTAGACTGAATATGAGGGAAATCAAGGAGATAGATCGTATTTATGAGGCTCTGGAAATGACGCCAATGAGGTTTTGAGATTTCTATACTAGCCTTGGATTGGTATGTCTTATAAATCGAAGAATGGTTTTGATATGGATTATGCAACTTATCAGTGCATTCAATCATGCAAGAATGAGATTGGACAAATGATGAAGTCGCGCTTGAAGAGCCGGCGATGTGACAAGATTATCCACCGCTTCAAGATCCTTTTTGAAAATCCGAGTCTGTATACAGTTAGTAGGTGAGGCAGCAGGGTTTATTTCATCAACATACCGGGGTATCAGGTTCGGAAGCGTAACTGGATTCTTCGCTCTCATACGGCCAGTCAGATGAACTTCTGTCGTTCTTGCGCAAAGCTTCAGTAAAATGGTCATTTTTCAACACTATCTTGCAGGATATGACTCCGTCATCGCCTGGCTGTTGGCTGTTGACGTGCTCAGTAGCAAAGATCAAGGCAGCCTCTGCGCACAGCGAACGAAGGTCAGAGCCAGAGTATCCATCAGTGGATTGGACCAGACTATCCATGTCGAAAGAAGGATCCAAGTCAGACTTCTTTAGGAAGAGATTCAGAATCTTGCGTCTTTCTTCCTCGCCTGGAAGTTCGAACATCACCTTATGGGGTAATCGTCGCGAGAAGGCGTCATCCAAATCATCAGGTCTGTTCGTCGCACCGAGAACCAGGGGGGTGTCTCTGCCGGTCAACAGTCCATCCATCTCCTGAAGGAATTGTGTCAAAGCCTGACGTTGCCAGGCTTCATCCTCTGACGAACGACGATAGAAGACAGCATCAACCTCGTCAATAAAAATAATACAGGGAGACAGCTTCTTTGCTAGTGAGAAAGCAGCTTTAATTGACTTTTGGGTTTCCCCCGCCCATCTGCTTTTTATGTCTGCCGGGCTAACATTGAGCATCGTAGCATGCGAGTCGCTGGCGATGGCCCGGGCCAGTTGGGTTTTGCCCGTTCCAGGAGGGCCGTGGAATAAGGCACCGCTAATTCTGGTGCTGTTTATCAGTTCTTGCGAGGTTGCTTCGAATTGGATCCGGGACATTGCAACCAGTGTCTTGACTCTGTCTTTCGAGGCCTGGTTCATGATTACATCGTCGTAACCGACCTTCTGCTTGTCAGTATCAACGATGCAATGCAGGAGCTTCGCTTCAAATGAGTTGCAATCCGCTTTGATCTTTTCGAGTCTCTCAGCCAGACTGCCATCCTCCTTGCTATTCAGACGCATCGCCCGATCCAGGATCTGGTTTAGGTCATTCATGTCCAAAGCTCCTTTCCTCGCGACGAAACCGACTGCTTGTTTCACGACCCTGTCCCTATCTATTTCCGGTAGCTTTCCATCCCGGGCATATTTTGACAGATCAATGGGTTTTGTGTCAGGCAAGACCCTTTCCGGCAGGCTGCACCGTAAGGCTTCCGTCAATCGTCTAGTCTCTCGTTTGATACGAAGGCGGTTGGCTTCAGATTGAATGGCGATCTGCTGTTTTGGCAACAGCGGGGAATTAAATACAAACTGTGCTGTTGAGGATACTAGCAGCTTTCGGTCTAAGCCTGATGTTGGGTCTTCCCACATGTACCCGGATTCAGAGGAGTACACGGAATTAGAGTCATCATCGTCATCGGCACTTTTTTGCAAGCAGCTAGCAATTATTAGCACGGGGATATTACTCTTTCGAACGTTCTGGACACCCATCCTCAAGTTTTTGATGACTTTCTTGCCTCTTGGGGTATTATATACTTGTCCAGCGTCGCGAAGGTGAATAATCGCCGGTTGACCAGCCTGGGTAGATTTGTCTTTGTCATTCTTTCCTCTGGGGACATCCAGAATAGCCTCAATCGCATTTCGACCCCGTCTAAACGAATTCGGGGGACTGTGCCTTTTACAACGAGCAGCAAAGTAGTATCCAACCATGCTATCACGGTCTCCTTGCTCTGGTCGACTTATCTCGGGCTTATTGTCGGATGTCGCATCATCCTCTTCGTGGCCATCGGGATACTTCATTTCCTGTTCATAAAAATCGTATGCAAGGTCATAGAGATCCTCAATATCAAGTGTGATGAAGGTGGCGCTTAAATCGCTGGCCAAATGCTCGAGCAGCGCAGTGCTGTATTCAACACTGTTCGTTATGATTCTCAATGCTGGCTGCAGAGAGTCCAGCCGTCGTCCGTGTGATGAGGGTTTCCCGAGTAGCGCTGCTGCTGCGATATTACAGAATTCGACATATCTATCCTCAGTACGTCATACTGTCCCACCATGTCTCCGGCACCGGCTTTACCTCTGCTCCTCGCATGTCATTCATTAGCATAACCTCACCAGGGCAACTGGAATTACGACCTTTCCACAAGACGGATCTTTCCCTTCTGCAATGCACCATCGAACTTGACATTCTCCGTGACAAACCACCTCGGAACGTGATACTTGATATGAAGCCGGAATCCTCGATATCTTGAGCGGAAGTAATCAAGTTGGCATGTGTTATTCATACCTCGTTTATGAAGTCTTCTTATCGCCCGAAGATCACTCCGTACATGTCGCACCCGCATATTCACACGGTACAGCACGTCGGCACAGTATGACACGCCTGTGTTTTCCACGTGCATGCTATCCCTATAGGACTCCATGTCGACAGTACAAAATGTGTTTTGCAATTAGAATTCATGTACAGTCTCGGTGATGTCGATGGGAAAAACACCTTGGACTTGAAATGTGCGTGCATGATAGAAATATTAAACAATAAAGGCCATCAGAATGCGAATGTCCGCAAAGATTGCAGTGGTTCTCCTGAGAACCATTATGTAGAGTTCTGATTGGTTGCCTTCGACAAGGCTTATATATAGTGATGAGGTGGCTGCTTGGAAGTAAAGTATGCAGGGGTATCGTTGTGTTGTCTTATGTGTTGGTTCGGCCATCTTGACTGCTGTTGATCTTGGGCACTGATGCATATATCCACAACGCCGCTATGGCTGTATCCGAATGTAATAAGCCTGGCTGCATGTGAGGCTAACACATCCAGGTTTTGAGGGCCACTCCTAGCGAGACAGCCTTACCCCTCCGTATGACTACCTGATGACCATAAATAGATAATCAAGAAGAATAAATACGTTACCACTGTAAATAAAGGATCATTTGATACTCTGAACTTCACAGCAAAGATACAACATTCTGCCAACATGGAGCGAAACATCCACTGGCTTCTCCGACAGAGAAATGAAGTTGTCGAACGAAAAATGCCCCATGATCTGCAAAACCGGGACATGTACAGGATGTTCTTGAGTATGTTTAACCCGGTTCCCCATCGCAATCAACCGCTTTGCAGATCGTGTGCCCGTCTTCCAATCCATAATCTGGTACTGTACGCCCATGATGAAAGCTTTGGCGATTTTTCCCAAACGGGTTCCATCTGGATTACCAATGACTGCGCGTTCTGTAATCTGATCATGGAGGCCCTTTCAATGGATTCCTGGGGTCATAGAATCGACTCCGTTCGCTCGAAACCTTCCACGGTTGACTACAGTATCCTGAAAAGGTGCGGAGCGAGCGCCATCAATGTATATGCCACTGGCCATTGGGGATATATCCAGATACTCGAGGAGGATGCATATCTGTTTGAGCCGCGGCTTGAAAGGATCCCAGATCGGCAGAAGCACCAAGCAGAAGAGAAAAACTGGTTTTGCCGTCGGATTTCGCAACAGATCGATTTTGATCTCATCCGCCAGTGGCTATCAACATGTGTGGCTCATCATGACTGTGGAAGTCGTCGACGGGAGCCCATTGAACTTATACTCATCGACGTTAAAGAGAGGCGACTAGTTAGAAAAACATCCGACTCCGTCTATATAGCACTGAGCTATGTGTGGGGCAATTCGACCGGACTGCGAACGATGGTAGAGAATTATAACTCTCTACAGGTACCAGGATCAATGGCAGCAAAAGCTCGGGAGATACCGAGGGTCATTCTAGATGCAATGGAGCTAGTGGAGAGAATTCACCAACGGTGGCTCTGGGTCGACCAACTCTGCTTGATCCAAAACAGTCCAACTAAAGGGGATGGCATTAAGCAAATGGATCGCATTTATGAGAATGCACTTATCACAATTTTTGCGCTTGCTGGAAATGATGCCAATCATGGTCTACCGGGCGTCTCCCCTAGATCCAGACCTATTCCAGCTGTGCGAACGGTGCAAGGAGTACAGTGTATGGCTACCTTACCTGATCTTAACAACGTGTTACCCTCTTCGCACCATAGTACCCGTGGTTGGACTTTTCAGGAACAGCTTCTCTCCCGTCGACGCTTATTTATATCTGACCACCAAGCTTATTTCCAGTGCTCACAAGATGAGTGCTGTGAAGACCGTCTGGGAATCTCTTCGGAGCGCTCTGTGTTGAATGGTATCTGGGAACGCTTGCGCAATGGAACCGCTCGATATTCACTCCACGATTATATGTCTCTGGTCCAAGAGTACACTAAGAGAAATTTCTCTAAACAATACGAAGGCGACGTATTGGATGCTTTTACTGGCATAACGGCCGCTCTTACCCATAGATCGAGTATGAAGTCTGGCACGCGTGATGAGTTTGTGGCTGGTATCCCATTGTCGAAATTTTTCCCCCTTCTTTTTTGGATACCGAGAAAAACGGCTGTTCGAAGAACAAGCAATGATGGCCAATATCTTCCCACCTGGTCGTGGGCAGGCTGGTGCGGTGCGGTGGTTTATCGAGAACTCAACAATTGGAATGAGGACGGTGGTACAATCTATAGTGTTTTGTCCGACGTAGAACTTGTGCAGCATACGGCACAGCGGCCACTGCTTTTCGAAACTACAAATTACCACGATGGATACTGTTCTGTCCAAGGCTGCCGTTCCAAAAAGCCTCATTCTGATCGGAGTGCCATCGGGGACTTGGATCCGAGCGGGGAGAGTCTGCTTCGGTTTAACGCGAAGGGCGTCCCTGCAGACAAATTTACCAATGAGAAACACGAGGCCCATACGGATGGCATCTCACGTTATCGCGACTTTCGAAAGATCCTCAGACGTGGTCGTCACTGCGGGGCGTTGTATGGTGCCGACCGGGCTGACTTGGACAATATTTTGTCAGAATGCAAGTACATTCTTGTTGGACATTGTCCGGACACAAAATATAAGATTGATATGTGGGCAGGTAACGAAATGCACTATCAGTCCTCGTCTTGGTGTGGTTGTGTCGGTTATTTCCTCTTGATCCAGGACCGTGAAGACAGGGCAGAACGGGTCGGGATGGCGATAATTCACCCAGAGGCGTGGGAGGAAGCAGGACCAACAGAAGAACAAGTCATCCTGGGATAGGCGCGAGCGATTTGGGGCTCGACTTGTATTGAATCACCAAGGGTTGGGATGAACGTGGCCTAGAGTTATCGGAAACACGCATGCATCTCTCCACTGCTTAATCACAATGAGTAGACACGTCACATGTTGGCCTGGATGCAACAACAGTAGCTAGTAGCAGGAAGGAAATCTTATATCCAGTTTCTGTCCAATTAGTTCAGTATTCCACTGTCAGCCATCGAAATGTTGTCCCGAAAGATTGAATCACTGGCCTCTTTCCTGTCGCTGCGAAAGAAGCCCACCCCTGTGTCACCTGACCCATCAAGCCCTCCTACGAACCCTACTGCAACCAGCTCCTGTTCTGACCAGAATAGCCAGACACCAGCCAACAAGGCATCAAATATTCCACATAAAGCAGAGCCTAATGCATCATCGCCAGTCCGGGATCAACCTATTGACGAAAGACGCGACGAGAGCCATGCTGCAATTCCTTCTGATGGAACATTGAATGCCAGCTTTCCCTCCCCAGAGGGAGCCAAATTTGGGAACGAGATAAATCAGCATGAGTACAGAGAAGGCCCTTCTATACAGCCCCTGACACGCCAGGCCATAAATCCGTTCGGTGATCTCGCATCCCCAGCAGCACGAGAATGGGAATTGAGAAAGACCTATGGAGACCAGAACGAGATTCTTGACAAATTAATGAACTATGAAGGATTTGAAAACGCCAAGAAGTTGTTTATAGATATTCAGTGGAAGGTTCGAACTTGCCCGAAGCGAGGAAGGGACCCTCTGCGAGAGTCATACAGCATTGCTATACACGGGAACCCAGGAACAGGTATTCTTTTGGCCATTAATATATGCGACAATTTGTCTAATCAGTGTACACAGGACGGTCAACGGTGGGTTATTTATATGCTGAGCTTTTACATTCACTTGGTGTCATACCATCGCGGTATATCAAAGAGACATCTGGTTTTATACTGGCTGATATGGGCCCAATTTCGGTTCGCCGAGAGTTCGATCGGATCCTTTCACAGAAGGGTGGTGGGGTGATAATTATCAATGACCCTTATACACAAGGAAAGGACAAGAGATTCGTCGACATGGTACTCCAAGCGATGGAGGACCATCGTGGAAAGCTGGCAGCCATCTTCGTTGGCCACAAAAGCGACATGCAGCCAGTTTGGTCACGCCTTTTAGCCGGCAACTTCTCAACCTGTTACATCCCCGATATGAACGAGGCCCAGATATGGAGGGTGCTGTATGATGGTATTCTCAGGGAATACAAAGGACACATGAGAGTGGAAGACGGTCTTAGCGGAAAGCCGATGCGAATTACAGTTCGACGCCTTGTCAACGCCAATGGCAATGTAAATGCAAAAGCAGTACAGGAAGCCCTCTCACGGATATCACAACGCCAGGAACGACGCTTGAAGAAAGAGGAGGAAGATGGCAAATCTTCGGATTATACCTGGCTTACCCAAGCTGATGTCATCGGACCGCCTCCCTGCGAGGTAATCGAGCAGAGTGAGGCGTGGGAAAAATTCCAGGAGCTTGTTGGTCTTGATGCCGCTAAGGAATCAATGCGTAACGCGATGAGGATAGTCGACTTGAACTACCAACTAGAGCTTCAGGAAAGGAAACTCTTGCGACAGTCATGTCATCGGTTATTCATGGGACGACCAGGAGTCGGAAAGACTACAGTGGCCAGATTATACGCACAAGTTCTGGCAGATCTAGAACTTGTTACTGGAGGTAATTCTATCCACTATTACCGTTCCACATATTCATCCTGACCGTTCTATAGTAATTTATAAAACCTCGTCAGATCTTGCTGGAGACTCTCCAGAGCAGTTGGTAACAAAGACAAAAGATATTCTGGATTTGGGAATTGATCATGTCTTACTGATCGACAATGCTCACACACTTAGCCCTGTCGCCATGGCTGATATTACAAGCAGTATTCAAGGAGCTCCATTCCAAAACAGATGGGTTATCCTGATTGGACAAGATGAAGGAATGCTGAATATGCTACAGAAAAACCCGACACTATCACAATTTTTCCCCCTAGAAACCCACGTTCGTTGCGAAAGTTACAGCCTTTCCCAGCTGGAGGACATCATGCAACGGAAATTAAACAAACAGGGTATCGAATGTACCTCGGCAGCGCTACAGGTTGCCAAAGAGATTTTCGAGCGACGAATGATGTATCCAGACTTTGCCAACGCCACCGAGGTTGATCGATGCCTTGAGAGAGCCAAGATCAATCGCGCAACGAGGAAGTCGAATGGCCGATCAAGCAAAATATATCCGGAGGACTTTGATCCGGACCTAGACCGCGAGGCTGTTGACTCTTATCGATTACTTCGAGGAGAGGTTCATGAAGACATCATTGAGAAGCTGGTAGGATATCAGATTCGTTATCTGAAGGCAAAAAAGTCGGGTATCAATCCTCGAGGCGTAATACCGACTAGATTCGTTCTCAAAGGTCCTCCAGGTACGCTCACAGAATATCAAACCACCTTAGCTATTACTAAGAGACAATGTCAGGGACCGGGAAATCGATAACGGCGCAGCACATTGGTCGACTATTTTATAACGTCGGATTTCTATCTACGCCTGAAGTTGTTGGTTACACCATGACCGATCTCCTTGGTGAATCTCCAGGCCAGTCCCGTTTCAATACCAGGAGACACCTTCAACAAGGCCTTGGGAAGGTTCTGTTTCTCGACAATGCATCTTGTCTCAATCATAAGCAGCACAGTCAGACGGTTGACGAGCTATTGTACCTTCTAACCCAGCCAAATTATATCGACAAGACGGTGATCATCCTCGCCGGAGACATGGAGCAGTTGGATACCCTATTTGCAGCTCAACCAGTATTATCAGGCCACTTCGCCGAGGAAATCATCTTCCACCAACTACCAGCAGAGGTCTGCATCACGCTGCTGGTGCGCGAATTAAAGAAGAATTCAGTCACCCTTAAATCGGATCTCGCCATCAGTAATTCACCACTACAGTGGAGAGAAGTCAGGAATCTTTTCCGGGATCTACAGGGGCTTCCGGGGTGGACTAATGCGCGTGATGTTGAACAACTGGGAAAGCGAATACTTGGAAAATTTCTCGAATGGAATACTGAAACAGCCGTGGAAGAGCTGTCGGAAGTCCCTGTCAGTTTAGTCAAACAGTGTATGCAGGAGATCAAGGAGCAGCGCAACCGGCGATCTCTTACTACAGGAAAGAGCCTCAGCAATTCAGCACCAGATCTCGTATTTCAACTCCCACCCATGTCGCAGACCTTTCCTGAAACTGGCCCTGATGTGACCCGAATCACGGAACAGACCCTGACCGAGTTTCAAAGCTGGGGGGCGTCAAAGCATGATCATAAGGAGTTCACGTACCAGAGCAACGGCGCTGCTACCGAGAAGCGTTCATCTCGAGAGCCCGACACCTCCGACGAGGAATGGAGTGAGCTGCGATACGCTCAAATTGCAGCGAGGGAGAGAGATAGTTATCATCGGGGGCGGTGGAAACAGGTGCTGCAAGATATGGAAGTAGTTGAGGAAGCAATTGAAGAAGCGAATGAGAAGACAAAGGAGACAGAACATGAGGACTCCCCGGAAGACCATGGCCGACAAGGATTTTTACAGAAATTCAGACAACTTGAGAACAGGGTGAGCGACATCATCCGGGTAAGAGTCAACGAGGAAAAGGTCCAGCGGGCATTACGAGAGATGAATAAATGTGAGAATCAATATAGCTGGTTTCGGGTGTGCGGCGGATATAGATGTGATGGGGGGAAGCACTTTATATCTGAAAATGAGCTTCAGGAGAAGGGATACTGAGATGAATTCCATTTACTTTCCAGTCCATACGAACTATTGGAAGTAGACTACCTAATTCCCAACCCGACAAATCTGATACTCAACAGCACTCGGCAGCCCCTTCTCAACAACCAGCCTACCTCTGCCCACAAAAAAAGCCTGCTCAATCCATTTCAAGTCCGGATGACTCGTCTCAAACAGGGGCGTCTGAAACCAGTAATGTTCGCCGAAATCAGTGGTCACAGCATCAGGCGACCCCTGGAGGAACTTCTTAATCTTATCATCCAGCTGCATGATGCCGGTGTAGTGGATGTAGAAGGCGTGGTTGGGGGTGGTGTTTGTGTGGGCTTGGGTGCGGACGTCGATATGTGCTGTGTCTGTTTTTGGATCGTGCTGTGGAAATTAGTATACACCTCATACATATATTATATAAATAATGAGAATTTGGGGAAATACTAAAATCCAATCCGATCCACCAGGGAGAACATCCGCTGTCACTCCGTATCCTTGGAGACGGCCATGCGTGACGGTGACAATCATGCGGGAAGGACCGGATTTAATATCATCAATGTGGGTGATATTTTCATTGGATATGTATAATCTCAGAATGAAGCATGGTTCGAGTGTAGGGGCGGAAGCGGTCATTTTGGTTTGAATGAGATGGAAGATGAACCTTTGAGGGGGATGTTTCTCATATTTATGTTTCGTTTGGTCTCGCTTGCGTAAGGCAAGATTTGAATTGTGTTGATGGTATGGGGAGAAGTGATGTAAATAGATACTGGATGTGGTTTTCTGCATACAGAAATGCCAGTATATGTCATAGCCATGAATAGCCTGTGTATGAGGGAATTTTTTATACTATATAATGTAGCCGATCAAACCGGATGTCCTATTGAGGTTGTACAGATGGATGAATTAAAGAAAATGGGATGGGCCAGTATATCACAGCAAATTCTTAAATGGCTCCACTGGAAAAGGGGTGCTAGGTATACACTATGCCAATTAGATAAGTGCCCATGATGCCATTATATGATATCTTGCATATTGTAACACTCCGAATAGTTGTACTACCCATAAGCCTCTACTGGAATGCTCAACGTCACACTAAACACTGTTAGATCCAACCAACTCTTTGGCTGAAGTTTGAATTCCACGCTTGGCCACTCCTTGCTGATGAATTCATGCACTTTTTTCCTAAAAGTGTCTGCCCCGCATAGCAAGTAGGTATTGTGACTATGCATAGTGTCACTCAAGACTGCAATGTGAACGTCCACTACGTCTGAAATATGGACGCCGAGATACTCCAGGTTGGAAATATCTAGTTGATGGCCGTTCATGAGAGTTGAGAATAGTGGCTCCTTGGTCCCGGATATATCGTCTGCTGATGTTTGGAGTCTCGGTCCGTAGACAAAGGTTGGATGGAGAGTTATCACGGGAAAGGCAGGATTCTAACTGTTGATAAAGTCGAGGGTGGCTTTGTGTGAGGGTATTTTTGCTGGCGTGGTATGGGCCCATGGAATTCTCGTGGACTTTGGATTCATTGATGGTGTAATCCATTTCATTATTTCTACAGATTAGTATAGATGCATATGTGGGACAAGGGTGTACTAACCCCTAACAACGACTCCATCTTTTAGACCATCTTGTGGAATCATTGACAGAGCAGACGACATGACAATAACCTTTTCGATGGTCACATTCTTCAGCGCGGACTGCAGACTCCCCACTGTGCCTTTGACAGCAGTAGTGACAACGTCCCCTTCGCTTCCTGGCAGTGGCGATGACAAATGAAAGAAGTAGTTTACATCATGAAGGAGATGATCGAAAACCCCTGTCTTTGTGATGTCGGAGACGATGACAAATTCGAGTTTCTCAAGGGATACAAGAAACACTCGACGTGGTTCATCGATCTGATCACAACGACGGACGGAAACACGGACTCGATATCCTTGCTGTCAAGCTCGCAAGGCTGTATGAGAGCCAATGAAGCCAGTGGTCCCGGTGATGAAGATGAAGGTCATGGCGAGGATAGAAGTTGAGAAGGTGAGCTATTCGTGTATCTGCAGTGGACGTCGTGCAGAATGTGTTTATGATTGCAGATGCAGTGATTATATTAAGCTGTCATCTGACGATCCCTTGCAGCTGGATGACTTCATCTGTGCTATAAATTTCGAAGAAATCCCAACACACTCAGCAACCATCCTCAACATGTCTCTCAATGTTCCGTTGTGGATAACAGGTACTGCTTTGGGAATAGGTGCACTCCTCACCTGGAAAGCCGTCCCATCACGAACATCCAGATTTCCCTCTAGACTCATCGGCTCCTGGGACTTTTTATCCTTCGAGGTCCACACGAAACAATCCGATGGCACGCACATTGAATATCCTCTTGGACGAGATGTATCCGGTGAAGTCACCTACACGGCCGACGGCCACATGTCTGCCCAGATGATGGCAATCGGATGTCCTCGCTTTGACAACTTCTACTTCTTCGCGACAGATGAGGAGTTGACCAACGCGGGCAAGCACTTTCTGGGATATGCAGGGACGTATTCGATCAGCGAGGAGGACGGGGAGGTCATCGTCCATCATCATGTCAAGTGTTCCAATTTCCCCAACTTGGTCAACGGGACTGTGCATCGAGCGGTGGATCTGGATGGGGATATTCTCACGTTGAGACCGCGAGATGGGACGACGAGCTGGAAAGTGAGTATCTCCCTCTAGGCCAGTCAGATAGGTTAACAGATACAGGACAACGAGGGACAGCCGATTGTGACATGGAGGAGATCCAAAGCTGCAACTATTTTGTAGGAATCTTGTCCAACATGGATTGAATGTGCATCACTCCTTAATACACTTCTATATCTGCCTGTACATCCACACCATCACCATGTTCAATCTCTCCAAAACCCTCTCCTTCCGATTATGGCAATACCTCGCTACCTCCTACGGCATCTTGCTAGCCTCTTCTTCCTCCTCGCCCTCATTTCCTCTTGCAACCTCCCCCCAACCGCTGCCTCACCTCCAATTCGCCTGCGCAGCAGCCAGCATCGTCGACTTCATGCCCACAGCCACATGTCTCGCTATGCTCACCTTCCGCGACTATGGACCACAACTGACCCAACTCATCAACGATGCAATGTGGATGACGCTCTTCCGCCCCTGGCCGACCTTCTGGCTGCAGTGGTGGACGATATCCTGGGCCGTGCTGGGCGATAAAAGCCCCGATCCGATATTCCCGAAATGATTGGGGTGGATGAGCTTTGCTCTGCCGATTGTGGCAGATCTGAGCTCGGGAGTCCATATGCATCATAGGGGGCCGATGGCGTGGAATGGGGGGTTGGTGTACTGGCCGGGTTTGGTGGCGTTTGGGCTCGAGCTGAATGTTACTTCTTGGTGTTTGACGAGGAATATGAGGAAGAGCCGTGTGTGAGGTGTCGTACAGGGTGGTATAGTGTGCTACGTGCTTTATAGCCCTTGGGGTTGATATGAATGATAGTTTTCCTTGCATTGGACTCGGTAACCAGCAAGTATTAGGGTTATACAAGGTATCGCGGGCCTCCTTGCAGAAGTAGGCACGATTTTGATAAATCTACGATGGTGGCTCATGGGGCACGTCACCTTCTCTTCATTTCTCGATCTGGCGATTCAAAACCACAGGCATGGAGTGTGCTGGAAGAGCTACAAGCTGCTGGTTGGGATGCTCAGGTGCTGGCCGTAAATATCGGGGACGATACGGCATTAGAAAATGCCCTTACGGCGTGTTCCAAGACTATGCCTCCTATTCGAGGATGCATTCAGGGTGCCATGACACGACTGGTAGGTTTTCATCCCTAATTCAAACTCGCTTTCTAACTCTCCAGGATTCCACCTTTGAAACAATGACACCCTCGCTTTTCGAAAGGTGCATCAAGCCCAAAGTCCAAGGGTCGTGGAATCTGCATCGTGCTCTCCCCCTTGATATCGATTTCTTTATTATGCTCTCCTCCTGTGCAGGTATTGTCGGCGGCCGAGCACAGACTAATTATAACGCAGGCAACGCCTTTCAGGACGCACTTGCTCATCATCGCCAATCTCAAGGTCTACAGGCTACCACGCTTGATCTTGGGCATATGCAGGGAGTTGGAATCCTCGCAGAGCGCACCGATGGGCTATTCGATCGGGCCGTCTGTACGACGTTTGGGAAGCAGGTTGTAAGCGAAAATGAGTCCCATGCACTATTGGAGTACTACTGTAGGCTGGTCAATCTGGATAACTGTGCGCAAACCGCGGTTGGTCTTTGTACGAGGGAGCAATTTGTTGTGGACAACATTACCTGAGCCTGAGTTTTTGTCCCAGCCTCTGTTTACTCATCTAGCCCGTCGCGGCGAATGCAGCGCTATTGCCAGCAAGACAAAAGGATCTACCATGACAGTCCAGGATTCCTTGAAAGCTGCCAAATGAACAGACGAAGCGCTGCAAATCACAGTCGATGGTATCATTTCCAAACTATCAGGTCTGCTGTCTATCTCTACCACGGAGATCGGCAGTGAGATGGCTCTGTCTCAGTACGGTGAGGATTCCCTGGTGGCAATTGAGATTCGGCCCTGGCCGTCCAAAACTCAAGGGGTCTTGGATATTGTTGGGAGTGACTCGATTGGACATTTGGGGGGGGGGGGGGGGGGGGGGTTAGTTCAAGCCAGGTCTACCTATAAAGCCCGTGGAAATTGGTTAACCTTTACTTTCTGCTATTAAGACGACGATGACGAAAAAAACTTGATTAGATGTATATTCATGCTAGATCAGGATAAGTGGTGTATAAATGATCTCTTCATAGGGCAGTACTGGCTGATGCGATCAATTTGTCACTTGTACGTCATGATATCACTTCGACGCAGGCAGACAGTTGAACTAGCCCTATCAAAGCAGATATGTTGCCCTAGGTTGATGAAATTAGGGTTGGTCCGGTTTGGGGTTAGCGCGGCGCACACCCAGCCCTTTGCTAACTGCGACTCCGCGAAATGTTCCTTGTTTAGGCAAAGAGCAACACTCCCGGAGTTTCCGGATAGCCTTCAAGCGGAGAAAACGGGGCTTACGAAGAAAGCTAACACGTTGAGCCAACCAGTCCTCATCCTCCAGGTAGGGATCTCCATATACTGTACCATCTTTAGCTCTAACTTTCCATAGCTGTGTGCGTACAGGAACCATGTCCGCCCACTCCACCGCGATGGAGCTGGATGATCCGCCACCAACAGCCGTGAGACAACGATCTGTAACAGCAATTTTCCGCGGCTCTCCACTCGCTGCTCCTCTGCCTCCACCTCCATCCCCTCCGCCTCCGCCTCCTGCCGATGACCGGGAAATTCTCCTCCGTGAACTTGGCCTGGCCCTTGAGACCCGGGCTGTACCGGCATCCTTTTGGGCCTGCGTACAGGTTGCAGACATATCAGCGTTACGGAGCTTTGTGAGAGATGCTCAAGCCTCACCACGTTTGTGCACGATCTTATCCGATAACTTTTATTCTATTCCTCGAGTTTGGATGCAGAAACCACCAAGAGATAGTACATCAAGTTCGGCATCGTCATCTTCCCAAGATTCACAGAAATCCGGTGGAGTTCCTCGCTCGAGATCTGCCAAGAAGATTGCTTTCACTCGCGATCGTGGTAAATGCGTTATCACCGGACGGCCTGTAGTGCAAGTGTGCCACATCTTCCCGCACTACTTGCTGAAGAAGAAGTCGACAGACCTGACGAAATCTCTCCCAGACCTTTGGAAACTATTGTCTCTGTTCTTTGATCATGACCGAGTCTTCCAATGGAAAAGTGCCATTTTTCCTGACCCCAAGAACCCAACTGATTCGATCCCGGAAAACTTAGTTTGCCTTGGTACCAATATACATGAAGACTGGACAGCTGGCTGTCTCGCTTTCAAGCCGGTTAGTTTATCTCCAAATGGTTGTGAACTGAAAATTGAGTTCCATTGGCTGCCCCGGGAGCCCCATGGACCAGACGATGATGTCGACCTTTCACGGGTCCCATTGTCGTCCGCTGGCCTTGACGAGTCTGGGGGTAGAGTTGCTTATAATGACAAGCGGAAACCGATCAAGTCTGGGGACGAATTTATTCTGACAACTCACAATCCTGAGACGCATCCCCTCCCAAGTTTCACTCTATTGGAGATGGCCTGGAAACTGAATCAGATTGTCGCGTTGTCCGCCGCCGCCGACGACACGGAGCTAGAAGACGACGACGACGACGACGATGACAACCTCCCTGTGTTAACCACGAAAAAAGACATCAAGAATTGGATGTCAGAGCCATTCGCCAACGACGATGAAGATGACGACGAGGACGACAACGATCTCTCTTTCCAAGATTCCGATGACTTGAGACTTTCAGAAAGCTCAGCCTCTACCACACACTCCCCGCTTAAAAGCCGCACAAACGCCCAAGTTGCTCAAGGGTCAGCGTTGGAGCCTGCTGGACTTGCCGATGATGCCTGAGCTTCTAATCCTGGTATTTGCTAAGACTTCCTGTACGATTTACGATCCAATGTAAAGTAGATGATGAAATCCAACTGTTTACCTCGATTATCTATATTCCTAGCCACAGGTATATAAAATTCAGCAATGATGCAATACACAGTAGTAAGCCATAATTGAAAGCAAACAAGCAGAACTCAGTAACTATCTTACATCTATCACCAGTACCGCTCTAGCTCGTACCCCATGCGAACCCCCATACCCTCAGCCACCAGACTCAGACCATCGAGAAGCACCTTGATATCCTCAAAATCCTTCGGTTTGGGCCAGATCTGAAGGATGATATGTTTCAAACGAGGCATCCCCTTTTCATTGCCCTTCAGCAGCGCCTCAACATCCGAGATGACAATCCGTAGATACGCGCAGGGTGTCTCTGTGATGGTGAGCGAGGCAAGTGAGCTGGGCAGGATATCAACGAGAGACTGTTGATGGTGGCCATCCCATTCATCTACGTGCTGGGGACACGGAAGGCCTGCCAGGTTAGCATACCGCATTTTGAGGTTTCGTAGAAGGTGGAATTCCTTGGTGGAGCCGAATGGGAGAATATCAGTGATGCTTTCTGTATGGAATGAGCGTTCATTCCAGCAATAGTGCACGCGGAACCGGTGCTCACGGTCAAAATCCAGAGACAGCGCTCTGAGAGTGTCCTGTGAGGGTAGCAGCAGTTGACGGAATGGACTCGCTTGGAAGAGATATTCCTGTCCCATTTTATCGTTGTTATGCCACTCTCCAATCTCGACCTGGAAATGCGTCAGTTTGCCAGAAGGCGTTCCTTCCATGGCGTCGATCATATACGGCGTGAATTCCCACAGTCCATGGTATTCGATTCTACGAACAGCCGGTAAATAAAACATGTTTGTTGCCAGCTCCGAATGGGTATCCACGCCTTCAAACTGGTCATTGAGAGAGACTGTTTTCAGGGATGGAAAGGCAAGTGTGTTTTCGAACATTCTGGGGACGAACTCACTCTAGCCTCAGGGATCCAAAGTGAGGCTTTCGAGGTGAGTTAGACGAGCTAGCAGCACGGCTAGCCAGGCATCGTCGCATCGCTTCTTGAGGTGGCCCTGCCACCAGAACCAGTCCCTCCCGCTGCTTACTTCATTGGCCATTTCCTCGATGATCTCCTTGTCCTTGTAGCTGTCCTCCTCATCGCTCTCATCTTCACTGTCATACCTATGACTCTCATCTTTACGATCGAACCGATCCCGGTGACAATCGTAAATTGAATATCCTACCTTCCGAGCAGAGAACGCAAGGTCAGGACGACGCCAGAGATGCTTCACCAGAGCGCAGCTAGGACCAAAAGGACCATTAAGTGATTCAAAGACGAGAAGACCAAACACTGCGTGCATTCGAGGAGAGGACTGGCTCAAGTGCCTTTTGCCCCAATCGTCGATATGCTGGCCGATCGACCAGAGTAGCTCGATTGGTACTTGTCCATGGTATCGGGTGGTAGAGTGGGTGATGGCTGTATGTAACTCGTGTTTAATTGGGTTGTACGTAGTGTACGCGGCTGCTGCCTAGCTGTGCATGAAGAAAGATGTAATAGGCTGTCCTTGATATTTGGCTTTGTGAAGGCTTTCTGTGTCCCTCCTAGGCTACATCTGGTATATTCTTTGACAGTGGTTCTATTCCATTTACAGCTTGCGTGAGTAACTTCCCTATCAACTGTTTCATGTTTGATTGAATATATATCTATGGTAGTTTATCAGAGACCAATAATTTTCTACCTAATATCTGCTCAAGCGTCTGAATATACTAAAGTCATACTGACTACACAGAATGTCACACATAATCTGATTATCAATTATTAGTAAACATGTTCAAGTGGCACAATGCTCCCCAACCGTGACACCCCACCAATGCGGGGTGCGGGGTGACCCACTGCTGGATGGCATATGTGGAGAGCAACATCATCCTATATAACAGAAACAGAAAAGAAACAAAACAGAAACAGATCAAAGATAAGACTGAATATCATAGACTGATTGACAAAATGCCCGTATTTACCGAATCCGCCTCTTCAACTCGCGATCTCCGCGTTCTGCCCTCCTTCGCGCCTCCCCTCCCCCGCCTCTCATCCCTCCATCCTGATCTGGTCGATGAGGATAAATATGAAGTTGTTGTGGTTGGAGTATGCATCCATCACTCAACGGTATAATATGTACTGATAATTCCAGGCTGGCCCAGCAGGCCTAATGCTCACCCTCCTACTCGCCCGATACGGTCTATCCGATCAATCCCTGCTCTGTCTCGACGCGAAACCATCGACCCTGAAATCCGGACAGGCGGACGGCGTGCAACCGCGCACGCTGGAAGTGTTCAAATCGCTCGGTCTGGCAGATGAAATCGTCAATGAAGCATGTCAAATGTGGGAATTTGCGTTCTGGAATCCGTCACCCGATGCGAAGAAGATTATCGAGCGGACTGCTGTCGTTCCCGAGGTGTTGGCGCCCGCGAGATACGGCTTCGAAGGCACGATCCATCAAGGCCGGATCGAGAGGATTTTAGATGAAGATTTGGGGCGGTACTCCAAGCGAGGCATTCGGCGGGATTCGCGGGTTGTCAAGGTTGAAATTGATGAGTCGGATTCTGCGTTTCCTGTTGTTGCGGAAGTGGAATGTGGTGGTGAGACGAGGAAGATTCGATCGAAATACCTGATCGCCGCGGACGGAGCGCATTCCGTTGTACGACAATGTCTCGGCTTACGACTGGAGGGTGAATCCCTTGATCATATTTGGGGAGTTGTCGATTTAGTTGTTGACACTGACTTTCCTGATATCCGGCGGCGATGCGCGGTTCATTCACCCCGGGGCTCTGTCATGGTGATTCCGCGCGAACGGATTTCTACGGGTGAGTATCTGACAAGGCTATACGTGCACGTTCCGGATGAAGATACCGAGTCCAACGCGCGGACTCGACGGGGAAAGGTCACGCTGGAGGCGATATTGCAGCAAGCAACGGATGTGTTTCGGTCGTATCGATTCAGGCCCAAGACGAACGGGGCGATTGACTGGTGGGCTGCGTATCAGATTGGGCAGCGGGTGGCGAGGGATTTCATCGTGAGGGATAATGCGGGGCGTGGGAGGGTGTTTCTTGCTGGTGATGGTATGTCTATCTATCTGTGATGGTGTTTATGCTGACTTTATAGCGTGTCATACGCACAGTCCGAAGGTGTGTGTACCTCCTTGCTTATATACAGGATACTAATGAGATAGGCCGGCCAAGGAATGAACGTCTCAATGATGGACTCGTACAATCTGGCCTGGAAACTGGGTTATGCAGTCCACGGTCTGGCATCCTCATCAGCCCTGCTGGATACATACAACGACGAACGACAGATCAACGCACAGAACCTCATCGACTTTGACCGGCACTTTTCGACTCTCTTCTCCGGAAAGGAAGATGCAAGTTCCGGTCTCACGCCTGAACAGCTTCATAATGCGTTTACCACCGGGAATGGGTTCACCAGTGGGTGTGGGGTTGAGTATGGTGAGAATCTAATCGTGCAGAATGGACAGAACAATCCGATTCAAGGAGATGATTATCTTTTTGGGATTATCAAGCCGGGAAGAAGATTGTTGAATGTCAAGGTGAAGAGATATGCGGATGGGTGGAGGAGGGATCTTCATGATGGTATGTCTTTTCTTTTGGTAAAGAAGTATGCTAATTAGTAGATCTGCTATCCACCGGTCGATTCCGCATTATCTGTCTTACTTCGACTGATCTGCTGGATGATGGAGTTTCCTCTCGGACATTGCTTTCCATTGGAAAGTTGATCCACGAATATCCACCCTCTCTGATTGAGGAAATTGTCATCCATCCCCATCTCCAACGCGAGTTTGAGTGGTCCGACATCCCAGAATGCGTCAAGCAAGAAGCCGAAATGTGTTTCTACAGTGGATATGAACTTGAAGATGTATACGGGATTTACGGAGTTGATCCAGAAAAAGGAGCAATCGTGGTAGTCCGACCAGACGGCGTCGTGGGAATGGTTACCGAATTGGGCGATATTGAAGCTGTTTATAGCTATCTAGCAGGCTGTGTATCTCTCATCTAGCTAGTCATACTATCTAGGAATAGTTGTTCAAAGTCACCCATCGCTCGTATAGCAGCATCCGCTACACTTCTCATCCCATCAGACGCCCTGTCATGCCCAGATACCTTCTGGAACTTTTTCTTCCACTCTCCCCACATAGCAGGATATACCACCGGCTCTTCAAACCCCCAAGGGCGAGACCAGATCTGCGCGCCGCTCACTTCATCCGTTCGACCCTGTAAGATGACTTCCCCGCACTGCGTAATCCAGTCTGCCGCGATGTCTAATTCGGCTCGGAACTCGGGATTATCGTCGATTGTATCCTCGGTTACCATCTCCGTCGTATGTTGGTGTCGACGACGCTCTCTGACGCCCAGACTGTTAATTGCTTCGATGGCGAAGAACTTCCAGGGTAATCCGTCGCGGTATAGTCGGGCTGCGAGGGCGTTGATGCCGCGCCCTCGATTGTCCAGTTCTACGTCGTCTTATCCATGAGCTTCATCAGATATATACATAGATAGACATACAATCAAACAGCTCCCGATAAACAGACCCGATCAGCGGTAAATCCGCCCACAGTCTCATCTCCCCTCCATACCCCTCAACAGCAATAAGAGCCGTCTTGGAGCGCACCCCCCTTAGCGTCTTCACCAGTAGCGCCAATTTCTCCATCGCGGGATCAGAAGGCATTATCTGGCCTGAAACGTGATATATCTGGTACCAGATCTCCCAGAGAAAGCCGTATGGCTGTTCTGCTTCTTCTTCATTGCGGTTTGCGGGGTAGAGAGAGTCGATGGTTGAGGCGGCTGATGAGGGGGTTATGCTGCTGTTTGGTTGGAGGTAGTCGGAGAGGAGGGTGAAGATTTTGGATTCGATGATCCAGGGGTCGTCATCTTTCATTCTGAGATGGAGGGCCATGGTGCTAATGTTGTTGTTGTTGCTGTTGTTGTCCGGTGAGATGGACAGAAAGAGGAAAAGATATTTATATAGTGATGGCAGTGTTGAGGCGGTGCATCTAATTAATAATAACAACAAATATACCAAATACAATAGATATAAATAACACAAGTTACAATCGACTCCTCTCCCCAACTTCACACTCAATCAAACTCTCCACTCCCCTCTGCACACTCCAAATCCTCACGATCCTCAATCCCGCCCCCTCCAGCAACCGCCGCCAATCCTTCTCCGTCCGCTCTGTCGAGCCTATCGACATCATAATCAGATCTAAACTCGTCGCTTCCCAGTGCGCGCCTACGTCGGGGATGACGTGTTCGTTTATTAGGATCTTGCTGTACCCGCGTTTCATGGCAGGGATGATGTTCGCTAGGATTTGGTGGCATTGTGCGTCGGGCCAGTCGTGCAGGACCGAGTGCAGGTAGTATGCGCGTGCGCCTTGGGGGTTAGTATATACGATGTAGACGAGGAAGTGAAAGTACCTTTAACAGGTTGGGGGGTGAAAAAGTCATGAGGCATAACTTCAATCCTCGGATGAATAGAGTCAATCTTGGACAACACGGCATCCAAATCCTGCAGAACAAGACGACCAGGCGCATTCGGCCACTTGCGCTGGAACTCGAGGATATCATGGCCGATGCTACCGCCCACGTCGACAAGAAGGGTATCGTCATGCTTAACACCGTCTAGTAACCGCTGAACAGGGTAGAAGCCTACATCCATCCAGCTGGGTCTGCCGACGCCGTACATGGCCATGTGGTTGCTGAATTGCTTGGCGATGAGGGGGTCTCGTTTCAAGGCTTCCCAAAAGGTGAGACTAGTGTTGTAGCCGCGTTCATGCGCTGAGTCTGTGTATGAGGTTGGATTGATGTAGTTGTTGTCGTGGAGATGGGCGGGGAGGGCCCGGATGCCTGCTGTGAGGGATCGTGTCCTGTACATATTAATGTTATTCTTCTGGAATACTGAGGAAACGTACATCATAGGATAAGTATCGCTGTATTTATCCTCTGTCAATGCTATTGTCAAGGCAGTACGGCAATACAGCGTAGGGCCGACTTGATTGACGGCGCCATTTGCAACGAGATGCTGCAGTAGTCTCGTCAAGAGCAAAGCATCACAGTTTGTCGCTTTTGCCAGTTCTTCGACTGACTTGGGTTTGTCATCTTGTGATAAATGAACAAAGACTCCCAGCTTGATGCAGGTTTCAATTGCGGCGTATGTGGTAGACTATCTAGTTAGTAGTGTACACACTAAGAATGAGGGACATACGGTAGCAAACGTATGACGGGTGATGACTTCTCGCGGCGTTTCAAGCGCATAGAAGAGTGATTGAACAGCGTCTAACAGTTCCTGTCTATTCGATCCATCCTTAACAAAGTCCTGCCCATCCAAGGCAATTTGCCTCAGGAGCTGTGGCACCTTATTAGGGGCACTTGGGGAGACAGCAATCCTGTCGATATCAGCTTTGCGTCCAGCCATGATGACGATAAGAATGAAAGTGAAAAAACATGAATCTGACGGGAGAACCACCTTATAACGCCATCGCAGTCGGTGAGGGGAAGATGTCTTATTAGCGTGATACGAGCGAATTCGAAGCCAGTTGGAGGCGATGTTGGCAACAAGTGAAGCCATTCGTTGCGACTGCGATTACATCGAATACCAGAAATACAGCCATCCCGAGTGTGTAATCTATACTTTACCGTAGCATTACATAGTTATCAAGGTTTAAATACCACCGAGTCAGCCCGACTTCAGATCCACCGACGACGTTTGAATATCTTTCCGGATTGGGCTAACCTCATGACTGCAGATGCATTGACCCTGATTCGGTTATTCGCGATCTGCTGTACGGCCGTTGTGACAGCTTCACGATGCCGATATAGATTGGCCGTTGGTAGACGCCGTTGCGGGGGCCAAAGTTTATCCCTGTTCGGAGTAGATCTGCATGGCATGCAGACGATGATATGGTTCCATACGTCTTCGATAATATGATATATCATAATCTACGATTGAATGAACTAATATATAATCCATGGTTCTTCATGATTAAAATGAAGAACGGTGGGGATAATTACGATCAAATATGACACGTAAAAAAGCCATCGAGACAATATAATTGCCTCCATGTGATTGGCCCCCTCATGCAGAATTCATCACATCACGACTGCCAATCACACCCTCAGATCGAGCCATAATACAGTTTTTTATTAGTGGGTTCTGCAGTGATTTCCTCATGTCCCGTGCATGTCATCCTCAGTGCCCAATCCGGCGGATTTTCCCGATTGGTGGAAGATGTGAGGCCATAGCTGGTGGTATAAATGCCATTCCCCTCAGGATGGTGATGGAATGTTGCTCAGCCTAGCGATGCATTTATTCTATCTCTCTTCTCTTTTCCTGACAGTGTCTGCTCTCCCTAGGGATAGCAGACCACCTGCCTTCTTTCTTGCTGGCGACAGTACAACAGCCACTCAATCCCCCGGCGGCGGAGGCTGGGGCGATGGCTTCCTCAACACCACCCTGCACCACGGTGCATATGGTAGAAACTACGGGCACAATGGAGCAACAACAGTGTCTTTCCGGGCTGGAGGCGACTGGAATAACGTTCTCTCCTCGGTGAAGCAGTCAAAAAGTGAATACAACCCCTACGTGACCATTCAATTCGGACATAACGACCAGAAACCAGCGAAGAATATCTCTCTAGCGCAGTATACGGCGAATCTGGAGAAAATGGCGTCGGAGGTGAATAGTGCCGGTGCTACGCCTATCCTTGTTACGCCGTTGTCTAGACGAAGTTATGATGATTCAACCGGGTCACCACGGATTATCCTCAGCCTGGCCAATGAAACAGCGGCAACGATTACGGCTGCCAAACACATCGGGGTAGCTTATATCGACTTGAATAAAGCCAGTACAGAGTACCTGAACAGCATCGGTCCAGACAAGGCACACACCTACAATCTGAAAGCGGATGATAATACGCATCTCAACGTGGCAGGGAGCAAAGTGTTTGGTGGAATGGTGGCGGATCTCATTATTCGCGATTTTCCGGGGCTAAAGAATGCGGGGTTTATCGGCGTTAATGCATCGCTGACAAAGGCCGTCAAAGAAGGAGAGTATTTCTGGCCGGATTATTGAATTTTTTGTCAATCCTGTTTCATTGGGTGGGGATGCGAATGATAGGCAGAAATCTCTAGCTATATATATGCGTCGAACTCCTTTCTGCAGCCTGTCCATTGTATATTTTATATATCTACAGCTATATAAAGTATATGATTTCCTGGTGACCGACGCAGGAAGCTGTCTATTCCATGGTTGATAGTAGCTTCGTCTGTCTGTCTCATTGCCGATTCGTGAGGAGCAACTACGCAGAACGGTTACTTTGGTTTTGGTTGATACCACTATAGCATTCCAGGCTGTCCGTATGTATCATCGCCACGGTTCTTCTGGACAGGTTGCTGACATATGGACTGAACACGAGGTACCATGGAAAATACCTGGAAGTGGCAGATCCAATGTCCATACCACGGCCTTTCGCCTCGTACTCACTGGATAGACGCCTGTTGATAGACTTGTATCCATGGCCAAGCGTCGCAAAGATGGAAGAACTACTCCACGAGGATGACTGTGTCTGAGCCGGGGATATCCTGATGCAGCCTGGTCATTTTCATCCGACAAACGTCGTGGTTGATTTCTTATCAGTTTATCGTCGTGGTCGGACTTGACAACTCATCCCGCCATTTAGGGTCGGGCGCATCAGAATACTATGAGGGCGAACTCAAGAGCTCTACTGTGGGAGATAATCAGTTGCGAACCCGTCGTTCGACAAAAGCGGAGGAAGATGACTATTAAAAGAGATGAATCATTAGTGCCTGACGATACTTGAACCTCGGGAAAAGTGATACTCGTTTTGTATATTTGTTTCGGCCCGTGGGGTCTATGAATTCAAGCTGGGCGCAAAGTAGAAAGCGCAAGGGTCTTGTGCCAGCAATGAAAATTAACAAGGGCGAAAGAACAAGGAAACATGAACGAGAGAAATGAGGGGAAACAAAAAGAAGTCCAGCTGTCTGTTTGCCTTGCAGGCCTGAGGTCGCAAGTCCCAATCAGCAAAACGCGCACTGCATAAGCGAGCAGCCACAAAACAGACAGCCTTGCTTTCCCAAAAATGCTCGTCGCCATCGCCTACCCCAGCTTGGATACAATAAATGAGAGAAAAGCTGAATCCGGATCCCATGGCGTAACACTTCTCTCCAATATCATCTGCCAAGTCCGTTCATGTTCCAGTGTCTTCGCCATACCTAAGCTCTAACCAGGGTCGACGATTCAGGGTATCTGAGATCGCATAACCATCCACTGTTGGATAGAAGTGCAATAATGGATCGCAGGAGGTTTGTCTCATTCATCCATTAGTTCCCAGGACCTACTCGTTCTCGGCGCCGTTCCATGTACTGACGTATATAGAATATGCAGGCACTTTTCGATGACAGGGACTTGCAAATTCAGGCCTTGCAAGTTCCGGCACGACCAGAGCAACCAGAATCGAGGCAATAGCAGGACCAGCTGCCGCGAGCCCCAGGGGCTGTCGAACTCAGAACGCGATTTTCGTGAGTGGAGGAATAATATACCTCTCGATATGGGGAACACACGCCCTCTTGGCGGGAGACTTGGGTACTTCTTCCAGGAGGCTCGTCGACTTATCGAGGTAGACGTCGGCGTTCTCCAGGATGTCATTCAGAGTTTTGCCCGTGAAGGGGGTCTGCGCTGTATCTGCGAGATGGTCGAGCAGAGATTTGAAAGCATGCCTTCTCCCAGGAAGGAGAACGTTTTCAAAAACCAGATTCTGCCCTTCTTTGAAACACTCACCCATCCAAATGTCCTCTTGTCGTTGGTTTTGGAGCAGTCAGTCGGTACAATCTACAATTTCTTATTCGGTGTTGGAGGAGCCAGAGCTGCACACCTCTTGGAATATGTCTGTGATGTTTTGACCAACAGCGGGAAAAGCGAACAGGATGTCTCATGGTATGAAGTATCTTCGCTCGTCTTCTCCCGAATCGTGGATTTGAACTCTACAGCATCCGTCCAGGAACCGTTAAAGGTCCAGGCAAAACGATTTGAGAATATCTTTATCACCATGAACACGAATGGCCTGGACAAGCTGCTTTACAACTCCCGCGCTCACTTAGAACGCCTCTTACGTCGGTTGGAAATCGGCTGCTCTTTACCAGCTGCTTCACCTGCGAGGAAGAATGAAGGCCAAAAGTCTGCCCTTTCATTCACTATCCACCATGAGCCCCCTGGTGGTCGTCACAACAACGATCATGCGGACATCTGTCAGATCAGAGTGATGCCTAGCTACCAAGAAATCATGAGCACGCGAACCGAGTATCTTCCAGTCAATGATCCCACGCAGTGGCACGTCGATGGCCTTGATGGGCTGCTGGACAGAAACTTTCGTCTCCTGCGAGAAGATACGGTTGGTCAACTTCGAGATGCCATCCACCATGAGATCAGAAGGGCCCGCGAACAGTTGCCTCACCAGCGTATGAATATCTATCGGGATGCCAGAGTTGTTAAGGTTGGGTTTGAATGGATGTCGGGTTTATACTTTGGAATTGGCTTTCCACAGCCCAGGAATCTCAAGGAAATGTCGCTCGGACAACGCGAGAACTGGTGGCAGGCGTCGAAGCGCCTACAGCCAGGAGCTGTCGTCTGTCTCGTATTCAAGAAAAACATTGTCCTTTTCTGCACGGTCACTGAGCCCCAAGGACGGGTGCCTCGAAAAGGGGAAGAGGGGAACAGACCCAGGAAGGATGATAAGCTGGAGTCTGGATCTCTTTGGAAAGCTAAGAACACGGCATCAGTCATGTTGCAACTCGTCGATTCCAGAGGCAATAACGTCCAATCCATTCTGAGCCATTACACTTCAAAGACGCTTGGTTTCACTCTTGTCGAGTTTCCCGGCGTTCTCCTTCCTGCCTTTGAGCCGACACTTCGAGCCCTTCAGTTGATGAAAAAAAACGGAGCCTTGCCTTTCCCGGACCTTCTAGTCCCTTCCTCATCTGATGCGACTGGACTGGTGAAGATTCCTCCACCCAACTACGCAGTGAAACCTGGGTTTGCTTTTAACCTCCGCTGTTTGATGCGAAATGATGCCGATCTTTATGTTCGACATGACCAACCTGTTGACATAAGAAGACTACAAGATAACTCGAGTCTTGACGATGCGCAGGCAGAGGCTTTAGTTACTAGTCTCCAGCGGAAGGTCGGTCTCATTCAAGGACCACCTGGAACTGGCAAGAGCTACACGGGCGTTGCCTTGATTAAAGTACTTTTGGCAAATAAAGTCCACGGAAAAGCAAAACTGGGACCCATAATATGCGTTACATATACCAACCACGCCCTTGATCAGTTGCTGGAAGCCCTTTTGGACAAAGGTGTCACCTCGCAAATCGTTCGTATCGGTTCTAGGTCTCAGTCGGACAAGCTGGAGCCGTTCAAGCTCAGAACAGTTGCGAAAAATGTGGACAAAACCAAGATGGAAAAATCTGCTCAATGGAATATACATCGACAGCTTGAAGGATTTGTGGAAGAATTCAATTCAACTGGACTCAAGGGAGACATTTCCAGATCGCGCCTATTACCCTATCTTTGGAAAAATCACCTGCATCACTACAGGCAGCTATTTGGGACGGACGAGGACGGATATAAAACTGTCCAGAGTAATGATCCTCACAAGACCATCAAAGCGTGGCTGGGTAATGGAAATGCTCGCAACGAAGATATTAGATCTATCGATGAATTAAAAGACATCAATCTTTTCAGCATGTCTCGAGCCGAGCGACAGGCTTTGCACCAGCACTGGGTCGATGAAATCAATAGATTCGTACAGGATAAGCTCATCCGGTTGGTCTCTTCACACAGTACAGCCAAGAGCGAGTTTGACAATATCCGGGATGAGGTGGATTTGCGATGCCTCAATCAAGCACACGTCATCGGCCTTACCACTACAGGACTTGCTCGAAATCTCAAGATGCTACAACGACTACAGTCAAAAGTTGTGGTATGTGAGGAAGCCGGAGAGGTCCTGGAAGGTCATCTACTCACTGCACTGTTGCCATCAATCGAGCATGCCATTCTCATCGGAGATCACCTGCAGTTACGACCGCAAGTTCAGAACTATGACTTGTCCCGAGAGAATCGCCGTGGTGGAGAGCAATACTCACTGGATGTTTCCTTGTTTGAAAGACTTGTCGAGTCGAAAAATCCAATGGGTTCCGGTCTGCCATTTAGCACGTTGGAAACACAGCGTCGGATGCACCCATCCATCGCCCAATTGGTCAGAGACACACTGTATCCACAGCTGAGCGACGATCCTTCTGTGTCCGAGTACCCTGCAGTTGTGGGCATGAGAAAGAGACTATTCTGGCTAGACCACAGAATACCAGAAGGAGACTCTTCGAATAATGATGCCACGACGACCTCCCACTGGAATCAATACGAGATTGATATGACGACTGCTTTGGTCAACCATCTCGTGCAACAGGGGCAATACCAAACTGGCGACATTGCCGTGCTGACTCCATATCTCGGCCAGCTTCACAGACTCCGACAAAGACTCAGTCGGTCTTTTGCAATCACCCTCGGAGAACGTGATAAGGACGATCTGGAAAAAGCAGGGTTTGATGAAGTTGACCAAGGCAATTCTCATATCAGGGCTACATTGCTGCAAACACTGCGCGTTGCAACCATCGATAACTTTCAAGGCGAAGAGGCAAAGGTTGTTGTTATTTCCTTGGTCAGGAGTAACCCGGAAAACAAGTGTGGCTTTTTGCGCACTTCCAACAGAATCAATGTCCTTTTATCTCGAGCTCAGCACGGGATGTACATCATCGGGAACTCCCAGACCTCGATTCATGTCCCTATGTGGGAAAGTGTCATTGATATCCTGAGACAGAACGAAAACATCGGGGATACCCTCGAACTGCAATGCCCTCGCCACCGAGACACTCCCATTGCCGTCTCCGACCCGGATGATTTCCCCCGGGTTTCTCCTGAAGGAGGCTGTGACTTACGCTGTATCAACCGGCTGAAATGTGGTCATGCCTGCGCGCAAAAATGTCACTCAGAAATCCTGCACAACGCGGTTTACTGCCTGGAAGAATGCCCGAGGCCGCGGAAAGGCTGCGCCCATCCATGTCCCAAGAAGTGCGGCGATCCATGTCCGCTCAAATGCCACGTTAACATCTTCAATAAGGACAGATTGCTTGGATGCGGGCATCTAGTTCAGAATCTTCCATGTTGGCAAGATCAGGATCTCTCGACTGTCCGTTGTACTGTTTTCGTCCAGAAGGATGTCCCTCACTGCCACCACAAAGTCAGTGTTCAATGTTGTGTTGACGTGGCGTCTTCTAAATACGATTGCAAAGCCCAGTGTCGTACTATTCTGCCGTGCGGTCATACCTGCAAGAACTTGTGCATGGACTGTGTGACTAAGACCGAATCTGGCGAGATTCGCGTCAATCACGGTAGCTGTAAACAGAAATGTGGGCGTAACCAGTCAACTTGTGCCCACGTCTGCAATACACCATGCCACGGTCAAGAGCCCTGCCCACCTTGCCAGGCTCCATGCGATGTGGAATGTGGTCATTCGAAATGCATGAAGCAATGCTGCGACCCATGCACTCCTTGCGCAGAGGAAAAGTGCCTTTCCGCTTGTCCGCACAGTGCCTGTTCGATGCCATGCGCAGCTCCATGCGACCATGTTCCCTGTTCCCGACGATGTCAAAAGACGCTAGAATGTGGGCATCAATGTCCGTCGGTCTGTGGCGAGAAATGTCCTTCTCAAGCTTATTGCCAGACATGCGGAAATGACGACATTAAAAACCATCTAGTTGATTTCATTCTCGGAGAAACGTACAACGAAGTTGATTTAAACCAAACCCCATGTATATTCCCTAGGTGCGGCCACTTCCTCACAGTGGAAAGCATGGATGGACAGATGGACCTCAAGAAACATTACGATGTTGATGTTGATGGAGTGCCCGTTAGCATCACGACTGCATCAGTGCCATTTTCCATGGAAGACATAAAAACATGTGCAAGCTGTCGTGGACCGTTGCGGGACATCGCGAGATATGGTCGCCTGATTCGACGTGCTGTTCTGGATGAGTCGACGAAGAAGTTAATCTTGTATCTCAACCGGGAGTATGTGCCTTTGGCCCAGGAGGTCCCACGTCATATTCAACAGCTTCAGGAAGCCAAGAATGAGAAACGTTTGGATTGGCCTGCTAAAACCACAATTGCGCGGTCAAGGGATGAGCAAATGGCGGCCATGAAAGATATTATGAATCGAGTATCACCAGGAAGCTGGAAGGCCATCATTGATCTTCGCAAACGAATTCTCAAATATTGCAGCCGTGTCAAACCTGAAGAACAGCCATTCAACAGAGTCCGGGACATGGTGGAGAATGCTCGACGACGCAACAAGACGACAAGCAACTTCGAGTTTGACAATAATGTGCTGCAGACGAAAGGAATTCTCCAAGCGACGGCGCTCAGCATTCGGCTAGACATCGCTCTGTTAGCTGATTTCCTGGCTCTCCGCCAGGATACTGACCCAAAAAAGGCAAATAATAGCATCGAAATCAATTTAGACAAAAATCGTGAGGAATGTGAACTGCTCATCCAGACTGCAGACAGCTCGAGACGCCTACTGCAGCAGACCGAAGGTTTCATCTTTCTCGCACAGCTTCACGCTCTCGAAAGATCTCAATGTCCATCTCCGGAGATAGCAGAGATTCACCTTGAAAAATGCCACGCCGCTATTGCCGAAGCCAGGTCCCTTTGCTCTACTTATCCTGGCCAAACTACAGGACTACCGGACGAGATTGACGGTGTCGAGAAGATGCTCGCTGGATCAACTTTCTACACGGCTGTCACCAACGAAGAACGAATGGCGGTTATCCAAGCCATGGCTCGTGAATTTCGTGGTACAGGGCATTGGTATTACTGTGGTAACGGCCATCCATTCACGATTGGGGAATGTGGAGGAGCGGTGCAGAGGGCATCGTGTCCCGAGTGCGGCGCTCCTGTTGGAGGAGCACACCATGTCACTGCTGAGGGTGTGACTCGCGCTTCAGAATTTGAGGATAGTTTCGCGCGGTTGGCTTTGTGATTCTTGCTGTTTCGAATTCCAGGGTACGTTTTATTGGCGAATGGGGTATTGGAGCTATCTGTCGCCACATCCCTCAAATAGACCACCTTGGTCAGAATTAGATTCCCTTTCTTTGAGGCTCTCATCTAGTATTTCTAACATCTAGCTTGTTCGGGGGGCCGCTGGTTCTCAGGTAGTCCTACAGCATAAGATGTCGATTATTGCAGTACCTCAATGCGTTTACTAGGAGCATGTCTCTACTTTTCTTTTTTGTAAATATACTATCAACATTTGAGGAATAAGATTCTCTACTTGCCTCTACGATCAAAGACGTTCATGTATCCATTTCTCGGCGGACGGCCTAGGCAGAGAGCCCTATTTCTGTGCCCTATTTTCTGTTTTAGGGTGAAAGCTTATCTAACCCATCACGTGTGACCAGGTGGGCTCGGCGGAGATGCAGCCAATGGGAAAGCAGAATTGCTTATTTTGTATTTTTTACCCGAGCCGAATGACGACGGTTGAGATAGGCTTATCGAAGGCGGTGAGCAGCGACAGTATGGCCCGAATGTTGCAACTCCCCTCCCCCTCCACTTCAACAAAAACTTTTTGAAAATGACGACCACCGCAGACCCTCTCACGGTTCTGCCCCCGGAGATCGTCCTCCGTGTTTTGGAGTTCACGCCCGTCTCGGCCATTGGCTCCCTGACCGCAGTCTCCAAGGCCTGGCACGGATTCATCGACGCCACACATCAAGAAACGATCTACGCCTCGAAAACTACCCAGCCGCCCGGCGCCCGCGATTTCTCTTTCCTATCCGAGACTACCTGCTATTCGAAACTGTTTGAAGGTACGGAATCATGGAAGGATCTGTGCAAGCGCCAGACGCTGCTGGCACGCAGCTGGGACGTCGACCCCGTCACCCGAGAGGCCGTTTTGCAAATCGGCAATGACCCTGTTTGGCGATTCCGCGCCGACTTTAAGCGTCGATTCTTCGTGTCGACGTCGCAGGCTGGAGGACTGAATGTGACTGATATGGACTCTGGTCGGATCTTATGGCAGCTTCCTTCCACGCTGGATCGTGAAGAGGATGCGGTTCGCCCGTTCGCGCATCTGGAATACCAGGATGGAATGGCTGTGTTCGATCGTGAAGGTGATGCGGTTGAGGTTTGGAAGGCGGTTGACGACTGGAAAGAGAGCGAAGGGCGTGCGAAGCGTGGAGAGTTTGAGCGCATCGCGATCTTGGATCATGATTGTCAGACCAGAGGTTTTCAGCTGTCACATTGGACACTTTGTGTGGTTTCTACGGAAGGACAAGGTTTTGTCTATGACATGACAGAGCGTCCTCCAAGAAGGACTACGCATCTGAAAATTGAGAACGAGGCTGTTGGTCACCTGGATCAGAGCAAGGATGTTGTCATTTACTCCATGGGGGCACGAGGCTACCATGCTTATGACAAAAAGACAGGTGCATTCTTGGGCGCGTTGGAGCCATCGAAATGTACAGAGAGACACCACATCCGCGCACCCCCGAGCACTCGAGCTACGCGACACGGTCCGACAAATAAACTATCTGAACCTCGCAAAGACAGCCTTGTGCAGATCAAGGTCGAAAAAGGCCCTCTGCCACCCTCGACCGACCCTGAGCATGTCCGCAACACCGAAGATGAATGGGGGGCAGGTATGATCAACGGTGATCTCTTTGTTGGCTTCTCCCGTGCCGGTCGTGCTTTTGTCTGTTCCAACTGGCGTAAGGCTCTTGAAACTAGCATCGAGGCGCACAGCTCCGTCATCGAGTGCGAGTCGGATGGGTCGCGTTTCGATCTAGGCGGTTGGCTGTCAGTACGGAACCACCGCTTGATGTTTGAAATCCAGGACCGGATTTATGTCGTCGCACTTGATGACAACAACAAAGTTCAAGATGTCGATTCCGATACTCCTCCCCGCGCCTCCTTCTCTCTCGTCACTAGCTCTTCGCCGCAACTTGCCGTCCCGGTCAGCTTTATGGCTTTGTACGACGACGCAATTATGACTACTTATACTGTACGTTCCACCCACTGAAAAACAAGGCAAAAGCTAACATCCATGCAGACCCTCGGCTGGCGCCCATCTCTCCCCGCTATTCTAGGCGATATTCCTCCCGAGCAGCAAGGCCCTGCCCGTATCTTCCCAACAAAAGCCATCCGCATCGTCAGTCTTGCACCTATCCTCTCCGACAAGGCCGGGTCAACAAACGACGAAACAACCCAAGAAACAGACGGGGGTATGTGGAATCCCAACCAAGCAGCAGAGCAAAGATTGGGCACACATGCTGGACTGGTGGAGTTAATTAGTATGCTTGGGGATGAATTCGGGGGGGACGATGACGATGATGAAATTCAAGACGTCGATTTCAATGGTGGTCTCGGTGAGTGGGTGGATGTAGATTCGCATGATGATTATGAGGAGGATGACGACGAGCATGAGAACCAGAACCAACAACCGAACGAGCATCAGGAAGCCTGAATAAAGAATATGTAGTCCAGGATAGAATGAATATATACAAATTATAATTAGTAGTTCTAAGATGGTTGTAGTAAATTAGGTCTAGCTAAGATATATATTTCATATCCTCCCTATCCTAACCAAAGTGAATAGTTGTTTGCAAGAATGAAAAGAGGACAGCTGCATTATGTACCCAACTTTCTGCATGAATATCAAGTATTTAAGATGATTACTATGCTAGAATGCTAGTCCTGACTCGGGTTTACCTAGATCCCTGGGTATTTTTGTGTTGGCATATTGCGGGAACTGGCGGTTTATGTATACAACGTTGTTTACCTTTTCCCACTGTTCTTAAAGTACTGTTTGAGGATATAACCAACTAAATACAAATCATTCTTATTAATTGCATTTTAGACATATCAACTCAATCTGATTGTGCATCCTCGACAATTCGTTTCGACAAGCTCAACATTGACGTCATGCAGCGGGTAACCGGGTACCCGATTACCCGTCGGTCTCACCAGGAAACGCAGTCCTTCCTATGTAGGCATACTGCTAGCACCACCTCATGGATGCGACTCCAATCACCCAGAATCGCCGGGCTACACGCTCATCGCTGGCTTGCTTGTCCTGTCGTTCCCGTCACATGAAATGCGATGGAAAGCGGCCGTGCTGTACCCGCTGTTCGGAGGTTGGCAACCAGTGCAGCTATGCACGATCAAGGCGCGGGGGCTTAGACCGCGCCGCGTTGGCGGAACGTCGCAAACGTAAGGCTTCGGCGGTCTATACTGAACCCATGAGTCTGCAACAAGCTACAACAGTTCGTCCCGAGGAGTGTACGACGCAGCCCCTCCCGGATGTTCGACTTGAGTCTGACGTGCTCGATATAGATGGAGCCAGCAGCACGGGCTTCGTCCCCCGGGCTGAGAGCACAGTTCGCCCGGCAATGATTGAAAATGACCCATTAATCCAGTCATACTACAAGAATTTTCACATCTGTCATCCCTTCGTCTTACCCCGGAAACACCTGACAAAACTATATCAAGACCCGAGCAGACAACACGGCCTTGCACCCCTAGTCGCCAACCTGCGCTTGATTGGGAATATTTACAATACGCGAGAATGGTCGATTCCGCTCAAAGACGATGTCGAAGCATCCCTTTCATCGTTGTCGCCATCTGATCCGATCCAGGTCCAATGCCGAATCTTGTACTCGGTAGCCCTGTTCTGGCATGACTACAAGATTGAGGCCAAATCACAGATGGATCAAGCAGCTAAACTCGCCATTGATCTGCAAATGTTCCGGGCCGAATTTGTAGCGTCCCAGGGAGCTGACGACCGGATACAGAGGGAATCCTGGAGACGAACGTGGTGGATGCTGTATATTTTCGACGCATACTACGCGGGCACCCTGGGGACGATGAACCTCCGGGTGATGGACATTGATGTGACGGTCGAATTGCCCTGCGACGAGGCAGACTATGAGTCAGGGGTGAGTATCATCACCCTGTCGCCATTGATCAGTGCCGATAGAGCTCACGCATGGGATTGCAGAATATCCCGGCTCCTAGAACCCTTCAGGAATTTAATCACCGCGAATTTCTCCCCAATAGTGTTCACTTCTCCTCCTTTGCATATCTCATTGGCGCCGTGCAGTGCGCCGCGGCCGCTATATCCATAACCCCCAAAATCGCCGCCGTGGAAGACTCGACGCATCTGATTCAGGCGGTTGATTGTACCCTGGACGGATGGCGACTTTTGTTGCCCCCGGAGCACAAGCACGTCATGAAGCAGAATGGCGAAATTGACGAACTCATGTTCCAAGCGCACCTGCTGATCCATGTGTAAGCTTCTCGTTTCTTCCTCAATACCCCCCACTCACTGGTTAGATCCACCATCGGCCTCCACCGTCCATTATCGGCCCTCAAATTTAACGCCATCGAGCATGTATCGAGCTGTGCCCGGGAACCGCCCCTGGACACACCCACGCCCGATCTGGTAAATGTCCATACCGTCCGAGTCTTACGGGCGGTGGAGGCCCAAATGCGTCTTCTGGCCTTACCAGTCCGCCAATTTCACCACACCCCCTTCACCACGTGCATGGTAAGCGAGGGGACACTGGCGCTCCTCTCCGCTTGCAGTGCCTTCCTTAAGGAGAAGGAGCTAGCCATCGCAAGAGATCAGATCCGGATGACGCTCGGCTGTCTCAAGGTGCTGGGAGAAGTCTGGCCGAGGACGGCGAGGAATGTGCGCGAGATCCAAACGATTGCTCAGTGCGTCCTGGGCCTTGGAGAATTTGCCAGTAATCAGAGTATGGCTGGATCGAGTGAACTGCCGTCCCTCGGTGCGGACGGGATAAGTTTAGATTCGTCTACCGGCAATCTGTCGGCGGACGACAACGATCTGCTTGCTTCCGTCGGCGCCATTGAAGATCTCTGTGGCTGGTATCACCTTGGAGACCTGGATGATTCTACGTGGGGGATGAGCAATGTATTGTAATCATGTCGTTGGCCATGGCTTATCTTACATAGAAATGATGCAATTTGCCTAAATCTAGCACGGATGGACCAACATGAATCTGTCAAACAACAAGAATGACCTTTCCACGCGCAGACAACCTCCCATTCGCACGATCATACGCCTCCCGTGCCCTGGCAAGGGGGTATACATCTGCCACGAAAGGCCGGACGGCCCCGGCACCCGCCAGTTCAGCAATATAGCGCAACGCATTCGGGCTGCCCTCGACGATGAAGAACAGAGCGTGCACCCCGACCTTCCGCAGCCCACGCTTCTCATGCTCCTCCACGAAGTTGAAGCTCGCCGAGTCCACCGAAACTAACGTTCCGGTCTCCGCAACGTAATCCCAACACTTCGCCAACACCTCCCCGCCAACCACATCAATAATGACCTCGAATTGCCCATGCCCGTCCAGCATACTATACTCCACGACCTCGTCGGCCCCCAGGTCCCGGAGAAAGTCTCCATTGCGCGCATTGGAACTGCTAGCGGCGACGACTCGCACCCCCGCTGCGGCCGCAAGCTGCACGAGATATACGCCCACCGCACCTGCAGCGCCGGTAATCAGCACGCGGTGGTCCTTTCCCGTCGCAGACCGGGCCATGAACTCCTCTACCGTGGGACAGGGGATCCGCGCGTGCTCGAAGAGGGCCTCGTAGGCGGTTTGCGCGCTGAGAGGCAATGCCGCGGCCTGGGCGAACGTCAATGTGGCTGGTTTCAGGGCTACCTCGTCCTCTTTGACAATGGTATATTCGGCCCACGTGGCGGCGCGGTCTGTGCTTGCCATGCCGAAGACCTCGTCGCCGGGCTTGAAGTTACTCGCTGACGAGAAGACCTCCGTCACGATGCCGGCGACGTCGTTTCCCGGAATGGCGTATGGGTGCGCGTAGGTTTCGGGCCAGGTGAGCATGTCGCGAATAACGGTTGTGGCTTTGACGCGGATGAGAAGCTCCCCCGGTGCGGACGGCACGGGGATAGGGACATGATGGTCCAGCTGGAGGGCGGTGGATGGCGCCGGGTTGGATGGTGAATAGGGGGTCGATTTGGGCGAAGCAGGATGGAGGCGAATGGCTTGCATCGTGTGTGATGGAAGAGGGAATGTGGTGGAGGTTTTGACGGACGGTTCGATCATGGGTTAAATATTCCTGCCGGTTGGGATTTCTATAACGATGAATAGGCTATAGGCAGCGGGTATCATCCTGCTGTCTTTATGATTTGGGAAGGCTATCGGAGTGGCTCTACAGGTCTGCAGGATTTAGCCGAGTTTATTCTGGCGAGAGTGCATAGGACTGACAGATACACGGTTGATGATAATGAACTATACTATACCTAGAGTCATATTTTAACATTATACTCTATAAGACAACCCCCTTTTACTAATTTTAAAAGATATTAAAAATATTAATATATGATTTGTCTAGTATACTCACTTATAATATTAATAAAATACTATATAATAGTGGCTTTGAGGGGGTTATTTAATAGATTACTATATATATATATATATCTGTATCCAGATAGGGGTGGATCGCTGGCCCAGCAGGACTCCTCTTCCCCACACAAACTCGTCATCCACATTTCATGTCAGGTTATAAACTACTCGGAGCATTTAGTCCGGCACTTATCCCTCCATTGACACCACTGCAATGTAATCCTGGTTGGTTTGATATACCCGCAGTCCCGAGAAATATCGGATACCCGGTTAGCCTATCCACAGCGCCCTTCCCGCCATATAATCATTCTCGTTCAGGATGAACGTTGAGTAGTAAAATTTCCAAGACGTCTCACACATATAAGAACCCTACATCCTCGAACTATTCTTTCCTTTTAACCCACCAAACCCGTCTCCTTCCCTTCACCATGCAAGAGCCAGTCTACAACCCCGAGTAGGTCCTCAAGACCACCGTCTAACCAGACCAGGCCACTCACGTATAACCTCACCAGATGCCCTATGGCAAAGACCACCATCGCCTACCAGTACCGCCTGGGCAACTGTCCCGGAAAGACCATCGTTGGCATGCTCGTCGAATATCCTCCCAACGGCGCCACCCCGCCTCACCGCCACGGCGGCGCCTCGGTCTCCGCCTATGTCATCCACGGCTCTCTGTTGAACAAAATGAACAACGACCCGATGAGAGTGATTGAGCAAGGTGGTTCCTGGTACGAGGCGCCAGGCTGTCACCATCGGATTAGCGCCAACGCCAGCCAGACGGAGCCAGCGGCGTTCTTTGTCAATTTTGTGATCGACTCGGAGACGTTGGAGCGAGAGGGCCCATCGGTGCTGCTGCAATTCGACGCGGAATATAAGGATGTCATGGCTCGGAAGACACAATAAGCAGATTACAATGTACATCTGTTTTGATTTATAGTTCACTTCTTTCATTAACCAGAAAATCTCATTGTTTACTGGTAGTGACCAGTGTCGCAAGCTCAGAGCGCCCAGCGTATTAGCGACTCTGAGTCGATGTTTCGATGGCCATACGATGTTTAAGAATTCGGACTGATGACCTCGTGATGCCTGCTGAGCGCCTGCGGGAACGTGATCTCCACGCAGTAGCATAAATAGTGCATGCATTCTAGCGCATTTGTACGAGAATCTCAATGACATTCCTATCTATTATGATTTAGTGCCATTAGTTAACTTCAATGTATGAAGATCGCGGCATTTGGTGAAAATCATTGGAGTTAAACCGCGAAGCTGCAGAACTGGACAAACTACATAAATGGCTCTATCTAGCAGAAGGCTGTATGACTGATTTATATCATCGTGATTAGTCTATCTGACCTCCTTTCTGTCACCGGTTCGTTTAATATGAGGAGCAACTAAGGTATTATCATCCACATAGTGTAATCCTCTTAAGGCGTAAACAAAAGCAAACCTTATCAATAGTGCGGCTGCCAGGGGAAACGGTGGGTCCGTGACAGTACTAGTGAGTCGTGATATCCAAGTTCTAGTATTGAATAGAACAAGTGTTCTCGTATGGAAGAGGAGCAATGTAATGACCAAAGAACCTTGATTTCATTCAATATAGATTATCAACTAGAAAGAGTGGGTGCCGGGTGTGATCTGGAATTGGTGTTAAACATCTGCATGAGTCCAGTTCAAAGAACTGAATTCTGGTCACAGCGCAGTACATTTGAAAGATTCCCCCTGTTATAGAGTTCGACTATTGAAATTGGGTTCACTAGCATAGTAATATATATTATTGCCCAGCATTCCATCGTGACTGCACATTCTCTTAAGTCTTATATCTGGCTGGATCCAACCATGTGGGAATACTACAAAGACAAAACCATCTTGCTTGCAGGTGGGATTGAATTCATAGGGACTGCCTTGCTATGTCGCATTCTTCGAGAAGCTTCCCCGAAGCAGATATATGTCCTTTGCCGGCGTGGCACGCAGTATGAAGCTTTCAATCCAGACAGCTGACAACATGCTAACATATATGATTACGAATAGGGGCGCACACGAGAAATGGAAGTCTTTATTATCGGAACAATCGGCCGCAACGCTACTCGAGAGCAAGAAAATCACGGTTATCAACGGCGATATCTCAATCCCGAAAATGGGTCTCTGGTTTGACACGTTGGAAGAGTTGGAACAATCAGTGAACATCGTGATCCACGCCACGTCATCGATCGATCTTCTGGGTGATCTGGGAGAAATGTCTCGATCTGTCATCGCCCCGACCTTGGAGCTGGCATCTCTTGCATTAAATTTCCAGAACTTGGAGCGCTTTGTCTATGTGTCCACAGCGTACTGCAATGCCCATCTATGGACGGAAACCGACGCGACAGATGTCCCGGTCAAAGAGGAGATATACCATCTGGAAAACGAAGTAGAACTTGGATCTCAAGCACTCGCAGCATGGAGCGAAATACAAGAAACAGGAACAAGTAGTGAATATACCTCGCATGACTTTCCCTGGGCCTATGCGTATGCACACCATTTGACTGAGCGTCTGGTGACGGATTTGTTTGCCAGTCACGATGCATTCGAGAAGCTACTGATAATACGACCATCCATGATTGGCCCTGCGATTGAATACCCACATCCCGGGTTTTCCTCGTCTTCAACACCGTTAACCGCCCTCGCAGCGTCGATTCTTCTCTACCCCGGTCGGCACATGCGAATAGCAGGAAGGGCCAAGAACCCATGGACGGAGACTACGCTGGACGAGGTCCCAGTCGATGTGGTGGTCGATCGCCTTCTGATGCACCTGGTCTATGGCACCACAGGGTGTGTCCATGCCGTCAGCGGAGAACGGGGGCGTCTTCCGTTCAAAACATGGTGGGCAAGTTTAATGGCTGTGCGTCGGCTCCCATGGAAGCTGAAGCCAGTATGGATACCTCTAGACTGGCACTCGTCTGGACCTCACCCCGCTGCCGGGATATTTAAAGTCCTCGGAACATCATTCGAGTTTGCAGAAAACCAGACACTCGACCTGCTCGAGAGGATCGGCGAGAAGGAGAGCCTTGGGTTAAGGTTATTTACACCGGATTTCGAGAGCTATGATTTCCAGGGCAGACGGGATGGTATTCGCCAAATTGCAATAGCAAGGGCTAAGAAGATGAAGTGGCCTCGATCTTTGATAAAGCTACTGATTCCTGGGAAAAAGGTGGAGCAGTATGGGTCTACTAAGGGTTAAATGAATAAGTTACCTTGTTTATTCTTTGTATATACTTCGAATTAGTATCTGTCATGTAATCGGAATGATAAATGATAGGATCTATAGATCCGGCGACTCTACACTAAGCATCAGACTGCAAGCTCGAGTGATTTTGATGATCCGTCCACATGAGCGGACCCTCACTGCCTTGTCTTCTTTGAAAGCTTCCTCTTGATGTATCACTAGTGTAAGTGGGGCACTCCAAGGCAACAGCCTGCTAATCAACCCAACTCTGAGTCACTCAGCCTTACATCAGCTGATGCTCATGCTCGGGTTGGACGCCTTTACATATGCTACTGTCATGCTCATAGTATCCTAGATTTCCTCGGTACAGCAAAGCTCCAACATAGACCAGCAGGAATCAAGAATGGACGAAATTGCAGCAGCACCTATGATGTCCAAAGAAGCCCTCGACCAACACTCGGGTATGATACACTCCGGATCAGCTCAAGGCCCTCAAGATGACGGTGCTCCTCACGACTCGGACGACGAGCTCATGGTCTACGAGACTCCCCGAGACTACGCGACTTGGGCGCGTCAGGAGCGCGACCGCCTCATCACCGAGGGCGCCGATCCTGATTCCGTCATCTTACAAAGCGAACTACGCCATCATATCCGACGACGAGAAGGCGAGTCCATAGACGACTTCACACAGCGTTACGCCGAGACTATGATGGCCATGATTGGTCGGGGCGTTTCGATTCTCAATGATCAGTGTACCGCTGATGTGGTGGCATCCGGATTCACAACCGCAGATGGAAGGTTTTTCGATTTGGGCCCGGGCTCGGGCGCGACCAAGGGGGAGTTTCGAGAATTTAATCGGTGGTTCTCGGAGACGTCGGAAGCTGGACAGACGCAAGAGGTGCCAGAGAAGTGGTTGAAGTTTGAGAAGTAGCAGCGGGGACACGCCATGATCATAGAAAGTATCAGAACAAGAGTTCCGATTGAAGTTCTAGGTCTCCCCATGGACAGGGGGCTGGATCCGTGTGCTGTCAACCGATTCGGCGAAACGTACAGCATGCTGAAAAGCTTCAAATTGCTAGACGCGCTGCGGCCATCGACATCTTCTCGCCAGCGTCCTACAGAGATGATTTCGATTGATTGAGCAGCTCTACTCATGTCACCGATTGGGAGTAACATGGATGAGCGGCCTGTGGCTACATATACATGCATATATCAGTTGATACATCCGTCTCACAAATCTTGCGTTAATTCATCTTTAATATCATCAGTTCTCCACCTAGACCGAGATTAGTTGCCAGTTTATCATATCTATCCCATATGCCATAAGGCCATTGTGTAGAAGGCCAGGTGACGGGCGAACAAAAATAATTATTTGCAGAGTACCTTCCTGCTGCAGAAATACATACCAGACTAAACTGGGCATGCTTGAAAATGAAGAAATCGTCACATTCGCTCTTGGAGAGCAATAGCCAATGTGTCCCAGACGTTGTTTGCCTGCTGGAGGCAGACAGTGAGGCCACTAGAGTGAACATGCAGTGATATGACTGGTTGTCCTCGCGGAGAATGGAAATGTCAGTGTGGATTATCTGAACTAGCTATACGAGTTCAACCGCAACTGGCTGCTGTCTTCAGCCTGTCATGCTGATCATGCAGTGCTGCTCCACCATAACGCCGATCTAGGGCATCCAAGTGGAGCTACTCCTCAATGTGAAGTAATGTTCACCAATAAGATCACCTCCCCATACATCATTCAGCTGAGCGGAATGACAGGCGGACCCAGCTGGAATTGACCATACATCGCTCTATATGATCCACGACATTCCCCAAGCGACATGCCATTGCGCGACAGCAGGACCTCGCAAGGGAAGAACCATCCATTCTTATTTTGGATGTAGCGAGAAATCAATATGGCCCTGCAATCAAATACTATCTAGATATAAGCCCTAACAAAATTAATACTCTCATGGTAAGATATATAGTCATTAGATATTACTCTAGCTAAAGGGCTCCTGTAGATTTAGAAAATAAGCTAGTAGAATGCTTAAAGAAAATGGAATTACATCTTATTATATACCTAAATAATGACTCCTAGGTCTGCCTACTAGCTAGGCCTAAATATACAGTAGAAATTATAGGAATAGACATTTATTCTACTAAAGGGAACAGAAAATGTTGATAGGAGTATAGTACCTATAATAGGATACCTTAATATGAAATATATCCCCCATCTCTATATTATTAATAGAAAAATAACTAAAAGCTACTAGGAAGTATTACTATTCTCTATATCCCAATCAATAGGAGCCCAGAAGAATATATACAGGTATAGTTTAGGATAATAATACTTTCTAGTAATATGCCTGCATACTTGTAGGGGTCGGTGTATCGGTTGACGAGGTCAAGCCAGGGGCTGGGGCTAAACAGGGCGAGAGCCGTTGTGAGCAGGGGGTTTTGATTGGGAGTAAATTCCGGATTTTTGCTTGGCGGTATGGTGTCATCATCGCGCTGCCTGTTATGCTTGCTGGGTTCAGTCTGTTAGCACTTGACAACCATTTTGTATTGCACAACCTGGTTTTTACAAGATGGTCTCACTGTATTCTCACTGTATTCTCTCTGCGCAGGGCACGAGTCTCCGCAGTGGGTGCTCGGGTCATCGGTGAGGAGTGGACCGCGCTTTTGGCCATTCATATAGTTGGGCAATTCAAAGTAGCCGGCAGTGGTGTCGACCGAGCTAAAGCTAAGACTTAAACTGATTTTATATATTAAGTGTTCCAATCTGTATTGGTTCTATTTCGCAAGCCATCTCTCGACCCATTTTGATCTCTCGGTGAAGCTGGTATACAGCCTCAATTAGATTGGGATGGTCGATCCATTGGTTAAACTATCACCAGTCAATATGTCCAAAACCCACGTGCAGAAGCGTATGATGACGGGTCAAATTATTGGTTTCAGTAAACTTGGCAAAAAGAGAAGTATCTAAGAGTCTGCTGTCCAGATCTTGATTGCGGTAAGCTTTGGGTGGTCGCAGTGGATCTGCCGGTGTGAAGACATTGAGACTCCGATCTGCATCGGTTAACCGTTGGTCGGTATAGCCGCCAAGCGTTATGGTTGACATGTGTCTGATAGATCGTGATTGTGAGTTCTTAAATTAGGAGTGTATCCAAGTTTTGACTTTGGTGGCCGTTGATGAGTGCTTCCATTCTTCGTTCCGATTTCATCATGTTAGACAGTGTTTTGGCCTCGACACTGCTGCTACCAGCATTACAACCTACCAGTACGTTATATGGAATCCCTGCTCGCAACTATATAGCAGCTTGTAAGTTTTGAAACCAAGTGAGGTAAGAATACTTTATTAACTCTGCCTTTGCATTCGCACTGGCGCATGGGGAAAACCTAACAGCTAGGATAAAAACCCATGCGGAGGCTGGCTGACTAGATACATAAAACAATAAACAATAACATTATTTCCCAATCAGCTCCAACTCACCATTGGTGGGTAGAACTAAGTAGTAATTTGGGGAAGCTGATGGCACGCTGAACCCGTCAAGTCGATATGTGCGACCCCTACTCCTGATATGTAAACTGCGCTGTTTGGGTCGATTTATCACCAGCAAAGGTAATGATACTATCTTTAGGTCCTGTGATGCTGTGTCAATTATCTGCTGTTGTCGCTGAGAGAGGCCTTCTGGGCTGACTGACCAGTCACAGTAACGGACTCCTTCTCCTCAAAGTCCGCCGTTTTGGTGGGAGCATAGACATCATAACTGCCATCTTTCCTAGCCATGCGAAGTAGGCTTGCCGGCCCCACTAATGGTGTATGTGTAGTTCCGGGAACTTGTGACTTTCCAGCATCAGGAAGTAAGACCGCCTGAACGTAGCCCCCGGTAACCTGGTTGAAGTTCCCGGCATTATTGTTGAAAGTTGGGGCTTTGGTCATAATGAAAGCTGCAATATAGGCGGTGATTTTTCAAACCAGTCAGATTCACTTGAATAGTAGGAAATTGAATTTGATGACAGATTAATTGATGTTGGGAGGCTTCGTCACTTATAAATCTCGCGCAGAAAGTCTTGACGTTACTTGCCAGGCTATGACATCTTCCTTTCATTGAAAACATAGAAATGACGGCTGATGGTGTAGGAAAGCTGTTTTCGTAAGTGGAGACCTGGCTTAAACTTGCAGCAAGTATCATGATACTATACACACTGGCGTGTTTGAATTCGGACATAACATGCCCTGTATTGGCCGTTAATCCACGGTACACTATTGCCCGTTGACAGCCGAGGGACAAACCAATAAGTGCCATACAGCGGTTACCTGACGTATAGCCATTTTTGGATCTCATATTACCACCTTCATACATCAATGCCAAAGCCTAGTCAAGCCTAGTCAAGACATAGCCACCATGGAAGTTAGTTTTTGCTCGGCTCCATCTAGATTTTGTATCTAAAACTTAATTGACATTACCTAGTTACCTAGTTATAAAATTGCATTTGCGTTCACACTAACTAGTTAGTAGTCGCCATCCAATAGAAACCATGTGACGCTTACAAAATCTCATCCACGAGGGGTCAGGATAGATGAATTACACACACACACACACACACACACACACACACACACACACACAAAAATACCATAACTAAATGCTCGAGTAACCAATATCCTCTCAAAAATGGCAAGAATACTGTAATGCTTGAATTGACTTTATCTAATGTAACATCTTGCCCAATGAATAGTTAGCCCCCTCCATTAAAAATTTCGGTAACACCCAGAGTCTTAGTCGGACGTGCACTCTACTATCCCAGTGACAACAGTACCACTCCAGCCGCCTGCAGCCGATCAACAGAAGCCTCCACCAGCAGAGTGCCCGCATAAGGATTGAAATTGTAGTTTCCACACGAGCACTTGCCAGTAATATCCTTCCAATAGTCCCACACAGAGAATTAACCGTCTTTTTCTCACGAACAACCTTGAAGCTCCGTTTTTGAAAAGTCATTGGGACAGAGTGCGACCACATTCCGGCCCTAGCATCATAAGTCTCAGATTTGTGGCCAGACTGTACATGCACGGTAGCAGGACCCTGCAGCATATTTACTATAAACACCCTGTTGTTCATGTCATTCCACCATCTTGCCGTCCACAGACGAACTTGCCACTCCAGCTATACACTCTTAGCTTCAAATCAATATGTTTTAAAAGGGAACAGGCTGTATCACGTGAGTTCTGATGGTATGTGCCAGGCATGAGGAATGTGGGGCTTTTTAAGGTTCCGGGACGTTCCGCTGACACCGACGTTGTAATCTAACACGAAGGCAACTGGTTGCGTGTGTGTTCCGGACAAGGCAGCTTTGAAAGATGATAATAGTGAAAGTTCTACTGGACACAACGCGAGTTCAGAAACTGTATCCCACGTTGCAATAGCCATTCCACAAAAATGTCCCTAAATTTATCGCTCTTGCGTTCAGTACCCTGCATATCCAGGGATTCGGTTAGTTTTGACGGCATACTGATATTAGCAGTCCTTTCCCTTCGTTTTTGTGTGAAAGGTTCTGTGCAATCTCCAAGAACTATCAGTGGCAGCATATACATAGTCATCCATATTCAGCAGCGGGACAATGCATACCGCATGCAGCTGTTGTGGCACAACATGGCAGAGCTGGTAACCTGTTTCATCCAAGCAACATGTGACTAGCATATCGTTTCAGTAGAGGAAAACTATAAGCAGTTTCTGTTCAGTATTACATACTTAATAAGGAGCTGCAAGCGGTCAGAACCCTGCAGGATCTGATGACATTCTTTGATCCTCAGCAGGTAGGTAATGCCCACTATATAGAAGTATATGAAATAGTTTGTGGATGTTGCACATGACTAAGTGCATAGCCGAATGACTTGCGTTGGTCTGCTCCAAGCACAAAAGTTGCCTGAATACCAGTAACGCAGCCTTGTCGGGTAATTAGTGTAACTATACAGTATATTCTAGTCCAGACTTGGAACGGTGAGCTAGAGCTATGAGTTTATTAATGATGTAACTCGAGAATGTGATAGTGTCACTTTAGTATCCCTATGGAAATGCCGAATGCATACTACCAATTAACATCTTCTGGCGCAAGGGGGTGATGAGACACAGTCCGTTTTGTCAAGCACTGCTGCATTCGAAACAATTCACGACCTGGTATCCAGCATAGATCCAGCATACATGGGATATTTGTGGCACCACGGGCAAACGGGACCCATCTAGTACCGAGGACCAAGGACATGCGAGGTATGTTGCACTGACACTGCTACATGTAAGACTCCCGAGGAACTGGTATGTAGGAAGTACTTTTGTTGCCGTTACATGCGGCACATAATTACATCTTTGAACCCACAATGGGCGAGCCTTTCGTATTAATCCTACGTTAAATGGCGCTTTGGTAGCAATACTGGATCTGGAAATTGATCGATGTGTCCCCAGACTGAGAGTGTTGAGGTATTTTTGATACTCGCTAGAGCTTCCACGATATTCTATCGGTTGTAGCCATTTTTTGACTTTTTGAATGTGTGACTCTTTGCATTTTCGTTACACGGTCAATGCTGATGGTTTATGATGCTCTGTGCGGGCTATCAGTATAAGGTGATAGCCTTGTCTTACTAGGTGGCCTCTATGCACTGCCACATCCAGTGAAGAAGGACTTGTATATGACTAACTCTATCTTGGCTGTAACTCTACACGATTAGACGAATAGGCATGCAGTCTGATTAGGCCTATGGCACACACTTTAATAAACCATGTCTAGATATTCCAGTCTCTCAAAAGGCTCCCGGGTAGGCCTTAAACTCAATAAATAAATTGTCCGTCTCGCCGTGCCTTGCGATACCAATTAACACATCTTCCTGGCCCGGTGGATTGATCCTTTTCCCGACACTTTTTGGGTTATAGTTAGCATTCCAGCAAATATCACAAGTATCATATATCATGCGTATAGCTCACGAGACACATGTATCGAAACCTCTCGCTCCGTGGCACTATAGTTTCCTCCTTCGATGCAAGCCTTGATTTCAACAAGGTTGTCGTAGTGCTGGCTAACGTCATGGAAAATCGCCCGCTCTTTGGTTGTGTTGCCTCCCCTGAAATGCTTCGCGTTGTCTTCGAATTCAGGTAGCAGATAGCAAGGGTGAAGCTTTGAAGTCGGGCTTGGACTTACTGCTGTGCTCTTGTGTACGATGGGTGTTCACGTAGTTCGCAGCTATCCTTTTATCGCTGGAGCGGCAAAGATTGAAGTTAATTGGCGTTATGAGGGTTGATCTTAATGGTGCGTTTGGGAGAATGGTATAGAGAAGGTTAAGAATGAAGAAGAGAAGAACCGGTGCTGTCCATCCATAAAGACAGAGTATTTTTATCCACAACTCAACAATCACGACGGTACAAGGTGAGTTGAAAGAAAACTCTAAACAGGCTTCCAGCCCTTCATAGACATAGGATCGACAGGCGACTCATCTGAAGAATGCAGCAGGCAGCAGCAAGGGAATTAAGATGAAATACAAATGGATCGAACAGACCGAGGAATACGAAAAATGGCTGAATACGACTAATAGCAGAATCCATTGGATCAAAGTGACACCGGAACAGGAAAGAGTACTCTGGCCGCGAGGTTGATCTCCAAACTCATCAGCAATGATGTCCCTGTGATATTAACCTTCTTTCGCCATCTCACAACGTCAAGCATGATCTGCATTCCATGACCAGAGACTGGATGACACTGATAATGGAGTGTTCTGCTGAGCTAAGAGTGAAACTACCCAACTTGAATATCAAGAGAGATGACAAACAACCAGGTTTTTATGACCTTTGGAGCGCCTTTCGTCTGGTATCAAAGACATCGGCAGAGTTTGTTGTGTTGTTGATGCTATCGGTGAACTGAATGGTGACCACGACGATTATTTTATACAACGCTTGATCGCTTTGGTGGATGACTCTCCTTCGCTCAGGTTGATCATGACCAGCCGTTCATTGGCGCCGATTGGGAAGTACTTTGGTGCTTCTGTTTTTCGAGCAAGAATGGACGATTATGTCAATCAGTACATTGCTACATTCGTCCATCATCGTCTAACTGAAGTTGGAATTGACGATTTGGTGAGAGAGATCATTCAACGGTTTATTCTGCATCTTCGGATTGCTCTTTCCTGTATACTCGACTCTTTCTGGAAAACACCGATTCTGAATGAAGGTCAAGGATAGATATCCGGAGCATGTACGGAGTAAGAATTGGGCCTTTCATATTCCACATTTGTGCTTAAGGGCTATTATGATGACGGTATTCAGCTTCATGCAGTTATCCATACTCGGCAGGTGGCTTCAAAAATACAGCACTCCGAAACAAGGTGCTGTATCGGAGTCCCTGACACTAAATTTGGCTCAGCTGAGGATTGAGGATTGCAGGTTGCCTGCTCAGATATCTCGGCTATAGTTCCTAGCTACTGAAGAGAGCCCTGTATGACACTCTACGCTCACCAGATCTTGTTTTTCCAAGCTCAGACACGCATATTGTTAATATCAGGTTAATGATAAGCGGTCTATATTCAATTATATGTGGAATTCTAAAGAATTATCTCTTCCACCCTTCCCATCTCTCAAAATTGGCCGTATCCAAGCCGAACAGATCCAGCATTCGTCCAACGCTGTGATCCACCAAGTCATCGATTGACGAAGGCTTAATGTAGAAGGCTGGCACTGGCGGAAAGATGATAGCACCAGCCTGTGTCGCTGACATCATGTTCTGGATGTGTATTGAGCTAAGAGGAGTCTCTCTAAGAGCCAGAACCAGCCTGCGACGCTCTTTGAGAATCACGTCCGCAGCGCGGGAAATCAGATCATCGCAAACCCCAGAACTGATCACTGCGAGGGTCTTGACGCTGCATGGTACAACAACCATTCCATCGACGCGGAACGAGCCACTGGCTATCGGTGCCGCCATGTCATGGATATTGTAGACGTGGTCAGCCAAGGCACGGACATTGGCGATGGTATAGTCCGTTTCATATTTTATTGTCGCCTCAGCCCATTTACTCATGATGAGATGGGTTTCCACGTTCATTTGCCGGAGTGTGATGAGGGTTTTGATTCCTAGGATCGATCCGGTTGCGCCTGTGATGGCAACTATCATTTTTTGTCGTCGGGGAGGCTTGGATTCGCCTTCTGAAGATGATGGATGACTGTATGTGCGAGACTTGAAAATGTCCATGGTGGTGAGATGGAAATAAAATGATACAGAACAGACTTTGGAGTTATAGGTTGACTGAGTGTTGCGGGGTATTTTGTATACAAAACACCGTTGAGAATAGAGCTTGGGACAAAGCCCCAATTTGGAGAAGCATTCTCTGCGGACCTTTCGGCGGCCGGCCAGTTCCGATGTCGTCATATTTATTTGTAGTGTCAGAATAATACTTGTCTGCGTCCAGACTGCAGTTCATGAACACAAGCCTCTATGCCGAGAGGTGCCGGCTATTGGATTGCGGGGAAAAAGCGCCGATCGATGAATGCTGCCCCAATTTGGAGGCAAGAATGCTGGTATATACAGACCTCATGGCACTCTGTGATGAAATAAATCCATAAGAAAGGTCGACCATTCTTGCTGCATTACTATTTCTCTCACAGGATCCTATAATGGAAGTAACTCCAGCCAAAGCGGTATCTGCCGCCCAAGACTTTCGTCAATTTGTCAAGGAACTTGAAGACGAAAATGACCTCAATGTTATCACCAAAGAAGTTGACCCTCACCTGGAGCTTGCTGCCATCACCCGCAGAGTCTACGAGATGGAAGAAAGGGCCCCGCTCTTCGAAAACATCAAGGGACGAAAAGGCAGTGGTCTTTTCCGCATCCTTGGGGCACCCGTGGGGTTGAGTCGCAATCCAGGCCGGAGGTTTCGGCGAATTGCCAAATCCTTCGGCCTTCCTTCTACCGCAACAGGGGAAGAGATCATCAGTATTCTCAATGCATGCAAAAAGAAGCCGCCGTTGCCCCCTATCCACGTTTCGCCTGACAAAGCCCCAGTGAAGCAGTACAAGCTCTTTGGCGACGATATCGACATGAATGCTCTCTCCGTCCCTCTCCATCACGACGCAGACGGGGGTAAGTTCTTGCAGACTTTCGGCATGCATATTGTGAAAACCCCTGATGGACGATGGGTGAACTGGTCCATCACTCGCGGAATGGTTCATGATAAACGCTCTCTTGTTGGCCCCGTCATTCCGAAGCAGGATATCGGCGTGATATGGCAAATGTGGAAAGACAAAGGGCAGGATATGCCGTGGGCGCTTTGCTTTGGTGTCCCCCCGGCTGCTATTATGGTGAGCGGCATGCCGATTCCTAAGTGGACGGATGAAGCTGGGTTCGTGGGTGCTTTGTCTGGTAAACCTGTGGAGCTGGTCAAGTGCGAAACGAATGATATCTATGTTCCTGTCAATGCGGAAATTGTCTTGGAACGTCGGTAGTTTTTATCCTGGCTAAACAAGATATTACGTAGTTTTGCTAACAGTCAAACTGGCGAAAGGCGTTGTATCTACTACTGAGGTTGCCCCTGAAGGTCCGATGGCGGAGTATCACGGTATGATATATCCGGGAGAAGCCAAGAACAAACCTCTCTTCAAAGTGAACGCGATTACACACAGATATGATCCCATCTTGCCACTATGCGTGGCTGGAAGAGCGACCGAAGAGAATCAAACTGTGTGGGGGATCATGCAAGCCGCCGAGGTGCTGAACATCTGCCAGGCCGCGAATCTACCGATCAAACTAGTCTGGTGTCCCTTTGAATCTCACTGTCTGTGGTTCGTCCTCCAGGTTGATCGGGAGAAGCTTCGAGCCTTGAACACAAACATCCCCGATTTCAGCAACAGGATCGGCCACACTGTCTTCGGCTCGAAGCCTGGATGGTACATTCCGAAACTCTTCCTCGTAGGCGATGATATCGACCCCACCGACCTCCGAGACGTTATCTGGGCTGAAGCTACACGCTGCCAACCATCAACCAATGAGTTTTTCTTTGAGGAATATGGAAACATTCCCCTGATTCCGTACGTTGGACATGGACTTCGGCCTGGGCGTGGCAATCACCCAAAGGTTGTTCGCTGCTGCATGTTTCCCAGCGAGTTTGTGGATAGAGAGCTATCCTGGAAAGAAGGGTCTTTTCGAGGGCCCTACCCCGTTGAAATCCAGGAAAAGGTAATAGACAACTGGAGTGCATATGGATTTGGCCAGGAGTGAGAGAGAAGGCAGGGAAAATTTCGGGGTGGAATGAGAAGTCTAAACAGTTCTCGCATGTTGTTTATCACTTAGCTACTTCATCCATTTCATAGTGGTCGGAAACTAGCTTTTGATTTTTTACAAATAAGTTCTATAAGTTTAAATCAGACATTTATTATGCTTTATTATACAGACAATTGTAGAACATGTTTTACTTAACAACTTGATAACCGATATCTTGACATGTCGAGTAAATGCGGGACTAAAGTTACACAATGGGTCCGGAATTGCATCTCTGGATATTTTTATTTTAGTACAGTATACATGTAAGACTACTAAATCAATCGAGGTCAAGCAGCTCCGGAAAAAATGGGCCTAGCATGTGCTATGGAAATCTTTCTATCCAGTCTAAACAAGTATATAAGCTTAAGCTTGCTCAAGCCTATGCCTGGCTGATAGCATGCCGTATCACCTGCGCGACATTTTGAGGCATACTGATATTGGGCATGTGCCCTGCGTCCAGGAAGAATGTCGATACTTTTTTCCCACTCTCGTATTCAATCTCTCGCACTGTTTGATGCTGAAAGTCAGGCGGCACCGCCATGTCCTTCTGACAAATGATGTATGCCACGGGAAGATAGTTATATCCTGGATAGGTAAGGGGCCCGCCAAAGCTCAAGGCCGAATGGTATAGCATCTTCTTTGCCCAGACTAGTCCCTCTTCGTATGGCAAATCGCAGAATGTTATCTTTGCGTTACCCCCGGGGACCAGAGACATGAATTCGCCCTGGAAGAAGTCATGTTAGCCTCAAGTGGGACTGAATCGGTAGTTCATGAGAAGTTGGGAATCAATCACTTCAACATTGATGTAGTCCGGCAGTAGGTCTCCCATATTATCCTGCAATGAATGGCCGGCCCGTGGCACAATGCACGCCATATATACCAGCTGTATGATTCCACCTTTCTGACCAGAGGCCTGCCGTTCGGTTCTCGACAGTCCTTGCGAACACTCAGTGGCAACAATACCCCCATAGGAGTGTGCTACTAGAACGATCTCCTTCTCTTGATGCGCTAAATCCGATATAATCTGACGAAAGTATGTCGAATCGTCTTGCATTGTGGCTGCTTTTCCAGAGGGCTCAAGGGCTGTGGACTGAAGAGTACCAACGACAGTCTCGAGCCCATGGTCCTGCAGAGCACCTGAGACAGCGGAGTAGAAAGATGAAGGGCAAAAGGATGCTGGAACAATGACAATTGTTGGTGAAGATGGTGTGTTTTCCATTTTTCTTCGCGTAATTGGCTGGATTATTTATTTTTTACGGCGATGCTAACAGAATGGAGTTACATTCAAGTTTATCGTGGGGACTGCCTGGTATACTGTTATTTCTTAAACGCCGCTTCATAAGGAGGGGTAATGAACCCCTGTAAGAATAAAAACTTCGGTATCACTTCGGAGAGTCCGGATGCATGAAACCCAATCGAGTAAATAAATGTTGGCGAAATTACCGCTATATTGCCGATTCCGTAGGAATAGTGATAATCCACGATTTGGCCGGTATTCAATTAATCCATGGTATACAGCGCTTCTCAACCCTAATTAGCTTTATTATTTAGAGATTGCCCTTACCACTAATAAGATAAATATTACTTATAAAAGTACTGCTTTATTTACTGTATTTAGACTAGTTTTAGGGCTTCAGATTAGCTATATATATGCCCTCATACTCATATAGATAGAAAAACCAGACCTTATTCTCTTGATACGGCAGACTAGCGTGCAAACTGCAATAACTCATTTTCTTGAAGACATCAAGCTGCCTTTACTTCCGCCCTTCATTTAATGTAGTTAATCTAGTATTTTAATAGAATATTACTATCTCTATCGCTTTTCTTTATGAATAAATAATATATCTAGGAGGTGAATAGATTTTTATTATTTTCTTCTAATTTTTATTCTACAATATAGGTGGTTATCTAATATAGTAGTTTATCAGTCAGAATTCCTAGGGCAGTCAGTCACTTATCCATATTCCGATGATGATGATGATGGAACTATACCGTTCCTCCTAATAGCTCCTATCAAGGAGTTTCCGAATCTAGAAATGCTGAAATTGATCGTTGAGTCATTCCACGCTGATGTTAATGCTCAACCATACTCAATTGATGATGACGCCAATGTCAAACCAGAAGCCACTGCATTGCATAATCTAGCTAGAGGTGAACATTTGTGGCAGGCAGAAGGGATGGAATGTTCACTTCAACGCGGGGCGAATACCGAGTTGGTCGATGAGGATGGGTCTACTCCGCTCCATATTGCTGTCAAGGGAGAATATCGGGCTTCAAAACTGTCGAGATTCTGCTGAAATGTGGCGCGAACCCAAATGTATTCGACAAGAATAGAGAGTCGCCTCTGAATCATACTGGTGAGAAAAATGGAATTTCCCAATTCCGTATCGAATACGGAGCATATTTCAGTCTAGAAGAATCACTGTCTCCTTGGATGCTATGAGTATCGAACAGGAGATCTTCATAATATGTTTGTTTATATAACGCACAGGTAGAGGCTGGAAATTCGATTGATGACGTGCATAATCTAATTGTGTGTTCTTTTCTATTTTACTTCTTTACTCAATTAGATCAAAGGGCCGATTTGAAGTCGACCATTCTATCTTCGATCTGGAATAGACAGTCCGGTGGGGTACTCTGATTGGACATCGGATCCACCGGAAGGCCTACTCTTTCCAGTAAGACCCTCCGACTGCTTCACTTCTCACCCCAACTTCCACATGGACTCAAGCCAAACAACAATGCAAGCAGGTACAAAGACAGTCGAGGATATCAACACCGTATCCGAATACCTCAGCAATCCTGATCTATCTACCCTCTCTGCAGCTGATTGCATCGTCATCTGCGCTTCTGCCATTCTCCACCAGGCTGAAAATTTATTCCAAAGCCTTCAAACCAATCCATCTCTCACCAAATGCCTGGTTCTATGCGGTGGGATTGGCCACTCAACCCATTATATCCATGAGGCTGTTGCCAATCATCCCATATTCTCGCGCATCGCTGGCGATGTCATCGGCCTGTCTGAAGCGCGCGTACTAGAGAAAATCCTCAATGAGTTCTTCGATACAGACACCATCACCAGTCACGGCTGTCAAATTCTAGTCGAAGACAAATCAACAAACTGTGGCCTCAACGCCTCTCTATCTCGAAATGTCCTCGATAAGGCAGGCATCCATCCAACCACATGCATCATCATCCAAGATCCCACCATGATGCGTCGGACCATCGCTTCTTTCAAGAAAGCGTATGAAGATGTCATTCATATTCCTGAATTCATCGGATACCCAGTCTTCGTTCCGCGTATGACAGTAAAAGATGTAGTTTTGGCGTATGATGACTCAATACCAACAGCTTTATGGCCGCAGAGTCGGTTTCTTGAGTTACTTATTGGGGAAATTCCACGACTTCGAGATGATGAGAATGGATATGGTCCGAATGGAAAAGGATTTATTCCCCATGTTGAAGTTCCACATAGAGTTGAGGAGGCGTGGATGCGACTGCGGGGTGTTTCAGATGCTACGAGATAAGTCTATGGAACAGACCAGTTCTGCTTGTCTGTTTAGATATTGTATCTTAAAATTATGTTGATATGAAGCTCAAATGTAGGACATAGTTCGCTAAATACTATACTTTTCCTTTCATATCAGGCTAAAATTAAGGGAAGTATTATGGTTGTCATTAAATAAAGCCAAGAGTATGAGTCAGATTCTATATATAGTAACCCTTATATATGTTACTCAGCACAGAATCAATAATCATCATAAAAACAGAGATATAAGCTAAGATTAATCTCTAAAAGGTGATAGTTTTGTGTGTATCATGTATGTAACAAATCATGCACCTCTCATGAGAGACTACCGACCTGTCCGAACCCACTTCAATCTGCATCTACATGGTATGAACTATCTCTACATGAATAAGATTATAACTAACCATCGCAGGGCGATGGTATGGCTCGTTTAACCCCCCTGGATCCACAGATCCGCAAATGGAGGGTCGCGACTTCAGTGTCATCAGGCACGCACGAAGGGAAAGAAGCACCACCGGCTGGGATCCAATTGATGCGCCTGTCTTTCCAGATAAAACCTTTGCTCACGCCTACACGATCGATCTTGATGCTGATCAACTAACGCGATACGAGCGGGGCAGGGAGCCTCCGATCGACCGATTCCCCCTGTCAGCCGTCCATGATGAAGATGATCTGCAGAAGCCGTGGGCGTTTAACCACCAGACTGTCCCCGTTGACATCTATAACCAGAAAGTTGAGCAACCTCCTGTGCCGGAGACATTGCGGATTAGATTCAATCCACCAACCTGGCAGCATCAGCTTCAGTATGAAATAGCGACGGATTTCATCTATCAGTGGAGAGAGATGATTGATGACCCTAGCACATGGCTGTATCCCTCTGATGGGTTCAAGCAATTGGCCATTGCTCTTCTCCGGATCGCAGCGTGGGAGCTCGAGGTGGAACCGAGGACTCCCGGACCAGACGAGGCTTGTTTCGAATCCCAGCTTCTAAGTATCACGAGGCCGCATTGGGACTATCCATCCCAGAGCGTATTCTGGTTCCATGGCGTTGTGATCGTGTTTTGTCTACGGTTAGATAGAACTGAGCCGGTTGAGGAGGCCATTCGACAGGCCCAAGAGTTCCTTGGTGTTGATCGTCAGGGTACATCTCACGTCATTCTCACCTCTCTTCGTCATGTCGCTTTCATGAAGATTTCCCAAGGATCTGTTTCATGCTCTGCCGTGTTCCCCTTAATCACCAACACATCAGCTCAGAAGCCCTCCCCAGGCCTTCGTGCATTGGTGCATGTGCTATCTCCATTCACCTGGAAAAAGCCACTGAGCCTCAGCGGAGAGCGGTGGGGGTTCCATCTGCCACTGGAGATCATCGAGATGATTCTTCACCATCTCGGACAAAGGGAGCTGGCCTTATTCCGTCAGGCGTCTTCTATAGTTGACAGATGCTACTATTCGATGATACCAAAACCGGCCCCTGACTTTCCTGGTCTCCATTTTCCAAAACACGAATTCATATGCCCTGTCTGTTTTGAAGGAAGCTATGATCTTGACATAGTATGCTGCGTATCATGTCTCGAATGGCATCCTAACTGCACGTGGCATGAGATAGCTAGCGATGAGTACAGATGCATATTGTGCAAAAGAAATGGCTCGCATCCAACACTCGCCCCAGGCCGAATTCAACAAAGATCCTCTCAGCCTAGAGCGATGCCTGACTCGAACATCACCATTAACGGACGTCATTTGAAACTATGTCCGCTCAGGAAGCCTCTCCCTGAAGGTGTGTCTTATCCAGTGATATCTATGATCGAACAGCCCATCCAGTATAAGATCCAGTTCAGTGGTGTGTTTTCCGGTGTTGCGTATCGATTTGCAAATATAGGACCTCGGTCAAAATACCGACATGGGCGCTGGGCGAATAGAATATAAATTTGCCAAGTGACGCTATTGTACTCAATACACCGGTGCTTTATTGTATATAAAGTCTAGTGCACACTAGGCAAATTTCCGTCCATACATTGTAACATCGCATGAATAGACTCGACATCATCCCGAACATGATATGCCTCTTGAATAGGGTGATCAGGCGGGCCACGTGCAACAACTCGATCATCCCTAGACTTGCCCGCACGATACTCATAGAATCTGAAATAAACCCCATCAATATCCAGTCCCCAGCAGCTTCTATTTTCCGTATTCAAATCCCCAATCTCCTTATCTCGCTGCTCTTTATGAATTTCTGCTGTATCTGGCGTTTTTATAAGCACAAGGAGATGATCCCATCGCCGTCTACCCTGAAGCTGTTCGCCATTAACCCGTTGAACGAGAAACCCATTCAGCTTGCCGTTTTGGTGTCTTCGTGGGAGGACTATATAGCCTTTGGATGGTGGAAAGTAGTGGTTGACGATGCCGGAGACGACTGCGTTGAGGGAGTTTTCATTGTTAGGATTGGCTTCGAGTCGATGGATGAATGCATTGATGATGTCGAATAACAGGTAGTGTTGCATTTTGTGATCAATAATAATGAGATAGTGCGTTAAAGGTGATGTGATAAACGTGAGGTTGAATGGTCTGCACGCGGGGTCAGCCTGGAATGTGGGGATCCAATCAAGACAATGCTTGGCTGTCAGACAAGATGCAGTGGAATGGGGATATTAATATTCTAGGCCTGGCCATACAGTATATTGCTTTTATTTCTTTGTTGTCTTATTGCTGCCTATAGGGCCTGGCCATCTTGTGTTTACCCCTGTCTCAAATCTCCATTCACTGTGAATTGACTGTTCGCTTCTCTTGTCTTCTGTTTTCTTCTCGCTTTCCACTCGATCTTCTTCTCTTTTACCCCAATTCTCTTTTGATCCTCTCCACTCAATCTATTGCAAACCCTTTGAACTCAATCAAGATGGACTTACTATCCGACTCCTCCAGCCTACCCCCCAAAGGCGAAGCTGACCCCTTCCTGGTCGCTTCCTCCCCCGGTGATCGCGCATCAGTCCACCACGCCTTCAGCCAGGGCCAGTTCGAAGAGCTCAGACCGGCAGCGTACAACAAGACGTGGATCATCAGCGAGCGATTCTGCCGCATCGGCGACTCCGTTGACTCCTTCGAGCCCATCCTCCACAACCTCTGGTACATCTACTACCAAGGCGGCAGATACCTCTCCCACGAAAGCTCCGAGCATGACAGGCTCGTGCTCGACGTCCTGCGTACTCGCGGACGAGGGCCTCTCACCAGACTCGCACCCAGTGGGTGTGGTATTGACATTGCAAGAACCCCCGCCGGGGCGCTCTGGAATGACCTCCCCTATCTCGTGGCGGACATGACTGAGTTCTGGGTCAACGACTGCGCGACGATGGAGGTGGCCCAGCGTGTCAATTTTGCTTCTTTCCTAGCTAAACTCGCGTCAACCTCCATTGACAAAGATAGACTCTGTCAGATCGCCCTCCTCGTTTTCCGCGAAACCTTCGAAAACGACCGTCGCTCCCTAGGAAGCACCAACGAACCTGTCGACGACAACCCCGGTCGCACAATGCACGATCTCTCCATCGCCGCCTTGCTTCCTGCTGCGTGCGCCTGGTTCCGCGAAGCGGGGTACAACATCCTCCTCCTGTCCGATGCGTGCTGGAACGATACCTCCCCTAGTATTGGGCAGGGAGGGAAGGCATTCATCGAGTCCGAGCTGGGTCAACGCGCCCCTGCTGGATTCAGTCCGTGGAGATGGATGTACTGGCTCAAGCGACTTCATGAGATTGTTGATGAGGCAGGAAAGGAGGGAGATAAGGATCTGGCGGAGCTCGGGATTGATGCTATTGAGATTATGCTGGGTCATGTTGAGGAGAGAAATTCCAGGATCCTTCGGGTGTTTGAGGGTGCGACTGATTTGCAGAAGGATGAACACTTTGTGGGTTTGAAGAAGTTGCTCAAGGATGATAGCGAGGAGTGATTATTCTTCTGACTCCTTAGTACGCGTTAATAGGCCTTTGGTACTCAGGTCAATACAAACCAGCTTTATACATTTCAATCCTCCACGTAAATAAACTTATATTCCCTAACAAGCAGACATGTTGAATATCCGGCTCGTGCTCTGCGAAAACGATAAATACATCATCATAAACACCCTTCTTATCCGTCCCATGCAGCAGACAATCGCAACCCCCTAGTTACACTGACAGTTACTGTTATAACTATCATAAAAGCAACTAGCACCATCTTTACCACACTATATCTTCATAAGCCATACATCCACTATATCCGAAGGAGGAAGAAATACCTTCTTAAACTTGCAGTGGCAGAAAGTCGTTTTACCACCTTGTCCCTTGAATTTGCAGGAATTATCTTTCTTGGAGCATTTCTATGAGAATTGTTAGTATCTTGCTTTAGTCTCGATGAACTAGTACATACTCCGTCGTATTTGATCAAGACACCCTGTTCAGCTCGGGCTTCTACAGTGTTGGGCTCGACGGGTGTTGCTGCTGCCAGAGCAGTGAAGAGGGCAATTCCGAAGGAGGCGAGCGAGATGATCTTCATGGTCACGGTAGATTGGATTAGTTTCAATGTAAGAATATCTTGGATGATTGTCTGATGATGCTATGAAGCTGGGTCGAGTGCTGCCTTATATAGACGGTTCTGCCTTGACTATCAGATTCCAGAGCCCTATAGCCATAGATATAGTGGTCAGACGAGCGATAATACACAATTCATCATGAGACTCCAATTGCCATCGCCGTGGCTGAAATCCCAACATGCCACCATTACTGTATGAAGACTAAATCTGGTCAACTCTCATTTCCAACGTCAGAGCATATTGCTCAACCAAGAGACAGACCTCTGTACTACTCAATCCACCTGGTCCAGCAGAGCCGCATTGGGGTAACGCAGCAAGGATAGGTGGTGAGTGAGATCAGCTGTTCAATTGCATACTCATTGATAAATGTAGGTTACATCCATTATCCAGTATATTGCATCAATGTATGAAGATCCTATTGGACTAGCACGGAATTTCCAGACTAGGATGTTCTGACACTGCATATACGAAGCTGAACTCGCCATTTGTATTGAGGAGAAGGTGATATTCACGCCTTAGTCTTGCTATCTACTGTTTACATTCTCTATAATCTTTCCAAGATTCAATCTCGATAGTTCACAATAAACCTTCGCGGCAGGAAAACTGTAAGATAGTAGATAATAGCTTGTATATTTGTCACACTTCATTCTACGCAAGTCCCAATAATTAGATCCTTCTAGGCTTTTGTTATACCAAGGACGATTCAGAGTCAGCGTAAGCAGAACATGCCACTAAGTTCAGATCACAGGGCTGACCAAAACCCGGTCTGTGCTTGCTGATCAGGGGTTAAGCATGGTCCAATCACAACGTTGGAGGTCAGTCCAGTTGAAGATCTAGAAATTGACCCCGCATTGTAGAACACAAAACATGCATGTATCTCTATTAAGATAGCCTGTTTATAGAAGAACCCATGATTGGTGGGGTAATAAACATCAGCCTGATCGTCGAAGATCATTCCCCGCCAAGTGAGACATGACATAGGACAAGACTGGCTGTGGGAATATTATGCTTCCCCAATAGACTGCATCCACCTATATAATTCAACAGACTTTGTCTGACGTGAGATAGCCTAATACCTAGAAAGGCGTATTCTCATGTCTCACTATGTAGTATTTCCAAATTCCTTATCTTAGTCGTCACACCCGGCCTTGCATTCTATTGAATAAACTTCATTACTTGCACTGCGCGTGTTATCTTAAGCATAGTAAAAGCTATATCACTCCATATAAGATTGTCCGTTTTTACTATTATTTTTGTCATTATTATTTCACACTTGCATCTGTCAGCCCTAAGCGCTGATTGGTCACAGGTCACTGCGGGGTGGCCGGAATAGTCACGAGACTACATACGTACAAATACATTAAGTATTCAATGGAAAAATACCCTCGTTGCTAAGAAACCACTTCATTTAGCGTTTGGATATCTGATGTGGTAGATAGTCAACTATAACTAAATCCTACAACCTAGCCGTAGCTAGTCTGCTGCCTGATACAGCATCGGAGAACCGATATCAATTCTAAGGATCGAGGATCCACTGGTAATTTATCGCCTATCAGTTTAGGTATACCTACAGTGTCGAGGGCACCTACAAGCGCACCAGGGTAGCAGGTACATCAATGAGTATCTTGTACGGTCTCGTGGGCTTCCCAACCTATGAAAATCACACATCAGGCTACCCAAGGAACTGGCCTACTATGCACCAGAACCCTCTATGATCAGAACTACCCCATGCGCAGTCTTTATACACCCTACCTGTAGATACCATCAAGGTCGACACTAAAATCCCTCAACCTCTAATCGATTACCCACATGAGACTAGCTGCACAGCCATGGGTGTAATTCTGAGGGGTACTCACTCGAAATGCCCTTATTATAAGGTATTCTTTTCCACATCTGGGATAGACACTGACTTAGCTAGCTGATCAGTTAGTTGGCAACCGCCTCCGGTCTATGCGACGCTTTGGGGGACTCTTGAGGGTTAGTATCATATGCCAACAGCCCATAATTGAATAATATTGAAATCGGGACTAGATCTGCCACATTGCCTCGAGTAACTAAGATACAAGTGGCCTTTGCGGGGAGCTGATCTGGAAAAATTGTACCCCCACCCCAACACACTCGGGAGCCTGTTCGGATGATCTTGCATGATTGGGTAATTCTAAGTCTGCTTACGGCAGAAGAGCCCACTCACTTTTTCTCAGATACTGAGGTTTGCATGTCCATAACGGGTCGTGGTGTTTGTTTTAAGCCCGACGATTAACCGGAACAACAGCACCAAGTCGAACGCGCTAATGCAAAAAGGCTACTGCGCTAAATTGTGGTGGACCACGCCAATCACTCAGGTTCATCTGTGATTTATACCACCACAAATATTTTCGCGCCCTGTAAGTGTACTGCATAGCTAGATGTTATGTTGAAGGCGCTATTAAACCAATTTAATAATTTCCTTGGGGCATAGGTGATAGAGTGGTAAGTGTCAGGTGCCGATCATCACTGCTCCACATCCAAGCTTTTCATTGAACACAGGTGTGACTATCATACAGTAGCGCCGCAGAACCCGCTCCCAAGCCCCCATTACAAGTCATGGAACCCGGCCATGCATGGCCAAGAGGCTGATTCGGCGCTACGAAATCATCCCCAAAGCCCAAAACTAGCAACCAAGGTTTGAGCCAGCGGGAAGCAGCTCGGCCCGTGCCGTCATGATTTACAGTGTATAAAACGGGCTGTCACGAGCCCTGTTTACTTTGATCTATATAAGTCTTCGCTATTCAGATGTGTGTAGAATATTTCTAAACTTTGTTATCCATGGCTGGTTTTTACACGACAAACTAAACTACCTGAATGCGTTCATTTGCTATAGCGCGGGTTTACTGTGGTTATCGGATGCATGGTTGGCCTATGTTCCACCCACAGAGATCTGCATTTCGGGAGAAATCTCAATGTGAAACACCTATTGGACAGACAGTTCATAGTGGGACTTGAACCAGATCGACAAACCGACCGACCCAGGTGCACTGCTTTATTAGATCTTCTTTTCAGCGGGTAAACGGGTGCAGGGCCCGGCTGTGGAGGACACTAAACAAAAACCTGATCTCCAGGCCCTAAACTCGGCAAGTAGTGGGTTTCGGAAGACCAATCCACACTAGTTGTATGACTTGTACTGGTCCTGTAGCTGTTTGATTCGGTGTGGGTGCGCAAGCCTTAATATAGCTCCAAAGGTTTGTTCGAGGGTTCATCCAACTGATGAACGCCTGTAGCTGTGCTTTTGATTCACTTGAAACAAAATTTTCGGTAAAGCAGATTCGTATCTTAGATGTTTGTTCGTACCCCTGATGAGTATAGATACGGTCAAGAATACGTTTATGGTTAGATAGTATTAGATACCAACCTATTATCTATGGTGAACAACCAGTAAATGAATACACACCCATGTAGCAGAAATCCAATCTATCATAGACTCGAGAGAAAAAAAAATTTATTGTGTTTTCTATAATCCAAACCAGAAGCACCATTCACAAACAGCAAAGACTTCACATTCTCCACATCCTCCACGTTCCCTGACCCACATGTCCCAAAAACATGTCCAAAGAAAACGAGCTTCACATCCTCCACATTCCCCGCTCTCCTCAACTTCACAAAGATACATAGCGTGTACTCGGTACACGCAAATCATCTGCGGTGGGCTGGAATAGCACAAATCACGGGCGAGGGCGAATAAGCAGTAGAAGGTTTGTCCCGGTAGGTCCTGTACATGACACAAGGCGGCGACGGCCCATTTGGAAACCAATTCAACCCCTGACAGTGATTGTCATGACTGCAGGCATATAGACAATCTTGGTAACCCAGGTCGTCGGTCTTGTATCTAACCGTGCCCTTTGGTAGTGCTTCATTGCAGTATTGAGTAAAAGTAATGCCATCAATATCGACTTTCCCCTTGTGGACTGCACGGCATTTGAGGTAGGACTGGCAATTTTCGGCTGGCGGATCGGCTCGGGCGCCTGGAAGGGCACACCAGAGGGCGATGATAATGAGAATGAGGAATTTCATGTTGAGAGAAGTTTGATGAGGATAGGCAGGTTTCTGAAGAAAAATGTATTGGATTCTCGCAGGAAAAAGCTGTTCTGGTGGCTATTGTACAATGGATATCCTAGACCACTATTTATCGGTTTCTGCAGTGATCAAGGATTGCGAATTTCGGACTTCTTGCATCGGGCAGCAACACCTAACTGGTAGACTGAATCCATAAAAAGTCCAAAATCCAGCATTGGTTACTACAAAAGGTTGAATACCAGTTCATCCTAATCACCTCTCCTGCAGCGTCGATCTATGCATTAAAGTAAAGTGGCCATAGTACGAACAACAAAGCATGTAGCTAATAGTCAGGTTAGGTTCTTATCACTCCGTTGAGCGAGCAATCCAATTTCATGTCTATTATCGTATATACTCCACAGCTGCAGTGAGAAAATATCACAGTGCGGAACTCCGGTCAGTACTCGACTGAGGTGCACGACAACCAACATGTCTAAGCCACTTGTGCTGCTAGGCCATCACATAGTTCCGGTGCTGTTCTATATAGCCCCTCTTGAAGTCTGCTGAAAGTATTCATTCAACTGAAAATGTGATCGGCATGATTAATCTTCATGGAATTGATGTTTCAACAAGATCCTAGGTCTAGAATAGGCTATAAGTCATTGAATTATGTGACTTGGAATATATATAAATTCAAGGTAAAGATGATCTAAGAGTTTGAATATTGATAAGGCTGTACATCGCTTTATTTTTATGGGCTATGGGCTATGACATGAGTGGTAGATGTAAACCCACATCAAGCCTTGTTCCAATTTTCGTTCCAAGTTCTTGAACGCCCCATCCCTCGCGTAGTCTACTGACTATTAGGGACAGCCTGGACTGCGGAATACCCATTAAAACATGTGTACAGGCTCTGCTGGCAACTCATCTCAGCCCCGCTCCATTGAATCATTAAAAATGGATCATGGTAGTATGTGACCGGTTCTGTATGGCGATAGCCGTGGATATGATCATTGCAATTGCTCATGCAGGTAGATTGCAACCTTCTCAGGCTGCTGTCCCGTTCTCTGAGGCGTGAGGCGAGTGAGTTGTTAATCCTATGGTGCTATCAACGGAGGAGCGTGGCAACTGAGACATCCTTTGCTTGAGATTATCATCGAGGTGGGGATGAATACGCTACATTACGCATTCTGAGATGTTGTGAGCTTTACAATGGTTCGAGGCCTGACTGGGATCGACAACAGCGAGGATGTCTGTTTGCTAAGTGAACTGCTGAACTGGCTGAATTCAAGGACATAAAAGCAGCCAGATTTCCATGTATCTGTGGAAAGCATACCTCATCATTCAGAGCTACAAAGCCTTTCAAAATGGTGCGTTTGTTCACTAAATCTGCCTTCCTCCATGCGTTGGGGGCTTCGACCCTCCTATCTATGGCCCAGCAAGTCAACCAGGCACTCGGCCACACCTCCACGAGACGATACACCCTCGAGGACATTGTTCCCATGCTTAATGCAGACTCGGGGCAGTCCAAATGCTGTCCCATCGGCACCCAGTTTGATGGCACGGCCTGTGTGACCGAGGTTCCGGAATGTCCAAACGGCATGACTCTCCGAGGCAACACTTGCGTGGCTACCGTGTCACCCTCCTGTCCAGAGGGATCCGTCTTCAATGACAAGATCTGCCTCTCATCAACACCTCCCTCCTGTCGCCCAGGCTCTATCCTCAAGGGCAAGGTGTGTGTGAGCAGCCGAGCTCCGATTTGTCCTGAAGACTTGGTCTTCCACGACGGAGTGTGCCTCTCGCCAAGTCGCCCCTCCTGTCAATCCGAAACCTACGTCGACGGAAATAGCTGTGTCAGTTTGTCAAAGCCATCGTGCCATGAAGACAGTTACTTTCTCAATGGCGCCTGTGTCGTCACGGATGTGCCACTCTGTCCGGACGGGACTCAGTTTGACCCATCATCCTCAGCCTGCATCTCGCACGCCACTCCATCATGTCCGAAAGACACCGTACTTGTTGGTAAAACATGCGAGTCTCCTCCGTCCTGCCCGGTGTCCTTCACCTGGAATGGGCATCGTTGCCAGTCATCAGACCTGCCAACATGCGCACCAGGCAATCATCTTGTCAAGGGCAAATGCGTGACAATCAAGAAGCCTTTCTGTCCTCCTGGTCAAACTCTGTCCATCGACACCATACTCGGATCATCTCGGTGCTGTATCGACGGAATGCAGTGGGATGGACACATGTGTGTGTTCAAACCTCGTGGCTCGCAAGCATGCCCCCCAGAGACCAGTCTGGTGGCTGGACGCTGCCAAATGAGTTCGTCCCAAAAGCCGACTTGCCCGGATGGTACGAAGTTGAACGGCGGCTATTGTATTCAGCGAGACTCCCCGACTTGCCCTTCTGGCACCATCTTAGAAGATGGTGTTTGCACGTCCAACGAGCCTCCCTCTTGTCCTGTTGATACCATCATGAATGGGAACCGCTGTATTGCGGTGACTCCACCATCCTGTTCCCACGGTACCACCTTGGACGGGGATATGTGTACCGCCATAACACATCCACTTTGTCCACCTGGAGCAATCTTCGATGGCAAAGTCTGCCTAGCACCGGACCAACCGACATGCGAGAAAGGGGCAATGTTCGACGGCGATAAGTGCGTCTTCCCTGAGCGTCCCTCATGCCCGCATGGGACTGTCTTGAATGGCAGCTTATGTATCGCAATGGAAGACCCAACCTGCAGCCCAGGGAGCCACTTCGACGGCACTGGCGCATGTATTACTCCCGAGCGCCCAACATGCCCTCATGGAACTGCATTCAACGGAGTCGGATGCGTCACCAGTGACATTGCCAATTGTCCTCACGGCACCTCCTTCAACGGCAAAGGCTGTATCTCTCACCAGCCTCCTGCCTGCGCGCCAGGATATAGATACAACGGAGTTCAATGTATTGGCAAAGACGCCATCATTTGCCCCGCAGGTCTGGTGGTTCAGAACGACAAATGCGTGCACGTCAACCGACCCGAGTGTCCAGCCGGAAGCTCCTTCAACGGAAAGAGCTGTGTTGGAGACGAGCCTTCGTGCCCGGCCGGCACAGAATTCGACGGTGACTCTTGCTCTGCCGTCGAGGCACCGTCCTGCCCCGCTGGAACCGTGTACGACGGCAGACGCTGTGTCGCAGAGCAACCTCCCACCTGCCCCCAAGGCTCGACCTTTGACCCAGTGGAAAAGACCTGCAAGTTGACGACGGATCCAGATTGTCCCTCAGGAACGGTCTTTGACGGCATCAGTTGTGTTTTTGATTTGACGGATGGATGTATGGAGTTTCAGTGGTGCAAGGCCTTGCATGCGCCGCTGGTTTCTACCACTGCTGCCGCTTCCCCTCCCGCCCCTACCAAAGTTATCGTGAGCGCCTCTACCAGCATCACCGTCCCGATAACCGGAGGGGGCAAGGCCAGTGTTTCTGCTAGTGCCTCTACCACTGCCGACGCCAACGGTGATTCCAGTATCAGTGGACCCACCACCCCTTGTGTAGGGTGCTGATGCAAATACTAGAGCTGATGTCGATGTTGCACCGAATTGGTGTAGCCCACAGGAGGTGAGAAGCAGGAGTGTGATGGAATCAGGGTTTCGGTGGTGGATGCTGATTAACTGTGAACTATAATTGAGATAGTCAATTTTAGTAAATTCTCTAGGCAGCTTTATGTAGAGGCAGTCAAATTTATGTGGTTTTGAATTTGTACAAATGATCTAGTTCAAGTAGGGTACACGGCTATCTAACAGAGATCTTTTATTAAAATTTGTAACACAATCGTCCCATGTGGCAATATATATTGACTGCCGGTAGCCTATAGCATTAGTCAGCCACACCAGATCAAAGAATAGATATCAAGAATCAAGATACTCAACGTCTACTATTCATCAATAATAGTCTCATTCCAAATTAAAATGATGTTAATTTACTGACAGCCATCTTAATTCATCCACAAATCAAAAGCAAAAAGGCGCTAACCCAATTCAGACGAACTGATCTATTTCAGGTTCAGAAGAAACTATTCCCTAATCAGGCTAGACCCGGGATATAGCCGACAATGGGGCTGATACTGCCCTCTGATTGGACGGAAGGACTTATTTTTGTCGGTTTCGCCGAAGTCGACCCATTCAGCCAGTCAAGCTGGGAGTGTTAAAACTTCGATTTTTCTTCCAGAATATCACTTGCTTCTGCTATGTTCTCTGGCGGCATGATGCAGGTGTATGTCTGGGTGATACTGCTATGGCTGCAGCTAGTCCAAGCAGCATTCATCCGACGGGAAGACTGCAGTTCTACCCAAAACGCATTGGTCAACCCCATCTTTGAGCCGTTGACTCTAGGCGGTGGGCTCGATATAGCCGATGATTCTACGTCATTATGGCTGAAAATAATGGGCGATTACCATGGATCGGACTGTGAAGAGGTCGATGGTGCTTTTGCAAATGTTCTCGTCGACGTCAAGGTCCTTGGGGAGACGGTGGGTTATCAGTTTGAGTCGAATGCGAGCTGTCCGACTGTTCCTATTACTGGTCATTTTCGGTATGTTTAGCATATGATGTGTATAGACTGTACTGACCGTATAGGTATGATCCTCAAACGTATACGACATACCGGACTGCCTACTCCTTAGGCAGTGCATATCGACTCAGTACATTGGCAACCACTATCCGTGTCCGACTGAACAATGGTAGCGACGTCGCCTGCATGGCAGCCAACATTACGCCTGATCTTGGGCCTGTCGCATCTAACCTGCTCAAAGGGATTCCAGTGGCCATTCTCATTCTATCCGGCCTTATTTCGATGGCTTTAAAAACATCTCGCAGTCGATCGAGTATGTTCCGGTATGAAATCGCTAACAGCCAACGAGATCCTGTCGAGCCATTCCTCCCTGGTATCGGTGATTGTCTGCAGTATATGCAGTTTATCTTCATGGCTGGTTGTCTGACGCTGTCGTATCCTGGGTTCTTCAAGCCTATTGTTAGCCAGTTTTCGTGGTCGTCGCTTATATATGCGAATGGGCCTATTGCGCATGAGTTCCTCTATCCTGGCGTTCAGGACAATATCTATTCGATCAACGGAACATATGGACTTGAATTGATGGCGCAGGTACTGGGTGCGACAACCATGACGGATCTGTGGACAAACGCAACTATCAATCTGTCAGTGATGGTGCTCATCCTGGTAGTGATGATCCAACTCGCCTCGTTATTCAAGTGGATGTGGAGATTACTTTCGACACCCCAGTCGGGGAATATCGAAATGAAAGCCGACTTTCTCGCTCATATACAACATGCCGGATGGAGTGTTCTTCGAATGGTTCTGCACTATTACATCTTTCCGATCGTGACATTCTCGCTATACCAATCACACGTCGCCAAGTTCTTCCCCGTCTATCAGACTTTCCTCGCCGTCCTGCTTGTTTCCCTTCTAGCTGTCTCGTTGGGATTTGTGGTTAGGTATCTCGGTCTTCATGATAAGCAGAATCTGTTCTTCACGGAGAGTAGTCTACCTCGATCGTCGCAGAGTTGGCTTTCTGACGCTTTATACGGACTTCCGTTACTCCGAGGGATCATCATCGGTGGGCTGCAGATATCTGGGATTGGGCAGATAGTAGCTCTGGCTATTTGTGAAATTGCTCTGATTGTTGCTCTGTTTTCCCATCGATATACGTCGCCTGTCTGGAAGGGTATCTCCATTGCAGTGGTGAGATTAACCACGATTCTCATGAGTTGTGCCTTTCTCCCGTCTGTTGGACTGAGTGAGGGCACGAAAGGATACGTGGGATACTGCATTCTATCCTTCCACGCAGCTGTTTTAATATTTGGTTTCTTCGCCAACTCCATCTTGAACGTTCTAAAACTCGTCCTGAGAAGGAAGAATATCCTCGATCCGCATTCTGTTGATCCAGAAGATAGACCTCCAGTATTCGGACTGGATCAGCTATCTCGACGATCGAAGCGAAATATGAGTTTCTCGCATCTGCCTGCGTTGAGTCCTGGTATTTCATCCCCATCTATACAGTAAGACGAAGCTAATTAATAGACCCCGCCTGTATCCCACACCATTCTGTACGAGGATCATCTGAAGAATCCCACTCCATGGATGGACACTTCTACCGACAGCCTCGATCGAGAAATTATACGTCCATGTCTCCGTCTGAAGCGACGGGGACTGTGGAGTCTATCCCGTCTTCCTCGGACACGGAAAGTCGTGGGTCGACCGAAACAGACTTTGAAGAACGGCGGTCAGACGTCGACTATTCCGTTCGTGAAGCAGATCAATATTACCGTCGACGAGAAATCGTCATGGGCTCGTCTGAGCCACCACGAGAATCAGATACATTCTCGCGTTGGCGACCGAAGAAGGAAAAAGGATTTGAAGTCGTACGATCCAGCAGTTGAAGTAAGGTAATTAATTGTTTATTCATATTAAATCAGGGGTATATAACTATGCAGTAAACCGTAACATATCACTGCTATCTAGTAGAATAAAAGATTCATAACGCATTCCCTTCTCTGTTCTTCCCAGTGAAGTTGTGATATTCCTCGATACGCCCGTCCAGCCGTCAATCAGGGCTCGCCAGTAGCATGCTTCTGCGGCTGGTGTGAGGTATCGTTCTCGAAACGTGTTGACGCTGTTGCTTGCGATGCGCTCTGCCTGGCGGGGATCGGTGAGGAGGTATTCCACCTTTTCTGGGAGGTCGGAAAAGTCGCGCTCGACTTCGACGTAGTTCTGGTTCGGGCCGGAGGGGATCATGAGGTAGTGGTGGTGTTGGATGAATTGGAGGCGATGGGCGAAGATGACGGATTTGCAGGCTTGTCGGTATTTGAGTGAGGCGGAGTATGAGCGGCCTGTACATTATTAGTATGTATGAAGTTGTAGATGTATATTGAGATAGACTCACCCTCGACATGCGCGATGAATTTATACCGACAGTGATCCTCCATCGACAGATAATTCTCCTTATTCTGCCACACCAGCTCCTTCACATCGCCCCAGGGCTGATTGCGCGAGACTTCGAGCAGCGAACGGCGCATCTTCGGTGCGAAGCTCAACTTTCCCCTCCAGACGAGTTTATCCTCCTTTGCTCCCCACGACAGCGTCTGTTCGTCATGTCGAATGCGATCAGCGATCCTATCATACGGCCCGATCTGATTGTCCACATTGCCGTTACTCCACGCCCACAGCCCAAAATCCGGAATCAGCCAAACCGACTCTTCACTCGGACGTCGCGCAAGAATCCAAAGCGGATGATCTGGCCCCGCCACATCGTCGAGTTTATCCTCGATTGAAAAGACAAATTCCGTATTCGGGATGGCCATGCTATCTGGCGACGCGACGAGCGCGCGATGAATCGAGCTCAGCGTCGCGATGATCTTCCGTCGATGGTCTTCCCCTTTCGCGCGGATGGCGAGAACATGTAGCTCGCCCTGGAGGATGGCCACACGTGCCATTCCGTTCAGGAGGTTAATGTCGTCCAGATCATCCATTGCGATGCCGTTGCGCGCTTGCCAGAACGCGCGGGCGCGGTGGATATCCTCGAACAAACCGGGGAAGAAAGACTGGCATTGCGCGGCGGGGAGGGTGAGGTTCTTAGCGTCGTAACGGGCGTTATAGGGTCGTGATTCGGGGGAGGAGGTGGCCAGGGTCGTCGAGGGGCATGATAAACAGGAGGAGCACTGGAATTGGGCGGTGGTTTTGCAGGCGCAGTGGCCGGCGGGGATGAGTTGGTTCAGGTACGGGTGGACATTATCGTTGTCCGAGTTGACGGCGAACCAGAGGGTGTAGACGATGAGGCCGACGGTGACGCCGATGGTGATGATGAGGTAACGGGTTCGGTAGGTGGAGGCGAGCTTCTGCGCGTTCAGTTTGTATGCCATGCCCGTGCCCATTTTGCTGACATGATCAATCGAAGATGAATCAAAGATAAAATAGTGTGGGTGGGAAAAGTGGGATTGGCCGATTCATATGTCACTGCGCCTGAGGCTCATAATTTTGGGTCGTTCGTGTTTGGCCCTGCATGACAGGCTGTGAATCCTTCCATGTGCTGATCTCAACAGACCAACTGTGCCCGGGGAGCTTCGCAGTAACTCCACTGGGAAGGGATCAGAGAGTGGATCAACGCATGGGAGTTTGATTGCCCATCCTGACTCAATGGGACGACTGGGAGTTGCCCAATGCGGTAAGAGATGGACAGCCAAGGCGGAGAGCAATGGGGGCGGTTCCAGGGCCGGAGCGCCTGTGATTGGCTGGGGGAGCGCACTAACAGGAACTGCCTCGACTCAGCCTTGTTGGGAAGTGGGATATCGTCATTTCATGTGATGATCTCATCTATAAGAATAGATCAATTAAGAATAAGAATAAGCATAAGAGAAGATGAAACATGTATACACAGACAGTAAGCAGCTAATGCGAAGGAGTGATAACAAGACAAAAAGGATTCATCCTGTCTTTGGCAGAATGAAGCTATTCAAGCTAGATCCTTGGCAACAACCCGGTAGCCTGGCAGGATTGCTTAGTCCTTCCAATCTATTTGATATTGCGAGGCTAACTCGTTTAGACTACTGTATCGACAACTTAGACTTGAAATATCTCACTGTCAAACACTGCTGACTGTTTATATATTGCAATATACCCTCTTAAACACACCGACGGATATTATTTCCCCACATATTAAAGTTGTGTGGTTCTGATTATCAAATCATCATCGTTTGTTTGGTCAATATACGATCATATGTTCTATCTTTGAATACTATAATAAGCACTATAAATGATCCTTCCCTATCGATATTGTAGCCTAGATGCAATCTCTCCATGCTATTGTTGCCTATTAATGTATGCACACGGATGAATTTTCATATTACTGCTATCCAAACAGGCTATATCATCGTCGACATTGCAATTTGATGATTCTGGGGTTACACTATTTAGTTACCATGGCAGGAACTAGGATAAGTGTCTTAGAGAAAGTTTATCAGTATCTAATTGAGGATACTAATTTTTCATCATCGTGATGTTGAGACATCTTGACAGAGAATGTTCATTTAATTATTCAGAGTTACTGAGAGACTACCAGACCATGCCATTCCAACGGAAAATCTAAGGTGGTTTTGTGACCTGTAATCATATATGGACCTCTAGTCAGTACTTAGCTTGATTGTATTCGTATGTTCTGATGTTGTGTCTGCTATACTAGTAGTATTAACCTTGAGAAAATGAACCATGTGATTTTATATATTGTCTATCATGCCATTGATTACACGACGTCAGTCATTTATTGTAATAGTTCTCAACTGTCAAATTTGTCCAATAATAAGCTTGATCCAGACTGCACCTGTCAAGATTGAATTTTTCTGATAGTAATACGAGGTAGTCTGAGTCATTCAAGGGACAAATTCGCATGTGCTATACAGCCTTGCATACAGAGGCCGTGTAGACGTCATTGCGTTGTGTCAAGTTTCTACCCCGCTTTTCGATGTGTTGGCGAGGCTGAACGGCAGAAATGAGGCTACGACTACTATTGCTTCGAAAGGGAAATTATATAGTAAGATTCTTTGCTGAACGTATCCTGTTTATCCATGTGCCAAGACCGTAGAAAATAGGGCTTGGATAAGTCACGCAATATAGGAACAATGAGGGAAACTAAACATCGACCAAGCAACAATAGATTGACATACAAAATGATATTCCGGCTGAAGCACTCCCCTCCTCAAAAATTCTCCTTCCGTACTAGTTGACGGATACATGCGCTTTCCAATCGCTCTCGGATTCATTTCTTCCACTAGTCTCAGACATCTGTAGATCTTCTTGGCTGGCATCACCTTTGGGGGCCAGGCAGCGCTTGCGAAGAGCCTACACATTGTCATCGCCCCAGCCTTGTGAGTGGAAGCGGTGGGAAGAGTTTTTCATCACCTTGATGCGGGTAAGTTGAGAAGAGCACTGTGTAGCCGTGCATCCTTAGGAGCATAAGAAATCATAGCCCCTGCGCAGGGATAGTCAGGTGTGAAGAGTCAAAGGTACGAGCCTCATTGGGCATCAACGTCTGGTTTGAAGTAATGGATGGCCAGTCGCCGATAATGAAGTCTCCTCGGGGTCCGAGCTACAACTAGAGCCTCAAAAATCAGCATGTATCCAAAAGGCTGAGAGTCCAGATGCAAGTGCTGTCAACAAGATTTATTGCTAATCCAAGGCCAAGTTTATATGAAATGAATTTGAAATGATAGGTTAATGCATATAATGACATAGTCAGTTACCGTTGATCCACAGTTGGTAATAGATTTGATAGGCTGGAAGATAGCTATGGATGTAAATGTGCATGGGATCCTGACAATAGATATCATTACAAACCCATCAAGCATAGAGCTTTGATGGAATTCCCTCATGGATTAATATTTCCTTGTTATATACGTCTATGAATTGTTGCTCTGAAGCCTTGTTTAGTCAAGGGTGATACTCGAGGCTGATACTCGAAGCGGATGATAGGCTACCCAGCCACCAGAACAACAATCGCTGACAGAAGATACTTCTCTAGTGGAGGGAAAGAGTCGAAGCTTTTGAATCTCCAGGCAACCACTCGCGATACCTTGGTCATATGGTATCTGGTTTGTAGTGTCGGGCGATTCAACATCATCTAACATGGACAGACCTATCGTATAATTGCCTCAGTCTGTATGAAAGCTTTCATTGATGGGCTATACCGTGAGTATACCACGAGTATGGTGTACGTAGTGGCAGTGCTGAGTATACCCTGATCAAAGACCAAGTATATACATATCTATACTGAACGCTTCTATATAAAGCCGGACACTGTCACCTATCATCGATATATCTAATCATCAAATCTTCTCTCTTCAAGTCACTATCGAGCCAGAAAACCAAGCTACAAAATGAGATTTTTAACGAATACCCTCATCACTTTCCTGGTCATAGGACTTTCCGGGGCTACTAGTGCTGATCTTGGATTCTGTTATAACCGGTAGGTAACTACTCTTTGTCTTTCATCCGGGCATTTTCAGTTAAGACGAATTCTAACCTTATTGTAGAGCAGACCCTGATCGTGGCATCGGCAATTTCTGTCAGTGTGAAGGAAATGGTGCGTCCTTCAAACCTGACTTTTTATATACTAGGAATACTGATATTCTCTTCCATATTAGGTGAATGCTACTACAGGGGCGCGAATAACTCATGCGACCCCGTTGGGGATGCTCTTCCTAATGGCTGTCCATGAAAATTATAAGGGATGGTTTGGCATGGAAAGTATGGATAGGCTATAAGGGCAACTTGTATTTCGCGAGTGTGCAGGGATAGAGTGAAGCCTAAACGGAATATTCTATATTCTACTTGCTGCTGGCCGTCATAGTAAATGTTATATTGTTTCTGTGGCTTCTCATTAGAAAGCTATTTTGAAACTGTAGTTGGCGAGAAAGTCAATATAGCCCTTTTTAGCTACTGGCTAACTGTTTAATCGGTATAACATAGGCCTTTAAGTCACTATATAGTTATAGATTTGTACCTCGATGTTAATATCTACCAGTCCACTTATCTGCGCCCTAACAACAAATTGACTTGCAAGCTAACATGGAATTCAGACTAATGGCAGATATAAGTGTTATTATCAAGGCCTCAATTATCTCACAGTCCACAATTTTCATAATTAAATGAGAAAAAAATGTATATCAATACATAATTATAAGAAAAGAATAATACTTTACTCATTGAGCTGTGAGTTGTTTACCATTAGTAGCTCTAAACAGTCAATATCTTCAAGCGATAAATTGTTCGACAAGCTTCTTCTATTATGAATCAAGAATGGGGATAGACTTAAGGGTCCGGTTTAGAAGTTGATTCAATCCTGATTGCGAGTGGGTTGTGCAGCCAATAGAAGTCAACTTCCTTGCAAGGTCGGCAGCTCCAGTGGATATTGTTGGCTAAGGATCAGCGTAACCCCCGCATCTACTCCTGTGCCGTCGAATAGGATCTTCTGGAAGAACGAGTCTGAAGTCGGCACATCTCGGTGGAGATCCAGCTGTGCTGAAGATGTCGAGTCTAAAGCGTTCTCGTCTGACAGGATCTGCACATCTTCCCCCCGTGGACAGGCTGGAGATGGTGTCGACGACACGCCGGCCGAGTACGCCCCAGGGGAAGGATGCCCAAGGGGCCGCAATTCATGCCCGGGGCTTCCGGGTGTCGATCCCATTGAAAATATCATGGATAGCACCAACGAGCGAGTCCCTCTTTTAAACCCTTTTAATGGAAGGAATGGAAATCTAATACAGCCCAGTGAATGCCGTGTACGATTGACCAACGGCCAGTACAACCGTATGGCACGGATGCTGAATCAATACCGTGGCATCAACTTGTACTAGTTTATCCTAGACAAGGATAGAGGCATTAAATATAATAAGCCAGAGGATTATTCTTAATGAAGCTACTCGACATGTTGACAATAAACAATACATTATAATAAATTATACCCTTGTATAGACTATAGCTGTATCCAATCTCCCCCGCAATCTCTGCCCACCTCCCTGGCCGACTTTCCAATTCTCGCCTTCCACTTCTCAGCAGTCCCAGTCTCGACCAGCTCTTCCACTTCCAGCGAGATCAACGCGTCAAACACCCAATCCTGACATCTCCGTTTCCCATCCCTCGGCGCTTCCTCTGCCTTGATGACCTCGATAACCCTCAGCCGCTGCGGCACATCCAAATTTGCGATTTTGCACATCCCAATCGGTCGTTCATGTATGATCGAGGTGCCTATGCGATGATCCGGCTGGTACCATAATTTGTCGAGGTCGATTAATTTGACGTCGAAGAGGTCACCGAAATCTTCGTGTGGTTTGTAGATCATAAATGCCCAATGGGATCGGTGGATGGGGTCTTCACCAGGCCCGGATATTTGGATGGATAAACGATATGCCATTCTGAATGAGTTAGTTGGGATTGGGCTGGATATATGAATACTTACATTGAATGTGTCCAATGGTATCTGGTGGTCTGGGATATTGTTAAAAAATCCTCCGAGGGCTGTGGTCCTTTTAAACTCGACGCAGGTGATGGCGGGCGCAGCGCTAACAAGTAACAAGCTTCCAGTCTGCATGCAGCTGATTCTATGGTATAACCAAATCTCTTTATACTTTGTCTGTCTTGATAAATAGCTTGGATCCACACTTTTAGAAAGCATTGTATCACTTTGAATGATCACTTTTCTTTTCTGGATATATTTATATTTGCATGTACTCAAGTCCCAAAGTACTGCATCCCTGTTGCAGAAATGTAATCAAGATTGCTCGATAAGTCTTAATACGAGACTCGTCAAAAATGCCTTCATATCAATACAGGTTATCTTCTTTTCTTGAACACCTGTTCCATCAGCTCAGCGAGCTGACTTATGTATAATAAGCTTTACGCTACGTCTAGGTTTACATCATACACAAGGCAATAGAAAGAAATCCAATCGGATATTTACTGTAATACCATGAAGGATTGTAGTTCAGCTCTCATGTATATCTCAGCTGCGGCTGAGGGGTGGGGTGAAGTTGAAGCCGAGGACGTTTATTGGAAGATCGGAGCTGGATAATTTTCAGCTCTACAAAATGACGTCAATCTATACAGACAAGATGTAGATCCTCATCAAATCCATCGATCTTATATTATCCGCAGGATACTGTCTCCGTCTATATACTATTCAATATCAACATAACTATGGATCGAATATCTTGCCTGGATTCAACAGCCAATGAGGATCCAGACTCTTCTTAATACTCCGCATCACTTGGATCGACTCTGTGCCGACTTCCTCAGCCAGGAATTCTTTTTTTCCCAGCCCGATTCCATGCTCGCCCTGTTATCGTCAATAATGCTCGGTATATGTACGAATAACTTACAGTGCATGTCCCCTCCATTTCCAACGCCCGATGGACCATATCATGGACACACTTCTTCACCATCTCGTGTTCCCTTTCTCCATCAAAGAGGATAGTCTCATGGAAGTTGCCATCGCCAATATGCCCAAGCATGCTCCCGAATAGCCCTAGCTCATTGAGATCTTTTTTGGATAGTTCTTTCCTGGTCAGCATAGAAGTAGATATAAACTGGATATACATACCAACAAGCTCTACCACTCTGGATAATGGAACAGCCACATCCGTCGACCAGACTCCATCGCCAGACTCTCTCAAGCTGAGCATACTCCAAAGTGCCTCTTTCCGAGCAGACCAGAGTCTCTTCTGTCGTTCTCCATCGTACTCACACTCAAAGTTACTTCCTCCGTTCTTCTCGATAATCGCCTTAGCCTGGTTAATATCATCTTGCACACCAGCCTTTGTCCCGCTGAATTTGAAGAAAAGCGTTGGCAACTCTTCCCACTTTCTCCCGGTTGCTCCAACACGGTTAATAACACTCATCTGCACATCGTCAACAAGTTCAACAGCACCGACCGGAACTGCTTTATGGATAACTTGAATAGCAGCCTTGGCTGCGTCTCGCATACTCGGAAATGTGACCACCGCAACACCAGTCTCATCAGGGATACGAGCAAGTTTCAATGTTGCCTCTGTGATGAGCCCGAGTGTACCTTCGGAGCCCGTGAAGAGGCCGTTGAGGTTATATCCAGCGGAGGATTTTCTATCACGTCAGCTCGTATCGATAGACTGAACTGAACATGTTCACCTACCGCGGTCTCTTTCTGGTTTTGACAATCGTCCCATCGGCCAGGACGACAGTCAGATTGACTACCCAGTCTTTCATTGTCCCGTATCGGATGGCATTTGTTCCGCTGTTTTGTTAGATAGATCTATATCGAGGTGTAGATATCATACCTGCAATTCGTACCAATCATTCCTCCAATTTGCGCCTATAGAATTAGCACTGAGGAGAGTATGTTTGATAGGCATACATACGGTCAGACCAGGGTCAATCGGAAAGAACAAGCCGCTATCTTTGATTTTTGCATTCAGATCCATCCATGATACGGACGGTTGCACGACGATATCCATACTATCGATATTAGCAAAAACCAGAAACGGAAAGGGGGGAATGATACTCACTCGTCAGGATGAAAATCAACAACATTATTCATATACACAAAATCCACACTAATACCCCCGAATGGAGCAGAGAAGTGCCCTTCAACACTCGATCCACCAGAGTATGGAGCTTGATATATTAGCTTCACCGGGAATAAAAAAAGATCAACTCACTCAATGGGACCTTGTATTTGCTGCACAATTTGGCAATCTTCGCAACATCTTCTGTGCATGTTGGAAAGACAACAGCCACAGGGAGAGCATCGATGTTGATCGACGACCATTCTGAGTATCCATGTGCTTTGACAATCTCGTCGTCTGTGCTGACGCCGTCTTCGCCTAGGAGATGGTGGATTTCGTCAACGGCCTATATAGAGTCAGTAGATGAATAGCATACTTTCGGTAAGTCTACCTTTTGCATCTCTTCCCTCGTTGCGTATTTTGGCTGATCATTTTTCTTTTCATCACTTTGATTGAACAAAGTGTATTTTGCTACTCCAGCTGATACCACACCACCAGCAATAAATGATCCCAGCCAAGTAAATGATTTCCCTGGAACAGGATCTGGGGAAATAGAAGTGTATGACCGAAATAATCGAGGTACACTCCTACACAAGCCTCTCTCGATTGTCCCATTGTATACCGTTCTCGAGGCAAGTCGTCTCGCAATCAAAGACATTTTTGACATTTTAGACATTGCTGGATAAAGTTGATACTCATCTACAAACTACATCAGTTAGAACACTTCTACTTATTCTAAATTCCTTGAAATGCAATCGGGTAATTCCCGAATCAGTAAAGTAGAAAGGATATTAGGATTTACAAGATTTACATGCATTCAACGCGGGGAATACGATCGGCAATCGGCACGGGAAGTATCCAGTCTATATAAAGTTTACACGGGAATTACCCGTTCACAATATCATGATTAGAATATAAGATGATCCATTTCGGTATAGAATAGTGCACGTCAGATCATCTTATCGATAGAACACATACATCATGTAAGTCAGCACATCATACACAGTATATGATATCTAATCTTTCAGGTACACGGCATCCTTCGCCTTCTTCGAAGCACTGTGGCAATTCGGCGTCAAAAACGTCTTTGTTAACCTCGGCTCGGACCATCCCAGCATCATGGAAGCAATGGTGAAGGGGTATAAGGAGCGCAAAGACCACTTCCCCCGCATCTACACCTGTCCGAATGAAATGGTCGCATTGTCCATGGCGGATGGATATGCGCGTGTCACGAATGAGCCGCAGTGTGTGATTATCCATGTCGATGTGGGCACGTCTGGTCTTGGGGCTGCGATTCACAATGCATTGACTGGGAGAGCGCCAGTGCTTATTTTTGCGGGCTTGTCGCCGTTTACGTTGGAGGGGGAGATGAGGGGGTCAAGGACGGAGTATATGTATGTTTATATCTTTTCACTTTGAGATGATGCTGATCATGCAGTCACTGGTTGCAAGATGTTCCCGACCAGAAACAGATTGTGGCGCAGTACTGTCGCTACACTGGGGAGATTCGGTCAGGCAAGAATATCAAGCAGATGGTCGGGCGAGCACTGCAGTTTGCAACCAGCGAGCCCAAAGGACCTGTTTATCTCATGGGAGCGAGAGAAGTCATGGAAGAGGAGATTGAACCATATTCTCTCAATCCAGAGTACTGGGAGCCTGTTGAGGCTGCCGCATTACCTCAATCGGCTGTGAAGTTGATATCAACAGAACTGGTGAATGCGAAACAGCCTCTTCTCATCACGGGCTACAGTGGTCGCAACCACCAGGCCGTGGGTGCATTGGTTGATCTGGCGAATGATGTCAAGGGCTTGCGAGTTCTTGACACAGGATGCTGTGATATGTGTTTCCCAGCCGATCATCCTGCATCCTTGGGAATGAAGTACGGCTCGGATGAGAGTATCACAACAGCAGATGTCATTCTTCTTGTTGATTGCGATGTGCCCTGGATTCCGACGCAATGTAAACCAAAAGATTCTGCGCGCATTTTTCATATCGACGTCGACCCGATGAAGAAGTTGATGCCGTTCTTTTACGTGAATGCTCTGCGGAGATATTCAGCTGATGCATTTACGGCCGTCTCTCAGTTGGTCTCGTATATTCAGTCTACACCAGAGATACAAGAAATTGTCAGCTCAACCGAATTCGACAATCGATGGACGACTCTCCAACAGAATCACCAGAAACGCATCGAGAACCTCGACCTGCAAGCCATCTCTCGCCCAGACAACACCTTCAACACCTCCTTCCTCTGCAAGAAGGTCCGCGAAATCGTCCCAGAAGACACCATCTTCGCCGTCGAAGCAGTAACAAACACAATCCTCGTCTCAGACCAAGTCCGACCAAACCTTCCCGGCCAGTGGATCAACTGCGGTGGTGGCGGACTTGGATGGAGTGGCGGCGGTGCACTCGGCATCAAACTAGCTACCGATGCAGTTGATGAAGCAGAGGGACTTGAAAAGAAGCGCATGATTGTGCACATTGTCGGCGATGGCACGTTCATGTTCAGTGTTCCGTCGAGTGTTTACTGGATTTCGCATCGATATGGGATTCCTATTTTGACTATTGTGCTCAACAATAAAGGTATGACCCCTTCCTACTGTACTTGATACATGCTAACTAGATAGGCTGGAACGCCCCTCGACGATCGATGTTGCTTGTCCATCCAGACGGCCTCGGATCAAAGGTGGACAACGGCGAGTTGAACATCTCCTTCGAGCCCAGTCCAGATTACTCTGGCATTGCCCGGGCAGCCAGCGATGGCCATATCCACGCAAAGCGTGTCTCTGCAGCGGACCAGTTAGAGTCTGTTCTACGGGAGGCGACTGATTTGGTCCTGGGAGGTACCTCTGCTGTGATTGACGCATTTGTTGGATAGATAGATTATGAAAAATTGACTGTATTTGATAGCTATTTGATATTTCCGACTCAGAAGAGATGAGGCAAAGAGAACCCTTCATCTATATCCTGTAGAAGATGCGCCGGCAACATGATATCCTCTATACCTGTTTCCCAGTTCTGAAGCAGTGGACTGAAGATATCATGAGGAGAGCCATCTGTTTCGATATTGGCAATCCTCAGGTCATTTTCATCTACGAGATCTGGTGGGTTGGTTGTCTCAGATACTTGGTCATCTATCCCTTGCTGTGATCGGGCCCGTGAAGGAGCCCGGCTCTGGCTGGCATCTGAAGCTGTCAGTTCTGGCTATACTGGATTGGCGGCTCAGAGAACATACTGATACGTTGCGATCCAGCTCGCTGCTTCAATGCGCCCAAAGCAATGGCATAATCCCTTGCAGAAGAATGACCTTGTGCCATTCGGAACAGTGCTTGGAGACAGTTACCCCACGCGGTCTCAAGCTGTTCCTTGGAAAAAGAAGCAATCAAGGACTCGTCTGAATCTGCCAGAACGAGGATGATTCCTGCTGTGACGAGGTCTATTCTGTCAGTACTAGGTCTGCTGTGGAGATGTCATGAAGACCTACAGAAAACACCATACCACCAGACACCGGTAGAATCGACAGCTGTTGCCCTTTCCAATGATTCAATCAGATTACACGCTGCCTGAACACATAAAACGGCGCAATTCTTCTGATGGATCCTTGGTAGATCTGATGTTGTTTCAGTTTTATCGCGGGAACAGAAAAGACTGAAGGTGGGGCGATATAACAGTAGCTTCAAATGGAGGAATCTGGCCTGAAGGACGTTCGACTGTCTTTTGAAAAGAAGTTTACTCTCGATATGATCCCTGTTGTTCCAGTCTAGATTAGGATGAAGGGCCTTTTCGAAACTCGCTAATTCCGAGTCTAGCTGTAGAATGGCCTCTAGATCTCTGACTGACCCGTTGGAGCCCCTGTCCGACTTGTCTCCATGATATACATTGAGTAATATCTTTCCAAGGATGTCTATCAGTTTGAGATTCTCCAAATAGGATGTGGTTTGTGAGAATATCTCCTCTGGTTGGCGACAGTCGTTCATTCCAACTATCAGAAATTCATCATCGATGGTATCTGGCAAGGGAACATTGTATCTCGGTGCCGTTGGCGGCCGCCCCATTGTCATACTGACAGTGCTGTTCTTGTTAGACATATACAAGAAATGCAGGCTGGACTTACATGTCCATTTGAATGCAACCATGCCAGACACGTCGTCGTATCTGTGTTTCAATGGCACTCATTTCCTGGGCATTACCCATCGAATGTAATCCCAGTCCAAGGGACATGCGATATGCCAATCCGACGATATTCCAGCATCGTGTGGGATACTGTGTGCATTGGAGATACTGCGCGACAAGCAATAAAGCTTGTACATGACACAGACTGCCACTATCCAGCAGATCAATATGTAGTAGACCCTTTATGCGGTCATAGAATAACGCAGATAGTCTTGTCTTTTCGGTAAAGTCTAAATTAGAGAATTCACAGGCCAGCGCGAATATGGCATTCAGTGCGCATGAGAAGACCGAGGAAGGGCAGTTACTCCCTCCTAGACCGATGTCTGGTATATTGTTTGTCGACGTGTCTTGATTTGTCCATAGGCTCTCGTACGCCTTCATGAAGCTATGGGTATGAACCCATGGATAAAATACATGCACGTTATGGAAGTAGATATCCAATAACCAGTCCGCCGCTCGACGAGGCGGAAGCGAGAAGGTCTCATCAAGCAGCGATGAGTTCTCTTTCGGAGTTGCCAGTATAGACCCGGAACTATGTCTAGCAGTCTTTCGAGTGGGTACCACCTGCTGGATCAGCGATACCACCGATGATTGTCCGTAGAATTGATCAGCTGTACTGGACACATGGTCCATCATGGGTATCGCTGTGCCCATCGCATTGATAGGGCTGACTGTATCTGCAGGTGCGTTCTGAGATAATATAGCCTCACTTGCTTCAGGCGTCTGGACATCTGGGATTGTTCCTACCGGCCGGGTATCATCCGACATCTGCGCTTGCCGTTCGATGTTTTGTACATAACTCTGTAGGGATTGTGTATAGCTAACCTGTTAGTATACTGTTATGATATATAGGTAGTAGCTTACGCTCGTTCGCTTTGATATTTGGCCGTGCTAGAGATAACTTGGTAGACACACGCCGTCGACCCTCGTTTCTGACAAGCGGTGCAGACAGGCTTGGTGCCATCGCACCGGACCTTTCGCTCTCGACAGGACGTGCACGCCAGAGCGACACGTCTGCGTTTGGGAGATGGTTCAGCATCCATTTTCGTTCAGAGCGACAGTGAGTGTGAGAAGGTGGGAAATATCCGTAACAATAGAAGGTTGTGTCATTGCGGGGATCGGGAAGCACCCGAGCGTGCCGAGATCATGCCGAAGCCTTCAAATAAAGCTGTCACATTCAAATGAAATAAAGTCAAATCCCGATCAGGGAACCTTATGATATCTCCCAATCAGACCCCGTAAAAGACATTTTAATAGCCGAATTACTGGATTGCGTTAGCTTTGCCCTTTGACTCTATTATCTCGTGGCTTCACAAGTCGTCTCGAATTCCTAGCCTGTGATGCGGGTCGGCACAGTGTTATTGACAGAAGTCGATGCAATCATGACAGTTCGTTGATCGAGAATGAGATCAGACATAGAAACATCACTGCATCCTAGAACTTGAAGACTAACGAGAGGTGTGGGATCATTCGTGACAATATAGTAAATGAAGCAGTACTCTTATAAGTAACATTTATACTATTACTAGTAATATAGATCTCCATAAAATAAAGCTATTTAGAGTTAAAAACTACTGTATACTGTGGATCAGTGGAATACCAATAAATTAGTGGGTAATCGATCTTCCAACGGGATCAGTGATAGCGGTAATTTCGTCAATAGGTTGATACAGATTGTGCTGATAAATGAAACCTGTGGCTTATCATGCATGCAAACAGAAGCATCGGTGGATGATTATACCGGATCGGAAACATACTAGAGTTGCTTGTATAATCGATATGCTATTTCTCAGATCAGCAGACGGTCGGGATAATATCACTCCACTCGGGCACATTGTGACTAATTAGGTGACAGGGGGATTATTCCCACGCACCCACGCACTATGGATGCGCTTTAAAGGTCACTGGACATATAGCTATTCAACGGCAGATTTGCACTCTCTTCTCGCCTTATTATTCACAGAAATTCATTGATAAGATCTTATTGAGGAGAGTCACTCGAATATCATAATGTCCAAAAAGAAAAGGGAGGAAAACATGTTCCATATCAGCAACTTATCCCTTACGAGGGAAATCGTCATGCTATTCACGATATGTTCGGCGCAAGGAATGGTGCAGGCTTCGCTAGCACAGGGTTTCCTCCCTGGTATAGTGATTGGAGAGGCCTTTGGAGCAGAGCCAACCGACATCGCCTGGTATCCCGCTGCCTACGCGCTCACATCGGGTGCCTTTATGCTAGCATTCGGCCGTGTGGGGGACATCGTCGGCCATAAACGTCTGTTCGTTGCGGCATGGGGTTGGTTTGCGTTATGGGCTCTCCTCGCAGGCATATCTGTCTACAGTAAATCGCAGGTCTTCTTTGACATCTGCCGCGCCTTCCAGGGCATCGCTGCCGCCGCATTGGTCCCGAGCGCACTGGCGATTCTTGGGAGTATCTACAAGCCGGGTCCCAGGAAGAATCTGGCATTTTCGCTCTATGCGGCCGGGGCGCCGATCGGCTTCACCCTCGGGGCAGTCTTTTCGGCGTTGCTCGCTCAGCTGGCAAGTTGGCCATGGGTTTTCTACATCAACGCGATTGCCTGCCTGATATACGGGGGTTTGGCATGTCTCTTCGTCCCACATATCGATAGGAAGCCTTCGCAGACAAGGGAACCATTCGATTATCTGGGAACGTCGACAATCATCAGTGGTAAGAAATGAAATCCTGTCATGCCAGAACGAGCTAATCGCTTTCCCCAGGGCTTATTCTTCTCAACTTTGCTTGGAATCGTGCCCCAGAAACAGGATGGGCCAGTGCCCAATGCATCACGACCCTTATCATCGGTCTGCTCCTTATCGCTGTCTTCTTCCGACTTGAAAAACGAACAACGCACCCGATTGTCCCGGTGGCACAGATCGACCGCGACGCTGCCTGGATCCTTCTCGTCGAAGGTCTTGGGTGGTCATCCTTTGGTATACTGTGCTATTATTCGATCAACTTTTTGATTCGTCTTCGCGGCAATACCATGCTCTCAGTGGCAGCACAGCTCAGTCCAGTGCCGCCGGCTGGTATCGCTGCCAGCGTCTTGACTTCAAATCTTCTGACCAGGGGGGTCACGCCGCCAGTCATTCTCGCCTTCTCGCTGATCTGGTTTTGCGTCGGCAACATCATCCTGGCAACAATGCCCGTCCACCAAACCTACTGGCGCAACGTTTTCTGGGCGTACTTACTCAGTCCCTTCGGGATGGATATGAGTTTTCCCGCAGGGACAATCATGTTGAGCAATCTCGTGCCCCTTGAACACCAAGGTATTGCAGCGAGTCTCATCGCGACCGTCGTTTACTATTCTCAGAGCTTGGGTCTTGGCATTGCTGGCGTGGTGGAGGTCAATGTGGCACACGATTCGGTGCTCGAGGGGTACCGTGGTGCATTGTATCTTGGAATTGGATTGAGTGGTTTTGGGTTCATCGTCGGGGTGGGCTATGCCCTCCAGTGCATGAGACAGAACAAGACAAACCCGGAATCGAACGACAGAGTAGAATCCACAGAGGCAGCATCCAGTGACCAGCCGTAACTGTGAATCAAACCGTGGCCGTCAGAAGAAAACCATGCTCAAGGAACGATTCTTATCTGAACAGTAGTCTGCCTTAGTAAGTAGCAGGTCTTAGAGACTGCCTGAGTCTGTTTGGTTTCCAGTCTGTCTCCCTTGCGCAGAAGTCAGGGAGTATAACCACCCAAGTCAGAATACCCTCGGGAGATACAATCCCTGCAGCCTCCCACGAGACAGACATCTGCCCTCCACGTATAGATAACTATCCGAAGAGAAAGCGACAGTTAGGGTATTGCGTATTTTTGTCGGCCTTACTTAAAGTTCTTTAAATGTTGTACAGGAAATGGCTGAAAGGGGTATAGTCAGTAAAGTATGATGACTCACCTTTTCAAAGGATGCATGTATTATTTAGAGGCATGTATCTTTTTGATATAGATGTTGTTGGACTGCGTCATTGGGGATCGGGAAGTACCCGAGAGTGCCGAGATGCATGCCGAAGTCTTTGAATAAAGCTGTCACATCAAAGTGGATTAAAGTCGAGCAAATCCCACAGTTCTTGTGTCAAATCCCGAACAGACAACCTTAATTTATCTGCCAATCAGACCCCGTAAAAGCCGTTGTAATTCCGTTATGTCCGTTATAAAACACTTCATGCTCAATCCTCAGTCATCATCATTCTCATTTTTATTCCTATCTACTCTACCATGTCTGAAAAACCAACCATTGTTCTCGTTCCAGGTGCCTGGAGCAAGCCGTTCTTCTATGAAAAGCTTCAATCATCTCTTGCTGATAGAGGCTTCCAGTCAGAGACCCACGCGCATCCATCCATCGGTGCTGAACCGCCTACCAAGACTCTCGATGACGACGTCTCGGCTTTACGGGGAGTGATCGCCAGACTTTGTGACGCAGGCAAACGCATTGTTGTCGTTGCTCACTCGTATGGTGGAATCGTCAGCTCCAGTGCAGTTGAAGGACTGGGGAAAGAAGAACGCAACTCTGAAGGGAAGATCGGGGGAGTGATTGAGATTATCTACATGGTTGCTTTTGTCGTTCCCAAAGGACAGAGCCTGATCAGTGCGTCTGGGGGCCAACTTCTTCCTTGGATCAAGACAGAGGTAAGTCATCAAATCTAGATGTACCATTTGTATACTAACATATCAGGGTAACTACGCATCCTGCACCATCGGCCCCGAAGGCGCCTTTCACGACCTCCTCAAAGCAGATCGGGAGAAGTGGAATGCTGCTCTCACACATACCTCTCTACCTGTCTTCTCTGGCATTTCGTCATATGAGCCGTGGAAGACCATTCCAACTACCTATGTTCTGGGTGAAGAAGATCAAATGCTGCCATTGGCGATTCAGGAGTATATGGTGCAGATGCTGGGGACGAAGCATACATATCGACTCAAGAGCTCACATCATCCATTCTTGAGTATGCCAGACACTGTGGCGGAGATTATTGAGGAATCGAGTGTGAGGCAGAATAGGAATGTTTAATCGATATGACTTTCACTAGCTTTGATGATTCTGGCTCTATCTTGGTGGCGGGAGCGGTGTTAGTCCTGCCCGATGGGACTACAACCCTTTATATCTCCCCGAACAGTTTGATCGCGGAGCAGTCGATGGGCCACTGCTCTCATTTACGTCTCCATGAGAACAGGGCGGATCCTGCGGAAGGTAGCCATCTACAAAAATGAAGCTTTGGAAAATACGACGGAAATTGCAGAGCTGGGCGAGAAAGGTCTGTCATTGATAATATTTGCCAAGCTAGGTTATCCACAAGAAAGAGCTGGTCCTATATTGTAGGCAAAAAAGAAGAAAAACAAAAAAAGGAAAGGAAGGGAAGGAAAGAAAAACAAAAGGCTTCTTTTTGGTCGAATGGGAAAAGTGCTACGCCTTTGGTTAGACATGGCTTGAATAGATGGGCAATGGCCGTAATGGCCTGGCCATGGAAAAAGGAGGGTAGTCAGTTGGGTGTTTCTAGGCGCGAAGGTTAATGAGAGGCGTGTTCCCTGGTCCATTTGACATTGAATGTCGGACCAGGGAAGCAGTCGTTAGGCTCGCTCAGGGATGTCTTGCAATGGGCCCAACATCGGATTCTTGCGGGCTCTGCGGCGAAAGAAGACTCGCTTGGCCCATTTCCAGCTTTCAACGCCCATGAAGAACAAGACGACCTCGACAGCCACGATGCCCCATTCCCAAGTGATGGGCTTGTGTTTGAATACGACGTCGTTTAGCACAGGGATGTAGAGGATCGGGAACATGGTGATCCATCCAGCCATGATGGACCAGAAAAGAAACTTGTTCCGCCAGACATCGTACATCCACTGGGTAAAATATTTCTTGGATTTCGGCTGCATGCGGAAGAAGGACCGGCGCATGTTAACCATTTCCCAGGCCAGAAACAGCGCAAACCAAGTCAGACACACGAAGGTGGTGGCTCGCGCCCGAAAGACCAGTTCGCAGTCTTTGATCTCCTCTGACCACTCCTTGTTGCAGCCCCGGGCCAAATTACCGTCGCCGAATCCCCACATGCGGACAGAGAATGCCGCCAGGCACAGTGCTGCGGTCCAGACGCCATAAACCAGAATGTCGATGATCACCTCCCAGGTGAAGATGCCTTGCTTGCTCTGGGGAGGACGGTCCATTATATCGGGGGCAGCCACCTCCATTCCGAGGCCCATATCGGGCATACCCGACGTGATCATGATGATCCAGAGGATTTCGACCGGGGCCAGAGGAAAGACGGACTGGTTGTCAGCATCTTTGAAAGCCAAGCCAATAAGCAAAGTACAAGCCTGAGCGATATTTTCAGCTAGTAAATGAAGGACGAATTTCTGGATATTATCAAAGATACGACGGCCCTCTTCAACAGCATTAAGGATGGAGGCAAAGTTATCATCTGTGAGAATAATATCAGATGCGTCCTTGGCCACATCCGACCCTGCCTGTCCCATAGCGATACCCACGTCAGCATGTTTGAGGGAAGGGGAATCATTCACACCATCTCCAGTCATAGCCGCAAAGCGACCACGGCGATGAAGGGCGTCAATCATACGCACTTTGGTCTGCGGAGCACAGCGTGCAATGACCAAAGGGAGAGTTGGAAGTGCATCAACCTCCTCATCAGTGAGCTTGTCAAATTGGCTGGCAGTCAGGACCATGGCATCTGCGACATCTGCTGCGACGGTGCTGAAATCAGCGGGCAAGATTCCCACTTGCTGTGCGATTGCTTTGGCAGTCCCCGGGTGATCACCAGTGACCATATGCACAACTATTCCAGCCCGATGGCAGGCCTGGATCGAGCCGGCTGTCTCCGGGCGTGGGGGGTCATACAAGCCAATCAGTCCAAGAAAGCACAGATCCTTTTCTACTTCCTCACGGTCCAGATCCGAATCCTGGAGCAGTCGTGTCTGCTCAGTGTACGGTCGATGGGCCAGAGCCAATACGCGAAGTCCCAGCTTGGCCAGCTCCTCCATGTTTTGGAAGATCTTGTCACGGTGATCGTCGGTCATGGGCACCGGGGTAGACGAGTCTTGGTCCCAGATCACAGAGGTGCAACAGTCGACGATGCGCTCGACCGCGCCCTTGGTAAACACCATGCTGCGTTCCCCCTGCGGGGTGACTTTGCTGAAAATCACAGACATCTTCTTAACGGTCGAGTCAAAGGGAAATTCCGCCTTTTGGTACCAAACGGCACCCGGGGCTTTGGTCCAGCGATCACGGTTCCAGTTGAACCTCGATGCAAACACTTCAATCGCGATTTCTGTGGGTTCGCCCCTCGCATTCCATTCACCGTCTTCAGACTGGTACACATGAGAAAGGTTGGCCATAGAGGCAGCGTCCAGAAAGTCCTCAAGCGAGCGGTTTCCCGAGACCAGGCCTTCTACATCTTCCGCGACACGACCTTCCGTCACAGTTTCAAATTGCAAAGGAGACGCAGAGGTGAAGGTAACATCTCCTACGCAAGGATTGAACGGCTCGTTGGATGCGCTGACGGTGTATGTGCCTTGAGACGGAACCCATGCCTTTTTGACCACCATTTTGCCCTGAGTCAGTGTGCCAGTCTTATCAGAACAGATATCGGTGACAGCACCGAGTGCCTCCAGCGAGTCTAACTTGCGAACAATGACATTCCGCGCGACCATGTGCTTGGTCCCTACCGCCATCGTGATGGTAAGGACAACCACCAGGCATGCAGGAATCATACTAATCCCAGTTGCAACAGCATACATGATGACTTCAGTGTTGCTGCTGAAGAGGTTCGCCGCCATGCAAACAATGGCAAACAGAACAGCCACTGCAAACAGTAAACAGGCCAGTTTGGACAGCTTCCTTTGTAAGGGCGTTCCAATATTGACACCCAGAAATCGGCCCACAGAGTCCGTTCCAGTAAGAGCCCAGGCCTGGACATACCACCGCTTCTTGGTCTCACCATCGGGGCCACGCTTGACGGGACGATGCTTGCTGTCGCTGGCTCGCAAGGCGAGGGCAATGGAACCGATTTCAGTGAACATACCGGTACTAACCACCACGCCCCGGGCACGGCCACGAGTGACGGTACTCGAGCTATAGGCGATATTGAGACGGTCACCAGGGCCAGTATCTTCATGAAACGTAGAGTCACAATCCTTCTGAACGGGAAGAGACTCGCCGGTCAGGAGAGCCTCATCGGTCTCGAAGTTAACTGCTTCCACCAGGCTAGTATGGTCAGCGTCACTGGAGGCACATGAAAAGTCACATTTGCATCGCAACAGGACTCACCGAATATCCGCCGGAACGGTATCCCCCGTCTTCAGCTCGACCATGTCACCCGGCACGATCTCCGCCGACGGCACTGAGAGAGTCTGTCCGCCTCTGGAGACAGTCCCCGTGGGTGAGGACAGTGAATGCAATGACTGCATCGTCTTTTCCGCGGCGTACTCCTGAAAGAACCCAACCACGATATTCAAGACAATCACGGCGCAGATGACTCCACCCTCAATCCACGACTGAATTCCGAAACTGACCGCCATGGCCAGAATCAGCACCTGCATTAAACGAATTGGATCAGATTCGGGGAGTTCTCAACACGATTTCAAAGCATCATCGCAAAAGTTTAGTGGGCCGCTTAACTAGCATCATTGCGTTGGCCACCTGGCGCACAAGAATCTTGAGCACCGACACGCCCTCGCCTTCGTCCAGTTTATTTGGACCATATTGTTGAAGACGACGACTGGCTTCTTCGGGGGCCAGACCATCGTCTATCTGAGTGCTGAGTTGCTTGACGACAGTTTCAAAAGTAAGCGTGTGGGCTGGCTGGTGTAGTGGGCTGCCGCCCGACCCTGTGTCGGGGGCGATGTTATGCTTTTCGTCTGGCATCATCAAAGATGATTCGCTGGTGAGTAGCTAGCTGTAGCTGTGATGTCTACTGAGGTGCTTGGCTATCTTGTCTGTCTGTCCGAATCTGTCGGAGAACTGAGCAGGCTGTATGTCTGCTAGGGACGAAAGCGACTCTTTAAAACCCCCAAGGTAAAATGAAATTTCTGCCCACATCGAACAGTTCACATGGCATTCTCTCGGCACGGCGAAAGTAACCAGTTAACAAAACACCAGCATTATGTAATTTCACAAGGATTCCAGTCCTGGGGAAAGCTGACTGGCGCTCCGCCCATGCGGCAGCATCGCCAAGACTCGTCCGCTACTTGGCGGTGGCGTTTGTTTGCCTCGATAATACGTTCTTCTCCGCATATCCCCGGTAGAGGGCGGAGATTTCCTCTCAGACGCAGATGCCATGGCTTCTGGGCCCCGGCGATCGTCATGTTGCCCAGGATGGCAGGTCCAATATGGTCAAACCAACCATGTTCACCACACAGTCCATCCCAGCAATCCGTCCAAAGTAAACCATAATTTCTCCTCACATCAAATAACTCTAAGTGCTTGATGTGATTATTTTATAAGGTCTGAATACGTGATTCCCTTTAGACTGACTGACTAAATGTATCAACTCACAACTTTTGATTTTCAGCGTGGTTGCGTTCGCTGTTCCGCTCTTGACTAACCGCAAAGGGAGCCCAACCTTACTTTGGCCAATCATAGCTACACAATGACATGTCACTCCGCCAGAATACGCGATCCTCGTGTTCAAGAAAAACTGGAAATTTTGTTTTAATCTTGCTACTGTGCCAGCTGCGGACTTACCAAAGCGATTGACTGAGTGGTCGAAATGGCAGGGGACAGTTCTCTTTCGCGATGTATTTCTTCACTTGTCTCGTTGAGTCGGAAATTGGGCAACAGAGAATCGAGAGAGAATGAGGGAGAGCAAAAATCGTTATCCAGTCGCTTAGTGGATGTCTTCCTGCGTACGTGGGATCTGGGTTTCACTGCCTTTGGTGGTCCACCTGTACACTTCCAGATTCTGCATGCCAGGTTCGTGGAGGGACAGGGCAACAAGGAAAAATGGGTGGATGAGCAAACTGTAAATCACTTCCTATAGCCTCAGTAAGGACTTACTAACAACGCATAGTATCAAGAGCTCTTTGCCATTTGCCAGGGCCTCCCAGGGCCAGGGAGCACGAAGATGCTTTTCTGCCTGGCCCTTTTGCACGCAGGCTTTATTCCCGCCCTGCTAGTGTTTTTCATCTGGAGGTGACCTAGACTACAACACCAACTGCTTGTTGATCTCCCACTAACGATTTCAGTCTTCCCGGCGCAATTGGCATGTATGCCCTCTCGCTTGGTGTCCAAAATATCGGTGATACCCTTCCCGAGCCGGTGTACGCCCTACTCTCTGGCCTCAATGCCTCGACAGTAGGAATCGTTGCTCTTGCAGCCGTACAGCTGGCCGACAAGGCGATTCGCGATAAATTATCTCGGATTCTGGTAATCTTTGGTGCATGTGCTGGTCTCTGTTACAATGCGCTGTGGTATTTCCCTGTTCTGATGATTATTGGCGGTTTTCTCACGGCGATATGGGATGGGTGGTTGTATCAGCAGTGTTGCAGGGCAAAGATTGCTTGGAAGAATCGCCATCGTCATCAAGGGCCGGAAGCGACAGATAGTAACCTCACGGACGTGGAGTCTATTCGGCTGGAAGAGAATAGAGTGCAAGTTAACGGGAGAATGCGACCGAGAAAGACAGCTCCTGCAACAGAAGGACCATCACGAACCTCAACTGAGGCTACCAGTCCAATGGAATCCATTGAAGAACCATCGCAGCAACACATTATCCGGATTAGGACTGGGCTTTTTATCATGACCCTTTTCTTTGGTATGCTCACCTGATAATCGCTCAATACTTGGCATTAACATACCTAGCTTCCTTCATCGGCATCCTCGTCGCCAGAGGCCAGCTTGCCGCTCCGCCCCTGGTTATGGACCTCTTCGCCAACATGTACCTCGCGGGAACTGTTATCTTTGGTGGAGGCCCCGTCGTCATTCCCCTTTTACGCTCTTACGTCGTCGATCCAGGCTGGGTCTCTAGTCGAGATTTCCTAATTGGTCTCGCCATCATTCAAGCGTTCCCCGGTCCTAACTTCAACTTCGCTGTCTTTCTGGGGGCGCTGGCACTGCAGCATTCACGCTTTCCAACCATCTTGGGTGCGTTCCTCGGTGGTTTAGGGATCTTTTTGCCGGGAATCACATTGGCCATTTCAATCCAAAGCTTCTGGCGTGTATTGCGGAAGAGGAAATACGTGATTGACTTTCTCAGAGGAGTGAATGCGACTGCAGTCGGGCTTGTCTTTACTGCTGTATACCGACTGTGGGAGATTGGATATCTGACTGCTGAACGAAGCGATGGGCAGAGCCTGGCAAAGGAGCCCTGGTGGGTGGTTGTGGCAGTGGTGACATATGCAGAGAGCGCGTGGTTTAAAGTGCCCCCAGCCATGGCGATTGTCATGGGTGCCGTGCTAGGTCTCTGTTGGTATGGGGCTGTGGGTCGCTAGCATATTCTGATATTTGGGGGGATACTTTTGATCGATAATAGATAAAATGTATTAGTATTGAATAAGATAATATCAACTGTACGACCGATCAATGAATATCCGACCCCGTCTTGACTGTCTTGATAACACCCTCCCGATGCAATTCACTAATCAAATTCTGCAACATAAAATCACATCCTCTCCTCGTCATGATATCAACACCATACGGTAGCGTCTGATTCAACATCGTCGAGTTAGACACCACTTCCGAAATGGCCGATCCGACTGTCAACGCAAAATCAGGTAGACCCGCCACCGAGGCAAGCCGACTTGGCGGGACGGGTACGTGTGGGCGAGACGTAGGTTGGTCTTCGTCTTGGTTATCTTGGCCGTGGTTATCCTGGTCTTGGCTGGCCGTGGAGCAATTCATGGCGACTTTCATCTGGGCTTCTCCGAGGACTGACAGCATGTCTGCCACCCACGGATTGCTTACATCGCGCGTCACCTGCGGCTTGTAACTGGCAACCGGGGCACCCTGGGTGTACACGTAGATGGAGTCGGAGCAGGTGTGCTCGTCCTGCTTGAAGACATACTCCGACGTCCAGTTGGATATCTGCTCAATCTGATCGAGAAGCTCCTCGTGCATAGTTTCGTTCATGGTTGCATTGGCAGATAGCCATCCCTTCCGAGTAGAAGGCGACATATGCGGGAATTCACCATTGTGAGTCTTCTTGCATGACTCCACGTATTCCTGGCCGAATTCCGTCCATTGTTCGTACTGCGTCAGGTTGGCGTATATTTGGCTGATACTGTTCGCTATTTCGACCTGTTTCAGACTCCCTGTGTGGGTTGTATTCGCCCAGGTATCAGCGATGGAAAAGTTGCTGTGTGTTCCTTGCAACACCCTGGTCAGACCCTTGATGAAGTTGCTGACTCCGGGATATTCCGATCGACTGATGGATTCGTCGAGATAGATCTTGCGGGGGTACTTTCTGTACTCCTTTGCATATCCAGCGTACAGGACTTTGTTAACAGCAGACCAAACCTGTGGATCTCTGGCCAAAATACCACTCGTGTCCATCGAACTAGACAGAACAAGAGCACCAGTGAGATCGACAGCCCTATGAGATGGCCTATTCCCATAAATACCGTTCAGCACCGCAGGGCCGCGGATGGAACCGCCGGTATCACTGCCCATACTCGCATCAAGCCAGTCATAGCTCGCGATAGATGCAGCGGATCCACCAGAGCTATCACCAGGAGAGTTATATCCATCCCCACGAGGATTGAATGGAAGGAGATAGTCAATGTGTTCAGGGACTCCATCACCTGCGTAGGCAAATTCAGACAGTTTGTTCTTTCCCACGACAATCGCACCGGCGTTGATGAGTTTCTGCACGGCAGTGGCGGTAGCATTCTTCGTCTTGCTCATTTCGAAAAGTGCCCGGTTTCCGCCGCTGGTTTTCATTCCTTTCAGATCGTATAGATCCTTGACGGCAAGTCGGAGACCAGCGAGGGGTTTCTCGGATGTACGGGTGAAGTAGAGACGAGATGGGACGGCGACAGTTAATCCTCCAGCAGATTGTGTTGCTGCGCGGAGGTTGTGATGGACTCCATGTTTGTTTTGGTAGGAGGTCTGGATGAAGGCCTGGTTTGTATCTGCGTATAGTCGATATGCTTGATACACCATACCGGTGTATGCATTCAGAAAGTAAGGTCCAGCAGGGACCTTTTCCTTTGAGTTCTTGTACAGAACCTTATCGACACTGTATTCACCGAGTGAGGAGGGACTGATACTTTTGCCTTTGGATGATTGAGATTGGATGCAGAGGACTAATGTTGTTAGTATGTATAGATCAATAAAAGATGGTACATACTCTTTGTAAAGTCTGGCGTCCACACATCATCTGTCTGGTTGTATGTTTCCAGCACAGCCTTGACAGACTGCGCACTGCCCGATGCATTTAAATGGACGACAGTAAGAGGAATAAGCTCCTCGGTGCTATTCAGCAAAGGAGTCCATGGACTGATATTCCACGCAGGTTCCGGACTGACAAAGTAGTCATTCTTGCCCAGCTCAACCTGTCTGGATACAGACGCAGCAACAGCCGATGAGGCCAGTAGAACCAACCTGGAGAGATGCATGATTGTTGGTTTAATGCTTACTGTCCGGGAAAAGCATTTTATATCGTAATATCGGTATTACTCCGCACTTCAGCCTTCTCCGAGGATAACTACTACGGGTATATGCTCGCTCTCGTATACCCCATCCAGTCACCCACCAATCTGATAGTCGATCAGAGTATCCATATTCTACATCAGGAAGTGATCTTCATCCATCCGCCATCGCAAGGCTGAGTTAGGCAACGCTTTTCTGCTGACTGCAGCTACATGTGGCGATGAGAAGGATTCCTTGGCTATCTATCATCATAATTCATAATCTATAATACATCACCATACAATCAAACAAATGTATAGCCATTCACGCCATGGCTCTGAATCCACGTCGCATACTCGCCAATCCGAACATTCACATCCGAATACCCCCCATTCCCGCACGGCATATACCCAATAATGCCCACCACAGTGCCCTGTAAATCAACGACTGGCCCTCCCTGATCGCCCATACACGATCCGATCCCCGGCCGACCGGAGCAGAAGTTTTGCGTGCCGTCAACCTGGATCTGGCCGCCCCATTGCTGTTGGCAGAGCTCGATTGGACGCACTGGTTCGATGACTTTCATCAGATGCTGTGGGCCGGGTCCTTGGTCTGGACGTGATGCGCCGTAGCCGACTAACATGACGCCGCTGCCGATGGGTGGTGAACTTCCTTGTGCGGCGAGTTTGGGCGTAGGTAGTAACAAGTTGGTGGAGAGATAGAGAACGGCAATATTGTTGTAGATGCCTCCGTTATCTCGGTTGTATTCTGGATGGATCTGGACAGACTTGACATCGACATCTGCTTTCGGCGAAGCACTGGTCGATGTCGGCGCAATGCCGCGGATGCTGATATCTTCTGCTTTGAGGCCATCCACACATGACACAACAGCTGTCACGACGCGATTCGGACTGGCCAGGATTCCACCGCAGCGATGGCCGTCTGCTGTTCGGATAGATACCAGATATGGGTATTCATTGCTGGATCGGACGGGTACGCCGGTGAAGATGGCGTAGACTGGGCTTAGAGCCAAGAGGAGGAATAGGAATATCATGATTCTGTGTACAGAAGAACAGGGAAGATGCAGAGTCAGAAATGAAGAGACTTGGCTGAGCTTAGCTGGCAGGATTTTCTGTTTTGGATCGCAGGAATTAATAAGGATCGACAGTTTGGGTCGATATTAACAAGTCATCTACTGGAAACGGTGAACTATACTAGTCAATCTTATTTGAGCTTCGCTATACAAAGCAATTCTCTTTAATCCTTTATTATATTATTGTATTTCAATAAATCTATTAATTCAAAATAATGCAATATTCTTCGCATCCTCAAATTCTGTGCGATGAAAAATCCAAATGCCAGTTTCAAGTTTGGCCCCAAAAGTTCAACACAAAAAGAAAGGATCGACGCTTTCTGCCAATTAAAGCCACTTTATCCATCACATGCGACATTTCCAAGACAACGCCAAGAGTGCCTTCATGTTTCTAAGAATATCTGTCAGAGCCTGATAATTCATCAATAGCACAATAGAAGTTTTAACAAAGATATATTGTATAGTTTAACATGTATAATATTAATGATTGTGGTTGATGTTCAATATTCTGGTCTGATAAGCGACCGCTTTGAGCAACAGTCTCTCAGGCAACAGATCTACGGGATGGAGTAAATCATTAATATTCATTATATATTTTCATGATTATTATAGGGTTATTCTAACTGATAATAATGGGGCACCCGAGGATTGTCGGCAAGGATAAACCCATATTTGTACAGTGTTATATCAAACAGAATATATATATATATTCAGTTGGCCCACTTTGACATCCTACCCATCATCTCGATAACAATAGATAGTCATGTCATTTTGTAATACCCGTCGGCATCGACTCTTTTATAAATAATATTAATCTGATTTCTTGATCATATCATGGTTTTTAACTATTTCGAGTATAATATATATGTACTCCAAACTCACCATAGGGTAGGAACTATGAGGGGAGAGAATATATCCTTCTCCCTACAGTTGTAATAAGTCTAGTATATAGAATTATTTGAAGCTACTAAGAACTACTAACTGATAAAATTTATATAAAATTTTCTCGCACCTTGAAATGATCATGTAATGACTGCATATCAAAGGTGATAGGGATCGTCCTGACTGCTGAGGGCCATTACTTAACATTCCTCCACAACACCTACATCATCATCGCTCGGCTTGCATAGCAAGCAGCAATTCCCTGTTATCTAGACGATCTGACGTTCCTGTGATCGAGTGCTACGTGATCTTCTGGAAGGTAGGCAACATCATCAGATACATTTCTCAGAACATGTGCAGACGCCCACCCGCGCGTCTTTGGTGCTATCCTCAAAAGATAGTACCAAGCCCAAACCAACAATGCCGTTCAATCTCGAAAGCTTCAACATTATCCTCCAATTACTGTCCCACCAGCATGGGCTCTTCTCAGACCGGTGAGCATGTCCATTTAAGCGTAGTTTAACATATTACTCATCCGTATCAGATTAGAACTCCAACAATGAATTCTTCAAATTCACGCGTGGTCGTTTTATTATAGATGAGGCAGAGAATCTTTAAAAGCAAGAAATTAGATTTAATATAAATAAGCTCACACATATCACAGCAGACTCAGTTGGCGCCTCTTAATGTATTTCTATCAAGAAGTACCCCAACAGCATGTTCAACAAAGCATTCCTTATATCTATGGACAATGGCCAAGAAGTTGTAGCTAAGGTGCCTAACCTAAATACTAGTATCCCACACTTTACTACAGCCAGTGAAGTTGCTACTATAGACTTTATATATTTATCTTAAACTTCATCCACAACCAAGTCTTGGTAATATAATTAATTTTAGAGGCCAGAAAAGTTCTTGAGACACCGGCGCCTTATATATACTCATAGAACCCATAGGCAAAATCACACCCTGTTAGCGCCAAATTTATCATTATGGAAAAAATTAAGGGTATTCTGCTGTCCCAAGTGTGGGATACCTTAAAACTGCCCCAGAAACTTTAAGTGCTACTTACTATGATATATCTTTAGAAGCAATGGCTCAGCGTTTCATTCTCAAATTATGGCAGCTTGTACTATGCAGGGGATATGCAGCCATCAGCAGATAAAGCAGACAACCACTATATTAAGGATGGCAAGGCCATCAGAGATTTAGAGTTTACTATTGGCCCAGCTATAGGTTGGGATTGGGTTGATGTAGGCCAATCAATTTTAGATATATAGAGAGGGCTTTATATATTATAGCTCATATGTTCTTCATGCAGCCGCTGATAATTTTATAGGGGGTTTCCTAACACAGTATCTGTAAGCAATTGAAATGCGGGAAATGAAGGCAATCAAGTCTTTAAAACCCCTAAAACAGTTTGCCTTATTTTACGGCCTAAAACTCTACTAACTAGATAAGGGGGAAAAAACCACTGCTCTAGTATAGTACTAATAAATTATTGATGCCCTTATCCCAAAGGACACTGCCATCACTAGGCCCTGCCTCTGGCATAATGATTTATATAATAATAATATCTTCATTAACCCGCAGAATCCTGAAAGGATTACGGGCATCATTAACTAGTAGTCTTGCTATATCTCACCCCTCTTTAACCATAATCCTGACCCATCCTTCCTTAACTGGAGTGGTCTTGAGCCTGAGATACTGGACCTAGCTCTACTGCTAAAAGTGTCTAGCCTTTCCCTAGAAGAATGATCTGCGGCTGTACATGAATATACTATCTAAAATATATTTATTAGATAGTGGAAACCCATGCATGCCAAAACCCCAGACCTACATTAAGTAGTTAAATTCTGAAAGATGGCAGCATACAGCCTGATCTTCCTGGCCCACTAAATGTTTAAATATAGTGAGATGCATTTCCAATTGCTTCTGGTTGATCTGAAGGATATATAGGCGGACTTGCCAGCTGTAAATAGTAACATTCCCTTCCCATTTGACCTTTCAGAAGAGGATTTTAAGTGTATTAAAATGGATAGTGATGGTGCAGTGGCAGGAACTGAGCTTGTTATAGAGGTAAAGGAGAGGATAGGTGACTTATGGCCAGATAAAGGCTTCATTGAGTATAAGTAATATGATGATTGTAAAGCTGCGCTCCATAAAGTCAAGAGCGAGATATTGACGCAATTTACTGAGACTGATAAGGAAAAGGCTGAGTATGAGCGTTTTTAGCCATTTGAATGATCTCTACTATATCAAGGCAATGGTATGATCGTGAGGAAATGTAAAAGAAACTACGGGCAAGAAAAATGTACCTATCTACTCTACCACTAGACTGACATGACCCGCCCACGGGAGTTGAAGTGACTCCTAATTCCCAAACATATCGTTTTGTGTGAATTGAAACAGCATGGCCCTCCACTAAGTATTTTCTGTGCTTTGACCATTTCCAAAATGTTGGAAGTAGATTTAAGCTATATTATTATACTGACATGAATGTGACAGATTTTGATAGATATATAGGAATTATATTCTACCATTGTTAGAAAGATAATTACCCCACTTTCCCTCCCAGTTATCTAAGCTTATATTTGACGTCATCCATCATCGATCAGTCACAACATGAACTCCCCTATGATTGACCTACCTGGGATAGACGGAAAAGAAAAGATTGACTGTGCTATATCTTTGCTCAAGTCCACATCCACACGAACAGGATGAACAAAGTGCTATTAGCGACGACGAAGACAACGACCTGGACTCGCACTCGGAAGGAACGACATCCCCTAGAGAGCTGTCATATTCCAAACACCCCGATCATCTAAAGAATAAGTTCCTGGATCGCCTTGCTGAGATATTTGCTCGCCAGAAAAGCATCCGCAGCTCGAAGGCACTCAAGTCAAACGATGCTCACCATGTTACGGCTTCAGCGTTGTCTTACTAAATTGGAAACATGGTCGTGTATCTAGCTAATAATAACGGGTTCGATGAACATGATAGAAAGGTAATAGCAAGGCTTCAGACCTGGCTTCGAGCGATATCAGCCTGTGGACAACGTCCGGAATTTACTGGTTGTTTGATGGGAAAGTATTGGTGGAGCACAATCACAGTCAAATCCTTTTTTACATCCGGGAATTCATCCAGAAAAAGGATATTATGAGACTTCAAACGGATAACACGGAATTACCGATGCTGCTAAGGCACTGTTATTCTTTCCATCAGGACGAGAGAGACGATGACCTATTAAGCTCGGTCCTGAAATTATCCTACGCGCTGTAAAACAAATTAGTTCCAATGTCTAATGGAATGACCATAAATAAAGATACAATGCGCCTCATCGCACTTATAGGAGGGTCAGAGCAGTATGGGAAGCATTTGTACAGTTCGCAATGGAAAATGACTGCAATTCGATCCGAGACGCCTATGCAGACCCGAAAAAGTAAAAAAACAGAAAAAAAAGCCAAGAGAGCTGGGTAGATGATGGAACAGAGACCTCCGGTGTGATGGAAACTCATCGCTCATTCTATCAAGACCGGTTCAACAGAGCGAAACCAGCGGGGACTTATTGAGTTTATCTTTATTATATTGCCTTGTCTATTTTCTCTCTGATCTATAGAATAATCAATCGAATATCGTCATAGCGTCAACATATAGCAATGTTCAATTGGAAGTCCAGCGAAGATATAAAAGATTTCGTCAACAGTCCATCTGATACATTTAGTGGGCAAATCTAAAGTCCAATCTCTTATTTCCTTCATCCTTGGTTGTTCGCAGATAATGATCCTTCTCTTCCGAACTCATCGCATTCCATCGTTGATCTCGTGCTTTATTCCGCCGGATGTAGTACACCTTGATGAAGATGGTCATAACTACATTCCAGCCAACCAGTGCGAGGAGGATTTTATTTCCTCGTCTGTAGTATGGCTTGTCATCCTCTCTGTAGATCTACAAAAGCAAAGTTAGTTAATCGGAGCCAGGTGAAAAGGTACCAGATAGCAACATACACTTGACGAGATGATCGAACTCGCTTGACAGATCATATTGTACAGGGCACTGCCTATGGTTCTTGTGCGAACCGTACCGGCATTTCGGGAAGTTAGACTGACTGAACATGACGTTTGTGAGTTGTTGGCATAGTGAAAAGGAGTACGAGGTGTCTCACCATTGATGGAATGGATATAGGGAAATCCAATAAGCATAATTGTAGGAACATACCAACTCCAGTGACTAGCGTTCGATGGAAGCAGTTCCAAGGCAAGAAGAAGAGGAAAACACCAGAGTGAGTAGAACAGAACAATTGCCATTCGATTGTTGATCTTTTCCGAGTACCACGACCAGAAAGGCAGCTGGATGAGGAAGAGCACATAGGCCGGAATCGTGAGCAGATTGGTCTGGAAAGTATTGAATCCCAGTGCTTTCAGATTGAGGGTCAGATATGCCTGGACGGGGGTCGTCGGAATAAGCATCGTCCAACTGATTGCATACAAAGGCCAGAGATCGTAATCCGTAAGAGAAGCCCAGAGTAACTTGAGAGTCAGTCCTTGACGGTTGTGCATGCCTCCCTTTAATTAGGATTGTCAGTGGCGGTTACTCAATAAACCCACAGGTGATATTCATACCTTGCCCGGGTCATCTCGGAGAACGCGGTTGACCATGATAACCTCTTCTCTCTCACTAAACCAACCGTCTCGTCCACGGAACCAACTCGCAGTCTGGGTCGGACTTGGAGGGAGATAGAACCATGACACAATACCGATAACAGCCGTCAGAGCTCCTTCAATGGCAAATAGCCACCTCCACCCTTCCCAGCCGCCAATCGATCTCATATGAAGAATGCCATAGGCCAGAAAAGCGGCAATGATAAAGGTAAAATGCGACGCGCAATAGAAATACCCCACTCGGATCGGGAGTTCCTTGTTTGTATAGAAATACGACAGGTAGAGAAGAGCATCTGGAATGAAACCCCCCTCAATCAGTCCCAGCAGTGCGCGTGTGGCGTAAAAGGTTTTCTCCCCCACGATGAGGGCTTGACAGATCCCAACAACGCTCCAGGTGACCATCTGGATGGGGATCCATACGTCGGGACCAAGCTTTTTCGAGATCATCTGGGATGGTACTTCGGCGCAGAGGAAGGTGAGGTAGAAAATCATTTGGCCGTAGTTGTACTGGTTCGTGTTTAGATGTAGGTCCTTCAGCATGCCGTCACTCAGGGCTTGGGAGATATTGCCTCGGTCCAACTGGAGGGCGAAGAACATCAAACAGACCCACGAGCAGATTCGGTAATCAAGCTAGAATTCACTCTATTGTCAGTTCCACGGGATCAAGATGGCTCGTTCGAAGTAAGAGTACTGCAGCCTTACCCGTCTGACTAACCGCTTCTCTTCTTTTTCCGTCCACTCTGCAGTCGGATCATATCGATGTCTTCCTTCATACTCAGGGATAGGCTCGTACAATTCCGCGGCGCCGCCATCAACAAACGCATCACCAGTCCCATGGTATCTCTTGGGCCATGATCTCTCGCTGACGGTTTCTCGAAGATCGTTTTTGATTTCCGTGTCATACTCGGGACCAGCCATTTTCAACACTGATCGTTTCTCGTTGCAATACTCGTCAACAAGACTCACTCCGCTCCCGGGGAAAATCCTACGCATTTATTCTTGATATTTCAAATTCGTGTATTTTCATTCAAATGATGCAATTCAACTCTGTATACACATTCCTACAATGACTATCCCATGGCGTGCATTAAGCCAAGAATTTGCAATACGAAGATTATGCTTCTCCGCGGTGAGGAAAGTAAAACGAAGGGAGCACAGCAAGTTAACTCTCATTGTTGGCAACACGGGATCCACTCATTCTGATTTGATCGGCTGTCAAAGATGGTCTGTGGGTTGCGCTTTACTACTTCTGGGCTAATTCAGGATCCACGTGGAAGTATCCGTGTCTAGCTAGTCTGAGCCAAATTGTAAAAGAATTGAATAATCGATTCTGCAAAAGACTAAGGCTTGAAGTAAATGTGACTTTAACAAGGCAGCGGTGACGTCTCTTGAAAAATGGCTTGCTTTAGTACGGAGTAGGTGTACTATCGCCAAGTCGTTCGAGGCTCTTTACGCAAAAAGAACAATATCAGAACATCAAGGCGTGCTCGACGCAGCCAAGGTCGTTGCGCAAGATCGACCATTTCATTTTCGTTATGAGTATGGAAACGGGATTGGGTATACTAGACTTCTTTCAGGATGTTTCTATTTTTATATGAAGATAGTAAATATCTGGTGTTTTAATGAGATCCTCCGTTTCGCGAATTTTCCGGTCTTTGCTAGAAAATGCCGCATATTTGTCGCGAGGGGCATTTTCGGAATCACTACCAGCACACCTCGGCTCGAAATTGGCGTGGATGCCGTTTATTTTATTCCAAATCTCGGCTCCAGATTGACGGCTCCGATGACACCTACCTCGTCAGCAGGAAAGCAGAAGTAAGGAGATAGATGGAACAGTCTTGCCACCCGATAAATCCAATAGAAAGACCTCGAATGCTGGCCACCAGCTCTGATTCTCAACCCCAAGACGATGCCCTCCAGACCTGTCCCTCTACTGAGATGCACCTTGCAATAGGATCTGAAATCGGGAAGTTTTCGTTAAAGATACAACTGCTGATAAACTGACTCACCTGGAAGACGGGTCGTCAACTGACACAATCCTCCAGGGTCGGCCACCCAAGAGAAGCCGTAAATTTTCGAAGGTAGGTTCACTTTTATAACGAGATCATATATCGCGTGAACTGTCAGATTGTCTGAGATCACGTTCTAACATGTGGTTTACATTTCTTCAGGCTTACTTATGTAACAACGCTGGTTTATCTCTTTTCTGTATGTACATGCCGCCCTCTGCTCAATTTATTCTGACGCTATGGATATAATTTTCGATGCATGCTCGTCCAATCATCACACCCTACGCCACTTTTTCCTATGTCACACGGTATGTATATAATTGCCTCGTCCCTGGTTGTTTAACCCTCTTCTTAAGTTCTCCTAAGGCATTGCTATTGACTTACAAGCTTGGCATCGCTGATTCGCTGCCCTCATATCTACCAGGCTCTATAGCTTCACTGACATATAATAGTATATTAAGCGCCGTCAGGACATCGACTACGGTTACTTCGTCTTATAGTTTCGCTCGATTGTTCGGTCTATTCATGATTCAAATAGATCTAATCGACTTCGGCGCCTATCTCCCGTAACTTTAAGCAGAGGAAGTTTTTTTACCTGCCCTCGATAGATTTTAATATTCGCGGCGCTGTATCCTCGTTGACAAGGCCAAGGTAATACTCTATTCACGCACAGTTAGCCAACCCAGTCCTAGAAGCTCTTGGGTCAACGTACCGCAACATAACCACCTTGCGCTCACAATTTTTAAGAATCCTCTTAGAATGTGTAACTTTCTCAATGCCTCACTTGAATCAGTTTCCATCCACATCCTCTCTGTCACTAGACCCGCCGCTTTGTACACAAGAAATGTGATAAATGGAGGAAGGTGATCAAAGTCTATGGCTTGCGTACCACTGACAAAGGGATACACCGTGTTAGTTATAGTGGTGAGAATGGATTTTAGAGATGATGTGGCAAGTGATTGGCAAGTTGAAGTTTGTCCATCGGTAATCTGAACTTTGGTACCGTTCTCGTAGGCTAGGAGTAGGCCACTGTGCAACATCAGCGTTGAAGCGAATATTTCAAGAAGATCTGGAAGAGAAGAACGCCGCTCAACTAACGTATGACAAAGTCCTAGCCCACCGGAGTATATCTGGTCCGCATCTTCGACCTCCTCGATTAGGAGCGTGCAGAGGCTAGATGATGTCTCCACCAAAAGCCCTACTTCTTCCACGTTGAATGCTTGTTCTGAAGTGGGGTTGTGTAACACATTTTGTATGTTATCAAGAAGTGTGGACGCTTCGAAGATACGGGAGAGTTGCCAGAGGGGACTCCTTGTGTCTTTCTCGAGGCCGGTGGGCCAGGGAATTTTGTTGGGATCATGGATACCTTTGCCGAGAAAGAGAATGAGATATGGACGATGTCCAGATTGTACTGTTATATATCTAAAATGAGTCAGTACAGGGGGAAGTTATAATTGTCAGGGATAAATGGGGGCTTGCACCTGTCCAGAATACGGATTGCCCACCCGATTAGTACGGCTTCCTCTCTCCCTGACTCATCAGTAGTAGACGATGAAGATGATGGAGATAAGTAATAATCAATTTTAAGTGCATCGGCAGCTCTTGCAGTAGTCCCAATAGAGATGTAAGCTGCCGGGTAGAGGCCATGTGCAACTTCGAATAGAGCGACCAAAATCCTTGCTTCCACGATCTTGAGCGAGGTGATACCGAGTCCTTCGATCACTGCTATCCAGCTCTTGACATGTAGGTACGCGGACTGAAGACCAGACAGAGGCCCGTCTTCAGGGGACGGGAAGGTGCAAAGCAAACTAATGCAGAAGGCGAGGAGCGTGTACTCCGGGGAAGCTTCGTTCCAAGATGTCGGGAGCTGATCCTGTAACGTTTGTGCGAGAATAGGGAACCAAGGATGGATGGATTGGATGTATGTCACAAAAATATCGCTTGGGGCCGATGCGAGTTTCTTAGCCATAGCATCTTTGATATGGTCCCGACTTAACGTTTCAAGGGGAAGCCCTGCGTCGAGGGAGGACGATGGTGTCGAACTTGGAGATCGTGTCACCCGCCCTTCATAGTGACAAGCTTTATGAAGCCTAGAGTCTGTCTCAGGAATTCCACGGCTACCATTGTGGAATTACCGATTCCCCAATATTAACTTAATTAGACACTGAACTGGCAATGACACCCTGACTACTATGAGCTGAAGCTATCAGCAGACCGACGCCTTTCGGCGTATTGGTCTGCCACACCCAACGATAAATCCCTTCCAAATAATAATAATAGCATATAGCTGGTATAACTAGATAAGGAATTTTAGCTATTAAGGGCAGGTATATCTTATTCTTAAATATAAATCCTAATTTAAATGATAATTAATCTATCTTTAATATAGTATCCCTAAATCTGTAGAGTATGCTGTACCAATAGTTTTAGTATAGGGATGTCTTTCTCATCCATTTCCTGCACATGGACATATCTACTAGAATCCAAAACTTGGATCTCCCACATTTTGAGTCGACCGGCGTGATAAAAACTAATCGTGACTGGAATGTGGAATACTATCAAGGTCAGGATCACGGATGAACATCAAAGTATATAGATATAACCAGCAATTAAATAATGCCCTTAACAGAATTTGCAGCAAATCTTATCCTGCGAGATTTGAGAGCATCAGCCAGAACATCCAGAACGACCTCCGTTTCCTCCCAGCCAATGCATTCATCTTTGATGCTCACACCGTATCTGCGAGCCTCCTTGCACCTCAACCAAACTTAAATCCAACCATATGCAGAAATTCCAATGGACCAGGCACATCAAGCGCCCAAGTCCCTGTTCTTGCGAGATCATCCAACAACATCGGTGATGTAACCACTAACCACAAAAATGCAGCACTGTAATCAATAACCATGCACACATAGTTTGCAAATCCAACAGACCTCAAAGAATCCATCAGCGCCCTCTGAATCAGAATTCCTGCCGGTTGGATAGCAAAGAAAACAATTGGTCTTAATGATGGTGGGTTGTTCAGGGGCATAAAGCTTGTGAATAATCCACACCAGTGAATCCACCCACTTAGGGTGAAGACCAAAAACCGGACAGTATATTTGCGGGGAGTTGACGACAGCCGCTTTGTGAGTGGGGAAGACAAGAAAAGGGAAGCTTCTACCAGGCCATGTCTATATGTCTGATGCCAGAATGCCCCCCAAAACCATTCGATCCTTGTCTTGGGGATGAAAGTGAGGGAGTGAGTATCTTGCAAGAAGTATGCAAAAAGCCAGGAGGATTGGAGTGTCCGACCCTTCTTACATCCAAATGATCGAATTAGTATAGCGAGTAGAGCGTGGACGAGCTGTAAAGATGAAGTTATGAGAGACATCGAGGTCCAGATCATCGCAGCTGACATACAGACCCGGTATGTTTGTGTTAGAAATGCTGGGCCAAACCGGCGTTCACTTCCCAGGTTGGATGAAACGAAGCCCCAGAAGTAAGGATCGGTTAGTGCTATTGTTTGCAGAAGCAGCATTTGGATATACAACAATAAGGCTATGAGCATGGAGCTAATAGCAACGTGTACCAGGCTCTTGTCATGTTGGCGAATATCGTGAGGTCCGAATCTCCGTGGGGTGGGTATTAATGGAGTTTGCAATCCCCAGTTCCAGCCAGCTCCTTTAAGACTCAAGAGCATGTCAAGGACCCAGAAGAACCGACGGAGAAGTGTATCTGGGTACCCCTGCCAGCAAAGGACACACACATCATCTGAGAGAGGTGACCCATTGGAAGCAGGGACTTTACTTGATAACTCCCGAGCCCCTAGTTGATGGCGCTGTATGTCTCCCTCTGTAGATTCCTCGGAATTTGTGGTCGCTAAAGGACCATCGCTCATCTCGTTCCCATTTTCTTCCTTGACTGGGACCATGTTCACCTGCTCCTCCACCCTCATGTAACATTTCTCAAAATCCTTGAAGACAAGAAAAATCCCACTCCAGATAGCTGAGTAAGCACCCCAGATGCCAACCACCAGATTACTGCCTGATGAAAGGCGACAATGTCGTATTATGAGACTCATCAGAAAACAAGCACATATAAATGCCAGCCGTCGCAAATAGAGCACCCAAGTCCGTTGATGCTGCGGAATAAGCAGGGGGACAACGACTATCAGAATGAAAGCAAAGGCATGGGGATATCTGAAGGGGACGATATCCCCTGATAAGAATAGTGTTTCGTGTAATGCTTGTTGTTTTTGCCAGTGTGTGTGGAATGTGGAATTGAAATTTGGCATAGTTGACTGAAATGACAGAGGCAGTTTAAAAAGGTGCAGAATGGACATGTCATTGAGGTAAATAGGAAAAGAAATTACACATGTAATCAATGAAGTGGGATTCAGAAAAGCGGGGAGGCGATTATCAGAACTGCACAATGCTGTATAGTGGATTCCACTTAACAGAATGAATGGAACAATATATCCTTGACTAGACACATCTGCAAGTGCTTGAGTGCTTGAGCTATCTGTTCATCTACTGTGGGGATTCGGTTATCCGGCCTAACTATATTCCCTGCTCCAACATAGCCAGATACTGTCATGTGACTCTCCGTGATCCAGAAATGGTCTGAGATACTAAAATAATTGTCTATTTAATGGTGCTTAGGCCCATTTTCCTTAATCATGATCCATAATATTCAAATCATCACAGATATATGAATATTCACCATTTCCCACCAACGCATCAATCCGCTTGATCTCATTATACAGAAGTCAGGGCGGTACTATTTCGGAAGATGAAAAGCCACGAATTCATTCATCACTGGATTCTGTTGATTTAAATGATAATCCACTTTTTATCGTTTATCTTACACATGGCATTCTCCTTTTCCCCATCACGTGAAAGAGGCCAAGAAGTATAATTTCAAAAACGAATAGGAAATCCACCTCGATGGGCAGCGATCGATAATATCAAGAAATCTGCACGAGCTTCTTGTCCGAATTTACGACTTTGATTTGGACGCTGACATACCGGACGAGCGTTTCCCTCCATTCAAAAACAATGCGGTTGATTCAAGCTGCGGAAGCCGCTGTAGTCGATGGGGTTATCACTTGTCTATGCGTAGACGCCGATTTATTTGCCCAAGACAGGTTCGGAGAGACAGCACTACATTATGCTGCTGAGAATGGCCACTTTGAAGTATTAAATTACTCGTCGAGGCTGGCTCTGATATCCATCGCAGAGACAATACGCAGAGAACACCACTCGATTGTGCAAAGATGTGCGAAAGATGCCGTTTTACCGAGGTCATACAATTCCTAGAGGACCCAAAGGTTGTCTCCACCCAACGACTCATCAAGGGAAGGGCGAGGCTCTGGATTGACTCTTTGTCAATAGACCAGGAAAATATCTCAGAACGCAACAACCGGGTAGCATTGATGTCGCGGATATATCACCAAGCAACATAGGCTCTTGTATGGCTTGGCCCTCAATATAGACATGCCATGCTCGCAAAATATGTTTTGTGTGATTTCAAGGAGAGGGTGTTTTGCTGTGGCGGGAGTGAAGCCTGCATTCTAGTTGATATTCGAACGTGAACAGCCGTCGAATCTCCTGAGACAAAACATTTCTTGGCGTACATGAGGAAATCAACAGGCATCCAGCCAGTCTCTACATGAGGGAACAAACTGAGCCCTCTAGCATTAGCCACAATAGTCTGGTCCTTCAAGGATTTAAAGTTTCTGCTTTGTTTGCTATTTCAAAGCCCATTGCAGACATCGCTCACAACTATATGCTTTCCACTGAAGAGATATTTACCTGTTTTGGACGTCTGTTCATGAAGACATCTCCAAATGAGCCCACACAGACTTTACAGACAGGAAAGACCAGGGTTGGAATATTATTAGTTGATAAAAAGCGGTGTTAGTTGGCAGTATTTACCGGTCAGGACTTCCTGCACCCTAGTGTATGAGTCAGACCGCAGCTAAGGTAGACCAAGCTAATTAGCCGACGTGACCACACGTGATTTTACACGTGACTTCAGCAATTTCTCACTTGACCAGGACCTGCAGATGTTAAAAATATAAATACCTACACTAGTCCTACAAATACATATTGTATTCTTTAACTCTCCAATCACACCCTTAATCTTGACTAGTCACAGACCCACTCTACTAGTTAGGAACTAGCTAGACACTTTATTAATATAGCTGAACTGTAACTAAGATTAGTTATAGATAATAATCTTAAAGATAACCCTAATATAAGAGAATTAACTAATACTACTACTAGTTGCTAACTAGTTATATAGAGAGAGATTAAAACTCCTCTTATAAGCCATGCTAGGTTAGGTCTAAAGACTGTTTAGTTTCTCTATAAAAATAGTTTACCAGAATATCTAGAATCATATTATATAGGAGTTATATATATTCTACTAGTAGGGACATATAATAGGGGACATATAGGTAAAATTATGGACTAGGTAAGTCTGACTTATACTAGTAGTAGACTAGTACCTGACTGGTTATAGATATAATATACTGTATAGAAATAATATAGTCTGAAAGATACCTTTTACCCATATCTTAACTAAAAATATATACAGTGGAAATGGTAATATAATAGGATTAAGAAATATGAATTTCTTACCCCTATATTAGCTAATCTCTTCTATATAAAGGTTGAAGAAGCTATATAGGCAGAGATTAAAGAGATACAGCAGCAAATTCCTTAAAGTAAAATAGATTAGAAAAAGTAAAGGGCTTAGTTATTAATACTAATCTACTACTAGTTCTATACTAGTTACTAACTATAAAAGATATTACTATGGTACATGTGAAGTATTTAAGTATAGTATAGCCTACTATAAAGGTGCATGGTTAGAGACATGCCAGCCTATAATGTGATGGTCCCTAAACTAAGTAAGTAAAAAAAATAAAGAGGTAATAATTAGTTACTAACTAGTTAATAGGTAATTCCAGGTATTATTAATTAGTGGGTTAAATACTTAAATAAAGTAATTAAGCCTTATAAAAAGCACTTTTATAAATTACTTCTCCTAAAATAAGATACTATAGATCTCTATCTTCTTTCTTAGATCTTTTATTAATATACTGTGCCAGTTCCTGAACCTTATAGAATTATTAAGTTAATAAAGATATAATATCAAAAGTATAGTAAGTATAGAAAATGTTTTATTATAATTAGTTATATACTAGTTACTAATAAGTTAAAGAAAGGGATCACCCTATAGGTAGTGGGAAACTTCAGATCTAGGGCTGTAGAGTAGAATTTAATATTCTAGTTCCTAAGGATCTTAAAGTATATTTATATATCCTTTTTACCTCCTTAGGTACTTATACTTATCCACCCCTACTACTATATAAAACACCACTAGAGATATAGGATAGGATTATAAAGCTTATCTAAAGACTAAATAACCCTAAGCTAGTTTAGAGTAAATTATATCTTACTATTACTAGTCCCCTACTAGTTACTAACTAGTCACTTACTTAATAGGCTTATTTCTAAAGAGTTTATAGGTTAAGCAGTTCTGTCAGTAGTATAATATAAATATACTCCCTAAACTATATCCAAGCTTTTCTAATCTAGATTAGATTAGGGCTCTTATTTAAAAGTAATAGATGCTATTCTTTCCAGAGGGCTAGGATATTAATAGGCTTAAATATAAGCTACATAGGTCACTAGAGATTAGGGTAGGTTTATATCCTATAAGTACTTAACTAGTTAAAGCTAATATTATAAAGGACTATATCTAATATCTCTCTTATAGAGGTAATAGAATAATAATACTATATACCCACCTAGACCAGCTAAAGGTAATGATAAAGCTAAAATTATTTTAGATTAATATAGGATATAAGAGGGTTTATATAAGTGGTCTAAAAGAGATTATCTTTACAGCCTTTATTTAGGAAAATGATTATAATAAATATAAGGAAAACAGACTAGTTTACTACTAGTTACTAACTAGTTACCAGTGGTTACATTGGCCCGGGCCTTTATAAATAGGGAAGATATAGAAGCTTATTAGGAGATATTTAAATAGCTCTTTAAGGCTATAGAATAATATTCTGATACACTAAGGGAACAGCCTTATAATAGGTTTATGAAATTTAGTTATATATATAGTATAGGAATCTAAAGTCTAGTAATAGATATAGACCGCGCCTAAATAAAAGGTATGATTCTATTTAATAACTAGCTGCCTACTAGTTATAAGTACTAATTAAAAACTACTTATATCTAGGACTTGGTAATGCTCTTGTTAAGCTTTATAAAGATTAGTATAATATATGGTTAGAACATAGGGATGTGCCTATTTAATAACCACTAAATAATGATGCTCCTTAAAGGTATTAAGAGTATTATATAAGTTAAATATTATGCCTCTGCTATATATATTTTTAAAGAACTATTAATAAGGCAGTTAGATCAGATTATTATTCACCTCTTTAGAAGGAGATGGCAGCCTTATTAGACTGCTAAACTTAAGAGTAATGGGATAATCTAATAGGGTATTTAAAAGGTATGTCTACTGGTGTCTAACTAGTTGCCTACTAGTTACTAACTAGCTATTTAAGGCTATGATAATGTAATGGTTTAGAATTAGGCTCTTTAGAAGGATGAGGGCCTTATAAAGTCAGGCCTTACTAAGGCCTGATTAAATATAAATCTATTATTTTAGGGTGAATCTAGGTATAAAATAAACCCCACTGAATAAACCCATTAAAAGGGCTATTCATGGGGGAAGTGGCTCTCTCTAGTAAGGGCTGTATAATAGTAAGTAACTAATCTATAAAGAATATATTATAAGTGTTTAATTAGCTAACCTAAATAGTGGTTATTAAATAGATATATA